GTGGCTGAGTGCACATATATGAGCCCAGGGGTGGCCGCCTCGGTATTGGCAGATGCTGGGGGGGATTGTACCCCATTCCCAGTGGATGGCGGTGTGCGGCTTGAAGATCGGGACTGATGCGGAGACGTTCCCGGGGCGTTCAAATTTGAGGATTCCACGACTCTACTATATCGGGTCGCGGGAGACATCTTGGACGGTAATGTGTTACTCCTGTGTACCCCCACGGCACCCATGGATGTGGGAGTTGCGGGATTTGAAACATTGTTCGAGGCACGCGAGTTCTTTGAAGATACAGAAACGTTCCTTCGGAGCGACTCGTACTTTTTGAAGCTCTCAGCCCCGCCACTGGCACTGGAGACAGATCGACGGATGGTCGATTGAGACGTCGGGGGACGAGCATTGCCAGATTCAACTTCCTTCACGGTTTGCTCATCAGCAGCTGTACCATTCATACCGACGAGGAAATGGTCTTGGTTTTCAATGAGGAAGATCAAGACGTCCTGGCTCAACTTATACTCATCTGGCGACATATCGTGCTGCGGATGGGAAAGTAGCCCGGGTTGGAAAATGGCGGATAGGTTGGCCGAGTTCATTCGATTCTGGTCTGATTTCGAGGCAAAGACCGCGAGCAGGTCAAGAATGTAAAGCAATAGCTGCTTGTTGAGGGGAGGGAGCTCCCTGATCAGCTGCTGGTAAGCAGCAACAGCTTTCGCATGTTCTGTAGCCTCCGAGTCCTGAGATGTTCCTTTTTCCTCCGCCTGCAACTGGAATTTACGCAGCGGCTCTCTGAATCGCTCGTAAAACTCCAAGGGGACAATTGGTTCTGGGAGTTGATTAAGGTAGCGCCGAAGGACATTTGCAGCATCATGGACAGTATATCCAGTCCAATCCAGACCTTTCCCATATCGCTCCGGGGAGTCGAAAATCTCCTGAAGGTCTTTGATCCGCTTCGCAGACCCGTTTAGACGAAAAATTCCCTCAACATCGGTCGCTAATGAAATAAAACCGTTAGCACCGACCGTAAGGCACCGCGCGCTCGGAAACTTGTACCTTTCTCCTTCAAGAACACTCCACACTTTGCGACGACTATGGGCACGTAGCCGTAAATGAAACTCTCTCCATTGTCGTTTGTGAGAGAGATAGCGACGTTTGCGTACTTGATGCTGACCTTGAGCGGGACACTAAAAATACCTTGCTGTGTTTTCTCTAGAGTCGCTTTATTAGCATGATAGGATTCGAAGGAAGCGCGGTGGATGCAAGATCGCGTCACATCGAGTGTAGAGGCATTGAGATAGCATTAAGCCCTCAGTATCTGAGCCCAGGAAAGGAACTGGCCCGCTCGTTTCAAGCGACGTCTTTCCATACCAAAGTCCCACACTCGACGAGCTTTTTAGTCAAGCAACCCGTCTCCGCACGTACCTTTCGGTTCCTCCTTCCTAGTATTTCTCTTGAATTGCCTCCACCATGTTGTGAGATCTCGTTTTGACGGCGGGGAGGCGGGGGAAACCTCGCGCTGAGGTGCTGCAGGCGGATACGGCACGAAGGAGTCAGCGCCGGCGTGCGGCTTTCCAGTTACCATCTTTAATACTGCGGGACAGGTGGCAGGAACGGGGGGATATGATCGAGGGTTTAAAGATATGGCGAAATCGAGTTGACAATTATTCCGTCACTGACCCCGTTGGCGCGCAGTGAATTCCGGGGCTGGGATGACGATGGTTCCCAAAATAGCACAGGAGCCTGGGGTCGAATAGCGCGCAGGCCGCGACAAACCCGGAGTGGCAAGGTAAGAATAGAATCGACGATGCGGATGCGGGGCAGTTTCAAGGTGAAATTCGTACGAAACGACGAGGGAAACGGATGAAGAGGAAGGGAGACGAAGAGTGCGAAGGGGAGAAATCGGGGTGGTGGATTGATCGATGGGAGGGGGGAAGGGAGAAGTAAGAAGGGAGAGAAGGAAAAGGCACGAGGCAAGGCCCTGCCAGTCAATCCAGGTGTATCAATCACAAGCTGACAGGAGACCTTGGCCCCCTCGAGTTTGGGTCGAAGCAGAGTTCAGCGGTAGATGGTCAGTCGACGAGCAGCAGCAGCGGACGGGGAGAATGAATAACATTTAGCAGTGGATGGAGCGGTGGGTGGAGGGGACGAGACCAAAGGGCGTCACTGCGACAGATCAAGGCAGCACACACGACCATCCATCACGGGCCGCGCAACGACTGCTTACTCCTGGGCGATTTCTTTCTCTATTTCTCGAGTATATTACGGGGTGCTATCAAGGCAATGGCTCTCACTACGGTTGCCGCGATACTGCGGCCCTCCACTCAGAAGCTCTCGAGTCATCACAGCTACCATTTACATCTCAACAGCGACTGGGTCAAGACCTGGGAACCAGAATTAGGAACGGGAGCTCGTCTGGGAGTCGACCTGGGTCTTGGTTCTGGAACGGAGGTTCCAGACACTAGCGATCCTTGCCAGTGGTCCCCGACTCGAGCGGACCGTCGTTACGAGCGAATGTCCTGCTGCAGACTTGGTCGGGGGCTTGACAGGAAACTGGATTTAATCTATTGTCGATGTGCCGACTGGAGCGTGCGTGGTCTTCTGGAAGATCTTCATTTTCGAGAATTATTCGCTTCCCAGGCCTCTGGTCTGCTGGCCAAACATTGCCGAAAAAATTAGCGGACAGAGTACAGGTCTATCCACCAGCAGCCCAGCACTGGCTGATGGCGTTGGCGTTGAAGGAGGATTCAATGCAACCCCGAACTCCCCATCACACAGCCGCAGAATCAGCACCTAACCGCGGCTTCCTCCGCTAGTGTGACCGTCCTCTCAGTGAACAAGTAGACTAGCAAGCCCCTGCACGATGGAAAGCGGCCTCGCATCAGTGGTGGGCTGGTGGGCAAAGGATTGGCTCCCCTGGGTAATTGGGTTGGCGGTCCATCCCGGAAACCACCTCGCCAGACGCTGAAGTCGGGTTGCCTGCCTATCACCAGTATCACAACCATGGATGCGGGATTCTGTTCAAGCGAATTCAGAGGGTCTAGGCTCTGAATTGACTTAGCCAGGCTCCATCACTTGTTGCGGAATGTTCTTTTTTTAAACCCTGAGTCAGCAGCCCTGGCAGGCTCGCCTTCCTCTTTCAGCGATGGTAGGCCTGTCCAAATCGGGCAATGGTCACGTGGTGAATATCACGTGCAGACTTGACATGTGACATCAGGTGACTTGGACAACTGAAGAGCTTGTCATGGCTGAGCTCCGGAGCTTCGGTCGAGGCTGAGTGCTAGAATATTATTATTGTCTACAACTACACCTCCACATTTCCCACCCTCCCCTTATTTATTTCACATAATATCACAATGGACGGGTTAGTATTCGCCTTCTTTTATCATCTTAATACACAGTTTGGCTATCGAAAATGATTGCCTCAAAATTGCGTTGCATCACCAGGATTATGCTAATTTATCCAGACTTACGGCCTCGGAGCAACGCGAGTTTGCTAATCGCATGGAGAGAAAGCAAATGAAGGAATTCATGACCGTACGTTGCCTCTAATTGCTTCTGCGATCGCTTCTTCGAATCCTAGACATTCTGCCATTCAGATTCTAATGATGCCTCCGCTCGTCTATAGATGTACTCCAAGCTCGTTCAGCGATGCTTCGACGACTGCGTCAACGACTTCACCACTAAGTCCCTTGTCTCCCGCGAGGAGGGCTGTGTCATGCGTTGCGTTGACAAGTTCCTGAAGGGATCCGCTCGGTTGAACGAACGATTCCAGGAGCAGAACGCCGCCATGATGCAGAGTGGACAGTTGCCCGGACGGTAAACGCGTTATCTTCCCGGCTTCACTTTTTGCTTTCACTCGGCAATTTCCGTGTATACTAGATTTTCAATGATACTCTCGCCTTGTTCGGCTCAAATTTTGGTTTCGATCGTTAACGCGCCAAGGAGTTTCCTGGATTAGACCGACAATAGCTGCTTTCTAGCATTTTTCGGCTATATTGTTCATTGACAGATCCCAGAGCCGGAACGAAATACGGTCCACAAACCTGGGCCTCCCACATAATCAACATCCTCTCTTACTGATTGATGATCGACCGGTGAGCTCGACAACATTTAACCCGACAGCTGGTCTTGGGCGGCACAAACTTTATACCAATAGCCACATATGCCAATTTTGACTATACAACGCCCTCCACTCGCAGACTATATCAATTAAAAAAGAGAAGAGAAGAAAAGAAAAGAAAACATATCAGTCGTACCAACTACTTCGCACGACTTCTTAGTCAAGGATCGGATCTTCCGAACCACACCGGGCTTTCAAATCGCCGGAAGAGCACGGTTTAAGCTGAAATACACACAAGCTTCACTGGATGAACGTATTACTGAAGTTCATTCAATGTTGCCACATACGTGATCCATCATTTGTTGCGCCGAGTTGCATTGCAGCAAACTACGTATATATTAGTAGAATTGCCTACAGTTCACTCGTACCCGCAAGCCAACGCCGAAGTCTGGATATTGATCAATGGGCTTTTCGGAATCTGTTCTAGTTTTTAGCTAGATGCAGTGATATATATAAAGGAACCAGGCCGGCCGTGTTACCCCTTTCGAATTCTATCCCTAGGGCCCATCTTTATATCTAGGAAATATTAACACCGTCAATGAGAACATTGCGTATTGGTTTAACGTGGCTCTTCTACTATATCGATTATTTTCACCTGAGGGTGCTTCCAGCCAAAATTCTCCTCTGGGAAATAAAAATGTTCACTGAAATTGTTACTTCATAGGACCCCCATGTGCGATATTTATTCTTGCTAACGGCGTGGTTTTATAGCTATTTTTACTGAGAAGGAAGATATTGGTTGATGGGCGGACGAAACACTTCGCATCAATACCATCCACCCTGCATCCCTGATATCAAGTCATAAATGCTATAAAGTGTACTACACACATGCGTGACAGAACTTGATGGTTTGTATTGCGAAAAAATAGGTGTCCAAAAAAACCGACCGATGTGGGATTCGAACCCACGGTCTTACGCTCGCATAGGAGGCGTACGCCTTACCACTAGGCCAACCGGCCAATGATTTACCTCTCAGATCGCTCGGTGCAATACAATATTGTGAGGGTTGTAATGATCTGCCAAAGTAGAATACTTTTTTGATGTCAAGCATCTCGCCGGAACTTCCGTCCTCCAAGGTACATACAAGCAGCCGTCTGCAGAAAAACATCCCATAAAGCAGGCGCACAGCGCCTCCTAATCCTAAACCGACCTTCAATCAGCGTATTATCAGACCCAACTCATTCACAATGGCTTCCCCAGCCCCGAGCCAAACGCCGGCGACCACGACAGCTTCAACCTCCAAACCGAAGCCCTCTCAACCCCCGGTCCCAATTCTCCCCTCACAATTCGCCCGCGTCTACGCTGTCGCTCACCCAGCGCTCCTTCTCTCGTTGGTGACTTATCGGTTCAGCTCTGTCATCGATAATCCCATCGCCGAGCTCCTCAGCGACATCCCCTACCTCGTTGGGCTCCAGGTCGTCTTCGTCATGGGCTGTCTCCCTCCGGCCGGGAGCGAGAAAGAGAGCACCGGCTCCGGAACAGACGACACTAAGAAAAAGGTGCCCGGCAGCACTCCTAGGCGTCGAGGGAAGTCGTCCGGCGCTGGATCGCCCTGGTCGGCTGGCCTGGTACAGGTTGTTTGGAAATTAACGGTAACTTCCCCTCTTCTTTGCCATATCCGTTACGTCCAGATATAGCTAATAAAGCAACTTCTACAGCCCGCCCTTCTCTCCCTAACTCTAACGACACTCCTCGCAACTCCCGTCCTCGCCTTCCTCCTCATCCTCTTCGGTGCCCCGCTAACAACCCACCACGCCCTGACGTTCCTTTGCGCCGCCCACATGGCGCTCCTCTCGTGCTTCCCGCTTATTTACGCCCATGGTGTCGACGGATCCGTCTGGAGGGAGATCTGGGGTGCTTATAGACCAATGGATTCTGTTTGGGGCGGCGCCCTGGGAACCTGCTTCGGGGCTTGGATTGGGGCTGTGCCGATTCCCTTGGATTGGTTCGTTCTCACTTTCCCTCTTGATCCTTTTTTTTTCTTATGCATGGAAGTTTGGCTGACGTGTACTTACTCGTGTCGGTTTAGGGACCGTCCATGGCAGGCGTATCCGATCACCATTCTTACGGGTGCTTATATCGGGTATGCTCTTGGTGTGCTTTTGGGGAGAGTTCCAGGCCTGTTTGGGAAGAAGATCGAGTTTGCGCCGGGGCCAGAAGGTGAGCAGGAAAGGGATATTAAAGTTGATTAGTTGGCTTAATTGGTTGATTGGCCATTTGACCAACTGTCCGAGACTCAAGCTGCCCCTGTCGACGTAGCACGTATGTATGGGCCTGGGTTCTGTTTACTGCATTCCTGGTTGCATTATTAATCGAGGCGGATTCATCTTCCATATTATATTAGACATATTATGCTATACTTTTTCTTGCTTTGTATTTATAGAAATGAAATATAATGAAGAATGGAATAGATTCTAGGAACCGGCCTATGCAAATGATGGTATGTACAAAAAAAGCGCTATGGGGAATCAGCAACGCAATGGATATCAACACCGCCAGCCAACCCAAAATAGAAATCGCTCACAAAGATGGCAAAACAGAAGAGAAGAACATGGATATATGTTATGTATGTATGTGGTATCTCGCGTCATAATCGAAGAAAGGGGTCTAGATTTTGGTCTTGTCGTTGAAAATATCCTTCTCATGGGCAAAACAAATAAGAAAGAGAAAAAATGGACGGATAAGAGCGGTTGAGGTTAGATCATATTGGCAACTTCAACCCGGCGAGTTGACTGCCAGTGTCGAAATCGATCGTCCTTCGAGCGTGTATCAGATCCGGATCTGTTTCGGTCATTGTTGCGCTCGCGATCCCGATCTGAATCCGAGTCGCTCTTGTATCGTGAAGTGACCTTTTCCTCTCTTTGTCGAGGGGAACTGTCTGGGGGTGACTCGTCGGGCCGTAGGCGCAGGTATTCTTGGGACTCGAAGCTGCGAATTGGATACATTGTTCCGATGCCAACCGAGTCTCGGGTCATGCGACTGAGTCGCTCGACATCTTCTCGTAGGCCGGAGAACTGTTGTTCTAGGTTTCGGCGAGCGGTTTGTTCGCGACGGAGTAGCATAACTAGTGCGCTGTATTGTTGCACAGAGATGGCGCCAGAGTCACTATTTAAAGAAACCATGGACGGGGCTTTCAGGGCACGAGCGCGGTGGATATCACTTATGCTAGGGCGAATTGTGCTTGTGCTCAAGGGACGGTCCGTGCCAGCTACATATTCTGTGGTTGGAGAGTCATCGCGACTTTCCGGTGGGGATTGGCCCGAGGACTTCTGACGTTTATGTTGTGACGGATCTTGGTTGTTTTTCTGGTTTGGCGAGTTCGTGGGTGTGTCTGTACGTCCGCTTTGCATCCGCGCAATCGCGAACTCTAGGTCGATAAGTTTGACTTCCAACGTGGTCAAGCGCTGTTCGAGCGAAGCGTTATCGTCATTCTGCATGGAGCTGATGAGCTCACCGACATTCGGGGGCAGACCAGGGGAAATAGGACCTGGCTCGTCTCCCGGTTCATCCGCCTCGAAAACGGACACCTCCGCAGAAGGTTTGGAGGCACTGGCCACTGTAGTCCTGGTAGGCGGCCGAGAAAGCTCGCTATCAGAAGCGGCACCGTATGCAGTTGACACAACATATTCCGATTCTACGCTCCGTCGTCTCTTCCACTGTATCGGAGACATACGGTGTTCCTGTGCGAGGGCACGAAGGGCCCCTGCACTTCGAGAACGCCGTTTAGCGTCTCGCATCTGACGGCGCCGCATATCGTCCGGGTCGCTATTCGCATGAGGACTGAGTTTTCTATTGCTCGGCTTTTTCCGAGGGTTGATGACCTCCTCAAGTGCATGACGAGATCCATCGTCCGAGAATATTAAACTGGGTAAAGTTGCACGCCTTTGGCGGGGTTCAGTGTCTAGTTGTTTCAATACAACGTCTAGCGTTGTTAGTGTTTCGGGGGGTTGTTGGGGCTGGCTACTCTGTAGCGAGCTTCCTGATTTTGAAGGCCCCGGCGACCTCTTTCCATCATTCGGGCGAGCGGCGTTGTTATTTCCAAAATGGAAGTCCGATATGGAATCATCCATCTCGTCTGTTCGGCTCCGCCTATTCCGTGTGAAGATCTTCCTCATGACAGTCTTTAGCGTGCTTCCAGTCCGACGATGACCAGTGGCGTTCCCTTGAATCGATGTCAGGTTTTGAGGGTATGGTGGCCGCGAATTTCCTCCCTGTGGTCGCCGCGAAGAGACCACGAGATCCTTGGAGCTCATGGGAGGCAAAGCGGTATCATATGACTCGGTATCAGTGGCGAGGATAGCTGGCGCTGAGAAGTCTCGCTGTGTAGGAGGATTCCGGACGGAACGACTTCTCCCAACTGGCTTGGACATTTTCCTTTCGAGAGGCATGGATCAGATTAGTATGTTGGTTGTCGACGCAGCCAAGGACATGCGCCTACCGACGGCGACGATGGATGCGGTGTCAAGTATGAGAAAGAATGTATCAGTAGGGCTTCGAACCCAACAGTGTGTTAAGGCTCGGAGTATTAACAAAGAAATTCTCATGCATGAAAGAGGTGAAAGCGAGTGTCAGCGAAGAGAGTTGGGGTATATGAAACTATCGGCGGAGTGGACTGAAGTTACAGCGAAAGGTATCTCGGATTGGCGGGCTAAAAGAAGGACCAGACAGGGGTCAGTGCCAAACGAACGGAGCACTTTTGAGAGGGGTTAACCATATTTACCTTGGCAGAAAGAGCTCCAGGCATAATCGGGTAGATATAGAAAATTCGTTGATGAGTTGTACGGGGCGCTCGTAAGCAAGGTATACGGGGCTAACGCTCGTGGCCACAGGCCAAGATTTTAACGAGAGACAGATGCGAGACGCAAAGAAGCAGCTAAAAGGCGATCATAGGTATGAAGAAAAGCCAGGGAGCGGTAAGGTTTGCTCGTCCGACAGGCCGAAGCGAGGCAGGCCGGGATATGAAGACAAAGAAGAGGATGGATGATGCAGCGCAGCAGCGGCCGACAAGATGCAAGCTACGCCCGGCTAATATCTCACTCACAGACTCTCAGTCTCAGGCTGGAGCCCCGGGTCGAAAAAGAAAAGAAGGACGGGATCTGTGGAGCTTATCAGACGGGGCAGAACGCCGACAGAACTCATGTCAAGCAGGGAGTGGTGGACACTGGATGGCGCTGCATGGCCGGCGGAGACGGGCGTTTGAGATATGACGAGGTGGGCCAATTGCAGGCTGGACTCTGCCAGGCACGCCGTTGTGCTGCGAGGAAGGACAAGAGGCCGTTGTAAGCTGGTGGAAGAGCAAGCGAGGATCGAGAGGACCAAAACAAAAAGGCGAGACGGCGAGACGGCGAGGCCAGGAACAGGGGGAGTGCTGAGTGGATGCTGAGGGGAAATTGCCTTGGGCGAGTCGTGAAGAAGTGGAGGGAGCGAGTCGGAGCAGAAGCGTCTGTGCTGGGCTGCCGTGTTTCAGGTTCTCGTGTCAGGCTCTCTCTCTCACCAGTCGGCAGTCACCACCTTCCAGCTGCCAGGCTTCCCGACTTTGGAACTCGTCAACTGCCAGCTGTCGGATCATTGACCGCTATAATGACATCGTCGTCTGTCTTGCCTCTTGCGACAATGGAGCAGAGGCTGAAAGGGAGCATCCGAAACAAACGCAGGCAACGGCCCCATATTTGGTATGTGATGTCGACTATCATATACGGATACTATCAAAACATTTGGGACAAAAAACTAAACCTGTTTCTCGGGCAAGTCTGCCATTCTCCTGCAAGGAAATGCGCTTCGTCGTCAGTTGCCTGTTGTTGGGAATGGCACGGTATGGACCCCCTATTCCAGTGTGGTGCTCCTGATCCTCTGTGGAACACCAAATCTTGGTTGCACTAGCCAACAACTAACTTAACTACTTAAATTTGCTTACAGAGCAGGAGCTGATGAGGACTCGACTTGAACGGCCTTCGTGCTTGAGACGTTTATTTGCGCAAGGCCGACGGGTGTGCAGCAAGTCGTCCTGGGCTCCTGGCGTGCTCTTAAAATATATCCTCCAATCCCAAACTTTGGCTGTCGACGAGATTTCTCCAGAAAAGAACCACCTTGCATGGATGGCCTTTCAGCTTCGGCGCCATAGTGGAACTCGTCCAGCGAAGGCGCACGGTTATTGCTCCACCGGCTTGTTTTTCCGTGTTCTGGAACAGGCTCTAGTGTAGATGCCTGCACATCTCGCAGGCTCGCACTCCGCTCTCGGTTTCATCGGATTGGAGGTTGATCATATTCTACAACAACAGTGATGATCGTGAAGCTTTCTATTCAGAGTTTGTTCAGAGTTTCTAGTCTTTCTCGATCTTGCGATAATTAGGAAACCCGTGCGAGGACGGACTGAAACACCGCACTGGTAGAGGAGCGAAAGTTTCAGATCAAGAGCGAGATCACCGAGATCACAGATCACAGAGCTGGAGTGCACATGTGCCACATAAGGCCACGAGCGGTTTTCTGGCAGCCTGGTAACATGTCATTCCCGTGAAAGAAATTCATGAAACAGCGGAAGACTTTGCCCTACCGATCAGAACCCCCGCATTTCCGCGCTTGTCTGTCTCAGCAAGCCTGAAAAAGGCATCACCCCGAAGCGCCCAACCGAGTTGCGGGCCGTAGTTCGGCCGAGTGGCGCTGGGGTCGAAGTGCAGTTCCTTAGGGTATGCTGACGGATCCCCCGAAGTTATAGTCGATATGATTTGGTATACCTCGTAAGAACCCTTCGGGCGGCATGACTCAGGTTTCGGGAGTTTATCTGTATAAAGAATATCAGCGCCGATCGCCGACGATATCCTGATCCTTCTAACAAAGCGGCATGTACTCGTGTTACGGCGGTGACGGGCCCTCGCCCGCTTCAAGGCCTTCATGCATGACTGGAGGTTTGGGCAGAAATCATCTTCAAAGCAACTCTCCAGCGTCGGGATAGCGCAAGTCGGAATGCTCTTCGAGATGTGCCATCCATCGTTTCAGAAACCCACTTCCTCTGTTCGGGAATGTCAGCCTTCTCTCCCATAGGGAAAGCAGGGTCCGGAAAGAGATATTGAGTCCGTGAAACAAAGGGAGACTTACTTGCTTATCGTCTCCGAATCTCCACAGACACAAAGATGTCGTTTAGGTCGGGTCATGGCCACTTGATCACGTCAGACTTTCCCAAATATAGCAACAGACCTGTTGAAGGGGATTACCATTCAGTCGTCGCTTCTCCCCAAGAAATCCGACCTCGTTTTCACTATTACTGCGCACGAGGCTCACGACGACAGCCTCCTTTTCACGTCCTTGGAAACCATCCACGCTGCCCAGTTCCAGGCCCGGATACTTCTCCCGTAGCATCTGAGACAAAGCTGCTAGCTGGCCGTTGTATGGAGTGATGACAGCGATGTCTTCAGGCCGCACGCCAGCCTGCACTAGGTTATCGACATGTCTTGCAACTACCAACGCTTCCATCTCATTGCTCTTGCTCTCGCCAAGTAGTGCTTCTTTTTTTGCTGCGTCCTCATCCTCAACCCTTTCCGGAAAATCTCCCCCTTGTGTATCCCAGAAAACCACTGGCTCTTTGGTGTCATCAGTTTCCTCGACCTCATAAGGCAGGTCCTTCAGGAGTCGAGACTTGACGCTCTCATCAGCGATAAGTTTAGCCTCGTATAGTTCATCCGACGGGAACCGCATGATGTTCTCATGCATTCGATACTGTGTGGTCAGCATTCTTTTGATACCCGGCCCATGCATCGACAGCAGTCGGTCAAAGAGGGTTGTCTCAAGCGAGAAGCTTTCTGTTGTGCCCTTTTCACCATTCCGGCCTTCTTCCTTCGATTTCAGTATGGTAGATTTCACAGTGGGTGGGAGTTGCAAATGATCACCGGCTAGAACAACCTTTGGCGCAGAGAGCAATGAGATCCAGCACTGAGGTTCTAATGCCTGGCTAGCCTCATCGATAATAACCACGTCGAAGTTCTTGGCTTTTAGCTGATGGCCTCCAGCCCCGTGTAGGGTTGCGAGTACAACACTGCTCTCACGAACAAGGTTGTCCACACACTTCGATTCTCGATCCCGGAACTCCCGACGTAGCTCCTTCAAGTCCTGGTATATTGCACGCTTTTCTCTGCCAAACCTGGTCTTCCGAATGCTGGCTTGCTTTTCATCGATTTCTTTTCGCACGTCTCTCACGATCGCAGCAGCCTCGGATGTTTGAGTCAAAACTTCCAGTGAGTGCTCAAGGACCGAAGGTAGCAGCCGTGCCGGGTGGCCGATGCGCACAACTGGGATCTTGTTCGGAGCTAGCCTTTCTACAATGTTGTCAACCGATATGTTTGACGGCCCACACACAAGTACTCGAAGGTTCCTCTTGACCATTTGGGTAATCAGCTCAATCAGAGTGTGCGTCTTCCCTGTACCAGGCGGTCCATGTATGAGGGCAATGTCTCTGGAGGCTAGGGCAAATCGAATTGCTTCTTTCTGAGAATCATTTAGTGTTGGGTCCACAAACTCAACCTCCCCTGAAGCTTCATAGTCCGGCTGTAGCGGAGTCGTATGTCCAAAGGCGACTCGGAGAAAATGCGTATAGTCAGTTTCGGTCATCTTTCCCATCTTCTCCATGGTTTGGTTCATCCTGTGCAGGAAGTGAATTAGCTAGGATCCCATAACAAGAAATCATATCCCAAAGACGTACCGTCGGTAGGTGACATCGTTCGCAAGTTTGATACTGCAACCCATAATTAGCGATGCTGTACAAGATTGTATCGTGCCTTCATATAGAAGGCCAGAGTCCCAGGTCTTCAAATCTGGGAAAGTAAGAGAAACATACAACCAAAGTTTCTTCCCCCACAATTCGTCAATTACCTCATCATCCTCTTCCTTCGACCGACCACCGCCTCCGCGCTGCCCAAAAGCAACCCATACACTGCTTTCTCCAACCCTCGTCACCACCCCTTCTGGGCCCTTTGGGCTACCCCCTTTCCCACCGGCCGCCTCCTTCCCTTTCTCCTTCCCCCCTCCTACCTTCTTCCCCGAACCCCCAACCTCATTCACACGAACAATATCCCCAACACGTATGCCATGCGCACCAAGCTTAGGCCTCCCGTTCGCACCTAGCCTATCATCCTCACCAGCATCTTTCCCCTTTCCACTTCCGGACGAAACAGCTGCGTCGGCCGCAAATTCTCCTACTAGCCGACCTCCAAGACCAGTCCGATACTGTGAGAGGATCACCCCGGTTAAGGCATATCCGGTTGCTTGGAGGGTGCGCCGTGTCGACGGTGATGCAGAAGCTGTGCTGGCGAGTTTCGATGAAGAGACTTCGGCTTCGTGCTCTTTTAGAAGGAGCTGTTGTTGTGTTTCGGCGAAGAGGGGTACGGATATTGGCGTTTGCGGGGCCATTAAGGGCTTGTCTTGGGCTCTGCGTGCGTAGGTGGGATGAGTTGTTGCACTGGAATATCTCTGCTTGGGCTATCAGATATAAGGATTGTAAACGAATGGTAAGCTGTAATGTCTAAGCTCAATTGAAGAGTGTTGAGGGCTGGAGCTTGAGCTTGTGCGGGGAGAAAGAAAATAATGCAGTGACTTCATAGGCCACCCCACCCGTACACAAAGCTGAGTCAGGGATTCCTCTTTGGGGTTATGCAAACAAGACCCCCAGTACAAGCTGGCCTCGAGTCTCTAGGTAAATTCTGTTGTATACGTTTACGAGATCTTGATGCAGTCAAGATCTTAAAGATGCATGTCAATAGGTGCTTGGATTATGTTATTTGTTCCGTCTCACCCCGACGGTGGCTCGTAGCTTTACAATATATATAGCGAAATCGTAGAGTTCACTGTCCGACCACAAAAACGGTAGTCCTTTTAACCGTCCACGGTCTTTCTAAATGTTTTATATGCTAACAATATATATCCACTCACAAATTGCTTGGAGCACTGAAAGAAGAATTAATAGCCACGCTAAACGCTGTTAACTAGTCGTAGTGATTACAAACTGCAAATCTCATTCGCTTCCAGCCACAGGATAAGTTAGACAGACCTGGGTAGAGTTAAACTCGAACCTAGTAAATAGGTTCTTGGAACGCCATTGCTGCAATAATTAAATTAGGATTCGTAGTACATGTGTGAAACTGAAGTGATATCACAATACAAGCAAAGATCGCGCATGGTAACAAAAGTGACTCAATAAAACAAGGATCCAGCGAATAGAAGAGACACTGTCATAAACACCGTCCCTGATTGCATTATGTATCGTGAAAGTGAATATGATTCCCAAGAGAGCGCATGTTGTGATACGGTTGATATCTTCCAAAGGGTGTTCTGCCCGTGATAAGACGCTCCAACTCTTTCTCAAACGAAGGATCATCTGCCAGAAACACGCGGAACTCGCGTAGACCCTGCAGCTCTGTAAATGCTTTGAGCACTCGACAATTGTACTTGTTCCGATGAATAGAAGAGCCCCTTGTTCCGTGGTCGATAACGGTTAAGGAAAGGCGCGGAAGGTCAAAATGTTCGCGGATAAAGCGGCGTAAAACAGACCAAGAGAGTATCATAGCTTCCTCGGCCTTTGGGGTTCTGACGTAATTTCTGAAGGTCATAGGGAACTTGAACGACAAACGGCGAATTTGCATAGAATACAATGTGGGTATGGAATTAAGAAAACGCATAATGAGGTCGGGTTCTTCCTCCACAAACATAAAATGGCATTTGGTAAAAAATACGCGGCAACAGTCCTGATAGAATTCGCGGCTCACAAGAAAATAGGGCAGGGGAGAGGAGAAGCAGGTGCAGCTGGTAGAGAATGCGGTTTGACGAGTATCGCAGAAGCACGCTGCGCAAAGAGGAGAACAAGTACAACAACAGGAAAGAGCTGAACCCGATGTGGGTTGATACTTCCGATCAAATAGTCCCACCATTGCTATATTGCGCTCTATAGCAGACAAGAATGGATCCGAGCGTCTGACCAAGACAAGCTCGAGAATCATGAGCTGTATTTCCTTGGGTAGCTTTGCAAACGGAAAGGGAGGCTTGTCGTCAGTAAGGTTACCCGTCAATCTCCATGCAGCTCGCTTTATCACAGGCCGGATGTCATCGTCTTGATTGTCGCTGAAATGGAACGCACAGTGAGTCAGAGTTGGGAAGGGATCCATTATGCACATCAGCCGACTCGCAACATCAAGTTCCTTAACCTTGCATTTCAGACTGAAATATCTGAGAGCGGGCATCCTCTCTTTGGCGTTCTGACAGAACTGTGTCCATATGTTTAGGGTGGTGCGGTGAATCCCACGGCTCAATTTGAGATAACGGTAATGTGCACCAAGAGTCAAATGTAGGTGTTTTAGATGGAGCAGCCCCCATTCTGTGGCTGTATTGAAGAGCCTGAAATCCTGTTTGCCGCAGAGATGGATGGAAAAGAGGTTTCGGGAGAAGAAAAGGCTCCCAAGCTCCTGACGAATTGCACGGGAGGCCAGAAATACCTTAACAGGCAGTGGAGGATGATCGCACGGCACATAATAAGGAGACATCCATTTCGCCGTCCATGGTATCCTTGTCATACGCAAAGATTTGCCGTTGCCACACTGTCCCATATTGGGTTTGGATCGATGTTTCTCAAGGAAAAGGTCGATAAGGCAGGGGCGTAATAGCCCAGCGTATTGCAGGATCCTGATTTTTACGTCTTCCGGCAAGTCGAGAAAAGTAACTTTCCCTCGGGTATTTGTCCCAGGAGGGTTTTCAATTTCCATGGGCATCTCACTTGCTTCGTCATCGGGATCGGGTGGAGTTTGTTCGGCATCCATTTCGAACAGCTGACGAAAAGCATCCTCATCATCACGATAATTGAACGTCATCATACTCTAGAAACAACCGACGTGTTCTACGTGTTAGCAACGGCCCTCAGAGGGCGCGTGGAAACGCGCGCAAGTTACATACCGATGGTGAAAGTAAAGCCAAAAACCGAGTGACCTCGTGGGTTCTGCACTCAATGATGGGAGAGAGATAGAGAAAGCTAGCAGTTACAAAGTAAATCTCTAGCGGCAGATCAAGAGAGGTATCCCTTGGATAGATGAGTGAATCAGCGGGAAAAAACTGGAGGGCAGAGGGGAAAGTTGGAAGACAATGAAGGATAAAGCGTGAAGTGAAGAAATACACAAGAAAATCGCCCTGGAGACATCAAAACAATCCCTAGGACCGTTCCAGAAACTTGCTCAACCAGAGGTGCCCCAACCCGCAGGCACCTACTCGCTCTCAACTTTGACCTTCGGTTCGTCAGCCAGTGAGAAGCTTTCTGCGCCGTCTTTTTCTTTCTTTGGTACAGCTCGACTGCCATTTTTGGGAGCCATGCCTTTGATTTCACTTTTGCACAGCTTCGTCCCAGCAAGATCGCAATCACCACATCTCCTACCAACTGGTAAGCAGACTGTTTGCCCAAGGCCTACTAGCAATTTATTAATTTCGTGCCATTTGTCTTTTGGTAGCCATGATTCCAGCGACATCCGAGTTTCTTCCGGTGTTTTCGTCTTGTGCCAGCCCCATAGATTGGTGATACGATGAACATGGACATCGACCCCGATACCCTCGTGTTTCCCCCACGCTGCGCTCATGCATAGATACGCCATCTTTGGCCCGACGCCAGGCAGTTTCATCAGCTCGGCCGGAGTGGGAGGAATCTCGGAATCATACTGATCACGTATGATCTCGGCCGTCTTCTTGATATATTTGGTTTTGTTGTTGTGAAACCCTACAGCACCAATAAGCGAATTGAGCCGCTCTGGGGAGACAGCTAGTATATTCTCCAAGTTCAACGTGCTATCTTGGAGCGATTGAGGTGCTGAGTCGCCGTCTTTCCCTGTTTCCTGCTTGATAACTGGGCCATCATTTTCACCCAGCTCGGTGTGCAGTCGCTGCATCGCGACTGCGGTGACCGTGTCCTTGGTTTGGGAGGACAGCATCAGTGCAATCAAGGTCTGAAAACGCCGATCTCGCGGAGAGGATGCACGCCAGTATAGCTCTGCACACCCCATTGTGTCCACAGGCGCCGTCGGGTTCTCCTCGCGCATCTTCTTGACGGTTGAGTATATTGATTCCCAATTCGATGGAGGCTCCACGGCGACAGAGCCATCCTCACTCTTGATTTTCCGAGCAGGAACCCGGCGCGATTTGGGGGGCGCCCGCTCACTTTTGACGCGCTTCTCAACATTATTAGGTGTCGAAGACGGCGCAGTTGTAGTTTCCTTGACGGCAGCGTTTGCTTTCGTTTTGCGTCGTTTGGTTGGCGGCTCCAAGATATCTTCAATATCGACAGTGTCAACCGATGAGAGAGAAGAGCTGTCATCTTCTTTCTTGACCGGACTTAATTCGTTCAATCCTCCATTATACGCGAATCCCCTGAGTAAGCCTGAGTTGGACGTGCTACGCGTTTGGCGACGCGCAGGAGGCGACAAGGCCTGCAGAACCTTCGCCGTTTCCTTGGAGGCGCGCGATGTACGCATAATTCCGATGAAGCCCTAGATATATCAAGGATAGCATTAAATAGGCAGATTCACATGAACTGAAGTAGAGTGATAATGAAAGATCGACGAAAATTTACAGGGGCGAATGAAGAATCCCGACTTACACATGGTTCGGCCCCGACCGCGGGAGCTCGTCTGGAGAGAAGACCCACCGCGCTTTAAGCCTCGGCCGTGCCGCTTCAGGCCGATGTGCTTCTCAACGCCTCTTTATTTCGACCGCATTTCCAGTCCGCGCCCAGCCACTCGACTCACCACAACTCCTCCCCTCTCTGGTCTTGCGCCCTGATAGACCTTCGACCTCTCCCGATAGACTACGATCTCCCAATTCCTATAAACCCGAGCCATGCCACCAGCGTCAACAACCCAGCGCCTACTGCGCGAACTGAAAGACTACACCAACTCCCCCAACGAAGCCCTCCTCCACCTCGGCCCAATAGACGAAGACGACCTATTCACCTGGGAAGCAGTCCTCAAAGGCGTAAAAGGGACACCCTACGAAGGTTCGTCCTGTCAACTTCCATTTCCCCCTCTGCTACTCTCCGCGCTCAAACCACAACGCACCCCCCTCCCCTCAAACCAAACCAGCCAACTAACAACCACACCTTTAAAACAGACGGCCTCTGGTCCCTCTCGATCCAAATCCCACAAAACTACCCCCTCGCCCCTCCCACAATCCGCTTCACGACGCGAATCTCACACCCAAACATCTCCTTCACGACCGGTGAAATCTGCCTAACGCTGCTGACGACCGAGCACTGGAGCCCCGTCTACACGCTCTCGACTACATTAACTGCGATCCACCAGCTCCTTACAGACCCGAGGCCTGACTCGCCGCTGAATGTGGATGTTGCGGCGTTGTTGCGCGATGGTGATGTTCCCGCTTGGGAGAGCATTGTGAGGTATTATACCCAGGAGGAGAGGTGGAAGGGGAGGGTTTGAGTTCGTGACTTGTTTGGTTGGTCGATGGATTGATGGGTTGGGAGTTAATAAGGATGATAAGCGCGAGTGAGAAAGGAGAGGGGGAAAGAGGTATATACAACTGTTTGGCCTGCCTGAGTGGTTGGGGTATATATTATATGCCGTGATGACTAGCTTATTTTTGCTCCTATTTTGAAAGATTTGTTTTGCTGATATCAATAGCATATACATACTTCTTTACTTATTACGTTTACATACCCGAACACGAGATGCTGTTTATTACTTTGTCTACTACGGATTTACACCAGATAAATGAAGGGACTATGATGAATAAACGGGGTCTTTACTATTCCATAGAGCCGACCTTAGTCTGCAAAATCTGAATATGTTCTCGCTAGGTGTAGGGATAGAGACAGGTACAATAAATGCAAGAAGGGCAAGATACCTGTCCAGAAGAAAGCTCACAAAACAATCAATAAAATACAAACGCTGAATGAATTAGTATCTCGAGGTCCACAGCAAGGACCGAGGTATGCACCGAGCATGTAAAAGATAAGATAGGCGCCACCGCCGAATCTATACAGAATGCAAAGGATTGTAAGAGGTCGGCGTAACGGCGTTAATTTTTGAGCGCAGAAAAATACATAACATATGTGATGGAGGCAACAACGCCGGTAATGCAAAAGGAATGGCTAATAGCTTGGAGGTAAGATATATGCATCGATTAAAAGAGCGGTTTTGGGTGGCGCGTAAGTCGTAAGGAATGTTGGATGATGTAGATAGAAGGAACTAGTAATTGGGTGGCGATTGTAGGTTGGTATGGCAATTCGACGCTTAGATCACGGCAACAGCGACAGCGGCACCGCCCATCATGGCAAACAGCTCTTTGGAGTATCCAGAGGCAGATGCGGCGTTTGTCTGTAGACCGGGCTCGGGTCCTGTTTCGGTGCTGTCATCGCTAGGGCCCTGGGTTGGGTGCACGACGGCGGTTGAGGTGACTGTCACGAGATCACCGTCGGCGTTTGTCGAGGTAAATGTGGTAGTGGTGCTGCTGGTGGTGGACTCGGTAGTACTAGTTGGTTCCTCTGAAGAGGTTGGCTCTGTCGTGCTGGATGTTTCGGTGGAGGTTGGCTCAGTGGTGGAGGAAGAAGAGGTCGGTCCAGATGAGGTGGTTGAGGTAGGTGGATCTGTGGAGGTAGGCCCAGAGGTGCTGGTTGGGGCTGAAGTGGGATCATCAGTGGTCGACGTTGGCTCGTCGGTTGAGCTGGTTGGAGGGGTATCTGTCGATGTCGGCTCTGGCTCTGTTGACGTTGGTTCGGGCTCTGACGAGGTAGGCTCGGGGTCTGTTTGGGAGCTGGTATCGGACTCGGTTGTTGAGCTAGGAGGATCGGTTGTCTCGGTCTCAGTGGAGGTCGGCCCGTCGGTCACTGTATCGCTTGCACCAGGAGAAACATCCTGCCTCTTGACGAAACTAAGACCGTTCGACAAGGCGAAGTCACGGTCCTTGAGGTCCGCACGGGTGGTGCGGAGCTTCTCGACGAGGCTCTGGACAGCATCTCTATCGATGTGTTCAATGAATTCGCGGACTTCAACTCGAGAAACAGTGCCGCGCTCGAGCCTTGCTCTCTCGGGAGCCGGGGCTGCGACAGTGGATGACGCAATGAGAGAGACACAGAGAAGTTGGAGAAGTCGATTCATGATGGCGATGATGTTCGGTGTGATCGGGATGCCGGAGAAGCAGAGGGATGGCGGAGATGACAGCCTTTGAACAGCGGATGGGAAGAGTCAATGGCGAGAATCGAGGGAGGCGAACAGCAGAATCTGCAAGACCCGGAAGAAGGCCGATAATCAAGGTCTCTGGGCTCAAAGCAAGAAACCGTTTGCCTGATGTTGGTTCTGCTTGAGAGACAACTCCACTTTTTACCGGTACAGTTCACAATAAAGGGAACGACAGGGACCAATAGCAATCCACCGCTTGAGCAGGTTTCGGCGATCTGATACAGGAGCAGGAGATAGGGAAAGCCAAAACGCAGATGTCAGAAAGCTCAGTGGGCAAGAAATTGCGAAGATTCAGCTATTTAAAATAGTCTGTCCAACGCATCGGCGCAGCGCAGCCAAAAAAAGCAGAAGCGAAGTGGACGCCGAGCGGTGGTTGGTGGCGCGACCCAGCAACGAACTTTTGGTGGAGTGGGCACTGGGCGGTGCAATCGCAGACCAAGCTTCGCTGGGAATTGTGTCAGACTTACCATCAATGTAGCGATCTGATTTGCAGTCGGGATTGCATCTTTTTGAACTACGCATTTGATGGAGGAGGTTCACCCAAATGCTCGTATAGTGAATCCTTCTGGAAACATACTAGACAACTTACTCGCAATTGCGGCTCTCAGTGGCGTTGGCCGAGAATTGAATACGAGAGATTCACTTCAAACACTCAGACTTCCTTACCCAGGCAATTCCTGCCATGCGATTTTGCTAGTGCCAACTTCCAAAAAGTTTGAATGTTGCCCCCGCTTGACAAAAATAGTTGACTTTGGTGTTCCAGGGATATGACGCAGTAACTTGATCAATTCCATGGATAGGTCACGCACTGGTTCCTCGCTTGCCAGGGACTACTGCGGAGACTGACTTCGTTCCACTATCCAAGTTCCGACATTGATAACAAAAATGAATATCGACGTCATACTCTTGAATAGTGAAGCAATGGGATACGTATAATAATCTCCCCCAGTTGCTCTTAAAGATTCGGATATCGGCAGTTAAGAACCCGAGTTTCCGCCGGCAACGCCTTACCGAATCTGGAACGACTAGAAATGGTCGGATTTCTTCTTGGTCGTACAGCCAAAGACTATTGGCTGCAACCCTCCGTGCTCGCAAGGATGAACCCCTGCTTGGACTAGTGTCAATAGCTGCTACGCTAATTTTGAACAGCTTCAATCTCAAACCAGTGGTGGATCAAAGGGGATCTCCAGATGAATAATTTCTTCCTGGGATGGAAAAGGGTTAATATTGAAGCCTATTCTCTTCGTTCGCATGGCGCTGCCAGCCACATGCGTTTTGGCCGTTGCCATGTGATATCCAACTAAATCCCCATAAGAGGCTGCATAATACTCTTATTTAGAGCCCATGCATTTGGCGGCCCGAAATGCCCCCCGATCTTCCATATCTGGGGGGAAAACTAGGGTTTATCGTGTATATGATACTCCGTCATGACACAATGTGCTGCACTGCCAGTTCCACTGGTAAGGTCAAGGGCTCTATGTTTAGCTGGGTGGTGAGACAAGTTGACGCACTAGCTTCTAAATTTGTATTTGTATACCCCACTCTACTAGCACTCGACTAGCAGCATCAGTCGTCCCTACTCCATATCCACTACTGTCTTGCTTCTTTCGATGAGAGTCGATGACCTGAATGTCAACTTTCCCAGGACAAAAGGCAATGCACAACCTGGTGAATTGAACATTATTGGAAGACGTGCTGGTAGGTAGTACAACAGAAGACTGTGTCTATTTGAATAAAGATAGCCCTGGTAGTAACACAAGACAAAAGTGTTCGAGGCAATGCCAGTATACCGATGTGAAACATTAACCAGTAATTCATAACTTTTCAACTTGTACCTCAAAGGTACTTGTACACTCCAACCCACTCACCCCAACCTGCAACCTTTCCAAGGATCTCTTTTTGGATCTCTTCGGGCTTTGCCAAGATGCTCATGTTATCCGTCTCAATAGAATCGTTCAACGCAATGAGCTCAAAGAAATAGCGATGGGGACCGGCACCGAAGTATGGTGTAGGCGGCAGATAAACCGAATCATGTCTGTTCTTTCCATACTTGAAGCCCCCTTGAAGCATATATGGTTCCCAGCTATCGTTTTTAATTTGGAAGTCGGGGTACTGGAGCCCTGTCTTCTCGCGCGAAATTCGATAGTATATCCCGTGAATAATAGATTCGGGAATCGGTGCATCTGGGTCCTCGCTGACAAGAAGGTATTCCACAGTATCGTCTGTGGGAGAAGGCCACGCTAGGGATGGTATAAGACCGGCGCCCTCTGAAGTGTGGTCCTTATCAATGTAGGTACCCGATGGGCCGAGCTCAGGGCACTCGACCGCAATCGTCGGAAACGGATGATTCCTAAATGCAGGGGAGCTCGTGAAGAGCTTGTTGTGCCGCAAAGCTCCGACGCCTGCGACGAGCAACAGGAAACCGGCAGGATAACGCATCTAAATTGGCTAGACGAACGCCTTTCACTGCTCAAACCTGAGCCCGGTTTTACTTACTGTGGCAGATGACTATATTATGGGAGTAAATGAATATAGACGTGGAGCTGCGTAAACGATCGAGCTTTGGGAGGGATGAAAAGTCACAACCTAAGTCATTGATGCTCCCGGTCAGGCACACAGTTTACCTATTTGAAGGTCTGTCTAACTGGGAAGGAGCGACCAGCACCCATTTGACAAAGATGTATCTTTGGCAGGCGCAGACTGGAACCTAAGTGGCCTCCAAACCCCATCAAATCTTTTGTTCCAGTTTAACATGGGTCAGAGCATTTGAGATCAACTTTTCTGTCCTGCACCGCCAGAAATGGCAAAATAATCGACTGCCATGATTTTTTATTGCGATTCTCGAACCCGTCTCTGTTCACCATATATCAAGTCCTTCTGAGAAACCAGGGATACCGAACAACTCCTCCAGAACAGCTGGCTCTATATCTAAGCTCTCTGGAATTCCTGGAAATTCAGGAGCGACAGTACAATTGTTGCTCTCTGCCATGCTAATCCTGTCAATTAGTTCACCGCAATTGGCCAAGCAGTTATCGGCAAGGTCCCAATCATAATTTTGTCGGTGGGCTTGGAGAACGTTGACCATATCCCGGGCGGTTTTGAGGGGCGTGTTGCGACTTTCATTCCTCATACGCAGGCCGCTTCGAAGCAGAAACATTGTCGCCGACGTCAATGAAAATGCGTGAACTGGGATCCAAAACCCGTGGAACTGAGATTCATCTAGCTCCTGCACAAGATACGCGATATCCTCTGCTGCCCTCTGAGCCTGCATGTAAAATGGAGATACCATATCATCTTCGACCTGTAACGACCTCTTGTTCATGTTTAGTTGAATGCGGCGAAGCAGCAGCTTGACGGCCAGATATGCCAATCGAAAGTTTGCAGCACCAGGTATGTCTAAATGGACACCACGGAGCACAAGATGCCGGGCATCATGGCATAGGGATTCCTCCCATTCTCGAAGAATATGCTCCAGATCCGTCTCAGACGTTTCCGTGGACTGTGGAAAGTCTCTTGAAACGCTGTATACGTGCTCCAAGTAGCGCCCTAGCACATCAGTCAAGCTTGATAGAGCAACAAAGACGGATGCAGCTGCCCTGTCAGGCGATGTGGCAGGATTTGGACAGATATCTTCCACAGTAGGTAAGGGAACGTCGTACTGTGCGCGATGCACCTGTAAAGGTGTCCCATACGCCAGGCTACACCTGATTAGTGTTAGCAAGAGCTGTAGACGATTCAAAAAACACCTTACCAGCGATCATGTATAAGCACAAGCCACCATATTCTTATCCGGAGGCTTTTCTCCAGACATGATATGTTCCACCCAGAGGGATCTCGATTCAGACCCAATGCATTCGACAGCGCAACTGCCATACCGACCATACCACCATTGCCAAACATGGAGGTACTGGGTCTGCCACAAACGTTTAGGAGTATAGCCATTATTGATGAGATCCCAGGGGATAGAAATAGCTCCGAATGGAGGGCCTCATTGGCTTGATTCCATATATAGCGTATATCAGGAATACGACCGGAAGATAGTTTGGCAGAGCTCTTCCAATATACAAGAGAGTTTGCGTACAAATTACAAAGAAGAGTAGGCGAGACTTTCCCTTTGTGAGAGGAATATGAGCTCCGAAAGGAAGCCTCATCAAAAAGAGGAAAACACGGATTGGCTTTGCGAAAGAAACTAAAAGGGCATTAGCGAATGTTATCATATGACATGAGTAGACACAGATATACACACAGGTTTAAGTACTCGTCGATATCGGGTTCCATGTACTTTTCAATGAGCTCGCATTTCGAGGCAGCAAAAGACTGATTTGCGACAATACCCAATGGCCGTCTGGGCACAACATTGAACCGCACGGGTCCCAAATGCCGATCTGACTTTGAGTTTGTACGAACCACATATCTTGTTTGAGCAGAGGGCGTAGCGGAAAGATAGCTCTCCAGGATGTCGTTATCATCCGCGACCGCCGGGCTAACTATGTGGGAGCTATCACCGTCTGCTTCGGCAGCAATTCCCATGAGGTGAGGAAAGCCTTCCGTGCTACCATCTGATACATAGGGACTTTTAGCTGTACCTGAAGGCGGTTCTGCAGGGCTCGTTGCAGGTATCTGGGGGCCTATAGGCCGCTGCGCAACTCGTGCACCTTGCAACTGGATCTGAGGGTTACTGCGCGGCCTATTCAAGGCATCATTTTTGCCTCGCGTGAATCTGGAAGATCGTGAATTTGATGTTTGCTTCCGCGGCCAACTTGATCTCTGCGGTCGAGGGTCATCGGGACGCGGGAAAATGCACTCTGTACCGTAGGCCTGGCACATCACGCAGACCTCCGCGGGGCTTTTTGTCTTGCAGCGCGACTTGCGTTTTCTGCATGAGAAACAAGCTGGATGAAGGTGAGACCGGTACGGCCGTCCTTCATCCTGGTAATTGGCCTGGTCTTCCATACTGATAACTGTGATGCAGACGGAAAAGAGTGGGAGTTGGAGGAGAGCAGAGATATGGATACTGTGCGGGGAATTCCGCGGCCAACTGCCCAGCGGAGTTTCTTATCAAGCGACCTAACAGGAAGCTCCATCTTCGAAACAAGATGCAAAATATATACCGAGACTACCTAAATACTTTGATTTATGGGTTATAGTGTAATATAGTTGGCTGTACTGTGGAATCATCCAGCTCTGCAGAGTTGATAAGTTGGCCGCGGCGAAGTGGTGGGTCCATGCCTTGAGATAGGGTGTTTCCAGCAGACGACGTGAGTCTATCCAGATCCTGATTGAACAGCCATCAGCAGCAATGGGCGCCGAGGCTGGAACTAGGTACACGTCAATCGCCGCGGCCATCCGCCCGCGGACAGTAACACTTTACACGCCCACCCTCCCTCATTTAAGATGACTTCTGCTCTTGTTCTGTCTTGCTCTCAAGTGCCGACCTTGACTTACCTCTTGCCCCTCCCTCGCCTCCAGCTATCAAAATGGGTTCCATCGATAACGCCACCACGTTCTTCGCGAAAGCCGACAAATATCTTATGAGCACTGGAGTGCCGTACTCGCCCATTGTGATCACCAAGGCAAAGGGCACTCGACTCTACAATCAAGATGGCCGGTCAATCCTCGACTTCACATCGGGCCAGATGAGCTCGCTCCTTGGTCACTCCCACCCGGAGATTGTTCAAGTGGTCCAGAAATATGTGGCCGAGCTCGATCACCTATTGAGCAACATGATCACCCACCCAGTTGTTGACCTCGCCGAACGTCTGGCCCGTTTTCTCCCACCTCCACTAGAGAAATCCTTCTTCCTCAACACTGGATCGGAGTCCACCGAGGCGGCCATCAAAATGGCCAAATGCCATACCGGAAAATTCGAAGTCATCGCCTTTGCGGCCAGTTATCACGGTCTAACACAGGGCGCTGGCTCTGCTACATACTCAGCAGGCCGTCGGAGAGGAGGGCCCGTTATGCCCGGACAACTCGCTTTCCCAGCACCCTATGCCTACCGCTCTCCATTCCGGAAGCCTGACGGATCTTACGACTGGGAAACAGAGATGGACTTTGCCTGGTCTATGATCGATCGCCAAAGCGTCGGCTCCATCGCCGCATTCATCATGGAGCCGATTCTATCCACTGGCGGTATCCTAGACCCTCCCAAGGGTTACTTCAAGCGCATGGCCGAGGAATGCAGGAAGCGCGATATCCTGATCATCATGGATGAAGCCCAGACTGGCGTTGGCCGGACCGGTCAAATGTTCGCCTTTGAATACGACGAAATCGTACCTGATATCCTCGCTCTCTCGAAAACACTAGGTTGCGGTCTGCCTCTTGCGTCTGTTAGCACTACAGCGGAAATCGAAAGAGGCTGCAAGGAAGCTGGCTTCCTGTGGCTTACAACCCATCTCAATGACCCCTTGACTGCAGCAGTCGGAAACAAGGTCCTTGAGGTTGTTGAACGTGATAACATTTGTGAGAGGGCTACCGAACGCGGCGCCCAACTCCGCGAGGGCCTCGTCAAGCTGCAGCAAAAGTACTGGTGCATTGGTGATGTCCGTGGCCGTGGCCTTCTCCAGGGAATTGAAATCATCTCGGATCCTGAGACCCGGGCTCCAGGCTCTGAGTTGGGCCAGGCAGTCTCTGACCAGGCGATGGCCCGTGGACTTTCTTGCAACGTTGTCAACCTCCCTGGCATGGGCGGCGTTTTCCGTCTTGCGCCTCCGGTTACTGTCACTGCTGATGAGATTTCGGAGGGTCTGCAGATTTTGGACGAGTGCTTTGGGTATGTTCTGAAGACTAGATCTGCCTCAAAATAGTTTGAACTTTGTTTACGGACCTGTGGCAGGTACAATTTGGACAAAGTTGCGGTTACCGCACTGAAGAATAATTATAAAAAAAGGATAATTTACTGAGCATACCCTAAATCTGGGCTGTTATAACCTACCTGTTCAACATATTTCTACTATGTCCCGGCGTGTAACCCCGCGAAGATAATTGCCACACTGAACAAGTTGTCCCCGTAGAGATATCATGAAGAACGCACCACTTGCATAAGATCTCTCAGCAAATGACCTTATTAGCTGTCTGACTTGTCAAGACCTTGTCCGAGAGACTGAAAGATACTTGATTGGAAGCTATTCCTGTTCCTGGGGTACATAAGACAGTGCATCATCCAATATCTGTAAGACATACTAACGCCCAAGGACGTCTATTCCGTGCTCTGAATCGAGTCCCTCAAGACTAATGCACAGGTATTGCCAGTCGACTTTGGTAATCTCATGTCCCTCACTAGCCAAAGCTCTAACCTCCTGGGAAAAGTTGTCTTTAGGGGTTCTAGACCGCCAGAACCTGTCTCCCAGACATTGCCCAATTATCTTTTGGACGAGAACAACATCCTCTGAGGGAAGTTACTTGGATATTGAGATTATTATCTCAATCGGAAGACGATTGGCCAAGGAAATTTTCTGCTTCTGGGCCTTACGCTTGGTTTGAACTCTCTTTGCCCTTTGACGCGCTTCGTAGATCAAATCGTTTATTCCAAAGTGCACCCAGTACCAGCTTCGTATGGAAAGGCGAATGCATGGCATCGCCCAGGCCAGGCCAGTAATCCAGCGATGCTTGCAGCCCATTGAACCGCACCCGCGCCAAATCCCTCAACAATATCACTGCTGAATCGCGCAAGGAAGAGCTCTCTGATCATCGTCAGGGGCAGAGACTCCTACCTCTAGCCGGCACTGCTAGTCGGCGACCACAAGCAACTTCGGCTGCTTGTGTTCAGAGATGTAACGAAGAATGCTGGTGTCCATAAGACTAGTGCATTATGGGCAATCATTCTAAACTTCGTTTTCCCCGCTACGGAGGGGTATGTCCACGAACCTGAATCCCGGAATGCTGGAGGGTTCAGTGACATGACAAGTGTTCGCTGGACCGTCAACCCCAATACCAACAAACCCCGAAAGAGATCGTTCCTCGTTACTCAAACAAAAGGCCCAGGCACAGAGAATCGCCCAGCCACCTGGGAAATGGCCGAAAAGCAGTTGCATCGGTACGTTTCGCATTTAAGCGGCAACCCTAAATACGGGATTGTCGCAGTCGGCAAGGTTGTCAAGTTCTATAGGTGGAGCGCAACTGCGCGAGCCTTGGTGTTTCTTCCGAATAACACTGATGGGTATTTCCATGTGGTCAAGGATGAAGACAAGATCCGGCGGCTTTTGTACAGGATTAAGCATGGACTCGCCTAATTCTACAGGGTGTCACCTGGTGTTGGTGTGGAAGAGAGCGGCGAAGAAATCCATGGCATTGTGTCAGCCGCGGTCTGAATGTACCTTAGGGCTATTATCCAGCCGACTGCCAGTACGGTTTCTTCAATCAAAACCTTTAAGCGCCCGCAAATTATATTCCAGTGAGCATCAATATATTATGCCATCGGGCGGCGGATGCCACCGATACTACCACTGCTCACCGTGGGCGGACCATGTCTTAAGCTTGGTAGCTGTGCATATAGACGGGCTCGTCTGCAGCTAGCCAGCTGATCAGGTAGACGGTATCTACTAGTCCATGGAATATGCCAAGCATGGCCTGGAACTACAGTGCCCAAGGATTCCGACTATCCGTGTTGAATATCGGTCAGAATGATTATCTTCGAGGGCCTCAAGGCTGCAGAGTAGAGTTGGAGGCGTGCATGATATCCATCGCACAGACACTCGATGACGACGAGGACCACCATCTTCTTGAAGTTTACGAGGTCGATCCAACGAACCTGTTTATACTTAGTGGCTTGCAGTAGCGGTCTGGTATATTCCTTGCATTGGACTGCTGCATATTGCCATGTGCTGGCAAGTCATCTTGAACTACGTGGGCAGGGCTCCAAAAGGAAATACTGCGGGGTGCACTTCCTGACGTTAATCGCACTCCGTAACAAAGGTTGCTAGCAAGATCATGCTTCGCAGTTAAGCTTTGTGGACGGGTCTTTCGAGTTGACATAAATAGCACGTTGTAATTGCGGAGGGTCAAAGGATCTTTTGATGGGTGCCCTTCTTCCTTTTGATTCGGGAATGCGAGTCTAGACCAAGCATTTCAACGTGAAACAAGGCCCATCAACTAATTATCCTGGAGGCCCGGGCGGGATCTGGATTCTGGAACTGGTCAGCCACGGAACGCTCGGCTGCAACGGGCGCGACTCATGAGTTCCTCGCTCGCCGGACAAGGAGCCAAGACAATGCATTTGACGTCAGCTGCCTATTTTTGGTGAGACACGACGGAAGCAGGAAAAGGAAGAGGCGCTTATAGGGTGCATGTATGCGCTGGCACTGGCAGAGAGCAAGTTTCAAGCTGAATTTGCCACAAGCTGTCGTTTGGATCTGAATCGTGCATGGAATAAATGGGAAATGGATAAATAATAATAACCAGGGACGAGACAGAGATATTAATATCGCGGTGGAGCTCCTGTTTTGTGGGACACGTGACGGGCCAGGCCAGGCACAACTTTCAGTGAGTGCAGTCCAACTCCCTCAGGGGGTTACAAGGATGGTGAAGGAGTCTTCAAGGAGATCCTCCAAAGTCAAAAAAGCCATCTCAAGGAGAAGAGTGTGACGCAGATTGCGGTCATCAAGTATCCTGTGAAGGGTCAGCAGCTTGTGACAGGGATTTCGCATTCAGGGACTGAGAATGGACCCCAGTTTACGCGGCCCACATTGCCCCACCACAACAACACATCTGGGAGGAATCTTCATTCCCTTTGCCGATTACCACTCTCTCATTTGTCCACCCATGCTTTCCTGGAGCACTGCCATCGGCTGTTGAACACAATTGGAGTTGAAGGCGAGAAGGAAGCCACCCATCAGGCCATTCAGAAGTGGCCTCCCCTGGCGATCTGCCTATCGCTGCCCACACTAGAAGGTGATCTGCTGGAGCGCATCTTGAAACTGTAACGAGATGACGAATGCTCCAGCTGCGGTGCGGATTGGCTGCGACTCGGGTTGTCATTGTATGTAAAGCTGTAACATGCGTTCCAATGACTTCATGGCACAACCCGCCAGTTTTTGCGTGGGAAAAATAGATAGAGAGAGTATTCAACATGATGGGGATACAGTGAAGTTGGTTGATGAAGGGAGCATGCAGGAGGGGTAGTGACTACAGTGAATGAGAGCAGAAGGGGCGCAATCCAGAGGTGTGTTTGGGGATGGTGGAGGAGCGTAAAATAGGAGCGTCTGGGCGTCTTGACGGATGCTGGGCGTTGGCTCGGCTGGCCCGCCAGGCCGCCACCCCTATGCAAGCACCAGGCGCCTCCATTCCCTCCTTCTTTCGTCCGCTCCCTGCCTCTTACTTTCTTTCTTCTCTCCTCCCATCCCTTCCATCGTTTGTGAATCCCTTCTTTCTTATTTTCGACGTACTTCAAGTCGTCATCCCGTCATTCGTTCAGACTTGCCTAATTCTACTTCTCACACTCGCTTTATCGCGCCCCGCGACTTACCTCCGCATTTCATCGCCAAATCGCTCTTATTTATCGACTGACTACCGAATACCAAATATCTCACAATGAAGGGCTCCGTCTTTGCTACCGCCCTCACTCTGAGCGTTTCCAGCGTTCTGGCTTCGCCCCAGCAGCTGTCCGCCCGTGACGACGTCACTCCCATCACCGTCAAGGGTAACGCTTTCTTCAAGGGAGACGAGCGCTTCTATATCCGTGGTGTCGACTACCAGCCTGGCGGTTCCTCCGACCTGGCTGACCCCATCGCCGATGCTGATGGCTGCAAGCGCGACATCAAGAAGTTCAAGGACCTCGGCCTGAACACCATCCGTGTTTACTCGGTCGACAACTCCAAGGACCACGACGAGTGTATGAACGCCCTGGCTGATGCTGGCATCTACCTTGTGCTCGACGTCAACACTCCCAAGTACTCGCTCAACCGTAAAGCTCCCGACGTGTCCTACAACGACAAGTACCTTCAATACATCTTTGCTACTGTCGACAAGTTCGTCAAGTACAAGAACACCTTGGCTTTCTTCTCCGGAAACGAGGTCATCAACGATGGTCCTTCCTCCATCACTGCCCCTTACGTCAAGGCTGTGACCCGTGATCTCCGCAACTACATGAGCGCTCGCAACCACCGTCAGGTCCCTGTTGGATACTCCGCTGTAAGTTTTATCAAACCGCCCTTGTAAATAAGAAGAACGGCGTTGGCAAATACTAATGAACTATCCTATCAGGCCGACGTCGACACCAACCGTCGTGAGATGGCTGAGTACATGAACTGTGGTACCAAGGAGGAGCGCAGTGACTTCTTCGCTTTCAACGACTACTCCTGGTGCAGCCCCTCTTCCTTCGAGAAGTCCGGTTGGGATGCCAAGGTCAAGAACTTCACCGGTTACGGCCTCCCCCTCTTCCTCTCCGAGTACGGATGCAACACCAACACGCGTGACTTTGGTGAGGTTGAGGCCCTCTACTCCAAGAAGATGACTGGCGTCTACTCTGGTGGTCTTGTCTACGAGTACTCCCAGGAGCCCAGCAACTACGGACTTGTTAAGGTCAAGGGCGATGATGTCAGCGACCTCAAGGACTTCGATGCCCTCAAGACTGCTTTCGAGAAGACCAGCAACCCCGAGGGTGACGGTGGCTACAACAAGACTGGTGGTGCCAACCCCTGCCCCGCTAGAAACGCCCCCAACTGGGACGTTGACTCCGAGGACGTTCTTCCTGCTATGCCCGAACCTGCCAAGAAGTACTTCGAGAACGGCGCTGGTAAAGGCGATGGCTTCTCGGGCTCTGGTAGCCAGACCTCTGGTACCCCCTCTTCCAGCAACACCACCGATGGCGAGGGCAACACTGTTGATGGCAGTGTCAACACTGAGAACTCGGGCAGCGACGACGAGGAGGGTGCTGCTGCTGGCCTTGCGATCTCTCCCGTTTTCGTCGGGATGGTGACTGTTTTCTCTACCCTTGCCGGCGCCGGTATGGCTCTGTTCTAGGCGATGGAAGTTGGATTGTCTTGAATGTTCTTTGTCACATTTATTTCTTTCGGAGTTCTCTGACTTGCCGGATGGGATTTGTATTGATATGCCCCTGGCGTTTCCCACGCGACGCACAAGGAGCCTCCCCGCTGTACAGTTGGATGGCACATTTGTTAGTCACTTTTAGTGCTTTGAGTATAGACTCGTAATCAATGCCTGATGTTGTTACTGATGTGCAATAATGTCTCGAGTAGCCTAGTTTAATTGTAACTTGCAGAAACAAACCAATGGCGAGACTTGCGCTGTTTAGTTTTCTGCATCTTTGCCCTAAGTTAGGGCCCCTACTTGACAGAAATAAAGACAGGAACCTAGCTTGATTCTTGAAGTGATATCCGCTATTCTATTGAGTCTGTGGCCCCTCAGCCGTAAGAAACTTGAAATCAGCCCCCTCATGCGCCTGGTTCACCTCTCGCACATACAACCCCCAGTATCCTCTCCTCGTCGCCGCCAGACTCAAATTCGACTCTTTCCTTTCCACCATCCCCCTTTTCCTCTCCTCAACCCTCCGCCGCAACTCCTCCTCCTCAACATCAACCCTCAAAACCCTCTCCTCAGCATCAAACACAATCACATCCCCCGTCCTCACAACCCCAAACACCGACTCCCCAACCGCCGCCTCAGGCGACACATGCAATACAATCGTCCCCCCCGCCGTCCCCGACATCCTCCCGTCCGAAATCCTCAGCATATCCGTGACACCCCGCGCGGCGAGCTTCCGCGGGATCGGAATCATCCCTGCCTCGGGCATTCCTGGGTTTCCTTGCCCCGAACCAATGGGTCCGATACCCTTGAGGATCAGGATGGTGGAGGGTGTTACATCGAGGTCTGGGCAGTCGAGACGCGCGGCGAGATCGGCGGGGTTTTCGAAGACGAGGGCTGGGCCGGTGTGTTTTAGTAACTTGCGGTTCTTTGATGCGGAGGCTTTTAGGACGGCGCCGTGGGGGGCTATGTTGCCGGATACGACGACGAGGGAGGAGTGAGGGTGTAAGGGGTTGGTGAGGGGCCGGATGACCTTTGTTGAGTAGTCGAAGGTGAAGTTTGAGGGTGGATGGTGCTGGTCGAGGAGCTGGCCGAGGGTTTTGCCGGTGATGGTGCTTGCGTCGAGGTGGAGGAGTGGTTTGAGGCGGTGCAGGAGGGCGGGCATGCCGCCGGCGTTGTGGAAGTCGGTCATGTAGTTGTCGCCGCTTGGCTTGAGGTCGACGAGGAGAGGTGTTTGGCGGCCGATGGCGTCGAGGGTTTGGAGGGTTATCGTTGTTGTGTCCGTTTTGATGCCTGGGTGGCGGTTTATAATGGCCATGAGGTGAACCATTGCGTTTGTTGAGCCGCCGATGGCCTGTAGGACTACGGCGGCGTTGTAGAAGGACTCGGCGGAGATGATTGTCTGTGGTGTGCGCTGGTTTAGGGCTGCAGAGACTGCGTTGGCGCCTGTTTGTTCGGCGATGCGCAGTCTTGCGGCGGAGACTGCTGGTGCTGAGGCGCCTTGGAGCGGGATGAGCCCTAGGGCTGCGGTGATGCAGGCCATTGTACTGGCGGTTCCCATGACGCCGCAGGTTCCAATCTATCCAGAAAGTAAGCTCGAGGAAGGCAGGTGCCAGAAGTGCAGGAGACGAACCGTAGGCGCAAGCTCCTCGTTGATGGCAGCTATTTCTTCCATGTCTATAGTTCCTGCGCGGTACGAGGCCCAGTTGTTTCTGCAGTCGGTGCAGGCCCCAATCCTCTTTCCCCTGTGGCTCCCTGGCATCATCGGCCCTGTCAGAAGAGGCAAGACAGGTTTATTTGCCGAGATGCCTCCCATGATTTGTGCTGGGACGGTTTTATCACAACCTATACATAATCAGCGCTATGTTTCGAACCAGTTCAGGTAGATCCCACCTCCAATCATTATACAAGCATCCACAGGCTGTGCGCGGATCATCTCCTCGGTATCCATACTCATAAGATTGCGCAGGAACATGCTTGTGGGATGCGAAAACCCTTCATGCAAGCTGATAGTCGGGAAGTCAATCGCGATGCCCCCGTTCAGATGAACGCCGCGTTTAGCAGCTTCGATTAACTGGGGTGTGTTTCCATGACAAGGATTAAACCCGGACCCCGTATTAATGATTCCAATAATCGGACGGGATAGAGCATCCTCAGAGTATCCTAAGGCTTTGATGAATACCTTGCGGAGGAAGAGCGAGAAGTGCGCGTCTCCGTAGGAGGTAAGTCCTTGCCGGAGCCCGGTGGTTGAGGTTATGGGCTCCTGGAGGTTGTAGTCTTTATTTTCTGGCTGTGATGTATCCATGGTGACTTTTGGAGTTGGGTATGTATTGTCTTGCTTTGAATTCTGGGCTATTTATGTAGTGTTCGGCTATGGAACGGTGCGGGTGCGCTCCGCTCCATTGACGGAGGCATCCGATACCGCGATTCTAATCATATACCAAGTATTAACATACTTGGACTAACTCTTTTACTACATATCGGCCAAGAGGCAAATCTGCGTTGCCGAGTCTAGGGGATGGAGCTGAACGGCTGTCTAACATTACGGATATCACTTTTAGAAGAGACTGATATTACAATCATAGCTGAATCGCACTGCAGACATTGGATTAAACCCTCCCAGTCGACGATGTAAACCCCCCGTCAACAACCAATTCCTGCCCTGTAATATAGCCCGCCTCATCCGATGCCAGAAACACCACCGCATTAGCAACATCCCAAGCACTCCCCATCCTCCCCATCGGCACCTGCGCATCTCTCGCCCGCATATACTCCCCCTCATCACCCCCAGGCGCGTACCTCCCCGCCATGGCCCTGGTATACGGGGTATAAATCAACCCCGGCACAACCGTATTCAGTCTAACACCCTTCTCCGCATAAATCACCGCCGTCGCCTTTGTAAATTGCATCACGGCCGCTTTGGCAGCTGAGTACGCCACCTGCGGCTTGCCGATATACCGCAGCCCTGCGACACTCGCAACATTCACCACACACCCTCCTCCTCCTCCACCATTCTTCTGCGCTTGAGATTCCATAACAGGCAACACAAAATGACAAGCAAGATACACACTCCGCACATTCACATCCATCTGTGCATCCCAAACCCCCTCCTCCATAGCAGCCGGACACCCCGGCTCCGACCTGCCCACGTTATTCACGAGGATGTCAATGCGCCCGTGTCTATGCATGCAGGCATCCACGAGCGCCTTGACGGACGCCGAATCCGTCGCGTCTGTAGCGAATATATCGCATGTTCCGCCTTCCGATTCGATCCGCGATTTTGTACGTGAGGCGGAGGACAATGAGCGGTTTCCGCCGAAGATTAGGGCGCCTCGTGAGGAGAGTTTGAGCGCGATTGAGGCGCCGATGCCCCATGTTTCTTCTTCTTTTTCTTCTTGGTTTGTTGATGAGGTTGAGGTTGAGGTTGAATTGGGAGGGGCGGTTTGGCCCAGGCCGATGATTAGGGCGACTTTGCCTGTTAGGTCGAGCATTTTGGGTCACGGGAGTATCGGTTTTATCTTATTTGTTTTTTGCCCTTTTGTAGAATAGGGCTTTTTTTTTGTGCTTGTCAGAGGTACACTTGTTGGTGTTCGTGGTGTTAATGGTGTGCTTTTCGGGGTAAATTTATATCAATTGCCTCGGGGAACGGGCTGTTTCCGCGCGGAAGCTCCGACGGAAGAGCCGGTCAGTTCAATGTAACTTATACTAAAAGTAAATACTACGGGAATGAAACCAATTCGTACAAATCGTTCTTGACTCGGCACCTCTAGGTAACTAGTAATTTTCATAGATTTACGCCACCGCACCCAGGAATCCAGGTTCAATCAACTAGGTGCCGCCTCCATTTTAACAAAGAAAACTCATCACATCATCATAATCATGGCTATCATAACAGAAAGTGGCACTGCCCTTCCACGCATAAGAAACGGGAACGGCATCTCCACAATCGTTATCGAAGCTCATTGTCATCGGCAAACCACCTCCAATCCTCCTGCATCAGCTCATCCGGCAACCCGCCCAGATCGAAGTCTTCCAGGGAAGGAAACGCAGCGGCCCCACCATCGAGCAATGACGGATCCCCGTATGTATGGTCGAATGGACTGACCATTGACATTGACGCGGGGATGTCGGAGATGGAGCACAGAGATGGGGAGAATGAACCCAGCGGCATGCTTAGAGGAGAAAGACCGCCGTAATGGGCTGGTGCGGCCTGGTGCTGCGGGGAATATTGCTGCTGCTGCGAATACCGCATAGAGACCGATCCCGATCTGGGAGACGACGGGTTCTGGGAGTGAGAATGAGAGTGGGAGTTGGTGCGGTGGTGCGGCGCTCCCTGTGGTGCGCCTCGACCCCCGGCAGCTACTGCAGCTTTAGATCGCGGGGTAGAAGCAGTAGAACCGGGGGGTTGAGAACCACGGCCGGAACCATATCCCGAACGCGAGGAGGATTGAGTCGCGGACGGCGGAGAGGATGAGGTTGGACGCGGCGCGAGGGGAAGAAGCGCAGGAGGATTTGAACGAGCGTGTCTACCAGATGCTCTCTGTTTGGCCGACGAGAGGAAGAAGAGCAATTAGTATAGACATCTCCAATTTGATATTTGTGTGATTTTTTGGCTTATTTTGATGATTTTCTTTTTTTTTTTTTTTTTGGGTGGAGCATGTGAATGTATAGTGGTGATGCTCTAACATTTTGCGCTTGAGCTCTCAGCTCCGCCTCGCGTTTCAGCTTGTTGTGCTCTTCTGGCAAGTTGCAGGGGGTGCAGTTGCATATCGAGCAGGTCGAAAAAGGGCGACCCTTACGATTGATGCGAATTAACGGTCGATCTGACGGAATCAGCGGTGAGACTGGGAGAGGATGACGCAGTAACACAAGGGGAAGGGAGAGGGGGGATACCATTGTGTTTACAGGTGGAAACACGATGGCCGCGAACGCAAGCTTCACAAGCCCACTTTTCACCGTCTATGAGCATCCCTTGGAGGCACGGAGGTGGAAGAGAAGGAAGGAATCCATGGCGAGGGGGAGGAGGATGCGATGCGATTTATACGTGCGGACGGTGGATCGCCGACGGGGGACACGACGAAAGCACGGCGAGGGAATGGAGCTTGCGAAAGAAAGGGAAAGGAGCGAGAAGCGAACAAAAGGACAAGCGATAGAAACAACCGAAGCTGGTTGGAAAATGGAACCGTGGACGATGACAGAGGCAGCTCCTCTTTCGCTGCATTTGGAGAGCCGCGGTCGACGGCATCGCACAGCCACCACATCAGAAGCTGGAAACCAAGAGAAGAACCTCATTCTAGTTGGATCTGAAACCGGTGAAACTCGCTAGCTCTGTCTCATCTCAAGGGCAATGCATTCTGGCAGGGCGTGGCAGTCTGCACAGATTGAATCGCGACTCTGCGTTTCCTGCTACAACAGCATCGCCATCACCATCGCTACGGAGTGCCACCATCGCCTATTGCAAGCTTCTCTGGGGAGAGCTGAGAGCTGCACCGAGGGCTGCACCGCTGATCGTGTGCGGCATTTTCCGAGCAAATGAGTCTCAACCCTGACGAACAGCTCCAGCAGCGAGATTCCCCATCAGTCTTAGCTGCAGGCGGCCCAGCAAGCAAACAATTCCCTCATAGTGACCAACACCAGGACAGCAAATTTCAAATTCTCATGTACACCGTAGTCTGCGACCCGCGGCCTCCAGGAGCCATTAATGAGGTCATGGCACTGAGCACAAATTATGTAGATCAACACGCGAGTCATCTGCGTTCCCAAAGTTTATTCCACACTGTGACAGTGACTCTCTTACATTGGTGAGTTCACCCAAAACTAAAGACAGGAGCAAAAAAGGGTCAGCGCTCGGTTCACCATGCGGCTGGTGATGCAATGGCCGCAGAAACAGGGTACCAATCATGTGCCGGCGTGCGACAGCCGAAATGAATGGAGGTGGCTGAGCACAAGCACTGCAGAGTTGGTGTGTGAGGTTTTTCCAAAGCAGCAAAGCTTATCGCCGGCCCCGCGCCACCCCACCAGCCCTACTTTATTCATTTCGCTATTATTCCCAGGCAGCAGCAAAACCGGTCCTGGCCCGTACCAGCCACACCCCTGAATCGGATTCCATCCACTGGATTTGGCTCTTTTCAAATATCCCTCACCGGATAATGCTTTTACGTACAATCCCTGGTTAAATTGTGGCCAAGAATGCGCTGTTGACCGTTGCACCTGACAGGACCGCCCTGTTTCCTAAAGCGGAAGGCGCAAAACGGAGGGTTCACCTGCCGAATTGCGATGCCGATACGAGAATACCAGTAACAGAAAGGCTAAATTGGCTTCTACGTGCTATACAGATGCGATCAGATCAGCCGTACAGATGGATAGATGAAATGGTAGCGAAAAAGACGAGGACAACAAAACCGCTAGTCTCCAAACTCCGTGATGCAGGTCAGATCAGAAACGAAACATACAAAGTATATCAAAGGGTAGAAGGAGAAACTTGGAGGCGGTGCAAAAGGTCGCTGTACAATCGCCAATTCTATAATTCTTGAATGTAATTCGCGGGAACACTTTTTGTAACGCCGCCGCGCTCAACGTCCGCCCATCCGTCGCCGCTGTCTCGGTTGATCAGGACGAATTTGTCTCCCTCCGCCATGCTCCATTCCATGTCGCTTCGGGCATCGTAGTCGTAGAGTGCTTCAACGTACTGCAATTTCTTTGCTCCGCGACGGGGTGCCACCGCGGGCCCCACTCGCTTCCCCCCGGCCGCCGCTGTGCTACCGGCTAGCGACGCGGAAGAGTTTGAGTAAGTTGACCCTGGGCGGCCTGGGATACTAGGGCTGGCCGAGGGGGGAGCTGCGGGTAATGCTTCGAGGTAAGAGGCGGGAACGAGGCCTTCGCCGGAGGATCCAGATCGGACGCGCATCCAGCCCGATCCATCTGTGCCATATTGTTAGCTACTTTTTCTATAACAGTCAACGAGTTGCGGGCAGCCTACCATCTGGCTCGAGAATGGTTACTTCCTCGTCTTCCTGAACGGTGACTTCGTCTGCCCCAGTGGCTTGGTACGGGTAAAGCATCTTTCCACGGGGCTCGCTGGATTTCGACGCAGTGGCAGTAGGCAATTCCGCCGGTAACGGGGGACTGCTGACATACTGTGCGGGTGGGGGAGCGAGAACCCTATTTCGCTTTACTGTAGGCTTAGTTGCAGTAGGAGCCACAGGTGCAGGTGCTGCAGGGCCCTCCGGGGTCGCAGGTGTGCTATCCGGAAGCTCTGCAACGGACTCCTGGGGGTTAACGTTGGATAAGGACCGGTTGGCACTGACTGCATAGCCGGAGCTCAAGGAGTTCATCGTGTTTTGTCGAGTAAGTGATGGGGCTGCCGACGAGGAGCTAGTGGGCCCTAGGTCAACAGCTGGCGCTGCGCTAGCTTGTTCTTGACGCTCTACTTTGAGCCTCTTCTTCTCTTCTTTGGTCTGCTCTCCTGGGCATTCTGCTGGTACCTTCATCTCACACTTGCTGTGGCAGGTGTACCCGCAGTCCCGACAATCGTACCCTTTGGCCGACAGGCCCCATATCCGCTCTCCGCAAAGGTCGCAATTAGTGGGAATCTTGAATGTCTGGGACTTGAAGTTATGGTTCTTAGCTCCAACCGAGAGATCCCCAACCACCGATATGATCGTTGATGTTTCAACTTCGGCGGTGAGCCGTTTACGCTCTATCTCATGGAGCGCCTCTTGGATGTAGAAAATAGACTTTACAACATCTACTTCGTTTCGCTCGTCGCGCCCCTGTTGGATGCTCTGCCGTACGCGTTTTGCTTGTTCCACGTCGCGTCGCTTCTGATCGGATTCGACCCTCAATTCTCGGACCTGCGTCTTGCTCTTGCTAAGAAGATTACGCAAGAACACCTTGGCAGCTTCGTCGGTGATAAGTGCTTCATCATCGTGCCACACGGGACTAGGCTCAAAACCCATATTAGCTGGCTCCTGGATTTGTGTAACATTGTGCCGCAGAAACATGAGCGAGTCGAGATGAGGCTGGTTTCTGGGGACTTCGGCGATAAGCTTGGTCATGTGGTCCGAGCTCTTTGCTAGCGATCCCTTCTCAAGCTGAGCTGCAAGAGTCCATAACGAGTTGAGCTTTGCCACCCTAGTTTCGTTGAGGTCTTGCAATCCCTAATGAGCCCTTTTAGCTAGGGCCTCCCGTATTTGGCGTCCACAACTTACATCAAGCATTTCAGGTACAAATTCATGGAAGAACCTTTCCTTCATCTTATTGGTCACGTTGATACTTATGAGATATGTATTCTGGGTTGTGTCAGTAACCAGAAGCGGAAAGAAGGGACAAGCATAACTACCTTGACGTTGTTCATCTCCATGATTTGCTGCTGATATACCGTCTGGGCCTTTGTCTTGCTGTGGTCAAAAGCATTCTCCATCTTCTTTCTCCTACTTTCGACCTCTTGACAGGCACCGTCATATTTGCCCTTGGTCTTCTTAAGTTCACTGAAGCTGGCCTCTCGTTCCTTTTCGAGCTTCCCGTGGAAATCGACGTGGCACTTTCTGAGCTCCTCGTATTGGGCCGCGGAGTGTTTCAGTGGCTCAGCGACCTGAGCTATTAGGTCTGTCGCAAATTTATCCCGCTCCGCAGCGTGCGATTCAACAGCGGACAATTGTGTCGACCACGTCGTAAGGGAGGCGCTCTCGAGGGACCCGGGGGTCATGGTGGGATTGTCCCCGACACTCAGTGGACTGATCTTCTTTGCCTTGCGATCATAGTATTTCTTGCACAGAGCCGTAAGCTTCGCTGCATATTCCTTCTCGATGACGCTTCGTTCCCGATAAAACTGCTGTACTTCCTCCATCCAGGAGATTCCATTGGAAACCTATATATGGCCATTTTAGTACCGGAGCTCGTGTACTGCAATTGCGTTTGCTGTATTTTGCCCTAGGCATCGTACATGCGGGGAAATGATATCGAGGACCGTACCCAATTGTTGACTGGTTTGAAGGCATCCTATTCGCAGTGAAACGTTAGGCCACATGGCTGGAAGCACTCCGGTAAAAGCGAAGCAAGCCTACCTTCAACTCTGCCCCAAAATGGGGAGCGGCCTCTGTGGCTGCCATTGTAGGCGCGACAGTACCTAGAAACTTTGGCACATGCGACTTGTGGATCTCAGGCAGCAGCGGGAGAAGGCAGATCAAACAACCTGCTTCCAATAGCTAGAGGCAGTGTGAGGCGACTGTGATAGGCAATGGTATTGAATAAATTCGTCGCGAGCCTCCAACCAACCGACTGGACAATGTGCCAGAGCCTGTGAGACGGTGCGTATCGTTTCTTTTGATCTGAGGACTGGAAATGCGGGAGAGCGGGGAATGCCCAAAGCACAGTGAAAGCAGCAGTAACAGCACAGCCTCCGGTGGTGAGTGTGACAATACCGAACCGCCCTGTCAGGCCACGTCTGCTGCCTTGATGGCAGGTTAATTACCAGCTACGTCACCGCCATACACCTCCGCCTTTCATACCGCCTGCCTGTTCACGCTACTCGTCAGGGCGCCCAAACGAGGCTGGTGTCTTGGCTTTTTTGAGTAGCTTCGAGGGTCCCGGCTTTACATTTTTTGTCACTTTCCAAATCTTTCATTGTCACCAGCTCTTTCTGGCCCGTTCCTTAAATTAGCTGGATATTTGTTATTGCCTTGCATACCGTTCGCATTGAGAACGGTGTACCCCCCTTTGTCTCGTGTTTCTCCACTGCGGTCGTCGGCTTTCACCCCGCCAAAGCGCGACCCCCCGCCAGTACCTCTTCAACTTCGCGATATTGCTCTCTTCTCGTCAAAGTTCACACACAATGGCATCCGACGCTCCAGCCGGTGGCTCTCTTGCCGACCGCGTCTCCAAACCAGGTACGCGCGCTGCCCCGATACACCTCGAAGCGACCACCCCGCTCTCGGTTTTGATCGCATTCAACATTCGCTAATATAACCCCCACGAACAGAAAACACAGAGGCTGTTGGCGAAAATGGCCAGTCCGACGGCGCTGTACCTCAACAGGGTGGCTCTGATCTTCAGGAGCCCGAGTACACAGTTGAGGTGAAGCTGAGCGACCTCCAAGCCGATCCCAACAACCCCCTCTTCTCGGTGAAGAACTTCGAGGATCTTGGGCTGTAAGTTGTTTTGTGTCATATGCTACAGATCAGGTGGCCTAACATAGTCAATCTACGCAGAGATCCCCGCATTCTCCAAGGCCTGTCCGCTATGAACTTCCGTAAACCCTCCAAGATCCAAGAGCGAGCTCTGCCTTTGTTGATGGGTAACCCTGCGAAGAACCTGGTCGGTCAATCTCAGTCAGGAACTGGAAAGACCGCCGCTTTCGTCTTGAACGTCCTCAGCCGTTTGGATCTGTCAAACGAGCAGCTCCAGAAAACACCACAGGCCTTGATCTTGGCCCCAACACGAGAATTGGCTCGTCAGATTGTTGGCGTCATCCAGGTTATGGGACAGTTCCTGGATGGGCTGAATATCGGAACTGCTGTTCCGGCAGATTCAAATGCCCGCCCAACGAGATTAGAAGCGTCTGTTGTCGTTGGTACTCCTGGGACTGTCATGGATATGATTAAGAAGCGTATCATGGTGCCTGCGAAACTCAAGGTTATTGTGTTGGACGAGGCAGATAACATGTTAGACCAGCAAGGTCTGGGTGACCAGTGTATTCGAGTTAAAGCGTCAGTTCCCGTTTTCCCCTCCGAGATGCGCCTGATGCGCTACTAACCCTTGTGCAGCCTACTACCAAGGGACATTCAGGTCGTCCTCTTCTCTGCTACGTTCCCTGTCCACGTGCATCAATATGCCTCAAAATTTGCACCCAACGCCAACGAACTTACTCTGCAGCATGAGGAGTTGACAGTGGAAGGAATTAAACAATTGTATCTGGACTGCGCAAACGATGACGATAAATATAAGACGCTTGTGCAACTCTACGGGTTGCTTACCGTCGGCTCTTCTATTATTTTCGTCAAGACCCGTGCGTCCGCTGTGGAGATCGAGAAGCGAATGGTCGCCGAGGGCCACACTGTCGCATCTTTGACCGGTGGTATCGAAGGTTCCCAGCGTGACAGCATTATCGACAAATTCCGTGCCGGTGAAGCTAAGGTCCTGATTACCACCAACGTTCTTGCACGTGGTATCGATGTGTCTACTGTTTCCATGGTCATTAACTACGTAAGTTTAACCTTTTCGCCTGAACTTGTCCACGTGGGAGTTGTTGACACGTTCCACAGGATATCCCTGAAGTTTATCAGCAAGGCAACCGTGAGCGCCAGGCTGATTTCCAAACCTACCTGCACCGTATTGGTCGTACCGGACGTTTCGGCCGTGTTGGTGTCTCGATCTCATTCGTCTCAAACCGTGACGAGTGGAATATGCTCAACCAGATCCAGAAATATTTCAACACCGATATCCAGCGCATCGACACAAATGACTGGGATGAGGTTGAGGATATTATCAAGAAGACAATCAAGAACACCCGCGCTCAGTCCAACTTCGGACGGTGAGCATAGATGCAATTACCGGCGGAAGCCAGCCTCTTTATCTCTGGACCAGCCCAAGTGATGCTCTCTCGAGCTGTAGCTGAGTAGACCAGGAGATTAATGGGGACCGCGTCCATGGGTCGTGAGGTTTATGTGTGAAGATTAATGACTCTTTCTTCGATGTTATCAAAGCTAAAGGAAAATCTAGAGATACCAGTTGATTTATATACCCATGCTTCCTTTGTAGATTTGAAACTTCATTCCTAACTAACCGTTGTGTTATATCTCTATATGGCTGGCCTGCCGTCTAAGCGATACTCCCCGCATCCAGGGACATCCATCGCACCTTCCTTATCGATAATATACATTACAACTCCAGGGGGGAAGGCGCGACTGTAAACGTGTCTATTTAGGAAAGAGGTGATGGCTAATAGTAATACCGAATCAAAGGACCAAACTATGAAAAAGCTCATGAGATTAAAAAAAAAGAAAAGAAAAAAAAAGAAAAACCACTGCGTCTGCCATCATTGAGAGCCGCATTGTGACCCTGGAGAAATCGGGTCTAGTCTGTGTCAGAGCCTTTGGGAAGGATAGAAACAGGGAAAATAGTTTAAAGTTATGAGAAAGTATCCATGAGTCTTTGTCCCCTCTGTGTTTATTCACTACGTATCGAAGTTGGTCATTCGCGGCCGGGTCAGTGGTAGCCCTAACTCCAACTCCAACTCCAAACAAACGCCGTCACAGAACTACAGGGTCACCAACAATAACATGTAAGTCATAATGTGCCACCCCAACCAAGATATTTTACTTGCTATTTATGAGCTAAGCGGCTGCTATAACCCCGGCACCGCTGAGCGGTCGATTTCAGACTGTCAATGCAGGTAGCTCTAGTGCTATACCTTATGGGCCTGTTATAGGTGCACCGGTAGTCCGGTGACAATCTCCTGATCCAGCAACCTCTCATATTCATCTATCCTCGCCGTAGCAGATAAAAGCGCAGCACTAGGGGAGCTGCTTGGAGGGGGCATTAATAGGGAGGGGGGGGGGTTATCCTTGTGGAAGGACGCATGTGAAGGATACGAGGGTTGGGAAGATGGTTGTTAAGAAGATTGGTCGGAGTAGGTGAAGAGTAAGATTTCGTATGTAGCCACTCCGTATTTCGACTTGATTTTCAAGAACCGATGCGACTTGCCCTATTTGGGCGAGGGAGCGCTCAGGTCCTTCTCAGGGAGGGATCGAAGGAGCACGATTCTGCAAGTTTCCGGGGGTCTCTCACTCTCGATGAGAGTTCCACCTGACTAAAAATGTCAGGCTGTCTTTATGTCCATCTTCTGCGGGGAGTCGATCACGGGCAGGCGCGCAGTGGACTCGTCCGCAGCCTAAAATGAAGATCGAATTGGAACAGCTACGTCGCCAAGCCATGGACCAACTGCCAACAAACTGTGCATATACCTCTCTTTTCCCTCGATGGAGTCTTGAAGTCCAATCTGCTTTTGATACCCCACTCTTTTTGTCGGGCCGTCATCACTGAGCGATGCATCATATGCAGAATGCGGCCGGTTATGCTGCCCTTGTCACACACTTAATGCAGCTCCTCATCTTAAATGCACATGATATTTTCGTGATACGCAACAGATGAGGAAGCCATCAAACGGCCAGTGAAATAAGGTGTAGGAACAAAGGACAAAACCACTAAATCAAATGACAATAACATACGACAGTGGGTAGTTCCCACGGCTCTGTGACTAATGTAATGACTGGGCTAGTGTTTAATACTAGTATAGATCCCCCAATGGCATATATGTATTCGAATGACTTCTCAGAGTCCATCATGAAGTCTGCATGCTTGTCCCCCTCTCACCACGTGTTGAAAGCATTAATATCAAAGCCGTCCCACAACAGCCTTCCGTACTCAAGTTCGCGGGCGACTTTCCCATCACTATCCCACCATATAGTAGATAGCATGATCATACCCGAGGATTCGCCCTTCTTGATTCCAGGAGGAAGATTCGGCTTGGCTGCCTCGGGAGGATCAATCTTCAATGTGAACCTTACGACGTTTTCCAAGACCGCAAACGAACCGGGCTCGGAGCTGCCATTGAGCGTAATGGCCTCGACTGAGATTTTCGTCATAAGACCGCCAAATCCCTTGTTCTGTTCGAACCAAGTGTGTTTCGGTGACCTAACAATACCGAGGGCTATATGGAAATAGAGTGTTAGAAAGGTAATTGATAAGGGAGAAGGGAAAGTAGCCCTTACGGATATCGGACATGTGATAACCTTCAGCTACCATGCTGTTCATTTTTTCAGCATCGGCTTGGGCGAACGCTTCGAAGTACTCCGTAATGCGCGCCAGCAATACCTTGTCATCATGGTCTCGGATGCGGTCATTGTTAAATGCGGAGGTCGAGCCCATGTTGGATGATATGTGGTTTCGGCGGTTTATCTGTCACAGTAGGTGTTGCAAAATGACTATGGTTGCTGAAGGGTTGGGCAAGGAATCGAGGCCGTATTTATAGATTTATTTCCCAGCTCGAGTAATCATGTTCTCTAGTCCTTGGCTCTCTATGCGGTTGATCAAGAGTGATGGGGTTGCCTACATCAATTGTGCCCAACGCGCAGTGTATCACACTTCAGCTTCAAGCAGGAGCCGGTGATCGCTACTTGGGCTTGCTGGCTTTGGGTATAATGAAGTCATTGCTAGTTAATCAATATGAGACCTACTCCACCATTTCCATGCCTTGTGATTACTGTACAGCAAGGGTGCTGTACTAAAATATTACCCCTAGCATGTATGTGTAACCATGCTAAGGCAAGTATTCTGACGTATAAATTGGTAGGAGAATATTATGGAGTCCCTGAGGGGCATACATGTTGTGTTACACTCAGCTGGAACTGGTTATTGCCACTTGGGATACAACTTGAGATGAAATTAAGCACGGTGGTCACACCCAACTACTAATCAGACCAGTTCTCTGAGAGCTATGGGCCCCATTGTCAGCCAGCCTTCCTCTTCCCTGTTCCCCGCTCAAAGACCTTGCTGTTTCTACCTGCACTACTCCCTCAATACCTCATCTCCACTTGTAGCGGCCATTGAAGCGGCCTCAGAGCGCCTGAAAACGCCAAGCGGTTGGTCGGTGCTTGAGACAACAGCTATCAAGCCAATTACCAACCACACTAATGTACCATTCCTGCAGGTCATTCTGGAGGAAAGATGCAACTATTCTTTCTCACAATATCCCTGATTTAGAGGCACGAGAGCTCTAAGAATGTCCGAAACGGCGATCTCAGTGAATCCTCGAGAAATAAAATAGATGGCCACTATGATCTCCAAACCTGTCTAGAAGCCAACTCATTGGTAGAGTAGCATTAGACTAGAGGTAATGAGAGCCAAGGGCTTTTACGAAGGATCCCGTGCAGGTGTCAAACGAAGTGAGGGCGAGCACTAAAACAGAAAGAGAATATCGACCCTCCTAGAAAGCCAAGTACGGGTTGTTAGTTATGCGGGTATTATAGTGTATGTTTGGGGATATATATACAGATGGTTGCTCTTGTTTTGTCGGCTTTTCTTTAGTGATAATATTACTCTGGTGGTTTGAGAAGTCTATCTATCTAGGGTATTTTTTAGGAAAGTCGGGGCCCCCTCCGGTCCGCTGCTTCTAACCAAGTCAACAGATACACTCCACCAGCCTATGAGTGCGGGGATGGACTGGAAATGGCAGGAAACTGTTATGATTCTTCTTCTTCTGCTCCAGAAGACCGTCTGACGCGGGCATGCTCAAGTTCAATACTACTTGTTCGCACATGGTCATACCGGCCCTGAGAAAGGTCCAGCGAGCGCATGCTCATCTCCCGCACTGACCCGATTCCACCATCCTTGGATGATGCGGAGGATGCCGTTTTCGAGAGTGTCAAGAGGGTGATGCCCACAAAGTTGAGAAGGAATCCGCACATCATCGAGATTATGCTGGCCCAATCACTGGTGTTTAATCCTTGGTAGAATACTATTGAAGCGGAGAGAGTACATGTCGTAAATCCAACATAGTACATCGCATTCACCCTATGATTGTTAGTATAAAATAAAAATGGTTGGACGCGAGGTAACTTACAGCGAGGCGGGAAACTCGCTCATCGCTTTATTCAAATAGTTCATCTGAGTCAAAGTAGTGACTACCAAGACCAACGCAAAAACATAGGTCGATGCATGCGTAAACTGGTTCTCTCCGCCCGCGGTGAGTTTGACTGCAATTCCAAATGCCTTGACTGACATGACAGATACTGATCCAACCGTGGAACAAATCGAGATATAGACCAACGGGTTCGTCCGGCCCTGTACCGGGGCTACTTTGTAGATCATGTAGCTGGCAAACACTGTAACGAAAATGCAGTAAAGCAGAAAAACTAGAAACCTGTCAGCCAACAAAATACCCAAATTGGAAGAAGGAAAACTAACATGGTTGAATCGCTAGGTGTAGGATTTCATCAATTGTTTGGATGTCCTTGTCACCCGGAGCATGCAGCACCAGCAAAACTGATCCCAGGAGGCAAGTGGCACATCCAAGCTTTCCAAGGACCTTAATGTCTTCTTTGAGGAAATATGCGCCCATCAAGGCACTGCAACTTGTTAGCGCGGCAGATGCGATCGAGGGTCTCCTGGCTCACCCGACGAGTACGCTCAGCGCTCCAAGCGGCGTGACCAGCACTGCTGGAGCAAATGCGTATGCCGCGGTATTCATCAACTCTCCTGATACCACTGCACCCGTCATCTGTCAGCTTCACAGCAATATACATTTAATTTTCAAGTCGTACACATGGTTGTCCCACACCACCACAACGGACTCCGTATGTATTCAAAACCATCTCCCGTGAAGCCGTACTTCTCTGCCGCAAGCATAAGACCCTAGTATATCCGGGTTAGATTTGAGTTTCGCGGCGATCAAAAGAATACGAGATGCGACAAGGCGACGGACCTTTTTAGTGACGACATAGCTCGAGCCTGCGCATAATGACCGTCAGTAAACCATCTTCGTTGAGAAAAAGTGTCTGAGCAAGGGAAGATGCGACCATACCAATGGCTACCGAAGAAAGCACTGCCAAACCAAGGCCAATAAATCTGGTGAATGGCGACAAAGGCAGTTAGCAGATATGCCGACAGAGGCCAGATTTGAGGCATTAGGCAACCACTAAACAAACGTACTTATCATCTACCACCATCACCGCGGTCGTCAGGCATCAAGTCGGGGAGGATAGAGAATAGATGATACAAATACAAAGTGACTGAGGAGTGACTCGGAGTTCGGAGAACACAGGAGGCTGCACAATGGCAGAAGTCAGGACTGTTTTGCTTTCAGGCCGCTTGCAGGCCGAAGCACAGCCCAGTCAAGAATGCGTCAGCACCAGCTGGTACCTTTTTTTGCAGGAGATCCCTTGGCTCTGGCGGAGACTGTTCAACCACAACCAAATGCAGTTTGAAAAATTAGTGTATATGCGTAGTAGATTATTGTCCAAGGCAATATTCATTTAGTTCCTGAATAAATGATAACACGGGGCCATTGTTTACATCTTTCCTCTGGAGAACACTGTGCTTATCGATAAGCACCTTGTTCAGAGCTCGACACTGTACCACCAAATAACATTAAATATTGCCATCATCGCCGCGATGTTAATTCCTATAATTAGGTTTCTGTTTATAGTTATATACCAAGCTTCAGAAATATCTTTAAAGTGGCGAGCTTAGTACCCATCTTGTGCAAGAGAGCACTCGAAATATATATCAATAAGTAACTATGGGAAGTACTAGTCTAACAAAGCTTCACCAGGCTGAGATGGTAGTCACTCCCTTTTTCAATTACAAAATTAGTAAGGACCAGAATAGCCGACAGACTTCTGACTTGTCTTGCATCCATGGCTGCATATATCAGGTACCAAGGCACTGAGCTTGGGTGGGCGCTACTGGCCTTATCAGTGTCGCCGTTGGGAGCGCTGATCGGCAGCCGCCGATGAGGGGAGTTACTGATAAGCGCTGATAGGGAGTACGTACTATCGACTAAACACTAAAGGAAATTAAATGCAAACGCTGCAATTGTTTTGAGTGTAACATTGTAAGCGATTCGGTGGCGGAGCGAGGAAGAATGCAGATGGGGTCCCGACGCAAGGCAGCTCAGCAGATAACGTGCGGAGAAACAAGTCACATGGATGCTGCACCTTCCCAGCTCTTTTACCTCCCCCCTCCCTTTTCCATTTCCTTTCGTCTTTCATAGGATATTTTGTTTCCTAAAGATTCTTCGCCAGGGCGCTACTTCGTGATAGATCTTCAACATGACCGAGGAAGATACAAATACCCCTAAGGGGGCTGAGACAACTACGGTTCAATCCCCGACCTCCGCTTCGAGATACAGTAAGCACATAGTGGTAGGTGGTTTTGTACACCAGGGCGAGAAAAGAGACGCACAATTAACTTCTTCAGTTGACAACATATCCCGGCCAAAGCGGTATCGACCCTGTCCCTCTAGAATGGGGCGCACCAGATGCGAAATCTCGCGGACCTGTCATCGTTGCCCGCAGCGGAGCACAGCTCAAGCGTCGCAATGCAATCGGCGCTCACGGTGGCAGCTACAGTATCTACAATGCGCTGGCCATTGCCGCTGGAGATCTAGACCCAGAATTCCGGCCAAACTTCCTGAATACCGAACCTACCTTCAATTTCCCCTGGCAACCGTCCTGGGCAGACAAGAAGAAGATCGTGTCAATGGACCCTTATGGTCATGATGTTGTCAAGTACTTTCGGGACGAAGTCACCGCTGGTTGGGATATTCGGCCAACGATGGCGGTCACTCGTGCCAATATGAAACTTGCAGAGATTGGGGAGGCTATTCGCGATGGACACTTGGAAGTTGATGGATCAATTGTGGTAGATTCCACAGGCGAAGTGCGCGTCTCCAAGGTCGCAGTCGAGCCGGTTTGGTATCTGCCCGGAGTAGCTGAGCGGTTTGGAGTGGACGAACCAACTCTTCGTCGGACCCTGTTCGAGCACACCGGTGGAAGCTACCCAGAGCTCATTACGAGACCAGACCTCAAGATCTTTCTTCCTCCTATTGGCGGATTGACGGTTTATATCTTTGGACCCCCGGAGCGGGTATCTGATGAGAACGTGAAGCTTGCTCTAAGAATCCATGACGAATGCAATGGTAGTGATGTGTTCCAATCAGATATTTGCACATGTCGGCCGTACCTGGCATTTGGAATCCGTGAGGCTATCCGAGAAGCACAGAACGGCGGCAGTGGTGTTGTCATTTACTTCCGTAAAGAGGGACGAGCGTTGGGAGAAGTGACCAAATATTTGGTCTACAATGCACGCAAACGTGGTGGTGATACCGCCGACAAATACTTCACCCGGACAGAGAATATTGCTGGAGTACGAGATGTATGTTCAACAGACTACCACTTGAACTTGATTTGGCCAACCGATGCTGACCTATATAGATGCGCTTTCAAGCCCTCATGCCAGACATCCTGCATTGGCTGGGGATTAAAAAGATCGACCGCATGCTTTCAATGTCTAACATGAAGCACGATGCTATTGTCGAGTCAGGAATCAAGATCCATGAGCGTATACCCATCCCCGAGGATATGATTCCCGATGACTCGAGAGTCGAGATTGACGCAAAGATCAATGCCGGATATTTCACTACTGGCAAGTCATATACGATGGAAGAACTGGCCCAGGTGCGCGGGCGAGGCTGGGAAAAGTGGGAGGACATTACAGTACGTAGTTTGCCCGCGAGAAAAATGGCCGTGCTAATATTTTTGAACAGCATTAACAGATTATATGTATGAGCGGAGGTTGAATGGGGTAGCGTTGGCGATTTGTTTCATTGCTTTCGGTGTTCTAGATATTCTCCTGAAGAAAATGTCAAATAAAAAGATGCAATCAGAGATAACCGTACAAATATGGACGATATAGTTGCGTTCGGAGGTTCTCCGTAGATTTCGGCTGGACCGTCCGTCAGGCAAGAGAGATAGTACGGGGCGTTACCCCGAATCCCACGGCCTCCACACCCGAAGTCGGATAATTATCCTTACTCAATACCCCACCTGCTCCGAGATTGTATGAGTATATATTTGGCGGGGATGTGATAAAGATCGCAACACTGGACTTTAGCGTACCTACGTTTTTGATATTCCATACCCTCATATTCGGACTCACCTAAACCACAGCAACAATGGGATCCCAGTCCGCCGCAGTCAATTCGCAGCCCCATATCCCCAAAGCGGGAGTATGGTGCCCTGCAGTGACATATTTCGATCACGCAACAGACACGATCGATCTAGAGTCGCAGAAGAAATACTACGCCTACCTATCCAAGACCGGCCTCGCCGGCCTCGTCATCCTCGGAACAAACTCCGAAGCCTTCCTGCTGACCCGAGAAGAGCGCGCGCAACTGATTGCCGCAGCCCGCGAAGCTGTCGGCCCTGACTTCCCCTTGATGGCAGGCGTAGGCGCTCACTCAACAAAGCAAGTTCTGGAATTAGCAGCGGATGCCGCAGCCGCAGGCGCAAACTACCTCCTTGTCCTCCCACCCGCATACTTCGGCAAGGCAACGACCCCAAACGTTATTAAGCGCTTCTTCGCCGATGTTGCTAAGAAAGCACCCCTCCCCGTCGTGATATACAATTTCCCCGGTGTCTGCAACGGCGTGGACATTGACTCCGAGACGATCACAGATATCGTGCGCGAGTCCGCGAGCTCCAGCCCCAATGGCGTCTCGAACGTCGTTGGCGTGAAGCTGACTTGCGCGTCCGTTGGAAAGATCACTCGTCTCTCGGCGACTTTTTCGCCGGCTGAATTCGCGGTGTACGGTGGGCAATCGGATTTCCTGATCGGCGGGCTGAGTGTCGGCTCCGCGGGGTGTATCGCGGCTTTTGCGAATGTGTTCCCGCGCACGGCCTCGAAGATTTATGAATTATATGTGTCTGGGAAGGTGACTGAGGCGATCGAGTTGCAGAAGCAGGCTGCGCTGGCGGAGAGCCCGTGCAAGAGTGGTATTGCGTCGACCAAGTACGCGACAGCAATCTATACTGCAAAGTTGGCAGGCATTGACGGAGCGGAGGAGAAGCTGAAGCCTCGGACACCATATGAGGAGCCTGCGGAGGGCGCAAAGAAGGTTGTGCGGAGTCTGATGGACGGCATGGCGAAGGTTGAGGTGACTCTTTAGTTGCAGCTTGTACGGAGTAATGTCCTGTTACTGTTAGAATGCTGTGCACAAAAAAATATATAACATTAGTCATTTATACTTCTGAATCAGTTTCTGCCGGGCGGTGTATTCAGCTGGGTGATGCTGTCAAGAGCGGAGAGCCGGAAGTGCTGCATCCCGCGATCATACGACGCCCACCGCCATCCTTCGATTGGCTGACAATGACCAATTTCCAATGGTTGGTGTCGGTGTCTGCACTGCCTGTGAGGCACAGGCGATTGATGGCAACTGTTCCTCAGACATGAAGCAATAACCAATTGTTGACAACCGCCGGGCTTATTGAGCAAGCGACAAATCAGTGCCATCTATGGTGTGAGGTCTGACAGACTAACGGGAGCTATCAAAAAAAGCCAACGCAAAGTCCAGGCACGCAGGCCTGCCAGGTGGAACGATAGGTAGCGTCCTGTAATATCTTTCCATGTGAAGGGGAACCACGGTGCCTAGAACCAGACTACCAAGCCGCGTGCTCAACCAAAGCCCCAACGGTTTGATAAGATCTTCAAATAGGTAAACACCTGCAACCTGCAACTTATGATCAGTCCTTCCCTTGCCCCCTGTGACTGACGAACCTTTCAGTTAGTTGCAGTGTTGCTACACTCAAAACGTCACAAGTGACTCAATTCGACTCGCACGCCTCCGTTCTTCGGTCCGATCAGCCTTTCTCCACACTGCAGCGGTTTAGGCCCCTTAGCGCGTCCGGCTGGGTGGCCGATCAGCAATCAATCTTTCGAACTTCAGGTGGCGGCTTGAACCTCGATTTCACAAGTTTGCTCTTTTCACATCGTCGTATGTCTTTCAACGCCGGATGACGATATCCAAGCACCGTACTGCTACTTTGTTGCTGATATCTACCATCAAAGAGATAAAGCCCCGCGCGGGTGTATGATAGAAGCCGATATACCGACATCGGCGAACCAGACCACGGTCCATGGTCACAACCTTTAATATTGATTCAGATGGCTGCCCGTGATATGGGCAGTGACTTCCAGCTCTTCTCCCCCGCCCAATCGCGGGGTAGGAAGAGCTCTCAGGGCGATTCAGGGACAGATGATGCCGGTCAGGATTGGACGGAGTGGATGAGATGGGATGACCAGGCATTTTCTGATGCGGTCAAATCCCTGCCTCTATCTCCGTCTGTTACATCGCCACAATTTGATGCAAGGAATAAGAACATTGATATCTTCCCAACTGGCGACTTTTCTCCCGACATTCCCCTCGACTGCACGAACCCGTTCGATCCATTCCTGAAGCAGGATAATAGCGGCGTTATCCCGGCACAGACCTTCTTCAAGGACGGCACGGACAACTTTTCGGCGAACTCTGTCGTCTCAGGATCTCCTCTATCGACAGCTGTCGGCCAGAAGCGAAAGTCCGGAAGTGATGACGACGGATCGACGGTTGGCAGCATGGTCCAGGGGCCCAAGAAGGTTCCGTCAAAGAAGCGAGCACACAATGTTATTGAAAAACGCTATCGTGCGAATCTTAACGATAAAATAGCAGAACTTCGGGATAGTGTTCCCAGCCTTCGCCCAACCAAGGGCAGCGGAGGTGTTGTTGACGACGACGATGGGGAGGGCGCTACACCAGCAAACAAACTGAACAAAGCTTCCATCTTATCTAAGGCGACAGATTATATCAAACATTTGGAAACCCGCAACAAACGCCTCGAAGACGAGAACACTGCATTGAAGAACAGACTTCGCGAGTTGGAAAAGGCAGCAGACCAGACCGTAACTTCCGCAGCATCTGTGTCATCACCTAGCAACTATACTGTCTCCACCGAGTCTGGAAATAGCTCATCTCCTAGTATCTTCTCGAATGCAGAAGACAGCCCGACTGAACACTCCCCTCCTTCATCGTCTCGCCCAGGGGTGGGCATGATCAAAATGCCGGATTCCTTCAAGCGTATGCGAACCGAACAGACGAAGAACGACCTTTGGTCGCAGTCTTATATGCAACCAACATCTAATAGCGGGTCATCGCACTCTGGAAATTCCCGTCGAGGTTCACATTATCCCAATAAATACGTTCTTGGGACTCTTGCAGGACTGATGGTTTTTGAGGGTCTTGGCAAGGAGAAGGAGACCGACTCAACTGCCAAGGGCTTACTGGCACTTCCTTTGAATTACTTCAAGAGACTTCAAATTCCGCCTTCTCTCTACTGGGAGACGATGGGTCCCAACTTCTGGTCATCCTGGCATGCTAGGGCCATTCTACACTTCCTATTCCTTGCTACTCTTGTTGTCGGTTCGGCGTTCGTTGTGTTCGTTTACCTTTTCAACTCAGGTCCTGGTCGACAAAGCTCGTCCAAGGTGTCTACACCGGAAGTCATGCTGTCTTCCTCGAACTTCCGGCGCCAAGCGTGGCTTACCAGTGTGCAACGAGTTGGTGTACCGAGACATCGGTTTTTCCACGAATGGTACGTCGTGACTTCACGATGTTTCGAATATGTTATCCGGTGTATTCTGGGATGGAAGCTCTATTCATCGATTACTGGTATCACCGCGGAAGACGAGAAAGGACGCGTAAAGACTTGGGACATCGCAATTGACGCTCAACTTTCTGGCGGTGATGCTGAGATTAGCAAGAGCCGACTGGTACTCACGATCTTTGCCGCCGGCACTCTTCCTCGGAGCCCCATGAGGATGATGCTTAAGGCGCTCCATTGTCGCGTCTTACTTTGGAGAGTCGGAGTACCAGGTCAATGGAGCTACCGGGTATCTAATGATGTTGCGCGTTCTCTTGCGAGATATCAATGGGACTTGGCGCGGCGGAAGGATGCAACACTGCCAAAAGACCACGAAGATGCTCTCCCCCCGCACCTCAAAGCTCTACTTGGATGCGAGAGCGATGACGTCATGTTGGATAGCATTACCCAAAGAGCCGCCAACCTGACTTGGAATAGCCCTACTCAGGAGGGGTCCGACGGCGATGATGCTTTCTTGGACGTAGTGGAAGAGGACCCCGCTATCCAGTCATCTTTGGACGCCCTGGCGGCGTGGTGGTCGTCCCATTTGCTACAGCGGGCTTTGCTTCAGTATTTCGAGGCTAGTGCACGCGGGCCAGATACAAAGAAGTGCCGTGATATGTTCAAGTCCAAGATTCAGCTTGCCCTTGACGTGGCACCACAGCCTTCCGCAGCTCATACCCGTGCTCTCGTAATGATGGCTGTGTTCTTTGAACGAGACCGGATCAAGAACATTGGGGCCGTCCTGTCGGCGCTGCCAAAGGAAAAATGCAAGAGCAAGCAGAACCAGGCGTTTAACTTTCTGGATTCTTCTCTCCCGGTGTCCGTCCGGGAAGAAATATCCATTGCAGTTCGCTGCGCCATGATTGCTGCTATCTTCACCGCGCGATCGCGTGATGACTGTTCACTGCCCGAGTCGTTCACCATGGAGAAAGCTGTTACCTGGTTTAGCCAGTTACCGCTTGACCCTGTTGACTTGACTCTTCTTGGTTTCTCCGCTGTTTACCACCTACTGCACGTTCTTGCTTCGGACACGGGCTACCTATCGTCCTCAGATTCGTCACGACCGTCGTCACCGGCGCTTAAGGACTCTTCGTCTCCATGGGATTCCTCGGATGACCAGGCCGAGGATGAAGCGGATGACAAACCAACTATCACATACAAGAAGAATATGCCCCCTCAGCCCGTCCCGCTCCTAGGTCGTGTTGCATCAGAGCTTATGTACTGGGCCAAGAACGCCTACAACCCGGCATTCTACGGATTTACTTCCGACCTAGTTCAAGTCATCGAAGAGGAATGCACTTCTCTTTGCCGAGGCGCCGGGGTTGATGTCGCTGATTATTCTCATCTCCACCGAGAGCGGTTAAAGGCAAGTCAGCGCAAAGGCAGGAGAAAGAGTAAACAACTCCGACCATCGAAGATAGTAGAGCAAAGCACCCAAACTGCCGAGGGAACTGCCGAGGATACCCATCCGTGTACCAATTCGGCTGAATGTCAGAATCTTGAAACGGAGCCCCAACCAGCTCTACCGAAGGCAGGATCCTCTGAGAAGGTGGGATAAGACTGACAAATTACGGACCGGTCTAGCCACGGGATAATCGATGATATTGTGTACCGATTAGTGTGTTTTCTTCTTTTCTATGGCGTGTTACATTGGCTCTAGAACATGGTGTATAGGGAATCTTGGGACAGGTAATACTCTGGGAAAGGCGTTTATGGATGTTACCGGAATCCCTTGCGATATCTTCGCTCTACTGCAATCACAGGATTTGCTTTGTATGTGGATAATGTAGGCTAGACTGAGCAACCTGGCCGAGATAGAGGGCTAATTGAAAGACAAGATGCCTAACGTTGCAGCCCCCGTCTGGGCACCGCAGTGATGTAGTATTATCCCCGCAGCTGGTGACGTTTCTGGGAAGAAAGGAGTGCACACCAATTAGGATGAATACTCATAATCGTGAACTCATCTTTAGAGTTTTCTTTTACCTTTTGCCATCATCCTAGCTTGGTTCTTGGTGAACCCGGTGCGATGGGTCAGGGACAAGCTCAAGGCTAGTAGCGGAACGCCGCGGACGACGAAAATCAACCTCCAGGCGGACCAGGGGAAAGGAGGGGTTGACGAATGACCTGAATCTGCACCTGAATCTGCACCTGAGCCTGACCCTCCGGAGGTCTGACTAGTTGCTGAGGATGTTCACGATTTCCGTTTCCGGCACTGCGTTTCATCCACACGCTCGGCGCAGCTCCAAGACATCCACCACGACCTAGATTTCTTTGTCGATCACGGTGTCTACGACGCTTTGATTGTGGCTGCCGTGTTCCTCAATCGATAACACTCAATCTGCTGTTCTAGAGCCTGGCCGCATCGTTGGTTCGCCATGCTGCTAGCCTGGCCCGGCCGGCCGGCACCAAGGGGAATCATCCGCATTCTTCCAACAACCCAAACCCCCACATTCCTCTCGGTTGCAATCACATCCTCTGTCGAGCCATGTTCTTGCACCAATCCGTTGGAAGGATCTCCACTCCCCGTGACTTATCCGGGGTCACAATAGCAGTTGGGCCCAGATGCATGACGGCAGCGGCGAACTGCTGTGGGCGCCGTCCCGCCTGTCAGTGCCAGTGTCGCCTGTATTCGGACGCTATGCCGGAGTATATGTAACAGGAGATAGAATTTTCGTCTCTCCCTCCGGAGGGTCTCCATAGAGGTGGCTTTCAATGAGTACAGGAGTGCAGCGCTCGCTGCGTCGCCGTCTTCCTGTCAAACTCTTCTCCATATCACCCGCCAACAAGCGAAGCCAAACAAGTCAACCTTACCCCCAAATCTTCATCCCACTGACCTAATGGGGGTTGATCATCTGCCGCCCGGACAGCACCGCACTCATGGGGACCATCCGCCCATGAACGTAGCGCTGGCAACGCCGCTGTTCGTGCTCGGAGGCGCCTTTGCGATTCTTTTCGTCGGCCGCCTGGCAGTAACGCTGCACCGCCGGCGACGTTTGCGCGCAATACTTAGAGATGGGGATCAGTCGAGGTTCGCACAACGGAATGGCTTCATGGCCTGGCTCAACAAACACGTCGTGTACGCGCCGCTGCTGTCGACCCGGCATAGTCGCGAGTTTGACCTTGGGGGCGTTCACATGGGGAACTTACCGCTGCGGATAGAGGCGATTCTTCTTGCTGGATATCTTGGGATAAACCTCGCTTTTTTTGTTTGCTTGATCGACTGGTGGGAGGACTACGAGGAACTGACGTACCAACTCAAATATGCGGCGGGCCATTTGGCTGTGATGAATACGCCGGCGCTGGTGTTGACCGCTGGCCGGAACAATCCGTTGATTCCGCTGTTGGGGATTCAGTTTGATGCGTTCAATTTGCTGCATCGCTGGGTTGGCCGGCTTGCCGTGGCTGGTGCAGTTGTGCATGTTGCGTGTGTGGTTGCGTCGAAGGCTGCGGAAAGTAAGTTTAGCCCTAACTCGCTGTCTTGGCTGGACACTGACCTGAACAGTGGGCGTGGAAAAGACAACCAAGCTGATATTCCATGTTCCATTTTTTATTTACGGACTTGTTGTATGCATTATTTCTCTCTCTTTTTTAAGGTGTCTTAATCTGATCAACAGGCCTTTCTCGCATTCCTTCTGATCGCAGTCCAATCCATCTCGCCCCTTCGCCATGCTTTCTATGAAGCCTTCCTTCACTTCCACATCCTCCTCGCAGTAGCGGCTTTTGTCGGACTCTGGTACCATCTGCGCGGCCTAGACCAGCAATGGGTGCTTCTTGGAACGATCGTCTTATGGGGACTGGAGGTACGTTAGCCTACCCAATGTTCCTAAACTACAAGCTAATACTTTCCAGCGAATCGCACGCCTAGGAAGCCTCATCTGGCGCAACTGGGGGAAACAACGCACGATTTCCGACGTCGAAGTTCTCGCCGGAAATGTCGCGCGGGTGAACGTCGCTCTAACTCGAACCTGGAAGTTCAAGGCCGGTCAATACATGTACCTCTACATCCCGTCCCTGGGGCTGTGGACCTCGCACCCGTTCTCCGTCGCCTGGACGGCAACCGAGGAAAGCAGCGTGGCGGACAAGGCTGACTCCAACGACTCGTTCAATATGCTGCTCAATGAGAAACCGCGGACGACGGTGTCGTTCCTCATTAAGAGCCGGGATGGGTTTACGTCCAAGTTGCTGCGCAAGGCTATTGATTCGGAGGCGTATCGATTTACTGCGACGGCGTTTGCGGAGGGGCCATTTGGTTTGTTTCCCACATTCTCTTCATTCATTTTCTAACTAACAGTGTAGGCGGTCTTCATTCCCTGGCCTCCTATGGGACGGTGATGCTCATCGCAGGTGGAATTGGTATTACGCACCCGATGTCCTACATGCATGAGTTCATGGAGGGATACGCCGAGCAGACAATTGCCATTAGACGAGTGAACCTGATCTGGGTGGTTCGCAGTCTCGGTATGCCATACCCCTTTTATTCTTTCCATTCACGACAGTATATCCTAACTATATCCATAGACCATCTAACTTGGATCCAACCCTGGATGACATCTCTCTTCACCCACCCAGCCGTACACACCAAAGAGCAGCACCCATTCCAGTTCAAGGGCCTGGGCGTATCAATCCACATCCACGTGACAGACAGGCAATGCAGCGAGGATTACATGGCCGGCAAGAGCGACAACCCCTGGGCGTTCTCTGCGCCGCCTGGAGTCCAGGTGAGCATTGACTTTGGAAAGCCGTGCTTTGGGCATATTGTAGAGAAGGAGAGTGATAGCCAGGTGGGTGCTATGGCTGTGACTGTGTGCGGGCCTGGAGGGATGGGCGATGATGTGAGGAAGGCCGTTCGGATGAACAAGGGGAAGAAGACGGTGGATTTGTATGAGGAGACGTTTTCTTGGTAGTTGCATTTCTCTTTTATTTCTTTTTATATCTATTGCTGGTATCGATTCCTAGAGTTTATGAACCGCTTATGATGAAATCCTTTCTTTAACCTATCTCTATACCTATGTAAACAATATAAATAAATATCTACAACACACTCTTACTCTTAATCAAATGCGCATTAACAGGTGTCAACGCCTTCCCCTTCAACAAAAGCCCCTCAATATTCTCCATCGCCAGCCTCTCAAACCCAATATGCGTATCCACCGTGCCTCCAGCATTATGGCTCATCATCATCACCCTAGGATGCGCCGCCAGCCGCGGGTGCACATTCGGCTCACTCGCATGGACATCAAGCCCAGCAGCCGCCAGAATGCCACTATCCAGCGCCGCAACCAGCGCCTCCTCATCGACTAGCGACCCGCGCGCAATATTCACAAAGCGCCCGCCGCGCTTGAACTTGGCGAACCGCGCCCCCGTCATCAGCGTCTCGCCCGCGAACGGCGTCGCGACAACAACACAGTCTGCGTGGCCCAGCATCGTATCGAGATCCGGGTAGAAGGTAGCGTCGACGTTCCTTTCGATCTCGGCGCTCTTGCGGAAGAGGTCGTGGTAGAGGATCTTCATCCCTAGTGCGGTGTGGACTTTCTGTGCGATTGTGTATCCGATCTGCCCCAGGCCGACGATGCCTAGGCTGTGGCCGCGGGGGTTCCGGGCTGTTAGGGGCGAGTTCTGGTGTGCGTCGAGGAATGATCGTGGGTTTTGGGAGACTGCTGCGGCGTGGGACCAGGCGAGGTTGCGGAAGACAGAGAGGATGAGGAAGAGGGTCATGTCGGCCACGGACTCGGAGGAGGCAGCGGCGCCGTTGCAGTAGGTTATTCCTGCATAATTAGCAGTTGTCCTCAAAGAAGTTGAAAGTTGAGAGAGAATATACCATGCTCAGCAAAAACATCTACATCAGCCCAATCATACCCGGCCCCGGCAGAAGCCATCACCTTGACGGACTTGGGCAGGAGAGGGATGAGCTCTCGATCCCAGCGGCCCATCTCGCCGCCGGTGTTCCAGAAGGGGCGGAAGACGGCGTGGAACTCGCCCCAGCGGTTCTCCTTGAGGGCCTTGATGAATTCATCGCGCTGGCGCTCGGCGGTGGATGGGCGGATGATCTCAAACTGCGATGCGAAGCGGGCGTATACGTCGTGGTTGTATTTTATGGGGTCGCCGATGTGGAGGACTCTGAGCTTGGCCATTTTTGTATACTGTGTTTGGGATATGTCGATTATCTTAGTTGCAATGTATTGTCTGCAGCGGCAAATGCATGAAGACTGAGGTCTATATAGTTCGGAGATACATTCAATAGCCGTCGGTCAAAGACCGATTGCCGATGAGGGCGGGTTTTGACTGTTCGGGAACGATACCGACTATTATTCTCCTGCAGCAGAATTGATTTACGTCTCGGTCTATTAATTCAATTACAGGCGCTGTTACCTAAGTAGGTGGCTCGTTAACGTGGTCGTGGTGTATGGAACCCGCAACTCCAGGAAGTCAAAACCCGAACCCAACCCCATAAACCCAAACAATCCAATTCCACAGAATAAACACCACCCCATGCCCCAAACAAATGCAACTCTTACTCCCCCGCAGCTCTAACAGCCCACCTCACCAAGTCTGCAATCGCTCCACTCACAGCCTCAAATCGCGGAATCTCATGCCCGCCGCCATGGTTATACACCTTCCTCCTCGCCTTCTCACACACCTCGCTCAGCTGAATCCCAGCAATATAGCGCGGATCACGCTCACCGTAGATATGCACCGTCGGAATAGAGATCTTCACACCCCCACGTCTTGATATCTCCCGCCGGATCTCGTCCTCCTTATTGAACGTCAGTTGCAGCGAACCGTTGCTGAGTTGGTTGTAGCTGTAGGGCGATGATGTCGTGGTAGAGGGGAATGTCATGTCGAGCCCGTTCGCTGTCCACCTTGCTGACCCCCGGGATAGGATTGCAGCGGAGCCGGCCATGGATGACAGTGCCACTCTGCTTGCGAGGTCGCGCTCTTTCGTGGCCGCGTGAATAATATACCCGACGTGTTCGAGCAGGGCGAGAGGCGCGCCGCCGCAGATGAAGATTGCCGATTTAAACGGTGGTTTCCTGGTACTTTTATCTGCATGGCCATGTCTGGATTCGGTTTCAGCTTCTGGAAAGTGTGACTGTGCTTGCGAATCCATTTCATGCACCAGAAGCATCCCCGCCGCAAGTGCTGCGCCCTGTGAGAATGTCAGGACCAGATCGTACGGCCCGCGTTGTGATATTATATCTGATAGCCATTCGTGCGTTGACTCGATTGTCTCGAATGCGGTGTTCTGCGGGGTCTCGGCGAAGTACGAGTAGTATGGGCCTGGGTAGAAGAGCTCGATTCCGGGAGCGGGGCTGCAGGGGTAGGGACCGTCGAGGAAGTCAAAGTCGAGATTGAGGTCTGTGAGGCGCGAGCGGACGGAGGCTTGTATAACCATTAGCCATTGTTGAGCGGGTGGGAGTTGAGGGGCAGGCTAACAGGTTTGCGATTTGAAGATTGCGCCACTTGTGCCTCTGCCATGGAGACACAGGACTTTCATCCTTATTTTCTAGGAGAGGTTGGGTGAGTGAAGATGGTCCTAGTGGTGGGGGTTGGTGAGGGGACGAGGTGTAAATAAGTACGGAGAATGCGGTGGGAAATCCCCTTGCAGAACTGACAGGACAGCGGTATGACTCGCAAAAGCAAAAGCAAATCACAAGGAGCGGTGACTGCACCAGTGAACACGCCGGGTCTATCTGTTAAAGAATTGCCCGTGAAACACTGTAAGCAAGATTCGGACTCCGGAAAATCTACGGTGTAAGCCTGGCTTATCTGCTGTGTTGCACACGGCCCAGAGTAGGAATGGCTTCACATTGAGTACGAATCTAGCGAATGACAAGGGTCGGTCTCAAACACAACACAAAAAGCTAAAGACTGGACCGTGTTGAATCAGTCTCAGTGTCCTGCATGGTTGAACATGTCACCAAACGGATCTCAAGTCCGCTACTTCTTCGGCTCCGTCACTACACTGGCATTCATGCTTGCCTCCACGCTGGCGTTGGCACTCAGCGAGATTGGCGACAGAACACTCAACCCAGCTCTCATTTCAGCATCCTCCTTGGTCAACGTTGCATTCCTCCCCGTCCCAATGCCAAAGCGCCGCTTCGCCGCTTTCCAGCTCTCCACCAGCGCCAGGTAAACCACCACGCATCCAAACACCACTCCCCAATGCCAGGTGATTCCCTGGTGCTTAAAGACGACGCGGTTCACCTCGGGCAGGTAGATTACCGGAAAGGCGATCACGAAGCCTGCGACTACGGCCCAGAAGAGAAACTGGTTCTTCCAGATCGAGTTGAAGACCGACAGTTTACCGGGATACTGGTCCGGATCGAGGTTGAAAAGTGATCGCGAGAAATGCTTAACTTCCCATGCAGTAACGAGTAGGAGGAAGGTGAGCGTTGCATAGGTCGTAGCTCGGGCTTGAAAGACCGTTCCACAGCTGCTGTTCCATCCCTCATTGCAGTCGTGTCCCATGCTCGCAGTACCCGAGCCTTCGCCGTAGATGACACTCACAAAGGCAACGAGACAGAGACAGCCCATGAAGGTACCGTAGACCATCTTGTCTGTGATGAGTTCGCGTGTGAAGACACCCACCTTCAAATCATGCGGCGGGCGGTACATGATATCTGGCTGACCCTCTTCTAAACCTAGCCCGAGAGCAAGGAAGGAAGATGTCACCAAGTTGGCCCAGAGAATTTCCAAGGGCGATAATGGAAATATGGAATTGCCCTCCTCATCCTTGAATGCAAGGGCAATCAGAAGAAGGATCACCTGCGCAATATTCGATATCAATAAATGCATCAAGAACTAGTTAAATTAGCAAAAGCCCAACATTATTCAGATAAGTGGCTTGCCTTCTGAATGTTGTCAAACAGCCTCCGCCCTTCTTCAACGGCTTTCACTATCGATGCGAAATTGTCATCTGTTAAAACCATGTCTGACGCTTCCTTCGCGACGTCGCTACCGTTCTTACCCATGGCAATTCCTACGTCAGCGCGCTTCAGCGCAGGCGAGTCATTGACCCCGTCACCTGTCATGACACAAAACGCTCCCCGCCGATGCATTGCCTCCACCATTCGAACTTTCGTAGTAGGGCTGCAGCGTGCGATAACCAAGGGCAGCTGCTCAATTGTATCTATATCGGCATCCGACAAGCGATCAAACTCCTTTGCTGCCATTACTAGGCGACTGTACTTCGCGTTGATTATAGGATCGAGAATTCCTACTTCCGATGCAATCGCTGTCGCTGTTCGGATGTGGTCGCCTGTAAGCATGTGGACTGTGATTCCAGCCATTTGACACTTTCGAACGGCTTCTGCTGTTTCAAGGCGCGGCGGATCGTACAAGCCTACGAGGCCGCCAAACTTCAGATTGGATTCAGCGTTGTTGCGCGGAGACACTTGCGATTCGTCGTTGACAGGCGAGTTCTTGTATGCTATGCAGAGCACCCGGAGACCTTCTCCGGCCATTCTCTCGGCTGTTTCTTGGATGATTTCCTTCTCTTGATCACTAATGTCAAGACTAGTGATGAGTGCCTCCGGTGCACCCTTGGAGTATGTTTCATTGAATTTTGTTTTCCGGTTGGTATATACCACTGTCATCTTCTTGACTGATGAGTCGAAAGGGTATTCAGTGTGAAGGTGAAGATCCCTGGCATTGATGATGTCGGACTTTTCAAACCCAAACCGCATAGAGAACACTCGCAGAGCGATTTCAGTAGGCTCGCCGACAGCAGTCCACTCTCCCTCGGCCACCTGGGTGGGCACCTTGTCTGAGGAATTAGACTGCGCATTATTGTGGACAACGGATAGATTGCACAGGGAGAGAGCGGTAATAAATGTGTTCGAGGTATTATCTTGAATGTCGTTCGGGTCAGTGTCTTTGCCGTCTAGTCGAATAAGTCCACTTGTAGGGTCGAATGGATTTGTAGTGTCGTGGACAGTCAAAGTCCCAGTATCTGGAATCCAAGCAGTACGCGCAACCATCTTGCCCTGCGTGAGCGTACCGGTTTTGTCTGAGCAGATATTTGTGACTCCCCCGACAGCCTCGAGACATTGTAGCTTTCTGACAATCACATTGCCCCTCGCCATCGCCTTCGTACCAACGGCGACGGTAATCGTGAGCACCGCAATCAATGACTCGGGAACCACAGCAACTGCGACACATATCCCATAGATTAGGACTTCGCCCTGGATGTCCCATTTACTCACGGAGAAAACAATGATGGCAAGGAGTACGGCCAGCGCAAAGAGGAGTAATGCAAACTTGCTCAGCTTGACTTGCAAGGGAGTTCCAACAAGGCCAAGGATTCCCTTTACAGAGGCAACTAAGCGACGAAATATGCGGACAAGTAGGTTAGAGCCATCGTGTTCAGCTTTATCTTGAAGTAACTGAGCGATCTTTCCAACCTCCGTCATCATTCCCGTCGCAGTGACAATTCCAGTTGCGCGACCCTGTGTTGTGCTACAGCCAGAGTAGGCCATGTTGGTTCTATCTCCAATGGGTATATCGCGGGAAAGGAGAGTAATCTGCGGCGTTTTTGCTACGGGTAAGGATTCCCCAGTCAAAAGTGCCTCATCCACCGATGTATTCATGCCTTCGAACAGTCTCATGTCCGCCGGGACGATGTCACCAACAGCCAGTTGGACGATATCTCCGATCACAAGTGATTCAGCCTTGACAGAGGCAACCCGGCCATCCCGCAGTACCTTGCATATTGGTGCAGATAACCGTTGTAATGAGAGAATATCCTTCTCGGCACGGTAGTCTTGCACGAACCTAGACAGGGTTAGAATGAAAGTCCCACTTCGATGGGAACGGACACCTTACCCTACGACGATATTGAGTAGGATAACGGCGGTGACGACACCCCCTTCAATATAATCGTGGATCCCGAAGGATACTCCCATGACAATAACCAGAATCTAATCCCAACAGTTAATGGTGACTTTCCATACCGCGAGGCGGTTGGTATCGATTAATGGGCTGATGCCATACTAAAGTTAAACTGTTGGACACTTGCCTCAGGAAGATCTTCCATACGGATAGTCCCTCCATCTCCCTGACGCTATTAGGTCCGTCCCGCGCGAGGCGAGAAGACGCCTCCGCGTTTGAAAGCCCATGCCTATAATTATCAGTCCTTAAACCCTAAAGCAGAAGGTCATACAGGACAGGGCAACACACTGAAGGTCAACATTGAGGATTTCCGAGAGACTAGAGGGGTCGATGGTGTGAGCATGGTCTGAGGTACTTGGCGGGTCTTTTTCTGCATGGTGGACTGTCTCATCTGCTTGTTCTGGAAAGGGAGAGGCTTTCTCGATATCATGCGCGTCTTTTACATCTCTAGGATGACTATGGTGTTGTGACTTGTGCTCCTGTGAGTAAGCACATATAGGAGGCTCCGTCGCTTCCTCGACATCAAGGGGAGCTATTTCTATGCCCATTCAATTAAAGTTAAGGTAGAGGAGGAGATGCTTGCTTGTACGGCGATAAACGGCCCGAGAATGCTCTATAAGATGCAAAAATGATCCAAGTACTTCCGGCAATGAGCAGACAACGAGGAGAGGATATTCGATTCACAGCACAGGGCTAGCCAGGCCCTACAATAGCCAGGACGTACTTTATAGTCTGGCAGGGGGTGTCGGCGCGAGGGCGGGGGATGGAGATGACTAGTAATCACGGCATGAGGGGTTGCCATGCTTGCACCGTTCATGATTCGTGTCTCAACAAGTCGCATAATCTGGAACATCATCTTGGCTCATTGCATCACTGCCATAATCACTTTCCATATCAACCACAGGTCAAGCCACTCACGGGCTTGGGCAAGACAGAGCCGGAGCAGATTGGACGAAGCCGAGCCTGGGGAGCTGCTGGGCGGAGACTACGCCTCGCGCTATAAGTCGTGGCCTTCGTTCTCGGCGAGGAATGATCAGAGAAGGCGACCAGTGAGGATGCTGGAGGAATTGAGACGATGGAGCCCGGAGTTGACGATGAAGGAGCCGGCCCTCGTAGCTGGGGGCACGTGAGCTGCTGCTGCCACTGGCAGCAACTCCTCGTCCTTGCTGCTCCCACGGTTCACCACTTGTCAAAGCATTCTGCATTCTGCAGTCTGCGGAAGTCTGCTCTGCTTCGGCGCATTTTATTTTGCAAGACGAATTCTCTTCTTGGGATGTGCAGTATCTCGTCGTGTGCCTGGGCGTTCTGGGCTTGGAGACTAATGATCACAGTCTCATAATTCCTGTATCAACTGGAATTGGTGCCGTAGAACCTCGCAGCCAAGAGCCCAAGACAACTTCGCTTCAGCATCCCCGCTGCTTCGCCTCACCCGATCTCGGCATTTTGGGGATCTTTCAAAGTCATCGGCTCATCTCAGCCAACAAATAGCATTGTGCAAATGGCGAGGATCATTATCTAAATAGCCCGTGCCGAGAGAGGTTCCCTTTTGATACCCGTCCATGGACCACGGTTTATCCAGGCATAACCGGTTTCAACAACCTCCTTTAACTCGGCGGTCTCGTAAATATTACGCCTTGTCAGCTCATTGACCCAATACGGTAAGACGCCTGGGCATTCGATTGGATGGACATGAATCGTTTCTCTTGTCAACTTTAAACTATAATTTGTGGGTGCAACCTCTGCGGGACTGAGATCTCGAACTCTCCCACCAACCAGTATAACTGGTGCGGGCGCGAAGAGACTGCAAGATTAAGGTGAATGGACCAGCGGTTACAAGCAGCTTGATCGAGGGGTTGAGTTTCTCTTCTCGCAGTATGTGCTACCAGTAAACCTGCCTTCTTGGTGGGGTTTGCTGAAAATGTAGCCGGTTCCCTAAGCACATTGCCAAGATTGTGGTCTATTTTCAGATACTTAAGATGTGCCATTATTAAAATCATCTGATGATTTCCATGCTCTTCCACGGGGATGTGTCTCCCAAGATGTTGGAGAGCCCGCTTGAGGCCTCAGGCATAAATACAGTACCTCAGGCATTAATTTGTAGCCAATCAATAGGTGGCCCGCAATCTCCGCCAGGTTCGTCTCAAAATTTCCAGCTGCAGCTTCAAACAATCTCCGCGAACACCATATTAGAGCTCTCTATTCTTCGTTTTGCGAGCTCTATTTTACCACGATAAATACCAACTGTCACACTCGAAGCTTTTTCCTGGTATCGACTACCCCGGAACAATTAGCACGATGGGAGGGCCAATTGCCTCTCTTCACCCGCTTGATCGCGCTGATGGCTCGGCGTCATATAAATGCCCTTCGACAGGCTCCAACATCCTTGGATCAGTTAATGCACCTGTCGAACTCCCCGGACGCCGAGATGCCTTGAAGCCCGAAGAGGCCACCGTTGAAGTCTTCGTGAAACCAGGGACTGCTCCCGGCGGTGTTGGCGAGCGCTATGTGGAGGGCATCATCAGAAATGCGTTGGGCCGACTGATACTAGGGCGAGAAAAGGGATACCCAAGACGAGGTGTTGTTGTCACATTGGCTATAGTTGGTGGAGAATTTGTGGGAAGAGGAGGATCGGTAAGTCAACAAACAATCTGCAATGCTGGGATAATAGCTAAACTATAGGCGCTGACCAGTACCTTCCATTACTCCCTGCACTCCTCCATACTGCCACTCTTGCACTGTTGTCGGCTTCTGTCTCCCTTTCGATGACACTGTCCGCCACTACTCTCGCCGTGAATTCGTCGGATGAGATCATCCGCGAACCCTCAATTAAAGACACAGCGGGCTCTACTTCTCTTCACGTCCTAGCATTTACATCTAAAGGTCATCTACTACTGAACGAGAGCGAAGGAAAGTTTACTTTTGATACCTGGGAAGAGGTCTACGAGCGCGCACTTGCTATATGCCATGGGACTTCAACGACCGGTTCTGACGGAGATGTCGCCATGACCGAGAACGAGGACAGCCAACCGCTCGAGGGTTTAGTACGCGACGCGGTCCAGGATCAGATCCATTCCGACTATGCCTGGAAGATTGACGCTGCTTGATAGCTGCAATATTCCCAGCCAATTTCATAGAGGTAAACACTTCCCGCAGACGACACGATTATCGCCATTCACCAGAGCACGTGCGGTCGGATTGCCTCTGTAGGACACATGCCGCCTTATCTATACGGAATATACCTTCGGATTTCACAGCTGGCTTCACATGCCTGAGGCGCGGTAACGGCCTCAAGGGTTTCCCATCAAGATTATTGGGACGCACTCGGCTGCTCGACAAGCAAACCAGCCCTTTTTGAAGCGGACTGGTGGGCAGGAAACCAGGAATGGACGCAGAGACGGATTTCTTTGACTTGCAAATGCGGGGCTGCGTTACCAAAGTGTTCTGGTTGCTGACGTGGGATACGTCCGGAGTGTTCCCAAAGAAGAAGCCTGCCTTGATTAGGGCCATCTTTTACTGGACAGAGCAACTTGAGACGACATCATTCCTCAGGAATCTAGCACCCATGCGGCTTTGATGATTCATGAATACAACGCATGATTGGAGCCTCCAATTCCCTGAATAATGAGTGACAAATCACCGTCGCACGTAGACCGCGGAGTAAAGAAACGCCTTTCAGATCGAAGTGGATTCGCCGGCTTTTATTCTTCATTAGACCGAGACCTGTAAGAAATACAGCGTAAATATTTAATCGCAGGTCGGACCGGGAGGCGCTGCTCCGGCTGTTCGCAGGGCTTCGGCCATTTTCCAGTGTGGGGGAATCGCCAGCTCCAACTCAACTTTTCAAGAATCTTCCACTCTCGCAACAACTCCATCAGGACCCAGCCCTGCGGTCAATCCAATCCCACTGCTGGTCAGCTTATCCCTGGCGTGATTAGCCTCCGGCCAAACACCGATACGTCCGAACTCGGCCTGTGTGCCGTGAAGCCTCCCGCTCTCTTCTGTCAGTCGCGGATTACAGGTCAAAACTCTTCTGGTTAGTCCGTCTGACTCCGCAACCACGTCGACACGCTCGGGCTTATACGACCCTAAATCGCATTTCCATGGCTTCTCCTTCCTTCCGTCATGATTCTATAAATTCCCAGGCGGTTCCCGGCCACCCGTGCTCACCTTCGCCAGCGACCGACTCCGCCGCCCCACCGCTATTATCAGACCCATCTCCTCCGCCGTCAACTTCCAAGGCCGTCGGAGCTTCGCTCTTGCGTGACTATGCCTTCCACATAGACCCTTCACAAACCGCCAACGAAGTCGGACGCAGCGCTACGCCCCAGCAATCTCTCAAGCCCGCTGCAAGCGCAGCCTCGCCGCTCCCCATGCAAGCGCGAGACAACCAAGCGACCTCGACCTCGCCTCCCACGTCCTCCACGCCCTTCCTTCCCTTCCGTGCAGCGCCCTCATTAGGTCGGCACAGTCGGAACGCCATCTCTTGCGACTTAATACCTCGACAGACTATCCTGAAAGCGCTCGCTTCTCGGCCCTGCTCCAACAACCACAATTCCAATATGCCGCTGGCGGCGCCCCTCAGTCTTCAAAACTCGGCCACCAGTCCCCCGGAAGACACGGAGCGTCGTCAACCCCCGTCAGCATCTTCACAGAAACTTTCTGCTGCACTCTCAAATCTGCAGCTCAGCTCGTATGCTGAGCGTGCCCCCTCTACGGCGCGCCTGATCATGCAATCCCCATGTTTCTTTCATAAACGGTTCGATGATGCGGTAAATCTTCAGAAGGTGCTAGAAGAGGTCACAGACGACGAATGGCTATCACATTCTCGTCTTCTGCAGACGGCAACGGGGGTTCGAGAGGTGTCTAAACAGCTTCAGCGCCGACCGATCAAACGCGCGGTCAAAAATGTCATGATCGTTACCAAGGCGAGAGATAACAGCTTGGTTCATTTGACCCATGACCTTGCCGAGTGGCTTCTCTCCACCCCTCGGTACGGGAGCAATCTTGGCGTAAACGTATATGTGGACGCCAAGCTACGGCATTCGAAACGATTTGATGCCCAGGGTCTGATTCAGAAGAATCCAGCCTTTGAACATATGATTCAGTGGTGGACACCAGACCTCTGCTGGACGTCTCCGGAGAAGTTTGACCTTGTGCTCACCTTAGGTGGAGATGGGACTGTACTTTTCACGTCATGGCTGTTTCAACGCATTGTGCCCCCCGTCCTCTGCTTCTCTCTAGGGAGTCTCGGGTTTCTTACGAACTTTGAGTTCGAAAACTACAAGTCTCATTTAAACGCTGTCATGGGGGATGTTGGGATGCGGGTGAACCTGCGAATGCGATTTACCTGCACGGTATTCCGAAAGGACCGGAGTAAAGGTGCGGAGGCCGGCGCAGTGGAGGAAGGCGAGCAATTCGAGGTACTCAACGAGCTAGTCATTGACCGAGGGCCATCGCCATACGTGTCAAATCTCGAGCTGTACGCCGATAACGATCTACTCACTGTGGTTCAAGCGGATGGGTGTATTTTCTCGACTCCAACTGGTATGTATTCACATCATTATGGCGTTGGAACAAGCAGCTAACTGTCTGTAGGATCCACCGCCTACTCGTTGTCCGCTGGCGGCTCTCTCATTCATCCTGATATTCCTGGAATTCTCCTTACACCTATTTGCCCTCACACTCTATCTTTCCGACCCATGGTTCTCTCCGATTCGTTGCTTCTCCGCATTGCCGTGCCGGCTGGGTCCCGGTCGACGGCATACTGCTCATTTGATGGCAAGGGCCGCGTAGAGCTCCGCCAGGGTGACTACGTCACCGTCGAGGCGAGCCAGTACCCCTTCCCAACAGTTGTAGCAAACAACGGGGAGTGGTTCCAGAGCGTCCAGCGAGCCCTACGGTGGAACACCCGCGGCGCCGTCCAAAAGAGCTGGCACAGTGGCGATGCATCCATGGTCCCCACCGACGATGAAAACGAAGACGAAGAGTGGGATATAGACACCGATGCCGGGTACAACGGTACCGATAGCGGACTCGGGCCGAGCGAAGACGGCGACACCGGATCCAACAGTCCGATGAAGCGTCAGATGAGCATGCTCGGCATGTAGACGACGACTATTTAACTATCACTTACACATATATTTCATTTGTATTTTAAGGCCCTGTGTGCTGGACACGGGCTGGGTTTATTTCTCTTGGGTTGATACACGATACACGACACATGTATCTCTGGCGCACTTGGGTACTACTTACTACTACTGCGTTTCGGTTTTGCTATTTCCTAGCGATGATAGATTGCATTTCGACCAGACCACGGTCCCTGGTTTAGCTCTACATTTACTACATTTATATCGTCCTAAATCATACGGGCCTCGGCCCCTCAGCATTCGCTCCACAATACTTATACCTTAAGTCATTTATATACATGAACATTATACAGCCATCAAGAAACCAACGAATACCAGCAACATTGAAGCTGTAGAAAAGTCTCTACAGATTCAACGTGAAAAGAGTCATGTCTTCGTGAAGGAGCCAGTCACCAGCCGCTCCGGACTTGGAAGGCATATAAACACGCTGATCCCCCGCCATTTACGCACCCTCTCTCTCTTCCTCTCCTCCCCATCTCTTCCATCTTTTCACAAAGAACCATCTGCATCTACAAACCAAAACCAAACAACCAAATAACAGACAGTAACAACAATGCCCGACGGAAAGGGATACTCTTACAACAGCTCCGGCACCAACAGCCAGGTACGTCACCATATACCTCCCAACCTCATTGTTGGAGTTTGGAGTCCATTGCTCGGTCCTGACACAGCTAGGGTAACCACTACTGCTCGCGTGACTACGGCAACGGGTCGAACTCGTACCACTACTCGAACAGGTGCGTAATGCTTTATCCTCTGGGTTATGTTCATGGCTACAGAGGAGGGCACTATCCTTGATGAACCTATGTAGATCAGGACAAGCTAACGGTGTCGGTTTTGTTTGGCTGTGTAGCAATGGGTCTTATTACTACTCCAACCCTAATGGGAGCACCTACTACAATAACGGAAATGGTGGCTCGACCTACACTCCTCCTAGTGGCAGTGGCGGGCAGAAATGAAGGTGTGCACTGATGGGTCTTCTTACGTCTCTGGATCTAGCTTCTGGAGGCGTTCTTAACAGGTTTATCATGCTTGTTTCGCTAGTCTATCTAGTGAACGAATGACTTTTCATTAAACCTAGGTATTGACTGTTTGATAAGGGCCATACATGTCAGCCTCAGTAAGATCACCAAATAGGATTGGCCCTTGTGGGAAAATCCTTCCGTCCATATTCCGCCCCATGTGAGTGTACTGGGCATCGCGAAGTACCAATGCAAGTATGATGGTCCCAACTTTACTCATGGCCGACTGGTAGTTTGTATTGAAAGGGCCGACCTCGTACATGGTCAAGAATGATTCCGGGTCGCTGGAGTCTCCATTCACGCCCCCGGCCGAGTCGAGATAGCTCATGTATGGCTCGCTGTATTCAGCAAAGATGAGGAATATCTCGTCTTCATCTTGTGAGATAATGATCCGTCTATTTGGCAGGAATTAGTATCCTATCCTTGACACAGGTTGAGAATATAAAAAGGTAAAATGCTCTTACGGATGGGAACGATCAGGGCTCGTCATCAACCAGGCCACCATTTGGGCGCTTTCTTGAATACGAATTTCAGGGCGCGCTTGAAGTCGGGCAGGCTCCCTCACGTCGACGAGTACACGCGGTCCGCCATAATTTTTGCCTTTCATAAACGCATCCACGTGGACTTTGTATTGCGCAACGCCAGGTTCAAACTTGGCCACCAACGTCTTTCCAGACATCACCCACTCGACCCCGAGGTCTGGGACGGACATTGTGAGGGCAGTTAGGAAAAGAACAAGCGCGTTCTTTATCGTGGGCTCGAATTCAGATTCCAGGTACCTCCTGTTCCAAGGTGTAATATTTGTATTCATGTCTGACGTTGAGTCCTTGTCGTCGTCTTGTACCCATTCTTCAAGTTCATGTTGTGGGATATCGTTGGAGAGGCTCGAATCTCCAGATGACGATGGTGCAGAGCCATTGCGAAACACAACTTTATCACCAAAATTCTCACTTCGAATACGTCTGGCCTGGGCCTGGAAAATGCTCGCGAGAGCAAAGTTCCCTTCGGCAGGCCTGCCGTAGAAACTTCTATTGTATGCGTGCCATGATTGATAGTCCTTAAGCACATCGGCAGCGCGCCCCATCCATTCATCGAGATCGAAAATCTTTGGGTCAAAGGACGCTGCCGAAATATCCTTCCAGATTATGCGGAGGGGGAGAAATTGGCGGTAGCTCAATCTTCTGGCTTTAACGAAATGCTCATCGTTTATGCCCACGCCGACGAGACCCTCGGACCCGGCGGCTTTTTCCCACTCGGAGACTGACGAGGGTAGTTCCGGTATATCATACATCGAGAGACTTAATAGGATTGATAGGCGAGTTGAATAAAGGTGAGAAGTGGAAGCGAAAGCTGTTAGAATACGCTGGTACACACTTTAGTAAAGCGACTGGAAACGATAATAATATATTGCTAATATGCGAATTGCTAGAATGATGGGAGAAATAACATTCAAATGTGCCGCTGACACTCTGACGGGACTTTTTATTCTTAGAAATAATTATCTGGGAAGGAGCGCCGCAGTACCTGAGCTCGCTAGGAGTGCGCAATGCGAAGAGCAGTATGCCTGGTAGGTAGTTTCCATTTCTATATACCCAGTCTACCAATCGCAACTCTCCGAAAGGAGTGAAGCCAGTTCCTCGAGGTACTTCTTATCCTCATCGTCAAAGCCCGACGGCTCCGTACAATCTATATCAATAATTGCGACAGTCTAACAATTCATCAGCCTCCTTCCCAGCAAAATGCAAGGGAAAACCAAAACCAAAACCAAAAACAACTTACCTCTCCGCCCGCCAAGATTGGCACCACAATCTCACTCCGACTGCTCGCATCGCAGGCAATGTGCCCGGGAAACTCCAGCACGTCCGGAACAACAACCGTCTCGCGCTTCTCCGCCGCAGCGCCGCATACACCGCGCCCAAACCGGATCTCCTGGCACGCCGGCCGACCCTGGAAGGGACCGAGCCAGAGGGTGTTTGTTACCGGTGTGGCACCGGCCTCTGTAGAAGACGCATTGGAGGACGGGAACTTATCGCGACGGATGTAGAAGCCAGCCCAGTTAACGGACGATGAAGGGGCGGGGAGAGCGGCGTAGGCGTGCCAGAGTAGAGAGGCGACGTTGGATAGATTGCTACGGTTTCAGAGGATCAGTTCAGATGGCAGAGGGCTTTAGGGGGTGATTCGCATACCTGACCCAGTTGCGCTGGCCTGTGACAAGGCCCTGAGCTTGCTGAATGACCTGGGTGTAGATCTCGGCTTTAGTGCCGTTGGTTGACCCGAAATAGGAAGAATCCGCGTGAGGCTTAGGAAGTCAGTATAGTGAAATGTAAGTCAATTGGTAGCATACCATGTTTGCAGAATTGAGTTGGAAGTCGCAAAAAAATGAATGACGGAATGGCGGGAGAAAATTGTGGTGATAAGAAAGTGGGGTGTGACCAGGTGCGGGGAGCTTCTCTTATACAAGGGACAACCACCCTGCAATTGCTCACCCAAGGCACAGTTCTAAAACATCTAACGTGATGGATGCTGTCTCTAATTCTGGCCTCCAATTCCGCCACCGGGATCGAATGGGGTCTTCCGTAGATCTCCAAGACATGCATCCCAAGCTGTCGGCTCCAACTGCTTGTTCGGTTATCGCTGATAAGATAAACTTCACATTTGGAGACTCTTACCTACGTAGCGTTGCACGGGCTACATATTTAAACGGTCTCTTCTTCCGGAAAATTAACTGGAGAAGAAACTGTCATTCTTTCGTACACTCATAATCCAAAATGCGCGCCACGACCTTAACTTCCGCTCTTCTTCCCCTCTCAGTCAACGCGAGAGATATCGTCTTCCCCCCAGTCGCAGGCGTTGAATCGGAGCAATTCCTCCTCGGGCAACCTAACAAGATCGACATCACAACTGGTAGCCAATTCTCCGGTCTCACCACGTTCGCCCGCATTCCCTATGTCAATTGCTTTGTTGACAACGAGGCCGAGTCAACCCCGTACGACATTGCCATCCTTGGCGCTCCATTTGACACCGTACGTTCCCACATAGCTCTCCTCGCCTTCATGTCGAGCTGCTCATGCTAAATCTATATTCTAGGGCGTCACTGCTCGCCCGGGAGCAAGATACGGACCCGGAGGAATACGCCTTGGCTCTCGTCGCATCCAAGGATGGAACATCTACACCGAGCAAAATGTCTTTGAGAGCTGGGCGAAGCTGGTGGATTGCGGGGATGCGCCGTTGACATGGTTGGACAATACGGTTGCTTTGAAGCAGCTTGACCTTGCGCATAAGGTATATAACCCCCTGGAAGTATCAGTATACGCGTTCGTCACTCTAATGGTTGCCCTGTCTAGGTTGTTTCTTCTCGCGCGACAAACAGTACGGACCATGGGCGCACGCCTCGAATTGTGACTCTGGGCGGAGACCATACAACGACGCTGTCGGCTTTGAGATCCACTTATGAGCATTTTGGGCCGGTGTCGGTGATTCATTTTGATAGTCATATTGGTTTGTCTTCTCTTCATGGCAGTTGTATGGCTTGGCTGACTGTGGTAGATACATGGGATCCTAAGGTGCTAGGTATGACATCTAGATGCGAAGCTACTTATAATGAATTAGCTGACCTAGGGTTTAGGTGGCGGAATATCTCATTATGCGTAAGTAAACTACTACTTTAAATACCTGAATAACCGTACTAATATAGATACAGCGGCGTCAACCATGGGACTTTTCTACACCTCGCACACGAAGAAGTAAATCAATCGGTCCCATCCTTAGTCCAAATCTCACACTTATAGGGCCTCATCCACAACAATTCCATCCACGTCGGCATCCGAGCCCCCCTCAACCGCGGTAAAGGCGATATTAGAAACGATGTCCGCTGCGGTTTCTCAACAATCAAAGCCCGCGACCTCGACCGTCTTGGTGTAGCCGGTGTTGTGGAGGAAATCAAATCCCGGGTTGGGAACAGCAAGGTCTATATCTCGGTCGACATTGATGTCTTGGATCCGGCATTTGCGCCAGGTACTTTCACTCAAGGAGGGGGGTTTCTATTTACACGGTACTGATAATGTCATCTAGCAACCGGCACAGCAGAACCCGGTGGACTCACGACACGCGAACTCCTCACTATTCTAGACTCTCTTCGCGGTCTCCCGATTATCGGTGCAGACGTCGTCGAAGTAGCCCCAATATACGACACCGCTGCCGAAACTACTACCCTAGCAGCAGCGGAGGTTGCGCACTCTTTGCTTGGTCTTATGGTGCACACTCCATTGGCTAATTAAAAGCAAGTGTGTAATAGTTTTAGATGGAGTGTGACACAGCCAAGAAAAGCATGTGGTACCTGCGGTTCCTATAAATACCAATCATTACCCCAGCAGCTCATCGCATCTTTCCACAGAAAATACCTCCATTATACTTATGTATTCAGCATCAAAGGGAAAGAACAACCCACGTCGGTTGCACCTTCCTGTTGTATAGATCAATATCCCAATAAGGCAGGCGTGAACAAGGATTGGTCGTACCCTCCTATAGTTCCAGAGCTTATTCCATGTAAGGAAGGTGCAATGGACCGGACCCGTCGGTCGTTCCTGCTTATTGTAAACTGTCCTCAATCGCACCTTCCTGGAAAATGCATGGCGACAACCCCTACTTCTTCCTGTAAGGCAGGTGCGATGACAAATCCACTGGAGCCCCGGTGTACCTTCCTACCTAGGTGAGTAGCAATTTGTTCCTTGTACCTCATGCCATATCGACGGGAGGACGCACTGCATGAGATTTCACACGCCAAGTATAATTCCACACCCTACCCCGTAAACATAGATTCAGGTTAGTCTACCTTTATTTTAGCCACTGAAAAGTGTTTATATTGGCCCTAGACGCAGCGTCAAAATAGAAATTATACTGATGCGATGGTAAGTCTGCCTCAGGCGCCAAAGTCTAGCCCTAAATTCTATGCATGCACTGGAGATGCCTGTGTTGTTATTATATTGAATATCAATTTCCTACTCAGTAGGCCCCTGCCATATGAAATGGTCCTCTTGTTAAGTATTTCTTCATTAATTCCAAAGACAACCTTGGTTGGACTTCCTTGGTTTCATTAGTATTGATGATGAGGTTGCTACCTATCCCAACGCCTGAGGTAGTTGCAAGTTAGACCTTCTTCCATTCCTCTCGGCTATATCGGAATCTCCATATATAATTGCTGTTACTATTGACATGGTAATTCCTGCTATCTCCTACTAAGCCCCTTCTGCCGGGCGGCTAGCAACAATATATGGGGTGGGATCAGGTTGCGTTGCACTGGTCATACATTTCGGGAGAGTTTTTGTGCAGGAAGCTCCGGCCCTGTAAAAGCCCCTTTACAGGACTACATATTACACAAGGTATATGAAGGCGGGCTGTGTGGTTGTATTGGACATATTTAACCAACACTTAGCTCGCTAAGCTGTTAATCTGACATGGGAGCTGAACTGAACACTAAAAGGCCTACACACATCAGCTCTTAGATAAAATTGAGTCGGTGGCTAGTCCGGCAAGTCCCAGATCAAGACTGAATTATCCTGAAGATAGAGATATTTATTGGTAGATATTGCTGGGAATAACTACCGCATCCTGCGTTCCTAGGCTCCTTCTATACTACTTGGCACCCGAGCAGCAACAATCACCTATCATTTTGAATAGACTTTCTTTCTCATCCGACGCGCCACCTTTTGAAACTAGGCTTGCTTGGGTAACGTGGAATGATCTTCAGCTGGGTCGGTTTGTGTTGGGGTGAATAGTTTAGAGAATTCGCATAATTTCACTGAAACAGTCAACATTCCACCGCTTGAGCTCGTGGACATGCCACTCTGTGACAAATAAAACCAAGTTTAGGATGAATTACCATATTGGCCAGTGCTATGTGTGCCAATACTGTTTGATTTTGTATTGCGGTCGAGTGATTTAGGGTACACCGATAGGCATACGCAGTATAATTCCCGTACGAGTGTTGGCACTCCGGATCGAGGTGTATGAGGACGGTGTAGGAAGTATTTGATTCAGTCAATGATTACGAGGACTGCAGCCCTACGTTAATATTTTCATTTGGCCGACCATCTTGTCTTTCAGCTGGCCAGAAGACCTTTTTCCAGCTCCCTCGCGGCGCGGCCCAACAGCTGCTTGAGAAAAAAAAAGACGTCAGAGTGATTGCAGCTGTGTGGTCATTAATTTGAGAAACAGGTTTGGCAAATATGACTGGATCACTTGGTCGCTCCATATTGGCCCGGGTACAGCGGGATAATGGTCATTGGAAGAGTAGAGAGTGGATAGGCTGCGTCAACGTGAAGAGGGTGTTATTAAGCAGCAGGCGTGCTTTAAATAGTTAGAGGACGCGTGAACGTTGAAGCTGAAGGTGCAGGAGGGGCCTGAGTGCAATGTGATCGCCTGATCATGCTGCCTAGTGTGGCTGATGGATGCGCAAGTATCCGATGGCCGCATGATATCGCAAAGGACAGAGAATAGATGGACAACAACGATGATTCTTCAGCTCTTAATGAGGCATGGCGGGATCTGAACAGGCGTCGTGTATCCCTGGTCGCATTAGCATCGGGATGGTTGCAGACTCAACCCTGCCAGACAAGGAGAGTAAAGCACCTGGACACACAGGTCCATTGCTGGTCTGAAACCCACCCCTTTCGACCTTGGAAGCTTGACGCACACCACCATCTTTGTGGGTTTTGAGTCTGCCTTGATTTTGTCTCGGTTGTTTTCTATTCTTTTCTTTTTCTTCACTGCCTCTCGACCTAGTTGGTCAGCCGAGTCTCTCGCATGCGACTGGCCCTACCAAGTAGATGACTGCTGAGAAAGATACATCAGCTGGCGGCCCGTTCTCCAGCCGTCGATATAAAGGGGCAGAATCCCATAATCTCACTGTCAACCCTTGCTATTCGTGCTCTTATTTCTTCCTCCTATAGCTACACGGCGCGCATACTCTGCAGCATGCAACCTGCTGCAAGCCGACCGATGCCAAGAACCGCATTTGTTCGCCCTTGAACCAAGACACATCCACGCGGCTGGCCGCCTATTGAAATCCAGGCCAGTGCCACGCCGTATTCTTCCAGAGTAAGTGCTGCTAAATGCTATCTGGCCTCACCCACATTCTTGTTCTGTTTTGCTCTTCTGTTCCTGGCGAGGGTGGTGTTGTGTCCGTCTGGTACCGTTCGGTACCGTCCGTTACCGTTTTTTGAAACCCACTTTCTCCGTCGCAGCCAATGATCACGGACCTATGACGCCATACCCTTTCTGCCAAGCCCTGTTCCTTTCCCCGCAAAACGACTGACGCTTGCAGGTGGAATTCGGTCAGGCTTTGTTTTTGACGCCGTGTAACCATTATTGACGTACAAAGGGCGAAGAGAAAGGGGGAGCGAGCGCAGAAATTGACTGTCAAATTCTGTTTCCACAATTTTTATACTGAGGAACTTGGGAAGCCACCGGGAAACGGCAGGGCCAGTTCCAGTTCCTGACCATCCGGGGCGGCGCCACATAGTCCACCCATTCACTGTCAGATTCGCTAAAAGTCAAAGAATGCCTGTCTCCCCGCGCATTTCCTCCTCCTCCTTCTCAACTCCGACCTCGTTTTCCTCGCCTTCACTCTATCCGTCCTCCTGCAGCTCTGCGGATTCTGTCCCTCCCCTCACCTGTAAGTCAATCGCTTGCCGCCTGTTCCCCATCATGCCATTCGCGACAGCGACAGCGATCTTCCCCTCCAAGCGTCATTTCCTTTCCCACCACTGTCTCGGGCTCTTTGTCTCTCTTTGTCTCTCTTTGTCTCTTTAGTCCTGCCCGGTGGTGTCTCTTGACATTCCTCGCTGGCTAACCGATACAAATCCCCACCTGACACGTGTGGAATGCTTCGTCAATTGTCTTTAGCGTTGCAAGCTTGATGCTTCTTGGCTAATCATGTTTCGCTCAGCAAACCTCTCTTCCCCATCTTCATCTCCCTATCGGCGACCATCTCACACTCGTGACCAGTTGGAAAGTTTGATCGCCAGACACGGTCGTCCCACTCGCTTCTCGCTGTCGTCCCTTGAGGAATTGACCGCAACGTGTTCCACATATAACCCTCCGTCGCCCCTCCCCCGCTCTCGCTCACCAGTTGTCGGCTTCTCCGATCCCTTTGAAAAACCCTCAAGCTACCAACCCAGATCAAGACCTATCCCAATACCTAAGTCGCCTTTCAACACACACGAGGAGGACATTCCTGTCACTCCATTGACTGGGCGATTTGAGCGGGACTACTTCCCTCATCGCGATCTATCACCTGAGAGAACCCGAAACGGACGTATTCGCAGCCGAAATAGTCGTCGCTACAGCGATCACCGCTCTCTCAGAATGCGTCCTGACAGCTCGAACTTTTACACTCCTGTTACTTCACAGTCCATGTCTTCATCTAGGCGTCCCGGCTCTCCGCAGCCAGGCTCTCGGGCGCAAAATGCGGCCAAGTCAGCACCAACTTTCCATCTCAATGACCTACCACGGTTTCATCCTGCCGTTTACCAGTCGCCTGGGAGCTCTCACACGCTGAGCGGACAGCCGCCGTCACCACGCCAGTCTCGACAGAATGTGTATCGCCCAGCTCCTATTTCACGAGACCAGATCTCGCAGTACCGTGATTTCGTCGAAGGGGTTGTACTCCAGAAACCGGGGTCGCGTCCGCTGTCTCCTGGTCCATCCGCCCCACGGTTGAATCCTCTCAACAGCCCAGGGCCTGTCACACCGTTGGCCCTGGAAGAAGCGGGTGGTTATCTGTCTGCAGGCGCCAATAGGTCTGAGCTGTCTTCACGAGATTTCCAGCATTCGGCACCCGCGCCAGATCTATTAGACCGCCTGATCGCCCGCGAAAACGAAAAAACTAGACAAAAGGCAAGGAAGACCTCTAAAGGGTGGTGAAAAGGATGGACACCAACCACGGCACACGACCACCATACCCTCTGCCCAGCGCCCTCTTCTGAAAACCTCATCTTCCATCTGCTAAAAGTTCGATCTGAGAATGTCCTCCACACATCTCCAACAACATACCCTTCACTTCCTGTATTCGATATCATGTTATACCCCGCATCGGCATCGCGACCACTGAGCCTCAAGCTTTCGGACTTATGACTCCATGTTCCATCCACTATTTGTGTTTTCTTCACTGGCTTCCAACTGATTTCCATTCCTGCCAACATCATATTGTATTACCGACATTCATTAGCGTATTCTTTTCGGGGTCACGAACTGTAGCTTGGGTCCAACAGTACCAAGTATTTTGTTGTTCGATCGATCTTCACTCGATGAGGACGATCAAGCAGAATTAGAACTTCTTGTGGCATAGACGCATTACTCAGCGAATTCTAAACTCTTGATTACGGCATGCCTCCAGGCTTACCCAATAAGCAAAAGATAACTATATGAAATCCGGAGAAGTACTATAGCACGTCCGACCGCGGACCAATCTCCGAAGCACGCTTAATCTGCTTCCCACTCATTCTCCAAAATTCAAACTATATCTCGCAAGATCGGGGTAACCCCTGCCCCATAACGCAATCCACCCAATAATGTCCATCAGGATTCAGGAAAGACCGTGCAGTTAAGTGATGGACGGGGCAGAGTTCCTTGGCAGCCTCCCGGAGAAGAACATCAACTCCCCGAACCGCCGGGGCGAGTGGGGCGGCGAGCACATACAAGCCTCTGGGCAGACTCCCCTCCTCAAGATCTGCAACTTCTCCAACTTTCTTCTTCTCCTCTTCAAGACCAGCTTACCCCCCGTTGTTGTTGAAGGGATGATTTCAATTTCCTACTTAATCTTTAACCTTCGAAAATCTCATACCCCAAGCCGAGGACGGATGTTTAATTGAATTGACGCAGGTACAGAACTGTCGCCGCACTGTCCGATAACGGACGGAAGATACTCAAAGCCTCAAAGCTTAGGCGAGGACGACTTACACGTTAGCTATTCGGACCGAACAATTATTACACAAATTGGTCGAACTGCATACCCGCCGGGAAAAAAAGAGAAATAAAATAAAATAAAATGTCGTCTTCCGCGGCGCCCGTACCGAGTTCAACAACAAGCGCAGTGGACGCGTCCGGCTCGTCGCAGAACCTCGCCAAAGCTCCCCCGCCCACGGCCGATTCCAAGCGCAATTACAAGGGATTTGTGGCTGGTGTGTTTTCGGGGATTGCGAAGTTGAGTGGTGAGTTTTTATAGGCCTCGAACTTGGCCTTGGTCTTGGGTCCTACCTTTGTGGCCATATTGGAGGTATAGGCTAACAGTTGCGCTGTGTGATTTTAGTTGGCCATCCGTATGTTTACTACCGCTGCTCGAGTTATCGTCGTTCAGAACGAATATGTATTGACTTCCGGGATCTGGCAGGTTCGATACGGTTAAAGTGCGGCTACAAACGAGCAAAGATGGACATTTCAGGGGGCCGTTGGATTGCGTGATGCAGACGGTTAGAAAGGAGGGTGTCTCTGGATTATACAAGGGGGCTACGCCGCCTTTAGTTGGATGGATGGTCATGGACTCAGTGTAAGTCCAAGGCGAACCTTATCCCCGGTGTCTTGGTATACTTGAGCAGAGCAAAAGGCTGACAAGATTGTAGGATGCTCGGTTCTTTAACGTTATACCGCCGCCTGCTTCTCGAGAATGTTTTCTCGAGGCCGTCAATACGTGCTATAACCCCGTTTGCTAAATACCAGCCGGACCCCCATGCGCTGCCTAGTTTTGGACACGGGATTGCGGGTATTATGGCTGGTACGACAGTTAGTTTTATCGCTGCACCCGTTGAGCACGTCAAGGCTCGGCTTCAGATTCAGTATGCGGCGGATAAGTCGAAGCGGCTGTATAGCGGGCCGATAGATTGCATTCGCAGACTTGTAAGAGGTTTAAGTCAAATCCTAGAGAGTATAATATGCTGACCCGTCATAGATGGGTACCCATGGGATCACAGGCCTTTATCGCGGCCTCTGCGCAACAATTCTATTCCGCTCGTTCTTCTTCTTCTGGTGGGGTTCCTACGATGTCCTAACACGGATGATGAAGGAGCGCACAAGCCTCTCAGCACCAGCGATCAACTTCTGGGCCGGTGGTATCTCTGCCCAGATATTCTGGATAACGTCGTATCCCTCGGATGTGGTGAAACAGCGCCTGATGACGGATCCAATGGGCGGTGCACTCGGTGACGGGCAAAGGAGGTTCCGGTGGTGGAAGGACGCCGCGGTGGCGGTTTATCGGGAGCGTGGGTGGAGAGGATACTGGAGGGGCTTTGTGCCATGCTTTTTGCGAGCATTCCCGGCGAATGCGATGGCGTTGGTTGCATTTGAGGGTGTGATGCGCTGGTTACCATAGTACTCAACACCAGCACCTTCATGATTTTTTTTTTCGCTCTGGCGGCATGGGGATAGAGATATATACGGGCTATAGATCTTAACTAGACAAACAATTAATATTAACGATTAGAAGACTACGTTGAAGATGGCAATTCTGAGAGTCGGTGCCTTGATAGGCGTGATGGCGGGGGGTGTCAAGCTCAGCCAGACACACGGCATTTCCGTTTTCGGCGACTGAAGACCCGCACCTGTATAGCTCAAATGGGATGATTGTTACCTTCTTGTCTAAGTAGGAGCAGCGTTTCTGCTGAGATCCAGTTTCCTTCAGACATGTCTAGACCGCGACAGACGCTGCAGTCGGGTGTCCAAATATAGACTGGCGGGCCTCCCGTTGCGGATAGTTCGGCGTCCATCATCTTCAGGCGATCGTCAGCCGCCAATTCTCTCTCAAGAATCTCCATCTCGAACACCCCTCGACTTCCTTCTCCCTCGGCTTGGCCAGGGACGTCCGCTCATTTATCCGCAAGCTGGAGATGTCTCTCAGGCTCCCGGCCCTGGTCAAATTTGCCTTCGATTAGCGAAATCTCGGCTGCCAGACCACCACCGCCGATCCGACGATTGACCACGTACGACGAGACCAAGACACTCTCCGACTTCACACCCCGCTGCCGGCAAACCTCATTCTCCAAGACTGTCGAGCCGGGCAGTATGGCCGTTGCGCGCACCATGCGGCGCACCAGTCCAATTACGATCATACTCGCCTGCTTTTTGGCGTTCGGCTTCCTCTGCTTTTTGCTCTCCTCGCCATCGCCGCCGGCCTCATCCTCACCTCCGCCCACCGCCGACTCAAGGCTCGAAGACACAGCAGAACACCCTCTCTCTCCTCCAACAAAACCCTTTATCCCACAACCAGTCTACAAAGATGGCCGCCAGCCGCCTCCCCCGGTCGTCAAGTACAACCTCAATAGCCTCACCACTAGCAGCGACGCAACTAGCAAGGGCGAGCGCGTGCTCATTCTCACCCCCCTCGCCCGCTTCTACCAAGGATACTGGGACAACGTCGAGAAACTTACATACCCACACGAGCTCATCTCGCTGGGGTTCATAGTACCACACACAAAAGAAGGAAACGCCGCGGTGGCAGCGCTTGAAAAGGCCATCAGCAAGACTCAAACGGGTGCAGTATCCAACCGCTTCGCAAGTATCTCTATCCTCCGGCAAGACTTCGACCCGCCGCTCCAATCGCAGGACGAAAAGGAGCGCCACAAGCTTGCGAACCAGAAAGCTCGCCGCGAGTCCATGTCCCGCGCCCGTAACAGCCTCGTCTTCACCACCCTTGGTCCAAGCACCTCCTGGGTCCTCTGGTTGGACTCCGACATCGTCGAATCCCCACCAACCCTCATACAAGACCTAACCTCTCACAATCGCCCTGTTATCGTGGCCAATTGCTTCCAGCGGTACTACAACAACGATAATAAAAGGCAGGAGGTCCGCCCTTACGATTTCAATTCCTGGATTGATTCGCCGACGGCCCAGGCTCTCGGCGATTCAATGGACCCCGACGATATTCTGCTCGAGGGATATGCCGAGCTCCCTACATACCGCAGCCTTATGGCCCACATGGCCGATACAAAGAACCCGCGCCCAACCCGCGTTATCGATCTCGACGGTGTCGGTGGCACCGCCCTCATGGTTAAGGCGGATGTTCACCGCGATGGCGCAATGTTCCCGCCGTTCCCGTTCTTCCATCTCGTCGAGACGGAGGGGTTCGCCCGTATGGCGAAACGCCTAGGGTATAGCGTGTATGGGCTGCCAGATTATTTTGTACGTTTCCTGATGCGATACACCTACCGTTCTTGATGAGTGTCTTTGGCTAACGATTCTTTTGGTTTAGGTATACCATTATAACGAGTGATGCTTTCTCTCTATATTTATTTATTTCCGCTTCTCGGATTTAAAATAATGCTTGTGCTTGCTTGTATTTTACTATGTACCAAGGTTAATGTGGCTACCTACTTATAGAATGGAACGGATTGGATCAGGTATGGTTGCATATGGTCGGTGGCATGCATGCATCCCGCGCGCCGTGCGCAGGCTGGGATTTTTTGAACCCTTTTTTCCTTTTCTATACTAGGGTTTTCCATATTGGTTCTTTTTACCAATATGCTTGGTTGTTGTTAGGTACGGTTTGGTTGCACTAGGCGTTTGCAAAGTGAAATAGTATAATTCATATATTTTATAATCTAGCGGTGTTACCTGGTGGTACAGTTGCTTGGCTTAGATCTTCTAGATATTTTTCTTTTTGGGTGTCGTTTCTAGGTGTAGGTGTGCGTAAACCGCATTGGATACATTAGGGTAGGTGGTGTTGCGGATATAGAGATAGTTAAAGGGTTGTCCCGAAAGTGTAGTAGGCCTGGTGGCTAGTGCGGTTCGTCTAGATGTTATGGGTGCGGTATGGATGGTCCTCCACGGGTTTGTGCTGCGAATCGGGACCAAGGCTTGATCCACTGTTGGTTTAGATAGATACTATTATCTGACAAGAGGACGAGATTTAATCCCACGAGATCCTGTACTTTGGTTAGTACTTATCACAAACCAAGAGTAATGGGAAGGAAAACTAACGCAAGCATAATCCCGGCACCAACAGCGACAGCGATGAACTGGATGATGGTCTTCTTAATCTCTTCGCCCTTGTTCTTTCCAGTCTCCAACAGCTCGGGGATAACCGAGACCGTGCCGACGTAAAGGAAGGTCCCCGCCGTGAAAGGCAGAAGCATGTCGCCCCATGTAAGGCTAGTTCCTAAGAGCCCAGAAGCGGGCGAGCCTGGAATTCCATCTGCAGTAGTAGGGTTAGAACCACCAAACTCCTGCACCGCGATGCCAATAAGGGTTCCAATGAAGGCACCAATGGCTGTTACGAACTGCGCACCCATGGCCTTGCGCTTAGAGAAACCAGACTGGATCAGAAGGGCAAAGTCGCCGACCTCGTGGGGGATCTCGTGGAAGAAGACCGCGACTGTGGTCGTTGCGCCGATGGTAGGCGAGGCATAGAAGGAGGACGACATGGCAAGGCCGTCAGTGATGTTGTGAGTGAAGTCGGCGATTAGGTTGAGGTAGCCACCGAGTTTTACGCTTGGGTTAACCTCATCTTTGACGGCGCTGGGTGCCTCTGGCTCTGGCTTTGCAGACTTGCGCTTCTTGAGCTCGTTATTAGTTGACCCCGTGCTGGCGCCGGTGGTTACACCGGTCTCCTGCGCGGTATGGCCGTGGGAGTGCGAGTGCGAGTGGTCATGGCCTTCGCCTCCAGTGGCAATGCGGAGAGTTTTATCCATGGCGACGAAGGTGAAGAAGCCGACCATGATGCCGAGGCCAAGGAGGAGATTGCGGTTTGGCTCGACCATGACGAAGCTCACATGCTCTGGGGAGTCTTCACCGAGGAAAATTTCCGGGAGAAGGTGGAAGAGCGTATCGCCCAGAAGGCCTCCAACTGCGAAAGCAACCATAACGGACAACGACGAGGGGTCGATGTTCGGAGGGCATAGTGCAAGGAGGAAGTCTATGGCGGGGTTAGCATTATTGCACGCGACAACCTCTAAACCAAAGCTTACTCGGAGGGCCCGAAATGTACAATGTAGCAAGAAGAGAGTTTACAGCTGGGCTTCCGGGGAACAGAATTGAGAAGACCTTTGACGTCAAGCTTGTTGTCTCGGGACTTGTTGCACGCTTATGTTCATTCAGGGACTCCACGAGAGGACAGCTCTAGTTCGCGTTAGATCGGGTTTTCAAGGAGCTGGACCTGATGGTATGATCGCAGGTAGCGGCCCCTTTATCCACCATATTGGCGTATACCGATGCACGGCATAATTAACGCACCTGCAATTGCTCCTCGATCTCCCTGACGGACAGATCGCCGACGGCGATAGCATCTTGGGCAGCTGCCAAAGCAGAGAAGAAAGCGAGACCAACAGTCAGCGCAAGGCCAATCTTGCGGGCAGGAGATAGAGTAAACACGGGCATTGTGGGGGATTAGTCTAGAACAGGCTAGACATGAAACTGAAGCTCCGTCGCAAGGTACTCTTCCCCGGCTGGAGGTGTTGACACGACGGAGAGCGATAAAGACGCCGATGTCGCTTATCAGGGACCAGCCAAACACGCCAAGGCCGGGTGCAAACACCACTGGCGATTTTCCCGCATCGATAAGGATTTTTATTCTGCGGCTTTAGCTTCTCGACAACCAGTCGTCATTTTTGCATTTGCCCTGCATACATTCGAGATGGGTAATATCCGCCAAGCAAAGAAGAATCGCTCCTCTGCGCCTAAACAGAAACCCAAGCGGTCTGGCGTGCTCAAAAACGGAAAGAAGAAGATCAATGTTCTGGGCAATGCTATTATCGCGGAAAATTGGTATGCTCGCCAGGTTCAGTCGCTTCCACCAACAACAGCAACAATTCTAATCATGTGCCGATTATAGGGACCGCAAGTCGACGCTCACACAAAACTACCGCCGTCTAGGTCTTGTCCATCGACTCAACGCCCCAACTGGAGGATCCGAGAGGCGCAAGACTGAGAATGGCTTGGAGGAGGAGGTCGCGGACTCGCTACACATCAAGGGCAGTGTGGATGCCATGAAAAACGATGCTGTGAGCGAGTTGAAGGTCGAGCGTGATCCTGAAACCGGCAAGATTCTTCGGGTTATCCGTAAGGAGGACGACCAGGTCGAGGTCGCGGGACGCAAAGTCCGCCGCTCAAACCCGCTTAATGATCCACTGGACGATCTGTCCGACAATGATGAAGACCTGACACCGCAAGAGAAAAGGTCCGCGAGTAAGATTGTGCAGCAGCTTGAAAGGCAAGCCGATACCGAGGGACAAGCCCCCAAGAAGCCGCGCCACCAAAGCAAACGGGAGGAAGAATGGATTGCGAGATTGGTTGAGCGACACGGCGATGACTACCAGGCTATGGCTCGGGACAGGAAACTCAACCCCATGCAGCAGACGGCAGGTGATTTACGACGAAGGATCAACAAGTTTAAGGCGACTTAGGCTTTGATTGTTTTCTGGTTGAAAGCGCATATGCGGCGAATACGGCGTTAGGTTGATTTCGGGCAAAAGTGTCTATATGGGATTCTAGAGTTGGTTGATTGTTGATGTTCGACCCGTTTACTTTCCAAATAGACATGCAAAGTGTGTCTGTATAGTGCACTGGCATTGATATCCACATATATACTACTATACCCTCTAATTACAATGGGTTCCCTGGTATTCCGCTCAATCTCCCAAGCCTCTCAAGCCCAACTGTAGCAAAATGTGCTCTTTTACCACACGACGCGTTTGTCAACAACTCAAAGCTTGCTTCCTCTTTCCTCATCCTTCTCATCCTCTCTATTACTCCTCCTCAATTCAATCGCTCCTACTGAAACCATGGCTACCATGGCTACCATGATCCATCCGCTCCTGATGGTTCTCATCCTATTCTCCCTCCCGTTCATCCATGCCCAGATCAGATAGTGAGTATCGCACGGGTATCCTACTCAAACCCCTAAAGGATGAAAATTAATATAGAATCTCCAGTGAGTCCCAAACAAGCCGCTTCCGCTGTCCCTCACCAAATATGTCCTTCTGCGCCGCTGAATCTCTTCTGGGCTCATCCATCATATCATGCGGACCTGATGGAACGGCTGAGATGAGGTCTTGTCATGTCGAGTATGTCTTGGTTCTGCTTCCACCATCCCACACCCTCTCATCACAAAGGTTCAAAAGAGCTATGAAGGACGGTCTGAACTAAATGTGAACAGGTTATTTGGAATAGTCCCAGTGGAATACAAAGGAGCTGCCGTTTGTGAGTGAACCAAATTACAACCACATGCCATTGTCTGTGATCATTACATTCACTAATTGAATTCAATGGGACATATAGGCTACGAAGCATCCGCTCGCTCCGGCAACGCGGTTTGCGCTTTCAATGGGACTGGTTACACACTCTCCGGGTTGACGATGTATATACCGGAGACAACCCTGTGTGATGATCTACTCCCCAAGTCTCCATCCATGGATGAAATGGATAATGAGGAAGCGCAAGCGGTAAACAAAAGACAAGATGAACCTGAGCCGGAAACAGCTCCGCCTTATGAGACGCCCATACGTTCAAATTTGCCCATACATTCAAATTCTTTAAGGGACTCTCAATATACGATTCCCAGGCAGCGTGATATCGCCTTGCAAAATTTACCTCGTGCGGCCATGCTACCTTCGATCCCGGTGCCTGCTCCGAGCGATGTGAGAGACCACAATAGTCCCATTTGCTCGAATCCTTGGACGAGAGATACAAGAACAGGTGATAGAATGACTTTAGATATCGTGCTCGTGGTCCCTACGCAGAGGATTGATGTCGCGAACTCGCTGTCCCAGCCTTCGTCTTCTGTGGTGTGGGCGACACAGCCCGCCCATATCAGTTCTCCCATGGTCACTTCAGATGGCGGTGATATTTTTCACAGTTCCGTGAAACCAACTGTGGCAACTGGGTCCTATTCTGTGGCCACTAATGGTGGTCAGAGTGGTGAGGGCCGGACGTTGAATGGCAGTGAGACGCTTGGGATGGGTTTGTCGAATGGGGCCGGGTACCTGAATCTAAGGACAGTGGTTGTTGTCGGTATTTTCACTTTACTGCTGTGGACTTTTGTTTTTATTCAATGTATTTAGGTTCTCGGATGGCTGGGCTTAGAGGGCTTTCTTTCTTTTCTATTCTAGGTCTTCTTGTTCTGTCCAAAGGTTTGGTTCAGGCAGCTTTGTTCGAGTATTTTCTTTGGATGTACACAGACCACCTGACTTATATTGTCATCTAAAGACCTCTCATATTTTGTATTTCTTTTGTCTCCAAGACAATAGCTAAGAGAAAAGAAAAAAGAAAAAAACATTCAAACAAACCTATAGTTCCTCCTATGTACGTAGTACGGCCTCACATATCACTCACATACCCATAGCGCGCAACCCTACCCCCATCCAACTCAATAAAATAATCCGCATCCTTAATCGCCTCCAACCGATGCGCAATCGTCACAACAGTCGACTCCCTCATCTCCTCCCGGAGAACCTGCTGAATCTCCAACGAGCTCTCATGATCAATAGAGGCCGTCGCCTCATCCAGAATCACAAGCGAGCTGCGCCGTAGTACTGCCCGCGCAAGCCCAATAAGCTGTCTCTCGCCCTGGCTGAGATTCCGGCCTCCAGCTTCAACATGTGTCTCGAGCGTCCATGCGCGCCGGCTGCAGATTCGGGATAAGACAGCTGAGCACTCGGTGTCGCTATATTCAGAGACTGGGTCGAGATTCTTGCGTATGCTTCCGGGGAATAGAACGGGATCTTGCGCGACGAATGTTACGCGCGTGCGGAGGGATTGTTTTTCGACAGCTGCTATGTCGATGTTGTCTATGAGGATTTTACCTGAGGATGGGGTTACGGCGGCGAGAAGGGAGACAGCTAAAGTGGATTTGCCGCTGCCGGTGCGGCCGATCAGGGCTGTTGTAGATCCACCAGGGATACGTAGGTTGATATTTGATAAGGATGGGTCCAGATGTGGTGCGTAGCGGATCTCGACGTCCTCGAAGACGATGTCAGCGCCGAATTTGGGCCACGAGGCTGGTGGGGTGATTGTGCCGGGTGGTTCTTGGTCGACGTGGAGAAGCTCGTCGATGCGCTCGACGGAGACGAAGTCCATTTGGAGCTGTCCGTATTGGCGGCAGAGACCGTGAGTTGCGTCGACGAAGTTGCCTGCTGCTATCAATGCAAAGGCTGCGAGACCCGGTGTCACATCTGTATACAGAGCTAGGGCTGTGAGGGCGAAGGTGGAAAGGGCGGATAGACTTTCGAACCGGTAAGACAGCCAGCTTTGGAGGGACCAGTAAAAGTGGTCCATTCCTTGGAATTTGTCCACCACTGCGATGACTCGGTCTTGGAAGCGAGGTTCCGCATGGAATGCGCGGACGGTGGTGAGGCCGTGGAGGAGCTCGCCGAAATTGGATATTAAGGGGGTCAGGGAGACCATTTCAAGCCTGCGGAGGCTTTGAGAGGTGGGTAAGAATTGAAGGAATGTGAAGACAAATGATGCAGTGAGGAGGATTGTAAATGCTAGGAACACCGGTGTTACTGAAGCGATAACGAGGACTGAGGATATCCAGGTGATAATAAGGAACGCGATGATCTGGAATTGTTGGCTGATATCACCATCCACCACCCCAATATCCGATGTCAGCCGGTTCATCAATCGCCCAACAGGAGTAACATCAAAGAATCGGAAGGTGGCATGGCTGACACCTATCATAACCCCCTGAAAGAGTTGTTGGCCCGCACAGTAGACAATGGTGAGCATAAAAAGCCGAGCAACAAGCATTGTAACGGCTGTGAACATGGTGATTCCGAGAAACACCAACAGCCATGGCCGCACATTCTCAATGGGTGCAGGGAACTTGTCGAAAGGGTTAGCTAGAGTCCACAGGAGTGACCTTGGTTGGACTGAGAATGCTGTCCATTGTCCAAAGGCAGCCTTTTCAGAGACCGAGTGCCCTAGCACGTTTGCAACTTCGTTGTATGCCTCTCCCCATTCCTTGAGGAACCAGGACTGTCCAACAGATGTCAGGCGATAAATCGACATAACAATTATCAGCGCCAACCACCATCTGTACTTCCCGGCTTTTATGTAGTTCCAGTACACCGCAGCCTTCACTCCCCATTCGGCTCGGTGCTCTTCCTCGATAAACTTGGACGGCACGGCAGCCGAGTGGTCTTCGAGCTCTGCCTCATCCGCCACATTGGCATCACTTGAGCCTTCAGTTTCGTCGTCCATATTTCCCAAAGATGCTGGCGACTCGAGCGTTGCCCGACCTTCTTGGATGTGCACAATTTTATCGGCAAGGTGTCGAACAAGGTGGATGCGATGTGTAACGAGAACAACGACGCGGCCGTCCATAAGAGGGCCCGTCAAGCACCTGCGGACAATTGTTTCGGCCGTGTTGTGGTCCAATGCTGACAATGGGTCATCCAGAAGCAGTATCCTAGCAGTGCTATAGACGGCCCTCGCTAGAGCAACTCGTGCTTTCTGTCCACCAGAGAGACCAATTCCGTTCTCTCCCACGAATGAGAGGTCACCATGCTTGAAATTCGAGAGATCTGGGAGTAAGGCGCAAACATCCAAGACTCGCTTGTACCGCTGTTCATCATATGGAGAGGAGAAAAGAATATTGTCTCGAATGCTCATACTCTGTAGCCATGGTGTCTGCGCACAGTATCCCATCATTTCACTTGAAATATAAGAAGTGCCATGGATTTTATCCAGTTCACCCAAGAGACCTTGAAGAAGAGCAGTCTTTCCAGCTCCAACCTTGCCATGGACAACGGTGAGACCCGGAGAAATACTCAGGTCGATGTCTGAGAGAACCGAAGAGGATTTTCCAGGCCAAGCAAAAGAGCATGCTTCCAGCCGGAGCGGTGCAGCATCTTCAGAGGTTGCAATGGCCCTGCTTTCTTTATCAGGCTCAGCCATGAAATCCTGTATACGCTCCATAGCAATTGAAGCGTTGATCAACACCGTAATCAAGCTAGGTATATCTCGCAGACGAGCCTCCAACATATTGAAGAGTTGTAGTGCAGGGAATATAACGTCGATACTCAATGGGTGACCAGCCAAAAACGTATAGGCATAGAGAGCAACGACCGGAAATAGGCCGCTGGCGAGAACATTGACAAAAGAAATAGCAAGACCCCATAGTCTTGTAATCACACGCAGTCTCAACTCGGATTCTCGAGCGTCCATGACTTGGCCCAGCCAGTGGTTTTGCCAACCATACCATCGAAGATGGCGGAGTGCCTCCACAAACTGAGAAGAGACTTGGAGCCTAGCATCCGTTGCGGTTCTTCGCACTCTCTCCCAGCGTAAGAGTGTGCGTGTGATAAGTGCGTTGACTGACTGCGCTACCACAACCACTAGAACCCCAAGGAAACAGGACGGTCCCAGGACTTTCCATACAAGAGCCACGGCAATCACCAAGCCCAGTGGCTTATTGATTAGGGAATCAACTTCCCAAAATCGTTGGGCCACCTCGTATACATCACCTCGAAGTAAGTTAAAGATCTTCCCCATGGAAACGGGAGCTTTAGACTTCTCTTTACGAGGACTTCGCCACAGCGTGAATAGGCTCCATAACCAGGATTTCTTAGAAGACTTATCAGGCTCTTCCCCTTCTTGTTGTTCGCCTTCTGTAGACTTATCATCGGCACCCTGCTCGAACAAATTCTTTCTCACAAGCGCTTTCTCATATACCATCATCATCATCTCACCACGGCTACGCTCATAACATCTTCTTCCGTACCAGAGGTTAAATACCTGAGATTGTGCAGCAATCAGGCGAACAACCAAGGACAGCATCGCATAAACCAATGCAACACGGTTGGACCGGTTCTCGGTCTTCATTGCTTGCAGGAGCTGCTGGAGGAGAAGGGGAGTCGAAAATTCTGCATATCATGTTAGCGAGTAGATTGTCAAGAATAATCCGGCGGACATACCACATATCATCTGCACTATTGAAATCGTGCTGATAATAAGAATGTCTATACCATTGGCCCGAAGTAGGCGGCCAATGACACTTCCTCGAAGTTGCCGGAACTTTTCGTGGAGCCTCTTGTGTTGAAATTCAAAGGGGAGATACCAGACATCATCCTCATCTAGCTGGCGTTGCTTGCCCATGGTCATTAGTGGCGCCATCCAAGAAACGGTGAAAAACTGCCAGAGCCGCAGGTTATCTTCCGGACTTCGAAATTTGCTAGATGGCTCCTGTCCCGCCGCACTGATATCAATGCAGGGTAACAAAGCTGGACGAATGGGCATAGCAAGGGCAACTGTGCAGCCCAACAGTGAAGCCGCTGCGGCAAGCTGAAAAGTGAACAGATTGGATAGTGCATAAGCATTGCGGTTAACAATAAAGGAAAACTCTGTAATTCCTGCAGCTAGGAAGAAGGTAAAAAGTAATATCGGGGCTGTTCTCGGGCGCTCAAGGGCCGTAAGGATCACACTCCCAGTCTGGACGACTGAAAGTCAGCTGCTGTTCGCAACAGAAACAGCGGTCTACTTACCCAAGAAGCAAAAAGAGTCCAGTTGGACAGATCCATACCATTCAGCACAAGCTTTAGAAGTTCGGCAGCGAATCCAATTACTGAGATGGCCAGGAGAGCGATGACCCAGCCCAGACGATGCTTCGTGTGCTCTAATGGTAGGTCTGGGCATGGAGGTAACTCCTGTATAAAAGGCCGAGTCCATTTTGGACGATGGATAAAAGGTAGCCATCGAAGCACATAGCTAAACCAAGCACAAGAGATCACGACCGCTGGGATCAGAGTAGAATACTCAATTGCACACGGCGATAGCCGAGCATTCGGCGAGTCCTATGAACAACGGTTAGCTAGGAACCGACGTAACATCCATGATCCATGAGGGTGAGTAGCTTGCCCAAATGACTCGGCATAAGTCCAATGCGCCATATTCCATTCCGAATGGCAATGGATAGTCGAATCTTAGAGGCGAGAAGACATTCCAAATCTGACGGACTGTTGAAGGATCATGATGGCGGAGGGGGCAACCCCTCCGCTCTCCGATACTCATTGGCCCGCCGTGTCTGTGCCTGGGGCACCAATTCTTCACTACAACCTCACTATACCACTCCCGGAGCACTCTATACCTTTAGCTTATTATCTCACGTGTTTCTTGGGGATGTGTTTCTTAATCTGTGTTTTCTTTGTTGTTATTACTGCTAATGAACGTTAGTTGACAACCGCACCCATTAGGCAGCGGTTCGGAAATATATACTCCAAGGTTTGAGTAGACGCGAGAACCATGGGCAGCCAACCACTTGCTTTTTTCAACATTGCTTGACGATGGTGGTAATTTTTAGAATATTTGATTTGAACCACCTTCATTGGCAACAATTTAAGATGCACTTAGCAGAAAAGAGCAACGAGATTTATCTATATTGAATGTTTGAGTTGCTACCAAATGAATATCTAAGGATAGCACGGCTTTCGGTAGAGATAGGTATCCGCCTATCGCCATCATACGTCTCGTATGTCTAGGACTTCTCAGCTGGCATACTGACTCGGTGAACGATCCGAACCCAGCGCCTTCGCCTCCACTCTCCCATGACATTAGACCCGAGATTCCCCTTTTCCTCGTAGTCTTGAAATGCCCTCTCTTTCCCTTTCTTCTTCCCCTTCTTTTTCTCACCGGAAACCTGTTGGCCGTACGTCTCGTAACCTAACGCCGATACCACGTCATCATCGGTTCTGGCTAAGGATGCTGGAGGCAGGTCCCAGACCCAGCCTCCAATTTCATCGGTGCCGGCACCGCTTTCCGAAGGACCACCGGGCACCTCGAAACCAACGCCGGTGATCATGCGCTCAACAACCCATTCTCGGCAGTCGAGATCTAATTCCCATTTCTTGCTCTTCCAGGCCCACCCGACGGGAGGCTGGACATCTTCGAAGAAACGACAGCCCTTGGGCCGATCGCCGGCAATACGGGACGGCGATAGAGGGTCGTATGGCACGCGGCTGAAGAGAAATGTTTCCCAGTCTTGTTCAGCGTAGGGAGCGAGTGAGCGGTATTGAATCTCAAAAATCTCCACTTCACGCTCCTCGGGAAATGAGTCCAGCGATATGTCGCCTAATAGCTGCATTAAGGGCATCTGTGGTGTAGCCGAAGTTGCCGATGGCTCTGGATTTGCGTCTTCACTGCCCAGTTCCTTGGTTAGGTCTTGAACAAATCCCTGGATATCGGGATGACTTGACAGAATTGCGGCATTCCCACCAAAAAGCAGGATATACCTCCAGGGAATGAGATGGGAGGTCAGAAATAACACTGCAGTGAGGATTGTGCACGCAAGGAAAACAGCGGAAGACAGCCTTTCATTTGAGAAGTTCGTCAACGGGGCGAGTGCAGAAACGGCAGAATCGTGCAAATCAGAGAAATCAGCCATGCAGTTCTGCAGATCTCGCATGTTGCGAAAGAAGTCTTTGGAAGTCTCCGGCACTGGCTTGATTGTCTTTGGCGGCCCCAGGGCCGGGCCCTGATACGAGTAATAAGGAGTTATACTTGAGGTTGAAGTTGACGGAGGCGGAGGATGGCGCGCAAGGAAAGTTGGGACCATGACGAATATAAGTAGAGTCGCAATGGGAAGCACGACTAGAAGGTGAGGATCTAGGCATATAAAAGAGTAGACAAACAGAAACGAGAAAGTATGAGACGGTTCCTTCCAACTGAATAGTTGCTCAGCCTGGTTCTGGAAATTGAAAACAATTCCGATCCTGCAAAAGCTTAGCATTGACCCAACATTATTGCCCTTAATTTATATTTACCTCGCATTGAATCTCCGGAAATTGTTTCCCATCACAGGAAGACTAAAAGCTGGTCGCTTGCTGTCCGAAGGGACGTTTTTCGCACCCACGGAGACGGACTCATCTTGCACGTTTTCCACAGGAACGACCTGTTGCAGGATTCTAACGCAAAGTCAGTAAGACGGACGCTGGGACAGTTTTTAAGCCGGACAGAAAGCGACTGAATGGGACTGCGTACTTTGTGACTAGCCTATCTTGCACAGAGTGTCGAAAGTCCGATACGGACCTTCCATGGCGGCGTGGGTTCGCATCGGTTGTAGATGCGTTCTGTTTGCCTTTGAAAGGCGGGGTGGGGTCATCGCGGTCGGCGAAGCCATCGGGGGTGGATTCCTCCATGATGCCTTGAGCGAGATGTTGCCGGGATGGAAAGACGATGCAACATCTCTAGCGAGGAAGAAAAGGGAAGGGTGGTGAGGTAATGACGATGAGGGACTCGGTCGTGGGCGCCGGAGCACATGCTCAAGCACAGAGCCGAAAGCTTGGGACTTGGGAAGTCGGGGTAGGCGCGCCAAGCCTGGGTGTATCGACTACGATTGGCACGCTTTCTGACTACAGCAGCCTCCTGAAGCAGTGAATCTGAGGCAAAAATTGGGCATCTAGTTTATGACAGCCATCCAGCCCGAGATTCCTCCCCGGCAACCCCGTTTATTTGGTGTGGTCCTCGTTAGGCAGACAGACGTTCTGGAACGGAGCTGGTTGCGGGCTTGCGGCTGGCGGCCTGCAGCAGATCGACAGGTAATTTCAGTGTTTGCGCTGTTTGCAGCCAATGCCCGTTCTCAGCACAAAAAAAAGGAGCAGGGGGCAGACACTGTCTAGTGGTTCAAGAGATTGTTAGTTATCGACGGCTGGCTTGTTTACTGTGTTCTTTCTTTGAAACCATTTCTCCTCCTTCTGCTCGCGTCTAGGAAGGCCCCGGAGACCCCTGCCAGCCTCGCCGTGTTTGTATTCTCTCCTCATCATCATTCTTTCACGTTCCGTACTAGTTCCTTCCCTGGACTGTTGTGGTTGTGATATCCGCTTGTACCCTTTACGAACGCCAAGTCCAGCACAACTGTTGCCCCGGCCAATTTTCTGTCAACTTCCCTCCAACTGCTCGACTTTATACCGTCGACCGACTTCTCCAGGAACCTAACGGCAGACTCTATATTTCAGCACCTGCGTCGCGCTTACGAACCCTCCCTGACCCCCGGAACAGACTTCACTGTTCTTGATCCCCGCGATGGAGCGTTAACGACCGTTGGAGGTCGCGCGACGGTGCTGGTCAAGGCTATTCTCTCGTTAGGCATTGAGGTATCTTGCTCCTTAATGTCTTGACGATTGGGCCTTAACCTTGAAATTCTTTCTTTTTTTCTGCCTTCAATTTCACTCTCTCGGTGTTTTCCCCGCCGTTTAGTGTCCCCGACCGAAAGTGTGACCGACCATGCCGGAAAAGCTGTCGGGCCAGCAGACTGCAGGAAAGGGGCAGTTGCGTCAAGTGCAATCCAGACCATCCAGTCCTTCGGGAAATGAAAACGCCGCTTTGGGAGGTAAGGGATCTCGAGGTGGGAGTTTACAGGTCAGCAAGTGGCTAACAAGAGTTAATTCTAAACTCTAGAGACTCCCGGCCGCAGACGGTTGCAAAAGCACCCTTCGAAAACCATTCTATCCGATGCCTCTTCCCACCCCTCAAACAACCCTGTCGGATCTAGACTTAGTGCTCTGACCAAGAGGAGGCTCTCTATTCGCGATCAGAAGGTGCCCCAGGGTCCGCGACCACAGGACCAGTCACGCAGGTTTGTGTCCCCCTATCTAACCACTTCATAAGAGACCGGGCTTTTTGTCGCTGGTCTTTCTCTGCAATCATGGATATTATCTAACGTCCGATTGTAACACAGTTCGGGCACGGTTCAACACTCCGGCAACTCCTCCGTTGACTCGACGAACGATTCCTTAAGGAGCAGCAACTCACATGTTAACCTTCGGACTACCAGCATGAGCAATTTCGCTAACCAGACTCCACCTGAGAGCATGGAATTTCTTGCCCCTGTCAACTTCGATGACTTTCATAATAGCATAATGGCAGAACCGAGTTTAAGCCAGTTCCCCATGCCTGGGAGCGGAGCAACTGGAAACGACCGACAACCCTCGTCTTTTCATCCCACCAATCCTTGGGCTAACAATAGCACCGACAATGACACGCCTGGTCAACCTAAAACCTACACATCACGGAGAAAGAGCATTGTTGGACAGAATCCTTCCACAGATACGTCTTCTCGCCCCGCGGCATCCACAGCAGCTAGTCGCAATCGCCGTCAGAGTCTTGTTCAAAATCAAGCCCCAGCCAACTCAGCTCCACGGGCACCACGAAAATCAATCGGGCCTGGCTCGCTTCCTACTACTGCAACTGCGCGACGGCAGAGCCTGTCAGCTAGAAAAGCCAGTGCCGACACTGCTCAAACACATTATCTTCGCCCGCGGAGCCAGCATCCTGAAGTCAACGGGAACAATGGTCAGAGGCTTCCGAGCAATGTTCGGAACGCAAAGGCCAAATCATTCCAACCCCCTTCAGGCGAAATGGGCGACAATTTCTTGACGACGGCTGCCTTTGGAGACCACTCTCGATCGTCGTCTACGAATGCTGTTCGAACGCCAGTGAAAAATTCCGCCGGGGAAGCCACAACACCGACATCATCGTCAAAGCGGGTATCAATGATGCCCCCTCATGCGACGGGTCTTGGTGCACGTACGATTAGTCCGACTGATGCCCGACGATTAAAGCGCCTCTCAACGGCACCTCAAGCCTATCCAGTGCCATATACTCCTCCAAGCCAAACTGAACCTCTGCCTGTGCGTCCGCGTTCATCAACTCACTCGCCTTCAAGTATTCCACGAAAAAGCGCGACACCTTCCTCATCTCGCACTACGCCTGACCCGAATCGGAAATCGTATAGTTCGGGTCTATCCGTGTCGTCAAGCACGAGCTACAACTCTGTGAGAAATTCTAGTGGGTCACTCCAAACACGACTGTCTCAAAACTTCTCCTCGTCTCGACTTCCGACCCCGAAACCTCGTGTAGAACAACATCCTACAACTACTACTGAAGAGGTCCCGCCAGTTCCTGCTATTCCAAAGGCATACGAGTCGCCGAAGAGCGAAATGGAACAGCCACAATTTCCGATACCGCGCAAATCGAGTTTGCCGTTGGAGATCGAACTTTTGAAATCAATGCACGTCTCGGACCCGAACTCGAACATTGGGCGGCAGAACTCGGAGGCTTTTGATGAACGAGCAATGAAGACCCCCGAGGCCAAACCCCAGACTGCTGCGGCTTTTGGAAGGAAGAATATGAAGCTGCCACCGTTAAACCTGCTTCCTCTAGGGACACCAATGACTTCGAAAATTGAGGCGCTAACGGATAGGGACGACGATGCCTACCCGTCCACCCCATCAGCACAAGTAATTTCCAAGACTCCAAGTACGCCTTTGACTGCTTCAAAGGCAAACTATTTCTCCTTCCGTGATGACGAAGACACGGACCCGCTTCCCCAGGCACGAAGCAGCACGTCGCATTTTGCCCTGAGCACTTCATCTAATATTGGACTGAGAACGGCTAGCAGTTCTAGTGCCCTGGCTTCTCATGATGGCACGCCCGGGGGTGCTAGGACTGTGTCTCCATATATCTCCTACACCTTACCCAAAAGCAAGAGCGACTTGAACCATTTGCGCCAAAAGCCAAGTGCGGATTATTCATCACGGATATCCCAGTCATACAAATTGACCGGCCCTCGTCCTCAAACCCAAACGTCCGCGATCTCAAACGCCGATACCGTTAGCCAGATTTCGACACCCTCTGATCTCGATAATAATGGCTTACCCAACTCGTCTTTACGCAACAAAATTACACTGTCACGGAAGCGGAGCAATTCCAAACCGCAAGGTGTCAATGCTACTACTGACCCCAAGAAGTCCGACCTGATGCCTCCCCCAAAGCTTCCGGCTTCCGCCACTTGGAACAACCTCTCAACCACAAAGAACTCGAGTCCAACTTTGAAGCCAGCCTATTTGAAGTCTAGGCGACAGTCATCGTTGTCGAACGCGGCAAACCCCGCTCTCAGAAAACCAAGCTTTAGCAGCGATCAAAACCTGTCGTTGTCTCCTACCGTCTCCCGCGAATCTCACGAAAGCGACAACTCCCAGAACCGGTCTGCATCTTCCATTCTTTCGCCGGTACATAAGATAATTAGTTCGGCCAAATCTAACATGGCGGCGACCTCTGGATCAGCTGAAAGCCGCGCCGAAACCGAGATTACGATTGCAGATGAGGAGATGCGACGGCTTGGCACTAAGCGCAAGGACTTCGAAAAAGCTGCAAGGGAGTTGGACGACCTACGGCACAGAGCCGGACCGAAAGATCGTGTCAATCCTGCCCAGGCCATAAGAGTGGCCCATCTCAACATCTTTGAACGTGGGGAGATAATCGACTTTAAGGATATCTTTTTCTGTGGTACCCAGGATGCGAAGAAGCATGTTGGGGATTTGAACGCTTCGGCCTCGAACTTCGGCTATGACGACGATCGTGGAGACTACAACATTGTTCTCGGTGATCATTTAGCCTACCGCTATGAGGTTGTTGATGTTCTAGGTAAGGGAAGCTTTGGTCAGGTGGTCCGATGTATCGACCACAAGCACGGCATCCTGGTTGCAATCAAAATCATCCGCAACAAGAAACGATTCCACCAGCAAGCCTTGATAGAGGTCAACCTCCTTAAAAAGCTCAAGGAATGGGACCCTCATCGCCGCCATAGCGTGGTGAATTTCACGCAGAGTTTCTACTTCCGAGGACATCTGTGCATATCGACTGAACTCCTAGGGATCAACCTCTATGAGTTCATCAAGGCCCATGATTTCAGAGGATTTGGCGTCAAGTTGATCCGCCGTTTTACCCGGCAGATCCTTCATACTCTCACGCTGTTGCAGGCAAAGAAAGTCATCCACTGTGACCTTAAACCTGAAAACATCCTTCTTGTCCATCCCCTGAACTCTGAAATCAGGGTTATTGATTTTGGTTCCAGTTGTTTTGAGAACGAAAAGGTATACACATACATTCAAAGTCGTTTCTATCGTTCACCCGAGGTCATTCTTGGTATGTCCTACGGTATGCCAATTGATATGTGGAGTCTGGGATGTATATTGGCTGAGCTCTACACCGGCTATCCGATATTCCCTGGAGAGAATGAACAAGAGCAGCTTGCCTGCATCATGGAGGTCTTTGGTCCGCCGGAAAAACATTTGATTGAGAAGAGCACACGAAAGAAACTATTCTTCGACTCTCTCGGCAAGCCAAGAATCACAGTCTCTTCCAAGGGCCGAAGACGACGTCCAAGCTCGAAGGAGCTGAGGCAGGTACTGAAATGTGACGACGAGGCCTTTTTGGACTTCATTTCACGCTGTCTTAGGTGGGACCCGGCTCGCCGCCTTACTCCAAGCGAAGCTCTGCGACACGAGTTCATGACGGGCCACAAAATGACACCGCGACCAAGACCGTTTGGAAGTCAATCCCCCGGGAAGAGGGTGAATACTATTTCCACTCCCACTTCAGGCCGTCCTCTTCCAGAGCCGCCTGGTACAACTTATAAAAATGGCACAGCTGTGCGAAGCCGCGATCCTTCGAACCCGTCGCCCTCAAAGGCGACGGCTGGCAAGCGTCATTCAACGGTCAGCGGATTGCCCCCGTCGACGCCCGCCAAGCGTGGTACGAATACCGCGACTACGCCCGGTTCTGCCTTGCCTCGTGTTTCCGCAAGGAGTCTCAGTGGGAAGCCGGACCTTGCAACTGCAGCGGCGGCAACAAGCTTGGTAGGTGGACCGGCCGATACACAGGTCCAAACCTGACGGATCAAAGGCTCAACGTGGCTAACTGAAAACAGAAGCCGAAATGATCGGGAAAGCTTGCTGCATGTTTTGATTGTTTTCTTTTTTTTTCCACTTCTTGCATACCTGTAATAATACTTTGCTCGATTATTCAGTTGCATAGCAGGCCTGGGGATGCTTGTGGTTTTGATTTTATTTTTACGATTTGACATAAACTGCTGCTTGAACAAGCCAGTGAACGAGGCAGGACATTTCTTCTTATACCCTCACTTGAGCTTTTTCATGCCTCCCATGACTTTATTTGACTGTCTTTATTTTTCATCTTCATTCTTTTGTTACCTCGTCTAAATACCATGTTTGTGATATCGTTATGATTGTGGAAGTTAAGCTTATACATGCTGCATGTCTGCCACCTTGCATTCGTTTTTACCCCTGACTTAATCTTTGCATTGTTTACTCTTCTTCTCCGACTACGATGGCCAAACAACATTGGATTCCACCTGGAAATAAGGGCTTATGTGTCCTCGGGGGCCGTCTGTATATTACTTTTTTCCTGGTGTCTGAATTGCCGCTGCGCTGTATTCCGCAAGGCTGAAGACTTGGACATGTTATGATTAGAACCTTATGGATATAAATAAGAAAGAACAATGAATATATAAGGTTAATTGTAGACTACTGTTGCAATATTGGGTATTTGAGCATTCGTGAATGGGCATTCACTGACGGAGTGGGCTGAGGAGGGCGCAGTTGCGGAGTTTCGGCCTACTTGGCCTTATTGTTTCTCGCAGTTACTCCGCAGTCTCGCCCTTTGAACTGTCTCGACAACGCCAATCCACCGGCCCAACTTCCAATTCAAAGCTCTTAATAACACCTAATCACGCTGTTCTTATCTTCTCATGCCGTGAGCGCTCAGGCTACTGCAACGACGCCGATCGTCATGAACGGGTTCTCAGATCACGGCCTCGACGAGGGCGCCTTTGCGGAGAAGTCGAGCTTGAAGGGTGGCCTTCAAACATTCGATGCCTTCCGTAAGTCGTTCTCTTTTGATCCAAGACAATTGGACAGAAATCCCTACCCAGCCTTTTTTACTAAATACTAAACCGTGGACCACCAATGCAGCAAAGACAAAACCCTCGTACACCACCCCGTCCCGCCGCGGCGGCCAATGGACAATCCTCATCCTTGTCATATGTACCGTCTTCTCCCTCACTGAATTCCGCACCTGGCTCAAGGGCACTGAGACGCACCATTTCACCGTCGAAAAGGGCGTCTCGCACGACCTCCAACTCAACCTCGACGCCGTCGTCCGCATGCCCTGCGACGACCTGCATATCAACATCCAAGATGCAGCCGGTGACCGCATCCTTGCGTCCGAGATGCTAAAGCGTGAACCGACAAGCTGGAAACTGTGGATGGATAAGCGCAATTACGAGGGCTTCGCTGGTGGCAAGGAATACCAGACGCTGAGTCGTGAGGACGAGGGGCGCTTAGCGGCCCAGGAGGAGGATGCGCATGCGAGCCATGTGCTTAGCGAGTTGAGGCGCAATCCGAATAAGAAGTTCCCAAAGGGGCCGAAGCTCAGATGGGGGGAACAAGTTGATTCTTGTCGGATTTATGGTAGTCTGGAGGGGAATAAGGTCCAGGGCGACTTTCACATCACGGCACGCGGGCACGGCTATGGCGATGGGATGAAGCATTTGGATCATTCTGGTACGTCTTTCTAGGCATATACTTGCTTTGCTATCAAGGATATAACTAACTAGAGTAGTATTCAACTTCTCGCACATGATAACAGAACTCTCGTTCGGCCCTCACTACCCAACCATCCTCAACCCGCTCGACAAAACAATCGCAACTACGGAAAACCACTACTACAAATACCAATACTTCCTCTCCATCGTTCCAACCATCTACTCGCGCAACCAAAAAATCCGGCTGGACAGACTCCCCTCCTCCCTCGACCAAGACCGCCAAAAGCACAACAAGAACCTCATCTTCACAAACCAGTATGCGGCGACCTCGGCATCTGACGCCCTCCCTGAATCCCCCTACCTCATCCCAGGTATCTTCTTCAAGTATAACATTGAGCCGATCCTGCTGCTCATCAGCGAGGAGCGCACGGGTTTCTTGAACCTGGTTATTAGGCTTGTGAATACCATCTCTGGTGTTATTGTTACGGGCGGTTGGCTTTATCAGATGACTGGGTGGGCAGCGGAGCTGAGGAGGAGACGCGCTGCGAAGTCCGAGGGGTATTTGCATGGGAAGATGACTGAGGAGTGATCTTCTTTCGTCTTCTTGTTTGATTTTTCGGTGCTTCTTGGTTGTTGTTTTTTACTACTTGCAATATATAGGGTTTCGGAGCTGGTGTTAGAATTGCCTTTTTTTTTTCCCCATCCTTTTCTCATTGATTGCTATATCAAGAGCTTGTATACTCAGTATTTGTACCCAACATTGTCCAATTCCATAGAGCGTTTGGATCGTCCAAGCAGACAGGAGGAAAGAAGTAGTTCTTGGACGGACATACGTATTCAGGATTCATCAATAATCATTCAGTAGTACCGTACAACCTCATCTACTCAAATAGCCCGTCCTACTTTACACCAACGGTATAGAAGTCAAACATAAGCAAGTAAGAGAAATAGAAGAAGGGAAAGAAAGAAATTTATATCTCAAAAATTTCTCCCATCCCAACACCGGCTCCCTCAGCCCCGGCGCGACTATCAACAAGATCTAATCGCCACCCCTTCCAGTCCTTCAACTGCTTCTTAATCTCCCGTACCCACTCAACCCGTTTCCTAGCTTCCTCCTCCGCCTGCGCGCGTGCAAACTCGGCTTCATCGAATTCATCCTCGAGGTTCTCTTCGGAGAGGAGCTCTAGGCTTCCACGCGTAGCAGGCGGGTGTTGGTGCCCTTGTTGGCTTTGAGACGGAGACGGGGAGTAGAATGGTGACCCACCGCCCGTGAAGGCCGCGATGCCGCTAGATAGCACGGTGGAGAAAGAGGAGTGCTGGTTCCTCTGGGCCATGCTGCGTCGGCGCGAGTGTTCGGGGCTTCCGCCGACGAGGTCCACGTCGTCGAAGGCATTCGCAGATGCCGGGTTTGCGGTGTCATATTCGTCGGGGCTGTATGCGTCCGGACCGGGCTGGAGTTCCTGGCGCTTCTCTTGCCAGACGCCGCGGCGGAGTTCGAATACTTCGCCTTCAAGATCGCGGATGCGGCGCTGGAGCCGCGAGCGCTCTTCGTCTTCGAGGTCGTCGAGGTCGTCGTCGTCTACTCCTCCTCCTGCCGATCCGGTGCTACCGGTACCGGCGTGCCGCTTGCGAAGACTTTCTTGTTCTTCCTTTAGGCGGAGGTTCTCGTTCTCGGTGCTGGCTAGTTTCTTGCGTAGGACGGCGGCCTCTTGTTCGAATTTCTCGCTTTCGCGGAGGCGGGTCTGGTGTCGGGCTTCAGATTCCTTGTGTAGGTTACCGATGGCTTCGATTTTCTTTTCGAGGGTGTCGATTTTCTTCCCCGCCTCTGTTTTTTCGCCCTTTAGTTCTTCGAGCTCACGTTGAAGGCTCTTGATTAGGGTTTCTGTGGACGTCTTGTCGACGCCTTCCTTCACAGCCTTTTCGGACGCGCGCGTCAGTGCGTTCTTGCTGTCTGTGAGTTCGCGCTGCGTCTTCTCGAGTGTGGATTCGCTGCGCGACAGCTTCTCCTCTAGTGCGGCTATCTGGGTCTCATGCGCGGACTGTGTGGAGATTTGTGCGCGGAGGTTGGAAATCTCGAGTTCCATTGCTTCCATGGCCGCAGATTTCGACTCGAGTTGCTGCACCAGGTCTGACGGTGGGGATTCTGACTGTCCGGAGACAGATCCACTGGCATTTCGATGCGTGCGTGTCTGGAGATGCGACGTCTGTCTCTGAAGCGAAGCGATTTCCGCTTTCTATACCAATTTATTGTCAGCAAAGGCACCAGACATTCAACCCTATCATAGCAGATAGGAAAAAGGAAAAAGAAAGAGAAAAAGACAAACGTACCAACTCCTCAACACCCTCAACCTTCCCCTCCGCAACTTTCAACTTCTCCTTCAACTCCGCAACATCCACATTCGCCTCCCTCAAATCCTCCAGCTGGTCCTCCGTCTTCTTAAACCGCGCACTGACATCCTCAACCTCCTTCTCCAACCTCTTGTTCTCCTTCTCCAGCTCCTCAATCCGCCCAGACTGCTTCCTGTATACCTCCTGCACAGCCTCCCCATCCGCACTAAGCGGCGGCAACGACGGCGACTTCAGCGTCGCAGACGGGGACGTAGCCGAAGCACTGCCCTGTGAAATGGACGTTTTCCGGAACGACGACGAGCGCATCTTCGACTGGATGGACAGCGAGGGTTGCCGTGCGTGCCCGGCCCGCGGGGCCTCGAGTTTCCCGCTCGATGCATCGTCGGACGTTGTCCCTGGGGCCGGGGATGGTGTTGACGTTACGGTGTTGGTTGTGGGGAGGTCGGGCATGGGTTCGGTCCCTTCATCTTCATCTTCTGCTGGTGGCGGTGGTGTTTCGGCTTCTGCTTCTGCTTGTTCTGATTGCGGTTGTTCAGGTTCAGGTTCTGGCTCTTGCTGTGATTGTGTTTGTGAACTCGTTTCTGCGGTTTCAGCCTCCTTTGCTGACTCGGATGTACTACCCTTCTTCCCGCCTTTCTTTTTCTTTTGTAGGGCCGCGACCTAGATCTCAAACGGTGTATGTTAGCTCATTCAGTATCATTACCCCATTGCTATTTTTTAGAAGCGCAGAACAGTGGATGCGTGGGTAAGGTAGGAGGTAATCCCACTCAAACGGCGGGGTGTAGAATACGGTAATCGCTGGGAAATACATACGCGCTTCTTGGCAGCGGCGAGCTTTTCGGCCTTGACGCGCTCCTCTTCGTCGGCCATTTTGCGGCGGCAAGGGATTCGCTATGGGAGAGGTATGTGTGTTGTTTGTTGGTGGGTTGGGCTGGATCTCCGATTTGATTGCAGGGCGGGAGGACAGCTTTCCCCGTACGAGCACGGGCCACCTGGCGAGAACTGACTTCATATGGACAACTTCACTTACAGCAGCTAATGCTATTACAGTTGGAAGACTACAAAAGTCATTAATATATCAAAGAGTTAATTGAATTAAATATGTAAGCAACGAAGTTAAGGGCAAGTTGAAGAGCAAGTTCCAGCGTCATCTGAAACAATTCCAGTCACAAGTACAGCATCGCGTTGCCATCGCGAGCAGAGCAAAATCACATATCAAAACTAAGCAGAGGTCGGGACCTGTCAGCGGCCTTGCCAAACGCCTCGCGCCGCCCAAGCCCTTGGAAATGCAGGTTGAATGCAAAAAGCAAACAGAAACGCCTCGCAAACAAGCAACTCAAAAGATAACACGTTGAATCGAATCAGGGGGGTACTAAAGCAGGTAGAGTAGAGTGAACATATAGATAAGAAGAGAAAAAAGAAAGAAAAAGAAACGGCGTCACATCGTTATTCGTTGGATTCAAACTTCCATGGAATCGGCAATTTCCTCACTCATGGCGCGGACGGTGCCTCTGCTGCCAGATCGGGACCGGAAGTCTTCGTCACTCATGAGATAATTGTCGAACTCTTCACCGCCAGTGCGTATGGGAGCGGGAGAATTTGGCTCAACATCACTGTCGCTTTCAAGTTCTGCATCCTCGCCGAACCAATAGCGAGCACGCTTACTCGTGCCCAGATTGGGCGTGAGAAGGCCGTCATCAAACGTTCTCTTTGTCGTCGGTGTCGCGAGGCCTTCACTAGGTGTGTGACTTAGAATCGGTATCGCTTTGACATAGATGTAGCACACGCGTTTCCGAAGGCGATTGAAAAAGAAGTAATGGAGACTCCAAATCGCTCCATCATCCGCATCGGAGGGGTCCTCGTCCGGTGAGTACGAGTAGATACCACAATCTTTGAGAGACAATTGTTCATCAAGAATCTTCCACATCCTGCGACCCCACGTGGGAGAAGCCTCCGCATTGTATGATCCAGAGACTGTAGAGGGCGATGGTGGCGTAAGGTCGAGGGTTTCGCGCGGTCGAAGATTAAAGAGCGTCGAATCGATCGTGTTCATGACTCTCTTTAAATTCCGCTCGCGATGAAAGTCTGTCGGACGTAAGACATGGGAGAAATCGTAGTCTGGATGACTCGCGTTGAGAGTTGCGATCAAATACGCAAACGTTCGGCGACTCGAGTGATCACTCAGGGGTCCGAAGGGGCTCGATCGGGAAAGGTTGAGCGAAGCGGCCGCATCTGACGCAGTCGGAGGCGATAGCGACGCCGATAAGCGGAGGACAGATTCATACTGCTGCTCGAGCGATTGTTCGATGTTCTTGTACAGTTTGCGATCCGATCGAGCGGCCTTTGTCGTGTACAGATCGCAGCCTCCAACGATGTGACAGTCGGCGGTATCGAAATTCAGCGAACTAGTCACGTCCTCGAATTCGGGAAGAGGTAGGAACTAAAAAGAGATCGTGTCAGTCTACATTTGAAAGATATCACTGATACTGGCGCATTTGAACTCACCTTCATCTTGGACTTGGGGTGACGGGTCCAGGTGGTCAAATAGCACTGTAAAGGCAAGATAGTAAGGTGAAGTATGTCGCAAAACCAGAAATTTTGTACAACACTCCAGAAATGGCAACAACAAAGGGGTTCACGACAAGAGCCGAGGGGTTCTTTGTTGTCTCAGCTGGCTCTATCGTCGGAGATAAGGCCCGGCAAGGAGAACAGCTGGCTCGATCGGGGAGAGATAAGAGGGAAACGGGCAGGTATTAAGTGGTGGTGACTGTAACAGCAGCCATACGAGGCACTGAAGGGATGAGAAACGATGAGAGGGGATCAGAAGAGGGGAATGGGGTGATGATGTCCAAACCGGCTGCTGAGATGGGCAAGTTGCGCGTTGCGACCGAGGGGAGCGGTCACGTGGGGGCCGCAATCAGCCAGTGATATCACGCACCTACCTCACGGGTCCGGAAGAGAACCAGAGAACAGCAGCCAGCGAAGTGCCGAATTTGGTTTCACATAATGCCCTGCTTCTCGAGAGCGCCGAGAACTTCTTTGGTGTCCTGAATGGAGTCAATATAGTATTATTAGCCACTGGGGGTGGTTGTAGAGAAGATCAACGCCTATATACGTCCGAACGCCAATAAACAGTCCTTGCAAGCCCACGAGCAAACCAATATAAGAAACAGAAGCTCATCGCAGATGAGACTCCTACATGATCTTCGTAACCACATCTTCCTCAACCTGAGGCGACGACAAGTTAGCGCCATACAGGAAGACAACAGACATGTAACAGAAAGCTTGGGAGGGATAGGCTTCACGCCATGTAAAACGACATCGGGAAAGCAAACGGTAACATCAGGCGATAATACCCAAGGTGGGTGGGATACAGAAAGGCTGCGACCAAACAACCCACCGCGACAGCCCCGAGGCCGGTGGGACATCTAGATTCCAACTCCCATATCCTCGGTGACAGGAATGTCGAGGTGCATGCAAGACAACAAAAGCAAAAGACAGCAAGCAATTCGCACTCACCTCCATATCCTCCAAGCTATCCTGCTGACTGATACACCGCAGCACATTCTTCTTACTACTCTCCTGCATCTCGCCCGCGAGCAGCAACTCATCTAAGATGAAATACGCCTTCTGGAAGTTGAAGATAATATCCAACTCGCACACATTGCCATAGTATTTGTCCATCTGCTCGACGTAGCGGTGCACAACCTCGAGGGTGATCAGCTCGTTATCGGTCGACGCACATCCAGCGATGAAGAAGAGCGAGGCGTAGCGGCGGTAGACGACTTTGGTGTCTGCAGAAACGGAAAAATACGTCAGCAATGTTGGCGGGTTAATGAGTGGGTGAGTCACAGCTTTGTTGTAAGCCTCTAGGGACTCCTAGTGTGTTGCCTGCCTACCTTTGTATTCCAGGAAATTGCACATCCGCGTCCTGCGGGACAGCACGAGTTGAGTCACATCCTTGATGATCTTGGCCTTATCCTTTGGCGAGAGGGTGGTGAACCACTTTGCGAGACGCTGGAGAGCAGGAATGTAGTTAGCAAAACCGAGCTTCTTCAAGCTTCAGCTTCCGAAGCGGCCAGATCGCAGTCTCGGAGTCGGGTGGGTGACGACGAACCACTTTGCCCTGGCGGGAGAGCAGAATCAGGTAGCTGGAGGGGGTCAGCGCATGTCGGGAGAGATGGCAGCATTCGGCCTTACTGGATTGCCATTGTGAATGTTTGGGGAGGGGGTCGTCGAGGGAAGTCGAGAAAAAAAAAGGTGGTGGTGGTGCAGTGGTGGAGTTGAGGGCAAAGCTTTTAGGGGCTCGGGCGGTTTATTCAGCCCCGCTAACACAACTCCATCTCACTCACAAGAGCGCATTACTCTCTGGTCTGGACAATAAATTGTTATTTAATTTGAATTGACTTTCGGCTAATTGTCCTGACTATCATTCTTGTTCCGCTCGCAAATAGCATACATACTCCGTTGTTATGCTGACGTCTCAACTCTGGGTGACTCCGGGAGCTATCCCCACAGTATACAAGCAAACACACAAACTAAAGACGCACGAAAGATTATTACCAGGAACACACTAACTATATACAGAGAACGACCACATCTTTGGATTTCCAGGAGCCCGAACATTCCTCGAAACTTTAATACTCGCCACCAAGCGAGCGCCTACGCAATGAGCTTAATGTTTACATTCCTTCTGCACTTTCAATTGCACGTCTGCGCGTCGCAGGATTCAGGCAGGCCAGACAACTGGGGGCCTTGCACTAATCGCACAAGTTTCCCGTGATGTTACCCAGTCAGAACAAGCAAACGGTCGATATGATGGCGAGGCTTGCGAGCTCTCTAAACTCCTGCAGTAGAGATTTTCACTTGACCTTGAATAGCTGAGACATGGCATGGATATACTGGAGGCTGAGCTGGGGAGGTGGGTAGGTATTTGAGGAATGTATAAAGCTATTCACTCCCACTTGGATCTGTTTGTCTGTAATATGTAGTATTCTCTCCTAACAGTATCCAAAATGAAACACTACACGCTCCTGAGCTCGTTGCTCATATATGCCTCGCTATCCTACGGACAAATCCTCAACATCGTCGCACACCAAGATGACGACCTCCTCTTCATTTCCCCCGACCTACTACACTACATCCAAACCGGACAGGAAGTGCGCACCGTCTTCATAACCGCTGGCGATTCCGGCCGGGACGAAAGCTACTGGCAAGGACGAGAAGCAGGCGCGCGGTCCGCATACGCGGTGATGAGCGCCGCCCCGGATTCATGGACGGAGAAAGACGCAGGGATCCCGGGCCACCAAGCCTCATTGTTTAGTCTTGACCAGGATCCAGGCATTTCGCTCGTGTTTTTACGGCTTCCTGATGGGAATCTGCTCGGGCAGGGGTTTGAGGAGACGGGGAGCGAGAGTCTGCAGAAACTTTGGGAAGGGGGGATATCTAGGATCCGGACTGTTAGTGGGTCTGGCTCGTATACGAAGGGCGAGTTGGTGGATGCGCTTGTTCACTTGACTTCAGAGTTTGGCCCGGAGCGAGTCAATACCTTGGACTATGTTCAGGAGTACGGAGATGGGGACCACAGTGACCACCACTCGACCGGTTATTTCGTCGCCGAGGCGTTGAAGCGCTATGGGAATGAATCAACTCTCGCTGGGTACGTGGGATATCCGGTCGTCAACAAACCAAAGAACGTGGAGGGAGCAGATCTCCTAGATAAAAAGTTTGCGTATTACGCATATGCCAGCCATGATCCAGTTGTTTGTGATAGTGATATGGCTTGTGCTGACCCTACATTCGCGCCGTACTATCCCGAGTGGCTCGAGCGACGGCATACGGTTGATACGTCGCCGATTGCGAACGCTGGTACTGTGCAAGTTGCTGGGTTGGATACTGTCGTAACCCTAGATGGGTCGGCGAGTTCGGATCCAAGTGATAGACCGTTGGTCTATGAATGGACACAGGTTAGCGGGCCAGCTGTGGACTTGAAGGACGCAGAGACGAGTCACCCTTATTTCACGACGCCCAGTGACCCAGATAGTCTATCCTTTGAGCTCGTCGTGAAAAACAAGCAGACGAGCAGCAGTCCGGCTGTTGTGAGGGTGACCACCATGCAACACCCTGAGAACATTGCCCCCAAGGCCCGAGTGACAGCGTCATCTTCGAATGATGGCTCCAGCCAGACGCCAGACAAGGCAACCGACGGCAGCACGGGTGGATTTCCAGCAGGACACAGCAACGAGTGGGCGACTGATGGAGGGAAAGCTGGGAGCTGGCTTACTCTCAGCTGGGAGAGCCCACAGACGATTTCCCGGATCGCATTATATGACCGACCCAACTTGCAAGACCACATCACAAGAGCTGTAGTCGAATTTGACGGCGGAGAGAGAATCGAAGTAGGAGAGCTGGATAATTATGGGACGCTCAGGACGGTGAATGCTGCAGGCAGGACGGCCAGGAACCTGACCGTGAGAATCACCGAAGTTAGCCCGTCAACAACGAACGTTGGTCTGGCGGAGATTCAGGTCTTCGGGACAAGTGTAGACTAGTAGACAGTTAGGCTAGCCGTCGTCTATTCAGTAGACCCAGGAGCCACCCTCAGATAAATGAAGATGAAGCCTCAGCCGCAGCGTCAGATTGTCCACTCGCAGTCTTACTGGAATCTCACCAGCCACGAAAGTGGTGGTTTAACATGTAAAACAATCAGCAGCGCCTATTTCTGACTCAGTGGGTAGTGACTCGTGAATCTTGGACTCCTTCTGCTCCAACTACTGCACGGAAGCAACCGAGTATCAGTGCAGGGAAAGCCACTCCGCACGCTAAAAGCAACGGACTGGCTCTAGCGAGAATTGACAGTTTATACAAGACCCGCGACTCCGCTGATAGGCCGTATGGGCTCAACAAGACTGTTGCTCTCTGCGGTCTGCTGCGTGTGCCGGGATTGTCCTCGCTTGATAACTGGATGGCCGAGAGTACAGTTGATTCTTGCTCTGGGCCCCGGCCAGTCGGCCACTCGTTAATACTCCTTCGTCTCCCACTCGAATTTTGCTTCTGCCAGCAAAACCGTTGATTCCAGCACGTTTCCAGCACGTTTCAACCATGTGGACGCTGCTTGGACGTATTTCTCTGCTTGTGACGCTAGCGAGCATTGTGGGCGTCAATCTGGCCCAGGACACCAGCCCAACACGCACAGCAAAGAGCGGATCGTTGATCGGGTGGTGTCGCGCTCCAACATCCAGTAAATTCTCGCCTTGTTCTTGTTCAGACATTCAGCTAACAGACGCAGCCCAGAAGTTGACTGCCTCGGATGTCTGGATAACAAAGGATGACTATGCAGGAGCGTGCTCGACGTCGGACGTGGACCAGTGAAGTCTTCCCACTGTATGCAATGCCAACACTCTGACCTGGGACAATGACGCGACGGCAGTTTGGTAAGACAACTAGTCCCATCCGTTATACTCAAACGAACTAACGTTATAGTGCCACGCAATATTCCTGCGTACATTCACCGTCTTCGAAACCTCGCCGGCGGGTCTCCCCTCTGCGAGCAGTGTTGGCTGCTGGCAGGGCTGGAGTGCGTGGACGGTATATCGCACGCGTCCAGACGCGAGCACCGCGAGTACTACCACTACCGATACGAGTAAGCTAGTCGAGCCTAATCCGTGTTTAAAGCTAACTTATTCTTGTTCAGCCACCACCACTACCACTACCGCCGAAGCCACCCCTACCCCTACGGACGGTTCCGAAGAGGCTGACAGTGAGAGTGAAAGCACAAGCGGACAAGATTGGATTGCAGGGGCTGTGGTCGGGCCCGTTGCCGGTGTTGCCATCATTGGGGTGGCGGTCTTCTTCTACCTACGTAGCAAGAAGCGTCTGCTTGCTGCTCCCGTCCAGCAGGTTTACTACCAAGGACCGCACTACGGGCCTGCTCAGGCTGCTCAGGCTGCTCCAAAGAATGCCGTCTCGCTCGGGACGTCGGAGTTGGCAAACGCGCAGTACCGGTATGGCTCGACGGGAGCAGCGACCGAAACGCAGGGGTTCCCAGTGGCCGAAATGCCCAGTACGAGACAGACCCATGAGCTGTCGTCTCGAAGGTAGACGAGATGGAGCCATTGATTGGAATGCTGCGGGACTCGATGAGGAGGGCGTGATGTATTCTCAGGCATAGAGCGGATCAAGCCGGCTAGACTAGCGAGCCAAGCAAAGCAACTTAATCTCGAGCTTGTTGCTCGTAAGACTGTGTTCCACTGGCTCCATCGCCGGCCAGCGGATCCGCGGCTGCAAGCCCAGACTTTCGCAGCTTCGATCGTCTGACGTCCTCATTTCATCGCAGTGCGGATATGCATCCCTTCGTTCGATGGTATCCAGGGAGAAGCAGTCGAGATGAAGCGCAGTAGAGGCAGTCCGCTCGGTCGCAGGAGCAGGAATTAAAGAACTCGATGGGCAGAGCGCACTGTGCCAGGAGCAGCGGATCGGAGATCTGGTAGGGCTGATCCTGATCGACTGGTGATTTCACGATTCAGCGGTGCAGCACTGGCACGGGCGCAATGACGTAGCCGACAGCGCATTCTCGTTTTTGACTCCGGAGCTTCCGCCCTTAAAGCCCTTGCAGCCCGGCTACAAGCTTCTCTCCCTCATCATCACATCTTCACCTTAATCCCGTGTCTCTAACTCTATACTCACCGTCGCGACAATCTTGCAAAATGGGTCTAGGTGGAGTTCAGCTCGGCCTCCGGGTGTGGCAGGTAAGAGAGACGCGTCCACCACGCACCCTGCAAGAGAGCGCTGCTAACAGCTCAGTTCGTCTGGACGGTCCTCGTCATGGCCCTCATCGGTAACATGATCGCGCAAGCCTTCGCCGGAAACCCCGCGACAGTCAACTATGCCATGTGGACGTCGTCGTTCTCGCTGCTCACGCTCTTCTACCTCGTCCCGGCATCGTTCAACCCCGACTGGGCCATCCACCCGATCATCATGATCGTCCTGGACGCTCTGAACTTTATCTTCTTCTTCTCCAACGCGATCGCTCTCGCCGCTAGACTTGGGTGCCACAGCTGCGGCAACCAGGTATGACTTCCCGTCCACCCTCTTTCTATCCCTGTAAACTCTGGGCAGTGCTAATAGCTACACAGGAGTACATCCACAGCAACGAAATCACCAGCGGCTCGACCAACCCGTCGAAACGCTGCCGGGAGGCTCAGGCATCAGTGGCATTCCTCTGGTTTGCGTGGGCTGGGTTCGCGGTCTCACTGGTCCTTTCGATCCTGCAGTCCCGCCGCGCTGGCGCCAATCTGCGTCCTCGCGTTGGCCCTGCCCGCGGTAGCCGTCCCGGCATGTCCCAGGTCTAAGACGATGCCTGTCGCATGGCACGTTAATGAAGGACGGCACTAAAAATGTCGATGTCTGTCACGTCTGTCACGTCAATATCTTATGGTCCATTTCGACGACAGTATACGGGATACGTGTCGATGTATAATCTGGCTGGATCCGATTGCCAAGAATAATACGATTACGATAACATCGGGGGTATGATATAAAAACCTAATAATATTAATAAGGTAATAGGAAGAGTGGGTGTGTCTGCGTGGATGGCAGTGCTGGTGGTGGTTGGAAAATTGAATCTACAAGCATTACTACTTGGTGCCTACTACCTCTGGTCTCTTTTTGTGGATTTCCTGTATGTTTTTTGGCTTATTGTATCTGTTGGCTGGAATACGTACGCTGTGCAGTATCTCGTCTTCAGGTTAATTCTGTCTTGTACATGTACTACCAGTACTTAGTACTCTATACTCTAATACGCATTGTTGAGCATAGTTATCGAGTACCTACAGAGTAGAAGGAGTCATTCCTTAGTTATTACTAGTAGTAATAGTAGTAATAGTAGTAATAGTAGTAATAGTAGTAATAGTAGTAATAGTAGTAATAGTAGTAATAGTAGTAATAGTAGTAATAGTANTAGTAGTAATAGTAGTAATAGTAGTAATAGTAGTAATAGTAGTAATAGTAGTAATAGTAGTAATAGTAGTAATAGTAGTAATAGTAGTAATAGTAGTAATAACTAACACCGTGCTAATCCCCGAAATGTGACGAAACAGACCGTGCAAAGGAAGGCACGAGGATGAAACATTTAGGCAGGCGCAACTTAGATGGGGCGCATCAAACAAGGCAGCTGCGACTGTGGGCAGCCAAAGGTCGTTCCTTCCTAATATTAAATCCACCAGCCTTCGTTTCTCTTCAGATTGGGAAGGAGCCTCGAATTCCAGCTCTGGAAGGCACGATAATAGCAACCTATCATTTCTACATAGTGTCTATGACCGACGAGAATACCCGAGTAGAAGTCCAATCTTCGAGACACTACGTCAGGCTCAGCTGATCGTATTCAGCAGCTCCAACGTTTCGCTTTCCCCGCAAATCCGGATATACTCCGCCCCCGCTGTCTCAGCCTCTATACAGCTGGACAACCCGAGTCGGAAATTCCGGAGTGTACCACAGGCCATCACCAAACCGGCCAAGCTATAACTTTAAAGCTTCTACCGCTCACTCACTCAATTTCCATCCTGCACATTATTCACCCAAAATGCAATCTTCACTGCATCTCATCATTGTCGGCGCCGGCCTTTCGGGCCTCGCGACGGCCATCTCCTGCGCCCAGTCCGGCCACACCGTTACAGTCCTTGAGCAAGCACAGGAACTCGCCGAGATAGGCGCGGGTGTCCAAATAACCCCCAATGCCTCAAGGCTGTTCAAACACTGGGGTCTGCCCGAGTCGATATGGCGGCAGTCCGTCGAGCCGAAGACACTCACTGTGCATCGGTATACAGGCGATGTGCTGGCGCACGACGGTATCTTCGCCAAGCACATCCGGCAAAGGTACAGCGCGCCATTTCTTGATATCCACCGGGTTGATCTGCAGCAGGCACTGTACCATCGGGCGCGGGAGTTAGGCGTTACGGTTGTTCTGTCGGAGCGGGTGAAAACGATCCTCGTTTCAGACCCGGTTTTGGGGTCTGGGTCGTCTGACACGACGACGGCAATGGCGACGGTGGTCACTGAGTCAGGGGAGAAATATACGGCTGATCTAGTTGTTGCAGCGGATGGTTTGTGGTCGCGGTGTCGCGAGTGTCTCCATGATCGGAAAGATGAGCCTTTGCCTACGGGGGACCTTGCGTATCGGATTGTCCTGCGCGTGGACCAGATACGGGACCCTGAGCTTCGTGCTTTTGTGCAGAACCCGCAGGTGCATTTCTGGGTTGGGCCGAGGGCTCATGCTGTCTCTTATTCTCTGCGTGGTGGTGATATGATCAACATCGTGCTGTTGGTTCCGGATGATCTGCCACCTGGGGTATCGAAGGAGGCTGGTTCGGTGGAGGAGATGAGAAGTCTATTCAAGGGATGGGATCCTATGTATGATATTTTTATTTTCTTCACCCCCCCTCCTCTTTCTTTCTGAGGTATACTAACGAGCAAAAGTCTAACCCGGTTTCTCTCCCATGTCAATAAAGTCGACAAGTGGAAACTCATGCATCGTATGTTCCCTATCTAGATACCAGCTCAGGCAACCCTAACAGATTTGGTCTCCAGATGCCGAAATGGAAACTTGGATTAACCCCTCCTCAACTCTTGTCTTTGTGTAGGTACCCCGGTGAGTATGTTTGCACTTCCAGACTAACTCGACCAGGGGCGATGCCTGCCACCCCATGCTCCCCTATCTCGCACAAGGCGCAAACTCGTCTCTCGAAGACGGTGCCGTCTTAGGATGGCTCCTCGGTCATCTTACTAGCAAGGCGCAAGTCCCACAGATCCTACGTTTGTATGAATCGTTGCGAAAGAGCAGAGGAGAGGCAATTGTGCGAGAGACATTTAAACAGGTCCGTCTCACTTTCTTCTACACTAATTAAACGAAGGCTTACAAGGTAACAGCGACACGATTTCCACCTCCCTGATGGACCAGAACAAGTGAAGCGAGACGCTGTTTTCCACTCACAGCTGGGGAAGAGTGAGATAGAGGGCGCATTTCCAAGTCGTTGGTATGTATTCCTTTCTTCAGTCAATGGATATGGTCACTAACACAAATGCTAGGACCTGTCCCGAAGTGCAACCCTGGCTCTATGGCTACGACGCCATGCAAGAAGTCGAGAATGCCGTTGCGGCAAATCCGAGAATTTTTGGGGCCAACGCGGAGCTGCCCAATGCTGGCCAGAAGGTGTGTTCGTGGGCTAGTATATCTTCTTATCTACCGCTGTATTTGCCGGTTCTCTTATTTGGTATTGGGAAGCTGGTTCTCTAGTTAGGGTTTTGATGTAGTTTAGAAGGTTGCGGCTTGCTTGTTATATGTACCAATAAGTTTGAATGCAAATATATACATAGAGTAACTGATAATATCATGATCATGAAACGTGGCTGTCCGTCGCAAGTAATAAATACAAGGAAAAGAACCAAATAAATCAATATCTGAAGTCCAACTAAGCATCATCCAAAATCGGCAGCCCACCCAAATCATCAAAGAACCGCGCAATCCCTTCAAACGAGTAATCGGGGAATCCAAACCCATACGCCCAGTCCTATATACCTGTTAGCACCTCCACTATCCAGATAATTTCCCCGATAAGGGATTAGAAACATACCGGGACAGCAAACTCCCCTCCTTCACCAGGGGCACCAGTAAACCCAAACCCATCCCCAACCTCGGCACCAGCACCAGCACCAACACCAACCCACCCCATTCCAATCCCCTCTTCTCCACCACCGGCACCAGTACCAACAGAGCCAGTACCAGGCCCACAAGCATCCGCATCTCTATCTGCATTTCTCGCCTGAAACTCCCGCAGATAATACCGGATGATCTCCGCGCATTTCCGCGTGACGACGCTCTCGTCTGTTGCTTCGAGGATCTCGATTGCTTTTTCGATGGAGCTGGTTATGCTTTCTGCGTCTGCTTTTGCAATTGGTGTTGCTGCTGTTGCTGCTGCTGTTGATGTTGGTGGTATAGAGTGGGATAGTGAGAGAGGGAGGAGGAGGGTTGATGTTGCGAATGTTACGTAGGTTGTGTTGTACCACCTGTTTTTATTTTCTGTTAGACCTCGAAAATTGGAATGAGGGCTTATTGATGCTTCTTGAGAACGGAAAAGAAAAGACTTACCAGCACCGAAAGAATGTATGCACGCGGTATATATCATGGATAACGGAAATGGTTTCCTGCGCTGCGTTGAGGCATTTGGTTATTGTTTCGGAGAGTTGGGAGGTTGTGTCTATTTCTGTCTGTGGGTTCGTGTCCGAGGTGTCAGACTGTTTCTCTGGCTTTTGTCCTGGTTTGGATTTGGACTGGAGTCCTCCGGGTACAGCTGTGGAGTGCCGTAGGAAGGGTCTGAATAGAAGTGTTTTGACGTTGTAGTATCCTGTATATGAGTTGGGTTAGTTCTTATCAGCCAAGGTATATATAGAGCTTAGTATATCAGGGTAATAACATACGGATACCCAAAACAAGCCTTTGCCTCCTCGCCCATTTTGGATCTTTAAGATCATTCCTTCCGATCCCTGCACCTGCACCTCCACCACTTCCGGTGCTGATAAACCCCGGTCGAATCCAACCAGGCAACTGCGCAACCCAAGCATCCATTTCAGCCTCAATACTCAGCGCAGCAGCCAGTTTCTCCTTCAGCGTTAGACGCCGGTGGTAGATCTGCACGGAGACCTTGCGCGTGATGCGCGCAAAGTCCACCATCCACGGGATAATGGCGTATTGTGAGGTGTCGCGCGGGGGGAGCGGGCGGTTGTGGTAGTCATCTAGACCTAGGGTGTCGGGGCGGCCGAGGGAGAAGGACATTTCGCTGGTTTTGTGTGATTAGTAGAGTAAGTTGGATTGGATTTTTAGCTTACATTTCTAGCGAGTATAGGCCCCTACAGAATTTGAAGGCATTGGGTTAGTTTTTTGCTTGTTTCAGTTGACAGAAGAAAGACGTACCACCAGGTTTTAGAAATCCATTCTGACCGCGGATCGTTGGAGTGTCGCACGTTGCGATTGAAGCCGGCGGCGAGAGAAGTGCGGACGGCGAGGCCGAGGTACATGTATGCCACTGCAGAATTAGCTCCAGTTACTTGTACATAGATGGATGAGACGAACAGTTAGGGTTGAGCTCGTTCTGGCATATCTTGGCCTGCGCGGGTCAGCATGTTAACTGGAATAGGAGGGAAGACATACCATGAGGTACCAGCACTGCACTGCGTCTAGATTGTTCGGAAAGTGCAAGTAGTTCAAATACACCTGTGCCTCGCCAAAGAGCTTCCGGCTCCATTCAAACCGCGTCAACCCGCCCAGTTGAGCTTCGTCCCAGACGCGGAGAAGCGCGCCAAAGGACAGAACGCTCAGGTAGAGCGCAATGAAACCTGGGTCCGGGGTTGGGGTACGTCGCATCCAGAGGTCGTGTGCGCGCAGGTAAAAGTCTTCCTTGTCGATAAAAGGGTGGATGAAGTGGATGTTCTCGAAGTACCCGCTCATAAAGACGTGCGCCTGTTCGAAGTAGTAGTTGTGTTCATGCACCGCGGCCAGCGATTGCGGCGCATTGGTCGTCGGAGAGAAACTGGCATTGTGCAGCGTCGAGACTATAGAGTATCCGTGTGCTCGAGGGCGGCTGGACCATTGGGCCTCTGGCTGTGGATCTCGTGCTTTTTGCAGATGCCCGAGAAAGGCGACGGATGAAGTGCTTCCGTGGAACTCGATGCCGTTGGTATGGTGGTTTAGCTCGGAGATTTCGTCGTCGACGGGGTCACTGGTTTCCTCGCCTTCTGCTTCGGCGGCGTAAGGTGCTGGCTCTTCTGGCTCTTGTCTTGATGTTGGGGTCAGTGTTGGTCTGTCAGCGGGCATCGAGTTTGGCGTTGCGTTGATATTTGGAGGCCCCAGTTCGCGGGGCGAGAATTTGGATTCAGCTGCCTGGAGTTTGGAGCTGAGTTCTTCGATCTTCTTCTCCAAGTCCTGGACATAGCTACTGTTGTTAGCCATATACAGGCCCTGAGGTTATCAGAGCGGAGAGTTACCTGGCAGAGCGATTGTTCTCCAGCTGTCGGTAATTTCCTTGATAGACACAGTCCAAACGGCTTTCTTTTACCATTAGCTCTTATCTAAAAACCAGCACGCAAGGGCTTACTCTTGCAATGGGAGCATGGATACCGCTCATCGCACTTGTACTTCTTGGACCTGCACCTGTCGCAGGCCTGGGCAGCGCGAGGTCGCTTTGAGCGAGGGGGCTCCTCGGGACGTGGCATGATCCATCTGCGATCATCAGACGAGATAATGAATTGGATTCTGCAGTCCCCAGAATCCGGGGATGAAGACGATGAGCTGCAGGGGAGATGCAAGTTGCAACTCGGAAATTCCGAGTGACCCCACGCTGCACAATTTCCCCGCATAATAATCAGTGCACAATTCATTCATAACTATTCATTCAACATCAACAGACAATTCTCTCGCTGCTTTCCTGACAACTTCCTCGTCTGCGCCCTGCAATTCCTCCTTCTCCGGCAATACTACACCTTCAAGCTCGCTCCCAGCCCGCTGTACCAACGCCTCAATGCCATCTCCATCCGTAAACGACCAAACCCGCACATACCTACTACGGAACTGCAGTGCAAACGCCTGTCCAGCGGGGATAACCACCGTCTCGCCCTCGCGGAACACCTCCTCCTTGACAGCACCTCCTCCCTCTCTCAGCTGCACAATCAACGTCCCCTCCAGCACAGCTAAACAATGATCCACACTCCGGAATGTCATAAACCGCGATAGCACCGCCAAAGCAGCATCCGCACCATAAACTTGCGAAGACTCAATACTCGAAATCGCACAAACACCCCCACTCTGCGCCGTCGTAACAAATGGCCTCGAAAGAACTCCCCCGAGCATCCAGCGCGGACCCGTATTTGCCTTAAGGAAGAACGGCACCGGTCCGTTTCCTCCTCCTCCACCACTTGGTAGCCTCTCGTCGTCCTCGTCCCACTCACCTAGCTCCGGCGGGACATACTCAGGCTGGAACACAACATCAAACTTCCCCTTCGCGGCCATGACCTTGGGAATCAAAAGCGACTTTAGATCGCGGTTATCAGACTCAGGGACCAGAACCCCTTCGTACGGCTCTGAGATGTAGCGGAAGAAATCAACCCAGTCGCCTGGTGTAATCAGCCCAAAGATTTCCGTGTGCGGGCCCAGCATTTCGGGGTTGTGGATTATGCCCTGTTCCCCGTATTAGCGGCTTCTACTTAAGAAATTCTTTACTGGTAGCGTATAAAGTAGGTGAACAGGGTGAGTAAGTAGGTAGTGAGTACTATACCGGCGGAACATAAGCAAAATCCCCGGGCCCCATCAGACGACACTTATCGCCGTTCCAGAGCTTCAGGAACCCCTTCGTGACAAGGAACACGTCGTGCGCGCGGTTGTGGTAATGGAACCCGGGGGCGTCGGAGAGCACGGCCCCGCTCTGGAAAACGGCCATGAGGCCATTTGTTTGCTTTGAGGATGCGAGGATCCGGAATGTGCCTTTACTTCCTGGGATGGTGATGCGCTCGCCCTCGAGTTGGGGGATTGCGTAGGTGGTTCGGGCTGCTGGGGGTTTGGTGGTGAAGAGAGTCATTGTGGCGGTTTGAGTATATTTACTAATTGGTACGGTAGATAATGAGAGAGACTGGGGCTCTGGATCAAGTGGTATTTAAAGAACGGGGTGGTGGAGATGCATCCAGACGCTCCGATAGTCGGATAATCCACCTGGTTGAGGGAGATCGGGACATCCGACTATCATTGAGGAACCGACATAGGGTCGGTCCATCATATAATGGCATTGGCTGTGTGTCAATAACTTAGTAGAGACTTGAAAAAGGGCGAAATTCTCTGTGTTGCAACAGAACATGCTGCTATGACTTATAACCCTACGCAAATATGATACCAATAATAAGAACTGTCATGAAAGCGAACTGACTATATACGATATATAACTATAGGGAACCGGTCTCAAGCGAGACAGCCCCAACTCACTAACAAACAACAGTAGCCCAAACAAGAGGGCAAAGGTCAATTCAATGGTCAAATCAACTCAACAAATATGGCCAGAGAAAAGAAGCAACCACATCACACCGCATAATCCAAATCCCAAATGTAAAACCGCTTTATGTCCGACGAGGGTTATTCTCTACCCGTCCACCAGCGGGCAACCGGTCATTGTATGAGACAGACGTAGAGGAGCTCCGGCTCAGGGACTCTGGGGTAGACACAGTGGATGCTGCGGAGGCGTTGCGGTGGTTGGTGGCTGCATCTGGGTGACAGTGTGAGCAGACAAACATGGTGAATCCGTGGCCCCTACAGCTGCTGCAGATACTAGCAGAGTTTCTGAATCATATTATATTAGCATTGAGTCTGTCTTTTGATAGGGGCAATAGGGGAGGTAGACGGGAATGGACAGACCTAGGGGCATTCCCAGCACAGCTTCGACATGTGAGGACTGTTTTCCCACCGATGCAGGATCTGTGGGTTGGGTCAAGTTCAATGGAGGAGCCTTGGTGAACCATCTTGACTGATTGAAAAGGTCTTTAGTCTCTGTGGATAGTCTGTGAATATTGAAGTGCAAATTCCTGGAGGTAAGTTGCAGTTTGAGGGTTTGAAGAACTCATCCAGAGAAACCGGTCTACCCTGGGGTCTATTTAAGATTTATCAATCAGGGTAGATCCCGTTCATGGCTGATTCAATTAATAATATCTCATGGCAGGATGATCCGAAGACAAAAGTCTCCACTCTAGATCCAAGGCAATACAGGCGAGGGCATGTCGGTCAGGTCTGCCTGCAAGCTAACCAGGCCACTCCCTGTCTCCAGTCCGTGCAATGGTCGTCTTCTGCGGATAATACTGGCCATGGAAGCTTCATCCAGCAGGGTTCATAATCCAGGTGGATTCGAGTCGAGCACCCGTCCGGCCGAAGAGGGCCCGAAACCCCAGTTCAGAGCGAATCTGCTGCCATGAACACTCGGTCAGATCGAGAATCCCTCTAGTAAGCCGCGCCAATGGCACAACGTCAGACGGATACCAGGGATCTGAGGCATGACCGCACAATCATGCCCAAATGTGGCCAGGGCCTGGGATATCTGTGTCATGCGAGCTAGCGGCTAGGCAGACGCCGGGCAGCTAGACATCCGTCATCGAACATCCGTAGAACCGGGATACAGACTAGTCAGTAGTTTTAGTGCGTTGTTAGAAACTGGACTGGGCACATCACACTGCACGTCAGAGCACAGCGCGAGTCCTCGATGAATCAATGATAGCATCGAGTAGTCACAGGGTAGGGATACCAGCAAATAGGAGTTGCCAGGATAGATCAAAATATAGAATGGGCTGCAGAAGCGGAGACCTAAAATTATGCGTTCTTCATCGAGAGAGAGAGCGGGGAAAAAGAAAGAAAAGTTTAAAGAAATAATTATGATAATGATACAAGTCAAAATGAGGCAGTATATCACGGAAGATAGAACCGAAGCATGGCAGCCACGGCGAGCTGTGTGACTCGGCTTGCCAACAATCAGCAGCATCGGCAGGCATCACGGATCGCTTACCCTCCACTCAACAGAGTCGTCACGCTCGAGTATTCCTTCGGTGGTCCACTGTATCCACTGACGGGTATATGCAGCGGGAAAGTCTCCGTAAGAGTACGATCTTAACTCCCAGTCTGGGCACCGAGAGCGCGCGCTCGGCAGCGGTAGCCAAAGAAAATGATGAGACGATCCGGTGGCACAAAAAAGAAAGCACTCTCAATTAGTTAGCTAGTTATCGTTATACACTCAAACTGAGTCAGCGATGATCATATGCTATGAAATTCTAGCATGCACTGGGCCTTCGGGTGCGCATCCCTCCCTTTCCCCTACTCCGGAGCGGCGGCGGAGCGTTAAGTTTTGACCGTATGATCAGAGCGTAGTGGCACTCCCAATTGATTAAGTTTTTGACATGTCTAACAGGAGCCGGTCGTCTCCAAATCCAAGGTTCTTGTCTCAATCCAGATTGGTTTAGGGCGGGATCCATGCACAATTGTGCAAAGCCCTGACGACGAGCACAACTATCCGAGCTGAAGGATCAAGGCTACTGCAACTGCAGCGGCAATAAGGAGGACATCATCTCGATGAGAGAAATACCGAGACCTGGGTGGACTGAAAGCGGGAGACTAGAAAAAGCAAATATAAAAAAGCGTTTAGCCAACGTGAACTATACCAGGATTTGACAGCCTTGGTGTCGTTGACGGCATTGTTCGGTCAATGCGATAGACTTTCACGGCAAACCTGAATGGTCGGGCCAATTCAAGAAAGCAGGACGCAGACAATATGATGATCCCGTGAGTCGTGGTCGAGCCCGTTGACCCCTGTACCCAGGTTGCGGCCTCCTGCAAGTATCCGTCGCGCAAAGAATCTCGGTGACCTCAAAGGCCAGCTTTCCACAATGATTGATCCACGTGAGCCCGGAGAAATTAAGCAGCATTTGCCGCTATTCGCATGGGAACTCAATAATCTGATATCCCGACCAATCACTGCGATGAGGTTGTGTTGTACTCTCGATCAGCCCAGTGGGTGGCAGATTCCCTCGACATCATATGAAACAAACCCACCGAGCATCTCCCCATTGCATAGACCTGTTGTAAGAGTCATGCAACGCTTGGGATATTGAGATCGATGGCATAGTGATGAACCCGGTGGCTGAGTCCTAAATAGGGCACATAGGCAACGAACAAAGGGGAAAAAGACACGTTCACAACGGCAGCAAGTGTGAGCTATCTAGAAGAATCCATTTTAGCGCTCAGGTCATCTTGGTATTAAACCCGATTTGCTCAGCTTCAGCCTGAAAGCAAGTGTCGTTCAGCCAAAGTCTACCAACCAGCCTTCCCACCGAGGATGGGTTTCAATGTATCCAATGCGACTCGACGGCAGCCGCTGCCAGTGTCTCAGCCAGGTCTGGGATCCAATATGTAAGCAACCTGCAGGTCTCCGTCAAAAAAAAAAAAAAAAACACGCACTGGCCGGGACCTGAACGAGCTCGGTCCTGGTTCTGCCATGTCATTGCCATTGTTCGCCTGCAGATATCCACTCTCAGCTATTGTAGGCACCGCATGTAGCTGCTTCGATGAAGACGATTCATTTTATTTCTTCCAAGAGAGATAACGCGGTTGGAGAACACACCTGCTTCTCTGCCCATGAAGCGCATTTCACAAGACCTAAGGAACGCAGGTGGCCACAAGGATCCAGCGACACGACACGGCAAAAAAAAAGCCAGGAATTGTCGATAAGGGAAAAAAGGAATTCAAGACGGAAACTGCCGATCAGCTGATGAGCTTTTCTGGTTCAGTCCCTGGCTCTTTCCATTCTGATGGATGGTGTTTGCCACGACGCACTGACAGGGTGAGGACAGGTCCGAGCCTTCCAGGCTTCAGCACGGCTGCGAACACCTCATACATGCGTACCAAGACTTGGGTCGACGGTAGGACGGAGAACCGGGGAGTAAAAAAGAAAACAAGGGGATGGAGGAGAGACGGGAGAGACGGGAAAGAAATTGGAGGAGCTCTCGATGAAGCGGGATACCTCTCATTGGGATTGGGCAGTCTACTACACCTGGCAGTCGACGGTACAATCAACGGTCTACTTGGAAGCCGTCTATCGGAGGGAATTCAGTAATAATTAAACCCAATTTCTAGCTTATCTGCATCCATAGTAACACCAATGAACTAAACACGTGAGAGTGGCATTAAGCGAGGAGAAAGGGGAGGGACAAAAGAAAGAAAACGACGGAGCAAAACACCATATCGACGTATCAAGAAAGTAAAAAAAACCTAAGCCCTAAAACCATAAACCCAATACATAACCATTGTAACGCCTCAACGATTCAGCTGCTACTCGATAATTGAGCCTACGCAAAGTAATCCGGGGGAAGGGAAGCCAAAGCCGCAATCGTCCCTACTGCACCCACCATTGCTCCCAAAATAGCTGTCGTCGCGTGGCTTCTAACACTACCCCCATGGGATGTCTTGACCATTTTGGATGGACGTTCGTCCTCCCTGGTCTTATTGGGCTTCTTCGTCTCCTTGGCTACCCTTGAGCTCTCCGGGATGCTCATAGGGGTAAGTTGCGAGTCTGGGCCGTTAAGAATAGCAGCAATACTCTGCGGCTGCGCGTCGGGGAGCTGAGTCTCCTCATTGGGCAAATTCTGCGCCTCCGTCTGTTCCTCGCTGTGACCCATAGCAGAATCCAAATTATCCTTCTCTTCTGGGTCTGATTCAATTTCTGCCGCCTTTCTCTTCTTTGAGGGTGTAGGTTTTGACCCTACGCCAGAAGCTTTCCATTTGCTCAGTTCTGGAGATTGTGCAGTAATATTCGCTCTCATATCCGATTCGGGGACTGGTACTGTTGCATCACAAGATGTGCGGGGCATCATCGGTGCCAGTCGGTCCATGAAAGGCATAAAATCGCCCATAGCATTGCCGCTGGTAGCTTGAGTACTCTGTACTGTGATGTCCGGCATTGACTGATTTGACGCAAAAGGACCATCATTGTACTGTCCCATTGGCTCGGAATAAGAGGCTGTGTTGCCAGGATAGTACTTGGGGGTATGTTCGATACTTGGCTTTATTGGCGGCAGAATGGTGCCGGTAGGGAAAATGTTGGGTCGATAATGGTCAGACAGGTTTACACTGGGCTGTAAGGGAGGCTGCAAATCCTTGAGTGCCTCAATTGAGGAATAAGGAGGATTCAGTGTAGTGTAGAACGAGGGCCTATGAATTTGCCGCTCCGTCTGCTGAGAGCCAGTGCCTGAGAAATTGCTTTCTGGAAGGAGGTTCAAATCGGGAGCCTGGATTCCACCATGTTCAGAAACAGCGCTAACCAGTGGCAGCTTCTCGCAGTCTACCGCGGGAATATCATCAAGGTCATCTTCGGCATTGATCAAATCTGAAAAGCGGATGCGCGACTCTTTCTGAGCATGGGCGTCGGGCTCAGAAGTCTCGCATACTGGGTCAGGCAAAGGATTGGCATCTACAGCCTCGTTATTTTCCAGCTCTTCATCTTCATCATCCCCCTCTACAGATTCCACATCCCAGTCATCGGGTTCAACATTGGACTCGTCATCTGAATTACGAGCAAAGTATTCGTCGGCATATGGGTTTTCATAGCTCGCGTTATCAGAGTCATAACGATCTGAATGTGGCGTCATCCTTGGAGTCGCCAAGGGTTGTTCTGTGTCCAGGTCCACTCCATTATTTGGCTTTGTCGGGTCCTGGAGTGCCGCATGTGTGGGCATTGCCGCCGAAGGATCGGTAGGGGGAGCATTTGTCGAATCCTTTTTCTGAAGGGGAGAAGTCATTGGTGAAGAAACTTCCACCACCGAATGACTATCATCCGAGTCCGAATCGGCACTTGAATCATTCGACTCAGAAGCGCATTCAACAGTAAGATCAACTGCAGCTCGATGTTCACCGGCGTCAAACTCGTCATCATAGCCATAGTTATCGTACTCGTCATCGTCATCGTCAGGGACACTGAAAGTGTTGGAAGCAGTCTGAGGAGAAGTCTTCGGTCCAACTTCCTTCCTATACAGTTGGTCAGTGACTTGTCTTTGGACCCGGAGAATAGGGGCGTACCTAGTTTCCTCGAACTGGGACTCGCAGCGTACTTCCAGTGGCGGGAAAGTATCTGGGCACATGTTAGACATATCATTCTAAACTGGAATAGAATGTAATGACGCACCAGAGCCTCGGATGACCTCCACCCCAAATGTCAACACATCACCGTCTGATAGAGCCATATCCGTTTCGACGGGAACTTTTTTTCTGTTCAACCAAGTACCATGCATGGATCCAGGATCACGGACGTAAACGACCTAATAGTACCACAATCAGTAAGTAACGGGGTTTCGGATTGGAACGGAACTTCTGAGCCCACCTTCTCATTCAGTGACACACGCAGTATAGCATGGACCCTGGACATAACACGAGAATCGAACAAGGCGTTGTTGGGTCGCGGTGAAAGATCCTTGCTTGCTCGTTGAGAGGATCTACCGATTTCGATACGATCAGACTCAGAGGTAAAGGTAAGGGTACGATCGAAGACGGGACCTGGGAAATCCAAAGGATGGAGAAGGACAACGGCTGCAGAGCAAAAGTCAGTCAGTCAAGCTGTTCGATGAATACCGTGTGCGTGGTGTGATTGAAAATTACTATGCGTACCTTGCATATTACTAGCCATCGTCTTTGGCTTCTGGTAAGACGATTCAGGAGATTCGTCGTTTGGGGATGACAGTGAACAGTTTATTACCCAAGTGCCCGAGATGGCTCACAAACGGGCATTTACAGGGAGAGAAAGTGAAGAAAGAGATGAACAGTCAGAAATATGGATGAATACAAGGCTGTCAGTCCGGGAGGGGTAGTAGTCAGCCGAAGGGCAACGGCCGTTGTCAGGCAGACAACAGAGGCACATAGGCAGCCGCCTTCTCCAGAGCAGCTTTGGGGGCTTTGATGGGAAATCAAGTCATCCAAAATGGCTCGGCCAGCTGAGTCCTTCGTGTCCCGGCCCAGCTAGTTCGGGTGTTGGAGTGAAGTTGCAGAGGAACAGGGGAATAGAGGAAGCGCCCGTGATTAGGTGTGACGTTGGCTGGCACAAGTCGCAGGAAGGAGCCTTAACTTTCGGTAACACTGATGACACAGGAAACAGGGCGGAACTCAGCCCATGAGAGTAGCGAAACAACAGTATGAGAGGAGCTTGGAAGTTAATATGAAAGCCACAGGCGAAGCTCGAAAACAGCAGTGACTTTGAGTAGATGAGGGGATAAGGTGGATGACGGAGGTGATGAATCGGCGGGCCAAGTGGGGTGGCCTGTCGTTATCAGGTGGACTCTCCCGGGCGATCGCGCTTACCAAACTACCAAGGCCCCAGTTCCTCAGTCACCTCCGGGCTTGAGCTCCCTGCCACTTACGCACTCTTCCACATAATAATCCAACTCTATCCATTATTACCTACCGCTATGGTACATACATGAGATCGTTGTCCAGTAACCTGTAACCCGGTACAGACTTCTGATCCAGCCTCTGAACAGCCCGTTTTCAAAGTTCGCACGATCATCAAGGTGGAGAGCACACTCATGTCAAAGCCGCATATCAATGTCCAAAAGAATAAAAAAAAAGTCAACAGAAACCACATAATAAATACACTCACCGGGGAGGATCCGGTACCAGTACATTAGTCAAGTATTGCCAGCGATCAGCTTAACGTCTGTTCTAGCAATTTAAGCTCGTAATAGAGAATGGAATCCCCTACAGGCCGCCGGGTGCCCCCCCGAAACCAGCACCCATGCTCTGCAAGCGTGCAGCAAGCTGTGGGTACTTCTCTTGAACCTCTAGTTGGGTTCGTGTCGCCTCAGCATAGGAGATGGCGTTGATGATCTCGGGCTCCGTGCGGGCGAGCTCAGCAGCACGCTCGAAGTACTTGAGCGCCTGGGAAACCTTGCCCTGCTGCAAGAGCAGTTGGGCCATGGTTCCAACCGCAATGTCGCACTCAGGGTCAACTGTGTATCGTTAGCATGGAGATTCTTCAAGTCCTGTGACCCATGAACTCACTGATCAAAGCCTTCTGGCAGAGCTGCTCGGCCTCTTGGAAGTCATGCTTCCACTGGAACAAGGCAAGGGCCTTGTTGATCAGGGGAAGGACGTTGATACCCATCGGCTTGCTCTGTTTCTCCATCTCGACGGCCTTGTCGAACTTCTCGATGGCTTCGGAGAAGTTCTGCTGGTCAAGGAGCAGTTCTCCGTAGTAGTTGTAGACGTCGGGGATATCCTCGAAGTTCTTCACGGACCGTCTGAAAGTAGCCATCGCAGAAGCAACAGAGCCCATCTTGTACTGCGTAACACCGAGCTGGATGTGCGAGAAGATGAATGTCCGGTCAAGGTCGATTGACTTCTGATAATCCTTGGCAGCTTCGGCGAATTCACCGAGGATGAAGTGGAGCTGGGCACGGTGATAGTAGATGTCAGGGTCGTCCTTGTTGTGAGTAATGGCAAGTTCGAAGTCGTCCTGAGCTCCGTCCTTGTTGCCTGTTGTCCATTAGATATGGACCATCCACACACAAATGTCATGATCGAACTTACCTAGCTCAAGGTGCAAGCTAGCACGCTTGATGTAACTCTGGACAAGCGAGGGGTCCAGCTCAATGCTCTTGTTGAGATCCGCCAGGGCGTCTTGGGCGTTCCCTTGCAGGTATGTGAAGGTAGCACGCTGGTTCAGGGCAAGACCCTCGAACTCACCAAGGTCGCCAAGCTCCAGGGCCTTAACGAAAGCCGCTGCGGCCTCCTCATAGCCGTCGCCAGTCTTCTTGGACATCGCTAGCAGACCCTTGCGGAGCTCACCCTTTCCAGACTCCTCAGGGAAGTCGGCAGACTCATCGAGGCCTTGGGGCAGGGACTTGGGACGGAAGCTCTGGAGGTAGTTGGAAACGAAGGTTGGGCTGGGAAGCTTCGAGCCCTTGGCCTCCAAAATAGCCTTGCCCTTCCGCTCCGCAACCTTCTTCAGGAGTCGCTCAAGAGCAACTCGGCTAACTTCATTTGAGAAGCCATCGATGATGCAGCTGGCGGTGAAGTCGAGAAGAGCTTCGCTGAACTTCTCGAGATGCTCGTACGCGATGGCACGTCTGTTAAGAGCCTTGACGTACTCACTATCCATCGCAAGCGCAGCGCTGGTGTCTTCGATGACCTTTTCCCACTCTGACAGAACATTGTAGCACGCGGCGCGGTTTGAGTAGAAGACTGGGTCGGGTTTGCAGATTATCGCCCTTCCGTAGAGGTCGATGGCGTTGTTGTAATCTTTGGAGCCGTAGGCCTTATTTCCCGCGACCTTCAACTTTGCGGCGTATGCTTTCCGGGTCTAAACGGGAGATAAGTAGGTCAGCAGGCCGCATCGGCGAAGGAAAAATCGGCTAATTGAAACGCACCTCCTCATCCAACTGTCCAACAGTTGCCTCGTCAACCTCGGGAATCTCTTCTGAAGGCTCCTCGGGCTTCTTTTGGGTTTGTTCTGGAAGAAATCAGCGATGATGCGACGAGTATTGGCATTGAGAGCCATCGAGGCACATACCATCCTGAACAGAAGCCGCCTTGGTCTTCTTTTCCTCGGCCTTCTTCTTCTCCTTCTCCTTTCGTCGCTGGTTCTTGCTCTTCTTCTTCTCTGCAGGTGGAGTTGTGGAGGATTTAGCAGACTGGTTGGAATCAGAAAGGTAGTAGACGACACCGGCACTTGTCACGACGACGGCAACACCCGCGACAGTGTAGACGAGCGCCTTGTTCTCAGACACCCATTTCGAGACGCGGTCCCAGACGGAAGCTGAGGAAGAGGCGGGAAGAGAAGCAGTGTCGACCACCACGTTCTTGGATGGATCGGGCAGAGGTGAGCCGCTCGACATGATGACCGGGGAAAGGAGCCGTGATGGTTCGTTTCGAGTTAATTGCCTTGTTTTTGCTGTTTTGTGCTCCCCCTTTTCGTCGGAAAAGTCTAAACAGATTAGATCCAAGTCAATTATAAAGGACAGCCAGAAGCACTCGGGGGGGAAGGAAGGCGAACCGCGCAGAGATGGTTGGCAAGAGGCCGCGTTTCAGTCTGGATGGGGGAGATGGGAGAGTTGCGGCCTTGAAAAAGTTATGCGTTCCGGCAACAGCGCAGCAGTCCCGAGCTCTGGTGCTGGTCCACCCAATCACGTTGATCCAAAATCTATGGCCAGCTCCTGGCTTGCTCCACTGCCGCCCTCACCAGAAGGAAGTTGGCCCTCGAAACGTCGTCATAGGGCGCTTTCGTGCAGACAAGACCTCAATGGCGATTGCTGGTGGCCGGACGACCTGTTTCTCGCTCTCTTGGACTAGCAGGACTTTTGCTAACTGCCCAGTGCGATCTCGGCGCGAACCGGTCCTACTGCACGTGGATAGGTCCAAAATGATCGCAAATCCAGCTTCAAAGTTTTACAACCAGTGAACAATGTCTTCAGAGTCCTTCCAGATCATCTCCACGCTGCGCTACGACCCCTACCTTCCAGATGTAGTCTCTCAGCGCGGTGCAAACACCTATCCTGATCCGCTCGTCACCCCCTACTACCTCCTCCCCTACCATCAGGACCGACTCCGGAATGCCGCTCGCTACTTCAACTGGGACAATGCATCCAAGTTCCTCGAGCAAGACCTCGCCCAATTTGCCCGCTATCTTGATACGTTTATTCCGCATAAAGGGAAATGTTGGCGCGTCCGATTAGTCCTCGATAAGAACGGGGAGTGCAAGGTCGAGGCCAACCCTGCCGCACGGATCGAATTGGAGAATTTCCTCGTCCCGTTCATAATCAGCCCTGCCTCTACACCATGGCGTGTCTTCATCGACACCGCTCCTACGGCTCCATCGGGACTCACAACCCACAAGACCACTGCGCGCAAGGACTACGCGGCTGCACGGGCCCGGGTGGGGATTGCGTCGCCGCAGGATACTGCCGAGGTGCTTCTGGTGAACCCGAACGGCGAGATAATGGAAGGAAGTATTACGACACCATATTTCCGACGGCGTGAGGATACGAGACAAGATGAGCCCGAATGGATCACACCCCCGCTGTCAAGTGGCGGCAACGCAGGGACAAGCAGGCGTTATGCTCTAGCCCAAGGCTTCTGCACCGAACAGATAATTACAGCCCGCGACCTCATTGATGGCGAAGTCTGTTTGTTGAGCAATGGGGTGAGAGGGTTCTTCCTTGGACGGACCATGCTCAGGGCAAGCAAAGCTTAGCTGCATGCTCGCGTGCAGTTGAATGGTCTCCAGCTAAAGTTTTAATTTAATTGTCTTTTTGCTTATTGTATTATTGAATGAAAGGTTGGAGACGGCTATTTTAAGTTTGTTTTTTATACTCAATACAGAACCCTTTGCCTTTCGACGCTGTTTCAGTACGTAGTGGGTTCGTCAAAATATATAAACTGTGATGGTATATTCTGCAGGACACGTATCAATGGTGGTTTGACATGGGGCGATTTCCACAGTTCCTTTGCTCATTTTCCCGTATAACCTGATTTCAACCTTGAATCATAACTCGATCGCCTCCTTGAGACAGGCAATCGCACCACGCAGGCTTCAAAGCGAATGAGGCCAAGTTCTACCCAATCTCATGACTGCCGAATGCAATTGTGGCACCATCACACGTGACTCCCGAGGTTACACAGGCCGGTTCTCATCCCCGCGTTTACTAATTGGGGCTAGCGTCATAGAGCTGGCAGAAATTCTTCGACCAAAAGGAGGCCGAGCGGAAGATGGTAGAAAAGGTGATTGAGCAGACGACCTCAGCATTCCCCCCCCAGATCGCCACACATCAACGCTCTCCATCTTCTCCCATCCTCTACCATCCAATATAACAATCCTCATCCAGTGTATATGTGTCGGCCATTATGAAATTCTTTGAGAACCTCTATACCTACGATTATTCCTTTCCCGCCGTTTCTCTTGCTTACTTTCTCCGCTACCCAAACCCGTACTCCAAACATGTCCTGACGACAGATGTCATTGATCGATATGTTGACCCGAAGACTCATCGACTGCATACCACGCGAATTCATCTAAAGAAATCGAAAGTGCCCTCTGGGATTCTGAAGCTTCTCCCGAAGGGCATTGGCGGTTCCGACAGTTCCGGACAAAGCTACATTCTCGAGACGACCGTCGTCGATGCCAAAGAAGGCTGGATGGAGTCCGAATCACGTAACATGGAGTGGACCGGAATTCTCAGCGTGGTGGAAAAACAAGTTTATCGACGCCAGCAACCAGATGGCCCCCCGGAGAAGCTGGAAGGCTTGTCTCTCGACAATCGGCGATGTGAACAAACCACTGTGAACACGACTGTTACGTTCCGTTCTCGCTTTGGACAGGGGAAGCTTCTCGGCCGCAGGAAGACAGAGGCTGCCTCGGATCATAACGGAGACTACGAAGAGGAGGCTCCCAAGCGGGGATTTTTCACCTCGCTGTCCACTGCAGGAATTCAACGCACCATTGAGCTGATTGGACTTAACCGCACTCGCGACGCCATCCTCAAGAGCAAGCAAGGAATGAATGTTGTTCTGGAGCGTCTACGCAGCGGCGGAATAGTCGGCGTGCTTGAGGGCATGCACCAGGACCGCGAGTCTGTGGTTATGGGTGGCGAAGGCCCCTGGAAGCGTGTCTGGCTTCGAGGCCACTCTAATAACGACGACTGAGTCTTCTACCATATCTGGAGCACTTTATACAAATTTCGACCATGTCAATATTGATGCGACATTCGAGCGTGGAGCATTGGCGTTTGGGATTCATTTGGTTTTTATATTGACACTCTCCTACTATATTGTCTTTTTTATCCTGTTTTCGATTTTCTGGACATTGTCTGCTTTCCAGAAGCGTGTTACATTGCATGTATCGACGAGAATTGTCACGACCTATGTACACTATGGGGCATACTGCCCAAACCCGGTCGCTTCATTTGGTTGAAGACACCCATTGTACAATATACGGATTACTTCCAACTGACGGGTTTACCTTATCACGTTTTCTATGCTATCATTATCCACTGAAATGACTTCAAGAAAAATATTATCACTCCATTCCTGTAATCGCTGAGTAAACAACATTATTTGACAACATTATTTTGGCCCGCGGCGACGGGAAAGTGTACACAGCCCATCGGAAAAGTAGCAGGCTCTTAAGGTTCTTGTATGGTATCCACCAGCAGGCCCGATTCGAGCCGCTCCGCTCCACGGCAGTTGGCACATTCCAAACTCAGTAGCTGTGTAATTGCCTTTAGAGGCCAACGGTACATCTTCGGTGGGATGAAGAAAACTATGTCTGCAAATCACCCGTAAGAGGAGAATTCTCCCAGTGCAGCACTGCAACTTCTGCAGCTGATGCTAGATGTCACAGATACAACACTAAACTAGAGCCAATCATCCAGTCAGAAGATTCAGATAACAAGCACAGGGCCGAACAATGTCCCGCCCACCCCTCTCCTTCTGCGGAGAGTGGACAAGAGGATCATGGCAGTGTTGGCAGTAGTCTGCGGCCCGAAGCTATCACGGATACAACTGAATTGGGACAGATACAGGCGCCTAAGCTGGACTCTCACAACTCCATTTTACTAGAGGGAGAACAAGTATACAAATGCTGCTTCTAACCGCGGTAGATGTGCATAAAAATGTACAGGAACTTATCCAGCCCAGCCGAAGGGCCTGGACAGAACGATGGCACTCAGAAACAAGGCTAAGGGCCAGCGCGTGCTGCTCGTTAGCCTGAAAGACAGAACCATTTGAATGGCCTGGGGGTTTGATCCCCGTTCCTCTTCTACGAATTATGCGAAGCACAGATGGGTTATCAGTCTCCGCTGTTTGTGCCAAGGTCGTGAGTATAAGAGGTAAAGTAGCTCCGAAAAGGCATTTGATTTCTCATCTGCAAGGTGCAAATAACAGAGAGATAGTGAAGCTGCAGATTTTGTAGTGTATTGCGATGAACGGGTGGGCCCATGGATAGGAAGCCGACGGAGGTGAAGCGGGCCCTTGCAGTACGAAAAGAAAAATCGCATTAAGGACCTACCGGCAGAGACAGCCTGGAAAGAGATCGAACGCTTGAATGTGGCATGGATTTGGTCTTGACATCTGTAGCCGAAAACTTCATACGTATTACCTGGACATGATTTCTTTCCAGAATGTATTTTCTTGCGGCCAATGTATCACAATGTTCAGCCTTATACCTTCTGGTCCACCGTCGGCACTTGAATGGAGACCGATATCCCGGTCGGTGTCTACGGTGTATGGGCTACTAGCCGAGCAACCGTGGCAGAAAACAAGGCAGCAGCAGGTTTTGCAGTTTCAGGGCAGGATTCGTCGGCAAGTATGCATAACTCCAGATACCTTGCGGCTGACAATCTCATTATCGGGATATAACCGGACTGATCGACCTGCTTGGCTATCGTCTGCTGATCAGGATCCAGGGACCAGGAGATGTTCAATGCTGTGGGCAGATCCGACATGTCGATTGCGTCATTGGCAGACACTTCTTGAGACATCCATCTTGGGTGCACATTCCTGGTCGAATCAGATGAGGTCAGCGAGAATGCGCTCCCGCAAGGACCCTGAAGGGCCAATGAGCTGCGAAAAGTGCGCCAAGTGGGGTCAGACAGTCGCCAAGAGCGCCACACGATTCAGGGCAGCACTCGAACAGCTTTGCAGCTTGTGCTGGTGAGGAGCATTGAAGAATCGACCAAAGGGTACTGTAGTACTGCGAGCGACTCGAAGAGACACTCGATCTGACTCGCAGCCCAAAGGAGCATCCAAGACGCCGGAGGAGCATAAAAAGCCGGCTGAAATGGAATGTCTCAAATCTCTGCTCGTGAAGCAGCGCGACCCGACCCAGGCCAGTGAGTGGTTGGTTTGGCTGACCCTGGAAGCGATCCCCACCTTGAATTGCCTTTTCCGGAAGGGTTGATGCGGAGATGGCCAATCAGCATAGCTGCCAAGCCGCCCGGAAGGCCGCTTGCTGTTGACTGTTACCAGCACCTGACGGCGCGGAGGCTCCGGGCCCTACCAACTGACCAACTTTGAACGCAGTCAGACCTCAGGCTGTTCCATCATCGACTCGCTTTTTGCCTGTGTCGCTTTTCAGGCCGGCTTTTCTCCGTCTCGTCTGTGTTGGCCTTCGTGTCCTCCGCATCCTGCTTATTGTTCCATATATTGCCTCGCGTCTGGTAGTCTCTGCCTTGTTTCCCCTCGCTTCCGTCGTCGCCCTTGATCTGGCTCTCCCCCCTTTACTTCCGACTCTCACCACCTTTTTTCTTCGCGCGACCCATCCGATTTTCTCGCCCTTTAGTGTAACAGAGCAATTGCCATTCTTCTTTGGACCGTTATTTTTTTCCACCGACTATCGAAAGGACGGGTCTTCTTCTGACCTGCACTGAAACGCCGGAGCGCCTATTTGGACGCCCTTGTCATAGTATCACAACCTCTCCTCGAATTCACCCTCCGTCCGCGCCCGCTGCAACGGAGTCAACGGATCGGCTTATTTCTCGTTGGATCTGGAAGACATTGCTTGATATTTGTTCGATAACCTTGGACTGTTTCTCATTCTCGACACCTACACCGCAGTAGGATGCTGTTTGGCCTGTCCCTTCCCGCATAATCGAGAGCCTTCCAAGGCAGTTGCTAGACGACTGCTTGATCAAATGGCTACCTCTTTTGGATTATGGTCGATGACCCGACCGTGTTTATTGCTTCTTATGACAATCTTAGCGACGCTTTCGCCCTCCGCGACCGCCGAGATATGTTCCTTTTGGGATAAGGGATGTGTTGACCCATTGGCCCAAACGGCCATCCCGTTCAAATTTGATCCCCTTTTCCTGGAAACAATGAATTTTTTCTACGCCTTTGATGCCGATGGTCGAGGGAAAGGCCAAGCACCGATGGTCAAGACCGGTTTTTGGATCGGATATCAAGCCTCCACGAACAACTCTGTCATCAACATTAATCGCACGTCTGAGATTGCAGTGCGCGTGGGCAATCTAACCGGCGCGCCATCGGGCGGTAACAACGGATGTGACGGTGTCTGGGGTTCGAGTTGCTCGACCGACCTCAAGAGATACCTGAAGGAAAACCTATTAGAATATGTGCAGAATGCCGACACATACACCAACCCCCTTAGCAACGTGATCCACTCGTTCCGCTCAACTCCGCCGATTTTACCCAACTGTCCGCCCACGTTGTTTGAGGTCCAGAATATCCCTGTTATATGTAAGTTCACAAGCACACTAGCCTCTTCTCTGGATGTTCTGACTCGGTTTGCTAGCATTTGTGTCGGAAGACGAAGACACCAAACAAGCCTATGTCAAGACTCATGGAAATCCCGACAGTCCATGGGAGTCATGGTTCATTGATGATATGTCCTCTAGTGATCAGGCCGAACAAGTTGCTGTTGGGATAATTGGCCGCGTTCCGGCGGAGACTGCACCTAAGCCAGAGGAGGAAAGCGAAATACAAATCGAGCTTGTCTGCGCTCGCGCACCATCTCAAGGAAGTTCATCGAGCGACGGTTGATTTTCATTTCTTTCAACAAAAAACGATGTACGTTTTTTGCGCTGTATGATTTACGAACGCGAACCGACTCAGGTTCTCATTGGGCGGCACTACCCGCATCTATTTTGGATGCCAAAGCCACGGTTCCTACAGACTGCTCGACAGCTTTTCAGTCGACGCCAACATGAACAGCATCAGCAATGTTATGATGCACTCGCTCGCTCAAAAAAAAAAAACCTCCTAGAGGTGTCTCTGCAGGGTGCGGCGCTAGTCAGCTGCGGAGGTCACCCGGACAGCAGACATGACAGGGCCGATCTTGGACCAGCAGAGGGCTATCGCCAGTCGAAGCCACCATCTATCGCTGTATATAATTACTTCTATAATAGTATTACTAGTCCTTGAATACATTCCGGCTATATCGAGGTCATTTTCGTTGCCACTGCCACCTCTCTGAACTCTTCCATCTGCTTAGTGACCTTCCAATATCCGCCTGCTCACTCATGGCGTCGTCTAATCCTCTGGCCCACTTCCCAGCAATATATCTCTTCGTCTGACTAGATTGTACCTACTCCACCGCGTCATCTCCGGTGCCAGCCGGGATGCGATAGTAAACCCAGACGATTCAGTTGCACTCAACGCCGCACTTCGTCCCGAGATTAGGAGGGGTAAGGTCGTAGCAGTTGAAATGACGATATCCGAAGGATACGAGGTGGGGGATTGCTGCCTCGTAATGTTCCTCGACGGGCAATGCGATCGCGATTTGGCCTCCCTATACTCAGTGAGTCAGTAGTATGCCAAATGTCAGCTCAGCCGTTGTAACCATTTGCGCTCTCGCCGTCATGCTGCAATCCATGGAACACAAGCGAACGTGGTGGCTGAACCACGGTTGCACTCCGGTTCCTGGCAGCGCTCGCTAAGAAACAATCAGACTGAACCGACCTGCTTTTGAGAGCAAATATTCGGCTGCTATCCTGGTGTTGTCTGTCCGTGGACCTGTCGCCGATCACACTGCTGCCCAATCGGACGCCCGCAATAGTCATCGCCGCGTCCAATGAAGCCGCAGACTCTCCGCACGCCCTGAGGATCTTTCGCCGCCTGGTTCTTTGCTTCATTGCTTGTCTTGTTGATGGCCCACCCGGTCTCTGTGAGAACATTCGGCCTCCGTTCCAGCACGCCGCTTGCTCCATCTGCTCCATCCTATTCCTGGCAGTCTTGTGCACTCTGCGCATGCCCGCTGCACCACCCCATGATGCGCTCTTCCCGTGCACCTGCAGATCCATCTCATTGGAGCTCGCTTCCAGGCTGATCTCGCCATGTCGCCGGCCGTCTTGACGGTGCGGCCCACCATTATCGCGATGGCCATGATCTGCATCTCAAGACCCCATTCAAGTAAGGAGGGATGTGAAGTCCGATGCGCATTTACGCATCACAACCTCAGGCCCTTGCACGTGGTTGGGGTAGGCAAGGGCGAGCTCGCGTCGCTCCAGTGGAATGCGATCGCGTCCCCAGCTATAAAAACCGCTGGAATTCCAATCAAAAAATGACAGCAGCAGCAGCAGAAGCTTGAGCTTGAGCCGTCCTGACAATGCATCTCAGCGCCTACTTCGGTCTCCTTTCCTTCGCCGTCGCGGCAGTGGCCGTCCCGACCGGCCAGCAGCCTCACTCGAGCCGCTCCGTCGACAACCTCAAGTCGCACATTAAGAATGTGGTCATCCTTGTCATGGAGAACCGCTCCTTTGACAACATCCTCGGTGGTCAGACCACAAAGGGCCTCGAGAACCCCCTCCACAACGGCCCGTTTTGCAACCCGTTCAACCTGACCGATGCCTCCGAGGGCGAGGCCTGCACTGCTCCCAAGAGCTTCGACTCGGTCATCAATGACCCTGACCATGCCATCTACGGCAACAACATCCAGTTCTATGGCGAGTACACTCCTGACAACGCCGCCATTGCATCGGGCAAGCTCAAGGCCACCAACAAGGGCTTTGCGCACGAGCAGATGCGCCTCTACGAGGCCGAGGCCGAGAAGGCCGACCTTGTTAAGCAGGTCATGCACTACTATACCGAGGATCAGGTGCCTGTCCTGACTTCCCTTGTTAAGGAGTACCTGACCTTCAACCACTGGCACTCTGATATCCCCGGAGTAAGTTCATCTCTTGCGTTGATTCGCGACTTGAGAAAACAAAACAAAAAGCTAATTGATTGAACTTAGAACACTAACCCCAACCGCGCTGCTCTTGTTTCCGGTACGTCACACGGACACGGTCTCAACGACGAGGGCTTCGACAAGCACGAGCTGCCCAACCGCTCGCTCTTCCAGCAGCTCACCGAGACCGGCCACTCCTGGATGAACTACGTCGACCCCGACGGTGGCACTGGCCCTGACGCCGGCTTTTTCGACTGGACCTACAAGACTGGCAACGACGACAAGATCGTGCCCCTGGCAAACTTCTACCACGACGCCGCCAAGGGCAACCTTTCCGAACTCACTTACCTCAACCCGTCCTGCTGCGGCGTTGGTACCACCTCCATGCACCCCTCCGGCCTTATCTCCGACGGCGAGGACTTTATCAAGTCCGTTTACGACGCCCTTCGCGCAAGCCCGCAGTGGAACAACACCCTGTTCGTCCTCACCTTCGACGAGAGCGGTGGTTTCCACGACCACGTGCCTGCCCCTCTGGCCCCCCGCCCCGATAACCTCACTTTCTCCCTCGAGACCCCCAACGGCAAGAACTATACCTTCCCCTTCGACCGTCTCGGTGGCCGTATCCCCACCCTCCTTATCTCCCCCTGGGTCAGCAAGGGTGCTGTTGAACAGCAGGGCACCAACCACAACGGCGAGACGATCTCGTACTCTGCGTCGTCGATTCTGCGCACCCTCGGCTACCTCTGGGACTTTGAGCCGTTCACCCCGCGCGTCGAGCATGCGGCTTCCTTTGAGCATTTGATCCAGGGCTCGGCTAGACAGGATACCCTTGATAAGCTTCCTGAGCCCCAGCATTTCAAGGTTAGGCTGTAAATAGACAAATATAATATGCCTGGGGCATTTTACGATTAATTATGTGGTAACGATATGGGTTGTAACTCGGCAGAGTAAAAATATGACGTTAATTATGTTACGGATTATGGTTTTAATATGGCATTCTTTTAGTATTATAAACATGAGTATTATCCACCCAATTCAAGCATAGCCAAGTACGGTGGTAAGGTAGTAAAAGTAAGTACAATAGAAACATCTAAAAGATCCCCTTCCCCTCTTTCTTCTTCCCTTCATCCAAAAGGTCATACCTCCCCCGTCTCCCAAAGCCCATACACCTTCCTACCCTCCTATACCCCCTCGCAATATAAACTCCACCCCCAGCATAAACAACCAAGCCCGCAAGGGCAACAGAGTATCCCACCCCCTGGACCACCGAGACCTGCGTACCCCAGAGAACGACCGATGCGACGATCAACATGATATTTTTGGGGATGCTGACGAGCGTCATTGTCAGGCCGGAGGTTTTGCCAATCTACCAACTCATGAGTACTTAGATGTTAGGAAGGGTAGGGTAGGGTAGGGGAGGATGGATATACGAACCAGCGTGAAAACAGCAACATTCAACATAAACCCAACACAGGCGTTTAGCAGGAGAATCCCCAGACCAGTTTGTAGAACTATTCCTAGTAGCCCGGCACTTGATTCCTGACCTTGATCTTGATTCTGCCCCTGCTCTTGACCCTGACCTTGACCCTCTAGGAAAGGAACAACCTCTGCCCTCCATGCAAGAACACTGTTCATGAATGCGCAGATTGGCGCTGTGTAGTACAAGCTAAGCAGCGGGTCCATCTTGCCGGGCTCGACTTTCGCTTTTGGTTTGGGGTTCGGTTTGGAACTCAGGCTGCTGCTGCTGCTGCTTCCTCCTTCACCAGTAAATGAACCTGCAGCTGTACTGCTGAGACTAGCGCTGGTACTGACAATAGGACCCTTTGACTCGATAATATTCGGGCTCGCCCTTGAACTGATCCGGCAGGCTTCTTCGTCTGTGTCTCTTTCGAGCAGGAGACCCTCATGTTCACGTTCACGCTCACGCTCCCGCTCTTCATCCTCATGTACATCCTCAGCCATAGTCGAGACATCCGCAGACGAAGAAGAAGAAGAAGATGATGAAGGAGAAGGAGAAGGCGAAGTAAGCATCTGCATCAACACAAGCCTCATAGAGTCAAACACCAGCGCGGCAAGCTGCACGGCCACCCCAATCCACGAGAACTGGATCTCGCTGCACACGGTCAGCGCGACGGAGGCAGTGATCACCCCGATGTTGAGGAGCTTGGATGCTGTGAGTTCAGTTACGCGGTAGAGTGCGCTTGTTAGGAGGGTTATGACGGGGCCGGATGCCTGTACGTATAGAACCAGATTAGCAGGTGAGGAATGGTGCAGTGGCTGGTGGTTGGGAGGCGCACCTTTAGCATCTGGATGAACCCCACGTTTAGATACATGTAGGCTGTGTTACTGCAGACGAGGCTGCCGCTGTATAAGATGCCGATTGGGGCGATTTTGGCCATGTAGTGCGCTGGGGTCATGGGGACGGAGGAGCGCGCGGAGAGGAGGGAGGTTGTGCGAGCGAGGATCTGGGTTGCGAGGGTGGCGAAGAGGAGGTGCCATGTTGTTAAGAGGATTGCTATGGTTGTTAGTATTTTGTGTTTGGTAGTGGTGTGGTTGGAGTTAGGGCATACGGTATCCTGTGAAGCTGTTAGTGCGTTGGATATAGATAGGAGCGAGGGACTCACGAAATGGAGTAGATTCGAGAATCCATTTGTTAAAGAGGATAGTCAGGTTTGACCAGACGATCCAGTTTCTGCATTTTAACTGTTAGCTTGAGGGTCTTACACTGAAGGTAAAGACGGAGAACTTACAGTGTACAGAGAACAATACTCCACGGCCGACCACTAGCAGCAGGGTTGGCAGACATGGTGAAACTGGCCAGAGACGAGATTCCCCTGCAGACTACTCTTTAAACACCCCTGCCAGAAGCGTACCTTGGTTGTGCCTGGGCCCAGGCACTGATGCAACAGCCGTCATTGATGCAACCCTAACTGCCCTGCTTACTGCGAGGATGTCCCGATGCGGCGTGGCCAGCGTAGCGACCCAGACGTACGCTCGACTATCACTACTCTTCAGGTCAAGCAAAGATATCATGATTATCGCATCTAATACATCTATCCTGATTATTCTAGTCTACCACGTATGCGTACAATATGTAATGAAGTAACTCGGCCACGCATCCACATCCATCCGCCGCTTACACTCCTCCGGATCGAACTTTGGATTCGACTTCGCCCCTAGACAGGCCTTCACATCGCCATCATCCACCCAGCTATAAGGGTAGATCTGCTCCCTGGGCAGCAGGATAAGCGAGTGTTTCAAGCTCTCGCTCGCAGGGATATCTTCCATGCTATAGTGCGGGCAGTACAGGTCCCAGCTCGGCTGCAGGGTCTGCACCCGGTGACACAGCTGTCGACGCAGCGACTGCCGTCCATTCCCAAAGTACTGTTTCATTATGGGGCCTAGGATTCCGGGGCCTGTCATGCCCTCCACGCTGCCGTCACCCTTGGGGTTCTCGAGCACGTTGAGCACGGGTAGCAGCCAGTAGGGGTGGCCCGGGGGCGAGGCCATCCAGCCGTTGGGGATTGCGCCGAGCCCTTCGGGATCGAGAGTGTGTGCCATGCGGCCCATGAAGGCTCGCTGGATGGTCCCTGAGTCGGGGGCGTGGTCTGCGGCGTACACCTCCTTGTGTGGCCTGAGGTGCACGTCGTGAGAAACGAATAGCGAGTCGATGGGGCGGAGCGCCTCTGTGTCGACATCGAGGTACATTCTGCACTTGTCAGTATCCTAGATACTAAACGAAAACTGTTAAAGTAAGGTACTAACCCGCCAAAAAGATACATGTAGAAATTTCGCACCATGTCGGCACGGTTGATCTCCTGCGGCAACTGCCTGTACGTCTCGAGGAACCACGGGAAATACTTCTTCACGAGAAGCTCATCTGACTCGTCGTCCCAGAGTACATACTCCCAGTCTGGATTCTTGGTCTTTACAGTGGCCACCCATTGCTGCGCCGACTCGGACATGTTCGTGCCCGCCGGAAACCATGTTTGGTGGATGATCTTTGGGATGGAGGTTCTATCAGATGAGATGGGGCGGTTGAGGAGCTCGTAAGGTGAGGTGTTTGGTGAAGAAGGTACTTGAGGCTCTGGTTCTGGCTCTGGCACCAGAGGTTCGGACGGACTCAATTCGGCTGTTGGGAGGAGATATGACGAGCTGAAGGGGTACATGAGCAGGATGAGGACGATGGCGAAGACGCAGAAGAGGATGCTTCTTCGCCGCATGATATGAACGATGATGTGGCCAGCCTTGGAGCTGCCCGAGTCATAGATCATCGCGGAGGCCGTGACGGGGGTTGTGAATGTGGCGAAGAGGAGGGAGAGGGGGAGGATGTAGGGCTGGCATTGAGTTTGTACATTTCTACTCCGCTGTGGTGGTGGGCGGCAAGAGACTGGATTATTGGAGGCTGGCTGTTTGATGCGACTTTCCGAAAGCACTCCTGGAATGTGATCAGGAGAGGCTGTAACTGTGCCTGCAAACGGATCTGGTGTTGATGTCTGGGAGCCCTAACTCCGATTTCCGGATGCGGAAATGCCCATGGATTATGTAATTGCATTCCTTAGTTGAGTGGCTATCGCCACACCTCAGTGACTGCCTCACACCTGGACGGGTATTATTATTCGGTCTAATAAAGGCGATCCAAGAATGCACTAAAGAATAAAGCTCATTACTTATACTTACAGTGCTTGTATAACCTGGGCTGTAGATGCACGAGAACTCGACACCGATCTCGACACTCACCCAGCTGCCACAGCAACTTTGCCATTTGTAAGATTGCGAAGCGTGAGGACGCCTATAAAAATGTAGATTGATTGAGAGAGTGTTGGACTGTATGTTTAATAGTTTAACTTGAAATACGTAGAATTATAGGGCAGATATTGGAAAAGTGCCTTGCTTGAGGGAGCCAATCAGAGGTCGTCAGTGGTTGTTCAAGAAGTTGACAGGATGACTAACAGCCTCCTGTCAGCTAACTTAAGGTAATATTAACTTGACGTCTACTGTTAATATAAGGGCCATAATCAAGGGCAGTAGTAATAAATAAAGCAGGACAACTCAAATATATGCTGGAGACGGTCGGGTTTAGGACTGACAAATGAATTAGATATGGGAGAACATAAGAATATGAAGAGAAAGAATTCACGCACTTTCCATCGGAGGTGAATTATTTACTAGAGTATTGAGTTCCCTAATAGGCAACTGCGCTGTGCCTGTGCCAGTGTAGGCAGAAATCACAATCTGAATATCATTTCTCACCTCTGCGCTCTTTTCCTATGTTAATACAGTCATACTTGTATACTAATCCAATATCAATATGGCAAACACAACAGCCCTCGACCGGATTCATGCAATCCCCGGCCTCTACATCTCAGAGTAACTCCCCCCCCCCCCACTTACAATAAACAGTTGCTAACCTTCCAGTCGCTTCTCAGCCCGTGATCAACACCTCCTGGCCAGACACCGCATCTCACACATCCTCTCAGTCCTACGATGGGAAGATCTCCAAAGTAATAGATCTCCTCAATGCTCCAGTACAGCTCAAGATATCACAGGACCTGTGATACAACGCAAGCAAGTTGAGATAAACGATGACGAGACGGAAGATATCGTCGGCCGTCTAACAGAGATGACCGATTGGATCCGTGATGCTCTTACGAAGCTACATCCGTATGAGAATGCAAACCAAGAGAGCACTGGAAACGGATCATGGGGACACACTGGCGGCTGTGTCCTCGTTCACTGTAACCAGGGGATATCGCGTTCCGGAACGGTTGTTGTTGCTTATAGTATGTGATATTCCTATTACACACCGACGATCCACAGAACCTACCGTACGGAATGGGGAGAGAGCTAATAGCACCATTAAAAGTCATGAAATCCCTCAGCGTTCCCTTCGTTCCAGCTCTAAGCCTCGCGCGGGTTTCCCGGAGTCTGATTACACCGAACAACGGGTTTGAATATCAGCTGTGGCTTTGGGAGAGACATGGGTATGATGTCTTTGACCGTAGAGTAAACGGCAGCAGTGTTACTTTGGTGCCAAATGAAGCATATGGGAAGTTTCTCGATGAGATAAACGACATCTTTTCGTTCGCTGATGAGGAGAGGATTTTGCTCGCGAAAACGTATTGGTCGGCGGAAATTAAGGCGAAGCTAATAGACCTCAGGCGGGGTTGATATTGCTGTCATACAGAATCCGTTACTCAGGCTGTGCTATTTTGTTTTGGTTTACTGCTGTGGCTGTTGTATAGACCTTCAAGATAGGGTTGGTTGACGGCAAGACGCACCAGCCTTTTGTCCAACGTTGAAACACTCAAGCAACATTCTTAGACTAGAACTAGCATTATTCTCCTAAATGATGTATTCCATTGCATAAAAATCCCATAATGACAATTCCCCGGGGTATGTGCTCATAGCTGACTCTCCACGGCTGACTCGCGACACGTCAGGGTATACCTGGGGCCATCCCCACCCAGTCCCATCTATCTAGATCAACCCTGACACAACACTCATCTCAAACAAAGCAGTCATCATGGCACTTCTATTCCTAACCATAGCTGCAACGACTTACCTCCTCCTAGCCTCCCTCCTCCGCACCCTGCACCTCCACGCCCTCCGCAAGAAATACACCCGCCTAGCACCAAACCCCTACACCATGACCCCCCAAACCGCACACGAGATCCTCCTCCCCCTCTTCACACACGAGTTCCCCTTCTCCTACGCCCTCTCCACCCAAATCGCCCTCCTCAAATCCTACGCCATCCCCTCCGGCACCTCCCTCCTAGTAGCCACCCGCCGCCTCACCACCCCACGCGCCGTGGGCAAGCGCTCCGAGGACACCGCAATCTTCATATCCGAGCTCCTGGCATCCAACATCGACAGCGATCGCGGCCTGAAGACCCTCTCCAAAATGAACTGGATCCATAGACAGTACGGAAACCGGATCCGGAACGACGATATGATACACACGCTTGCGCTGTTTGTCCTGGAGCCGTTGCGGTGGATTGACCGGTATGAGTGGCGTCCGTTACTGCAGGTTGAGCGTGTGGCGGTCTTTGTGTATTGGAGGGAGATTGCGATGAGGATGGGGATGGTTGGGGTTCCTGAGACGATTGATGGGTTGGGGATTTGGGCGGCGGAGTTTGAAAAGGAACATATGTACTTTGCGAAGAGTAATGTGGCTTGTGCGGATGCAACAGTGGAGTTGTTTGTGAAGGCTTTGCCGGGTTGGATGAGGGGGTTTGGGAGATGGGTTGTTGCGGCGCTGATTGAGGAGCGGGTGAGGCCGTTGCTGGGGGTGCAGGAACCGCCGGCGTGGGTGCTCAAGCTTGTGGAGGGGCTGTTGGATGTGAGGGCTTGGGTTGTTAGGGTATTGTTTTTGCCTAGGTGGAAGGGAGTCCCTGCTGGAGGGGTGGTGGATGGGACGACTGGGAGGGTAAGGAGGGAGGTGTATGCATTTGAGCCGTGGTATGTGGGTGAGTCGTGGTGGTTGAACGTTCTAAAGAAATGGACTGGGTTGGGCTTGTGGATGGGGAAGCCGGTGCCAGGCCCCGAGTTCCTGAGTGATGGGTATCTGCCCGAGGAGATAGGGCCCAAGGAGTTCAGGGAGAAGTCGAGGGCTGATGTACTGGCTGATGCAGAGAAGATGGGGGAGTACGCCAGACAGGGAGGCGGAGCTGCCTTGGGATGTCCGTTTGCTTTTGGCAGATAGTACATATGGTACGAAATGTATTCGGGTATTTGGGTATTAAGGTACGGTACGTATCACATCTGATCACAACTATCCAGCAAGCGGTCCCAGTAACTCCCATCGGCTTCGGGATCCCCCCCGTTCTGGGCGACTGTGCTGGGGTCGAACCCAGCCATCGACGGACCGCTGTCAATCAGCATCTGTAGCTGTGGCGAGCCAATCGTCCACGACTCCAGATCATAGTAGATATTGTCGAAGTCGCTCGAGAACCGGTACTTCTCCTCGGACACATTGTACTTGCAGATATCCCGCAGCTCGTACGGCCATTTCAGTCGTATTCGCGAAACGTACAGAGCCGATGTCGCTTCCGTGATGTTTGTGATACCGGAGACGATGAGATGATCTCTCAAGTTTGGCCTGCTCTGTTTAGCATACTTCGCTAAGCCGGAGCACGCGCGGGCTTACCATGCAAAGAAATCGATTATCGGGGCATGAGGAACCATGCTTTGTGTCACTCTGCTTTGGGTTAGCATACATAGACGAAACAAAGAAGGATTATGCCCTACGTTGGAAACATAAATGATGGAATCGTATGCTCTCTCGGCGAAAGATTCCACTGTCCATGTTAGCCCTCAGCAACAAGCACAAAATAGTGATAACCAGTACCTTAATCATCGACCGCATCAGTCGCAAAACCGCCACGCGCTCAACCATCCCCGTCTCTGAGAAGATCCCCTGATCCAGCGCCTGCAGGAGACCCCACACACGATCTAAGGTCCGGCCGCCATCCCTAACTGAATCCCAGCCGTGCAGGATCGCCCGGATCGCCAGGTCGTCATCATCCGCCGTCGTTGACGGAATAATCGAGTTCTGCTCCTTGCACACACTTGCAATCGTCTCGTTGACGATCTCAAAATAATTCCTCGTCCCGCTGTTACTCGGGTTCTGGCTGTGCAGTGAGATCCGTGTTGCCAGGTCTGCGCTGATAGTAAATGGTGCCCGTCTATTATTATGATTATTATTGTTGTTATTGTTGTTATTGTTGCTATTCTCTTCCAGTGGGTTTACCAGCCGCCTCGGTATAGACGGCGGTAAAGAGGGAGCAGATATGCTTGATTCACCCTGTGTTAAGAGCGGTGTTTCCGGCGTTGGTGATGCCGAGCCGCGCGTCTCTTCTAGGACTTCGTGGATGTGGTTTATTACGTTTGTGAGCCGCTCTGTCTTTGAACGCTGCTGCTCCAGTTGCTTGAGGAGGGTGGCCTCCATGCCGCCCCCCGATGCCGCGGTCAGATCCTCTAATGTCTGTTCCAGACGGGCAATGTACGTCTTGATGCGCTCTCGTCGTTGGCGTTGGGCTTTGCGGTCTGTAAGCCGTTTCCGCTCGGCGGTGCTGAGCCGCGCGGAGCGGCTTGAGTTTGGGTCCATGTCCTCCATTGTTTGTGTCCGATAGATGAGATGGATATGATTGATTTGGCTTGGAATTGATGATGACGCTGACGAAAAGCGTCAAGGGCAGTGGATGTTAACATTACTGAACTCCATGTTGATCACCTCGACATGTGAAGATTGCCCCGGCGTCTGATTGGTGCCCGCAATTTTTCCCCTTTCCCCTAATTGGGAGGCTCGCACTTATGATTTCCCGATCCGCCCGTATTATCCGTAATCAACTCTCAATGTTATTCTACCCACTGCTAGCTATCTACTGCGCTGGTCCGAGAAGTTATCATACAGTGACACCGACATCGGCTATTTCATTATGTATATATCTCTCCTTTTTCGGATTTCATCAGATGCTCGCTAAACAATCCAAAATGCAATTCATAACCAACCGCATGCCCAACGCCTTTGAAGAACAAACCAGCCTCACATACGGAAGTTAGCCATGTCTAGCTAGCCACGGCCAGCTGGGCGACGAGATCTGATGCCACGTCCAAGAATGGATAGGGGCTCGACACTTCCTTCTCCTTGTTCCGGAATCGTTTGCTGATCGGACGCCATTCGCCGTCACCCTCCGCTCGGATCACATTTTGATAGCCGTCACACTTGAAGTCGACCATGTAGTTGTTCTCCTCCAGCTGGTAGAGCTGGATGTCGATGAATACCCAGACTCCGTAGGAGATACGTGAGATAGAGTACTCCCGCGTGGCAGATGAGGCGCCAGATGTAGTGGTTACCTCGCCAAGGTTACCTGACTTGTCCTCCGCAGATCCAGTAGTACTGGAAAGATTAAACCGGCGTCGAAGTTCTTCTAGGTCACTCCGACTGCTATGTATGCTTGATGACGACCCAGGTGCTCGTACGCCTTGTTTCAGAAGACGTGCGCGAATGAACCATAGGTCTTTGGGAATGTAGTGAGTAGATGGCAAATCTGGATACTTGGTTTGTAGTGGACGGTCCGCAGATCCAGAGTCGGCCGTGGAAGTTCCTTGCCATATTATCAGCATTGTTCTTGAAAAGTGTGGTACCAATGATACTAACCTGATTCGGCGGGTTGAACCTCCCATATTCCTCCCTGTGCCGCTATCGCTCTATACAAGTAAAGAATCGCTTCATAGGGTTGGTTGCGGGAGCGGATGCCGAATTGCCATCTTCGTGAACGCTTGGGCTGATGCGGCGCACCGCGGTTTTCCGGTGGCTCGAATCGTAGCTTTTCGAGGTCAATTATGCTTCGCGAATGAGGTTTCAATGCTCTAGCTGTTGCCTCCTGCTCTTCTGGCGAGCGAGCAGCTCGCCCGGGGTCTTCCTCGTCCAACGCAGCTTGGGCTTGTTGTTCTTCTAAATCCTCCCGTGCCCGTTGGCGCTCTCGCTCTCGCTGTTCCATGAGCTGCTCGTGGACATATGGTAAGCTAGTAGGCAGGATCCGGACATGGCTGACTCTCGGTTCCTCTCCATCATCGGATTCTGCAGGCGCGGGTGCGGGAGACTGTCGGTAGGAGCCGGATCGGGTTCGCGTTGGGAGAGCTTGTGTTCCCTGGGGTGTGGTTGTTCGACCAGATCTAGTACGGTTTATTGACGGGGGCGGGGGCACAGCTGAAGGGTTCATCATGTTATCCTCCGTAGGCGCTATTAAAATTTAGCAATTTGCATTTCCATAATTCATGTCGGGTTTTCTCACAGTTTGTCTGCATCATCTCATTCTCGACAATAATGAAGAAGGCATCTTTAATGGCGCTAGGCTCGGGATGTTTGAGCGCATCTTCAATATCCTCACGTCCATAGCCCATGCTTCTCTCAAGCTTGGAAATGGCTACCTGACTGATCTTCTTCTGAATCGCCTGGGGCTTACCAGCAGCGATTTTGCGCGGGTCAATTGCTTTGTCAGTTGCAACAAACTCCTCCGGAGGTGGCTGTAAGTAACTAGGGAGATCTTGCATGAACCAGGGATCCTCGCGGATAGCCTCGATAGTGATCCGGTGTACCGGATGCACCTGGAGCATTGACCGAATTAACCGAGCAGCTCCGGAGGATATGTACGTAGGCATGTGGAAGTTGCCCGCGGCAATTTTCTTGAAAAGCGCCGGTATGTAATCGTCATCAAATGGGAGGCGTCCCACCAACAGCACGTAGAGAATGACTCCGCAACTCCAGACGTCGACCTCTGGGCCGGCGTAAAGCTTGCCAGATATGACCTCTGGGGCCGCATAATTGGGGCTCCCACAGCTGGTCTTGAGAAAGTTGCCGTCCGTCATGATATTGCTCAGACCGAAATCCGCGATCTTAACGTTCTTTTCTCGATCGATGAGGAGGTTTTCCGGCTTCAGATCACGATGAACAATCTTATGGCGGTGGCAGTACTCCACGGCGCAAATGATCTGCTGGAAAAATTTACGCGCCTCCGCATCATTGCATCGTCCTCGCTTCACCAGATAGTCGAAAAGTTCTCGTTCTGCATATTCAAGTACCATAACAATATCCGCTTTGGTCGAAATGACAGTGTACCTATCGGAGAGATGATGTCAGCAAACTTCCCCGCCACTGCGCTCGATTGCAGAAACAAAGGGAGGAACTATGAACGCACAGTTTAATAATATGAGGGTGTCGCAATAGCTGGAGATACTGAATCTCACGCTCGACTCGACCAATCATGTCCCGAGATAGCAACTTTCGTCGAGAGATGACCTTCAAGGCAACCTGGCGACCACTGGGTTGGTGAATAGCCAGCTTGACCTTTCCAAAGGAACCCTCGCCTAGAACCTTCACCGTATGATACTGATCCAGGCGCTGCATATCTCTCATTGTAGTGGGGGACTGCCTCGAAGGGTCACCACCTTTTCCGATCGGCCGCGGCGGGGGCATCGTCCTGGCGGACTGGCTGGGATTGGGAGGAGGATTGTTGGACTCGTCGGACCGTTCACGAGGACGGTCGCGCTCGAAGGAAGGGAGGTCGACCGAGAGGTCCTCGTCGTCAAAGGCGGCAGCCATCCTGATGGACCGGCGACTGAAACGTCTCAGGTCGTCGGATTCTTCTCAGTAGTGGAGGTGAAGGTGGAGGGGGCAACGTGACGTTGACCGAGTCCGCAGTAGCAGCTCCGCCCTAGCCGTAATTCTGCTCTGATAGATTTATTGACTCCAATGCCTCCGGAAAATTCAGTTCGCAGGAATGCAAGTATGCTTAAAGGGGGATTCAAGCACCCGGCCGACTGTCGGTGTGGGGGGAATTTCAGTTCATGTTCGTCTGAGGTGGCGGGAAGCGATCTCTGTCGGCCGACCAGCGCAGCGTACTTGGAGCAAGCAAGCGGGTCGAGTAGATTCTGCACGATGTGGATAGGCAGTTTCCAGCAAATGGATGGGATTTGGAAGAATATGCCGATGAGAAAGCCGAAACCTGGATGTTGGATACGGAGAAATGCAGGAATAAAAGACACGGAGGGGGCGGCAAGCATTTCCTCATATAACTAATCCGCCCAGCAGCAGCCAACTTCCTACATTGACCCAGAGACAGAGCACAGGAGCACGGACTGAAGTTGCCTAAATACTATTTAGATTTCGAGTGCTATAATTATAGATTTAAACGTCGATTTATACATATTGAACCCATGGGCTGACAATTTTTGACATTTAGGCCACAACGGCCCCTCATTCCATCTCGGCATCTAGACTACAAGCAGTTCAACATCAACAATTCTCACCTAGTAAACTTTTCGCAAATAATGATATATATGAATAAATTAAGTTCTTGGATTCTTCAGAGCAGATACTCCTGCGGCTGTCTTGTAGAGGGGCTGGCTTGGCGTCATGTGGTGGGGAGCTCAATGCGCAGTTGTTCTCCGCTAATCCCGTCCAAAGCTCCAGCTTCACTTCCAGAGCAGCTTGGCTTCTTAATTTCTCCTCCCTTCCAACCTCGTTTTGCCTTTTTTGAATAGCTTTGTTGGACGTGCTCTCGCCGTACACTTGCCGCGCTCACTGGCAAGGAAGAGTGTCCGAGATGACGTCGGAACCATCAGAGGAAGCTATCATCAACTTCACCAGCTTCACAAACACATCAAGAGAGCAGGCTATTAGCTTTTTAAAGGTACCTTTTCCATGCAGCGACTGCCGCGCCCGACTGACTTTAAACTTTCCGCAGGCGAACGACCTCGACTCTAATAAAGCCATCAACGCCTACTTTGAAGACCCCACGGGCCCCCATACACAGGTACCTCCGAGTAGTTCTATTCCCAGCTAGGCCAAGGCTGACAAAAAAATGCGCGGTTAAGGTTTCGGGATATCACAATGAGACCGGCTCGTCGGGTGCGTGTTCTTTTGCTTTGAGAAATTCGTCATAAAACTTATCATCGCTAACACGCATGCTCGTAGCAGCATACCAAATCGAACACTCCGATGCCGTACCGGCCTCGCCTAACCTTGTCCCTCCCTCGCGGCCCCCGTCAACATCCAATCTGAGAGACTCAACACTGCCGCTTCCGCCGCCGCCGTCACAAGATACGAAACGTAGGATAGTCCTAGAAACGTTGGGAAACATCTGCTGACCCCAGCACAGCAGCTCCGGGCAATAATGGCTTGTCCTTGGCAGAGCAGGAGGAGCATCAGCTCCAGCAGGCAGTGGCAATGTCCCTGAACCAGAACCTTGGGCAGCAGGAGACTGGCGTCACCAGTACAACCCAGAAGTTCGGTCGTGCGACGCGAGACAACTACGACGAGGGCGACTGGGCGATGACCCTCTTCAACTCCAGCGCGCGCGAGATTATCATCAGCCCGGATCCAGTGGACCGCAAGAAACAGCCAGCCGAACCCCCATTTATTCGACCGACACAAGATAGTCTACATCTGAGCGGACTTTTAACGATCCTTCACTCGATACCACTAGCTCGCGAGGCTCTCCTGCTAAGGAACAAGGCGCTTTCGAATTATGGACATGATGCGCAGTGGTGGAATGGGCAGCCGATCCACCTCCCGAAGATAGTAACCGTTCACGAAGCACAAGACGGCGATACCGAGTGGGATGATATTCTACATGAGATCCAGAGGCTAGTCGCGTTTTTAGATTCCACAACCCGAGCTTTCGGAAGCGCCGATGCACTAGCTAGCCTGAAAGCCATGGCAACCTACGACTCGGAAAGCGGCGTCAGTAAATTTTTGGAGTCGTGGCAGGAATCGGCAGTGCGCGCGGACAGGGGCAACCCATTGACCACAATCTTCTCATCGACGGCATATAAACGGCCGCCGAAAGAGCTTGATTCACCGACTGCAGGGGACGACGAGCCGATTGACGAATTTGACACGCCGATTGATAAGGAATTCTTCACGCTGGAGCCGTATGTAGAGCCCGTCCATGGGCAGACGCTGTATGATGTCCTGGATGCTACTATGTGGTCCGACAGCCCGGGGGAAAGTCTCGACGATGTGTGGCTAGAACATGTGGCGGATGTCTTGACTATCCGGTTAGACAGCGTTGATTCGACAGCAAAAGCCGTAGATGTGAAAGTTCCGGCCGTGTTCTATCCGGACCGATACCTTGCTAGTTGCAGGGATATTGCGCGCGAACAGCGTTGCCAAAGACTTCAGGTCCGCGAGGAGGTTTACAAATTGCAGACGCTCATGGACCGCATTTCCACACCGCGAGGTGCAGCCAGCGGGATAACTTCACGGGATATTCTAGAGAAAGCTGCTGATGCCGCAGCTGTCCTCTCTTCGCAATCCTCAACGGAACCCGAGTCAACGGCGAAAGAGCCAGCTGCCAGCGTTGAACAACTAGCTCGAGAGTTGAAAGCGATCTCGCAAAAGATAGAGGAAAAGCTAAAAGGTACGTCGCTTTTATTTAACCCATTAACTACCGCTAACACCTGCCAGACCTGGAGAGTCGACAACAACAAGCTATGGAAAGTCTTAGAAGTACATCGAAATACCTCACAGAGCCGTCAGCTACGCCAGGTGAACCGCCAGTCCACAAGTACACCCTGAGAGGTGTCTGCACCGAGCCCCATGTGACTTATGTTCTACGCCGGGACCCCTCAACCCCCGAAGACAACACCGAGCCCAACCAGCCCGACGAATACCAATGGTGGCGACTCAGCTTTTCCGTCGACGACGGAAAGTCTCGACAAGCACAAGCCGGTAACACCACAGCCCCCAAGGATGCAGATGTCATCGGGTACACGGCGCGCAAAGTCCGAGAGGTTGAAGTTCTCCGGGCCGCGCGCGAAGAGTCCAGGGGCGTTCTACTCGTCTACGCGAACAGCAATGCAATGAATTTCAAGGAAGAGCCAGCTCCGACTACACTTCAAGTACGCCATACCCTCCCATAGCCCCCATACATAATAGTGCGTTCCCAGCTAACAACCCCACCAGAACTTTGTAAACGCGGACAATGCAGCCTTTGCTAAGGAGCTCCAAGAGTGGGAGAATACCGCAGCCACGAGACAACAAAACCAATCCACCGCAGGCGGCGAATGGGACAACACAGTTGATTCCCGCCCAGCGTACCCTTCACCATCAGACCAACAGGTGCCCATGGAAAGTATACCCGCCAGCAAAGTCAATGTCTTCGACTACCAAGTCACTTCGTTTGACGACGACTCAACGGCAGAGGGACAAGGGCAGGGCCAGGGCCAGGAAATGCAGGAGAGAGGTGGGAAACCTCTACTCGGTCAAGCTCAGGCTCAAACCGTTCCGTCGGGAGGGAAAGGAGACCAGGCAGAATGGTCTTAGATGGGATCGCTCCTGGGATGCACATATGTACATAAAATCTAGAAACGAAGTTACGCCATTTCAATGAGCAGGCCTTACCAAACAAACCCCATCCTGGTTTATACACTTCAGCAACCAGCAGTTGTTTCTCCGGTTGGTATATGGTTCTCGTTTTGCGTAGGACGACAGGAAGGGAGAGGAAATCAGCCAGAAAAATGAGATATACTGGGTCCCTGCTCAGATGTAACTTAGCAAGCTTGCAAGAAGCGGTATATCTATCTCGGAGTCATGGAATAAGCCACCAACTCACAATGCCGAGGACGTCAGGCAGTCAATATAGAGACCAGCACCAAATTCCAAGTCAAATACTGCCCAATAATTCAACAGCCAGGAGGTCAAAGCTGCGATGCAACCGAGGAAAGGCCAGGGGTGAGGGTAGTACATTGACAGCAATGAATTATGTATGCTCCAGGCACCAGAGGTACTCCGTACGTAAGAGAGAGAGAGAGAGAGAGAGAAGTCGACTCGTCCATATGGGCCCATGCCATACGGATACTGGACTTCCGAAACAACCCTGTTTGTGCAACTGTACTTTGGTGAGATGTTGGCTGTTTAACGAGTGGCAGGGATATACTCTGGAGACTGTCGGCTGCAGTCTCTCTATTTCGCCCCCAACTGAGCGGATCTCGCCTCCTGTCAGAATAAATGGAGCGAATCATCGATCTCGATCTTGTTTGTCGGCGAGTTGACTCTTATTATTCTCGGCTTCTTCGGCCCAAGAGGAAAAGCCTCATAGTGGGGGGCCTGAGCTCTATGGAGATTGTCGGGCTGAACATGACAGACCCACTGGGTCTCCTCACCTATTCCTGTCTTTGTTTGAACTGAAAGAGATGAGAGAGATGAAAGTGAAATTGCTCCAGCAGTCTCAAGATATAGTTGGGAGTGTGATTGGGTCATACCAAACAAAGACTGCGCCATCCGTGAAGAAAGAACCAAGTAAGCGAGGAAGCACTAGACAAACAAAGCACGCCCAGGATTCTTGATGAAGACAAGATCGCTGCCCAGCCCCGCTGTCACTCTGCTGTCTGCTGCTGTCTGATTGTTTCAGGCAATCCTGTGGACCTGCTGGTCGAGATCTACCTGCGTTCTGCCTAATCAAGTAATCGAGATGCTCGGTTCTCAGCCTCCCCCCAGCAAGAGCATATTGAGCAATCAAGCTCCTCGTAGCCTCATAAGCCATCGCTGATCGCTCGGTTGGATCTCTCCCAGTCTCATGTCACAGTCTAGCTTCCATAATTCAACAAACCCCCAGCTGAGAGTCGAGTCGAGGCTCAGGGTGAGTTTTCTCTTACCCCTGCACGAGCTAGCACTCATACGTGGGCAGATCTTCACAAAGGAACGCGAATGGCTTCAGCACAGCCGGACGATCCCTCCAGGCCGGAAACCGACTACGAACGATGGCTGCGTGGAAAGGATGAGAACTACAGGCCTGGCGTTGAGCCGGTATACGGACCAGGTGATTCGGCAGGGGGCGAACGCAGTATCTCGAGCGGATTCTTCATGGGCTACTCGAAGATATTCAGCATAATTCTGGCGGTACTGCTGCTTACCCTGGTCATCAGAGCGTTCCGAAAACGCCGCATCCGAGGAGTCTGACTGACTGTTTGAGGTTGGCTGTTGACTGTTACTGTTTGATCCACTCTGGGGATGGGGAGATTAGGGCTTGAGCTATGCAGGCGGTTTGCGTCGTCACAATCCAGACCCATACTCGTATCCACAGTCTTCGAACCAGTCAAGCGGCTCAAATAATATTATACAATCCGTAGATATCCGAACATAGCCCGCAGTTGAAACCTGAGAAATGTACGGAATATTCTACAATGGCAATACAATGGCAATATGCTGCGCCTAACGTCATCATACTGAAGAAGTCACCACCATACTCCTGTCCCAGAATGCTAACATGCCAGCTCTCCCTTTCCAAGACGAATTAGACCTGTTGCTAAGCGACTTAGTGGACCTTGGGACCGGAGTACAAAAGTCGGGCGCTGATCGGCCCACGATCACAATCACCCCCGGGACTTCGACAAACTCCGTACCTGACTGGCCTTGTTCGACCTGAGAAGAAACGAGGTACTCGCCCTATTTGTCCGGCTACACGGTCCTGCAGGAATGTGGAGAAAATCCCTCATGTTTAAACTTTGAAGCCTGAACCCAGCACCGCCGACTACCTTCGTCATGGTACTTTCTAGATGCGGCTATGCTGAGCGCCATGAAGATCAATTCCAAAAGCCTCCTCGGGACAATCAGGGGCACGAACGAAGATTTGAGACTGAGAATCCGTCTCAGCCGAGGCTCAGAATATCCTCCTTGGTCCTTTCTGTAGAAGGCGGGTGGGTATTGGGCTATGGGCTGACCGGTATCCTGCAGAACCCGAAAAGCCCTAAGTAGAACTCGACACCAACAAATGCGGAATGAGAGCACGCGTCCACTCATAAAACACCAAAACACCATCTCCTCCGTTATCCCAGCAACGATGCAACAGTCATCCCGGTGTCAGTAACGCCCCATGCAGCCAGACCCAAATAAGAATTCCTCTCAAGTAATGAATCCGTTGGTCTGCTTATGCCAGCATAGCGCCCGCTCGCCCCACACACGTACAGCTGATGTCAATCAATATCAATTAGGCGTTAGGCGATAAGATCCGTCGTCCTCCGCTTTATACTCTGGAAGTAAGTACCGCGGCGATCACCGGCCGGGCTTGGTGCAATGCCGCCGTAATGAGTTGAAACTTAGCGATGCTTGTCAGCACTAATCCTGTGTCTAGATGTGGATATCCTGTGTACTGTGTACTCATCGTCTAGCAGCATACGTTGGCGCTGGAGAGACGGAGTGGAATAGTAATAAGAATTGGAATTGGACTCCTGTTGGTTCGTGGCTATGGCTTTCACTTTCAAGGTGGATACGGCACGGTATGGATAGTTTCGGGTGGGCTAGCTACACTGCGTAATGATGGGCCATGGACATGGGTATACGCGAGACGGCGTATCTCTCTGCCTGGCTTCGTTTCTCATTGAGGATGTGCACTGCGACTGGGGCCATTGTCCAGTGCAGCCGTGGAAGTTTCCACGCAGCAAGGCACAGCAGGCTCGGACCGCTGGGCCGAATTGTGCAGCTTGCTTCTGCAAATGCTCCTGTCTAGCCGAGCAACTTACATACCTGAAGAGGACTAACCTGGGCAGGATTAAGTTGATTATACCCCCAATATCAAAGGGAGAGCAGCGGAGGCAGGACGCCTGAACAACGGAAGTAGTAGACCACTAATTGGAATCCCTCCGTCGTGGCTTATTCTCTCTATACATTATGTAGATGCATCTTCTCTGCCACTTTGAGTATGGACTCAGGCGATACTAACCCCGGACTACGCTCCTATTCGCAGGGCCAAATGATCATCTTCATCCTGTGGGCGGCTCCTCTGCTCAGCTCTGGGCTTCACCTTCCAATAACCGTTACCATGTACGAATTGCCCCCAAGATGGTCTGACCGCAGTTACATGTCTGCCTGTTGGGACCATCCTTCAGGTCATCATTGGTGTTGTAGGGTTTGGATGCGGATACTCCGTCAAGTCCAGATCACGGCGCCAACGGAGCAGACTCAACTCCGTGATGATCCCAACAAGACGAGGAAGGCTGTGAAGTAAAGTCAAGTCGACGAAAAGAGAGACTGAACGAGCTGGCCCCCAAGTCGAAAAGGTATAAATACGTCCAACGATCCGGTCCAATCCTCAATCTTCATCCTCATCAATCCAATCTTCTCAAACAATCAAACTTCCAAGTTCCAAACCCCTCTTTCTACAATCAAAATGAAGCTCTCCATCTTCTTCGCTACCCTCCTCGCCGCCGCCGTCTCGGCCGGCTCTGTCCTCGAAGCCCGCGACACCTGCGGTGCCGGATACGGCGGTGACCAGCGCCGCACCAACAGCGCCTGTGATGCTTCCAACGGCGACAGGCACTTCTGTGGCTGTGACCGTACTGGCGTTGTACGTCTTCTCCTTCCTATTCCCTTCCATCCCATTGCCCTGCTAACATACTTCTCTACAGGTCGAGTGCCAGGGCGGCACATGGACCGAGATCTCGGACTGCGGCAGCGGCACCTGCCACGGCGGCAACGACGGCGGTGCTCAGTGCTAGATTTCTCAAGTCTCAACTTATGTAGTTCATGAGCTGAGCTGAGTTGAGCTGTGCTGAGCTTGCTGCTGATACCCGGACGAGCTGGAATGGAGTGTTCGGCCGGGTGTTGGTGGCATACTTGGCGGCTGGTTCCAGTGTATATACTACTGGTGTGTGGCAACTAGTTAGTGATGGTCTTGCGAGTCAGCTGGAGGAGTATTCAACATCATCAGCCGGCTGGCTGGTTTGATCTCAACCAGCGAGTTGCTATGGTGTACTTTTGTCGGTCTTTTGTTAGTGGATAGGTGTGAATTGAAAAGAGTTAGCTGGCTATTTTGACTTGAATAAGTTCTCTACCTAATAAGACTCGTAAGCTTGTGATCTCAAGGAGGAGAGAATAGCAGTATCTTGTGTTGGCCGTATTAGCCCTACGTTGTATAGAGTCCGCTTGCCAAGAATGGGGCGCTGAGCACGTGCCAATCGAGGCGGATGCTTGTTCCGACAGGACTTGATTCCTTATAGAGCTATGGGCAGGTTGCAGAAAAGGTTGCTTTATCCTGGTCTAGGAGTTTGTAGAAGCCGAACTCTGGACCAAGCATGTTAGAGCATAATAATAATGATCTGTTAATTATCATCTACGTATTTATATTCATCAGTGGGTGTGCTTTACCGTGGTTTTGTTTATATATAATGGAGTTCCACTTCGAACTCTGTCTGTTAGAGCTCATGTAACAGGGTTTCCGTTTTTATGTATTTTCTTAAACTACAGAATGGTAAACTGGAAATAAGATTAAATTAAAATACACCCTGTACTGGTAGGACTGAGTCGCATGGCTGATATCCATCTCGTACTGCAAGCAAACACAACAAACACTCACCAACTCCGACCCCAGACCACCAACCAAACCAAACCACTCTGTACATTAACTAACAACAACAACAACAACAACAACAACAACAACAACAACAACAACAACCTCAATCGGAACCACACATAACTCTCCCAAAATGACCGCATCAACTCAATCACAACCGCAATCACTTTCCCAAACCGAACGAACCGCCGCCTCAACCCTACACCTCCTGGAAGCCCGCCTCCACCGCCTCACATACCTCCTCACCGGCGACGCAGCATGGACAGGCACGCCCACGCCCCCGGCCAAACCATCCTCACACGACGAAACTATCTCGAGAAGACTACAGCGTCTAGAGGGCGAGTTGGAGAGACTTAGCGGTCGCTCGGCGGCCGTGAGGGATGTTTTGGGGCTTTGTATGTCTCCCTCACTTAACTTGACACCCGACTTGAGAGATAGGAATAAGAACGAGAATGAGAACTAACATAGAATAAAACCAGACGACCGATTCCCAGACCTCTTCTCACCGTCATCAACACAACAACAACAACAACCCTCAGATCCATCCGACGCCTCTCCATGCTCCCCAGAAGACTCCGAATCAACCACAGCACCAGGTCAAACCCAACTCCCTGACCTCCCCCTCTCCACCCTCCAAAGCATAGTCCTCTCCTACGCATCCACAATCCCCGAAACAGCCTCGCGACTCACATCCCTAAACGACACGCCCGTGCCAGACCCTACACTCTCAGCCGGGCTGATCGAGTTGGTGCCGCGCATGGAGAAACTATCGGGCGTGCAGAGCGGGCAGGCGCGTGAGATTGCAGAGCTCAGGGTAAGGACGGCGAAGGTGTTGCAGAGGTTTTATGAGGTGTCTTTGCTTGGTGGGAGTGAGGTTTGGGCGGAGTGGGAGGGGCGGATTGAGGGTGTGGAGCGCGGGGTTAGGAGGGGGGAGGTTGCGGTTGGGAGGGAGGGTATTTAAAAAGATTAAAACTTCTTTCTTCCGTTTTTATTATTACGGATAGTTTCTAGATTTATGTTTATATCTATCGCTTGTGTGATGCGGTTTGATGTTTGATACCACTACGTTACTTTACTTTGCATTTACTTCTTTACTATACTTCAAATCTAGAGGATTCCGGTGTATATTGATAGTTATAGATTGTTATATTCCATTGACAACTCTCGTGTACTGAGCTATTCAACGGACCGTGATAAAGTCCACTGCAGACACAAATGGCTATGCTTGCTGGGTATCTAACCGAGAAAATGAACGAGACAGGACGAGAGAGACGACATGACATGACATGATATACGCAAACCAAAATAACAAGAGAGAAACGAAATATGTTCCGTGTGTAGTGTTCAGTTGGTTCAGTTGTTAGATAGGCAGGTAGTGGGCACGCTTAGATATTCCCCTCGTGCAACGGACTCGGTCCGTCGACAAGCATACTGCCCGGCGAGTCTGATCCATCCCCGCTATCAGGCGAATCCTCGGCGAGTACGCCGCGCTTCAGATGATGTGATCCCGGTCTGACTTCTAATTTCTTCGCTGCTGGCGATGGAGACGCCGCTGCAGCTGCGTTGGTGGTGTGTGGGCTGGACCGGCCGTCTGAGTTGGATCCTGAGCCCGAGGCTGACTTGGACGAGTCGGACTGGTCGTCCATGAAGCCGCGCCATTTGCGCCAGCCTTCGAAGTCGATGAGGGCTTGCATGCAGCCCCATTCGGTTACTTTTTGTTCGAGCCATTCAAAGCGGACGGGCTGGTTTGGTTAGTTTCGAAACTAAATCTAATGTGGAGCAGAAGGAGTAAATACCTTGGTCAAAAAGTCATTACAGCCAGCGGCCAGTGCCTCGTGACGGTCACTTTGTAGACTGCTAGCCGTCAGGGCGACAATAATGACGGGACTCTTGAAGAGAGATAGATCAGGTAATTTGTCTTCCCCTGTCACAGTAGTTGGCGAGCTTGCCGTCGCATGGGCCGCAATCGTAGAACCGGATGACTTCTTCGGGAAGACTCCAATCCCGTTCAGTCGTTCAAGCCGACGAATCTCCTTTGTGGCGTCGAGCCCGTTCATCACGGGTAGCTGGATGTCCATCAGGACAAGATGGAACCCTCCTTCGCGCCACTTGGTAACAGCCTCTGCTCCGTTGGCCGCGCACTTCCATCGCACGCTGAGGCGCTTCATAAACGCCTCGAGGAGCTTTTGATTAATAACATTGTCCTCAACGATAAGAACGTTGATCGGCGGTACTGTACCCTCGATAAGACCGCCAAATGCTCCATTCAATAACGACGCCCGGCTTGACTTTTTCGTCTTTCCGGGGCCAGGACGGGGAGATGCAACCCGTGCGGGGGGAGTGTGTGCTTTGACCTGCGGTGACTCCGGAGGCGGCACAGGAGAATTGGGTACAGGTGGCGTGGGAGCTGGCGCTGCACTTTGTGCACTTCCGGTATCTATAAAGTCAGTATGTCAAAAAAAATTGGAAATTGAAAATTGAAAATTTAAGGTGCTCACCCTTTGAAGTTGTACTCCCAATTAATGTCGGTGAATGCGTGGTAGTTCGGGTAAGAGGGGGTCGCCGACCTCCTCGAGGGCGTCCGCTTGGAGAGGGTAAGGGAGGAGCATGGCCAGTCGTAAGGATGGAGATCGACGGACCAGGGTGGGTGTTACTCGAATTCGCTGATGTTGACTGATGTGTCGGAGGTGTGGGTACGTTCACATTGGTCGGCATAAGCGGGAAATAGTCGCCATGCTCACCCGGTTCAGAGTGAGTGAAGTATACATTATGGCGAGGCGAAGGCTTGGGGGTCCGACGCGACGGAATCTCAATGACAAGTGCTTCCGCCACTGTTTGACCCCCCGGGTAGAATGAATCAACCACTGACCAGAGCGGTTCCTCGGGGCTGAGTATGCGTTCGGGGGTCGGTAGCCTGGTCGACCCCTCACGGGTGGCAATACGGATGATAATATCGGGTGCATCAAATGTCTTGCCCAGCGAGTTGGCGTATTTCAGGACCACTTGATCTCTCAGCTCATCGACCAGTGCATCCTCCGACGTGGGAAGTAGGGTGGCCGAGCCACCCGGCCGCCTGACCCAGACCTTTCGCAGTCCCATCCCAGAGCCCACAGGAGGGATGTGTCGATTTGCGAATCCGTCGGCTTCTGAAAACGAGCCAGTGTTCAGCAACGAGCTCACTAGGTGCTGGTGAGAGGCAGGTAGCAGCGACTGGCGGCGGCTGATTAAGCTCGGGCGTGTAGAGAGGGCCGAAGGGGGGATGGGGAAGGACTGATAGGTGTTTATAGGAGACTTCTCGGCGACAGCATGCAGCGGCGCAGTGACTGGTGACTCCACGGGGCCAGACGCGTGGCGCTCTCGCGGGGTAAAGTTAGCTGGGAGGCTCGCACGGTCGGGCTTTGTCGTAGGAGACGGCGAGGTTATGGATGAGAGATCAGTGTCCCTTCGTAATGGCGGAAGAGGAAAATCGAACAGTTCGGCCGGGAAACCTTTACGGCTGGACCCGGATCGGGCACGCTCACGGTCGTGGGCTGGCTCGAATCGCCGCCGGGCGGGTATAAGCTGATGTTGCTCGATCGGTTGTGGCAGTAGTCCCTTCGCTATCGCCTTGTTTGGGCTCACGCTCTGGGTGACAGATTGTTCGTCGGGGCGCTGAGCAGACGAGCGAGACGCGGGTCGATGGTACTCAGGGACGAAGAAGTATTGGCCGCCTGGGGAACCGGCAGCACTGGCGAGCTCGTCCGGGGTATACTGGGACTCGGTGAAGGAGGAGATGGACGGGCGACTGGCGGGGTGGGAAGAAGGAGGGAGGACGTTGGAAGGTGTGGAGAGAGGCGGCGTGGTGGTTTGCGTGGTGGTTGCGGTTGTGGTACAGTCAAAGTTTGGATCGGCCGGCAGCTCCTCCGCCGCGTCCTTCACTCTCCCGGGGCCGACTCGCTGGACCGGGTGCGGATAGGGCTGCGGATGGAAGTCGGGCGTGGAGGCAGAAGTGCTGGTCGTGGTGGTGGTGGTTACGATGTTCTTCTTGCTTGACGTCGACGATCGCCGCAGCAGCTTCGCTTTCAGTCTGGTGGACCATCGACGCTCCGACATGTTGACGTCCAACTATGTATAAAGCAAACAAAGGAAACACAAAAGAAACAGCGCTTAACAGGGGAAAATGCAGCAGCAAAAGAAATCGGCCATCACGTCCTTGAAGACGCAGATGGAATCCACAAGACGCGGTCACCGGTCATGCTGGCAACACAGTGCGGTCAATGCAGCTGGGGGGAGCGAGACTGAGAGGGAGCGAGAAGCAAGCACGCTAGAGCTAGAGGAAAAGAAAACAATAGCAGAGGGGAACTAAACAAGCTCGCTCCCGAACGGTTTAATTGCAGTGCTACAGCTGTCAGCCCCATTGATTTTCTTTGTCCAGATGGAAATAGAAACGGAGCAGAGACCAACTGGGATCATCCGCCAGCTCAGACTCTGCATACCAGCCTGCATCTCGTTTATGAGCACTCGCGAGATCGACTACTTTACTGCAACAATATTATCCTTATTCTCATCAAATTTCATCACCCGTCCGGCCTCGGTTCACTCCCTCTCCTGAGCCATCCAGCGATCTCTTCTGGCCCGTGATCTGGGCTAGTTGCTGCAAGTAATTTCCCTCCAGACAGCCGGCGCGGGAGGACTGCCGATGATTATACACAATAGCCCTGCATATAATACCCTGAACATAATGCGTACCGCTTTCCAATAGAACTGTCACTCAGAATATATCTTACGATGCTTCCCCTGTTCTGATTGTGCCTCCCCTCTGCATTGGGCATTGAGTTCGAGGGCACAGACTGGGACCGTGCTTTTTCTACATCGTGCTACTTAGGTCTAGACTCTGGTAGCCTTGGTCCGCTCAGGAGTTGCTAAGAATGAACGTCGTCTAATTCAATCTCATAAGTTTCAATAAACAAAGAGGAAATCAACCATCCTACAAGACCTGGGTGCGATAGTCATCCATCATCCACCTTGAAATGTCCAACAGGCTAGTAGAGATAGAAATAATGGAAGAAAAAAAATAAAATAAAAAAAAAAAAGATAAAACCATGTCCAAAAATCTTACATTTCACCCAAAATCTCAAAAAAAGATATAAAAGAACCCAAGACCATCAAGACGTAACATGACTTTGCAATCCGAACTCGCGCCGAGTGATACAATTCGAAGGGTATCAAAGACATTTTCTCGCCAACCAGCGAGGACCCATGACAGAATAAACCAGACCAGAAAATAGAAGGAGAGAACAAGAAGGAAACGGGAGTTGCCCCAACGATCATAGCAGAATCAGATAGTTGGATGGAGCAATGCCCGTATCCCCGTTGGCTTTCCTGGCCTGCCACCATCGGCCGCTGACATCTGACACCTCCAGCTCCTCGCCCTTGTCGAAGCCAATCTCGTTGGCGTCTTCTGGGTTGGCATCGTACTTGTAGATGGCCTTGGCCTTGTATGGGTATTCCGTTGGTGCAGGAACCTCTCCAACGGTGTCAGGGTTGCTGGCATTAGGCGGAGCCAGACCGGTAAATCGGGCCTGCGAGGGGCTGCGCGTCTCGCCAGGGGCCCCGCCGTGGTATCCTGAAACAGGTGACGAGGTCTCGAAGCCGCTGAGCTGTGCGGATGTGTACATCTGAGGGGTTGGGCGGCTTGCAGTAGTCTCGGGCCGAGCACCAAAGGCAGACGACATTGGTCGGTTGGCTCCGTACGAGCCGTGGTGCTGCTCTTTGTTAAGCGCGAATGAGTCGATAAATCCGCGGTGCTTCGCCTGGGGAGTCGCTCCAAAGTAGAAAATCCACACAATCTATCCAAGTTAGAACATGTCTAGGCCAAAATGCGTAGGTGTCTCACGTTAACCATGCACAGAAGAATAAAACCAGCACCTGCGGCTTGGAACGCGGGGATATTCTTAGTTTGATTTGTTGTACCGGAAGTGCTGGTTTGAGTGCTTCCATTGAACATCGAATTTGCGGATATTGAGTTCATAACAAGATCGGCAGCAAGGTACCCCACGACCTGGACTTGGTTAGCACTGGTGTAAAAAAAAAAAAAGGACGTGGAACAGGAAAACACATACTGCTACTCCGTACGTGAGGCCAGTGTCAGTGATAAATACCACGATCACACCGACATTGCAGCACAACGTGTAGGCAACGGCCCACCACTGAAAGCTGGGATAGTTTGCCTGTACAGCAGCGGCGATAGATGCAACAAAAGCAATCACCCATCCGAGCTAGCACCATAATTAGCCCCAAACCGACAGATATGCGCCGACAAGACATACCGTTGCAATAGACCACAGGGTGATCGCTATAACGAGGTCGCGGAGAAAGATATTGGAAATTAATGGGTGGGCATGCTTCTCTAGCAGTAGTAGTATGCATAAACAGTGTATCTAAATAGAACTACTTACATACACCGATTACTCAGCGGGAAGACTTCTGGCTCAACCAGTTGGATGTAAATATCAGGTTCTTATGTCCACTGCAACCACCCGATGTCGAGATCCCGGCCGGGGATACATCCTGGGAGACAATCCCGCTCTTTGCCCGTACTTTCCTATTCGCCGTGAGTAATATAGCTAATAATGCATCTATATATTCTGTGCTATTGTATCTCCCCGGCTTCTGAATCCGAGTCATACTCTAAGGACAGTCTATCGCCATGGATAATGCCGGGAACTGGGAACAGATTGCCTGCGAGAAACGGTCTCTTCGGGACAAAGCCTTGAGGCCATATATGGTTTCAGATCTGGACCGACGAGAGCCCCGAGTGCAGAACCCCCAGGAGCGTTCTCGCATATATGATCCCATTGCCGAGGAAATCACCGAGATTGATAATATCCCTACTCTTCTCGAACATTTACGATCCGGAAAATACACTGCTGAACAGGTGACCCATGCATACATTCGAAGGTGCGTACAGTGTGGCTGTCTGTCTGTATCGATTGATGGGAACGGCTTACTTGGCTGGACGCGAGAACATGGAAGACTAACCTGGGTACTACAGAGCTGTGGTAGCCCATCAGCTGGTACGCCGTGCTATCATACCTATCAGAATACTGAAATAGTCATCATCTTGATTAACCTCCTCCTGTTAGACAAATGCCAGTACGGAAACAGTGTTTGATGAGGCACTCGCCCAAGCCCATGCGCTGGACCATCACCGTCAGAGAACTGGTGAACTTCAAGGGCCTCTTCATGGAATCCCGGTGACTGTCAAGGACCAATTTAATCTTAAAGGAGTGGATACTACCTTGGGATATGTTGGCCGTTCGTTTTCCCTTGCTACAGAAGATGCTGTAATTGTACGGATCCTAAAGGAGATGGGCGCGGTTGTCTTGCTCAAAACAAACTTGCCCCAGACTCTCATGGTACGTTCTTTTTCCCAAGTGCCGGCTTTATATGGACACTTTTGGTAACTATTTGCAGTGGGGTGAAACGGACAATCCTCTTTGGGGCCGGACGGTAAACCCACGGAATCCCGACTTCATCCCAGGTGGATCGACTGGTGGTGAGGGTTCTCTATTGGCTCTACATGGGTCCATCTTGGGTTTGGGAACAGACATTGGAGGAAGCATCAGAATTCCGGGAAGCATGAATGGAGTATATGCGTTTAAGCCAACTGTTAGCTGTCCCTTCTTCTAGAACGTATGCGGTAGTTTCAGTGCTGACCTTTATTAGAGTAGCAGATATCCAGATATAGGAGTTCCTGGGCCTATGGAAGGCCAGGAACATGTGTACTCCTCTTCTGGCCCCTTGGCTCGTGACATGAAGTCTCTGTGCTATGTGAGTCGTCTGGTTGCGGATTCTGAGCCTTGGGAGTTTGACCCTAAATGTGCTCCTCTTCGCTGGAACGAGACGATCCTTCAAGAGATGCAGACCCGGCCCTTGGTCATTGGATTAATTCTAGATGACGGGGTTGTTAAGATCCATCCTCCTATTGAAAGAGCGCTCCGGGATCTATCCTCCAAGCTCAAGGGACAAGGTCACGAAATAATCCCATGGAATACAGCCGGCCATTATGATTGCGCGAAGCTCATCGACAAGTATTACGCCGCCGACGGGTTTGAGGATGTTCTTCGTGACCTTAACGCTGCTGGAGAGCCGATGATTCCCCATGTACAACGTCTGGCCGACCACGCAAAGGGAAAGGCACTATCAGTCTATGAATATTGGCAAGTGAACAGGAAGAAGATTGCGTTGAGGCAACAATACCTCAGGAGGTGGAACGCGACTCGATCTCCGTCTGGAAAGCCAGTCGACGTGCTTCTAGGACCAACGACACCGCATACTGCTATCCCGCATCAGAAGTTGCGATGGACGGGCTACACAAAGGTCTGGAACTTGCTCGATTATCCGGCTGTCACCTTCCCTGTGGATAAAGTTAGAAGGGAGATAGACATCCAGCTGAAGGGTTACCAACCGCGCAATGACCTGGATGCATGGAACTGGGGCCTCTATGATCCCGAGAACATGGATGGCCATCCGGTTAATTTGCAGGTTATAGGGAAGGCACTCAATGACGAGAAGGTTTTGGGGGCAGCAACTATGATCGAGAGTATATCGAGGGGAAGCAAATAGGTTTTCTCATGTATATCGAACGTCTAGGTGCAAAAGGGTGGCTTTAGGCAGATAGGAATCCACCGCTGAGTACAACATCAGAGCCATACTGTGCGTATGGTGCTTCATATAGCTTTCTCAATATATACTATCTAATCCAACCCTACAAAGCTATCTGGGTTTGATCTGAGATGGTAGCCCGCGAATACCCTCGAGTTCATGTTCTTGAAAATTCATGTTGAAGTATTTCACCAATGCACTGACTCTATCCTCCTCTGCATTGAATGTCTGCAAGGTCTCGGTCTTTTCGCGAAGTACCCTCTTGACTTCTCTCCCAGCAAGAATATAAATTCCAAGGGGTTCAAGGCCTTGGTCATCCAGGATTACACGGGTACAAGCTAGCTTTTGCGTAAATAGAATCGACCGACTCCTGCTCGTGAAGAAGTTCATCATATTGAAGTCCTCGAACAGGAATTCCACTTCAGAGAACGAGTACTGCGGAATCCAAGGGCTCTGGTGGTCGCCCCGGGCATGGTAGATCAAGACCTTCTGTGTTTGATCCATAAATTCAGCCAGAGGTGCCTTAGTCAAGCGCATTTCGCTGGGCCAAATTAATGTAGCTGTGATATCCTCCTGAAGCAGTAACGGGCTGGTAGGAGTATTACGGCCGAACCCAACATCAATCTATAATTTGCCTTGATTAGGATTATTTATATATGAGTACTAAACGCGTGGCGGGACGTACCATGTACTTTTGACCAGATATAGTCACGATAAGGATCATATGGCTCCTACACACTTCTGTTAGACGCCAGTTGCTTCTGGAGGGTGGTCATCCATAGTACACTTACAGGGGTATATAGCCTTCATCAGTTGGGTCTCCTGTAACGACTGTACGGCTCACGCGGCCTCCGGTCGGATACACCTCATATCCCAGAGAGCATAGGACCATATAGAGGAGATTGGTATTTTCCATGCAATACCCATCAAGACCACGGATAACTAGTCTCTCAAAGACACAGGAAGGGTGGATTGAGATTGAATGGTGACTTGAGTAATGCAGAGCCGTATTTCCCCAGGTAATTGACCCTAGATGTCGCCGTTGCAATTCAGTCAGGGCTGCAAGAGCGTCCTCGTTCACAGAATCTTGAAGTTGCTGTAGGCGCGAATTACTATTGCCTGTAGGAGTGGCGTAGTCAGCATATTTAATGCGCTGGAGGTACAATTCTAACTGATCAGGGTTGAGGGTGGGAGGGATTGCAGGCATTGTTGATGCAGGCACGATATGCACAGGACAACTGTGGGTTCGAGATGGAAAATGGGCACAACGGCTTTTACTGTTGAAGATAGCTGGCGGTTCGTGCACGGCATATGGCCATTTTGCTCCCCGTCATCCGGCCCATACGCGGACTCCCCGTCCAATCGGCACAAGCTGGTGCATGAGGCATGCCAGCTCCTTGTGCTGAGGATATCTTATCATTTAACTACAAACGGCGGAGATTGGCAGCGCAAGTCCGTAGACTACCATCAAACAGCCACTGGGCAGAAGTGGTAAATGAGTGACATTGGGAATACTATAGACAGTCTAGCTTGGCCTGGAAGTACACCAGGTGGTTAATCTCGAGAAAAGGTTCTAAATTCGTGGTGGCAAAAGGGCACTGGTGGGCTGGTCCACCTGGGCGTGAACTCCTCGCTCGCATACTTCACCACGGGGGCGAGAACGCGCAGATCAGCACCAAAGACCGAGTCAGAGAAGTGCACATAGTAGTCTTCCTTCTTCGCGAGATCGCTGTTTTCGTCCCACGCCTTCAGAATATTGTAATACAGAGGCGCAACATGCGCATCGCTGGACCACGGGGCGAAGCGATAAGTGTCTTGAATCCTCTGTACGACCTCACGTTGGTACAGCCGAACCTCAGGATCCAGCGTCGCCATGTTGTATGCAGTCAGTGCGCTATGGCCATGATAAGATCCACCGTATTTCGCGCGATCCCGGAGTCCGCACATGATGGTTAGTGCCGTCACAATGCCGGTTGACATGTCCGAGATGGGCAGACTGGGAAGCACTCCCTGTCCCTTGGGGCATCCGAATGCCTGGCCCATGATGTACGAGCTCCCTGCCGCCGCATCGGCAACTTGCTGCCACCCGGGGCGCTCGCTGTAGTAACCATCCGGGCCGTAGCAGTTCTCGTCCACGTAAACGATGCCTCTGCCGCGCCTCTCGGCCATCTTCTGAGCGGCGTCAAAGCCAAACCCCCGGCGTGTGAGAGATCCCAGGCGATAGCCCTGGATGATTACATCGGCTTCTTCAAACAACTGCGTCAGTCGCGCGTGGTCGCCAGGGTCATCCAGATCCAGGTCGAGCGTTGTCTTGCCCGCCATCAAAGAGGAAGGCTGCGCGGGAGTGTAGTCCTTCAGCTTCGATGAATTCACGCGGATGACGTCGGCGCCCATCGAGGCGAGCGCGGCGCCGGTTGCGGTCGCAGCAATAATACGAGCCAGTTCCACGACCTTGATTCCCGCCAACGGGCGTTTGTCGGCCAGCTTCATCAGGGGCGTGGGCGGGGGACCATGTCCGTGTCTAGCATAGTTGACCAGCGGATGGCGAGCCAGAGATCTGCCCATTTGCGTGTTACGCCAGCTTTCGGGTGAATGCACTATCGAGCCCGATAGGCCGTGCTCCAGCATGAGCTGCTCGATCTCCCTAGCTCGATATGTGCGGACACGTTCCCCGATAAGACGGTAGGCTTCATCATTGGACCGCAGAGTATCCTCAGCGTCCCTTGTAATGCCGATTGTGCGTAACATGGTCCAAGGATCGAGTGAGCCATGGAGCTGGAACCAGATGCCCTCATCCGCAGTCGGATAAATGGCTGTGGCACGATACACCAATGGAGAGCCTGATTGACGGTCTTTATCCCATTGGGGCACGCTCGGCAGGGCGATCACGGATGGGCCCATCTGCCCGTCAACAGTGACGAGCGCTGGAGTGGCTGGATACAGCCCTGCGTGGTTCGTGTTGACGTATGTTGTCGTGCTGGTGGTTTCGCCGCGAAGATGGAGTATTTCAAGGCCCACGATACCAACCATAGCATGCAGCACTGCAGTAACAACCTGTGCCTTGATCGGCCCCGGAAGGCAAGGCAGCTCGTTCCCTTCAAACGCCACCCCATCCAGTAGGGCTTGGTCCTGCGTGAATCCGGGCGTCTGGGCTGCGAAGACCTTCAACAATCGTATACATTCTTCAGGCACCGGCGTGAAACTCGTGTCGACGTATGTCCCGGGACCATAGCTTTCCTGAGACATTTTTATTTATTTGTGTATTTCCTTTGGTGATACTTCCTGTTAAAGGAGTTGGGCGTCATGCTTCGTCCCGGCTAAGCGGAAATATCAGCATTTGTATCAAAGCACCCTTCCACATGAATACCGGCTCACAATTAGCCCATATTGCCTTACCAGCTGTCTACAGCACTAGTAATAATTTATTGCCGGATCTTCCAATCGGGGACCGCGGGGGCTGTCCGGCGGACCTTCTTTGTGTACCCGACAACCGACAACGCCGTAACCGACATACAACATTGACGGTCCGTGCTTTATTTGCCAGTTTGGACCCTACAACTCTAGGGCACATTGCTGCCCTTTTAATGGCATTCCCTTCAAATTCTTGACAGTACTGTCTGAATAGTGGAGTTCAGAACCCGCAGTATGCAAGATCATATTAAGACTGTCGCCGTCATCGGCTGTGGTGTCATCGGAGCGAGCTGGGCATCTCTGTTCCTATCCAGAGGCTTGAACGTCATCATTTTTGACCCCGCCGAAGGATCTCAAGAAGCATTTAAGAAGTACTTGCAAGGTGCATGGCCTGCTTTGAAAGCATGTAGGCCCACCGAAGACGCGTGGGCCAGGAACTACAAGTTCGTTGACGACCTGGCATCGAGCCTACCGGAGGCCGATTTTGTCCAAGAAGTATACACCGCAGAGTTGATACCTTGATACATAGGCCACACGTGCCCTAGACATAGCATTGCTAACTAAAGACGTCTCGCAGAACGGACCGGAGCGCCCCGAATTCAAGCAGCAGCTCATGCAGACCCTTGATGAGCATACCAGACCAAGGGTTGTAATCGCGTCCTCTTCCTCTGGTCTGCCTGCATCTGGTTTTATCGAGCGGTGCCAGAAAGACCCGAGTCGCATCCTAGTTGGCCATCCATTCAATCCACCACATCTCATTCCCCTGGTGGAAGTTGTCCCCCACCCGGGCACCGACGCCACCACGATATCAACCGCAGGGGACTTGTACAGGTTCCTTGGGAAAAAGCCCATTCTGCTTCGTCACGAAATCCCAGGGTTCGTCGCCAATCGTCTGCAAGCCGCGGTCAACAACGAAGCATACAGCCTTATTAGCCGCGGGATTGTCTCGGCTGAAGATCTCGACACCGCGGTAACATCAGGCCCGGGTCTTCGATGGGCCCTGACAGGTCCATTTGTTACAAATGCGCTTGGTGGCGGCGGGGGACCAGACGGATTTGCGCAGCGGATTGAACGGCTTGGTCCTGCGATTCGGGGCTGGGAGGAGGATATGTCGAAGCATCGGTTCGATTGGAGCGAGGAAAGCGTCGAGGCTCTGAACGAGGAGGCTTTGAAATGGTTGAACTCGGTGGATTGGGATGGCATCAATCGGAACAGAGACCAAATGTTGTTACAGTTGCTGCAAGCAAAATCCCAGAGCTCATTGCTCAATTAGAGGGTAAATTCGCCTAATATATGCTAATCCAAGGGGTCCTATCATGGTGCTTTAGCGAATCATTCCAAGACCATAAACAATGCTTTCGCGAATGCCTTGGTACCCAAAGGCCAGGTCCAGCTCGATTACCGCCCCCAGGATTAAGAAAATCGTGAAAGCTGATTTTACAAGTTCGGGTTGCTGAATATGGTATGAGTTACAGCTCATTCTAGGAACTTCACAAGGCCATCGGTGTACATGGACGTTTAAAGCTAGCTATATATGTACAACTGAATTGAGTCAAACCCATGAAACATTCATCCTACGCCACTGAGAGCCAAAGATCGAACCACTCGATAAAGCTCTTGAAACTCTGCTCTTTGGCCCATTTCTCATATGGATCGGACAGAAACGCCCGTGACTAAATGGAGCTCTTAGCATGCGTCTGGAACAAGGACTACCAGGGCCAAACTCACAGCAAATCCATGTCCAACATCAGAGAAAATCTGCATATTGAACCTTTTCTTCCCGTCCGTCATAATCTCGACTGCCCTGCTGCGTTGCTCAGGCATAAAGAGGCCATCTGTGTTTGGCACCGAGAACAGAATAGGCGCTTGAACTGGTCAGCAGTTTACAGCTCATCGGCTGAAAGACTCTTACCCTCAATGTTGAATACATGGCTTTCGTTCATGAATGCCGGATGGGCGATGGCACCAACCTTGCAGAACCCATCTTTAGAAAGCTGGGTACAGACGAACCGAGCTCCCCAGCTGTCAGATAATGATAAATCAGTACATGTCACAAGTTAAATCAGTGTGACGAACCAATGCCCTGCACAGACAAATTTCACTTTGCCGTTGTTTCCATACGTTGCTTCGACGTCCTTTACCCACTTCGCAGCAATGCCGTCGGCGGATCTCATGTGCTTGTTCTTCCAACCTTGAAAGTCGAAGTTGGGATCATTCAACGGATTCTCAGAATGCTTCCACATCGGGTCCTAAATCCCCAGGCGTAAGTCAGTCTATCCAAGGTCGTACTGTGCAGTCTCTTACCCCGGCGAAATAATCGACGCCCAACGTCAGGTACCCACCAGCGGCAAACGCATCCATCGTCAGGAAATTGTTGATGTGCAGGCCAAAAACGTCCGGGAAGAAGAGGAGCACATGTCCGTTGGCTATCTTTGCGTCCGGCGTGGCCACATAGGTGTCTACGCCGCCCATCTGCACGACTTTGCCTGCTGGCTCTCCAGAATGGATGGAACCTTTGAGGCAGCAACGCTCAGCTGGCTTGGCTAGAACAGGATCTTCCACTGTACTCATTATGTGTTGTTAAGGGGACGTTGGGTTCGGAAATTTAGCCGTTATGGCGCCAGGGGTTGCCTGGTAGTTATATCCGGAATTGGCCATTGCACATCTCGTCTGGGCTTATTGTTCAGTTGTCCGGATAGCCGGGGGATCTTCGGGAGTGCTTGAACACGCGGCAAAGTGCCTTTCCTGAACCGCCTCGGGCTTGCCCACGAGGACACGTTGGGGTCGGAATCATACGCATCGGCCAATCCCTTGGTGCTGCTTAATCGTACTGGTCGGAAACAGCCGGTTCTTCCCCGCATCTGAATGTAGTTCGTATCTCCGTTACCATGTTGGTATATATCGCAACTTAGATGCGTCGGAGGGATCATCATGGAAGTTGTTATCGATCCACACTATGGCTAGAGATACTATCAGAGGTTTACATGTTGCCATCGTCGGTAGGTTTCCCATGACGTGCATATAGACTTCTCGTGGTGCTTATCCGAGACCGAATCTAGGCGCCGGCATTGGGGGACTCGCCCTTGCTATGGGCCTGGAAAAGAAAGGCGTGCCTTACACGATCTATGAAGCAGCCCCCGAATATTCCGTTGTGGGGTAAGTTCAGGATTTCCCGCCATGGTTTGACAGTATTATCTATCTATCTATCTGACAACAGAAAACAGCGCGGGTATTGGGTTCGGGCCTAATGGCGATGTCGCGTTGGACATGATCCAGGAGGGCTTTCGTGCCGAATACGATAAAGTGTGCGTAGGCAATATGCCCGGCCAGCCTCAGGATATCTACTATGAAGGAATGCTCTTGAAGGAGGGCCTGGGTACGCAAAGCTTGTCCCTTTCCCTGGTCGCTAACCTGGGGGGGCGCCTTTCAGCTAACTGTCTGCCAAAGGTCTCGGTGAAGCCTGGCACGGTCATTCGACCTGGGGCCACCCAGACTACGTCCGTAGAGGTGTCCGTCACTCTGATCCGCGATACAGTTATCTAGGTGAATGGTACTAACGTTGACTAGGCCCACCGCAACGCCGTCCTTCAAATTATGACCAGCTTCATCCCGATCGAGAAAGTCCGTTTTAGCAAGTGTGTGGAAGAGATTCAACAGTGTCCTGACAAGGTTATCTTGAAATTTGCAGACGGCGGCGTTGCTGAGGCTAGTATCCTTGTCGGAGCTGATGGAATCAAGAGTATGGTGAGGGCCCACGTCTTGGGACAGTTGTATCCTAGCCAGGTCGAGCCTGTTTACGCCGGCTCGTATTGCTACCGTGGCGTGATATTGACATCCGAAGCCAAAGAGATCTTTGGGGATCTCACGGACGTAGCGAAGATGTACCTCGGCGACAACCGCTGCTGTATCACTTATCTGATTTCCAAGGGCGATGTAAGTCGATATACTGTCAGGTTTCCCACAAGCAGTATGGTATGCTAACCGCTCATGCGTGCAAGGAATTCAATTTCCTCCTTTGCGCCATTGATGATAAACCCTGGGAGTTCAAGAATGTTGTATCACAGAAGATCACGCACGAGGCTATGATGGCTGACTTCGGAGGATCCAGCGTTGACGAGCGGTTTCGGCGTTTGTTGAGCAAAGCCATGCCGGTTAAATGGGGGTTCTTCCATCATCGGTATACGTCGACATATTATCGTGATCGGGTAGTCCTTCTGGGTGACAGCGCCCATGCATCTCTGCCTTTCCAGGCCGCCGGCTCTGGTCAGGGCTTGGAAGATTCCTTGATTCTCTCAAACATTCTGGCCAAGATCTACGGCGCTGCAGACCAAGGGGCCGCGCTTGGTCCGTATATCCGTGCTGGATTTGCCGCTTACGACTCGATTCGACGGCCGAGAGCTCAGAGACAACTTGAGACGGCTTATGAAATGAGCCACATGATTCATTTCCAGCACTCGGAAACAGGCAAGGAGATGGAAAAGATCGCTGGTAAACTGCAGGAAGGGTGGTTCGACTGGATATGGTTCCATGACCTGAACGGGGATATCGAGTCAGCATTTCGGAAAATGGACGAGGAATTGAATGCGTAAGTTTTGACCTCAAATCATGTATGTCCCTTCTATATACAATACAGAAGGCTGTGTGCCCGCAGATTGCCAGGACTTTACATGCTAACAGCGGCCCCCTTGGCTTATATCAGGGCGAAGATTTGATGTCGGACAATTCCAGTGATTCGTGCTCATAATGGCACCTGTGTTTCGGGTCCTCATCTGTCCGCTCGATTTTAATTTTGTTGCTCTTCTTTGCTTACTATATTGTGTATCGATCTTATCGTCAAAACTAGTAATTCTGTGGCTGTATTAGGACAAAAGGCTAACTAGCCTAGGTAACTGAATTTTTATGAGCCACTGGCGAAAGACGCGAGAAAGGTTCAAGACCTATACACCGCAGGTAATTATTCAGTAGTTATAGTTTAACTGGTCAAGACTCAAGCTATATTCCCCAAAGGAATGGTCCAATAGCTCGGCCCTGGGGAACTGAACCATGTCTATGTCGGTGAGAGATGGAAGTCCAAAGGAAGGCAGGATCTGCTCGTAAGCTAAATCTTCAGTTTGAGACTGAGCCCGGTGACCGTTTCCGGAATTATATTGTTCGACAGCTGCAGGACAGTCTTTTGTCGCGTCAGCCTTGAAGGGTAGGTGGATTCGCCGGCGCACTAACCTTGGCCACTCAGTTGTTGGGAAACACGTCTGATGAACTTTGCACAATTGTACACCATACGGTTGTCCCTGTCTAACTTGTCTAGAGCTTCTACAGCTTGATTCAGAGGGCCCTGAACGGAGTTCTGAGTAGCGTCGTCGTTGATATAGACTCCATGCTGATCCAACACGGAGCTGCCAAGGACCACCAAAGCTGAATTGAATACTGATTGTGACTCAGTCAGTAAATACCCTACCGGTGTACACCAGGTATTACGTACCATGGAACAATGTGAAGAACCAGACATCCAATTTGTTGTAGGATGGATTGGGCGAGCTGAGAACTGCATGCACTATCTCAATTGTATTCTCGGCAGACCGTATGCACTCGTGGGCCTCGGCCATCGCAAGCTGAATCCTATACGGTAAAGGACCCCCCGCTGCGGGCCGTTTCATGGTCAAGTAACGGAGCGTGGTACACAGTAGTGGTCGATGGATTAGAATATTGACAAAATGATACCGGAGCGTAAGAATAACTCTCAGCCGGTCTGAATCTGAGCTCTCACTTCTAGAGAGACCACTAGATTCTGGCTCACAAAGAGCCAGATATGATGGTAAACTGGAACGCCATCGCCGAAGCTCCTGTCGCATCGCACTTGCCGCCTGAATGGCGGTACTGTCGTCCATATCGTGACCACGAACTCCAAGATTCTGGCCGTATTGTGTGGCGACGGATCGACCCACGATCTGGAGCAGACGCACTGTAGCATCCAGAAATGCCGTGTGAGTGTCTGCGTCATTCGACTGACGTTTTGTTGTTTGCATCGTGGGCCATGCTGATGGCATCTTCACCACGATGTACTCATCTGGTATTGCCGGCGGACGTCCACATGTGACGCTTTGGATTTTATCCAAACAGTATATCGTAAGCCAGGTACGCCGGCGGATCTCCTGCTGTACCGGGTGAAGGCCTTGTGTTGATTGCTCGGAATGTAAGCCCAAAGCCATTGCTGTTCGTACAAGCATACCATGCACTGTCCAAGTTTGGATTGGCCTTTGTGTACCCTGAAGATAGAGTGCGGCCAGCAAGAGGTATTGCACAATGGAAAGGCTGACTGTTCGCATTGACAAGTCGCGGCAAAGTGATACCGCCCGTTGGAAAAACACGTACGACCTTCTGCAGCGGTGCTTTGCCGAAGCTTCTGCAGTTTGATCAATGTGGGTAGCCATTGCGAAGGTCATGTTAAGCACGCCGAGCCAGCCTCTCCCGGCTTTAACAAAACCGCTGGTCTTGCACTCATTATAGGTTTCCCTAAATGTCGGTTCATGGAGAAATGGGAAGAGACAACCATATGCGTTGAAGTAGGTGCTGAGCAACGCATCCATCTCTCCTTCAGGGGGTAGGGTTGTGGGTGAGATAGGCATATTCTTGGGAGATTCCATAATTGGCGGTGATTGCTGCCGAGAGTCTGGAGCGGCATTGCACTCGGAAGAGTTATTTTCTGTGCATGGCGCCTTCATTCCGTTGTGCCTGGTCTTCGAAACCACGGACATTGCCTCTAGAAGGCAACGCGTGAATACAATGCTAGAAGAATCGCCGTAAAATGCCGGGGTTGGTTCATCCACGAATTCAATCGCAAGCCCATCTGTCTTTGTATCGTCTGAACCTGGGTCCTCCATGTTGAGCGCATTGAGATGAATCCCATCTTGTACCTGTCCAACAGTGCTGACGCTCCCGATTCGTACAGAAGATGCTTCCTCTTTATTTGCTGCGCATGAAGCGAGGTGGCCCGTCAGCAAGTCGTCATGTCGTTGCAAAACGCACTCGACGTCCTTAAGCCGCTGTTCAAGGTCTGAAACGTAGTCTTTGCGCACCAGGAGATTTGTTGAGGCATCGGATGGCTCGTAATGACACTCTATTGCGAGAGATGTGCATGATGAACATGACGGGCGCCGCCCATCGCATCTGGAAAAGCGTTTCTTTCAGCAAAGCGTCCAGCCTGTCGGCGACACTCATATCGGGGTCTTACTGACCTTGACTTCCGGGCGCGGCACGCACTGCACGCCAAAGAAACACGTCGCCGTTTCGCCAGCGGCTCGCCTTCTTTATACGCTCGGGCGACATTGCCCGGTTGCTGAGATACCATTGATGCCATTTGAGTTAGGAAAGGCCCCAATGGAGCATTCGGAACACGGCTTCATGACATTCGAAGGACAGTATGTCCCCCGGAAATGGGGGTTTGTTTAATAGTCGTCGATTACCCATTATCTCCGTGTGACTGTGCGGGGAAGCGGAGTAAACTGATAAGGCCATGTTAAGAGACCCTTGGTGATGTCTCCTAGGGTTCTCTGCTCCACGTGCTCTGCCTCTTTCCAGGCCAATCCTCCTCGTCACTGATAGGCCGAGAGCAAGCAAGGTGCTGGCCCAAACGGCCGTTGACTGGTCGGACTGTATCGAATTTCCACTCGCAGCACTAGTTCCCGCTGACAAAGCGGACAGAAGCTGCCCTTCGTTAACTTATCATCCACTGAGTGGAGCGAACGAAAGCCGAGGCCAACAAGACTGCAGAATGAGCTATATCCGAATTGTTGGAGACCCGGATCATTGGCATGAGTGGCAGCTCTGCGGGGCTTGAAGCGTATGCCTCTACACACTTGATGGGCGCAATGAGGGAAATCTGGAGGCTTGAATAGAGGATTGCCGCGACGGGAGTCAGTATACTTCTCTCTGAGAGTTTTCAGTGAGGGAGCACGCTCAGGGTGTACTTGTTGAGAGACCGGGAGTAGAACGATAGCTTTAGACCTCAAAAATCAAATTACCCATGATTACGGAATAATATTCATGATTCCGGCTTCCACTTTCCAGGCGGATGTCACAAAATGTCTAATTGGATGGACTTGTTCCAAGGCGATAGAGGAACTGCGAATGAGCCTACGTGGGGACCCCTTACGACGATTGAGGGGCAGCCAGATGCCAATTCCAGATCTATGATATAAAGGCTCGCTAAATATGCCCAATAATTCATTTTCTAGCTCAATCCAAGGTTCCAACTGTCATCGGTTTTTCCAGTTCTCTTGCATGCGCAGTACCAAGATGGCACAGGCTACATGGCAGGAGAAGGTCGAGATCAAAATATCTCAAGCCAGGGCCAACATTCCATCGGAGTGGCGTCTCCCGGACTGCTACCTGGGGCTATCGCAGGACACCTCTCAAGCCGTTCTGGATATCCCTTGTCGTTGCGGGATTCTAACTGACAGAGAGATTCATATCACTGAGGACTTCGATGCAACTGCTTTACTTGAGAAACTTGGCTCTCGCGAGTTCAGTGCAGTTGAAGTTACTACCGCGTTCTGCAAGCGTGCAGCAATTGCCCACCAGCTGACCTCATGTCTAACGGAGACGTTCTTCGACATGGCCCTCCGCAGGGCTCAAGAGTTGGACGACCACCTCGCGGCCACTGGAGAGAGAATAGGACCTCTCCATGGCCTCCCTATCAGCGTCAAAGAATGCTACAATGTTGCTGGTGTGCCAACCACTATGGGGCTTGTCTCCTTCCTCGACCGGCCGCCACAACAGACAAACTCTGTCTTGGTGGATGTTTTGCTAGCAGCTGGGGCGGTCTTCTATGTTAAAACAAATATCCCGCAGACAATGATGACGCTCGACTCGCATAATAATGTTTTTGGCCGGACCCTGAATCCGCATCGCTTGAACCTCACGGCTGGTGGAAGTACCGGTGGTGAGGGCGCACTACTCGCCATGCGAGGATCTCTCCTTGGGATCGGAACAGACTTTGCTGGGTCAATCCGTGTACCGGCGCTGTGCTGTGGAATTGTTGGCTTCAAACCTTCGGCAAGCCGGGTCCCCTACGGTGGTATAATGTCCGCGGCAAGGCCTGGCATGGCAGGCTTCCTACCCTGTGCTGGTCCCCTCTGCCACACTGTCCGGGACGCCGAGCTGCTGCTAAAAGTCGTGTTAAATTCAAATGCTGCGGACCTAGACGATAATGTGTTGGGCGTTCCATGGAATGCTGCGCGTCAGAAACCGTCGCTCCGGGTCGGTGTGTTGCCGGAAGACCCTTTGTACCCTCTGCATCCTCCAATGCAGCGTACTCTCAATAGAGCAGTGGCTAAGCTGATAGCCGCGGGGCATGAAGTGGTCGACATTTCAAAGCAAATGCCATCCATCTCCGAAGCGAAAGACGTGGCCTTTCGGTTCTTTAACATGGACCCCGCGCGCACCGCGTTGACTCACGTCACCAAAGGTGGTGAACCGTTTATCCCGTCGCTGAAATCGACATATGATCTTGACCGGAGTGCTCCAGAGCCTCAGCTTCTGGAACTGTATGAGCTGAATGTGGCCAAGGCTAGGCTCCTCACACCAATGAGGCAGGTATTCGTTGAGAACAAGGTGGACGTCATTATTGGCCCCGCCTACCAGAGCTGCGCTGTACCCCATGACACTTACGGTGTAGCCACATACACTGTGTTCTGCAATCTCTTTAACGTACGTGAAACTCACAGCAAAACTTTTGGCCCCCATCTAAACTTTCCACAGAACCCAGCTCTTGTCATACCGTTTGGAAAGGCAAACGCAGCCCAAGACGCCGAGTATATCCGGGATGTTCCGTACACGCCGCAGTGTAGGTTTCAAGCGTGCCCTAATGATTTCACCTACTAAGTGGCGACAGATAAACCAAAGGAAGTTGAAGGCGCACCTTGCCATATCCAGGTGATAGGGAGACCTATGAGGGATGAAGATCTCATACAAGATGCCTTCATTATTGAAAGGCTGTTGCAAGGTTAATCCCAGTAACATAGCTGAACTGGCCATTGCTACTACTGTGTTCTAGGTTCATATACATGAAGATATAAATAAAACTTCAATGTACAACGCCAAAAAGACCAGAGAACTAAGTGCAGAGCTTGTTAATATATCTTTAGAGTAAGGAGGCATTTTAGTAGCTCGTTTTTGGAAATTAGAAAACAAGGATAGCTAAAGCTAGTTTCGTTAAGTATGAAGCTGTAATCCTCCAGAATCTTGTTAATCCTAATTATATATAACTGAGTAAAAGATTTGTGGGTAATACCACCACCACTAGTTGTTCATAGAAGCTGTCCGGTCATACTGCAGCTCACCCGACATAGCTGGCCTTCTTCATCGTGTCTTACCACACCACCAGAACTGATATATATCGCAGCATGATCAGGGCTATAATATACATCTATATACTATATAATGACGGTTATGTAGCTTTAGTAATACAGATTATAATATATAAATCTGTGATAACATCCCGAGTTCGGTCCATATTGATGACACTTTGCGGTCCAAACACTCCAAGCATTCGCGAGAACGGATGAGCAAGAACTGCCAATGACTATCACACCGTGCGTTTTAGAAAGTGTCTATAAAAACATCACAATATACTGATATCAGCCGTTTGTTGGCTGAGGTTTCAAAAGCAGCGGGGAGGCGCACTCCTAACGCCATCCCATTAGGGGTTACGGATATATTCAGTCCCTTAATGCCAAGCTGGAGTAGTGGTTAGCATGCGGGACACGCCGAATTTCAGGATGCATTGCTGCACTCTAGGGTTCGTGCCTCTCGGTGATGTGGAGACTTGATGTGAAAACGAGTCTGTTGACATGTACAATGTATTGTGGCAGTTGCTTCCATTTCCATATTTGTTGGACCGTCGCGTATGGTTGAGGCTTGGTGTTCTGTCGTTTATGATCAATGACTTTTCTTTAAATAGCCTTCTGGACAACGTTGCTTGGGCCTTGTTAAACCGGATCGAGGGAGGTTTAGTGAAACTGGGCTATTAGTGGAGATCAATATTTACAGCGGGCATGGAGACATTCCCTGGTGGCCACTAAGCAGGGGTCGCAGCTTGTCGGCGTCCCAAAACAGTCTAATCTCTCGTCACTTGGTGGAGCTTATTTGTTAGTTGAGTGAACTGCGGGATCAGTCATGAGGTTTCTTGAGTCAGAAGTGCGCCTTTATTGAGTCATCACTCATTCTTGAACTGCCTGGGTATTAGATCGCATTAAGTGGTTGCGTACGTCGAAATTTAGTGGATTTCTGCTTGCACCTCTCGGCCACCATGGCCATTATCAGTGTACAAGCACAATCTTATAATAAGATCAAATCCCTAAAGTTAAAGTCCATGAGATTTCGCAGTATCTTCCGGGGGTCTCTTTATGGGGATTTGTTTTTCACCACAAATTACAGAAAATGACCCGCTTGACTGCCAACATTACAGTCACTGCAACCCATGTAGTGTGCAGTCAAAATCAGATTTCCATCCAAGATCCGTTTGTTCTGGGACCCTTTGATCAACTTGGTCATTTCGCTACCCCGATTAATGCAGTATGGATCTATGAACCCTTGCCCTCCGTTGATTTGATTCCGTTGGAGAGGTTGCACAAAGCCATCAGCCATCTTCTCGACTATTATCCTCATTTGACAGGCCGGATACATATCAACCCCGATACCGATGTCCGTTCCATCACCAGACTAGGCACTGGAATACACTTGCTTGAAGCTTACTGTGATACCCCGCTTCAATCTTTCACCCACAGATCGCCAGAATCAGATCGGGCCCTCAGTATCTTTGATCTCCCAGGCGGGGGCAATGCCCTACTCGCGCCATGGGATATGTCTCCTGAAGGAGCACAGAGGGATCCGGTCTTTACCATTCAACCGACAGTGTTCGCATGTTCTGCCGTGGCAATTGGGGTGAGGGTTTCGCACGTTGTTTGCGCGGCTGGCGGCTTCCTGGGCTTGGATCAGGACTTAGCTGAGATATATCGAGCCACCGACCCAGTCATCGGACGGCCAATTAAGTTGACATCACCGCCATATCTACCACCATTTATGGTCAATCAGATGCTGCACATGACTGTTGACGAACAAAGGAAGGCATTAAGTGTGTGGCCAGCAGGATACTCGCTGCGAGATCACAACGCTGCCGCTGAAACCCATGCTGAAAGCGAAGCCCAATTCCAGCAGAGCTTGAACAACGACCCCATTGTGGGACGAAGTCTGCGATTCTCGCCTTCAGCACTCGCCACCCTCAAAAGCCACGCAGTTGATCCAGATAGCGGCAGCGCCCGGGTGTCAGCGTTCACTGCATTGTCAGCACACTTCTGGCAGCGCACACACCTCGCTCGACTCGCACAAGCCCATTCTTGCTCCAGTGAGAAGACATCAGTCTTCTCGAGCTCTGCATTTGGTACCAGTGTGAACTTCGTACCGCATCTCGGCTTGCCTCAGCGATCCTTTGGGAACACCTTGGTGACTCCAGTTATAGAACTACAGTCCATGAAGCTCGCGCAAGCACCACTCTGGGAGATCGCAAAGATCATCGCCATCTCGATTCGCCACATCTCTGTGGATGAGACGCAGAAGTTGGGAAGTTGGATTGCAGCCCAGCCCAAAAAGGCACATATTAAACTTGACTTTCCGTGCACCCCGGCCTCATTTATCGCGACGGGATGGCATCGCTTTCCGCTCTACTCAGGTGCCGAGCTTGATGTGACTCCCACATTTGCCAGTCCGGTTCCTATGGATTCTCTGTTTGACGGTATGGTCGTTTTTGTGGAGCCTAAGGCTAAGGATGATAGTATCGAAGCCGTCGCCTCTATGAGAGCTTCAACCTGGGAGTTTCTTGATAGGGATGAAGAGTTCATCAATACGTGGGATGCAACAGGATGATATACTGTATTTTAATCAAGAGCGAGCAGAGTTCATTATATGCAGGTAAGAGGCCGAAGCAGTCAGCCACGAAGCTTAATATACTATTTTATTAATATAACAGCTTCATGAATATTCTACGCCTAATTAGTTGGAATAATAAGGGAATGATGCGGACGGAAGAAGAGTAATGGGATTGCTGCTTCCCTGTGATCTCAGGTACAATGGTTATAGCTATCTTCAATCAAACACGGTCTCTAATAGACAGGCGCTCTCTGCGCCTCGTCTTTCTCAAGCCTAATCCCAACCTTTAACGTTCTCCCCATGTTCACATTGATATTAACACCTCTAACAGAAGTATATCATGTAGCTGTGTAATTGCTCCAGACAAAGTCACCAAGGAATCCCTGCAATAACATGGAATATATCAAAGCAGCAATTCGAAGGACATCTTCTCCATTCTCTCTGTCATTCTTCAGCTCAAGTAGTCTGATACTCGCAATTCCTCAACACCAAAATGTTCCAAACAGATTGCCCCCAATACGGCCAGGACGAGTCAGAAAAACCCATCGACACGCCATATCCCTCATAAACTATCGACTCCCATTAATGTCAAAGCTCGATGCTCTGCTCCTACTTAACTTAGGCAAGGAAGACATCACCATCCAAATCTCCTCTATTCCAAGTACGCGTGTGTTGCGAAAATCCTAGTGTTACACATAAACCAAAGACCTAGCAATTTCTCCGGATTTGCATAGCTCAGGAATATATGTCGATAAACACAGAGGGCCACAGAACCTTGGGCCAAGGTCTTCTATCCCATTTAGATAGTCTATGCCATTTAAGTTGGCGGAACAGTCTTGCACATCCTTAGGATGCTGGTAGAGCGTAGAAAGACGCGGAAACTCCCTATCACATTCAGGGCAGAGATATTTCTATCTACCCCCTTCATAACCATTAACTTTATATATCCAGCTTTAGTTCCACTTGTAAAATAGATTATTAATCATCTCCTTATCTATAGTTACCTAGTTAGTTGTAGCGGCTGAGTGATCCGTGATTTTCCAGACCGCCAGGCTAAGCCCGATCGGGACCGCCTCAGCCAACGTCCAACTCGCTCGTCCTTGCGGTCACTCTCTCTCGCGCTTGTTGCGACCGTCCACGGAGCAATCATCCTCCCTTTCCTACTTGTTCGCTGCTTAGGAATCTATTTCCGTCTGCTTGGCTTGTTTTTTGTGCCCCTCCTTGCTGTGATTTCTTTTCTTTCACGTCGCTCCTTTCCGACCAAGCTCCGGTGCGCGACGTCCCACCTTCGTCTGCTGGCGGCTAGCTCCCCATTACCACCGCGGTTCTGAAGGGTTCTGGAATCTGGTCTTGGTTGATCTTGTTTTCGCCTTTCAATTGAACATATTTTCCAACGGTATTCGGCGTTGTTGACTAGAGCCGCTGCTATTCTTTGTTCTGACGTCGACTCAACGTGGTTTTGTTCGGTACCTGACTGTGTGACGACACTTGGTCTGTTTCAGTGACCACTGGAATAATTGCCCGCATTAAACTCTTGCTGTAGCAAGACAGCAAAGTCCCAAGTGGTGGAGTCGAATTCAGCAGCTTATACTTCAGAAAGTGGTACTGCGAGTCAGTAATGGCGGCAGCAATGGTACCTCTGGAGGCGGCCTTGAGCGGTGCAATCGGTTCGCGGTAAGTAACAAATGACAACGTCCCTGCATAATGCAAGTGTTAGGGGTTGCTTTTATCAGCCACTGGTCTGATGGAACTCCCACAGCCAGAAGCTATGACCAGGAGCCACCGGAACTAACTCAAATGTCTTTTATAGCGTTCGCATCAGCACCAATCCGGCCTCGTCCACGATCGAGGGCACTCTTTTCACAGCTTGCCCAATCACCAACCTTGTCGCTATCAATACCGCCGACGGTAAACAGACTCAAGCGGGGGACTATCACCTTATTCCCATCTCCCGGATACAGTCCTTCCAGATCGTTTCTCTCGCCCCATCCTCTCAGACCGCTGAATCGACCACCTTCACCGATGCTGTCCCGCCACTGCATGCTCTGGATACCCGTGCTCTGAAAAACCGGGAGGCCAATGCTGTGGCGAAGATCCAAGAGGGCGAGGCGCGCCGTGGCAAGGGCGTCACACGAGAAGCCCAGGATCTCTTCGATGCGTTTAGTCGCACGATGCCCACGAGGTGGGATGGTGCGAGTATCATTGTGGCCGACGCGGTTGTGATTGCGCCTCCCTACCGCGTGGACGACTGCCGACCACTGGTTGCAGGTGACACAGCTGCCCTTGCCCGGGTACGCAAGGTGGTACGTCATCATTCTTATTCCAAGGAATTTCCCGCATGATATTAACAGATATATAGCTTGAAATGGAACGCAAGAAGATCGAACTACGAAATGCTAGCGCAACAATAGGATCGTCAAATGCTTTTGCTCGTTCGGGAGGTGCCTCAAAGGACACCCGCAACTCGGGCAATCCCCCTCCGACTTCCGGGCCTGGAGCTGCTGGACCAAGGAAAGGAGGTTGAAATCGGACCCTTACTCCCCGTGCAGTAGCGGGGGCTTGGAGCCGCGCGGCACCGCATCCAGTGGAGCCCGCAATAACCCAAACTGAGAAACAAACGCATCCTAGGATGCTGAACCCATATACACACATCATGCATGAAGCGTGCATTTTCGAGAATGACAGAAGCGAAGTCACCAGTGAAGCGACAAGGCGGGCGGCAGACACTGATAACTTACTCTTGATCAACAATCTAGGATATCACCTAGGTAGAAGCTCCCGGTACGAGCCCGACAGATAGGACTGGGCGTCCCTGGACAAGTTATGGATTGAGTGACAATGTTCAGGCCGGGCTCGACTAGTCTTATTAGTGTTCTGTCGTGGCCTCTACCGGTATCGAATATCAACTTGACAACCTTACAATTACTTTTACCCCTTCCCGTAAGGTCTACGAGACGTAACCAACACCGTAGCCAAGGAAGGCACGCGTATCAGTACATAGCAGGAAAGTATGACTATTAGTGGAGAGATATCTGAAGCTGGCAGCGAGCAACTATCAGGCACGCAAGCAGTAATTTAAGGTGATCCTGATGGCTTTCTGATGAAACTCACCGGATCTTGTGGTTTTGACTGATATATATAGGGGTAGATGTCATAACGTGACGGCGGTCTACAGTTTGCCAGAATCTTCTGCAGGATGGCGATCCTATACCGGTACTGGACTACCGAGCGGCATCCCGTCAGATCTGATCTCTCACCTCGATGCTGCAGAAGGCCCCACGCCTTCCCTCGTGTCTCGTCCTGACTGGATCCGTAAACGCAGTCGTCATTTCACCGTTTCCTCCAGCTGCGGTTACAGGGTGTTCAAGGTCAATCGGGGCCGCTTCAAATACTGTCTCTTTCCTGCGTCTCGACTCTGAGCCCTCCCTCTTCTTCTCTTCACCTGTGCATGCAGTACCTATACGTACCAGAATCCACCACATCTGCTGAGCCTGTTGAAAATGAATGCCAACGGTACTGTACCCCGTACACTCCCCCTCTGACAGACGGCTGCTTCATAGGATCTTGCGTCTGACTGGTGGATATCCCAGGAGCTGTCGATCATCTGGTAACCCAGGGGTTCACCAGAGCAGCAGTATACTCCGTGACAGCCGCTGATTTTGCCGCACAGGGCGGCGACTGGCAAGTGAGTTGGAGAACTCTAATATCTTTACTTGCTTATCTAAATATAGAGATATAGGCGGGCCCTTCCGATATCCGGCTTCTCATCGATGGCTTCTCCGACCCGGACAATGTCGTTGACAGAGACTTCACAATAAACGGTTCCCAGTACACCCTGGAGGTCAGAGACGAGACCTTGCTTTATTGTCCGTCGGTAAGTTTATTTTGGTTTTTCTTTTCATTCTTCCACTACCATACCTACAACCTAGTGTCTATCTAGTGTTTGGCACTGTACTGACCGTATAGGACGCCGATACCATCCTATTTGCACACAAGAACGGCGAGTCCATTGTCCTCGGGGAGTTTATCGTTGGCGCTCTGTCTCTGAAAGAAGCAGAGCTGAATATCAAGGAGGTTGCGTATGTGATGGCGACGAAACGACCATGAATTAGTTAATAGGTGGGTAGAACTACCCAGGGTTTAATATGGAGGATTTGGATATTATTAGTAGTGTAGAAAAGTGTGCTTTGGAACTGCGATGAAAAAAAGGAGCGGGGCGCCATTTCATTTGGGGATTGATTTCTCATCTGGAGGAAAAGAAGAGGACATTTTATATCCACAGTCTCCGTCGTGTCTCTTCCTCACTGGCCGCAGGGAACCGGGAATATGCACGGTGGCACAATCACCTGCAGGTATTGTTGGGCCGCCGATCAGTTTTAGCCACCACTGAATAGTTACAATAATATTAATAGCTTCAAGTTCACTTTAATTATAAAGTACCAGTATAACAGACCCCTGGGCTAAAGAATAATCGAATTGAATCAAGTCCACCAAACATCTCGCTATCACGGCTTCCCACCACGAATAACCCTCGCCAAATCCGCAAACGCAGCGCGGCGCTTATCAATAATCTCATGGAACGTCTCAGCGGATCCGATACTCCCAATGACAATCTGGTCTTTCCCTTCGACTAGACCTTCGTACGCTTGCTGCGTGAATGCGTCAAGGGGCATGCCCATCCCACGACCGGCTTCTTCGCCCATGTAGTCGTGTAGTTCAGCTAGATTATACATGGTTAGTACGGTATTCGCATGTGTATTTATGGGGTGGATTTGCTTACTCTGCACAGGAGGGGGAGATATCTCGATAACCTTCGTTTTTGAATGGCGTAGCTGCTCTCGTAGACAGAGTGTGAAGGCGTTTAGGGCTGCCTTTGATGCCGAGTATGCAGGGAGAGAGGCTGCAGGGATAATGGCGAGGTTTGAGCCGGTGCTATATCTATAGTTAGTATGGTATCATCATAATATTGCAAGAAAAGGCCGACTTACAAGACAAATGATGTAGGGTTGGGATTCTTCTTGAAATACGGCAAAAAGGCATGCACCAGAGACACGAAGCTGGAGAAATTGACCTTGACTTCCTCGTGGAAACTGGCTAGGTCGAACTGCTGTGCACTGTCAAGCTCATACGGGTTCTGGATTCCCGCATTCAGAAAAAGACAGTCGATATCGGGGGATTTGGCAATGACGCTGTAATGCTCCGCATTAACACAGCTTCCACCATAAATAGCATGGAGATGAACATACTCCGCGGCAAATCGGGGGATATCTTCCAGTCGAGCAATATCAAACGCCACGCCTTTGGCATTTTCATGCCCGTGCGAATTGACAAACTCGTCTAGTCTTTCTTGACGCCGACCGACAACTGTGACCTTTATGCCGGCTTCAATTAGTCTTGACGCCAGGGCCCGGCCAATGCCGGAGGTGGCGCCGATAGCCAGACAGTGCTTATACGGGAAGGACATGGTGGAGGAAGGATGTGGTTTCGTTGATTTCGATGAATATGCTAAATATGTATAGTTATCATGGGGGTCATGCACACTAAATATATGAGAGGGCCCCTGTGAGACTCTGGTTGAGAGATGGGCCCGAGTGGGCTTAGGGTTATCCCCGCGGACTTAGGACGGACTCGGCTGCGGACTCCGATGGCCTCTCGCAAGCATTATGTGTAGTCATGTTATGGCCTCTGGCGTTACATAAACTATTTTTTTTATTTCACGCTATTTCGGACACGAATAATTCTATATAATGCAGAAGGATATATAGTGACTAACGGTGAGGCAAATCAAGAGCAGGAAGCAAAACAAGCAGTAAAGCAAGACAAAACAACGCTGCCTGGTACTATAATTCAACCCCCATTGTATATTTGTTCTCCTGTCAAGTGAAAGTCTCCTTTTGGCCAGTCTTCCTTATCGACCTTGTCGCGTTTTATGTACCGTGCTGTCATTGCAAAGCGCAGTTTCCCATTGCCCTTCACACTAACGGCATGCTGGATTCGGCGTCAGTGCTCAACATCTGGACATGGAATTCTCACGCATACTTCATAGTATTGTTGTAACTTTTCCCCATGCATCACAACCATATCCCCGTGATTCAACTCCATCTTGATCAGATCGGGCGGCGACCCACGGCTCTCCTTCTCTGGAATCGACTTATACATTTCCCACCATGCGTTCTTGTATTCTTGCCACCACTCTCGGTATGTCTTAGGATTTTTCTCCTTACCAAATCTTTCAGCCTTCCATTTTTCGTACTCCTCTTTGTTTTCGGGAAGCTTGTTGTACCCCGCAGTTTCCGGAAGGTTATAGAAATTTTTCTTAAGTTCCAGGCGTTTTTCGTAGTTCTCGCACTTTGGAAGGACTGGGTCTATATCAAGCAGCCTGTGACTCTTTTTAATGAAGCCATGATAATATCTGTACTTCATTCGTATACTCATGGTGGAAGGTGCGCCGAGGGAGAGGGACGCGATTGTCGGTCCAAGGGAGTCTTCACCGTCGTCATGATACTAGACAGATAGAATAAGCAAATCAGCCTTCTGTTTGCGAAATAATCAGCTGGTTAATTGGAATGAGGGAGCCTCACGCCGATCTTTTGGCCTTCTCCATACCCCAGCACGAGAAGCTCGTTGGGACATTCTGTGGTATGCCCCTTGCTCGCAACAGCACGCTGCGTGGCCCATGTTAAGCGGCCAAGAACCCGATGTATAGCATCACAGGCGCCATTAAAGGCCAGCGATGCAGAGGGAACGACGAATTTGTACGGTAGGCCCTATCTGAGGTCAATAGGGGGCCACATGTGGCGGCGAATACTCTTACATAGTTGACACCGAACTGGGCCTGGAGCGTGCCCTTGACTGCAAATCGGTGTTATCATCTGGCAAGCTGTACTTCAGGATACTGAATATACTAACCCATGGCCTGTATTAAAGGGAAGCGTCGAAGTCCAAGCTGGGTGTCTTGTAACTCTTTGAATAAGTCATTGGGACCTCCAGGGCGCTCGTTGATCTCCTTATTCGCCACAAAATGAACAATATAACCAGCACCCTCAACCTCATATGTATGTATTGTATAGGGTGCAAGCAGCGTGTCACTTATTTCTGGCTGAAGATAACCGGAGCTAGCCGATGAGTCGCGCCTGGGCTTGGCCGAACCCGTTCCAATCGCTTCTTCTAACGAGAGTGGCTGGAAACTAAGCCATTTCTGAAATGGACACTTGTTGGTAGTGTTGGCTGCAGCACTGGCGCCTTGATCTACACCGTCGTCTGCGCATTTCCAGCCCTCCCAGAACCGACGTGGTATGCACCTGCGACACGTAGGGCATACAATCCCTCTCATGGCTTCACGCGAAACATAAAAGTGTGGATCTTCCACTTCTTTCTTGGCTATTTCAGGTAGTCGGTCTGGCACCAGGCTGGGAGTATCTGACACACGTTTCAAAGGGGGAGCCCGGTATTCGAGGAAGGCGTCGTGGAACGTCAGGTCCATAGAATTGGTGATATCATGGCCGTTGATCTTCCAAAAGTCACCGCAATGGCGGTTCAGGCATGTCCAGCCTTGCTTGTATACCTGCATCTCCTTGGTAGTGCAAGTAGGGCACACTTTCTCCACGGGATGCATAGTGCGCTGTTCGTGTGGCATTGGATCGGGTGCGCCTTTCCTTGCCCACCAGCTCTTCTTCGAGATGTTCAACTTTTCGAAGCGTACCTTGTAAAAGACTTGGCCGTCCTGTTTCTCTGGCCACACCTTGGCAATTTGAAAGTAATCCATTACATTATAATGATGAGGAAGTTTCCGATTCAACAGGTTGTTCTTTCTTCCTGGTAACTAGTAAGATAAGACCCATGGAGACGAGGAGCTGACTTGCCTATAACGAGCCCGACCTCTTGATTGTTGATCTTGCTTTTCATAATACATCTAACGAGTAAGTTTGTTTCGTCTTGGCCTTTCTTCACAACAAGTTTTCCATTTTCTTTCTCGCTGCCACCGCCGCTACGAAAGTTAGCATTCGTAGTCGAGTGATTGTAGCAGCACCCACAGTCTCGTTATGACGACTTCATCGTCTACATAAGAGCGAGCCCCGCAGTCTTCGTTGATGAGAAGGCCCCAGCAATATTCGTCTTTGTAGTACATCCCAGCCTGGGTACTGTTGAACCACGGGATAGTACATGCAAGAGAGGCACGATCCTGGCTACCGTTAGCATAGCTCGCTTGTTGCCCAGAGTGTACAAACCTCAGCCCATGCCGGAGGAGCGCCGTCTACTTCTTCTAACACGGAAGGGTGGGAATCGGCCGTCGAGGCTTCGGTGACCGGTGTCTCAACGTCATTAGGAGTTTGGCCAGCGTCTGGGATATTAGCAGACTCTGAAGTAGTCTCATCAGTATCCGCCGCAGCGGATAGTCCTGGGACTGTCGCCGGTGTAGCAGCATTTCGGCCACTTCGACGTAGTTTGGTCGGCCTGTTAGGTCCAGGAGAGGACTGATTCCTCCGCTTGCGTGCCATTAGAGTTTCTTGCGGTAAATGAAATGTGGTATGATGGTGTCCTCGACGCACGGGTTCGGGATTTATAAGGCAGTAATGATAGGGATTGCCCCTGCAAATGGGATTGAGATGACGAGGAGATGGAGAATAGATGGAGCACTAGATAAGTAATGCACGAGATGGAGATGGTGATGATGGAGAGAAAGAAGAAAGTCAAAGAAAAGACAAAGCGAGCCACAAAGTCACGGGGAGGTCCTTCCCGATCGGGAACTGCCAGCCTGTGGCCCATTTTAAGTTCCTGACGGTGACTGGACGCACTTTCAGACTTTTCTTGTACGAGGTCCATGGTTTGTGAATTGTAGTGGAATACAATCACCCTGCAGGGATGTATCCACAGCTAGTCATGCCGGTACTGGCCCATTGTGATCCACTCAGGACTTGATAGCAGCGCCGCAGGAATAACCACAAAGATCAGGACACAGGGGCCAGAAACATTTCCCATAGCTCAGTCTCAAAGCCGATGTGATATCGGGACTTTGGTGTATCTGACGCGGCATGCACTTAGCACCAACAAGATGTCTTCGATGAATATATCGAACATGATGCTAGACGACCCAACTTGGTCTCGCGGAGCTCGGGGACCGCGGATAACGGATGGTGTCGATGATAAATGGGCCATCTGGAAGGGGTTTGTCTGTTGAATATCTTGATAGATGATGGTAGCAGGCCTGGCGACATCTTCCATCGAGTTTGCCCTTGCCCTTTGTACGGTCAGACCAAATCCGATGTCAACTGATTATGACATACCTTAAATTATTGTCCCCAAGGAAATGCGATATATAAACTCTGTCCCAAGAGTCCTTGTTACGTCACCGCCATGATTGCAGCCTCCGCCCTCAAGTCTGGGTATGGTCCGAGTCCTTCAATTGGAACAAGTTCTGCCCGGTTCCTGATGCTTGCATAGTGTCAGTCAGACGGAAGGAGGGTTAATAGGGGTACGAAGCTAGGAGGGGGGATGAACAGTGACGGAGAAGACTTACATTGTCCACAGCGGTATCCTATCGTGAAGATATTGGTGACCTCGTGATAGGGCATGGTCATCAGAAGCGAATGAGTAAATGTTTGTATCAGAACAAAAAGAAATATCTTGCTACTCTGAGAAATGAAGGCTTATTTATCCCTGAGATGCAGCACGCTAAGGACTAGCGAGATCCTTGTCCTACGTTGATGGAGCGAGTTGCCCCTCCATGCAAACGGCGTATTCCAACATTGCAATCTGGACACGGAAACAGTAACATTGAAAGTACTAAATGGGCGTACTTTATGCTCAAGGCATATCCTATAGCTAAGTAATTAAGTCAAAAGACCGACAAATAGACATATACAAAGACCCTAAGATACTATACAACATCCTACATCTGATACACCGATTCCAACGAATTCCACCCACATATCACATCAACACTTAATAATAAGCCTCAACGGCATCAATAACCTAGAAACCATTAGAACCGTCCCTACAGAAGAAACAACAAGAGTACTCACCACATTCGGGCTCAAAAACTCCTCCCCGTCACTCCCCGAGATAACACTAATAAACACCGAGTTGTCACCCACAACCAAGCTTCCCTTGGCGAAATCACAGGTGTAAACCTCTCCATTGCCTCTATACGCCCCACGGGTTACACCGCGCGAGTCAATCTCCGACGGCGACTCAGGCGCCTCACACTCATCCTCGTTTAGGGTAATCTGCGGCCGGCCCCCAGCAAAGGCAAGTGTCGTCGCAATCCTCACGGTAACGGTATCCGCCGAGATCTCCTCGTCGAGCGAGAACTGGATCTCGAAGTTATTGTTGACGGCCGTGAAGATCGCCATAGGGAACTCGGAGTCCTCTGCCGTGCCGACGACGAAGGGCGTGGGGTTCCAGTCGGCCATGCGCTCGTCGGAGGGGTGCATGCGGAGCTGCTTGTCTGCGTTTAGAAGACCGGTTGGCTTCCCGTCGTATTCGCCGATTTGGAAGATTGTCGTGCGTTCGGCGGTTATTATCTCGTTGGTTGCAGAGAGGGAGGCTGTGGCTGTTGCGCCGGCGGAGACGGCGACGGTTGTGGTTGCGGCGAGGAGTTCGTCTTGGTATAGCGCGACGGTGTAGGAGCCTTCCACGAGCTGAGGGGATGTGAAGGAGCCGTCCGAGGAATTGGTCCAGGACTGGTAGTCGTCGTTGTAGAAGTGGACGATGGCAGGGTGGGAGTCTGATGTGCCGCTGACGGAGCCCGATACGGCACCGCGCCCTGAGGGCCCGACGTACCCGTCTAATGCGAGGTCGTCGAAGAAGGAAGTGTCAAAGTCTGACCAAGAGGGGATGGTAGAGCCCGTGAAGGAGAGAATGTAGGGGCCGAAGAAGCCCGTTCGGAAGGCCTCTGTCTGCACGTGTCCGGAGTTCATGTAGTAGGTTACAGAGTGGTAGTCGCTGCCCAGGTTCAGGTCAATATCTCTGAAGAATGGACCGCCAGAGGACTTTTCGCGCGATCGGGTGTCGGACAGGAAGCAGGCGTGGACACTGCTGTCGGAAGTGTAGGCGCAGTAGACCGAGTCGTCGATGAAGCGTTGCGACGAGTAGAACTATTCTGTTAGTATTGACAAGAGAAGCGAGAATTTAGTACAATACCTTGCTGCGAGTCTGGCCATCGACGACGAATACATCACTGCCCTCTATGGCGTCTCCACCGCCAGTGATATCAGAAACTTCGCCTTCCTTATAAGCTTCAGGAAGGCCAACGAGACGCGCGATGTAGCGGAGTTCGCCGACAGCGGGTTGCGAGTTGGTGTTTGTGCCCATGTAGATTGCACTGAGGCCATTCTGGAAGACATAGTAGTGGGTCAAGTCAAAATCGTCGCTCTTGGCCGTGGCCGAAACAATGGCATAGTCCCCTGGTCCGGTTAGATATGACACTGGCGTTGGATGGAGACATACCTTCGGTAGTGTGAGAAACAGTGGTGTCACTTCCAAGACCAGAGGCAATATGGCTCAGAGTCTCAGCGTACTGATATTCGGTGTCTCGGTACTGAAGCGAGGAAATGGACCCGGTACTGTCAATGGTCACGACGAAGCCATCGTCGCCCTCAACGTCGACAACAATGCCATTGTCTGTTTCTTCGACAGTCAAAGCTGCCACAAGGGCGGCCGAAAGAAGAGTCGTCCAGAACAACATTTTCGTTAAAATGAACAGGAATGCTGGAGGTGTGGAAGACCGTTAGATCCCACAACACTTGCGAAACAGCCATTTATATAGCAAACCAACCCCATCGGCTCAACATTACCACGAAACGTCCCCGACGATCCTCCCCTTAACTCCAAGAAATAGATTAAGCAACGCGTCGCCAGGAACAATCGTGCTGATCGTCGGTAAAGGACCCGCTTATTGGAGGGATATTGCCGTTGCGGATAGATTAAATTAGGGCACGCCCGAAGCAGCTATTCCACATCGATTATAGACCAGCGCTTAAGCATTTCCATTTCTCGGTTTGGCTGACTCAAGCTCATCGGCAGAATTACTGACGACTTATTCATTGGCGCTGTTTTAGTGATTCCCCGATCCCTGCTATTTCTTGAGGAATGGTATCGCCCCGCTACCCCGGACTGGGACAGACTGAGGGGGACAATAGCGTCATATTGGTGAATACTGAAGAATAGATTCCGCTCGTCCGCTGTTCTCGCCATCATCTCGGGCTGTGTTGACCCGCAATGCTTGCTATTGTATACCGACGATACTATGATCTGCCATGCCCCATGGTATCATTCACTATTATTCAGTGACAAAAAGATATCTGCATAATACTGGAACTTAATATTCAAAGTGAGCCTTTGAATATAAAACTGTCTTAATGATAACCCCAAAGTCTCCAGATCTGGTTCATATTCTCAGCTCTTTTGCCTCCCAGTTTGCGAGGCAAAATGACCGGGCATACACAATGCTTGAGCAGTACTATGTTTCCCTCTAGGCCTAACCAAGGAGTAAGTTCCCTGTGTGCAGCAGCCCGGTTTGGCAACCTGGATTGCTGTCGTGAATTGGTTTCGATTGGAGCGGACATTGATTTCGATGGGCATCATACTGGGTCTCCGCTCGCGGAGGTCATTTCGCTTTCGTCGCTCAAGGTGGTGAAATATCTGACTAATGCAGGGGCCAGCATGGTATACTACAGCAGGCGAGAGTCCTACTAGAAGAGTGCATTTGTGCATGCCCACCGGCACCCTGGTATATATCGGTGGCTCCTCGTTGAGAGGTATACTGGAGTGGTAATATAATAAAAATATATATAATCAGTATAGACTGCTGTCAACTACCCTAGATAGACCTAACAACCCCCACGTACAGTCTCCGCCGTCCCAGCCCACTTCTCATAACTCTCACTGACAGTGCTATTATCCACGAAACCCACCCAAGTCCCCTGTCCAGAATGTTTCCTAAGCTTCGCCTCATCTGCACACCCTTCCTCCGGCCCCTCCGCCTCAACAGCAAACGCCAGGTCCAAATTCCCACTACTCGTCGCAGCCGCACCCTCCGTCCCATTCTGCGCCCACCGCAAACACTCCTCACACCGAAAGACCGTGGTGAAGGAATCTTTACTGACTTCTGATGCAATCGGCTTGATTGTTGCATTCCCCTCATACACACCAGGCAGGGTATACTCCGCCGTAAACCGCAAGGTCTGTTTCACATTCTGTTTGTCGTCTGCGTATGCAACGACGAGTAGGGCATTCGTCATTGACCCGCCGAGAGAAACGCCGCACCAGCCATTTGCAGGCGCGCATTTCATGTACCCAATGAACTCGGTAGCGTCGGTTTTTAGCGCATTGGAAGGCAAGGCAAGCCCGAATGTGAATGGGCCTGCGCCAGAAGTCTCGCCGATTTCCCAGGTGGAGAAGGTTATGTTTGTTTTTGGGTCTGTGTAGGGCTTTCCTTGGGGTGCTTGGGCTTGTGTAAGTGGCAGGACTGTGGTTTTGTTAGTGATGTGTTGTTAGGGCTGGGGATGGCAGCGTACGGGTGGAAAGGATGGCACAGAGGGCCAGGGTAATCTTGGTGAACGGGGTCATTTTGATAAGATGAGATATTTGACTGACTGACTCACTTTATCTTGGGAATTATTCAAGTAATATAGGCAGATGAGTATACTTCGTTGCGTAATGGGGTGGGTGCTGCATTCCAGAGACATTCCACCATTCCACTCCCACCTGATACACTGGAATGTAGATGAGCCTGTCAGATGGAAGCACCGCCGGGTCTTGAGGGATTATGAGCTATTAATTACAAATTTGTACATTCTCATAGGCTTGGAGGCTTGCCTTGCTTGACCTCCTGGACGCGTAAGGAGATATCCGTGTATAGCCAGAATGTCAGTTATACGTCGTATTCATTACGCTCTTTTGATATCTCTAATATTTATGCATTCGAATAATGTACAGAATATTGCAGTCTAATTGGCCAATAAATAAAGCAGTGGCAGTACTAACCCCATCAGGCTAGCACTGTTGATGAGGGGCACGGCGCTTCGAGATCACATCGTATAGCCGCCGCAGTATCGCACAGCAGAGGCATATCTCGGCCTCCTCTCTTTTTACCATCATCCTGCCTTCCTCTCGTTTTTCTTTTTCTATTTTGCTCCCATGGACTTCCCGCAAAGACCAGGCCAACCACTCCTACAGCCCGCGCCAGCACGCGTGCTCGTCCAGACACTGACACACCTGCTTCCCTCGGATGGAAAGATATATAAGCCAGAGCGGAATCCTGGTGGCGATAAGCTCTACTCCATGCTGCACCGAATTTGCCGACACGTCTGGAGTCACTCATACGACTCCGACTTCTTTCGGTGGTACGGGTACGGCGACGACCAGCTCGGCTACAACAACAGGCCTTGTTTTTTCCTCATTGACCATGGCGAAACCGATAATGAAGCCGATGTCCCCGTGCTTCCGTTTCAATGGACCGGCGAGGAGTTGTAGGTTCTCGACATTGCTATTCAACCTGAGAGCTGCTGTTGATCCAGATATCCCAACATAGTAAGCCCATGCCCGACTTATTGCAATCACCGGATGTACAGGAGGAACTGAGGGCTACGCCATTTATGACACCCCCGCCATCTTCAGAGCCTTCTAAGCCGTACCCTGTGCGGAAAATGGTGAGGAATATGCTACGGAGCGTTGAGCGAGTTCCGGATTGGCATCTCCAGTACATCACGGAGCATCCCGAAGATATGGAGTGGTTGAAGAGGAAGTTGAGGCCTAGATTCTACGAGAATCTGCTCGCCCAGATTGAAGCGCGACCGAGAGAGAAAGAAGAAGATGCGAAGGAGGCCTCGGATCCTGTGTAGAAATATCTTAGAACTCTACTACCACCCTATAAACGAAATACCAACATCGGCAAAGCATAGATAACCACCAAATCAAAACAGGACAGTAATAGCAAACATATAGCAAGACTATACTAAGTATCCAGCACAAACCAGCGCCATTCCTAACAAATACTTCAACCCCCTGATGTGCCATCCCACCGCCAGCACTGGGAAGTCAGTCACTAGCGCCGGCACGGACATCGTCCAGCCGGGACCTTGCACTTCCCATATCCATTACACTCCGCGCAGCTAAGCTCAGTGTAAGCCACATTGTGCCCGGAGCCCCCACATTCAAGGCACCGCTCCATCCTATACGCATCACCGGTTCCCCCGCACAGGACGCAGCTTGGCTCCGGCCTTCTGGTGCGACCCCTGCCAACGGACTTATCGCTGTTGGCGCTGCTGCTGCTACTGCTGCTGCAGCGGCTGGAGGCGCGGTTTCGGGACCAAGGCATCGCTACCTAAGCAGATGGTACGGGTTAGTGTAACATGCTCCTGCGGGTGTGATGGAAAGTGTACACACTGTTGTGATTGATTGGTATTCGCGAAGGGTTATCAGGTGGAAAGGAGAGTCCTGAATGGAATAATATCGGTGGTGTAGTTTTAATAATGACGTTGGAGAAGTTCTGAGGCAAGTAGACGGTATATGGAAAGATCCAAATAATCTGAGAGTTGTCTAGAGCAGAGTATTGTGTTGAAAGCTGTTGAAGAGCACAATCAGACGTGATTCCAGGTGTACTTTATAGACCATCTTCTCCCCATAAGCGCCTTTGAAGGGAGACGTCCTGGGAGATGTTATACTTAGGCCACCGCTTGACGCTGACTTGAAACAGGCTCTACCATACTCTCGGTACAGATATTGATGGTTTCGAGCAACGGCAGCAAATTGATTTGCCGCCGATATGTCATTTCGTTGGCAGTGGTGAATCCTAGATATCGTGGTTTGGCTTGTCTACATAAAAACCTGAAACAGTGGAAGCGACTTATTATATCGACTAGGTATTTCGCTGTATGATATCCATACATTTAGCGCTGAGCTTTGCGTCTAACATTAATTGAGAGTATGGAGTATGTTCTAGGTTTCAATCACTAAATAAGGATCTATATAAAGAAATGATATACTAACCAGCGTTACGCCTGCCATGACCATAGACATAGAACGCGCGTTGTCCCGGTACTATGGCGCCCATCATATCCAATAATTTGCCGCTGGAAGATACTAACTCTATTCTCTTAGTGTCGTGAGGCAGAATATACACTTTGTTGTGGAGGCAGGCGGCTGCATAGAAGGTACTGATGGTAATCCCCCAATATTTTTTATTAATTTCCTAGCTTTGTCTCCACAATATACTTTTCCAGCCCCTGTCACGTCGCATCGCACCGGTGGGCGCCAAATGATGGGGTTGTATTAGTTACCAAACTGTCGTTCTTATCGATGCGGACCCCAAACTGTTGGCGCTTATATTAGGCGCCACTATATTTTAGAGCAGCCCCCCATATTGCTGGTCACAAATAGGAAGGAGCAACCTCTTTTAGTGTATTACGCCTGCCTCTTTATATAGAGGGTTACCGGGTTGTAGCTACATACTTTTGTGGAAGGCGCGAAGGGGCCATGGTGTTTACCGACTTAATTAGGGCTATATCTCACCAAATAACCATCTTTTATGAAGAAAGCATCATTATAAAGATCCAATTCTATCAATACCAATGAAGAAATTATTCTGGAGTTCTTATTCTCTTCGGCATTAAAGGACAATAATGGATCACCAGTGTTCATATACAAGTCCATCGCACAGCTAAGTCCCATTCGCAGGCTGCTCATAGACAACCCCATCAACCGTCGTCGTCATAGTCCCGTTTGCATTGAATATATTCGTCATGGAATCGATTTCAAGATGAAACCCGCCTGGCCCCGTTCGCCTGGAGGCTTCTACATCCCCGGTCGAAGATAACTCGGAATACCAGTCTGCACGCGCAGACGATATGGATGTATGAAGGACGGTGACGTTCTCCGTCCCGACTAGAGTGGTGACTCCGTCGTTGGAGAAGTTGGTATACTTAACTGCGATATTGTTGATTATGTTGTTTTTGCCGGTGATTTTGACTTTTGCGCTGCCTGATGCTTTGCCGTGTAGTGTGTATGAACCGGGGGAGACTGCGTATCGTTTTGGATTAGGATCTTTTGGATTATAGGGGACTCCCCAGGGGATATATTCCGGGACGGATGCAGCAGGTTGCGGAGGTAATGGAGAACGATTCGTAAGAGTAGCCAACATCAACCTGTGAACCCGTCCACCTGGAGCCGTTGACACCGGACAAGGCAGGGGATTCTTTCCTCCGCATGATGGCGCCTGGACAAGAGCCTGGTAATACATGATCTGGGTACCATCAGGAGACCATCGCGGGTCAGCTCGGGCGTTCCAATTCGGATCGTTGATTGCGCCGTCGCTACCGTCTCCAGCGGCGTTGATTTGCTGTCCAAAGTAGGAGCCACGGTCACCGTCATGGTCGATCAGCCAGGGCTGGAAGAACCGGCGCTGTCTGTTGTTTCGTGTAGCTGAGGTGATGTCCGCCGTGATGAGGTCTGTGATCGGGGGAATGTCGCGCATGCCTGAGAGCCACATCTGTCTGTCTGTTCCACGGGTGTCGAGGACAACGGCCCATTTGTCGTCGGGAGAGACATCGAGCGGGTCAACGTACTCTGGGTGTTGAGTGAGTCGGCGGACTTGGCCGGTGGTAAGGTCTGCGGCGAATATGTCCCAGTTGGATGACTCTGCTGGGTATCCGATATAGGTCACCTCCTGACCGCTGCCTGAGAATCCACGGAGCTCGCCAACTGAAACGGCACTGGAATTCAGCTTGATCTCGCTGCCGTTGACTGTCAAAGGCTGCGGAGCATCCGGATCAAAGAGGCGAGTGACGTTGACCACCTCGTAACGGGCAGTAAGCAGTTTCCCGGTGGTAGGAGAAGGGTTAAACCGCAGTCTCCCAAAATACCCAAACTGCCCCAGAGCACCGTTTTCCTGCGTAAAGGAGTTGAACCCCAGGTGCACATTATCAGGATGGAGTCGAAGTTCACGAATAGTCCCCCCTTCCCACCAGATGGGATAGATGTGGACCTTGTCAGGGGTACACTCAGGACTTGCCAGCTGAGCAGTAGCACAGTCAACGATACTGGTTGCAGCCATAGCACGCCGACCATCTTTGAACGATTGCGGGTATTCCACCAGTTCCTCGCTGCCTTGTTTATTCTCGTCTGGAACGCCGCAGGTGATGCACTTCCAGGGATCGCCGTTGGAGAAGGTCGTCCCGTTGGTCCGGACTATGATCAATTGCATTCCGGTGTATATACGAGACGGGTCCGGGCTGGTAGGGGCGCCGGTGAAGTTGACTGTTGCGAGGACATGGTTTCCATCGGGTAGGAAGCTTCCACCTTGGAGGTTGGAATCGACGGCGATACACCCTGTTCCTTGTGGGTTGAGCTCAGGACAAGACCCTGGCTCGTTGGAGGCAACCGGCGGTAGAGGGAGTTCGACGATGTGTATCGGTTCGGGGTCTGGTGGTGCAGCAGCAGTGGCTATACCACAGCCAAGGATGGCTGTAAGAAGAGCACGAGCCATAACTAAATAGGTGAACTAGCTGAACAGCAAAGGGTGGTCTGTTCCCATGAGATGTAATCAGGAAAGAAGAACTGAATCTGGGATCCTATTTATATTCCAGTCAGGGGAAAGCATGTCATACTTGGAACGGCCGAGATCGTGGGGCCTCCTCGTACTCGTAAATGTTGCCTGAACAGTCTCGCTGGTGCGTCATTTGCAGCGATCAACAGGGAATCATTATGAATGAGGTTACTCTGGACTTCGTCTGGGAATTTGATATGAAATTTTATTAAATAATAGAAACTAAATCGTACTTTTCCAATTATGTAACCCAGTCATTACTAGATTGGCCTTAGATAGACCCTATATTACTCAGTACTACTAATATTTTGCATATACTGGAGTACCCTAATTACATAGGTTCGAAGCGAAACCATTCTTCATGAATCGTGAACCTCTGGGAATAAATTGACAATAAATAGCTCTTCTAGCAAGATCTAATAAGCAAGCTCACGCCATCTGCACAATCTCGCGGTAAAACACCTTTTCAAACAACTCCGACGGCCGGGGCCCAGGCTCGATTATCCTCCACGCAATAATCCCATCTGGACGGACCAGCAAGGCGTCATTCTCGTCAACCCCAGGGAGCTGACGCCATTTATTCTCCTCGTCCAGCCAGTTGCCATTTTTTCCATCCAGGATCTCAACATGGATTTTATCATCGCCGGGGACTACATATCGATTCAGCCGCGGTGCCTTGGCGAACAGCACAAACATATTGTTCTTGAGCAGATCGCGGACTGACTTGCGCACGCCGTCTTTCGTAACCCAGAAATGAGGCAGATGGTGCCCGGCGATTGTGGACGGGTGGTACTTGTAGATATCGAACTCGCCGTTCTCGGTAATCTGCCCGTCGTGCTTTTTATCTGCCAGTATATCGACTGACGGGTAGAACCAGCCTGTTTCGGCGCCTGGGGCGTGGAATTCGCTGTCCAGCACTTTCTGTGCGTCCAGGACGGCGGTGCGCAGTTTGTTGTGGTCTGGGTGAGATGGGTCAAGGTAGGCGTTTAGTGATGCGACATTCTCCTCTGCAGACTGGGTTGGATCGATTCCTAGTGCCCTGTCCATGGCGAGAGCGTGGTTGCGCAGATTGGACAGGCTTGTCTCGGCGACGCGCAGGGCAATTGGGCGTCGTTCTTCTTCGTATGTGTCGAGAAGGCGACTAAAGCTTGATCCATACTGATCCCTCATATCCCAGCCCAGTTTCCAGACTAGATTATGCACATCCTGGATGCCGGTATTCAAACCGAGAGCACCCCAGGGGGGAATACGGTGGGCAGCGTCACCGACGAGGAAGACTTTCCCGCCGGCACTGCGGAATTTATCAGCGACGATGGAGTTGACGACCCAGTGGCTGACGCTGAGGAGTTGGATCTTTTGCTCCAGTTCTTGTGGGACTTTGAGTGTCTCGCGTAGTCTGTTCGTCATGGCTGTTTCGTCGAATTTCTCTGGGTCGGTTGGGTTAATCGCACAGGCGAACATCCACTCCTCGTCGTTGATATTGTTATTATAAGGCCCAACATGGTATAGATACCCCGTATTGATACTCCCACCCTTGGCCGGGTCAATGAACCAGGTAATCAGCACATCAGGGTCCGGATGACACAGACTCAGCGGTGCCTTTATATGCGCAGAGGCCATGGCCATCACGTCCTTCTCGCCAGCCATTTCAATACCGACCATCTTCCCAACAGACCTACCTCCATCCGCTGCAATCACATACGACGCATCATATCTGTTCACCTCCGCTCCCTCCGTTCCCCCATGCAAGACAACAACTTCAACATGCTTGTCGAACTCCTGGACATGCGTAACCTCCGCCCCGTGGAAGATCCCACCGGGGTTAAGCTGCTTCGCACGCTCCAGCAGAATCGGCTCGAGTCGGATCTGTGGGAGGACCGTAATCCGACACGGACTGAAGGCGCTGTACTCAGACTCATATACCCCTCCGCCCCATGCATCCCGGGTGAAGATCTCATGCCGGGAGTCCGGATCCAGACTGGTATACCAGGCTGTCTTTGAATGGGAGTGCGCAGGGGCGGCTGCTGCTGTAACAGCTTCTTCCAGGCCCAGAGAGCGAAAGACTTCCAGGGTGCGCTGGTTCAGGCCCACCGCTTTGGGGTGGATGGAGGTGCTGGGATACCGCTCGAATAGCTTGTGGGGGATGTTTTGGTGGGAGAGGGCAATGGAGGCGAGCAGGCCGACGGGACCGCCGCCGATGATTATCACGGACATCTTGATAGCTGTCGTACTTTGTGTGATGGGTGAGGTTGGGAGGAGTTCTATTGCGAGCTGCGAGAGAGGAATCCACCACGTCTGCTCCACATCAACCCCACCATCCCCAATCTCACTCTCAGCCCTCCAGTTTATCAAGAACTATCGTTCCTGTCGAATACGAAGAGACATCATGCTACTGAGCCGGTTGGCTGAGGCATATGAGACTTCTGCATAAGGGACATTTTGTATCTTTGGCCCGGAGATAAGCTGGCGAGCTTGGAGGAGTTGAAAGAGTTATACTAAGGTGGTATGAATTACGCTATTATCACCAGGACATAAAGTCAAGAATTCCCTGAGTTCATCCATGGTTCACCCCTGGCGTGCCGAGAACCGATCCAACATCCCCAGACTGGTTGGATCACAGCTCGGATCGCCCGGAATTATGTCACAAATCACTAATGCACACTGTCATGATATTATCTGCATATCACACATTCTGTTCATGCAGTAAAGTATCTGCTGGTTCCTTGCATTATCCATTCTATCAGCAGCAGCTCAATCTCATCACAGCACAAACCTCAAACCCAACCCAACCCAACAACTCCATAAACTGCCTGTCTGCAAATCGACCAGTCTCGCTGTCAAACATCCCTAAGTCATTAATCCTCATCAAACATCGGAGCATAACACGGCGGACTGGCCAATTCCACATACTTCTTATCCCTCAACCTCAAGTCCTCCCCTTCCTGCTCCTTGGTATCTCCCTCCCCCATCATCCACCGCTCATCAACAACATTCTCCTCCCCACTGCCATCCCCGCTCTTATTACTCTTCATATCTTCCTGTGTCCGGGACTCTGCGAAGATATCCCCGGGTTGTACCTCGTGCGGTCCTGACGTTCGACTCCTCGGCTGTGTCGCCAGCGGGTCCCGCACTGTATTCCGTAGCTGCTTCGCCTGCTCTTGTAGCTGGGGCTGCAGCGCGCTGTGTGAAGGTTTTGATCTGGAGGTGGACATTTGGGATTTTTCTTTTGGTGGTTTGTCCATTGTCAGTCTGTTCTTAGTACGTATCCGTAAATAGGCGTATGTTGATAGGTGGGTGTGTATGTATGTATGTAGGTATGTAGTATGGACCATTTAGAAAATAGTGGAGATTTGAGGTATATCTAATATGCAAGATATGATATAGGTGGGTTCTGCCCTGGGATCGGACCTTATTATGTATGTGGGCTGCTGAATGGTGACGAAATGGTGGCGTTGGCCACCCCCGTTTGGCTTCTATCTCCGCGCAAATGGCAGAAATATTACTTAGCAGTAAATTAAAGTAGTAAAATAAATAGACGAACATATGATATTCACGGTATATAACATATATAACTATACTATTTCCGTCATCAACAAATTATTGTAATTTCCAAGATCCCTCCCATCAAAGGTCATCAAAGTCCGCCCGCGCAGCATCAAACAGATCCGCCTCGTCGTCCTGCCCCGAATGGCCCTTCTTCTTCCCCCCGTCTGTGAACGCGTACTCGTCCGAGACCAAATTCCCCTGCTGGTCCATTGTCTGTTCAAAGTCCTGCTGGGGGTGTGCGTGCGCCCCGCTCTGGGACATACCCTGCCCTGTGCCCTGGCTCGGCTGGGACTGGAACTGCCGGCGTTGATTTAGGGTCTGGTTTGTTAGTGGACGTGTCCTTTGTAGGTTGATTCTGGGGGGCGGACCTCTTCTTGGAGGTTGGGGTAGCGGGGGTTTGTGGTGGGCATTTTGGCGCTGATGGAGGTTATTTCACTGGTTATTTTTGAATGATGAGACAATTGATGGTGATAGTAATGACTGGTCTAGGGTGATGCGAGCTGTATTTATACTTCTGGTGGCGACTGATTCAACTCTGATGTCAGATATGGCCACCGCGGGGAAAGCCGCTGGCGTTGGAAATACAGGATACTATTCGATGAATAGTGTATATGGAAAGGAAGTTTATTGTAGAAAGATAGATATGCTGTTGAGTGATAGTTCGTTATTGTCATACTTCACTCCAGAATACACTCTCAGGCGGTCCTAGATAACTCTCACGCACACCTCCAAGATCAACAACAATCTTCTCCAAGACACAATTCTGAGCCCCAAGTCGGATCTTCAGCGTATGCGCCCCCGGAGTCCCAAGGTCAAGCAGATGCTCCCGCTTCCACACGTTATCCATAACAGACTCGCGCCACCCCTCTGGTAACCCCCCAGGCGTTGAAGGTGGTGATACCAGACGGTGTGTAGTCGGGGTCTTGTCATCGAGCTGGATATCATACGTAATAGGGCTGTCTGCGTTTGTATCCAGCGTGAAGGTAAAGTCTAGGCGAGCGGTGGCTGCTGCGTTTGGCGTGAACGTGATGAATGGGTATTCCAAGTATTCTGAATGCGAGGGAGAGGCGGATGCAGTCAGGGAAACAGCGCCAGTAGATGCACGCCCGATGAAGGGCAAGATCCGGTAGCTGGACAGTGGCTGGTTTTGGAACGAGGTTGCGTTGATCGAGACATGCGCGTCTGCTTCTACAAAGCCCTTGGAGTCTGTCCTCGGGACCCTCTTCTTGATAGGAACGTGGATGAGCTCGTAGTCCCCCAAGGAAGAGCGTAGATCGAGGAGTACTTCATCGTCGAAGTTATCTGGAGCCCTAGCCCAATCAACAGATACCTTGACAAGCTTGTCATCTCCTTTGGGTTCAATCGTCCCAGTAGCCGGAGTGATTGAAAGCCATTCCTGTGGGGAGGTAATCTTCCAGGCCACAGCCCTGCTTCCACGGCAGTATATCTCGAAAGAACGCGTCTTTGGCCCATACGGCTCTAGTGGTGGTAAAGTAACCCCAGGCACAAGATCCCGCCGACTTGGATGAGTACGATCAGACTCTTCATTCGTAAGACCTGGCCGAACACCCGGATGGCCTTCCACTGCAATACCAATCCACCCGACAATCGGATTCGAATCTTGACGCGCCTGTACGAAGGATAGGCCGGTGATGAGGTCTCGAGATGGGGCGTGCCAGGTCTCGGTATACCCGTAGTGCGGCTGGCGCATGATATGGTTCCATTTACCGTCGAGGAGACTGTGGTATTCCTCGCTCAGGTTGAAATCTTCATCGAATAGGTGGAGGACTTTATGGAGTGATGGGTTTGCGGTGTTTCGGCGCTGGACTCCGTATAGCTGGTTCTTTGCTTGGGTTACCCGCAGGGCGACATAGATATAGCTGGCCTTGATGGGATGGAGGACGAGTTGGAAGTAGGCTGGGGCTGTGGATTCTGGGATCCATTTCTGGACTTCCTCTGCCTGGTCTAATAATTCCTTCCATTGGTGAAGGATATTGTCGGCCTCGCCATAGTTGATCAGTGAGAATGTGTCTGCCTCGATGTGCTCGTGCTTCCTCAATGCAACCAAGCGGTCGTACTTCAGCAGTAGCTCAGAGCATCTCTTTGCTTCAGTATCTGCTAGGTGCAGGTTACGGTCAAAGAAGGTGTGGAAGAATGACTGCAGCTCGTGCATCTCCAGCGTGTTGATATTCCACGCCAATGTCATGGCAAAGGTCAACGGAAGCTCCACGGCCTTGATATCACCGACATTGAAAACCCAGATCTGGTCTGCTCCTTGATTGTACGTATGCTCGAGCTGCTGCCATACCTTTGCACAGGAATTGCTGTTCATCCACTTGTAGCTCCTGGGAACGCCGACATACTCGAGGTGGTAGTAAATCTATAACGTCAGCTATATTTACTTATATTGAACAATGACTTACCCCGGCCCTCCCCTTCCTCTTGGGCTCATCACCACTGGGGAGCCTGCGGACAGTTCCGAAATTATCATCCGCGAACAGAAGGGTGATGTCGTCTGGGATCTCGAGACCATTCTCATAGTGCTCCTGGACCTCCTTGTACAGCGCCATCAACTCTGCACTTGTCAGCTCATTCCAGTTAATAGAGGAGGATCATACGAGGTACTCCGTCCTCCGTTCCATAAACATTATTAATGGCATCACGCTGAGTTGAGAGAACCTCCCTCATGACCGCAGTCGGGTCCTCAGCATCCATCGGATTATCACCAGCGCCACGCATTCCCATCGTAATGTAACTCTCATGCCCTTTCGACCGTGCAGCGCCCTCGTTAAAGTAACGAGTGATCTTATCCTTGTTTTCCAGCCACGACCATGTACCCTCGCCTTCGTAGTATGGCTTGTCAAACCACTCGTTCATAGCCCGCTGCATGGGTTCATGATGTGACGTGGACATCACAATTCCAAACTTATCTGCAGTCTCTTGGTTCAATTCATCATCCATGAAGAAGCTGCTTCCAGGGTGTGGATATCCAAACCACATCGCTGGCCAGAGGAAGTTTGCCTACCAGTCGTCAGTAGGAAGCAATGTCAATTGTAGAATATGGTCCCACCTTGAGCCGCAAGAGAAGTTCAAAGACCTTCTTGTAGAACTCGACGTTATAGTGAGGGCCTATCTTCTCGTGTAACCACCCCGACAAGGCTGGGGCTTCGTCGTTGATGAAAATGCCTCTGTACTTGACGCTAGGAGGACCGTCTTTGGTTGATACATCGTGTGCATAGATACTGCTTGACTTTTTAACCGGTGCGTCCGCCCACCAATACCATCTGCCCTCATTAGCTTCTTTCGTGTTTTCGTGAATGAACGGTTGGAACTCACGGAGAAACCCCAATTTGTTCAGAGAGGGTATATACACCATAAATCGTCCCTCTCTTATCACTACCAGCAATAACCAGGGCCCTTTTCACACCTGGGATAGGGTCGGCCACAATCTTAGTTGTATAGCACTCCCATTTTCCATCTATGGTAGAGACATCCAGCTTCCCCTCCTGGACGAGCGTGCGCACCACCGACGATCGAGTCAAACTCCCGACAATCACGGCGGTTTCTGTAGTAGTCTCTTTGGTAAATCGGGAAATAACTTCGGGTGGGGTTTCCCCTGTCACTCGGGCAAAGTCCTCGGCGAGAGTATGGACTGCGATGTGTACTCCCTCGAAGTCATCGGCCTCGACATATACAGGTCCGTCGTGAATGCTGATACTCCCCGTGGAGGGAGTATGGCTTGCGAATTGAGCCGCGTACATTTTAAATGCTATAGAGCCATTAAATTTCAATAGATACTTAGCCATTTAATATAATGCCTACCTTTAAACTATCGTGGGGTAACGCCGCGGCGATGTCGGCTGGTTTCCTAATTGGGGTCGGGATGTCTTCTCCAACGATCAACCATCCACCCACTCTGCTTGACGATCTTCTCGGTGTAACAACAGACCGAGAGCAGGATTTTGGCTGTCACCCTCCAGCAAATGTAGACGGTGTGGGCTCGTGGGGAACCCCCATGGGGAGCGAGCCGGACATCCGACATGTGGTATAAATAGCTGGTCTCTCGGTCGGTTAGGGCATTATTTGCTTTCTTGTCACTTTCCAAGGTCTTCTTTTGGAAACTATTAAACCATGGCCGCCGACAAAGAAACCGAGGCCGTGTCTTTCCACGATGAAACGACCCAGAAAAACCATACCAACCATGAACTGGTGGATAAGGAGGTTGCGAAGTATACCACCGACACTGCCATTGAGGTCGACGAGGCGACCAGCAAGAGGCTGAAGAGAATGATTGACAAACGTGTTCTTGCGGTTATGATGGTCACTTATTTGATCCAGACCATTGATAAGGGGGCAATGTCTTTTGCGTCTGTCATGGGTATTATTGAAGACACCAATCTGCAGGGAAACCAGGTATGCTCACCCGACCCACGACCGTTGCCAAATAAGTTCTCACTAACTAGTACAGTATCAATGGTTGACGACAGTGGTCTACCTCGCTGTCCTGGTCGTCGAGTTTCCGGTGCGTATATAAAGGCAAAACAAGAATTATGTGCTGATGGTTGTAGGAAAACTGGATTCTGCAGCGCGTGCCCATTGCCAAGTGGCTGTCACTCAATATTTTCCTCTGGGGGATATGCATCACGCTCATCGCAGCAGCGTCGAATTTCACTGGTCTCGTCATACTGCGTACGTTCATGGGTGTGTTCGAAGCTGTTTGCCAGCCCACGTTCGTGCTGCTGTCCAGCACTTGGTACAAGCGAGAGGAGCAATCGAGCGTTATCAACATCTGGTAAGATAGTCCAGTCTCGATGGGTTTCTATCACTTACAGAATAGGATCATGATGAATGGGTTGCAGAACATCCTGGGTGGGCTGATAGCCTACGGCTTCTCGTTCGTCCCCGTTAACTCCCCACTCAAGTCCTGGCAGGCCCTGTTCATGACGTACGGGATCATAACTGTCATCTGGGGCGTGTTTGTGGGAATGTGGATGCCCGACTCACCGATGAGGGCAAAGTGCTGGACAGAGGACGACAAGCGACTGATGATCGAGCGAGTGCGCCAGAACCAGACTGGGCTGCAAAATCGAACCTTTCGGCTGGAGCAAGTTCGTGACGCGTTTACTGATCCTCAGCGTAAGTCTCGTTCATTCTATTCTGTAGCGTTGCTAATCGTTTCAGTATACGCCCTGGCCATAATCCAGATCTGCACGACGATTCCAGCCGGTGGCATTGGAGCGTACGCCAACATCATCATCAAATCCTTCGGCTACAGCACGCGCGAGACTCAGCTGCTGACCATGGTCAACGGCGCCGTGACCACCATAGCCCTGCTCGTCTCTGCATACCTGGACCGCAAGTACCAGCAAACAATCTACATCATGCTGGCCTCCCTGGTCCCCTCCGTGATCTGCACCTCAGTCCTCATCGGCGTCCCCTTCAGCCCAGCCCGCCGCATCGGACTGCTCATCGCATACTGGTCCTTCTACTCCTTCTTCACACTAACTTCGTTGTCTCTTGCCCTCCTCTCCCGCAACGTCGCTGGTCAAACCAAGAAATCCGTCATCATCGCCTCCAACTTCGTCTGCTGGGCCGCAGGGAACTCCATCGGCCCGCAGGTGTTCCGCGATAAGGATGCGCCCCGGTACTACCTCGCATTTTCAATCCTGCTCGGATGTTTCGGAATCATGGTGATAGTCCTCCTTGCGCTGAGATTCTGGTACGCGGCACACAACCGCCAGCGCGACAACCGAATTAGGGCTGGCGAGGTGGTGCCTGATGTGAACTACACCCACGCCTTTGAGGACATCACGGATCGCGAGAACCCGCACTTCCGGTACATCTACTAGATACCTATAAGCATTAGTTATTCTATTACTTGAATTATTTTATGTTTTGTGCACTTCAGCGCGGAACTCGGCGTACACTAGGCGGAATGCGGGGTCTACCCCAATTTCCCAATCTGGAAATGTTCCCAAGCGAGCCGCCCCCAATTTGGAGTATCTCCGCCCTCCCCGGCTTCTCTCCTGCATCCTCCACATCCAGGTGTGATTTGGTTGTAAGTGGGATATGGAGATTGTGTGGTCGGCTTCACCCCAGCCGGTGAGGAAGCGGATCTCCCAAGATAAGTCTCTTTTCGTGTTGAGATGCGTCGCTGATTGCTTCTACCGTGTCAAGAGTGCCGCTCGCGCAAGAAGAGATGCTATCATGAGAAAGTTGAGAGAATCCAACGAGTTGAGAAGTCTGCTGATGAAGGAGATGCTGCTCAACAGCTAGCAGAGGATCCGGCCGACGAGTCGAGCCCGCATGCTTACAGCCCGGAATTTGTGCTGGGAAATCTGTCCAAAACGAACAAGGCTGGTGGGAGTCCTTTAGCTCAATACATCACTCCATCACAGTCTTTCCCGTCTTTGCTGTCCGGGGGTCAAGACCCTGATAGTCAAGACACGAAGAATAGATTGGTTTGGCTCAACAAGTACAGACGCAGGCCTGCGCCGTCGATCACATCCACACACCGGAGGTACCTCGAGGAGGCAGGGGCTTTTCTTGAGCTGCCTAGGGCTACTACCGATGCCCTTCTACCAGTATACAATGCCGTGCTGGACGATATAATCCCGGTGGTAGACGGTGCCACCGTCCTGCGAGATCACAGTAACGGGCAGTGCTCTATCTACCTCGTACGGGCGATATGCCTTGTCATTTGCAAGACCAAACAAGCCATCCCTTTTCTACGGCTAGCTGACACCGGCCCAGTGCTGAAGCCATTGGACTTTGCATCCAGATTGCTCTCAGGGCTAGATGCAGCTCTCAAAGCAGACCTCGAGCCCGACCGTCTCATCAAGATCCAGATCCTAGCCCTAATCCACCTCTACAACGACGGGCCCTCTGGCATCGAGCGCTCCGCGGCCTATCTCTCCCAGGCAATCCGCGAAGCCTGGTCATTATCTTTGCATCTAAGGACAACCAGCAAACCGGACCAAGACCAATGCGATGTCCTGTGGTGGACGCTGCGCAATTTCGACCGGCTCAATAAACCTATTACGCGCTCTGGGCCCTTCATGATCGATGATACTGATATCGGGCTCCCTCGCATACATGCCAGAGATGGCAACTACCGATCTCAACTCATGGCCGTCGCCCTAGCTCTCGGCGACCTCATGGCCACCGCAACAAAGGCCTACAAGGCCAGCTACACCTACGCGCCTGACGGGTGCGAAGAATTCCCTTCACTAGACGACATAATCTTGGGGTCGTCATTCAACCGCTTCCACAGGTCCCATAGAGGTATCCCTTTCTCCAAATACCTTCTCCTACCTAAAATACACAGCTTATTTGTCTAGCATACCTCGAAACATGGTATCACGCCGCATCAATGCTCTCCTGCCGATATAACGGCCCGGGCAGCGCCCAATACACCCGCCGCCTCGCCTCCGCCGATAAAATCGTGCATATCATATCTTCAGCAAACCACGAGGGGGACTTGGGTCTCCCACCTCTCCCGCTCGTACCATACGCCGTGTCCATGGCGACGACGGTGGTGTACCGCGCGTGGCGGGATAAAGTTCGTGATCTGCACTCAACGTATACCGATCTCTGTCTGTGTTGTGAGGCACTGCAGGCGTTGAGTCGCTTGTGGACGGGTGCGCGCAGCGTTGCGAGTCTTGCAGTTGGTTTGAGGGGGGCTATGGATGCTGCTGGGGCGGGGGGGTCTGGATCTCCTGGTATTGGTATTCGGGGCGTGGATCCGCCTCGTCAGTCTGATAATGGAGGGGTTGCTACGGATACTGATACTGATACTAGAGAACAGGCAATGCAGACCCCTGCTACTGACTTCCTGGATCAGGATAAAAATAGGGAAGCGGTGCACTTGCAAGGCGGGTATGATCCAGGTGAAGTGTTCTGGGCAGGTCTGGAGAGCGCTTGCTTGCATTTTGATACTACGGTTGATGGGTTCTTAGAGTATGGGTTGGGGGATTTCGGAGGGTTCATTGCTGATGAATGATATTCAGCAGGGAGACGGGGTTAATTACTATTATTACCAACCTAGTCAACTGAAGATCGAGCGTGGAATTGAGAAGTTATTGTAAAGGAAGATAAATAGTGTACGCTAAGCTTGTTATTCACGAAAATAAGACCTATTTCTTCCCATCCAAATCTGCAAATAGGTCGTACCCAAAGTCCTCACTGCTGTCGTTGAATCGCAGCTTACGATCAACTGCCCTGATCTGCTTCACATCATCATCTTTTAATTTAAAGTCCCCCTCGAAATTGGCCCTGATGCGCTCCGGCGTCTTGGACTTGGGCAGAACCGAATGGCCTTCGGTAACGCCCCAGGCTATACAGAATCAGTCAGTCTGACAATATCATAAATGCTAAGGGCGAGGAACATACCAAGCGCCACCTGCGCAGGAGTCTTTCCGTATTGCTTCGCAATGCTAACGAGCACAGGATCTTCAATCATGCGGCCAATCTTGCCCTCGCGCGAGTAAATCTCGTTCTGGTTCCCGAAAGGCGAATAATGCGTTACATGGATATTGTTCTTCTTATGCCAGTCGGCGAACGATCGCTGCTGCAGCCATGGATGGCCTTCAAGCTGGTGGACAGCGGGCGGGACGGTAGCATTCTGAAGCAGTCTCTCCATCTCGGCCTTGCTGAAGTTCGATACCCCAATCGCCTTTACCTTTCCAGTTGAAATAAGTTTCTCCATTGCTTTGTATGTCTGGGAGTCGTCAGCTTTCCTGTGTTCTTCTTTTCTTTTTCTTCTTCTTCTTCTCTTCCGTGGAGACCATACATCTAAATAATCGGTATCAACCACATCAGGTCCTCCCTTGTCCGTCTTAGGAAACTGATCACTCCCTCGCTTGAATGCGACCGGCCAGTGCATGAGAAAAAGATCAACGTATTCCAGACCCAAGTCGTTCAACGAATCCGCCAGAGCCTGCGGCACGTCGTCCGGGTGGTGCTTGTTGTTCCACAGCTTGGTCGTGAGGAAGATCTCCTTGCGCGGGATGCCGGACTTTTTAATTGCAGTGCCGACTGCTTTTTCCGTTCCATACCTGTGGTTCTCTGGTTAGTTGTCTATTTAGATGATGGAGTTGATAAGAGGAGCATACACTCGCGCGGTGTCGATGTGTCTGTATCCGGCTTTTAGGGCTTCCGCGACGGCGTTCTCTTGTGCGTCTGCGTCTTGCCAGGTGCCGAAGCCCAGGGCCGGGATGGTTGCGCCGGTGTTTAGTTTGAAGGTTGTCATTTTAGTGGTTGTCCTTTGTTTCTTTAGATAACTCTTGGTTAATACTCAAGTTGTGTTGGTGGGCTTTTTATAGCCTTTGCTTTGCTCGATTGACGTCAACCTGATGTAGGCGAGTGACGTTTGTATGAAACGGGAAGACAGGTTCGTGAATTCCATCTTGGAAATGTTGTAGATTATTTTTAATCAGGTTTCCAAGTCATTTGTCTATTTGCATGGTGATTTAAGGCTGATGTGGATATGCCTGTCTATACGATACACAGAGACTATACTAACTACCCCATCCACCACCACCAGCAGTCATAATCACAATCCGATCATGCGCAGCAACAGAGATCGTATTCTTCCCTCCAATATTCACCGTATGGTCCTCTCCCGTCTCCAAGTCCTTCGTAATCCACAGATTCATCCCAGGCTCCGCATCCTCACCCCCCTCAAGCCCGTACGGCCGATGCACCCTCCGCTCCGACAAAATTGAACACTCCATCGGCGTCAGGAACTCAATCTCCCTCACAACACCCTCCCCACCAGGATTCTTCCCCTTCCCACCAGACCCCGACCGCAGTGTAAACTGCCGCAGCAGCGTCGGGTACCGCTTCTCTAGGATCTCCGGGTCCGTGATCCGTGTGTTCGTCATGTGCACGTGGATCCCAGACTCCCCGGTCCAGGTTGGCCCTGCGCCACTCCCGCCTGCTATCGTCTCGTAGTATCCGAAGCCCGGGATCTCTTTGCCGGATTCGGGGTCTTGCTTTGCGTTTGTCCCGAAGGTGAGGTTGTTGCAGCACCCCTGGGATGCGGCGCAGGCGCGGAAGGCTTTGAAGACGACGTCTGTTACGCGCTGGGAGGTCACGACGTTTCCGCCGACGACAGCGGCGTTCTTGGTTGGTGAGAGGAGGCATGAAGGCGGTACTTGGATGTCGATCGGGGCTAGGCAGCCCTGATTCAGGGGCATGTCGGCGTTAATCATGCATCGCAGGCAGTAGATGATGGCGGAATGTGTAATGGCGATAGGCGCGTTCCAGGCGCCGTACACTTGTGGTCCGGTGCCGGCGAAGTCGAACACTGCGGACCCATCGTCGCCGTTTATGGTCACTTTCAGTTTGATAGGCGTGCCATCGTCCATGTAGTCTACCGCTAGTAAAGGCTTTCCTTCGAATCGGTGGTAGAGGTCCTTTAGGAGGTTGCGCACGGCGGTTTCGGCTGTGGCTTGGATGGCGTACATGTATTTCTGCACGGTCTCGACGCCGTATTCGGCGAATAGGGCTTGGATCAGGGTGATCCCGCGGGTGTTGGCTGCAATCTGGGCTTTGAGGTCGGACATGTTGTCGCTGATGCATCTTGCCCCTGAGCAACCTGGATGTTCTGCTGGTTTCTTCACCAGCAGTTCAATCATTCGTGCTTCGTCAAAGACACCGTTACTGACGACCTTGTCGCCTTCGATTGCTGCGCCCTCTTGCCACAGCTCGGTCGACTTTGGCGGCATAGACCCAGGTAGGATACCACCAATGTCGGCGTGGTGTCCTCTTGATGCAACGTAGAACACTATTTCGCTGCCGCCTGGTCTGTCGAATACAGGCGTAATTACCTATACAGTTAGAATTTGTTTGGTGAGTGTTCCGGGTAATCTTACAGTGATATCAGGCAGGTGAGTCCCACCACAGCTAGGGTGGTTTGCAACCAAAACATCGCCGTCTTTCAGATTCCCTAACCATTTCTGGTGCTGGTATCGGACAGCAAACTGCATTGAACCAAGGTGAACGGGAACGTGTGGTGCATTGGCCACAAGTCCGCCGTCTGGTGAGAATAGTGCGCAGGAGAAATCAAGGCGTTCTTTAATATTCGTAGAAACAGACGTTTTCTGAAGCGTCCGACCCATTTGCTCTGCGATTGACATAAAGCGATGCCCAAAGATACTGAGCTTAATGGTGTCTATGCCAGAGGAGGCGGCGTCTTCTGTGGTAGACTTCGTTTCTTTCAGATCAATGACAATACATGTCTCCAGGACATTTGCTACGGCATCAGGCACAACAACAATGGTCTGCGTGTTGTCAATGATAATGGCGGGGCCATGGATGCGAGAGCTCTTCTCAATCTTGTCCAGTTGGTATACTGGAGTGTCTAACCGCTCTTTTTGGCCGTCAAAATAGGTTTTCGTGGTAACGTCAGGGGAGGTGGTAATGTCGCGCAACGAGGCCTCACGCAGTTGTACGAGAGGGCTCTTCTCATCTCGCACCTTCGATGCAGCAATCGTACGAACGCGGATGTCATCCACTAAAACAGGTCGGTCAGAGTTGAACCCAAACTCCCTACGATGGCGTTCTCGGAATGATTCGAGGAAATCAGAATTATCTTCTGGTTCCAGTATCATCAGGCTAGTGTCGGAGCCGTCATACCGCAGGTTCAGGTAGCGTTCGTGTCGGACCTGATCCGGGGAGAATCCTTGATCTTTCATATCTGCAACTGAAGCCTCCGTCATCTCCCCTAGCTTCTTGGTTAGGTCTGACTTCGAAGACTCGTACTGTGTGGAGAGCGGTTCCTGAGACTCTTTGACCACTTCGGCCAATGCCAGGCCATATGCAGAAAGAACCGAGGAGAATTTGTGAATGATAATGCGGGAGATTCCGAGCGATGCAGCGACAGGGCAAGCATGTTGACCCCCAGCGCCACCAAAAGACGCAAGATGATGCGTTCCCGTCTCAAACCCTCGGGCCTCAGTCAGGTTCCTAATTGGCCGAGCCATGGACTCATCAGCAACCTTCAGGAACCCGAGCGCAACTTCCTCCGGTGTATACTGTGACTCGCCCTTTTGTTTCCGTTCTGCGTTTACCTTGTCGGTCAATTCGTTGAATAGCCTGGTAGTAACCTCGATGTCAAGCGGTTCATTTTCACTCGGGCCGAATATATGAGGGAAGAACTCCGGTAGTAGACGTCCAAGGAAGAGGTTTGCATCGGTGACGGTCAGAGGGCCTCCCTTTCTATAGCATGCAGGACCTGGATGGGCCGACGCTGACTCCGGTCCGACGTAGAACAGACCGTTCCGCCAGTTTAGAATCGAGCCACCTCCCGCAGCCACCGTGTTAATATCCAACTGGGGTGACTGGATTTGAACGCCAGCCAGTTTAGAGCCAAAGACGTGCTCCAGGTGGCCGTCAAAGCGAGAAACGTCCGTGGATGTACCACCCATATCGAATCCAATCACCGGCGTCTTCTCGACTGCATCCCAGCTGGTCGCCGCAAACCCGACAACACCAGCGGCAGGGCCGGAAAGAATAGCCTTGAGGCCACTGAACTTCCGAAAGTCGACCAAGCCACCGTCAGACTGCATGAATTCGAATCTACAGGTATGCTGGTTGGCAAGCCCGCCCTCAAAGCTGGAAGATATGGAATCGATGTAGGTCTTGATTACAGGAGTCAGATACGCATCCGCCGCTGCAGACATCCCTCGGGGTACAATCTTGATCATCGGCTGCAGTTTCGAAGACAGAGTAACCGAAAACCCCATACTCTCGGCGATCTCTCCGATAAGACGTTCGTGCTCTGGATAAGCATACGAATGCACCAGGGCAACGGACAACGACTGGTACCCTTTCTCCTTCAGTCTCTGAAGCTCCGGGCGCACTTTCTCAATATCCAATTCCTTGACAACCCGGAACTTCTCACCAGTGACGCCCTCCACAAGTCGGGAACCGGAGAAACAGTCCTTATCTGAGAGCGGATGACATGGGACGATTCGCTCATCAATCTCCACCACCGCCTCGGGGAGTACGCCAGGCCGAGCCATCGTCAGGTCGAAGATATTCGGGCGCGATTGGTCCCCTATCCGCAGGAGATCGCGGAACCCCTTGGTGGTCAGAAGCGCAGACCGGGCGCCTTTTCGTTCGAGCAGGGCGTTTGTAGCAACGGTCGTTCCCATTCTCAGGCTCTCTATTGGTCCCAGTTCCAATGGCTCACCTCGAGGGTGCGGCTTCCCTGTAACCATCTCCAGGACCTGGCGGACACCTTCTGTCGGCGCATCTTGGTAGTGTGCGGGGTCGACGGAGAGCAGCTTCAAGATGATATCGGGGCGACCGGGGACGATGGCGTGGACATCGGTGAAGGTGCCCCCGCGGTCTATTGAGATTGTTATTCTGCCGTCTCCAGCCATGGTTGCCTCTGACTGTCTCCGTTGAATGTCTCCTGAACCTGGATGTTGATGGTGGGGGAAGGTGAGGAGCATGCGGGGCATCCATTAGTAATCACATTTATGGGGTCAATCTGACGACACATCGTATACTGCCTGCCAGCACCGCCTTCTGTCTTCAATTGCGTGATAGCATTGTATTTTCACTAATAGTACATTCTATCTGGTTTACAGCCTCTAGTACTTGGTGTAACGCAGGTAGGGCTTCAACTCGCGGACCTCACCAAACTTCTTCTTCGCATCCTCTGTGGAGACGGAAGGCGGGACGATCACGTCCTCACCAACCTGCCAGTTGATCGGGGTCGCAATTCCCTTCTTGTCGGCAGTCTGGAGAGAGTCGATAACACGTAGCACCTCTGCAGAGTTACGGCCAGTAGATGCGGGGTAGCTCATGGTCAGACGAATCTTCTTGGCGGGGTCGATGATGAAGACGGAGCGGATGGTGAACGCAATGCCCTTCTCGGCAAGGTTGGCCAGTTCCGACTCGTCGATCATGTCATACAAGAAGGCGACGTTCCGGTCAGCATCACCGATGATCGGGAATTGGACGTCGCTACTAGTGACCTCGTTGATATCCTTGATCCACTGGTCGTGGGAGCCGATGTCGTTGGCGCTCTACCTAACAGTCAATACAAACCCGGCGATCAGGCCAGAAGGTACGTACGAGTCCAATCATCTTAACACCGCGCTGAGCGAATTCGCCCTTCAACTTTGCGAATGCGCCGAGCTCAGTTGTGCAGACAGGGGTGAAATCGGCGGGGTGGGAGAAAAGGATGGCCCAGCTGTTGCCAATCCATTGGTGGAAGTCGATCTCGCCCTGGGTAGTCGTAGCCTGGAAGTTGGGGGCTACAATTATGTGAGCAATTCAAATTGATTCACATAAATACATGGAAACCAACCAGTTGATCCGAGACGCAGACGCGGTTGCTCTCGAGGGATGGTGGTGAGAAACCGGGTAGCGAGGGGCTGGCCGATGCGTGCGGAGACGGGAGTTTTGCACCACGGAGCAGCCTTCGACAGCGTGCTCAGGGTTCGAAAAGTAGTACGAGGGAAGAAAGAAGACATTTTGATGGCTTAACTTTAAGCAAAAATCCCAATGGCAATTGAAAGTGATGGAGTGAAGTCAAGAGATGGTGAAAGTTGACGCAATAATACCTTGCAAGATGTTTGTTGTCTACCGCCTCTCCCACCGCTCTGAGTTTGGGCAATATCGGTCTGTATCTCCGCCATTATCTCCGCCATCCCTCCTTCACCGTCAACGTCTTTGCAATATTCAGGTCTTTCCACGCTTATAATCGGCCCCGGGGAAATCTCTGAAATGGTGTATTTGTAATGAACTCATTATTAGATGGACAGGCTGAGCGTGGGACAATCACCGCGCGGTTGCTCGTGTAGTACTGGTTATATATATTTTCAGACCTACCCAAATCAATCGGAATCTCCTCCAACTTCTATAACTAAACGAAATCGATAAGCAAATTACGATCCAATGTCGCTACATGAACCCAATTTCAGCATAGGAGTATTATATCTCAAGTGAAGCAGTGTTGCTATTTATCTCAGTCGATGGGCGAGTGACGCTAGTCTATTCTGGGCATGGCCGCTGCTCACATCAGGTCCCGTAGCCTAGCCAGATGGTCTACGCGTCGATATCAAGAAATCCAACTTAGTAAAACAGCAATATCAGGTCATGGATATCGAAAAACTCTATTTCATTCGCGTCCCCAGGTGGTACCGCTCTCTGACAAGAAAAATCCGTCCCAAGCGGACGGCGTTATCTCCAGACATCTGCCAAGGGTCCAAAAGCAACGCACTAACAAGCGAAGACGAGCGATCTTCAAGGCCAAATGACATGCCACACCAACCAAGAAACCGAGGCAACGCAAGACTCTGCTGAAAAACGCCCGAATACTGGAGTCACCATCAAGAGGACCCTGCCTCTCCCAGAGCCCAGCTATGATAGGCTCGTCGCCCTCCCGCTCGTATTCGCCAACTAGGCTAAGCCCAAGCTGTCAGATCTGCATCATAGCTGGACCCTGAAGGCTTCGACTCCTGCACTTCTGCGCTTTTTTTGTCTCCTATTCTCAGCTGAACAATGAACATAAATAGGGCGTCTGTCATGCGTCTCTTGATGCCCCCTTGAGCGAGGAACGCCTCGATTCATTGTATCGGGTGACCAACGAAGTGAACTGGAGTTTCCGACGCCATGAAGATGGGCACAGATACCATTGGGAATAGCGACGGCCTTCCGAATCCCATACTATCTCTCCAACTCTACCGTCGCTGCTTCAAGGGGCGCAAACAGCTCTTCTCACAATCAGATGATGCTGCCGCGAACTACTTTATCACCAACCCCGTCCCGCACAAGCACAGCAATACCTGGAGGCCTGTCTTCTACCGCGGAGATAATCCGAAGTATACACCGCATACAACAGCCATAGGCCGCGCCCGCCGCTCAGCGATGTGGGGGACGTTCCGTGTATGGCTTGGCGACGGGGTGCAGGAGGTTCTTGATAACGAGAAGCGTCGACAGGAGAGACGTAAGGCCGAACGGAAGAATAAATGGAGAAAGATATTTGGGAAGGAGAAGAAGCCGGTCGATGTCGAGGAGGAGAAGGAGGTACAGGGGATGGTGATTATGTTTCGGATGCAGCGGACTATGCTCCTTACTCGGAGTCTTGAGCTGGAAGTTCAAGGAGTGCGCTATCGTTGGTCTGGAACGAGGATGTTTTCCACGGGTTTCATGAAGAGGTTCAAGGGGTGGTCACATAGTATGAAGGTGAGCGATCAACACTATTTTTCTGTGTCTTGTTGCAGGATTTCACTAATCCTATCATCGCTGTAGCTCATTCGCATGTCCGACCACGCACTCATTGCAACATTCGAAAAAGATCTGATAGGGTCTCGCAGATCGATCAAGACTGGTGGTCCCCCGAACAAATCGAAGAGAGCCATAGGAAACCTCCGGATCTACGATTGCTCCGATGATATTACCAGTCACCCAACGCATACCGAGCATCAACTGACTAGCATGATGGCGCAAGTTGATGCAGCCGCCACCAAGCCATCTGATATCAAGGACGAGAAGGATCTAAACCCTAACGGAGTCCACTCGGGAAATCTCACCGAGGAAGCGGTTGTGTTCACATGCTGGATGGCCGTTGAAGCTGAGCATCGGCTCCGCTACAAGATTCCTGATTTCATCGAAGAAGTCGGAGAGGAATTCGAGGGTGGTTAATCTTGAAGCAGGGGACGGGCCCGATAGACTGGGGATAGTTTTGGAATTAACGGTCGTTATTTCTCCTTTGTATTTTAAGTATTCAACATTCAACATATTCATGGTATTCCTATTTAATTGAAGTTACATTAATGAACTCGCTGAAGCGTACATTCAGAAGAGAAGCGTAGTGAATCGCTAAGAGCAGGCACATGATCCTCCGAACTCCCTTAGAACACAAACAAAACATCCTTTCCCTCTCAACATGAAACTGAAAAGATCGCGTCCAACTGAGTCCGTCGCATCTCACTATACTTATTCTGCATCCAGAAACACGTCTGGACCCATCTTACCGCAGGAAAATCTCTCTCATAGCCGACCAGGATATCCTGTACCTGTTTCTTCACAGCCACGTCCTCTGCTGCTGTCCACGCCATCACCAGCGAAACAGGCATGAAGCTTACTCCAAAAGGTCGGTATCGATCTGCAAGCCGTGCAAGCCAAATGGCTTCGTTAATCAAATCGGTTGCTTCATCAGCTAACGAGCTGCTGTTCGGGTCGAAGATGCGTGTCACCTGGTTCAAAACGAGAGCGAGGCAGAGGAGCATTGAATACACAGCTTGCGGGCGTGTATGCAGTCTTGATTGTGTGATACCGGCTGAGTCCATATCTGCTATCTTGTCGAGTACCGACCGCATGGTTACGCAATCGGCGAGAAGTTGATTATATGCGTTGTGGATTTCGATTAGGTGCAGACCCGGATCTCGGAGCCATTGTGTAATCTGGGCCATAACATAGAACTGAAGGCTTGGGATGCGGCCCCCATGGTTGCTGAGGATTGGTCGTCTCGGTTCGTATGATTTGGCGATTGCCCAGAACCAAGACCCAAGAGGCGCGCTTGGATCGACAATGCTTTGCATGACCTGTGAATTGGTCAGAAAAATTGCACGAGAACTGGAATGGGTATTCAACTCATACCACCGGCATACTCAAGGTGACAATCATGTTGTCTTCGAACTTCCCTCTCCCGGCTTGAGACATTGCCGCGTTGAGGATTTGTGCGAGGATTTCTCCGTGGTTTGCAAAATGATCATCTGGTGTCCCAACCCAGCTCTGCAACGGTTAGATATCATGGCTTCTTGGCTTTGCGATTTAGCTAACCTGGCAGATCATCATCAGGTAGATGGCACACACGGTGTGTATTGACTTCGTTTGAACCGGGTCACTCAAACACGTCCGCAAAGCCTTCCAACCTTTGACATATCGTGCGATTGCGTCTGGATAATTTTGTCGCGTGCGCAGGGCTTTTACAGCACTGGTCACCGCGCCTATCGCTGCATCGAGGGCCGGGCTGGACCCAATGCGCCGGGGCAGATTCTCCAGAAACGGGCCATACCACGTCACGTCGTATCGGACGTCGGTCACCTGAAGGACTTCTATAAAGTCTCTGGTAATGTCCATTGTGTCATTGCTTGGAATTTGTGTTGTGCTCGATAGCATGATAGCGCCTTGGCCTTTGGAGGAGTAGCCCTCCTTGAACGTGAATCGTCTCTGCCCAGACCCCACACAAGGAATCTGGAGACGAGTGCATCTCGTACACGCAGGTTTGAGTTGATCGCACTACATGAAATTAGCGAGTCTTCCAGCATGAGCATTAGCGAGGTTCTATGTACCTTCTTTTTTTGTCTGCGGCAGGCATCGCAACCACGGCTAGAGGGGACACCGGGCATACTGGGGGTGTATTCTATTCAGGTCCAGTGCGCAAGGCTGGGGGATCGCTTTTTAAAGTGATGACCGTGGAGCCACCGCTAAACTAACAAAATAAAACAGGACCTGGCGCCTGGCAGGCATTATTTAAAGATTAAGATTCTTAGACGCAGTCGCAGCCCGTTGCATCATTTGTTGCTTGGCCGGAATGCCGGGGCTGTTATCGCGCTGACCTTCTGCATGGGCGGCTCCAAGCCACGCTGGTCATGATGGCGAGACTTGATCAATCAGGTCCATGGGGGCCAAGTTATGGAGTCCAGGACGTCAAATCCGTTCTTCCCTCTAAGTGTATAGCATCCACCAGTCGGTGTTGATTGTTGGATCGCTGATCAATAACTGACGCTCCACCAGCTGCCAGAGATCGGATGAGTTCGGAGTTCTCCACCCCCCTTTCTTCACAATGCAATTTCCACCAACACTGCCCTCAGAGCAGGGTCTTATCCACTTTTGGCTCTTTGAATCGCTTTTGGCCCCATCCGCCAAACCGCGATACTAGAAGATGTCTTAAACCTTGGGCGACGCTGAACCAGAGATAGCCGGGTTCCGTCGAGACTGTCTCTCCTCGTTGGTTCCTGTTCCCAGCGATCGACACCGCTAACCAGCAGCCCAACAGTGACAAAGCGTTCCGGATGTCTAACTCAGAACCCAGAGACCAGAGTACAGACGACAGGGGCTTGCTGGGAACGGCCCTGGTTGGTGGGACCGAGAAAAACCCACCACGAGATCTGTCAAGCTGGAGTCCTTCTGGCCCGTGCATCATGGGGGAAGACCACGGCACTGCCCCGTTCGCTGGATCTCGCGGTTTTTCTTCAGCGAGGACATTACGAGGCTGAGCTGGTAATAATAGCATATTTCTAACATTCACGTGTCGAGTTCCTCCTGAGGACGATGAGAAATATGTTGCAGCAAGCTGGATGGGCCAGTCAGACTTTCGCCCTTGTCTCCGCACAATATGCATAATCCGTCTCTGCCTAGTAGTACTTCACGAGGCCTGGGAACGTCCGTCTCCCCGCGGGTCCGCGCCTCCGAGGGGTCGAGGGGTGGGTGTGTTGCTTCCACCACGTTTCTCTTGACACCCGTCATTCTCTTGGACAAGGTCCGAACAACGTTATTTCGGCCAGCGCCACTTAGATCAGGCCGCAGAAATACTGTATACGCGAGTTCGCGGCGACACGCCGAGTCTCTTGGAGCGTCCTTCACATTCTCAAATACTGGCCAGTGTCACTTAATTTCTTAATCAAGTAGAAGCAATCGTCATCGGCCAATGTCTCATGCTCAGCCCTCCCTGTGAAATGTGTTGATCCCCCTTCTGCTCAATCAAACCGCATGGGACGCCTGAGATTCCGAAGACCAGACCCCAGAATGGTTGTCCTACGATAATCATTTCCCCAACTAGCCGACGAAACAGGGAAGTGTCGACGGCTTGGACAAATATAGCCACCACACTCTCCGCATCAGGGTCCGACATTCACGTCTCCGGCCGCTGGAGCGCCGACGCCGAGTCCAGCCAAGAATCCCAAACATTGCCCAATTCTCGAGATACCATACATCTACTCGGGCGGAATCTTTCTTTCAAGGGTCAATAAATTTAACAATCCTCCACGCCACGTAACATCCCTGCGTTGTGGTCTTTCCAGTGTTTCCCGTCGGGAATCCTCCCCGTGAGTGCCCAACGAACTCAATCAGTATATACGCGAGACACTGGTACTAGAAATTCGAGACCACATGGCCCCAGTCTCCGCTGCACGTTCCTAGTATTTCCAACCAACCAGTTTACCCGACCGGAGTTGCATGTAAAGGAGGCAGGGGGTCACATCCAGACCAAGCCAGCCCAAACCAGCCCAAGAGGGTAGGCGCCGTGCCAAGCAGCCCAAGCAAGGTATGGCCAGGATTTGGTGAACACAAGCCAATTGATCAGTCACTCGAACCTGCGCAGCAGTCCAAACTACAAAATATTGGCTATTGATCGTGGTCATCGCAGGAGCAGCTGAAACGGTGGGATAGGGCTGAGGGTGGATTTCAGCTCCGACAATTAACCGCTTCGGGCCCTGGACCCTAGCGTTTCGATTGGGTAAACTCAAATCCTGGCTGGCGAACCTGGCGCCGTATCATTGGGAATGGCTTGATAATATTCGGCCACGCCGACTTTCATCATTCCATACGAACTCGGGGTTCAGCTACTGCGTTCATAATTTTACCACGGTATTAATTACTGTGAAGATAGTGTCAACAAAAGTCATGGTCTATCAATTCAACGTCAAACTAGGTGGCTATAGAGTGACTAAAGCTGGAGAACAATCTTGCCAATCTGTTTACCCTGCCAAACAAACTCGACCGCCTCCCCAGCCTGCTCAAACGGAAAGACCTTATCAATGAGATCATGGAGTCGAGTCTTCGCTGCCGATAGGGCTGTACAGAAATCTTCCATATCATATTTCGAACCGGCATTTATACCTCTGAGATTGACCCGGCGATCGATAAGAGTGGGAACGAGCTCCCGCAGGTCGCTAGGGTCTTGTTTCGACAGGTACCCAACTTGGCTGACCACGCCACCGCGCTTGGTGCACCTGAGACTCTTCACTAGAGACCCTGTTCCGCCGTTCTCGACCACGATGTCGACGCCCACGCCCCCGGTAAGATTTAGGGCTTCCTGGTGCCACTCGGGAGTCGTAGAGTAGTTTATAGTCAAGATTCCGGGATACTTGTCCTTCATTTGCTGTAGTTTGGCGTCGCTCGACGAGGTCAGAATAATGCGGAGACCTGCCGCTCTAGCGATTTTGAGCGCGAAGACACTCACACCGCCGGTACCTGGTTTGATATTAGTACCGCGTTTAGAGCCAAAAGGTTAGATGCATACCTTGAATGAGAACCGTCTCGCCAATTCTCATCCCCTTCAGGGCGGACCACGCAGTGACACCTGCACAAGGAATAGTCGCGGCTTCAACCCAATCCAAATGGTCAGGGATGCGACAAAGCCGCGTCTCATCGAAGATGATATAGTCGGCCATAACGCCATCCTCGTCAGCAGCAAGCCACGAGCGCTTTCCCTCGCGTCCTGAGATGAACTGCGTGTCGGTAACGGGACTGGCGCGGTCACCCACATTTAGGGTAGTGACTTTCTCGCCGACAGCGATGACTTCGCCTGCTGCGTCGTTGCACAGGATGCCATTGGGAACGACGGGCCAGGGGTTCCCGCCATTAGCGATGTTGGCGTCACGGTAGTTGAGAGCAACGGCGTGGACTTTGATGAGTACGCCTGTGGGAGAGAGTGCGGGGAGGGCTTCCTGCACGGGCTTCAGTTTGGGGGTGCCGGGGGTGTAGTTGTCTGTGCGCCGGAAGGTGCGGCGGTGGGTGACTTGAGCTGACATGGCGTTGTAGAGTTGAGAGACTGAGGAATGATAATCATGAAGATAGATGCTGTTGGCATCCAACATGACTTTATACCAGAGCTCGGGAGAGCCGACTGATGTTTCTTACTAATTGATGCCAGGCTCGGGACTTGATGCCGACCCCGCCAACATCTGGTTGTACAAGCACGAAAACAATAATCACAGGGCCAGATGCAATCCAGCTCACTTTCCGCGGTTGGACCTCCCGAGCTGTCGTGAGTACTTGAGATTATGCCCGAAATCCCGGTGATGCAGCGGCACGGCCGAACAATCAGCCCTATATAAACCCACTCACTCTGGACCAAAACCCTACCAGCATAACACCAGAAACAAGAAATCATTTCTTCTTACCATTATCTAAACAATCTGCCAAAATGACCACCGCCACCCCCTTAAGCATAGCCCGCATCGACGTCTTCCAAAAGACCCTCCCCTACTCAGGCGGCACCTACACCCTCTCCAACAACCGCACCTACACCTCCTTCGACGCAACCCTCGTACGCATAACAGCCAACACCGGCATCGAAGGTTGGGGCGAAAGCACCCCCTTCGGCTCCACCTACATCGCAGCACATGCACTCGGGGTCCGCGCCGCCATCGCCGAAATCGCACCCAAACTCATCGGCCTGGACCCCCGGCGCGTGGACCGCATCAACGACGCAATGGACGAAGCACTACTAGGCCATGAATCCGCCAAGGCTGCGATTGATATCGCATGCTGGGACGTCTTCGGGAAGGCCGTTGGGATGCCTGTTTGTGAGTTACTAGGTGGGCGCACGGATGCCAGTCTCCCCATCATCTCATCCATCTATGTTGGGCAGCCCGAGGAGATGCGTCAACGAGTCGCCGAGCATAGGGAGAGAGGGTATGTAGGCCACTCGCTCAAGATTGACGGGGAGCCGTCGGTAGATGCGCAGCGCATCACGGCTTGTCTAAAGGATAAACAGCCTGGGGAGTTCTTCCTGGTCGACGGGAACTGCGGACTTACCGTTGAGACTGTATTGCGGATGTTGAGACTCCTCCCGAGTGATGCGGGACTAGACTTTGTGCTTGAAGCGCCGTGTGCGACGTGGCGGGAGTGCTTGTCTCTACGGCGCCGAACAAACATACCGATATATTTCGACGAGCTTGCGAACTCGGATGTCTCGGTTGTGCAGATGATCGCCGACGATGCGGTGGAGGGGATTGGGATGAAGATTACCAAGAATGGAGGGCTGACGCGGTGTTGCCGGCAGAGGGATATTTGTCTTGCGGCGGGTTATACAATGACGGTGCAGGATACTGTGGGATCTGATATCTCGTTTGCGGCGATTGTGCATATGGCGCAGACCGTGCCGGAGAGGAATCTGAGGTGTGTTCTGGAAGATCGTGATATGGTCACTGTGAAAACGGCGGATGGGCCGTTTGAGGTTGTTGGGGGCAGAGTGACGGCGCCGGCTTTGCCTGGCTTGGGGATTACGGTGCGCATGGATGTTGTTGGGGAGCCGGTTGCTAGTTATTAATTATATCAATAGATCAGTACTAGTACCATCTACGAAAGAAGGAATAAGTTAATTGCATTGATCATATCTCATCACAATAATCCTCAACATACAACCCACCTAGCCACAACCCGAAATAAAAAAAGAAAATAAAAAAAGAAAAGAAATCAAGCATCCACAATCTCCCTCTGACTCCTATCCTTCTTCTTCAAATAAACCGCCTGCAGAATCTCCGTCCAAAAGCCCACAGGCTTCTCCGTCGTCGTCGCCTCATAAGCATCAACAACCGGCCTCGTCCAAACCAGATCCACATCCTTGAGACTCCGAATCTTCGTCCGCTTGATCAGCTTCCACCCGAAATACAGAATCGGCGCTACAATCTGCATCGTGTAGTTCTGGAAGAAGCCCTCCACGCTCCACGGCGCAAAGGCTGTGTATCCGTAGAACAGCAGGATGAGTACCATGGCGAATATGCCTATGTAAGCGCTGTAGGGCTGGAAATAGCCCTTGTAGGGGAGTGTGCTCCGGTCTAGTCCCTGCTCCTTGCAGGCGCCGTAGAAGCGCAGGTATGTGATGCAGATGACGAGGTAGTCGATCAGTGCACCGGCGGTAACGAGCGAGACGAGCCAGGTGAGGACCTGCGAGGAGTTCTCGGACATCTGCAGGAAGGAGAGAAAGGGGAAACACATGACGACAGCGAAGGCGACGACGGGGACGCCGCGGCGGGTCTTTGTGAGGATCTTGGGGGCGCGGCCGTCGAGGGCGAGACTGTAGAGGGAGCGGGTGGCGCAGTATGTCAGCGTATTGCCCGCGGAGAAGATGCAGCTGACGAGGAGGGCGTTGACGATATGTGGGAGCACGCCGATGCCTAGGTTGGACATGGCGATGATGTAGGGGGATGCGCCGGCGCCGGACTTGTTGCTCTCGCCGTTGAGGATGGCTTGCAGGGTTGGGTTGTCCCAGGGGACAACGATGCCGACGCAGAGGGCGCCCATGACGAAGAAGAGGATGAAGCGCCAGTAGATGGTCTTGAAGGCGGCTTTAATATAGATGCGTGGGTGCTTTGCTTCGGCGGCGGCCATGGAGATGTACTCGGGGCCAACGATGCAAAAGGCAGCAGACCAGACGCAGGCGAGGAAGCCCTCAAAGCGGCCGAGATCGCCTTCAGTACGCGATGCAGCAAAGGGGCCTGGGGTGTTCCAATGCCGGAAGCCATAGGCGTCGTGCTGAGGGTTTCCACCGACCATGGTGACAAACGTAAAGAAGAACAGGATGAATATCAAGAAGACCTTTCCTGTGGACAGCCAGAACTCGGCCTCGCCAAAGGCAGAGACGGCGAGAATATTAATCAGTCTATAGTGAGTGTCAGCTTCAGCGATTATAGAGCCGACTGAGTCGAGTAGTGAACGTAGTCTGAAAGACACGGTTTACTGTATGGAATATATACCCATAGAGGACAATGCACGCGGCACACACTGCGGCAACAGGAATGTCATCTCTCCAGTACCCCAGCGTCAGATTAATGGCCGTGATCTCAAACGGCACCATGAGCGCCTCGTAGATGAAGAAGTTCCAGCCGACCATAAAGCCGAGTGCGTCGTCGACCCAGTTCCCCGCGAGGCGGATAAACCCTCCAGAGACAGGATGCAGGACGGTCATCTCGGCGATACAGTTATTGATGCAGCCAAGCACGAAGCAGTATACAACATACGCGATGAGCAGGCTGGCGGGGCCGCCAGCAGCCAGGCCGTTTCCAATGGTGATGAACAGGGCAGTGCCGATGGAGCCGCCGATGGCTATGAGCTGGATGTGTTTATTCTCGAGGCGGCGCTCGAGGCCGTCGATCTCGTCGACCTGGCCATGGGGGGTGCCGGGGTCGAGGGCTACACCGGAGGATTTCTCCTTCAGGGGCTCCATTGTTGGGTGGGGTGCTACCGATTTGGGGGTTTGGACTTGCTGCTTGGGGTTGAGAGCTCAGGAACAGATACGGACAGGGTCTTGCTGCTTGCGGGCCATCCGGGTTGCACGTATATTGGTAGACTGCGTGGGGAGAGTTGAGTGTAGAGGTAGGGCCGGATCGGGAAGGCGAAATGGGCGCTTGGGGTTGACTGGACAGTCGGGAGCTTGGAAAAGAGTGAAAGGATATGGATATGAGTCCACGGGGGTTTTATACGCTCACAGCTAGTGCGCTTTTCTCTACGCGAGATCAGGGAAAGCAAGTTATGATGTACAGCCGTGGGGATGGAGCCCCAACCGTGGACGCCGTTGTGGATAACCCCAGACGGCGCCGCCTTAGTTCGGTGTCGCCTCTCGGGGCTGCACTGATTGGCGACATGCAAGCTTCGGCAAACCCGAAATGCCAATAAAATCCAGGGCCAAAATAGCGGCACTCCAATGGAAACGCCCTGTCCCCTTGCCAAGATGGCGGCGGCTCACACTCCGGCTTCTCTCCCGCCGTTTGCGGACGGCCTTCCGAGAGCAACCAGCCATCCACTGATTGAAGCGAGAGATGCTGGTAATTGTGGGATAATAATGCTTGCTTACTCTGTATCTACAGCTACTCTGTTTTAGCATTTAATGTAGAATGGCCCAGGCCGACCGGTTGGGGCTACCTCGTCACCTGATCCACGATGCATTTATTGTAGTGAAATAGCGTATCAATATACGTGGAATTGGACGATTTACTGCTACTGCATTCACCGCTGCAGGCACTCCAGCCTTGGAAAAGACCTGAAATAACTGCAGAGCTGCAAGCCTCAGACGTCACATTGAAGTTGGAGCCGAGCGCCACTCGGGACAGGCTGGATCTCCCCTCTCGGATCCCCAACTTGATAATTAAAGATAACGGCCATGCTGATCTCGGATCAATTGATGCGGGGAGAGCTCGGATGAGAATACTCGATTTGATCTGCGGGGTGACATCCAGTGTGCGATGTCTGATGTCTGATGTCTCGCTCCCAACTCCGCGGTCTGCCACAATGCAGCCCGCGCAACGAGCACTGCCCCCCAGTGCTAATCAGAAACAAAGGAGGGCGACCATTGCGTAAGCTCCTCCACCCACTTAATTACTTCTGTAGATTTGTCTGACCGAATAGGTGCACTGCTTGCCGCCAGAGCAAGATCAAGTGCTCCGGGGACGAGCCCTGTGCCAATTGCCGACGACGTGCGCTCAATTGTCAATTCTCCGAAGGGAATAACAAAATCTTGGTATCTGAACGGTTTGTCGGATGTATCCTGTCCATGTACCGGTATTGACTGGGACAGGTATCTTCGTGGTCTGCAGAAGCAGGCATACAACTGGCAGCGGGCGACCGGCGTCAAGCGCCCTCGAGAGGAGTGCTTCCGCTTTGATGAAGAGACTGGAACAAGCCTTCCTGTAGCTGAGTCTGGAGCTGCTGAGGAGCTTCTCGGCCCCAGGCCCGAAGGGTCGCCAGTCTCGCCGGCCGAGCTGTCCTGCAATATCTGGACAAGCCCTTTCACTCTTCCCACCACGGTCTTCAAGAATACCGGCCAGGAACAGCGAAAATGGAGTCAGTATGTCGTTTCCTAATATACACTTATACTGACATTATCAGTCTGGCTCGCTCCATTCTCGCCGTGGTCTCTCACGGCTCGACTGATCGTGATGCTCACCGATAAACTCCACCCCAACTCTGCCAACAGCCTGCCCCAGTTGTACTTGGACGGAGAGATATATCCTCTGGCCTGGGACCAGGTAACAACTCCAGGCCCTCTCAATACCAGTGACCTGCCATCTCTCGATTACGCCCTCTATCTCTTCCAGATCGTCCGCTTCCGCCTCGGCCAGGCATACAGATTCTTCGAGGAAGACTCGTTCGTCTCCCAAATCCGTAGATTCTACGACAGTCGGCCAAATGCAGATGCAACACAGCCTCGCTTCTGGTTTGTTCAGTTTCTTATGGTTCTTGCACTGGGCAATGCATTCATCGCGAGGCCGCGCAAGCAAAAAGAACCCGCTGGGTCCAAGTATTTTGTACGCGCCATGTCCGCTATGCCTACGAATATATCCACCGGAAAGGACAGCCTTCTCGCGATAGAGGCACTGGCGCTGGTTGGACTGTATCTGTATGCAATTGACCACAGAGAGGCATCGCATGTTCATGTACGTCAACCATATTGTCAAGGGAGATGACATGATTGCTGATGGTTGATAGGTTGGCCACGCTATACGAATTGCCCAGTTGGAGGGAATGCATACCCAGCTGCCGGAGGAAGTCCTCGGGGCTACAACTGTGGCTCGATGCCGTAACCTCTGGTGGTCTCTGTACATCCTCGACCGCCACTTCTCTCCATCTTTAGGGCTGCCGGTGACCCTACAAGACAGCGACATCACGACCTTGATCAACCCGCCAGTGTCGAATCTGCAGAACATGACATTCAGCCTGCAAGTGAGGATCACGCGGATGTTTTCTTTTATCATTGGCAGTATGTTGGTCTTGCTTCCTTCATCTCCAGCTACTGATAGTTCAATGTAGCAATCTATAAAACCGAAAAAACACCCCTTGCGACATTCCTAGACATAACCCGTGGAGTCTTAGAGACAATGGCCAAATACGCAGAGGAGATCGAAAATATGATCAATGTCAACTTCCACGGGTCTCGAGACAATGTGCCCAAAGAGATGCGGCACACCATTCTTCAATACCACCAGGTATATCTTTCCCATTAACCGCGGGCTGGAGGTCTTTCTGACCATTCGTTTAGTGCGTTATAGCAGCTACAAGACCCCTCCTTCTCTCCGTCCTCAAAGAACGCCTAGAGAAACTCGGCCGAGCAGAAGAAGACTGGCAGAAATTCCTCGCCCTCCCCAAATCCCTAATCTCCACCGGCATCAAGTCCGCCGAAAAGACACTGCAGATAATCGGCGATGAAAACGGTCTCCTGGGTGAGCTACGCCCACTGCACTGGTTTAATCACATCTACTAAAACTAACACGCTGAAGAAACATTCCTCCCCTTCGACCTCGAAATGACCTACGCCGCCGCTCTATACCTAACCCTCTCCAACACCCTCTTCTTCCCCTCCAGCACAGATCCAGACACAGACACAGATACAGACCGCACATACAGCCACGCCGCCCACGCCATCCTAGACGAGCTCATCCTATCCGGAAACCAGGTCGCAGCCGCGCGCAAACGCGAGCTATCCCGCATCGAGGCCCTCTTTGAGGAATTCGCTAGACGCGTACGGCGCGAGGGGCTCCGTCTTTTGACGCTCTCGGATCAGGGTCTGACCGATGCGACGCAGTTGAATTTGAATGTATCCGCGGATAGTCATCTCCCTGGGGTGGCTTCTGAGGTGGGAGTTGTTTCTCCGGATACATTGCGGGTGCCGTCGTTGGGCGTTACGGGCAGTACTAGTACATCTACACTATTCCATGGCCATGGAAATCCAGGGACAGGGACAGGCACAGAGGCAGGACCAGTAGATACTGTAGATCTGGCAGCGGCACCGGCTAGTGTTGAGTTTCTGGAGAGTATTGGCATCTCGTCGTATGAGTTTCTTTCGATTGTGGAGCAGATTGATCACCCTGAGATTTCGTATGGGGAGTTGGATGGTAGGCCGGATTTGTTGGGTGCTGGGGCTGGGACGGGGATGGGGTCTTTTGGGTGATTTTTATTTATGAGTGACTGATGTAGATTATGATACATATTTTGGACGTGTAGAAGATTGTTATGTTTATAGAGGCAGGAGTATGTAGATTATTTAAATAACCCGTGTTGGCGAGTGCATTCACCAAACAACTGACATACTCGAAACATTCCATTTGAAGTCGGTATATCCTCCCTTTCGATAGTCCTCGAGAGTGACATAGTAGTTTGAACATCCCCATCTCAGGTAGCAAAGTAGCGTTGACAAGCCTCTAATATCTTCACCCCAGGCATACTCAGCGTCAGCGAGACCCAGCTCCCTCATATAGTTGATGACTCCTATATATTAGAAGAGTGACCTATTCTAGCACGAGGACCGAATCCGCAGCGAGTTGACTACATAAGGAAGTCTTATTGGATATTCCCTAAGTAAGAATCCCTGCACTCGGCCCAGTACAGCTTCAACCAGAGGTGGTCAAGCAGGTTACTGCCACGGCCACGGGTACTTGCGGTTCGACAATGCCACTGGCCAGTTATTTTTAGATCGGGACTAATAGCTACGGACTGTTACCTGCATACCGTAGCATATACTCTGTTATGGGATGATGAAGTCCAACGCCAAGCCCTGTCGGGTTCTTGCACAGTAAAGGCTCTCAGCGATAGACCTGCGAACTTGAACTGTTTTCTTGAGGGCATCTCCACCAGAGATTGCAGACTCTAGAAGGACAGCTACAGCCAGTCCAGATTTGCCAAATAATGACGGGTTAATTTGGAGAAACGATTCTGTATGGCGATCTACCATAACCTACTGGAGTAGACTGCAGACCGTATATCTGGTGGCCTAGGAGTGCCTAGTCAGTCATTTCCATACATCTCTATTCCCAATGATAGTTGGTTACTTGGATTTTGAGTTAGACTTTATGCCTGATATTCTGAGTAAGCGTGTTCCTGGTATAAGTATGATTTAGGGCTGGGTGTTAGGGTTTGGCTTCGGTGATGTTTCTGAGGAGAAAGGGTATCAACAGAACGTCTAGGATCACATGTTGGGCATCCCTTCCTAGGTTCATGTTAAAATAAGGTCTAATGCATCCTTCTGTCCATCATCGTCATGGACTGAGGTGGTCGTGCCTGCCTGCTGAGAAAGCATCAGGGTTGCACCTTCCTATCAGAGAAGCTTCCCGAACATTCGGTTATCAGAGGCAAGGAAAGAACGACCGCTGTACATACAGTTTCTGGGCAACGGCCGTTCCTTCTCTTTATACCTTGTTGACGGGTTGCACTTTCTATCTTTGTTGACGTTGCCTGACCTGACGTGGTCGTCCCACCCAGGGACATGGGGCTTGCGTGAGAATTTACTCTAACAGAGCTCCAACTGTATGTTACGTATGGAATCATATAAACTTTGCTCCTGGAAGTAATTTTTATTATTATTCAGGTCACCTGCAAGGTTATAACCCAGAACTTCCCCTCAGTTGCCCGTCCGCCACTTAGGGCTTTACGCAGTCCTATAGGTAATCTTACTTTCCAGCTAATTCTTCCCCTCTCCTTCATTGTTTCCCGCGCTTATGACTATTATTCCTGTTTGTTGTATAAGGAGATCTTTGCGTGACACTCTCCAAAGCGTAAACCAATGTTGGCTCAGCCATTTAGCCTACCTGGCTATAACTCTGAGTGATGGTGGTAGCCTGCCCTCCGTGACAGATTCTGCACTGCCTCGACAAAGGTATATCTGGGCTGTTTATGATTGAAGCCTAAGCTTATATGACAGTTGATACCCCCTCACTTTCGGACTGACCAAGGCATTATATGAAGGATATGGGAGAAAAGCCACCACTGTCTTTCACCGCTGTTCGAGAAGAATTGAGCAGTATTAGAATCTATGTTTCTAGATACTATTTGGAATGTGTTTGTTAGACCTTTCATAGTCCTAATTGCATTTAAATCTATCAAAGCTGTTATGATTTTATAGTCTAGACAAGCCTGACTGAGCACGCAAGCTCAGCAATCCGGTCGAGCCACTATACTTGGAAGGCTATATGAAGTCCGCGAAGCAGATTCCCTACCACACCTGCAAGTCATGTCAGTGTGGACATGTCGGCCACCATCACATGCAACACTATCCCGCCAAAGCCAGCATGGACGTCTCCTGGCTTCAACGTTAAGCCGAATCTTGGTTCATCCGCCGGTGGCGCCGTTCTTATACGGCAGGCCATCGTATATAAGCTTATTTATATTATGGGAATGAAGTCAGTGGTGCCTGGGATAAATAATGTGGCGAGATGCGGGTTACATAGCATGATGCAAGCCAACCCTGTCTTATCACACAGGCAGCTGGATCAAGCACTTCGACAAGGGTCTGGCCAATCGTCGATAGGCCGCAATTGCGCCCAAGACGCGAGGATGGCGCCTAAGCGTAAACAAGGCCCGAAAAAGCAATCTCGTCCTGGTTGAGGGGCCTGATGTGGGGAGTTGCTGGGAAGAAGCTCATTTTTCTTTGTTGTTGAGGGCCGGGGTTAAGCCGCTTTGGGAAGTCCGGGCTTTTGATTCGGCCTCGGAGTTTAACAGCTGCTCTTTCTTGTTGCGGTGACTTTGCTGAGTTTCCTCCAGGTGAACTCATGAAGCTGCTTTAGCTTCCTTCAGTTCTCGCGTCGTGTCTTGACTCTGTAACGAACCTCACGGCTTTGAAGTCAACATCAGCCATGTCGAGCCAACAACCCGTGGACATACCCGAGTCTTCGCAGTCGCTGCCCGAAAAAGACTCCCCAGATATCACGATCAGCGATGAGTCTAGAGCTCCTGAATATCCAGATGGAGGTCTGAGAGCTTGGGGCGTGGCCTTTGGCACTGCTGGAATCATGTTTTCCACTCTGGGCTATGTGAACTCTTGGGGGTATGCATACAAATACCTCTTCTTCCAGAACACAACTGACAGTCCAAAGTGTTTACCAGGCCTATTACCATACTCATCAACTGCATGGCGAGACTGCCTCAGCAATTTCCTGGATCGGTTCGCTCCAGTCGTTCTTTCTTTTCGGATCCTCCCTCGTCGGTGGCCCACTCTTCGATCGATACGGCGCGAAGGTCATCTACCCGCCGGCACTTGTATTCGTGTTTACCATTTTCATGACAAGCCTGTGCAAGGAGTATTACCAGTTCATGCTTGCTCAGGGCTTTCTCAGTGGTGTCTCGCAAGGTCTCATTATGTCACCCGCTATGGCAGCAACGCCCCAGTACTTCAAGAAGAAGCGAGGTACGGCCATGGGTATCGCCGTTGCAGGGTCATCCATCGGCGGCGTTATACTTCCGATTGCTTTGAATAGGATGCTCACCAAGACCAATCTCGGCTTTGGATGGTCTGTTCGCATTGAAGCCTTCCTCATTCTGGGGGTCCTTGCCGTTTCTTGCCCTCTGGTTAGGGCCCGGGTTCCCCCGCGGAAGAGCAATTTCCTGCTACCGCGGGCATTCAAGGAGTTGAACTATGCTTCGCTTGTCATAGGTTCGTGGTTCACTTTTCTCGGGCTCTACCCCCCGCTTTTCTACCTTCCATCGTACGGCATTGCCCAGGGCATGAGTCCGACGCTTGCCTTCTACCTGAGTGCCATCCTCAATGCCGCCTCGTTCCCCGGGCGTATCGTCCCTGCAGTTTTGTCCGATAAATTCGGCAGGCTCAACACCTTTGCCGGTGCTGGAATATCCACAGGCGTTCTCACCCTGTGCTGGCAGCGCGTCGAGGGCAATGCCGGGGTTATAGTCTTCACTGCGTTATTTGGCTTCTTTTCTGGGGCGATCATCTCTGGTGGAACTGTTGCTCTCACATCCTGCACCAAGGAGGCGAAGAATATCGGAACATACATGGGTATGGGCATGGCCTGTATTTCGATCTCGGGGTTGATCGGGCCTCCCATCAGCGGCGCACTAAATGATACGAAACTGGGCTATGATGCGATTTCGATATTCGCAGGTCTGGCCTCGTTGATCGGAGGTCTTTTTGTTTTCTTTGTCGTCAAGCCTCTGAGCGGGCTTGCGCTTTTGTCTCGGGGGTGATTCGCCTGTCTGTTGCCCTATTGGCCGGCAGCCACACCCGACAGGTTACCCGTATCTCGCAGCGGGTCTGTTATAGTTTATGTTACTCCGGTATGTTGATTGATACTGAGGGGCTATGAGAATTATGTTGTTATATTATGTTATAATAGCTTATAGTAATACAATTTCACTTCTTTATTCCAACGCTTCATCAGAACATGGCTATGGTATGCAAATATAAACACAAACATGGTTCAGAACGCCTTAACAGTATGAAATATCAAGCCCCCGCAAGCGCACCAACGATCTCCCCCGCGGCCTCCAGAGCGCCCTCTTTGGCCATCTTGACAGCATAAAGACTAACAAGCAAAACCTCCACCAAGAACTCATCTCCTTGAATCGCAGGCTCAAGCACCAACTCCCGATCCCTCCCTCCAACAAACTTCTTCCAACCCCCCACACTCGACGGCCCCCGGCTCTTATCATACGTCGCAAACACCCTCGTCTTCCCCTCATCCTTCAACCACATTTTCGAACTCAAATTCTCCTGATCCGTCACCCACCTATACTTCCCCCGCCCAGGGACATCAATGGCATAGCTATCCCCCAGCGAAGACGCCTTGAGCAGACATTTCTGCCCGCGCACGATGAGGTCGTATTTACTGCTGAATGTATGTGCTTTGACTTCCCCCACCAGCGCGGATGCATTATTTGGGTCGGACCCCCGCGCGAGTACGTAGTCCGCTTTGCTCGCTTTGGGGCTGGAGGTTAGAGAGTAGATTGGTGGGGCGGTAGCGGGTGTGCCCGACGGGTGGATGAGGATTATCTTGTGTGTTGAGGGGGATTGGCGCAGGACGAATGCCCCCGGTTTGGATTGTTGGTGAGGTTGGTGTTGGTGTTGGTGTGGCATGTTCATGTTCATGTTCATGTTGTTTGCTGGGCCTGGACCTGGGCCTGGGCTTGGATGGAAGCCGAATCTGTTTGGTGGGATGGGCCCTGGAGGGGGCGTGCTGTTGTAGGTATTTTGCGGGCCGTATGGTGGTGGTGGCGGAGGGTAGCCGTATCCAGGGCCGGGAGGAGGACCAGCATGGTAACCTCCTGGAACTGGAGCTGGACCGTATCCTCCGGGTACAGGCTGGGGAGGATGTGGAGGGTAGTTGAAGCCGTAGCCTGGGCCTCCGTGGTTGGGATTGGAGAAGGCAGCGCACATTTTGGTGATGCTTTCGTAGGTATAGTAGAAGTAAATAAATTAGGGCTGGCGAAGTGGAGGTGAGAAGAGGGAGATCCAGGGTCTTAATATAAGAAAGGGTCCAGTCCCACGCGGATAGTCATTGGATGGTTTAATCGCAGAGCTGAGCAGAATTATCGCAGCAACAGCCACAATAACGGAAGCAAGATCAGCTGTAGATGACGTCCCGTATAAGCAGAGCGGCCGATGGGACCAAAAGCGGATTAGGGTTGCGGCGATCGGGGCTGGGCAGTCTTGGCCATTTTTCTTGCCAGAAGAAAGGGAAAGGGTCCTGCTGACGTTGAGGGTGGATTTAACTTTGTCGCGCTGTTAAACTAAATGGGCTTGCTCGGCGGGTGCCTGGCGCTCGGTGACTCTATTCTGGGTGTGCTACAGGATGAAGTCTGCGGTGACCAGCACAAGCAAAAGATATACAGTTACTTCAGATGGAAACACATGGACTGTCTTTAAATATCTCTCCATTCTAGTAGCAAAAGTTGCAAAAAAAACCCCCACAATTAAAATAACTCTACTTAGAAGGACGCCGCAGATTACCACCCCGTACGAAATTCACTGGCTGGATGATTGTTGCGCAGTTGTGCAGGACCATCCCATCAAGACAGACTGTAAGTAAACCATTATCATCAAGAAGTTTCTCTAGGTGGGTTCGTTCCGAGCACGGTCTCTAGCCTCGTTTTCTTTGGCCTGCTCCATTAAGGCCTCCGCTAAGGCCTCATATGCGTCCTCCCTTTCCTTCACGAGAGGGTCAGACTCGGGCTCGGCCTGCTTCGTGGCCATTTCGGGTTCTTCGTTGACCCCCTCGGACGGCAGCTGTGAGAAGCTTGGGGCCTCATTCATCGCTTGTTTATATGAAATCTCATCATCTGGCGATAACTGGAACTTCAGCTGCATGTCATCTATTCCGCTGCGGACATCGGCGTGTTCTGGCATCAATTTGGTGAGTACCAAACACTTCTTCAACTCGTCATTCACTGCCCCTGAAATAGCCTTTGGGATCGCATCTATGAATTGTCTCAAAATCGACATTATTTCACCCACAGCCATGTCGACATGTTGCTTAGGCCAGGGGTTATTCTGACTCGCACGCTGTGTCGTCAGCATGGTGTCCAATTTGTCGTCCATACGGGCTATTTTCGACCTCAGTCTCTCTCCGAGAGATTCGCTCCCTGGTTGACTGGTCATTGAAAAGTCTGGCATGGGCGATGGGTCATTCTCTTCCGCGCCTGCAAACCGATTCAATGCCTCTGGGTCAACCTGAAAGTCTTCCAAGGCCTGCTGGTATGCCCGGGCGTGCTGCAGCTCTTCCCGGGCCTCATATAGCTCTTCCAGGACATCGTCTAGCTCTTCCACGGCATTTTCTAGCTCTTCTCCCAGGTCGTCAATCATAGATTGCCCTCGCAGTTGGGTTTCATGGAGCATTCCAAATAGAGTATGGGGTTCTTTGAGGTATGGCTGGAACGTGCTAGGTGTGACGAGAATGGGATTCCCATTCTCAGGTGTCAGTGTTATGGTGCGGGGAGGGGGTAATAACGGCATCTTGAGGCAACGTCGATGTGGCTGATCGTTTGAAGCGCTGTAGCAGGTGGAAATAAATGGTAGATAAGAAGTAGATGTGATGTAGAAGTAGATGTAGATGGAAGTAGATGTAAGAGTAGAAGGTGCAGAATCAGTGCGGACAGCTTTATATATTAGAGCCATGATCAGACGGAAATGTCTCTGACACAACTATTGAAAACCTTGTTTCTTGTATGAGTTTCTCGGTTGAAGCTTTCCAAGGTATAATCCAACGCATGATACTGGGGCCTGATCCAGGGACTCTTGTTCTCGAAGGTTCTTTGGAGATTTAACGAAGCTGTTAGACTGTGATCATATGTCATGTTAACCTCCGTGTTGTATTAAGTGTAAAGGTGTCCAGCAACAACAGCTCAGATGTGAGTTAAGTGATTGGGATAAGGTGCGTGGCTGGAGGCTGCGAGTGCGTGTGCATTGTCTGATAAGATGTCATCACAGGCTGAACTCAACGCCGAGTTTCCATTTCATTCTCACCATCGCCGCCTCATCCCGACAATCTCATCTCTGTCCTGCGGCATGGGGCCCGTGGTGTCGCTTTGGCTTCTGGATTACTTACAACCCACAGTTCAAGTTCTCCCCGCCCATCCTTGATTCCGATCGAACCGTCGAAACCATGTTCACGTCCTTTACGGGCAACTCTCGCCGCCCCCGACAGGTCAACCTCTCCGGCCGCAACAACAACCCCTTCGCCGCTTATCCCTCCGGCCGACAGAACCCGCATGGCTCGGGTCCGCAAAATACCCTCGCTATCGCACAGCAGGAACGCCTGGCCAGACAACAGGAGAGGGACCGGTTAGGGGCCACGCGAGTCGTGCAGCGGACATGGAGGGGCTACCGGAGCAGGAAGACAACGCATGGGAACTGGCGGGCGGAATGGGACGCGATCGAGGACAAAAGGACAGAGTCTCTGCCTTTGTTCGCCGACCTGGCAAAGCAGCAAGGCAGCGAGCTACAGGCCGCTCCCCCGTTTGGCACGGCGAATGCGTGTTTATCGCAGCTCCGCCTGCTGGTTCAGTTCTTTGAACAGCGAAATAGCGGCGACGTCGCTCGCTTGATATACTTCTCGGATGCATTTCAGAAAACTTTACACGAGGTGCCGTCGCTGGCTACGGAGGGGGAATGGACGATGCTTTTGAAGCGTCTGGCTGAGATAACGCTACGGGTGTTGCACTCGGCGGACTCGTCAGCTGTGCCCGCCTTTGCTGTACCACGGCTTCTGCAGCTCTTGGTGTTTCTCACGGGCCTTATCCCCAAGCCGATGGCGCGCCTTGCTCAGGAGTATTATTCAACCATGGCAATTCTGACCAAGAATTTTGTAACGATATCGGGTCGGTCGCCTCTGTCGAAATCCGATCTTATTCAGACTGTCCTTGCCTTGCTAATGCCTATCACTTCCGAGACCCTCACCGCGTATGAGTGGTTCGCTAAGAGCTACCTTACCCTCCCTAACCTCATGGAGACCTTGGGGTCTTTGGATATTCTGGCAAACAATGTCAACTATAAGCTATTGACGTCTGCCCTGGAGCCTCTACGTGTTGGCTCCGCTGATCGCAGCCAAACTTCCGATGGAACGGACTCTCGACTTTGGCTGCTGGCCTACTTCATCTATTTCAACAGATTCGCTTTAGGAGATCAAATCGCGAACCACTCCCCGGAGCTTGGGTTCGTCAAAGTCGTTTCAGAATTGTTAAATTCAACCGCTCTACAAATTACTCGGCGCCTGGAGGCTGAGGAGTCTGCGGATTTCGACGACGATAATAATAATGATAAGCAAGAATTCCTACTTCCGTTTATCAAAGATCAACTATTCAGCCTCGTCAACCCAGCGAGCATAACGGGTCTACTCTCACAGCTCCAACCCGCCCACCTATCCCAAGGCGAACTCGCAAACTCCAACTCTGATGCTTCGAAAGATGCCAAGGATCTCGCCAATTATGCTTTGACGCTGCTAAGGGTCTTCCCCCGGCGAGGCGATGATATCCGCATGTGGCTGTACTTGGGATCCGCTGCCTCATCGGACCGGATGGGTGGATCAACATCGAGGATTCCGGCTGTCAAATACTTTTGGCATGCATCGAGGTCTAGTAGGTTGTTCGCGGCGATTAGTCGTGACTCCACAAAGGTTTTGCCGTTACTAAAGCCTGCAAGCGCGGCATCTGGCTCTACGGACATTTCTCAAGCCGACAGGGACCAAGAATGGACCACCATCCTCCTTTTCCTCGAGTTGTATACTTTCGTCCTCAAGGTTATGGACGATGACGAGTTTTTCTCTAGCGCCTCCTCTTTCACTGCTTCTTCCAATGCGCGTGTGACTTGGACTAGGGAAAGCGCACTTCCACTCAACGATGTCAAAGAACTGACTGTCTTCCTCAAGAATCTTGCATTTACACTTTACTGGAACTCGGCTGATCTCACCGAAAACGAAACAGTCCTAGATGGTGGTGCGGGACTCCGAAGTTATTTCAATTCACTCACCCCGCAGTTGGATACGATAGGGAGTGTTAGGGATATAGAGAACAAGAACAAAGAGAAGGGGCTACCTGGTGTAACAGGAATTCCTCTCGATTACTTCAAGGGTCTTATTACAGGCCTTCTACGGATGGTCCACGAACGGGACTCACGACGAAAGTTCCTCCCCGAGCGTCACTGGTTGATGACCGACCGGTTCGACATGGAGGGATTCATCCCGGCCGTCGTGGCAGAAGAAGAGAACCGGCTCCAACTACAAGACGAAGATGAAGAAGACCCCGATGACCTGATGAGCGATGCTTATGATGAGCCGTCTCTTGGCCTTGTCGGAACGGGCTTTGCCCAACAAGCGCGTCGGATTGAATCTCTGAGACGCCGCCAGCAGCAGGCCGCTCGTCGAAAACAGCTAGAGGCTGTGGCGCCACGGCTGGAAATATTGAAGAACATGCCCTTTTTCATACCATTTGCGACACGGGTTCAAATATTCCGCGAGTTCATCTACCGCGATCAACTGCGCCGAAGACACGGGTTCATTGACCCGGATTCATGGCGGATGTCGGTGGCACAGGCGTCTATGGGCGCGCTTAATGGGCCACCAATGACCGACATCCTGAACAGACACCATGCGAATATCCGCCGTGAAAGTTTGTTCGATGATGCGTTTGACCAGTTTTATGAACTTGGGGATGGGCTCAAGGAGCCGATTCAGATTACATTTATTGACAAGTTTAATGCCCCCGAAGCGGGCATTGACGGAGGTGGTGTTACGAAGGAGTTCCTAACCAGCGTTACCAATGAAGCGTTCAAGTCTACGGTTGGCCTCCGGTTATTCGAAGAAAACGATCAACACCTGCTCTACCCTAGTCCTGTTGCAGTCGAGCAACGGAAAGAAAACCTACGGCAGCTGGGACTGAAGGAAAATACCTCCGAGTGGAACGAGCAGGTCCGTGACTTGCTCCGGAGGTATGAATTCTTGGGCCGTGTAATTGGAAAATGTCTCTACGAAGGCATTCTGGTTGACGTTGGTTTTGCACCGTTCTTCCTACTAAAGTGGGCTTTGACGGGCGGGATGAGTTCTGCTCAACGAGAGACTGCGTACCGAGCCAACCTCAACGATTTGAAGGATTTGGACTCGGAACTATACCAGGGTTTGGTAGGTGGAGTTTATTTCTGTGCTTTCAGTGCTTTGTTGCTAATTTGATCACCCTTCAGCTACAATTGAAGAACCATCCCGGAGATGTAGAAGACTTCTCGTTGAATTTCACCGTCACGGACACGATACCAACCCCAGATGGACGCAATCGGACCATCACTCGAGACTTGAAGAGCAACGGCTCCGATACGACTGTTACGAATCAGAATCGCCTAGTATACATATCTTACATCGCCCGCTACCGGCTTCAGGTACAGCCGGCCCTGCAGACGAATGCCTTCCTGCAAGGCCTGGGACAGGTCATCCAGCCATCGTGGCTCTCGATGTTCAACCAATCCGAACTGCAGACGTTGGTGAGTGGCGAGTCTGGTGATATTGACGTGATGGACCTGAGACGAAACACTTTGTACGGTGGCGTATACACAATAGGCGATGACAAAGAAGAGCACCCGACAATCAAGCTATTTTGGGAGGTAATGCAGAAGATGACAAACGAGGAGCGACGGAAGGTGCTTGGGTTTGTCACGTCGACACCACGGGCGCCGTTGTTGGGGTTCAGCCACTTGCACCCACGGTTCAGCATCCGCGACTCGAGCGAGGACCAGGAGCGGCTTCCTAGTACGAGTACGTGTGTGAACCTGCTGAAGCTGCCACGGTACAAGAGCGCGAGCGCGCTGCGGGAGAAGCTGTTGTATGCAGTGAACTCGGGGGCCGGGTTCGATCTGAGTTAGATTAGAGTAGACCATGAACAATTGAACGTTCATTCTACCTTGTTCTCCATATACTCGGTATTATCGTTCTTATCGCGGGAAGTGGCGCCAGCCCTAAAGCGGCGGCACGTCGGCCCAACGCGGACTAGCGCAGCCAAATCGGCCAGAAAAAATAAAAAATCCAGAAAAAAAGATCGGACCGCCTTCACGTTGAAGTTTTTTGTCTCTTTCTCTCTTTGATCTTCCTTTCCTCCTCCCCTCCTCAAAGACTCTCTTCCCTTTCATTCTTCTCTGCCATCCTCCCTTTTTTTCGACTTCTATCGGAAAAAAAACTCCAAAAAAAACCCGGAAAACTAAAAAAAAGTTAAATATCCCATCCTCCTCCTCGGATTCACTTATCTGAATCTATCTCTCTCCACTGTGCGGTGTGTGCGTCTTGTGTGGTTGAATTCCCGTTTCGTGCCGCCTCTGCCTCATTCCTCGTGATCGCGTCTCTTCGCATCGCCAAAAATCTTCAATTCGATTCTTACTGCCCTTCTCCGATCGTCTCTCCAGTCTCAACCGAGTCCGTACGTCCTCCGCTGTGCCGTTCTTGTGTTGTTGCGTTTCTTGGCTGCCTTTTCTATGTTGACCGCCTTTGCTTTCCCCTCCTTTCATTGTGGGATCGACAGAGAAAATCCTCCCCTGCGCATCTAGCCTGCGCTGGGTATGTGATTTGTCTGAGATGCCCTTTGATGTTTTTCCCTAATTACCTTGCTCATGTCTGGGCTTGTGGTATTGCTGTCATTGGCTGGAAATTTTGCTGCGGCTGATAAAACAATGATTGCTATTTTTGAGCCTGCGCAGCTCCTTTGCTTTGATTGAATAGTTTCATCGCTTCTCTCTCTTTCACGCATAGCCCAGGTTTACCAGCTTCCAATTTACTAACGCGTTTCTTGTTGATTGCAGTAATCTACCTTCAAAATGTCCGCCGAAGCCTCTACCACCCCCGCTCCCGCCGAAAACACCGCCAACGGCACTCCCGACAACGCCGCTGCCGCCGATGTTACCGCTGTCGAGGCCCCTGCTACCACCTCTCAGCCTCACTCGGCTTCCCTCTATGTCGGTGAGCTCGACCCCTCCGTGACGGAGGCTATGCTCTACGAGCTCTTCTCCTCCATCGGCCAGGTCGCCTCCATCCGTGTCTGCCGTGACGCCGTCACCAGACGCTCGCTCGGATACGCCTACGTCAACTACAATGATACCTCTCACGGTGAGCGTGCTCTTGATGAGCTGAACTACACCCTGATCAAGGGCAAGCCCTGCCGTATCATGTGGTCCCAGCGTGACCCCGCTCTGCGCAAGACTGGCCAGGGCAACGTGTTCATTAAGAACCTGGACAACGCCATTGACAACAAGGCTCTGCACGACACCTTTGCTGCCTTCGGCAACATTCTCAGCTGCAAGGTCGCTCAGGATGAGTTCGGTGTCTCCAAGGGTTACGGTTTCGTCCACTACGAGACTGCCGAGGCTGCCAACAACGCCATCAAGCACGTTAACGGCATGCTTCTGAACGACAAGAAGGTCTTCGTCGGCCACCACATCTCCAAGAAGGACCGCCAGAGCAAGTTCGAGGAGATGAAGGCCAACTTCACCAACATCTACATCAAGAACATCGACCCCGATGTTGAGGACGACGAGTTCCGCAAGATCTTCGAGCAGTACGGTGAGATCACTTCCGCCACTCTGAGCCGTGATTCCGAGGGCAAGAGCCGTGGCTTCGGCTTTGTCAACTACTCCACCCACGAGAGCGCGCAGGCCGCCGTTGAGGAGATGAACGACAAAGAGGTCCGTAGCCAGAAGCTCTACGTCGGTCGTGCCCAGAAGAAGCACGAGCGCGAGGAAGAGCTCCGCAAGCAGTACGAGGCTGCCCGTATGGAGAAGGCCTCCAAGTACCAGGGTGTCAACCTCTACGTCAAGAACCTCACTGACGATGTCGATGACGAGAAGCTGCGCGAGCTGTTCGGTCCTTACGGCACCATCACCTCCGCCAAGGTGATGCGCGACACCAACCCTGCTGAGCCTGCTACTCCCCCGGAGTCCGAGACCCCAGAAGCCAACAAGGAGAACGAGAAGGCTCCCGAGCCTGAGAAGGAGGAATCCTCTGAGGAGAAGGAGGGTGAGCAGAAGGAGGGTGAGCAGAAGGGCGAGAAGAAGCTTCTCGGAAAGAGCAAGGGCTTCGGTTTCGTTTGCTTCAGCTCCCCCGATGAGGCCTCCAAGGCTGTTACTGAGATGAACCAGCGAATGGTTAACGGCAAGCCTCTCTACGTTGCCCTTGCCCAGCGCAAGGATGTCCGCCGCAGCCAGCTCGAGGCCAGCATCCAGGCTCGCAACAACATCCGCCAGCAACAGGCCGCTGCCGCTGCCGGTATGCCCCAGAGCTACATGCAGCCTGCCGTTTTCTACGGTCCTGGCCAGCAGGGCTTCATCCCCGGCGCTCAGCGCGGCGGTATGTTCCCTCCTCAGCCTGGTATGATGATGGGTATCCCTGGTGGACGCCCCGGTCAGTACCCTCCCTTCCCTCAACAGGGAGGACGTGGTGTTGGCCCCAACCAGCAGATTCCCCCCAACTTCCAAGGCCTCCCAATGGGTGCCATGCAGGGCCCTGGTGCCATTCCTAACGGCATGGGCTACCCTCAAATGGGCCAGGTCCAATTCGGCGGTGGCCGTGGCCGTGGCGGTGTCCCCGGAATGGGTGGCCCCATGCGCGGTGGCTTCGGTGGTGGCCGTGGTGGTGTTCCTCTTGGTGGTCAGATGCGCCCTGGCCAGGGTGGTCGCGGACAGAACGTCGGACAGCCCGGACCTACTGAATCCGCCGGTGGACTCTCCGCCTCCACTCTTACCGCCGCTCCTCCCCAGCAGCAGAAGCAGATGCTTGGTGAGGCTCTTTACCCCAAGATCCAGGCCGCTCAGCCCGAATTGGCTGGTAAGATTACTGGTATGCTTCTCGAGATGGACAACACTGAACTGCTTGGACTGTAAGTTTTTTTTTCCTCTTAATCCCTTGTAATATCAATATACTAATAATGTCACAGTCTCGAGGATGATGAAGCTTTGCGCGCCAAGGTTGACGAGGCCCTTAGCGTTTATGATGAGTACATGAAGAACAAGACTGATGAGCCGGCTGCTGAGAGCAAGCCCAAGGAGGCCGCCGCCGAGGAGACCCCTGCTGAGGAGAACAAGTCGTAAATTTTGTGGACATAATACCTGGTGTACCACGGATTTGTGATTTCATGTTCCTGCGGGCTACCATGTCGGAATTTTGTCCTCCACGTTCTATTTTTGATGACATGACCTACCCATTGAATTAACGATTCATCTCTTTCTATCCGCATTCCCTATATCCCCTTATTATCCGCCCTCTACACTCCCCTATTTCTTTTTATGTTCAGATTTTTTTTTTATCCCTCCTGGTCCTGATATCCCTGGGTTCCCGACGTTCTTGTGTAGGACGGGAGAAAAGTTATTCGGATTCCATGGCTTTTTCTTTTTCCGTGACGAGAGGGAGGAAGTTGTGATGTCTTTTAGCTTCTTACCTGCTCGTTTACTACCGAGATTACACGAGTGTAATATAGACTTATGACTTCCTCACGGTTTTATTAGTCTTGAACTTGTAGTTGGTATATATATATATCCAGTATCTTTCGTAGTCATGAACATATGACGCGTCATTCATCAAATCCTAAAAGGTCGGATACTGCTGCCCAAACAAATCCATCAAACTATCAAAATTCCCCTCCTGCAACAGATCGACCATATTCATGTCCAAATCCAGTGACTGATCCCAATCTGCGTCCTGGCCAGGCACCGCAATACTGCCAGATAATCCGTAAACACCCAATCCATTATTACTGGCAATATTCCCCGCGAGACCGGGTATATCGACACCCTGGTTTTCAGCGGAATCCTGTTCTCCACTTGCAGAGTTATTATCAAGTTTCCGTCTCTTTCTTGTACTCGATGGTCCTGCTTGCGATTGAGATGATGATGCTTCCTCGCCGATACCTGGTAATGAAGTAGACTGGTCAGTGCCCGCAGTTGCTGTTGTTGTTGTATTACTAGTAGCTGTTGCGTTTGGGTTTGCTATCTCCTGTCGTCGAGAGACAGCGCGCAGAAGGAGTGTAAGTGCGTGGTGGCAGTGTTTAGCCGGTTCCCATTGCGTAGACATGACGCGGAGAATATCGATGCAGGATGAGATTTCACTTTCGTTTTGAACCACTGTTAGCTTCGTCCATTTTGAATGTTTTACGTAGGATAGGAGGAAGACGTACAGGACACCCTTTGCAAGAACATATTGTCCTAACTGACACGCAAACGCGAGGACCAGGCCGGCCATCCACGCGGCGGATAGGAAGCCCGGCCAGAAGAGGGCTTGGCCGGAGTCGCGCTGAGCTTTGAGGGCGAGGAGGATGTGGCGGGCGGCGGAGATGCAGGATTGGAGGGCGGAGGCGAATTCGGGGGTTGTGTTTGGGAGGCTGAGAGAGGGGCGGTGGAGGAGGAGGAGGAGATGTTGGTAGAGGATTGTGAAGAAAGGGGTGTAGTTGAAGGGGGTTTCGTCTATTGAGGCGGTCGCTGATGGTGGTGGTGGTGGTGATGGATGTGATGACTTGTGGAGAGGAGGGGGAGACGGGGGTAGGTCGAGGCTGTTCCACCATTTGTGGACTGAAGTTGTCAAGACGAGGACGGATGTCTGGGAGATGGAGCGGACGAAGATGGATTTGTGGAAGAGTTCGAGGGCTTCGCCGGTTAGTTTGCCTGATTCGACGTAACTTGCGAAGGGGGTTTCTTTTCTGGCTTGTTCGACTTCACCCTCGGAGCGGGATAGTAGTGTTGTTGAGGCGTTTGGAGGCGGGAGGTGTTGCAAGGGTTTGTGGACTTCTGCGCTTCCTGGGGGGCAGACGTCAATGTCGGAGTCTTGGACACCGAGGGGGAGGCCTAGGGCCTGGCTGAGGTAGCGGTCTAAAGCATAGGCAGACCAGAAGATGCGCTTGCGGAGGTGACGGTGCTGCGAGGAGGTAGAAAGCTCGCGGTATCGGAATGGACAGCGGTGCAGGCCTGCGTGGAGCATTGAGCGCAGCATGCAGCCGCCGACGGTGGATGCGGTGCGCAGGGACATGGTAGCTACCAGGTAGAGCTGACAGGCGAGCAGAGCCTGCAGAGAGAGAAGATCGTGCCGCGCTGTGAGGGGGCTCAGTAGAGTGTGTATACTGGCGCTGATGGGCGGTTGGATCCTGCATTCCTGAGGCAATGGGAGGCCAGGGCTCGTCAGGCTAGCTAGATGGAAGACGCATTGGAAGATCGTAGTCCAAGAAGCCGTGTGCTTGTTCCGCGATGGCTGGTGATTCTGCGACTGTGGCTTTTCGGAGTACAGAGACTCCATTGCATGCAAGAAGGTTGGCCCATGAATGAACGGGAACAGAGGATGCCAGACTTTGAAGTAGACCATCATCAGGTCGCGAGCCAGAGGTTGCGGCGGCGCCTGGCCGAGGATACAAGCAATCGAGGGGTCATATTCCCACTGTGAAACCGGCGTCTCGTGGGTATTTGGATGCAAATTCTCCTCGCTGCCGACGAGCGTGTCCTCCGGCTGCGGAAATTCAGTTGACGAGGAGCCAAAGGCGCGGCGGACAGTGTTGATGAAGAAGACGCCACTGGACGAGCCCACAAACTGGCTCTCTTGAGGAGAATGGGCTGTCAGCGAGCCAATCTCGGGGGTCTCCATTTTGATCATTTTATCATGGTGGAAAGTGATGAAAAAGAAGAAAAAGAAGAAGTGAGATTGAAGTTGAAGTTGAAGTCGAATGGGAGACCGGAAGATCTTGTTCCGATATACAACAACACAACACCACAACTGCTACAACTTCTACAACAACATTCTTAACTAAAGGCTTCATATTTCATACTTGGATATTTAAAGTCTGTCTATTTCTCCACACACTGCGTTCACCACGTCTTGCGTCTTCGCCTTCCCGCCCAGATCTGCTGTCAGGATTCCGGCCTCACACACTCGCTCAACACAGCCCATCAGCTTGTCTGCCGCGTCCTTCTCACCGATCCATGTAAGCATCTCTGCAGCCGACCAGAATGTTGCTACCGGGTTGGCTACACCCTTCCCAGTGATATCAAATGCACTCCCATGCACTGGTTCAAAGAGAGAAGGGTTCTTCCGTGTTGGATCCAGGTTACTCGAAGGAGCTACACCAATCGACCCAGCAAGTCCAGCAGCCAAATCCGACAGGATGTCCATGTGCAGGTTCGTTCCAACAATTGTGTCCAAGGAGTCGGGCTGGGCTACCATCCGAATGGTGATCGCATCCACCAGCATCTTATCCCAGTCGACATCTGGGAAGTCCTTGGAGACCTCCTCCGCTACTTCGTCCCAGAGAACCATCCCGTGGCGCATCGCATTGCTTTTAGTTACAACCGTGAGCTTCTTGCGCGGTCGCGAGCGGGCCGTCTCAAAGGCGAAACGCATGATGCGCTCGATGCCCACGCGGGTGAACATGGCAAGCTCTGTAGCTGCTTCCCACGGCTGGCCGATGTGGCTGCGGCCGCCTTGACCGCAGTACTCGCCTTCGGAGTTCTCCCGAACAAGTACCCAGTCGATACCGTTCTTGGCTGTGTTGAGGGGGGTCTTGGTGCCAGGGAAGGTCCGGACGGGGCGGACGTTGGCATATAATTGAAGAGGGCTGCGGATCTTCAACAGCAAACCCCAGAGGGAAACGTGGTCGGGGACATCTATCACTGTTAGACGGAGGAACCACTTGCAGAGGGAGGGAAACTCACCGGGATCACCAACAGCGCCGAAGAGAACCGCATCGAACTTGCGGAGAACATCCAAGGCATCGTCCGACATGAACTGGCCGTGTTTCTTGTAGTAGGTTGTTCCCCATGGGATATGGGAGAATTCAATCTGGAAGCCCAGCTTGGAGGCGAGCTTGTTGACGACCTCGATGGTGGCTGACACCACTTCCTGGCCAATGCCGTCACCTGGGATTGAAGCAATTCGATGCATCTTCTGTGTCGTATTTCTGGTGGTTGTTGTTGGTGTTCTGGTAGTGGGTGCATATAGCTCGTTATATAAGGTGGGAGTATATCGGTAGAACAATCTGCCTGATCTGTCCCGAGCCCCGCAGTCTGTATCCGCCATCGGACATGCTTCCAGTCTCTTCTTGGGCAACAAATCCGATAGAAGTCTCTAATTACATTGAGTATGAGTTCATGTCGACTTTACGGGATTGGTATTCCGAATTGAATTGAGATTTCCGATGTTGGTCGTGGGACGCAGTCATCCACTACCAGTAGTCCCGATCTCGCATGAACTGCAGCCGGGCTTGTATGACTTTCTCTTAGCAGCCATAGCCCAGAGACAAGCACAATAAAAATGAACACCATGTAGATATATTCTTCAGTTTGCATGTTCACATTAGTGCCGGACTCTCAAGTCCGCGCCAGGAGTAGAAAACATACTCATTGCCCATCTTGACTGGAAGCATCTCAGGAAACAGAAGAACTTGGACGACGTCGGTGCTAACCCGCACCCTAGGACTTACGGTATATGGATGCATTGAGTTGACCTACTATCGACGTGGTAGCCACATATAAAATGGATACCACTTTGTATAGAGAAGAGCATGGAACGGATGAAGACGAGGCCTTGTTCTCGTACTATATCATGGCATGCAGTCCAGCAGCCGTTTTTCCCCCTCTTTCTTTCCACTCAAAAGACTTAGTATATAATGAGAAATCCTTTATAATAGAGATAATATTGTAAAAAGGATAGAGTAAAACTGATAATGTGTGTAAGTCACGTGAATGGATGCCATATTTTCTGTCCCCACGCGACACCAACTTGTCATCCCCAGCTCACATCACACCCTGCATTAATTGTATTTATTCCTCAAGATGCCTGTCCGATCTCAATCGCGCATTACAACCGCGTGCAACTCTTGTCGCCTGCGCAAACAAAAGGTAAGCGTCTCCCCCCCAGCAGAGCCAGGCTAATCCTGCAGTGTAGTGGAAACAGGTAAGCATCACAACACTGCAACCACACAACTCTAATGAGAATAAAGGCCAAAGTGCATACAATGTCATGACCACGGGAGAAACTGCGACTGGCCCGAGCAGCTGAAGCGGTATTTATGATTTGACTCCGAGCAAGTCTCAAATGCTAATCGCAACAGAGGACCCGCAAAAGGCTACATCGAGGCCCTCGAGCGCCGCCTCCATGAAACAGAGAATGTCCTCTTAGGGCTTTTGGAGCAGGTTTCCGACTCCCAGCTTGCAGGCATCCCACATCCCACGGCGCAGCTCCGGTCGGGGAAACGGGGCAATGAGTACTGGGGCTTATTCCCGCTACGATCTGTGCAGGAGATCCGGTCGTGGCAGGAGGACTGCCAGCGATCAGCTCCAGAGCATGCTTCTAATTCTACTTCCACGGGTAATCTTGACCAGCCGACGTGCGCTACTCCCGCTGCTGTAGATGCACCTGTGATGCAGGAACAGTCGCAGAGGCTGCAGGTGCAGGAGAGCCCGGAACCGCAACCGAGCGTGAGTGCGTGGAGTGGAGCTCCCTCGGCGAACTTCCAGCAGCGGTTTCTGTGGTAATTCTTATTCGCCATCTCCCCTCGACGTCAAGAATCGGGCTGTTTAAGGGGTACTCCCGGGTTCTGGGGATCCCCCAGCCTCCGCAGCCCCGCAAGCCGACCAGGTTAGCCAACTCAGCCGATGGCTTAAGGGACGGATTGCCCCACGGCGCAGCTATTCATATGCAGCGCCGATGTGACAGGAGTCAACTATCAAACAAAGTAATGGCTTTCAAAAAGGTCAGTCTTCTGCCCGCACAAGAAATGGCGGACTAGACTAATACGCAATAGATCATCATCGTCGGCGCAGGCCCGTCCGGTCTCATTCTCGGCCTCCTCCTCGCCAAACAAGGCGTGGAAGTCGATCTCCTCGACGCCGACACAAAGGTCAACGACCAACCGCGCGCAGCACACTATGCCTCCCCGGCTGCCTACGAGCTCGACCGCGCAGGTGTTCTGGACGATGTGAAAGCCCGCGGCTTCACCTTCAAAAACATGGCCTGGCGCAAGCCCGACACCACGTTCGTGGCGGGGACCACCACCGAGCATCTTCCTGCAGACTACCCGCACCGCATGGTGGTGCTGCCGCTCGACCTCCTTGGCCAGCTGCTTGTCGAGCACATCGAGCGCCAACCCACGGCACATCTCAAATGGTCTCATCGCGTCCTGAAAGTCGGACAGGATGCAGACCAGGCCTGGGTAGACGTTGAGACTCCAGCAGGCCAGCAGCGCATGCAGGCAGACTATATCATCGGCTGCGACGGCGCAAGCAGTACCGTTCGCCGCGAGCTCTTCGGGTCCGAATACCCAGGTGAAACTCTCAACGCGCAAATCATCGCCACAAATGTACTCCCATACTCATCCCGATCTGCAACACAGTATTAACGATTACCAGGTCTACTACGACTTCTCAAAGACCCTCCCCTCAGACTCAAACTTCATCATCCACCCGGACAATCTCTACATGGCGGCCCGAATCACAAATGACGGGCTGTACCGGGTCACATACAAGGAAATCCCCAACCTCAGCCGCGAGGAATACATCGCCCGCCAACCAAAGCGCTACGAAGACATTCTCCCGGGACACCCGAAGCCGGGAGAGTACAAACTCACCAATATCTCCCCGTATAAACTACAGCAGCGCTGTGCACCCTCGTTCCGTGTTGGGAGGGTCGTCCTCGCGGCTGATGCGGCGCATCTGTGTAACCCTTTGTGCGTTGGTCCCTAGATACCCCCTAAACAAAAATCCCATAACTGATAATTTGCTGCAGCGGCGGTCTCGGCCTAACAGGTGGAATCGCGGACGTGGGCAGTCTCTACGACGCGCTAATCGGGATCCACAAAGGACTGACGGACTCCAGCATCCTTGACAAGTATGCGGAGATCCGCAGACAGATCTGGGTGGAGATTATTGACCCGATGTCGCGGGAGAATTTTGCGCGCTTGCATCAGGACGCGGACACGGCGCACGAGAATGATCCGTTCTTCAAGGTCTGTATACAGGCGGAAACGGATAAGGATCTGAGTAGGGAGATTGCGTTGGGGTATGATAAATTGAGGGTTGATATGACGCAGTTTTATACTAAGAATTAGTTGTTTAGATACTTTAGTATATAGTCTATTCATCCAGTACATCTATCAAGAAACAACCTTCTCCCCCCTCAACTCCTGAATCTCCCCCGGACTAAACCCAATCTCCCCCAAAATCTCATCCGTATGCTCCCCCAGCAACGGCGGCGGACGCCTCACACTCGGCTCTGCCCTCGAATACTTCACCGGCGGACTAATCACCTTAAGCGGCCCACAAGCCGGATGCGCAATCGTCTGCACCATCCCTCTCGCGCGGACATGCTCATGCTCCATAGTCTGCTTGACATCGTTAACAACAGCAAAGGGCAGCCCGCTCCCCTCGAAGCGCTCCGTCCATTCCGATGTCGTAGACTTGCTCGTTTCCGCCTCGATCAGCGATTCCAGCGCCGTGCGGTTCGTGACTCGGTCTGTGTTTGTGAGGAAGCGCGGGTCACTGGCCCATTCTGGTTTCTGCAGTCGCGCACACAGAATACCGAAGAGGCGGTCGTTTGCGCCGCCGACGAAGATGTCGCCGTCTTTTGTTGCGAAGGATTGGTAGGGGACGACGGATGCTAATAACATATCAGTTAGCAATCTCTCCTCTTTCTTTCTCAGGTTAAGATAGGGTAGGGAATGTACGATGCGCAGTCCCCCACCTCCCCGTATCCTTCTCCCCCGAAACCAACACGCCCTCGCCCATATTCGCCAGCGTCGCAACCTGGCAGTCACTCAGACAGACATCCAGATGCTGCCCTTCGCCCTTGCCCCCAGTCCCATCCCCAGGCTCAACACTCTGACTCCGCGCCCATAGCGCCGCAAGAATACTCTGCACGGCATACAACCCCGTCGTCAAATCCGTAACTGCAACACCAACCTTCACCGGTGGACCATCCCTACTCCCTGTCAGATGCGCAAGCCCAAACTCCGCTTCGACCATCACGTCGAATCCGGGTCTGTTACTGTATGGCCCTGTTTGGCCGTACCCCGTGATGGAGGTGTATATCAGCGACGGGTTTATCTTGGATAATGTCTCATAGTCCAGCGCGTATTTCTTCAGATTATGCGGGAGGTAATTCTCCACTAGGATATCTGCTTCTTTGGCCAGTTTGTGCAGGATGGATTGGCCCGAGGGCGTTGCGAATGACAGCGCGAGACTGCGTTTGTTGCGGTTTACCTGGGGATGCTAGTTTTAGTCGTAATTACCACTTGGTTTTGAGACTTGAGACTTGGGCTGCGTACAGAGAGGTAGTATGCGCTCTCGCCGTTTCCTTCTCGGCCGTCGATATAGGGTGCGTAGGGAGGCCCCCAGGCGCGTGTGTCGTCGCCGCGAACGGGGTGTTCGATTTTGATTATATCTGCGCTGGGAGCAGTTAGCATTATACCCCTTTTTTTGGTCTAGTGCAGTTAATGCCTACCCCAAATCGCCTAGTATTTGGGTACAGTATGGCTGTTTGTTTGTTAGTTATGTCCAATCTTATGAGATGCGAGAGTATATACCCCTGCTAGGACGCGACTGAGATCGAGCACTTTTAGACCCGCGAGGGGGAGTTTCTTGTTCTTGTTCTTGGTGTTGGTGTTGCTGGCTGTGGTCAGGGCGCGGATGGTGATGCCATTGGGCTTGAATGGGAGGGAGAGGCGGCTGAGCATGTCGACTGCCCGGTGTTGATAGTTGATGCTATTCAGAAAATAGGTTGGAGCTGTATTTTGGAGACTTTTGGTGCTGCCCCACCGGTGGGTTCGACCCCACATGTTTTTTCTACATTTTATTGTATACGTGCGGAGAAGTTGAACAAGGGAATTGAAATTTTGTCAAACTAGGTATCATATATACAGATTTACAGCATCGGCTTCAGGTCAGCCGCAACCTTGAACGGGGCTTCTGTCTTGCTGCGGATCTCGTCGACGGTTACGCCCTCGGCGTGCTCGACGAGGGTGAGGCCGTCGGTGGTGCTGACCTCGAAGACGGCCAGGTCGGTGATGATCTTGGACACGCATCGGGGGCCAGTCAAAGGGAATGAGCACTGGGACAGAATCTTGGCGTTGCCCTTCTTGTCGGTGTGTTCCTGCGCTTGTTAGTAGGGCTTTAGAATAGCACAGATAAGGCACATACCATAGTGACAATAACCTTGGTCTTCTCGGGGTTGGCGACCAAGTCCATGGCACCGCCAACACCCTTGACCTTACCGGGAAGCATGAAGTTGGCAAGGTCTCCGTACTGGCTGACTTGCAGAGCACCAAGCATGGTCATGTCGATGCGGCCAGCGCGGATCATGCCGAAACTCTCGTGGGATCCAAACAGAGAAGCACCCTTGCTCAGAGTGACGGTCTCCTTTCCGGGGTTGATGAGGTCGGGGTCCTCCTCGCCGGGGCGGGGGTAGCCGCCCAGACCAAGGATGCCGTTCTCAGCCTGCAGGAAGACTTCGACGCCTTCGGGGAGGTACGAGGGAGCGATAAGAGGCATTCCGATACCGAGGTTGACGTACATGCCGTCCTGGAATTCCTTAGCAGCACGCTTGACGATCCGCTCACGACGGGCAGTGGCCTCGCCAGAGCCTGGAAGCATTAGCATTTCCCAAAGCAAGCATCAAATCTCGACAACTTACCAGCCTGGAGCATCTCACTAGGATCCTTGGCGAAGGTGAGCTTCTCAATCTGCTTCTTTTCCTGGCTCTGGATAACCTTGTTGACGTAGATGGCCTGCAGGTGGATTTCCTCGGGGCGGAGCTCACCGACCTCGACGATCTGGTCGGCTTCGACGATGGTGTACTTGGCGTTCTTGCCCATGGCCTCGTTGAAGTTGTTCTGGGCCTTGCGGAATTGACAGTTGCCGAGCTTGTCGGCCTTGTCGGCCTTGATCAGAGCGTAGTCACCGAAAATCGATTCTTCCATGATATAAGCCTTGCCGTTGAACTCGCGGGTTTCCTTGGGCTTGGAGTATTCCGCGACCGTTCCGTCCGTGTTGTAGCGCACGGGGAGTTCACCAGTTTGTACTACAGAATTAGACTTGATTCCTAGTTCATGTAGAGAGATAACCTACCGATAGTTCCATAAGCAGCAGGGGTGTAGAAAGCAGGGACACCAGCAGCACCAGCAGCGCACTTTTCAGCAATGGTGCCCTGGGGGGTCAGTTCCAGAGAGAGGTCGCCAGAGAGATACATCTTCTCAAAGACCTTGTTCTCGCCAATAAACGAAGCGATCATCTTACTGATCTGCTTCGACTCGAGCAGCTGGCCAAGACCAGCACCAGGCATACCGGCATTGTTGGAGACAACGGTCAGGTCCTTGATCTCGGGGCGATCACGAACAGCGTTGATCAGGGTGTTGGGGACACCGGAGAAACCGAACCCTCCCACAAGGACTGTGGAGGAGCCCTTCATGTCCGTGATAGCTTCAGCAGCGGTGGAGCAGCGCTTGTCGACAGCAGGTCGAGAGCACGAGGCGGAGAACTGCCGCCGCCAGACGGCGAACGGGCGGACGACCGCAGGGACGGGTCGAGCCATGATGGAGGGCAATTCTGGGGAATTGAAGAGAGAAGAGGGAGCGGAGGCATCTGGAAATAATAAAAGAGCTCCATGCTTGACCGGCTACAGCGTGGGGCTGCAGGATGCGCTGGGGAGAGTCCGACAAAGTGATTATCCGGCCTGCTCTTTGCCGCCATCCGACGTCGGGCTCGCCCTCGGCACCTGCGCTGACTAACCAGGAACTACCATAGTTTGAAGCCCTTCTATTGGTCGAGACTCCTTCCTCGCCCCATCGCGGCTGGCAGATCGGATGTGCGCTCTTCCGACTCTGCCTGAGGCACCTCACTGCAGACTACCTGGTGAGTTTCAGCGGTCAACGAGAAACTGAGACAACAGCCATTGTCACAGATTGTTAAACCATGAGCAGTACGCTCAAAAATCAAAACTGTAAATGGACTGAATAACCACAGGTCCATCCTGGTAAACGTGGTACAACCCGATATAGCCGAAGCATTGTTCGGTAACCTGGTTTATTATCATTGAACCATAAATTCAACATACTACCGAATAATAACAATTAATGCGACCCTATTATCAGCATCAGAGCATCTCAGTTTCTCATCTCGAAAATAGCAGCAGCCTTAAGTTGGATTGATGTATGTGCAACCCTAACCGGAGGGCTCTCTGCTTAGCAATACGTGCTTAAACCGGAATTTCCCTACTACCCGGATAAGGTGATTGGGCTTGGTATTAGGATGTGAATCTATCGAAGATGAGTTAGGATTCTAAACCATGTTATGTATACCCTGTCTAGTTTGGGGTTCATAGTCCATGCAATCCACCATAAAATAACAAACTAAGTGGTCACCCCACCGCCTGCAGCTCACCGTTCATCTGAGCTGTCTGGACTGGGAGCTGTGCATGTGGGGTTGACTCAGGAGTCACTATCATCCCGGAAACTCGGATATACAGAAGTTGTATATGATAATATGAGTTGGTAGTGGTGGGGCGACCCCACACTACACCGTACAGACATCTCCGCACGCTTCAAACATACTCAACACAACATACCTGCCAACACCTTTCTCTTTCTTTCCAAATAATATCTCAAGCCAAAATGTTCCGCAACGCGCTCACAAAAACCCCCCACGACATCGTCATCCTCTCCTCCGTCCGCACCCCCATCACCCGCGCCTTCAAAGGCGGCTTCAAAGACAGCTACCCAGAAGAACTGCTCATCCCAGCCCTACAATCCGCCATCCAACGCTCCGGCATCCCCTTCTCCGCAGTCAACGACGTGCTCATCGGCAATGTTCTCGCGGAGCTGGGCTTCGCAAAGACAGGCCGCACCGCGCTCAATGCAGCGGGCTTCCCCAATTCTACGACTTTCCATACCGTGAATCGTCAGTGCAGTAGTAGTCTGCAGGCGATTACGCATGTGGCGCATGCGATTGCCGTTGGACAGATTGGGGTTGGTCTTGCCGGGGGTGCGGAGAGTATGAGTAGGAATTATAACCCGAGTCGCGGGATTCCGAGGGATGTGTCGCCGCTTGTGCTTGAGTCTGGGGTGAAGGATGCGTTGGATTGTCTGGTGCCGATGTTGAGGACGAGTGAGAATGTTGCGGAGCGGTATGGGGTTGGGAGGGGGGAGCAGGATGAGTTTGCGGTGGAGAGTCAGAGGAAGGCTGCTGCGGCGCAGGCACAGGGGAGATTCAGCGAGGAGATTGTGCCTGTTAGTGCGAGGAGGATGGATGCTGAGACGGGCAAGGAGACGTTTGAGATTGTGGATAGGGATGATGGAGTTAGGGCTGGGGTTACGCTACAGAAACTGGCGAAGCTGCAGCCTGTTCTGGAGGGGGGATCCTCTACGGCTGGGAATTCGTGAGTATCCATCCATCTATATCTATCGGAAGTTTGTTAACACTGGTAGATCGCAAATATCCGACGGGGCATCTGCGACTATCCTGGCCAGTCGGGCGTGGGCTGAGGCGCATGGGATCAAGCCGGTTGCTCGATTTGCAGGGACTCAAGTTGCAGGCTGTGCCCCAGACGAGATGGGCGTTGGGCCGATTGATGCCATCCGCAACCTCTACAAGCACAGCGGAGTCTCGCAGAGCGATGTGGATATCTTCGAGCTGAACGAGGCATTTGCCAGCCAGTCCATCTACTGCATCAGGGAGCTTGGAATCGACATGGCCAAGGTCAACCCGAACGGCGGTGCAATTGCACTAGGGCATCCTATCGGGGCTACAGGAGGACGCCAGACGGCAACACTGCTGGCAGAGCTGAAGAGACAGGACAAGGAGGTTGGCATTGTGAGCATGTGCGCGAGTACGGGGATGGGCGTGGCCTCGCTGTTTATTCGGGAGTAACTGTAGTATAACTCGTATAATAAGCACATATCTCATAGATTTAGTATAGTAACTGCATATTTAGTCGAATTAGCCCCACAGATGAACCCTCGTGGGGCCCCGGATTGCATATTTGAACTCAGTATTCAGTATTCAGTACTCTACCTCTCTTTCCATCTCCTCAATCACAATGTCCCTCTTCGCGCAGCTCTCTCGTGCCTCGCGCCCACTGCGCATCGCACGCATCCCCAGACGCAGCATCGGCTCCGTCAGCGCCATCGACTCCAGCATCTTCCGCACGCTCTTCGGCACAGACCAAATCCGCAAAGTAAACCCCCCAAATATATATAAAAAAATAAATAAAAAAAAAACTAACAAGCCAGGTCTTCGACGACGAAGCATACATATCACGATGCATCGAAGCCGAAGCCGCGCTCGCCCGCGCCCAGTCCAAATGCGCCGTCATCCCACCACACATCGGCTCCCTCGTCACTAGCAAAGTGCTCGACTCTTCGTCTCTGGATATGGAGCGCCTGCGCCACGAGACAGAGATAGTCGGGTACCCGATCCTGCCTCTCGTGCGGCAGCTGTCGGCCATGTGCGGCGCCGACGCAGGCAAGTACGTGCACTGGGGCGCCACGACGCAGGATATCATGGATCTCGCCAGTGTATTGCAGATGAAGGCCGGGCTGGAGATTGTGGAGGGGCTAGTAAATGATATCATTGGAATTCTGCGTGGGTTGTCGGTGCGGTACCGTGATACGCCTATGGCTGGGAGGACGCATCTCCAGCATGCGCTCCCTGTGACGTTTGGGTATAAATGTGCCGTGTGGCTATCTGGGTTTCAGAGACACCAGGCAAGGCTGGCGCAGTTGAAGGAGAGGGCGCTGTTGGTGCAGTTTGGGGGTGCGGCGGGTTCTCTTGCGTCGTTGGGGGATGGGGATGATGGGATCCGCGTGCGTAAGGCGTTGGCGGAGGAGCTGGGTCTTGTTGATCCGCCTATTACGTGGCATGTAGCGAGGGATGGGGTTGCGGAGGTGACGAACTATCTTGCGCTGTTGGGTGGTTCCATGGGGAAGCTTGCGCTGGATGTGATTATCATGTCGTCGAATGAGCTGGGCGAGGTGTCTGAGCCGTTTGTGCCGCACCGGGGTGCGTCGAGTACGATGCCGCAGAAGCGGAATCCGATTTCGTCGGAGGTGATTTTGGCGGCGTCCAAGGTGCTGCGCTCGAATGCGGGCCTGGTGCTGGATGGGATGGTTGCGGACTTTGAGAGAGCCAGTGGGCCGTGGCATCTGGAGTGGGTTGCGGTGCCGGAGAGCTTTGTGCTTGCTGTTGGGGCCCTGGAGCAGACCAAGTTTGCGCTGGGGGGGTTGTGTGTGCACTCGGAGGCTATGCTGAAAAATCTACATTCTACGAGGGGGTTGATTGTGGCCGAGGCGGTTATGATGGGTCTTGCGCCGTTTGTGGGCAGGCAGAGAGCGCATGATATTGTGTATGAGGCTTGTCGGGAGAGTATTGAGAACGGAGTGAGCTTGGAGGAGGAGCTGCTGAAGAAGACAGAGGTGACGGAGAAGATGAGTGTGGAGAGGGTGAGAGAGCTGTGTGATCCGGTGAACTACTTGGGAGCGTCTGGAAGAATGGTGGACGATGTTCTGGCTGTTGATTAACTATAGTATTGGTAGTTAGGATGTATGTAACTATGTCCAGCTGTATAGCTTTGTATAGCCTCATAGGCTGCTCTCCACATCGCCCCGCAAACACCATCCAAATGAGCCTCCGTGATATCGGAATCAATCCACGTGGAGCTCTGGTTCCATGAACTGCTCCCGCTTAACTTCAGCCAAACCAAACATGTGGGCCAAGCTGCTCCACATAGAAGTCACCCAGGCACTCCTTATATTTACATCCTCGACGGTATACTCCGTACTGCTCAACTACTCACATCTCACATCACATCAAAATGGCCGCCCCTCCAATCAAAGAACGCACCCCTATCAAGGATCTGCAAAAGGTCTTCCACTACACCGACACCATGACCCGCAAGCCAACCCGCGACAACGACCCGTACGAGTACATGGCCGGCTTCGGCAACAGACACCAGTCCGAGGTGATCCCAGGCACGCTGCCTGCTGGTCAGAACAATCCTCAAGCCCCGAGATTTGGTCTATACACGGAGGGCATCACATATTCGGCGTTTACGGCGCCCCGGCATTCGAACTTCAGTACTTATATGTACCGCGTTAGACCGGCTGCTGCTCATAGTATGTTATAACCTGCTTGACTTTGCTTTAGTTAACAATATGAGTAGATGGATACAATACCAATATCCAGCACAAGGCAGACATCGAGAACTGCTTCTTAACGCTTAACCCGCGAGTTGCTACGCTGGCAGAACAGGGCGAGTGGTCTCCCTTCCCTCTGCCCAAAGAAAGCGAGAAGATTGATTTCGTCGATGGATTGCACACCATCGGCGGGAGTGGTGACCCAAATCTACGTGAGGGCATTGCGTTATATGTCTTCATGGTCAATGCCGATATGGACCACCGAGCCTTCTGCAATACGGACGGAGACTTCCTTATAGTAGCGCAGCTGGGTAACTTGGATATCCAAACCGAGCTGGGGATGTTATTCGTCCAGCCCGGCGAGATCTGTGTTATCCCGCGCGGAATCCGCTTTGCTGTGCGTTTGGGCCCTGGCCATTCTGTTGCGAGAGGGTACATTACTGAGGTATGGGGGTCTCGATGGGAGCTCCCTGACTTGGGTCCGCTTGGTGGCCACGGACTGGCGAATCCGAGGGATTTCTTGCACCCTGTTGCGCACATTGATGAGAATTTGCATGAGGATTGGACCGTGGTTAATAAGGCGAATGGGCTGTATAATGCTCTTGAGCAGGATCACAGTCCGTTTGACCTTGTTGCATGGCATGGCAATGTCGTTCCCTACAAGGTACCTAGCCCTACCTCCGCCTACTTCTCTCGTTAACAGTGTTTAGTACGACCTGACCAAATTCTCCTCCCAAAACGCAACCTCCATCGACCACACCGACCCATCCGTGAACTGCGTCCTGACGGCTCCTTCTCGCGACCCCGTCACCCCTCTCGCCGACTTCCTCTGGTTCGGCCCCCGCTGGGACGTTGCCTCGAATACCTTCCGCCTGCCTTACTTCCACCGCAACTCGGCGACGGAGTTTCTGGCCTCTCTGTACGGGAATGGCCTTGGCCGATCTGACGACTTCTTACCGGGGGGTGGGAGTGTCGAGATCAGTCATACGCCGCATGGGAATTTCAGTCCCGAATATGTTTGGGAGAGTAGAGAGCAGGTTAATGAGCCGAGGAGGATTTTGGAGAGTACGTTTCCTTCCCCCTTTCTTTCTTTTCCTATAAGAATTGTCGGCTAATAAGTTAGATCAAATGACTATTATGGTCGAGAGCAGCCGGTCGTTCCTCTTCACCGAGTATGCGCGCTCTGGCTGCGGTGTGTTTAAAGACCAGGGCACCGATCCGAGGGTCTGGGATGCGCTGCCGGATAAGTTTTCGTCTTATCCTCATATTCAGGAGATATTGGAGCAGGTGAAGAAGGATAAGCAGGAGAGAAAGGAGCGGTTGGAGGTGTTCTATGATGATACACGGTTGGCTGAGTTGGTGAAGTGATGTATATCAATGGCAAGATCATTACTATATATACATAATGTTGTTTCACTGTTGGAATTGGAATGCTTCTCATTACGGCTAATAACCCTTAATTGTTGTTACTCCTAACTATATATAGCGCTATGCCTAGACTCGGCATTCACATCAGTATTGGCTCCGCCAGCAAGAGTCACTTCAAGTGAAGACGTACCCTGGTACGAGCTGGTGTCGGGAGTTGGCAGACAAGAACTGCCGACTACTCCACCGGTGTACACCGGCGGAGTGTAATCCGCAGATTGTGATCACGTGGATCTGACCAACTTTTGGGACTCCAATTTAACCAATTTAATGAGGCCTCGTAATGATGACCAAGCCATGGATGTGCTGCGAGTCGATCCAGGGCCATAATTGAGCGGCTGTGATTGGCCCAGCGCGTGACTACCCCGGTTTTTTTGTTCCTCCCCGGGCATACGGCGCGATACCGGGATCACCAGCCAAGCCCTGCGCTTTGGCTGACGTTCCCCGTGCGGTGCCGGTTCCGTACGGTACTGCGCTTTCCCCTCATCAGCTCAACTTCAACTTTCAGCCTTCAACTTCTCTGCTCTTTTCGCTTTCGGCCTCACCGTTGCTCCAGTCTGCAGCTGCCGATATCTGCCCTCCAGCTTGTACTGTCGTCAGATGTGCCCCAGTTACTCGCGCCGCGATATGCATCCATCGCCCTAGGCCCAATCACTTCTTAGCCATTCCTCGCCCTCTCGCGAGTCCATCATGGTCATCCGAAAGTGCAATATCTGTGACCGTCGCTTCAAGAAGACGGAGCACTTCAAGCGCCATGAACGGTCGCGTGAGTTCGGCGACCCTACTGGATCGCGCATCGCTAATAAATATCTTCAGACACCAAAGAAAAACCTTACGAGTGTAGCGTCTGCCACAAGCGATTTTCCCGCAGGTGGGTACCTCCACTTGAACAAGCTGCGCAAGATCCATTTCTAATATTTATAGCGATGTCCTGAGCCGCCATGCAAAAGGCCACAATACAAATGGCACAGCAGCCAACGGCACTGCAACACAGAGCCAGCCGCGCGCTCCATCAATCGCCCAGTCCTCCGCCAATTCCCAGCAGACGCCCGCTTCCCTTGACCCTTCCCGCTTCCTTCCCATGGATGCTGCTGCCGATACGCAATCGCCGCATAACCTCCCTGTCGCGCCGCGTGATATATCCCTTTCTGGCCCTTCGAACATTCCGCCGTCGTCGTTGGATTTCCTCGCTGATATCTCCGCACACCATGGCCGGACCGAGGCGGATGTCGGCTCCATGATGGTTGAAGACCAGCCGGCGTACTTTGGTTGGAATGAGATGGCCGCACAACCAGCGCCCACGGCCATGGCCCATGCCGCGACAGACCAACAGACATACCGAACGCCGATGTTCGACGCCGTGCCGAACGACATGCTGCAGTTCTGGCTGGAGCCGCGCGGAGATACCGGTTCGCATCACGGGTCGCTTGATATGATAGGCGACGCCAATTTCAGTTTAATAGGAGACAACGTTGCCATTACCCCGGAGCAGCAAGCCAGGCCTCAACCGGACGATCTCAGCGGCAAGACTACCAGCGATATTCCGAATGAGCGGTTTGCAAGAGTCCAGCGGTACTGGCTGGCTCCGTCGAACACCACGGGGCGTCTCATGAACAGCCTATGGCGGGACGTGGCCTGTAGCGACGTTGACAATATCTTCTCTATGCATTCTTCTCACTCGTTCAGTAGTCCGTCTGGGCTTCTTCCCGGGTCGCGATACGGCTTGGATGAGGAATGCCGCCAGCAGCTGCAAGCGGCGTTCGGCCATATCAGGCCTGCCGGCAGTCAGTTACAATCGCCAAATAACGCGGTGTCGCCCACGTCCAATTCAGCATTTGGGGGGCGGCCCACCTTCCCTCCGGCAGAGATCCTGGATATGGCGCTTGACTTGTACTTTCGCAATTTCCACCCTCTTGTTCCGTTCGTCCATGTTCCGACGTTTTCTGCAAAGAATACCCGTCTTCCGGTTTTATATGTCATGTGTCTTATTGGGATGATTATGCTGGGTACAAAGGGGACAACAACGTTTGTTTCGAAGAACTTCTCCGTATGTCCGTTTCTTTTATTAATTGGCAGTCGCTGACAATGGGCAGTTTGTTCTGGATAAAATAACTGCAGACCTGGCTAAATGCTCTGTTGGCGTTGAGAATACTATGGGCACCATGAACACTTTTGCAGCAGCCTTTCTTTTTCTAAACCTGGCCGCTATGACTGGGGTAAGCTTATTTGGTCTAGTTGGATAATATATGCTAATTGGAACAGGAAAAGGAGCATCTCGAAAAGTCGCAGATGCTGTATGTCAACCTCATGTCGGTACGTATAATTCTCTGGCCAGTCTTTGCGTCGCTGACAGGATAGATTGCGCAACGACATGGACTATTTTCGGCGACGGAAGGCCAAATCCTCGATATAACTCTCTTTGAAACGGTTCCCGATATTGACATCAGGTGGAAGGTTTGGAGCAAAATTGAATCGGTCAAACGGTACGTTTTTTTAGTAGACTTGTCTGATTAAATGCTGACTTGTTAGGTTAATTACTGGGCTTCTATTGTTGGACTCGTGGTATTCCTCTTTCTTGTCAACTAGCCCTATTATCGTTCCCGATTCGATCCAACTCATTCTGCCCTGCAATGAAGGCCTCTTCCGGGCAAATGGTTCAATGCGATGGATGCAGCTTGTCCGCAGCGGCAAGCGCCTTCTGATGCCAACCGTTATGGCACCGTCGGAGAATGTTACCGTGCCCGGGTTAGATAGCCCCGTGGACGATTTCTGCATTCACGGCGTATTGGCGATGGTCCAGCTCCGTTTATCAGAGGCATACCACCGCCTTTTGTCGAACAGAGCAAGCTACCCATTTGCGCCCTGCCACACCTACGCCATGGACGGGCGTGCTCGATGTTTGCCGTCGCTTCAACTGCAGATCGCAAATAAATACGGAGAGGTCCTTGAATGTCTCAACCCTAATGCCGCGATCATGTGGCACAATATATGCATGACATTAACAGCTGATACTCAAATCTTTGACCTGGCTGCCGGGCGTGCAGGGGCAGGGCCTGCCCGGAAAGCACTAGACGATATTGCAGCGTGGTCGCAGACTCCTGCTGCCAGAAGAGCCTGTCTTCACGCGGCTCACATATATAAAGCCATGACCAACCGGAAAGCGTCCGATCACACCATGTTCCACTCTGTCTTCTCCCTATTCTCCGCCGCGCTCGTCCTTGGCCTGTACATTTTCATGGTGCCGAGTCCGAGTGAGGTCCAAGTCGGTGGAACGTCAATCGAACTACTCGATGATATCGATTGGGAGCGGGTTGGCACAGAGGGCTTCACCAGCTTCATGGAGCCCCGTGGGAGCCAGTCTTTTACTCCCTCGGATGACCCAGCTGTGAACTTCATCCGCAACGGGGGTACGATCTATTTCCGCGGCGTACCTTTCCAGGGAGGATATCAGTCTGCACGGCGGATTCTCCTGGACTACGCGGGCTTGTTGAAGGATGCAGGGAAGTGGAGCGTACGCAAGTTCTCCTACGTACTTCACATCATGAGCGATGTTCTCATGGAAGTTGAGTAAGATGCCTGTCTGTCACCGGTCTGAATAGCAGCGCTGGACATCGTACAGGATACCTTACTAAAACACTTCGGTCCGATTTAATCAAGGAATACCATGTGTCTCGCTGGCTGGACCAGCAACATACGTCTCCTTATAATGACTCCTCACGGCCATCAGTGTACGACTAAATATTTTTTATGAGATACCAATCAAAACTTGATACACTACATGAGCTCGCTCCCCCTTACTCTACTCTAAACCAGGCTCCGATCCATCACTCGCGTATGCAACGTATCCAACTCCTCCGCCGAAGCATCAACCCCAGGCAACTCCACCGCATCCGCATCCTCAAGCCCCGAACTCCCCTGCGGATCCCCCCAAAGCACCACCCTCGAGCACCCATGATACTCCTCCCCATACCACAGCGCCTCCCCATGTCCATGTCCATCCTCCTCTTCATGACTACTATGACCATCCCCCTCCCTCCAAACCTGACACCGACACCCCTCCCCACCCGCAACCTCCATATCATCCCCGGGATTCCGCTCGCGATACCTCCCCACACAAAGCCCATTACACACCGCATTCGGCAAATGCAGCACATCCTCAAGCACCAGCGTATTCGGGCGGTCGTCGTCCGGCGCTCGCCGCACTTTCAGCTCCACCGTCCCCACGCCTAACACGCGGTTCTTGTTGATTTTCCCCGGCGCGCGGCGGTATGTGCGGAACGAAGAGCGGTTTTTGGCGTAGTGCATGTTTCCGGGCACGAGGATCCAGTCCCAGCATCTGCTGCTGCTGTTACCGTTGTTGCTGGCATTGCTGGTGGTGGAGTTGGTGCTGCTGGTGCTGCTTTTGTTGCGTCTGTGGTTGGATTTGGATTTGGATTTGGATTTTGTTGCGGTGGGGAGAGGGGGGAGGGAGCTTGGTGGGTGGGCTATGGTTCTTGCGTGTGTTGAGGTCATGGTTTATTGTATTATGTTGGTTTGTCGATTTGTCGATTCGAGTATGTTGGGCTATATTGATTGCGCTGAGTTGAGTGCTGTATCTGAGCGGTTATGGAGAGGGTGTTCAGACGTATGCAGTCGAGGCGAGGAAACGAGAACACAGGATATGAAACCGTCAGAAGGGTAATTTGCGTATTGTATATATTGTCGAACTCGAGCGTCGTTTAATCTAATTGTCTTTCGCTCATGTATGTGGATTCGGATGCTGCTCCTGTCTCGACTCTTGTTGTGGCAAACGTTCTAGAATGCCACTTCGCTGGTTCCGACGAGCGCACAATGGATGTCGGTCTAGAATATGGAGCCACTGGGATAAATAGAGTGACTGGATTGGATCTCCTTTCTGATATTGGGTCCGTTGATGGGCTTCAATCCGGTGGTCGATGTCTTGACGTCAATTGTGGCAACGGTGATACGCGTATACTTAGGGCACAATCGGACATGACTTCAAGCTTATGCTAAGCTTCTACCAAGAATAACAGTGTGGTATCAATGTGTTATATATTCTAGTGTGCTGTCAAATAAAATGCATAAGTCATGCGTCGCATACAATGCAGAAATCATTTATAGAGAATCCCGTCCACAACCTCAGCAATGCTCAAGCAACTCGTCAACCCCGGGCTCTCAATGCCTAGCAAATTCACAAACCCGGGGAATCCTTCCTCCTCCTGGATAATGAAGTCCTGGAACCCTGCCCCCGTGTTCACTGCTCCCGCTTTGGACAGCTTCGGTCGAATCCCACAGTAATCCAAGTGGATCGCTTCGGGGTCAACATTCGGCAAGTAAGCCTGGATTTCCGGGATCGCGAGTTGCAGTCGATCGGCGCTCGGCTTGAGATCATTCGGACTATCAACCCACTCCACATCTGGGCCGAAGCGTACCTGGCCGCCCATGTCGAGGGTGAGATGAGTTCCTAGACCACCTTGGCCTGGCATTGTCGCGGGGTAAACAAGGACGGAGGGGGGCCCCGTTGGGAAGGAAGCGCCGTAGGAGAAGTATGTCCCCTTTGCATAGAGTGGCGTCCGGTGCCGTTCAACGGGGAGAAGCATGTTGTTAATATTGCAAGCATAGTTCCCCGCGCTGTTTATCAACGTCTCTGCGACTATGGACGTAGTAGTCTCCTCTTCACCACCTCCTCCAGACCGTGCTGTAATCTTATACCCGCCTTTCCCACCATCTAGAGCTTCTATCCCAATCACCTGGGTAAGGAACGCACAGTCCCCACCTTTGTCCTCCAAGTCCCCTTGTAAATATGTCATCAGCGAATGACTATCCACTATCCCCGTCGAGCCGCTCTCCAGTATCCCTGCGCGCCCGCGAACCTCCGGCTCACGGCTCGCCGCTTCAGACTGCGAAAGCAAACGAGTCGGCACACCAAGTTGTTTCGCAAGCTCATGGACCTTCAGCGTAGCATCCCACTGTTCTTCGTTCTGTGCGACGACCCATTTCTTCGTGTTCCGGTGGGGTATCCCATTCTTTGAACAGAGATCGTAGAGGAGGTTCTTGCCGCGGATGCAGAGCTCGCTCTTTCGAGAGGATGCGCCGTAGTACAAGCCGGCATGAATTACCTATTCGGGACCGCCAGAGTCGGTCAGTGAGTCAGCCCACTATGCCCGTATCACCCCTCTTGCAATGGGTATGTTCGGTTATAGGATTGAAAGCTACCTCCGAGTTCCGGCTACTCGTCTCGGTCCCCGGGGCATCATGCCGCTCGAGGAGGATCGTGGATGTGTTCGGGCGCGAGGCTAATTGGCGTGCGACTGCGAGGCCGACAACACCACCGCCGATGACCTATTATTCAACGGTAAGCTGGTCAGCTATGAGTTGGCGCTGATCGTGAGGTGGACAAGAATGGGGGATGGGGCCCGTACTGCGTGGGTGACATCTGCGGAGGACGCGCGGGTGGTGGAAAACTGGCGGCGGGGGAGACGAAAACTCGCGCGGACGGAGAACCCTGCGCGGGTGGCCATTGAAAGATATCTTTGATGCCGGATATTGGGTAGTGAATTACGGTGTCCTTCTCATTATATCACCGCGGACCATTCGGTTAATATAGATGGTGGAAGAGTGGCGGTGGTTGAGCTCTCGGAGTTCAAAGTTGGGGAAGGTGGAGCCGCACAGGTCGGAGCCTACTGAGAGGAACAGGAAGGTAACGACGGATACCGACGAGCATTTCGGTGCCGAGTGACGATAATATGCAGGGTATATACATTATCTACGGCTCAGCTATTCTATCACTAAGCATTCAATATTATACAGGTGGTCAGTCAGCCAAGTTATCTGTGTCGCGTGTCTATATCTAGGTATCTCGCCCGTCTAGCTGCGCCGCCCCACGTTCTTCAGCATTTCGTCAAAGTGCTGCCACGATTAGCTACGACCATTTCGTCATTCAAGGGGTTAAACTCACCTGCTTCTGTTCAGTTGCTAGCTTGCCTTGCGTGTCCTGCTCCAGTCAGTATATGTAACGCCAGTGATGAGGGATCTACGTACGCTAATAATAGTCAGGATCAATGAATAGTTGTTGTAGAGGAACCGCTCCCGTCGCTTCGCATCTCCGCCAATCCGGCTGAGTTTGGTCAAGAGTCCGTCAAATTCGGTGGTCAACCGAGAAAGACTATTCGCTACGGGCTCATCGTCGCCCGCTTCGCTGCTGAGCACGAGGATACCATGAAGCAGCTGCCCAAAGCGCTGCGTCAGGAAATGCGGTGCGGATGACTGGTTAAGGTCGTCGCCGCCCGCAAGAGACAAAGCAGACACCGCACTGCGGCCGGTGTTCCCGCCAATCCTTTTTAGCGACTCGCAATGGGTGTCCATGATTACTTGGAATCGGGGCCACAGTTGCATATTGATTCCGTTGATATACGAGTCTGCCATGGGCACCTTCCGCCGTTGAAGCTCGAATGCTTCTTGTTGGTTCAATCTTACGCACATCAGCACACCGAGTGAATCGGTGGTGTTTTCGATGAGCTGCTTAGTCAAACCCTGGCCCAGGGAAAAGACCGAACTAAATACCTCCGAAGCCTTTCGAGATATCTGTTGGAAGGACAAGGTCGAGAACATCTCAGTCATGAAGGAATATTCCGCTGAAACATTGTCCAGCAATGCGAGATTAAAGTTGCGGAAGGGGACTTCGATGCCGTGGAAAGATGAGTCCTCCTCCGCAAGGTATGAAGAGATGGCCATCTGGTTACCGGTCCGTAGGATATCAACCCTTCTTCCTAGGGAGAAGGGATCGTGCGCCGCGGCGCCACCCCGGTTACCGGGGACTATGTTACCTGCAGCATGTTAGTCACACTACCTTGACTCGAATGGCAAATACGAACCAGCTTTTTGGGCGTGAGGTTCCCCTCCCAAGACTTCGTTCCGGTCACTAGGGTAGAGTTTGATCTTCGATAATGCCTGAAGATAGCGGGTGAAGTGCGAAAGATAGTACCAGCGCATAGTATTGATGTATGCCTGAGTAATCTCCGCCGCCAGAGTGGGATGAGCACGTGACACATAACTGTATAGATCTTTAAATTTGACCAAGCGCTGTTGCTGGATGATCTGAGCATTGATGTTCGGAGACCGTAGAGCGCGGACTTGGGAGACCAAATAATCTCGGATTCTCTCCACGGCCTAGGACTATGAATTAGAACGCGCATAATATAAGGTGTATTCAAATAAACTGACCTTCTTCTTCACATCCTCCAAAAGAGGCCGTACGTCGTCAATCGCTTTGGTAGAGCTAGAGCTGGCGGTCTTGGCGTCTATACTGGCGGTCCTGGTCTCGAATTCGTTCAAAGCCTTGACCCAGTTTTCGTCAATAGCGCCCTCAGCAATCATCCGTACAGCGGCTGGAGAGATACTGATCTCTTCTACCGCGGGGCCAAGTAATTGCTCGACATTTCTTCTGTTTCCCAGCATGGCGTTCAACTGAACTGACCGCGTTTGGAGTGTCTCAATCTCTGCCGAAACCGCACCTAGTTCATTCTGGAAGTCGTTCAAGTACATTTCCACCGACTTAGATACATCGTCGCAGCCGGAAATAGCGGAGTGCAATTCCTGGAATTTGTCCCTTTCTTTTTCGAACTGTTGGATTGTCTGTGGACCGATGCCACCTTTTACCGCTGTTTTCGTCTCAGGTTTATGTATGAAGTCCTCCAAGCTCAAGCCTTCGAAGTCAATATCTTCCACCAACAGCGCCGGCTTCACGGGGCTGAGTTCCCGCCCGGAGCTCCCGGCCTGAGACTCTTCATTGTACTTCTTGATGATTCCATTCAACACATCGAGTGGATCAGCGACATCTGATGGCCGTGGGCTTGTAGTTGCATTCTGCTTTAGCGTCGACTCTTCGGGGACACGTGCGACTGTTGGCAAAGAGGTGGTCGAGGCGCTCGGAGAAGGAGTAACCAGGGCGGACAACGACGACCCTGGTCGACTGATTCCAGGACGACTATTCGGACGATTTGGCGAGAGGTGAGAGGCTGAGGATGATCTCTGGGGTATCGGAGAAGGACCGCGATCCGGTGTCGAGTGACCGGCGATGCGGTCGAGCCACATGTTGGGAGCAGCTGGAGCTTACACGGAGAAGCTGCGGAGGTGTGTTTATGAAGATATCATGTTAGTAGAAGGGCGTCGGAGGATTAATCCGGGGCTAATGAGCGTCTGACTTGAGACTGGCAAAAACGAGGGTATATAGTAGAAGAGAAGCCACCCGGTATAGCTCCAGGTTGTCCCCAAGGCCGGATAATCTGGCTCGATCTGGATATGTGACCGTCGGAGAAACAGTCTGGAGCCGGTTAGGGACGCACTAGCCCAATGGGGTTTAGCGATTGGACCCCGCCACAACAAGACGGGCGATTTGTCGATTTCTTTTCGTGAATTTCCCCTCCTTCGACGCTGCCCTTCATTTTTTTCCTCTTCTCCTCTCTTCTTCAAACCAAACAACCACCTTCTCTTTCTTTTTGTCCTTTTAAGAGTCTCTCTTGTGATTTCCTTTTGCATCCATCACCATGGCTGACGAGGTACTACCCCTTCTTCTATTTACCTGCACCTTTCCGTTCAATTATACCCTGGTTCATCGCTCTGCAGCAGTCACTGGGCTCGAGGTGCCGGGATACAGGAACCAGCCTCTACCCCACTTCATCCCATGACTTGCATCGGATCGAAAGCTCCAGGCCTCGTTGTCCGGCGACGTGTTGGAATATTTGATATGCGATAGTATCAGCGATATGACGAGCAAGAGGACTAACGGTTTTCCGTACAGCACCAAGAGACCTTCGAATCCGCCGATGCTGGCGCTTCGACCACCTACCCCATGCAGTGCTCTGCTCTGCGCAAGAACGGTCACGTTGTCATCAAGGGCCGTCCCTGCAAGATCGTCGATATGTCCACCTCCAAGACTGGCAAGCACGGTCACGCCAAGGTCCACCTTGTCGCCCTCGACATCTTCACCCAGAAGAAGTACGAAGATCTCAGCCCTTCCACCCACAACATGGATGTCCCCAACGTCTCCCGTCGCGAATACCAGCTCGTAAGTATCGATTGGCACCATTAAACATCTGATCAAGCCTTAACATCCACTAGCTCGACGTCACTGATGACGGTTTCCTTTCCCTGATGGATGACAATGGCGGCACCAAGGACGATGTCAAGGTCCCTGAGGGCGATGTTGGTGACAAAATCAACACAATGTTCACTGAAGAAGGCAAGGATTGCAGTAAGTCCCGTCCACCTTTTTTTTTCTCCGACTCCAGAATTTGGACACTTACACTTCTGTAGACGTTGTTATCCTCACCGCCATGGGTGAGCAGGCCTGCATGGAAGTCAAGGAGGCTCCTGCTGCCAAATAAAGAACCATAGTGTAGTGTCTATCTACTGCCGCGCCAGCCCTTACTTGTTTCAAGAGGCGTGTTAATGTATTACCCTTAAACTGGAGGATGATGCTACGTTTTGGGCATAGTATGGCATGACTGATTTCTACTCCATCAGTGTAGTCTTGGGTGTGCTTTGCGAGCAGATTTAGCATGCATTGGGCAGGTCAAGCATGCCTCTCCACGGGACAGTCCTTGAGTTCCATGCTCTTACGATTGTTTGACGAATAAAAAATACTCTTCTTGAAGCCATCAAATCATCATTATATGACGTAACCAGGTATTTTAACCGAAGATGTGCCTGGGTAAGCCTGCTCAGTCAGCTTTCTAGGTAGAAAAATATACTATACGATATTGCGACAAGAAACCTGTAGTATATAAAATAGCCCAAAGGGGTTTTGAGTGTTATGCGTAGATTACTAAAGAGCGCATTCTGGTTGGGGCTCTTCAGTCCCAGAGAATAACGGGAGCGACCACAAAATTCAGGCTGCTTTCACCAAGCTTTCCCAAATGCGGAGGGAGAACATGATGAATTTTGCTGCCAGTACCCTACATGTCTGAGAATGAAGCAGAGCCCCTAAATGGAATACGATACTCGAGAGCGCTGCGGCCAGGAAGGATGCCGTGAAACTCGCTATTTCCTCGATAATGGCCTCTGGTTCTGTCGAAGGGGCCATCAACAAGCGGTATGGCCGAGTTTAACCCCAGCCTTCACGGGAACGCGGTTAGCTGACATCTACTTCGTAGGGTCAACAAGTAGTGGATGATCCCGAAAATTTCGGAACACAGGGCAAGATAAGCCATGTAAAGAAGGCTGCCATTGAAAAAGGCGAGAAGAGTACGGTCACTCGTACCCCAATCATCAACTCAGCAGACGAAGCGTCTAACAAGTACCAGCATATCGCGGTCGCCAGGCGTATCGCCTCTATCTGCATATTTACCAGCTAGTTCTCTGGAAACAGTCCCACGCCCTGGTCCATGGCAAAGGGTTTCCTCCAGAGTTAGAGGTATGAATCCCCCTCCCGTATTCGAATGGACGGAAAGCTAAATACGTGGCTTTAGCACGTCGTTCGCGATCTTTGGGCGCTCCGCTTGGAGACCTACTCTAAAAAGATTGCTGATCTCGGTGATGAAGACTCCCAGCCGGAGTTCTTCAGCTCCCAGCGGCCGAGTGCTCGTGAAGACACTGAGACTGAGACATTCACACCTGGTAGTAAAGTCGTGCAATGGCCCCGACTGATTGATACCATTGCTCTATGCTATCTTGGAGCACTCTTAATGAGGCTCCCAGTAAGCGTTGCAGACTTTCATCGGTATGTCATCTGTGGATGTATGTATTTATCAAACTCCGTCTAATTGTTATTTTAGGATGGCTATGCGCAACGAAATTCCGTATTACAGGGTGTTACTTCAAATTCCCAATGATATGAAGGATAAGTTACCACCAGCGTATCTTGCGCTTCTTGACACCCAGGTATGGTGCGCCCATCATTTTGCGGGCCTTGACTGATAATTTCTGTAGAGGTTATTAAAAGCGGAGGATCTTCATACTGCCGTGTTTGATCTGTTGCTTCTTTACCAACGGCAATTCAAACTGCAATTTCCACCACTAAATACGCCGATCTTACTATACAGGCTTATCAAAAGGCTTGCACTGCCCGGTGTGTTATACCTCGTGCAACCCCTCGAATCGCTGTGCTGACATTTACTAGTTGACATATATCCTGTTACCAAAAAGCTACAGACACTCTTGGGCTTCACATTCGAGTATCCAGTCACAGTTGTTGGCAGACGTAAACCCCTTGATAAGCCAGAACACCAATTAGTCACTCTCGTTGTAATCGCCACCAAACTCCTATTCCCGTTTGACGACATCCAGAGGCATCCAAAATCCGCGCAAGAGCCGACTGTGCAGGCGATAGATTGGGACTCATGGGCAGAAGTCCAGAACCATTTTGATCGTCGAGATGCATCGGCGGGGAGGATCGGCAAAGGAAAGGAAATCCTAGTTAACGAAGAGGATGTGCTAACCATGACTCCTGACCAGCTGGATGAATACATGGACTGGTACGAAACCTCATGGCTTGATCACAGCAAGAGTATGAGTTGTCCGTCTTTTGTAATGTCTACGTCTTCTAACTGGTATAGGTACGAGCCGTTTGGCCCATTTATTCCCTCTAGGCTCAGCATCCAAGGAAAGTCGACAGGCTGAACCGGCAGGCGAAGATGACGAGGAGAAATCTATAGAGATAATGTTAGGAATGGCTCCGCGTTACCTGAAATCAAGAGCCATTGTGAGCGATCCTGACGCGGTTGTGCCACGGCATGGGTCTTCGTATGCTCGTTATCGGCAAGAGTCCGAGCTACCGGATACCGCACGAGTGTTCTACGAAACTGCCGCCAAGGTTACAGGAATGTCTTTACCTACGCTTGTTAGGTGTGTCTCTCAAGCAGAGGTTCAGATCAACAAATGGCTGGAGGATCAAAGACGCCTGGAGTATTCCGCTGAACATCCGATGGAGTTCGCAGGGGGCAGTGACGTTGAAGACATGGAGGGTTTTAGTGATCAGGGTATGCTAGATGAGGAAAACGATTAGCCGTCTCGAAAATTCGTATCTAGGCCACAATCAAAATTAATAGATACCCCCAGTTAACGAAAGCATGAATGATAGTGCTCTCTGCCCGGATCTACTGCGGCTTCCCGGTTAAATGCGGGAAATGTGGAGAACGCCAAATCAGGCGCCCAGGCCATAAGAGCGCCAATCTTAGAACATCGCTAGGGCTTAGGGTATCACCGAGCCCCGTGCCCCGTCCACCGCTTGCTAAGCGAGAAACTCTCCAAATTGACATTGCCTCATCCGACCGACCCTTCCAGCGATTGTCAGCCAGCAACAACGAAAAATCGCAGCCAGTACGTTATACCTTACGATATACCTGTGATATTGTTATTCCGTGAACAGCCAGCTAACATGCCTTTTTTTCTGCGATTTTACAGTGCAGATGTAGGTCCTCCAGAACTTGAATTTCGTCTCCCCATCACTTGCCTCGCCTATCGTCCTCCGATATTTCGATACAAGACTGCCAGACAAAATTAGAAACCCGACAATGAAAACGGAATAGGAACATCTGCTGACTGTTCTTTTGAACAATAGTTTCGTCAAGACCCTGACGGGTAAGACCATTACCCTCGACGTCGAGTCGAGCGACACCATCGACAACGTCAAGACCAAGATCCAGGACAAGGAGGGTATTCCCCCTGACCAGCAGCGCCTGATCTTCGCTGGCAAGCAGCTCGAGGATGGCCGTACTCTGAGCGACTACAACATCCAGAAGGTATGAGGCAACTGTTCACACCGATTTTGAATTCGCGGAAGGAATTGCTTTGGGGATACGCGTTGGGCGGGGCAGTTGCAGGTATCTTTGCGTCAACAATTATGGCGCAAATTATCGTTATTGCCTCCGTCACAATGAGGGGGAGATTTTCTTGAATCTTTACGGATGGAATTGGCCTGGAATGAATTGAACGGTCGACTGACGATACTCTTTTTCCAACGATATAGGAGTCCACTCTCCACCTTGTCCTCCGTCTCCGTGGTGGTATCATCGAGCCTTCCCTCAAGGCCCTCGCTTCCAAGTACAACTGCGAGAAGAACATCTGCCGCAAGTGCTACGTACGTCTTTCTACCCGATGAACAGCCGACATGGTCTCCAACCCCAACAACCTTGTACTGATTCTATGAACAGGCTCGTCTTCCTCCTCGTGCCACCAACTGCCGTAAGAGAAAGTGCGGTCACTCCAACCAGCTACGCCCCAAGAAGAAGCTGAAATAGGCGACTCGTTTTATGTTACGTGTTTTTCTGCGTTGCTGGTGCGGAAGGGTGTGATGAGACGAATTGCAACGCGAAAAAGGTTCCTTTTTTTACAAGCGGCGTTGGAATGTTGAAGAAACATCAGAAGAGCTGGAGTCAATATATTTTACATGGCTACTCTCGGAACCAGTTGCAGTCAATCAAACAATTGTAAAATTCAGTTCCTCCTCGACATGATTTCTACCCTAGTCTTCGTGTAGATAGATAAGGTAAGGATAAAACGTACAATACAGGTGAGGTATACACGGCGAAATAGTCAAAAAAAGGATAATACTAAAGAGACAACTTCAACCGAATATAAATTCCGTGACCAAATGCTGCCTGAGCGAGTCAACAACACCAACTGAGCAGACCAAACAACCTGAACGACAAACCTCGATTTTACACTTAAAACATGAGCCTCTTGTCGTCGTGGTCGTCATGATCATCCCCATCGTCATCATCATGGTCCTTGTCATCACCCTTCTTGGAAACGGGGCTTCCATGCCTACAAATTTCACATCAGTCACATGAACGTAATAGGCCATAAAATCGGGGAACTCACGCAAAGAACAAGATCTTAATCGCAATTGCAAACCCAGCGTGCAGCAGGATAACAAGCACCAACAGCGCCCGGCTAGCCTTCGCATCTGTCGCGCTGAGCACAGGATACAAGTTCCTTAGCAGGAAGAAGACAGTCCATCCAAACCCGACTCCGACAAGCGCCCAGTTCAAGGCCGTCAACGGACTCCAACTAACAAGAGCGACCGCAATCCAGATCAAATTCGAGTAACCATAAAGCGCCCAGCACTCAACAAGGTCAGCGGTCGAGCTCCCGAACCACTTCAGCGCACCCCAGAGAGCGATGGGCAGGACGAATGTATACCCGTAAACGAGACCGGCGGCACCAGAAAGCAAGGTAAAGTCGTACTTGAAGTGGGTTTTGTCGTTGTTTGAGAGCCATTGCGAGATAGTGCCTGTTAGGAAAAGTATGACGATGACAGTTGTCGCAATCCAGAAGGGGCCGTAGAGGTCCGCGTTGCCTTCGAGAACGTCAAGAAAGTTGTTACGAGGGTAGACGGAGGCGACGCAGCGGCGGAGAACTTCGTTTGTGTCGACATCAAAGTATTGCTCGTAGTAGTGGATGGACCACCAGGCGTGTTTGGTCGGCGTGCCTCCTGGGGATCTGTTGCGGCGAGAGGAGCTTCCTCCGCCAGTGCCTATGAAGGCGCCGTTGTCTGGGTGGGATTTGGCATTGCGTTGGTCATTCTCGAAGTCTAAAGATGGGTTCCGTTAGCTTGATCTAGAGTATGTTGACTAGGTTTGGAGCTTACTTGACGGGTGAAATTCAAGATCTTCTTGAAGGTCGGTATGTCCAAGGTCGTCACCCTATTGTGCTATTAGCGCTGTTTCGCTGGAAAGAATGATGAAAAGGTGCCAAAATGTACATCTGCGTCGACATCCACTACCACATCATAGCCCTGGTTTGACATTGTAGGCGAGTTGTCTCTAATCTCGAGAAGCCAGCTGTTAGGATATGGAGAAGTGATGCGGGAACTGCCACAGCGGACTACGTACCATGGCACCAGCCACACACGACACACGAGGCACGAGGCACCAGCCACTAGCCACATTCAGCCACAACTGCTTCGAGTATACTGCCAGTACGACAGAACGAGTTTGACCACGCAAACTACAAGTATGCTTTCTTATATTAAATACTGTACACGATCTTACTTATCCATACACTTATTTTATTTCTTGATCGCGCCTCTGGCACCACACTGGATGGCGGGGGACCATATGCGAGGTACTCGTTGTAGAGACCCAACATTTACTAGTATCACTCTGGTTTCGTCATTGCATGTCCCAGCGGGCGTGAAACAATCATATCGAAATGCCGTTTCACAATGATGCCTTCTTAGTGGAATCGCTAGTGGTCAGTTCCTTTTTTACTGTCAGATGAGATCAGATAGGCTGCAATTGACGCGATTACGTTGAGCATCGGAAGCTCCCGCCACTGTATTTATTGCTCCCCTCTCCTCTTATCACTCCCGAGGGCCCTCTTATCACTTGTACATACCACACCTCGCTGCTCACACGCCTTGCGAAATCAAAGCCGGCTGGGATAATAATATTTAGTTATTGTTATTCTCGCCTCGAGATGAGAGAGAAGCCCATCATGTCTCCTTCAGAGACGACCCCGCTTCTCATCGTACCGGTCGCTCCCCAGCGTTACCGGTACCCTCATCACAAGCTTCGCCGAGCCTGCAGCTATTCCTTGGGCTTTCTTCTCTTCGTTGCCATTGTTCTATTCTTATTCCCTTCAGCTCTCCTTCCGCGCGAAGGCGGTTCGCTCTGGTCGTATCTCCCCGGCGCGCACCCATACCCGAGCTCCTGGCCCAGCGGTAACGGCCTCGACTACGAGGAGCTCGAGACTCTCCTTCTAGGAACTCCATCGGCGGCGCGCGCACGGGAATGGAGCAAGTACTACACAGCCGGCCCTCACCTTACGGGTAAGAACCTCAGCCAGGCGCTCTGGACAAAGCAGCGCTGGGAGGAATTCGGCATCAAGGATACCAAGATCGCTTCTTACGACGTCTATCTCAACTACCCTATTGACCACCGGTTAGCTCTGTTGAAGGGGAACAACGTTACATATGAGGCCTCGCTAGAAGAGGACGTCTTGGAGGAAGACAGCACAAGCGGTTTGCGCGACCGTGTGCCCACGTTTCATGGATACTCTGCTAGTGGAAATGTGACAGCAGGGTTTGTCTACGTCAACTTTGGTACCTTCGCTGATTATGAAGACCTGGTAAATGCGAATGTTACACTTGAGGGGAAGGTTGCGATTGCTAAGTACGGCCGTATTTTCCGTGGTCTGAAAGTGAAAAGGGCGCAGGAGCTTGGGATGGTCGGCGTGATTCTCTACGATGATCCGCAGCAAGATGGAGAATTCACAGAAGAAAACGGTTACAAGCCTTATCCCGAAGGTCCAGCAAGAAACCCCAGTGCTGTTCAGCGGGGAAGCACTCAATTCTTGAGTAAGTTTCATCTCTTGCACTCATATCCGTCTCTGTGAAATAACGAGTCATATAGGCTTTGCGCCCGGCGACCCTACTACTCCTGGATACCCCTCTAAACCGGGGTGTGATAGGCAGGATCCCCATCACTTCATCCCGTCTATCCCCTCAATACCAGTCTCCTATACGGACGTGCTGCCCCTCCTCAAAGCACTAAACGGCCACGGTCCAAAGGCATCTGACTTCAATGAGTGGTGGCAAGGCGGAGGTCTTGGCTACAAAGGTGTTGACTACAATATTGGACCTTCGCCAGATGACATCACTGTCAATCTGTATAATGAGCAGGAGTACGTTACTACTCCTTTGTGGAATGTCATCGGTGTTATCCCCGGCTCCCTTCCCGACGTTGTGGTTTTGGGTAACCACCGCGATGCTTGGATTGCTGGTGGTGCGGGTGATCCTAACAGCGGTTCTGCTGCGTTGAATGAGGTCATCCGCAGCTTCGGTGAGGCTCTCAAAGCCGGCTGGAAGCCCCTCCGCACCATCGTCTTCGCAAGCTGGGACGGCGAGGAGTACGGGCTGTTAGGTTCTACGGAGTGGGTGGAAGATCACCTCCCCTGGCTTTCAAAGTCCAATGTTGCATACCTGAATGTCGATGTGGCGGCATCTGGTAGCCGGATTTCTCCCACTGCAAGCCCACTTCTTAACAAATTAATTTATGAAGTTACTGGCCTGGTCCAGTCTCCTAACCAGACGGTCGAAGGACAAACAGTCCGCGATGTTTGGGACGGATACATTGGAACAATGGGCAGCGGCAGTGATTTCACCGCATTTCAAGACTTTGCTGGAATTCCTAGCTATGACCTCGGGTTTAGCCGCAGCTCTGACGACCCTGTCTACCATTACCACTCCAACTACGACAGCTTCGATTGGATGCAGAAATTTGGAGATCCAGAATTCCTCTATCATGAAGCGTGCACCAAAATCTGGGTCTTGGCTGCTGCGAAGCTGGCAGAAACTCCCGTTTTATTCTTCAACGCCACTGACTATGGCTTGGGCTTGGAGGAGTATGTGGACCGAATCCGGTCCAGTGCAAACAACCTGCCTGGTGGCGTCTCCTTTGACTTTGGGCCGTTGTACGATGCGATTAGCAAGTTCCAAAAAGTTGCGATTAAATTCGATGCCTATGCAGCTGAGTTGACATCGCAACTCGACGAAGACCTTCCTTGGTATCTCTGGTGGAAAAAGGTCAGACTATTCTTCCTCATCTACGATGTGAACACCAAGTACAAGAATATCGAGCGTCAGTTTTTGTACGAGGAGGGGCTGGATGGTCGTAGCTGGTTCAAGCACGTGGTATTTGCCCCCGGTATCTGGACAGGTTACGCGGGCGCGACTTATCCAGGTCTTGTGGAGAGCCTAGAGGCTGATGATGTAGCTAACGCTTCTGTGAGTTCTTCCCTCCCATTTTTTGTTTTCTTTCATGTTGAGGCGTATGCTAACATTGACATCTAATAGAAATGGCTGTATATAATCATTGAGCGTGTTGACGCGGCGGCCAAACTGCTCCAGTAGGAGCAAGCGCATAGTTTCAGCAGAAGTGGTTACGTGCGGACTGAAGCTGCATAGTCGAACAGGGATTGAATCCCTCGCATATACGAAGAATCACACGACCAGCAGGGTTGTTATTATACCCTGCTCCTGCTTATGAATCCACCTTAGAAATGTTTTCTGGTTATATATGTATTTAACATATACATGTCGTCAATGTCCTGTACGGGTTGTTTTTATTTGCCGCCTTGTAGCACCGTCTGTCCCGATCCATGTAGATAACGTGCGTTGTGGTACAGATCGGGTAGCATGATTGGCCACCCAGCCTATAATTACTCCGTAGTTGACGGTCTATATGTGAAGATCCAAGCCTCAACAAATTTTTAGATCCCAAATAGAATATAGTCGCAGCTCAGTCGAGCTTTAAAGGTACGGTGAAGTGTTGCTAGGGCGTCGTTTATACAAACAAAGGCCCGAGGCTGAACCCCGCTCAAGCAGCTGGGGCCGTGAGAGCAAGCGGACGCAGCAAGATGCAAGAAATGAAAGGCGACTAATAAAACATGGGAAGAGCTCCGATCAAGCTCATGGAGACGAAGGATCAGAGAGAAGAGGGGAAGATCACTTGACTGCGTGCTGTGGTGCTAGGAAGTTTCTTCCAGGTCGGGATAGCGGCAATGTCGCAACCACCGAGTGACTCCAAGTCTCCGTTAGCCTCAACTTTTCTTCTCTCCTTCTTTCCCCTTGATATTTCGCGTTTCTCTTTTTCTTTGCAGTCTGTCGTTTCCCCTCAAGTTGCAAGTTTTCTTCTGCAGCTGTTTCAACTGCGAGCTCCTCCACTCCTTACCCTTTGATGCATGCGGATGCTCCGAGGCTGCCTGTCCGGCAGCTGCTCATTCTTTGTAAGCGTTCGACCATGTCTTTGCGGGGCCAGACCCTTTGCTAACTTTCATATGCGCGTAGCAATATGTCGCTTTGCAGAACCTAGTACGTGAACTGAAAGTTTGTCTCCCCAAGACTTGGCTAAACAGATCTCTTCTCGGATAGTCTCCGTGACCTCATACCTGCCGTACCTTGTGAGCTCCGTCTGTTCCAGACACCAAAATATACATATACTCACTAATATGGACAGCCTGAAATGATCGAGAGTGTCGGCGTCCACGAATCTGAAGTTGCAAAATGGGCCGGACTCACCTCGGCCATCTCCTCCTTCTCCCAAGCAGCGATGGCTGTCTACTGGGGCACGGCCTCGGACCGTTTTGGGCGCAAACCCATCATTTTGCTTGGATTAACTGCTACCATGATCCTTTCCCTAGCCTTTGGTCTATCTAAATCACTGCCTATGTTGATGACCTGCCGTGGTATGATTGGCTTTATGAATGGAAACGTTGGTATCATCCGAACTATGGTGGCTGAGATGGTTCCCCAAAAGGAGCTCCAGCCTCAAGCCTTCAGTATTATGCCCATGGTATGGACTGTTGGTAGTATTTTTGGTCCGTCCTTTGGAGGATCACTCGCTCGACCGGCGGAGAAGTTCCCTCAGATCTTCGGTCATTGGAGGCTCTTCCAAGAGTTCCCCTTTTTGTTACCTAATTTGGTGTCTGCGGCTTTTTTCATCGTTGGTATCTCTACTGGCTTTATGTTCCTTCATGTATGCAGTCCTCTCTTAGCTTACTGTAGCGTTCTAACGGAGTATAGGAAACTTTATTTGCGAAACGCGGCCATCGCGACCCCGGATTGGTGCTTGGTCAGGCCCTCACTCGCCCTTGTACCCATCGGCGCCGCAAGGCCCCTCAAGACATGGTAGACGATGAAAGAACTCCTTTGCTTGGAGAACATCAGCCTACTACCCAACCGCAAAATAAAGCCGAAGTGAGGCCGCATACCTGGAAGGATGTTCTCAGTCCGCAGTCTGCGCTGATTCTCTTGACATACACCTTAATGTCGGTACACACTATGGCGTTCGAGTCAGTTCTACCTGTCTTCCTTCATACTCCCCCTCAACAATTTGAGGACAATCCAGATGTACAACTCCCGTTTAAATTTGTGGGCGGGTTCGGCATGGGTAAGTCATTCTTTTGTTGCCTTCCGCTAAATCAAATCTAATCTACCTTCTATTCAGATTCTCAACGCATTGGTATTCTGTACACTGTCACAGGGATCATAGGTATTGTAATGCAATTCTATGCATTCCCAGCCGCGGCAAGACGGTTTGGTGTCTTGAACTGCGTTAAAGCTTCCGCTGCTGCCTTTCCCATCATTTATCTCCTCACACCTTATGTATCTCTCGTCCCTGAGTCCATGCGCAACGTCTCAATATGCTTCGTGATCTTATCCAAGCTTACGGCCAGCATATTCAACTTCCCGGGAATCACAATTCTGCTCACCAATTCAGCCCGTAGTCTAGGTATTCTGGGAACCCTCAATGGGGTTGCCACGAGTACAAGCGCACTCGGGCGTGCCACCGGGCCAGCCATGCTAGGACCTATATTCTCGCTTGGCGTGAGGGCCGGCTACGTTATTATACCCTGGTGGTTCCTCTGCTTTATTTCTATCCTTGCCGCCGTCCCAATCCTGTGGATTGTTGAACCCGATGGTTTCCAGGGCCAGAGTTCGGATGGGGCAGAGCCAGAAGACCAAGTGGAACAAAACACTATCGAAGACACTCATCCTACTAAACACCAAGACAGCGAAACGAGGAATTAGACCACCTTCCGAATTTTACTATACGCGACATGATACTTACGCGAATAAAGACAAAACGCATCATGTCTGATGACTGACACGGCATTGGAAACAAAAAGCATTGAATTATTTACCTTGTTTATATAACCACTGATTGTCTCCATAGACTGATCATATTTTACAATTAATAGACAATCGCATCATCTAGGAATAGATTGAATAAAAATATCCATATTGTAACTGTCTTTTTTAACTTACTCTACCATTATTCACTTTCACGTACCGGCATTATCCTGCTACACCCTCGGACTCCGAGGCCAATTGCACCATCATTATTTAGTTCTCTGCACGATATTAATAATCCAATCACTGCCCGGGCCCGTTCCGGTTCCGCGGTCCTCCCTGGACCTTCAACTTTCTCTCCACTTGACTCCACATCAGACCATCAACCCAGAATCCATCGCAATCAGTCGCATAGATCAAGCTCTCCTCCGTCATCTCATCTCCCACCATCAACCTCCAAGAAACAAACCACAATTCACTAAAAAGAATTAAATAAATCCAAAATCCAAAATCCAAAAATGGTTTGTACCCCCCAATCCCGCCGCCCTCCCCTCCCATTCCAAATCCCACTGCATACTAACAAACATGTTAACCTTCCCCAGTCCGCCCCAACAACCCCCGCCCTCGCCCTCTCCCTCCTCACCTCCCTCGGCGGCGCAATCGGATACGCACGCACCGGTTCCCTCCCCTCAATCATCGCCGGTCTCTCCGTCGGCGCACTATACCTCCTCTCGTTCTTCCGGCTGCGCGGCGGACAGGCGTGGGGCGAGGAAATCGGGCTCCTGGCCTCCATTGTCCTGGCGGGTAGCTCGATTCCCAGGGCAATTAAGTTGAGAAAGCCGGTTCCGGTGGCTTTGAGCGTTGTAGCGCTTTATGGCCTGGTGGTTTTTGGCGGCGCGGTTAAGAAGAGAGTTTGATTGATCTTTTTGGTGGTTTTGATGGATTGCACTGGTTTTAGGGGAGGGTACGGAGTACTAAGTAGGTGCTCGATACTATATGCTTGATTGATGGGTGGTGTGAAGTTTGGGGGTTGATACGGCGGCGTGTAGATAACGGTGCGAGGAAGAATTACGTTACTCAATTGTATTCATGGTTATGTCTTTCATATCGAATATAATGATGTGAGTTGCCTACCTTGGCGAGGAACTTACAGTAGGTGACCTTTGCACAGTCCGAAAGCAACGTAACGAAACGAAAGCGAACGATAGGGGAGATCGACTTCTCGAGACAGCAGAGGCAGAGTAGGGGCATTTCCCTCCCGACCAAATCTCAGGCAGCACCAGGTAATCGAAATCGCGTCAAGCCATGAATCAGTTCCTTCGGCCAGGATGGCACAAAACACAACTCACCGATCTACGCCGAATCGATCATCTTCATCGCATCGCATCGCACCGCACCGCATCGGATCAGCAGCTTCGCTCGTTGTGGGCATCCCAGAGTAAAGCCCGGCACAGTTCAGTTGGGACCGCGCCCGCAAAACTACCAATAAAAAAGCATCAGGGCAGGAAATATGCACGAAGATATGGCCAGAAACGAAAGAAGAGAGAGAGAAAGCACTCATAGCGTATATCTAGAACCTCAACATGCATCGACTTAGCTGGATCAAATAGCCTCTCATACGCCATTGCATATGCCTGTTCAACCCGTCTTGTCGCATATAGAATGCTCGAGATGCGTTTTATTATTTCCGTTGTCTTTATCCCGCGGCATCGACTATTGTGTCTGACTGGCGAATTGTTCCCACGACTACAGAGGAAGGAAGCTCTCCAAGCGCCGTCTCCGTCCGATTATCAGGAACGAATGCGTACCTTGGCAATCTAGCCAACTTCTCCTCCGGGCTGATCTCATTATCTGAATATACCAACCGTGACTGCTTCGACTTATCTTTCTTGGCTGGCTTCTCTTCTGCGCCGTTGGCCGGTTGAGCCACGTTAGGTGTCGCTGCCTGGTCAGCCTCCTTCGCAGCTCCCGAGATCAAATCATCGATCGAAGAAGAAAATGCTGCAGCTTCAGGTTTTTCACCATTAGCAACACCAGGCGCAGCCGCACCACCAGGAACGGGGTGGCCCATATGCATCTGTTGTAGCTGGTACGCATTCACCTGAGGAGCACCGACGGCGGGTCGTTGCGGCAGACCCGATGCCGCTGGTAGGCTTCCCGATCGGGGAGGAAATGCGGTAGTCTGAGGAGAGTTGATCGGCGGGGGTTGCTGCTGTGGCACCTGTGTTGGAGGTGTATTTCCAAAGCCCGGAGCTGGCTGTGGCGAATACCCAGCAGGGGTAGAGTATTGCGTAGATGGAGGGAACTGTGGTTGCCCACCTGGTGAGTAATTTGGGTAAATAGGACTTGCCGTTGCCTGGTAAGGGGAGCCGGCCCCCGCATACGGCTGAGGATAGGAGAATGTTTGGGGAGGGGCGACGGGTGCGGCCCCGGCGACCGGGTTTGCTGAAGACTGGGCCTATAAAAGTCACATATTAGCAAAAGAGCTGAAGGGGGAAAGAGCAGATATATCGGCTACACTTACAAATGTGGCCACATTTGGTGTCTGACCAGCCCCAACCGGCGTCGCTTCCCCGCTACTCCCTCCAGCGAGAGCTTCCGCTTTCTTCGCCTTATGCTCCGCAAGTCGCTTCTTTAAATCTGAAATATTCTCAGTCTTGGGTTTTTTCGCGGGTTGGCCGCTGGAATTCGACGCTCCCGATGGTGGGTTCCCAGTTATAGCCTGTCGCTCCGCTTCGGACTGCTGGAATTGGGCAATGACTCGCTGGTTGTGCGACTGGATGACATCCTCTGGCACTCCCTCCATGCCGAAGATTTCCACTTCGAGGCTTGACCGGTTAGACAGTGCATTGTCGACGGCTGTGAGTTGTTCCTTGTGTACTTGACTCATATGCACCGACAGTCCTATCAGAGAAATACCAGTTAGTATGAAATGATTTGCGATATATGCCTAATTAGATGGTTGGTGTGACAAACCTCCTGCTGTATTTAATCTCCTACCACACCTTTCGCATTTGAAGTGTTTCGCCTTCTGATGTGAGATGAGGATTTTGAGGTCATCGAAGTCGCGCTCGCAGTAGTAGCACCAGGGGCGAGCGAGAACCTCTTCTAGAGTGGGGCTGCGTCTCTTCTTTCCCATTGTGAATGGAAATATGGGATAATCTGAGTTAAAATTCTGGTATAGCGATGCGAAGTTCCGGGTGCAGGGGAGAGATGTTGGCGCAAAGCTTCGGTCATTGGGGGAAGGTTTCGTCACGTGTATGTGGCTCTGGACACGTGATATCGACTCTGAGCGTGGGATCTCACATCTCAGAAACAGAGAGAACAAAATAAAACTGAAATGTAGCTTCAAACTTTAGAAAGAGCAGTAGATGTATGAATTTTTTTTATTCCATTGAAATCCAAACAACAGCCGTTCCCACCCAAGATATGGTATAATCACCGCTCTTTAACCAACCCATTGGTAGTACAATGTAAAATGTTAAGTACATGTGAAGAAAGAGATACTGAAACCCCAAACGCCTTGCGCTAGTATAACAAACATATGGCGAAATAACAACACAGTCCTCGTGGCCACCAGATTAGTCTAGCCAGTCGGGTATTGTATGGACAAAGAATGCAACAAGTGTAGATGTACAGTCAATTTCATACCCCCGCCGAGGCAGTGGATGTGAATTACATTAGTATTAAACTGCATAAACGCGAAATAAAACAGATGAAGACATAATAGGGCGATTCCACTAGGGTCGTGGGTGGCCCGGTGGTGGAGGTAACCCAGCTCCTCCGTAAGGATTGTAATAATCAGGATATGGCGTGCGATAGGGCTGGGGTGGTGGTTGATGGAGAGGGCCTGGCCCACGAGGTCCGAGAGGAAATGGTGGTACAGCCCGGGGGTCCAAGTGTGGTGGTGGGTATGGGGCCAGTGGGCCGGGGCCTGGGCGTGCTGCAGCAATGGGCGGTAGCTGGGGAGCCGGAGGACCATGCGTGTGGGCATGGGTGTGAGTGTGAGTATGAGGTCCAGGTGCCAATTGAGGCGGTGGTGCCAACGGCAATGGTGGTGGCGCAGGAGCCAGACCCGTATCTCGCGGAGGAGTGGGCATAACTGGGCTAGCGGATTTTTTCTTCTGTTTTATGATGGGCTTAGAAACCTCGGTGGCCTTTTTGACTGCTTCTGCAGCTCTATCCGCTTCAATTTGAGCCTTAGACCGTTTCGGGTTACGGACACGCCCTTCTCGGTTGAAGCGAGCCCAGTGATTAAGCATGGCTTCTGTGCGCTTGGGATTCTTCGAGTTTGCGATCTTTTGTCGTCGTGCGAGTTCGGCTGGGTCAACTGCCTCATCTTGTGTGCTTCCCATTAGCGGTTTCGCGCTAGACGCGGTTGCTGGGCTTCCATTGGGGGCTGGTTCGATTGGTACGAGCTGCGATGCTCCATGTCGTGCTTGAGATGAGCCTTCTGCCGCAGGCGTCGACCGAGCAGGAGTTCCAAGAGAGGGTACTGGGACCAACGGTGCCTCTGAAGCAGCACGAGAGCCCCCACGAGCCGCACCCCTTCCACGAGTACGGCCACCCCTGCCCCGCGTGGCAGAAGTGCGTGCATATCCATACTCGGCGGTGTTTTCAGCTTCGGCGGCCTGACGACGAGTACGCGCACGGCGTTTTGTGGGATTGGCATAGTCTTGATCAATCTCACCCGGTGTAGGTGTTTCGGTAGCAGCTTCATCGGAATCATTCACTCTGGCGGCTTCAATTTCTGCGGCCTTGCGTTTTCGGGTAGCCTTTCCGATGTAGTCTTCGCGTGGAGGGTTTTGAAACTTAGGTACATGCTCAGTACCAAATTTGGTGACGGTTCGCCATCCATCAGGGTTTGGATTGTGGGCTCCGGTTTTCTGAACCATTTTTCTGTATTGCGCCGGAGTAGGCTTGAAGCCGCCCTGTACAAATGGGTTTTGATGGCCGACTTTGTCTTCCTTGGGATCATATTTGTAGCCATAGAGCATTGCTTCCTTCTTGTCCTCAAACACCTGTTGCCGTTCGAGTTTCCGTGGGTCACTCGTAATCTTTAGCTGGTGTCTAGTCGCCAATTTCTGCAACTTGTCGATTGCCAAAAATTCATCCTGCCATATTCTCAGAGCATAAGCAGCATTTTCAGTGATGGCATGAAGCTCATCGCTAGAACGCAGTTCAGGGTCGCGAAGTTGAGACAAGAAGTCCTCTAGTGGTGTGATCTCGAGAAATTCGCCGCGTCCGACCGTTGACCTTTTGTAAGGATCTGGACGCTCGATAATCTCTCGCGCGTCGCGTTTCTTGCTACGCTTGGATTCATGAAAAACAGCGGTCCATGTTTCACTGATTTCGCTGGTGTTCTCCTCGTAGTCGTCGGCGAATTTGCGGACATCATGGATGTTCCAGAAGTTGTGAAGACGCTTTTCAACCGACGCAGAATCTTCCTCGCGAGAGAACTCGTGTAGCTGGTTAGAGAGAGCGACGTCGGATTCGCCCTCAGGAGCTTCTCCATCGCCGTCGGCCTCGGCCTCAGCCTCGTCTGCATCGAGGTCCGGGGGCTCTTTCTCGTCGTCATACAACTCAGTTGCTTCTGCGAGCTCATCTTCCGCAATTTCGGCATTTTCGTCATCATCAGAATCCACCGTGCGCGGTGAGCCATTGAGTTTGTTAGCAGGCATGTCGTCGTACTCAGCCTGTTCATCGTCGTCATCATCATAGATCTGGCTCTCATCATCTGGGTGAGTAGCGCCGTTGTATGTGGAGGGAATATTAGTGTTGGGGTGGGCAGTGGCGATGTGTTTTTTCAAAGCCTCAGCACCCGAAACACCGGAAGAAGATTCAACATGCTCTCCACAGGTAGAACATATTAATCTATGAGAGGTTGGAGACGGAGAGGGAGTTGTTTGGGTAGAGTTAGAGTTGGCATGAATAGGTTCGGAGAATTTTCGGCGTAGCGGAGAGTCCTGGCTGGCCATCTCAGAAGTATCCATGTCGGGCTCACTCTGGGCAACAGGCCTCATGGTTGGCCGAAGCGAAGAGCGACGGGAATGGAAGTGATGCGACAGAGAATTAAGATAAGAAAACCAATTCGATTCTGGGTGGAAAGCCCAGAATTAGGAACACTGGCCATAGTCAGTCGATCGAAACTCGTGTTGAAAAAGTTCGCTTGTGTTGCCAAGACACTGGGAAGTACGAGCACAAGGGCAGTGCAGTCATCAAAGGAACAATAAAAGATGCAGAGAGAGACAAGAACGGGAAGCGACCAAGCCAGTGGCAAGAAAACATAAGGCAGAACGATGTTTGATCGTCGTGGGCAATGAGATCGGGCAAGAGAAGTAGATGAAGTTCTGGCAATTGACAGGGAGAAACAAGAGAGATACGTGGTGCGAGCGAAACAAACGGGATGTAACACCTACCGTGAAAACAGGGACAGCGGACCGATCAGGCCCAGCTGAGAGGGAGAGAGTGCCCGACTACCCCAAAGAAGAGACTCAGCAGGAGAAGAAGGGGGAGCGACAGGGTAGTCGAACAAGAGAAGGAGGTCGCGAGTGGTTGCCAGGGATCGAAGTAGAAAATCGTACTCCGTAGTAAGGCACGGGCAGGGAGTTCTGGAACCGGTAAAGTAGAGCAACCAAGCGGGTAAGCAGAAAACTATGCGCCCCGACCACGCCCCAAACAGAGTACAGAGGGGGATCGGCTCGCGATCGCGATGGTTTGGGGATGGAACACAAAGTAGATTGATGGTTTGGCGGCTTGTGTTGGTAGCCTATCCCGTGCAGGAGCTGGGAAAAGTCCTCACGAGAAGTATGAGAAACGACGGGGGCGTTCGGGGGAAAGGACAAGAAGCAACAGAAAGGAAAAGGGAAACTAGAGGGCAGAGACGCAGGGAAACATAACTAGCGACAGGATATAGGAACTGGACTCGACGACAAAGCCGGCGAGAGGATGGGCGCGGAGGGATTGAGGGAAAAGCTGAGTCTACAGACCTGGGAGTTGAGGACCTGTAGAAGAGAACTAGAGATGATCCTAAATTACTCCTCCTTAGCGCTCGTACAGGGCGTGACGCGCCGGGGCCAATATTACGAATTTCCCTGGACGGGATCCACACAGTGGGCGAATCCGCTTCCGCCTCCGGATTCGATTGCCCCCTCTTTGGCCTCTTGATGGCGAGAAAGAGGTTATGGCCAACAAGTCCTCGACATGGCCAAACAGGCTCTCGTTTCTGGGGATCTCGGAGTACAGAAAGTTTAAGTGCTTCCTCGACGGACTCGATATTCCTAAAGGGCCAAACTTCCACCCGTGAGGCATTTCCCTTACGGTCGCGTGGCCTCATTGGTGTGAATATATACTTTGTATCGGTATTACCAATTGACATCATCCACAAGAGTCCGACTATAGGAGAAACATGGGCCACACGATGCTAAACAATGGATCAGTCGGGAAGGAAAATGCGAGATGGGTTGGATTCCTTGTTGTGCTTAACATAATGGAGCGATATTTTGATTTGGCTGTTGCCAGCCACCGTCAGAGGAAGACGATTCCGAAGTATATTTACCTATGAGAGAACCCGAAGGCGAGTTACCAGACAAATGACATTCCAAGGTCGTGGCAGATGGATATTCGTTCCCACACAGTATACTTCGTGTTCAGTAGATTACTTCCATAGTAGAATCTCCTTGCATAAAACTAAGGATCAACTGATTATCAAATTGCCTCGGTATTTTCTTGTGTTTTGGTGTATTTTCCATTGGTTCTTCTCGTCAAAATCCAACAAATATAGTTATACCCAGCGCAGGTCGCTGTAATTTCCACAGCCTCTCGATCACTAAACAACCCCCGCAGCTCCTTCCAAACCTTCGGCACGGTAATGGTTTTCGTCATGGCATCTGTATATCTCAAGACAGTGCCCTTAGCAGGTCTCAGCACGCCCTCTGTCACCTTTGCGGGAATATCTGCCTCGGAATCGCGCACAACACTGACTACAGCAGCATCACTGAGCCCAGCATCAATAAATAAATCGAGTGGTGCTCTCACTCAAACCATGCGCCGTTGAGAACCGCCACGCGGCACATGATTAACTTACTGATAACGGGCGTGAGACTGGTTCTTTGGCGAATTGTCCCGAAAAATGGGTTCCGGCCCTCTGCGGTTGGGAATCAATGCAGAATGGTCCGATCTCGTGGGAAGACATTGGGCACGCGCTGTTTGTCTCTCGCAAAAGACCCAGATCTTTCCATGTAAAAGGAAAAGTAGCCACGCATGGGGAGTTGTCCTGGGTGGCTCGCGCGTTAGATAAGAACTACGGTATTAGAATTAAAGCTGGCGAGTCGGGTTTCGGAGTATGTGTACGGAATCCTTTCTCAGCCGATGCTCCAGCCGAGTATGAAATGATCTATCCTCACGGGTACGAACTGCCAGTAGGCTTCGGCGAGGATCCGCCGTCGCACAGTTGAGCCTGCTGAGGTGCTTGCTTACTACTGCCTCTAATAGATCATTCCACGGATGTTCTCAGGAAGCCAGCCTCCCACAATATTCAAACATCGAATGGGTCTGTTTGCCTACATAATGAGAATATATTCAGCGTACATTGCAGTCAATCACTTGATAACAAAATCAGTCCAGCCTCATTCCGAAGGCGACTCTCGGGCCGCGCCCTCGAACTGGAGGCATTCCTCTAGATTCAGATCCAAGAATCTAATATCATCGGATTGAGCTCCAGTCTATATATAGGCTGTTCTGCTAGAAAATTTTGCAGATAGACTGCGTTCACCTGCAGCCACGGATTCGGATCTGCGTTCGTCTGAGCCCTGGAAACGCTTTTGCTTTACAAATTGTCGGTGTCCAACAATCACCAATATGACAAGTCAATTCAAAGATAAGTCATGGGCCTGGGTTTCCAAGTTTGTCTCGTACATATCTTATACATAGAGTTGCCATGAACGGTTGAGCATCAGGATTTGATTTTCAAGACTGCAAGTCTAGCTACATAATGCATAGCAGATTGAAACCAACGATGCAATTGAGAACTCTGCGTAATATCGAGCCCTGAAATCTAAAATAAACAGGGACCCAGGTACATTTGGACTCTGAAGGTAGGAATAAACAGCTTAACGATGGCAGCACGGCGTCAAGGCCCTTGTGCTGCTGCTGCACGCTAAAGGGTCTTGGCGCAGGTCATTCCCCACCGCCAGCAGCTTCCAGTCCACCAAGCAACAACAGAGCAGCAGTTCGCCCGTCACCACCACAGCTTCTCTCCCCGCAATTCGAAACTCACACGTAAAAACCAGCTATGCCTCCAAAAGGCGCGAAACCGACCAGCGACGAGCTCCTCGCCCAGTTTGACAACCTGGGCGTCGAGTCCGGCGAGTCCAAGACGAAACCGGCTGCTAACACCACAAACAACGCCCCTCCGCAGGTTGACGAGGATGTCCTGACCGAACTGGGGAACCTGGCATCTCAACGCCCAAGCAGCAACGCTGGAACTCCGCGCACATCTACCAATGAGCCTAGACCATCGATGTCCAAGCCAGGAACCCCTGCCGGGCGGCTGAGCGAGGACAAGTCCGCACCTCGCAAATCTGGCGAGAGTGGCCGGAATGGCAAAGCTCAAAATGCGCAACCAGCTTCCAGCGAGGATTCAGCGACTGGGGACGCTTCCTCCAGCGCCGGCGGAGGCTGGTGGGGAGGCATTTTTGCGACTGCCTCCGCAACTGCCACAGCTGCCATGAAGCAGGCCGAGGCCGCTGTGAAGGAAATCCAACAGAATGAGGAGGCTCAGAAGTGGGCTGAGCAGGTGAAAGGGAATGTTGGGGCACTAAGAGACTTGGGTAGGATTCCCCTCGGTTTCTCCATCATATGCCTGTGCGCTCGTACTGATGCTAACTACCCGTTTCAGGCGGCGAACTTCGCAGCATGGCTATGCCTACATTTACTTCCCTGATCCACACGATTGCGCCTCCGATCTCATCCCACGAACGTCTTCAGATTCATGTTACACACGATCTTTCCGGATATCCGAGTCTAGACCCCCTCGTCTACGCTGTATTTTCTCGTGTTATGTCCCAGGTTGAAGGTGGTGACCTGCTAGTTATACAGAGGGGCCAGGAGTCCGCACCGAAACGTGGCCAAGACAACAGTGTATCGACTGCCGGCTGGCGCGATGGGCCCTGGTGGCGAACCGTTACCCCGGGAAACCCTCGCAGCATTTCAGCTGTGCCTGGTCTTGTGGAGGCAACCAAGCTTTGCCGAGCAAGTGCGGAGGGTTATGCGGCCGAATACTTTGCTTCGAGAGGTGGAGTAGAGGAAGCCGCAAAGCAAGCTACCCAAGACCTCAGCGAAACAAACCCTGTCAGAAGCAGCGATATCTTCCTCGCTATCCAGGCTGTCAGTCAAACAACGTCAACCGCGGAGGTATTCCAGGCTGGGCCAACCACCGACAAGGCCACGCCCTCTGGTGTCGTGGATGTCCCTGATGCACCAGAAGAAGAAATTACCTTCGCCCTTTATCTCCACGACCCCATTCACGGCATCGCTTTCCATGCTGTCTCACAGGCAATCCCACAGAAATGGATCCACTGGCTAGATTCCTCCTCGGCCCCCGCACCTAACTTCGAGTCTGCAGACTCCGACGTGCCCCGTGCAGTCGTTCCGGAAGAAATTTCCGAAATTGTCGAGAGTGGCGGTGTTGATCCCCGCGAATGGGCCGCTGAATGGATCGAGGAAGCCATTACCCTCTCTGTCGGTATCGTCGCGCAGCGCTATGTCGCACGCAGAATGGGCGTGGGTGAGTCCGCAGCTGCAAAGGGCAAGATGCGTGCTGAGCAGGCATCGGCCGCGGAAAGTGGAGCTGGGGAAGTTGCGCGGGCGATGTAGGATTTGCTCCCCCATTTTTGACCATTAATATAATTTTTTGTTACATATTATACTCTACCCAGACATTCCTGTACTTCAGCCACCGAAGTCTGTCTTTTTGCCTTTTTGTCTTTTTTTTTTTTTTTCTGCCTTTGTTCTTCCTAAAGGTTTATTTCTGAGTTGTTAGTGATACACCAGTCATCTTCATATCCCATGTTTCACTGTTTCCTCGTGGTAAGACGGATCTTATTTGCGAAGATAGAACTTTATATGCCACATAGAACTCTAAAGGGTCACGAAAGCTTAATGTCGCAAATTCCAAACATTCACAAACAAACAAGTCCAAGCCAGCCCAGAGAACATATTTCGATCGCCCTCAACGAAGTAGGTACTACAGTACATATCCCTTCTTGCATCACGAGGTAGGCACTTAGTGGTTAGGTTAACCACCCATAAAGACCAGGAAACCATGACGAAATCGAAAACCGTTGCGGGTATCATTCTAGTAAGTATCTATACTATATTACCGATCTAATTGTGTTTCGCGTGAGATTCATCGCCCCATCCACCAAAATCAACTCAAAGATGCAATGGCCCCTCTAACCCCGGGACGTACCAGAAATTAGCACAGAGGGGCGTGACACTGTCGTTACAGAAAAAGACTTGGGTTAGCCTGCTGACTTGCGAACTCGTGTTCTAATTTGAAACAGGGGTGCGTTGGTATAGTAGTGGGATGGTTTTGTTCTTACCTGGTGCTTCCGTTCAAGACAGTATGCGCATCTGTGCCTTCTTCGCTGGCTTGAAGCGCTTTCTTCATATCTGTTAGCTCCGCGGACCATTTGAAGTCGCGCGATTTGAGCTGTGAAGTTGATGTTGAGGTTGAGGCCGAGGTGGGCTTTGTGGGGGTAGTGCCGTTCGTTATGACACCATTGCCAGCTCCATTAGTGAGTTTTTGATTTATATCTGTTTCTCCGTTCTGAGTGCCGTGTGTCCCGTTCGCGACGCCGTTCGTCAGGACAGGAGGCGCCTTATCCGCGTTGATTTCAGCGTACAGGTACCCACGCGACCAGTAGTACGGCAGGGTGCGAGTATAGAGTACTGGTCTCGTCTCCACGTCAATACGCATGGGGATATTGAGGTTATACAATTCAACCCGGTCGTCCCAGTTCTCGTAGAGATGGTGCACGATGCGCACGGCGAGTCTTGCCGCCGCTTCGATGATATCTAATGGCTGCTCGTCCTTGCTGCCGAAGGAGATGGCGATTCCGCGTTTCCCGCAGGTGGCTGCCTCGAGGGCACCGCCGACGGTGCCGGACGAGAGGTTGTAGATGGTTGAGGCGTTGCGGCCGTGATTGGGGCCTGAGATGACGAGGTCGATGGGTGGTCTGTCTGTAAAGAGGTTGAAGAGGCCGAGCTGGACGCAGCTAGCTGGGGTGCCGTTTGTGATGACGACCCATTCTGTTTCGGCTTTGGCTTCGGCTTCGCTTTCTGATGGGGTGGGGGTGGTGTATGTTTCGTCCCAGGTGCCGTCGTTGCGGAAGGCGTCTGGGGGCACGTATGTTGCTTTCAGCGAGGCTTCGATGAGATGGGCTTTGCCGATCCAGGAGCGCGATGCTGCGGGAATGGCTACAGACACTAGATGGCCTGCGCCTTGGAGGGCCTCGACGAGGGGCCGGACATAAGGGGACAATCGCCGCGATGGCGGGCCGTCGTCGTTGACGAGCTATAGTGATCGTCAGTTCCGATTCGTCTATGTCTCGAGATGCGAATTTCTCGATCCGTATGCGCGCATCTATCCCATCAGAAGCTCCCGATAAGGCCGTGTTTCTGATTCCTTTTTCGGGGCGAATGATGGGGGCCTGAAGCTGGTCTGGTGACTTCATGACGAAGATCCCGAGTACAGGCACGGCTGGAGGCGCGGGAGGCAATAATTTGCCCCAGATCGAGATCGAGAAGTAGAGCAAAAAAGAAAACATACCAATATATGCATCACAGGTGCCTCTTCCGATGGAGGGTTCAATAATACTTAGCGCGGTTGGCGGCGGGTGGAATTGAGTACGTTGCGATTACAGCGAGGTTAAAACGATCAATATAGTTTTGATCGACCTCAATAGAGAGGTGAATTTGCGAAAGCTTTCAAAGAACGATAACTTTGGAAATGGTTACCAATATTATATTTATAGCTTATCTCGACGGTTAAGGATTGAGGCCTCTCGTCGCCGTTTTCAACCGAAAACAGCCCCCGAGAGGCGATTTCCGCCTCAAAACTGGTCGCGCGGTGAAGCTTTTGGGAGCTTGGGGTGAGTACAGACATGTTTGCTGTGTATTGGAGATGCGAAAGGAAATAACGCATACAGCGAATAAAAAACATTCTACATATGTTATGTACGGTATCAAGTATTAAAACAAGGTACGATACAGACCATAACAAGCCCAGACTCGAGGTCGCCGAAAAGAGGCTGCGGTGAAGCTCTCAGGGCTCGTGGGGAAGCAAACTCGGTCACCCACACACACCCCAATCAGTCGCCGCCGGGAATCCGAGGCAATCTATCTGACTGAATGCGTGTCAGATGCCCAGGTGCGATTTGGAATGAGTCTCAACGTGGAAGAAGGTCATTTATGAGGGTGAAGCAGTGAGGCATGCCAAGGATGGATGGATATAGATGGTAGTCTTTAGCAAAAAATAAAGCGCCGAAAATTGGAGCGCAGCCATCCAGCCCGCTGCTGCACAGCATAACACAGAGTTTTCCCGGGTGGATTCATGCCTAAAACTACACGGGGCTGACAGGGAGATCATGGTCCGGGCATCCTCCTGAACGGAGTATTCTGGGAGGCGATGACTCGATGAAGCTGGAGCATGTCCGCGCCATCCAATATCATTTGTCCTGTCGGGAGGTGCGGTTCATTTCCCCTTTACTTCTCTGGTGGGGATGCACACCTTGTTGGACAGGTTACATCAGATTCAATATGAGTCTCCGTGGTGTTGAAAAATCATATTACGTCGCCTTGTCAGAGGTTTCTTGGGACGGACCATGGACCAAACAATCAGACCGAACGGAACAGGCTTCTAGAAGCCCAGAAGGGCACGTTGGGACATCGGCCCCCTCGGCTGGCAGACTAATGTAAGCGAAATTAATCGTGCTATGAATCCATCTCCGACGGGATGAGACGTGAAAGACATCTCCATCAACTCCGATTGGAGTGGTAGTCCGGCCCTGGAATGAGGAAGCCTGGAGAAATCTACGTCGAAACTCATCGGCATCCTGTGCGACGCAGGGTCAGCAGGTCTGAGATCGAGATGGGACGACCAAGTAGCGTAGGACTGATAGCGAGGATTTGAACATCGTATGAGTAAAGAGTGGTGTCAGCGGTGGCTATCACCCCTCCTGGTGGCCGGGCACAAGGACTAGTGTGATCCGGCGAGGGACAGAGGGTCATGCAAGCTATGGACTTGGTATTTCTTGGACGAGTTGGCGCGGTTGGCGATCGCTGAATTGGAGTTTCATGCCCAGAGTGATCACCTTGATCATCACTCCTCTCCATGGAGGGGGGAGCATACCTGGCAGTATAATTATGGTGGGATTTCGTGCAGGCCGGAGTAGCTGTGGGCGGATTTAAAACACTTAAAACACCGATTGACCAGGACTCAGACAAGACATCCATTCACACTGTGTCAAAACTGCCAATTGGCCTGTGCACATTGATATTATTAACAATAACCGTTCGAGTTCTGACGACTGGCTGCGCCGTATCGGAGGCCGATCGCCTCAAAATCTAGTGGGGAACGTTTCTTGTCACCCAAATTTCTCACCCTCTTTCCTTTCTTTCTCCTTTCCATCGACTCATACAACCATCGACCATCGCTACTTGTATCTGGAGGTCTTTTCAACCTCCGGACACTTCGCATCGACCATCTCGCTCGCCTGTGCAAGAACTGCACGGTATTTCGTCCCCCCAACGCATAGTTGACCTGGGGACCTTGCCGGCTTTCTTGAAGTCTTCACGACCCGTTCCCCGATCTCGGATCCCCTGTATGGACTGCGAGAGTGCTCAATCCGCTGCGGGCATTGACCCCAAGATCCTCGATAGCTATCAATCAGACACCGTTTTTACTATACCGTGGGAGAATTCAGGTTACGAGCAGCCGTTGGATTGGGACACGAGTCAAGACTCGAACCATAGCGATTCCGAATTCGCGGAATTGAGCGCGAACCCTTCTCTACTGGGGCAACCCAGTGAGTACCACAGCGACGATAACAGGTATGAGCTGCTTAGTCTCTTTTGGCGCTCCCGGTAGACGCCGGCTAATGCGATTCGTATAGCAAGCATGGAACGCCGCCCGACAACAAATTTACGGTAGCCGATGCCTCCGCTGAAGGCACCCTTAGCAGCACTGTTAGCCCAAAGACCCTGCCCTCGGCGGACGATAACTTCCAGCTTGATGAGTCATGGCCGCAACTGCAAATGTTCAACAATATGATGGCCGGTTTCCCCATGGATGCGCCTCTCCTTTACCCTTACGGAAAGGAACCCCCGGCTTCAACGGATGCGTTCATCGTTGAAGATGGCGCATCACTCACGCAGGGACAGGAGTTCTCTGATATCCCATCGGAGCATTTCATACAGTTTCAGAATATCCCACATGCATTCCCATTTGCGACAAATGAACCCTGGACTGGGTCAATTACCAACACCGCGGAGCCCGTGACTGGTCAACTTCCTGTCTCTAGTACTCTGGGCCCACAGCAAATCAACAAAGGCGCTAGACATGTGGGCAGTTTCCGAAACCCTATGCAGTCCCTTGAGACACGCTGGCTCGACAGCCTTGAGTCGCAATTGCCTAGCAACATAACTTCACCGTCCTCATTCTCTACGTTCCCGCAGCACTCACTATGCATCAAAGACGAGGTAACTGGCCAAGACTTGTTCCAATACAAATCTGAGAGTTCATCTGTGTCTGATGACATCCCTGGGACCTACGAATTTTCTTATTCCGCAACTGGAGATGACGTGCCGGCATTCGCGGATAGGCAACTGGATGAGGAGAGTGTGTGGAAATGTTCCCAGAAGGAGGAGTCACCTTCCGAGGCCTCTCATGGTCCTCAGACAGCTACCGCGTTCGTTGTGAGCGAAGACCTATCGGAACCACTCTTTTCTTCTGTTCCGACAAGTACGCGAGCTTCGCCCCTTGCTACACAGCGTGTACCCGCTAAGCCGCAAGCTCTTGGAGCTCAGTCGGCGACTGCGATCAAGAAGCGCAAGAAGCGCGCCCAGAGTGTTGGACTCGGTCAAGATAACCAAAAGCCGTTACAAATTGTGCAGGAAGATGGCCAGGGCGGTTCTATTGCTTCTGCAGACTTCGTCTCTCCACCCCGTGGAGCCCGTCGCAAGGGTCCCTTGTCTATGGCTGGTAGGGCTAACGCCGGAATGCGGAGAAAGAACAAGGATACCTGCGTTCAGTGCCGGTTGAATAAGCGAAAGGTAACGAACAATTCCACCGCGATCCACTAAGAGAAAAGCAATTTGTTGACCTCTGGCCAGTGCGATGGGAATGCCCCATGTGACGCATGTCGTCCCACTCTCCATGAACAACCATGTGCTCGGGCTTGTTTCTCAAGCATTGTCGAATATGGAACGTGCAACTATATCTGTATGTATACATCATATCATCAGAGCCCTGAATTTCACTTTACTAACCTCGCCAGCTCAACGGGCTATCAACCACCCTACTTTGGACAAATCTGGGCGAGTCCGGCTGAACATTCCCTCCGAGTTCGACTTGAACGACCTCCTCTCCTTCCTTGGCGAGCGACAGGGGAAATTCAACATCCGTGCTACACAAGCTTGGGGCTCTCTTTACGTCCTCGACTTGGGAGAGACGTACAAATTCCTCAGAAGCTTAAGCGAATACAATGGCAACTCGCGCTCAAACTTCCTCGAGTTCATTGATCGACGGATCATCGAGTCAAAAGATAAGTCTAAGAATTGGTTGACCTGCATCAAGGACTGTGATCCAATGCGCAATATCTACGTGAGTTCCGCCAAGGGTTTAAGTTTTTTTTTTTTTTTTTTTTTTTTTTTTTTTTTTTTTTTTTTTTTATCCATGCCTCTAACCAACCCGAATAGACTCTGCTTTCTCAATGGAACAACATGCCAAGCCGTGCGAGCTACAGCTTCATTCCACTTGAGGCTGACGGTAAAGAAAAACCGATGGATGTCAACGACCCCACACACCAGCGCGAGATACTTCTCGCAGCACAGCTCTCGCGCATTGTCTGCCGTATGCTCGAGGTTGAGGGCTTCCGCAAGTTGGAGCGAGACTTCTACAACATCAAATGGAAACAGATCTCTCAAGAAACTCACATGAATTTCTTGAAGGAGCTGGGACACATACTCCTCACCCTCCGTTGGCGAGTTTCTTGGTGGAAGCGTCTCGGGGATGGGGGCCGCGAGCCCGACCCAACCAAACAGCATTATGTCGACCGAGTCGACCTACTCTGCAGAATCCTTTATGTCTACTACACCTGTGTTCTGGCTAAATTGCCGTCTTGGTCGGCCTCCGAGGTTCCCAAGGGCATCTGGTCTACCTACGCCGACGCGGAAAATCCCGTCTGGGATGATTTCCCCGTCGACCCTTCTGATGACGGGTTCAAGTCATGGATCGAACGAGGCACGGAACTCATCGAGCAGTCGGGTGCGCCTATTCGAGTTGCAAAAATTTAGGCTTCGTGGCCAAACCATTTAAAATACCAAAAGACTGGGCGGCGAAGTGGAATAGGCTGATATTTGAGATACCCTTGGAGCGTCTTTTTATGTTTTTTATCTGTTTACGATTCACGAATTTCTCATGTATTCTTCGGGTTCTTTTACGACTTTGATTGATTGATATTAGAGTACGATTTCTTATTTGCGCTGGCTGCATATTTCGTTCAAGTCTAGACCTATCTACATAGAGCTATAAACTTGAATAGATCATACCTTTATCTCGACTTACTTTTGCATGCACATCAGAAACCACGATAGAATAGTTGGGTATCTAAAACTATTGCCAGTATCACCTCGATACTGACACTATATCCAATTCTAAAAAAAGCCACATGAAACAAACGCAGATGTATAGCATCACATAGAATAAACATCTCCTTCTTTTCTTTCTCTCATTTATTTCCCGCTCTTCCCCTTATCCTTGCCCGATTTCTTATCCTTCTTCCCTCCAGCAAGTAACTCAAGATGACCCGCCCGCTGCGCGAGATTCCGTTCCGTCTTCGCAGTCAACCCAGCTGATAGTTTCTAAAGATACCATAGCGTTAATGTTTTGTTTGAAACATAACCATCTACCACTAGCATATCTTGTCGACCGCAGAATCTCACCACAGACCCGCACATGGTACATACCTTGGTAATCTTTTGCTGCTTGATCAACGAGGCTTTCTTCGGCGCAATCTGCCCGTTTGTTCCCTTCTTGGGGCCGAGGGCTGAGGGGCTGTTATTTCAGAAAAAAAATATCGGTTAGTTTCATAGCTGTCAAAAGAGAACAACTTCTCCTCTCGAATAATCTCGAAAGTCGGTCGCGTAAGAGCGACAGCGGTGGGAAGATTGAAAGGTCGATGAAAACCATACCGTTTCGTAGAAGTATTGGCCTTCGCCTTCTTGAGCAGTCCTTGAGCCATGGCTGGTAGGTGCGGAGAAATTAGGTCAAAATATAGTCAGGTATTGAGTGAGTGTACTGCCAGCAGCACGGCGCAAAGGTAGGCAATAAAGAATTGTACTGTATCCAGCGAAGTCGAGGGTCGGGGAGTGAGCGGAGGTGGAGGGATAAAAATTCCTTATCGGTGGGCTTATCGGTCACGTGTGATATTAATCGATAACACCAATGAAGTATAAACAAACAGCTCCTCAGGATTTAGCTTCAGTAGAACAGGGCCTTCCCTGTCTAACAGTCATCTATCTGTCTAATTACTATAAAAGTATGCATTCAGTCATCACCAGTATTCTTCCGTGTGCGCAACGCCCCACGAAATGAGGTGCATACCCGGGAGCGTCTTCAGGTTGGACTGGACGATATGGAAACTCAAGAATAAGCTTCCTATTTCTGAGAATTAGAGACGAGTGTCGGCTGTTAATACTGCGCATTCCCTATATACAGACAATCGCAGATAATATCAGGAACAAAATAAATAATGTATATAGCACGACATATAAAAAGGACTAGGTATCTAGGAAAACCGCCAAAGGGAAACGAACGGAAGAAAATGCAAGAAAGGACGCCGTATAAAGCATGCATTCCATGTGTATAGTACTATCCAGCTAGTTGGGAACCCCGTCGTCGATTCCAGCTGTCTCCTCTGTGACCGGCACAGTATCATTTGGAGCGGGATTTAGCTTCTCCCCAATATCAACGCTCTCTCGCATTATCTGTCGCGCGGAATCGTCGTCAACATCCATGTCCTCCTTTATTAACCTAGCGGCAAGCTCGGGGACTAGGACAGCTTGTGAGTATGGGACCACGCCTGCCTGCTTGACGATGTTGTCTTCAGTTGCTAGGCGGCGGAGCTTTCTGGCGAAGCGCGTTGTAATTGCTTGTAACCTAGATGTCTATTAGCGTTTTGCTTTCGTGGAACGTAAGGAAGGTGTGCGCTTACATCCTCCCGGAACCCCGAGTCCCGTAGTACCCGCATGATATCGTTTCCAGGGCGTCGCCAGCGAGAGTAAGGCGGAAGTTCTTTGCTTGCCCTGATTTCATTGTAGTGTCAAGAACGTTTCGGTAATACGATGAGCTCTCCGGGACCATTAGTTTCTCCAGCTCATCAAAATGAGCTTCAATACGTTCGTCAAACTTTTCCCAGTCAATTGTTGGGTAGCCTTTCTCTTCCCACTCCTTTTCCATAGCAGGCTTCTTATGAGACTCGCAGAAGACATACTGATCCCTGATGCGCTGTCTTGGTTGAGCTCGAAACTTGATTAACAGCTCCGGCTCCACCGGCTCCTTGCACATCGGACACAGGTATTCGACCGCTTCGGCATTCTTGGAATCATCCTCGTCCGAGATAGGAAAGCCATCGGAGTTATAGCTCTTCGCAGAACTTAGATCGCTCATCTCATCATCGGACTCGGGTATCTCGAGACTTGAAGGTGGGGGCTCTATCTCCGGATTACGTGGAACCCTGAATCCACTGTCTTCCTCCTCTTTCTCCTCCTCCTCGGGACTATCTGCTTGTGTAGAAAACGAAGTTACAGACGACTTCGGCGGCGGCGCACTCGAGGGGGCATGCGACTCGGCCATGCTGGAACTAGGTGTTTTGCGAAACCTTGAGCCATAGCCTAGACTTGGGCGTTTGCTGCGTTGCGACGACCACGTATCAAAGGGGTCCTGTGCTGCCATATCATCGGATCCAAGCATACCCGCTGCCTTCCGTTTGCGACTTGAACCTGGTGACTTGGTGGTGAAGCCCCGCCCGTCATTATTCTCAGCGAGCTTCTGCTCGAGTGTCTTTTCTGTTTGTCCATTCCGCGAGGTTCGTGATTTGCGAGGTGTAGGCATTTCCAGTCCATCGCTCTGCTCATCTTCGGAATCGGAGAAGCCTTCCTCATCGCTGGTTCCACGAGGTGGGGCATTAACGTCTTCTTCCTCTTCTAATTCTTTCTTTGCGGGCGCCGACGGTAGGCTTCGTCTCGTCCGTAAACTAGGCATGGTGGATGTGTAAAGGGGCCAATTGATCAGGGTTCGGGGTTTTTAGAATTGTAAATTAAGCATAGACAAAAGAGACAAAGGTCGTCGAGTCACATAGCACGGACGGAAAAGGAATAATTCAGGTGGTACAGCCTATTAAGAGACTTGCGTTAGTTACTGTATAAGTAGTCTTAGTAAATATGGAGTCGAATCTCCTCACCTCGGAGGATGAAATTATTAACGGTTGAGATGAGGAGTAACGGGGATTCGAGTTGGATGAGGTCGTCGAGCAGCCCAGCACGACAGTCGGCTGCCGGACTTTGTGGGAACTGTGAGACTGATGGAGGAGGGCTTCGCGGAGTTGAGACGCGTGGTGGGCGTGACATGACACGCGGGACCAGAGCTTCTCCGCAGTAGCAAAGTTATGGAACTTTACTCGCCCGCCTCCTTTTCCCACCACACTTGAGAACGTACTATTTCTTTGGAACTACATCTTCACAATATTTCCTCTCCATTTCTCATTTCCCCGGGAATTCATTGAATTTCCTGAACTGACAGCTTTAAAATGTATGTATAGCTATAATCGATATGCGCGGCAAAGCAAACCTCACGCCAGTAAGCCATAACTCCATTGGTAAAATACCATGCCAGGAACGTTATTATAAACGACTCTGTAACCTTCAAAGACCAAACAGTGGAAAACATATCTAAATAGAGTTTAATATATTAAGAAAGTTCATATAAGTATGCAACCTCTAAGGATTATACCATCCTTCGCCCATATATATTCATAGTTCATCATCACTCAAAAGTCATTTGGATTTCACCTTCGCCGTCGTCAGCCCACGCATTCTCTTCTAACGCCATTGCACCAACTGTTGTCGCTCCGATCGCTCCAGCCCCGATAATGCCGGGAGTTGTAGCTGATGGTCGAAGAGTGGGTCGAGAGGGGCGGGGATCATCGGGATGGTACATATCAGGTTCGAATGAGGACAAGGACCGTTGCGGTGGTTCATGGTAGGATGTATCAAAGGTCATTTGAACTTCCTCATCCTTAGGAGGAGGGGGTGGAGGAGAGGGTGACTGTTTGGGGTTTGGTTGCGGTGATTTTTGGGCGGATTCTTGAGTTTTGGAATCTTTCGCAGTGGAAGGTGATGGTGTTGCTGGTGAAGTCAAAGCCGGAGAATTCAAATCCAACTTCATAGGTGGTAGAGTTGATTCAAGCTGCTTGACCTCCATCATTTCTGATGCCAATTCAGCCTTGATGGCGTCAATATCAAACAACACACTGCCTGCTGCGTTGCTGCCTGTCGGGCTCTGAGGCGATTCGGATTGATCAACATCGTAGGACTCCCATGCCTTCTTTTTGGCCAGCTTCCCCCGTTTGAATAAGCCAAACCGTTTCTTTTCTGGCTTGCTCTCTGCGTCTCGGCGGGCCTCGTCGATCTCACGGATTAGCTCCCTTTGTCGTTCACCATGATTCTCGGGGTCGGGATCTTCAATTTCTGCAAATTCTTCACTGAGGACTTCCCACCCAATATGCTTCAAGAGACGGGGTATGGCTGCACGGTAGTCCATGTGTCCGTTCACGAGCTTGGTGACGTCAACGTTTTCAAGACCTGGAATCCCTTCAACAGGGGCTAGACCGGCCACGCGCATGATACCTCCGGCAGTGGCACGGAACAAGTATCCTAGGATCCAGTCGTTCGAAGAGTATCCGTTCACGAATCTACCTGAAATAACACCACGGACCTTGAGGTATTCGTCTTTGTTCGCAACCACAGGGGACCCGAAAAGATAGACATTTTCAACAAGCCCATAAGCACCCTTGTCGGCGAGCTCCTTTAGGCAGGAAAAAATGACTCTTGCACCAAGAGAGTATCCAAGCAAGGTCACCGGCCGCTTGCCCAGGTTGCGATCCATTAGTGAGTCGGCCAGAATGAGACCAGCCGCATTGGCACGGGCGAGTGAGACGTTCCAGGGGTTATCAACTAGATAAGAGAGCTTCGTGAGGATAAGGGGAAGCTGTAGGGATGCCATGAGCGCTGTTAGAACGGTGCTTCCGAGCACTTGTTGTAGTCCTTGGGTCAAAGCCTAGGTTATATTTGTCAATATCCCGATCGTATAAGGCTCGGTGTGTGCAAAACCTACCTCTGTAGCTAGAATATTTATGGTTGCACCCATGCTCTTGAGCATCTCGGGTTCCCACAAAACCGAATAGATGTCTCCCATGATAGGATCAACAGTACTATAAGGCAATCGCACATCGTCTACATTTCCAGCCATCCACCCTGATACCGTGACAATAAGGTTAAACCTCTTGTTGTTGTGCAAAGGACGATATTCGAACGTCTGGACTGCTCCAGTACGCCTATGAGACGCTCTCAAACCTATTGTACTCCCTGTCAGGGTAGCCCCAGACGCAATAAGAGCTGTACCGCCAGCTCCACCGAGGAAGGCGCTGGTTCCACCAACTCCAATTGTAGTGAAGCCGGCGGCAATACCAGCACCGATGACTGGAGCAAGTAGACCAGCTGAGAGACCGATGACCAGCCCTCCACCAACAGTGGCCAAGCCCATAACCATGTATTTGCGTTTCAGCGCCGACTTGCGGCGCTTCTCCATATGTTCTGACTCATCCCATGTCTCCTTCTCCGCCTCCTCTTGCATTTCCAGGGCATCAATGACACGCTTCTCGAATTTGGAGATCTGTAACCACGAAATCTCCATGGATTCTCCTACACTCTGTAGCAATGTCCGCGACCGCGAGTCGTAGCTTGAATCTGAAATCAATACTAGGAAAAGGTCGCAGAGAACTGTCCAACGAATATCGATATCGATTTTCTGGGATGTTGGTAGCTCAGACGGTGTCTGAACCTCTGGAACACTCCCATCGGGGTGAGTGTCATATGGAGGTGGGGAATTTGTTTCCGAGGACCTATTGAGCTCAGTCGATAAGCTAGACCGGTCCTCATCCTTCCAGGTATTCGATCTGGTCGAGGATAGGGATTTCTTGGATATATCTTCTTCTTCGGCCAACGGATTCTTGACACGAGCATTCGCCATAAGCGGTCGGACAAGATCTTCAGGCTGTACTCCATGCTCAGCGAGTTGCTCAATCATCACCTGTTCCGCCTGGTTGATATCCATGTGAGAGTACAACCTAGCCATCATTGCCTGGCCCCATCCTCGCGTTGAGTCAAGCGCTTTTTGTTTCCGCTTGCGAGTCGACTTGGTTGCGGGGGCTCTATCCATGTCCCTTACCATCCTGAAAATGGTTAAGCGTGTGACTCCCACATAGGCGATTCTTTGGCTTTCGGTCAGGAGATCTTTCGTAGCTTGCAGCTGGCTCAGAGTATCGCGAAGTTCTTCTCCCTCGTATCCTGCACCAGTAGCATCGGACTCTCGGAAAAGATAGCTGGTGTCTTCGTCCAAACTATTTATAGACTCGGTATCATCGTCAAGCTGGACTCTGGTGTATCCTTTCCCAGCCCCTCCGAGGCCTTGGTAAACCGCCTCATTATCATCTTGCTTTGTTCCGCGGGCAATCAACCGTCCATAATCATCGTATAGGTCAAACTCGTCCAACGCAGTCATATCCTTCCAGTCCCCATCGTCGCTCTCTTTGTCTTGTTCATGATCATCTTTCTCCTTATGGTCATGCAGCCGCTGGTGCGACCACTCCGACATCGGGATGTCATTCTTCACTGTGTGTTCAGGCCGCGAAGACGTAGACTTCCTAGTGTCACCCTGGGCTGAGTGTTCGGTATAAGGTGGAGGTGGTTCATGTTCGGTGTCTGGCGGTGGGCTCTCTGATGTACGTTTCTCTGTTGTGGATACCGTTACTGCGGTTTCTGCTCTGTTGGGTGTGAGTGTCTCGCGCTCGCTTGGTTCGGGAGCAGGAGGGACCTCGGGCCCCTCCTCTCGACTGTTCCCTGTAGAGGTCTTTCTGTCAACCGGCTGCTCTACCGAAGAAGTTTTCTCGACCTCCGGCTCTGCTGTTGTGGTATGGGTACCAGAGCCAGAGGCTTCCTCCTCCGCATCATGAAATTGGTCTTCGTCAACCGTCGACTCGGTGTCTCGTCGGGGTGGCTTAGGTCGCGATCGAAGAGGTAGCCCGAAATCATCAAATTCCTGCACAGCTGTGGTGTCTTGGTTTGTGGTCGGCTTATCTACCGGTGTGCTCTGCTGCGAAGCGCCATTTCCGCCTTTAATGCCGTCAGTTGGTGTATCGGCGTTCCGCGGCAAGGGCTCGTGTGACGGGTCCGAAGTACGTGAGGCCGGCTGATCACCAGGGAGGTCGCCAGAGTGGTCAACGGTGGGAGCCGGGCCCGAGCTCATCCTTCATCGAAAAGGAGATCCCAGAAGTCTTCAAACTGGCTTCTTTCTAGTCTTTTGTTTTTCCCAGTTGGTAACCCCGTCTGAATTCCGAGACAAAGATACGACCCATCCGCGCAAACAACCACCACGAATCCTAAAAGCTTGCACTCTGGCAGCTTGGTTCCCACTTATGGACTATATTGAATACGGTGTACAGAGCAGTGTGACGACGGTCCAGGCGTCAAAGGTGTTCGGGGTGTTGTGGATCCGAAAAGGGGTTGGGTGGAATATTCGACAACGGCTAACTGGCGGAGGCTGCTTGAAGGGACGTCTGAATGGTTAATAGACAGAAAAACGCAGGAAATTTGAAGAAATCAAAACAGGTTGACAGATCTTACCTTCTGCCGCAGTTATTATTGCTCCAAGAAGTTGTTTCTGGGACCGGGAGAGGTGTCCGCGCGGCGTGAGGTTCTGAAAGCGGCGATCCAACTTTAGATCGAAGCACCCGTGGGGTTGAGAGGAGAGGCAGCCGGAGATCACGTCAAATGCAATCTACCCCCGAACTCACTCGCGAACCACCAAGCCCGACGGCTGTTTGATAGTGCGGCTCACAACAAATAGGGACATCGGCTGTCGCCCGAAGCTCCCGTTTGATCTATCTTGAAATTCCTGTCCAGGGCATAAAATGTGCGACTGTCCACAATTGTGAAGTCAACCACATTAACCACATAGTGGGAATACTAAATTTCTATGCTAAAGCAATCTGAGTATTGTTTTTCATCACTTACCCAAGGCTCACAATTACAGGCCATTGCGAAAACCATTCCTTTCAACTGTACATTCAGGCAAACTTCAAGTGTGAGATACCAAATCGTCCCATTCTTGAAGATTGAGAACAAAATAAACAATCTGCTACTTCCAGGTCAAATATAAGTTGACAAGTTGTTCATCATTAAAAAATCATGAAAACGGAAACAAAGTAAATGGCCTAGGTCCCCAACCAAGACCTGGCAGGCGAATACTAGGTACTATGGTACTTTGTAGCACAAGCATCTGTCTAAGCGGCCCCAGACGGATTCCCCCTCCTAATGTTGTCGGCGCTATGCGATATTTTGTTGGTCTTTGTTTAGCTGTTGTGGATATTCGTAAAGGTATTTGTGGCATACACGCTACTTGACGAACCGCCTTCAACGTCCACCTTCTCTGAGCTTGCCTTCTCCCTATCCTGCAGCGACGGTGCTTTATTTCTATCAGAATATACGCCTTCAACCAATCGTGACTCGGAGTTTGAGGTTGACTTCTGAAAATCATCATCTTTATCTCTAAAGTTGTCTGTAACAGCCTCTAATACGGGCGTTAATATGGCAATCGCGCATCCTAGCTCGATCCCCAACTTACTAGTAGAAGGCTCCTTTTTGGACAGTTCAGGAAGCTGAGACACTTCGTGTAGTGATTGTTGAATTTAGCTTGAGATTCAATCAATGCCCACTCGAATAAACTTACACCCCCTATATATTCCAGAGTTGATAGAATTGAGCGTCATAGCTCGCCACGTCCATTGAGGGAATATTCGTGCGCCCTCACCCAAGCATGAGATTCACACACACAACCAATGTCCTTTACACTTAGATTCGGGCCTGGATTCTTTAGTTCCATATCTGCATCGTCCATATTCCTAGATGGAGAGCATATCACTATACCATGCTGCTGGCGACTTACAATAATCCAACGTGGCAGATGGAGAAAAGGGGGAATTCGGCTCAAAGTGAAGTGAAAGTTCTTTTGATAGTTGTTTCAATTTTTTTTTTCCATCTGGATCGTATACTTACCATATGGGAAAATTTTATGTCCAGGCACACCTACAGTATCTCTACTAGTATGTAGGTACTGAGTGCTAAGATCGTCATGCCGGATATTTGGGGCCATTTCTGAGGGGCGGGGTCTTCAATCTGCCCACTGTGTCTAGTATATTCAAGAATCCGCTTGTCGCAGTGAGGTCCCACGCCCATACTCTGCGGTGCAACCTGAACGGTCTTAGAGCAGCTGTTCCAACGTTCATGTTTGGTGCCAAGAGGCTGCGTTTCGTCGTTGATTCGGCGGGCTTCTCTCGGTGGAGCAGTACCAGCGATCTGACGTCGACGATAGGCACCGGCTGTCTGCAGAAACAGCCCCCACCGCACAAGCGCATCGTCAATCCTATGGCTGACGGCGGTTGAAGAAAATGATCATCGTCTTCTATAAAATCTGGGGAAATCATCTCCACGCTCACGAATTATATAGCGAAAGATCTATCCGGAAATACACGAAACGTGCCATGAATTGCGAAAATTGCAAACCCGTAGTGGCAGTCCAGTCTCCACAGGGCTGCCCAGGCGCGGCCACTCACAGCTGGCTCCGGCAACTGAGCACACGACATCACCGTTAGGAACCAGAAGCGAGCGTCGCGGCCTCACTCAGCAGCCCGAACTTGGAATTGGCTCTTGGACTTTTGGTGGGCTCTTGGATGGGCCCAGTCTCCGGCTCTCGTCCTTTCATATTAATAACCTGTCGCCCAATGCCTACTCTCCTATCGTTTCCCACACCGACACCGTGATATCTGGCACTTTAGCCCCGTTATCTGTATGAAATCGCCGTGATTTCTAGAGAAGCGAGCCCCGAATCCGAGTGATTTCGGAACTTGCTGGGTTTCTCGCAATGCGCCCGTTAGCCTTCCTGTTTCTCCTTGCTCTCGCCGGGTTGTTATTAGTCCAAGCGGAGGGTGATGTCGAAGTCACTTTCGAGGATGTAAGGGATAAATTGCCCAAGGTTTATAGCGGACAGGCTGAGGAATCCGCGCCAAAATATTTCCGTGAGTCTCTTCTACCATGTTTCTAGCCTAGCTGCATTTGATTGTACGCTCAGACATAGCTCGCTAACTCGATATCAGAGGAATCTTCGTATGTTACCTACCGGTCTTCACAGATTTTGCAATACGCTAATGCCGATTCCCATCAGCTTCCACTATCACTATGATGGGCGGTTTGTACCCCTAGTCTCATTATTTCCATTGAATGTGACTGATTCCAATTGCAGGTTTGCGGAGGAACCCCTATCCGATAACGAAACGCTTCCGCACTTATCTGCGCTCATCCAAACATACTTATCAACGATGGCGGACCTCCGTGCCGAAACCTGGATAATGCATGGATCACTTCTGGCTTGGTGGTGGAATCAAAAGGTGACATGGTTCGAAGGCGTTTAGTTGTGGACATTTTTACTGACGGGAGTAGATCTTTCCGTGGGACAACGATCTCGACGTCCAGATTAACGAGCCTGTGATTCACTTCCTTGCCGACTACTATAACATGACCGAGCATCATTTCGATCTTCCTGATGTCGAAGGTGGACGGACCTATCTTCTGGAAATCAACCCTTACTATGTTATTCGGTCAAAATCGGATACGGCGAACGTCATTGACGGAAGGTGGATAGACACTTCGTCCGGATTATTTGTCGATATCACAGCTGTACGGACAGACGATGAGCGCCGAGCAAACGGCGACCCTGGTGCCCTGATGTGCAAGGACTACCATAATTTTGATGTGAGTGCAAGGTGCCAATTCCCAACGGACAGAACAGAAGCTGACTTCTTCTAGGAGTCCGAAATATATCCACTCAGAAACACCTATTTCGAAGGGGTTCCCGCGAAAATTCCATATGCATACACGAAGCTTCTTCAAGACGAGTACGGCCCGAAAGCCCTAACCAAAACCAACTACCAAGGGTATGTTTGCAATCGCCTGATTGCCTCGTTATATTATTACTAACATGCTCCCTAGCCACCAATTTAACGAAAAGACTAGTGTATGGGAGAAAATCCAGTGAGTTTAAGCTCCGTGGTCTTGGTTTTTGGACTTACGCTGACCGCACCCTTTCAAAGAAACAGTAGATTATTGGCTCGACGCCGGAAGGTCCCCGAGGTGCCAGTTCGAACCACGCCACTTAAACATTTATATGGCATCAATGTCAGTTCTAGGCCTTGACGGTTTGGCCGTCGTTTAATTACAGATTTAACCATATATAATGCGAACCCCTGTGCACACTGGCGCTTTTGGATTTGGTTGGCTATTTTTTGGAGCTTTGGTTTGCAGGCGCACAGCATAATAGCCTTGTCCGAGGCTTGCATTTGAGAGTTACTGATATCGTGTCGATGTTTCAATACCATCTACTGTTATAGTTAATGCATATATATACTCTGATCGTTTAATGTTTCCACATCCAGCCTCCTCTTTTTAGACCTCCTCCATCTAACCCTATCGACTGTGTAACTGATACGAGTAGCCCCGTTGAGGTTGTATCACAGGGAATGCGGTGATGAAAGTGGCTGGAAAACCAAGCACAAGGTACAATTTTGAATTGCCGGTTAGGGGATAATAATGCGACTAAAGACTATTGTTCGTCCGACCCCAGTCGAAGGAATGGTCCCTATCTCGTCTTTCGAACTTTACTATGGCGGTCAGGACCTTGTTCACTGCTGGATGCCGAGAGTAAGTGGTTGGACCTCCGGATCTGGGATCTCGGGGTATTCACCGCATCTAGACAAGGCCGGGGAAAGCTCGATAATGCGGTGTACCAATGCCAATATAACGCAATATCTGTCCAGTGGACTCCGTAGTGTCTATGCTAAAGCCCGACATAAGAATTGACTCGATGGTTTGATGTCTCGACTCGATCTGAGGGCCTGACAGCCAATCCCTTAGTCAGCGGATAGGCAGTGCGGGGGCCTGATCGCAAAGTGAACCAACCAATAAACACGAGCCCCCACTATGAGCTCGTCGTGCCCAGGCGATCTCCAGAACCCACTTCCACTTCTGCCTTTGTTCCAGCCTTCCAGAGTTGACGGAAACACCGAGGACGCCGTCTAGACCTTGAAGCTACCTGCCTGCAAGGAGCACCTCGTACTGAAGAATGCTGGTGAACTGCTGAGTTCCGCCTGGTTGGCTCTTTTCGCTCTCTTCTGGATCTTTCCCTCTTCTCTCTTCTGTCCCCCGCTTCCACCCCCAGCAGCCCTTACATTGACGATGTGGCACGGCGTGGAAGCTGTCACATCCTCCATCGCCTAGTCGCCATGTCGTTCTCGCCGCCAATTCAGCCTGCACCGGAATTCGGAACCCACAGCTCAACCTCCACATCGTTTACCCAGGGCGAAGGAAGCGAGAACCCCCCTCCTCCAGCCTCTCATAAGCATGCATCTCAAGATGCTCTGGCTCTACGGAGCTGCATCACCTGTCGCCGAAGGAAGGTCCGCTGCGACAAAAGGTCCCCGTGTTCGAATTGCGTCAAGGCGGGCATTGAATGCATCTTCCCCCCGCCAGGCCGCGCGCCGCGCAAAGTGAAGCGGCAGCCAGCTGAAAATGCAGAGCTGCTAACGCGGCTGCAGCAACTCGAAAATATAGTCGAGGCCGCTATGACAAACTCCAATACTCAAGCTACGCCGTCGCCCCCTCAACAACGTGGCGACCCGCCTGCTAGGCCTCAGCCTTCTCGTCATGAAGAGGGTGAGGGTGGATGTCCAGTTGCTGCCGCGGGCGCGGCGGGGCAAATGCCATCGTTGGAGCACGAGTTCGGAAGACTCGTTATTGAAGATAATCGGAGCCGATATGTGAGCAATCGGTTTTGGGCAAGTCTTGGAGATCAGGTTGGTTATTTTCCTAGCTCGTGTGGTTTTGTGTCAGCTAAATGCTGATGCTGGCTCTGAACTAGATCGAGGAATTGCAGGATATTCTTGACCATTCGTCTTCTGATGAAGAGGACCACTCCTCACCAGGGTCATCTTCTAGCTACTCTACGCCTCATGATGGAATGCTCTTTGGCTTCTATTCTCTTGCCCGCTCTCTCCGAAATTTCCACCCGCTCCCGGGTAAAGTTCCGGTGCTATGGGAAATTTACGCGGAGAATGTCAAACCGTTACTGCCCGTGGTTCATGGCCCCGCAGCCCATCAACTGTTCACAACAGCTGCGCGGTCCCCAGATGCTTTGGATAAGAACAATGAGGCCTTGGTACTCGCTATGTACTTCGCAGCAATCGTCAGCATGTCTCCTGAGCAGTGTATGGCTGAGTTAGGAGAAGCCCGTGACACCCTAGTCGGCCGTTATCGGTTCGCTGTGGAGCAAGCACTGTCCAAAGCTAATCTGTTGAACACCCAAACCCTGACATTGATGCAGGCTGCAGTGATCTTTTTGAACGCTGTTCGCCGAGACGATGACACTAAGTTCGTCTGGTCAATGTCATCCCTTATACTTCGCCTGGCACAAGGACTCGGTTTACATCGGGATGGAAACAATTTTAATTTAAGGCCTTTTGACGCTGAAATGCGCCGGAGACTGTGGTGGCACGTTGTTCTACTTGACCTTCGATCTTCCGAGGACCATGGGACTGATGTGCAAATCCACGATCGAATGTTTGATACCAGACTTCCCTTAAATATCAACGATGACGACATTTCTCCCTATATGAAAGAGCGACCGAAGCCGAAAGTAGGTTTTACCGACATGACCTTCTTCCTCGTGCGGTGCGATATCTGCTATGCTCTTCGAAGGGTGGCCTATACATGCCCAAATACTAGCGGAGCTGTTTCAGGACCCACTCCGGAAAACTGCGGCAATGTAGTACAAACTGTGAATATGCACATCGAAGAGCAATATCTGAAACATTGCAACATGTCAGATCCGATACAGTGGATTAGTGCGACAGTTGCGCGCCTAGTTCTCACGAAAATGTGGCTTGTGATACACCACCCGATAACACGCCAGGATCTTGAATCGCAAATCAGCCATGAGTCTCGGGAAAGCTTATTTATTACATCCATTGAGGTTACCGAGTTTTCTCGTTTAATCAAAGAAGACGAGAACACAAAGAAGTGGAGCTGGATGTTTGATGCGTATATGCAGTGGCACGCTATCGCCATGGTGCTGGCTGAACTCTGCGTGCGCCCATTGAGCCCTCTGACGGATCGTGCATGGATCGCGGTGACAACTGTTTATGACGATTGGCTACGGACCGCTAAACAGCGGAAAGGGATGCTTTGGAGGCCACTTGCCAGACTTATGAAACGAGCAGGTGCCCTGAGAAAGAAGCAACTAGAAGAGCTAGCGGCTCATGTTGAAAATCAGCAAGCCGCTGCCCGAAGCGCAATACCTGTTTCCGCACAGTATGACCGGCCTTCTATAGGATCGCCTTTCTCGTCGCATTTTCCGGAACATTCAAGGTTGGTAGCTGCGGCGCCGCCGATGGATTGGGATCCGTCCCAAGGCCCACTGGACTTTGATATCACACAGGGTCCTATGGGTGCGATCCAATCACTGTTTCCAGAAGGCAACTTCTTTGCCATTCCTGCGAGCCTTAGCTCAACAGCACCACAAACTCAAGCGAATATGAATGTTCCCATATCCATGTCTAATGAACAAATGGCCGGCATCCCACTAGAACCTTCTAATCCAGCGGCCAATTTTCCGGAATGGGACCAGGTGCTGCGGGAGTTCCAGCTCGACCAGGGTAATAACCCCATGGGCGATGTCACTGGGTGGGTGGCTTGACGCCTGTCATGGACGAACTGGCTATCCTTTTTATATAATTGGATCCCATGTCTGCTATTATATACCTATCTTTGTATTATTGCCTTTGAGCCTCTAAACGTTGAGATACCCATATCTAGTATCAACAGATATTCACGGCATACTTTGCCCTTATATTAGATATGAAAGCCTATAAGCCAGGACGGAGTTAATGGTTTTCTAGATGCAGCCATGTCGATTCGCTAACTTTTTTGCATTATGTTAGCTCTGTATGACAATCTCCTGGCTGAATTTTGTACAATGGATATGTATTCCATTGTTATGTCACCGAGACTCGGTATCATACTAGAAGGAAATACAGAAAATACATCCATTCAAATTTTTCAATTAATTCCGCATGCCTTTTAATTACTACTCACGCATAAATCATCATCTTTTACGTGACGGAGAGGGCTATACTTATACCTCCGCGGTAGGTCACGTGCGGGCAACTCTATCCAGACTGGACAGCTTGCCATAGCTCCGCTACTCCAGACCACGTCCACCCCATTGCAATCAACCCAATCGACCAACTCAGCACCCCTTTTTCGCTCTCCACATCGGTATAAGATCCCATATACCCTCCGTCTCAACAGCCACAAAAACCGAAGAATAATCAACAACAATGCCGGCCAAACGCGCAGCCGCAGCTACCTCCGCTTCCCCGTCGGGATCATCAACACCCACCACACTCTCCTCAGGGCCCAAAACGCTATCCGCGAACTCCTCCATCTCCGATATCGCTATCAATGTCTGGCAGCAGTACCTGACGACTACGCCGCAGCGCACAATGCTCCTAGATGCCTTCATGGCTTTCCTGATTCTCGTCGGAGGCGTGCAGTTTGCGTATTGTGTTTTGGCGGGGAACTATGTATGTGTCTTCCTCATGTTTCTATCCTGCTACTCTTTATTCTACTTGAGTGCTTTTGTTTTCTGCGCCGCGAATCTTATCAGTCAATGCTAACCTGGTGTCTTTGCGGATAGCCCTTCAACGCCTTCCTGAGTGGATTCTGCGCCGCTGTCGGCCAATTCGTTCTCACGGCTAGTTTGCGCATGCAGACGAATCCGGCGACAGATTCTGCGAGTAAGGGCTCTGGTCCGGCGAAGGGATCGAAGACTGTTGTTGGTCGTGGTGAGGGGGTTAAGGATGGTAATGTTTCGCATGAGAGGTGAGATTTGCCCCCACCTATCTTTCTTTTTTTTCTCTTTTGCACTTTCCTTCTGTTTGTGGTGGATTGGATGCATATTCGCTTGCACTATAACTGGAGAACAAGAATACGTTTATTTGATGTGGATATGTGCTAATGCGTTGCTGTTATGTACAGAGCATTCGCCGACTATATTTTCGGGAGCTTGATTCTGCATTTCTTCTGTATTAATTTCATAAACTAAGCTGGGGCTGAGTTCAAAATGGCTGAACCTACTTTTTTTATGGTGGAGGATGAGTGGATTGTCTACTTGGGTTACCTTGTGTCTGACAGACATTACCTGAAAGGGTTACACTCAGATACTGAAGGAGGGGAGTATTTCCCTGGCGGAATTATTCTGACATGATTGTTTTCTTATCATCATGTGCCTTCATTTTATGGGGGCTGGATATTTGTATACCATAGCGTATCTACTTTACGTCGGATATAGGAAAAAATGTTACTAGACTTCCAACAGTTACCAACTAGGGCAGTGCGATCTATCTGCAATAAGAACCAAGGTGAACCTAGCATATTCAATATGGGTATATTATGTATAGGTAGTCTAGATGTATTCTATTTCCCAACATGATCGATGCAGTTTTAGCGTTGCTATGTGGACAAGGCGCTGTGAGAGGCTCGCCGTATCCACGTTCCGGTTAGAAATGTCCCGTATCCACGTTCCGGTTAGAAAGGTCGCTTCGACAGACCCGGAGTCTGCGTTTCTCAAAGAGTACTCGTTATCAGCGGTTTCCTCCGCGTGCAAAGTTCCTGGGAATGAATTCCCGCCGAGACGCCCCAGAGATCAGGCGTTCATAGCTCGATACCATAAGCGCGCCAAAGTACGGCTGGGTTAAGCAACCGGGATCATTTGTCGATAGCTCCGCATTATAACAACGGAAGCAGACCTGGTTATTAAAGGCATCCACAGAGTAGACGTAATACTCTGTACTGGCACCTCAGAACGCGCGTCCACCTTTGCGCTTAATCTGTGGCTTTTTCACCACACTCCCACCACCACGGCCGCCACCAGAAGGACTATTGCGCGGCGACGAAGTAGCGGTTACACCCCCACCAACCTTCCGCGCTGCCGCAGCGGGCCTGCGTACGACAGACCCAACTTCAACTTCATTCTTTCGTCTAGAGAGCTCGGTTTTCTCCTTTTCGCGCTGTTTGTCGGCGGCGGCGCGTTCGCGGTCCGCTGCGATTTGGCTTTCGATTTCCATGCGGCGGTTGAACTCGAGTTCTGTGACGCGGCGCTCTCGGTGTGAGTAGCCTTTTTCTTTGACGGAATAGAAGACGCCTCCCAGTTCTGCGAGCCACTAAGTGGCTGTTAGCTGGATTGCCTTTCCAATGGGAAGAGGAGTAAGGTGGTACTTACGTGAGGATCAACTGCGGTCACAGTGGACATGTACTCTTTACTTGTGAGGATGAGTTCGTGGTAGACCACGTATTCTGGTACATAGCCTAGCCCGTAGAGAGCGCTGGTCGGGTGTAGCGCCATGCTAACACTGGTGCGGAGGTTGAGGAACTCGCCAATTCCCTTGACTCGCGCAGCTTGGTGATAGTAGCCGGAACAAATACATTTGCGAATTTCATCCCAGTCGGTTCCACAGGTGATGAGCGGCATTTTCTGCATAACCATGATGTCGTTGAGCTGGTCACGAACTTCCTTCGCCCTTCGCAGGGTTTTAGCGTGTAGGAAATGTTTTGTACACCAGTGGTCGGAGAATCCGTTGGACTTCCACTGGGAGTAAACGTGGAGGAGAGTTAGATGATCTGACTCGGGAACGAAGAATTTTTCACGCGCCGCATCAGACTCTTCTTGTCTCTCCTTGGGTCGGTAGAAGACGTTAGGCACCGACAGCATGGACACAATCGTCAACATTTCCTCGCTGCAGCCGTACTGCTCTGACGCCATGATGATGAGTTTGGCCAGGGGGGGGTCCATTGGAAATGGGGTCATCTGCCGCCCTAACGGTGTGAGGTCACCCAGGTTGTCAAGGGCTCCTAGAGACCAAAGCTCGAAAAGTGAGGTTGAGATCGTTTCCTGGGGAGGCGGATCCATGAAATCAAAATCCAGTAGATCTTTCACACCAAGTGATTTGAGGAGCAGCACCGTGTTAGAAAGGCTAGTTCGCTGAATTTCTGGGATCGTTTGCAGGTAGAGCTCATTCTTGTATGCCACTTCCGTGTACAGACGATATGCTTTACCAGGTCCCGTCCGACCAGCTCTTCCAGAGCGTTGATTGGCATTTGCCTGCGAGATCGGCGTAATCTGAAGAGTGTCCATGCCCATCTTGGGGTTATACACTTTCAGCTTCGAGTAGCCTGAGTCGACAACAAACATGATACCATCTACTGTCAGACTGGTTTCAGCAATGTTCGTGGCCACGATCACTTTTCGAACTCCGGGGGCAGCTCGTTCGAAAATCTTCGATTGTTGCTCAGCCGGCATCTGACTGTAAATCGGAAGAATACTGAGTTTCGGCGGGTCATTGAGCAGCTTCAATCTCTCATCGACTAGCTCGCAAGTTGCTTCGATGTCTTCTTGTCCCGTCATAAAAACAAGGATATCGCCGGGACCTTGTGAAACGTGGATTGCCAAGACCTGCTTGACAGCGCTATCGACATAGTCCTCGCAGGGGGTGCGAGAGAAATGGACATCAACAGGAAACGTTCTCCCAGGTATAATAAATTCTGGAGCACCGCCAAAGAACCTCGAAAACCGGTCGGCGTTCATAGTGGCTGACGTGACGATCAATTTCAAATCTCTCCGCCGAGCCAATATCTTCTTTAGCAGACCCATTAGAACATCCGTGTTGAGCGCACGCTCGTGTGCCTCATCCATAATAATACAAGAGTATTTGTCAAGGTCGGTCTGGACAAGTGACTCTCGAAGGAGAACACCATCCGTCATATACTTAATGGCCGTGTTCGGGCCGGTGCAGTCTTCGAATCTGATAGCGTATCCAACAAGATCTCCCAGGTCAACTTCCATCTCTTCACTGACTCGCTTTGCGACGCTCATTGCAGCTACCCGGCGGGGTTGTGTACACCCGATCATTCCAAACTTTCCGTAGCCGTCCTCATGGAGAAACTGTGTGAGTTGCGTCGTCTTTCCGGAGCCCGTCTCCCCAACAACCACAACCACCTGGTTATCACGTATAACCCGCAAAAGATCTTCCCGGACTGCAAATGCTGGCAAGAACTCTCGTTGCTCGCGAAGCGTTTTGCTCTTACTGAAAGAGCTTTGGCCACCCTCGTCCTGCTTTTTCATATGTTGTGCAAACTTATTCCCGCCCTTATAGACATCCTCCACAGGCATTGCGACAGCAGTGTCACCTTCGTCTTCCTTCACCCCCATCAGGTTACCCAGCGCGGTGCCGGCAACCGTGGTTGCTTCCTGCGCCTGCTTTTGTCGCTCTCGCTGCTGCCGCCGGTCTCGCACAACTTTGCTCCCCTTCCGGCTAAAGACAGCCATATCACTCTGTGGGTCGCGGACTGCTGAGATGGGCTCCAGCTGCTTTGTGAAGATCGTGCGGCCATCGAGGAAGGGTGGACGAAGGTCATGGACGAGCAAATGGACACGAGTGCCCTCCTCATCTTCGGGCATAAAATCGCCATCGAAATCGCGTCTCTGGGCGACACCAGAGGTGAGCATCCGGTTCGTCTCCCAGTTGTCGATATCCTTGCGCTTTGCATCTCGAAGTGGCGCCGGAAGATTCGAGCTTTTCTGCCTTTTTGCGGGAGGCTCGTTTGACGCCATAGTGAATAAGGTATACCAAAAGTATAGTACACAGATATAGTTTCTCAGAAGGTGGAAGAGTTGGTAATATCCAGAAGGATCACCCTCCTGGCGGTTGGTGAAGAAAGTTATTGATCAGAACAGAAGCTGCGGGCTTGATATAAAAAACCAAACAATGCAAACATGGTAATATGTGATCACGTGTAATTTATTCCGGTAGCTACTGGACTCCATTGACAATGGATTTAGCATATTCTACTCTTTTATCCAATTGTAAATTTAATATAGCATCGGATGGAATGCTCGAATAGTATGTCACTGCTGTTGTGGTTGAAAGTACAGTTTCCTGATATCTACAGTGTACGGTGTGCTTCGTAGCTCAGTGAGGCTTGGCTAAAAAGTGGCCGATAACAGTCCGCCCCGCATAAACGATTCCAGGTTTGCACTTACACTGCGCAACCAATACCCTGACAAAATGGCCAGTCAACAGCAAATCAATCCAAAGAAGCAACAAGGTAAATACATAGCGCGTTTCTTGTTTCACGATCTGAGGCTAATGGCGATTAGAGCTTCAAACCCAGTACACCACCTACAAGAACACACTCCAACAGCTTGCCCAAAAGATCGGAGATATCGAGACGGAGGCTGAGGAGCACAAGTAAGTTTTATTCCGATTCTCTATTCTGCGACGGCTCCATTGAAGTCCTTCAGTTGTCTAATACTAAGTGTGCAGACTCGTGATCGATACCTTAGAACCCCTGCCTCAAGATCGGACATGCTTTCGGATGGTGAACGGAGTTTTAGTTGAGCGGACAGTCAGCGATGTTTTACCTACGTTGAAAACAAATTCGGATGGTCTGAAACAGGTGTTGGAGGAATTGCTGAAGTCGTACAAGTCCAAGCAGGCGGAGATGGACAGTTGGAAGGTTTGTCCGCTGGTCGTTCTAGGCATATCCTCCATATTGTCAAGAGAATTACTGACCTTTTGCTCAACAGAAAAAGAATAACATTCAAGTTGTACAACCATAAGATTATGATTTATGAATAAAATTTCGCTTATTCGCGCTTCATGGATTCCACTCTCTAAGCCGAGTGTACTATATACTTGATCGCAGATGCCTGCAGGCCAAAGGGTTAGCTATTGTATTGGCTTGCTAGGTATCTATGTATAGTTTTCGATACAGCGAAATTCCTGGCGTGCTTAATCCTTTGAACACTGGAATGTTCCACTGAATGTTCAGGTCTCGCGACTTGTCCATCGAAGGTTCTTAGATAAAGTCCCCGGGAAGTGGGACAAAGAGAGGATGGGAAGAGAAGGATGAGCCATCTCATGCACTTATGCCTAAAGGTCAAGGCTGGCATGGTTGATATATGCTGTTCAAATGACAATTGTCCGCCTGAAGCAATGCAAAACCTTGCATTAGTTCTCCAACATAAACTTATGTCATTTTCGCCCCGCATACTTGAGAGTCCAGAAGACTTGAATATCCTATCTGAGTTAGTTGGTGCATCATCCTGGCCAACCGTGATAGGGCGCCTATGCATCCATATTAGGCGCACATTGGAGGCTGCCACGACTGAGTTGGCGATTTGATTAAGCCCGATCACGCAATATAATACATAAGTGTTTGTCAAGGGCATTAAAGTGAGTCTCTGTTTGTCTTGGCTGCAGAAGTCCTATTAGTCTTGAGGCTGCAATTCTCGATGGCAATTTGGGGTAAGTGCACTTCCGATATGCAGCATGCACCTAGCTTCATCGTTGGCCGCTTCACATCAGCCTGAGATGATTAAAGGTCGGGACTTTTCAATCTGAGTTCTGGGCTCTGGTGATGCAAGTTCCAGAAATATAGGCGCTCTGGGCAGAGTCAAGAGGACACCGCTGTGAGCGACGTTTATTTTTAGTTGCAAAGGCTCCATGCTGCATATTCCCCCCTCGTCCCTTCTGACGTACATCTTGATTTCATCTCCTGTTTGAAACACTGGTCATGGTAAGCGGGAAGAACATGGTAAACCCCTCAGGACTGGCCTGTTTGTTCGAAATGAGACCAGAGCTGGCGGAGATTTTCATCCCACGGACGAACTGATAGGACGTCAGCCGGCGCCTAAGCTGATCCCTGACAGGATCCGTGGCTAAGGATATGAGCTGTCGAACCATCTGCGGCGGTTGCTTGTGAAGATTTGGGTGAAACTTCTGATTCCACCCAGCTATCATGATAAAGATAGCAATGATATTCATGATAGCAAAAATACTGTGAAGTAACTACTCACTGTTTACTCTGTTGATGATGTCAAGAATAGAGGTGGTGGTGCTCTGATGTTAAAGTCACGTGTGGTACAATACAGATACAGCCCCCCACCTCCATTTCCTTCATCCGCGGCGTGAACCATCCCACGCTTAACCCTAAATGGCAGTTTGGGAGGTATCAAAACGTTCCAGGGCTGTCACAGAGACTCATCCTATGGGTTCAGAAAGCAGTTCAACACATCCCCTGCAGCTCTTCTTCCTCTTTCTTCCCCTTCTCCTCTCGAGCATTATTCAATCCAATTCATCCAATCGCCGAAGCGTCTGCCGCCAGGTCCATTCTCTTGTTTAGAGGACGACCATCTATATTGTCTTCGGGGTTTCCTGGCGTTGTTTCGCGTGTACTTGGAATCTCCATCAGCCAGTGATCGTGCTCCTCAGCCAGGGACTTCTGGTTCGCCAATTGCCTGCTGCGCGCATCGCGGCCGTCTCCAGTAATTACCTACCCTATCTCCCACGCTCCCCTCCAGCAGACCAATTATTTACCTGACACACCAGATCTATTCCACAAGCATTCGAATCCTAAAAGAATAACCCGACAATTGCCTCGTGCTCTTTTGCCGGATTACCCTCCCACCTGCGCAACGTGCCACTGCCAGTCATTGGCCCACAGCGTTACTTTCGGATCTGCCGCCCTGAGCGCATCGCTGACGTTACCCGTCTTTATCGCTACTTCTTCTGTAAGTTTATCCCCAAGACGCGTCTCCCAACCACGCAGGGCGTCTTGAAGTTTCCAGAACCCTAGCGCGATATCTCCATCCCTGGGCATCAAACTGTGCTGTTCCGCCCAATAAACAATTAAAGAAAATTTGAAATAGAAATAAAAGGCCCTTTGGTCTGCCTAGCGCATTTTCCATGTCATCGGCGAATGAGATCCTTCCTGCATCTCATTTCCACCGCTAGGGCAGAGTTGTCATGGACGCGTTTGCCAATCCCCCACACGCCCTGACCACTGCTTTTTGTCCCTGTTCAGGCTGTTGTGAAGCAACTCGCTGCCCAGCCAGATGCGCTTTACTTTCTTTGGTTCATGAGTATTGTTTTGCGTGGTGTGCACTCTCTGACGTGGATGCCAACAGAGCTTAACCTAAGTTGTTCAATCTAAAAACGGAATCGCCTACACTTTCGCCAACATCTAAAACCATGTCGTCAGCCTCTCCCTCCAAGGAACCTGAGGTGGAACAGGACCCTCCATCCGGTGAAGAACAGGAGCAAATGGATAAGGACCAAGACCCCCAAGCGCAAGGTCAGGGAGAGTTCGAGGTGAAGGAGCAGGATAGATGGCTACCAATCGCAAATGGTTAGTTGCGTCCCCTTGCAACTTCTGCCCCCCCCTGATTTGCGCGTACCTTGCGTTTATCTGCTACTCGATTGCTGTCGCCATACTGTCCGAGCACCACTGCCGTTCCAATACATTTTTCCGTTGGTTGCAAATACTCCAGCCCTCATGTCTATGCGTCCAACTCCTGTGAATCTTACCCTCAGCCCGTGGACGCCGTTGTGCATCAACTGTTGCCCCCTATCGTTCAGATTCGACCACGGCCTCTTCCAGCATTGAAAAAATAGCATTGCGCACACACTGACATTTGCTATGCAGTTGCTCGAATCATGAAGTTGGCATTGCCAGAAAATGCAAAGATCGCAAAAGAGGCCAAAGAGTGCATGCAAGAATGCGTGAGCGAGTTCATCTCCTTTATTACTAGCGAAGGTAAGTGTGCAATGTTTGTGGGCTTGGAACATCTATTGGAGGCTGATTCTTGCGAAGCATCCGAAAAATGTCAGCAAGAGAAACGTAAAACCGTTAATGGAGAAGATATTCTGTTCGCTATGACCTCGCTTGGGTTCGAAAATTATGCTGAGGCGCTCAAAATCTATTTGTCGAAGTATCGAGAGGTAAGACCTGTGCAACGTCTCTAGACAACCTTGTCTCATCCTCGGGCGGGCTTTGTACCAGGGCTTGAATTGCTAACCACTTCTAGACCCAATCTGCAAGAGGCGAGCATCAGAATCGACCACCAAGTAGCGGATACGCCGGAGGCGGACCCGTTGGCGGGGTCGGCGCTGGTTCTGCTGCTGGGCGTCCAGGGGGTGCAGCTGGAGCGTTTCCCGATGCAACTGATAGCACGGGCAACATCATGAACCAAGGCTTGGACCCTTCTGAACAGGATGCCTCTGCTTACGGCTACCCGCCCATGGTTGGTCAAGGTCATAACGGAGCAGGTGGCGAATCCTATTAATCCGTCAATACCAACGCACAGGTAACTTCTTGACTGTCCTAGCATCATGTACGAACACCCGTTGCAGGACAACGAAGCTCTTGTTATTCAGCAGGTTTCCTGCTTGAAAGCGACCTTGTTTTGTATGATGAGTATCATCGCAGTTTCTGGAAGCCGCTCTCTGCACGGCGTCCATATGGTCCGGGTATTTATTTATGGGCACTTATTCACCGGAGTTTCTTAGTCGATGGAACACAGGACAGGGGTTTGACGAACTTTATTGTTAGGAATTAGCGCTTCACGTTCTCACCCATACTTGTGCTGGCCCCTTTTGTCACTATTACACTACCCTTTTTTGGAGCTTTGTTGCCGCGTGATTCCCTTAACCTTAACTTGTGTCAACTCGTTCCAGGTGTACGACGGCTTATAACAGAAGTGGTTCTATTCAGTGATGCGTTCATTATTCTGGGTTTTATGTGGTTTTAAATAGTACACGGGTGGCGGATTATCAAGAGATGAAAGTTTAGCTGATAGATAAAGCAATTGAACTTGACGTCTTATAAGTTAGCTATAACTAAAGGTTTTTTGGGGAAGAAAGAAAAAAAAAATCCAGACGATGGCTGACCCAAGGTGCCTCAGCTTTGGAACCTACTTACCCAATCCGACATACCGTATATTGAGACCACGAGCGCCAGGTGCGTACTTGCCGGCACTCAACCCACTATTCTCAAAACAATACCAAGTAATTACTTAGTTGCCAATATAGTTATGCTTAGATAAATAACAGAAAATCGTATATATGTCCAAGTTAAAAGGCAATAAGAAATCATGTCCACATTAAAAAGAAAAGTGAAAAGAAAAGCATATCAGTGTATCATCTAAGACTATACCAAGAAACGCCAAAATGTTTTGCAATGTTTCCTACCCAAGCCCAACAAACCAAAAGTTTTTCGAACGCCAACATGGTAAGAAGCTAAATAGTGAAAAGAAATAAATGTAAAGTGTAGTTGAAAAGCACTGAGATGTATCTCTATCCCCTCAAATTACCCATGCATCCACCCACCATCCTGTAAGAGGTCCGACATTGGAGTCTCCTGCCAATAGATCTGGCGCCATTCGTCTTCTAATTCGGTAATTCCCTCCATTACCGAAGGGAGAACAGGGCCCTCTAAGTCACTGAAAGAGAAAAGTTGACGCCAGTCGAGCAATTCGCGGTGACTTTCGACCGACTCCATAGGGGTTAAGTTATTAGAGGGAATCCAGGTGTCCAATGGTTGAGCCGTATGCGGGCTCAATGCTGATGGCTGCTGTGTGGTGGAATCAGGGGTAGGAACATCATAGGATACTCGTCCGTTTGGTTGGGAAGAAGATATCAGGTTGTTCGCGGGTATAGACGTGTTATTAAGATTTACTGAGTTCAAAACCGCAGGCGTGCTTTTTTGCTGGGAGGTAGAAGTGTTGTTATTCGCATTATTATTGCCGAATCGACCGGTTCCTTCGTTGGCCGACGTTGGGCCCTGAAGGTCTTCTTGGAGTCGCCTAGATTCCTCAAACAGACGTAGAATGGTGCTAGCATGGGACCAGAACTGGGCCAGCTCGCGCAATGAGTATGAAGCCGAGTCGAACCGACGAAGAGCGTTGATAGCTAGAACTGGATTGGAAAACCGTAGCTCAACCCGTACTTGAATCATTGCCGTAAATAGTGTATGTACACCGGAGTACCAGAGGAATTTGAGTCGATCATGTAACCGAAGTTCCTCGAAGATCGATGCAATCACACCCGCGGCCGCACTGCAAATTTCGGCGTCGTGCGGGCCGTAGTCGTCCGAATAAGCCGAAGCCCTTGGATGGGGTCGATGGAGAAGGATTAGGAAATTATTGTACGTAAGATGAAGCATGGCAGACCAGGGATCCATATCCGACGCCCGCAGACGTAGTCTATCCGGAAGCTTCAGTGACCAGTTTGCCAGTGCTTCATCAGCCTCAGGCAGCGCAGCTTTCCGACGTTCGGCGCTAGTTCGAAGGCCGAAACGCTCGCGAACTATATATGATATCATTGTACACAGTTCTGAGAAGTGAACAACAAACTCTCTCTGTACACGCGGACCACAACCTTCAAAATCCGAAGCGGTTAGTGGTGACACATCAGAGTCCTCGAGATTGCTAAAATTGTAGTATGTTAACGGATTGTTAAATAAGGGAGTTCTAGAACTTTAAATAGTGGCTTAGGGCTGCTTACATAGCTTGAGGTCGGCCATATGACAGAGACACCATCACATCGAACTGTACTAAGATGTACCACAGTCTTCTCCACATTCGGCGATCCCGAGGCACGAACCTGCTGCAAACAGGATTACGATGCATCCCCAGGCCAGTGGCGATTCTAGCAGCGAACCCAATCCAATAGTGTGCATTTGCGGACACATCGTCATCGGCTGCATCCGAGTGCCAGGTCATTAAAAGTGCGGCTTGGACCAAAATATCACGGTTTCGCTCGATTCTATAGTCGATCAACCACTTCGCGCGGCGAAAGAATATTTCTTTGAGAGCATCGCGTTCGGCCTTGGGGCGTGTAACATGCGCCCCAACTAGTAATATAGCCTGTAGAAGGACAATTGGAGGAGCATCGGCTGGATCCCTATTGCGATACTGTGTCATAAATAAATCTTCGTCGACAATTGGATAGCCTGTATTGACATCTTTAAAATAGGCTTCCACAAGCTCATCCGCAAGGGCAGGCTCAGGTAACGTAAGCGCGTCAACGAGTAGCTGGTCGTGGCCTGTTCTTAACTGCCGTCGAGGAATCTCATTTCCCGCAAAGTGATATACGTCATCCCCAGTATCCCGTTGCTGGCGAATCAAAAATGACATATTTGAAAGCTCGTGCCCGACAAATATTGCCCGTACGCCTCTTTGAATCTCCCGACTATCTGAAGCCCCCTCATCAATCAAATTGACAAGTCTTTTTTCGATATCTGCTCGAGATTCTCCTTCAGATGCATCAGTGGCCGGGGGTCGGGTCGACTCGGTAGAAGCCGAATTCGGCAGAACGTTTTGATAACGATTACCATTGTTGAGGTTGTTATTACTCGAGCTCTTGGTATCATACATATGATTAGGACTTTGGGCAGTCGGGGCGCGACTCGCAGTGCCGGGTGTGTTCGTTATATCAGGCTGAACAGCACGAAATGCAGTTGTGAAAGCATTGGGCGCCACCTCCGTTGACGGAGAAGTGGGAGAAATCGACTTTGAAACATGTTCATGACTAGGCGGCCGGCAACGAATCGGAACTGGGTCTAGTATCGATCGTACCGCCAGGCGTTTCTTCTTCTCGTGAATTCGACAGTCGGACTTGCCAGCGGACCGGCAATTGGAGCATGGCAACCCTACAAGACGGGCGTCACATCGTACTTTGCGGCGGTGGCAGTGAATACAGGCTGCGGAACCTATACGCGCAAATTGTTAGGCGTCGGATACAAGGCAAAAGGCACATTGGGGACAGGTTTGGCTCCTGAGGCACTTACCTGACTTGCGCTTATTTACACCATTACCAGAGGGTGTAACGTTGGTGGGTTGCGCTGTGGAGGACATAGCCGAAACATTGACGAACCTATTAGGGCCTGCAAGCTGGCGCCTTCATTATCCGTAGTCACTGAACCTATCTGGAAAATTTTTGTGAGCCAAGGATGTTCAGGACATGGTTTGCAATGATTCATTCGTCTCAGGATTGAAAAGAACGACGACGGGCGGGAAAGCGGCGGAGAGCGATAAGAACAAGGCGGGGCCCCAGTGTGTCACGTGGGATGCGGAGAGCAGATTCTAGACTAATACTTAAGGGCACGGATATGCAGGAAATAATAGATATTATAAATTAATTAATATACGGTTGCATCACGTTGCGCACCTGATGCCACTTAGTAAAACTTATTTAGAGTCATCATGCCCGGCCATAAGGCGCCGAACACGCCGTCGGACGATAGAGATAAGTGCCTGCTTATTCTACGGTACATAACTAGTAAGGTACATATAGTCTATACACTTTTTTCTTTGTCTCATTTCGTCATTAATCAAACACGGATTGGAGATGACCCTGGAAAGCCATCCTAAACCGATCGAAGTATGACAGGATACTGTTGTCGAGTCCCTTTTTCCTTAACCAGACAGACATGGCGCCGACGAAGACAGCGACAGCCACGGAGCCGATGGTTCGTCTGTGGCTCCACAAAAATCCGATAAATTTCTCCCTTCTCTCTTCACTCCGAAGATGTTCTGTCTGCTTATGAAATAGTTGGACGGCTGCGCCCGTAGACAGTGTCCTGGAGCCATCTCGGGTCGTTTTCAGGACACTGCACCAAGGAATCCCTCTCCAGGCGCCTGATGGTAAGGATTCGGGTGGGTAGTCGTGGAAAAGCTGCACCGCTCGAGATATGAGACCTTCCAGGTCAAGAGGTTGCGGCAGCTTTGAAAGAGTATAGTGTAACATTTCCGGTTCGTCCTCTGGAATTTCGAGTAACTCCTTCCTACGTGAAAGAACAATAGCAGCAAAGAGATATATCGAGACAACCGGCTCCCAGGCTAGGAAGAAGTCAAAGAGTCGCGCAATATCACTATATTCCTGGATATCGTGGGCATACAATGTGAGGGTTGCGGAGAGTGCAAAGAAAGGTCGAATACCTGAGAGTCGCTGGTGGAGGGCCTTGTCGGCTTTTTGGATTATGGCTGGGATGAGCTGCAGGTGCTTGACTGCCGGCGAAAGCGACGGCAGCATGTAGTCCCTAATCCGTAGCATGGATAGGCGAGCCACAGCTGGAGCGGATTCATCTTCACCGAGGACTAATAGCAAGACTTGCACAATATCATGGTAGCCTTGAAAATAGGAAAGCATAGGGTAGTTCCGCAGAACTCGCTTGATCACTCGTGAAAGCTCGTTCTTTTTTGACGATAATACATCATCAGAACCTGTGGGTAAATTTTCAGTACTGGGTCAGATATAATGTACTAAGAGCCACTTACACTCGGGATAATATACAAAGGAGCGATTCACGTCCAGTCGAACTTGTTCTTCATCGCGATGGGGCGATAGGTCAGAGTCGGGCGAAAGTATGCTCTGCGTGCTCTCGTCGTACTGGAGCAGGATGGGCCCTTTATTGTTAATTAGCGTTTGAAATCCAGCAAACTCGTGGGTAACATGCAGGCTAATCGTCTGAGCTCATCCTTAAGCAAGCCACCTTCAGATGTAGCGTGGGAGACCAAGGCATCTATGTCGCGGAAATCGCATGCCCTCCGGATGGCCTCAGCTTTTTCCGAGTCGTGGGCCGATTGTGTCTCCGAGCTGCGCATGGAGTCGTCTGTCATAGCATCAAACTCCTTTTCGGAGGTCTGATTTTTTGAAGAGACGCTTCTTGTTCGTGGAGGGTTGTGTATATCGGTCATTTCTCAAGCTTTGTACAAATATATCAAATAAAACCGATGGCTTCAAGTTGAAAATAAAAGGCAGACATATAATTTGAAAGCCAGACAATGAAAAGAGGCAAGTCCTTTGCTGGCGAAAAGTGGCTGCCACCTGCCGCCCGCTGCATATAGGAGGCTATCCTAATTGCTCATATGTGGCCGTCGTTGGAAGAGTGTGCACAACCTAACCATTAGTCACTATTAATCATCCAAAAGGTCAATTGTACTAGGTAGCAGACAGATGAGCTTACATCCCGTTAAAGAACAGCCCAGAAGGAGCGACTTTGAAACCGATGGGCGTTCAAGGGAATGACAATAATTCTTGCCTAAGGCTTCAACAAATGACGCGTGATTATTGGCCCGTCCAATTTTTCCGGTAGCTGCTGAGTCATCTATATGGCATGCATCAATGAGCTCCATTTTGAACAGCCCACCAGCCCCTCCAAGGCACCCGGGAGTGTTAGGTATCAGTTTACCGTCCAATCATCCTTGAATTAGAGTACTGGGACGACGGCATCAATTGCAAAATCACAGGCGTGGTGCGTCTTTGGCTGCTTCTGTACCTTTCCGATCAACCGCCGCGTGATGGAATTATCAACACTTCGTTAGCTACACTTATTCACCTTCTTCCTGCTGACAGTCAGTCATGCTTGGCTGGTCTCTACAACGCTTGTGATATAGCTCTATGCTTCTCGTCGAGCCTGAGTCCACGGAATCAACGAGACTTTTAGGCACCTTTTTGTAAAGGATCGCCTCGGTCTCATCTTCACTCCCCTGGTAAGTTCTATCCTTCATAAACAATACTTGCTACGGAACTCCTGGGGTTGTCGCGGGGTCTGACTTTTTGTTGTAGTCACGCAACTGTGAGAGGGGCCTTTGTCTGTAGCGATATATGCTCTTGATGACCCTGCTTGCTGTCTTGATTCTGTCTCGAGTCCCTTTGCAATTCAAAACACGGCCAGAATGAAACCACAGTCTGCAATGCCAAGCATGACGAGATAAAACTAGCCAGGTCTCTACCACTTCATACCTTACTTTTCGTTCCCGGACTTATCTTCAGTGCCTTCTCTTCCATTGTATTTGTACTTGTGTTTGTCCACCATTTGAGGTTGATATGGGAAATGACGGGGGAAGCCCGCCCTATGAAGACCTATTGACCTAAAATATCCCTATATATACACGACAAAGTCTCTCACGTTGGCACCCGCCATCCACGATTGAAAATTCCTTGATCAACAAGTTACTCTCTCCTGAAGGAACTCTCGGAGTTTATACTCTGGACAATTACAATACGACATGTCTGGGGAAATGCCATCTGAGAGCGAGATGGATATTGACTCGGGTCATCTAGCTAGCAAAGCAAAGCTAGGACTCCTAAGTCACACCTTAGTATCAAACCCAATTATTCAATGGATCCTACCGGCGCGCCTTCGGAGCAAGTACCAGAATGACGTTATATTTGTCGGCGAACGGACCCTCCAGATCAAGGAAGCCATATCTGGAACCCACTTGGAGGAGGTTTCTTCAAAATCTGATTTTGACGCTTATATCATGGCGGCGAAGGTGATCAATGTCAGCACAGAATTGCCATGGGAATCCCAAATGAGGGTTGGGTCTGATGGTGCGGATACGACCTTGGAACTGCGAGGCGGCCTTCCTTCTCAAATCATGGTCCTCAGTCTTGCTTCCAAAGAGCTAGTGTTTCTTTACTATTCGAGTGTCGCCAGTCAATTCATTCACTGCCACCGGCCATTACCGAGCGATGTTAGTACTTTTGAGCGATTCGGCCGAAATATTGCTGTTGAGCCAAGGTAAGTTATGCTGCTCTAATCTCTCAGGGATAGTATCATAATCCTGTTATAGGTCTAGGGCAGTTGCTGTCAGCGCCTCCTCCGACTATTTTGGTGTATTCATTCTAAAGACACCTCCTGTCGTCCAAATCCAGATGTCGGAGGGCCAGTTAGATCCCGTAGCAGAGGTGCGAACACAACCGTTTATCGGCTTCAAACTCATCTGCTAATAGATGCTATGCTTTCTAGGAACGCTTCTTTCGCCTCGACGGCGATATAATTTTCATGGAATTTCTCTACCCTAAACCCGAGGACGGAGACAAGATTATCCTTCTTCTCTTAGTCTCCCACAATCAGACAACACATGCTGTATGCTATGAGTGGAACGCTCGTCAAACTCTACGCCAATCCCATCCACGTGTAACAAAAAAGAAGCTGCCACCAGAGGATAGACTGCCCACCATGATGATACCCTTGACCAAGGCCTCCTCTTTCATGTTGGTGACCACAACCGCGATGACTATCTATAAAAACAAGCTTGACTTCCCTGGGCAGCCTACCAAATACCCGCTTCCTTTTCCTGACCGCGAGCAACAAAGATCACCTCTATGGACTCGATGGGCAAGGCCATTGCGCAACTGGTTATACAACCAAAAACATGATGATATATACCTCTGTCGAGAAGATGGTAGGATAGACTACTTGGGTGTTGGGAACGAAGGTGACGTTGAGAATCAAGCTCAACTTGGTCACTTGTCTTGCGACGTTGATGCGGCCTTTGATATATTGGATATCGGCCATGAGGGCGGTGATCTTCTTCTAGCTGCTGGAAATACCGGTGATGGAGGGTTGTTCGTGCAGAAAGCCCGAGACCAGCCTCGGTGTGTCCAAAAGTTTATGAACTGGTCCCCGGTTACCGACTCCGTTATTGTGAAGCCCCCTCCGAACCCAACCGCAGTGGCGGATAACATAGTTGGTGATCGGTTGTTTGTTTGCTCTGCGTCGTCTTTCGGTCGTGGAGCAGTGGTTGAATTGCGACACGGGATTGAAGCACAGATCGGACTACTTATATCCTTGGAAGAACTTTCAGGCGCCAGGGATATATGGATTTTACCAGATAGCGCCAACGGTGGTGTTTTCATGTTAACGTCAGACCCTGTGTCCTCAACCATTCTCTATCTTCCAGCCAATTTCAGCGAAGAAATATCTGCCATTGATGAAGCCGGTTGTGGGTTAGACCCAAATTCACCGACCCTAGCAGCCGGGTATGTTCAGTCAGGAAGCCTCATCCAGGTAACTGACAAAGCAATACTTATTGGCGCGACAAATGATTCGCAGGCCCCTTCCCGCTATGAATTGCGTCCGGGCGAGAATATAACAGTGGCGGCTATGCACAGTCCAACATTCCTTATTGTTACTGCTATCCGGACTCACCAGAGAATACACATCCAACCAAAAAGAATCACACCAGTGGACGTCGGCATCCAACTGTCCGATATTGGTCCAGCCATTGACCTAGACTATGAGCCTGTCTGTATGACCATCCAAAATCTGGATATCGGTACTCTTGTCTTTGTCGGAAGTGGAGATGGTAAGGTTCGGGTTTACCACATTGATGGAAACGCCAAATTTCTCCTAGACGTGTCTGTCACTGTTGAAAATGATGACGATATTTCAAAGGCTATTGATAGTCTTGCAATGTTTGCAAACACAAACGAGACACCCAATAAAGCTGTCCTGCTATGTGGCCTGCGGAGCGGCTTCTTGATCATGTTTGACGTCTCAATAGACGCTAATAATGTCAACACTCCCCTTGGTATGGCCCTTCTGCCAGAAACTTTTGATCGTTAAATTATACTAATACCTTACCTATAGGCATACGTCAAACAGCCATCAGACATCTGGGATATACATCCGTTAAAGTGCAGGCCGAAGGAAGCATTGGGTTACTGACATGCGGCAATAGCTTCTGGCAGTTAAGCTGCTCCCAAGGAGACCAGGCATCCGACTGCGCTATTCAAAGGGTATGGATAACTGACCAGAACGATGTAAGCTTTGCCATTCACTTTACTTTATACTCGGTATCTAACGCTTTTAGCCCGCTTACTACCCGAGGGTCATACACAGCTTCACCACGATGGGCGCCGAGAATTCGGATATGAAAGGCCTTTCTGGCAGCCTTTTCTGCGTCGCAGATGGGCAGCTGATGATATGCACATTAGACCATGCTGTTAGGACTATTCCTCGAAGAATCGATCTACCAGGCAGCGCGCACAAGGTGGCTTATTCGCAGCATCTAAAGAGCCTAGTGGTGGCCTACAGCCAAACCGCGTTCGATACTGAAACGGATCCTGTCAAACGTTATACCAGGCCATATATCGAGTTCCTTGATCCAGATTCCCAGGACCCTCTTGGCAGTTCTATAGAGGGTTTAGAGGACCAAAGGAGTAAACCCTGGAGACCTCAAGGTGCGGCCGGCGAGAAGATCAGTTGTATTCTGGAGTGGACTCCGAGAAAGGGCGACGAGGAGTATCATTTCATCGTGATTGGGACAGCACGGCGGAATCAATCGGAGCGCGGTCGGGTTATTTTCCTTCAAGCTTCTCGAGACTCGTCCACGGCCCAGATTGAGTGCTCTGTCAAGTATATCCACAAATTTGATGGCCCGGTCTATTCCATCGTCCCATATGGGGATTTCACGTTAATGGTATCCACCGGTCATGAGATTATAGCATTGGAACCGAAATTCGCGCAGCCAAGGCGAGTTCGGTCAGCAAGATTCTCGGTCTTATCTCCGGCTATCTCTATGTCTTCTCACGAGCCATACGTCTACCTATCAACCGCTAGGGAGTCCCTCCTGATATTGAAGGCCACCGAGGATAAACTGGCTTTACATGCATATGACCGTCAGAAGCACGATGGGCTCTCCCACATCCACATCGGTGGGGAGATGAAGCTCACATTGGCCTCCAGCAGAGCTGGGCGGCTGAGCTTGCTGTCAGAAAATGGAGTGTCTGAAACCGATAAGATGATGCCTGTTGCGTTATGCGAAGCGCATCTCCCTTCGTCCGTGATGAAACTTATATCTAGCTCCGAGCTGTCCCCTCTTTCGCCTCGTTCTCACGCATTCTATGGCACTGCTATAAATGGTACAGTCTATCGTTTCTTAACTCTGGAGGAGAAAGAATGGCGTCTTCTACGACTGCTACAGGATCTCTGTATCCGGGATCCCGTCATATGTCCGTTCACGCCCAGAAGGAGAAGGCAGCATAATCCGGTAGGCCATGAGCCTCTCGAGTTTAAGCCGTCCCATATGCACATTGACGGCGATATCCTGAGTCGACTTGTCTCGCGTGACTCTGACCATCTGTCGAAAATGCTCGATGGGAAACGTGGAGAAGACAGGGAGACCTCAGGCGTGAAGTCAGGACCCGCACACGATACTGTCCAAATCTTCACAGAGCTGGCCCGCGACGTCCTTGGGGAGTTCACAAACCCAGCCGAAGCAGTTATGAGGTGGCTGAAGAGACTTTTCCATGTAGAATTCTAAATAGTCGATTCCTCGATCACTCGAGTATATTCACCGTCTGATTCATAAGTCTGGGGGAGTTTATTTTTAAAAGAAGAAGGGAAAAAAAAAAAAAAAACTGAAATTATCTCTGGGCAAAAACTATAGCCAGGCTATATAGCTCAGTAAAACTTACATTACGTGGTTGTAGTCTGGACCGCTAGCGGACAATGCAAACTGCAAGTGCCCTGTCTTGTGCTGCTTAACAAATCGGGATGTCCCCAAAACTCCCCACCACCAAGTCCAAAATTCTTACCTACCCTCTTCCTCCCACTCTCCCACCCCCCATTATTACAGGACCCCACGTCATCCACGGGGCAGGAATAACAGTGATTTTCACTTGCACTTCGCCCATCTGATCTCAACTTCATTGTTGAGAGCTACTGGGCTTTTCTCCACGGCGAGTTTTTGCCACAACTTCGCCCGACCGAAGAACCTGATATTGTCTGTACCCCCACAATAGGCCACTAAAAATTCTACTCTTCAAATGAACTCTCACTAATATTTGTGCGTTATCTTCAGGCCTGGTTCTTTCAGACTACTCGAAGACCGCCTTACTAAACGAGGGATATCCACGCAATATGGCGCCGAAGAAGAAGGGAAACAGAAAGCAAGAGGAAGACTGGGAAGCAGAACTAGGAGAGAGCATTCCTGCTGCGGGTGGTGACAGCTCAACTCAGGATGCTCCTCCCGCTGAAGATGGCGATGGTGGAGAGGCCGCAGGCAGTGGTGGCCTGCTCGCTGCTCTAAGGAAGAACAAAACCAAGAAGGCCAAAAAAGGAAAGCCTGAAAATGACTTTGTCGAGGGCGAGGATGCTTCGGAAGGAGCAAACGGGAATGCAGACTTTTCCAGCAAACAACCCGAGGAGGGCACTTTCGATGAGGATGATGTTTTTGCTGGAAAGAAGAGCAAGCCTATCAAGGCTGTCGAAACACCAGCGGCTGAGCCTGAGGACGATGGCTCCGGGCCCCGCGTGAAGACAAAGAAGGAGAAGGAAAGAGAAAAGAAAGAGAGGGAAAAGCAACGGAAGAAAGAACAGGTAGGCTTTTCTCTGGAATTCAACTTGGCAGTCTGTTTTGGTGTTTTGTAGCTGACCACTCTCACCCCTTAGGCCGCTGCGAAGAAGAAGACCGGCGAACCTAAACAAGCCCAGCAAGCGAAGCCTGAACCGAAGAAGGAAGAGCCCACCGCTGCACCCGCCGCCCCGGCGCCTGAGCCTGCTGGTGGCAAGAAGAAGAAGGTTCCTGCTCATCTGCTTGCAATCCAGAAACAACAGGAGGCTCTTAGGCAACAGCGCGAGGAGGAAGAACGTCGCCTGGCCGAGGAGAAGGCTGCTGAAGAGGCGCAACAACGCCTGACTGCGGAAGAGGCCAAGAAAAAGGAAGAAGCTCGCCAGCGAAAGAAGGAGAAGGAGAAGGAAAAGAAAGAACAACTAAGGAAGGAAGGAAAACTTCTTACGAAGGCTCAGAGGGAAGCCAAGGAACGAAATGAGCTGCGTATGAAACAAATGCTTGCTGCAGGTGTTGGTACTGTTGCTGGTTTGGAAGATGGCGCTGAGAAGAAGAGGCCTGTTTATGAAAACAAGAAGAAGAAGGCACCTACTAAGAAACATGAGGAGGACCTCGAGGCTGCTGCTGCTCGGGCTAAGGCTCAGCGTGAAGCCGAGGACGAGCGACGAAGAAAGGAAGAGGAGGAGAGGAAAGCTAAGGCCGAAGCTGAAGCTGCCGCTGCTGGCGAGGAGAGCGAAGATGACGACTGGGAAAAGGCTGCTGACGCCGAGGATGTAAAGGATAGCTGGGACGCACCCAGTGACGAGGAAGAGACAGAAAAGAAGCCCGCTGCTGCCAACGGCCAAGAAAAGACGTTACCAGAGCGACCTGCAGCTAAGTCTGCTCAGGAAGAGTCTGATGAGGAATCAGAAGAAGACTCCGACGAGGAATCGGACTCTGAAGACGAAGAACAGTCCGCGACTCAAAAGGCAATTGCCCAGAGGAAGGCAGAAGCTGCTGAGCGGAGAAAGAAGCAACACGAAGAGGCTTTGGCAGCCCGATCGAAAGATAACTTGCGTTCTCCCATTTGTTGTATTCTGGGTCACGTCGACACTGGTAAGACAAAGCTTCTGGACAAAGTTCGTCAGACAAACGTTCAAGAAGGTGAAGCTGGTGGTATTACCCAACAAATTGGTGCTACATACTTCCCTGTCGATTCTCTGCGTCAGAAGACTGCTGTTGTCAACAAAGATGGCAAGTTCGACTTCAAGATCCCAGGTCTTCTCGTTATCGATACCCCTGGTCACGAGTCTTTCTCCAACCTGCGATCTAGAGGTTCATCTCTTTGTAACATTGCCATTCTCGTCGTCGATATCATGCACGGTCTCGAACCGCAAACTCTAGAGTCTATGAGACTCCTCCGTGACCGCCGTACTCCATTTATCGTTGCTCTAAACAAGATCGATCGTCTGTATGGATGGAAGAAGATTGACAACAACGGCTTCCAGGAGAGTTTGGCAATGCAGAACAAGGGCGTTCAGAATGAGTTCCGGACGCGTCTCGAGCGAACCAAGGTCCTTTTTGCTGAGCAAGGTTTCAACTCCGAGCTTTTCTACGAGAACAAGTCGATGGCCCGCAATGTGTCTCTCGTGCCAACATCCGCCCACACGGGTGAGGGTGTTCCCGACATGTTGAAGCTCTTGACAAGCTTGACCCAGGAGCGTATGACCAACTCTCTGATGTACTTGTCCGAGGTTGAGTGTACTGTTCTTGAGGTAAAGGTCATCGAAGGTCTCGGTACCACCATCGATGTTGTTCTCTCGAACGGTATCCTGCGGGAGGGTGATCGGGTTGTGCTGTGTGGTCTTAACGGCCCTATATCAACCAATATTCGAGCGTTGCTCACTCCTGCTCCTCTGAAGGAGCTCCGATTGAAGTCTCAGTATGTTCATAACAAGGAGGTCAAGGCATCTCTTGGTGTTAAGATCGCAGCCAATGACCTAGAACACGCCATCGCTGGTTCCCGCCTCATGGTTGTCGGACCTGATGATGACGAGGAGGACATCGAAGAAGAAGTTATGTCTGATCTCGAGAACTTGCTCAGCAAGGTCTCCAAAGATATGCGCGGTGTCAGCGTTCAAGCTTCTACCCTCGGCTCCCTCGAGGCGCTGCTCGAATTCCTCCGTGTTTCCAAAATTCCAGTTGCGAATATCTCGATCGGTCCCGTATATAAGCGCGATGTGATGATGTGCGGTACAATGCTGGAGAAGGCCAAGGAATTCGCAGTCATGTTGTGTTTCGATGTCAAGGTTGACAAGGAAGCGCAAGCCTACGCAGACGACGTTGGTGTCAAAATCTTTACTGCAGACATCATTTACCACCTGTTTGATGACTTCACCAAGCACATGGCAGAGCTCACAGAGCGCAAGAAGGAAGAGGCGAAACTCCTTGCCGTCTTCCCCTGTGTTCTGAAGACGGTGGCCGTCTTCAACAAGAAGGATCCTATCGTCATCGGTGTCGATGTTGCTGAGGGCAGCCTGCGGTTGCACACACCCCTATCTGCCATCAAGACAAACGGAGCAACTGGGGCTAAGGAGATTGTCGAGCTCGGAAGAGTGTAAGTTTTTCTATGTAAGACATCTCATATCTCATAGCCAACACTAACGTTCCTATCTAGTGCGGGTATCGAACGCGATCACAAGCCAGTCCAGGTTGTTAAGAGAGGACAGCCCTCCGTCGCGGTCAAGATTGAAGGCTCCAACCAACCCATGTATGGTCGTCAATTAGAAGAGTCCGACACGCTGTACTCTCACATCTCTCGTGCAAGTATCGACACGCTGAAGGAGTTCTATCGCTCTGATGTATCCATGGAGGAATGGGCCCTTATCAAGAAGCTCAAGCCCGCTTTCGACATTCCTTAAGGCAATCTGCGTGACTGGACTGGTGTGATCAGGGAGCCCCTACTCCCCAACGGGCTTCGTTCCCTCTGCTTTTGGCCGCCTTAGCAGAACCAAGATGGTATACAAACTATCTAAATGGGAACCGTCCAATAATTTATGATGTGATACGATAACATCTTTAACATTCGACAAGATTGAGGGGTGGGATATCGATGGACTGGCGGCTATGGCATAAATTTTCAGGGATGTACATGACTTAGGACTATAAAATAAAGGTGTAGTTGATACCTGGATTTTTTTATGGCTGAATTTATCAAGAACAAACAAAAAGGTTTGGAAAAAAAAAAAAAAAATCTTCCGTATCAATTGTACTTGATATGTACGAGGAATTCACTCCCTTCGACGTTCATTTTAGACGGCTGAGAATAAGGTCATCAGGCCAGATGAAACTCGGCCAACTACTTACTCATAACCTTCCCATTCCTCGGCCCTTCCTCCATTCTTTTCCCAGTCTAGCCAGCTCCCGTCATAAACTCCAATCCTCTCCGGGTCATACCCAGCTTGGACAGCCAACTGCGCCGCTGCCCTGGCCCTCACCCCCGCCTTGCAGTAGAACACTATTTCACCCCCATCTGCATCCGAGCCCGCGCCGGGCTTGGGATACCCAAACCTGGTCTCGAACTCATCCGGTGTCAAGAAGAGGGCATCCGGCTGTGAGGCTAGCGGCACGGCCACTGCGGAGGGAATGACACCGGTACTGGTGAGTTCGGCTGGTTCGCGGACATCAACTAGTATCAGGTTCTTTTGGGGCGAGGAAGGCGGTGTGACTGCTGTTTCTGAGGGAAGACTCGCGTTTATCTGTTTGGGTGGTTCAGCGTTAGACAATGCGTTCTATTCTTTTCTACATTTGTTTCAAAATTTAGTATAGGTGGAAGAGATACATCTTCAAACCCCCATTGTCGGAATGTAGGGCTGCCGCTCTGCTCGCTGTTCCAACGGACGGCTGACGGGGATACTTGTGGGAAGTGAAGGGTCGGAATAGTTTGCACCCGCGAGAACCGAGAGTATTGACTGGCTTGAAACTGGCTCCGGCGCGCGAGGCATGATGTTGAGAGTTGTCGGCTAGTGCGGAGGTTTCGGGCTGCGGAACGCTCGCTGGGGAGAGCATACTTGGTGGTGCGCGCGACGAGGGAGGCAATGTCACCTGGTCGGTGTCTGGCGGAAATTAAAGAGGTCATTTTCAAACGTGTGATCGCAATGAGAATGTTGCAAAACGATGGAGAGCTGGAGTTGGTCGCAAATTCTCGGTTTCCTCGGGTGATGTCACGGCCGAACTCCACCGCCCAGCTTCACGATACGTACTGCGGAGAACTACAATGGCCTCGACAGGTAGAACCGATGGGTATTTGACGCTTGAGGCTCGTGGGGTAGATAAGACTTGCCATTCTGCATCGGATTGAGTTTTCCCGCGAATACATCTGAAGACACAATTGTGTCTGGCCTAACGTGGTACGGCTAGTTATATATATATTGAAGCTACGGCAGTTGTATGTATTGAATCCACAAAGTCTGCAACGACTCCAAATGATGCCCATGGGTGTAGATTTAGAAGTATCTAGCATATTACTCTGATATTAATCATGTTTATAATAAAGAAAACGGGGCAGTCCCATTAATTTTTGACCATGTTCCAGTAAAGGTATTCATAGAGAGACGGTGCATCAAAATAGATTACCATGGGTATATGAATGCTAAACTCTAAAAATAAAATAACTGATCAACCCCCGATGGTCTAGTTGGATATGGCGTTCGGCTGTAATATCACGTGGTAACCCAGTTATCAACATTGTAACCGAAAGGTCGCCGGCTCGATTCCGGCTCGGGGGAGTCAAATTTTTTTTAATTTTTTATTTTTTACTCCCTACTGCACTCATTGCTACATACATACGAACCTAGACGGAGTACAACATGCCTGACTACTTTCGTTCTGGAAAACTGTATGACCAACACATCTAGCTGATACCGACGCCGCGGCCGACTGGTCAAAAGCTGCGGCTATCCTAATGCCAAACTAGACGCCCGTAGTTCGAACACCCAGTACGTTGTGCTACGGCTACGGGGCGGCAACAGAAATCAGCTGGAATGAAATTACAACCAATGATGAAGTCTGGTAGGGTCGGACGGCTGTTTACAGGACCATGTACGAACCACACGGATAGCGAGTGCACTGCCGACAGTTGGCATCAACTGATCACCTTTAATACTTTAAACATGCCCTGCCAGGAACCATAACTGACCCCAGGGTAAATACAAACAACAATGACCAAACTTGAATCAACCTAGTCATGGAAGATGTGCAAAATGGCCGGGTTCCCAGAGTCTTTCGACCAAATATCAAAGGAGCCGAATTCTGCTCCAATATAGATCGAGAATTGTCCATCATCACCACCGGACTTACAGGCGTCCGTAATATCCAGCAGAGGCGGGTTTGTCAATGCCGGCACAGGGATAACGTTGATAGCATCCGTCGAAGGAGGTGCATTATTGCCATTTACAGTGGTCTCATCCCAGTCGGAGGAGACAGCAGGAGAAACTGTCAGGTTGAATCCATACTCTGGGAGCTTGGTGAAGGCTGGAAACTGCACAGTGCACCGGGTAATAGTGGAAGGATCCACCTCGCCAGGAATTTTGAACCCGACAATACTGCGGATCCAGGCGTGACCGCCGGTGTTTGCCCGCAGCCTGTCCCCAGAGCCGTAGGTGCACTGGTAGCAGTCGTTACCAGGACAGTCGGCGCAGCTCACAGTAGACCGCATGATGGTTGAGTCTTTGGTGGCAGGTATGTTGACCTGGGCTGCTTGGGAGGCAGTCGCGAGGATCGCAAGGGCGGAGACAATCTTGAGGGTATACATTTTGGAGGGTTGAGGGTCGTTCTTGCGAAGAAGACTGAAGAGAAATGAATCAAGGTATTTGTTTGAGTTGATGATATTCAAACCCCTCGGCGTAGGTGATGTATTTATACTACCCTTATTACTCTTGTGGAACGCGATGGATTCCTCGTATTTGGACGCCTTCGTATCCAGCTACCTCCATCATGATAATCCTTTGCAACGCCGACGGGAAGCAGGGTCAAATGTCGATTGGGGACCTGCATCGGATGGAATCTGGTTGGCCCGTGAGGAATCACGATCCTCACGCATGTTTTACCCAATACGAATCGGGATCCAATGAAAAAATCTGGGGCGTAGTGATCGTCAGTGGGAAAGTTCAACTGTCGAGGATGATTGGAGATGTTTCTTCAGCCTCTGAAGAAACCGAGCTCACAAGAGTCACCACATCAGGGTGGCGTTGACCGGTGCTTTGTGAGATGTGATGCTTTGCTGGCCCAATTGATGTCTGGTCTCACTGAGGTGCTTCTGAGCAGATGGGGCATATGCTGAGTGAGTGATGGCAACAACTGGGGTCTATTCTGGGAGAGACACTGTGCCTATTAATATCTGTAGGGCTGAGGATGTGTAGAACTTAGCCCAGTTAAGGCCGGCTGATTCAGTTGACGTTTTGCAGGGGTCATGTGCCATGCCTATGCTCTTTCTACATCTTGATCTCTTGGATCCTCTCCCTCATATATGACACGAATTAATCGATGCATTTCGGGCACTTGGATTTTGTCCACCAATTTGCGAGTTAGCAAGCTGCAATCCTCCCAGTGCACGCCATGGTATTTATAGTAGCAACACAAAGAAACGACATCCATAGGCTCGGAGGTATCAAGCCATTTTTCACAAGATGCCTCATTATGAACTAATGGTACCACCGATTGGCCCGGGTAGAATGGGACTTCTGGGGAGCCGAGTGAAGATTTGATGCGCCCTAGCCTCGTCATGTTGCTTCGGAGCTAGCGAGTGCAGAGCTTGACTCCGAGACCCGTAGTGTCGTACAACATCGAGAGAGGGATTGATATTCACACCACTCCTTCGACATCAGCATTGGTATTCGGGACTGGCATCGTTAGATCATGCCACATTTGACCCTTGGGTACGGATGGCGCGCTATATCCATGATCCTTCCCGTAGATGTGCATGTTATGTTAGAACCATGAAAGTTACGCTTCGCAGCAAATATAGCAATGTTTTTGCAGCTTTTTGGACAACCTTAGGAACAATGCCTCTCGACTCTACACCATGGCGGCAAAATAGCAGGCAAACCGGTGGCTGGGACATATGCAAATCGCCATTCGGATGTGTTGTTGGCTCATTTTCAGATAGGATGAGGCCTGGAGGCGCCTATAGTTGCCTGGTTCCACTTCCCACTATCCCGGAAAAAAAGACAGGGCTCCCCGTGCCAATCCTCTACCCAAAATGTTTGAGTTGTCCCTGAACGTGGCGGATAAGCTCCAGAGTTTATAAACTCGTGCAGGCATATTGGTCTGTGCCAACGATGTGCTAACCTTGCGAGCGTGTCTTAATTTAGCTCGAATCTCACGAGATAAAGAAAAAAGCGCATTCTACTAAGAACTATGACAGGAAGCAGACCTTGACCTAAGTCATGTTAAGGTTGTTCTGAGAAGTTTCCATGGATGGCCTGGCTGCCTGATGCCCCTGTATGCCTGAGGCTTTGAAGTTTGCTCTGTAAGGTGATTCGGCAATCTCGTTCCCGGCTGGCCAGGAAACCAGGAAACTTAACCTTGTTACGATACAATACAAACGGGCGGAGAAGCTGTCTGTTGCCGATCAAACGGTATTGGCTTATTTTGACTGCCTGCCATTCCTATTGGTGCAAGTATTGATAGAAATTTATCGTGTAATAAACAGACTAGGTATTATACAAAAATACATCAACAGAAATCAAGTTGCACAAGAATAAGCTCCATGAAAGGGGAATCGAGGGACCGAAGCTACTCGGTAGCGGTAATACTGGTCCCGCCGACCCCCGCTCAAATGCCTGGCCTTGCTGCCCCTGTAATCTCGTCAATGCTCTGGTCAAGGCATTTTTTTGCCAGCTCGCATGATTAATTCAACTCTTCCCACAGGACTTGAGCCGTTGCCCGCGTCCCCGCTGCGCTTCCTGTGATTTGTTGCTTGTCTTTCCCGCATCTCGCGTGCTTCCAAGTTGGTTCGAGCGGCTCGCTGTAGTGGACCTGACAGACCGCGCGCTTCCATCCGATCGTCTCTACAATTAATTTCCTCCTTATCCGCCAAAACTCCCCCTTTCCGGATCGAGTCGCATCTTCGACCTCAAGATTCTCTGTCCCTCGACCTCTCTCCCACACTCGCTTCCGGAGACCGTTCAATCACTTGAGATGGCTGAGATCAATGGGAGCTTTGTCTCCCCTGCGGCAGATGCCACTGTCTATCCTGCACTTTTCCAGCCCGCTGGCCTGGTCGCGGATTTTCTCAGTGGATTGACTTTGTGGAAGACTCTGGCGACTCTGTTCGCCTTGGCCGTGGTCTATGACCAGTGTAAGCTCCGCCAGGAACATCGAGTTACTCCCAGCCACTAATCGCATGTCTTGCAGTCCGATACATCTACCTCAAGGGTGCCATTGTTGGTCCGGCATGGAAACTCCCGTTCATGGGACCCTTCCTGCAGTCCGTCAACCCGAAATTCCACGAATACAAGGCCAAATGGGACAGCGGTGAGCTGAGCTGCGTGTCGGTTTTTCACAAGTATGCCCTGCATTCGCATTCCAAACTAAATGTTTTCTTCTTTTTTTGGTCTTGAATACTAATTTTAATTTGCTAGATTTGTTGTCATCGCTTCCACCCGTGATATGTCCCGCAAGATCTTCAACTCGCCCACATATGTTAAACCCTGTGTCGTGGATGCCGCGCATAAGTTGCTTGGTAAGACCAACTGGGTATTTTTGGATGGCAAGGAGCACGTTGATTTCCGCAAGGGCTTGAACAACCTTTTCACTCGCCATGCTTTGTCTTGCTATCTTCCTCGCATGGAGGAGGTCTACAATGACTACTACGCGCGCTTCCTCCAAAAGTCCAAAGAGGCAAACCACAAGCCAACCCCGTGGATGCCCGAATTCCGCGAATTGATGTGCGCCGTTTCTTGCCGTACATTTGTCGGCCACTACATCAGCGATGAGGCCATTATGAAAATTTCCGATGACTACTACAACATCACCGCTGCCCTAGAACTCGTCAACTTCCCTATCATTCTCCCATTCACAAAGACTTGGTACGGAAAGAAGGCTGCGGATATGGTCCTGGAGGAATTCGCAAAGTGCGCTGCCAAGAGTAGGGCTCGCATGTCTGCTGGTGGTGATATCAGCTGTATCATGGATGCATGGATTAAAGCGCAGCTCGACTCGGCTAAATACCGCGAGAAAATTGCTCAGGGCATCGAGGTCGACTCGTCCGAGAAGCCCCCTCAGGTTCTTCGTGATTTCACCGACTATGAAGTCTCCCAAACCGTATTCACCTTCTTGTTCGCCTCCCAGGATGCGACCAGCTCTGCTTGCACCTGGTTGTTCCAACTCATGGCTGATCGCCCCGAGATTCTTGACAAGGTCCGCGAGGAGAACCTGCGTCTTCGCAATGGAGATGTGAAGGCACCTTTGACTATGGAGTTGCTCGATAACATGACTTACACCCGCGCTGTCGTCAAGGAGACCCTCCGCTACCGCCCTCCCGTCATCATGGTTCCTTACGTCGCCAAGAAAGACTTCCCTATCACCGATAAGATTACTGTGGCCAAGGGCTCTATGATCATCCCATCTGTCTACCCTGCTACTCGTGACGAGGAGGCTTACCCCAACGCGGACTCGTTCGACCCTGATCGCTGGGTCACCGGAACTGCCGAACAGCACCCTAAGAACTGGCTTATCTTCGGCACTGGCCCTCACTACTGTCTCGGTCAACAATACGCTGTCTCTAACTTGATGGCGATGATTGCCAAGGCTAGTATGGAGATGGATTGGGTTCACACCCCGACTCCCGAGTCTGAAGATATCAAGGTCTTTGCTACCATCTTCCCCCAGGTATGTTCCTTCAATTTTATTCAATTTTATATGCATACCTTGGTTTCCAGGCTAACATTGTAACAGGATGACTGCCTTCTTACGTTCCGCCCTCGCGCGTGATTCTATACTTAAAAGCGGTAAACCGGAGTTTCAGTCGATATATCATGTCTCTGTGGCGCAATCCACGTGGTGAAACTCAAGCATGCAACCCAGGACCTGAAAAGCACTCGCTTTGTGGGCCCTCAACCCCGGGGTCTCTGTCCTGGAGATAGAACAACCGAAGGGTTTTCTTCTTTTCCTCTTCTCCCTCTGTATCTATTTTCACGGATCGAAAACGCCACTGTCCGACGGGTGTATCATTTTTGTTGTTTGATTCTGTTTACTGTGGATAATTCTGGAATAATGCCTGTTCCCCGCCGGTCCCCGCGGCATGTTTCGACTCTGCCGCGCGGAGAGTGGAAGGGGAGTTAAGACTGGCTTGGGATAAAACCATGTAATATGGGAATGAGCCACGTGGAGTTGCTTGCATTGCGAGATCTCTTGGTCACGCTTTTCGCCTTCGAATGACCTAGATTATGCTACTTATATTAATATTAATTATGAGATTATCTTGTTATGCGAGAAAACCGTTCGTTCAAGTGGTAGGTTTTAAATAACCTGGGATGTAAGTTAAACACCGGCTTCGGAAGAGCAATCATTTCGAGATCTAGTGAATGTACGTCATGTAGAGAATTGAATATCATCGAGGTAAGCGTGTTACACTACATAAAAAATAATACTACATCATCGGTATCTCATTTGTGCATTCATGGTAGGTACAAGGAAGAGGTGGCTGAACTAATGTTATAGAATGAATACCTCAACGACCAAAGCCAAACCAGCCGCGCCGGCCAGTCGTCCTTTCTTCAGCTGCTGGTTCTGCCGCTTGGGCCTGGGTGGCACCTGTTGAGACAGCGGCCTTGCCCTCACGCGGATAGTCGATGTAGTTCCACGCGACGTCAAGAAAGAGGGGTTTAACAGGGATTGGCCGTATCTCAGGCGGGTAAGGGACAAGGTTATTCAAGTCGAGGCGATCGCCAGAGTACTCGTGGAGACGCTCAACGAGTGGAGACTGGTTGGTTGACTTAGAGGACTGCTCCTGGGCGGATATACTCTCCAGGGTGACCAGGCCTTGATATTTGGTGACGAGGGCTCGGAGTTCGTGCTCAAGTGCCTGGGCTTGGCTGAGCGAGACGTCCGATCTTGGTGGTTCATCAATCTCGACCTTGGACTGGGATGATGTAACGGTTTCTGACGCGAGGGATAGGGCTTGTGAGAACAAGGCTAGGGCGTTCTGAGACTTCCCAAGAAGCGCATGTGAGCGGCCAATGGTTAGGCACCTAGTCAAATTATGTTAGTGTAAGCGAATCACCAAGAGGCATGGGGGTGAGCCCTACCTTAAAGCACGGAAGTAGTTGCGCTTCGCTTCAAGCTCCCGAACAAAGCCTGTGTCTGCGGCAATTCCCGGTAGATCAAGAATGAACTCAATACTTTGCAAGGTGGAGTCATACAAAACCACCCTCTCACGCAGCCATGTCAATTTCTTGCCGCTGGATTCGTCATACTCAGATGACACCTTTTTGTTCTTCGACGACTGCATCCGACTCGGCTCAAAGATGATACCGTCGTTCTCACCACACAAAACGCGGTTACGCCCGATTCTCCAGCCCACAAGGGCGTAGTTTACGGCGGTCCGCGTTATTTGCAAGCTTTGCATCCTCTTGTCACTGGGATCCACACCCTCGCCTGCAAGGTCGTCAATAGCCGTTTTTGTGGCATCAACTGCGTCTTGGCTGGCGATGATCACGTTATCGTAAGCTGCGGCTTTGTCCCTGGCGGAAGCGGAGCTTCCCTCGGTGGCATTGAGCCAAGCAGCAAGCCGAGACTCCTCAGCTGATGCCGCTGCGAGCGCTTGAGAAATCACAGCGTCTTCTATTGCGACAGTGTGAGACCTCCAGTTAATACTCTCAGGAAGCTGCTGGACTTCCCCATCCGCGGTTCGTCGTGTCCCAGCGGCATCTTCTTCCAGGCAATTGGGGTCGACCTTCTCAACCTCGGATCTGATGTCAGCGTCACCGGGGAAGTATTCGATGGCCAATGACGGTATAGGCTTCGACCGTGGAAGCTTCATCTGATATGCTGCATATCGTAGACTTGGGTCGATGTTGCCGGACAAAAGATCACGAAACGCATCCTTCCTTGCGGCTTGGCCAAGTGCAGTATAGATGACCCGCGAAATAGAGTAATTTCGAACGCATTGTTCCCAGCTGCGCTTTTCCAGACATGATGCCCCAATGAGCGAGCTCAAGTAAGCCCTTGCTTCCAGGATATCTGTGTCGGTAGCGCCGGAGCTGCTTTTATTTTCCAGCAGGCTGGCCAGTTGGTTGGCGTACCCAGCCGCTTTGTTTAGCCGCGAGATGATATGACGCCGCGCAGAGCCGGATATTCCTTTTGCTGTTGGATCTGCCGAATGCGTTGATTTCATGTGCATCGCTTGAGCCCATGCCCGTTCTGCACTCAGGAGGAGGAGATGGACGTTCCTGCAAGCAATTGTTTATTAGCCCTTGTGATGAAGAACGAAAAAAAGTTCTCGATTGGGAAACGTACGCAACATTTTGACCAACATCTTCGGCACTGATAGGAGGCTTAGAGGTATATTTTCGGCCCTTAGGAGTAGTTTGCCCAAGCTTCTTGCGAATATTGTGCAATTTGCGAGTTGTGTGTGCCCGATAGCCATTGTAGTCTCCAGCCACCAGGACCTCTTCTCTTCGAGCGAAGATATAATCCGTAATGTCCATTGTCGCAGGAAATTTGCTGTCAATGGGTCTGGGTCGGGGCGAGGGGTTAAATCAGGAATTATTGTTCATTGCCGGCTGCATCAACCCCAGCGGAGTGGAGGAGTGGCTCGTGAGTTGTGGCCCGCCCGATCATAAGGTGCGCGGCCAAACTTAATCCCGAAACTGCTCTTTTGCTTTCTGCGCTGTTGAACCGCCAAAATTTCGCCTACTGTCAACATTGCTGATTGAAGCTGCCAGCACTGCTTATTATTACTGTTATTTTCTCTCCTTATTACTTCCTTATAATAACCACGAGCCCCTCGAACTCGGATTGAAATTAAGTTCAACGATCTTGCAGGTAGACATCACCTCGGTTGGCTTCGCAGTCTCCGCAACTCTGGGGTGTTCATTGTCTTGCAGCTTTCCTCCCCGAGAACCGAACCAAAACCGATATGCTATCTCGTTTAACGGAAATACGGTGAAATTTTAGGCCAAAGCCTACGCTTTCGAGGGGGGATGCTGGAACGGACCGCGGGATGTGTTGAGAACGCAGGGCGGCGTCTCCTCCGGGACCCGAATGGAGCTCTCCGAAATCGAAAAGCCTTCTGTACAAAGCTTGGGAAATACTCCAGCAGCCATCCCGGTTATTCGAAAAGGCAATTTGGTTCTCGGCGGATGCTGCAATTGCGAGACTCGATCACAAACACCGGCCGAATTCCGAGCGATTCACAAGCCCCAACACTCGGATTTTTGTATCCCAGTCAGACCCAAGAATTTGTGATTTCTTGTTTGCTTCGCCATTCAAGAATCCTGCCTGCGCGACGGAAGAGACGGACCGGCGCTCTTGCCTGCCGAACAATTACCTCCAAAACTGGGTTTCATCGAGCAGTCGGAGTGGACGAGCTGGTGGGTATTCATGACAATGGGAATCACCAACCGGATAGAGAGTGGGCTAGACATACCCTCGTGGAACTGCTGGGAAAAGGGATACTCAATGAAGCGGACAGGGCGTGGCAGCTCTATACACTTGCTGGCCAGCCATCTGATTTAAACCCAGATTTACTTGCCCAGTTCAGCAAATCAGCAAACAAGACAAATCATAGGAGAGCAAAACATTTGTTCCATGTGATTCCTGAGGCGTCACGCTCTGCGGAAGATTACCTGAATATAACAAAATCCTGTCTCGCTGCTGAGGAATCAGGAGAGCTGACGGGAATTTGCCAGGAAGCAGAAGCTCATGGCCACGGTGTGTCATGTTGGGCTTTCGCTCTAGTCTACTATGTAGAGAGAGCTAAATGGGCTCTTGCTCAAACTTTATATGAAACTTTTCGGTCATGCTCGGACAGCGTGAGGCTGTGGGAGACCATGCTCCCGCTCCTGAATCAGTCCTTGGTGCCAGCTTATCTGCTTGATTTATCCGTGCAGCTCCAAACTAAGGCAAGCATAACGGCCAGCTCAGACGAAACGCAGCCCAAGTTCTTCGATTTCTTTCTCCATAGGGCTTTCAAAACCGAAGAAATCGTGGGGAATATGTCAACAGAGGACCTTCTCCATCTCCTTCAGAACTTCCGGTCCGTAGGGGTCCTTGAAGTCAGCGCGTTGATTCATTGCATCCATACCCTCCAGAGCTCGAAAACCAGATCGAAAATCATCAGATCCATTGTCATTTATCGTGAGTTCCGCGGGCTGATGGAGGCTTCAGAGCTCCATTCTTTGCTGCTTCGTGATTTACTCGGAAAACTCTCCCGGTTGGAAATTACCACCGGTGTCGAGTATTTTCTCTCCGAATACTCCCATTTTTATTCAAAACCTCCTGTGGAAGCATTTAGACTTGCTCTAATTGCCTTCTCTCGGGCTCCTGACCCGCCCGGTGTTACGCGAGTGTTCAAGGAATATGTTGCCCAATACGGACAGCCGCAGTCTTGGAAATTGCTTACACCCATCCTTTATGCCCACGCCAAAATGGGCAATGTGACCGATACTATGACCGAATTTGATAAGTTATCTAAAGCTTATGGTCTCACCCCAAATACACATTGCTGGAATATCCTGCTCACGGCTTTTGCAAATGCCGGCGATCTCGCAGGGTGTTTTTCGCGCTTCAAGATGATGTCTGAACAAGGGGTGAGAGTTGATTCTCACACATTTGGTATCTTAATGGGTTTATGCGCTCGTCGGGGTGAAATTGACGTGGTACTCAAGTTACTCGATATGGCCAAACAGCAACATGTTAAACTAACAACTCCTATGCTCGACACAATCGTGGAAGCTTATTGCAGAATTAAGGATTTCAAAGCGGCAGAGAGCTTTGCGAAGACCTGCCTTGAAATCGACGTGGAAGGCTCACGGGTGAGGATGTGGAACGTTTTACTATGGAATTACGCATTTCAAATGGACCTGAAATCAATTTCTAGAGTTCGTTCAACAATGGAGACCGCGAAAATACAGCCCGACGAAATGACTTATTCGACATTCATTCTTAGCTTGGTCCTTCTAAGACAAACTGACTCTGCGCGTCGTATCCTTAGGGTGCTTCACCGAAGTGGTCGAATGCATGCTACAGAGTTTCATTATGCGCTTGTCCTGTATGGCTACATGAGAGAACGCAATCGTGATATGGTGCACATTATATTTCGTGAGATTGAATCCCGGTTTGGCAAAGCAGGTTTAAGCTCTCGTCTTCTTTATCTGAGAACCGAAGTGCGTCGGGATTTGGGCCTTATCCACGAGAAAGGGGGTGAGGTGGATAGCGCCAATGCTCGTTTGGGGCATGCGGAAGAATTCCTCTCAGAAATTATCAATGATTTTGACCCTGCAAAACTAGCAAAAAGGCAACCAAAACCGGGTGCGAAAAATTCTCGAGCTGCCCAGGCTTTGGCTTTTCCTGCGAGTTACTATGAGTCTCTCATGAAGGAATATGCGAAGAATGGTGCACTAGAAATGGTTAAGCAGCTATTCGACGCATACGCAAAGCTTCAAGGATTGTCGTTTGAAAATGCCCTCGAAGCTGCTCCACTCAACCTTCTTACGCCTTTAGCGCGCGCATATTTAAAGACAGAGCAACACAAACAAGTGGATGAGTGTTGGGAGATTTACTTTCGCCGTGCTCAAGAGATAGGCAAGCCTATTAATGAGAGTGGGTGGAATCATTTATTTCCGCATCCGCCAGACGCCCCCGAACAACCACATTGCACCGTACAAAGCTCTGGAAGGAAAAATGATGATGGCCTACTCATAAAATCGGAGCCGCACACAACCTCATTCGCCTCCGAAAGACCTCGAATACTTCCCACATTCCGTTTCTCACTTTCTCGGATATTGTCTGTGTGCATGCAATCGCTTGCATACCGAAATAGACTGGCCCAAATAGATCGACTGTTGACAGAAGTTGAGAGTAATGGGTTCGCTCTGACAACTTTTAATTGGTCTACATACGTGCAGCTGTTTGCTTCCTCCGATAAGCCGTCGTATACGCTTAAAGCCTTCGCAATTTTCGAGGAAAAGTTCATGCCAGCATTCCCAGGATGGAAGTATTTCCGGAGGTCACAGGGTATTAAACACTCCGATGCATCCTCTGCGTTTGATATAGTCGAGAAACGTGGCATGCGAAAACAAGGCAGCATGTTGGGCCCGAGGGGTAAGAAATACTGGAGCGAAATGAATCCAGATTTCATGCAGCCAACCTACCCTACGCTTGTGCACCTTGCCGCTGCTCTACTTCGGGTCCGTGGGAGAAGCATCGAAGACGGGAATGCCCAACTTGTTTCACTCTACAAAACTGCCCCCAAAACAATTGCTGCCATAGCTGAAATGCCGCGCATGCGGGACAAGTTCCAGGGTGTTCTGCTAAGACGTTACCCGCTGCAACCTGACCCAGTACGTCCAGAAAAGGAGCAGTTCGTGTGGACGGGCGGGATCCTGGGTGTTGGTGGACGCCGCAGGATGCCACAGAGTGCAGAGTCTCGCGAAGAACCACTATCAAAATTATCAGATGAATTGTCCTCGCAAGCTATCGACAATGATAATTCGTCTCGTTCTGAAGGCGCCAGGGTAGCTGCATTGCCATCGAGTTTAGATACTGGAAGTGCAAACCCTCACAACTCTGCAGACCCTCATTCGTCACATTGGTCAACCTTGACCTATGAGGATAAATTCGATCTTGAAGCCGATACGCTACTGTCGACAAGGCGTAGGCTACTAGGAAACGACGATGAATTGATGGATGATGATTCTGTGGACGACGAACTGTTGGAAGATGAAGATCTCATATCTGCGGAACAAGAAGACGAATCTCAAGTGTCGCAGGGGCCTAGCGGTAACAGAGTGACGCCGCCCTGCTAAGGAGACGCCAGGCGACCAAGCGAAGTATCTTGAGCAAACTGCCGAAATGAGCGGCATCATTAGGTGGTAGGCCCACCCACATTATACTTGTACAAAATGATTTTTATGTATTATACTGTACTATACTGTAATATATGATATAACGTTATATTCACCATTATATATATTATACAATAACAAGAACTGATCATCTGCAGTCCGTCGTCAAGTGTCTTATACTGCTGCGCTTTGTGGTCTGGCAATCAATCATTCATCTTTTCTGGCCTGGTGGAGGTATCCGCATGATCCTCGGGGCCCCGGCCCTATGCTTAGTCATTCAATTAACGCGTCCCGCGGCCGTGTCCAGGCGCGTTGCAATTATGCCTAATTGGGACGACGTGTTGGTAAAGAATCTCCATCCCACCCTTCCATGATTCTTCAGTCACCATAGAGCATCAAGATCCATCACTGCAAATTCGGCCAACTTGCAACACCAACCTACCGAAGAGCTCCCGTACTCTCCGACTTATTGGTCCGATTACTTGTCAAATTTTCCTCGTTTTTACCCTACCGTCGGTGGAATAACCCTTCATCATGGACGGAGCGCAACTCCGTGATGAGGCCGCTCAAGATCGAGTGCGAGCGGCCACTGAATTTCTTGATCCAAGTAAGCACCAGAAATATCTTTTCGGATCGCATTGTGTTTTACTAACGACGTTTTCTCTTATAGCTGATACTCGAGAGCGTAGGTTAGTTGTCATCTACCAGGGCCCATCTTGAAACGCTCGAACCGAGAGCCTGACCGGATTGAATAGCTACCGAGCAGATATTGTGCTGATGCTGAACCGGAAATTACGGCGGCTGATTGTACGTATTCTCTCGCCTCATCGGTAATGGCAGAAATTGAAAAAGGCCTAATCATTTCGCATCTAGGTCAGTATCGATGAAGTTCGAGCCCATAATCGTGAAATGGCGGAAGGGTAAGCCGAAGCTTCTATATAATCTATCAATTCCTGCTAACTAGGATTGTAGTCTTCTTACGTCTCCATTTGACTGGTCGGAATCATTCGACAGAGCCCTCAAGGATATTATTAAGACGCTAGGCCGCCCACCGAGTGAATCTGCAGACGATGTGGTATGGTCCCCCCCCCACTCACGACTGTCTCATGAGCCCTCTTTTAACATATAACAGAACTATTACTGTGCTTATATAGGAGCTTTCGGAGAATTCTCGTGTAACCCAAGAACACTCGGATCCACACACCTGAATCGGATGGTTTCCCTGGAAGGCATTGTCACAAAATGCTCCTTGGTTCGTCCGAAAATCATCCAGAGTGTGCATTATAATGAGAGCAAAGATAGATTTGTTGCGAGGAGATACAGGGATCAGACTATGACAGCCAGCGGCGTTACAAATATGAACGTTTATCCACAAGAGGATGATGAGAAGAATCCGGTATGTGCTATCGAGAGATGCGGATTGTACGCAGCTAACGCTTTTCATGGAATAGCTTATTACGGAGTACGGATATTCTACATATATGGACCATCAAACTATATCCATCCAAGAAATGCCCGAACGCGCCCCAGCTGGCCAGCTTCCCCGAAGCGTCGACGTCATCGTGGACGACGATTTGGTTGATCGAGCGAAGCCCGGAGACAGAATTCAGCTGGTGGGAATCTACCGTTCCTTAGGAAACCGAAACGCGAGTTCTGGGTCTTCTACCTTCCGCACGCTCGTCATGGCAAATAACATCATTCAGCTATCTTCAAAATCCGGTGGAGGAATTGCGCAAGCAACTATCACGGACACTGATATTCGGAATATCAACAAGATCTCCAAGAAGAAGCACGTTTTTGAATTGCTATCCAACTCCCTCGCCCCTAGCATTTATGGTCATGATTATATCAAAAAGGCTATTTTACTCATGCTTTTGGGTGGCATGGAAAAGAATCTTGATAACGGCACACATTTGCGTGGTGACATCAACATTCTGATGGTTGGAGACCCTTCAACGGCAAAATCTCAAATGCTCCGGTTTGTTCTAAATACTGCCCCTCTCGCGATAGCTACGACTGGTCGCGGTTCTTCTGGTGTTGGTCTCACTGCTGCCGTGACTTCCGACAAGGAGACAGGAGAGCGAAGGCTTGAGGCCGGTGCCATGGTGCTGGGTGATAGGGGCGTGGTTTGCATTGACGAGTTCGATAAAATGAGTGACGTCGATCGTGTGGCTATTCACGAAGTCATGGAGCAACAAACGGTCACCATTGCTAAAGCAGGTATCCACACCAGCCTGAACGCTCGCTGCAGTGTTTTGGCTGCTGCGAACCCCATTTATGGTCAATATGACCCTCACAAAGACCCCCACAAGAACATTGCTTTACCCGATTCTCTTTTGTCACGTTTCGATTTGTTGTTCGTCGTGACAGATGATATCGAAGATGCTAGAGACAGAATGGTTTCAGAGCACGTTTTACGTATGCACCGCTATCGCCAGCCGGGTACTGAAGAAGGCGCCCCCGTGCGGGAGCAGCTCAACCAGACTCTAGGTGTGGGTATCGATGACACTGAGGACACCAACCAGCCCACTGAAGTTTACGAGAAATTCAACTCCATGCTGCATGTTGGAATCGCCATGGCAAACCGAGGTCGGAAGAAGGACGTTGAGATCCTGAGCATCCCATTTATCAAGAAATACATTCAATACGCGAAGTCAAGAGTCAAACCAGTCCTAACGAAAGGTGCTGCTGATCACATCGTTGAAACCTATTCTGCGCTGCGGAACGACGAGCTGTCGGCAAACCAACGACGAACATCTCCGATTACTGCCCGTACCCTTGAGACTCTGATCCGTCTGTCAACCGCGCATGCGAAATCACGTCTGTCTAGCCGAGTTGAGGAGAAAGATGCCAGGGTAGCAGAATCTATCTTGCGATTTGCTATGTTCAAAGAAATTGTCGAAGATGGACGCCGTAAGAGAAGAAAGGTCACCACCTTCGATGAGGATTCTGAAACGAGTGATTCTGATTCGGATGACGACGAAGATGATCGTACACCTACAAACACTTCATCCGCCACCCCTCGCTCTACCAGGAGGAACCTGCGAGCACGCGCAGCACAAGCTCGCGCTGAGGAAAATGATGACGTCGAAATGGGCGCAGAAGGTGATGATGTATCCGTCGATGGCGACGGCCTGTACAGCTCAAGCCCCCAGGGGCAGCGGATACAATCGAGCCAGTCTCGTATGTCCGTCGCATCGTCCCGGCCCGCCTCTCAGCTTGTCGAATCCCAAACCGACACCTCACAATCACAAAATGCATCTAGCGCCTCTGCGGCATCTCAGACCATTCAGCCTGCGCGCTTGACAGTCTTCCGTCAAGCACTCGGTCCCTTGATGGGAACCAAACTCTTCACCTCAGGAGACACAGCTGATGTCGAGGAACTCATCGGCGCCGTCAACACAGCAGTGCGCACGTCGCGCTCTCTAGGGGAATCGCAAGTTTTCCAACGGCCAGAGGCAATCCAGGCTTTGACGGCCATGAATGAGAGAAACGAATTGATGTAAGGCAGCCCCTGCCATTTTCAATCGCAAGTCCAACGCTTTTTTACTAACCCCTTTCTTTCCCCTCTAGGTACCTTGAAGACGACGAAACCGTGTATCGGATTTAGACGATTACAGCATACTACTTAACGAATACCGCATATCTATTTTGGAACTTGAATTGAAAGGGGGCTGGGTTCGCGTGTTTCTCGGTCTAAATAGTCCATCAAGTCTTTATTCATTAGATTTATTATAATAGTTCATGTCACGGGCGTTCTGGACGGTTACCTAAAAGAGCGAAGTATACATACAAAGCCGCTCCTGGCATTATCTTGTCTTGTGTATTTTGAAAAGTATTTTTGTAGAAGTCTGATTACCCTCTATTACGTAGCAATTTAGTACGCAACTCATCAAACAAATCCGTAAAGATTGAAGCTGAGAGTGCGAGAAACTTTGAATAACCTATTACCATGGACTGAAATTAATTATGTTGGGTATAATATACTGCTAAGTACAGAAGCGAAACAAGACCGAAAATAAAGCACATGCCAGAGTGGGAACTCGAATCAGCTTTCTATACCGTCGTCTTTCTTTTTGTCCTTGTCTGGCGACAATCCCATTATAGAAGCGGAGTCATCTGATGAGAATGACGCGGTGCGTACACCCTCCCGGATCTGCGCCTGAGTTAAAGGAGACATGCCCCGATTTAGTGTCTTCGACCCATTCCTCTTCCGACGTTGGCCCTGTTCAGGTCCTGAGCCTGGAGTGGATGGTGTGAGGCTGCTTCGGCGGGGACGGCCAGTTGCAGATGATCGGGACGGTGGCCGGTCGTCTGTGTCGGCCGGGGTACTGCTGCGCGACGGCGTACGAGAATGTGAGCCGGAGCGTGATGAGCGTCGAAGGGGTGACTTTGAATCGTGGGCTAACTTGGAAATACTTGGGTGGACATGATGATTGTGACGGTGACCCTTATCGCCTTCAATCGTCCTGTGTAGAGTGGCCGCAGCAAGTCGGCGACGTCGTGACGTCTTCCAGCCAAGTCCTATCCACCAGAACCATGACCTATCGTGACGAGCGAGTTGGCGCTCCTTCTGGCGTAATTTCTCGCGAAGTTGAGCCCGTCGTTCGTTTTCCTTGTCCCAAAATTCAGTGCGATAGTCGTCCCAATTACCTCGAAATTCGGGAGAAAACAATTTTGGCAGCAAAAGCAGGCGAATATGATCGCCACCTGGACTGAGGTCCTCCTCCACAAGTCCGGATTCAGGGTCAATATTGTAGTAATACTGGTGGGAAGTGCGACCACCACCACGTTTCTCGGATAACGGACGGTCGAGGTAGTGGAAATCCCCTACTGCGGAGGGGGAGAAGGGAGTGGAGAATGGAAACAGGAAAGAGAGATACGAGAGGATCTCCTGCCACCAGGGGCCCCGAATCACCACGATCTTGGTGTTCATGGTTCGTAAGCCACGATTGGCAATGGCAAGCCAGCGTCGGGGCCATCGAATGCCACGCTCCCATTGACCAGTGCCCCAAACAAGGAGTGCTGTTACCACACCTCCAAGTAGCGCAACCCGTTCCCACATCTCGACAACCCAGTATACCGATCCTCCAACTCCGCGTCCGTCTTCACGTGGGCGCAGGAACAATGCATAGCCAAAGTATGCAATCCATGCTGCAAGCAAGAGTAGGAAAAATGTGTTCTGTCGCCGGCGTTCCCGCAGCGCCAGGTACTGGGCTCTTAACGAGCTTTCGAGAATGAGAAGATTCAAATATATCTGAGGGGGAGAGGAGGGTAGAGTTGAGAGGGGATCGGTGGTGGACGGCGGCGAGGGTGTCATTGAATCAGGCGAGCCCGAGGGGTAGGACTCTTGGCTGGGTGTCAATGGTTCTGCAGACGGAGCTGATAAAGAGCGTAAACGATTACTAGCGGCTGGAGAGCCTTTCACGAGCTGGTCCAGACTCGGCGTCGCCATGATGATGGGGAGGGGGTGTTGAAAGTGGGAGTGCGCTAAGGGCAGGTTGGGCGGGCTTCAAAAGACAGCTATGCAACGAGTTGCAGGAGAGAAGAGCAAATTGAGTAGGATGATCGAAAAAGCATGGCCGCCGCACGGCTTTGAGCTATCTCATCGCGTGGAGGGCGATGTTATGTGTTGGCGACGGTCTAGCGAGTTGAAGATGGTGCAGTGCTGGTGTTGAGGAGGAAGAATCCCAGCGCAGTTGGGATGACCGGACGGGGATGATCGCTCTTTGGCGGGCAACGACTTCAAGTGGCAATCTCCACCACTTCAACTCCTAAAATCTGCCTCTTCGATTCTACATCAACGCCGCAAACCACGCGCTCTTGAGTCTCTACACGGCCATTCAATCCTTAGCGCCGCGTCTGCCCGAGTTTCGCTCACTTTTCGTTCGACTGACGTTGAGACTTTCCATTGGGTCGGGGATAACCGGTCTTTGGCGCTCTCGACCCTTTTCTCCGTCATCCTCGCCTCCTGTTGCCTATTAGCCACATATTTCTTATGAGCGAGAGTAACAGACGGAGAATCATTCTCTTCTGTTACCCCGACCTTTGCGCGACAAGGTGCCACCCCTCCGACTTTATTTGCGACTTTTCCATGTACTCCGACCCCCCAGGGTCCCCGCCTCATTGAACACCGCTTTGTCTCGCCGTCTGACGTCGTCAATGGCATCCGAATCCTTAAATTCTTCACGCGGCGAGTTTCAAGACCGCAACCAACAGAATTCTGCAGCTGATAACGTTCCTCACGCCGCTCGCGGAACCGCCGCGACTCCATCTCCAATGGCGTGGTTTCCTTTAGGCTATCGGGAGGGATTCAGCCAGTGGGTATGTCTATAATCTCAGAGACGCGAAGAGAAGTCGGATTGGTAAATGATTGCTGACGTTTCTATAGTGGTCTTCTATGCCAGCTGCCACAGCTGAACACAAGGTCCTCACCTATCTCCCTTACCTTCAGCACCAGCCGCCCACCCATTTACAGACCGGAAAGACGTCGAATGGCGCAAGCGGCGAAACTGCTAGTCTACAATCTGCGGATCAGAGCCAACAAGGCGAGGTAGCGGCCAATTCTTTTAATGACCCGTACGGACCGCGACGATGGCTCTCCAGTATGGTGCAGTTAAGTGGCAAAGACCGCGCTCTCAACGAATTTTCTGTGGAGCGAGTGGGAGAGGACGCAGACCAACACTTGGTTATGCTTCACGGATATGGAGCGGGGCTAGGGTTCTTTTATAAGAATTTTGAACCTTTGAGCCGACTGGGAGGATGGCAACTTCACGCGTTAGATCTACTCGGCATGGGTCGCAGCACCCGCCCATCCTTTCGCATTAAAGCCAAGGAACGTGAAGATGCTATCAGAGAAGCCGAAGACTGGTTTGTGGATGCGTTGGAAGAATGGCGCGTCAAGCGCAACATTGAGCGCTTCACGCTCCTGGGACATAGTCTGGGCGGATACATAGCCGTGAACTATGCGCTCAAATACCCAGGACGCATCAACAAGCTGATCTTGGCTTCTCCAGTAGGAATCCCAGAGGACCCCTATGCGGTGACTTCTGAATTGCCCCAGAAACAGGATCAAGCTACCATCGCGGCTTCCTCTGCGGCAGTGCCACCTAGCGATGCTCCTAAGGGTGACAACAACATTCTTCTCAAGGGTCCTCCGGCAGATGCATCATCAGACCGACCTCCTCGTCGCACGATCCCCAAATGGTTTGCCTACCTATGGGAGGCGAACATTTCACCGTTTAGTCTTATCCGATGGACCGGGCCTCTAGGGCCGCGACTCGTCTCGGGCTGGACATCCCGCCGCTTTTCTCATCTCCCGGCCGACGAAGCTAAGGCTCTGCACGACTACTCGTATTCGATCTTCAGTATGCGCGGTAGCGGCGAGTACGCTCTCGCCTATATTCTCGCACCAGGAGCATTCGCACGAAGCCCACTCATCCGACGAATTGAAGGCGTTGGCCGGCAGATGATTCCCGCTTCCGTCCCTCCTTCGCCCTCTTCTGCGACTAGCATTACAGAAATAAACAAAGCCAGGCGCGAAAATGGTCTCCCAGTCGTCTTTATGTACGGTGACCATGACTGGATGGACTACAAGGGTGGTATGGCAGCAGCGGCCAAAATCAGAGACGAGAAGCAGCGTGCCCTTGAAAGTGCGACGCCGGAAGAGCGTAAAGCAGACAATGGCTCTGCTAAGGTTGTCATGATCAAGAACTCCGGACACCACGTTTACCTAGACGGCTGGGAGCAGTTCAACGATACTGTTCTTTCGGAAATGGACGATGTGGCCCGGAAGGAACGGTCTAGGCCGTAAATCACCTATTATAGATATATTTCTACACTCCTTTTTTTTTAGCGTTCGTTTCAATTGGGGCTTATTGGGTGTATAGATAGCGAGGTGTCGATTTTTGTATCTGGTGGTGCGGCCTCGAGGCCTGCCAGATACGGATATTAGAAGTACATATGAATAGAAATGTGAAATTAATGTCAGAATATATTTCAGTCATCAAGTCGTCAAGTAAGGAGACTAAGTGAGGAAGCAAAAAAAAAAAAGTTATTGAGCAAAAGGTGTGTTAGGTCTTCAAATCATTATATATATCGTCGTTAAACCTCCGCAGTCGCAAAACGCCACAACGTCAAAGCATCGTGAAACTTAAAAAAGACGAGATTAGCGTTTCCCCAGGCCAGAAATCTGATGAGCCTTCCCAATCCCAATCTCGCCCCCTTGGACGGTAACCCTAGCCGGCTTCCGCTCTTCAGCTGGGGTCGTGTTACTTGTCGTTTTCGCACCATTACTACCAGAGCTCATCGGCTGCAGGGCAAAGTAGTCATCTGTTCCGCTATTCACTGGGCTCGCCATCGAGTTTGCATTCTGACCCCATTGTTCAGATAGCGATGTATGAGACTTTGAACGAAGGACATCACCCTTGGACTGTAATGCATTCCATCCATGACGAGGATTCTCACGGAGGTGAACTTGCGATGTCGGCGATAGCATCCCAACAGAGACGGCAGATGTAGTCGCTGACCGACGATGGTGGCGCTGTCCCTTGCAGCTTCTCTTCGCGTCTGTGCCCGCGGGTATGCCTACGCGGCTGTTCCTCCTTGCTCCGGGAAGGTAGGGCTCGGCTGAGGCGTCACCGTGAAGTAGGTTATGGCTGCTACTATTACAGTGGCGAAGCATGAGAGGCCGCGACGGTAGTTCCAGGCGACTGTTCATGGAGACCCATGCGATGTCGTCGACTTCATCGCTGACGCTGTTGGGCGACGATGGAGTGGTGCGGCCGGAGCGGTACCCTGGGGATTTCGTGTAAGACGGTGGACATCGCCATCCACCGAGGCCTTCAAAGTCTCGGTAATCGTTGCCATTTATGAGGCCTTGCAGTCCTGGTGGATTTGCGTAGGAATGGTTTCGCTGGGCGCTTGGTCGGTTGGTGTATCTGTTTTCGAGAGTATAGAGAGGGCTGTCTTGGTTATTTTGGGTATCTAGTAGTGGGTTGGAGCTTCCCATGCGGAGTCCGGGACCTGGACGACTCTCTCTTCGGAAAGCGAGCGGAGTATGCCAGAGGCCATAGTCGGATGAACGCCGTCTATCGGGGGTGTTCGGTCCTGAAACGCTGAAGCTCAAGAGAGACCAGTTGGTTGAAGGAGGAATGGTAAAAAGGTTCGTCAAGAAAGCGTAGCATAATTCAATTGAAATGAAAGTTAACTGTAAAGACAGCGCTACGGCGGAAAAAAAGATGGTGATGGATGCAGTTATGATGAGGGGAATTGAGATAAGCGCGAGGAATGGGAGGGTAAGTAGAGTCGTGGTGGTGGACATGTAGGCGGAGTCGTAGTGTATCTTTTACAGAGTGATTGCACAGATAGGCTCTGTAAGAGAAGCAGGATAGAACCAAAACTTCATAACTGAAAAAAAGCAACACAGATTCATTTGAAAAAGACACTTCGTTTGATGATGAGCTGTGCTTGATGTTGGGTGATATCGACCGTTGAAATGCGGAGAGAAGCATGTGATTGATTTCTGCCTCAGGCACCGACAACGGTCTCATGCATTACATCAGCCCTTTCCCACATCTATCCAGTAACTATCCCATTCAACCCACCATGAGCCAGGCCAATTCTCAAGATGAGACCAGATTTCCGTGGGAAATCGGCGTGTTTGACGCCCATTGCCACCCTACGGACACCATGGCATCCATTGCTGACATCCCCTCCATGAAAGCAACGACGCTTACAGTCATGTCCACACGGGCTGATGATCAGGACCTTGTTTTCCAAGCCGCAAGTAATGTCGCCAAAGATTCTGGCAATGGGACAATAGGGCGTATCTTACCGTGTTTTGGCTGGCATCCGTGGTTCTCGCACCAAATCATAGATGACACGGCCGCCAAATCAGGAAGGGAGGAAGAACCCTCCTCGGCAGCCGACATAAAAAAGTCTCATTATAGTAAAGTGTTGAAGCCGCCACCAGGCGACGAGTTCATTTCCACTCTTCCGGAACCTAAACCGCTCTCCGAACTCCTTTCAGAAACACGGTCCAGGTTGTTGAAATTTCCCACCGGGCTTGTCGGGGAAATCGGTCTTGATCGTGCTTTCCGACTCCCACAAGCTTGGACTCAGGAGGAGATCGAGACTCGAGATGGGCGGATGACGCCGGGTTCACGAGAGGGCCGACAGCTCTCTCCCCACCAGGTCAGGCCAGACCATCAGAAGGCAGTTCTCGAGGCCCAACTGCGCCTGGCTGGGGAACTCCAGCGTCCAGTGTCTGTGCACAGTGTCCAGGCTCATGGGGCAGTATTTGATGTCTTCAAGGGTTTGTGGTCGGGCCATGAGCGGAAAGTTCCTTCAAGACGGGAACGAAAGCGTCGGAATAGTCATGCTGAGGCTCATGCGGACAGCGACGCAGAAGAACAGAGCCTGCGGGATAGTAACGCACGAAAACCAAACGGAGAACAGGAACACCTCCCGTTCCCACCGCGGATATGCATGCATTCGTACTCTGGCCCTGTGGAAGCTTTGAAACAGTTTCTGCACCTGTCTAACCCTTCAGAGGTTTATTTCTCATTCTCGAGCGTCATCAATTTCGGCCATCAATCCGATAGGTCTGTCGCGGTGATCAAGGCTTTGCCAGATGACCGAGTGTTAGTTGAGAGTGATTTACATATTGCTGGACAGGAGATGGATGATAGGCTGGAAGACGTTACTCGACAAATATGTGAAATACGTGGGTGGGCTTTGCGGCAAGGGGTTCAGCAGCTGGCGGATAATTGGAGACGTTTTGTGTTTGGTGAATGATGATCCGCAATCAAATTCCTCAATGAATTGAGAATTCAAGACATTCCCCAGTTTCAACTGTGTTGTCTTGTTCCATGGAATTGGATTTTGTTTTGTTTCTTGAAGAATGTCTCGATGAATTGGGGTGGTACTGGAGTTGTACTGTGCAGAATGCCGGGTATCAAGTCCTGATTATATGGAAACTTGCACTAACCCGCTGTGGAGCTGATCGGCGACATCAGATATATTGTATACCTGCACTGATAACTATAGCCTGGCCTTTTTTATACAGCTAACTATGAATCTAGATTACGACAATCCAATAGATAGAAAGATAAAAATAAGAATTGGTAAAGAATCCGATATCCATTGAATTAGATACACGAACAGAATCAAGAATGTAAATGAAGAAAGAGAAAAAAGAGAAAATAGGTATCAGTGCGCGCACAATTATTACACGTCACAGAACATCACATCATTCTATGCCTTCATCCCTCTCCTATTTAGAAGGCGAGGACAGCAGCAACACCGGCGGCGACAGCACCGAGGCTGATGGCGTTACGGCCAGCAGCACCGGTGAACTGAGGAGGAGCAGGGGTGAAGGTAGGAGTCCAGGCGGGAGCCGAGGGGGTGTGGGTGAAGCTGGGCTGGGGGATGACGGAAGGCTTAGGAGTGCTGCTGCCAGTGGGCTTCACGCTCTCGGGGCAGGTAGTGGTAGTGATGGTGGTGGTCTTGGTGATGGTGGGTTCAGGACCGTCAGTAGGGGCAGCGGTGGTAGTGCTGGAAGACTCGTCCTGGCCGTAGTTGGGGTTTTCGATACCGAACTGGGTGGACCACTGGTAGGCACCCTTGTCGGCGCCAGACTCAACAACGATAAGAAGACCGTAGTGGGTGACATCGGGCTCGAGCTTAGTGCTGGGGGTCCACTCGAAGGTACCCTCGTTGGGGATGTTCTCGGCGAGGGCGTACAGGGGCTGGATGTTCTCGCTAGGGCCACGGAGGAGAACTAGAGAGACGGTACCCTCGGTGGTAGGATCCCATTTGATGGTGTAGGGCTCGCCAGCAGGGACAGCCTCCTGGAGACCAGGCTTCGAGATGGGGTTGCCAGAGGGGGCCTTTGAGTAGTCGGGGGTGGTGTAGGCAGTAGCCACAGCCACGAGGGCGGAGATGAGACCGGTTGTGAAGAAACGCATTGTGATATTATGTGTTTATCGTGAAGGTATGGAGAGGTGTATGGTGATTGGTATAGTGGTCCGGAGATTGCCAAGAGATAGAGAACGACTGGTCTTTCAAAAGAAGGACGGGATGAAGGGTTGTCTTAAAGGAATGACTGGATGGGCGTGAGACACGTCCGAGTTGGAAAGAGAGAGAGAGAGAGAGAGTTGGAGCTGGAAGGTGAAGAGCGAGGAAAGAAGAGAAGAAGTCGGGAAGAGGGGGGGCGCAGGCGAGCTCATTTAATCCAAAGAATTTAGGCATGATGCCTGTCGAGCAAACTAAGCCTAGTGTTCGTGTCAGTCAGGTTAGCCCTGTATTTTTGCTCATTTTCCTGCACTGGACGCCCAAGGCTGCGGCTCATGTTTGGAGTGGGTCAGAGGAGAAATGATCAAATTACACGAGGACAGAGGCGGTGTTTGATTGAGCGAAAGAGAGCAGATGGGTGAAACTACGACAGCGGAAATGAGTCCGAGGGAGTCCGTGACCACCGACCCCTGCATTACTTGTCGGAGCCTGCGATGTTGTTGGAGCTTGGAATGCGGCCAAGCCCAAAAGGCTCACCAGTCACCACTCCGAGTGACAACAAGCAGTGAGGGCGAATAAGGGTGAGGGGCGGCGAGTGCTCAGATGCAACGGTGACTTGCTGAACATTCATCGCAACTGGACCAATCCACCGGGGAGACCATTTTAGCCATTTAATTATTTTAGTCTGATGAGCTGGAGCGCAAGAGATGAACCCTTGGATTGCGGATTGGTGGAGATTCAGCCTAGTATCAGCTAGCTAAGAAATTACACTCGATATCGCCAGAAATTGCCCAAGTGATGGTGTTGTAACTTTATCCATGCCGAATAGATAATGGAAACTCGGGCACAGGACAATTCCACTGGGCGCTGAACCGGAGATTGAAGGCGACGTTGTCATTGTCACTGCCGGATGATGGGCAGCTATCTACGGGGTACTCCAAGGGAACAAAAAACAAAGCCGGCAGATTCTCGGATTCTGGTGCGTGATTCGCAAATGGAGACTCTGGCCCAAAAGAACCTGGGCCTGTCGCAAATATCATTGGGCGACCAGACTCCTCCAAGTTCCTCGTATTTATAGCAAGCGTAGTTAAAGTGGAGGGTTCCATGGTCCCGGTCGGCTGAGAACCGGCACGACAGGCACGGAGGATCATGTCCAGCAATCACTGAGATTCCCAGGTTTGCATCGTCCTCTCCTCTGAGGGCTTGAAGCTCTTGTTTTGCTGTCTCTCTGCGAACACCCCTTTAGAAGGTGAAGAATGCTCCACAAGACGATCATACTGAATCAAGTCATCCCACGTTCTGGAGAGGAGAGATTTGCAAGCGATCCCTCGCGGGACCTTTCACCCAAGCCTTGTTCCTGAGCGCTGACTGGGTCCGTGGCGCACTGTTCGGGCCTTCGCTCCAGACTGGGAAATTGTGCCAAGTTGCCAAAGGATCGAAACCGAATGAGTCTGAGACATCCGGCCACTTGATTGGATTGCTTTGAGAGTGGTTGAAGCTCGAGCTGTTGTTGCCAGTGAGCCTTGGGCGATGATGAGATTGACGTTTTTTATTAGCAATTTAGCATTTTTACATATTGAGGAACCTTCAAAACAGCTGCTCAGCAATCAAGCTTGACGTGCCAAGTCGCCATATGGCAAAGACGTTGCGGAAGAGCGCAGTTGTGCGACGCTCCAAACCCCTCCTCGTTTACACAGTCTGCTGCACAGACGGAGGAGGTGGCGCTGTCAGACAGTCCACCCAATGCAGCCCAGGAACCAACATGCGAGAGTCCTCTCGTTGGTCGGACAAGTACGTCTTCCTGCGTCAGTCACGCAGCAACAGCAGCGAGTGATGGATGCATCTCGGCGCTTCCAAGTTCGAGGAGGATGCCAATTCGGGATTAGTAAAGCAAGTCCGGTCCCTGAGGCTGATAATAACAATCAAACAAAGACCAGAAAACATGGACAACGTGGCAGCATGACTCTAATGTTGATGAGATTTGGAAGACAAGCCAGTTTTTGCCTTTCGCCCCAAGGCCGGTTACTTGCCGAGAGAGAGGCCTCCATCGCAGACATCCAAGTTTGACCTCCCACAAACTTCTTCCAGTCACACTGACACACGGATTCCCCTGGCAATTTCTCAACGCTCCCGCAATCCACATCCCGGGATCATCACTCTGGGTCAGATCTCCCGCCCTGTCTATCTGAATCTCTTTAAATTGCCGGACTCCGTAATCCGTATCCTTCGCCAAAGCGGCTGGTTATTTCGATGAGATCTTGACGCCTGAGCTAACAGTTGCGACTAACGCCAAACAGCTTAACTTGGATGAAGTGAAAGCGGTCTTCGGTCAACTTGCTTGCCTCAATTACCGTACAGTACGGTGTACATTTCACGAAGGACTAGGAGTAGCCTAGTATGGATAGGCCCACGGAGTATTCTCCAGCCTCTCGCCCTGTGGGTGAGACGAAGTGGGCCATGGCCCCTCGGCCAGATGTGAGTCTTGCAGTCCGACCTTTTGGTGGCCACAATCTCCAACCTTGCGGCGCAGCGGGCGGCGATATTAGCTTAACTCTCAATGCAACCTCTGCCCTCGTGAGTCGTGAGTCGCGCGCCCAGGCCTCAATCAGCCGCATCGGGAGAATCGACAGGTCGTCGCCGCGGTCACTCCGCCGTATAGGCGTATGCTACCTCTAAATTTAGACCCGCAAAAGAGCGAAAGGCAAGACAAACGGTGATGAACCCTCGTTAGGCTCCAAACCAGGGCCGCCGCACCTGAGAACCATGGAACCATAATTTGACTATTGAAAATCTGCTCCATACATGCTAATCATGATTCGTCCGATATGGGGTAAGCGATCTATCTTGTTGATATCGTTCCTATAGTATACTACCACTAGTACTGCGGCACTGCCCACCGACATCGTCACACAGCGCTGGCATGGTGACAAGGGTTTGAAACCCTCAACCTTTTGCGAACCAAGCTGTTCTGTGTTCACACCGGGAGGTTTCGCCTCTTTACTCCGTCCAGGTGATCGTTTTGGTTTGCAACCACTCGTCATAACCTGCTGTACCGCCGAAGCGGCCAAATCCACTGCTCTTCCATCCACCGTGAGGCAAAGTGGGCTCATCGTGGACCGTCATCGAGTTTATGTGGACGGCTCTGTGAACGGACTTTGTCAGCTAACTGGGTTTGGGTGAGACAAGGTGGAAACAAACATACCCGGATTCGATCTGCTTGGCCACTCTCAGACCCCTGAACAGGTTGCTCGTAAATACAGCCGATGTGAGGCCATACTCTGTATCGTTGGCTAATGCGACGGCTTCCTCCTCGCTGTCAATGACGTAAAGAGATACTGTCGGCCCGAACGACTCCGTGGCATAGATATCCATCTCCTTGGTGATTCCACCCACAATAACGGGACGCAGGCCGTTGGCAGAAGACTCAGTAGCATTAGGATCGCCAAACACAACGTTGGCACCCTTTCCGAGTGCATCGGCCACCAATTCTTTGTTTTTCTTGACCGCAGGGGCAGCAACAAGAATCGGTGCAGGGGCATTCTTGCCAAAGATTTTTTCAACTGTCTCGGCGAGTGTTTTCTGGAATTTCTCGGCAATTCCGCGCTGCACTACTATGCGCTCCGTCGACATGCAAATTTGGCCGGACTAGTCATCTGCGTTAGCGTTCTGATTCCTTGACCCCAGATATCGGCGTTTGTTGTATGATCACTTACGTGGAGGAAAGCACCCAATGCACAGCCTGTTGCAGCCTTCTCCAAATCGGCATCATCTAGAACGATTGCCGAAGCCTTGCCACCGAGCTCGAGTAGGACTGGCTTGATGTACTTGCCGGCGGTGGAGGCAATTATTGAGCCAACGTTGGTGCTACCGGTGAAGCTAATCTTGCGCACGTCGGGATGGGCAATGAGCGCATTTGTGACCGCAGGCGCATCCGACGTCTTGTGGTAGATTACGTTCAAACAACCGGCGGGGAGACCAGCTTCCCGGAAAACATCACCGATCGCCCAGAAACACTTTGGTGACAATTCAGAGCCTTTGAGAATGGCTGTGTTACCTGCGGCCAGAGGAAGGGCAACGGCACGAGTTCCGAGGATAAACGGCGCATTCCTAGAAGCAAGCACTAGTTAGACATCCGACTACTCCTGGCTTGCTAACGTCAAAAACGTACCAAGGTGCGATTCCTAGAACAACACCATACGGTTGCTTCACTACTAGCGCACTTTGCTCATCTTCTCGCACAACAGGTGATTTACCCTCGACGGTGGTGATAATCCCTGCGAAATCCTTCAAAAATGCGACGCTCCCCATAAACGTTTTCTCCACGAACAGCCGTCCTGCTCCCGTCTCCTCCATTTGGATTTTAATAAACTCTTCCTTTCGTCCAAGCATAATGTCTGCGGCCTTGTTCATGATTTCTCTGCGCTCGTGCGGATGCGTTTTACTCCAGCTAGGAAACGCAGCTTTCGCGGTTGCCACTGCTCGAGTGGCATCATCGACAGATGCGCCGGTGCAAGAGTACAGGAGTTCGCCCGTCGCAGGGTTATGGACCTCGAACATGTTGTCCGTGACAATTGATTCATTCTTGATTATGAGCGGAAGCGCCGCCTTATCGCCGTTACTAGAAGCCATCTTTCGTTTGAGTGTTGGCTGCGACCAGATCTTGTATGCGCGGGGTATGAGGAATTCGTCGGGTTCAAGAAACGCGGGGCCTAGGACGGGAGGAGATCAGGAGCCAGCAGCTGCGCAAAGGGCCCCTTTAAGCGGAAAGCTTTCAAGTGATGTACACGAAGGAAGTAATGACGGGAATGAGGGGGAACAATTTCGTCGGAGGGGCTCGTTATCGGGGGACGTGGGGCCGGCAAATGTCTGGACGAGTATGGATGGGAGGGAACATGATCATTGGACGTTCAACACAGTCCATCGTTTCCTCCGGGTTCCCAGAATCGCAAACCGGCTCTTGCGTGGGGATTCTCAGCCGACATTTGGTGGTTGTGGGCTTAGGATCGCTCGCCATCTTGCCCCATGAGGGCTTGAGTTCTCACCATGATGGATAGTCTAAGGCCCAAGTGGATTATGCGGCATGGCCTTGTCTTTCGCCGCAACCACTTGGTTTGTCCGTAAATCCGAAGGACGAGACCATGTCCCATGGGCCGTGGCCAAGTCTCTCAATGGTACAAACCCTTGCTATGTTCCTCATTGGTCGTTCAGATATGTAAGCCATCCTTCTCCAATCCAAGAGGGAGCCGCAAGATGCATGCAGGGTACCGGCAATCAACCCGGCATAAGGAAAAAGCGGTGTCGGTGTGGAGGTGGAGGTGGGATACAGCAGAATCGACCAATGGTGTCACTGTGAGCTGAGAGTGTTGATGCCTCAGGTGCCACATTTTTAGACAATTATCGACGATAATTAGGGAGGAGGAACAACCTCTAATACTGCCCTGCGCCTTCTCATAGAGTGGCTATCTTGTGTGACCAACCGCTTATTAATAGTGATTTGCATCCTGCACGGTTGCACCTCACCGTCTTGGCAACGTAGTACGACATCATGTCAGGGCTTGTCACACAGCGTGGCGTCTGCACTTCAAGCTGAAACATCAATTCCAAACACCTTTAACCCCTGATATTATATACACTAAGCATGGCAGATGATCGGCAAAAGGGGTGGTAGAGAGACAGGGCAATCAACCAAAGCTAATTCAATGCAGAATAAAAATCCATATAGTCAAACACCACCCATGTATCATCGGAGAACATGGGAAATGATAATCATAAGCTGTCTTTATTATTATCCCCCACAAACGCCCGCAATGCTCTATTAACCCACATAGCCCTTCAAGGACTTCATTACCCCAGCTCACCCGGATTACTTCCCAGCCCAGATTTTGGTTTGCGAAACCGGCTTCGCCATGTCAGCAAAGGGACACGCCGAAGCGACAGAAGGCGTAATAGAAGGCGCAATAGACGGCGCCATGCCGCTCCTGATGCTGGCACGATCGTCGTCGCGCGAACCAGACGAGGAAGCGCTGCTGCTGTCGCCAAGGACCTTCTTGTCACCTAGGTACCCCTCTTTATCATCCAGGAGGTATTCAGACATCTCGTCGGCGAATTCCTCGCCGTCCCGGATCCGCCAGCGGGCGATGAGATCGTTTTGGATCCAGATGATCTTGCTGATGGCTCGGATCATGGCGGTCTTGCGCGACGTTGATAGAGTGGGATGGGATAGGAGTGCTTCGGTGAAGAGGTCCTGGATGTATCCAAGGCAGACGCCCATATGAATGTATTCGATATTTAGTGGATGTAAGCGCTCTTGGGCCGTGTGCATTAACCTACAGAATTAGTTTCGGGTCGCCGAGAAGGTGGAAGAAGAAGTACTCACCCGACCTTGTTCAGATATCTCCAAAAGTCCATCTGCATCGGGTCGGAGATGATCTTCGTCAGATACCACCGCAGGAACATCTTCCTCCGCATAATCGGTGGGCTGGTCTCGTTATAGAAATCCTCAATGGGAGCATCCGATGCTGTATCCTTGGTGTGGAATGATCGTGCGGTGATGTCGTACTCGAGGAGTTTGCGGTAAACGAGGTTGACAACGGCCGGAATTAAAGTCTTGATATATTTGGCGCCTGAGGCGAGGGCTTCCATGTCGCCTGTTTTGCGAGAAAGAGCCATTAGTCCAATATTGGTCAATCGGGATCCAAGAGCCTGGAACTTACTTGAATTGAAGTCGAGAAAGTCTTTGAGGTAATTGATTCTGGCCTCGAGCCTGGTGTACAGTGCCTTGCGGTCGATGTTTTTGACGGGGCGACCGTCTAGTTTGAAGTACACCATTTTGTTCTTCGATTCATTTGATACCTTGCTATCCATGGTCTCTGCGGTGTGGTGGAATACGTGAGATGTATTAAGCTGATAAGCTGTAGGTAGAAAGATATATACGAAGGGAAATAAACCAAATGAATATAAAAATATGACCCTCGACTACTCGGGAGATCATACGGTCTTATATACCAACCGACGGCCTAAATATTTACTCATAGGTTTCCGCATGGCGCCCGCTCAAGCAATAGGGAGCGATACATTCGTTCCGGCCTGCACGAAAATAAAATCAGTGGAAAGACGTCACGTCAACAAAAGAAGGCATCCATCTGCATCGGCAAAAGTCATTTCGGATTGGGCCGAGGCAGATCAGCCTATCAAGATGCGTGTGTCCTGGCAGTGGTCTGATTATGGGGAAGAGCTCCTATCTCATAATTAATGGCCGTGGGTCCTTGTCGCAAAGGATGCACTAGTTGCCCGATCACAGCTTCCTAGGGTCTTCTGATATCTTCAAGATATTTTCCAGAAGCCTGTTCTTGGGCCTTGTCGGGAGATGATATGAAACGAGGGACCCGTAATTTGAGAGCACTGATAATTGTCGAGGAAATTGCATCGTGTATCAAAGTGAGTTGTCTTACTAACAGAGCAGGAATGCACAGGCTTCACCGGGAGAATCATGCCAGCGTGGGAAAACGCCATCCAAGCCAGAGTATGCGGAGTGGACTACCGGCTTGCAAAAAGACTGAGTGACTCATCGCGTGATTTATCGGAGAAGCAGCAGCTCACAAGTGGCTTGGTAGAACTTAGCGGTGGGTGGGATGGAGCTTGATATGGCCTGATGCTTTGCTGACGATCCGGCTTTTTCCTATCCTCGGATTCGTCATCCGCGCAAAAAGAAAACTCAAAAAAACAACAACAACTTTTTTGGGGCTCGGTGTCGGATAACAGGCAGCGATTTAGTTGTCGATACATAAATCATCTTATGAAACAACGCAAGGACTCTACGGAGGATATCGGCTAAGTTGAGACCGACGTCTTGTAACCAAGCCCAAGACATGATCGGCGGCAGGACTATCTCATCAATGCTAACGACCATGAAGCCATAAAGCCCCCACCTCTTCATTATGTTCTGATAGATCTCGCTCTAGGCCCCTACCTTCAAGTCCTGCATCCTGGTCCAATTTCCTCAAAGGCCGGGGAGCTTGCGCAATCGATTCCCGAACCACGTCGATCCAGTTCTTAGCTACCGTTAGCATCTGAGGCTTGGCTAAACGTACTACTTTTGAGAGACCTTTTGTCACTTTGCATGCTTCGAACCCTGATGGCCCCGCTGTGATGGTCTAGACAATTTGTGACATATGAATTTGTAGACTCTCCATCCAATTGCGCTCGCTTCAACTTATCGATCTCGGAAGTAATATTCATCTAAACCTATACAAACGCACATTTATTGTGGGTATTATTAGCATGTGCATTCCAGTCTTTGCATATGTGCAACCCTCATATGCGCCATAGGTCCATAGCGTGTCATCAATTGGAAGGACTTGATTCTATTGCTTCCGGAAACGCTATGCACTTGCCCGCCACCAGGCGATCCTCTCTAAATCCGGAATCCTCAGGCTGCTGCATATGACAGAAAATAAGAAATGCGGGGATGATTGGGGGACAGTAAATGGTGGGTGTTGGATACCAGGTCACGTGCTGGCCATTGCCGGATTCGTCCATCAACACAACCATCGTGGACCCGTGGACGGACCACCATCCCACTCCGTACCTTACTTTTGACAGCTCCTGAACTCCTCCGGATCCGGGGAGAATCTGAATAGCCTCGCTCAATGAGTTTGTTCCCCTCTGACTAAGCAGTCCATGGCAGAATGTCGGAATATGCATTGTCTATACCAGGAGGCCGGCCCATGCTTGTATGTGCAAAGTCGGAAGACTTCCAAGGGCCTTGACTTTTGATATTGGGCTTATTGTTACTCAAACCGCTCTTGCCTATCTCGTCTCGGGTTACGAATATGCTTTGGATCACACGATTGCTGTTTTCAGAGCAAAGCTTTCGACGCGGATTCCTGTTCCCCGTGGCACGCTTCGTCTCTCCGAAAACAGTCTTGAAGAATAGCCCAACCCTAAACAATTTTTTTCGTTTGCATCAGATATACAGGCGTGAGTGGCCACTTTATTTAAAGTCGGAGATTTCCATCGTCATTTCCCAAATACCAGACCCAACCTCCTCCTGATATTCTACTTAAAGTTTTCACCGTTTCGGAATGATTTCCCGGTTCTTGCAAGGGGCTCTTTTGACCCTCTCTATCTCAGCAGTTAGCACGTCAGCTGCGCGAATGTTGGTCGCATTCCTCCCAGTTTGAAGATCTCGCTCACTCTTAGCAGTCGCCTACAGTCTCGTGCAGCCGACAATGCCGACCAAATCCGCGGTGTCAACCTCGGCGGCTGGCTTGTAATTGAGCCTTGGATTACTCCTACGTTGTTCGAGGGAGCCGGAGATGGAGCTGTTGACGAGTACACTTTGACGCAGATTCTCGGCCCGGACGAAGCTACAGAGAGACTGTCCAAACATTGGAGTTCTTTCATTACAGAGGGCGACTTCTCTAGCATTGCTAATGCGGGCTTGAGTCACGTCAGAATCCCTGTCGGCTATTGGGCAGCAGCACCCATTGAGGGCGAACCTTATGTTGATGGTCAGCTGAAATACTTAGATAATGCTGTTGCCTGGGCGAGAACCAATAACCTTAAGGTCATTGTTGATTTGCACGGTGGTGAGTCTCCTATTGTCAAAAAATAATTCGCCAACCATATAACTAACAGTTTGTTCAGCGCCGGGCTCACAGAATGGATTCGATAACAGTGGGCGTAAAGGACCTATTGAATGGCAACAGGGAGACACGGTTGAGCAAACCCTTCGTGCTATTGATGTCTTAGCTCAACGCTATCTGACAGACGGTGACGATGTAAGTATTGAGGCCCTCAACGAGCCTCATATCCCCGGCGGGATCAACAAGGACCAGCTTAAAGATTACTACGGCAAAACTATCTCGATTGTGCTAGAGAATAATCCCGGTGCGACTTTGGTCTTGCATGATGGATTTGACGCAACAGAATCATGGAACGGTTTCATGTCTGGGGATAATGTTATCATGGACACCCACCACTACGAAGTTTTCGAAGGGAGCCAAAATGCCTGGAGCATTGACCAGCATGTCGATGCTGCTTGCAAATTCGGCCGTGAACATCTCCAAGCTGTCGACAAGCCGGTTGTTGTTGGCGAATGGTCCGGTGCCCTGACAGACTGCACAAAGTATCTAAACGGAAGGGGCATTGGATCTCGCTACGAGGGTTCGCTAGCCTCAGATGGAGCAGTTGGCCCTTGCGGAACCAAAAGCGAGGGTAGCGTGGCCGATTTGTCTGAGGAGGAGATATCGAACACACGTCGCTTCATTGAGGCCCAACTCGATGCATATGAGTTGAGGAATGGTTGGCTGTTCTGGACCTGGAAAACCGAAGGGGCTCCCGGCTGGGACATGAAAGACCTGATCGAGAACCGGGTCTTCCCCCAACCCTTGACAGACAGACAATACCCGAACCAGTGTGGGACTGCATAGAAAGTTCCAACTTGATGGCGGCGGCCGCTCCGCTTTTCATTTCTGATCCAACTGCTGTTTCCCCCCCTTTATAATCATTCATTCTAAAACAATAATATTTCTATGTTAAGTAGTCTATTGTTTTGATTTTTGGGTTGAAAGGATTAATGGAATATTCGTAATTGGCACCGTTTCATCTATAGGGGGTATTTAAGCTATGTAGAAAGAGGTAACTTGACCGTGTAACGCATGCAGACGTGTTTATCCTGTTCAACACCATCGGAACCAGGATGCAATTTCAGAAACTGAGGGTTCGCTCGAATCATAGCAACCGCAGCGCACCAAACGCCGCAACCACTTCTCGATCGACATTAACCAACCAATCTTCCTGGAACCGCTGCTCGCCTCCGCAGCCAACAATCAAAGAATGTAGCCGCTCACGCACAAAGTCCCGAATGTTGATTTTATGAACGATGTCCGAGTTATCCCATTCGGCTCTTCGCGTGGTCTCGGGAGGCTCGTTTTCATGCCACTTCCCGGTTCCCGCATTGTTCCAGTTGATAAGGTAGTCACCGCCTCGGGGATCGTTGGGGTCACCCTCGGTCGTCCCCTCAGCCAGCTCGGTGAGTATATCGGTCCAGACATTGAGGTATGACTGTAGATGGTTGAGGATGTAGGTGGGTGGTTGCGTGTTGGGCCCGTTTAGGGCTAGAAGCTGGGTGAGAGCGAGGGCATGCAGTTTCTTCTGAGTTGCGGTGCCGATGTTATCGTAGTGGAGGAACCATTCTGTGAGGAGCCAGGTAAGAAGTTCTTCTTGTGCTTGTGGGTTGTTCGCGCCGGACGGGGAAAATGCTGCTGTGATGCCGGGGACAAAGAGGTTGGGGTATGCGAGAGCAAGGCGGGCGAGGACGGAGAAGTACTCTGTTTCGATGGCGCCATAGATGTTTGATTGTTTCTTGTTAGGGCCGGTTGTTTGACCGGACTCGTAGGCGGAGTGTAGGCCCTCGAGTATGGAGGTAAGAAGGGAACTGTCGAGGAGGGAGCGGATGATAACACTGTAAGTGTTTTCGCTGCCGCCGTCTACCGTGTCGGCGGCGCGGATTGCCATTTCCACAAGGCGAGGCACGTAGCCTCCTCGTTGACGCAGGGAAGGCTGTAGGAGTGTCTCGAAAGAGGTGAAGAGAGGGAGACGAATGCGATCGCTAAGAACTTCCTGAGGAGCGAGTAAGATGTATGATTCCGCAATTTGTAGGGCTAATCCAACGCCATCGACTGCGGTTTCGAAAATGGGGAACAAGGAGGGTATGAGAGAGAGTATTTCAGGGGAGGCCGGCGCAGGAGTTTGCATTATTATGGCGCTCCAGAGCTCCAAAGCTTCCTCCAGTAGATAGATCATGGTGTCCTATTTGTTATTAGTATGGTGACTTTGAAGACCCAATGGAAACGTACCGAAGTAGGATCGATCGAATTCCGAACCAGAGGCAGGATAAGTGAGTGATATCTCGTCGACTCTTGCTTGAGCGAGTATATCAATGCCCCAAGTAGTGTGAGAATAGCCTGCTTCAGCAAATGCTCGTCGCCGGAGCTTTCCCACAACGGGGGCAGTAGAGACAGAATTTGGTCCGAGAAAGGAGCAATCTTGAAGAGAATTAGCAACCTGTATGACAATAATGTCTAAGAAAAAGCGGAATACTCACGTTATCCTCCATCCTCGTAACGGCCATACGAACAGTGTTAAGCAGCCCCATTTTAGTATCAGAGCTCTCAACTTCTTGCACCAGAGCCATCAGGTTCTGGAAAATTGATGGCGCGTAAGGTTTGAATATTTCCGGGCTGAATTCGAACACATCAAGTACTTGCTTGAGTTGCCTGCCGGCAGTAATTCGGACCACCAGATCATTCAACTGATCTTGACTGTTAAGCAGATGCTGAAATATCTGGTATATGGAGTCACTCTTCAGTTCGTCGGACTTGACGGGCATCCATTGACCAAGAAGAATGGCTATTCTTCTCCTAAGGACATTATAACCGGTGTCTTGGATCTGAATTTCGGGAACGAGAGTGTTTTGAAGGAAACTGCTAAAATCGAGTTGCTTCTCTAAGCAAGCTGCAGCCAATCCTATAGCCGAGTAAAGAGAGTCCTTCAAAATCACATCGCGGTTATCCGGAGCTTTACAACGGACCCATTAGTGCATGAAAACCAGGCAGCCGGAAGAAAATACTCACTAGCAAAAGAATAGAAGACCGTCAGTAAGCGAGGGACAAGCAAATCCTTGAAATGGATAACAAGGTCAAGGAAAATCCTTTCCGAGCAAGAACGTATCGAGAACTCCCAGGCTTCTGAGACATCATCTTCTTTCCGCTCCCACTCCTCTGGATCAGCTTCCCACTCTTGAAAGTCGCCCTGCCTGAAGCGGAAGAATTGTGTAACGAGTAGTTCCATGGCATGATTGACAAAGTCGTGCGTGAACAGTTGAGTTTTTATTAGCTGGACGGCTTCCTTTTTGTCCTCCTTATCCTGGGGTGTCTGGTATTTGAACGACTGTGCCGGGTAGAATGCAATATTAGAGCAAGTCTTGAGTAGAAGGAGGGCTCTGAGACCAGCTTTTTCCATAAAGGTCTTTTCCGATTCGCCATCCGCGCCCAGTTGGCTATAGTTTTCTCCCAGCTTGACTACTAACGTCCAGTACGATTGAACTAGCGGTATACTATCGGGAAGTAAAGCAAAAGATCCAGCGTGAACCTTGGCCATCTCCACGTGGAGCTTTGACAGTTGCAACAAATGTTTTTCGACGAGCTTTCGTACTTCCTCGGGCATTACCATGGAGCCGGTGGCAAGCGCAAATAGTCGGCTGAATTGAGAGTGGGTTAGGAGCCAAAACTCCGAAGCACCTTTTTCTCGATGCGGACGCTCATATCCAGCAACAAGCAGACGCCTGATAGTTTTGAGAGAAGTAAGGCTTTGCTCCATAGTGTCCGCAAGTCCCGTAGAACCAGAATTGTCCTGCTCCAGTGAAGAGGCCCAGGCGTCCACTTTTCCAACGTATATGCTGCCGAGGACATGAAGTATCTCTGGTACAATAGACTGAAGGCTGTGCCGTGTTCTCTGTAACCGTGCTGTTGATAGCTCCTTGATTATTTGTAAGAGAATTACGAGGATTCGTGGTAACTGTAACGGGTTCGCGTCGGGTTGGGTAGACGAGCGGAGAATATCGATAACTGTAGGGATTCCTTCAGGCCTATAGGGATGTGTAAGTCTCCCAATTCTGAGCATAACAATAAGACTCAAGCTCACCAGTCCTGAGGGTACTCAAGACGCATAATCTTGGCCAACACAAACGCATTGTGAAGAGCTATAAGAGGTGCTGGTTCAACAACGCCAGCCTGCAGGGCTCTGAATTTGATCTGCTCCTTTTCTTCCTTCTTAATAGCACTATTAGACATGTTAGCCAGCTCCTCTCATACCCTATCTCAAGCATGAAAAAGTGCCTACTTCGGTGCCGTTTTGCGCCAATACTTATCGATCCCGTTCTTCAGCTGTATAATGGCGAGGTACCGAACTTCGAGGGGAACGGAGTGGTCTAGAAACACATCCTAGAGGAGTTAGTGACAGTACAACAAAGCAGATATACTACAACTTGAAGTGAATTCAATCAAGCACGTACCTGGAGGAAGGTGTAGTATTTCTCCTGTTTCTCCCAATGCTGCAGTTGCTTGGTCCCGGTTTGAACTTGCTGCTGTGTAGAGCTAGCGGCTTGGACCAAGGAGTTCAGAACATTCTGCTGTGTCAGGGGATTAGACTCCCCTGCTACCTCAATGACATGAGCCATTGGTAGGAGCTTTGAAATCGACAGGAGTTTCCGATGATCAACAAGACCAAAAATATCCGCTTTGCGAGAGAATTAGATCTCACTTTTAATGCGGACTGTAGCTCCCGGTAGTCGGTAACCCATAGGACCGCGAAATTCAAAAGCCAGGGAGGTTTGGCGCGCTGATGAGGCGTGAGTCGGTTTTGGCAGGTAAAGGTTCCTCTCCGCTGTAAACTACTTCTTTATGCTGGCACCCCACTTCGGCGGCATAACACGGAGTATTATTGTTCCCCACCCGGTCAGCCCTAGGTCTTGACCCTTGGCGCTATGCCTAATCCAGAACAGCCACTTAGGGCACCTGGGCACTGCATGTGGCTGGCCTTGAACAACGGTCCAAGACAGTTTCCTGTCCCGAGACCGACCGAGACCATGGGCGGGGGATCTGCGATTGCCGGGCCGTGGCTGATTCATGATCTCATCAGCTCTTCCCGACCTCTGACATCGGAGACGGACTTAGATGATATACAATGGTAACGGGAGGACCCAGCGGAGATAATGACCCTGAGATTCTAGAAATTAGCTCTATTGCTGTTTTTGTACACTTAGCCGGATTCAAGTCCGGCAGAGCGCTGTACTTTGTATCGCTCCATAACCCCACTTGCTCCCCCAGCCGTTTCAAACCGGTGAATCCGTGAAACGGCCTACCTGCACTTAGGCAGTCGTTACGTCCTCGCTAGCCTCTAATAGAGCCTGCTGTTATCATACAGACTAGGCCCATCTCAATCGAGCAACATACATCGGGATTAGTGCCACCCGGAACTCCGCCTGGAACTCCAACCTCGTAGTCCGGTGTCCAGCCCATGAGCCGATAGGCTGACATGGCTGAGTGATCCTGACAGCCTCTCCCCCTTGGTCTGTGATGCGGGGTCGGGTTATAGTGACGCTAGAGCCTGGATGTCTATAAAATGGGCAGGTAGCCTGCGGCTGGCCTGCTGAATTGTCCGAGCGAAACCTCAAGACTTGCAGATCGGATTATTGATTCCCTCAAAATGGTTCAAACAAACGGCTCGCAGGTTGCCGATGGCCTCCCAGGGTCCATTGAGACTCGTCTCTTTATTAACAGCGAGGTATGATCAACGGCCGTTTAGATTTGTTAAAACTGAACCTAAGCAATATAGTTCCGGTCATCTTCAGATGGGAAAACGTTCGGTTTGATCAACCCATTCACGCGAAAGACAATTGCAGAAGGTGAGAGAAGAATCTCCTGTCATCTGCTATTTGAGTTGAAGCTAAATATCAGATAAGTCTCTCAGGCAAGTGAGGACGATACCAACTAGGCCGTCGCCGCAGCCAAAGCAGCCTTCCCAGCCTGGAGAGACCTATCCCCCTCTGACAGGGGTGTCTATCTCCGTAAATTAGCGGATCTTATTCGCAAACACCACGATGAGTTCGCTAGATTGGAGAGTCTGTCCACGGGAAAGCCTGTCTCAGCATACTTTGATGGTGCCTTCGCAGCAGACACCTTCGCCTATTTCGCCGAGGCCGGGTGGACAGCTCAAGGAACATCCTCATTGAATACTCCTGGCAGCTTTAACTTAACCCTTAAACAGCCGTACGGCGTGATTGCGGCCATTATCCCCTGGAACGTCCCGTTGGCCTTTTTCGCCTTCAAGGTTGCCCCGGCCCTAGCTGCTGGAAACACAGTAGTGTTGAAAAGCAGCGAGAAAGCACCACTAACGGTAAGCTAAGCAGTTGTGTTTTATCACTTCTTTTCATGTTGGCTTCTGACACCTGTACCAGTCTGCTCTGGCGGCTAGACTAATCGCCGAAATCGGCTTCCCACCAGGCGTTATAAACGTGCTTTCTGGGTACGGTCAACCAGCTGGGAGTACCTTAGCATCTCACATGGATGTACGTTGCATCAGCTTTACTGGATCTTCGTTCACCGGCCAGAAGATCCAGGCGGCGGCAGCAGCATCAAACATGAAAGTCGTCCATATGGAGCTCGGCGGGAAGTCGCCGGCTATCATATATGATGACGCCGATCTAGACAGTGCCGCACAGCAGACACAGTTCAGTGTTCAGATTCAGAGCGGCCAGACTTGCATGGCCAACTCTCGGATCTATGTCCAGGAGACCGTGGCTGAGAAGTTCCTGGCTCTTTTCAAGGAGAAATTCGGCGCCGGTGCTATCCTTGGGAACCCCTTGGAACCAACCACGTCTCACGGACCGCAAGTCGATGAGAAACAATACGAACGTGTCAAGTCGTACATTTCCCTTGGAGAGAAGGACGGCAAGATGAGTATGGGAGGTGATGGGGGAGACGGGTACTTTATCAAACCGACCGTTTTTGAGAACATGCCGGAGGACTCGCGTATTGTTAAAGAGGAAGTGTTTGGTCCAGTTGTCGTTATCAACACCTTTAAGACGGAAGATGAGGCTATTCAGAAGGCGAATAACTCCGAGTTTGGACTTTATGCTTCTGTCTTCACGAAAGATCTTGAGCGCGCGGTGCGTGCGTCCAAGCTGCTAGAGGCTGGCACTGTTGGGGTTAACTGCACAAGCCCTAATATCGCCAAGGACATGCCATTCGGTGGATACAAGATGAGTGGCGTCGGCCGTGAAGGGTTCCTGCATAGTCTGGACAACTTCCTCGAGACCAAGACGGTCTTGATCAAGATGAACTCGTGAGCAAAAGTCGGGTCAAGAAAAAGGGTGTCGGCTATATGGTCACTATCTTGCGTTGATTTTTACAGCCCTGAAAATTATTTGGCCGTGACAAGGCCCCGAAAACAAAGTCGTTCCTTTTGTATATCATGCCATTGGATATTGAGATTCACATACTACGTCTATATTGCAACATTTAAAAGAGTCTCCTATGAACCTTTCCTGGTAGCCTTGACATCCACATTATACCCACTCTTGGTATCGTAAGGGAAGGGGCTTGTGTAGTTATAGGTTGGCTCGGTGTTAGCGTAGGTATCCTTGACAATATTAAGAATTCCGTTCCCGGCCGAGCAGTCACCATCTGTCAGCGGGATTGGCCAGTCCGGCGAATATTCGGATAGTTCTCCGTTTGAAAGAGGCCCGGGATAAGTCTGGTTGAGCCTCAGATTCGTGGTGTCGACGTCGAAGTTAACATAGCCAGTCTTGTTGGCTACAATTTCTAAAAGGTTGGCTCCACAATCCCAGCGACCGAGGGATGGAAGACCCCAGTTGGCCGACACAGAAGCAATAATTGAATAGTGTGTATAAAATGTGTCGTCCTCGGTGCCATGTAGGTGATCGGGAACGGCGCCGCCCAGAAGGATGCTGAATATCCGGTTTGTTTTAGAATACGTTTTATCTTCGTCAAAGGTGATAAGGATGAGGGTGTCGTTCATGAAGTAGTCATTTTCTAGCAGTGGCGATATCCATCCACGCAGCCAATTGGCAGCAAAGGTGATGCTGGTGTCATGAGCGTCGTTGGTCATGTTTGGAGTGAAGAAAGCCCACTGCGGGAGCTTCTCATTTGCCAGGTCATCTTCGAAGTTTGTAAAGTTCTTGATTTGGCGTCCGCGCATGTTATTCTCGGTCACCGAGTCATATAATATGAGCGGGTTGTGTTTCCGCACGTAGTCGTGCGCCTCGGTCTCTTGGTTTGGATATTCATAACCTTGAAACCCAGGATAAGGCATGTGCTCTTGGTACTCGCCCCATGCGATATACTTGGTATCTAGAAGATCAACCACAGTCGAGACGTTGGCTGGTACCCGTTGAAAATCATCGTTGTCCATGCCAAACGTATCACCTCCCGCTGCGGCACAATAATTCGGTTCGGAGGGGTGGGTAAGTGCATAGAGGTTCGTCCTAGGTTAAGTTAGAAAGGAGCAATGTTGGCCGATCGACACAACTCACAGGGCGATTCCTTTTGAGGCCAGCCACTTCAAATTCTCGTCTGCCGAGGAATCCTCGAAGTCCTGTGCGATGTGAAGTATGGTTAGCCATGAGATCAGGCATGTAATGAGTGCAGTGACCCTACAATATTCTCAAACCAAACCTGGAATATCCGGTTGAAGGCGAGACCCTCGACATTCGAAACAGGAGAATAAGGCTCGACAGTCGCAGCACTCGCCGCTATATCCGACTGAGAGGGTTGGGTTGTGGTCGCAACCTGCGCGAAGGCCGAAGCCCCAGTTCCTAGCAGAGCGACGAGGGTCTTCATCACGACCACGTCCAAAATAATATGGATCAATACCCAGAGGAAATTTACAACTTTTGGTTTGCTGAGTCGCCTGGGGTCTAGTCCCCTGAAAGTCGGACAAGCAAATTGTCTCAGCTATATGTAAGGGGAAATTGCTCAGTGGGGGCGTATTATTTATGCTCAGCGGGACATATTATTGCTTGCAAATGATCTGTCGGCCTCACGCGAGGCCAGGCAGAAGGAGGGGTCTACGATCAGCAGCTGATGCGAAGGATCGAGCACCTTGGGGGCGCATCCAAGCTGTCGAGGCAGTGCCCCGTCTTGAAATTTGGACAGCTTATCGAGTCACATCCAGCGAACCCCACACGTGCTTATCTTGCGTTTCGATCTGGTGGACCATGGTCCAGGAGAACTAAAATGATTGACTGAAGTCAAGCTTTTCTATTACCCGATGGCCTCAAGTCGAAGCTCATTCGGCTCCTTGCTTCATAAAAAGCATAACAAGCTCAGGCTTCCAGTTGAAGAGGATAGCATAACCAGGTGAACACGATAGGTGGTGATTATGTAACAACTTAGTAATATAATCACGTGTGGCCCATCAACCTCGGCTGATTGCGGCCCCGATCTGGGGAGCCGACCGAAGCATTCATGATGGTGGCTGGAGTTGGTAGCGTTCACTCCGCATCGACTTTAGATCTCTCTCCCTTCAATCGCATTATGCTGAGACGATGAGCTCGGCCAATTTTGTCGCTGCCCAGCAGCGCGTTTTGGAACGCCGTCGACGACGCGAGGCCGAATCCCAAGGCCGGCTCGCAGATCAACAACGGTCTTCAGTGATCAATCATCCCGCCGTGCAACGACTTCCCTACCCCCTGAATACCCTACCGCAATCAGGCTTCTCATTATGGGGTGCAATCAAAGGTCGCGAAGGAACGAGGCCCGCCTTCCGTGTCGGTCAGGTTGATGCAGAGCTCCTGGATGAGGAGTTACTAGGCCTGCTGAAGGGACAGGTTGGGGAAGCGCTCAAATACTTCGGAGTACGCTTACTTTCACATACATCCACTCTATGATAGTGTCGCTCACATACTTTTGTCTAGGCCCATTTGCGCGACGACTGGTCGAATGAAATCCAACTTGCCCTTCGTGCGATCCTCTTCAAACTCTCAATATGGGACCATGATGCTTCCTACGGCGCGGCTTTACAAAGCCTAAAATACGTCGATAGTCGCAGCAAAGGCCCTGTTTACTCGACTCCAACAAAACTGCAAAAGACATTATACGGACTCCTAACAGTAGGCGGCCGCTATGCCTGGGACAAGTGGGAGAACTGGCTTATTACCCAGGAAGGCGGCTACGAGGAGCCATCACAGGAAGTTCGGTCGCTAGCACGGATAACGAACCTCCTCTCCACTACGCACTCAATTGCAGCATTTGCATCCTTCCTCGTTTTTCTCGTAAACGGTCATTATCGAACTCTAGTTGACCGCCTCCTCCGCATGCGCCTTACTCCACCATCCGCCCAAGCAAGCCGCGAAGTCTCATTTGAATATCTAAATCGCCAACTAGTTTGGCACGCATTTACCGAATTTCTCCTATTTCTCCTTCCTCTCGTTGGTATCACTCGCTGGCGGCGATGGGTATCCCGAGCGTGGCGCAAAGCAATGTCCGCAATCCGAACAAGCACCGACGACGACGACGTCAACGAGAAACAAGGCGAGCTCTCGTTCCTCCCGGAACGTACCTGCGCGATCTGCTATAAGGCCACCGATGAAAACACAACAACAGAAAACGAAGTCATGGCCTCATCGGGGGGTATCAGCGGCTCCGCCCACACGGATGTTACGAATCCATACGAAACAGTACCCTGCGGTTGCGTGTATTGTTTTGTATGTATAGTCCAAAAACTTGAAGGTGAAGAGGGCGAAGGCTGGGTCTGTCTGCGTTGTGGGGAGCTTGTCAAGAAATGCAAGCCATGGAACGGGGATGTCCTTGAAGAGGCTCGTCGACCATCGTCCTCGGGAAAAATTGTTGGATTTGCAGTAGACGATACCCTCAGTAACGGTTCAGAGCAGGATCACGAGGATGCCGTTGATGCGGAGTGATCTCGAGGAACCGAACTTGCAGCAGCCCTAAAGATGGGCAATGTCGAGCGTTCGAATGTTAATTCTTTCTCTACACGGTCTGCGAGCCGATTATGTATATATTTATCAACATGGACACAGGTTACTAATGCATAAAGCTCAGGTGGGTATCTCTACTTTCCTCCAGCTAGACCAAGGTTGGACATCGTCATAATCTGGTGTTACTGGTGTATTAGATTAGCAACGGTATAGTAGCATTCATAGGTAGTAGGCATTATTGATGCTCTTCTGCATTCCCGCGGAAGTTGCATCCCGGGAGGGAGCAACTTCGCTCCTTCCAAGTTGATTGTATCTTGCTCCTTCCCAGAGGAGTCCATATCCTATTGTCGGAGGCAGGCGCGACTGGGCCATGACCGGAACAATGATACCAGAAGGCTCAGCTAGGGCTTCAGTTCCATGGATGTGGATCGCAATCATTCCTTCCTCTTTGGCCAATGCCCAGCACCACCTAGAGCTGAGCTAGAGTTGGAGGTTCATACCTGGCTTAGATACCTACCTCAGCTGCCTGCCTGCCTGCCGAAAGTTCCAGGTTCGCATTCAAAAGCTGGCCATGGTCAAATCGGGCATTTACCGTACGCGCATTTATACCTAGTACCTATTTTCTATTCTAGTGCAGGCCCCAAAGTAAGTTGCTTATCGCCCAGTACCTGGTAAAGACCTTGGGGTTTCTAGAACGTAGGTAGGTAATTGCTAGGAACATGAATATGAATTTTGGAGACCAATAAAAAAAAGCTTATTCATTCCCCGCTGGGTATCCATAAGATATTAAGAACTTAAACTCGAATAATGTACAGTCTATAGCATTAGGTATCGTCATAACTCGTCAATTGTACAACGCCAATGCCCGAAACAGAAACATACAAATCAAAGCGTCGGAGCCCTCTTCAGCCCGACACAATATCGCACAAATAGTGTATCAATGAAGTGCCCGTGCCGAATACCGGGTGGACGGCGTCTCTCGAACTCATCAATGGCTTCCTGGACGCCAAATCCGCATCGCTCAATTAGGTAGCTGACAATCAGGAAACCAGTCCGGTTGAATCCGTAATGGCAGTGTACCCCAACCACGGGCCGTGGGCCCTTGGGACCGGTGGACTTCTTCATCGTATCGGTGATTTCATTCTGCAACCGATCTACCAAGAAAACAAAATCCCTTACCTCGTCCGGCGTCGGAGGGATTTTTGACACGGTGGGTTGTTTGTGGTAATGAATGCCACCTTCTTCCAATGAAGCTGGGTTGTATACAGGGTTCTCGTGGCTGATATCAATCACCGCGTAGATGCTACTACGGTGTGCCTTGGAAAATAGGACTGGGTTGTGTTCCTCATCGACTTCTCGGAGCATTTTGAGTGCGACAAATGTGTCGGCTATTCGCTCTGACACAGGAGGGACCTTCTTCCACTTTGCCAGATTCTTCACATCCCACTTCCCAGAAGTATTGAGATATTGCAGTTGCCATCCAAGATTCAGCCGGTGGTCAGCGTGTTGAGCCACGAAGTCCTGGATAATACCGGCAAGAGTGCGGTATGTAGCACGGTCGTATAGGAGTGCATGAGAGGCGGGTGATGGAAGGATAACGGTCTTCACAGAACGTTTAACTTCGACTGATCCTGTAGGTCCATTTGTGGTAATTTTCTCATTATGTTGTGGCTCAATGCCGAACTTCTCTTCGTGAGCCAGGGAGTCAGGAGAGCCTGGGGCCTGTCCTTGGATTTCAGAACTCGCCACAGCATCACCAAAGAACTTGAGGAGTTTCTGGAGTTCGATTGGCTTGGTCACTGTGTCTGATTCGCCGCCCACTAGTAGGATAGGGACGTGCACACCGGCCCAAATCTCCTTACCAGGAAGACCCCCAGTCTGTCTGCCATCAGGTCCGGCATGAGGAAGTGTACCCCATGCCATACGCCTCCAAACAGGCGTCTTACTTTGTTTGTTGTAACGGACCTGAAGGCCACGGGTCTCTGCATCAGCATCCACCCCAACAAGCCTAGTGACGCTATTGCTGCTCAGGCCCCCACGCCTATCCCAAGACCTCCAGAGGTCAAACACTGGCCCAGGTATATATAGTAGGCGCCGGTACGAGGAGGCGTCCTTGGGCGAAGGCGGCGACGCACGGGGGCAGACAGCGACGAGGCCAAGGACATGGTCTTTCAAATCAAAGCTGAAAGGTGAGGTGGATGATGTCAGCATTGCTGAAAGAGAACAGCCTAGACTATGCGCAATAAGGACGACTTTTTGGCCGGCTGCTTTGTCTCGATGTTGGTCAATGGCGGTGGCGAGCAACTCGGCTAAAGCTTCGACTTTGTACGCATCCCACGAGGTAGGTGAAAAAGACGATAATCCACAGCCTGGTAGGTCAATTCCGAAACAAGGTCCAACATTTGACAGGCTGGTAAGAAGATGGTTAAACTGCGACAGGGACCCGCCTAGGCCGTGGACGAACACCAGAAGGGGGATCGGTGATGGTTTGGTCGGAAACTTGTCCATTTGAGGATGTGGGCGGTAGAATGTTCGAATTGATTTGTATTCGGCAACAGAGGTGGAGTAAGAGAGATATGTCGAATGCTTTTTCAGAAGACCAGGGTCTGTATCGACCGCTAAGGATTTCGTCAGCTTTACATGAGCTATAGATGATATTCAAAGAGTACCCACCATCCTGCGGCTCTTCACCTTTCTGGTGTATCTCCTGGCCAGGATGTCGTTCGTTAACATGTTGCCATGACTCCGAGCTTTCATAGCCTTCCTCGTCAGAGGAAGTCACTGTCCCAGCGGAGCTCTTGCGAACATGTCTCCGTTGAGACCGACGAAACCGCCCCCTGAAAGACTGTGTAGAACCTTTGCGCTGCAGGAGCGAAGAGAGAAATCCGCAGCCTGCCATAACAACAACGCAGGCGCTCAAGAAGATCACCTCACCCTGGTGGACTGTCGGGTCCAGATCAAAAGCATGAAAAGAAAAAGTGAACGCGACAAAGGGAACTATCTCCAAAAGAGTGGAAGAGATACTGAACCGAAGGAGTCGCAAAGCGTTATTGTTGGGTGACCCTAACCGGGAAACGGGCGGTAAAAGTGAGCTAGTATTAGGAGAGTTCATAATGGCATTTGCTTCGGACTCCGACGTTTATATAAAGTTAGGGATCTAGCCCAAAGGGCGAGAGTAGGGCGCATCAAAGGGGCCAGGTCATAGAACAAACAGGGGTGACGAGGATCCGTTCTGGAATGCGAATCGAGCTCTCCACGAGACGGAAAGATGAGAGCTCTTTGGAGGAAATGCGTGAAGAGTGAGGCGACGGGGCGGGTCCCTCAGGACAAGTGAGACGCTAGGAGGATGATAGATCCTAGCTCTGGCTGCTCCGTACTTTTAAAAGAGCTGTGCACCAATGAGTACCCAGGATTCAGCACGTTGACCGTCCACCTGGGACCAGACGGTTGCGGGGCGTTTCCTCAAGTTCCACCGTTCTAACTGGACCTTTTCCTGAGTATCGTTGAATTGAGCCTCGCGGAAGATTCCCGGTAGTGGAACTAGCCCAAGAGGGACATGAAAACCTGCTATATTCGCTGTAATCGAGTTAGCAATACTGCAGATGATTTTCTCAGCTAAGCCACACCAAGCACATACTGATCAAAATGAGAAAGCGCAATGCGGGCAGCTTAAGACAGGTAACGAGTGACTGGTAAACCACACTTAGAGTCAAGCGCAGACAAAGAAGCCGTCCGGTGCGACAGTTGGTCGCCCGACCGGAATTGGGCAATCAAACTCAGGAGACCCCTTGCTGACGATGATGATACGATTCCAATCTGGGCCTGTCACAGTCGGAGAAGCAGCATCGTGAAATTGGCCGTTCGTACCAATCCAGAGGAAGAAAGAGCAGCAAGTCAAAATAATTGACCGATGACGTCCAGTCATGGATGAGCTCTGCATCCCGTGGCCGATGACTCAGCGCCCGCCGTTACACCCGGTGGGTATTATTACCAGGTGACTTTCTGCTCGACAATCACCAGTTTCAAGTCATGATGATCAACAGACAGTCGGTGAGCCGGCAGGACTAGTCTGGGGATCCGAAATTTGTGTTATTATTAGGTTTATACGGGGGAACAAAACGTGTTTGAAGATAACCGGTAGGATGGAAGCTTCGAACCTCATATCTACTTCAAACGAAAAAAACGTGACAGATACATAAAGCTGTACCAGGAGCCAATGGCGCCACTGCCGGCGATCACTTCGCCAGTGCAGCATTTCCAGAATCGAGCACAATGTCTACCCAAATTGCAGCCCGTATTTGCGGCTGTGTATGCGGTTACGCAAATTTTCCTTCAGTACAAGGGGAGATATATCTCCCTGGGAGCATGACCGTCCCAAGAAAATAAGTTAGAACGAGTGACTGGAGTCAGGGTTACCCCGTGGCTAGGAAGGTTCTGGTCATTCTAATATCTGCCCATTGTACTAGGAAAGCTCAATTGGGCACGCATATCAACCCTGATATTGGTTCTCTTTTCGTTCATCTCTTGGGTACTATTCTAAATGAACATCGAGGTAATGCGACATTGACGTTGGGCTACCACTACGCCGCTTGAAGTTCCAACCCCTGCGTCGAAGCCATTGACCGATGCCTTCCTGTTCGCGAGCCAGATTGAATCCATGAAGTATTCCGACATGCGAGACTTTCACTGGTGTGGGGAATAGATAGCAAGTATGGCGGTGAATCCCCAAGACACCAAGGTGTTTATTAATAAGACTCAGCAGAGAGTTTCAGCTCGCATAGAGAAGCTTAGTATAATAGCTACATTAACGGGGAAATCATGAACAGTTGATCCTCGGCCAGATTGAACTTCATCTCAAGCTCCTCCAGTGATCTAGATGTTGACAAATCAGAGACGAGATAATTCGCTGACTTCCGCAGCCTGTTTGTTCCCCGCAATCGGACTCTTCGCCGGTTCGCCGCAACTCCGACCTGTGGACCACACATTAATCCCTTTCAATGAGCTTCATAGATAAATAGGACCTGCCCGGCGATTTTCTCGGTTGATTGATGTGCAACGAAGCAGTCCTTGTGTTCTGACCACCCCAACCATGGACCCCACCAACCCCGCCAAGTATATCGACTTCCCCGTCCTTCCTGACGACGCAAAACATGCCGATGGCAGTCCAGCATTGAACCGTCACTCTACACACATCACCCGCGGCCATGATTTCCCCGGTGCGAAGGTGCGTTCCAGGTCTTGAGTCTCCTGTAATCACCAATCTGACTGCTTCAAATCATAGGCCATGCTATACGCTGCCGGCGTTCCTGACAAGGAATCCATGGCTAAAAGTCCCCACGTTGGAATTGCATCAGTCTGGTGGGAGGGGAACCCCTGCAACATGCATCTAATGGACCTTGCTGCGACTGCGAAAAAAGCGATATCTGATCGGGGAATGATCGGATGGCAATACAACACCATTGGAGTTAGCGATGCGATCTCAATGGGCAGCGAAGGTATGTCTTGTGGTAGCCGGTGCAATAGTATAATGGACAATCAGTTCTGACTCTGACTCAGGTATGCGGTTTTCGCTTCAATCCCGTGAAATTATAGCCGACAGTGTCGAGACTGTTACCTGTGCTCAGTACCACGATGCCTGCATTGCTATCCCGGGCTGTGACAAGAACATGCCAGGTGTAGTAATGGGCATGGCTAGACACAACCGGCCATCTATAATGATCTACGGTGGGACGATACAGAAAGGTTATTCTGAGACGCTTCGTAAACATGTCAGCGTTTCCACGTGCTTCGAAGCCGCAGGCGCGTACGCATATGATACCCTGCGCCAACCAGATGATGGAGGCGATACCAGCAAAACAAAGGATGAGATCATGGATGACCTAGAAAAACATGCTTGTCCTAGCGCGGGTGCATGCGGAGGCATGTTCACCGCGAATACGATGGCCACTGCAATCGAATCTATGGGATTGTCCCTACCGGGATCGTCATCAACGCCTGCGTCGTCGCCGTCCAAGATGCGAGAATGCGTCAAGGCAGCCGACGCCATCAAAATCTGCCTCGAAAAGAATATCCGACCCCGCGACTTGCTCACCAAGAGATCGTTTGAGAACGCATTGGTAATAACCATGGCTCTAGGGGGGTCCACCAACGGAGTGCTGCATTTTCTCGGAATGGCGGGAACCGCTGGAGTTAACCTCACGTTGGATGATATCCAAAGAGTCAGTAACAAGATCCCCTTCATTGCAGACCTTTCTCCCAGCGGGCGGTACTACATGGCCGATCTATACGAGATTGGCGGAATTCCCTCTGTTCAGAAGCTCCTCATCGCAGCAGGCCTAATGGATGGTGATATCCCGACCATCACAGGCAAAACTCTGGCCGAAAACGTGGCCTCACATCCATCACTACCCCAAGACCAAGTTATAATCCGACCCCTAAGCAACCCCATCAAATCAACCGGACATCTCCAAATCCTAAAAGGTAACCTCGCCCCCGGTGGCGCTGTCGCCAAAATCACAGGAAAAGAGGGGACCAAATTCACCGGCAAAGCACGCGTCTTTAACAAAGAACACGAACTCAATGACGCCCTCACACAAGGCAAGATCCCGCGCGGCGAGAACCTCGTTCTCATCGTTCGCTATGAAGGACCCAAGGGTGGGCCGGGCATGCCCGAGCAACTCAAAGCCAGCGCGGCGCTCATGGGAGCGAAACTCACTAACATCGCACTCATCACTGACGGGCGATACTCCGGCGCCTCGCATGGCTTCATTGTTGGCCACATCGTGCCGGAGGCCGCGGTGGGAGGTCCAATTGCTGCTGTACAGGATGGGGATTTGGTCACCATCAATGCAGAGCGGAATGAACTCAGCATGGATGTTTCAGATGAGGAAATTCAGCGGCGATTGAAGGAGTGGAAGCCACCCGTGCCGAATGTTACTCGTGGTGTGCTGGCGAAGTATAGGCAGTTGGTTGGGGATGCTTCGTCTGGTGCTATGACGGATCTATTTTGATTGAATTGATGGCGAGTTAGTTTGGTTAGTTAGCTAGCGCCGTAACCATGCCTATCAATGGACCTGCGAATCCGCAGCAGATAGAGGTCTGCAAGCGGTTCATCCTATATCTGACAGAGACTTAGAATCGAGAAGCTTCATTAAATGAGTATATACAGAATGCACTCAATATTCCGAAGTCAGGCGGTACCGGCAGGCAGCATGCTCCGCCACACGGTTTACAGTGTTAGTGTTTGCTTTGTAACTTCCACATTTCATTCTCTCAGCAACTCCACTTCCACTGCTCTCCAGCCAGTCTCGTATATCTTCTAAAGATGTCTTTTATCTAAAACCATTTCAAGCTCTTATCTACATTGGGTCTTGGAACTACCAGTAGTGCCCTGAAGATGGCGAAAAGATCCGCCAACCCCTCTTCTGTCTCAAGCTCTGAAGCTTCAAACGCCAAAAAGCAAAGCCTGTTCCTTCACCTTCTCGCTCGCTACCAGCAAGCAGTGATTCTATTCATAAAGTTGATCCCAGTCCAGCTTGCCCTGGGACAGTGAAAGCTAGACCACCTGCAAATCTAGAAAGGCCCCCCTCTGACTCGGAAGCATTTGCAGCGTCTGCCAAATTAAGAGCGGACAAGAGTCTTTCTCACGAGGAGGCATTCCTTGAGTTATTAACGTGCTACGACTTACCACTTGCGACATTATCCAGAATATCAGGTAATAAGACCTACCCAATCCCGGATTACAAACACGTTTAGCTTACACTGTTGCAGCGCAGAAGTTGGAGGTGTCTTTCTCAAATATCACATACAAACCAGTTGCACCACATGTCTGGCTGGACCCTAGTGCTGCTGGGGCTGATATGTTAGAGCTTGAGGTCTTTTTTTCACATATCCTAATCGTCTTTTTCAAGAGATATTAGCCAACCTAAGTCTAGCTGAGAAGAGTACGGACCGATGTTGAGTCACGACAACGAAGAGGCACGCTCAAGGTTCCTCTTATTCGTCAGTAACGGCTCGCTTTTCAAGCTCTTTTGGTCAGGCCATACTAATATGAAGCAGTTGTTCAATAGGATAATCGGCCTCTTTGGTAGTGCCATTACCAATAAACCTGGAGGGTTGCTAGAGAGCAAATTCTCTAAAAGAGGCCGCATTAAGCATGACTTTATCTCTGTTGGGTCGATCAGTATTGTATTCCTTGAAGTAAAGAAAGAACTCAGTACTGGCAAAGCGCGCTTGGATGTCATAGGCCAAGTGCTAGCTAAAAGCGCTAGTGAGTTTCAGTACTATCGTAAGTTACTTCTACTCACATTTCAAGCCTACGATTTTCGTCAATCAGAAGGAGGGCGAACCTAAGGGTAAATCTAGGTTTCTCATTTCGGTGAAGAAAAGTAAGTAGCCTGCCCTGCGTCTTTTTCCATACCCTGACAATATGGAATGCGAATGGATAATGGCCAACTCCAATAGCTACCGAACTCCTGTTTGATTGGTTTCTTATAGCATATATTAACGGCTTCCGCTCACTCGCACATCTTTCTGCCCGTCGTTTTCAAATGAAAAAGCAGGATTCCACAAATCAGTGGACAAATACTCTCTCTTCTGCTGAAAACGCTCTCCGGCTTCCCAGACAGGCAGATAACTGTTCAGAGAAGCGGGACTGGAGAAAAGCCCAAACCACGGCAAACGATGGGGTAGAAATGCTGAAAAAAGGTTGGAAAGGCTTATAACCAAAGCTATTTTCTATAATCATATTAACCCCTAATGTTGACAGTGTCTTTGAATTGCCATCCACGACAACTGACCATGAAGAGCTCACCAATGGATGTGATTGGCCCGTATATATGGAAGAGAGTCTGATCAAAGAGTTCGAAAGTGGCTGGGATATGGCATTTAGATGAACCGAGGCTTGGAGACATCTTACAGCTTGATAATTGCCCTTAGAATTGCTCCCCCACTTTTAGAACTACTCAAGCATGCTCCTGGTTTCAATATCCGAGCGATATCGCTGTTTTACCACGAAACCATCTCACTGCTAGCCTAGAATCCATATAGGAAACATTGTCTCGTCTAAGTTCGTGGATAATTGCCAGTGCGGAACTAAGAACGCCAATTTCCAGTACACGCGGTTCTTATCCAGGTTCTCTGATTCAGTCATGTAATGTTCAGGAGGCAGCTGGCTCTCATTATTACCGAGATTATCATTCTTGCCTGGGTACTCACTGCCGAGCTTCGGGTTGCTATTGGAGTCACTGTTAAACTGTTATCTGAAAGATCTGGCCCATAGCAGAGCTAGCATCGGTTGTCTATAATACCCAACTGGTCAAAAGCAACACGTATAATTGCGATAAACACATTCATTTTTACGTGGTCAGAATTTTGCATAATTGATCTTCGTGGTCTATGTAACGCTTAGTAATAATGAATATCATCATAATCTTATGTCTCAGGCCAAAACACGCTTAGGGTACGGCTAGTCCCGAACAGGCTAAGCGAGTAAGCACCAACTCACAATCAGCCGACTGTATTGTGTGCGTGCAATTTTCGATTGACTTGACCGACTCAACGAGACGACGCCCAACCCTCCTAACCTCGCCTTCCAACTCTCCGTACGCCTTCACTCTCCGAGGTCAAATTCGTCAAAATGGGCGGAGTTACGGTTCGCGATGTCGACGTAAGTTGTCATTTACCTGTTCTTTTTGCATCTTTACCCTGGCAACGGAAGTGGCATCAAGAGGGGGAAACGCAGTCAATCGATTACGGATCAAGGCACGAACGGACACGGCAAGGATCGAATGGATACGATAGCCTAATTGAGGGATTCGGTGGTTTCTATCAGCCGGGGGCATTAAGAAAATTTTGAATTGCGGAATTCGACTTGATCTGCGACGACGACGACCCCGACGACAGCAATAATACCGATATGAATTAAAAAAAAAAAAAAAAAAAAAAGAGAGAGAGAGAGAGAGAAACCGAATTTGCACAGGAAACGACCGTTGCCAGGGAAAAGAGCGAGCGATTACAGATTCGTCGAAGGGCGAAAGATCTGAATGTATGCTGATTTGATTCGATATAGGCGCAAAAGTTCATCACAGCCTACGCTGCTTTCCTGAAGCGTCAGGGCAAGCTCCCTATCCCTGGTTCGTCATCCTCGCTCCGAAATTTCGAGAGAATCGGTCCGCTAACTGTGCTGCTTAGGTTGGGTTGACACTGTCAAGACCTCCGCCTCCAACGAACTCCCTCCCCAGGACGCCGACTGGTACTACGTCCGCGCTGCCGCCGTCGCCCGTCACATCTACCTCCGCAAGACCGTCGGTGTTGGCCGCCTGCGCAAGGTTCACGGTTCTACCAAGAACCGTGGTGCCCGCCCCGCCCACCACGTTGACGCCTCCGGCTCTGTCGAGCGCAGGGTCCTCCAGTCCCTTGAGAAGATCGGTGTTCTCGAGCAGGACGAGGACAAGGGTGGCCGCCGCATCACCCAGTCCGGCCAGCGTGATCTTGACCGAATTGCCAAGACCACCGTTGACGAGGAGGAGTCGGATGACGAGTAAATTAGTGTCGGATTCTAAGCTAATGAAAAAGTCCTGACGTTCTACCTTTTTTTCCTCTTCCTTTTTTACCTCCCACCTCTATATCCACGGAAGAATCATTTCGACTTGAGGAGACCAGGGTGAAATAAAACAAGGGCTGGCTCTACGGCACAAGGAACAGGCGAAACGGAGCGGGTTGATGCTACTGAGAGGAATGAACTGAGCTCTAAATTTCTTATGTTTCATATTCCCATGTTCAATTGGAGGGCAATAAAAACACCCTAACACCCTGATGTTGACGTCTCCTGCGTATCCGTCGCTTGCACCTTGGTGTCGAGAATAGATCATGCGTAACGATATGGCTCAGTCATTTTCAGTATCCGGTCCGTCCAGTAGTACTCGTAAACCCATCCATCACCTTTGCATCTTTGATATCAAGAGCGCGAGCGCGCTCTATTTCTTCCCTGATTGAGCCGAGGGATCCTATATAACACCTTGTCAGCTACTTCACATCACATGGGTACCAGAAAGAAGTAATAAAAGGCTGACCAGATAGACCTGATAAAACTTCATCTTCCCCTCCTCCCCAAACACCACCCTCCCCGCCCACGGAACCTCAACTTGACCCTCTGGGTTTGCCCGCAGAGTATACTTCACCGTCCCGTAGAGCATGAGCTCATCATCTCCACCGAAGAAGACCTTAGTCGGCGTGTGCTTGCGCGACGCAACATGCGTCCAGAGGCCGTGGCGGAGTGTGCGGATTTCTATATCATCAATCGTTTATTAGCGAACCTTTTACACCTTCGTTGTAGGATTGCGTACCATCAGAGCCCTTGGCAGACTTGGGGCCCATAATCAGTGTTGCATCTTTTGTAAAAGAGTCGACGTATGCGTCGTGCTGAGACTCGTCGTCGCTGATGCGGTAGAAGGATTCCAGGAAGGAGATCAGTTTGTTGGAGGTATTAGGGGAGAGCGCGGGGGAGGAGGCTATGTTGTAGGACATATCGGCGGTTTGGATTCAGAACTTCGTTGCTTACTTCTTTGATATGATAGCTGGTTGATTATTTCGCTTTCTTTTTTTTTTTTTTTTTTGAGCTCCAAATAAGAGTAGAAATAACAATGCTGTGATGTCAGGGTAGATGGTCTATGGAGAAAGGTGTCGGGCCGATGGTGGTCACTATCCGATCAATATCGGATGAGGCGGACAGCCTCTTGCGATGCCTTAGGCGCAGTCAGGGCGTTGAGGTAGCTGTTTATATTCACATTAGCTATTCAAAGTAAAATGATCTTTTTAATCATGGCCTGCGTGGAGTTGCAAGGCACCGATTCTAACAAACTGGCTACAATAAAGACGGCATCCTATAACATATATGTCCAGTTAAAGCTCGGAAAGGGCCGCTTGACTTTTAATTTTATTTAAACGGTCGAACGAATGCAAATATCTAGTAATTGATCTCATTGTCTGGCAGAGCATAGCAGGCGAAAAGAGTAACCTAGAAAACTGTTGGTTCCTGCACTGGCCAGATACAGCAGCGTCAAAGCGCTTTAGACTTGTGACAGCCATAGCATTATGTGAGAGCTGACCTCAAATGCTTTTATCCTGTGAATTTGTCAAGGAGGAGTTGGTGGTGGGGTGATTCAGTTTTCGGATGCGAGATTCTGGGGTTCGGAAAGAACGTATATACGTCGTTCTAAAGGCAGCGTTGGATACCTGACTTCGGGTTTCTGGTAGAAGAGACTTATGTATTATTCTATGAGTTGTTTCTGAGATATGAATAGATGAATGGTACTCAATGCATTCGTTACACCTAGTGTCGACCGGTTGAAAGTCAAACATCCGCCTCGGCATCAACCATATCTATTACCCGGTGAAGCCTAATTCATTATTTCCCATTATAAACAATAGACAAGATATATGCTATCCTGGTAAGGGTAACGGTTCAATTCAGTATCTGAATCCGAGGGAAGTAACACGAAAGGTGCATAGTGCAGGCTCTACATGCATAATAATTGCCTTCTCCAGGAGTTGGGGTTAGGCTCCCCGGTAGTCGTCGTCCAGAACAGAGAGTTGCTAGATAAGGCAATGGCAACCGAGGGGGAGCACTCAACAATGTATTCAATACGAGCTTGCTGTTGGTTTGGCAGCTCAGCGTTACGCGAATGTGGTCAATCCTCAGTGGAAGAGACAGCTGCTGCTTTGGCGCCTATTATAAGGGCAAGGATAGAAAGCACTCCACGGCCAAGGCCTCGGTCGTGCAGTGAGCTCTTACCCCTCCTTCCCTTTGTTGATCTCTGCTGATGGACAGCAAAGCATAAGTTAGTATCCATTGGTCAGAAAAGTATCGAGGTACCGGGATGATCACCGGCTCTAGACTCACAGCCGGGAAGGCCGGCAGCTTACGGGCAGATACTGCGAAGACCTGCCCCCAGCAAGTTTGTATTGGAAAGTTGGTCCGAACTGTAAGCAGGTCGCGAGGAGCGACAACATCAAGGCCCGTCGGCTGTCAATGCTGGCTGCCCCGCCCCCACGCAGAAGTGAGGCTTGAGCACGCTTCCAAAGTTCCAAGGCTTCGGCGGCAGCAAGATAAAAAGGGACGAGCACAAGAAAGCGCCAATGAAAGCGGCAGCGTCATCGGAGCCTGTTCAAGAGGTTGGAGGGGCTATAATGCGCAGCCTTGGAGGTCCCGAGTTTACCCCGCCTCAAGACCGCAGGCTGACCGGGTCCGTTCTCGGGGGGATCAGTGGGTAAGCAGCAGTATCCTGCAGCAAGAGTTTCGTGGTAGCAATGAACTAGTAAGTCCTCGGAGAGATGGAAGAGGACGGAATGCGCAGGGAATCAGCAGTGCATGATTGGTCTGGGCCGGAATTGGAGCCCGGTGTGAAGTCGATACTCGATAATTCGATAATTCGATATACATTGGGGGAAAGTCCACAGGCGGACTTGCCCTAGCATCCACGTCATATTTGCATTGGGTGTGAAGGCTGAAGAGTAGCAGCAAGGGAAGAGCTGGGTGGGAGTGAAGACACGTGCGGGTGCTGCTGTTGCGGGATTGCATACCAAAGATCGCGTCCACCTTTCAGCCCACTTCCAGGCTTCCAGGCTTCAGGGCACGCCCACGAGCCCACGGGCCCAACGCGCTAACTCTGATATGTTCGTCATTGTGTCTGCAGCCCGGAACCAAGTGGGACATCTGGGACGATATTGTGGCTATTGCTCTGCGACGACATCATCTGGGCCTGGTTTTGACCTGGAAGTGGACGGGCCTCTGCACCAATACTCTGGAGCGCTGCATCAGTGTGCCTCGTCTGAGCGCGCATACAGAGCACCAGTTCCGTCTCCGGAGCAGTCGCGGTTCAGCGAGATACAACCAGATACAACGAGATACGGGGTCTGTGACAGAGCGCGGAGTTTATCGGGTTGTCTTTAAAGAGCGCTGGCCAATCGACTGGCCCACGCGCTGGCATAATTATCCCCCATTTCTGGCCCAGATTGCTGATAAGGCAACTAAAAATAATCCCTCAGGCAAATAATCTAATAACTAATAAACCCAATCCGTGTAATTAATCCAGCTGACGGCGGCCGCATTCCAGCGATCTTGACGATGATTGTCTGCCCGCAGTGCCTGCAACCGTGAGCGACCAGTCACCAGCTGCTCCTTGCCTCCTCCTTCCCCTTCCCCTCCTCTCTCTTCCTTCTCTTTTCCTTCGACCCAGCTCTTTTAATAGACAACTACTTCCAGTCCACATCTCGCTGTTCGCTGTTCGCTGTTCTACGATCATCAACGTCGAGACTCCGTCGCGTCCCTTATCTCTCGCACCCTAGCGCGTCGCATCGCATCGCATCTGCCCTAAGGTACTCAGATATACTTGCTCCGGGTGCTTTCTGCGTCTGCAAGCCTCAGCCCACCGCCATCTATCACATCTCGTGCGCTGTAAGTTTCCACTTGCTTCTTCTAGAACCCAATTTCCTGTTCTCCCATCCCTTGTTTGCTGTCTTCGCCCCCTACCAGTCAGCCTTAGTCATCTTTCTTCATTCGGCCAGTCGCCTCTGACTCATGTGATACCGCAGTTGTTTGAGCCACCAGCAGTCCAACAAAGGCTTCCTTCTTTTTCCTCTCAACATCACTCCATAATGGCTACTCAGACTCCCACTTCCAGCATCGCTATGGCCCTTGCCGGCAAGACGGCCTCTGTTGATATCCCTAAACCGCGATCCGGTCACCTTTCCGCTGCCCACGCCTCTCGCGCCGGACGCTCTAGCCTGCTCCCTACTCCTCCAAACTCCATCTCCCCTAACCTTGCCCCGCATGGATTCGGTGCTCGCGACGCCAGTCTTCTCCTGTCACCTCCCCTCGCCGCATCGCACGTCGACTCAGATATCGACCTTGGCGACGCCGCTGACCATGCGGACCATCATCAAAACAACGCGACTGGTCCCAGTCTTGAGGCCGCTGGGGCAATCACTCCAGGCATGCTAGCCAGGTATCATCTCCCTGAGATCTTGCTGCAACATGGCCCCTTGGCTATCCGCCATGTGATGGGCTACTTGACAACATCTGTCCCTGGTTTCTCGGGGATCCCCCCTGCGAAAGCTAGGAGATTGGTCGTTGCTGCCCTTGAAGGTCGGGGGAACGACGACAAAGGCAACGCGTCGTCGCGCGATGTCGTTTACGAGAAGGTTGGATGGGGCCGCTGGGATGCGCGGCGTCGCGGTGACCCGTCGCGCGACTCTCAGAGACACGAAATGTCGCCTCCCTCCAGCCTCTCCGATACATTCCAACGGAGTATGGTGATTCCTAGACGGGATAGCTTGCAGCCATATGGTTCGAGCGTGGCCGGTGAATCGGCTGTGTTCTCGTTTACCGAAACAGGATTCGGTGGACGCGAAGATATGCTCGAGCACGAAGCGGACAAAATGTCTCTAGATGGCATCGACCGCGACTACTGCTCTTCCTCCCCTGCTCCAGACGACGAAATTCAAGATGAAGACTGGGGCGAGGAAGATGTTACAGACGAGGAGGACTGGGCGCAGATAGGCGCAGCTGAGTTGCGCGCGCGCTCCATGAATGGAGGAGGTGGATTCGTGAACGGAAGACACCCGCCACCACTCCACGGCGGGGGACCCGCATCGTCTTCGCTCGCAAAATCGGCACCACGCGGTGTTCCCATTCAGCAGCTAGGCTTCTCTGTTCCCAACAGCCAGGAACGGGCTGCAGTCGAAGCTCTTTTGCGTCTTGGGTCTATGTAATACCAATTATCATTGGCGGCGTTTCGGAAGCAGGTTTATTCACTTCACCTGCGTCATTTTTAACCCCCTTTTTTTTTCTATTCACGGCTGGGCCTTTGTTCGACACATATATTTATGATTACACGACACTTAATAATCCAAAGACTGCCCCAGGCCGCCGAAAACAACTTCTGCTCGGCAGGCTCGAGGCTCTGGAAGCATTTGCATTGGGATTAGGAACTTGATTTGGTTGGAAATTCGGCGTTCGTCTTTTTCTTTTTTTTTTTTTAAAACATAACATGGATGTCCTCCCTTGGTTTCGTTTGTGACAAACAATGGCCCCTAGCGCAGGACAAGCTGAGGTCACCATTCCTTCTATATGAAACCGGGCATGCAGTAACCCCGGCTTTGGCTTATAATTATACTGCCTCATCACCACTCTGCCCTTTCCCTATTCTGTTGGGTTGGGTTTTTCCTTCGATGTTGTCTCGTGATTTTTGACAGGGTCAGAAATTACTATAGAGACTGCCGACTTCAACATATCGGATTACTAAATAGAGATTCTCAAACAAGCTATACATTTGATTCATATCATCACCAAGAGCTATTCCAGAGATATAATACATGTAAAAATACACCCTAATCTAGCAATACAAACGCCGTCCAATTCCAAACCCTTTCGTCCCACCTCCAATTCTAAACCCAACCTAGTATTTTTTTTATATGCGAAACACGAAAGCGCAATCCAATCCAAACAACCAATCCCATCAACCTGACATGGCCGTGAACCAAACCAAAGCGTAGGGCAATCATTTATCATGCGCCTCATTAATCCTCCTCCAAACTTCCGCCTCCACCTCCGCAAGCTTATTCCCCGCGCTCTGTAACCACGACTTAGTGCTCCCCCACAGTCCAGACTCAGAGTCTGGGTCTGCACCCATACCCGAACCTGTGCCGGACGTGTTATGCAGCGGGAGAGTCGTCGACCCCGCAACAGGCGGTGTATATACAGACCCGTAAGGGGTTGTCGTCGAGTTCGGATACTGTGGGTGTTGTGGCTGCGCTTGGACCTGTGTTGGGTTTGGCGAGTAGCTATAGCTGGACGGGTAGCTATAGCCCGAGCCTGGCTGGTAGCTGTAAGAGCTCGCCGTGCGAGGCGTTGGAGCCGGATTCGGGTTTATGTTGCCGGTGGTGTTTGCGGGACCTTGTGTCGCAGCACTAGTAGGAGCTGGGGGGTAGGTAGGCGCCGCGGTTATGGCTGGGGGGTTTGTCGAAGACGGCGGGGGTTGTTTTGGGTGTAGAGATTGGGTTGGTTCCGGTGCGGGCGTAGGCGCGATGCCGGACTTTGGTGCAGGCGCTGGAGGGGGTGGGTGAGCTTCAGGTTGAGCTTCGTCTTGCTGCTGGCGGTTCATTTCAGGAGCGGTTTCTTCTGCGGTAGCTGGGACAGGAACGGCTCCTGGCTGGGGAGGTGGTGGCGATGTAGACGATGTGGAAGGTGGAGGAGGAGCGGTGGTGGTGGGTGCTGGATCTCCTGGGAGGTTTCCTGGTGTAGGGAGAGTTGTCATGTCGCTGGATTGAGCTGTCGCGTAGATTGGAGAAAAGGAGGGAGCCGTCGCGGTTGATGCTGAGGTAGCGCTAGTAGGAGCAGCTGAGGGCAGGGCCTGAGGGATATCCATCTCGTCTGTATTTGACGAAACGGGGTTGGGGTTGTTATTTTCGGTAGCCATGATAGCTAGCTTTCTCAATAATTGATCTCAAGGCGCAGTCTAGAACCTAGATCAATCAAGGGATCACACAAAAGACACGACGTCATGGAACACGTGATAAAAAGAAAAACACGTGTTCCTTTACAACTACTAGCAAAGATCACTACGGAGCTGCGAGAAGAATTTACAAGGGAGAGAAGTCGAATCTAACAAAAAAAATACAGTTGGCGAAAAGGAAAAAGCTTGCAGGCAGTAAAGTACAACTGGTACAAGAGAAAATGTCACACTTTGTATGCTCAAGACCATACCACTCTTGAAGCATATCTCTAATAGATCCCCTTCACCATCGTCCGCTACCTGGCTTTTACTCCAGGCAGCGGCCAACCCCTTCCCCAAAAGACTTACACCAACTGAACAGATGTCACTGTGGGCGAGACATCTATTTGAACTTCTTGCCGAAGAGGATGAGCTGGACCTGGTCGTAGATGGACAGGACACCAGCACCAGCGACACCACGGAGGATGTTAGCACCAGCACCCTTGAAGAGGGACTTGGTACCCTCACGGGCAACAATCTGGCGGAAAGCGTCGAAGGAGGAGTTGTACTTGACGGCCTCACCGGAGGTCATCATCATACGACGACGGACGGTGTCAAGAGGGTAAGAAGCGATACCAGCACCAGTGGTGACAGTCCAGCCGAGGAGGAAGGAAGCGAGGAAAGAGCCCTCAAGAGGACCAACCAGGACAACAGGCTTGATAGAGTCGTACATACCGAAGTACAGACCACGGTAGACGACGATACCAAGAACAGAGGGACCGAAACCACGGTAGAGACCGGCAATACCATCGGAAGCGAGGGTCTTCTTGTAGACGTCAACGAGACCGTTGAACTGACGTTCACCACCACCCTTGGCGGACTTGGCGTCGTTAGCAAGACGGGTACGGGCGTAATCAAGAGAGTAGACGAAGAGAAGAGAAGTGGCACCAGCAGCCTATAGTAGTATTAGCGATGCGTGACCAAAAGGTAAGGGTTATTTCTTCAAGGAAATACATACACCACCGGAGGCAAGGTTACCAGCCATCCACTTGGCGTAGCCATCACGCTCCTTCTTGTAGGCGAACATCGACTTGTAGGTGTCACGGAAGGCGAAGTTCAGAGCCTGGGTAGGGAAGTAACGGATGACGTTGGCAGTGTTACCTCTCCAGAGAGAGACAACACCCTCGGAGGCAGCGGTACGACGGAAGCAGTCGGCGATACCGTTGTACTTGCGGTCGAGACGACCAGCGCGAAGCATCTCATCCTAAATTGGGATGAATGTTAGCTCCGTGTATTTCGGAATTGGTCCGGCCAGATCGGAAAAATTCTTCAATCCCTGCGATGCTACCGCGGTCGCAGAAGTTGCAAGTTGAATGATTTCGCCGGCCATGGCTCGTCCGAGTTAGAGTTGAGGTTACCAACCTGGTTCTGGATGAGGAGCTTGATACGCTCGATGGGGGCAGCAGCAGTCTTGGAGACAGCAGCGGAAACACCACCCACTGGGTATACAAGTTAGCATTTCATCAGAAAAAACAAGGCGCATCAAATCTAGCCCAATGCCATTGATTGGAACGAATTGATGGATTTATCAATGCGATTCAGTCAATGCGATGGCTGGAGATGGGTCACATACTCAGGAAGTCGACGACGAATCCCTGCAGTGAAAAATTTTATTAGCCAAGTTTTCAAGGACAATGAGCTCAACCACAACCAAATTCATCAAACATCGTTCATTGAATGATCGGACAACACTCTCGGAGTGATTTTGATACATTTCGAGTCGGTCCGAGTGAACGCGTGTTCAGATGCTCTGGTCGGGAACAGGGGTGGTTCAGGAAGACCTACGGGCATGCCGAGAACGCTCTTATCACTCTGGCTGGCCATGGTGACGGCTGTAAAGAGTGATACCTCTTAGAAAAGGGAAGAGAGGAGATGGGATAGGATGAAGTGTCGAAAAGAACAGGACACTGTCAAAAGGGGATGGAGAAAAAGAAGGAGAAAGGAAGGGAGAGGAAGAAAAAATAGCGAGGGAAGGCTCTTGTAAGCGGGAAGAGGCGAGTGGAGCCGCTAGGACGCTCTGGGAAGCCTTGGTGCTGGGAGAAAAGTGGAACAACACTTGGCCCGGACTCCGGCTGGCCACCACAACCTGTAAAAAACTGCATTTTGGGGGGAAAGTTCTGTTTTGCTTGGATCCGGCGCTAGTGCTGGCCCAGAAACCAAGCCGACATCTCCCGACTGCGCCAGATTCCGTCCCGACCTGTTGGCCGAGGATCACTCGCGATGGAATGGATGTCTACGATCTTAAATTCCTGACAAATAATAACGAATATATAATTGGAATTTGTGTCTCTGTCTCTATACCTGGCTCTCAAGCAGAAATTCAACCCAATTGTTGGCTCGACCAGGGTCCGTCCATGAGACCCGTTGTCGTCCCGTACTCCGGAGAGCCTCTACACATGGAGAAACCTGTTCCTCTTTCCGAGTATCCGATGCCAACCAGGCCTAGGCTCCATTTAGGCTTGCAATCACATTGATAGGGGAAATAATGTGAAGAATTTTCACCTCGAGATTGCGGCAAAAGTAACATCGGGAAAAATCCCTCACTTGTCGAAAACGGCCTCCATTTCACCGAGCCATAATATTAGAACAGGAGATGGAGTATTTCTTCACTGCAGGTGGTCATGTGCCATCCCTTTCTTGTACTCCTCAATACTTCAAAGGCCGACTATTACTTGGTCATCGAGTATCGATATGTAAAAATCAGTAATAGCGGATGCCCTTACATTGAGGGGGTTTGCGAGGATTCTCCCGTATTGTTCAATGGCGTAGTTGTGATGGATGGTTTTTTTTTATATATATTGATGCGCAGTACGGTATTGCGATCCGAGGCCTCCGGATCGCCATCATTACCTGTGACAATAATAATATTATTGAAACCTCTGCCACTTTTTTATTCGTTTTTTTAGCAGTGCCCGGACTTCGGCTCCAAAGTCTCCAACTGACCCTTTGACACCATCGCATCTAGAAATGGCGGATAGACCCACAAAACCTGGGGGCGTTGCTTGCCGCGGCAAATCGAACTCCCTCCGAGGGGGTATAGCTTCAACACAAGAATATATTTTATACAATTGAACTTTACGCTGATAGCGTGCACGACGCCAAGACTGTGCTTGGATATAACGGCCAGAGTGAGTTGCTGTTGATAAATTTAACTATTTCTTAGCAAGCCTCGTTAATGATATATATAGACAGTAGGCTCTGGATATCAAACGACTTAAATAAGCCTAAAAAATCATGAGAGTGTAGAATTAGTGCTTCTTCGATCTCTTTCTCTTCTTCCGCGGACCCCCTTCTCGGATATCGACCTTCTCTGTAGCATCGCCGGCTTGCTTTGAAGCGGGGGCCTTGTCGTTATCAAACACAAACTCCCTTGGTCCCTCCTCATTGCCAAATGTGTCCTTGCGCCATTGCCGTAGCCGGGCTTTCTTGCCCAACCTTTTCTGATCCCGCTGCTTCTTCTCCTCCTCACGGAATGCGGCATACTTCTTCAACCCAGCGAATTGATTGAGATGTGCGTCGTCAGCCATAAGAATATCAAGCGCAGACAATCCAAAGGTCTGGGGCGATGTTTCACGGTAGCGGAATCCAGAATCATTACGCCTCGCAGAGTTAGGGAGAAGGGAAAGGTCGAGATCCAGATTGCGATCCACCGCTTCTTCGATGCGAAGTTTGTCTTTGCGGGCCTCGCGTTTTTGGTCACGTCTCTCCTGGGCCTTGCTCTTCTTCTTCCCACCCTCGCCGTCGTCATCATCCATTTCAACGTCGGATAGCTCAGCCGTGGGTTTGTCGTCGTCCTCAAAGTCAGGCACTAGGTCGTTGATGTCAATATCGTCATCCCATGTGGGCTTCTTCGGTCGTTTCTTCTCGTCACCAGCCTCATCCTCTGCGTAATAATTGTCACCGAACTGCTTCTGCATTTCCTCCTCCCAGTTTTTGTCGTCCCAAGAGTCATCCAGGAATTTGACCCAGTCCTCATCAGTGAGCTCAGATGCTCGGAAACCGGCAACTTCTTTGATCTTGTTGACCTTTTCTTGAAGTTCCGCCATTTTCAATTTGCGTAGTCGGTTCTTCTCTGATTCGCGCTGTTTCTTCTCCTCCTCTTTCTTCAATCGAGCTTCTTCCCTGAGCTTCTTTCTGCCGCTTTTTTCCTCTCTGCGGACAGACTGCTTATTGGTTGTGTCACGAGCGTGGGTAACCAGCTGGTTGTTAAGTTTACTGGGATCTTCAAATCTGAAATTGTATGCTTCTTCCCAGGCTTCTGCCCGCTCATCTTCCTCTTCATCATCGGACTCGAATGGCTGGAGCCCGGATTTCCCATTCTGCAACCAAGCCCTAGATGACATGAAATTGGAAAGGAATGTTTCAGGGTCTTGACCCGCATTTTCAACATCCAACTCAGGAGCCTTCTCACCCTTTGGGACAGGTTCGGGTGCTGATTTGCGAATAAGGAAGCCTTCGTTTTCATCGTCCTCCTCGTCGGATCCAGTCTCCTCACCCGCGGCGTGCATTTCCTTGACAATAGTACTCTTCAAGTCTTCTTGTTCCTGCGCATAAGTCTTCGGAGCATCCCCCGCGTCCTCGTCAAGATTGGCACCGCTCAGTAAGTTCTTTTTGTGGTAATCTCTGAGGGTCATGGGTTTCTGCTTGTCCTCCCGATTTCGCGGGCCCGCGTTTTCATTATCGAGAGATTGATAAAAGGTGACATTTTGGTCATATACCCGAGGGTCCTTTGACCGAATAGCCTGGATAGTTTCCATAATCTCTGCATCAACAGCCTCAGTAGCCAGCTCTGCGTCGTCGTCTTCATCTTCGTCTTCCGAAGAGGATTCCTCATCCTCGGACTTCCCTAGTTTGGCCTCGACTATAAGAATAGTTAGCATCCAAGCAAAAAAAAATACAAAAAAAAAGCCAATGACCTAGCATCTTCCGGTAACATACGCTGCTGCCTCTCCTCTCTTCTCTTATTGTGTTCAAAGCGGCGTGCATAATCTTCGTTGATCTTGAATGCATCTCCCGTCGACGAGCCGCCGAGGGGAACACCTCCGGAATCATCCTCAGAATCACTAGACGATTCCTCCTCAAGCAACTTGCGCGACTTTTTGGCAGGCGGCTCCATGTTTTATGTTCTTGCAATTGTTGTGTCTGTCTTGCAGGAAAGAAATAATTGACCAGCTGCCGGCAGAAAAAAAAATGGGTGGCCCCTCACCGCCTGTTAGAAAATCCGCCTTATATGCCTGAAATATTAGGCACCGACGGCCTGGCCACTGGCCAGGTCACTGACGTCGGAGCCAATAATAATGATGGGACCCGCACGCCAACAGCTCTACCTCAGAACAGGCGGCGGCTTTGGTTCTCAGCACTGCTTCCTGCTGACCCTCCTCGTGCTTATTTATGATAATCACTGCATGTTTACGACACCTTTCTTGAGTATCTAAATTATATTCCCAATTTGTGCTGTCTCTTTACTCGCGTCAAGTGTATGGCTGGTGACATGCACTAGATGTCGACCCAGCAGCCGCAGACGCCGTTACCCCAGGTCGGGAAGCTCGTCAGTGTGGTGTAAGTCGGCCAGAGATTTATGACCCCTGGTCCTTGCGCAATGCATTCTATTCAGACGGCTTTAGAGTTTATCTGACATCGCTGAACTATACAGACCAGTCGGGCTAAAAGAAGCTGCTCTCGACTCGCCCACTTTCCGTGCCACCACTCTTCACTTCTCCGACCAGATCGAATATCTCGAACGATGGCTCGACGGTTACGCAAAAGCTGCATCACGGCTCGCGACGGAGCTTTCGGCTCTGGAGGGTATAGTGGGCACGTTCCTCTCCTATTCCACGAACCCTCTCTCGGTTTCGGAAGCTACCCTGGATCATGATTATACTATGCTCTCAATGCGGAGAAGCGGTGAGAGCTCGAAGGACATGTGGAATGGCTTGGTTATGGCAGCCCGGAAGATAGAGACTCTAGTTTCAGAGCCAATTAGAGTGTTCATCCAGGAAGACTTGCGGAGTTTCAAGGTGAATGGACCAACATTCTCGACACTGTTCGACGGTAGCTAATTCAATATAAGGAGAACCGCCGCATCCTCGATCATGCACAGAAACAATACGACACGTTGCAAGCGAGATACGCTTCCCAATCGAAATCTAAAGAACCCTCGTCACTGAGGGAAGATGCATTCCAGCTCCACGAGGCTCGCAAGGCCTACCTCAAGGCGTCGATGGACTTTTCTGTTCAAGCGCCGCAGATACGAAATTCACTAGACCGGCTGCTAATCCGTGTTTCTTTCGATCAATGGAGGGAGCTGAAGACCCTTCACCACAACCATGGAGCGGCATTTGCGAAATGGGGCCAAGAAATGGACCGTATCAAAGGTTGGCTACATGAGATGGAGGGCAGTGAGAGGTTCTCGAAACGGGAGCTTTTCTCTGCGAGAAGCCAGATCGAGGAAGCTGCGGAGTCCGCTGTTCGGCCATCGCGTGAATTGGAGGACTACTCTATATCCACCGTCCCGTATCTTGGGTCGCGCCCAATGTCATTCGACACAAAAGATGCCCGTCCCGAAAAACAAGGATGGGTGAATTTGCGTGTTCTTTCACACAAGCCTACTCGTGCTTCCTGGGTTAGACGTTGGGCCTTTTTAAAGAATGGCATCTTTGGTTGTTTGGTACAGGGTATACGAACCGGAGGTGTCGAAGAGACCGAGAGAATCGGTGTCCTTCTTTGCAGCATTCGGCCAGCTTTCCAAGAAGAGCGGAGGTTCTGCTTCGAGGTTAAGACGAAGAGCAACAATATAATGCTTCAGGCAGAGACGCAAAAGGAGCTCATGGACTGGATTGCAGCCTTTGAAGCCGCTAAGAGGAAGGCATTGGAGAATCCGGCTAGCACTGACCTCTCAATTTCTGGAAAGGGAACCGTTCAGGATCCTGCCTTTGCCATATCTCAGCCACCTGCTCCAGAGTTCGCAGCCGATCCTGCTGATTACTTGACGTCGAGCGTAAGCGATGAACAGATTTCGTCGGACCGCAGTGGCATGCTTCCGCTTCCCGAACGTGATCCGTCAGCCTTCCGGAATAGTAGCGATCTTAGTGGACACAGACGGTTGACGCTGGACCCCGAGGGCCCTGCGAAGGATCATACTTCGCGGCTTATCCAAAAGCTTGACCTCCATCGACGAGGCAACAACACGGTGCAGCCCTCTAGCTCCATACCAGGAGCTGGTGGTGGCATAGCTAGCCTTATTTCTGCCAGTTATAGCGCTATCTCATCAACCGACATTGATGCAAACAAGCTACTTCCACCGTCTACACTTACACCCGCAACGTTGGCAAACCCACCGGCCCCAACAAGTCTAAGCAAAGCAGCTGTACTCGTGAGCAACGAAAGGGGTATAGGAGTTGGCCTCGCCGACAAAACAGGTGGCATGCCAAGCGGCATGATGGCAAATCTATGGGGTAGCTCAAATTGGAGCTTCATGAATAGGTTGGAGCTTGAGTACAAGGGACTTACTGAGGAGAAGGCCCCGAGCCGGGACCCAGAGACTACATCATTGGATACAACGAGTGGCTCTACTGATGACAAACGGAAGTCACGCCATAGACCAACGGTGAGCTTGGATGGTGATACGTCAAAAATTCAGCGAGCAATCTTGGGAGAGTCGCATGAGTATCCAGACTATTATCCTCCCCAGCTGAAAATTCAAGATGCGCAGTTTCGACTCCTTTTTCCTAACGTCAGAAAGGAGGAGCCTTTGGTCTTGGTATTCCGAGCCACGTGGAACCCTAACGACCAGCAAGAGTTTCCTGGAAGAGCTTATGTTACTACTCGAAGCATTTACTTCTATAGTCACTACTTTGGCTTGGTACTTACCACGAGCGTCTCTTTGGAGAAGATCAAGGAAGTCACGGCGGCACCTGGGCGGGATTGTGATTTCCTGTTCCTTCACACTATCCCACCACCCGGGAATGATACTCCTGGTCGAATCACGGTGAAGACTTTCCTTGAACCGCTGAAAGTTCTCCAGAAGCGGTTAAATTTCCTCATTCATGATTCCACGGCTGTTGAGCCCCTGGAGCTGGAAGCCATTTTCAAGTCGCTCAATAAGATGGCTACAGATCAGATCACTCGGACCCCTAGTTTAGACAGCTGGGAAGACGTGGCCGCGGGAGATAAAGTGGATGAACCTGAAGAGCAGCCAAAGTCTCATTTCCGTGCACCCATTTATATCGACAAGAACTTGGATTTGAATCGTTCTAGAGCTTCCAGTGACGCGCCGAAATTCAGGCTTCCAACCCAACCCGTGCAGTATGTACCCCAGGGGAACCTACACCTCGCAGCAGAAAAGGTCTTTGATCTTAGTACGAAGGCTGTTTTCCATATCCTATTTGGTGATAAGAGTGCCGTCTGGCAACTTCTCCTGTACCAGAGGAGAGCTCGAAGTAAGCTACACCCTTTTCCACCTATTAATGTATTCTAACAAAACTTCAGATATCCGACAAGGCCCCTGGGTCAGAGATGACTCTCGCCACTTAAAACGGGATTTTGAGTATCAGATAGAAACGGCCGACATATTCGGTGAGTACATGGTCTGCCTCTAGCGGATTACTCCGCTAACCCGCAGTAGGTCGAACAAACACAAAGGAAATATCTGATTACCAGTTAATCGACGTCCTCAATGACCACCTCTGCTATGTTGTCACGGACAAAAGAACCCCGTGGCATCTCCCTTTTAGACGAAATTTCAGACTGGTCAACAAGATCGTGATCACTTTCGTTACTAAAGGGAGGTGTAAGCTATCCATTTACACAAAGGTGGAATGGATATGGTCTCCTTATGGCCTTAAGCGTAAGTTTCCAGCTGGTAACCCAATAACTCACCAATGCTAAAAATCGGGTACAGGTATGATTGACAAACAGGCCATGGGCGACTTGGAGGAAGATGCTATGGACCTCGTTGATCTAGTCGGGGACCAGGTGCGCAAGCTTGGTGTACACAGTAGGACTAAGAAAGCCATCACGATTTTTGGCCATGTTGGACGACAGAGCCTTGCATCGCAGTTCAATCTTGAACCGGAAGCAAAAGTGGAACGCCGCAGACCGCGCGTTCAGAGAACATTATTCCAGATGCTTCACGAGACTTTTGTCTCATTCCTCCAGAGCGCTGTTTCGTCAATAATTATCTGGATCTTCGCCCTCCTACGCTGGACCTTTAAGACTGCAAATGCCAACAAGGTCATACTCGCGCTGCTTGGCTCTAGTATCTTGTTGAATGGCTTTTATTCATCGCGAGCTACTCTCGACTGGTGGCAAGAACGAAATGTTGGGGAATTCATGGCTCGTATCGGGATTCACCCCGACCATGTTATGAGCAAAGCTATATACATGCGAGACATCGACGAGGAAATCGCCAACTCGACTGTGGGACAAAGCAGTGACAATGTGAGTGATTGCTTCTATACGTTCCAGCAACAGACGATACGAGATTCCGCAGCTCCGCTATCGCTGGGCACATCCAGCCGGAAGGAGGCGGTAGCCCGGGGCGCAAGCAGAAGAATCCAGAAAACTCGTGAAAGGCTCGGTGTGTATCGATACAACCTCCTCGTTGCCCTCCGTGTTGTCAACAGCATCGAGAAAGAAGTCCTCCAGAGCGAATGGGAGCGCTGGCTCCAGCAAGAGGTGCGGCGTTGTCGACAGGTTGAAGGCCTGCTTGTGAACGACGCTGATGATAAGAGCGGCACAGAAGGAGGCCAGACTGTGTTAGCAGGGCTTAACGGCGACGTCAAGCAGTGGTATGAAACGTATTGCTCTAGTTGCAAGACGGAGCAGGAGCAATTTGCCACGGACGGCCAGCATGATCGCCCGAAGGAACCGTTTCTGTAAAGGCTCGTTATGATACCCAGTTATATAATGTTTGTCGAATATACGGAAGGGAACATGGAAAGGACACTCGAATGTCTGCGCCCATGGCCCCACGAGTGTATAAGGTATATAGCAATGCAAGATATCGAACCAGCTCAATAACCGCCCTTGCGAAGCCTTAATTTTGCCTTGGCTTGACAGCCCCCTCCTGGATGATATAATAAACAACAGTCCCCTCACCTCCCATTCCCTTATCAATCACAGCCAAAAGAAGCCTTTTTGAACCCCACTCCCCAGTGCGACGAGCCTTGGCCCGATACTCGTAGTACTCCGCCAACTGCGCAGCTTTGCCTGCATCTGCGCCGTCAGCCACTGCATCCGAGGACTGTTCTTCTGCCTCTGCCTTGGCCTCTTCATCTACTTCGTCATCAGAAGGATCAGGTAATGCATTGAACACCGCAGCCATCTTTTCCAAACTCCATGATTGGCCCTGGACGGTTGGGATGACAAACATGCGATCTAGCTCTACATCATCTTCGCGCAAACCGCGCTCGACCATGTATAACTGTTCATCAGGATGAGTGTAGACGCGGTGCGGTGGAATACCAGATATCAGGGAAATCGGGACTTTCGTCGGCAAGTCGTGGATCTTGAGTGAGGTCCAGAGGTGTTGGTGTTGCAGGTTGTGGAGGACTTGATGGGTGGTTGCAGCGAGGGGGTTGTCGGTAGCGGAGATGAGCGTGGTGAGCGCGGAGGGTTCGGGGATCCGAGGCGAAGGTGCTGTTTTTGTCATTTTGATTGTTTTAAGGGTTTGCGACAGGAATGCAGCTAATTCGCTACTGTTGAGGCTTGGGGAATTGGCTGTACAGCGACTGCGGGCGGTGGGAGAAAAAAGTTGGGCCCCGGAGATTAGCGGAGTTTGGGTCTGAGAACATGTGGCTTCAGCGGTTTCCATACTGGCTTGCTTCACTCGGGGCTGTCTCACAATCACTCTTCTCCATCACTTCTGGACAGATCTCCTCGAGTGCGAATTTTATATATTGATCAATAATGGTCTTGTATTGCGTTTAATTTGGACCTTCGATTTGTTATCTTCTGCAATACTCCTCCCAGTCCTATACAATGGCGCGCCAGAAACAAACAAAGCCCGTCCAACGCGCTGCATCCTCTGAGCTGGTAAATATGCTTCCAGGCGATTCTCCTGCTCAGTCAAAACAGCAGAATGGAAGCGCAAAGGCAGCTGTCGCAAGCGCGGGCGCAACTGACGGCAAAGAGCATGGAGTTGCAGACACCCCCGGCCTGTTGCAGCTTGCGATCTGTGTCTTGGGGATATACGCTTCTTTGTATGTTGAGCAGGCCTATCAACCTCTCACCTATACTAACTTTTATTTCCATCTAGCCTGTCATGGGGTGTTCTTCAAGAAGCGATTACCACGGTCTCCTACCCCCTCCGTCCTGCTACTGCAGCCGAACCAGAGCCACCCACCGAGCGGTTTACATTCTCGATCGTGTTGAATACTATACAATCGACGTTTGCTGCAATTACCGGTTTCTTGTACCTTTACTTCTCGACTCCCAAGGGCGCAAAGGTTCCCTCAATTTTCCCGACCCAGGAGATCATCTTCCCTCTGGTCCTCGTCAGCATTTCGTCCTCTCTTGCTTCTCCATTTGGATATGCAAGTCTTGCGCACATCGACTACCTCACCTTCATTCTCGCCAAGTCGTGCAAATTGCTCCCAGTCATGTTCCTCCATTTGACCATTTTCCGCAAGCGATATCCCTTGTACAAATACGGAGTGGTTCTCCTGGTTACACTCGGCGTTGCGACATTCACCCTGCACCACCCAGGGACGAGCAAGAAGGTTGCTGCTTCCGCCGCCAAGGGCCAGTCAGGGTCGTCGGCATGGGGAATCTTCCTCCTGTCTATAAATTTGCTGCTTGATGGACTCACAAACACCACCCAAGATCATGTCTTCAGCTCCCCCCAAGTCTACACCCGATTTACAGGACCACAAATGATGGTGGCCCAGAACGTCCTCTCAACTCTCCTAACTTCGGCCTATCTTTTAGTCATGCCCCATCTATCGTCAACCGGCATCATACATGCGATTCTTCCGATCCCAATTCCGCCCTCGACCGAGACAGAGCTGGCAACCGCCGTGTCGTTTCTTTCCCGACACCCCGAGGTTCTGAAGAGTGTCCTCGGGTTTGCAGCTTGCGGCGCGATTGGACAACTGTTCATTTTCTACACCCTGTCCCGATTCTCATCTCTGCTCCTGGTGACGGTAACAGTGACCCGCAAAATGCTTACCATGCTCTTGAGTGTCTTTTGGTTTGGCCACTCACTATCCGCCGGACAGTGGCTTGGAATTAGTTTTGTCTTTGGTGGCATTGGGGCAGAAGCTGTCGTTCAGAGACAGGAAAAGAAGGCCAAGGCGTTGGCTAAGAAGACGGAGTAGATTCGTGTATTTTTATAGATTTCTTTCCCAATTCAGCATTGCGGCTTCCATGAAAATGTATTTAATTGGTTGTAAACATCAATCATTAATCCGTCACCGCAACAAAACCTGCCGCTACAAATAAGGTAGTAATATATATTTGGGGAACCAATCACTCCCTCCCCTCGACCATGATGATATGATACCCGTGTTCAGTTTTCGCTTCCGCATACTTGGGGTTGCTACTCGTACTGGGCTCCAGCTCGAAAGCAACCTGTGCATAGACTGGATCTAACTCAGTCCTTTGTTTCCATCCCACCAAACCGCCTAGCAGCCGCGATTAGTATTTACCCGCATGCAGGGCTGGAGAAAAACTTACCGTGTCTGGCCTTGTCTTCTGAATATTCTCTCGCAACGTCATCGAATTTGGCACCATTGCGGATCTTTTCTAGTGCCTCTTCTTTTTTGGAGAATTTCTCGCACTGCGTCCGTATTAGCACTCTCGGTTTTCCTGGTTTGAGTAAGAGGCGCCTCGACTGGGCCTGACGGAGGGGCATGGATATGACATGATGCATATGAGCTCCGTTGGGTCAGGTCAGGCTAGGCAAGCAGGTACACCAAGGCGAAGTGAGATGTCAGCTGCAGCGCAGACTGTGCAGCGGTATAACGCCTCATCCACAGCTTGGCCCTATCGCGGACCTCGAATGAAAAACGAAGGAGTGCTAAGCAGTAAGTATACTTACAAGAATGTGCCGGGAATTCACTCTGGATACGGACTTCGTTGCCTTGCCCTTGCCAGCGGCACTGTTGGTGCTTTCGGGCTTTGCCTTCTCCTTGCCTTTGCCTTTCTTGTCGCCGCCGCCGCTGCCGCTTTTGGTATTAGATTTACCCATGGCGGATTGGAAGCTGGTGTTGTTTTGTTGATCGAGAGAGACGGGGAAGAAGGGGGAGGAGGAAAGTGACCTTTTTTGAAGGAGAGCTATATGAGGTCAGGAACAGCGAGTGGGGACGTTGGTGGGGAGAGTGAGAGCCAAAACGAGGCCTGAGGCAGATTGGAAACGAGGCTGCGGTCCTTTGAACTATACAGAGGGACCCCGGCCTTATTTAATATAACGGATTCAATGCCCATTTATTCCTTATATTGCTCGTCGGTTGCAGTCTTGTTTTTATCTTGAGCTCCGCGGCTGAAAATTATATATTATTCTTGCATTATTGAGAATTGAGCCGAAAAACCTGGTCATTGCAACTGTTGGCGTTCCCATTGCTGTCACTGTCCGGCACGCCTTGCTCATTGTGGGAATGACTGCATCGGGTTTCTTTTCGTCTTTCTGATGCATCGTTTGCTTTTGCATCTGAATGCCCCCCGATAGGCTGGAGCTGCGTTTTGCACCAAGTGCCGTGCCCTTCTAGCGTCGAGATCTCCTCCAGCCGCCAGCAATTATTGCTGCTCGGAATCCAATCAGGCCAGTCATGACGCCCAGAGAGAAACAACCAGGATCCAGCCTGGAGGCGGCCCGCATCTCGCGACTGCCCGGCGATGCCTTCTACATTCCAGACTTCATCACTGAGGCCGAGGAGGCGAATCTCTTGCAGAAGGTCTGTACTTATTTACCTTCTTTGTACTTCGCGCCCTTCATGCATAGCCAATTCGGCTATCGATCTTTTTATTCGAGCTTCAGGGGTCCCCTGTCTTTCCCTTCCCCCTCCCCCGCCTTTTCCATCCCCATCTCAAGATCTCTACCTACTTAGCACCGCGCTACGATCCCACAAACTAACCAATCCATCAGATAGCATCCTCCCCTCTCCCCCACTGGAAAAACCTCTCCAGACGCCGTCTCCAAACCTATCCTTCATCCCTGACAAGCTCCAACACATTGCTCTCCTCCCCGCTCCCTTCCTGGCTAACCACCCCCATCATATCCCCCAATTTCACCGATCTGGACCTCTTCACCGACTCCCCGCACAACGCCCCGAACCATGTCCTCGTGAATGAGTACCAGCCCGGGCAGGGGATCATGCCTCATGAGGATGGGGCTGCATATCACCCACTTGTTGCGACGGTGAGTTTGGGCGGGGAGATTGTGTTGGATTTGTATGAGAAGGGCAACAGCCGGGACAATGATATGGACGAGGGCAAAACCGGGAACGAAGAAGACCAAGCTCGGCAGCCGAAATATCGGATCTTGCAGGAGAGGCGCAGCCTGCTGGTTACGCGAAACGAACTCTACAAGGATTATCTGCATGGTATTGCGGAGCGGGACAGAGATGAGGGCCTTGCGCCGGATTCGATTTGCAACTGGGAGTTATTGGGCGAGCCGGAGCGGTTCCGCGCTGGGTGGTATATAAGGGAGACGAGAGTGAGTTTGACATATCGCGATGTGTTGAAGGTCGCGAAGGTGGGGAATACGATGAAGTTTTTGAATAGAAATATTTGATATAGTAGTAATCTTTGATTGTGTCGGGTGGCTCAAGCTAATTAGCTGGATATTGGGGATGGTCTAGTAAACCAATGGAATCATGTTCCATTTCCCCAGGACTGCGGCTTCGCCAAACTTTTCTTTGTACCATTTTCGGGTCGTCGAGGCAGAGACGCCCAGGTTAACCGCGACAAAGACAAGAGCAGAGAGTAGTGTTTTGTTCACGGTTTCGCCCTCTGGAGCGGCTAGCAGCGCCAGGGATAGATATATTATGCACTCGGCTGTGTAGTGTGGACATACGATCCTGCTGAACATGGGGTGAGTAGGTAGGGTATACTTCTTCAATGAGAATAGATAATGGTGGCAATCGTGTTGAATACCCGATGCAAGGATGAAGATGGGAATACTCAGAAGCGTCCGGCCAGAGAAACGTGTCGTGAGGTTGAAGTCATCTAGACTCAGTTCATGAGTAAGAATTGTCCCTGCACTACCAATCAGCTGGAAGCCTTAATTTAAATACTGCTATTTCCCCGAACGGACCTGTTCCCTCTATCCAGACTGCAACGGTCACCGCTAGGTAAAAGCCGATACCTGCGAACCAATGAACGAACCACATTTTTGACGACGACGGCTTTGAGAAGCTCAGACACTCATTTAGCCGTCTCACCCCGTGGATCAGCATCAAGCCACAGCACAGCATAACTTGATTTATCGAGATTGCTTCCTGCATGTGCTCTGCCCGGATTCGAGTCGCAAAGGCCTGGAACACGCGCCCGTGAGACAGAAGCTGCAGAGCCCAGAAGATCGACGACAGCACCGAGATGACGTAGAACTGCGTGAAGTAGCTGTGAGGGACTCTAAAAGTAGCAACATAATCAAGGGCGCGTGTTACCGCGGACGTCCTCGAGGGCGAGGCTGAGGTCGACTTTGGGGTCGGCGTGGAAGCAGAGGTCTCCGACTCGACTGGAGCTGTTGATGTTGCACGAGCGCCATAAGGGATGAAGCGCGACCGAAGTGAAGCGGGCAGACTAACAGAGAAGATCTGGGGGATTTAGTTCTCGTCCATTCTAGAAGGAAACCGTCGATAGTGCCGATGCAGCAGCCCTGGTTCCCAGTGACGTTTCATACCATGCAAGCTGCGAAGAGGAAAAAAGCTCGAAGCGCGTCGACCGCGTCCATGTCTGTGATGGAGAGTGCGGAATCAACGACGTGAGCAATAAACTCCATCCTGAAACAACTCGGGAGTCAGAAGTCTCGTCGACTTCTCTGGTAGCGCTGATCCTGTAGTTATGAATGACAAGATGACGGGGAAGAAAAGCTATGGAGATTGAGACAAAGCTCCGATCCCGAGATCTGGTCTCAGGTTTTGATTACGAGACGTTGCCGTCAAGGATTCGCATCTCAACCCCAATTCAGGCAAGTCAGCGGACTGCAGGCACATCCATGACTCCCATTGCAAGAATGCCAGCGGGCAATGCTCTTTATCGAGCTTAGTTGGATGGCTGCATCGCAGAATTAATCTTTTGCAACCCCCTCTCCTGCATCTCTTTCACAGGCTGATCACGGGATCGCGAACCAGCTTCCCCTCTTTCTCATCCCGTGACCGCATAATCCGAGGACGGGAATTTCGAAGCCGATCATGAAATCTGCGCGAAAAGGGGGGCAACTTCTCAAGTGGGGCGATAAGCTGGCCGATTATCGAGCCATGACTGGATAAAAATAAGCAGATCAGGGTGGGCCCAACTGAAAGGCAGACCCATCTAAGCCGCAAGAGGTAACGGCCGACATGGCCACAGCGTTTCATTGGCGGTAAAGTGGATGCCTTGGCTGTCCGGGCCTTCCAAGGAAACCCCCTGAAGACCGCAGTGGTGAGTGGTGGTCCGCCTCACACCAGAAAAGAGGATCTTTTGGGTCTCTGATTCACTCATGATTCATCCGCCACCCTCGTTTCATCCCGGCATCCCCGCTCGCTTTGGGCCTTCGCGCATCGCAGAATCATCGATGGAGATGTCGAGCTGCATCGTACTCAGATATTTGGCCGGACTGGGAACTACTGAGCTGGATATGGTACCGTAGCCTTGGAAGTTGTCCCGTTTTCGAGATGATTGACACGAGACCGATGATTATTGCCTCGAGAGCACTCGAAGCTCACGATTGGTCTTTTAACATGCTGACCAGACTCTGACGGCATGGCTTTGAAGAGACCGTTCCATTGCAGTGGTTGATAAAAAAGCTCTCTCGGGTGGCCAAAGGACCCAAAGCTCAAGAAGAGACAGAAGGAGAACAGAAACGTGGATGTCTCTGGGATGGCACGAATAATCAAAATCAAATAATAATTACGACGGGCTGTTTTAGTCCCAGCCTGAGGCCACTGAGGCCGCTGCCACTGCCATTCTGCCACCACACCCAAAGTAGTTTCAACCCCCAGTCGCAGGAGACCCAGTCCCAGTTCCAGTCTAGGTCACTGTTTCGCTTCTCTCTTCGCCATTCCTTCCTCCTCCTTTCCTTTCCCAACCCTCTTTTCTTCCCCAAAACGACCGCCCTTTCTCGCCCTCGACATTTTATCTTATTATCCTCGACTCCTATATCCGCGCCCCTTTTCACGATAATCGTTCCGAATTCTTCGTCCGTCCCTGTGTGCCACTTGCAATCCACCTTCAACTCTCGTCCCGCCACACCAACCCTCCTCGCCTCGCGACCACTCCCTGTACTTGACAGAACTTGGGCCGATCGGGGTTTGATCTTCTCGGCCCTTTCGACCTTGACCAACAGTCACCATTCATTCCACACTCCTCGCCGTTCAATCCTCGCCGCCTCTACCTAGCGTGGTCGACCACCGGCTTCCGCGCCCAACTCCTGGTGTCCCTGACCCAAAAGCCATCCTGTCCGTTACGGCCTCCGAAAATGTCGAGCAGAATCCCAAGAAGTCGAGTGTTACCGCTATGAGTGATGCTGACACTGTCTCCTCGCTGCCAGCTGCTCTGGATCCCGGACAGCAAAACGCGTTTGCTGTCAAGGTGAATAGCCAGCCTGCTTTGGGGCCGCCCTCCCCAAGGAGGACGTCGAATCCGACTGTTCCTCATGGTGAGCATGCTCCGGTTAAGGAGATAGATTCTGCTGGGGACGGTGACGGTCCCCCAAGCCCCAAGGCCGATTCGGAGGCCGAAACCATAATTCAGTCCGGGCGCGAGTCCCTCTCTCCAGAGAAACGACGAAAATTTATCAAACATGAACCGAAACGACGTGACGATGGTAATGAACGTATTGGCGACAATGAACTGCCCTCAAGTGATGTTCAGGTGAGGAAGAGCAGGCCTGTGGATGATGATAGTCATGATATAAGCGAACGTGAAGCGCGCCAACCGAGCCCGCCGCAGAGAGAAGCATCACCGTCCATCGTGAAGGTAGAGAAACTGGACGATTCCCAGTCTGTATCTAACAGACCCGAGACTGCCAGAACCTCGAGGAAGCGAAGTTTTAGTGAGAGTATCGACGGGGAGTCGGATATTGGTCGACGTGGATGGCACAAGGACTCGCCTGTGCGCAGTCGTGAGGAACATATTTTGAGTAATGGACCAACGCTCCCTCGACCCGCATCCACCGATCGTTCCGTCTCCCCTGTTCGTCAGACGCACAAGCGCACTGTGTCTGGACCGCAACTTACCAACGGGAAAAAGAAGAAGGCACCCACGCCTCTGGTGACGGGTTTCCAAAGACAAGGCTCCGAAGATCGACTGTCCGTTTCATCAGCAAATGGATCTCCCCATCCAAGTGCGTATGTCCGCAAGCTCGCGTCAGTTGATGGAAATTCTGCGTCTCCGGCACGGCCAACAAATTATAAGAAACTGCGAGATCAAAATGGCAGAACGCGTTTGGCGCGTGCCTGTGCGGCTCAGGAATTGGATTCTGTGATCGCAAAACATGAGGAGCGCCCGGAGGATTTGAATGTTGCTGACAACGCTGGGAACACACCCCTACAGATCGCATCTCTGGAGGGTAGTGCGCCTATTGTCAAATATCTAATTGCTGCAGGGTGCGAAGTCGAAACATGCAACATCGACAAAGACACCCCGTTGATAGATGCTGCGGAGAACGGCCATGAAGAGGTCGTAAGAATTCTTCTAAAAGCTGGTGCAAACCCGCGAGCCGTCAACTCACAAGGAGATGAGCCAAGTGATTTGGTTCCGGATGACTGCGATGAAATCCGACGGCTGTTGGAAGAAGCAAAGGCTAAGCCACGACCAAATCGACGATCAGAAGAAACAGTCGCCCCCCCAAATCGGGAATCCTCATCTCGGCGGATATCAGGCGCTAGCCCGCGCGATTCTCCCCCGGTTAGCGGTGGGCGTAGTCCTCCCCTCTTCAGCAGCATGGCATCAAAGCGAAAGAGTGTGCGAAGTGAAGCTACGAGGAATGATCTGCTATGGACCAAGGCTACTCCCGAGAATCTCCAGGCATTTGCTGCGAAAGGTGACATTGCTGGCGTTGCAAATATCCTCAACGTGGGGCAGAAAGCCGATACGGAATCGATGATTGCCGCTGCTAAGGGTGGTCATGACGAGGTCTTGTCGCTGCTTCTTGGTATGGGGGATGCGGAGCCTGATCCCGCTCCAGTGCCGTCCCAGAAAGCCGGTCACAACACCCCAATGCTTGCTGCAATTGGCCGTGGAAACCTAGCTGTGATCAAGCTTTTTCTAGATCAGCCTGGGTTTAACCCGGCCCGTCGACTTTATGATGGCCTGACCTATTTCGAAATATCAAAGAAGCGCAGAGCAGACAATTGGGAGGAAGAATATGATACGCTCAAGGAGGCATACGACAACTATGTCAAGAATAAGAAACAGCGCAAGTCCGACCTCTCCCCACGTCAAAGGCGGGAAAGGGAGAAGGACGCAAAACGAGCCATGCGTAGAGAATCCTCATCACCCGTTTCTCGGTCCAGGAAAAACGGAAGTCCTGGGGCCCGCGATTCACCCAAGGATCTACCTATCTCAAGAGAGAAGAAGGGGGTTGCTCATCCGAGAGATAAAATAGGCCCTGGAATTTCTCGTCCGAAACACACGCATTCAGACTCAGACACAGTTCGCACCGAACCACCCAGGCAGAAACCTGTGTCGTCGATAAAGGATGGTGATTCAGCCAGGGGCGATGATGTTATCAAACGAAGGCGCCTGATCGCGGGACGACCACCCCAGGATCGAGATCGCAAGATGCCCAGCTTACCCTCATCGGACTCATTATCGGGCCGGGAGGATAATGTTAAGTCCCGACCAGACCGTTCTTCTGAACCCGTTTCTAGAACACCACAGCTGAAGCGTGGACGTAGCAGTGCTAGTCCTGAACGACCTCGTTCTCGCGGGCCTGAGTCCGAGCGTCACAATCGCGATGTTCTAAAGAAGAAGAGAAGGGTCCTGTCAGAGGAAGGGGCGCCAAATGTTACCAATGGAGGTTTAAAGAGACACCATACAGCTGCAGCTGATGGTATCAAATCGCCTCCTCGGCAAAAGCACGATGTTGGCTCCAGTGATTCGAGGACCGATCGTTTGGAGGATTCACGCATTGCTTCCTCCAAAGACCGAAATTTGGTCAAAGAAGAACGGGAAAAGCACGAAACGAGCGACCTGGCTGACATTCCCATGGAGGAAGCGAAGGCGGCGGATACGGACAAAGAAGTTCCCGACACGGAAGAGACATCGGAACATAAGTCGCTGGTTGACCAAGCCGAACCCGATGCTGATGTCGAGCCACAGAGCATTCCCAGCGAGGCGGCTGAACAAAAGTTGGTCGAAAAAGCAGAGCAAGAACGAATAGCCGAAGAAGCGCGGGCCGTTGCAGAGGCGGAAGCAGAAAAGGCTCGAGCTCAAAAGGAAGAGGAAGAACGAGTAGCTCGGGTGGCTCGCGTAGCCCAGGAGAAGGCCGAAGAAGAGCGAAAACGAAAAGAAGCCGAGCAACGACGTATTAAACAAGCCGAGGACGAGCGTCAAAAGCGACTGGAACAAGAAAGGCAACGACTTGCACGACTCCGTAGGGAACAGGAAGAGCATGAACAACGACGGCGGGATGCACTCCCTAGCCGGCTCTGCATAGCAGCAAACCTTGTCGGATCAAGTGACACCCAAGCACGAAGTCACTCATGGCTGCGGAAATTTATGCCAATAGTCACCGCCGAAACCAAACAGCTTGATCCTGGTTGCAATGCCGACCTTGCGAATGAGCGATGGGTTCCAAACTATCTCGTCGCGCCGCTGTTAGCTACAAACGACCTCCAGTTATCGCAATACGCTAGTTGGGAGAAGCGTGACGTGACGCCATCGCAGCGAATGAACCTATGGCGAGTTACACGACGAATGCTTGTGCAAGCAGATGATACAGAGTTTTTGACGGCGTCATTTGGACAGATCATGCAGAAGGATAGTGAAACCCGGAGCAAGTATTTCAGTATGGAACACGTGTTTTGGGTCAAGGTACGCTTCGAACCTCTTATTCTTGCGGTATCATTAAACTGACTTTTCCAGCTATCCGATTTCATGGACCTCGTTCCACATATTCCGCATCTACACGGGTTGGACATGCAATTCTTGAAGATGCATATCGACGAAGAACCAATCTTGAACCCTGCTGCTCTGCAACCAAATGGGCTTATTAATGGACCACCGCATATCGGCAACCCTGCTCTTCTTTACGAACAAGGCTTGACGAATGGCTATGGGCACAGCCAGCCGAGTACATATGCCTGATTTTCTTCCGTTCAGTCCGGATTACTTGTACAGATGGACGATTTTCCTTGCCTGTATGACTATGATACCTCTGTTGTGACGCAATACATGATAGGAATAGTTGGATAGATGATGCGGCTCTAGGCTGCAGCCACATTTCCTTGAATACCACTTCGATAATAATTGAACTTTGGAAACCACCACCAAGAGAACGGGTATCGAGTAGCAAACACGTGACACCATGATAAACACGTGACAATGACTAAGAACCGTAGGGCACACGGATCCGGATCTAGGCGAGCACGACGGAAATTAGCATCACGATCCCACAATCTAAGATTCCACCCTTATACCACCACGACTCTTCGAGGATATTCCGACATTCAAACACCCTACTAACATATCATCAAAATGGTGCGTGCCACGAATATCAAAACCCTGCACAATTGGGACCAGCCACCATCACTATGCATCCATTCGACTGCTAACACTTTTTTTTTCTTGACAGTCGGACGGAGAAGAGACCGCTTCCAACCCCCCTGTCGCCGCTGATGAGGTCGAGGTCCCCGCCGAGTCTGGCGCTGGCGGCCAGATGTCCGTCCTCGACGCTCTGAAGGGTGTTCTCCGCATCTCTCTCATCCACGACGGTCTTGCCCGTGGTCTCCGTGAGGCCGCTAAGGCCCTTGACCGTCGCCAGGCTCACATGTGTGTCCTCAACGAGGGCTGTGAGGAGGAGGCCTACAAGAAGCTCGTTGTTGCTCTCTGCTCTGAGCACAAGATCCCTCTCATCAAGGTCCCCGATGGCAAGATGCTCGGCGAGTGGGTTGGTCTTTGTATGTTTCACCATAATTTTTTTTACCTTCTCAGTGTGGTCTTTTTTTTTTCTTTTTGGCGGGATGCAGTGGGCTAACAGGTACTTTTTCCTTGCTACAGGCCAGCTCGACCGTGAGGGTAACGCCCGCAAGGTTGTCAACTGCTCTTGCGTCGTTGTCAAGGACTGGGGTGAGGAGTCCCAGGAGCGCTCCGTCCTCCTCAACTACTTCCAGACCGAGCAGTAGATTGATCATTCTTGAATTTTGAAACGGCATTGATGGATGGGAGGATTTATGTGATATGATTATGAATTGTGCTGGAGGGGTTTAACTATCTGTCTGCTGGCGAGAATTCTTTTTATTCTGTCATAGTCGTGCACGCCGCCCTAAGTTACCATATGTGACTGTTCAGAATTGAGAATCTACCATCTATGGGCTGAGAATAAAAAAGATTGAGTGAAGAAATGCGTCTTATCTTTGGGCAATGTGTAGTTGGTTTATTGTCTACCTAAAGACAAGCAGTCCTGATGACTCCCGACAGTAAAATGGGAAGGCTGGATATGGATGAGAAGGTCCAAAGTCGTAAATTTGACAACACCTGATATGCAGATTGTATGATACGCCCAACCCGAACGCCTCGAAGATAAAAAAGTCAACGTTAGAGTGCAATTTTAGAAAAAAAAAAAGGGTATCAACGGAAGCTGTATGAAGGTCGAGTCATCTTCGTTGTTTCCGGTTTCAATGACAGCTGTTGGTATGGTGAGCTACCGGGATCATAATATAACCCTTCGATGTTGCCGCTCTCGCGATGCAAGGAAATGTAATAGAATCCTGATATCGTGAGTCCCTGTCGCGCGTCTGTAGGGGTTATGAAACATCGTTCTGTAGTTATAGATTGTTAGATAGGTGTTGAAGCGGGGGGGTGAAGACTGAACAAACCCTTCCATCTCATCAGGATCCACCCCTTGGACAGCTGTTCTGTGATCCATTTACGGCTCACGAGGTTCCGTGTCATCTCTTCATCCGTTAAATTTTTGAATGGCTGTAGTTTTCGCCAATATGTGCAATCAATCTCGGCGTCTGCTTTGAAATTCTTCGTCTCCAGTGTATGTGAATTGAAGTCGATTATTTCGCCCTCCAGGAATGTCACAATATGTGCATCATGGGACGGCGAGGCCTTATCGGGGATATTGTACGCCTCCATGGTCCCTGATAGCGTCATGTCGTGGACGTTGATATCGTGAATGGTTACTTTGACCGGCCAGTTCTCCTCCTTGCCGTTGCCTAAGTTGTAGACTTGACTGGCGAAATATCGTCTTCCATTCGATGTTTGTACGCTGATGCGGTTTTGGTCACTGCCATTAACGATCATTGGATCACTAGAGGACGGACTGGGCCCTTGCTGGGGAAGGACGAGGCCGGTACTGCTGGCAGCTGTTTGGAACCCTGAGAATGTCATGCCTGGGCGAAGCCATGAGCACACCGGCGGCGGACATATTGAAGAAGTGTCGAGTATAAAGTCGTCTTCGTCCCAAGAAAGAAGATCTAATTGAACGAATCCCCCGGCGGCTGCAGATGACAAGCTTTCCTCGAATGAACTAGAATAGCGTAACCTATCGAGATAGCGTATCGTCTCTTTCAATCGAGGGCTAGGAGGATTATCTAAGTGCATTTGTCGGTGAGCACTGACCCGCGCGCGAAGGTCATTATGTGTTAAGACTCGATGCGGTTCGCTGCGACCGCTGGGAAGGAACCGATAAGCCCGAGGCGAGGATTCGACGCCAGATCGTTCGCGGGGTTCCTCTGCGCGATCTAAAAGGTAATCATGTAGGGTCCTCGTCCGAGAGAACCTTGGCTGACGTTGTATTGACTGTAGTAGAGATTCTGTCGTTGACCCAGAGGTGTCATTCGATTGATGATTACTGTCCGCTAGGTCGCTGGGATTCGCCTGGGGATTCCTGGGTGTACCATCGCGGCGCGCAGGACGTCTAGAGTTACTGCGTTCGGAAAGCCGGCCAAGCCATGATGATAGCGCATTATTGTGTATTGGTGGATACGGGATATCATCGCCTTCGTCGTCGAAAGCGGGAGCCCAGCCGTATAGCCCACGAGGATTTGAAACTCGACCTTCGTAGTTGGGTAAATTGCTGTTGTTGATAGTGCCGTAGCTCTCTTCGTCAGGATCGGGGAACTGGCGACGCAGGATTGGCATTCGACGGTTGATTTCTACCGCCATGTTCTCATTAAGGTCCATCGGATCGATATTCAACTGGGAGAGAATATGTTGTCGGCGGCGGCGCTGGCGGCTGAGCAAGGAGGACGAAGGGTCGGGCGGAGAGCGTACACGCGATCGCAAGAAATTCACGTTATCATTATGGGCATCGTCCGACACAGCGGTGGGGATAGATGGAAGAGAGGGTGTCGCAGCCAAGGGCGATCGGGAGGGGGCATCCTGCAGAGACGGAGCGATAAGTAAAGGCCCATGGCGCAGCGGGGGAATCTGATTCCGGACGGAATCCAGATGCAAGGTGCTCCTGCGATATTTCCCGCAGGAATCAAATAGGAAAACGTACATTGGGCGAATTGGCCGGGGGCATGATATCCGGGGTTAATGGCTGGGTTGGTCGTGAGAAGGCGCAGAAACGGTGCGCCAGATGGGAGAAGGCATGTAGCGAGCGACCTGACGCCGGGGTAAAAAATCATAAAAAGGTGGAAAGAACGGCGTGGATAGCAAGAAAATGATGAGGAGGCGAGAGGACGAGATGGGGGAGCGAAAGTGATGGAGAGAAGTGCGGAGTGAAGAAAAGAGCGAGGATATTCAAACTTGGCCGACTCTGAAACGGACCACGATCTCTGCTGCTCAACATCTGATCCTCTCACCCGAGCATCCCGAATTGTATACAAATTGCGCCATCTTTTTGACCGTCTCCTGGAGTTTCTCGACTTCGAATGACATGCTTATGGCCAGGATTACACTCTTTGCCTTCTTCAGCCTCATTTCCTGGCTGTGTCGCTATCGCCACTGCCCCCAAAATCACCACCGCACCTTTGCTACGTGTTTCATGCTTCTAACAAAATCGTCGATGATTGTGTTCTTCAGCGGAGCCATGTATCCTGAATCGCTCCACCGCCGGTCCGAAGGCGATTCTTCCGATTCGGTCGTTTGTCCAAGTATACGAGGTCTTGAGCGCCATGCAGACCAGGTTCTCGGAGCGTTGCATTTCTCCTAAAACATACAACACTGCCATCGCATATTCTAGGGTCCCATGAGGCTTACCGGTGTTCAAGTGTCGTTGGTCTACCAATTTAGTTGAATGATTGGGGCTTGCCCTCGGCCTCCTTTTCTCTGCTCCCAGGCAACTTGAGCAGAAGGTCAACATGCCTGGAACTGACCAAAATCATGGCCATCCAAAGCTCTCGCATCGTGTCTGAATTCTTGACCGCTAATACCGTTGATCGAGATGATTCAACGAGAAGGAGATGATACTGCGGTTCTATATGGACCTGCTGCGTTATTGAGCGATCCAAACAGTATGAAACATGATTCGTTCTACAAGTCCGTACTTATGATACCCTTGAATTATATGAATGGCACTGAGCATCTATGGCTAGAGTCGCCTCTTTCGACGCTATAGACCGCCCCCTGGGTCTCCAAAGGCCGCGTGAATTGGTGCGGTCGACCTATGTACGGTCAAATCAACAACAGGGCTCTTAGGTGTGGCTACTCTAAAATTTCAGGTTATGACGGTAAATCCAACCGGAGAGATTGCAATTCTGAAATCCCCATATGCAATTGACCCAGCATTGACTGAGCGAAAGCCATCAAAGCCCTGACAACTTACACAAGGCCATGACAAGGTAGCTCACCAGAGAATTACCATACACAACCCCAGTCCCTTGGATTCGTTTTGAGCGTCCTACCGGAACACCCTGAAACACTGACGGCTTTCCTTTTCTTTTTCTTTTTTTGGATACCGAATGATATGACCAAGAGTGATGGTCTTAGCCGTCCAATGGTTTATTAATACGGTAGGTGTAGGGTAAATTATACACCAGCATAGCAACTGTATAAACCAGAAGCTTAAACGAAACAGGACGACTGCCTTACCAATTTGTCAATTTGAATATCGGCACCACTACCAGTAGTTTTCCGGTTTGTATTTTCTCAATTTAAGATTCTAGTGTATGTACCCTCTATTCAACCATATGTGCTCTAGGATTTCCCTTTATCGTGGCGAGTAGGGCTCTTGTGGTTTATGCTGTTGTTCGCGTAGCGTTCAAGCTATCTGCCCGTTTAATGCAGTCCAAAATAACACCCCAAAATGCAGCCAAATCCACACCACGGGGGATGCAGACACCGGTGGGGTGACTGGTAACTACAGAACGACCCAGCTGGCCCACAAGAGCGACATCCTTCCCATGGAGCCCGTCAGTTACAACAGTGACTGAAAATCGCTCCCCATCACGATCGTCGAATTTCACAGCCTGGTCAGGGTGTTTGCTAGCAAATTCCGGATTCAGTGTGGATAGGATTATGGCTACGGCGAGAGGATCGTGGAGTGGAGGGCCCGTTGTCAATCCGAACTCGGTTTCGTAGGTTGACGCAAAGAAGAGTAGTAGTTCATATAACATTTGACGGAGCACGGTTGGAGGCGTGGTGGCGTCGCCGTCTCCATGTAGAATGCGGGTTTGTACATCTCGCGAGGCGAGGACTTGGTGCGTCAGATCTAGCGACATCAAATAGGTCTTGGGTGCGAGAATGGCATTGCTGAAAATTGATTGAGAAGCTTCGGGATCACACTGGGAAAGGCTGAAGGTTAGGGTCGAATGAGCGTCAAGCATTGCTCGGGACCATCACATACGTAGATGTTGAACTCTGCCGATGGAGTTATATTGCCAATCCTGTTCTCATGCCCGGCCAATCTGCTGATTGGCGCATTGGCAAAACCACCCCCAACTCCACCGCCCATTATACTGAGACCCTTGATATGCGCCGCGACTTCCGGAAAGGTGGCGAATAGCAAGGCAATGTTGGTCAATGTACCTGTAGCTATGACCCAGGGTGTACCTTTCGGCTGGGCCATAAGGGCGTCGCGCATCGCAAGGATAGGGTTCCTGTCCGTAATTGGGGCCCTTGAAGCTTTAGGAAGAAGTTCAGTTCCGTCGATACCTGATTCGCCTGTGTTCGATCCTTGGTTAGCTGGCGGTACAGAATTGATGGTATCAATTTGGGGCAACCGACCGTGGATGTTAGGGGCGTGCATGGCAGGTCTGCAGAACGGCTTGTTGCTCCCGGGATATACAGGAATTTCCGGTCTTCCGATAGCCTCCAGCACTCTTGTAGCATTGATGGTAGTATTCTCTAAAGAGGCATTGCCATGGATTGTTGTGATACCCAGAAGGTTCAAGGATGGGTGATGAGCTGCAATAAGGATAGCGAACGCATCCTATATACCCAACGAAGAATATGTGAGCTTTTTGGGAATTTAGGTGCAGACTGTGCATTGGATGACACCTACATCGTGACCTGGAGAGCAATATAGTCAGCATTATGGTGAACGGAGGACAATGAAGAAGGGTATGGGCAGCAGACCAGGATCGCAATCCAACCAGAGAGGGATTGGAGTGTCTATTGAGGCACTCATGGATGGAATTTGAAGCGGTAAACCACTGTGTCTTGGGACAAAGTTTTTATATCTTTGAACAAACTTGAGTTCGAAGCATGTAAATAGTCCGGAGTTCTCCGCGGTCCCTGAGGGGCGGGGATGCGATAAGCACTTATCGCAACCCAGCCCTAAGCCCTGATTTCCGTATTAGGAGCTCTGTGACGTCTCATTCGTCGCGTTTGGAGCGGCCGACGACCTTGCAGTTGCAGATGTCACCGATGCTGCTGCATCAACCCCCCCGATTCCGTTAGCTTTCCGCTTGATTCAGCTCAATTTACGCTTCAACTGCGATGAAATGACCACCGACCCTGTTGTTCCGGGCCTCCAACCCTTTTCCCAACTCAAATCAGGCCAGACTACTTCCAGCTCCAAGTCAACAGTCGTCCCAGCTTCCCCGACCACTACAGCTCCTTCGCAGTCTTCCCACCGGGCGCAGCAGGCGAAGAATGGGCACCGCGATGAACAGCCCAATAGCACAAGCGACAAGGCTACCACTGCACTGATTCGACGCGTTCTTTGTCCTCATCTAGGAGGCTCTGGCGGTGCCGCTTCCCCATATGCTCCAGAGGAGCTATTACCACCGCTTACCAGCTCTAATGACGTTGATCGTCAACTTTACGCTTTAATTGCCATAATAATAAAGGAGTTTATTTCGTCCTGGTATTCGAAGATTACATCCGATCAAGCTCTTATCAATGAGGTGGTCCAGCTGATCGCGCATTGCACCCGGGCTCTTGAGCAAAGGCTGCGGGAGATAGATATTGCACAGCTAGTTCTGGACGATATCTCTGGATTGGTGGAAGGGCATATCGTTTGTAAGCAGTGGTCACTGTATATCCGTCCGAGGAAGCCGTGGAATATGTGCTGACCGTAACGCTTCTGGGAATCAGCGTATCGACTGGCCAAAGAGCAGTCTGAGCTATCGGGACTGTCGCCATACCCGCGGGAAATATACCATGCCTTAAATCCGCAACCAGGCCTCTCACCTGTTCCGGACCCCTCTGATGCGAAATCTGTTTCTCAGCAGCGAGAGAACGAAGCTGTATACCGACGACTATTAGTGAACGGCGTTCTGGCTATTCTTCTTCCCACTGAGGATCTCGAAAATGCATGCCTGCGGACCTTGACGAGCGACATTCTGGCGGACCTTATTCTCGGAAACGAAGTGAGCGGGAAGGTTTGCGAAAGCAGATTCTTGTGGGAGAGTACAGCTAAGCTGCTGGAAGTGCTCTCAAGAAACAACGGTGGAGACAAGGTTGATATGACAGAATCAAAGCCATCTCCTCCAAACCAACTACGACAATTTGGCCTGCTTTCAAGCAAAAACGATGAGAATGATCACACACCCTTGAGTTCCCAATCACAGACTCCAAGCTGGATATGGTGCCTCCTTCAGTATGCCTTTTTCGCATATGTGACACTACGCTTTATTGTGTCGGGCCTACTTCGCAATGCTTCCACAGCCCCGGCGATGTTTGTTTCGCGCCCAACTCCTTCGCGTAGTTTTGTGGACGAGTTAGGCCCGAAATACGGCGACATGGGAAAGCGCCCGGTGCTTGGTTATCGACTCTATGGCATGCTGTCGCAGTTACTGAATATCCCCCAGCGAATGCCGTGGCTAGGAGGATTGTTAGCCCTCCTCCAATATTTAATCCTGGCGGGCCCAGGAAAAGTAGGGGACACCAGCAGTACTCTTGATAGGTGAGTCGCTCCTCGCATTGATTTGGAATTTTGGGCTCCTTTCTCTCCTTTGGTCCTTCCCCTACGACCCCTCCCACCGTCGCACCATGTATCACGGACCTGTCCGAATCCACATGGCCCCGGCCTGCCTTGACGAAAGAATCGGAAATAATCAAGCGCAGCTCGCTCTTCAGTTGAAGGCTGCGAGCGAATGGTTTGTCGAGGATGCCGTGTCTGGTTTGATCTCCGAACGATGATCGACGAATGGCGCTGGCGAGTGTTTTTCTCTGTCCGGCGGCTTTAAGCGAGTCATTGGCAGAGGGTCGACGACCAGCGGGACGTCAATGCAGCAGATTTACATTGCTCGCATGCTGCATCGATCACTTGATCTGCTTGTGGGTGCACCGCGCATCCTTCGCAATCTGCGGCAGCCTGCTCTCATTCGCTGGTGCATTCTGGTATCAGGCGTTACGCACCCTGACCTCAAAATACCGTCATATAACCAAGGACGTATCGTCAATACGAGGGGTCCCCGACAGACGACAGACCCCCTGGCCGACCTTCGGGACCACTTCTCATTTTGTACAGATGTTGAGTCTGTTTGTGCTGCAATAGCATGGTCGCCACTTGTCTAGGCCTTCTCTCTTGAATCGCACGGAAATTGGTTATCTCCCCGGTTGCCGATTGGCTGTCTTGACGGCGAAACTCAGAGTTCAACGTTTTTTGTTCTGAATTTGGTCCATTCAATGCTTGTGGTCGAATTGGACAGGCCCGGCCCTTTCCGTCCCGTGCTGGATCCAGTCTTCACCGTCATCAACGCTGAAGAAGCCACCCCCAGCCTCCCCAACAGGACAAGAAATCGGCAAAATATGGAATCCACATTCAAGTTTTCACGTCTGCTGAGTGCTGATCGAAAGGGTGGCGGGGCGCCATTATTGCATTCAGCCCCAAAAGAGCACTGGGAATTTTGACATCGCAATCACGGGCATTCACAGCGATCCCGCATGAGAGCCTTGGTCTTCGCATCGAAGGACCACTGGAGCAACCCGTTTCGCCTGCATTTTCCTTTTTTTTCTCAGCCAATCAGCGAAATTCCTTGTCCATAAATTTTGAAATTCGACCTGCAGCCGAGGAGGGCTCCAAGGCTCTTCTCGTGTTCAGGCCTGGGGAGTAAGCCTATGATGTTCCACCAAAATTGTGGATGCCCGGTGGCTCTTTCTGATTGACGATGCACGCGCCGAAGAAAAAGCCTTCTGGATCTGAGAATTCAGATTCGTCATCAACGTCTCCAGAATTGAGGGGCCTTTCCAATCGTCCCCGTAACTGGCCCAAGCTTCTCGATTTCCTCTGATCAGGCAGATCCTGTTCGCTCCCACCGCGCACGCATCGAATGGTGAAATATCTTGATTGCGATCCATCTGACCAACTCCTGCCAAAAACGGACAGAGAAAGACGGGACATCTGGCATCCCTGCAATGAAGGGAAAGACTTGCCAGGGCCCGAATTGAACTGCTTCTCCACACCTATCGCTAGCTCCGTCGTCTTCTCGTTTGGTCTCTATCGAGGTTTTGGGAACCACCTTTGCTAGCCTTCCTTTTTTATTCTTATTTTATGTCATTGTTTTTGTGCCCTCCTCTTCCGAACATCGCTCGCAAACTCTGACCAAATGAAGAAAAACAAAAAAAGAAGAAAAAGAAATGCGTCTTTTTTTCACTGACATTTGATTCTCCACTAGGTTCCTCCACGAGAACATCCAGGAGTATGTGCTCACCCCCACCTTGTTACCCAATCTTCTACTTGCATCGCGAGAGGCGCTTTTCCCGCATAATACTCGTCCGAAGCCTGGAGGGAGTGTTAATGGCACTGAAGAGCCGACATCGACTGCGTCAACCCCGACAGGGGCGCAGCCTTCGACTATCAATAATAATACGCAGGCGACTACCGCATCCGGCGGCAATGCAATAATGCAGGCTCATATAGCGGCCACTGCGGGATCGCCTCCCTTGTCGCCGGATCAGCAGCGGCGCGTCTCAAATGCCGCCGAAATCGCCTCGATAAGGCGCAAGTGTGCACTCGGAATTCTATCCCTGATACCGCGCCCAATCGCACGCCGTCTACTCGGAGTTGCATCGGAGACTGCTGTTAAGAGAAACTCGATGCCTCTTCGATTTACGGCTCAATCTCTAAGCCAGTTCCAAGATTCCGAGCCTGAAATTGGAGAGCCAGTCCATGCCTTTATGCCGCCTGCCGGGGCCACTGGAAGTGACGGTGACGCGGAAGAGGAGCTCCTCGCTTCGACTATTGAGACCGAAATCCTTGATTTGTTCGAAGATGAGTACTGCAACAAGCATCTGATCTACTCGATCATTGAGACCGTACTCGCGAGGCTTTTGCCTGAGTTGTCGGATCGGAGTATTGCTGAACTGATGGAGGACAGGGGAGTTTTCGTACCCACTGGTTGATCTGAGATCCTTATGAGCGCTAGCACATACTGTAAACAAGGGTAGTACTAATGGAGTATATAACATCTGTGGTTGCCATAATAGGCAGTAGAAGGTACGGAAGTAGGGTGGAATAAGAAAGAAGCTCGGGCCCTCATCGACTGCAGACATATGGGACAGTGGAGGTAGCCTCGACAAAGATAGGAAGGCTTGGGCGACCTCTAGTCCAGGCCTTGGATAGCACAGCACTTCGCATCCCGCAAAGCCTGCTATCGATAAGATCATATTTGTCCAGCCCTCACCGGGACACTTACCCGAAACATCCTACTATCCGAGACCCCGACATTAGGAGAACCTATCCTCGCAGCTGTCTGAAGTTACGGAGGGTTGGTTGGTGATGGAACCTCCATTATGGAACAAAGAAACAAAGAAAGGCAAGATTCAAAAAGAAAAAGAAAATAGGGAATAGAGTTCCTGAGGCGCAGCACGACGCAAGCCTGGAGGTGGTTTTTGTCTAGTCTAGTCAAGTCTAGTAGTCTGCAACCTGCTTTTGCGGTGCCCTGTGCCCTACATACTGCCAGGTTCTGTAATCTGTCGGGATGGGCTGAATTATGCAGTCAGCCGAGTGTTTTGTGCTTGGTGGTGTGGGACAGAACCAAAAGAGGTAAATTGGAGGGATACCTTACTCGACCTCCCTCCCTACCTAACCACTGATCCTGCTTGAATTTGAGGTTGGAGTCGACTTTTTTGATCAGAAGACGCTGGGTAATCGAAGAGGGTGCGCAGGTGCAGGTGCACTGGGCAGCCGACATGGCACCCATCCATCTTGGCAGACTCCAGCCCGAACAACAGACAGGGGAGACCAGGGAGCGAGAATTATTGGTTGGATGGATAATTGTGCTGTGTAAGTTTACTCCGGACCCTGCTTACAGCAGTCGCTAGCAGCAGTAACTAGTAATAGTTAAGTAGTTGTTGCCTTAGGTACCTAACTAGCAGCCACAGTGCTTTACGTATCGAAGTACCTCCGACTCCAAAATTCAGGCCTCCCGGGTTGGATCGGTCTGCAGGATCCAAATACTGGGTACTTGGTACATAAAACCAAGCCGGGGGTACCGATAGAGACACGGGCTGGCTGGGTGCACAAGGTGGGTTTAAAGTGTAACACCCTTGTACCGAGGATAGGCGATCGGGTAGATGTACATATCATGACGTCTAGTCTGGGCTCTTAGTTGAGTCTCGGCATGAACTGGCCTTTGGAAAACTGACTGGACAGATTCGAATGCCAAAAAGGACCAAAAGACGGGTCTGTTTGTGTGAAGAGAGAAGAGTGACGCAAAAGATGCGGTGAGTGGGAAGTGGCACTGAGGAGAATTACTAAGGAAAGGTACTTCTGTATGTACGGTATGGCCGCTCAGTTCAGTTGGGAGGAAACAAAAATAAAACGGTACTGTCAACATCCGACAGACAGCGGCTTGATTGCTTTCAGTCGCGGCGTGCGTCAGAAACGAGATTGATAGATGATAAAGTAAATGTAAGTAAGGCGTTGGGAATAAATGCATGATGGAATAGGTAAACAAAGCAATGTACTTCATGAGAAGTAGGGGGGAATCAAATGCAGTTCGCGTGAGCGGGCTGGTTTAGATGGATTATGCAGGGAATAATAAAACAGGAACAAGTGCAGCGATGGCCAGGGATCCAAGGGGTATGGGAAGAGGGAACTGGTAAGGTGTAAATGTATGAAAGAAAGAAAGCAAACAATTCAACAAATTCGCGCCGTTATATCCGCCATGCATCCTATCCATGAGGAGCAGTAGTGTAGTCCTCCGTAATATCATACCGTATAAATGAGGTCGCCCTCGTAATATCTTTATCATCCGGTTTTGCCCAAAATCCAGCAAAATGTGCAGGTGCTTAATCAAACAAGGAATCGACAGTAAAGGCATAAAAAAACCCAACATGCAATAAAAACCGGGCCATCCCAAGGTGTTAGAGAGTGGGAGCGGGATAGCATAACAAGGGGGAAAACAATAAAATAGAAAAATAAAAAAGATCATAGCCACATTCTTGTGTGGTCAGTTGGGGCGTTGTATACAGGGCATCAGCCAAAGTTTTGAATACTCCGCTTCTTGGCGAGGCGAGGTTGGTGAGGAAGGTGAGGAAGGTGAGGAACATCGTCATGCTCGTCAATACGAGTGAGACCTCCCGGGAGTGTTGTTGGCAGTTGAGTTTTAGCAAGCTCTAACCTCTCCATCAATTTGCCGATGGTAACATATTCCTGGGCACCTAATCCCGACGGCTGATGTTCAAAATAGTGCATGACTAGTTCCAGGGCTTTGCGGGCTTCGTCTTGCGTAGGGGACCCTGGTGAACTGACGGGCGAAACGGTTGTGGACTTGGAGTATAAGGGGGGGTATATAGTTTTAGCGCGAATTTCTGGGTTGCTTCGATTCCGTTTAATTGTGCCCGTGGATGTATCGAGGTTGAGTGAAATCTTTTGGCCCTCATCTTCTCCAACGGACTCCTCCATAGCGGCAGGCAAAAGACCCTTCATGGCCGATGTCGGATTCGGTGACTCGTCCGTGGGAATGGAGACGGGATCGGGGTTGATGAGTGGGAATGTCTGGCTCCTGGGCCTGCTGGAGTTCCCGTCCGTGGGTGAGACACGGGACTGACTCAGGGGTGTGAACGGACTTTCGGTAACCAGTGTGGATGTTGGAGAGAAAGAAGCTGTCGTATCGAGCGAGATTGTGCTCTTGGAATGTGCATGTTGGAAGTCGATTCCTAGGTCTGTGGGTCCTATGGATATACTCCCTCTGATGTTTTCCTGGCTTTGAGCCGGAGACAAGGGCGAAGGGGATGCGAAACCGGTAGGTGAAATGGGCGAAAGCACGGTGGGTGACTGCACAGCAGATGCTAAAGCTGAATTAATGCTCAAACCAGTTGGACTCGCCGACTCGCTTTTCGTCCCAAACGAGCCCTTTCGGGCTTTGGCGCCGAGCAAGCCATTCTTGTGCTTGAACTTTTCCAACCAGCTGCTAGTCAGGACCTTTTCCTTGCCGTCGGAGTTGCCGCAGGTACTGGCGAAAAAGAGGGCCTTTTCTCGGATCATTTCATCGGTTAGACCATGTCCTCCTCGCTGATAATTCCTGACCCAGTTGGATAGGGCCTTTTCGATATCAGGAACTCGGCCCTTGTTCCTTTTAATTGGTGATCGGCTTCCATCCTCAGGGTTAAGGTACTTGTCTTTCTGCCGGAGTACTTTCGAAACGGTGCTTCAAAGAAGTGTTAGAAGGCCTTGCCTGTGAGGCCACTGAGGGAGTCACTTTACCTTCGTTCAACACCAAACAATGCTAGATTGGAACTCGTTAGCTTTTGTCTTTCCCTTTTAGAGACTGGGGAGAAATGAACAAAGACATACCTCCAATATCGGTTTGTTTAGCGGTCTTGTTCTCCTCGTGATAGAGGCACATTTTCCGTCGATCTTCGTCAGTGAGCGTCCTCCGCGGTGTTGAGCTACTCGCAGATGACTTCCTGGGTGGCGGAGCCGGTGCAACTGGTGATATAGACGGGGCAATTGGAACAGGGCCTGCTGGGAGCTCTGGGGGTTGGAATGGAGTCTGAGATGTCGGGGTGAGCATACTGGGCCAGGCGTTAGAAGGCACAGTCATCGGTAGAGGCACGTAGGGTGGTGGTATTGTGACGCCGTAGGCAGGATCTAATGGCACAGATCCGTATTGGAATCCGTGATACTCTATTGGTGGCGAGTGTTGGGATGGATGAAACCCGCCCATGTCCATCCAGGGAGACTGCGCAAAGCCATTGTCTTGCGAATTGGGAGTCTCTGTATCCATGGCGTATAAACCTGGGGATACAATGCAACACTGGAGGCGACAGAGGGCTGGAGCAGTGGAGAGGAGGCGAGGTTGGCGGAGGGGAGAGAGAGCACACTATAAGCCGCAGGCCCTAGGAGCGGAGGAAAGTGTGAGGGGAAATGACGAGGATACAGGAAAAAGCAAAGAGGGAAAAAAAGGACCGGTAGCAGCAGGAGTCGGAGCTAGAGCAGTGACAGGACAATGATCTAGAGCCAAGACAAGCAAAGACCAAGCAGATGATGCATATTCAAGATTGAGCAGTCGCAATTACAGCGGTGAATGGTGGACAAGGACGAAGTCGGACGTGCTGGATCCGAGAGAGCTTGACCAGGGCTATCCCAAAGCGACATATATGCATACAACAAAGCTTGGGCACGGGGAAGAGAGGGAAGAGGAAGAGACGGGGGAGGCGATGATGGGGATGGGCTGCGTGTAAGGCATGGACGGAGTTTAAAAATTGGTTCAGACGTTCAGACCAGGCCGCAGGCGCAGGGACGATCACAAAAGAAAAGAAGGCATCGGCCAGAGGATTTGCGTCGAGCAGACGTGAAGAGAGTATACGACTTGGGTCGGAGGACAATCTCGGTCGAGGCGCTGCGATTGGGCTGGTGTGGATGGTGGAATGGTACCTCGCCGTCCTACCCCGGCTCACCAATGCCATCCGCAGCAGGGCCTTTTGATTTGATTTGATTTATTTTATTTTATTTTATTTTATTTTATACATTGTTTTTAATTTATCGTCTGGCCGGGGTTCAGGACTGGATTCGACAGACTTGAGTGAAGAGATTAAAATTACGGCTGGCTGCTGCGAGCGAACAATATTGAAAAACAGCGCTTTTGCGCTCTGATTGGCCACCCCGAAATCCTCTGCAGCCGAAATGGTGGGGAAGCCCCCCGCTGATTGGCCGGAAGCCAGATTGACGAGCAGGGATCTCAGCTCAGCCAGGTTGACAGTACTGACAGTACTTGACCGTACGTGACCCCAGCCCTCGTCATGGCCTGTACTGCGTCGTGTCTCCGTACCGTACCTCAATACGCCCTGATTCCGTTCCTGTTCCTGCTGTCCTGCCAGGTGCTGGGAAAATCTGACGATAAAGGTGCATTGAGCTTCTGGCTTCGACTCCGCAGGCAGTTACACCGATTCTCATGAAAAAGTCAGTGATGACTCGCGCACGGAACAGAGATCTCAAGTGGAGCCCAAAGGGCTAAACAAGGGCCAATTTCGAACAAAGCGAGAGAGAAAAAACAGAGGCCGAAGAGAACTCTGGAACGCTAATCGCATTATCGCAAAGAACCAGAATAATAATGCAATTCTCCTCCCCTCCATGGTTGTCCATTCTCACCTCTTCCCTGTGTTTTCCACCAACATTTTGTGTCGCTTTTTACTGCTCTTGCGCATTTCCCGCATCCGGTTGCTGTCATTACATAAGTAAGCCCTTGGTGCCTGTATGACACGATCCCTCGAAGGTGTAACTCCACCCATCAGGCATGAAGATCAAAACTGAAAATGTAGAGAGGATCGTCCTCGGTCAAGAAAACTCGCGTGATGACTCGCTGAGCCCGCGGATACTTCCTCCCGTGAAGGACTCTCCTAAGACTCCAATCCCCGTCCTGAGCCTTTGACGGACGGGGAGCGGATCGCAAGAAATCGGTGAAGTTAAAGGCCCGCATGACATACCGGAAGGAAGACGACGGGTGGTTCTTCAATCCGTACGGGATTCTCGGAAATCAGAGAGTACCAAGCTAGGTCCAATTATTGTCCTAAATGCCAGTCCCAAGAGCCCCCTCGCAAAAGGGCGTGTCAGAGACGAAATGTCATGGCTTGCACTATCGGTCTTTCGCAAACCAAGTGGAGTGCCAGCGGCCGTGTGAAGGTTAGCTTGAAAATTTGAACGAGGCGTTCTTTTATCCATCAGAAAACGGCCCTTGAGGCGTTGAGGAGGAAATGGGCCGGCGGAGTCGATCTTTATCAGTGCTCTCGAGGAAGCGGCATGACCGAGGGTTTCTTTCGTACACCGTAAACCATCGACAAATCGAGGCTTGAGCTTGTCAGGATTTATATGAGGGGATGACGATATCCACCCAGGATTGTAGTACGTAGTTATTCTCTCCTCTTTGCTCAAAAGGGAGAGAGCTCTCAGGAGGGACGAAAAAGCTCGCTCAGAAAACCCTCCTACCAAGGACTCAGTTCGGACTAGCTCTTGCTTCCCTGATAAGTTGGTTAGCCCAGTCAAAAAGCATTCCTGATCTGCGTCTAACGTACTTTGTCACGAGAGAAGCCATGAGACTGAGAGGGCACTTACTCGAATCAGAAGCCTTGAAGTGATTTCAATTTATTATTCGCGATGGAAGCTGACCAAGGATTGGAAGAGAGGCTCAGCCTATCACGGCAGGTCCAGGAGGCATGGTTCCTTCAGAGGGTGACACTAGAAGGACAAGGTCAGTTTAGCGCGAGCAGGTGCCTTCAAGAAGGTTGAAGGTTGATCGAATTCAAGAGGGCTGCGAGGGAGCTCGGACCCCACGCTCCACAAGGCCCGCAGCGGTCCACTCCGGGCCGCCAGTCTAAGCTATGCAAATCTTAATATTCGCAGCCCCGAGTGGCATCCATGTTTCTTTCAATACTCGTTCCGTATTCCAAACACAAGCTTGATTCTAGGTTCTACCAAGGCTTTTTCTGTCAACATTCCCATGTTCCTGGCTTGAGGCCTCAGGTGCCCGTCTTATTCGGTTGTCTGGGTGTCCGTACCTGGCGGCGCTTGTTCCACTGTCAGCATGGAGGCGGCCCGCGGGGGCTGCGAATCCGATGCGTAATCTAGAAAGTTGATGTATCGGTGGCTTGCGCAGCCTTACTGGGGCGAAAGAACCGAGCCAGCAGCAATTGGCCCTGATCGGGTTATTCTGCTGACGGCGTGGAGAAACGTGATTAGGGCCGCACACCAATCAGTGGAGCCAGCCTGCATATTTGGCTGACCACGAGGTCTGTCAGCCAAGTCAGTTACCGAGATCGAGCGACCGTAACTATTGTTTGTAACACATTGTCTCAGAGGTTGTGCTATGTGGTGCTCGGTGGTGCTAGTTGTGGCTTTCCGCGCTTTCTTGGGTAAGGCGCCAGACCTGGGTTAACTTTTGTTAACTCTCTTTGGAAGGACTGTGGGCTACCCTAGATCACGCTGGCGGCTGAAGGTTTTAAAAGCGCTTCTGTAACGAGCAACCACCCAAACAGAGCCAAACTTGCTTCAGAGACACAGACCTACCATTGGCTCAACCCTGAGTCCAAACCAAGGAGACAGGTCATCACTTCCATACGCGGCAGTAGATATTGCGAGTTTTGAAAGTTGTTGAACGCTGGGCCCAGAGGTGTTGGATTCCAAATGAGACAGTTATGCTCGAAGGAGACGAGTATCAAGTATCAGCCAGTCGGGACCCAGGAAGAAAGCGAAGCGAGACATTTTACTGCCCCTAACTATCCTCGAGGAGAAGGGAAAAGGCCCGGCGCACGCTGTAATAGCCTTATGGGGTACGGAGTATACCTCCAAGAATAGATCTGGATCTGTCAGGAACCACGCCATGCCATGGCATTGAGCAGCATGTCAGTTTGCCTTTCCGAGGGATGCTGCATCCTGCCATTAATATCCGCAATACGCAGGATAATTATATGCTATCAGGAAGGCCTAAGACAGGGTGCACCCCAGTCTGCACCCTTTTCCAGACATCCTTGAGCGGAGCGGGGTCGGGTTGTCGTCATCCACCCTTCGCGATAATACTACAAACAAGCGATAACAATGCTAAGAAAGACTAGTCTGGCCCGATCTCGCTCTTAAACCCTCGAGGAGTCATGACATCAGGCGATCAAGCGGGCGATACGCTGCGGCTACTCTGTATGGTATGACAATGCTGACACCGAGTTCAGGTAGCAGATGGGTCGATTCAGTCGGCAGTTCGGTCTGTACCGTAAATAAGTCGACTTCAACAATTCAAAATAACGGCAGATATTTTGAAGAAGGTGTCGTATATTCGGAGAAGTTCCGTGTTTCTTCTTTTCCCTAAATTTCTTTGTGCTTTTTTATTAATAAGATTGTCGGTCTCCAGCCAGTTCCGAAGGCGAAGTGTGGCTGGCACGAAGGATCTGCGACATCAAACCAAGAAATAATAAAAAAAAAAATAAGACGGAGAAATCAGTAAGAGATAAAAAAAGAAAGGCCAGTGACTTTTCTGAGGGGTCTACCCGTCACCAGAGCAGGATCACTTCGAGACGGCTTGAGAAGAGTCCCTGCTTTGATACCTAAAGTAGATTATTAGGCGCCCAACAGTGCCGATAACCATCTGTGCCGTCTTCGGCCAACGAGTGACTGGATCTCGAGGTCAGTCAACATTATCAGTAATATCAACACGGGATCTGGGCCGTAGATATCAATTGAAGATTGAACGAGGCTGCGTGTTTCGTGGGAGGGTAAATCTCGGCGGCGCTTAGAGAAGCGGAAACCTTGTGTAAGGCGACCCGCGTCCCCTTGCATCAAGTAACGTCATCCTATCCTCCAGAGTCGGTGAAAGACCCGCGTGAGTTGCAAGTTGACTTTGAGTCGCAAGACTTCCCGGGGATTGGTTGCCTGATTTGCGATTGATGGAGACATCAGGGCAGAGATATTCCTGTTGATACTGATAGGTCCAGACGGAGGCAAATGACCGATAGAAATGGTCCGAGCAGCCCTGGGAATGGCGATCCCGAGTATTAGGAGAGACTTATCAATCAACGTTGAGTTCATAAGCGGTTGGGCTCCGCCGTCGAACTAGGCAGGAGTTAGGTTTGTTTCATGGTTGGAGTTCAGAACTTGAGACCCCGATCAAACTCTCAACTCCAGTTTTGATGCAAGTCATTATTTTTATCGTAACCTTATATCTGAATTGAGGGTTCTAGATTCCGTCGCGATTCAGTCTCAAAGGGCCAGTTCCCTCGATTCGTGGTGGAAAGAGGGAGGTACTTTTGTACGCCCGTAGCCGCCTCGGCTGCTGGGCCGCCATCTTGGAGTCCAACAGGAGCTACTCTCCAACCCCTGTCGAGTTGCCAGCATCTAGACTGGGTTGTTGTTACCGTATTTACGGTAAACAGCATTGAAGCCCAAGGGCAAATGAGAAGCCAGGAAGTTCTGATTTCCTCCTGTCGGTCGCCATCTCCCTCCTGACATTGCGTCGAAGCCACGGACCCCGGACCTTGTCTACTTGCAGCACCATGGCGAAGTCGCAGCCTTGCTCGGGATTCGAGGTTCGAGATATCCCCAGAGTCCGAAGCCGTACAGATTGAAATGATTTGTTCCCTGTCCACTGGGGTATCATGCATATCCATTGAGCAATTTAAGGATGAACCGAGAGTCTCCTGAATACTGATCAGGGGTACTCCATCCTCAGTTTGCGCGCTGTGGAGGCAAGATCCCGTGGAATAGGGAAAAATGCTCTGGCAACGCGGCCTGCGCTGCCCGGTTTTGTGCACGAGCGCAATTAATCCAAGGTTTGTCTCGCACAAGCTTGAGTCATCCACTCAACCCATGGTTGTAAAACCTCGCTGTTCTGAAGCTGGCGCTCACTCATAAGCTCCTAACTGTGTTTCGTCTACAGTAGGTCACGTCTAGATCCAAGCAGTCACCAATCGTCTCCTACAATTATCGGCGACGATGATCACATTGCGTGGTGCTGTTATTTGTTTTGTTTCATCGAACAGGGGGCCAAAGCGAAGTGCAGAAGTAAAATAGGAGAATACGGTATCGGAGCATTTAATATGTCACTACTCGTTCAGATATCCTGGGATGTGATCTAGAACTTCCATTGCTTTTTGGTTCCGGGAAATTCGGATGTTTGCATGGTCCAAGGGCGCCTCGAACGTTTAACTAAAATAAATGAGAAGAAATAAAGTTGGCAGGACTATGTACTGCTCACCAAGAAACACCGTCGTTTAGGGCAGCTTTCAAACCCAACAGCTTCTCGTTCCTTCCTCACGCATCTTTGCGATGAGAACCGATTGCGCATCACATCGGGTAGCAGAGGAATGCAGACTTAGTCGCGGTGCAGGTACCCCAAGGCTAGCTAGTGATCTTGCAGGACCAAGCGGCATTTCGCAGCCTGCTGCCCGTGCGCAAATAATCCCCTCCAATCAATCCTCTCGCACCATTTCGCAGGGTTCTATCACAAGGTCTGGGACTCTTGGATAGAGTCCTTTGCAAACGCAACCCTAGCACACAGCCCGCTGAACTTTCTCGACGCGATTCGTCGTAGGTTGTTCGTGTTCGGGCCAACACCCCGGTGTTGATATATTTTCGGTACCTTTTACCGCTTGATAATCGTCACTATCGTTGCAACGTTAGTCCTGGTAGGTCCAATGAAACTCCAAGTAGAGGGGATACAGACCAATATCCTCATCACCCAGTTCGTGGGTGAGACCAACACGCTGTGGTTGATGTTTGACGGACCGACCATAGACAATAGCTTGTTTGAATTGATCCTTGATAGTCCGATGGATGGAGTTACACTAAATGCGTGTCAGCGAACTATGAATCCTGGGTGAGAATTAAGTGAAGGGAGGAGGGTCATACAAAGTCCTCGACAGTACACGCGTTGGCCCTAAGCACAACAGGGGCAGTATAGTCGGGAGCCTTCCCCTTGGGCTTTGTGTAGACTCGACGGAGGTTGAGTTTTTCCCACATCAATTCCAAAAGCTCGTCAATATTCCAACCGTGCTCCGAACTAATGGGAACGGCGTTAGGGATTCGGTACAGGAGATCAAGCTCCTCAATAGTGATGGAATCAATCTTGTTCAGAGCGTAAACAACAGGTATATAAGCGCGGCTTTTAGCCTCAAGAACATCAATGAGATCATCAATCGTCGCGTCGCATCGGATGGAGATATCCGCAGAAGAGATCTTATATTCACCCATGACAGCTTTAATTTCCTGCTTAGGTTAGTAGCCGCCATAACATTCAGACCTGAATTCGAAACTTACGTCGTGATCAATGTGAGTCAGGGGAACAGTGCTTGTAATGGCAATTCCGCCTTTATCCTTCTTCTTGAAGACGATGTTAGGGGGTTGTTTATTGATTCTGATTCCGAATCCCTCCAATTCCGTTTCAATAACTTTTTTGTCGACGAGGGGCTTATTAACATCGAGAACAATGAAGATTAGATGGCACGTCTTGGATACAGCAATAACCTGCCGTCCACGACCTTTACCATCTTTGGCACCTTGGATAATACCAGGAAGGTCCAGAATCTGAATCTTCGCACCGTTGTACATCACTTGTCCCGGAACAGTCGTTAAGGTTGTGAACTCGTAGGCCGCGGCTGTAGCAAGATTTCGTCAACATATGGTCCCTGGTTTTCTCGCCTGGTCTGCGCATACCTTCAGAATGTTGGCCCGTCAACTTGCTCATCAATGTACTTTTGCCGACAGAGGGAAACCCAATGAAACCACTATCACCACGTCAATGACAACTCCATGCTAAATAGTATGCGCAAGAGAGACATACACACTGGCAACACCGGTACGAGCAACATCGAAACCAGCTTTGAATCACCGAATTAGAACAATGCAGGTTGACGATCACGCAGTTGCACTTACCACCACCGCCTCCACCGCCTCCAGACGGCGTCAAAAGTTCACGTTTTAGCTTAGCAAGCTTGGCCTTCAACTGTCCTGTAGTCATTCCGTCAGCGACCGACTTCTGCTGATAGAAAATCCGCCGGCGTGGCCATACCCAAATGATAGGATGTGTTTTTGTTCTTCTGTGTCCTGGCCATCTGTATATACTGTGTTAAATGTGCGTTCTGAAAGCCACTGTCTTCGGGGACCGGAAGCGAACCTCATCCTCGACTTGCTTGATCTATACTCATACATGGCCTGGTTAGCATTATGTCTGAAAGAAAATGGTGGGAGCTGACCTTATCCACGGTGGTAGACATTGTGGCGGTATATTACGAGATGACCTCCTCGTAAAAGGGAATACTTATACAATATTGGAGCGAATAAAGGCAGATTTGGCTGGTTGAGACGCCCACTAAACGAATGCTTTGTTGGAAAGAGAGTTGGTGGTGTTTGGCGGGGATAGTTCGTTCGACGGATCAATCTTTGAATTTGTGGCCGCCACCTGATTTGCCCGCTCTGGGCGGAGGATACTGTTGCCTGAGGCATAAAGGTATACAGGCACCAACTCTATCTCTTATCGCTTATCATCGCTTATCGCCATCATAGATTTGATTCATGTCGCTCCTTCTGAAGATCCTCTACAAACGCGCACTAAACCTCAGCCATGTGTCGCAGTCAAGCAATCCGTCATTACCCATGCCGCTGATAACGAAGGTCACTCCCCGTATCCTTCCAAATTCTCGGATTCGCCCTTCTAGCGCAACCCTAATGCTCGACACACTTTCTGTCCTTACCGTTACCGATAACCCGCCGCAAACTACATACAACATTCGAGGTTGGACGGGCCCGAGCATAGAGCAGTGAAAGAGTTCAAGATGCCATATCTCACTTCTGGATCAGATTCTCCCTCAGATCCCGGGGAGCCTTCCAGTAATACTTTCGAGGAACTCGTCCAAGACCTCAGTATTGCTCTTGGTCCCACGTCCGGACTAGACTCTGACGATGTCGACCCTCTCAATATCCAGCGCTTGATGGAACGATATACCTCAAATCAAGATGACTGGCTTCGTTTTGCTTTAGGAGACTCAACCAGGTCCTACACGAGGAACCTTATCGACGAAGGGAACGGAAAGAGTAACTTGGTAAGCTTCCCTGTCCCGCTAACAGGAATTATTCCTTATTTTATCGTTATTCGGACCGGCCTATACGCGTATTTTTATTTTTACGGCCATTGTACATGTGTCTGAAGGCCTTTTCTGTACAGGTCTGGGTGGAGAGGTAGCTGGGCCGAGAACATGTCCATCTGCTAACTATGCTCCTAGCTGATCCTTGTTTGGAATCCTGGACGGAGTAGTGCCATTCACGATCACGCGAATGCGCACTGTGTTATGAAGGTACTACCAAACTACCAGTTGTCGGCCATTTCGCTTTTGGCTTTGGTCGCCTAGGTTGACTCAGTTCGTTTCGACTAGGTTTTGAAAGGCACTCTTCAAGAAACTTTATACACATGGCCGGACCAGGAACGGATTGAACATGGACAGGTTTCTCCTCCTCAGGTAAAGAAAGTGACTACATATGGCGAGAATCAAGTCACTTACATGTCTGACAAAGTCCGTTGAATATCCCCATTATTAGTTGAAGTTTTGCTGACATCTCAAAGTTGGGCTTGCATAAGATCCACAACCCGGATCCCAACAACGTGGCTATTTCCCTACACCGTATGTACTCTGTCGTCACTATCTGTCCTCACCCTGTATGTCTTACAGCAGCGCGTTTATTTACTAGTTTACACACCGCCGAATGCCGCAAATTACGGGGTCTCCATCTTCGATGAAAAATCCGGAAAGGCATGCCACATCAAGCAGTCGAATCTCTACTCTATTCGAGGCAAACGAGCATGATTCAGCCCTTGATCAGTTTTCGTGGATTTTTTTGGTTCTAGCTCTTCGTCGCATTCAGCGTCCAGCGCCTCACTCCTAGTAATTAATGTAAACCCACCCAAGTAGCCTTATCCATCGGATTCTTGATACTATTCTTCTACCCGTTTTTATACGCAAAACCTGTCCTTGTGGGCATTTGGCATGAATACTAACATTCATTACTAACGCTGAGAAAACAATTCTTGGTTCCCTGTTCATGATTCCCTGGGGTGTATTAGGCAGTTTTGCTCTTATGATTAGTATGGAATACCAAGCACATCCATGATAAATCATTATGGATGACTTCCTGTCCATTAGTCAAGGGTGCAGCGTAAATATCGAATTTACTTGTGTGGTCTGTATCCACCTAGAAACAATGCATATATAGATAGTGTGCTTGAAACGTGATATTATACATCTTCCATATAAAATGCGAATTCAATGCATACGAGGGCTGCAGAATAAATAATGCAGATGCAATTAGATATTTGAAAACAAAAATGAGGGGCTGAAAAAGGAGAAATGCATATATAGATTTAGGTGAAAAATATCAATCTGGATCTGGTCCGAAATCGCACGAGTGCGATTGTGACTCTTCCTCTCCCGTGCGCCCACCACCCCTATCTCCGAGAGCCCAAGTAAGTCGCTCAGCCAGCGAATCTGAACTGTCCAAGCCGCCGTTCTGCCGCCGGCGCAACCGCTCGAGACGGACTGAAGGATTCTGTAAATTCCCAATATAAGTACGTCGCTCGAAGGAGGTGTAAAAACACATCAACCGTGAGACCCACCCAGTCCTCCTGGCTTGGCACGCCTTCTGCGGCGGGGAGTTGCTCTGTTGTGAATTCGTCGGGGCTGCCTGTTGCTGGAGCCCGGTGGATGGGCGCCGGCGTGACAGGTAGGCTGGGGCGTTCGATTTCGCTGGGGAAATCGGTTATTCGAGTGCCGATATTGGGGCCGGGTTGCTGGTTTGCTATTGCCGTTTCGGCCTTTTGTTGATCGGGGCCGCCTGAGAGGACCTGGATGCTGCCCTTGCGGGGTCCTTGGATGGACTGAATGTACTGTTGAATTTCTGGCACTTCATCCCAGGCGTTGGACCGTGAGTAGGTGTCCCATGATTCACTAGGTAGGCTGGGTACATCGGATGTCCAGGATGTCTGGTGAGAGGATTGAGTCGTTCTGGAGTCTTCTTTGATGGATACTGGAGACGGCAAGCGTTGAGTTTGGGGCTGCTCTTCAGCAAACACTCTTGTGGGCTTTGGTGCGTTCTGCTCCCACGGGAATATCTGGGTGATTTTCTTTGGCTCCGGTTTCACAGGCGGGACTTGATAATACATGTTTTTGGGGGCTTCTGGATAGGATGCTGGTGGCTGGAAAAGCTGATGGTCATCTGACATGGTGTATGTCTTTGTCTCTAATGCGATTCCCTCAGGTTTTGAATATAGAGGAGGCGGTTCCCTATAAGACTAAGAGTCAGTTGGTATATTTGATAGTCTAGCAGGGGATTCATAATACCGAGACGCATCCCATTCCGCCTGAGGCGCCTCAAATGTCGGTTGCTCTTGTGGTGGTGGTTGAGGTGATGGTGTGCGTTGTGTCTCGATGGATGCTTGCGGATAAGGATGATGAGAATTGCCATGGCCCAATGGGTGAACTGGCTGCAAGGATACACTGGGTCCTTGTGTTGGAGTAGGTTGTGTAAAACGATGGGTTTGAGCTTGATGGTGCTGCTGTATATACGTCTTTACATGCTCTTCTCCCCGGACATATTGTGGAACAACACTGATGACAGGTTGTTCGTTATGTCGATCTGGTGGCCGTTCAGCAGACAATGCCACATCATCTGGCTTTGGAAGATAAGACAGTTGGGCAGTCGCTGTTGAAGCTTGTTCGCGCGTGTGGTATTCTAGCGGCGGACTTGATGATAAGTCGGTTTGAGGTACTGATATTGCAGCAACTGATGCCTGCTCAGAATACTGCTGTTGCACAGTTTCGTGGGAAGTTTGAATATGTGTCTCGGATACCGATTCGTCTGTATAGAGAATTTGCGGAAGAGCCGATAGAGTGCCTGGTTGTATTTGTTCCTAGAGGTGCATTAGTCTCACAGCCCGAACTATGGTCTTTCAAAGATTAGCTTCGCAGGGCACCCATGCCAACTCACGGTAGCTATAGGGTAGTAATGTCCATCGTAAATAGTCCACCACCTTCCCAGTAATTGGTTAAAAGGCGAATCGAAAGGAGTCACTTGTCTCGACATATTCCAAGGTTTCTGAGATCCAATAAAATGCACCAAACTGATCGTACTCTGAAAATGTCTATAAGCTGGGATATATTGATAATTCGCGCTGGGTGTACAGTTGTAGGTAAAGCTGAGCCGATGCCAGTCGCGAAAGTGCATGTTCAGTAACCCCTGGTCGGCGCCGTCAAAGCTGATGCCTCTTTCCGCAAGCGCTTTCAGCGCAAAGTAATCCTGAATGTTGGGTCGCAATACCATAACGCCGCTGTTGAAGCAATCGGGCCAGCCGACGTCCGGAGCAGCGGCGAAATCTACGTCCAGTTCCAGAAGCTCATCCGGAGCTCTGACGGCTACCACATCAGAATCAATGTATACAATGCGCTCGAACTGTGTTTGTCGCCATAGTTCAATCTTGGTAAAGGTGGCTATTAAATCTGGGCGTTCCATGAGCCACAGGTTCGCTGGGGTGTGGTTCGTCATTCGATAGACGGGAATGAGCACATCGTAAACGGCCTAGGCCAGCTAGCTGTGTTAGGAACAGTTGCGGGATATACCAGCCCCATGTGTAAGAGGGATGTGGACTGCGCACCTGAAGCTCATTTATCGTGGAAGCTTGCAAGGTATCCGGGGTATATAAAACAACCAGCTTGGCCCGTGAGCCATTGTCGCGTAACGAGTGGGCGAGGACCACTGCGCCTAGATAGAAAATAGGCGGGTTAGTATGTGGAATTGACGACGGCAAAGCGACTATTGGATTACCAGGAAGGTAGTTATCGCTCAAAAGTAGCTGTATTCGAGTTAAACGACATTCAATGGCGCCACAGCTCAGGGCGGGCTACGTACTGTGCAATAAACTGCACCTTCTGGGGTCACCATCCCGGAGGCGATTGAGGGTAAGGAATGCACCAAAACTTCAAAAGACCAAACCGGAAGGAAAAACCAAAACGAGAGAAAGCCGAGTCTCAGTGACACCGAAGCTGATTCTAAGCTGTGAGGGAGAAGGGAGAGGCATGGGGATTTGTAGAGCGCAGGCGGACGTTTCCCCTCACGAGGATCGCGTTATGACGGGAGCAGCCCCGCCCGCCACCAACAGGGATAGGAGCAGTCTCCAGGGGCATTATTATGACGCGCGATAAAATTTATTCTGCGACATCTCTGTTGTTTATTCTCCCGAGGCTCGAAGCTTTCTATCCCCGCGATTGAATTGAGATACAGAAGAGCTCCAAGGAGTGATGGGCGACGGAGGAAGGCAAAGATTGCACAATCGGCTTGCTTGACCTTCCAGCCCTGAAGCTTTGGCCTCGTCCTTATTTATTTCTACACCAGCCTTGATTAGCGCTGCTAATTTTAAATATCTTCCACTGTTTCTTCGCGACCCAGTGGGATATCACTCAACGTTATTGCATATTTCTCTCTGCATGGGAAGATATATGTATAGCAGAGGTAACAAGGAAGTCAGTCATCGGTTACACCAACCATGGCCAGCAACGGCTCATATAGGGAAACACCACTTGAGTAACACCAAAACAAATAATTTGGCACCCCTGCTGGTCACAAAAGCACTTGAGCAACTACAACAATAAGAAAAAAAAGCACATAACAGTCCAAGAATGCGGGTGATATAGGAACATCGACGCATTATATGGAATCAACCAGACCCAGATCATCCCCCAATCCGACAGCTCATTTTCTAATCGTCACCGTTGCTCCTGGACAGCAAGCCCCAATGACCGCCCCAATGTCATCCTGTTCACCTTTCACAGCCCACTCAACCGCCTTGGTCAATGCAACCTGACCCTCCCGCTCCAACGGAGTCCAGTGCGCACTATTTGGAAGCTCAATGACCTGACTGCCCTTGGTAAGGTAGTCCGAGATGCCGTCCAGACACAGCTGCCGAACGAGCGCATGATCTTTCTGGCCCCAGACGATGGTAGCCCTAGCTTTGAGAGCTCCTCGCGGTCCCTCATCGAATAGCCCGGCCCCACTGCTAGTGCGCCGGATTCCAGTTGCTTGCGCAATTTCGTGCAGGCCTGCTATGGTCTCAACTGATTTCTGCCACCGGGCAACAGCGGTACCTTCGCGGTAGTAGCGGCACATTTCAAAGAAATTAGAGACGGCTCGCCTGGTGATCGCAGTTTCAGCATACCCTTTGCCCTCGGCCGTTCGTGTCTTGCTTTCATGAATTGACGGGCCACTTGAACTAGCCATGCACTCTGCAGCGTCGACAATAGAAAAGTCCTGTTTTCCGTAGGACGTTTTATGTGCGTACTTCAAAAACGATTGATTTCCTCCAGTGCCAACGTAACTGACCAGAGCAGGAGGCAGCTGGAAGACAGCAACGTATCCCGAGCTCCATACTTGACGAATAACAGGAGTCAGAGACTTTACGGCATTGAACAATAGTGAACGCTCGCGGATTGGTGCGCGTATAAATGATTTGAGCATTTTCAAGGAGGACGCCAGCCGACGACGAATATTAGAAAACACCAGGGAAACCTAGGACCTGTATGTTAGCCAAAAATGGATTTCTCGCGTCGCAGAATGAAATAAAAAGGCACGTACAATTGGTGCGTTGGTTACAATGAACCTGTTGGCCAGTTCAGGGGCATCGGCAGCCAGTCGCATGGAAAGTAAACAGCCCCAGTCATGCCCAACAATAACAGTTTTTTGCTCATTGGTGGCCCCATCGCTATCGATGCCATACTTTGTTCTCATAGCAAGTATAAATTCGGTAAGGTTCTCTAGAACCGCGGTGGCGGAATACCGATCCATACTATCGGAACCACCAAAACCTGGTAGATCAACGGCAACCAGAGTAGCTGTACCCTGGAGAGACTCTACATTGAGAATATGACGCCATAGTGCCCAGCTGTCAGGGAACCCGTGGATGAAGATAACCAAGGGTTTGGCGGGACGGGTGGCGGAATCAGGTTCATTGCAGACGTAGTGAAATTTGAAACCATTTCGTAAAGTGTGAATTTGATGAGAGAAAGCCGACCACCTTTTCGATAAGTCCCAAAACCGATTGCGAGCTGGTCGGATATGTGAGTTGTCGATCAACTTCCTCGGGCCCGCGGTTCGAGTGGACTGCACTTACCCAGCTGTAATTCCAGAGCTTCCTTTTCGGTGGATTTCTTGAAAAAGGTGCCATTCAGTATAGCTCTAACTGCATACACCATCATTGTGAATGCGCCATAGCCAAGCACAAAAGCCGAACTGAGCAGCGCGGACGTCATGTTCGTGTGTTATGTCCGACAAGACGAAGGGAAACACCGTGGACCTAAGATGCCGTTTCCTTGAGCTTGGGGAGACCAATGAGAGAATATTCTGGGCCTAGGGACGACTTTAAAATGGGGTGCTGGCAATGGCGGGTGTTATGAGGAAGACTCGAATAGGTCCATGTCAAGGAGCAAAGGACGAAAGATGTGTACGCTGCAGACTACTATAAGTATATTCCGGCCACTCACGTGCAACTTAGGGTCAAGTCCGAATCCTTAGTTCGGCGACAAGTCCCGTCCCGTCGCTGCTTATTGATTACGGGAGCTGACCAGGCCTTCACAACCAACTTCAATGGAATCCTGTAGGTGGAGTGATCTTGGTAACGAGGGTAGACGAGCCTCCCAGCAGAAGAAAGATCGGGCAGAGAACCCCTACCGAAAGATATGCGTTTTGGTCACTTGCCTTCTCGCCACTGATGCCATCGCACAGCAGCATATATCCATTCGGCCCATATATGACTCCCGGAGTCGTGGCTTGAATCGTTTGTCCAACTATCTGAACGTCTTTCTGCCCGGACGCGCAAAAATGGACAAATGAAGGTCTTGCGACATACTATCGAAGTTGGAAGTGGGAAGAGAATAAGGTATGAAATGGGGCATCATTCGTGAGAGGTTTGTGCAACCGTCAAGGTACTGTATATATATACACCGTAAGAATATTAAATAATTACATCATGCCACGAACCCCAGGTTCTCTCTATTATCGTCTACCAAACGCCCGTATCTGAAATTCAAGGTCAGAGACTACATTTCAACTCATGGTGAGAAAGGGTGACTTACTCCAATAATAACCTAAAAAACCAGACCTCCATATCCTGTTTGCGCAATGTTCTCTGCGCCCAATCTTTCCCTTTCTGGGCTAGACGAGGTCCTGCGGCCTTGCCTTCTTCTTCCGAAATAAAGTAGCGCATGGTCTCGACGAATTCGTGTCCTTTCAGGCTCATTGGTATGTAATGAAGCCAGGGTTTGAGTCTCTCATCGTGCCATTCTCGGAACATAGAAACTTTGAATACTAAGCTGTTGCTTTCGAGAAATGCGTGATACCGCCCGCTAAAGGCGTTTCCGTCAACATCAACGAGATACTTGTAAGACCAAGCCCCTTTCTGCTCTTGCTGTGGTGTCAAATCGAAGAACTCTTCTTGGGCGGCGCAGTCATGCCCGTCACATTGTTGAATAAAGGTGAAGTGAACATCAAAGAGATCGTGGTAGTTGCGGCGATCAACCTCTTTAGATTCCCATTGCCCATCGTCATTTTTGGCAAGGACTTTGACCTTACCCAAAGAGTTGATGTTTCCGACCATTACTTGTCGATGCTGTCGCCGCCAACCCCCGTTTACCGACCACCCACCAGTTGTCGAGCCTCTCCAATATAATTTGGTAATCTTTTCTTCCCAGCTAAAATCCTCCGACGGGACATATTCCACCCTCTTATCCCAGTACCAGGGGCTGGGGTACAAAATATCCTGGAACGTAGAAACCTTGCTTTGAGAGAAAATCGGGAAGAGGTCATGGACAACGTCAAAGGTATTGGGCCGTTCAAAGAACGCAAACGTATCCCGTAAGGAAGGCGTGTTGCACACATCCGAAAAAGCCGTCGTGTTGTGGATGAAACCGAGCTCTGTATGCGCGTACCCTGAAGTGTCGTCTGGTGGGTTCTCGTCGAGGGATCGAACAGGACTGTCGGCAGGGCACGACATTCTCGATTCAATCCAGGCCGGCTGGCGAGATATCGTATTGAAACGAGTGGTGCGCACACCCTCGATGCGGTCCCCTTTGTTGACGTCGCGTGGTCGAGCTGACCATGCGTTGACAGCCGATTGTGTCGCGAAAGCACGTGGGATGGCATGGTCTTTTGCTATCGAAACAAGTCGTTGGAGATCATCATTGGGCAAGATGACTCGTGGTTCGTCATGGACATTAAATGCTAAATCCATGTCGGGCAAATACTGGATGAAATCCTTGAGCATGCCTTGTGTGGCCGGCCTTCGCCAGTCATCTTCCCCGAGTCCCTCAATCAACGATACCTTTCCATTTCTGACAAGGACTCCATACAGGCCGTTACCACCTCCAAGAGCCTCGCGGGCGCGGGCGCGAATAGTTTGGGGCGAAAGACCCCAAAAGGGCAGCAAAGAATGATAGATAGTGTCGTACTCGTCAATTAGCTCAACGCCCTTCGACTGAGCGTATTCAAACCATTTGTCGAAGTGCGGCGGCGGGTTCATGCTGTAACGTCGGCGATATTCGTTGACTGCATCATTCAGCGTCTTGGACTGGCGCCCCAGGAGCTGGTTGAGCTGCTTCTCTGCATCACCAACGAGACTGGCTATTGGATGCACAGCGCCCGAAGCGTTAGAGGCAGGGTCAGTCGAAGGCTCAACATCCTGTTCTAATTGTGATGGGGGTGGAGGAGTTTGTGCAGGAGGAGTGATTTCCTGATTCCCAAATGCCCCCGATTTGCGACTCTCCAGGAACACCAGTGACAAAAATACCAGAAACCCCGTTGCCACTAGTAGGCCCAGGCGCTGATAAGATCGTGCAGCCATTAATAATCGATGAGGAAGCAGCACACCGTCAGGCAACTCGCTTGAATAGCATTTCGGAGACGCGAGGGGTGTGGGTAGACTGAGAAGTTGTCGGGTCGAGACGCAGGCAAATTTTAAGCACTCCTTATCCTTCTCGCGACGGGCTTTCTACTATACCGTGTCAGGTAGGAAGACAGGTGGAGGAGTTTGCGTCACTTCGTTGGTGCAAGCCGGTCCTTTCGTGTCGTCAATTATTTCGATTTTCATGGCCATCCCCAAAAAAAGAGGTGCGACTTGGTTGCTCTGGACAAATCAGCGACAAAGGAGTGCCCAAAACACTCTAGGCTGCCCCACTTGTGGTGCTCGGGAATCTTGGCGCCCCTCTCGCCTCTCACAATTGGTGGCCAATAGAGTTGCTCGCCGCCCGTCCTCCCGTTTGAGGTTTATTGAGCCACCCGACTGCCATTACATTTAGTGTGTCATCATGTCATGCGCTCATGGGCTCCAGGGCTCCAGGGCTCGTGACCTCATACTTGACTCGTGGGTCTAGATCACCAACTCGGGTACCCCCAGCGTAGTATTTTCAACGGCTCTAAACTGTCTAGCTATATATCGCTTATTTCGCGGTCATATAACAGCACCCTAAATTCACCACAAAAGCCACTAACGATTCGAGCACAAATGCTTGGGCCTGGGCAACGTGGAAATACGCCGCAAGACACATTACACCCACAAGAAACAGATGGGCAGCATAGAAAGCACTTCGTCTCTCTTGAACAGAGCCTTTCCATAATCCACCACCTGTCCCCTTCGGCCGCGCAGTGATCATGATTGCGCTGGCTGCCACCACTGCGGTAATTCCCAGTTGGACATCCAAATCAAGAATGCGCTTGGCGAACAAAGAACTGAAATCGGGATGGCCCGACTGCAGGAAGAATAGACAGTACAGAACTGCATGTCCGACGAGTAATGGGCTGACGACTACGCGCGCGAAGAGACGATGATACGCTGTCAACGTTGGTTGCGGGATTGAGGTCAGGGTTGAGAGCAGCGATGATGCTCGTGGTGTCGATGTTGCATAAAAGGCTGGTGACATGGCCACCTGTAATGGCAATTGCGATAGACCAACGTGGCCCAACGCCTTCGTGAGATGTAAGTAGTCTATTTGCGTGTTAGTTCGAGTTACCTCGAAACAATGGCTGTAGCAGTTCGGCATGGGCCAGATGAATTAGCCGCGGTTTGCTTACCATCACCTGTATTCCAAACGGAAAGACTGAGCAACCAAACGAGCCATATCGAGCAGACGATGTATTGGCTTCGCGTCTCGAACCATCCGTTTAGCAGCGGTTCGTCTAGCCATGATTTGTGCTGAGAGCGTCCCGCCGGCTTCTCACGTCGTTTAGAAGACGATGACGATGCAATAACTAATCGAAAGACACCAATGGCAAGGACAATTGAGAGCTGGGCGTAATATCCGCGAAGCGTGAGAAGCTCGCGGCGTTGTTGCTTCTCGGCATCCGAGACTGCAACAAAATGCCACGGCCAAGAAGAAGACATGTGGCCGGAAGAACTGTTCAATCTGCAGCTTGGAGTCTGGATCCTTAGATGTAATGTAAAATTGTATCTACTAAAGAGTTCGATTTGTTGCTGGAAGATTGACCTGGAATTAAAAGAACTGTAGCAAATTGGCGAGATGGAATTAATAATCTAGACCGAAAGTGCAAATCACATGATGGCATTCAACTCTCAACTTCGTGGATTCGTGGATTTTAAAGAACAGACATGATAAGTTTGGTTTATTCCAGACTATTGGATGGACCAAGAGAATCTACATTTAGAACGCCATGGAAGTTCCACCCCAGTCAGTTGTTCTGACTACTTCTAAGTTGACTAAATTGACAATCCCCCCAAGGTGTGAGCGCCATAAGGTTTTCTTCCGCTCACACTTAAGGTGCTTTACAAAACTGGCCTCCGTGAAATAGATAGTTTAGCCTTATGGCGAGGTCTGCATGACCTCCTCGTTGCTGCCGGCAGCAGTAGTTGCAAAGTACCGAACATCAACATCCTCATCAGCCTGGAGTTTTTCCAAGCTTGGAAGGACGCTCTGCTGGATGAGCTCTTGACCCTTTGGCGAAGGAGACTCGGTTTTGCCTTCCTTTTCTTGGTCACCTAGAGTGCCCTGTGCGGGAAGTCGTCGCAGTACGTCGATCAGGACAGCATAGGACTTGGCAACATTAAACCGAATGTTGGGGATTTCATCTGAAGTGAGTCTGTCAAGGATGGGTAGTACTGAGCTCTCGATGATTTCCAAAGTGACAACGGGTGCTAGTGTCTAAAAAAAGAAAAAATAACGTGGTTAGCTCGGGGTTCGTCAACGGGTGTTAGATTACATACTGAGATAGCGAAACATGTCGTCATTCTGTAGAGGTAATTAGGGTGTTGGCCCATTGCCATGACTTTTGGAATGATGGAGCCCTTAGCCCACTCGACGCCGAATACCTCCGTCAACTTCCTGAGATTTTGCGTGGCGGCCTCGCGGATAGAGAAGACGGTGTCTCCAAGCCAGCCCATACAGAGGTCGCTGAGTTGCTCGTCAAAGAAGGTCACTCCTAGCTGACTTGCGAGAAGGGGAATGTATTCAATGATGGCAAGACGAACTCGCCACTGTTTATCTTCGGCGAGTTGGACAATAGCGGGAAGAAGTGATTGGGATAGGAGTTCGATGCCAATAACTGCAACTGTTAGAAGTTGCATTCAACTCGTGGCTGTTTTGCTCGCAACTCACCCTTGTTAACCAACTCCAATTTAGAAATAATATGTAGTCGCACGTCAGGAAACTCGTCCTTGAGCATCTGAAGGAACATTGGGAGGAGGTGGGAGATAGTCCTGGGGTAGAGTTATGAGCAAGCGGCACAATGATCGGGTAACGTAGAACAATCCGAGGGACACTCACTCTTCCTTTCCAAGAATAGGCGCAAGTCCGCTAATTTGAGTCCCCAAGGCCGCGCGCACATGCTGAGATGGATCTGATACGAGGTCTTCCACGCTGGTCATGATTTCGTTGAGCAAAGTTTCCCGATCAATCAGAGAACAGAACCCTATTTAGCGATTAGTGAACTTAGCCAATTGCCTTGCCGGGGTAATTAATGCAGATATACCTGGTATCTGTCCAGCAATGGCAGTGCGAACTTCAGCCTCAGTATCCTTTAGAAGTTTAACAAACGATGGTACCATGTCGCGAGTGACAACTTCCTCATGCACGGCTTTCGCGATCTATGCGCCAGTTAGAAGACCTAGAGAAACCATATTCGGGAGCACATCCAAGCATACTTTCTCATATCTGTCCGCAACCATATATCTGACGCGCCAGCTTTTATCTTCAAACAAGCTCCGCAGAGATGTCAGCAATACGCCGTGGCTGGGTTGTTGCTCCTTCGGGATCTCTTCTGCAATGGCGATGAGAATATCCACCGTGAGTAGACGCACACTGTCCTGATCATCGCCAGCTAGGTATTGGAAGAGGGGTATCATTTCGTCAATGACGGTCGGGGCAGTCATCTCCTTCACGAACTTCGCGAGATTGTTGGCGGCTTGACGTCTGACCATGGGGGTTTCATCGCGTACGAGGCCAGCGAAAAATTGGCGTAAGGTCTGTTGCAGGGAAGAGGACGATTTCTTGTATGGGATGCAGTAGAGACCGGTAGCGGACACTTTTGAGGTGAACCAATCAGCCTTCGATAAGCGCTGGACCATTGGAACATAATATTCTTCAACTTGTTTCTCGGACAGCTGTTCGCCGATCTTGTTAAGTGACTCAACAGCCTAGAATAGGTTATTACAGAGATGCATAGGGTATGGTTGACATAACTTGCCTTTTCTCTCACCAAGGGCTCCTCAATGGCCGCTAGATTCTCCAAAGGAGAGAGCAGTACGTGGCCATATTCCGGGCCACCAACATACTCTAAAAAGGACCCAAGCTCTTCACTTAATGCGGTCAAAACTTCATCTTCATCCTCGACGGAATCTGAGTCGCAATAATCAATACTGTATTCGAAGCGAGAGTATCGGTTGCGCTTATATCAATTACTAACCGTCAAGGAATGGGATGAGCTCATCACGAGTTCTCTCGGGACCTAGAGCTAAGGCAATCGTTGAAAGACGGTGAATTGCATTGAGGCGGAGGAGGACATCATCGTGCTGGAAGGTTCATGAGTCAGGATAGACAGTTCCTAAGTGTACGTGATTTCGGGACTAGAAGAAATATTGCAACACACCTTTAGCTCATCAATGAGAACGGCGATAGGGTAGAGCTCGTCATTTTCACCCTGACCCTCCATCGCGGATGTGTTTTGATTATTTAGTATATTTTTTGGAATTAAGAAATGACCACAGAGCAAGGATGTGGCCGGTCCGATTCCTCCCTGAGACGACTGATATCACGCGAACACAGAGATCAACTTTTCTTCCTGGAATAAATAAAAGAACGAGGGTCTATTGCACGAGAGAGAGAGCAAGTCGAGCACCTGGGCAAATCCGAATTAGCTTAGGCTGTTGAGTGTGAGGTGGTGGATAGCGAAAGGGATAGTGCAATGAGGTCGTCCTCGGGGCGAGGCTTTCGTGGGGTTTGGGCCGCCGCAAGACACAAGAGCAGCAGCACACCTTGACGGCGGGATTGGGGTGGAGACAGCGTAGGGGGAGCCAACCTCAGGAATTCGTCAAATTAAAGATCCTCTGGGGAAGAGAGAGGTTCGGAAAAAGTGCCGCGAGGACTGGAATATTGGGGTTGCAGAGCGGGATTCTGGATGGATATTGTTGTGAGAGTGACGACGGGGCAGTCGGTCGTTTCCCAGCTTCGCTGAGCATCGGCTGTGGCTGGTGACCGACCGCCTTTTGGTGGTTCAAGGAGGGGTGCTTGCTGTGGCGGTGCTGTGGCTGCCTCCCGCCGCCTTTGCTCCTCAAATTTGTATGACTCCGTCCTTCGGACTGTGCTGTGACCCCGAATTGTACTCAACCGCGGGCTGAACTCAGGTGCATTTTTAATCTGATAAATTGCGACTTACTCCGCCTGCTCGATATCCCAGTCTCAGGTCGTGGGAGATTGCTTCACCCTTGCAAGCGATATTTTGACTCATCTGGCTGCGAACCAGAACCCCTCCCACCATGCCCACCATTTCGGTCGATAAGGCCGCACTCTTCAAGGAGCTCGGTAGAGAGTATGTGCAACTGTGTGGAGATTGAAGGAGGTTTCATATCTGATCTAGATGTCTTAGATATACCACCCAGGAATTCGATGAACTATGCTTCGAATTTGGTATGCCCCCCCTCCATACTCCCGGTCTTTGGTGGGGTTTGCGCTGACAGTATTGAAATACAGGCATTGAACTCGACGAAGATGTAAACCCTCCATTTCCCTTCCTCCAGTCTCGGAATTCGCTGCTAAAACAGACCAGACGACAGACCAGGACCGCCCGATCGTGAATGGCGTGCAGGAACCACCTCAACTCAAGATTGAAATCCCCGCGAACCGGTACGCCCCAGAGTCTGTGGCTTTTGGGCGCATATACTGAGAAATTATTACAGATATGACTTGCTTTGCTTTGAAGGGATTGCTCTCATGCTCAATATCTTCCTGGAGAGGAAGCCTCTTCCCAAGTATACACTAGCCAAACCTCCGAGCGGGGAACTTGAGAAGATCATTGTCAAGGAGGATGTGGGTAACTCCTACATTACCAAAGCTTGCGAGAGCCATGCGCACCTGCTAACTAATTGAGAATAGACAATGAAAGTTAGACCTCTTGTCTCTGGCGCAATCCTTCGCAATGTCACTTTCGACCCGGCTCGTTACGAATCTTTCATCGCTCTGCAAGATAAACTTCACCAAAATCTGGCAAGGCAAAGAACGCTCGTCTCCATCGGTACCCATGACCTGGATACTATCAAGGGGCCATTCACCTACGAAGCTCTACCGCCTAAAGACATCCGCTTCGTGCCTCTCAACCAGACAAAGGAGCTGGACGGCGAGGAGCTCATGGCATTCTACGATGTAGGACTCACTGCAGGCACGGAGTTGTGCGGATGCTGACCCTCATAACAGAAAGACAAGCACCTGGGCAAGTACCTCCATATAATTCGTGACTCTCCCGTCTACCCGGCGATCTACGATGCCAACAGAACCGTTTGTTCCCTTCCGCCCATTATCAACGGTGACCATTCCAAAATTAGCCTGAACACCAAGAATGTCTTTATTGAAATTACTGCACTTGACAAGACCAAGGTGGAAATTGTGAACAAGATCATAGTCTCCATGTTCTCTCAATACACATCCGAACCCTTCACGTAAGTACCTCATACATTCTTACTCCGTGGAATACAGACGGCTAATTTACCGCGGAATAGCATTGAGCCCATTCAGATCGTTTCTGAACACAACGGCGAGACGAGGGTAACTCCTGATATCGCACCTCGGACTACACAGGCTGAAGTGTCCTATATCAACCAATGCTGCGGTTTGCAGCTTTCGGCTGAAGAGATCTGCAGACTCCTCACAAAGATGGCATATGAAGCCACACCGTCCACTACCTCTCCTGATCTCATTGACGTCCACATTCCCCCAACACGTGCAGACATCCTCCACCAAGCGGACATCATGGAGGACGTTGCAATTGCCTACGGTTTCAATAACCTCCCCCGTTCTTTCCCCAGCAAGTCAGGCACGGTTGCCCAGCCTCTGCCAATCAACAAGCTTTCCGACATTATCCGCACAGAGGCCGCAATGGCAGGTTGGTCTGAGGTTCTGCCTCTTATCCTGTGCTCCCATGAAGAGAACTTTGGTTGGCTTAACCGCAAAGACGACGGCAACACTGCTGTCAAGCTGGCTAACCCCAAGACTCACGAGTTCCAAGTTGTGCGTACAAGTCTTCTGCCCGGTCTCTTGAAAACTATTCGCGAGAACAAGCACCACACTGTCCCAATGAAGATTTTTGAAGTTAGTGATGTGGCCTTCAAGGATATGTCCATGGAGCGTAAAAGCCGGAACGAGAGACACTTTGCTGCTGCTTGGTACGGCAAGACCAGCGGTTTCGAAGTTGTGCACGGTCTACTAGACCGGGTCATGGCAATGATGAAGAGCGCCTTCATCACAGGCGAAGAAGGTCTCGAAAATCCCGAGGTGAACGACTCCCACTACTGGATCGAAGAGTTAGAAGGTAAGTCCTCATGTCTAGTCCATTATCTGCCCCGCAAACGGATCGCCCTTTCTAACCATCCCCCCCAAAATAACAGACCCAACCTTCTTCCCCGGCCACGCTGCCTCAATCCACGTTCGCATCGGTGGCAAGGACTACAACATTGGGACCTTTGGTATCCTTCACCCGACCGTGCTGGAGAACTACGAAATGAAATATCCAGTGAGCACGTTGGAGATTAACATCGAGGCCTTCCTATGAGCGAGATGTGGAGTGGATTCAGTAAATTGGCGATTTAGAGCATAGATAGATACCTCATCTCGCGTCGCTCGATGCTCTGTGTAAATGGTTGCTTTAGGCTGGTTTCATGAGCTATAAAGATGAATAAAAAGTGAAATATTATTTGCCCACCTGCGGTTCATATGTATAATAGCGATTCCATGTGGACGTACGGAAATACAGTCCTACTACATAGTAACACTGCTCCAATCTAATTTATGCATGTAGCGCGGGCCCATTGTACAGTCGAAGCAGATGTAGATCGAGAATCGGGCGTTCATTTTGCTCGACGCTCTCCGGGATTGACCACTTCATGAAGATTTCCAGCAGTCCTCAAGCAAATATAAAAAAAAAATTTCAAGTCCAGCTAAATGGGCACTGTATACAGTCGGCTACCGCATATATGGCACGAAGAAAGGCTTTTTCGAAGTTCATAGAGTTCTTTATTTTTGGATCATGGAAATAGGGTAGATGACAGGAACAAAGATAAAACCAGATTACTCCTGGGCATAAGCCTCGCCGCTGGCACCGCCTTCTTGGCCTTCCGCCGCCTGTTGTTCAGCCAGGCGTTGCTGCTCAGCAGCTTGCTGAGCGGCAATAGCCTTGGCGCCGTAGTCCTGGCTGACGGGCTGCAGAACGGGCTGCTCCTCCTTAGGCTCGATGATAGTGACGGAGTCGGGGAGGGTCTTCTGAGGACCGGCCTTGCCCTCGGGGTCGGAGCCGCGCATGATCTTAACCTTGATACCAAGGACACCCTGGCGGAGGAGAACGTGACGGGTAGCGGAGTCGATGAACTCCTTAGCGGGGTTACCGGAGTGGATCATGAATCCGTCCTGGGAAGAAAAATTAGTGATCCATTTTCGCGCAGCCAAAACCAGTGGAAAGTGACAGTCCCCGAATTTACACCCCACGTTTATACACAGGGCTTTTCATTTAAAGACGTGATATCCATTGACATCTCAGATAGCGAAATAGCAGACATACCGTGAACTTCATGGACTTGGCACGGGCAGCACGGAGCTTTCCGGAGACGACAACTTCACAACCCTTGGCACCGCTCTCCATGATGAAACGGAGAACACCATAGCAGGCACGACGGACGGCGAGACCGTTGAGGAGCTTGTAGCGGAGAGACTCGCACTGAGCGACGGCGGAGAGACCGCGGTTCTGGACCTTGGCGGCATACAGGGAAACGGAGTTCTCGGGGAACTTGAAGCGCTTCTGGATGAGAGAGGTGAGCTCACGGATGCGGCGACCCTGCTCTCCGAGAACCTCCTGGGTGTGGGTGGCACGGATGACTATGAAAAACAAGAGTCTCCGTTAGCAATCACAATTCTTCGCAATTCTGCCATTGTTCCAGCGTTTTCATGTTTCTTTCAATCCAATTCCTTTCTTCCCCTTCCTTTCTTGCCCTATGAAACATCCTGGGGAAACGAAAAATGGGCGAACGTACTGATGTCGGTGACGGTGGGAGTGACACGGACTTCGACGCCGGAGTAGCCCTCCTCAGCCAGCTCGCGCTGGAAGAACTCGTTCAACTCGGCATAGAAGACACCGTCGGCGACGAACTTGCGGCGCTTCGAAATAGCTCCCTGGACAGCAGCCATGATTGCGTTTCTGCTGGTTTATTAGTTGTCGAAGAAACGGCCGAGGACACGGTGATAGGCGGTGCACCGAAGTTGGGAAGTCGTTCGAGGTCAGGTCGGTTTTGAGAAGTTCGGCGTTAGTGGGGAATTTTGGCAGTAGGGCTTCGCCTTCCTATTCGGGTCAGGGCTCAACCCTCGCTTGCTCTCCGCTCGCGCCTTCCCATTTTCGGATGCCAAGGCGTCCGAGCTTTTTCAGGCGCCAAGGCACCAGGTTTATACTTCGATATCATCGACCGACACACCAATGTCGAAGCCTAAAGAACCTAACGCCAATGAGCTCGTTCTTTATCACACGTAGATGATCAGCCACCTAGCTCACATTGTGATCCGTTTTTCCACAGACGGCCAGTCGTGCTTGGCAGCTATCAACATTAAACTGCACCAATAGCGAACAAAACTACGTAAGCAGGGCCAAAAAACCTGGACAAAGCAAAGAATTCATATAGATAGGGCAGGGACGAGGGGCGCTAAATACTGACTTCTAAAAGCCTACTCAGACTGGCACCTAGCACACGTGTGTAATCGCATCGCAGTATATGTTTATTCATGAATGGCATTTCCGGTGATCTGTCTTAAAAGGTCCCTCATCGCATCTCAACCTCCATCTGGCTCATACTTTCTGCATTGTGGTTTTGATCTTTGTCCGCAGATAGGGATAAGCTAGATATCCCGGAAGTCACTGCGGTTGCCCCATTTTGTGGTGGCGATGTCTGGTTTCCAGCCAGACCGCTACCTAGAGCATGGGTAGAGGATTCAAGACCTGTTAATACTGGAACTCGCCGCTCTGCATCCGAGCCTTCGCTAGATTTGGTCTGGGAATTGGTGGGCATGCGTGGTCCGTTCATTTCTGCGTTTGTCCGGCCAAAGGCCTCATTCCACCATCTCACTTCATCAACCTGAGGGAAAATCAATCGTTCTTTGCCTCGCTTGTTGTCATCAATGTCAGATTCGTATTTGGGGTTTACAAACAGATCTCTCCGGGCAAGGAAGTAGTCCCAGACACTGCGTGTTCGCTCCTTGGCTTTTCCTTCCACCCGCTCCTTCTCACTGTTGTAGAGGAATGTACCATATTGGCAGGAGTACAGGTGGTAAAGTAGGCGCCGCAGGAATCGTTCATTGAATTCAAAACGGGATGGATACTGATACAGCAGCTGATATGTCGCATCAAGGAATTGGTGAAAGACAGGGCTTGTCTCCTTCGGTTTCGTAATTTCCTTCTCAGCGACTGCCGTCCTCGGTACGGAACTAGGTTTCTTAGCACTAGGACTGTCGGACTCATATTCGCGAGTATCCCCATCCGACTCGCCCAGAGTCTCACGGCTTGTATTTTCCCGATTAAAGAATCCCTTAGCGCTGAGAAATGCGTTTTCGATCGCCTTTCCAGCACCGCCGCTCTCACCAAAGCTCCGTCCGGATTCACCTCCAATTCTCTCGTTCTCAATTTGGAACCATTTTTCAGAGTTCAGGTGTCCGGCTCTATGTCGGAACATGTGACCGAAGGAAAGCCAGTCCTTTTCTACTAGGATCATAAATCCCTCTAAAGTTCGGTAATAAGGATCGAGACAGAGTTGGCTTAGCGCGCTCAACTGACTTGTACGATCCCATCCATCCGAACAATGGATCAGCACGTGCGAATGCTGAAGGCCAACTTGGCGAGCGATCAAGCCAGCACCGTCTAGAATGCCAGCAATATGCTTCAGCCAACCGCTTCTTGCGAGCTGTTCCCGATTCGGACCAAGCGGGGTTACGTCGGACTCTTTCAAGGTATCGATCACTTTGTTCAATGAATCCCTCATAACATGGATGTTATCAATTCCAAGGTACGCCTTCGTCGCGAATTTATAGTTATCCATGTTTTCAGAGCCAAGGCCTACGGCTTGCATGGCGAAAGCATTGACGGTGGGTCGCGCATCGACAATCAGGTTATGTTGTTGCGCACCATATATGTGGGGTTTATCTTGCGATTCTTCGTCAAAGGACGAAATAAGCTCGGCTTCCAAGTCTTCGGCGTTTGTGACATCCGGCCAGCTCTGACTACTAGATGATTCGCCCTGTGTAGATGTCGAAGACTCATTTTCTAGATGTGGTGGCGTGAAGTTGGCAAGCGGTCTTTCCGATCGAGTTGTGGCGAAAATGGCAGCCAAAAGCTTCTCATCCTGAATGCTTCGATTCCCACGGAAACCCACGAGTGGTTGGGAGCTTCTTGTGATCGAACAATTGTTGACAGGGTGTAAGTAGGTTAATACCGGTATCCGCGCACGAGATCTATACCGCCCGGCATAGTTTAATGTGTTGTCTGAAATACTGGTAGGCACGGCAAACAGGGAGGGATAGGTTGGCGAAAACTAGAAAGCAGCTGAGCTGGTTGTACGAAAGAAAACTAGCAACGGCATAGATAAACATACCCCATAATCAGAGTTCATCTGCGAGATGCGCCAACCAGGGCCATCGCGGTCGACACCCTGTCGCGCCAATTCCTTGCTAGGATCATAGAGCTCCCAACCATCGAATGCACGCTCGGGAGGAGGCGGTTGAAAGGTAAAGGCGTAAAGTTTGTCTATCCGCCCCAACTTGCATGTCCACGACTTGATACTCTCATAAACATCTCTGGCCTTGTTCTCGTTTGTAAAGTAGAAACAAACAAAGTTGAAATCTCGACATCGCAGGCGAATGGACGAGGGCTGACGGGATATGGCCGGAGCTGGGCGGTACGTGCAGAACGATATGATGGGATATGTTATCCAAACTTCCTTCGGTCTAACTGGCGCACCCTGCGCCTGTACATTGTCTGGAGACTGTGGAGGTATGGCAGAGAAGATAATATGGTGCGGGGTGAGGTGAAGGGTGCCGACAGCTTGGTCTCCACGGCGTGCTAAGGTCACATCTTCAACCTAGAGTGAGATAAAACTTAGTTAGTTCCATTTCATTAAAGGTCACTTTATAGGCTTCTTGCAGTCAGGGCTTAACACACCCTAGCAACCCGTGTTTTCTCCATGCCTGTCACGTAGCGGGTCGGCCTACTTCATGGCTGGTTTGCGCGCAAGTCCAGATAGGCTGATTCGGCTCAGTTAGAGGAATCTACAGATCACACCGAGCAATATTGAAAAAGGAATGAATGTCTTCAAAATAAATATATCAATAGAACAAGCGATTGTTTGCAGTGTCAGATCAGATCAGGAGCCAGATGCACGGACTCGGTCAGATGCGGGCCCCTCGCTAAATTGGACAACTACGTCAACACCCGTCTCCGGTAACTGTCAGGACGCCCGAGTTGAGAGTTCAGCCAGACCAGGCACGGCATGCATTTAGAACAGAAAGAAATTAACAAACAGTTTTTACTATAACAGTGAATTTGTGCTTGGACTATAATCGGCTGAAACTATTTATTGTATTTGCCATTTACCACTTAATCTAAGAAATTGCATAAACCTAACATATATATAACTCAGTTTATGTACTTTATAAAGTGTGGTGGTATTAAGTAGTTCCTTTTTACAACGTTAAAATGCAGTATATATACATCGCTTCTTAGGATAAATGCGCACCTATCTATACCAAAATCCAATTATGCTCACCAGCCTATCTCCTTATACCCTCATTCCAGCTACCGCACGCTCTTCTGCATCTAATTCCAGGCCAGAAACCATGTCGCAGGCGACGTTGTAAAATAAAACAAAATGTTTACCAATCTGCCGGCGCGATGAAACAGACTTGCCGGGGTGGATTTCATCAATGTAGCGAGGCTCTGAGGTTGTTTGCAGGTAGAGATCCGTCGTCGAATGGGCTTCATACGGCCCACCGTCGTAAGAAGCATGGAAGAGCCGCCAATCACGGACATCATACTGGTTCACAAGTGTCCCTTGAACATCATTTACCGGCTGGTAAACATATTCAGCCTTAGTGCATGCAGTCATGCCTACCTCCTCACTGTCTTGCTGTAGAAGGTAGTTTGGTATATTTAATGTTGTGAATGCTGGTAGAGGAATATCCCTATTACTCGTTCTGCTTTCTTTGAGTTCAAGTTGCACGTCTTCAAGGACAGAGTCAAGAAAAGAAACCCCATGGGGTCCAGTTAAAAGGTCATGGGTCAACTTTCTTGTGAACCGAATGTCCGCGATGCTCTCTGGTAGTAAGTGGTCGACACTGTTTTCCATCAAGTTCACTTGTGCACCACTAATGACTAATTCATTTTGGTGTTTGCGTATATTTTTGGGTGGGTGAGTGAACTCTAGCTCGAGGGATGGGAATATGTTTGTATGGAGTGCCGATGGCACCAGCCGAATGCGATAAGAGGTTGACTCAACACGCTTTGGCGCCAATTTACCAAGAAGCCGTGAAACTCGAGGTACATCACTAACAAAGGTCCGTTCAAGAGACATTTGACCTAACTGAGACGCGCTGGCCTGGCCTTTTTCGATAGTTGGCTTGCGGAGAAAGAGACATTGACCAAGCGTTGCTGTTATTGATTCGCGGACTTCAATAGCGGTTCCAAATTTCGCACTCCAAGAGGGTTGTCGTCGAAGGAAAGTAAGTAGTTCTTTACAAAGCTCGGATTGCCCCTCATGTAGAAGATAACCAGGTAGGATCGGCAATCTTTCGCTCTCAGGTGTCTGCCATCGAAACCATGGCTTCTCCCGAACCTGCCAGGGGGCAGCCTCTCCAAGATCGACATCATGCATTCCCGAGAGCTTTGAAGCAGGGAAATAAGTGCTGAATGGCGCAGAGGGTGAAGCGGCTTTGTTGAAAGCTAGGTGCAAGGTTCTTCGAGCATCTTCCACATTCCTTTCGTTTTCGGGAAGGACATGCATCCGACTGGGGAACTGTAATGAATCCAACTCAAAGGAAACTTTATATGTAGTCTCAACCCAGGAAATAAAGCCAGGGCTAAGCGCCTCAGCAAAAATTTTAGTATTCTCGTTGTCTGGAGACGGGAGGCCGAGCTCAACTGCTTGTATCCTTTTCGTATAATCATTGATGATCTCACGGATCGACTCACACGGGCGTTGCTTTCCGGTGACCCTTACAAGTCCCAAAGAATGTGTTACATCGATTGTCGTTTCGTGTATATTAGCCAGCTCTTCAAACGAAAAATAGTTCGAACCTGTAAGCAGGGTCAAGGAATAAGTGGGAAGGCGGATATCGAGTTGTCCAATTTCGCCCGCCTGCCCAAGCTGCCAACAATCACGGAGAACTTGCTCAATCAAAAGGTCCTTGCCTTTGAGAGCCCGGGACGCGGCAATCCTATCGGCGATTGTTTCTTGGGATGCCGGTCCTGTCTCTAGGTAAAGTGAAGTGCCAGGTTTCCACTCTGCATCCCAGTGTTCAAGATGTGCTGGACTTCCTTCAGCACCATCATTTCGTGCTTTCAATGTTGTAGAAATATACTTGGAGAGTTGGGGAGCCGTAAAAGAAGGCCGAAGCCTGCTTCGGAGATCCTCCCAATCGGGTGGCGCCAACTGTTCTCGTGGTCGATGCGGCGCGAGAAAGCTTTCAATCCGTTCAGCTATCACTGCGCTATCGGAATAAGATGTATCTGGTTGGAGCTCGCTCAGCATGATCGGAAGTTCGCCTGCTTCTTCCTCGGATGATGCTTTGAGCGGAGGCTGTCGGCGAGGTTTCTCCCGCACGACAAGGACTTCACCCGGCTTTCCAAGGGAGGAATATTCAAGTTCGACTCTCCGACTTTTATTTCCAAACTTTCTCCTATTCCGCTTTCGGTCGGATTCGCGATGGCGGCTCGAGCGATCATGGTGTTGGTCATGGTGTGTGTCGTCGCTGGAATTGCTGGCCGTATTCTGGTATCGAACAAGATAATGCCCACGTTGGGTTAATGAGGCGCAAGCAGCGTGTGGCCGACATGCTGAGAGTAATTGACGGTTTATAAGGCCCCCCGCCTTTATAGCTGATTGAGAAAGCATTGGGAATGGGCGACCTAGGCAAGACAGGTCTTGAGGTCTGCGACAATCCGCGTACTGAAGCTTTGGAAATAATTATGTACTAATCCTAAATAAGAATAGCGTTGTATCTTATCGATAGCGATCATCCCCTTATATAGTCTGGAGTCTTGGGGAAAATCGAATTGGCCACTTGCACCTGCAGGACAAGGCAGGGGGATTTAATAGTTATAAATATACTTGGTATTATATAGGCTGTTGGGGATTATTGTATATTACTAACTTCCCAGCTCCGTAAATTCTCACGAACGTCGAACTCCGACAGTTCATGTTCTGTACTACGATTTCTCCAAGTCTTGCCCTTGGCATTATCATAGAGCTGGTGCTCAATGCTTCCGTTCTTTCGGTTGTGTTCAATCGCTGGAGCAAATTCTAGCGTCTGGTTTGCATTTGAGCGGCTCGCACTCTTTGCGCGCCTTTCAAACCCCGGAGAGAGAAGGTTGCGCGTTCCGGTCTGGTTAGTGGTGCCTGCACCACGATGTGAAGGGCGTTCATCATGATAACCCTCAGATTGCATGGAGTCAGGATCTCGTGAGTCGCTCCGGCAGATACTTCCAGAGAATAGCCCTTCAATTAATTTATCCGCGGGTAGGTCGTCCGCGCGAGAAGTCCAGGAGGCCGCCAATGTGCGTCGGTACATCTCTTGCATATCAGCGACCTCTCGACTCTGGGTGTTGATCAAAGGTGGCTGGCCCGAGTCATCAGCCTCGGCCTGCTCAGAAGCCACGACGCCTGTTATCCCACCGAAAGCCATAGCGGATTTTAATGGCGGACTAAATATCATTAGCAACGCTCGCCGAACGAAATGAGTTTAGATGTTTCGAGGTATTGGACATACGTCGTGAAGTTGCGATCTCCTTCTATTTGTTGCACAGATATGCCAATTTTCAGTGTGCTATTTATCTTGCTGTCCTGCATCAAGTATCGGCGGATGATACCCTCGTCGTCATCGCTTTTGTCTACATACTCGCATAAATTGAGTTTCACCCTCCCCAGAAGATTCTTCTCAGCATGAGCACCAGATGAAAATTCTTGTATAACTTCAAATTGGATTTCGCATTCATGGAGGGTTTGGTCGCGCTCGATCGTCATCCTGACTTGCACAGTCCGTTCATAGTGCCAAGATGCTTTATGCTCATGGATGAGCGATTTGTCGGTTGTCCCATGATGCTCATTGGCATTTGAAGAGGGTAACCGCCATTTTATATATGCGGCTCCGCTAACGAGAGGAATATTGTTCAGGTCGATAATCTAAGTTGCAAACCAGCCCGTCAGCGCCGAACGAGTCGCAATGAGAGGTACGGGGTTTGCCCACTCGAAGAACTAACTCAAACCTAGGCTATTAAATAGGTTATTATAATGTATTTTAATTCAAGCAGGTAGAACAGGACTTGCCCTTCTGTTTTTTGGGACTGCATGTGTCGCGATTAGCAGAATGGTAAAGCCAATGAGGTCATCGCACCGGCGAATCATGGGGAAGAAAGGAGAAATGTTAGAGAAAGCAGTAACATACCAAAAGCTTGCATTTTCGTCAAAGGTCATATGCGACCCAGCAGTAATAAGAACAGTCCCTCATTCGCATCAATCTGGGTGTTCATCCCCGTTGTCATCGTTGCGCATCCCAGTTCCATTCTCCAAGGGCGGTGGACCAGCATCTGCCGGCAGATACTCACCGCCAGATGGGCCCGAGCCGAGTGACTCGAGAGGCCAGAACTTTGTAAAATAGCTTTTCAGCTTTTGATATTGCGCTCTCGACAGTGGCAACTGACAAGCGAACCAACGATGGATCAACTGCCACTTTCTCCTCCCTCCGAACCGATGTCCTCCCCTAATAATACGCCGGCTCCGCTAGAATCCCCTATCCGCACAACTTCAATCCACGATTTGCTCCCCGACATTCGCGTACCGAGTGAGCCTTTACCGACATATCGATACCACCCGGTTACATGTGCTACGATCAACCCTGAAGATGTGCGGTCTGAGATCCAACAACTGCGCAAGGAATTCTCCAGCCCGGAGGCTGCATCGAAAGCGCAGGAACAAGTTGCGCGAGAGCTGAAGCAGAAATTAGAGGACGCGGATAAGAAGCGCGAAGAGGTGCAAAAAGCTATGGACAAGAAGATCAAGGAGCGGAATACCGAGTTGAAGGTTCTTTCAAAATACCAGGATGGGAAGTCTTCGGCTCTTGCGACATAGGTGGGTTGGTAGTTGGATGGGATAAACAAAACTACGACCTTGAAGGCCACTGGACAGTGCGTCTAATGCAAGGCAACCTGGACTCTGAAATATTGATCGGAAACGCTTCCAAACGAGCGATCTACCCTTTGCCGCGCTCAGCTCTCAGATGCCTATCGGCAGTTGCTGACAGGCTGCGCGCTCAAAACATTTGACCGCCAGCTTTCGTCATCCATCCGGATCAGCCTGGAGACAATGCGAAATCAGCGAACGGGATCACAGCCAACTCGTTCACTCTGGCAGGGTTGATCCGGATCGGGATCGAGTATTACCCTAAGAGAATATGACGCAACTACGAACATCACCTACTAGTTCGTTTCAGGAGCTCATATACATTTATATACATTATGAGCAAGCTTGACCGGTAGAACGGTAGAACGGTGTCGCGTGAGGACTGAACCTAGCACTTCATACCAAAACATTACTATATAAGACGCACAAAACTTGATTCGTTAATGTCAGATGCATAGTTATCCATGTCCATGTCTAAAGGAAAGTCGTCGCCCATTATTCATGGTCTTAAAATATATATAACCAAAATCCAAACATCAACCGCATCACAGGCTACCCAAGATCTGCATCAGAACAGGAAGCAACTGGAGAGAACAGATTAGTGAAAAGGTTTCAATGTATCTAGGATTTGTTCATAACTTACCTCAGAAACGTCGTCAATCAACGTCGTCGTCTCGTTAACGAACTTCTTGGATAGCAGGTCATTGGCGTTGGTCAGGAGACCGCCAACCTGGCCGAGAAGATCGGGAGTGATGACGGGCGCGACCTCATCGATGAGACCCTTGGTCTCGTCGACAAATTTCGGTGTGAGAAGGCCAGTAGCGTTTCCAACCAGCGCGGTCACATTGTTGAGGAGCTTGGGTGTGATAACCGGGCCAACGCTGCTGATCAAGCTCTGAGTTTCCTCGACGAACTTCTCAGTGAGCAGCTTGTTGGCGTGATCCAGGACATCACCGACTTCCTTGAGGAGATCGGGTGTGATAACGGGTGAGACACTGCTGATCAATCCAGATGTCTCATTGACGAACTTGGGCGTCAAGAGGTGGTTGGCATTGGTGAGCAGGTCGCCGATGGCGCCGTCGTCGACAATCGGGCCGAGCTCTGTGATCAATCCCTTGGTGTCTTTCACAAATTCCTTGGTCAACAAGTCGTTGGCATTGCCGAGAAGGCCGCTGACTTGCTTGAGGAGCTCGGGTGTGATAGAGGGAGAAACAGTTCCGATGAGGCCGCGGGTTTCGTTGACGAAGTCCTTGGTCAGGAGATCGTTGGCGTTGCCCAACAAGCCGGCAACTTCCTTGAGAACGGCCGGCGTCAGAACAGGGGAGACAGCACCAATCAAGCTGCGGGTCTCCTTGACAAAGTCCGCAGTCAACAGGTCATTGGCGTTGCCCAGGAGTGAGCTGATCTCCTTGAACAGCGAAGGCTTGAGCAGCGGACCAACAGACTCTATCAATGACTGGGTGTCGTTCACGAATTCAGGAGTCAACAAGTGGTTGGCGTTACCCAACAATCCAGCAACTTCAGCAAGGAGATCCTTGGTGATAACTGGCGACACCGTGTTGATCAATCCCTTGGTGTTTTTCACGAAGTCCGCACTCAGCAAGTTGATGGCGTTCTTGAGGAGGGTGCTAATATCCTTGATCAGACTAGGTGTCAGAAGAGGACCAGCAGCCTTGAGCAACTCCTTGATCTCCTTGGCCAATTCAGGAGTTAACAAGGTGTTAGCATTTCCAATCAGCGAGTTAACCTCCTTAACAAAGCCAGCAGTTAGAAGTGCGTTGCCGTTCTTCAGGAGCGTGGAGATCTGTTTAAATAGATCAGGCGTTAGAAGAGGACCAGCAGAGTCAAGCAGGCCCTTAAGCTCTTTGACCAATTCAGGTGTCAACAAGGTGTTGGCATTTCCGATAAGTGAGTTAACTTCCTTGACGAAGTCAGCAGTCAGAAGCGCATTGCCGTTCTTCAGAAGACTGGAGATCTGCTTGAATAGATCGGGCGTCAACAAGGGACCGAGGTTCTTAAGCAGTTTCTTAAGCTCATCCACGGTGTCCTTAGTCAAGAGTTCGCTCGCGTTGTCGAGAATATTCTCTAGCTTGTTGATCAAGTCCTTGGTCAGCAGACCCGACGCGAGGTTAAGCAGATCCTTAGCCTGCTGCGTAGTCTTGTCATCAAGCAGATATGCGATGTGGTGGAAGAACGATTCAATATCTTTGATCAACGTGGGCGAGAGCAGACCAGTGATGCCCTGGAGGAAATTGCCAATGTCTGTTAGGGGGTTGCCGGTAGTACCATCGGGAATGAGCCCTTCCAGAGGGTTGTCGCTACTGGAGGCAGTTGACGAGCTTCGGGGCTTGGTGGTCGTGGCCTCTTCTTGCTCTTTTGTACTTGTTGGATCTGAGGTTTCGGTGGGAGCAGCAGTCTCATCCGAAGTCTGATCGGTAGTTTGATCCGCAGTGCCTGACTTTGAGGGAAGAATGGACGAAATAATACCGCCCAAAGGATCTTCCTCTTGATCGTTCGTGGCGGCAGTCGGGGCGGCCGCTGCTGTCGTTTGCTTCTCAGTAGTTTCACTCGTCTCTTCCTGGTTGTTCTCCTGTTGGCTGTTGACAGCACGAGTTGCAGTTGGTTCAGCAGCTTCCGCCTCCGCCGCCGTTGGAGCTGGCTCGGCTGCCTTTGTCACTTGGGGTGCAACAGACTGCTCCGTGGGTTCAACGCCATTTTGTGATGAAGAGACCTGAGGGGCGGGGTTTGCCAGAACAGTGCTAGAAAGCACAAGTGCTGAGAGGACCGTTGAGAAACGCATTCTGACTTTCTTAGTCCCCGTCCGCACTTCACAATCACAGGGGATTGACAAGGGATTGACAATGATTGACAGCGGAAAGAAAATCAAGACTCGATTTGGGGGCGCGGAAGATTAAGGCTCTTTATACTAAGAAAGCGAAATATGGTCAAATACCCCCGCTTGCCCCAACTATTGACTCTCAAGGGCCGAATACGTAGGACGATATTCCCCGCATGTGAGGTGATATGTTGCCCGTCTCACTACGTATGTTTTTGTGGAATTTTTCCCTGTTTGATTCCCTGTCTGAACACCTAACGACCATGGGTATGGTATGTCTTGGATCTAGTTTGGCGGGGCTCATTCCTGTTTAGCTTACAGTGACGAGGATTTGCTCATTAATCGCTCTTGATCTAGATGGCCACGATGGGTCCGGGAAGCCCGCGATTATTACCTAGTTAGGAAAGGTAAGGGACGATGATCGTCGTTGAGAGTAGACTAGCAGAGAGAGGTTGGTCGAGACTCGAGGCTCCGGGCAAGCTCTGGCCATCAGTGAAGATGACCCAAGCCATTCTTGCTTGTATCAATGAAAAGAGCGCCAAATCCCATCTATTTTGTTGGATATAACAACAACAATAGATTAGGAAATTATTTCGAGTTGCGTTCCAGTACCTGGCAACCACACCTGGCATCTGCACGGTTGGCGGGTTCCCTACATTGAAAGTGCCTGGGTCTCTTGGTTTGGTTTTCGGCCTATCGACAAAAGGGAAGGGATCGACTGCTCATTGCCCAAGACCCGTCACCTCGTACCTTTGGGTCATGGAGCGCACGATGGAATCAATTGGTTGAACAGTAAACGTTCCGCAATCATTGGGTGGGTGTTAGCTGGTGAGGGTGGCAACGTTGTTCACTTTTTACTGCGGATACGACTGCTCTGCGCGGTGGCTGGTGTTGGTCCTTCTCAGCTACCCGTTCGTTCTCTCAGCTTGGCAGAAATTGACCGGAGTAGACACAGTCAAAGAAGCTTGTCTCCTGCTGGACTGTCGCGGCATCCCAAGTAGATAGCGTGTCGATTCTTATTGTTGCCTTGGGAGTGAAAGAGTCTTGGGACCCTTTCCTTCTCCCAGACCGGAGCCGTTGTACTGGAACCCCAGAAATTTTTGTGTAGGTGGGGAAGGCTAAAATGTCGGCGCCCGCACGGATTGGCTTTTTTGTTGGCTTCGAGGACGACGACGTTGAATGGATTGTTACGAGCTCAGCTTTGTTTTGGACTCGGCAACATGTGATAAAGGAGAACGTGCAGTTGAACTCCGAGCACGTACATCATTCTGCAGCCATGCGAGGGGGGTTTCTGCCAGGTTGTCGGAGCTTTTCCCTATGTTTCTCTGAGAAATGTGAGCTCAAACAGCGCCATGTATATTGCATGTCTCTCATGAGTGGTCACGCTCACACTAGTTCGCGATCAGCGGTGACCAATAATCAGGATTGGTTCGATCTCGGGAGGCTCTCCACAAAAATCTTGTTTTTGCCCCTTCGAAAAAGCCGAACGAGACGGGGATTTGGGGAACAAGTGCCGAATTTGTGAGGGGATCTTGCGCCTCAGCAAAAAACTGGGCCTGTCCTTCCAAGCGAAGTGTTTCTATTTTCTCACCTTAGCCTCCAGAGTCCAAAGAGGATGGGTCGATGGGGACGCTGTTGCGTATGTCGTATTGCGAATCTGAGAATTCGGCAATCTGGGGTTGGTGGACACTGAGTCTCCAGGCTGCAACGCTCGACTGCGGGTACGGTATGCGAGGATGGGAAGTCTCGGGATTGCATTCTATGGGAAAGAAAAGAATATCAGCGCAAGGGTTTCTGGAACAGTCCGCGCATGCGTCAAGTAGGGAGCTGCCGTGCCGCACAGTACCTTGACATCCCAGTAAGCTGTCACCCTGGGGACCTGTGCGGGTTCCCGAGTCCAGCCCTTCCTCGCAGAAGTGTCTTGGTCCCTCAAGCTTTGATTCCGAAGGAGATGTCACTGGTGAAGGAAGCGGGGAAATGGGACATACTATGCCAGACGTAGTATGGTAAAGCGAGGTCGAAGCAATTGCTTAGTGTAATGACCCCATCACCTCATCAGCGGCCAATTTCAAGTGAGCAGTCTAGTTGCTCGTTAGTCCGATCGAATGTCAGGACGGGTAAGCATCCGCAATCAAGCAAAAACGCCGAGAGTGTCGACCCTTCTCTCGCACTTAGCCTTCGAGATGAGATAGGCCAATGCAACCATGGATGCAGAGCTGTGGGTTGCACAGTGGGGACCAGCCCCAGACTCACAAGATTTTTGTTGGAGTGATTTACCGAGGATCACTATCGTCAGATTGAGTTCGAGCTCGACACTTCGCTGGGCGCTTCGCTAGGTGATAATAGGAACGGCCTAAGATTGACAACGCAGCCTGGGTAAAGACGGGCGTGTTATTGGCGCGTTCCAAGATAGAAGTGTCGGATGATTCCATGGTTGAAGGCTAAGATGGATTTCGGACTACCCCCAATCAGGTCAGGTGACGGATGCAATGTTCAACGGAGTGAATTTTTTCAATAATTTGCGACAATTGGACCCTGCACTGGCCAAGCGAGATAGTCTCATACGCAACAGAGAGTGCTGAGAAAAGTCTATTTACGCCACGGCCATGAGCACGATGCGAGGTGTTGACTTGGGTGTTGGTACGGCCCCAGCTCAAACGTGTCCTGCCTTGGACGCCCAATACTTCAAACCAAGAAAGGGAAGCTGTTTGCTTCTTACTGTGTGAGACAAGACATCAACGCTACCCCTTGCCATATTACCGTGCTGCGCTCGACTCAAACAAAACCTCCTAGGCAGTCGTATTGTGGGAAATTCTATCCTACGAGTCCATATTCGGTCCTCTGACACGCTTCGTCCGTTTCCACGACCCCCAAGCCAAAATATTAACAACAAAGAGAACGAATTCAAGGTACTAAGGACCATCGTACCCACTTTGAACCTAGGAATGAATGAATCCTAGCCTAGGTCATACATTAACAGGGCCAACAACAATCCATATGGAAATACCCCAAAGATATCACTCACCATTGAAAAGCAGTACTACCGCCGTAACGCCAATAGCATAGTAAGTTGCATACAACTGAAGAAACCTTACATATGGAAGCTCGCAAGCTCTCGACGAAAGCCAATATGCGACAACAGGATCGCTAGCCAATTCAACGGAGCGAAAGCCGTAACCAAAGATACGAGATAACCGAATACGGTTGACGATTACTATCTTGCTTTTGTGTAATGACTAAAGTCTCTGCCGACGTCAATGATGAAGCAGGTTTGAATGAGAATGACCATGATGCAGACCTTTATTCCTCCTGCCCAGAACTCGATTTCACCGAAGATCCCAACGTGCAGGACCTATAGTATTTGTGAGCGTATACGGTCAGAATTGTCCACATCCAGAGGTTATTGATGGCCACTTACATTAATAGCTATTACAACAGTTGCAAAATCTGCAATCCATATTGCAACGTTTAGGCCCGGTCTCAAATACTGAATGACAGCCCCTGTGGCGGTTAGACTCGTAGGGACGGCTATGATATTCTTGAAAAAGTAGTTCCAGCCGTTTCAAAGCTTTTGTATCATGTCGGTCAGTCAGCCAGCCAGCCCTATCTATACACAGCGGGATATGTCTGCAAGTCTCACCCAGAGCCCGGTCAACCATGCACGTAGCATATCCACTGAACCCATTATTCATGGGCAGGAAAGCTGCCATCTCTCCCAGTACCGTCATGACACAGAATATCACCGTGCTGATGATAGGCTGTAGGCCTCGACGGAGTTTGCTGACTGGCTATGTGTCTCCGACTCCATGGCTCTTTGCATTTTCGGAGCATATATACTCTTAGACATGTGGAGGACTTGGAAAATCGATTGGCACAATATGAAAACACCCGACTGCATCCCAGCCCTAGTCCTCCAGGTACGATCACCTTCACCTAGTACTACCGCCCTAAGCACTAAATGGGCACCAGATAATACACATCAGACCAGCACAAGCGATAGTCGAATCCTATCTGATGGATAGGGGTCAAGATATCATCTGTTCCAGCACCGGTAGTCGGGCGAGCGAGCAATCCGACTTCAAGCAAGCATGGGTCTCTAATGAGCTAGTACGTTTGTGCTAGATTTTTGATTAAGTTATACAAAAATCTAATTACAATATACAGTCATTAACACCTTCTGGTACCCTTTTTTTCAGTTAACGAAGCCAGGGAATAAACATACGTAACACGTGTAGCTATAACAACCGATGCCTCGATGAGCTCCAGTCATATTTAGGGTACGAGTCCCTGATCTACTGAATCCAAGTCCTGTCTATTCCGCTGAAAATTCCCAATCACCCATACCGACCAGTATCACAATCCCCGCGGCGGCACGATATTTGATTCAGAGTTGGCATACTGCGCAATGCCTACTACTGGGAACGTCTAACCTGCCGGACAGAGAGCATGAGTTGTAGCTCTTGCACCCTGTAGACTTGTATATTGGCAGGGCCAAAAAGCATTTTGACGCCCGCGAAGTCCCAAATCATATGGACATCCTGCTTTATGGTGGCCTCTCTTCGTCTCCAGCGTCGAAGCTCTGGTACCTTGAGATTATCCTTGTCTTCGCTATTGGGAAGCTTTATGAAGGCGAACTTGCAGGCGAACGCTTTCCAGGAGAGGGGTACTTTAAGTACACCCAGCATCTACTTCCAAGCCTGTGTGAGCTTCATGCTTCCAAGAGCCACGGCGTTGAGCTCGGTTTCATGGTCATTTACCTTCAGAGTGCCAATAGAAGGGAAGAAGCTTGTTTGTACGTATGAACCTACTGTTGAAAAAGATAATCAACATTGACCACTTATTTCCAGATAAATTCAGCGGTACGGATTGCTGTCGCATATGGTTTCCTCCGCAGTGATAGCATGAGGGGGTATATACAATCCGAAAAGGGTCATTTAAACCATCTTTGGTGGACCATATAAATGCAAGAAAAGTAAGCATATCGTCTCCTCTTGCATCAAACTGATGGCTGAAAAGTTATGAGCCAGGCGACTAGCTGCTGCTACTGGAAACCCTTCTAGCGTGAACCGCGATTCAATTGAGCCGGACATGCCTGCTGACGCATTTGGATTCCGTCTGCGTTTTCAATATGCTTGAATATTCGGACTTTCCATATCACAGGGCGAATACTTCATAGTAGGAAGCTCACTTACATGTTATCCTTTAACCACGTCCTCTAATGATAGCAGCATTATATGGACAGAAGCCACAATTCGGTTCACAATGAATTTACACAGTGTCTAGTCGATAATCTAGGAACTGCACAAGATCTCTGCCAGCAGAGCTTCCGTTGGATTTTAAACATGGCACCCAAGGTCGGACATCAAAGCTGTCAATGAGAGCAGCATCTACCCTTCATTTCATGCTCCACCAGGTCATCATGCTAGATGGCGCACGGCTCATACTGATAGGAAATGAGGACCCCCCCTCGCTTTGCAGTTCGTTCTCGGTCGACTATCCCGGACATGCACGGAAGCTGCAGGCAGACTGCACGACAGAGGCTTCCGTTAATGTAATCATGTACGACGCGCTTACAATAGTGCCGCCGGAGGAGAAATACGAGAGGAAGATAACGCCTGCATCGATTGTGGCGGGAACATGGACATCCATGGCGCTGACGGCAAAATATAGAAGTTGTGCCCAGGAGGGAAACGCGAGCCGAATTAGAGTATAACGGGGTTGACATTGATTGCGCGGGTTAAAAGAATATCAGTAATGATGAAGTTATGCAAGCAACCTAACAATCATTTCCCGCTCTATCAGACAGCCGAACAGTGAGTAACAATAGTGGCTACGTCTAAATTAGGGCTTACCCAGCTTTGGAGATACTGCGTCCGTATGTACTCCTGCAGCATGGTAAAAGAAGCCTGATAGTAGCCAGTGACATAAAAAACGTCTTCATGAACCAAGATTATAAGGGCAAAAGTCTAGTTGAAAGCTTGACCTCTCTAGAAAAAGCTCGCTGCCATGCCGAGCATATAGATAGAGAGCACTGCAAAAAATCCCACGAGAAACAGCTTGAAACGAACGGCCCTATACTGGTTCTGTCCTTTCACTATCTGTATAATAGAGATCATCAGCGCTGCCATGATGCTAATATCGGCGGCCCCTTTAAAACATCTATTGGTGATGGCATGACCCTCGATATAGAAGCGATCTGGGTCCTCGCTGAAGGGGTATAGAAACGAACTCCAGTAGAAGAGGATAGTAGTGATAAGTCTATAGCTATGGATCTGTGTGAGAAATTTGAATGGTAGTCTCCAGTAATGGAGGAAGGAGCTAATATACTGACATAAAAGCAGACCGAGACCATTATTGTTGCAAAAACATCCATTCCCGGTCTGCCACTTTCTTACGACAGAACAGGACGACTGCAATTAGAGCATAGACATAAAAGAAAACAGCAATAAAAGACACCTTTATCTCCGGTTGCCACTTGGGCCTCTGTTATAAGGACTTATACGTCTGTTGATCAGTGTATATCTATGAACCCGGGTCAGGCCCTTCTTCCACCAGGGGATTGCAGGCATAGCCGTTCCTAGAATCCATGCGCCGTTATTAGAAGCTGAAGTATAGTTAAAGTAATTGGCCAAAGAGGTTGGACGTATATCTCTTCCGCACGAGTAAGATCTGATATCGAGGGCAGTACTTTTGTTGGGGAGGTTGGGGGCTATGATATTGATTGGCGCTTAATCCGTATCCTCATGTATTTGCTATAGATAGTAGAGAAGTACATACGTCAGCCTTTGGGCGAAGCTGAAGCTGGACCCTCGAACGAACTGCAGCGGTCCAGATCCAGATGGCCCATGTAATGTCGAACTCTTGACGGCAAGGATAAGATTCCCGTCAAGATCTAGGTCCGTCGGTTCATTGCCAATCACAAAGATTCTCCGCCAATCGACCAGGAATTGCAAAAAGAACCGAGTCTCAGGGGTTCCAGGCGAGTAACTCGGTCCTCTCTCTTGTCCGTACTTTGTGAACGGATCAACAACCGTGAAGGGTTCGTGCGCGGACTGGTCCGGCGAGTCGTTACGGGACGGCCCCCCCATCCCAGAAACTCAGTAGTTGATAGTCCACGACACGACAGGGAGTCAGACAAAACAGCCTTGACAAACCAAAGTTCGACAGTCGACGTATATCTGCGCCAGTCCAGACCCTTCGACAGCCAGCTCCCCAATGTGGCTAGCCGAGCAGGTGACTGAAGCCGTATGCAGTGTCAGCACCACTAGTGCGTCGAGGCGCCCACCATCTGCCCAAAAGAGCAAAGGTGTGGTCGCACGGTTCCTCGGCGATATTAATATTGATTGCAGTGGGACTGTCCTTAGTGTCCTCAGTTGGCGAATGCTCGGGAGGACGCATGCCATGGTGTGACGGGGCTTACGCTGTCGTCACCACTCGAAGCCAGAGTTGTAGCGCCGACTGAAACATATGCAGAGAGATCGCCGACCAAGAACAGAGCCTTGAATTTGATGCATGGATTGGTTGCTGCTGGTGTTGCTTGGCTATTTTTTTTTACCTTTCCCTTGACGCCCTCGGAACTGGAGAGAACGCCCGCGATGCAGACGGATAAGAACGGAAAGACAGAGTCCGATTCGGAACCAGGATCAATAACTGGACTTGCTTCGAGTCATCTGGTGCGTGCGACCCCAGCAGGAATCTTGCCGCCACGGGGCTAGCTGCGTGGGCCTCCAGTGGCACTGAAGCAGAAGCAGGACCCCGGGCGTCAAGTCGAGTCGTACGGACATGGAGGGCAGGCTGGGAGGGATGGGATTGATGGAGAACAGCCCGCAACGCACGGATGATCTTCTTCAGGCGGCCTGATGCCATCTCTGCCGCCCTACCTGCCAATGCTCACCTGAGGCGTGTGATGACGATGCGATGGCAGTGACTTGGGAGAGTTGTGTTCCCTGGCGGACCTGCAGAGAGCGGCAGCCCCGCTTCATTATCCTCACCGTATACTCCCACCAGATCGAGTATCTACACCGTTACTTCTTTGCCGACTCGATCATCCGAGTGAACTCGTGACTACCGAGCAGTGTGACTATGGATACCTGACTACGGATACTGTTCGATTCTTTCCCGACCGCACCATTACATCATCGCTGGGCTGCAGAACTCCGCCCGCTGTGGCTGATACGTTGGCCATCGAGGCGCAGCAGTTCGGGCTTCGCCGTCGCCGACCTCGAGGGTCAACACTGAATGCTCTGTCTTGTCTGTTTCATCTCGGTCTGAAATGACTCAGTAGCTGCGTCTTTGAAGTTACTGCATTGCAAGGGGCTGTCGGCGATCCGCCTCGAACCTCGACGCCCAGTTGTGATGTATCGCCGCTCACGTCCCAACAAGGAATATCTGCAAGAAGCAGCTGGGAAAATTCTCGTTCCTCTGATCCCGCTTTCAAGCGCTTTGCATATCTTCCTCGTGACTCACAGATGCACTCCACATGTCCACAGTCCACAGTCCACATGTATTGAACCAAGCAACTGGGCCTCTTGGGCGCCTGCTGATACAACTGCAGCATCACTCTTGTCAACTTCCTCTGCATCTGACCTCATGTTGCAACGCTCAATCCTTCTGCCTACACCGTAAATCGCTCTCTGTGCCGTACTGATTGAGTTGCGGGTTGAGCCGGGCAAGGGATCCTTCTCGTGTCCTCGTTTCTCCATTCATATCCGATGCTCCCTTGGATATCGTCGGCCCTCAGCCAGTCGCCCTCTCGCCACCGCTTCTCCTTCCTGGTAGGTCCGACCTATTGACTACGGCCCAGTAGAGCACGGGGCCGGTTGGAGGATCTCTCAGGAGTGTATACTCTCTTCCGGCTTCTGATTGCATGCAAACGCTAATAAAGGGGAGCTGTGAGATACAGACGAAGCAGCCCATGGAAACGCCAACGCTGCATGAATGCTGATCTGAGATTCGACGCAGACCTCTCAGAGGCTTCCATGCTTCTTATTTATTTTTCTGAGACTCTTCCCCGACAAGCGGCTTACTCGAAGTAACATGCCAGTACCAGCAGTAACAAAATTACAAGTGCATCCGGCCTTGAACTTGCATTCCTGATCGAGTAAAGCTGGAGATGACCATCGACCGGACTCAGTCCAATCGTTGATCGTAGCAGGGGTCTCGGATGCAGCGTCCCAGCCGGCCATTTTGGGCACCAGCGAATCGAAGCCCAGAAGCGGCATCTGGTCATTGTCCAAGCCCATTTAGCTCAACTGAAAATTGACGGAGACCGTGGGGCAGGCTGAGCCTTTTTTCCCTTTTTTCTGGGTCCATTATTATTTTTTTCCCCTTCTGACTTGAGATATCTCCTTCCCTTTTCTCTCCAACCTCCAGGTCATGTGAGACGCACTTGTTGATTCAAGACGGAGTCGTTTCACTTGCTGGCTGATCTGGGGCCGCGAACTTTCCCAGAAGTTTCAGGAAATGAGAGTCTCCGTATTTGGACGTTCGTACATCTTATCTTGACCAGTGAACCTGAGATGGCGCTGCACGAGGGTCTTGTTGGGAGATAGGCCGCATACATGGCGGTACGGCGCACAAGGCCCTCGAGCTCCGAAGCTCGTACAAGCCCGGAGGCATATACAAATTCGGATGGAAATTTCCTACCTGTGCTCTGTCAGTGCAGGTGATTAGTGCTTTGCGACTCTCCTGGCTCTTGATTCAATTTTGGAGATGGAGACTTGAGTTTATTGTCGAGGTGCAACTTGCACGTTCCTCGTGCGGGTTCCATACTCCAATCTTGGCCGTGATGTGCACATTCCTATTGTGTTTACGGCAACTGTATGAGAGGTTTAGTAAAGGAGGATGAACCATGGAACCACGCGGGTTGGCCCTGTCGTAGAATCTATACGGGGAAGTGCTCCGGGGACCGCGTGGAGCAGCGCGCTTCTTTTGCGATCAGAAAAATTAACAAGAATTTTTTTCTTAATTTTCCTGCGCATTACTTATGCAGGAGGCATGCAGTACGGAAGAATAATGCTAGTAATTATCCGGATGCACCTCCAAGGGAGGAATTTGCGTGATTTCCCGAGCAATTTTTGGTGTTCGAAACTCAGCCACAAGGAATCTGGCGAGTTGTCCAGATATTTTGCCCTCCGAACAGTTGCCAGCTGAATCTCGACCCACCGTCGTGGCAAATCGGAGTAGGCCGTCAATGAGAGTGCAGGGATTCTTGCCCTACTGCTGAAAAGCGTTAGCGAGCGAACCTTTAAGGACATCGGATGATCTTCCACTGGAAGGATGGAGTGGGGGGAAGGCAACTTCTATTTTCATCTTGGAGTTGGGACTCAGTTACAGACTACTGTACCTCGTAAGTCACCACGGAGAGCCAGAGACAGACGCTGTTTCTTGTTCTGGAGAATGCGCGAAGTCCTGGCCAGTGCATGGATGTATCGACTATTGTATTCCATGATCTATCTGTATTCCAGTCCCAAAGTCTTCCACGAGCCAAGTGGATCACGACGGGGCTTAGCACTTTAGCACTGCGCAACTCGAGCAGCACCCGGCTTTGCTCTACATCATTCCTGTTTCACAACAGAGGTTCAAGCCCAGATAGGTGGAAGGTTGCGCTGCATCCACCGGAGTGAATTTCACACTCGTCGCTGACTGGAATTCCCGCCGGCCGCCAGGAGGTCAAAGCAAGGCCATCCAAGCCTGTGACACTAACACTGACTGACACTTGCTCGCCAGTTGCCAGTCGCAAAGTCCAAGTTTCGAGGAGGCCTCTGGATTCTGATGAATCCTCACAAATTGAACTGCCCGAAACCCCCCGAATCAGTCGCAAGAGCCCAGCGAGCCTCGGCGCCTCTGGTTGAACTTTCTTGAAGCCGTTCCATGGCGCTGTTGGTATGGATCTGACGGTCGACAGTACGTCGGTTCGTAGTGGCCCAGGCTGAACCCAGCTGGGCTCGGTTGTTGAGGGTCGTCGGAAGAAGTATAAATTAAGCATCGCATCGACTAAGAGGCCGCGATTTGGCGACTAATGTATGGACGTATTCTCGATGTAAAGACCTGTACGGAAGGAGCCTAGCAGGACGAAAGAGTGAAGACACTAGTCTCCACCGCGATGACCATTCTGGACACCTGCATCCTGCTAACGCTCAGCCAGGAGGAGACTGGAGAGGCAGCGAGGCCATGCCGCCATGCGCAGCTGAGATCGCACGGCGAATCCGGGTTGTGGCCAAAACGACTGACTTGTTCCTTACGATCGGGTTTCCACCTCCTGCAAGAGAAAAAGTCGCCGGAATGGAGAGAGCAGGACCGTCGTTGCGTAGTTGCCGCGGGGACTGTTTAAAAAGACGGCGATGGATGTATGGCGGGTTGGGTTGAAACTGCCTGCAAGATTTAATGATCAGTCGAAGCTGGCTCTTGACCCAACGAGTAATCCAAGATTTTTATATTTTTAATTCCCTTATTTCCTGCCGGATTTCGAGTCGCAAGCTCCTGTGCAGGGATTGTCTGCAGAAGGCGAAGTGTATTAATGGAGAGTGTTTGCCTGTTTGAGCACAGCTGCCCCTCCCGTCTTACTCGACACTCTTGACTTTCTCTCTCTTCTCTCTTCTTCCTCTCTCCTCCTCATCTCATCGGCCTTTTCTTTTCTTCCCTCCTTTCCGGCCCTCTGGCCTTTTTCTTTCCTTTATACTTCTCATTCTTTTCTTCCTCCATTTATTTTTATCTATTCTTATGTCCTTAGTCTGTCGCGCACGCTCGCCCACATCCTAATTCCATCCACCACCCGCTTCCATTACTTGATACGACCCTCTGCGGACCCCAGATAGCCCGTGCTTTGACTCAGTACCCCTCTATCGGGCCCGTGGTCTCGTATCACCCTTCGTACTTGGAGATATCCTCCTCGTGGCTGGTGGCGATTTTCTATATACACGGAAATCCCCCGGAAGACAAGAAACCGCTGTGGGCGACTGCTGCCTTGATGAACCTTTTTATACTCTGAATTGGCAAACTGCGACTTTTTCTAACCCTTTTCGTTCCTTCGCGGCCGTCTTATCATTGATCTAGCTCCGCACTGAATCATAATGCCAACCGTCTTACTGCCCTCGTCGGCCGCTGCCTTTGCGCCGCGGTCGTCACCTAACGTGGTGTTGAACTCTCGGATCGAACCTTGGCTCACAGCGACCTTAAAACGAGTCAACCGTGTCAAGCGACCTTTGAACAATGTGTCGCAGCATACAAGATGTCTAACCGAGACTCTTTCTTCAACGAACGCTATCTGGACTCTCTGTTCGATGATGTTTCCCAAGGCTCCCGAGGCGGAGCTGAGGAAGGACGACAACCCTCTAGTAGAGGCACTGTTCAACTACCAGATGATTCACATCGAAGCATACGTGGTGCATGTTGATATGGTGTCCCAGAACGAGGTCGCGTTCAAGCTCACGCCTGAGACGATAGAGTCGCTCGTTGAATACCACAGGGATATCTACTCGATAGACACCGCTGCCAACACTTGGGACTGGGCTGAAAAGGACAATCAGCTGAAGAAGTTGCAGGAGGAATTTGTCCAAGCAGCCAACAAATTTGTTTACCGCACCAGCGCCCAGGCTCTTGAGGGCTTGGAGGAAGATGGTGCGGGTGAGCTGCTTAGTGGTAGGAGTGAGGATGCGAAGGGTGCTATCTCTGCCCTGTTCGTTCCCTTACTCCCGCCGCCTCCTCGCGTCGTTGATGTTCTTCGTTCTACGCCTTTGCTCCCCAGTTCGACCGGACCCGAGACATGGTGGCAAGACCCAATGCAGCAACCGGTGTCGATGGACTCGTGGAAGGTGCTACCATCCAGTCCTGCGCCTGCTACAACTGGGGATATGAACCCAAGTATGTGGGCTGGACTGGGTACTATGCCTGAAATGCAGATGGCGTCAACGCCCGCCTACACCCAGGCATATACCACCTCGCCATACAATACCCTGCAGTACTACAGCGCAGCAGCCACATCAGCTGCCCTTGCAGCGCTCCCACTTCCAAGTATGCTCGTGCAGCCCTGTAGCACAGCGGCAAACATGACTGGTTTTGGATGGGGAGATCGTTACCAGGATTTTGCGCTACCGTACGGTACAACAATGTAATGGATTCAAGTCCTCAGACACTTGATGTTGACAGTCTGTCTGACTTCGCGTGTCTTTGGATTAGATCCCAGGGTCCTTATCGACAGAGTCAATACCGGTTATCCGCGTTACCACCCGAGTCCGAGACTATATACCCACGAGACCAACAGGGACCAGATCCCTTCGGAAACCAGACCCCAGAATAATCGGCATCAGTGACGGCGTTCTCCATGATTTGATTTTTAACCCGATGATACTCCACTTCGCCTTTGCATTATGACCACAGAACATAATATCGTGTCTTTCGTTTTGTTTGTTTGATTGTGATTTCAGCCAGTTTGAGCGTGTTTTCATTTTTATTTCTCTTTTGCATTAAGCAGCAGCGGCGGGACGGCTATCTGTCTTTTTCGTTACCATTTGATCCCGCATTATATGTCATAAGACTGGTGAGCCTCGCGGCTAGGGATATGGCTGGATGAGAAACGTTTTACCACACTCGTTGGATTTCATTTCGTTCCATGACTTGGCAGGACACTCGGAGACGATGAAACTGGTTCTGAGAACCAATCGTTTTGTTTCCTGCTGAACATCTGCTTCCTCTGATACAGGCTATCGGACTGGAATCTGACATGATGGATTGGGAGCAGATGCAATCATGGTTCTGCGAAACATGCTCATCTGAGATGGGTTATGGACGCAGAGTTACAACACGGCGGCTTACTTGGTTTCTGCTGGGATGAGGTGTATCGATCATTGGTCTCATTCATCTGCCCGTGGCGGACCATGAGCGAGGAAGAAGGAATCCGTGTCCGTGACTACGGTTTACTTTCCCTCACTGATTGATATGCCTCTGACCTCTGACCTGGTCAAGCAACCTGTTGCTTGGTAGGTTCATCTCCTACTGTCCAGGCTGGGTTTGTATTACCTAGACATGCCCGCCCATCCATCTCTTACTGGTGAGAGTATGGGTGACGGGAATCGGATGCAGGACTGGGCTGTGCCCAACACTACATTCTTTCCGCTCTCTGATCAATTTGTATGCAGCTTCAGCTTGTATTTAGTGTGGAGTCTTAATTGAACAACAGATAAACAGTTGATTATTTCCCGTAGAAATTGTTGTAATTTTTAAGTACGTACGCGTTGTGTAGCTCTGTTGTAGATCGTACGTAGGGCCGAGAACCGGTGACGTCAGGTATATTTCCCTGGCAAGATCCCCAGGCTCCAACATGGAACGAACTGTTCGTCCGCAGTTTCATCTTTATTGTCGACTCATTATTATACCCTCGTTGTCCTCACTTCCCAATTAGCGCGAAACACACTTCCATTCCTAAATATAAGCTAATACTCCCGTTATAATTCCTTATCTCTCCATTATCTCTCAGCGCAACCCCGCATCATCAGTCTGACCTACCTACCACCGGATTTAATGGCTGCCCTCCAAGAAGCTCTCCAATGCCTAACCTCAACACCCCGGGATGAAATCCCAACCGACCAAGCCTCTCTCCGCAGCTTACTCACAACCCTGCGCTCCCAAGCCCGCCTAATAGTCGACTCCGTCCCCGAACCTCCTCCCGAGAAATCCGCAAGCACAAACTCCTCCTCCTCCAGCTCTAAATCGAAGCATAAGTACAAAATAATTCCGTCCCCCGCACGCCTCTCCAATCCAGACTCCAACACGCCCGATTCATCCGAAACCGCCGCCGCCGCCCATGAGCACCAACAAGCCTGGTCCAAGCAGATCGTGAAACCAACCCACTCGAAGGATAACCCGCTCAGTGTACCGGTTTACAAACTACCTGGCTCGGATGGCCAGGGCCATTGGTTTGGGCGGAGGAGCGTGCACGAGGGACTACCTTATGAAGTGTGGGAAGAGAAACTGTCCACCGAGATTACGGAGACGCTGAGACGGAACCAAAAGCGGGTTGAGCAGGGTCTCCCGCCTGATCAGGCAGTTCGGGGGATTGGGGCGGAGAGGGTCGTTGAGGAGGTTATTGTACGAGATGGGGATGGAGATGCGAATGTCATGGGCAAGTTCACCATTTACCATGTGAGAGCGACGTTTCCGAAGCCGACGACGAGCCGTGACTTTGTGGCGATGATTGTTACGTGGGAGAATGAGCATTTCAAGGAGCGTGAGAAGGAGGGGAAGTGGAGTCGGGAAGGGAGGAGTTGGATGATGCTCTCTAGGCCCTGTGAGCACCCTGATGCACCGCCTGTGGGCGAGTTTATTCGGGGGCAGTATGAGTCCGTTGAAATGATTAGGGAGATCCTGGTGGATAAGGATGGGTCCGAGGGGTCTGAATCTGGATCGGGGTCGGGGTCGAAGGGTGCAAATGGAGAGTTCAATCCTGTCGAGTGGATTATGGTAACGAGGAGTGACCCTGGCGGTACAATTCCGCGATGGATGGTTGAGAAGGGCACTCCAAAGAGCATCTGTACAGACGCAGCCAAGTTTGTAGACTGGGCGAGGGAGGATCCGGAGGCCGCAAAGGAGAAGGAGCGTTTACAAAGTGCTGCGAAGTCGGAGGGTAAAGAGTCGATGAATGCTGAGGAAGAATCAGAGTCAGAGGAAGATAGCGACTCGGATTCCAGCGAGTATGAGCAGGAAGAACATCATGGGCTCATTGCGAGCTTCGGGAGCTTGTTAAATGCTGGCATTGAGCGATATGCGCCGCAGGCAGTTCTGGATTATATACCACACCACTCCCGCGAGTCATCATATAACATACCAGGCGAATTCAAAGACTCCGATGAAGATACGACCACGCACCACCAAACAAAGCGACAAGCCGACGCCGACGCCGACGAGACACAATCACAAACATCCGTCAAATCCGAAACGCCTGCTGAACCAACCACTTCCGCCGGCGGCGACGTCAACCTAGACATCACAGCGGCCGAGCTCCTCGAAAAGACAGGTAAAAGCAAACTCTCCTCGCATGAGCGCCAACTGGCCAAACTCGCGCAAGAGAAACGCAGCATCGAAGCCCAGCTCGACCTCGTACGCTCAGACATCGAGTCTCTCGGCCTGAGAGCGCCTGAAGACAAAGACAAAGAGGATATCAAAAAGGAAACCGCCTCCGCCCGCGCATCAGCCGACAGTCCGAGCGGACACCAACACCAGCAACGGGCCGGAAGTTCGGACAGCAGCACAAAGGCCAAGCATCTTGGATCTGACGACCGCACGTCGAGCAACAGTAATCTCCGCAGCCGCGGCGAGACCCCTGCACCTGCAGCAGACAGCCCCAAAATGCAAAAGGTAGCGGCGGGGCTCTTTCGTGAAGAATCGAAGCTCGTCCAGAAATTGTCCAAGATCGAACGCCACCAGCTCAAGGAGGCGGAGAAGATCGAGGCCAGGCATCGTAAGGACGCCGAGAAGCGTGAGAAGGAGGCGGAGAAGGAGGCAGAGAAACAGGGTAAAGCTCGTTCGCGCGATGCGAACGAGTCTCTGCGGAGAGAACTCGAGCAGACGAAGAAGGAATGTGAAAAGCTGCGGAGCGAGCGCAAGCAGTGGCTCGACTTGATCAAATCACTGCAGGCGGAAAATAGCAAACTTGCAGGGCAGCTTGGTGTGAAGGGAGAGAAGGGAGAGAAGTGAGATGGGTCTGGATTTTGAGTAAAAAATAATCTGGATTCTAGCATTTGGCAGCCATACTATACATATATATCATAAGATATGGAGTTGAAAACAAAACCTCTGTAAATAATTGGTATCCGAAACTCCGCCATAGACGCCGCAAATAATATATTAACTGCATCGCATTTATTCTCTCAACTGGGCGATTGTAGTGAGTCCATCGGAAGCACTTCCCAGCGGGTAACCACCATGTGTTCTAGGGGAGTGAGTGCATCTCCTCGGCCTTTTGGTCCAACCACGCATCGTAACCAGTGTCGTCGCCAGATATAGGCCATTTTAGACCAGATCGAAAGGCTTTGTATCGACTCAATCCAAAAATATTTCAGCGGACGAGGCGTCGTATTCGTTTCGCCTGGTGTGGTCGCGTCTCGTTGCCTTTCTTCGCATCGCATCCATATCCATCTCGATCATCCTAAATGCCAATATCTCAAACAAAAATCGAGCAAACTCTATTCTTGCGTCTAAATAAAAAGGAAAGAAAGAATCTATTAGCCTTCTTCCAACTCTCTTTCAACAACAACAAACAAAAAGGGAGAGAGGAAAAGAAATAAATTCTAGAACTCACCTCCGGCGGCGGCCCAACCCCCCTAACCATCTTCTCAATCATAGCCGCGCGTACCTTCTCCCTACTCTCGCCCATCCCAACAGCCATGTATCCCAGGAGCGGCGCATGTCCAACATAGCTGGCGTAGGTGTCGCGCGCGATGTTGGACAGGAACTCGTGCTTGGTTGTGTCGGCGTGCCCGGTGCCCACGTACCGGGCTTGCATTGCTTCGAGGTTTTGGAGGGTGCGGAGTTTGTCGGCCATTTTGGTGGATTTTGCTTTCTCGGCTTCTGGATGATGGGTTTGGCGGGGGTGTTTTGTTGTCTTTCTGCGTGGGAAGTCGAGAGGTGTGGTTTGAGGTTGGTGAGAGATTGCGGAGGGAAAGGCTTGTCGTGATAACGTTATCGGCACGTGACTTGTATACTGATAGGGCTGCTATGGGGTGTATTAAGCCATGGTGTGCTCGAAAGTGTTTAAGAACAATTCGCAAAATGGTTTATAATAATAAAAGCTATTGGAGTAGAATGTTGATTTTAAGCTAGGTTCATATACAGAACGTAGTCTAAATTCCACTAATTCAACTTCAAACGAGGCTACAGATAGTACATCAATTTCCACCAACTTGTAGCACACTCTTCCAATCCTGCTTTGCACACCACTCCTTAACAGGCTGAAGATGAACTGGCACTCCTAAATCAGCAGGTTTCACAATGGTATTATCAACCATTGCCCCATCATATCCGAACTCAACACAGAATTCCATCATCTCTGTCATCTCCTTTGTCAGATCTGGGTCTCCTAGGTCGAAGCCTAGATCACCTTGGACAAATTCAACGCGCTTCCCTAACGCTTGACCCAAAATTATGGCAATATCTTTGATACTAAGCCATTCATTGACACCGATGACCTTCTGTCCCGGGTCCGCGTGAAGTATGGTATGTACAAGGGCACCAGTATCGTCCACTGCGGAGTACAAGGGAAACGGTGCATCGCTCAATGGTCCCAGCAAAGGCAACACAAGTTCGTCCCTGTCGTTGCTCCATTTTGGAGGTAGTAAGGCACTAGCCCCCAAGGTATCGAGCCAATTCTCCAGGTACAGCCCGGCATAAAGCACAGTCGTTTTCTCCCAAAGGTTTGGATGAGCCGCGCGACCATATTCTTCAGCAAGAGCTTTGGACTCAAAGTGGTAAACATTTCTGTACTTTCCACTACTTATTTTGTTTGTGTTCGGCATGCTGGAAAAGACAAAGCGCTCCAGCGTGCTCACTTTGGCAGCAGCATCAATAATATTTCGGTTTTGCCGCACCTCAAGCGACCGGCAATGCTCTCCAATGGATATACCAGATGCAACAGCCTTCTCGCGCTGCGAAGGGTCGAAGAAAGCAGCCCAAAAATCAGTGACACAGAAGATGACAGATGCACCTTTGAAGGCAGCGTCAAGAGAGGAGGGCTCGTAGTTGTTCCCAGCTACCATCTCCACCCCGCGCGCTACGAGAGCAACAGATTTAGACGACGATGGGTCACGAGAGATGCCGCGAAGGGCGTATGGAGAAGATGATAGTGATAAAAAGTGCGATATGACAGACCCTCCCTGATTACCTGTCGCACCGACGACAACGAGAATTGGCTTTTCTGAGGACATTGTGGTGTTATCGAAGGAAGACTGGATAAATTCTGCGGATGGTAGATGAGAATTGTGCCGGGAATCAGGCTCACTTTATACCAGAACTCCTCCTAGATATAATGCCTATAGTAGTCCAGTTCGAGTGAGCGGCCCATTTCGGTTTAGTTCCCACTAGGTGTCTGATATACTCTGTTCCCCACCGTTATGGCTGAGTGCAACCAAAGCGAGGAAACTATCGCCGTGGAAGTCGTCATCCGACCCATCGAGGATTTCTCCAAATTTGTGAAGTGAGATTAGCTGTTCTCCGACTTCCTGGCCGGTTCTAGTTCCGGCTCCCGCAATCCAAGCTTGTGGTGACCCTGCCATCCACAGACCAGCGCGCCTGTCGAATGGAAGAGATTCCAGGAAAAGCCAATGGGAGCAGTATCCATACTCAAAGCTTGATATGGACATGACGAGCGTGTAGGACATGATTATTGTTCGCCGAACGCTCTCGCCAAATATCCATGCCTGCCATGGTGACTGATTTGGAGGCATTCTAGTCTGGGCAGATGCCAGCAATGACTCTGTCCATGCCAAAATAAGGCCAAGAAAATCCTTCCCTGTGAAGTGTCTGTTTGAGACGAATGTTCCAATGTGAATGAGAAGAGATTGAAGAGCAGCCAGGGTCTCCATGATGGGCACTACATTGATATCAAGCTCAATTAGGCGCCTGAAGCTCTCACGAGTCACGCCGTTTTCAATATCTCCAAGGGCATCAAAGTGATTGCAGTTGCGGTGCATCCGCAGCTTTGGATGTATGAATATTGCAGGCTTTCCTGACTTGAGAAGGTCCAGAACTGGCCGATACCCCAGGTGCACAAACTTCAAGGCATTCGGGTTTCCAATCGGGCAGATCGCAGGATCAATGTGGGAAAGCTCACTAACACGTCCAATCAAACAATACGCGGGCGTGTCGATAATCGATGAGCTCCACGAGAGATTATGTTGCTTGCCAGATTGAGCAACAGAAGTGCCCAAGGGCTCGAGATCATACAAGCACTCCAACCCGCGCTGGGCACAGCGAGTGCATTTCGGCAACTGGACCACACATTTCCGCTTGGAGGTGGTGCAGTGGCGGCAGGCTTTACGCAGGGTCGCCATTTGTGAGGAGCTGGAGATGAGGATAAAAAGATCCGAAGAATCTACGAGAGAATTTGGAAGCAAAGGGCAGAGCGTCTGCTTATCCAGCCCGCATCAGCCTGTCAGCAACTCCTCAACGCAGCCTCATCGTGGAGCAACGGGACCTAAGCCTCAAACAGTTTAGATCCCACAGGTACGGCCTCTCCGAGGTATCAGCCGCTTTGCCGAATATCGTCATGCTGCCTCCCACTGGGGGTAAGCTGACAGAATATTGGCAGACGTAATCATACTCGGTACCTAGGTATGCAGAGAGAAGGAGGGAGAAGGAAGAGAAGGAAGAGAAGAGAGAAGAGAGAAGAGTTGGGAATAGAGTGGCAGCTGACGAATCAGCCCAAACAGGAAGCCGCGGCCCACCACGTGCCTGCCTTCTCCGTCGAGTCTTATCACAGCTTCAAATAACGCGTGTCTAACTCTTCATTAGATGTGTGACTGACAATATTCATGCGCCGTGTAGTTTCGACCCCCGAGCGAGCAAGCGAATCAACTTCAAAGGTCCCGCGCAGCATGGCCACAGCCGGGGGCCTCAGAAGATCATTTAACATTATGGGATACCTTTGGGTGATGGAATCCCGGAACAGGACAAGCAGAGGTTAAGAGATCTCTAGAATATTTATTTTAAGGATGATGAAGGTCCGACCAAAATAGTGGCGAGCTCATAGAAGACTTTGGTTGAGTACCTTATTATTAGCAGCGTCAAGACCACATGTCATTTAGGGCAACTCCACCTGTCCACTCAGGGAAACAAACCTCCATCCTCCTGCCCTCCATTTCCGTAATATTGAATAATTAACCCAGTCTATATACTCCCGGGGGCTTGCATCATGATACGTCTAGCGCTGTGAGAACGGCTGAGCCCCTCTATCCCACGTGAATGGACAACAAACCCAATAGGCCACAGCCTCACATGTCGTAACGAGATGAGCCAGTGTCAGTATAGATCGCCCTGAAGCGGGGTCCCTGAGGATTCACTGCCACTCAGCTTTCAGACACGGAGAAAGATGTGCATCCCAAACCCCACACAACTAGCCCCAACTGGTCGCAGCTGTTCACAGTCCCTGATTTTAGTTTCGGCCCCTTCTCTGAGTCTCCATAAGGATGCCCAGCGCCCCCCAGGCTTCAACCACGTCCGCTGTCAGAATTCTCGCGGGCGCTAGCAGGCTCTATATTGATATTTCATGTCTGGCCATCTGCTTTCCAGCCACGACAGTCCTGCTCGGCGGCTTTCGGTGGAAGACGGCCAAGAGGCCTACAACTTGTATGAAGTCGAGTCCCAATGGAGGAAACGGCCTCTGTTTGAACGAGTCTTGCAGCGAATATATTCCGTTCGATATCTCTTCTCCTCAGGCGGCGATTATCATGGCAAATATAGACCGTTAATACCGGCTTTGGTGCAGCCTCGCCGGTTTCGACGCACTCTCTTCCGGCTGCCCTACTATGGGCTCATCGTCTTGTCGGCTATTCTGGTCCTTGTGATCTTCACAGCAATTTTCTTTCCCTCATATACGAGACCCCCACCCCATTACTCGTCGCTTCGTGACTTAGCGTCAGCATCAGACCAAGCCGGTCGAGGGAACCCACGCAATGAAAAGGTATTTATAGCCGCTAGCTTGTATGACGTGACTGGAGATTTGGTCTGGGGCCACTGGGGCTCCAGCATTCTCCAGCTCATTGATCTACTTGGGGAAGACAATGCTTTTCTGAGCATATATGAGAACGACAGCGGATCCGAAGGCAAGCAATCCTTAGCAGATCTGAAGAGACAGGTGCCATGCAACAACTCCATCATATACGAGCATCTAGGCCTGGAGGATCTCCCCAAAATCATCATCCCAGGAGGCAAAGAGCGCGTTAAACGGATTTCGTACCTAGCCGAGACACGCAACCGTGCTCTTGAGCCGTTGGATGAGCATACTGCACAGGAACCTTTCGACAAGATCCTATTCCTGAATGACATAGCGTTTGATCCCATCGAGGCGCTGCAACTCCTTTTCTCAACGAATGTCAACGACGACGGCGTAGCGCAGTACCGGGCTGCTTGCGCCGTCGACTTCATCAACCCTTTCAAATTCTACGATACCTACGCTACGCGCGATCTAGAAGGCTACAGCATGGGCCTACCTTTCTATCCCTGGTTCTCGAACTCCGGCAGCGCCCAAAGTCGCAAAGACGTTCTCGGCGGGAAAGACGCTGTGCCGGTCCGCAGTTGCTGGGGAGGCATGGTCGCATTCGACGCTCAATTCTTCCAACACAACACCGGGAAGCCGCCTGTTGAAGCAGCAGGGGGGAATCTCCCAGCTCGCTTCCGTGCCTCGCAGGATGTGAATTTGTTCTGGGATGCGTCTGAGTGTTGTCTCATCCATGCAGATATCCAGGTCCCGAGGCAAGACCCTGGGGAGTCCCAGGACAGCGCGGTGATTGAAACAGGGATATACATGAATCCTTTTGTGCGTGTTGCATATGACCCGCGTTCTCTATCCTGGCTTTGGACTACGCGGCGCTTTGAGAAACTTTACTCTCTTGTGCATAATATCGGGAATCACCTCGTTGGTTTGCCTTGGTATAACCCCCGGCGGGAGGAAGTGCCTGGGCAACGTGTTGAAGACACGGCCTTTATCAATGACGAGGGAGGAGCTGGCTTCTTCCGTTCTGTTGAGAGGTCTACTAGCCATGATGGCTTCTGTGGACGATTAGGGCTGCAGGTTGTTATTCCACAGCGCGAGGAAGGGGAGGGGTTTGAGAGTGTACCGATGCCTCGTTCTTAAAATCGGTTAAACTATATAATAAGTTTTAATATTATCTCGAACATCACTATGAATATCCCAGCTACTAGTGTTGCCTAACTGCTAATTGGCTTCATATAATTCAGCAGAGCCTATTTCACTGCATACTATGGACGTTACACCGCTGAAATAGTCCAGTAGCTCGAACCAAAAGAATAGATTCCTTGAATAAATAGACTGTATTCGTAAGCTGTCTTCAACAAAAAACAAAAGTGAAAATGAAATGAAATGAAATTCGATAATACTAGATTGAAACTCAATAATTTCAACAGTTTCAATGAATAGGAACAGAAATGGAAATGCAAATGCAAATAAAGAGTCAAGTATAAGAAGGAACGTGACTAACTCAAGTTGGTTAAATGAACTGCTTATATAAGCAACAGCCACCGCGTCACAACGCGTGCGAATATTTGAACAACCTGCCAGCATTGGCGGATTAACAAGGGCCCAGCAATGGCAGATTCAGGAGCAGCTGATAGCTCGATAGCGTCGCGGATTGCCGCGCTGGTTCACACGTATTACAATGGTTTGCCAAGTGGCAGCAAGCCTGTCGTGAGAGATAATGGGATTGCGGAATGGATTCCCATGTCGGCGATTGTAGTTGTTAAAGGTGGGGTTTCTACTTTGATATTGCGCTCATGGATTCAACTGTGGGGAATTCAGTGGTGATACTATATTATCCTTGCTTTTCCCTGCCTGAAATCACTTCCTGTGCACTGATATTACTCGCGTATATCTATTAACACCACACAGGCGAAGGTACCCCATCAGAGTCCCTAACCTGTATCGCCGTCACGTAAGTCCATTGGTCCCTCTTAACACTCCCATCAGTTAGTAATTTCTTCTAGAACCGGCGCAAAATGCCTCCCAGCTACCAAAGTCGGCAAAAGCGAAGGCCTAGTCCTCCACGACTGCCACGCCGAAGTCCTGGCAATGCGCGCATTCAACCACTGGCTTATCGCCGAGTGTCACGTATTCATAGACCGCGAGGAACTCCATATGCGGCCCTGCACTGAACCAATCTCGCCGTATGTCTGCCGCCGGCCTAAACTCACCCGCGACGGCCCTATCTTGCCCCCCTTTGAAATTAGACCCGATGTCAGCATCTACATGTACTGTACCTGTGCGCCTTGTGGCGATGCAAGTATGGAGCTTGTTATGGCCGAGCAAAATGACCCTACACCTTGGGCGCCGCCGGCTGCACCTACAACCATGGCTACGCCTGCGTCATCTTCGAATCCTCCTGGGGAGCAAGCGCTCCTCGACGGCCGCGCGCATTTCTCAAATCTAGGTACGGTGCGTCGCAAGCCCGCGCGTAGAGACGCCGAGGCGACAAGAAGCAAATCCTGCTCGGATAAACTTGCGCTGCGGCAGGTGACATCTTTGCTCAACTACGGAGCGAGCCTACTTGTTGCCGTGACTCCGAATGCATATATAAAAGGCCTCGTTCTTCCAGAGGAAGAGATTAGCCGAACGGGTATTGCGCGGTGTTTCGGCCTCGAGGGGAGAATGAAGGATCTCGTGGGCAGGACGTGGCCGATTACGAAGACGGATGCGGATACGCCTGGTCTACAGGGTCTGCCGGCGAGCGAGACACAGGGCAGGCACCGGTACGAGTTCAGACCGTTCGAGGTGCTATCAATACCCAATTCGCAGCTGCGAGCGCTCTGGAAGTTCCGGAAGCCCAAAGCCTCGGACCCGGGCCAGACAGCCGCACAGCTAAAGATGAGCAAGCCGGGGAATAAAACTGTCGTATGGATCCGTGCGCCTACGGCACACCACGAAGCTAAATCCGGATACCCGTCTCTGGTAGGGCGTCTGCCAACTCTTCGCGGTTCGAGCACCGGTGTTTTCGAGAATATCATTGGCGGCGTCAGGCAGGGTTATAAACTGTCGGATCCCGGGCTTGCGGGTGCGTCGGTGTTGTCGAGGCGGCAGCTGTGGTTGCATTGGAAGAGTGTTGTGTCACTTACGATGGGGGAGCATGAGATTAGTTTAACCGGTAGGGATATAGGGTATAAGGTTATGGGCACGACAGGTGCGATTCGGGCGTTCATTGAGGAGAAATATCGCGGGTTCAAAAAGCCGCATGACTATGAGAAGGCTGGCTGTATCAAGGCGAGGAGGGATGCTACGCAGGCCGCTAAGGAGGTTCTTGGAGGATGGGTGCCGAATGTAGAAGATGACAACTGGCCCATACCGGAGTGGAAGGATGAGAACTATGGACATGATGACTACCCACGGAGTCCACCGGATCCAGAAAGCCCAGAGAGGCCTGATGGTTTGAGAGATTCGAGAGATTCAGGAGATCCAAGACATGGCCCCGGTGCTTCAAAAAGACCGAGGCTTGATGTCTGAAATTTGTATATTCAGTGATCACGATTGTTTCCAATCTCAACTAATTATAATAACATGTACATAAGCTTCTCCGTCGCCAAATGAAGAGACGATTAGATTAAAAATTAAGATAGTATACACATCAAAAGATCATAAATTGAACTTTAGATCGAACGCGACCTTAGTAGATCCCTGGAATGATACGGCTGCGGACAAGAGAAGTATATCGGTCCCAGTCCTTGCCGTACTTTCTCTTGCACTTTTCTTCGTCACGTCGCTCACGGTGAAGGAGAAGGACACCAAAGTAAATCAGGAAGAAATAAGTGAAGATAAGGCCCCAACCGCGCGACTCGGGTGTCTGCACGGCTTGCTTTTCGAGTTCGCCCGTGGAAGGGTTGATGCTCTCGAGGATCACAAACCCGGAGATCCCGGTGGGCAGGGAGTACGACCACGACATAAGCCAGTCGCCGAGGTAGTTGATATGGCGAGCTAATCCCCACCAACCGGAAGTCATCAGCTTGGACCCTGCGGCGGTCTCGATGTACTTGATCTCCTTGACACGCGGGTCGTTGGGGTTTGTACGGAAGCGGTTCTTCTGGTTGTTGGCTCCGCGGAAGATCATGTATCCTGCAGCCGTCGGCGCCAGCACGAGTGCGATACCCTTCGGGCCTAGTTCATATGGGAACATGGCCAGGTATCGGGTTTGAAAATTGTACATGAAGGGAACCCAAGTGAGGTCACCGAAGGAAAGCATGTACCCAAAGCCATCCATAATCACATCCATAGTAGTCAAAAGCGCAGGCTCCATGTAAAGCCCGTCGAGAACGTAAAAAGCTTGGAAAAGGGTTGAGATGACGATGGAGTCCGTCACATATCCATAAGTCCTGTACTGTCGCGCAATGTTGGACAGGTTCATGATAATCCATCCCAGCAAACCAGGGCGCATTTCCATCCAGACCTTGATGTCGACGGTTCTGGATGCCTCACTGACGAACGGAATTGGAAGTTTTACTCGGGGGTTGAGTTCGCGCCCAATGAAGAAATCGTAGAGCACATTACCGGAGTGTCCACCTGGAGCTAGCTGCCGAAGCTCCGGGTTGGGCTGTCCGGGCGCGGGAACGGAGAAACTCTTGATATAGACAAAAATCGCCAGCGACGAGCAAATAATCAAGTTCGAGGCGATGACCTGCGGATACTTGTCCCAAAGGAACGTCCAAACAACAAAGTCCGCGCCATCCAGGTAAGTGCCGGCAGCCAAGCCGAGCAGAATGAGTACAGCAGTAGGGAAGGCTATTTCACGTCAGAATATGCGAGTCAAGCGCCAACTGAACAAGGTCGTACCGTTGAATTTGTACCAGAGCCTTCCACCGCAAGCCAACTCGGTGCCCTCCACCACCGGGCCTGGTAGGACCACGTACAACACCAGCTGCAGCAGGTAGTAGCTCAGAACCCACAGCAAAACCTCCGTATCGTAAAGCGCCGGAATACCTCTCTCAGGCCAGCCAACCTCCTGCTTCAATTTGTCGAGCGTCAGAGTAGACGGGTGGAGCAATGACGGCGCGGGGCAGCCGGAGACATCGTTACACAGGAAAGTGAAGGCGAACAGAAGGACAGGGAGACCGAAAATAATCGCAAAGCCGCCGTAACTACACCAATCAGTAACCGAGTTGGAAGCTGGGGGAAAGCAAGAGCGTAACGTACGGGCCAAAGAACTCGTAGCCGCGCTTCTCTGGAACAGGCTGTATGGGAACAGAAGGTTTGGAATCCTTCTTGGGCGCCATTTTTTCGAGTTGCACGCGGCGGTCAGGAGAAAGTTCGACTGCCGTTGAGTGAGAGGGGGAAAAGCCAATGGGACGAGGTCTATTTAATTCCCATCGATCGATCTCCGCGACGAACGCCTGAGGCCGGATCGACTCGAGCCGGTGGAATGAATGAAGGAGTCCGCGGGTAGCGAGCGCCGTGCAGTGACCGCGCCGAGAGCTGGTACCTAGTGAGGAGCAGAACGAAGGCGCCAAGGAACGAGCTCTCCTCCGCATCCAATCTGCAACGTTTCATCTCCTAACAACGATAGTGTCAGCACTGTCTTCTGTCGTCACAGATTTTTGTCTTCTATTCTTCAGGCTCATTCTACGTCTCCTTCCACCCGCCCTGCCTTCGTCGTCTCTGTCGCTAGCTTCAGCTCTCTCCTAGCTTGACCTCTCGCCGCCCGACTCGCGCTGGGCTTAGGATCCCCGCGATGAAGTCCCCAATCTCGATTCTCAGGTTCCTCCTGGCCTCTGCCTCTTTGACCTCTGCATACGCAATTCCCGGATCGCCGGATTCCGATGGGGCGCTGGCGCCGTGTGTCGCGCGCTCTCCAACTACAGGACTCTACTATGATCTGAACACCCTCACAGTACCACCGCCTCCAAGCGACGAGAAGTCCCGCAAATACGCCCGAGAGGAAAGCTGGCATGTGAAAGGATACGATTATGGCGCCAACTTTACGCTGAATATCTGCGGGCCCGTCATTGAGGAGGTCACGGATGTGGTCGGGGTGGATGAGATAATGTGGCAGAATGTCAGCGCATACTACCAGAAGGACGACAAGACATATTCAATCGGGTTTGTCGCTCATAGACTTCGATGGGTGGATTTTGGAGCTGACACAATGCAGGCAACAAGCGTCCGATCCATTTTTCCGGGGCCGTAAGCTTGTCATGAACTATACGGATGGCTCGCCGTGCGATGGCGAGTTCATTGAAAAGAGCTCGCACAAAAAGTCGACAATGCTGTCATTCCTATGCGACCGTGACATAACCGCGACCACACCGCTGATTTCGTTCGTCGGCACCATGGACCAGTGCACTTACTTTTTCGAAGTCCGAAGCGCTGCTGCTTGCGGCGGTTATAGCAACGATTCTGCTGGACAGGGTCTCTCTCCGGGCGGCATCTTCGGTGTTATGTGAGCAACACCTGCGTGGTCTACGCACTCCAAGCTAACCCGGTTGCTCCTTAGTGCTCTTATCGCCGTCGCAGCCTATCTGATTGGGGGTTGCGCCTACCAACGTACCGTCATGCACCAGCGCGGCTGGAGGCAATGCCCCAACTTCAGCCTTTGGGCAGGGATAATCGACTTTTTGAAAGTGAGTTTACTCTCGTTAATACCATTTCGGCGATCGGCCCGGGGCCATCGCTCGCATAGTGGCCGAAGCAATGCGAAGTTACCGGGTTCACGGCGGGATTGAACGTTGCTTGGTCTATCATCCCATTTGTTATTTCCTTTTTCTCTTGATAGAATGTACCTATAGAGCGCGGACCTCGCTATACGGATAGAAGCCAGGTCTAGCCTCGTCAACAACCTCAAAGAAGAAGCTAAACAGGCACACTCTATGCTGTCTCTAACGTCTTTTAATACTATACGGCTACTATTTCTACTATTTCCAGCTCACTCACATCACGTCGGGGGCAGTCATAGCTAACTTTCTCCCCGATCGGGAACAAATCCAGGACATGAGCATAATCCTCCTCTCCTCCATTGGACGCATGTTCCGGTTCAAGCGATCCCAACCCGCCTACGCATCCGCAGGGGGTTCTCAGCGCGGCCGTTTCTCCGATTCGCATCGAGGGCGCGCGGAGGATCTAGATGCGGAAAACCGACTCATAGATCAGCTGGATGAGGAATGGGATGATTAAGCACGGCGCTGTTTTTGCTTTCGTCGTGTCTCTCTTAAGTTTTTTGAGCCTATAATAGATGGTTTTGATTTGAAATGGAGATTATGTTTCCCCCATATTGATGTATAATATGTCTCCCGCGCCGTGGTGCGTGCTACCCCGAGCGGATATATATTGTTTTATTATGATTGAATGAGCTGTATCGTCGGGCCTGGTTCCAGTTTCATACACTATGACTCTTTCTTTTATAATCGAGGCACCTTCTCACCGCAATATATGTATTCAAGGTCCTCGTTTTTGCCCTGCGTGGTTTGAATAAATAAATTGACATCAATGGAGGAGATATGAGCCATCTAAAACTACACAGCCAAGCCAGGAACGTCGGGGCACATTATCATGTCAAGTTAAGTTACTCCACACATCAAATAGCATCATTGGTCTAGTGGTAGAATTCATCGTTGCCATCGATGAGGCCCGTGTTCGATTCACGGATGATGCACTTAGTTTTTTATTTTTATTTTTATTTTTTTCTAAATCTATTATAGCCATTCATCCCCAGTGATAATACGACTAGCCTGATACCATATTTGCAGGAGTAGCGAAGCGCTCCTCCTCCATCCGCAGTATCCAACAGCTAGGGCAGCGTTTACACGACCATTATCATGGTTTAAAATTATATTCAAGTATATAACATCGAAATCATCAAAACTATCATTCCATTCACCTTCCCACCCAAGCTAAAGCGCAAAATAATAATAATAAAATAAGCCATCATCCATACGAACTGACCGACAAACCGACCAGCAAGTACGCCACAGATCCAAAGACAATTCAAGATAGTACATAAATGGCATAGCAGAGACAATCAAAAAGATATCATCGAATGCGATTGGTCATCGTACAAAAGGGCAGTTGGGGCTATTCTTTCATTTCCGAGCCACGGTTCATCCCCGTCATCCCGAGATCGTATGCGCCCATGGGAATATTCCCTGCACCACCAAAGGCAGACAAGTCGGCCGCGTTGGCATCCGGTTGCGAGCTTGGGTCGAGATCGGCGCCTGCACCGATTGGGTCAAGGTTGAACGGGAGGAACCAGGCGCTGGGTTGGTAGAACTCGCCGGTTCCCGAAGGTGCGTTAGGGTCCATCTCGCCCGGGAAGAGACCGCCGCCGGTCTCTTGAGGGGGTGCTGCTACGTCTGCGCCGTTCATCACTGGGAACGGTTGATCATTCGGGACATACGAGGCTGGCGATGGCCTGAGGCCCTCGAATGAGTCGTAGACGAATTGTCGGTCTATTTGTGGCAGCTGGTCTGTCACGGGGAGGGTGAAGTCGAAGGGGGATTGGGCAAATGCTTGCTGGCCACGGTTTTGCTGGAACATCGGCTGCGGGAATCCTGTGCCTGACGTTCCGAGAATGCCTGCGGATGTTTCCATATTGACGTCGACGATCTGCTGAGACGCGGATGTTGGCGTTGTTTGGTCCACTGCTGTTGTGTCAATCCTGCTGCCGGCTCGGGAATGTTTTCGATGGATAGCGGTGGATTTTGGTGTAGGAGAAAGACTGGCGAAAAAGTCCTCAACACTTTGGAGGTCAGGTTTCTGGCTCATCACTGCCTCGTCATCGTTCTTCTTAGACGGGTGGTCCGGATCCTCCCAGTGCTGTCTTGACACGCCGTGAGGGTACTTGTCGAACCAGTCGCCATATTGGAACATGGGCGTGATAGGGCCATTGTGAGTGGCGACCGTGCCCTTGATTGCAGCATCTGCGAACTGTCGGTAACGGTCTTTGGCACTCTCCACCATGTAATGGAACATGCCCCAGTACTTTTTCATCTTGTTGAGGTAGCGGTAGGTATGTCGGAGGTTCTCCTTGGATCGAGCTTCTAGTTGTGTGTTTTTGGAAAAGATGCCCCAAATATGGACGGTACTCGCCGAATATGCACAGTATCCGGCGAAAGGAACCGTCAGAGGATATGGCGCTGCATGATCGATAAGGCTTGAGATGTGATGAGCAGCTTCCACTGCTGCCCGACCAGCGTTGCTGAGGAATGTTCGAGGCATATCCCGAGGAGGGCGTCCACCAGGAGATAGTGGAATGGCGAACTGATTCAGAAAGAGAGTATTTTGATGAATGATAATATGCAGGAACAGAAATTGGTTAGCAACACGGTCCGCTGCGTGAACCTGCAGGTTCTCATAGGTGAAATGCAAATGGCTCGGTAGGGAAGCAGAAAAATCTTCGATCTGCTTCTTGAGCCGCGAGTACCCGGACTCTGGTGACCATAGCGGGTGGTTATCTCGTCGTTTCCCACCAAGATTGAGGTAGTCAACTATACGGCCCCAAATGACGACGGCACGAATAATATATGCCAGCACGCCCATGTTGGACCTTGCATTGGATAGCTGGCCAACATCTTCCGGGACAGGGTTGAGCACATTACCCTCCAAGTCTTCAGTTGGCCCCGGAATCTCCATTTGAAAATGCGCCTCCTTGATAGGAAGTTGAATTTGAAGGAATTTCTCGTTACCGATCGGCGGACGCTGACTGCCGGACGAGTTATAGCGGTCCATCAGGAAGCAAGCCCACATTGTGCGTCTTCTTATCTCTCGATCTGTAAAGCTGAGCTGGGTACCGCCGCCATTGCCCTGCGCCAGCAGCGGATCATAGTCAAGCTCTCGGTGTAGCTGGAGAGCGTAGGCCATGCGCATGGCTTGACCGCCAAACGACCAACTGCGCCCACCATGGCACGTACCGAACTCATGGAGGCCGAGGAGTAAGAATACAGTCAAGATAGTAATGTTCGGTTCATCGTGCCGCTTGAGCGCAATATTAGCGGCCGGATTGGCCCAGTTCTCTCCGCGTAGAAACGGGGGTTCAGAGTTGATTTGCGGGTGGGTCGAGAAGCGGGCGGAGACGGCGCAAACGGCAAGAATGAGCACAGGAGGCACTGTCCGGGCCTTGAGTCTGCGTACGAAACTGGGCTTATGAAGAAGTAGATATGACTGGCCGTAGACGCAATCAAAGAACACCTCCGCGAGGTGCTCTTGAATCTCCAGCGAGGGCAAAAACTCAGCACCCTCGGTCATCAAATCAGGCCCATCGGATTTGCCCTCACGCCGCATAGGAAATGTATCCTGGGGCCCGCCGTTTCGGCTCGCCTGCGCCCATTGCTCCATTTCAGCGGCGAAGGCTTCATCGGCCGATCTCTTCTTCTGGGTCTTGGTGGTCTGGCCCGGCTGCGGCGGCCGCACATTGGACCTACCGATCGCTGCCATATCCCTCGTCTCATCCTTGGGGATCGTCTTGATGACCCGGTCCTCCATCCGCTTCAGCCGCTTATCCAACATAGCCATATAATCCGTGCGGGGGGCGGCCTTGCGAGTCGTGACCTTGTACACACAAGGAATGCGCGACCGCGAGCAGTGTTTGCAGGCGGGCTTTTCACCGGAGCAGCGAATCTTCTTCCGTCGACATGCAATGCAGGCCAGCGGCAGTCGCTTCCGCTCCTTGCCGGCCTTGGTCTTCATCTCGCTCCATGCTGGCTTGTCTCCGGACTGATCCTGGTTTTGGGAGGGGTCATCGTGGGGATCGAGGTCGAGGCCATGGTCGTGGCCTCCTTCTTGGAATGTGTGGTTTGAGTCGCCCGTGGCTAGGGCACTCCCTGGTTCGCGTGAGCTGGCGGGGCTGTGAGAGTCGAAGTCGTCGGGGTGAGCGGCGCCGTCGTGGTTTGGTGCAAAGGCAAGCGAGGTGTTTGTCGCAGGGGACTCGTCGGACTTGAGCGGGATCATAATGGGCGCAGGTACCCCGGCAACGGGGAGTAGATCATTGTATGGAGGGAGGGAAGTGGGAAAGGGGAGAGGTGTCCAGTAGGACGGAGAATGGGCAGACGGAGGATGTGCAGGAATAAGATCGCAATTATTATCTGGAGGCGGAGAAGACGAACTGTAGCTGGGCACAAGTCGGGGAAGCACGAGGGTCTTGGCTGAGTTAGTTATGTCCGGGGGATTAATAAGCTGCATAACTCCAGCCACACAGTGATGGCCAATTACTCCTATTTGAACGAGCCTGCATCGATGGCGTCAGCAATACAGCGACCATCATTGGGCAGTCCCGAAAACAGCTCTGGCGCAAAACTGGGCGAACCAGCAGAAGCACAACACCAATATGGTGCTCTCGAGCATCTAATATTGTGCATTTATTGGGCTCAACTTGGGATCTGCCGGGATCGCCGGGACGCGGCTCTTGTATCGGCTGTTAGATTACCATTATCATTATCATATGTAGCCCTACTTCTAGTTTTCCTGGTTCTATCTACAGGCGGTAGCGGAACCCAGGGGTGTTCCAGTCGGTCGCGTCACCATCCACCATTGAGATGGTAGACGGGATGAGAGGAGATGTTTCGGTGCTCCGATGGATGCCTGGCTGGTTTGGATCTGACAAATCGGGATTCTCCTGTGTATTTTCATGGTGATCCCGTCGAGCGTTGAGACTTCGCAGGTAAACGTAGAGAGAAAGCGACAGCGCCGCTGCAAGTGCATCGCAGATGAGGATTCCCCGGAACGAAGATTCGTAGCCTGGCGCCTCATTGGCATCGAACAGGTGAGGTCCTGCGATATTCCCTACACAGTATGCGATGAACATCGAACCCGTCATGGTCATTTTCTTGGTGACGCCCTTGTAGTTGGTCTGGGCTAGGGACATCGTTAACGGGAACGCGGCGGGGCCTGTAGCCAGGAGGAAAAATCCTATAAGCTGGATGCCCTGTGAAACGTGGTAGACGCGAGCATAGACTAGGATACTACCGGTGCCGCAACATGCTAAGACGCATACGATGAGGATGCAGTTGAGATTGCGGGCTCGTCCTGCGAGCCATCCCGTGAGAACAATCGCTGCACTGGCGGTGAAACTAAGTGGGATATGGATCAAGGTGGATTCCAGCGCTGTGAAGCCAAAGGATTTGATGACGAGGTTTGCGAAGTTCTGAATTCCCCCATTGGGTATCTGGGTCAGGACAACAATTGCTAGAAGATGCCATGTTTTTGGATCGCGGAAGCATTCTATTGCTTGGTCGGAATCCCACTCGGTTGTCTCTGTCTGGCCTGTTCCAGCTGTAACGGCGCGACGAGAGACGAATGCCCTTTCTTTCTCCGTCAAGAAAGGTGCACTGGAAATCGTGTCCGGGAGGAATGCGAGAATGGCAAAGCCCCATACGAAGGTGGCAAGGCCAAGGATGATGTACATCCACATCCAAGGACGGAGAGGGTGCTCTATATGGCCAATACCATACGCAAGAACATTTCCAACCAGTCCCCCCATGGAATTACCCGAGAACCAGATACTGGTCCTAACGGGGATCTCGTCGCGGGTGTACCACGTCGTAGTGATGAACATGAAGGCCGGTGTGATTGTTGCCTCTGCAACACCTAACAAGAACCGGACTGCGAGTAGGCCTTCATAATTGACACAAGCAGCTGTCAGGGAGACCACGGCGCCCCAAAGGAGAGTGTTGATGGCCAGGTATTTGGCCACCGGGACGCGAGGGATGAGAAAGTTCGTGGGCTATTTGGTCAGCACGATTTAACTGCGAGAACGTCGGTCATACCCATTGCCAGACAAGGTATCCAAAGTAGAAAATACTGGACACCCAGCTATACTGCTGCCCGACCAGATGCTGAAATTGTTAGCCACAGTAGGTATAAATGGGAGCTCCTTTACCGTATCCTCGATCAAGCCAAAGACGGAGGCGCTGGACAGGATGGTCTTGTCCATGAAACTGAGCATATAGGTGGTAAACAAGAGGGGAATTAGGCGCCAGTCGACCTTGCGCAAGACTCGTGATGGCACAACTGTGAGCTCATCGTAGTCATGCTCATCGTGGTTGCGATTCATCTGGTGGTTAGGAGTGGGTTGTTGCGGGGAAGTGAAGTTCACGTTTGAATTCTTATTCTTATCGATCTTCACTTTGTAATCATCCACAGGAATCTACCGTAGCATACAGCGAATTAAATATTAAATTAAATAAACAAATCGAGTGCACTTTGTCGGCCCAACCCTGTCGGCACGGGCCGAAGCACTGTAGTTCATCAAATCATACTCTACCTGTGTTTCTTGTCTTCGCTCTTGTAGCGCACACCGTGGCAGGCAAGAAGATATTTTGAGAACAATCCGGTCGCAAAGTCATCAAAATCCTCGTACTTCGCTCCCAGACGATAGGCCGCTGCAATTCCCGACACACACGCGATTTCGTGCATATTCTACAACAATTAGCATAACTATGAAGGAACCAGAGTGAGACTTACAACCAGAGTCCACGCCCCAGCAAACAACGTCCTGTTCTTCCCATTGATGAACATCATCCCAGGCACAACCCGCAGGTAATGCTGCCACCGATGGCCAAACTGATGCCACCACTTCTTCCCAATGATCTTGTCCTTGTCAATCGCATCCCACGTCCAGAGACCCTGCCGCTGTTGGTCGAGGAATATTGTCTGATACACATGCTGGTCTGGCGGATAGGGCCTGTTCCCAGCTCCTACGCTCTCTCGGAACTGATGCTGGTAGTTCGAGCAGTCAAACCCCATCTCGATCTTCTCCTGCTCGCTCGCATACGAATGGGTGAAGTACATCGGATTGAACCCTGTCCATCCATCTTCCTCGCATGTCGACGACGCCTTCGCAAACGCAAGCTGCTCTTCTCGCTCTGTTGTTGTCGCCGCACCGCAGAGCTCATCTCGGGCCTTCGTCTCGAACACACTGTTAAAATACCCTGCATCGCTGTGTGTGATTGTCACGTCGTCGAAGAACTTCACACCCCCAAGAACCCATTTCTCCTTCCACGTTGCGCGCTGTCCGAGAATCTTCAACGACTCGTCCGCTGGCGTACACAGGACCATCTCGTCAAACTCCTCCTGCTGCTCTCTCTCATATGTACGCATACCCAGCACAACCCCATCATCGTCTCTACGCACAACCTCAACCTCAGTTCCAAGCAAAATCCTAACCCTCTTGCGCTCCTCTAAATCCCTCCTCCAATCCGCATAAAACTCCCCTAATCTCGGAAACGTATACATCACCGGCAACCCACTCACAAGCCCTTCCTGGTCAAACTCCCAAAGCCTCATCTCCGGGTCCCCAAACAACCTCTCCAATAACCCAGAAGCAACATTCGGCGTCTGGTTCCCCGTCCCCAGAAACAGCGCCACCAGCGGCAAAAGCATCTTATTCCCAAACTCAGTGCTGAAGCGGAATAATCTCAATAAAACCTTGATAGGCAGAATCCCAAAGACAGGGAACCCATATTTGATAATCTTCAGCACACGCCCGAATTTCACTATCTCACCGCGGAACTGCTCGATTAAGGGGGAGGGGAAGACATTCGTGAAAAAACTATCCTTCCCCTTTCCAAATGAGACTTGCAGTTTTACTTCGTGTGCGCTGTGTCCCTGCTCGTGGAAGAACTTGAATGTGTGTTTGAAGATGGAGCTGCCCCCCTGCACGCCGTCGTTGAGCCAGGACGCGCCGTATTTGGAGGCGTCGAGGTCGAGTGAGGTTGCTTGGCCGCCTGTTTGGGTGGCGCTGTCAATGAGCGTTAGGTTGAATTTCTGCGGGTGTTTTGCGAGTGTTGAGGCGCAGGACTGGGATGGTTATTACCCATTCAGGTTGTTTGGATGCTGCTTAACTGTATTGTTTGTGAGGGCGTACCATTCCTGCTGCGCCGGCGCCGATGATGGCGATGCGCTTCTTTTCTTTGCTTGTCATTGTAGACTAGTTTTGGTACGTGAGAAGTAGGTGATATAAAATTAAATAGTTGGTTTATTGGTTTCGTTAAGGTTTGATAAAGTTATCGTGTAAGTAACGTGGTGATGTCATCCCAGTAGCATAAAAATAGCCAATTACAAAGTTCAACATACAAAATCCTTCAGTAGATAAACAAAATTTGCAGAAATCATTATAATAGACGGAAATCAAAACATAACACTTGGTATCACCTGCGCAGGAGGATATAAAATCTCAGACCCGAAGGGGAGAGAGGGCTGTTAAAACGCCAAAAGAAAGCCGGTGTGGTATCATATTGCAGTACTGCCCGGAGATTGAGAAGCAGCATGTTTCGCTGGCAGTTTGGATTACTGCATTAGATAGGTGTTGCTCGAGAATTGCGCAATGTCGCACGCTGCTGCGAGCATTACTGCGCCTTAGGTCGACCGCGCGAGCGAGGAGCCGCATTGGTCAGAGAAGACACAATCTCCTCCCCAAGGACGTGGAGGTTCCAAGCAGGAACGACAATCCAAAGACCGCTGCAACCATATTAGCAATAGAAGCGCGATGAAGTCGACAAAACATACTTTAAGATGACCCAGGCGACAAGAGGCCAGAACTCATTATGGCCGATGTTCTCGAAGTTGGAGAAATATTCCTGCAGCCCTAAAAATCGTTAGCTCTTATTGTCGCGTATTCTTGCGCCCACACTTACAGTAAAGCAGAGTCTTTGAGACCGTCGCAACAGAGGAGCTGAAGGCCGCCAACAATGCGGTTGCACCCACGCGACCCGGGACGACTTTATCCGCGGCAAGAAGCCACGACAGCGTACTCTCAGATCCACGCGACGACTTGGAGGAACGGCTCGCAGGTGCGCCGTGCGCGTACACAACATACAGGTAGTACAGATAGCCACCCGTTTCGACGAGGTTCAGGATAGTTTGCGCAGCGGTGAAGCCGTTGTTCGCGTTATATGCAGGCCAGCCGTAGATGTAGTCGACGGTCCCGTACCACGCGTACCCGGACCACAGCGCGTGCCATTTCCCGCCGGACATGGAGTGCGGGCGCAGCAGCACGTAGGCTGCGTCCCACAGGACGAGCGGGATGGAGAAGAGCAGCCAAAGCGTGACGGCGGTTGTGGGCGTGTGTACCCATTTCTTGGACGAGACGCCGTTGTTTTCAGATGAAGACGGCGTGGACGCCTTTGTGGGCGCGGGCGAGTCGTACTCGCGGGGGTGGTGGCGCGTTGAAACCATGATGGTCGAGGACGGTACGGACGGGGAGTATAGGGGTCGTACGATCTGGGCAGTGGGGTGGTAAGTCGAGGCAGCAGTTGCGAAGGCCGAGAGATCGTGGATTTGAAGACAGGGATTGAGAGAGGAACAACAAAGGATGTTAGTGGACGCGACAGAGAAGGAGAACAACGCCGGCCCTGGCGCTAAACATGAGGGGGGGGGAAGGCTGGAGAATGGAGAGTGGGAATGGGGGAACGGAGACTGCGACGGCACCGTGACTGGCTGACTGCGGTCGTACCATGACGTCACTTATAAGCCACCAGCCACATGTGGCTTAGCAGCAGTATACACTCAATTACCAGTCTATGAGCCCAATGAATAACTGAGCAATGCTTATACGGTAAGAAATAGGTCAACTACCTGTATGTAAGTACGACCGCCTACACAGATTTACCCCCACTCGACTCAGACGACAATGTAACTTCATTCTCCCTAACAACCGCTCTCTTGTCCCCGTCATAAAAAGCCCTCGCAAATGGCGCACTCCACCATGACTGCAACGAAGTATTTGTATTCGTATTTGGAGCTGCATTCCTATTTGGCTCGTGTACCCTAGTCGACCCCCCAAAGACCTCGCGGTCTGCGGTATTCATACGCAGAGGCGAGCTGTGGTCGCGCGGGTGCCAGAATGACAGTAAACAGTGGCTTTATTGCAGTATAAACTGGAGAGTCCACCAACCAGTAAACAAAGAAGCAGAGACACGCATTTCTCAGACAGCACTCGGGGACTCGAGGATCACTGCGAGATGCAACTGGCCATAGATCTCTGCAAGCAGCCGAATTGAGCTAGTAGTGGGATTGTGTTTCTTTCAACTTTGAACCTTGTTGGAACCTGGTTGATCTGATTTTTGGGCAGCCCTAACCGTGCTTTCCCCAACATTGGCACCAAGCCACCAACTAAAACACGAACAATTGGTTAGGGACCCCTGCTTCCGTGAAGCTTAATAGCTTGCGCACTGTCCATGTGTTAAAGTACCTCTTAGAATAGCTCTCCGCGTTGGTCTGTGCGTGGCCTCTTATCGAAAGACTGGAAGCGGAAATAAAGGGTATTAATTGAAATATTTGATGAATCAAACTAGATTATGTGCTTTGCGACACTACTGGGTTAGGCGCAGTCGTTCCAACTCCTCGACCTCGTCGCGCCCTAAAACACCCAGCGCCTCCCTGCGACTCTTCGCCTTAGGGTCAAAGAAGGGCTTCTCTGCCAGTGCCGTAACGCGCGTGCCATGACGAGGCTCAGAGCCTTCATAGTCCCAGCTCGCATTGTGGATAGTGATCCTGCCACAGTTAGCACCTTGGAAGCTGGAAAGACAGCGGACACAGAAGACATACCGGTTATCCCACAACGCACTCGTCCTCGGACTCCACTTAAACCGCACCTGGATGTCCACATTCTTCTCAAACACATCGTAGAGATACCCCAAGATCAGGTCACTCTCCGCACGATCCAGCCCAACAATCCGATCCGTCATGGCCCGGTTCACCCACAGTGCCTTCCACCCCGTCGCCGGGTGCACGCGCACAATCGGATGCTCGCGCTCCACGTACTTGGGCCCGGCCTCGGGGTTCTTGCGGTCTAGATAAGGGTGCGCGGAGCGGTAGATGGCCGTGCGGCCGTCGATGATCTGTCGGAAGGCCGGGGATAGTTTCTCGTATGCGGCGTAGCCGCTAGCCCAGAGCGTGTCTCCGCCGATGGAGGGGACGGTGTCGTTGTGGAGGTGTGTTACGCCTGCGGGCTGTCGCTCGTGGACGAGATCTGTATGCCATCGTGAGGCGCCTCCGGGGCGTCGGAAGTTGGCTGGGAATTCTGTTGCTTGTAGGGCTGGCCAGATTACGGAGACGCCGGGGAGGCCGGGGACTTGGGCGACTTGGGGCTGTATTAGTTAGTAAGTACTTCATTTCATTTCTTTTTTTACTAGTGGATTGGCATACGTGAACTTCAATCTCGCCGTACCACTCCCCTAGCTGTCTCTGTTGCTGCGGCGAGATATCCTGGTCGCGGAAGAAGACGACGCTGCGCTCGGCAATCAGCAAGCCCAGCTCGTCCTTTTGCTGGTCTGTCAAGTCCTTCAGCTGCAAGCCTACGATTTCCGTTCCGATGTTCTTCGTCAAGTGGATGACTTCCTTTGCTGCAGAGAGGAGGGCCTTCTTTTCCGGATCTGCTCGACTACCAGGGTCAACGTGCTTACGATCGTAGTCGCGGATCCGGTAGACATCGTCTAGATACAGAGGACGGGACGGACGGTAGGGATATCCATTCGAGAGGTCGATCTCGGCTTTTTCAAGCCTTTCTAGGGTTGTCTTGGGGAGACCGAGGGAGTCTTTCCTTGGCTCTGCAACGTCGACGATGCTGGGGTCGATTGGGGCTGGGGCCATGGTTACAGTAAGTTCAAATCAATCAGACAGTAGATATTAGAATGGGATGCCAAAGCTTGGTCTACAGTGTGGAACCGACGGGAGCAAGGCGTTTTATCTGCGAATTTTTGGTTTGTATCTCGAGCGTTGAGAGGACATCGATCACACCATAGTTTAGATTCATTCGCACCACGACCGTAGTATATCATACCCCTCCTTACCCCTCTCTCTCTGACTTTACTGACGCGCCATTATTCGGTTGGATATCCTGCTGGATATCTTGTTGGAGAGACTCCGTCTCGTCTTGCAGCGATACAATCACGCCTGGGCCTGCATTTCTAATCAGCACCCCACGCCCAAAGGATCCAAAAGAGAACACGCCATTCCGATTTCCCGAATCTCACAAGGACCAAACCAGGCCAGCCGGAGTCTGAATTGCCATAATGACACCACCGTAATCGTCGATAGCGTTACCGTAGGCCCCAATCCCAACGGGCGTCTGTTGATAAACGGGCGGTACTCCGAATTCTGGGCTGTAATATCTTCATGCTAAATATCAACCTGCATTGCAACACGACAACATGACGCGCCCACAGATTCGCCGAGTCGCAGTTATCGGCGCAGGCATTAGTGGTGTCGTGTCTGCAGCACACTTGCTGAATGCCGGGTTAGACGTGACTGTCTTTGAGAGGAGTCATGCGGCTGGGGGTGTCTGGTGCGCCATTATAACTCTTGAATACTCAATTACCCAGAGAATTAATCTTGGACCAGGCTGTACGATGAGCGGAAAGCGCCCGAGCCATCGTATACATCGCTGAAACCGCTCGCATCCGAAGCGCATTTCGACACGGACAAGGGGCGCGATATTTCTCTCGCCCATGCACCGCCGGGGTACGCTTCCTTCATTTACAGATCAATGAGTAGAGCTGATTGATACTGCCAGACCGTGCTACAACGGGCTGAAGAATAATGTATCTACACCACTGATGCGCGTCAAACTCAATGCCTGGCCCGAAGGGACGCCGGATTTCGTCAGCCACTCGGTGATGAAGGAATATATTCAGGATACGTCGCTGAAGACGGGAGTCCAAAATATAACCATCTATGGGGCACGGGTTAAGAATATTTCGAAGGAGGGTGGCTCGTGGGAGGTTACGTGGTCGAGACTGGAGCAGGACGGCGATGGCCTCACGGAACGAGAGCAGATATGGGTGGGTCTCTATGCTTACACCGGCACTACTTTCCGACTAATGGGAATAGACGTTCGATGCTGTTGTTGTTGCCTCTGGACATTACCATACGCCTCGAGTGCCGGATACTCCAGGCCTCGCAGAAGCAAAAGCGCGCTGGCCGGAGCGTATATTCCATTCGAAGCGATATAGGAAACCCGAGGGATATGAGAAGAAGGTATTCTATTCTACACACCATACAAAAGCCAATACTAACAAAAAGGAATAGAACGTCCTCCTAATCGGAGGTGCCGTGTCTGCTATCGACATCTCAAGGGAAATCGGCCCGCAAGCAGGAACCATCTACCAGAGCACACGCAACGGCGAATTCGACATCGCAGCCAGCATTCTCCCCGAGAACGGCGTCCGGATAAGCGAGATCACACGGTACGAGATCCTAGACGACGCCGACGCCGACGACAGTAAGCCACTCCCGTTGAAAGTGCATTTAAAGTCCGGCCAGGAACTCTGCGGCCTGGACCAGGTTATCATATGCACAGGATACCAATTTACATTGCCCTTCCTGCCATCGTACCACGACGACAGCCTCTCGCCAAAAGAAGCGAACGAGACAATTCTCATCACGGACGGGACGCAGGCGCATAATCTGCACAAGGACATCTTCTATATCCCCGACCCGACCCTTGCATTCGTGGGTGTGCCCTTCTACACCGCCACATTTACGCTGTTTGAGTTTCAAGCCATCACCATCGCGAACGTGTTCTCGGGCAAAGCGGAAACACCACCAGAGAGTAGCATGAGACAGGAATACAACGACAGAGTAAGCAGAAAGGGGGCCGGGAAGCGATTCCATTCGCTCAAGGACATTGAGGAGGACTACGTGAAGGAGCTACTGGACTGGATTAATGGGCCAAGGGCAGAAAAGGGCCTTAGTCCCATCGAGGGACATACTGAAACATGGCACAAGGCGAAGGAAGCGCAGCGCGAGCGTCTGAAGGCATTTTTCGAAGACAACGGCACGCGCAGGGACAGTGGGATCGGGGCACTCCCAGAGCTCCAGACGTGTAGCGCATGAGCCAAAAACAGGATAGAAGTCTGCGACATGCGTAATAGATTATGGATCGTCGGATTTCGGAAATCGGCTTTAAAGTCTGAATCAGGCATGAATTTTCCTTGGGTGCAGCAGCTCTCTTATCGATGGCCTCGTTCGTACAGAAATGGTGTGCTCCTTACATGGGGCTGTGGGTTTAGATACTTTACCCCTCACAGGTCGTCAAATAGCCAGTCTTTTTCTTTGAACCGCGGGCGGATTGAGGGTTGTTATTGGAGATGGGCGATGGTGCGAGTGCTGATGGCGATGAGCAATAATTAGGGCTCGGGACGGCGAGCTGCGTGAGTTTAGCTTGAATGACCCCATCGACAGCTCCTCCACTCTGCTTGCCGTGCCACATCTCGGACAGCTTCCGGGAAATAAATCTCTATAAAAGGAATTCCACCCGCTGTACTGCCCCGGGGTCGACACTAAATCGGAGGGTTGCAGTCACAATGGCTTCTCCCAAGGCGATTGAAGAGCGCGCTGCGACTCCCGCAGATCCCACTGCGGTCATCCAGCAGACTCCAAAGAAGAGATGGGTCAGTTACATCTGGGATACATTCGACAAGTCGCCCGAGGAGCGAAGGCTTCTCACTAAGCTTGATGCTGCGATTCTTACCTTTGCATCGTTAGGTGGGCATTCAAGTCGTTGGTTGTGGGGATAGAGCTAACAAGTACAAGGATACTTCATCAAGTATCTTGACCAAATTAATATAAACAATGCATTCGTTTCTGGAATGTACGTGTATCTTGATCAAGTACCCCGGGTGGAGACTGATATTCCACAGGAAAGAAGACCTGGGCATGTACGAGAACCAGCTCAACTATATGCAAGCAAGCTGGACAGTCGGCTATGTCATTGGCGAAATCCCCAGCAACATGCTCCTCACCAAGATCCGGCCGAGGTATTGGCTGCCGGCGATGGAGGTAAGACTGCAACTGCTACTACTGAGACCATGCTAATGTATGCAGCTGCTGTGGACGATCCTCACGTTCTCCCAAGCGAGATGCAACAAGGCCACCCAGTTTTACGTCATTAGATTCTTCGTTGGTATGGCTTCTCTAGTCTGGAAATACTGGACATCGCTGATAGAGTATAGGTCTCGCGGAGAGTACATTCTATCCCGGAATGCAGTATCTCATCGGATGCTGGTACAGGAAGGACGAGCTTGCGAAACGGTCCTGCATTTTCCACACCAGCAGTGGTATTGCGAGTATGTTTTCAGGATACCTGATGGCTGGGGTGTATAATTTGGGTGGAAGAGGAGGGTTTAAGGGGTGGCAATGGTATATGTCCCTGTCAGTAAGCTGGTGTTCATAGATACTAACCTGGACAGGCTCTTTATTGTCGACGGCATAATCTCCCTCCCTATCGCTCTAATGGGCTTTATCATCCTCCCTGACGTGCCTGAAATCTCAAATCCATGGTACTTAACCAAGGATGTAGGTCTCCCTTATCGAAGAAACCAACGGATGCTGAACCAGTATATAGGAAGTCAAACTCTCGCAGAAACGCATGGAGCTCGAAGGCCGAAGAACCAGAGGGCCGTATACAAGAGCCAAGCTGAAAAAGATATTTACCTCCTGGCACATCTACTTCCTCACCATCGCATACATGTGAGCACGCAGCCAACATAGCTTATCTTCAAAGCTTCCCATACTAACTTCGAGCCATAGAACTTTCAACAACTCAAGCGGCGGCCAGCCTGTCTTTCAACAGTTTCTTAAAGCATCAACCGACCCAGTATATAGTGTCGGTCAGATCAACGCCTACCCAACGACAACGTACGCGGTGCAGGTGGTAACAACCCTCATCTACGCATGTACGTATCATCCCACGAACTAAATCTTAACATACTAACCAGAGCAGGGTCGTCGGACTCCTTCCTCGGCGGCCGTCGCTGGCCACCGGTTCTAGTCGGCGCCGTCTCAAACATCATCTGCTACACTTCGCTTGCCGTCTGGGATATCCCAGTGGGCTGGAAGTGGACGGTCTTTATTATGAGTGGTGCCGGGTTTGGTCTGAGTGGGCTTCTTATGGCGTATGTTCTTACCTCGTTAACCCAAGGCTTTTTAAAGAAAGAGACTGACAAATGTAGATGGGCTCATGAGATCTGCTCCGACGACAATGAAGAGCGTGCCCTAGTCGTTGGCAGCATGAACGAACTTGCGTACGTCTTCCAGGCCTGGCTCCCGCAGGTGGTGTGGCAGCAGATAGACGCGCCGCAGTATAGGAAGGGTTATATCACCGGGACGATCATGTCTACGATCTTGATTATCACGACGTTTACGATCCGTTGGCTGCAGCATTGGGAGGATGGGAAAAAGAGGTATGTATATGCTGAATTTTCGAAGGGCTATGCTAATATCATGTAGTGAGGATCTGAGTGAGTCGGACACTGTTGGTGAGCCCGCGGAGAGCGTTTCGAGTCGGGCAGCCGAGAATGTAGTGGTGGATGTGCAGGGGAAGTCGTGATTATAATCAGATATACAAAGCTCAGGATCATGTGTATGGACAAGAGACTGTATATACAATTGTATATACGTGAATAACATTAAAATTAAGAAATGGAGTAAATTCCCTACGGGCTTGGTCTACCAGACAGTCTCTAACCCATCAACACCGACGGGTTTCTCACCAAGTGTAGTGAGCCGAATCCCATGGCGCAGTCCATCGCTTGTCGTATCATAATCTGAAATGGCTGTATGGGCAGTAACGCGGTTGTCCCAGAGAGAAACAGTCCGATCATCCCATTTCACACGGACCTGGATATCTTGCGAAAGAGCAATGTGCTGTCTCATGTTAGTTTGTAGTAGTATCTAATAGGGCATATGCCAACCTTGAACAAGAGCTGTAGAATAGCGTCCGATTCCTCGTCCTTTAAACCGATAATGCGCTTCGTGAATCCGGGGTTCACAAACAGTGCTTTTGCCCCAGTGACCTAGCCCATAGTTAGTCCTGTCCCTGCCTTGGAGATTGAATACATACCGGATGAACCCTGACAATGGGATGCTCAGACCTAACAGGCTCTCTCCGGACATGCTTCCCATCAAGCCGCGCCCTCTCGGCCTGGGGAAACCCACTATGCTCTGCCCGCAGGCCCTCAACTAACTTCCTGATAGGCTCAGACAGGCGCTCGTACGCAGCAACCTGAGAGACCCAACCGGTATCACCACCGGTTGAGGGGACACTGAGCAGCGAGAGCAACGTCACACCGGGCGGCTGGTGCTCGTAGGAGACATCCGAATGGTAACCGGTTGTCGACAATTTGCTCGATCTCTGCTGTAGACGGTACAGGTTGTCTGCGCCTAGATAGATGTTGTGGAACTCGATATGGCCTTCAACGTGAGCACCAACGGGCTAGACGGATTAGCCTAGTTCATTGAAATTGTATACGATGCAAACACACATGAACGTGAAGCCTGCCAAAGTAGGAAGCGAATTCCTTCTGCTTCTCTGGACCGATATCCTTGAAGTCCTGATCGCGGAAGACAACGACTCCGCGCTCTGCGATGAGCAGGGCCAGCTCATCCTTCTGGACGTCCGTAAGCTGCGACAGCTGTAGCCCACGGACTTCAGAGCCTACACGAGGCGTGAGTTTGGTGATTTCTACATTGGAGTCTCCGGTTTGAAACAGGTGAGGCTTGGCCTTGTCGGCCGCGTGGCCCCGGTCCTTGAATTCAAATGGCTCCGTGGGGGGAAACTTAGTTTCATTGTCGTAGACGGGCAAGTAGCGGGAATATTTGTACTGGTCATTTTTAGAGCTGCTTGGAGAGTAATGCGTGAGTAGGGTTTACCTCGCTGTGGGCTCCGTCGTCGAAGGCCTTGACGACGGCGGGTACGGCCTCGCCTTCTTTGGTGAGTGTCACAGACATGATAATTGCATTAGATAGGTGACAATGCGGGCACAGGATATTAAGCAAAATATATACGACAGGCATGCACCCCGCTCGTTTTATTTTCGATCGGCGCTCTCCAGAACTCCAGACAGCTGCAGCGTCGACTTGGCAATAACGCAGCCGATTGTGCCATCATCGTCATATTTGATACCATCGACCCCTCATAGGCTGCGGCAAGCAGAATATCCCGCGTGCATGTTGCAATTGTCAACTATCTTTTAACTCCAACTTTGTTGGTGTGGAGATATCGGAGTTGTGGCTGGGAAATGTTGGCGTAATTCGTGCTTGTCATCAAGTTCTGGCGGGTGAGACTGTATGATATATGGCTCTGTATATACTCCGTAATAGAGTGTCAATAATAGCTTTACAGAGTAGATATAGCAGTTAGCAGAGATAGATACAATTGGCCTGGAAATGATGATGCTTGCCCTAGAAACGGGAGTCGTAGCAGTCTATACCCCGGCCTACAAAGACAATCTATAGACAACCTACCACTTATTCGACCGAGCCATCGGCGATAAGAGAGACAAAGTTCGCCATGCCCTGTCATAACTCTGAGACCAAGGAGGCCAAGAGCTTGTCGACTCCAGAGTCAACGAACCAAGACAGCAGCGGCTTGTTTCTCCCACGCAGCGCAGAGCATGCCATTTTGGCGTCAATAACAAAATATGTAGCAGAGTAGCGTAGACCAATGGGCCAGTCTGCAATATAAGATGTGCCGCATCACTATGATAAATCCCTACTTGAAATGTATAGGCATCCAAAATGAGCGACTTCGAGGCCAACAAGACGGCTGCTGACGTCCGGGAGCGTCCTACCAGAGACTCTTCAGACACTCCCAGGGGAGCCCCTCAAACCAATCAAGCTGAGGCACTTCAGCCAGCTATTGCGAGCTTTTTCACCAGGCGCAGGGGCCGTGATCTTGAGGAGATAGCCACGCAGCCCTCGGTATACGATGACCCAAAGCTGGCACCGCATTTCCAACCGAATCCAAAGTATGAGAACCTGCATCGATTCGATCCAGAATTTAAGTGGAAATGGGGCGAGGAGAAGGTAAACTACACAGATTCTTCCCGGGGAAATTAATTAACTGGGTTCAGCCTCTGATCCGTAAAATCGACTGGAGAGTCACCATCTGGGCAGCACTCGCTTTCTTCGCGCTGGATCTCGATCGCAGTAATATTAGCCAGGCTAATACGGATAACTTTCTAGATGACATGGGGCTGGATACTAATGGTGAGTCCATCCCTGATCTCACTGAGCCAACTACTAAGTCTTGTAGACTACAACTTGGGTCAAACGCTGTTCAAGGTTGCCTTTCTGATAGCCGAGCTCCCATCTCAGCTCGTCAGCAAAAAGATAGGTATGACAAAACTCCCATTCATCTTAATGTATATACTGACTCTTTCAGGCCCGGATCGATGGGTTAGTGGTTTTGTCCCTTCATGGCCACTGCTAACTATTGCAGATTCCAGCCCAGATGTGCCTCTGGAGCATTGCTTCAGCTGCCCAGTTTTGGCTCAACAGCAGAGCGTCATTTCTCGCCTTACGTGTGATAATCGGCATTCTGCAAGGCGGATTTATTCCGGATATCATTTTGTACCTTGTACGTACTCCCATATTTCGGCCATGTTCGTGAACTAATAGGTTAGTCATACTTCTTCAAAAGCGACGAGCTCCCTTTGCGTCTGGCTATCTTTTGGATGGCGAACAGGTTAACGGATGTCATATCGCCATTAATCACATACGGTGTCTTGCACATGCGTGGAACTCAAGGCCAAGAGGGGTGGAGATGGTTGTATGTATATCGTCTCCAAGTCTGAATGACCACTAATCCGTATAGGTTCCTCATTGAGGGCCTTATCACTCTAATAATCGGCATCTGGTCCATATTCCAGATGGCCCCGTCTCCAACACAGACGAAGGCATGGTGGCGACCTCATGGCTGGTTCAACGAGCACGAAGAAAAGATTATGGTAAACCGCATCCTCCGTGATGATCCATCCAAGGGCGACATGCACAATCGCCAGGCCATCACTCCAAAGCTGCTGTGGAAATCACTCTGCGATTACGATATTTGGCCCATTTATGCTATTGGCTTGACGTTTGGCATCCCGCCCTCCCCGTCGGACCAGTATCTTACTCTAACCCTACGAGGACTGGGGTTTGATACCTTCAACTCTAACTTGCTGAGTATTCCGGCGCAGATTGCAACTACAATAAATGTAACTCCCCATTTCAGATCCGCTTACAAGATTTGTAGGGCTAACTAAGCTTGCAGATGTTGATCCTGACCTACGTCTCTGTGAAATGGAACCAGCGGGCGTGGCTCGGTCTATTCACACAGTTCTGGTTTCTTCCCTGTCTTGTCGCCCTAGCGGTTCTACCTGAGGGGACTCCTCGCTGGGGATCATATGCACTTGTCACTGTGATTCTCTCATATCCAACCCGTGAGTCAGGCTAGAATTCTGGAGGTCATGCTTTACATGCTGACTCCCACAGCGCATCCAATGCAAGTCGGATGGTGCAGTTCGAACTCCAACACTGTCCGAACGCGAACTGTTTCAGCAGCTTTATACAAGTGCGTAAAAATTCTCGACATACCAAGTTGAAACAAGCTAACGGCACGTAGTATGATGGTGCAAGTGCAGGCAATTATAGCCTCGAATATCTACCGCGAGGACGACAAACCACTATGTAAGTGCCTCGGCGTGTCTGAAAGACAGTCCTAACAGCTTTTGCCAGACCGGCGAGGAAACCGTGTTCTCATTGGGATTAACTGTCTTAATGTCGTCCTGTATCTCTTCGCGAAGTGGTATTATATCAACAGAAATAAACAGCGAGAGAAGATATGGGGTAGTATGACTTCAGAGGTACAGTTCGTTCATTCCATTATACTAAGCTATACTAACTTCATATAGGAAAAAGAAGAGTATCTGAACACGACAACCGATCAGGGGAACAAGAGGTTGGATTTCCGATTCGCTCACTAGACAGTGCTTTATACATAGGGTAGTTAACAGTAGCAATGTAATGGTGATCATGTTACCTGACATGCCGGGTGAAATATAGCTTAATATTGAGCCTGATTCCACTGAGACTGATGCTGCAAGAACCCCTCGATATCACGCCATCCTGGTGGAATCCGCGTGCGTTCTGTGCCACCGCGAATCCCTGAGTCGATCAGAGACAGCTCCATTCCTCTCCAATATCTGACATCAAGTCCAAAGCTGATCTGCTGACAATAAGCAATGCGTGGTCCAAATTGCGCGGCCATCACGACCCCTCCACCCACACCGTTCCAGCATCACAGGACGTCCAAGCCGCAGATGGCGCGCATGGAGCAGCCATTTATAATCTAATTCGGTAAACAAACATTCACCAAGTGATCTCCTCACCATACGCGACTTCCGTACGGGATGACGTGCGGTCAGCAACCGTTTGATCGTTTATAGCCTGGTCCCGATCGCTCCTCAACATGTCTCACCAACTCGAACTCGAACTCGAACTCGACACACTCGACCCGGATACATTGCTCTCAGAGCCGGAGATGGATTCGGACAAAGAGGTCACGCAGAGGCTGTTAGATGGTCGGCAGTCATCCTCTTATACCGACCTTCCCTCGACCACAGCCAGCAAAGACGGATCTCATATTGAAACGCTCGAAACGGAGGATGGATTCCCCTCGAAGAACCCATTTTCAGATCCCGAGGTAGCGGAGAGGTATAGACTTATTTACGAAAAGGCTCAGTACGAGTGTCGACATGTTTTCGAGCCCACGTTCGCCTGGACGAGGGAGGAAGAGAGGGCGATTGTACGGAAGATTGACTGGCATGTTTGTCTGTGGGCAGTATGTTTCTCATATTCCCATACTGCCACCCGTCGTCTAATATACTGTAGTGTGTAATGTTCTTCGGTCTTCAGGTTGATAGGAGTAACCTGATCCAGGCGGTTTCTGATAATATGCTGGACGATCTAGGGTTGTCTACAAATGGTACACTACTCCCATGAATATATTGCAAGCGATCTGCTGACTTGAAGGAGACTATAATACTGGAAACATCATATTCTACATCTCCTTCCTCATGGCCGAGCTACCCTCACAGCTGGTCTCCAAAGCTCTCGGTCCTGACCGCTGGATCCCCATCCAAATGTCCCTCTGGTCGCTCGTGGCCATCTCTCAATCTACTCTGCAAGGACGATTCTCCTTCTTCCTGACCCGATCGCTCCTCGGAATGCTTGAAGGTGGATTTATCCCAGACATAGTCCTATGGCTATCCTACTTCTATACCAGCCGCGAACTCCCTACGCGCTTAAGGTCCGTTTTCCGCACATAACCCAAGTCCAAGACTAACAAGTGCAGCCTCTTCTGGACGACCCTCTCCGTAACGGAAATTATCGGTTCATTCATGGCCTTTGGCGTCTTACACATGCGCGGTGTTCTCGGCTGGGGCGGCTGGCGATGGCTATTCCTCATTGAAGGTCTTATAACGCTGGTCGTTGGTGTAGCCTCCTTCTTCAAGATGCCTGCGTCGGCTGTAGAAACCAAGACGTGGTTTCGTCCGAAAGGGTGGTTTTCAGATCGCGAGGTTCGTATTGTGGTGAATCGGGTTCTGCGCGATGATCCGTCGAAAGGTGCCGTCTACCTTGAATATGGTATACTTCATACGGATTGGGGCTGACCTGCGTAGGTGATATGCATAATCGGCAGGCTATTACAATATCCAGGCTATGGGACTCGTTGCGCGACTATGATCTGTGGCCGCTGTATTTGCTTGGGCTGATCGTGTACACTCCCATGGTCCCGGTTCGGACATACATAACCCTAACTCTGAAAAGCGTGGGATTTGACACTGTACGCCCCATGAAAACCCCATAAATCATAGACGGCTAACCCAGACAGTTTGTGACAAACCTCCTCATAATCCCGTATAACATAACGCACATACTCATGCTTAACGGGCTCACCCACCTCAGTGAGCGGCTGAATGAACGCGCTTTCGTCTCTATGATTCAATCGCTCTGGGTTCTCCCCTGCCTTCTCATACTACGATTCTGGTCTAATGCAATGATTGACGCCTGGGGAACATATGCTATCATGACGGTTCTCCTGTCATACCCATACTGCCACGCGATTCTTGTCGGATGGACATCGAAGAATTCGAATAATGTCGGCACGCGGACGGTGTCTGCGGCTGTCTATAATAGTAACCCCTCCCCCCCTCCCTTTCCGGCTTCCAGGATCTTGGAAGATTGATATACTAACGGATATAGTGAGTGTTCAAATGGGAAATATAATTGGGAACAATGTTTTCCGCGCAGACGATGCACCGCTGTATAAACGAGGGTATTCGGTGCTTTTGGGGCTAAACTTACTTGGGATTGTGCTTTTTGTTGGGACCAAAGCATACTACGTGAGGAAAAACCAAGAGAGGGACAGGATCTGGAACGCTATGCACGATGAGGTACGTTTCACCCGTTGCTGATGGTTTACCGTCGCTGACCTGGCTAGCAACGCGAGGATTATATCAAGAATAGCCCTGATACAGGGAGTAAGAGACTGGATTTCCGGTTTGCTCATTGATACATCATGACGATGAATATGACGGTAAACGAGACTTTTAGATATTATACAAATTAGTGTTACAATCCGAAAGGATAAGTTTCTTCCTTGCCCAGCGGCGTCTTTGGCTGCACAGTCTCCAGTGGCTTCACAGCATGCGTGGTATCAAACCAGATGTACCCATCAAACTGGTTCACCAAATCGGCCGCTGAATAGTGCGAGACGCGCTCGGTATCAGGCCGGTAGATGACGCCAATGAACCTCTGCAGCCTCCTATACTCCTCCGCCAGCGCATCCCGGACCTCGCGAGGCATCTTGTCCTGTCTCAGATCCAGCAGGAAGCTCTCGACTCCTGTATCATGGGCCACTCTCTCCCAGCTCTCTCTCATCGACGGCTTTATACTCATAACCTGCATATCGTCCCCCCACCCCGCCGCCGCCGCAACAGTCCCCGTATGCGTTCCACACCCCAAAAGCGCCACATTCTCCTCCCCAAACGTTTCCCGGCAAAGCTGCCCAATATTCACTTCTTTCCTCCGGATCCCCATCGCCGTATGCCGCGCATCCCCACAGTGCGAGTTGTGCGCCCAAACAACGGCCTTGCTGCCCGCCGGCTTATGCCGCATCAGCCTCTTCAACGTATCAACCATATGCGAGTCCCGCAGCGTCCAACTGCCTGCACTCGAGTAGTACATGGCCTTGTAGTACCTCTCCGCATCACGCACCACATACGCATTCTGCTCGCTGCTGTGGAACTCCTCCCCATTCCCCGGTCGCTCCGCATACTCCAGCCTCTTCGCCAGCAAATCCCTTAACATGCCCACAACTTTCCCCTCGCAGTCCTTCATGCCCCGCAGCGCATCAAGCCCATACTCCTGCGGCTCCGCTGCATACGGCTCAAGACACCCATACCGCCTCCTCGCCTCCTTCGCCATCGCAGGGTCCACATGCTCCAAGTACCCGATAATCGCCTTCATCGAGGCCCCCAGGCTATACAGGTCCATCCCGTAGAAGCCTACCCGATCCTTCATCTCCCGTCCGGAATTCCAGTTCCGCACCCACTCGACGAGTTCCTGCATCTCGGCATTGCGCCACATCCACGTCGGGAAACGCTGGAACGCCTCGCCTTCCTCGGTGCGATCGCTGTGGCCTGCGCTGATCTTGGCCTTTGGGCCGGGTCTTTGCCGCACGTATCGGTCTAGGGCTTCGGCGTCGGGCCAGTCGGCTTCGAGGGCGATGACGGTGTAGCCGTGGGTTGCTATGAGGCGTTTTGTGATCTCAGCGCGTGCGGAGTAGAATTCGGATGTGCCGTGGCTGCCGTCGCCGAGGAGGATGAGGCGGTTTGAGGCGTAAGAGTCGAAGTTGGGACTGAAGGATGGGTCTGTTATTGGGGGGAGAGGGCGGATGGCGCTGCGGAATAGGGCTTGGAGGTCGGACATTTTGGGTTTTGCTTTTGCTTTTGTTTGGGTTGATTTTGTGAGGGTGTTGTATAGAGTTGTGAGTTTGTTCATAAGGTTTGTTTTTTGTTGTTATTGATTAGATTCTTGGGTGTTATGACTAGATGGTGGTGTGGTTTATAACAATATATTGTCGATGTCAGGTGGCGGTCATTATGACTTCATCACCAACCACCACAAACTATACAGAACACCATGCAGACTCTCCGAACAGCCAGGTATACATCCTTCAAGATATCCAAATTAGCAGTATTTCATCCATACCAACGATACCAACCCATCATGTCCAATTCCTCATCAATCCTAAGCACCTTCCAATCCGCCCTCGAAACCCTCTACGGCCCTCTATCCCTCTCCTCCCTCCCCAACCCCTCGACCTGGACGCCCCCTCAAAGCTCCGGCGGACATAAAGGCCGCTACCTCTGGACCGACGCCTTCGGTGTCCTCTCCCTGCTAACGCTGCACACCGAGGTCAACCGAAACCCAGCAACCAAGGACGCCGCAGGGGATACATATCTAACACTCGCCTCGAGGCTCGTCGAAGCAGTGCATAACACGCTGGGCTACACGCGCGATGGCTCCCGGCGTCTCAGTGGCGCCTCAGACTCAAACCCACTGGGCGGGGGTCTTAGGATTGGGAAATTAGATGAATATGGCTCCGACGGAGATGGGCAGTACCACCATTACCTGACACTGTGGATGTTTGCGCTGAACCGCATGAGTGTTGCGACTGGAGACGTGAAGTACAATGAGCAGGGCATTGCGCTGGCGAAGGCGATTCACGGGGCGTTCTTCATGAATCGTGCGTCGGAGCGCGCGAGGATGGTCTGGAAGATGGATATGGAGTTGAATAGGGTACTTGTTGGCAGTGAGGGGAATTTGGATCCGATTGATGGGTTTGTGGTGTTTAGGCTTTTGCAGGCTGCACACGCTGCACAGAGTGGAGGAGATGGGGAGGTGTTGAAGGAGGAGATTGAGGATTATGCGCGTGTGATGAGGCGCAAGGGCGAGCATTTTGTTTCTGCGGACCCGTTGGATTTGGGGATGACGATGTGGACCGCGCATTGGGTTGTGCACGAGGAGTGGGCAGCTAAATTGGCAGAGAGGTGTTTTGAGCAGATCTGTATGTCCAGCATCCATCCCACGCGTCCACCTGTGCAGCTTCTAACTGGTCCAGATGACCTATTCGAGATCGATCGATACCTCGAGCGCAGCAGAAAGTACCGGCTTGCATTCCGTGAGTTCGGGACTGCCCTGGGCGTACGGTGTATGGCGGAGCAAGACGTTGAGAAGGAGCGCTCCGTTGATCTCCGGGTTTATGCGGATCGGATTGTTGAGTCGTGGGGTCCGCATATGGAGGCTTCGATGGCTGGGCATGCGACGCCGGCTGATTTGAAGCCCATCACGCGAGTGATGTATGCGGCTGCCCTGATTCCGGGAGGTACGTAACCTGTCTAAGTTGAAGTGTATAACTAACAGATACAGCGTTTCAACGGGGTTATTTGGGCCGGGAGCCGAGATTGTGAACAAAGGCCATGCATGTATTGTCCATATACAACGAACTGTGTAGTTTACACCATAATATACGAACCAACTCTAGGTCTAAAGGACAGCGTCTATGCGCCTGGCAGGCCAACCACGTTCCTCCACGGAATGGCCCGTCGCGGGAGGATGTAGATGGTGTATATCGCAGCAAGTGAAATAAGTAGACCATTCGCCTACAAAGTTAGCTCAGCCGTTAAAAAGGGACACGGGACATACCTTCTCCAACCACGTATGAAACCAAATAGCGGTCATCAACAGCATCCAATACCCAAGGCCAACAATCACACCCACAAACCGCAGGATCCAAGTCCTCACACCATTCCCACTCCTAGATTCAGCCGCATCACCTTCAACTTTGTCCGAGTTTTCACCTTCACTTTCACCATATACCTGCGCCAAAACCCCCATCGCTTCAAACCCCAACACTGCCGTCACAAGGACAAGCATAAACACATGCCCACTAACATCATGTCCACCCCTCCAAGACCCGCCCGCAGCCTTACACGCCGCGGCAGTCAAATAAACCCCAAGCGGCTCGTCCGCAGTCGCACCAAGAACCCCCTTCTCATCTCTCCTCTCACGCAGCCCCGCAAGCACAGTCTCGCATTTCCCACCGGTCACCACAAAGCTGCGATCGATAATGGCCGGCCCAAAGAACCATTGTGTGGTGGCGTACCAGACGGCCGTTGCGAGCGCGTACCGCAGCAGTGCCTGGGCTTGGCGCTTTCCGCGTGCCGCTGAGGGAGGGTATGCGACGAGGAGTGATGCGAAGGCGAGCGTGAACCAGATCCAGCCGATTTTGACGAAGTAGAGGTTGAAGATGTTGTTTTTGCGGGCGAAGTAGTTTATTGGTCTGGATTGGGCGGTCGCGGGGTCGGCTGGTTGGTGCGCGGTCGGGGAGAGGACGGAGAAGAGGGAGCCGAGTACGAGAGTTGCAGGATAGAGGAGCAGAACTGCGCCTGGAGGTGGGCGTGAGAGGTGTGAGAGATATGATGAGGGTGGTGTTGACGTTGTGGAAGGTGGCATGCTGTTGATTCGTCTGGTTTAAAGTAATTGGACTCAAAATTCACAAGAATAATTGATCACTATTTAAACAGTACTTAAGAAGTGTATTTGAAGGAGGAGGAGATAGTTCGGAAGAGTGAAAGTTGAGATGAAGAGTTGACGACAAGTTGAAGTTGAAGTTGAGCTCACAGACCAAAAGCGGAAGTGACTCTGCCGATCTGATGACGTCGTGCCTCGGCTTAAACAATTATACAATTATATACACTGCTATGCCACCCACTTCGCCGTCGCAATCCGTGTCCTCTTCCCCCACAGCCACTGCGGAATCAGCAATAGCGTAAAGAATCCCAGAATCCCACCAAACACCCCAAACGGCACCGCCGGCCCAGCCTGTTCTACCCACGTGCCCACAAAGAACGTCCACGCAAAGCTAATCACAGCTCGCATGCAGGTAATCGCAACGAAACAGTCCGCTGATAGATTACGGTACGAGTCGATAATCTAGCCCCCTAATTAGTATCCCTCCGGTAGTGTCGTTGTAGGTACGTACGTAGTTAAACCCAACCGACGGCGCCTGCATCAGCCCAAACGCCAACATGCCCACCCCAAACTGCATCCCAATCCACATGCTGGGACTTCCATTCTCAGCGCAGAATCCAAACGTCCATAGGCCTGCCGTTGCAAGTATCAGCCCCGGCAGCGCCACAGTCAACCGCGATTCCGGCTCTGTGAGTTCTCCGTCTTTGATTGTCTTCTTGGAGACCATGGCCCGATCTGCCAACACGGCTGTGACAACAGCACCCAAAAACGAACCGATCACGCCACCGACGTTGATCAGCCCGGCGTTCTGGCCCCAGTTGTATGGCGGGGAGGCGACGATGGTCGGGCCGACGGTGCTGAGGGTGACGATGCCGCCAACCAGCCCGGCGTACCAGAGCATCACAAGCCAGACGCCGGGGAGACGCAGGGTGAGCCATGGGGCAGCGAAGTTTTTCAGCAAGTTTCCATGATATGTATAGAGCTTCAGCGAGCGGAGGAATGTGAAGTCGTGATATTGGTGCTCGGGCGGGTTGGTGATTTCTTCAATCTGCGAGGTCTCTGCACCTTCTTTCAGCTTGTCCTCGTTTATAACAGGAGATGGCTCGTCTCGCTTGTACAGCGTTTCGGGGACAAAGATCAGGCAGACGATGAAGAGAATCGCACAGATGATGACGTTCACCCAGTGCAGCCACTCGAGGCCGTTACTGGCGATATAACCGCCTGATATCCCTCCAACTAAAGATCCCAGGCAGAGAAACACCGTGTAGAAGCCCTAATATTAATGTGAGACATGGCCACAACTCGCAAGAAAGAAGTACATACCATAGCCTTCCCCCTCTGATGCGTAAAGTATATCTCCCCGATCACATTCGGTGCAACTGCCACCATTAGACCCCATCCTAGACACCAAAGACAACCGCAGACGTACTCGTATCAGCCGGTCCAACCCCAACACCCATAAAGAACCTAGCAGCAAGAAGACTCTCAAAGCTCGTCGCCAGTCCCGCCCACATGCAGCAAAACACCAGAATCAAGAGATTGAGCAGTGTAATCGGCCTCCGCCCAAAGGTATTTGCCAGCGGCACCCACCAGATATTCGCCGCGCCCATCATTAGCACATTAACCTAGCAAGTTTAATCAATACCCTCCCTCATCTAACAGACGCAATAAATAGTGAGTGACAAACCGCAATAAGATGGCTCAGCCTCCCCATCGAAACAGGGGGGTTAAATGCCAGAGGAGTCGCATAGATCGGAAACGCACTGGCGATAGACGACGACGTGAAGTTTCCTACGAATGCATAGACGGCCATACATACTAGCACGACGGTCTTGCGCCAGGTCGCCCAGTTGAGCGGGTCGCAGGGGTCTGAGGAGGGCTGGGGGTGGAGGATCAGTTCGCCGTCGTGTTTTGTGTTGCCGCCGTGCAGGACTTGGTGGGAGTGAACTTAAAGACTGGTTTAGATGTATTTATTCCAAATGAACACTCCAAGGTGTCCGCTGGGATATACAACTTACTCGATAAAGAGACGGTCCCGGGAGGAACGGCATCGTGCACCTCCCGCTGGGATAGAGAAAAGGCGTGTCGAAAGCCAGACATGGCCAGGGTAATTTACGTATCGATTGTTAAAGGGGCCTCGGGAGTGTCAAAAGCATCTCTGGGATATAGGGTCAGGTAGGAAGAGGGGTCTACGTCTCATATAACGGCCGGAGCAGCTGCAGGGTCCCTTGGAATCAATCTCCCACCCCCTCAACTAGCCAGAAACATTGACCTTCTCTTCCTTCGCCGTTTATTACCCCGGATATTGTGCCCCCAGGAAATGCCGGGTGACAGGCGGAGACTTGTCTTGAAGGCTTTCGTGGCGTTCGGCTCCACATCTGGGCCGAGTCCACGTTGACGGGCTTGGGTATAAAACGTCCTGTTGGCCACCAGAGATAACGTCGTGATTACTGGTCTCTTCATTCAAGCCGGAAACACCGCCCTGACTCTCAATGCTCCTTGCATCGTTGTCTTACGGATACCGGAGCATCCGATGATGAGTGTAGTCAGTCGGAAAATCCGACCGGCTCAATCGGCCCCGAATTGGACATCCCGGGATGTGGACGTATTAGGGTTTACCAAGGAATGCAGCAGGCTTAGTGCAGGTGGCTGCAGTGGAAACAGACCAAACAGAACTCATAGATTAGGTGAGCTTATCAGAATTAATGTACTAGAATTATGATAGGATATTGACAGCCAAGATCATAGACATAAGCCTGTCATCCCTGTACAAAACTGCCTTCGAACCCAATTTTTCGTGTCGCTTACTGAACCTTAGGCAGGGACGCGCTAAGGGTGAGCTTGCGAGACGAGCTTCCAACAAACACCCGCTTAGGGTAGGGTGTGATGACCCAGTTGTCCTTCCCGGAGTCCCAGTTGGACAAGTCGCGGCGGGTCAGCGTAGCTGTGAACACGCGCTCTTCACCGGGTCGAATCTCGAGCTTGTCGAAGCCGCGCAGGACGACCTTTGGCTCGTTGGGCCCGCCAAGGGAAACATACTAATAAGGGATTAGTTGCGTGTAAAGAAGATAGAGCTTAGACGACTTACCAGTTGAGGAACCTCCTTGCCGGGCACGGACCCTGTGTTCTTGATCGTGGCCGAGACCCGGAAGAGGTCATCCCAGAGCCGTGGGTTTCCACCAGGAGCTCCACTGGATGGAAGAAGTGCTTGTGGAGAGCCGTCCCGAGCTCCCTCAGGGATGTACTCGGTGTGATCCCATCCATAGTGGGGGTCTGCGGAGGACGCCTTAAGATCGGTTGAGTTGATGTAGGGATAAATGAACTGTCTGATCCGCTTGATGTTGTCTGGAAAGACGTAGTCCGCAGCCGTACCGATCTTGCCGAATGTGGGCGCGGCCTTGGTCTGGCCTGTGGTTGGGGTATAGTTAAGAGCATTCAGCTTTTGAATGGTTAGGTTCGAGTAACTGAATGTGGTGTAGCTCAGACCGTGGCCAAATTCGTAAATCGGGGTCTGGTTGGTCTTGTCAAAGTGGCGGTAGTCGATGAAAACGCCTTCGGTGTGGTCGGTCTGCGGAGCGCCGTTGCCGTTGTTGGCCTCAGTCAGTAGCGGAGCACCATACGCCTCCCGAGTCTTGCCCCATGTGAATGGGGTCTTTCCACTAGGATTGACGCGGCCATAGAGCACATCGGCAAGGGAGTTTCCAGATTCCTGGCCTGGAAGACCGGCCCAGAGGATGGCAGTGATGTTGGGGTGTTCGTAGAACTTGTCCACTAGAACGGCACCGACGGAGTGAATGACGACAATGGTGTTGTTGCAGTTGCTTGCAGCGGCATCGATCACATTCTCGCCATTCCCCCACAGGGTGAGGTTCTTGCGATCACCTTCATTTCCGTCGACGCTAATGAATCCTTCTCCCGCATCGGCGTTGACAAACACAAGGGAGACGCTAAAAGAGCAAGTTAGTAACGAAAATATTATACACACACAAATGGGAAAGCTTACGTAGACTCAGCAGCGGTCTTTTCAATCTTGTCGAGGGCGTAGTTATTGGTCACCGTGAACACATTGCCGCGGCCATTGATCACTTCCTGCTGGATCGCCTGCTCGGGGGTGATCAGGTACGGGAAGTTTGCAGTTCCACTACCCCAGCCCATGGCTAGGGTGCCTTGGTTACATCCACGATCATCACAACCGTTAGCTCCATCAGGGTTCGAGCCCGCATCTTCACCAAGGAGAGCTACATTGCGCTCCTTGCCGGTAAGCGGTAGTGAGCCATGGTTCTTCAGGAGCACAACACCCTCCGCTGCCACGCGACGGATGATATCAGCGTGGTCACGCTGAACGTTAACGAACTCGTTCACGGTTCCGTATGAGCCTTCCGAAACAGCAAAGTGCTCAAATCCCTCCTCAGCTCTCGTCCAGGAGCTGAAGTTCGGGGGCTGGTAGAGCCGATCACGGCCAACCTTGTAGTAGGCAGTCATGACGCGCACAGCCATGTCGTCCACACGCCACTGGGGAATGGTGCCGTTGAGGACACCGATCGTCAGGTTGGGTCCAAAGTACGAGTAGCCGTCGTTGAATGCAATGTCTCCGGGCATTGTCATGTCCATTCCAGCCAGAGCTGCACCGACACCGCTGTGCGTCGCAGACCAGTCGCTCATAACAAATCCCTGGTATCCCAATTCAGCCTTCAGCACCTTGTTGATAAGGTGGCTGTTTTGGCAGCCGTAGCTGTTGTTGGCCTGTTGGTAGGAGCACATGACAGCACCAACGCCAGCACGCACGGCATCAGCGAAGGGCCAAGCATATAGTTCGTGGATGGTCTTATCATCCAGATTCTCACTCAAAGTGTCGGTGATGTTGTAGCCATAGCCAATAGCCTCGGGCACCTGTCGGAAATGCTCTTCCTCGTTGACGAGGTAGTGCTTCGCGGTTGCGACCACACCGGCATCCTGGATACCTTTGATGGTATCCGCAAACAATACACCAGAGAGAACAGGATCAGGAGAGAAACCTTCCCAGTTACGACCACCGTCGGGGTGTCTGCCGAGCGGGCCAGCTGCCGGGCCCAGTTGCACATCGATGCCCTTGTCGCTAAACTCTTGGCCCATTGCCTCTCCACGAAGGTAGGCGAGTTGCCGATCCCATGTCGCGGCAACATTAACGCCCGCAGGGAACGCCGAATTCGAGTCCGCTGTATACTGTCAGCAAATGACAAAGTTCAAGCGTGTAAGCGCGACATACAGAAACGGATACCCAGAGGGCTATCTTGTAAACAGATTGATCCTAGTCCAAGTCTAATATGCAGTCAGCATTGCTAAGGCACCGCGTCGACGAGAAATCCATACCTAGGAACGCTTCCTGTTTGTCCAACACACTTTTCCAGCTGCCATCTGCAAATACTTAGCGACCTAGCCCTTCTTCCGAATACCAGTATATCCATACCCTGTACCAGTTGTAATGTTGACCTTCTCCGCCAACGTCATCTGAGAGACAATCTCGACGGCGCGATTGTATGATTCGGCCCATTCACCTTGGCCATTTGCCCAAGGAGACGGATAGTACGGCGGGGAGAAAGCGAGGTCATCCTAGTAGCGAGACAGTTAGCGTCAACAGCCCCAATTGCATTCAAATATGAATTGAGTACCTGGGCACTAGCTACAGAAGCAGCTGTCAAAGCAGCAGCCTCCAACCAAGTGAGCTTCATACTTGCAGTGAGCTGACCAAGTGGCTCAAAGGTACCCAGAAGTGCTTGAGAGAAAGCTGGGAGCTGGGAGGGAATAAAAGACGCGGGTAGGAAGGAGGCAAGGAGATTATAAGCGTGAATTCCAGCCCATGCCAACATGACAGAACGCGAAGAGGCAGTGGAGCACAATGATGTCTTGTTTTTGGCTCGTTGCGGGGGGTCTTTTCTGGAGCTCGGACGGCGTGTTGATCGGCATCAGATCCGGCCAACCATCCGTCGGCAGTCAGACAGGGGCGTATTCCTGAACGTAAGCTGAGAGTAGTGGATGGCACGGTGACCGAAGCGCAGTCATTCTCCTCAGAGTCAAAAGAGGCCCCGTCAAGGCTGGGAGGAAGGAGAAGGAGAAAGGAGAGCAGGGAGCACGACTACTTTGGCTTGGCAGGTCACGCCCCGCACAACATTGAAATCTGGAACGACAGGGGCGTAATATTGGCAGACCACAGAGCTGAAGATCGGTAATTTTGGTAATGCGTGACATTCCTGATATTCCTTTGCATTGGCAGTCCAGAGATTCCATACAAATCCCAAAATAAGTCAACTCTGGGAATAACCCAGCATTGTCTGTCGACTCATCCTCGCAGAATAATACTGGACATTTGTCAGTTGAATCTCCAGGACCACTAAGTGCAGCCATCCTTCGCTTCCGGGGTAACTCCGGCTTTTTGAATACGATGTTACAGTAGTACCAGCCCCCGCATTTGGCTGTCAACAAGTCACCATCGCTTCGCAGCTATAACTCCCTCTTCCTATTAGTTTTCACACTTTGCTGGCATCTGTCTCTCCTACCTGCCAATTCTAGGTAGTGGCCTTTTAATTTAGCCGCCATTTTAACCCTCGAGCATCGCAATCTCCGAATCGCAAAGCATGCACGCCTTGCGTCCAGTTCATACTTCCAGGGGCCAAACTGGGCAATTCGTGCCTTGAATGCCGGTACCCGGCCACGGTACTCACTACATCCAACGGGGACAACTGCATTCTACTCGGTCTTCGTCGGTGTACAGTGCAATTTGAGCACCTCGGGAGGCCCACAGCGCGTTCTCTCCACCGATCTCCTCCCGCCGAGCATCCGCGATTCGCGAAGAATGCTCCATTTTTTGAACCACCACGCTTTGGAGATTACATTTTCCCGATAATTTACCGGCGGCCACCATAGGAATTCCCCCCCGACATCGCGGCATGATATTTGGGTACTTTCGCCATTCCCTGATCGATCAGGAGCTCTCTCTGCAGCAGGTTGAATGATTCAGGCATAGACGTCATTCAACGAGGTACTCGGACAATATCCGATGCCGACTGGCTCGCAATTTTCTTCGTCGCTTCACGGGAAAGCAACTTCGGTGCTTCAAATAGATCCCGAGAATGTACCCCATAACTAAGCTCAGTCATTCCACAGTCAGACCTGGTTCTTAATGCCTCAGGCCCATTATCGAATTCAAGGCTTGGCATATGTCACGTGTAATATGGGATGTCACTAGCGAGCTATGATTGGCTGCCTGGGTCTACAACACTGCAGGCTCTTTCTTGGGCGTAGACAACCGCTATCCAGGCATACGTAGTTTATAATTGCTATTTCCTATCACTGGAGTATTCGATTTTAGCAATTCACGACGGACTGGCATACCATATTCGTCAATATGGTTCAAGAAAAACGCTCCAGTGATCCAGAGGCAGCTGCATGTCCACCAGACAACGAAGATGGCCCAGTATCAGCTTTCCAGCAACTCGGCATTCTCGACCGCTTCCTCGCCGTCTGGATCTTCCTCGCTATGGCCGTTGGAATAATCCTAGGGAACTTTGTTCCGAATACTAGAGTGGTGCTGGAGAAGGGAAAGTTCGTTGGCGTTTCAGTACCCATTGGTGAGTCTACCAATTCACTCACTTCATACCAGGGTCAGTTCTTAACGAGAAAAGCCGTCGGGTTACTGGTTATGATGTATCCCATTCTCTGTAAAGTTCGCTACGAAACCCTGCACCGGTCGTTCCGCGAGAAGAGCCTTTGGATCCAGGTTGCTTTCAGTATTGTCATCAACTGGATCGTTGCTCCTTTCTTCATGGTACCATTCTCACAACCTCAGCTGAAAATAAATCCTAACATACGAGCGTATAGCTTGGCCTGGCGTGGGCTTTTCTTCCAGACGAGAGAGGTCTTAGGGAAGGCTTGATCTTGGTCGGAATCGCACGGTGCATTGCAATGGTGAGCCTCAGCCAGCCAGCCATCTTTTGTGGTAATCAAGCTGACAGAAAAAGGTCCTAATCTGGACGGGCCTAGCAGGTGGCGATGGCGACTACTGCGCAATCCTCGTGGCTATCAATTCCATCCTCCAAATGGTTCTATTCGCACCACTCGCCATCTTCTTCATCCGCGTCATCGGCGGCTCCGATTCGGGCGTCACTATCGACTATTCCCTGGCAGCGAAGAGCGTCGGCGTCTTCCTCGGCATACCATTGGGGGCCGCTATTGTCACACGCTTCTCACTGCGATACCTGACAAGCGAAGAATGGTATGATAAGCGTTTTCTAAAATGGCTAAGCCCTTGGTCGCTGATCGGGCTGCTGTTCACCATTCTTGTGCTTTTCGCGTCACAAGGCGAGCAGGTCGTACATCAGATTGTATCTGTGGTCCGAGTTGCTGCCCCACTGATCGTATACTTTGCTGTCATCTTTCTGGCGACCCTTGCGGTAACGCGCCGGTTTGGGTTTGGGTATAGATTGTCTTGTACTCAGAGCTTTACAGCGGCGAGTAACAATTTCGAGCTGGCAATTGCGGTGGCGATCGCAGCTTTCGGCGTGGATAGTGACCAAGCTCTAGCGGCAACAGTTGGTCCATTAATTGAGGTCCCCGTGCTTCTGGGTTTGGTTTATGTCGTCAAATGGTTGGCCAAAAGACAGAAATGGGCGCCGTAAAGCCTTGCTTCTGTTTTATTTTCCGCTTTTGTTTCCGCAATAATAGACTGGCGCGTCATTCCTGTCAATACCCATATATTAGGTTTAGGTAGACATCACTGCCCACTAATTTCATCCAAGACTTGAAACAGGAGCTGGTTTTGCACTCTGCATCCTTCTTCCGAGTTACTACGGAAGAAACCCTGGCGTAGCTTTTGTTTGATTTCTGATACGTCCACCCCGCGAGAGTTGTACTGGTCCACCAGCTTCTCTGCAATGGAGCAAAATGTCGTGTTTATGACGCGTGCGCTGATAGGGAGCGAGTCCAGGTCCTCATTCGGTGCGCACTCACACAGAGACGGAATCTCCGCTGACTGAGGTGTCTCGGATTTTCCACGCTGTGGTTCAGTCTTCGCATCCGTATTCTTCCCCTTGCACGTACTGTTCTCAGGAATCGGATACTCCGAATGCGGCTCCACTACTTCCTCGCTCGTGCAAGCTTGAGAACTCGAGGAAGGTCGCGGGCACTTGGCCTCCTCCTCCTCCTGCTGCTGCTGCTGCTGCTTCTGCTGCCGCCGCCGCTTCTCAGACTCAGCCGGAACAGAGAGACGCTGAACAGCCGGTATGGCAATCTTCCGATTCATCACCGAGTCATCACCTGCGCATAGATACGCCTCCAAAGCAGCAGCCGGAACACCCGAAGCGAGATGCAAATCCCGCAGTTTTCGGTTCTCCGCTTCAAGCCTTTGCAGGGCAAGTCTGTGCGCCACGTCTCTGCGATCAAGTTCTGTCTGTAGACCCAGTACCTTCTGCTCGAGATCGCGCAGGTGGTCTTGTCTCCGCGCTCGGCTTTTGCGCTGGTTCTCCCGAACCCGGGCCAGTTTGGCTAGGTGCTGGGATGGCTGTCAGAGTGGATGTGACCCTAGAGAGTTGAGAGATGACCGTTTGCGGGTCGGTCCTTACCTTTTTCTCCACGCCAGATTCCATTTCTGGTGTGTTGTCGATGGATTGGCCTGATTTTTGTTAGTACTTTTGTCACTTTGGAGTGATGGATGGAAAGAAATTCGTTGGGAAGTCACATGACTCCCAACGGCGATTTTTAACGAGAGTTTCGATTTCGACGTTATTCGCAAAGACCGTTGTTTTTCGTCTTTTAAGTCTTTAGGGTTTAATGCAGTAGGCGACATTGGTTCTCGTACTGACTTTTGGTAGACTTTGTTTGTGATTGTGATCCGAGCACCGAAATATATATTTCCTCTCCACGGCTGTCATGTTCCACGCCGTTGAACCCAGCTGGAATGATTAGCTACGTCTTGGTGAAAGTCCCCGACTAGATTATATCCACCTGGACAAGATGGATAAGACTTGTACTGAACAGTATTCATATTAACAAGGTCGCAATCTGATACTCTGACAACAAACCAAATCAACAACGCCATCCATATCCCGCATCCGATCCAAGCGCCCAAAGAATCAACAAGAACGAAAGCCCCAGGGCGTTCCAAAGATATATCAAATCCACTAAATAATAAATACACGAGACAGCTTGGAGCGGGGCTAGACTGTGATATGGAGTAAAATCGAAATAGAAAACCAATTTGTTTTAACCGTATGCTAACATCTCAACGCTTGTAAATGCAAATCATTATGGCTGTGCTTAGGACCGATGCTTGGGTTGAGACAGCATGTTTAGCCGGCTCATACTGAGCATGCCGTTTCTAGGGCGCGCACTTGCCAGGGTTCCCTTGCGAGCAGATCCCGGACCGAGACGCGAGGGAGTGTGCGAGCGAGACTTGAGTGGGCTAGAGGCCGGCTGCTTTGATGGCTCGGGCGTGCTCACTTTGACGCGTTTCGCACTTCGCCCTTGCGAAAGGTCGTCATTCGGAGGCACGTTCTCGCGGTCAGCGTCGTCTTCAGCCGCCCGATGTCTCTTCTTGTGGCTGATACCGTGAGGCATTCCAGGAATCTCAGGCAGAGTCGCCTCCACGGCGGCATCAGAGGGGCGGACTGAGCGAATGGTAGGCGGCCTTTGAGCGTTGCCGCGGTCGGGGGTCAATGTAGGGAGGGTGGGATAGACGACCTCTGCCGTCGAAGGATATGTGATGTTGGCAGGGATCTTCGAAGGTGACGGTGAGATCACTTCAGTTGGTCGAGGTTTGGTGCAAGGAGTGAATTCTACCCGCTTCTTTGGAGAAGGAGTAGCTGCTGCGGGCTCATGCGAGCTTTCGCGTGATGGCTGAAGCAAAAGCTCAGGAGTGAAATCCGGGGCTGTCTGGTGAGTTCCAGCCGCAATCTTAGTCGGGTCCCTGGAGAATAGCGGCTGGTGGCGGCGGAGAATAGACTTTAGGCTACTCAGTGTGGGAATATTGCTCTTGAAGCGTGGATTGAATTCGGTGCGCGGCGTGCTGGGAGCATCGGCTGGTTTGGAAAGAGGAGAGCGCACGAGTGAAGGAATCATACTAGTACGAGGAGGCTTCAAGCTGGTAGACGCACGAGCCATTGAGGCTCGTGTTGGTGTAAGCAGCGAGCTTCGGATGCCAGCCCTGGGACGTGCGATCGCCGACTTCGGGTTGGTTTGGCGGTTTTGGGGTGTTGTCTCGAGCTTATCTTGCTTCACACGCTTTGCAGACGGTGTGGAGGGAGTAGGTGCCTGTGGCGTTGCCCTCGCTGGAGAGGGTTTGCCTTCCGGTTCGTCCAGGCGGGCTTTAGAGTTTGTTCTCTTGAGAGTCTTCTGAACGGGCTGGAAGCGCCCGGGTGTAGCACGGAATGCGGAGGCGTGGCCAGCGATGGAATCCATCTTTTTGAACTGGGCCATGTGGACGTCGGAGAACCGGTTAGCCTTTCCCTTTGGTTTCGCAATTTTGCGCTCCACATTCTGGGAAGGCCCAGCTGTAGTGCTGGAGGGGTTCTCGCGAACCATGTTGGCTTTGTTTCGTGCTACCTCCTGCCGTACACTCTCCATGAGTTTCTTAGCCTCATCGCTGAGCTGCGACTCTTGCGAGGAGAACTTGAAATCGAGAGCAGGCGTGCCGTAAAATGTCGATTCGGGAGAGGTAGTTGTTTTGCTTGGTGTGTTCTGCGCGGTGCTTTCCTTCACCACATTACCTTGGGCATCCTTTTTGACGGGGTTGAAGCCGAGGATCAAGCCGGAGTCGGCCTGCTTAGTGGTGCTCTGTTGTACTTTGCTAGGATGCATCTCGAAATGGGTTGGACGAGTGAGAGAAGTGGTTGGGGTTTTTGCAGGTGACTTTCGTTGAGAGTGTGTCGATTTGGGCGTGTGTGCCACTTTTGGTGTGGGGGTAGATTGAGTGTTCGGGCGAGCGTTGACAGTTGGTTCCTCGTTCTCGAGCACGGTGTCGAGTTTTTTGTTGTTGTTTACATTGTTTTGGTTGTCTGAATTTGAGGGAATATCCTGCGGCGAAAAGCGAGGGTCAGTAACTTCCAACTCACCAAGCAAGGGCGTCAAGAGAGCGTACCTCGACGGGCGACTGGGCGCTTCTGAGGCGAGCAGACCGGCGGACCGCCATTGTGAAGGTTTCGGGTTCGTGTCTAGATGAGCGATAGAATTGATAGATGCGCAGGATAGCGGTGTTATCAGCACGAGGAAGGCGTGGGGAGTGGTGGTGGGTTATTGTGTGGGTTGTGTGGTTGTCGAGATGAGACGAAGGCAAAGACGGTGTAAATAAAACGCCCGAAGCGGCAGGCGGTGAGCTGACGTCATGGCGAGCGCGCTGTTTACATCATGCCTATTCCGGAACATGACTAATGCAGTCACGTGCAATGCCCGGCCATGGCCTGGAAGATTCCACTCAACAACCAACAACTGCATTCATCTCTGTGGGGAATTGTTGTATTTAATTGTTGTACTTAATGCAACATAGAGTGTATACTGTGACATCCCAGATCAGCAAGTAAGGCTTCTTGGAGTATTTCATGCAGGGTGAATAGTTTATTCAATTTAGTCTACTGATAAAATTAGTGCATACACAGCAAGACTATATACAGATTATGTGGACTGTAGCTACCTGGCTATCTATCACATTACTCTGTACTTCATTTATCTGCGCCAGTGTCCTTGCCAGCTTCCTTGTCAGCTTTCCCATTTCTCCATAGAGCATCCATTGACCTGAGGAAGCCCTTGTCAGCTGCGTTTCTCACAGCGCGCCACCAGATGTCTGCCATCTTTTTGTACCCTGCATCATTAGGGTGAGTGGTGTCGGCCAGGTCATCAAACGTGAAAGAGCCCCAGGTGTCGGCAAAGACAATCTTCCTCCCGGCCATTTCCGAAACAATCGTCCGGTATTGGTCGTTCAGCGTCCGGGTGCAGTCATTGCGGTTTTTATTCGGCAACAGTCCCGAAAGAACAATTGTAACGTCGTCGATATTGTCGAAGATTCCGCGGACCATGTTCGTCATTCTGCCCTTAGCGTTGACAAGTGCCTCTTCCTGGTCCTGGGTGCAATCGTTTGTACCGGCGTTGATTAAGACCAGATCGGGCTTCAGATGATACTGGGCCTTGACCTTGTCGAAGACCTGGTTAATAGTATAACCAGGCCAGCCTTCGACATCATTATCCGACATTGTGCCGGATTTCCGGGAGCCCACCATGTCGACGTTGTAGCCAGCTGAGGTCATGGAGTCTCGCAGGGCTTTGCGGTACCCGTTTTTGTCTGTCGAACTCGTCCCATATGTAATGGAGGCCCCGAGGGGCATTACACGGAGTGTAGAGCTTTGTCTTCCATGTAAAGACGGGCTGTCAGCGTCGTTACCATTGTTATGGAAAGGCAACGGGGAGGCCAGAGCTACTTCATGTGTCAGTGTATATTGATGCAGGGGGCGCGGGGAAATATGAGTGGATCCGTACCTGGCAGGACAAGTAGGGCAATGGCGCAAAGCCTCAGGTGCAGCTGCATCGTCAATACCGCCACTTGGCTTAAGAGATCTCCGATGAAGAAGGTATTGTAATGGAAAATGAGCGAAGCTGGGACCAAAAAGAAAAGTCGAGTCTTCCGGGACTTGGGTCTCCTTTATGTCCCCTTTATCCCCGTGCATGGCGCTCTCCTTTCAAGTGCAATAAAGGGCTAGATCTATTCTAGCTTGGCCTGCTCTGCCAGCATGTAACTGGATGCAAACGGTGACATTCTTGATCAAGAGGCCAGAACATCATGAGGGTCAGTTGCCTTTCCAATCCGACTGGCCTCGAAAGCATCAATTGGTGTGCGCGTGATGGGACGAGGCGCTGGCCAACTCGACAACCCCCCTCTCGTTGGTAGACCGCGTCAAATCATTCATGTGCCTGGGACAGTTACTTTCACTTGGAAAGCCTCCGAGGGATTACTACAATTCTGGCCGCGAAATGTTCAATTTGCCCGATGTTACGATAGCCCCGCTAGCACCGAATTCGGTGTATCTCACCATATAAAATAGTGTAAGCAGATACATTTATAATTAAATACAAAGAGTCTTATGGAGTAGATAAAATAACTATAATTTAGTGGTCCAGATAGCTATTTGGCGTCTGATTTCTTTGATCTGCACGATCTACCGCCATACAAAGAATACCTCGTAAGTGCCGAACGCGGCTAGGGTATAGATATGTCACATAACCATATGACATTTCCAATCACCAACTCCCTTTCTGAAGTCACTTAGTCGTGAAAATCATAAAAATTCAGTAACGCTAGGGATTCCCAAAGCCTTGGCGCGTATCGGAAAACTAGACATGTACATGGGCCAAGGCGAGTGGATGCACATATTGTAAACTCCCTTGTGAGCCAAGAAAACCTTAAAAGATCGGAATGTGAATAGAGTGACTAATTGGAGCAAGGGATGTCTCCTGGACCACAGATTCACTCGACACGCCCCGGTAAAGAGGTCATTCATCTCTCTGGAGCTCATATCCCTTCTCCAGTGACACAGTCATGATGTTGATTTTGCAAAGCCGGATAGGCAGATGATGGTACTAAGAGCTTGGCTTGTAGTATTTATTCCTTCTGTCTGCATATATGGACATACCCAGACAATAGTTGCTGTCTCCCTTGCCCCGATTGTTGGTGCTGTTGGCAGTACACCTTCGCATCTCCGGCTCAAGGGTCGTGATGCAAAAGAAGGGCAAGTGGATCAGACGACAGTACCTGAAGCACGGAGTGAAATAAAAGGTCACATCTTTTGCACTCGAGGAGCATGACCCGAAGTCCAGCTGCTACCTTAATAACTGGAGTTGGTGACGCACTTGTTGATGGTAAGCACACCGCCGAGCGTTGCATGGGCTGCAACCAACATAACTATTCATTCATCACGCGGCAAGAAGGCACGCGTTGAAGGAGCGAAGGAGTGGAGGAGTGAAGGGGTGAAGCAGCGGTGAAAATGGTGGTGTTGATTCTAGGGATGTGGCGCGCTTGGCCGCGCCACCGCCGATATCAGCATGAGAAGTATGACATACGGCTGCTGCTGGCTATCGCCGGGATTATCGTGGGCGCTCTTACCTGCCATGGTTTCTCTCAGACATGATCTGGAACATATTCTGGCTGTAAAGCAGCAGCCGATTTCCACAAGTAAGTACGGATATCCAGCGAGACATGGCAGCGATGTGCGACGTCGGGAATATGTCGGCAGTCCCATATATCGGGACGCACCGAGTATTACCGAAGTAGCCATAAGCTTTGCTCCAGCTAGTCCGTATGCCCCGAGGGGTCACAAGCCTCAGACTTAGGGTTACATGGAGATCCGGGGAAGGAAGGCAGTCTTTACCTTGGCGAATCCTGTCTTGTGGTCTAGTTTGTTAGAACCGGCATTCGGGAAGGATTTGGAATACTCGCATAATAAACGCAGTTGCGTAAGAACAAGCAGTTTCAAGTAAAATGTTTATTGGCCGAGTCGGTGAAGTACATGTACTTCGACAACGTGGTTACAGAGCCGCAAATACCAGGGTACTAAGTATATGTACTCAGCACGAGGACCGGCATGTTAGGACACGCTGACTTTAGGCCGAGAAGAAGCTGAGATACGGTTATTGGCCAAGCCAAGTCGAGTCATGGACAAACGACACCGCTGCAGAGAACCCTGTCAACCGCAACACCGGGGATCTAATAGGCTCGAAGGAGACCCGACACTGCAGGCGGTTTACACGTGGCTGCAAATATGGACCAGCTGACCTAGCAGCTAGGACCCTCGACAGAAAACGAGTCATATTCAGTAAAAGGACAGGGATAGATAGCCAATCGAGAATTTCCAATATATGGATCAGTGTAAATGAGATGTCGGTGGGGGTCCGAACCAAGCGGGGAGGTATTATACTCCAGCTACAGCCGCACTGCCGCACTGCCGACTCGCCTTGACGGGGGTTAGTTTAGAGATATATAGATGACTACTAAGGGCGATGGCTTAATAATATTATTTGAGCAACACTATTCCCATCTGATGAATAACATGATGTAGGATTCATGTGGAGCTCGCTAGTATCGCCATACTTGGGTAGAACTATAAAGTCACGACAAAACGGCCCTTCAGTCTCGGATCCATATACTTCTCCGGAAGATTGACTCCCTCCTCCAGGCTCATCGTCGTAACATGCGAGCGAATGCCCTTCTCAGTGACCGTCCTCATCATATCCGTAACTAGACGCTGGTTCGCGACAAGGCTCCCCTTGATGCTCAACTGTTTGAAGATCAGGTCAAAGGCACTGAACTTGAAGCCCTCTACCGGAAGGCCCAAGGGAACACAGACGCCTCTAGTACGTAGAAGTTTCAGACTCCATGCAGTGGCCTTGACGCTGTCGGTACAGATAAGTACTGCTGCTAGACCCCCGTCGCCGGCAAAATTCACGATGTCCTCGGTTGAATTCGGTGAATTGGAATCCACAACCAGTTTCGGCCGTAGAGGCGCAGGAAGGTCTTGAGCGAGCTGCCTGCCTTCGGGCCTGTTGTCGATGGCGACTGTAGGATGACCCAGGCCTGCTGCGAACTGCAGAGCGAGAACCCCCAGACCCCCAATTCCAATAACGCCTACAGGAAGACCAGGCTCTACGCCGGCTTCATCCAGTCCTCCCCACACGGTTGCCTACATTGTTAGTATCAAGGCATACCACAATCCGGAGCACTCACCCCAGCACACATCAGCGGCGCCGCCTGCTCAAAAGCCACCCCATCAGGTAATTCCACACTCGAATCTGCATCAGCAACAACATACTCCGCAAAGCCCCCATCCGCTGAAATCCCCGCCATGTCTTTATTCTGGCAGAACCGCGTATCCGGCCGGTCCGGCTGCTTGGGATCCCGCGCGGACTTGCACCCAACACAGATATAGCAAGGATGTCTGAAATTCAGCATCCCGACTCGCTGTCCGGTCTTCCATCCTGCCTTGGCCGCTTTCGCGCCCGTCTCGACTACCGTCCCGACTGATTCGTGCGATGGCGTTATTGGACACTTGGTTTTGTAGACGCCTTCGTAGACTTGGTAATCCGTGTGGCAGAAACTGGCGGCGCCGACTTTGAGAAGGAGGTCGTTTTCTCCGATTGAGGGGATGGGTATTTCTTGTAGTTCATATGGTGCGCCGTACTGGATTTGTGAGTTGATTGAATAACGGGACTCGTGTGGATGGTAATCAAACCTTGACGAGGCGTAGAGCTTTCATAGTTTTCGCAGACATAGTGGCTTTTATATCCTCTACTAATAATTCGCGAAGATTGATTCCACCAAGTTACTCGTTTGCGATTGTGTGTATTTATGCTACTGGCTTGCATTGCTATGACGTGGGGTTGGATTCCCCAATTTGGGGATGTGGATGTGCTCAGTTGATTTCAAAGAATCCCCACGACCCTTGGAGACATTCATCATGGGGAAGAATCTGTATAGATTAAGTGGTTCCCAATTTCCCCATTCCCATTCCCATTCCCCAAAGGTCCAGTCGAAATAGTTAGGCGCTGACGGAAGCTGGACTTGTTATTGTCCAGGGTAATAATGCTGACATCTCGGTCGCTATACAAAGAGAAAGATGGGATCACATATAGCAAAGCCCAGATCGAGAAGTATGTGACTATCTGATGTCCGATCTATAGATCGAGTCTTGGGGTTGGTACTGAGACCGCACGGCATTTCCCAACTGAGGTACTAGACGATTCATTCTGGGGAAGGTTATCTGGCACAGTAAATAAAAATAGACATCGAAATAGTTTGCATCTCCAGTGAATCATGAAAGTTCAACGGCCGACAGTGGTGTCCTATCGCCGAATACATATATACTTCCGCGGATCGGCAGACGCCGAATATCTGATCAATTGCACCACTTTCCAATTTATTCCGTGCCAGCTGTGACTCAATTGTCCACTGTCTTGAGTGGTCTGGAGATTCCCCAGGATTCCGTCATCCACAGGGCGCATTGCGTCTAGAAGCCCAAATTCCCAGCCGGAACCCTGATTGACGTTAGATGGCGTGATCCCCACGTCGATCTCGTGTTGTTAACTCGGAACACAAGCATTGACTCGCTACCTAATCGTCGATAAGAATGGCGTGCACTGTTGCGAGCCTTATCGCCGAAAGCCGACAACATGCGGCAACTCCCCGGGCCTATACATAAATGTCTATATAAAGAGCTTGGCCACTCAAGGTTCAAGCAGATCAACTCAGTATCACATCCAAGACAAAATGACTGTCGTACCAGTGGAATCCAAAGCTCCCGCCCATCCTAGGCTGCACTCCTCCGGCTCCCTGGATGACTTCAAATCCACCACTGTCACGCCCGTGATCGGACAGGAGTTCCCCAAGGACTCTGTCAACATCGTCGATGACATTCTAAATGCACCTAATGCCGAGCAGCGCATCCGCGATCTCGCCATCCTAAGTATGTCTATACCGATGATAGCCCAAGATGGTACTAATATACTTCAGTCGCCGAACGCGGCGTCGTCTTCTTCCGCGCCCAGGATAACCTCACCAACGACCTCCAGAAACAACTCATCCTCAAACTGGGCGAACTCACCGGCCGACCCGCCGACCACGGCCTACACATCCACCCCGTCGTCAACAACACCCGGGAATTCGGCGACCCAGACCCGCAGATCAGCACGATCAACTCGCGCGATCACAAGAAGCTGTACAAGGGCGCGTACGGCAACCTCGCTGCAATCTGGCACTCGGATATCTCCTTCGAAAAGGCGCCGTCGGACTTCTCGGCTCTGAGGCTTACCCTCCTGCCTGAAACGGGTGGCGATACGCTCTGGGCGAGTGGGTATGAGCTCTATGACCGTATTAGCAAACCGTACCGCGCGTTCTTGGAGACGTTGACGGCGAATCATTCGGGGGATGGATTCCATCGGGCTGCGGAGGCTGGTGGGTTTGGGCTTTATGAGAAGCCTAGAGGGTCGCCGTTGAACGTGGGTGGCGAGTTGGCGAGTGATCATCCGGTTGTCAGGACGAATCCGATTACGGGGTGGAAGAGTATCTTCCCTGTTGGTATGTTAGCTTCCTTGCGTTTTTGTATACGTACAGTTATTGACGAGGTACAGGAACATTCCCCAAGACAGTCAACGGCCTGACGAGACGCGAGAGCGAGAACCTCCTCAAGTACTTCCACGATTTGATCACATATGGACATGACCTGCAGGTCCGGTTCAAATGGGCCCAGCCTAACGACATCGGTATGCTTGCCTGCCTAACCATATATCATATAGACATCTAACAACCGCAGCAATCTGGGATAACCGCAGTGTCTTCCACACCGCAACATTCGACTACAACGGCATCGGTGAACGCAGCGGAAACCGTGCTGTTGGGATCGGCGAAGCGCCTTACTTTGACCCTGGGAGCAAGTCTCGTCGCGAGGATCTGGGGATTGAGGATGACTTGCATCCGGTTCACTGGTAGATACTTCCCAATTTAATGAATTATGCAACGAGACATTATACTATAGTACTGGCTTTTGTAGAGAGTAGTTATACGTGGTTCGACCAAGGCAATAGAACTACACTGACACGCCTGGAGATAGACATGTCAACCCTCATTCACGACCGAAACCCACTCATCCGCAAAACAATTTTCGAAATTCTCCCTACTCTTCTTCGGCCTCCACCCAAGCTCACAAGCCATATCAGCATGAGTTCTCGACCGCGCAGCCAACCCCGGCTCGAGCGCCTCCAACGGCCACCCTTTCCAAAACTTCTCGGCCGCATCCTGCAGCGTAATCTGACGCACCGTATAACTTTTCAGAAACCCCAGCGCATAACCAACCCTCGCAATACGCTCCGAGATCTCCCCCCAGCTCTGGTGCCCCGTCTGGCAGAAGTAAATCCCTTTACAATGTATATCAAGGCTATACCCCTCCAGGATACGGATAACCATCAGTTCATAGAACAGCACTAGATCCAGGATATGGACGTGATCCAACTCGTGCTCGCCACTGCCGATGCGCGAGGCATACCCGTCCCGCAGTGCAGCGCGCATAATGGTGTTAATCTGGACGGAGCGGCGGTTGAAGAAGCCTGTTCCTTCGCCGTAGATTAAGGGGGGCATGATGATGTATGTCTTAACGTCGGATGTCTCGCCTTGCTCGCAGACGAGGAGGTCGGATGTGCGCTGGATATAAGACTTGATGCTCTGGCGATACCGCATGTAGGCGTAGATGTCGCTTTTGTCGGAGAAGACTGCGGACTCGGTATAGGCGCCGGAGATGGGGAGGTCTGCTAGGTTTGATGTGCCGGAGGTCTGTAAATAATGTCAGTATATAGGCCGGTGATTGAGGGTAAGGTAGTCACTGACGTGGATGAAGTGTACTTGTTTTCCGGAACTCTTGCGGCGATCCTCAAGACCACGGAGCAGTGCCTCCGCAGCAGGAGTGTGGTATGAGAGAGCAGCATTAATGACGATGTCGTGCTCACTTGCGACAGTTCTCAGTGTATCAAGGTCATCAAGCCCGTCGAAGACGACGGCGTTGACGTTTTTCTGCTGAAGGATGTCTGCCTGTGATCTCTTTCGGACAAGGGCAGATATCTTGCATGTTTTTACATGGGGATCGGTGGAGTTCAACAGGGCAGTCAGAATAGAGCCACCGCTGGCTATCATTAGCAAGAAGTAGAAAGTATATTCAAGAAAAACTCACATGTATCCAGTGGCTCCAGTCAGTAGAATGCGCGTTTCGGGCATATTGAAATAGCTGCAAAATTGTTCGACAGCAAATCACTACTCCTTGTCTTGTTTATACCCCGCGTTATTCCTCGATGACGTTGAAGATTCGGACATAGGCGGACATTGGAGATACATGCTGACTGCTGCACCGTCTGATTCGGGCATAGGAAATAGCAACCCCAGGATCACCACGTAGGGCAAATAATATTACAGACTATTAATAATAAGCTCTGCAACTAGGAATACTGACACCTAGGCAAGCGCGGAGTATAAAGCGTCGAAATTAAAGACACAAAGGCTAATCATAACAAGAAACCTACAAATAAACTACATCCGCAACCCAAACGACTCGCCAATATGCAAACTAAACGCATCCCCAGCCCAAAAGTCCTCCGCAAACAACCCAGAGAACGTACGCCCATCCGATACCGTCCCCAACCCAAATATATCCGGCGTCCGGGGCGTGTCCCCACCACTCCCACTGCCCCCAGTAGCAGGGCCCCTACTCGCCTGCGGAGACGGAATCAAGAACCCCGGTGTCGGGGGGTCGGTGAGTGCTCGGTCAAGACTATATGTCGTCTCGGTGGGGAAGCCGTGTCGTTTGTCGGCGATGATGGGGTGTCCGGGCTGATGGACTTGCATATGTGCGTCGCTGACGTAGTCCATTACACGGTTGATGGCTGTTTCGAGGGCATCGCGGTATTTGCGGACGCTGGGGTGTCGCTCGGCCATGACGAAGAGGCAGGAGGAGCAGGCGCGGAGGTCGTTTGAGACGCTTATTGTCCAGAGGCGTGGCGAGCGGAAGAGGCAGAGGCTGAACAGTTAGCAACTAGTTTACATGATAGAAGGGAATGGAAGTACCATATGGTTAAACCGGCCATAAAGAGCGTGTTGATGAGGAGAAACGAGTACCAGGTCGAGTCTCGCTGGCGCAGGCGCTTGAAGTACTGGCACATCTGGCCGGAGACGTAGAGACATCGTCTGGCGAGCTCGTCGTCTGGTGGGAGGATGGACAGGAATGGGTGGAGGACGGTTCGGGTGGCGTTGTGCCAGTGCATCTGGATGAAGTCGTCTTCGTAGGCAGAGAGACACGGCAGGGACTTTTGATATTCGTCCAAGGACTCGAGTATAGGACCGACTTCTGGCAAGAGGGATGGTAGGTCCCGGTCGACTCGGTAGACTCTGCTTCGTGTCCGTGAAGATATCCGGGATAGCTTTATGCATACTATAGAACAGCGGATATTCGGCCCATCCCACAGCTCGTGCGGACTCCGTGGATTCCTGAATAATTCCTCTGGTGCACCGTCTGGCAGCGAGTCGTCGATATCCGCCGGTGGTTCGGCGTCAATCTCTTCATCCCCAATACTGAACGGCCGACCAAGCGACCAAGCAACTGACCTCTCATTCAGGTAGACACTCCAGAATAACCTTCTCCTCCGCTGCGCCTCGTACGGTCTCAGCCGTCGATACTGTGCCTCGCGATGCAGACCAAAGTCCACGCTTATCCGCATTGCCAGCCCCATCATGTACCAGACACTCGAGCTGGCCGACGACTGCAGGTTATACATTGCCAGCAGCATTAACGCCTCAATACTCGATATAGACAGCGACTCCTGGATCGCCGGCTGATACTGCATGGCTGTAACGAAGTAATTCCGCGGCGGCGTCGAGTCATACATCTCCGTCATCTTAAGAATCGCAGCCCCAATGGCATAAACCATGAAGATCTTGAACCGCGCAAACTGCTCCTGCGTGCTTGGCCCCGGCGGTTCATGGCGCTTCGCATGTAAATTGTAAATCTCCGACCGGCACAAAAAGGGGAGTCGCATCTGCATGCTCTTGAAGTAAGCGTCGAGGATGCGCGCCCCGATTGCATCGTCCGGAGCAGGCGCTGGGTCTTTTGCTTCGTTCTCGCAGGGCGCCAGGAACTCGTGCGTCTCGTTTACGGGGATGGACTTCCACCCTGCGTCTTGGACAAGGCGGCTTATGTTCTCTGCGATGGCGAGCCCGGATGATGGGCCTAGGTAGTTGCCCTCGACTTTGTCTTCGTATCCGTGGCCCTGGATCAGGAAATGCATGACTGCCCCGTGGTTCTCGGGGTCGGATGGAGAACTAGAGACTGAGCCCGCGCCTTGATAGCTGGCTCCGGTTCCATGAGAGGAATGAGGCCGGTCTCCATGCTCAGAGTGTGTCGTGCTTGCAGCGGTACCGTCTGTCAACGCTGCGAGTTGAGCCTCCAACGTCTCGATCCGCTGCGCCAATGCACCCTTGGACATGCCGTGATGCCATGACGGGACGCTGTCAGATCGAACGCACGGCTGGCCTGCGAGTTCGCAGTTCGCGCAGACTGGGGCCCCGACGCAGCGCTGCTTGCGACGGTGGCAGCGCCGGCAGGACTTGGGGATGCGCTTGCGGATCCGCGTTGCTTCTTCCATGGTGATGGGTCTTGATGTCTTTTAGCAGACTGGTTTGAGGTCCGTCTCAGAGGGTCGGGACTGCGAGAGCCCCCGCACTTGCCATTGACGATGTCGCGATTCGTCATCGCGAAGGTGATTGGAGTTGCAATTGCGATGGGGAAGCACGCCATCACCTATAACGCACTACGGACTACGGAGCATTGTGGTTATTAAAGTAGACCTTTAACCTTGGAAGTGATTTACTGTCTGTTCATATCAGGCATGATGAGGAAAATGGTATATTTGTAGTCGTGGTCTGTCTGCCCTAAGGGTATCTACAGAAACCTCAATTAATGATATAGGACTAGCTGCCACCTCCCTCGACCGACCAGAGTTTCTCCAAGTGAATGAGTGTCACTATCTGGTAAACACAATCTGATGGTTATTCTAATTGCCATTTTCACCTTTCTTTTCATAAATCCACCATCCTGACACGGGCTGTATGTTGTCAAGCCCCGTTTCCCCAGTCTCCAAAATTGCTCCACTGGATCTTGCTTGAATGCCAACTAGCCCTGCCACCATAGCAGCATCGATGATATTTCCATTATCATCGATAGTAATTGGCACGGAGGCAAATCCGGGTGGAATTCTATCGGTGTCCACGCGGCGCGCCAGTACATCATGGAGCCCCAGGTCCGTGTTTCGAGCCACAAACTCAGGCGAAGAGACCGGATGAATCTGTTCTCTATAAAGAAGATTGCCCTGCTTATTCCAGAAAATGAAGGCCGATACCCAACCAGTCAGCTGGTCAATTCCGCTGCCACCGTGACGCTCAGCGCATCTTCCCCAGAAGTCCAGCACGTCGGGCGACTCGGGACTATCGAAGGACAGCACAAAGTAATTCAGGATCGGGCGTAGAAGCTGAGCAAATCGTGCGGGTTCGTCCCCTAGCTGCTGCAACTTGTCCAGCCTCGTTATCATGCGCTCCCAGTCTGCTCGTTCGCCCAGCAAAGTAACGGACGGGATGCCACAGAGAAACGTAGCTTTGTATGAGAAATATTCCTGTAAAGCACCCATCATCAAGACAGCTGCGACCACGCTGTCGGATTCAGTTGTAGTGCTGAAGTCCGGCATGATCCAGTCGCGTAGTTCTCTGTCCACGACGTTCTCTTCAATGAGCTTGGTGAATTTCAGGGCGATTTTACCGAAGTCGGCCGTTTCGATAGTCCCACCTTCAAAGGTTTCCAGCTCCTTTTGTCCCTCGTGGGCAACGAAAAAAGATCGCAGGTCCTCTGCATTTGCGTTGATATAGAAATTCAGCTCTGTCAGAATCGAGAACCACACATCCTCAGGCCGGATGGTCAAATTGAGATGACGGTTGTAGGCATGGACTACCGCCCAGACAAAGCCATGCTTCGAGGACGATACATGGGACGTCTCGAGAAAACTGTCTGACAACGAGCTCTGTATCACACCTTGGCTTTGACTATATTCGTCCGAGCATGAGTGTTGGAACAGTTCTTCTGCCGACGACGCTGCAGATTCTGGCCATGCTCGCGGGGGATGCTTGGCAGTAGCCAAAGTGACAGGCATGCTGTTGAAATATAATATTGTAGTTGCAATAAGACTGGCAGCGATAATGACAACAGACTGCTGGGGGTGTGATGCGGCGGTATGTTATATGTTATATGACGTTCTGCGGGGCTGAGCAGTGATAAAATAATTTTTCGATAAGTAGTAATGATCGGTAATGGAAAGGAGTGGACAAGAACCAATATCTCAAGTTATTGTCTAATGAATAGTAAAAACTTCTGATCTCCTGATGGGACAGAGTAGAAAGCAGAAAAACCCGACCTGCTCGCTCCTTCCCACAGCACACTTGTATAACAAACACAGCCCCCCGATCGTCGTCACCGCTCTTGGCTTTTGGTTGAAGATGCATGATTCGTTGCTGTTTGAGGTGGAGCAGGCGACTCGGTCGTGAGGCTTAACGCGCAATATAGACAATTTTATTGGTAAGTCAGCTATAATCCGAAGTAGGACATCTCGCCCAGAAACCGCGTAGATATGCTTGAAGCCTAACGATTATAGAAGACAGAAAATATCCCAGAGGATAACCACATATTGAGCCATCAAATCTAAAGCGCCGACACCAAAACCCGATCACTAAAGCTACACCCCATGGCTGGGGAGAACTGACAGAAATTCCTTTGTATACGCAGCTGCAACCATAGCTGCATACCCCTGCCAATGGTCATTCTTATGAGAGTCTGCGTAATCACATACTCCGCGAATCACCACACATGGGAGGATATCCAGTATCCCAGCAGCTTCCATCTCAAAGCAGATAGCCCCAGACTTCCGTGCGAATGCATCCCTCTCTGCTGCATCTTTGAGAAGCATACCCCCGGAGGCAACCAGACCGTAGAAAACCCTAGGCCGATTGTCAGGCCTGCGAGGTCGTTTCCTCACACTGGATAGATCAGATCTATTGTATGTAGGTAGCCCTGGCACATGGTTGCTTTCCGTAGCGAAGAGCTGGTCGGCATTTCCACCGGGATACTGTACTAGCTTATGGAGGTGCATGTGTCTTTCCATGGCTTCCTGTTGGTATATAGGGATATCGCTCCCACGGTGCCTGTGCTTTGCCTTCAACGAAGCCAGCGTCCTTAGGACGATATCCGGCGTCTGGCATGGACGGCAATTCCTTTGCTGGCGATCATATTGCAAAACGCCCCCGTAGCTTGCCGTAGGATCAGCGACAATCACATCACCGAGTCTGATATCGTGCGGATCTGGGACGCAGCCTGCGATTCCTGACAGAAAGCAAACTTTGACCGAGGGGTAGGAGTGTCTCATATTGAATGCTGTCACGGTGGCGGCAGTAGCGCCGTATGTTCCCTCTCGAAGGCCGGTAATGACAATATTGTGCGCACCGATGCTGCCCAGGATGTAGACATTATCGTCACCCTTCTCGTTGGGAAACGTGGGGTGGATTCTATCTAGCATTGCCCTTGCTGCTGCCATCTCTAAGGCAAGGGGACAAATCCACCCGATCTGATAGTCATCGTGGGCTGGTAGGGAAGGGGATTGTCGCTAGGTAATACTGATTCAAACACTGTTGCAAGAGAGGCGTTTTAATCATTATACTTACATGCTTTTCGTATCCAGAGTTGGACGCATCGGAGTGAACAGTATGGCTTGTACGAGACGGGTGACAGCCCATTTTGACAAGGGAAACACAGATAGAACGTTAGGATTGAATCAGGACACGAGAAACACCTGTGTAACTCGACCAATTTATGTTTCTCGAGCGAAAGAGGACAATCCGCAGTTAAGCGCCGGGATCGATCTCGAACTGGCGGCTTCATCCTTGCCCTGACAAGGATGTTCTATCTAGCAGCTGCTAAGCGCCTACGTGGGATCGCGCTTCCAATCAGTACTCAACATCATGAAATAAAGTTATAGATCACCGGCCACGTATACAAAGTGCCCATAACCACGGCCGCGAGGCCAAAGTCCCTCGCGAGATATATTTATACCATTTGCAGTCGTCCAACGAGGATATTGAATAGGCGCCCGGGGGTTAAGGAGAGAGATCCAAGATGTTTCAAATCTAAAGAAGTACGCTCGAGTAACCTGTTATATGAGCAAACCATGGGGCTGGATTGAATCAACCTTAGATCCCCTCCTGTTGCCGCCAGACCTATTTTTGTACATCCGCCAAGGTGAAGCCCTAGCTCAACACCGGTGGCCGTGACCAGAGCCTAGACCATGTATAATTATAGGCTTTCAGCCTCGTAGTCATGCTGCAACAGCCAAGCGTATATATATTGAAAGTAAGTTACTAGAGATAAGGCTACTTGCCAGTTTGAAGTGTGGCGCTCTGGGAGGTCGCTTGGCCGTCCTCGGTCCGAACTCCCTCGGTAAGAGAATCCTTTAAGCCTGAACTAGAGGACAGGAATTAGATGTCGAGCAGAAAGGAAATAATTTGGAAAGTGCATTCTCATGGTACTTCCCCACAGGCTGTCTTTAGTCTTATCCAAATATTGCCTGTATATCAAACCCACAATCCCCGCAACAGCCAGAACCACTCGGACCGAATCGTCAATATAACTGGCCATCGGCTCTTCTATCCCTACCAGGATGCTAAATCAAGCCAGATAAGCATAAACCCGTGTGATACCCCGCAGGAACAGACTGAAGAAGCCTCCTGGCTTTGCATAACTCCTCCCGCCAAGCTCTGGCATGTCAGTTTCAACAGCTAGTGGGCCGTGCTGGGCTTCCTATTTGTCCAAACCTGTGTTTCGAGCTATCTGGCGTTAGGATAGTCAGAAGTTATGACAGCTGATCCCCCGCAGTATTGGAGAGGAGTCTGGGGTGAACCCCGTATCCTGGAGGCGAAGGGATAAACACGGTAACTTGATTCTTGCCAAGGTCTGTTAAGGATATTTAAGTAGAATGGGGCTGGCACTTTTCTATCTGAAATATTTGTTGAATTTATATACTTGTTGCAACCATGGCTGTCCACTCGATCAAAGGGCCCGATCCGGAGCACGTCGAGGATAACGAGAAAGGCGCCGTATCTTCACAAGTATCAGACCCTTCGTTACAGTACGACGATGCTATCGTGAAGCGAATCAAGCGCAAGATTGACGTGAGGCTATGTGTGGTCGTCGCGATCATGTACACCGTCTGCCAGATCGATCGGGTCAACCTGCCAAATGCGTATGTGCTACACTGGCAAAATGAGCGGGACACACTACGTATGCGTCTTCTACCCTGTCTAAACCAATCTAACGAAACGAACACTGCAGTCCACAATCGTCGCGCTCTTCTTTGTCACGTACACCCTTTTCCAGCCTATAATGACCGTCATCGCACGCAAGATCGGACCGCGGATATTCATGGGATTCATAACTGTTGCCTGGGGGCTGGTGATGGTTGGCATGGGCCTCGTCCACGACTGGCGCGAAATGACCGGCCTGCGAGTTGTCCTTGGTGTGTTCGAGGCTGGTCTCTTTCCCTCTGCCGTCTTTTTGATTAGCAGTTGGTATATCCGCCAGGAAACGGGGAAGCGGATTGGGCTTTTTTACCTGCTGGGAAGTGCGCTTTCGTCGTTTGGCGGGATTCTTGCGTATGGGGTATGCCTCCTATCCCCCCCTCAGCGTGCTTATGATATTGATATGAATGACAGTTACAACAAATGGACGGAATCCAAGGCCACGCTGGCTGGAGATGGATCTTCATAATCGAAGGGATTCTCACCATTGCTATAGGTCTGCTAGGGTTCATTCTTATCGTCGACTTCCCCGAAGATGCGCGCCGCACGCGCTGGTTCTTGACGAACGCCGAAATCGATATCATGATTGACCGAGTCGACAAGGACCGGGGAGATGCCCATGTAACTCCGTTTGTGCTGAAGGAGTACTTGCAGTATGCCTTTGAGTGGCAGGGGTGGCTGCTGGCTGTGAACTTTTTGATGACTGCTATTGTAATGTGAGTCTACATTCTATCCGATCCACACAGAGTTGTACTGACTGAGTAGCTACGCGGTCTCTTATTTCCTGCCGATTGTTCTCCAGCAAGGACTCGGCTTTGACGTCGCAAGGGCGCAGACTCTTACAGCCCCAGTAAGCTTCCGAATGTTTAATTAACGAGTTTATTCTGACCAGCAGTGCTTCCTCTTCGGATCCCTCCTGGGCATAATTGAGAGTTGGATATCAGACAAGTACAACACGCGCGGCATCGTCGTCGTTATCAACGCCGTCCTGCAGATCGTTGGAATCGCGCTCTTAGGTTATGCAACGGGTAACGGCGTACGATACTTTGGCGCCTTTATCCTGACGGGCAGCTGCAATGCGAATATCCCTGCCTCGCTGACCTACCAGTCGAATAATATCACGGGCCAGTGGCGCAGGGCGTTTGGGTCGGCGCTTATTGTTGGCGCTGGTGGTGTAGGGGGTGTTATTGGGGGATTGGTTTTTCGGGAGCAGGATTCGCCAGAGTATAGGTAAGTTGCAGCATCCTTCTTGTTGTTTTATTACCAGAGGAAACATGCTAATGAGTGTATAGACCGGGTTTGTGGACGTGCTTTATTGCGGCTGGGATTACGATTGTCTCGGTGGGGATCACGACGTGTACGATGGCCAGGGCGAATAAGAAGCAGAAGAATGGTCTGGTTTTATTTGATACTCCGGGATTCCGGTTTACGTTGTGATGGCTGGAATATAATTCAGCATTAGAAGCTGAACAAGTATCCCACTTCGGCCTAAAGGCTGCGAGGATGCCAGATGAACAGCCACATGACGTTACTATATATATCTAATTCTTAAATAAATATAAAGATGTTGTTGTTTTATTATACTTTAAATATTTAAAACTAAATTCTAGAAACTATTTGATATAATTGTATACTTTCGTGTCTTGAACGTGTTGATTAGTATAACATTAAATCATCACGAAACAAGGTTATATTTACATATTTTACTTTAAAAACTCATATAAATAAATGTTTCGTATATCATGTATTGCTTTAATTAAATATATAAATTGATTTTTAGCGAGTTGACGTCTTCGCATTCCTGATTCCTGATAATCCTGAATCCTGATATACGTGCATAACCACCTGCAACCTCGAAGCGGTGTTGAGTCACCTCTGCGTGTCCTGCAGTTATTTGTCAACTGGAACGGAAAAACAAATAAAAGAAACGCTCTTCCTGCTGAACATCCTGAACTCCAGCTCCTTGTTTAATATCTACCCAAACCGGGAAGCATCCACTATGGCCTTTCTAGATCTCCCCGTCGAGGTGGTACTTCTCGTGGTTACCCACCTCGAGTATGCATACGAGATCAACGCTTTATGCAGCACCTCTCGCTGGCTGCATGGCCTGGTGAATTCTGCGCTTTACAAACATAGTATTGCCCATGGGGATGGGGAATATGTGCTTGAATGGGCCGCCGTCAACGGATTGGTGTCAACTACCCGACTTATCCTTGAAGCAAGGCCAGACGCTATTGGAGGGCTGGAGGCCTTTTCATTAGCAGCCACCCACGGACAGAGCGAGATAATAGAACTGCTATATAAACACGGTGTCGATCCGTGCTTTACCGACAACCACTGGAAGAATCACCATGAAGAACCCGATGTTTTAGACAGTGAAGGCCACCCGCTGTCTATGGCAGCGGCAAATGGCCACGTATCTGTCGTCAGTCTCTTACTAGAATATGAAGTACCAGTGGATCTCCATACAGGAACTAAAGAGAAGCGAACAGCTCTCCATCTGGCAGCCGAAAAGGGGCATCTCGATGTTCTCCGTGTATTAGCCAATGCCGGCAGCCAAATTGATGCGCAGGACCATGTCGGCACAACGCCTCTGCATTTTGCGGTGCATGAAGGGCACCTCGAGGCTGTGCAGTTTCTACTCTCCCGTGGAGCAGACCCGAATTTATCAACCAAAGGCGGGTCGACAGCGCTCTGCATGGCAGCTCGCTCTGGTAATATTGATGTCGTGCGATGTCTCCTTGACCGGGCAATGAACGACCCATCCTGCCCCGACCAAAGGTCACTGTGGCAGCTGGCTCAAGCAGCAGACAGAGGATACAGCAATATTGTGGACCTCCTGCTCACCCGGTTCGACTACATCCAGCTCTGCACAGAGCCTTATCAACAGTCCGTCCTGCTCTGCGTTGCTGCACTCACTGGCCGGACTGCACTTCTCACAGACCTCTTATCAAACCACAACTACAACCCTAACATGCGTGTGTCTGGCGAATACATCTCCCCGCCATCCACTTGGCTCTACTCGACTCCGGCATCAGCTCTTGACTGGGCTGCAGAGCGCAACCATGCCGCCGCAATCGATATTCTCATATCCCACGGCGCCCTCACACCATCCGACCAAAGCCCCCTCCCCCTCCACCATGCTATTAGGAATGGCCACAAAGAAGCCACCACAGTCCTGCTCGCGAACGGCATGAACTCAAACAACCCCCCCGGCAAAGCCCTATTCAGCGCCATCCCCCACCCATCCATCTTCTCCCTCCTACTCTCTCACGGCGCAGATCCAACAGCCCCAGTCCCCTGGTCCAATCTCCTCGCCGATATCCTCACCTCGGGCAGCGCTGACACCCTACGCCTCCTCCTCGACAACCCAAAAGGCACCTCGCTAGTCACAGACCCAATCATAAAAGCTCCCATGATCTCTCTTACACGACCAGAGCAAATCCCGCTCATCCGTCTCGCCATCCAAGGTGGCGAGGCAGTCCTCCGTCTCCTCCTAGATCGGAATCTGCTAGCGCCACCAGAAACCCTGCACGACCGCACAGCGAGCCAGTACCTCATTCTCGCAGCGAAGCACGGTAATGTCTCGCTCATGGCGCTGCTTCTGGATATGGGCTTTGATGTTCATGTAGGGGATAACGCGGGGGCGCTTGTTGCTGCGGCTGCAAAGGCACAGGGGGATCCTGATAAACTTCTCGACTTTCTTCTAGAAGGAGGGTGTAGTGTACATGATACGGATTACATGGGTAGTCCTGCGTTGGTCCTCGCAGCGAGGGATAAGAATGAGAGTGCCATGCGGAGGCTTTTAGCGCGCGGGGCGGATCCGCTTGTTGGTTGGCGGGGGGAGACGGCGTTGTCAGTTGGGGTGAGGAATGGACATGTTGCTGCAGTTCAGGATATTTTGGGTGTTCTTGATCAGAGGGAGGTTGGGCTTGGGGAGGTGGAGGGCGTGTTGAAATGGGCTGAGAGTGCTTTGAAGGGTGCTCGTGGCATAACAGTGCCGCGTGAGAATTTCTTTCTTATTGTAAAGGCGTTGCGGAGGTTCTACTGGTTGAGGAAGTATGCAGTGTGTGCTTGATTTGCATAACTTGATGTTATTTGATAGAGATAGTATTAAAGAATAGGGTAGTACACGATGTACTCAAAATAGTCATGGCAGTTTTACTATTTTGATATCAATGCCATCAGTGCCATCAAGAAACTATACGTAGACTGGAATTAAATATGAGCTGTACTGTATATATGTGCTGGTTGGTATGGCAATAGTATCTGTAATTGTGATCGCTCCTTCCATTTACTCTGTGTCTTATAGTCGCACCTTCCCAAATTGTGCTGCAAGTAATCCGAACATGGAAAGTGCCATGGAGACAATTGCTCCTTCCAACTTTGCACAGTCCCATCGCACTTTCTCGTGTCTTTCTTTATTGCTTCACATGGAAAGAGCGATGGACACGGTATCCCACCAAATTCGATGGAAAGAACGAGAAGATTCTGACTGATCCAGTGTGCACTGCGGATATACGGAAATCCGGCACTGGATTCGGGAACTCCCTCCTCAACCGGTTGAGATACATTTAGTGAAATATACCGGGTGGGGTATGTCCACCGTGGAAACTGGCGGAATATGACACGTTCTAATAGCTCTGTTTGCTATTCTCTGATTTGGATATATGGTAGTCCTGGCACTTCTTGCGTGACGGGATGATAGCCTGGATACCACCAACTTCATGGTACAAATCTAGACATGTAGTATTGACTACTTCGTCCACCCCTCCCCAGACCCCAAGACCTGCTGTCCCCTCTGCAAAGAACGACTGGGCTCCTCGCCTAGCCACTGCGGTTCCAACCGGTCAATGTTCGCCTCGATCTCCCACGCTCTCCCTCCCTCGACGTACATTGATTTCCCATTCAACTCTTTATCCGCTAGTACATTCGCCATGATCTTCGCTACATCCAGAGGCCTGTTCACGGGGAGTCCCGCCTTGAACCAGCCATCCTGGATTCCTTTTACCATTGCGGTTGTTGTCATCCAGGGACAGATGCAGTTTGTTCTGATCCCGTGTGCTGGCGCGCAGAGGTATAGCCGCAGTGCGCGCATAAGGCCAATCACACCGTGTTTCGAGGCTTGATAGACGAAGAGACCTGGTGACTCTTTGAACCCAGCTACAGACGAGACGAGGGTTATCGAGCGGTCGACATTAGCAGGCCTGTTCTGGCGGAGATAGACGCTCGCGATGCGAGCAACGTAGAGACACCCGGTTAAGTTCACGTCAAGAACCTTTGTAGTAGGCGGCTTCCGAATAGATTGCATATCCAAAGCAGGATCGAATACGTTTCCAATCTCGGAGATTCCTGCCCCTGCGACGGCGTGGTCGATGCGGCCGCATACCTCCATTGCTTTGTCGAAGAGCCCCAGGACGGAGTCGTAGTTTGTCACGTCCGTCTTGACGAAGATTGCCCGGGGGGAAGACTGGCTTTTGTTTATTGTATCTGCGACTGTCTCCCCTGCCTCAGTTGAGAGATCGCCGAAGCATACGTAGGCGCCGTTTTGGGTGGCGTATTCCACCAGGCTTGCTCCGATGCCATTTGCGCCGCCTATGCTGTTAGTACTTCATAATTGAATATAGAGGGGGATAGTACCTGTCAAGACAATGACTTTGTCTTTGAGTGAGTCTGGGGTGAGTTCTTTGGTATACTGCGCCATTGTTCGTGGTGTGGTAAGGTGGAAAGGTAGTTACAGGGATGAAGATGCAGGGATACGGCACAGCAGCGAGACTCGTCACATCTTTTCAACACACCGCCATCCCACATCGTGTCCGATCGTACCAAATATTCGACAACCAGAGTGGATAGTTGAATGTATCCGTGCGGTTCTACCCCGCCATTGTCGGGGGGGAGTTCCGGGGGGAAGGACAACCGAGGAATACTGAAGTATAAAAGCATCCCACAGCCGTCCCTTCTGTACTTCCAGTTCATTCTTCAGACGCAGCCACCATGCCCCTACAAACATACCACCTCTCCTCCTCCCCCAAGGGGCTCTCCAGCATCACAACCCTAATCGTCGGCACCAGCGAGGCCGTCCTCATCGACCCCCCCTTCCTCAAGCCTGATGGCCTGGCCGCTGCAGCCTGGATAAAAACAAAGATCGAAAACAAGCCACTAAAGGCCGTCTTCGTAACCCACCACCACCCAGACCACTTCTTCGCCGCAAACTCAATCTTCGAGGCATATCCTGAGGCTAAATTCTATGCAGCGCCCTATGTCCTCGACGGTATTAACCGCGAGTATGAGCAGAAAGTCACATACTGGCCTTCTGTGTTTGGGGCGGAGAATGTCTATGAGGCGCCCCGCAGGCCCGAGGCGTTTGGGTTTAGTTTCTTTGTGCTAGATGGAGATCCCGATAGTCCGGTTGTGCTTCTCGGACCGCTGCAGGGTGATAGCGTGGACCATACGCTGTTTTGGCTGCAGAGGGAGAAGACGATTATCTGTGGGGATGCGGTTTATGGGAGGAGTACGCATGTCTGGTATGTTCCTATATAAGCTAACAGAATACGGGTCCAAGTGCTAACTGTAAGTAACAGGGTAGAGGAAGTCGAAACCCCTGCTCTGTTAGAAGCATGGAACAAGACGCTGGCCCTGATTCGGGCGCTGCAGCCTGAGAAGCTCATCCCAGGGCATATGGAGACCGGCTGGGAGTTGGATGCGAAGGAGGATCTCGCGCACACGCAGAAATATCTGGATCTGTTCTCGCGCAAGATCACGCACGCGCCGGCGAAGCCGACCGTGCAGGAGCTGTTTGAGTTCTTCAAGAATGAGTTTCCGCAGTGCAAGGAGAATCTGGATTTCTTCCTGGGCCATCTGTCGAACCAGTACGGGGAGGGAGGGCAGGTCTGGGAGGAGAATAGGCACCATAATGTTGGGGCGAGGACCATTCAGGGCCTGAATGGGTATTGGTTTAAGTAAATCAGTTAGTTAATTATCAGCTGCTATACCGGTGCAGTTAGGGCTTTTGATAAGCAACAGCTAAGATCAAATAGCGTATAATTGCAGAATTTGGAGCTAGCCCGAGGCACCTCAGTGTAGACGGTCTAAGAATAGGGTAAGACCCCTGATTGTGATGTAGATTTTTAAACCCTCACACATCCCACGCCCATATCAGGTATCGTGGTCATAGTGGACCTGCAATGATTTGGGCGGGTCTACCCCGCCATTTTGTGGGGGATTTCCGTTATTCAGGAATGAGGACAGTTGCTAGAAATGAACCAGACCTTCCTATGTGTTGTTGAGTACTACTTGATACATCGATGTAGACTACGGGCCCATGAAGGAATGAAATAAATGCTGTGGTTTTACATGTTTGCGAGACAGTATCCCACCAGCCTGGATCAAACTCATCACCAGAAGTGCCCCAGTAGTGACGGAGGCGATTATAAAACCACAGTCCCCTTGGGAATCAGATACTCTCCAATCCAGTCATCCTCCAGGGCTTGACGACCTGATACCGGGACTGGAGACATCAGTCGGAGTGACTCGTGGCAAACATTATCCATGAACGGTAAACTGTCCACATCGATGCCGGCAAAGTCGACATTCTCGTGGTTGAATAGAACGGGGAAGTGGGATCGGATCTCCTCGCGCAACCTCGGCTGCACATGCTGATTCATGCTTAATAAATGAAGAGCCCATGAGACCGCAATAGCGATTGAATCGGATCCGGCACCGAAGAGTGTGACGAGTTGGTTGGGATTGCTTCATCATCGACGTTGATCTCGCCTGCTGCTCGGAGGGCTCACTCATAAGATGCTGGGAAAAAGATAACATTCTGATTCGATTCAATATTGCTTCCTTTCCCCTCAACCACTGGAGTTACGTGTTCTAGTATCGTCTGTCGCGGGCCCTGCGCATGGGCTTTTCGTCCGAACCAGGACCTCGTGCCTAGCAGTAGATTCAGGAGCATGTGCATCTATGATCCTATACAGTCCGGAGAGACGCAGCAAAACCTCAGAGCCTGGCTATGAGCCTTTACAAGAGGACTGTCCGCGTTTTCTAGACATTTCATCTCAAGTCCAAGTTCCACTGCAGCTATTACGTCTATGCTAGCCCGTGTCAACCTGTCTGTAAACAAGTGTTTTGTATCAGACATCAAGTCCACCGGGGAGTCCAATTATAGAGACCTAATCTCACTCTCCATTTATTTCGCACCCATTTAAGCTCTGGGTTAATTTTAATTTGTTAGACGGCCTATCATAGCTTCCAGGCCCGATCTGTAACTAGCGCCTACATATAAAGTATGTCAACTTAGACAGGATGGTCTGACCTGGCTCTGCAACGGGATCATTTGGTTGTATATTAATATAATTTATAATGCATATCGGACAGAGAATCATCAGTGAACATGGCAGGTGACCCTTGCGTCGATGAAGGCTTGCATGTCTGACGCCCATCATTTGGTAAACTAGTGCAGTATCGTTGGATTTTCAGCCAGCCGCGAAGACAGAGAGCAGCATTTTGTTTGGAATTAGCCTTCTCTCGTGTAGTTAGCCTTGGCCAGGTAATAATTGAATCGTTTATTGCCAATTAATTGAAAATAAAAATATAAATAAATAAATAAATACGGGGCGCGGAGAATAAAATGACAGGTCTTCACCGGCACTTTGGGGGAAATAAGCCGCGACACAGGCTTGAGCATACCTGACACTCTGGAGATATAAAGTTAGTCTTTGGGGTCAGTTGCCAGAGACTCGGCTATTCTTTATTTATGCCTTTGTTCCATTGCAGGCCACCATGGGCAGGTTGTATGCCTCCGGCTGCCAAAACTACACATCCTCCGTTAAAGAGGAATGTCTTGTTTTGGCCAGAATAGGCAGCTTTGCCGGCTGCCAGCTATTTTGCACTTTACTTGTCCTCTACAACGGTTTGAACCGGTACTTATTCTCGTCCTCCCGCCTCAGCAAATTCTACGGACCGAAATACTCGAACCGTAGTCCTCGGGACCAGCGACATCTGCGTCTCATCCACGTCGGCCTTTTAATGAGCTCCATGGCAGCTCCCTCCATAGCGATCCCCATTTCCATGGTGCTATGGGGGGAATACACGTGGTTGGATTCCTTTGGGACCGGCATAACACTCGCAGATATGGCAATTGTACCTGTAGTTGCGTTCCCCGCGTGGGCTGTGTTCGATTTGATTTATTCCGAGAAATTGCCGCCGCTCTACATTATGCATCACCTTGGGATAGTTCTAGCCATGGAAGGAACTGCGGCGATGATAATGAACCTCCCTACCAACGACGAATCTCGAGTCATATATATAAGTCAGGCATTGCAGGTCACGGCCACTTGGGGTAAGCATTGGCTAAGTAAACCTTCGGTTATAGCTTTAGTAACATATGTTCCAGTTCTACTTTCCAGCATTGGTGATACAGTCTCCAGGATTCCCTATCTCGTTCGCAATCTCTTCTCCTGGTCACCCAGAGCGCTCCAAAACCTCCTTTCTGCTGGGCTCACTATTTTTGCGTCTATTACTTTTCTGGAGGCGGCCATCGTTGCGCACCTCCTACTCACTAGGTGCAACCGGCTACCAACGCATTGGGCACTGCCGATTTATTTACTCCAGGCTTTGTTTACGGTTACAAAATACCGAACCGCAATGCAACTTTTCAACATATGGCAAAAGCAGAATGCTGACAATAGGAAAGTTGAAGGGATACCGAAGATGTAAGGGACGTTCGGTCACAACTAAACCTCAAAGTCACCTATTTATGTTATGGCCATAGACGGGTTTGCCGCTGGGTTGGCCTAAATAGCACTCAGACATGTATATAGGGCAGCTAGAAGTTAAGTGCAATTGAAATACTAAATAAGAAGAGAGTATGTATAACAGCCCAACAAGCCAGGAATAAGACTATCTCTTGCCCTAGAATCAAACACTACTCCAGGGTGCAATAGAGCTTATATACTCACGCCAACGACTCATAACTCGGCGGCTTCAACCGAACAACCGCCTCCGCCTCAACAGCAATCTTCGCAAACCCTTCTGCCATCACCTTCTCCACGTAGAGCACCGTAACGGGCGGCTTATGCCTGTTCCCTTCCCCATCACTACAAAACCCTGCAATGACCTGGTCCAACTGCTCCGCCGTGATACGCACCTCGGTCTGCAAGTACACCGTGAGCTTGGTGATGTCGCGCGGCGTCGCGTCTGCAGCGGCAAGGGTGGTTTTGAGGTTCTGGAATGCGCGCTGGGCGTGCTCCTGTGATAGGAGTGCTTGTCTGGCTGCGGCGGTGCTGTTGCTGGTTTGGGGCGCGGTGCGGATGAAGGCGATTGTTGGGTCGTCGGGGGGGAAGGGCGTTATTGAAAGCTGTGAGTGGGCGGTATGTGCTTTGATGTTTGGAGGATTGGAAGTTGTGACGAGGGGGGCGTGGAAGGGGTCGTTGCTTGACTGCGCCATGATATGTTGATATATCGATATATTAAAGGTAATGCAGTTGTTGTCTTTGGAGAGGGCACGTGTGCGGGGCATTATTATCATCCACTAATGCATTTTTAACAAATTAATATCTCTATACTATATCGAATATAATTATAGGAATATTCTATAGACGTCCTGTCACTTTAATCACCAATGTGCTCTTTATGTGCCAATTAATGTAACACAAGTCGTCCTGTATTTGTCAGTATTCTGAAGCTGATGTACACAGCCCGCCTGAACAGAATGGCCCCAGACTCTAGTCCATGCGTAACCTGGTATGGTTAGTGTATAATTAAACCCTCGTGTCAGCGTGATGACTGTCCTGTTTCGGATTCTGTTGCGCTGTCAGGGGTGGAGCCAGCAGTTCCGCGTATCAAGTGCGGTGTGGGGAGAGCTCAGTCAAGGGTCCAGCAGTGTCCAGCTGTCCAGTCCCTGATTCTGATTCTTATCTTATCCCTTCAACCATCTTCCCTGTCCATCTTCTCTAATGTCCCACCATGCCTGCCCTCAACAAGCGATGGACCTCGTCGCTGTCCATCGCCGCCGTCTTCTTGTTCTGCCTCGTGCTGCTGCACAATAACAGCAGCCCACGACCCCTGCCTCTCCCCCAGTCCCGCTTCTCCCGCTCGCAGTGCCCGGCCACGCCGCCCTCCCCAGCCTACACCCGCTCCAACCCCGACGAAGGCTTCAGCTGGCGCGACATCCCCGTGCAATTTCCCGTCTCAGACCTCATCTCGCTCCCATCCAGCAAATCCAACACCCTCCCCTCAATCCAAGCCCGCTTCACACCCCCAACCCTCGAGCGCGAAACCCTCCGCAAAGCCCGCCAGTCCGCCATAAAAACCACCTTCCAGCGCGCATGGCACAACTACGAGAAACACGCCTGGAAGGCCGACGAGCTGCGCCCTCTCTCCGGCGGCTCCCGCAACAATTTCGGCGGCTGGGGTGCCACCCTCGTCGATAATCTCGACACCCTGCTCATCATGGACATGCACGATGAGTTCGAGCGCGCTGTTTCCGCTCTCCTCGACGTCGATTTCTCCCCGCATTCTTCCTCCCAGTCGACTATCAACGTCTTTGAAACTACAATCCGGTACTTGGGGGGTTTCATCGCAGCTTACGATCTGAGTGGGTGCAGCGACGTCCGGTTGCTGGATAAAGCCGTCCAGATCGCGGATATGATCTATGCGTCCTTCGACACGCCAAACCGCATGCCCGTGACGCGATGGAACCCGCATAAAGCAGCCGGCGGCGAAACTCAAGCCCCCGCCGCTAACGGCATTATCGCCGAGCTGGCCAGCTCCAGTCTCGAACTTACCCGTCTCTCGCAGCTAACGGGAGACATGCGGTATTTCGACGCGATCTCGCGGATTACGGATAAACTAGACGAACAGGCGGGCAAGACCAGAGTTCCGGGCATGTGGCCCGTCGGGATTGATGTGCAGAAACCGGACTTCACGCGGTCGTCGACGTTTAGTTTTGGCGGCATGGCTGATTCGGCTTATGAGTATCTCCCCAAGGAATTCCAGTTGCTTGCTGGTGATGCTGCCACGGGTAGGGCGCAGCAGTATAGACGGCTCGCGGAGAATGCGCTGAGCGCTGGATCGGATTATCTCCTCTTCAGGCCTATGGTGCCTGACCATGCTGATATCTTATTGCCCGGGATCGGGCACGCGACTGCGCGGAATGAAGTCCAGCTCGAGACGAGGAGCGAGCATCTTGCCTGCTTTGTGGGTGGGATGTATGCGCTTGCGGGCAAGCTGTTCCCGGACTCGAAGGCTGATTTTCTTGCGACGGGGAAGAGGCTTACGGATGGGTGTATTTGGTTCTATAAGAACTCGCCGCTGGGGATTATGCCGGAGATGTTCAGCGTGTCGCAGTGCCCCCGCCGGACGGAGTGTGTTTGGGATGATACCAAGGAGGATGTGTATACGTATGTGCGGGATAAGAATTATAAGCTGCGCCCTGAGGCGCTGGAGAGTGTTTTCTACCTGTGGAGGATTACGGGGGATGAAGTATATCGCGACGCTGCGTGGGACATGTTCCAGGCGATTGATGCGGTGACCAAGACGCAGTTTGCTAATGCGGCGGTGCGGGATGTTACCGTTGGGAAGAAGGATGTGGAGATGGAGGATAGTATGGAGAGTTTTTGGATGGCGGAGACGCTGAAGTATCTATATTTGATATTCAGTGAGCCCGAGCTTGTCAGTTTGGATGAGTTTGTGTTTAATACTGAGGCTCATCCGTTTAGGATTCCACGGTAGTATATAGTTGCATAGCAGCATAGCATAACTATTCCTTCCCTTAAACTTGAACTGAAGACTATGAAGTACTTGAGATGGCTACAGTTTGGCATAGACGATAGAATACTGGCAGTAGGTGAATTGTTTGGAAATACGGTGAACACTAATCTATCACCAGAAAATCGCTTCCGCAGCAGTGGAAGTTGGTCACTTCTTCCCTAACGGCCGTGACACGGGAGGGCTGTCCTCCCTGAAGTAAGGGTGCAGGCAGGCCTGCTTCGCAGACAGCCTGCGGGCAGGATCATATTCAAGCAGAGCCTCGAGGAGGTCACAGCCATCACTGTCCAATCCCGGAACCAGAGGTGCAGAGGTGCGCTTCCACCTGGGGAACGACGACTTGTAGTCTGGAAACGAGGTAACGCCAGGCCAGGTCACTTCGTCGGGTGTTCCAAGGAGACTACCAAGGTTAAACCAGCCAACTTCTCAGACTACTAGAGATACTCACCGGAAGATCTTGAAGATTTCGTCGATTTCCGAATCACCAGGGAACAGTGGCTTGCGCGTGCACATCTCTGCGAAGATCGCTCCGATAGACCACATGTCAACCCCGGTGGAGTACTGGCGTGCACCGAGCAGAATCTCTGGGGAGCGATACCAAAGGGTAACCACCTTCAATATTAGCACGCAGACTTAACGGATGTATCGAGTAGTACCTCATGAGTATACGTCCGCAGCGGGACACCAAAGGCGCGCGCCAGTCCGAAATCGGCCAGTTTCAGGTTTCCCTCTCGGTCGATGAGCAGGTTCTGCGGTTTCAAATCACGGTGCAGGATCCGGTGGCTGTGGCAGTAGCGCATTCCCTCGACCAGCTGTCCCATGAATTTCTTGACCATAGGTCCGTCCAGACCAACGCTCATCTTCGATCCATTCGGGAGAGCTTTACCACGGCCGCCTTCATCAACGGGCAGGGCATCCATGTACCTCTTCAGATCAAGATCTAGGAGCTCCATGACGAGGTAAAGCTTGTGGCCATCGACGTAAACGATATTAAACAGGCGGACGACGTTCGGGTGTTTCATTTCCTTGAGAAGGGAGATCTCGCGGATCGCGGTACTGGGGACGCCCTCATCTTCAGCCTCGAGTCGGATCTTCTTCAAGGCAACGACACGGTTTGGGTGGTTCAGCTCGCGAGCTTTGTAGACGACGCCGTAAGTTCCTAGGAGCCTCGACGCGTGAGCTAGGGATAGTATACTGGGTGGCCATGTAAAGTAGGTGCGTCAACGTCACCTTCGCCAATTTTCTCTATTTTCTGGTAGTTATCCATGCTGGGCGTGTCCTTGGATGGCAGGACGAGGGAAGGGAGAGAAAAAAAGGAAGAGCTGAAGTAAACAAGGGAGAAGTCACATGCGGGGGTTTGACTGGTTTGCATACATAACTTTATACACACAATATATTTATACAGATGGAAACTTGTATTGTAGCATCGACCAAGGCAGAGCTGTAATAAAACATCCCCAAGAGCTTAAACTGTATACAGTTTAGTTTCGACAGAATCCATATTTGCGACTGCACTACTAACCTAGAGCGGCATGAAGTATAAATCTGATACACAACCGGTTGTGCTTCTGGACAGCGTAAATATAACGCCAGTGGATACTCTCTGCGCTTTGTAATCACCATGTCATATACTGTTGCGAATGGAGGCTGCTGCTGTAGCTATTGCAAGAAACTGCCGGATTACCATGATACATAGGTCGTGAATAGTAAATTGCGCTGTGATTAGGCTTCAGGCCGCCCTCGACTGCTCCTGGGCATCTAAGAGGCCTCACCTTCCTGCTCCGTGTCCATATAATCCGGAGGGGACTTGTTGTGCAATTCCTGCCGCCATGACTCTAATTGCAACTCAGCAGAAATCGTATCCCAATGCTCGGGTCCAAGGCGGCTTCCCCGCAGCTCAGCACATTCGGAGAGTAAGGCCACAGCGTCGTCGAGACGTCCTTGGTCTTTCCGAACATGGGCCAGAATACTCATGCTCGTCAGTGTATCTCGATGGGTAGCTCCTAGCTTAGTTTTCCTGACATCCAAAGTCTGGAGCGCAAGATCCTCCGCATCTGCTAATCGTCCTTGGGCTCGGAAATTGATGGCCACATTTCCCATACTTCTCCACGTATCCGGGTGGTCAGGGCCTAAAGTGGCCCTTCTTATTTCCAGAATCTGAGCGTAAAGCTCTCCTGATTCCGCGAGCCGGTTCAGTCCATGGTAGATGGACGCCAGATTACCCATATTGACGAGCGTGCTTGGATGATTATCACCGAGTATAGTCTTTTGTGCCTTGTACACCCTGAGTTGAAGCTCTTCTGCTTCTAACAGTCTTCCCAATTTACTTAAACTTGTTGCCAGGGACCCCATGCTATTAAGTGTATAAGGGTGCTCAGGGCCCAATATAGCCTTGCGTAGCTCTACCGCCTGAACTTGAAGCTCCTCAGCCTCTTGCAACCGCCCTCTATCAAATAGCACCGTCCCAAGAGCGGACATGGTTTGAATGGTTGCAGGGTCTCGACCGCCTAATACAGACATCTGTTGCTGTAATACCTGTCGGTGAATCGTTTCAGCCTCTTCCAATCGACCCTGGCGGTACATGATGTCTGCAAGATTATGCTTGCTGGTCAAAGTATCCGGGTGGCTATCACCTAGTACAGCCTGCCTTGAGTGCAACACTTGCATTGAAGTGTCCCCGGCTTCGCTATATCTTCGCAGGCCCCAGTATACTCTTGTCAGCTCTGTGAGGCTCCAGAGAAGCCTCGGGTCGTTTGAATCCAGCCGCTCGCGCCTAGAAGCCACACACTTTAATAACACATGCTCTGCATCATTGTATCGTCCGTCTTCCGCAAGGCATCTCCCTACATTCCCGGCGAGATAGTTTTTGACATCCTCATCAGGTTCAAACTCGTCTCTTTCGAGCAGAACCTGAGCGTGCGGGAGATACATCCGCCATAGTCTTCTTTCCTCGTGATTGCCTTTGGGGAATACTCTGCTGAGGTGCTCACCCGCAGCTATCGTGCATTCAGACAGGGTGCCTTCGTTCCGCAACCAATTCCTGGTGGCCAGATGAACAAGGCGGTGCATAGTTGCAAATTCGCTCTTTGCTTGTTGGGAGATAAACGAATATGCTCTGAGCGTACCCAGGGCCTTTTCTTTTTCGAGTTGTGTGTCTGCTTCTGGGAGGAGGGATAACGGAATATCCTTGTAATCGATACACGCAATGAATGTAAGATATCTTGCTGCAAGTGCATTGGTCTTTTGGATGGAATGAAAGGATATTAGCCATGTCGCTGACACGGGATTTTCAGTGTCTGGGTAGCGATACTCGTCCTCGAAGTGTTCGCTGAGAAGTTCGATCACGCTTTCTTCTTGTTGATCTAAGAGGTTCAAATATGCATGCAAAGAAATAAAGTTCTCGTTAATGAAGCTCGAGGCCTGAATCAGAGCCAATGGAAGACCACATAATCTGTTAACGAGAGTGGCAGTCGACATCTCATCGTCGACCAGGTCGTTTTGAATAAGGGAATCTTTTAACAACGCCACGGCCGTGGCATTGTCCATCTCAGGGAGTTGAATGACGCTTGGTCCAGCAAGTCGAGATACTAGAGCCCTGTTACGCGAGGTGAACAGGATAAACCCTTGCCCAGTAGTCGGAAGAAAGGACTTGAGGGCCGGGGATGTGCCCGATGTTAGCCACATATCAGAATCATCTGCATTGTCAATGATCAGAAGCCATGGGCCAGCGCTTCCGGAGGTCAGATGAGTCTTCACGGTTGATTTCACATCATCAGAGCTATCATCCGGTAGCCCTAATACCCGAGCAAGGCTTCGAAATGCCTGTTCCACAGCTTCAACACTGGTCGAGGGAACCCAAAAGATAGAGCGTGTAGGATCTCGTTGCCGTATTGTATAAGCGAGCTCAAGGGCAACCTGTGTCTTCCCCATTCCGCCCAGCCCTGAAACAGCTGCTTTTCGGGCTTTGTTGCGATCTATGGAGAGTACCTGGTCCGCCAGTTGACGGACTGTGTCTTCTCGGCCTTGAAACCGCGGATTGCGCTCAAATGGGACCATAAAATGGCCCCTCTTCCACTCACCAGCCGGCGACTGATAAGGAGGAGAGGAAAGAGCCACAAACGTGAGAAGCTCTTTGGCACAGGCTGCCGCCGCGAGGGCTGCATACCCCTGCCACTCGTTGTTTTTATGAGAGTCACAGTAGTCACATATACCACGAACCACGATGCAAGGGAGATGGTTCATGATCCCAGCGGCTTCCATCTCAAAACAAATTGCATCGAATTGCTGTGCAATCCTATCCCGTTGGTGACCGTCCTTGACCACTTGATTTCCAGAGGCGATGATTCCGTAATGGATCTGAGGGTCTTTCGATGGTCGAGGAGGTCGATCAACCTGCTCTCTGGCATCGCACTCCAAGCAAGAAGTCCTTGCATCTGGATGGGAATAGGTTGCGCGGAAGAGCCGGTCCTCCTGGACGGGCCTCGAGAACTTGGCCCTCATATTCGGGTTGTGCGCCAACACTCTCGATATTTCATTAGATATATAACCGCGCCCCCACCTAATTTGCACCGATTCCAGCCTGGAAACCGCTGTCAATAAAACAGCCGGGGGCTGGTTAAGAAATCCGGTTTGCTCGAACCGCCCGTCGCCGACAGACTTGCCCAGATCATATTGTACCACACCCCCCAGTCTGCCAACAGGTTTGCTCACCACTATATCCCCGAGTCGAATATCCGCTGTCCTGCTCGGCGCCCCGCCTCCGATTCCGACCATAAGGCCATACCGGACGTTGGGGAAAGTGGACAACAGACGGCTCACAGCCACAGCTGCCGAGTTTGTACCGTAAACGCCAGAAGGCAAACAGCCGACCACGACATTGTGGCCTGCAATTTTTCCAAGTACGTAATCGCTTCCAGCACCGGGGGTGGAAGGGGAACTATCGTGTTCGTCAAGGATTGCCTCTGCGGCTGCCAGCTCCAGGGGCAGGGCGCATATCCATGCCAATGTGTAATCGGCGGGGTTTATGCTCTGCGGCTCTGCCATGTGAGGTGCCTGTGAGGAAGATGGTACCTGGCCGGGACTTGATCTGTGGCGGAGTTTGAGACGACATGAATGAGGGGCTGGTGCAGCATTGCATGTGGACACTGTGCTAACTGCACGCTAATCGTAGGCGAGTGGTTAGAGTCCCGACTGACGGTCGGAGGGTTAACCTAGCGAAGGCTGACTGGATTTAGGTAGACTGGTCTATCATTTTGGCTTCGATTTTATTTTTAGTGTCTCTCGAATAAATAACCAGAGTATCTAGAATATACCCAAGGTAAAAGGTTCTAGCGGTTGGATACTCGACGACAGGTATATGCAGCTTTAAAGAACCAACAAAGCATCAAAACCAGACAGTATTATATGAATATATGAATGTAATAATTGCAAATATGGTATAATGATAATGCAATGCCATGCGGACACTTTTAACACCCCTAAACACCAGGGTAAACAGATCATAACATCGTAAACAACCCGAAGGAGCGCTATTTAAACTCCTTCATATCAAAAGTATTACTACTCGAAATCGTCGTCGTCACCGTACTCCCCGTCATCGTACTCGCCGGCGGCAAGCGACCACCAGGCACAGGTCCACCCCCCGGCCTCGAGAAACTATTCTGCGGGCCATGGTACGCCCGCGTGCCATACAGCGCATCGACCTCCTCCAGCGTCGTGGGCCGGGTCACGTCCGCGGGCGAGTGCGAGTATGCGGTGCTGGCTACGCGCTCCAAGTCGCGCGCGCGCTCGCGGTGGTATTCGCCGCGTAGAAGCGCCGAGATGTTGTCTTTGCGGTCGTAGAACCAGTCGTACCAGCCTAGGATCATGGTGTAGCGGGCCGTGCAGAGGACACCCCAGACGCCGCAGGACTGGACATGGCCTGTTAGTATGGAACAGAGTAGGGGGGTAAGGCATGGGGGACGTACGGCAAGGAGGGAGAGGGCAGCAAGGGCAGTATCTGAGTTCGGACCGACAGTCCTTGCTTGAGAAATGCAGGCCTTTTTATCGCCGTTTGCCTGGACGAGGCAGTCGATCCAGGGTTTGAGTTCTTCGTCGGAGAATTGCTCGCGGTCAGCCCATCGGAGAACGGCTGCTGCGACAAAGGCGACGTAGAATAAAATCAGGAAGGCAATGGCGATAGCGCGCCACTGGAGCTGGAGAATGCGCCAGATCTTTTTGGATGTATGGCGCGGTGGCACGACGCGGTCGAAGGAGTCTTCTGGTGCGGAGCGTCTGAATATCGAGAACCGCGCTGTTCCTCCTCGTGTTATGACGCCGCGGATGCAGTATCCCATGATGAAAGCCTGGATGACGAAGGAGACGAACGCCACGACGAGTAAGGGGCCCCAGAAGGAGCCGATGCTCTTTGGGTAGCTGATGTAGCACATGTCCCCGACTTGGTAGGAGACGCCGGAGACGCCGAGGGCTATCCCCAGCAGGCCGAGGGAGCCCCCGAAGATGCTGACGAGGGCGACGGCGCGGAATTTGGGGCCCGGTTCGATGTCCCAGATGAGCTGGAGGTAGAGGGAGATGGAGCGGAAGAAGCCTGGGCGGTTAGCTTTGCCTGTGTTGGGTGGTATATGAGACGTACATCCGCTGACGAGAACCCAGACGCCGTATAGTATTAATGAACCAGTAAAAGCGCATGTTGTTTCGGATAGCCAATAGTTCGGGGTAATCGCATCGTAGCAGAAGTGGTCGGACGATCCGAGGGGGACGATGAATGCAATCTAAACATGAGCTGGGTCCTCGCTGGTCCTCAAACGGGTGTCCATACCGACATGAATATAAACCCCATCAACGGACTCGAGGTCAGGTAATGGCGCTGGGTGTCGCTGACAGGAAGGCAGATGTAGGTGAGGGCAGAAAGCACCATGAGGACGAGGACGACGACAGCAAGCCAGGGCACGACATCTTTGTTGAATCCTGCTCTTGTTAGGGCTTTATATCGAGACACTGCGCATCCAACCTACCATCTGCATACTGCCATTCCGTGAATGGGCACGGAAAGCAGCACGAGACCGTCTCGTCGCCGACAGGATACGGCGTACACCAGCGGCCAGCGAGATCTAAAACGTTAGCCTTGGCCATTCCACCATTGTTCGTCCATTGTTATACGTACATCCACCGTTGTCACCGATTGAGAGCTCTGCAATGAACGGGTCGGGGCATTGCGTGAGGGAACTGTTTGACGCCATCCTGCGACGGGCAGAATAGGGGTCGAACGGACTCAAAGTCCACCGTAACGCGCTGGAGAGGTCCTCCGGGTTGAAGCATTAGCTGATGACCATGAGGAGCGGAATCGCTGTTCTGCAACGCATTCACGAGTGCGCCCGCAGAAGTGTCAACTGTCAATGTCAACTGTCAGACCCTGGACACTGACTCGGACAGGGCTTGTTTTATGAAGACCGGCCAGGCACGTTCCAGCAGGGAGCGGGTCTCTGCAGCGTGCCTGGCTGCAGGATTGGGGCCAGAATTGGCCAGACAGGGCGTGTCCACCCCGCAATCAGCAGCAGCTAAGCTGGCCTAGCAGAAACTAGCAGGGATGATTTTCGTCCGGCCCTCGGTAACGGGGGGGTGGGCAACAGCCGCTGCGGCCATGCCAGCATCCCCGGATTCTCCGCGCTCTCGGGCCCTTGCTCGTGCTTGTTGTTGAGTCTGTCTGGTCGAGGTCGTCCTGTTCATCGAGTACGCTCCAAAATCCAACGGTGTTCGTATACGAGGGACGAATGGTGGACGGCTGGACCTGGCAGGCAGCACGCTAAGAAGCGATCAACAGGCTCCACTGAGAACCAGCCGGGTCATAATTTCAAATGGACTGGACTCTGGCCGAACCTGTTCGTTGGGACTTGGACAGGGGATATCCCGGAGGGCACCCTTACGCGTGGAGACATTAATCAAGGTGCATCAGGAATACGGCGTATCCCCAACGACTATCGTGAAGATATCTGAATGAAGGAAATAAGCAGCTGAGACACGGCACAGCCTGCCCCCATCACGGAAAGCCGCCGCAAGACCATCACAGTGACGGGCGATCCTCACCAGCTGCCAGTGCCATCGTCAGACTGATCACTTTCTCTTCGCGGCCGTCTGACACTTTCACAGACCGTGCTGCGTCCCGGCTGCCACGGAACTGAAGCTTCAGCCCGTGCCAGTCCACACGGAACAGGATCTGCTTCCCCGGTGTCTGGATTGATAATTTACTGATAATTTCCAGTCAATCCATTGAAAATCCGTTGACAAATCTCTCAACTCGCCAGCCTTGTAGCCTTGTTGCCTTGTTTCCGCCCTGTTTTGCTCGATTGGCACCGACACGAAAATAGACAGGCACCGTTCGATCGGGTCGACTCCCAGGAATAATGTCAATTCTGCTGGGATTTCTGGCTTGACTCAGTCTTAGAGAGTCGCCTTTCTCGAATTAAGTTTGGTTGTTTTAAGCTCAAGCTTCCTCGTTTCCGACAGTGCCCTAAAGACGACGCATCGACCAGGAGGATTGTCGCCCAAGTCCCACCAATTCCCTCGTCGGGAGAGATTCAATGAATAACGAATCCGGTTAGAAGTGACCGGTCGATGAATCGAATGATGCGCTTTAATTGTGGAGCGAAGCATAACAGGGCTGGTTCCATGGTTGTGCGCTCCAATTTTCGAGATGATCGCCATTGTGCAGTGAATACGTGAATACGGTATACGCGAGGGAATTGTCTGTTATTTGTCAGGATAGAAATCTGTCTGATTCGATTTGTTAGTAAGGTAGGGCTGTTTCGTACTATCAGGTACCTACAGTGATATATATGTGTGTGTGTGTGTGTGTATAATTGTATGAAACACAAACCAACGGCTATTTATAAACATGTAAACATTCCTTAGATGTACACTGTCAAATACAAAACTCTGTTATAATTATCTGTTTGTAATATTTGCAATGCCTGCATAACGCGGGGCACCGGAACACTCACCTACAATCAAGACCATCGCCAATCTCTACAGAATGGCCGGTAAGCAGAGTCAACCCCGCTCACAATAAACTCAACCAAACTAACACCAATCCAGCCCCTCAAGACCGCCGCCCCATCGTCATCTCCGGCCCCTCGGGCGTCGGCAAAGGAACCCTCATCCAGCGACTCTTCACCACCCACCCGGATACATTCGGGTTCACTGTCTCGCACACGACGCGAAAACCGCGACCAGGGGAAGTAGACGGCGTCGCCTACTTCTTTGTAACCAGGGAGGAGTTTTCTGCCCTGATTGAACAGGGCGCGCTCGTTGAGCATGCCTGTTTCAGTGGGAATTACTATGGCACTAGTAAGCGGACTATTGATGAGCAGACTGCCAGGGGCTTGGTGGTGGTGCTTGATATTGAGATGCAGGGTGTGAGGCAGTTGAAGGACTCGGGTATTGATGCGCGGTATGTGTTTATTCGGGCGCCGAGTTTTGAGGTTCTTGAGGAGCGGCTTAGGGCGAGAGGGACGGAGGGGGAGGAGGATGTGCAGAGGAGACTTGCCCAGGCGAGGGTCGAGCTGGAGTATGCGGAGGAGGGGGCTTATGATAAAATTATTGTTAATGGGGATGTTGAAGAGGCGTATAAGGAGCTTGAAATGTTTGTTTTGGCTGAGAGATAATATAAACAACCAGCAGAACGCCATACCCAAAAGCATAAACCCATAAAATAAACGTAGACCAGTGTATCAAGCAACCATATCCATCATGACAGTCATATTCGTCAGCGGAACATCAACATCCGCCCCCCTCTGCCCAAGCCTCATATAAACCCTCTTCTGCACCGCGTCAATCCTAGGATACACATACGTAAGCCTCGCCGCATCAGGAACCTCCGAGCACGCCGTTATCGACGCAGGCTTATATTCCAATTCAGGAAGTACCCTAAGCAGAGACCCAGATGCTCTAGCCGCAGCAGCCTCTTCAATGGCAATCGCCTGTTCCGCAACAACTGCACAGACATGACTATTAAAACACCCTTCCTGCCGCGCTGCAGAACGCAGAACCTGCACTGCCTTGCGTCGGATACTCGGGTCGCGACAGAGCGTTGCCGCGTTGAAGACCGGACCGATTATGCCCATGTCCAGTGTGAATGACGGTTTGAGGAGGCCTTGGTTCGACAGAATCTCCAGTTGAGATGGGGATAGTGAGAGACAGTCGATCCCGTGCGTACTGTCGACGACAGAGGCGGCGAGTTGGACGATTTCTGCGAAGATGTTGTTGTATTTATCCCATGGACTTTGGTCGGTTACACCTAGCTTTGCGTACTCAAGGCGGACGAGTTGCATGTTTTGGTGGATTTTGAGAATCTTGAGTCCGATTTGCTCGTGTGGGGTGAGGAGAGTTTGACGGGTTTGTTCGAAAGTTGAAAGGACAGTGAAGAATTTGGTGATGATGGGCTCGTATATGTGGAGGAGTTCCGTCTGCGTATTGCATTTGGTGGTGTCGCGGACGGCCTTGCACCTGTAGTACTCGAAGACATCGCGTGCTTCGGCGACAGAGCGGAAGGCGTCTGGCATTTCGAGGTGGGCGTCGAACGCGGTGGACTCTGTTAATTGTTGGTCGATGTTGTCGCGGGTCTACACGATTAGCAGTTATTAAATCAACTTGCGACAGTCTTACCAAGGTAAAGGCTTGATCTTGCAGACGGATGAGGATCTTGCGCAGGTTGTCCATTTCGAGGCGGGTGACTGTAGACGGTTTGAGGACGGGGTGACAGAATGTCCCATATCTTGGGTCGTAGTACGCCTCGTTCATGATCTTGATGCCGCCTCTGATATGGCTGATAGCGGAATCATAGTGGCCAGATAGAACCTGTCAAGTTAGCAAAGCACATCGAGCTGGGCCGAGACGTACCTCGAAACAAGTAAAAAGAATGCACGATATCAAACAAACATCGACAGCTAAACCAGTCGGCAACACTCCAAAATTCGACCGTCCCAGTAGAGCCCTAATTGCAAAATTATACTCCTGCACCGCAAAACTATCCTGCCCCCGCCGCGAGAACCGCAGTCCAGGAATCTGCTGGTCATTCTCGAAATTCTCATGCAGCGAGCCCAGCGCAATCATCGCATGCCACACCGACTCCTCATGCTGACTGACCTGCAACACCAGCCTGTTCCAGAACTCAGAGCCGCAGTACCCTGCCAGTGAAGGCACAGTCCGCTCATAGAAGTACTGGAACGATCGGCTCTCGCGGGCGTTCCCTGATGGCATTAAAGCCGGCGACGAGAGCGTGGTCAGATCGCGGTAACTAGATGGAGGTGGACTTGGTGTCCTGTACCCATCGCACTTTCGCCCTGTTGATGTGCATCTCTGGCAATGGGGCTTTGCTTCGTCGCATTTGACCCGTCTCCCTGTAGCGTGTTAAACAGGCATCTTACTGGAGGGGGTTCTTACTCCTGGTAGCGTTAGTGGTATTCTACCATTGAGACAGAGTACTTACTTGCAGGTCAGACAGCCTGACCGCGATTTGAGTCTTGCATGGGATGGCATCTTGACAGGGGATGAGGATGAGGAGGGATTTGTGCGGCTTTAGGTGAATCGTTGCTGACTAATTATGTTGGACTCATAATAATTATGCAAATACATTCATCATCATCATTCATTCATTAACATTGAACAGACAAACAGGGTATAAGGTAAAGGCATCAGAAATCCTCCCAGCTGTTAACCACCAGCCCAGACAGAAACACCATCATCTTAAACGCCAGCCCGTACTTCTCCGTCACAAAGCGCATCCTCCCCAGTCTCCTGCACCTGCCCATCCCAACATCCACCGAGAACACCGCCAGCAACTCCCCAGTCTCCTCATCCACAAGCTTATAGCTCTGCCTCTCCACGCTCCTACTCGTCATCGCACCCATACTAGCCGACCTCACATGTCCCCGATACACAGGACTACCACCATCACTCGCCCCATCCACAGCAAAAGCCTTCGTCCGCTTCCATAAAAAGCCCTTCCTGACTACCTCCCCATCCCCATCTCTATCCCAATTGATAATCGCCATCTCCCACCGATACCGCACCCCAACACCACCCCACGACCACGACCACCTCTCCACCCGCCTCAGATCCTCCCAGATTGCATCCGCCGCGTTCTCGGGGTTCCCGCGCACAAGTTTCGCAGCGTGTGCGTTTCGCGCGAACTTGACGAACCCCACGACGGGGCCGGTTGTTGCGTCTTTGCCCGCGTACATGGTTAGATGCGGTGATGTGGGCCGAAGTAGGCCCTTTGTTTTGATGTGGTAGACTGGCAGTCCTGAGTTGTCGATTATGGTGTAATCTGGTTTGAGCGTCTGGTGGATTGTGTAGATGCTGGAGGGGTCATGGTTGTTATTGTGGGCGTAGGAGGTGTCGCTGTGGATTGCGCTGTCGGGGGTCGTTACTGTGGATCTGGTGATGATTGTTGGGAGTTTGGGTTTTGGCGCGGGGGCCGTTATGGCGCGTGGTCGCATTGTTGCTGGCTTGATTGTTGTTGGCCTTGTTGAGTGGGATGGGTGCTGCTATCTGTTATAACATGGAGGCGATGGCGAGGCGATGGGAGGATGTGTCCATGAAGGTGGGTGGGATGTTCATGTGATGATGCCAGATGGATTCAAGAAGGATGCAGGAATGAGCAAGAGTCTTAGGAAGGGCGGGCTGGATGAGCGATTGGCTTGTGCACGAAAGGAGCCATGGGTTGCTGAAACGGGTCAGGGAAGGAGACAAGCATCTGACATGCGGTGGTGCGCTCAACGACTGCCGGAGGGCACAAACAGGAAACTTTGCAGGGAATATATGAAACACGAGTCGCTTGGCATGAACGACGACTCGAAGGATGCAATTAATCCGCCATTATTGGCCGATTCGCGCGAAGGTTCAGGGCTTCGGGGCTGATTCTCCGTGAACGCGGGGAATGCCGGCGGGGTGTCGTGGCCGAGTCGAAGTGCAGGATTTAGTCTGTTCTGGACGGTGCTGATCTTCTGCTGGCATCGGGGAAATTACTTAATGGGAGATGGTCCTGATTCGCATGGTTCGGACGTACTGGTCCTTAGCTCGCCGTCGTGATGAAACCCTACTGCATGTACCGGCCACGATTGAGGCCACGGTGTAGATTCGACCTTATTGAGCAGGGATATCCTGGGCAGATATGTTCAATGCTACATCATGCCTGCCTATTACCTCGGTATCGCAGGCACCTATCTTTCAAATAAATGACGTAAGGTGTTCTCCAGAGTAACCCTGCTATCGCTGACCAGAGATTCGACACTCGGTGAATCCCGTCTCACACTCCCCAGCCAGATCATGATAGAGCGTACTGCGCATCCGAGCCGAAAACAACCACGTCCAATCGCTCTTCTTCGTCATCCCGGCGTAGCCAAGGACAAAGTCCCGAACGGCCTGCACAATGCCGTCTGGAATATGGAAGATCATCCGGTTCCTGGCCGCGGCTTGCACATTCCGTGTTGTGCGGGTTTTTCGGATCTGCTCGTAGACGGCAAATATCTGTGGAATAAGCCGAGCTTGTGGTTCAGATCCGGTCGCATTTTCAAAAGTTGTGTTCAATAACCCTAGTAACTTTCCAATGGCGAATCCGTCCTCCACTGCCATTGCTGCCCCCTGCGCTTGATATGGGAGGGTGGGATGGCATGCATCGCCGAGGAGGGCAACGGGTCCCTGGCCCATTAGCACTGATCGGTTTATGCTGACGGTAACATACCTTGGTCCACGTAGGTAATTCCCGGAGAGACGTGAGTTTCCAAGTGGTCACCTCAGGCACGCAGGATATCAATCTTGTCAGCCTGGTCGAGTCAGGGTCGAGTCAGCATCGAGTCAGTATCAGATGGAACAGGACTAGAGACTAACGTTTCATCCCAACCCGCATAGCTCTCTCGCATCTCTTCGACGTCTCCTTGTGTCCTCCGCGTGCCTTTCTCGAGATTGTCTGGTCTCAGCAGGACAAGATTGAATTCGCTTCCTCCGCGGACTGGGTAGAAAATGCTGTGCTTGTCAGGGCCTAGCCAGCTGGTAACTGCAACCTTTTCACACAGGGAATTGACGTCCGGATCGTTCAACGCTTCAAGCTGTTCCCGTCTGAAAATGGCCCGGTATGCCAGATCGCCTGTTTCTTCTGGCTTTGTTGGAGAGTCGAGTACGATATCTCGAATCCGAGAATACAGTCCTGATCAATTAGCGACGTTCAGTATAGCTTCATGAGGCATACCGTCAGCTCCGATTATCACATCTCCAGCAACCCGTTCACCTCTTGCAAGGATAACCTCCGGCTGCTCAAAGACGACATCGGTCACTTCAGCCCCTAGGCAAATTTCAGCCCCAAGACGCGTCGCTTCATCTAGCAAAACGCGATGAAAGTCTTCTCTATGGATTATTCTGCAGACATCAGTAGGAATCTGTTTTTTTGGGAAACATAAACATACACCCAAGGCACCCCAAACTCCTCGACAATGTCCTCCCCGAACGGCATCGACCGGAGGAGTGTGCCATCATGGTATCGCCGAAAATCGACATGCTGCACAGTACTCCCCTTCTCGAGGATCTTGGACAACAGGCCCAGTTGTTCTATGATTCTGCCCCCGTTGGGTGGGATCTGGATACCAGCTCCGACCTCGCGCGCGTTAGACGAGCGCTCGAGAACGACCACGTCGAGATTCTCGCGCCGACATGCAATTGCACATGCGAGTCCGCCGAGCCCGCCGCCTACGATGATAACTTTCATGTTTTCGTTTTCATGTTGGGTGGTGGATGTAAGTAGGCTGCAGTGTTAGATTATTGTGCGGGCGGGGTCACCGCTGTCTCCCTCATACGATCTCTCTCTCTCTCTCTGAGACAGTTATGCCACCCGCCTCCCAACATAATAGTACAAAGTAATAAACGGCCACTGTACACTTTTCTCCCCACTGCGAAACTCCCATCCGTCGAGATTCTCCCCCGACCGAGTTAGCAACTCCCTGATCTCGGTCGGTGTGCGCGTCCGCAGACACGAGATGAACCCGTCAACCCACAACACCAACGGAGCGACAGGAACCAGGAACGTAAAAAGTAAATGCACCGGTGAATGCCAGTACCAGAATAACGTCACGTAGAATCCCCAGAAAAACACCAGCGGCGAGAACAGACACGTTGAGACCTGGCGGGCGGTGATTTCGAAGACCCTGTTTATTTAGCACGGCCCCCTTCATCAACCCAGGGAAAGACGATAAACGTACAGGAAAGCATCCGCCTCCCGCACGGCACTGCCCAGGATGCCCGCAGCATCGGCGTCATTGAAATGATGGAAGCAGATATTGAAAATCCGACACTCCCTCCCATTTTGTTGGTTAGATAATCGCGCAACAGAGCGCGCATCAACCGCCCGCTCCACAAATTCAATATTCGGCTGCTTCTTCGCAATGCCCGCCCACACATCCACCGGCGGGAACATGTCCGTCAGCACAAACCGCACTGCCTTAGCATCTGTTTCATTGCGGTTTAATTCGCGCTCAATAAGTGGCGTTGGACCCCCTGCGCCCGCGCATACATCGACGATGGTGTATAAGGATGGATTGCGTAGGTGTTCTTTGATCACGGCGCAGGCTTGGGTGGCGAGGCTGCCGTGACTCCAGAAGGGGACGCGCAGGTTCCAGAGCCGCGAGAGGGAGAATTGTTCGTGGTGGTGCAGCCAGGAGGGGCACCAGGGCTGGTCGCCGAGTTCGTGGAATTGGATGCGTGGCCAGGGCATTTTACATGTTGTGTTGTGTTGTTGCTGTGTTGTTGGGATTTGGTGGTGGTTGGAATTTCAAGGTGGAGACTTTCCTGCATCGTTTGTATACTCCGCTTCTATCAAACTGTGCCTACAATCTATACTCATCCGGTGGAGAGTTATGACGTATTATCTATTCCACTTCTAGGTATATTCTAGTCGCCCTTGGCTGCTACTTCGTCTATCGCTATCACCGGAATATACGATCCAGTTGGAAATTCAACGGACCCCGTCAGCTGGATTGCATTCTTCAACATCACGGGGCTAATACTTATCATAGCGACGGCTAGACGACCCTGCAGCAGTTCGTCATCACAAGTGCAAAGGTTGTGATTCCAACAAGGGTTACACAGCTTAATGTGTTGCAGAACCATTGCCACTCACGAAGAACCAACAGGACTGCCGGGTGCTGCTGACGTGTTCCACGTCGCATGCTCTATCAGGGTGTTCGCAGGCCTACCTAATACATTGAAAATACAGCTGGAGGATTTTATCTGACAATGGGTCGATTTGGTCATGGAAAGACCTGGCCCAGCCTTGCTTGGGCTGTTAGAGCCGTCAAGAAGCAATTGCATCTTGCTGCAGTGGGGGTGACCATCTTGAACCAAATATACAATACAACGACTGGCATTCACGCCAAAACAAGTAAAGAAGACCAACCTGTGGAATTCCCGAGTGGATGCGGGCTGACACAATGAGGGCACACCTTTGCAGGAACGCTACTGCAGCCAGGGCAACAATGTCCTTAAGTCCGGGGGAAAGAGCGAGTGCCGAAGTGCCCAGACAAACACATTCATAAGGACAGTCTGGACGAAATAAAAACACTGCCTGAACTATTCTCCACCCGTGTTTGATACTTGAGTCATGGCTCTAGGAATAGTCGCTGACGCGTTTGCTCGCTTTATCGGCGTTGCGCTTGTTACATCTGGCCCGATCTGGCTTTATGACCCAGTCAAATGTATTCATTCCCTTTCCAGAATCCTTAGTCTACCCCGTGATGCTTACTGTGCAGCTGTCCCTGTCTTCGGTCTACCCCGTACGAGCCCCGATATAGCGACGTTCGTCCCATCCCTCGGCGGGCGAAACATGGCCGCAGGCGCGATTGTCCTCGTCTCCAGCTACCACGCTCCGAGAACGCTCACTGGTATCTTTCTTGCGTTTATTGCAACTGGGGCGGGTTGGTCGGATACAGCAGTGTGCCTGGCGAAAGGGAAAGGGCACAAGAGACATCTGTTGAACATAGGGATTATATACAGCGTCGCCACAATGCTTATCATGGCATGAGCTGGTTGCTGCTGAACGGTGACGGATGGGGTTTTCTTTGCATTAGAATGGGTATTGGAGATGTTCCTTTCACCTTGCCTTTCGGGCTCTGATGTAGAACAAAATAATCCTCGCCCATTATAACATATTAAACTTAAGTTTCTTAAAGCGAGGTCCTGTGAATTCCCTGTTGTGGTTAGCTTTGCCGCTTTCGGGATAGCCGCTCGATATGGCTGCCGTAGAATTAGTTACGGGATAATATATCTAGTCTTCTATTACTATACTTTATATATAGTTGATTGAAGCAATTTTCTAAGTAGCATGGGTGTTTTTAGCTAACAACTATTACCAAGTGTGTCCTAAAACATTGCATCATTGTACCCCCAAAATACTACTCCTGTTTGATAAAGCTTGTCCAGCTCCTGCTGAGTTGGCGTATCGCGCGCTGAGATGGCCTCATTTATTCGCTTCCAACAGTATCCGGTCAGAAATTCTGGCAGAGGCTCTGTAGATTTCTCAAATTCTACGGTGAGCTCATTGACAAGCCTTTCCAGCGTCCAAATCAGATACCTCTGTTCATCATGGACCTCAGCCGCTTCTTCTGGTTCAATGTTCCTGTAGTGATGGGTGCAGGTGTGGGTGAGATCCAGCATATGAAAGGTGAGGAAACGGAACACACCAGGTGCTAGCTGATTGTAGAACAATTCTCGAGGGTTTAGCTCCAGGAAACTGGCTGCAAAATCTATTGTCACCGAAAACCCTTGAATAAGACTTTGCGTTGATGTATTATCTCGCCTCCAGTGAAGCCCACCTAGTACTCTTGTGAGTCCGCAGCATCCATCGACAGAACAGGAACAGTCACAGTTATCTTTGGTATCATCGCAAAGTATGCTGCGGAAAAGGGCCCAACACTCTTTATCCAAACAGGAAAGCATGGTTCTAGCGTCTTCATCATTTCTTATAAAAAATATTGAGTCACCAATCGCGTGTCCCAGGAAGTGCAGAGCTGGCGAACTTGATTTCTTGCGATGAGCGCCAGCGCCCTTGGAGATCATCCAGCATGCTTTTTCCAATACAGGTCCGGGACCCAGTCTGTTCAGTTTAGACCACTCGAGTCTCATCAGGCCAGTTTCTCCGCAGTCATCGAGTTCGTCCACATCCTGGAAACCGGCATACCATAGCTGATCAGCAATGCTGAGATTGTCTCCTACCGCGTCATAAACTGACCATTCAGATTCTTCTTCGATGTCGTCCACTTTTATGGAGTAGAGCTTGAGCAGCTTGTAGGCTTTTGCAGCCTTGAGGTTGAGAAGACAGTCAGGCCGAATTTGTAGCTGAGCCAGTACCTCGCTTGGCAGACAAGCTGCTGCAAGACTCTGCAACCGCTTTCTGCGGTCAACTAGAGCTTGAAGCGTTAGTTGCACTATATCCTTGTTATAATGTACACTGGCAATTTCAAGCTCAAAGCGTCCCAGTCGAAAGTTTCGATTGTTAATTAGAATCCGGAGGCTTGCTATACAATTTGCCTCACAAGCACGTCTGAACGGTTGCCAAACGGGATTGTATCCGGCCTGTAGTAACAAACAAAGGCCAGTAGGCCATTGTGCGTAGGAATCAATCCATCCTTGCATATCATATTTCTTCTTAAGCAGCAAGAGAAGATGGTCTTTAGACCTCGTTATCAGCGGTACCAGCTCTTCTGGAAGATCTATATCTGTATAATACTTAGCTTTTTGTTAATCTCTCCCGCACGGATAGGTTTACCTTGGAGTCCTCTGCTGTCCTCGAGTAACCAGACAAGGCGGACGGTGTGTTCCTCAAAGAGACGACGTGGATACATGTAATACACCGGATTTAAAGTGTTAGGACGATGCCGCCAGTCGAGGGCGTTATTTGTCATATGTCCACCGGCTTTCAATAAGTCAGAACAAATTGCAAGAGTTGCACTCTCCCTGACAGGTTCTCCGTGACCATCCCAAAATGTTTCATAGAGGTCTATCATATTATCCGCCGGAGTTCTGCCACTGTAATCAATTTGACTTGGTGATAGACCAGTATCTAGAAGCTCATTGATAAGCCTGCGCCAGTCCTCTAATAAATCGGCATCCCATTGGCACGTATAGTACTGCCAACTGGTCACAATCTAATTTACGATATTAGTACTGGAGACGAAATTGATAAACATAGTGTGCTTGCAGATTAGGAACGCGGTGTAACTGCAATGATAATTAGACAAGTTAAGTTCGTTACTTACATGCAAGATAGTACTTCCGTCTGCTAAGGTATCTGACGGGGATGCTTTGCCTTCACGAAATAACTCAAATAACCTTCTATTGGCATCCCGAATAAGAGACCTATTAGAGTCTTCCTTGAACCTTAGCCTGACGCTCCGTAATAGGATAAATATCGGCGAATCTTCCGGTACAACTGGGCGGAATTCAAGTTTAGGGCTGATCGCGAATCCTCCAGCCCCAATGGTGATCTGAAGAGATGCTAACACTGAGAATCTCAATAGGCGATTGCACAATGTTCGCTTCATGAGAAGGTTTATTGTCCTCTTGCCAGGTGCATGGAGTAAACAGCCGTTGTTATGGAATAGCACATGCCTTCTTCGAATATGTGCTGCTGAACCAGGAGCTGGTAAACGGCAAGTGCATTCATGTCTCAGTCGAGACCGTCCTTCGTGAGAGTGACTTGGTGCCGACAAACCTGCTATGGCCGTATCCAAATTCTGCTGCTTGCTGAGAAGTGATTGGAGAAGATCAGAGTCCGCGATCAGCGACGTCGAGGGAGCCATGGTGCGAGATTCCTAGAAACGCATATTTTCTTCAATGCACATATCCGTGAAGAGACTATTTTAATCATACCATTTTGTCCAGGCGCCTCTCAATCCTGACAAGGCCATGATTTATGCTTTCGCTATCCTGATCCTGCTGTTGAATGGCCCGCGCCATACAGTTTGTATCCAAAGCCATAGATGTCGACTTTTTGAGTATCGACTGCATCCGATTATGGCCAACAATCGCTAGAGAACTATTCAGAGTCAGTTAGTTGGCAACAGGTCTAGGGCTGGTGAAATTACATCTGCAGTATTTGGAGGGAAGTGTTCAAGTTGTCCTGCAGCCACGACACGTTCTCGATAACCGAGATCAGTGTTTCCCGCCGAAAAGGATATAATAATCGATTTATGTGCGCTTTCACTTCAGCCGTTGGCAATCTCCTTAGTGGCGTGCTGGCGCACAACCTGTTCAGCACTCCCTGCAATTTCTGCAGCGCACTTTTGCAGGATAAGATGGTATCTTTTGCGATTTGTGTAGACTGAGCCACCGAGGGGCAGTTTAGCAGGTTCGCTTCTGTCGTTAGAGTCTGTATAACTGTCAATATGCGTTTGAGTGCTTCCACTCGGGTCGTGACAGTCTCGATTTCTTCGTGGAATGATTTGTACGGCCCGTAGTATGCCAAAAACCCCTGAGAAACCATCAAACCGAGCGAAATCACCCCAACTGCGCTTCCTGCCACTGAAAACAGTTCTGCCATGATGGCGGTTGAGATGTTCTGTATACGAATTTAACTGTCAAAAGCCGCCGACCTGGAGCGGAGAGGAAGTTGGGTTTTTAGGCACACGCGAATGCGACGTTGCCAACCATCAGACAACAGCTGGAGGAGCAGCACGCCAAGTGGACAAGGCTGTATTAGGTGGAGTAAAGGACCAATGATCTGTTAAAACTCGCTGAGTATATCACCCCGCGTTTGCCCGGAATTAGGTCAAAGGAGGTGTGAAATGTAGACCTATTAGAGATGATGTGGTATTTTTCTTCCTATAGTTGAGTAGGCGGTCCAAATTGGATAACTAATCTTAATATAATAAATAAAAATTAAAGATATTGATCTTCTCACTAGAGTCTATATAGAGTTTAAATAACTGTCCAGAGGCCTCATTAGATCCTGAAATAGTAGCCTGTATCTGTATTCTCCATCGATAGTCTGTTTCTTTCTTCTCTTTAGTATATGCAGGAAACGATCGAGGCGCTGTACGATTGGTCTGGCTAAGTAACCTCAAAAATGAGCGCGCGGGGTCTAAGAATAATTGGCTTCAGGAGTGAACCAATATGGTTAATCAAAGGAGGGAGGTTGGGTATAGGAGCAAAGAAATAAAGAAAAAGCAGGGAAGGTAGCATTTTATAAAGTAATTAACCAGGCCAGTCAGCTCTGGGGCAGCTGGATCTGGCCATGAAGGAGGCTATTATAGTATCAAGATGGTCATGAGGTGCAAGGTACTAAAGCTCGCTGAGGTCGAGGGTTTAGCATACATTCAACAGGGGGGGGACTAGAACATTTGGCAGGTGTAGAATAGTATTGCAAATCACATAGAAAGGTTAAAACAGTGGCTTACCACCTTAAGAGTTACCAGTGGAAATGCAGCTGTTTATGGCCTCAGTAGGTGTCATTTCGGCGTCGATTTCACAGGTTCTTACATTCTAGTTGTAATACATATTGGCCCTGTGAAGAATAAAACAAACTATATGTCTCCCCATTGGCCATTTCAATTGCCCAAACGTTGCATTCTTTACAGCTACGAGGCTTCATCCCCATCTGTTTCACTGTCTTCATCTTCGCTGTCTTCTTCGTCGCTCTCATCGCCACCCCTATCTTTTCCCTATTCAATATCCTTGAGCGCTGGCCGCTTTTTGATTTGGGCAGAACTGACCTCCAAAAGGAGATTCTTATCGCCACACGCAGTATTATAACCGGACCAGTCTAGCAGGTCTTTGTACTCATGGCCTAGGGCCTCCACTAGGCTCAGAAGCATGTTTTTGGGGAGATAACGGCCCGGCGTGCCCCAGAAGGGCTTTCCAACCTCATCTCTTAGAGTCGGAAATGACCCACCGCCGGTATTGTGGGTCCAAGCCCGGCGTCGAACCATATCCCCAATATAGAACACCAGAGCCCGTCCTCATTAGGGTGCTGGGCTCGCCATGTTGTGGAGTAGGTGTTTCTGGTGAGTGCGTTGAAGGAATAGAAGATAGATATTTCTCTGTCGAGTGCTTTTAGCGGAGGTAGTGCAGCTGGGAGAATGTTGAGGAGTGAGAAAGGGAATACTCTGGCAGCGAAGGTGGGGTATAAATGAACTTGGGTTCCCTGAGTCATTCACCTTAAACTTCGTGGTGAGATGGTACATGCGAGGCAGGTACGGTGGCGAGGTCCTACTGAGGAAGGAACCAGGGCCAGCTTAGTTTGGGCAGTAGATAAAAAAGACTGTTACCTGTATGTAGCCTGGTGTAAGGCACTAAATAATACCAACGATCTAGTAACTACCAAGTGATTATAAGGTCCTTAGCCCTCGAGGTTGTCGCAATGCTCCTCGCGAGCAGTAGAGAGCTCTGCGGAGGGTCTTACAGTATATTATATGATAGAGATACCCTTACCCCATTAGCCGGCTATCTCACCTGATATCATATCTGGCAGCACTGGCATTAGAGGTATAAAACAATCTTGAAATACTTGATTACTTATATAGCTCTACTATTTCACTGATATATGAGTGCATAATACAGCCCATGCTATAAGCACAATAATAGTCTCGGAATCATTAGATACGGATCATCGGCTTACGTCCATGTATATCCGTAGGTAGTGCACGTATCAAGTACTTTGAGGCGCACTTTAGCTTGCGCTTGCTGGCTGCTGCCGACATGGCTGGTCAGTTTCTATCATCATCTTGGAGTTTCAGCGCAGATGAGATCACCTTTAACACAGGCACAGTGCTCAGCCACTTATGCTATTGTGCTTTGTATAGGTTGTTGCAATGCAGTTGTGGTACCATATAATGTAGAATATATGGCCATAGGTCTATGGTATATCCGGGTTGAATGAACAGCCCGCCATAATCCTTACCTCAAGCAGAAGCAGTGGTTTTTGAATTTGCACAAGAAAGGACCCTGGTTCATATACACTGTAGAGAGTGGATGATGGAAGGAGGGACCATCACATAGCAACTTCCAGCCTGACGCGGCTCGACCCCGCGCATGGACTCTTGCTGCTGATTATTGACACATTTTTATCAAATATTGGCACCCATATGTAAAGGACCGCATCGATCATCACTGATCTTCGGCATTTTATAGGCTCCATTAGCTGCCAAGCGAGGCTGTGAGCAGGGCGCGACGCCTTGGTGAACAGCCTCAGCCAATACCAATGTCGCCTTGGCAAGGCTGGTACAAGGAGTTGAAAACTCCCTGCTCCCTGGAAAAGCCTCATTCACATATTAATGTGTCTTCCCTACCCCTAGCCCGATGCTGAGATTCGATTTCCACGCACGCGGGGATCTTCGGGGATTTCTCGTTGCCCCTCTAATGTTCCAATATGCCTCAAACAGTTGTTGTGACTAGAAGGAACTTATGGAAGGATGCCTTCAGATTGCTGGACACCAATTTGCAATCGCAATTGACTGGTATTGTCAGCCCTGAGTATGGGGATATAGCGACTTCCATCCTCAAGGAGGCGGAGAAGAAAAAGAATCTATGCCTACAGAAGCGTTGGAGGGTCAGAGTACGAGGCAAAACAATAGTCCTCCGTGACGTCCTCGACAAGATAATCACTTGGGTCAGCCAGTTCAGGGCTGTTATCGATGTCGCCGCGCAGTATGACCCGACCGCCGCATCGCTGCCGTGGACAGGCGTGAGGTTCCTTCTGCAGCTTGCCTTGAACGATCATTATTGTTTTGAATCAACGCTCCAGGGACTTGAATTTACGGCACTGCTAGTCTCTCGCTATGCCGCCTTCGAAGTGTTGTACTTGGGAAAAGGTGCTCCTGTTCAAGGGGAGCTGGAAGGCGGACTGGTCCGACTGTATCGCCGTATACTCACATTCCTGGCCTCTGCAATTCACTACTTCCAGCAGCCTACGCCTGTCCGCATGGCCAAGACTATCTTTCAACGCTCACAAGATAACGATCTTAATCAAATCCGCGAGGTCGACGAAGGAGTGTCTAAGTTGGCCCGTATGGTCGATTCCCATGTCCAGCAGCAAACTCATATCCAGACCAATAGTATTCACAGTATCCTTCAAACACTTGAGAACCCAATTTGCCGCTTAGTTGACGCATCGACGATTTTCACAAAGCAATTAGAAGAAAAGCAATTTCGCGACATCTTGAGCTGGCTATCATCGGTTCCTTACCCTCAACACCACAAGCGACACTCGGACGAGCGACTTCCAGAGTCCTCGAAGTGGCTATTCCGTCACCCACAGTATATTTCGTGGAAGAGCTCTAGTTCCTCATCCCTCATGCTACTCCATGGTATTCCTGGATCTGGGAAAACAACTCTGGTCTCGGCTGTCATCGATGCCTTTCTTCGCGAGCACTCCATCAACCAGCTCAGCGCCCCGATTGCGTATTTCTACTGCGGCGACAGTCGGTTTGGTCGAGCTTGGGCAGACCCAGATGAGATAATGCGCAGTCTAATCCGCCAGCTTGCAATTTCCGATAGGAAGAATATGAAAGTCCACGAGCAGGCCTTCCTCGAGTATTCACGGCGGGAAGCAGAGGCCAAGGTTGATGGGTTTGAAATGCCAAAATTGCGCGCTGGCGAGTGTGCGAACTTGCTGCTCGACCTCCTAGGGGTAAACCCCTCGGTGATCATTGTTGATGGAGTGGATGAGGTCGAAGAGAACCGACGATACGAACTTCTCAATGCACTAATCAAGCTTCGAGACGAGTCTACTAGCGTAGTCAAGATCTTTTTATCAAGTCGGGACAACAGCAATATCTTCGCAGGCGTTCCGAATGCTTTGATGCTCCGCGTGCAAGAGCTTGATACTCGATCCGACATGGAAGTCTACGTGAGGCATTGTGTCTCTATTGCTATCGATACTCGAACTTTACTGAACGGCCATGTGCCTGCTGAGTTGCGCGAAGACCTTATATCCTTTCTGCTGGGGCGGGCTGGGGAAATGTGAGCGTAGGTTTTCTGTTATGCCTTGCAACTGCTAACGTCACAATAGGTTCCTCTGGGTTAAACTTCAAGTCCAGCGATTCACGAAACTCAAGTCAGCCAAAAGCATTTCAGAAGCATTGAATAACCCAGCCGATAACGACAACTCAGCCGTCGGCTGTTTGTACGCAGATATCCTCGAGCAAGTCAGAAACGAGGACCCAGTGGCATACGAAACTGCGGCCAGGGCCTTCTCGTGGCTCCTATGCACGTATGAACCACTTTCAACAGCTGCATTTGTTGATGCAGTATCGGCCGTTGAGAACAATGGGCTCAAATTAGATCTACAAGAGATTTTAAATGTCTGCTCAAACCTAATAGTCGTGGACTCCCAGCTCGATACCTTGCGCTTTGGACACGTCTCCTTCAAGGAATTCCTAGAGTCAAAGCAAGAGTTTGGAATTCCCAGTACTCATCTTGTCGCCGCATCAGGCTGCCTAAATAGAGTTATGGAGGATATCCCCCTAGATATCCAGGGAGACCCGCAGCCGGACATGGACTTCACCTTATACTCCGCGGTCTACTGGGCTCGACACTACAGTGAATCTTCGGCAGTAAGGGACAAGCCTCTTGCTTCAACACTGGCGGAATTTATTTTTGACGACAGCCTGGAAACAAGCTACATGTTCCAGCTCTGGCTTGAAGCTGTGCATGACGTTTCCGAGCGTCTCCCCAAAGCCCATTCGCTGCAGAAATTCCTTACCGTAGTTTGGAGCGAGTCAAGCACACCCTTCTTCACTGTTTGCGTTTGTGGGCTCGAAGATATATTTCATCAACTAGTCAAGGATCCTGGGTTTGATATAAACATGAGAAACTCTGTCGGTCATACTGGGCTATATCTGGCTGCGGCGTGGGGACAAGATGGGATGGTGAGGCTCCTCCTTAATTTAGGAGCAGACCCAAACGTCCAGTGCGGAAACTTTGAGAACGCATTATCTGCAGCTTGTGCGGCTGGTCATATCCCGGTTCTCAGCATGCTTCTCGAAGTCAACGACATTGTATCAACACGGACTCTAGAAGCAGCGTTAGGCACGGCATTCCTCGCAGGGCATGAAAAGCCCGTCGCGATACTACTAGGACACTACCTTGAAGCACTTAAACAAACAGACGAACCAGACCCAGCTACCTACGAGTGGCTGTTGGAGGGCGCTGCCACCAATTGCTTCACGGAGATTGTCGAAGACTTAATCAAAGCCTACCCGTCCCCTACCAAGCCAGCTGCTTCGTCGAAGATCATCAACACGATTGTCAGAAAGGACCATGTCCCACTCGTTAAACGATATATGGATAGCAAGTCCCTCCCCGCAGATACAGTAGCAACTGCCGCCCTTTTCGGCAAAAGTGAAATTATCACCTTGTGCCTTGATAATGGCTTTGATATTGAATACGAAGGTTGCTTCGGCACTCCCCTCCGTTCTGCAAGCCTGATGGGCCATGATGGCTGTGTGCGACTGCTGCTATCTCGCGGGGCGGATGTCAATGCAACAACCAAGTTCGGTGACGCACTCCAGGCGGCAGCAATGAAGGGACACCTTCTTATAACAGATATGCTAATTAAACACAAGGCCAATGTTGACAATTTGGGTGGATTCTTCGGGAATGCCCTCCAGGCGGCGGCATATAGAGGCCAATGTGAAATTGTGCAAGCTCTGATAAATGCTGGCGCAGGTATTCGCACTAATGGGCGATACGAAGACGCCTTTTATGCGGCGGCTGCTGCCGGGAATGCGGATATCATCAAAATATTCATCGAAAACGGCTACCAATACGTCAATCCAGAAGCATGTAGGATCTGGGCGCAGCCGGCCTTAGTTGATTCGTATAGGGACCTACTCCGAGAGGCGTCGCCGGATCGTGGCTGCTACTCCCGAAGTCCAGTTAATGTGGAAAAGACATTCATTGACGATGCGCCACACTCAGCCGCTATCTGCGACTTTATGTACATACTGGATAATCCCGGAGGCTCGAATAGACTTCCAATTGAGGACTCGCCCGCAATACACAACGAAACATGGGTTGGTGGTCGTTTCTGCAGTGAGAAAAAAGGAGACAATTTCTATGCATTGCAGGCTGCCGCAGCAAGGGGCCACGAGGAAATAATTCAAATAGCCATCTCTAACAGAAAGCGGCTTCGGGTTGACACCGACCACTTTGGTCAAGCGCTGTGGGCAGCGTCCACGCACGGCCATAAGCGTGTGGTCGAAGCCCTTATTTGGGCGGACCTGGATCTTGGGTCGTTTATTATGGGAGCCCTAGAGTGCGCTGGCAGATACGGACATGCGGAAGTCATAGATGTCCTTCTCAAATATGCCGAGACACACGCTGCTGCGTGCGACACTCGATATCAAGATCTGCCTTGTGCACTAGACGATGACGAGGTATGTTACCACGGAAATATTGTTGTCTTTTACCTGCTCATGACTGCTGACTTTGTCAAGGTCTTGGGGAAATACCAAAGTCCATGCGTACTCCCACTTGTCTTATCTGGATGCCAGGGAGACCAATTGCCAACAGTGCTGCGTGGGCAGGGACTTGCACAGCCTGACGAGATAGGAAAACTTTGCGATCTTGCGGTGAACGAGGCAGCCGAATTCAATAGCCTTGGCGTACTTGAATATTTCCTTGAGGATAGGGTTTCTCTAAAGCCATGTCTCTTGCAACAGGCTATGCGAACAGCCTCAACCCACGGCTCTCAATCCGCACTCGCATTGCTTGTTAACATATATTGCACCAGGTTTGCCTTCCGTCATGGACTCAACGACATCCTCGCAGATGCTGTTCGTGAAGGCCAGACAGAGATTGTCCGGTATCTGATCGACCGTGGCATCGACCAGGTGACCCCGCAGGCCGTGGGTGAAGCCTTTCTTTGCGCAGCATCAAAGGAATATGTTCCAATTTTAGAGATACTAGCGCCGCTGATCCAGGACTACGAGTCATACCAAACTGACCTGGACCGGGCATTGACTAGTGCATGCGTAGCTGGTCTATTCGAAACTGCTCAGTTTCTTGTTAAGCAAGGCGCAAATACAAACGCAGTACTTAAGGCTCCGCCATTGCCATGGGGCAGTCGGAACAACATAGTGGGTAGACTAATGCCCTGGGCACTTGATTACCCGAACAGTTTGCAGCATCGGGACCGTTATTCCAAGAAGGGGCAGCCACCAGTGACCCCGTTACAGGCCTGCCTGGAGGTTAATGGCGCCCGGTGGGGTGGTATGTACGAAGGAGAGATATCAGCGCAGCACGAGTTGGTTCTTAATCTGCTGGTCGAACACGGTGCCGATATAAACAGCGTCTCTGCTCATGGAAGACCCTTGTTTCATACTGTGGTAAAGTCGTGTACACCTAACACGGTCCATAAATTCATTGCGCATGGCGCGGACATCAATAGAAAGGCTTCCGATGGAAGTACAGTTCTGGACACCGCTGTAGGTAGGGAACTTGGAACGTTGCCTGTTGTACGCGCTTTACTGGAAGCCGGGGCTACCATTCCAATGAAATTCGATGGAGAGCACCGGCGATGCGCAATCCTGGATCGATTGCTGGACCTTTTTACTTCACACACTCAGTCCGACAAATTACCCTCATTCCGTAGGCGAAACGAAATTGGCCGGTTCTACAAATCAGAGTCCTTGCAGCAGGTTCTGTCGACTGGGCCGGGGGCAGTTATTAAGCTGCTTCTCCTACACGAGCCAACGCTCCGGGCTACAGATACCCGATATGGTCTGCTTCTCCAAATGATTGCTGTGATGGGCGAACAGTCATTTTTAGAGCTCCTCATTCAAAGAGGTGTTGATGTTAACCTCTCTGGCTATTATTACGGCGATGCAATCCAGGCTGCGGCTCGGCATGGCCGCCTGGATTGTGTGAATCTGCTCCTGAGCGCCGGCTCCGAGGTCGATAGATTAGGTGGTGCTTACGGAACAGCCCTCAGCGCTGCTGTTGTCGCAGAGCATCAGGAGATTGTTGACTTGCTTATTGCCCATGGAGCGGACGTTAACTCACATTCGCAGGGAGTTGAAAGGACATCCGCAAGAGCACCTCCTCTGCAACTTGCGGTTAAACCGGGAAACATAATGATTATGAGGTCTCTTCTTGTTGCAGGGGCCGATGTGAAACAGAAACCATGCCCTCTCCTGTTGGCGGTTGAGATGGGCAACCTACAAATGATAAAGATGCTGTTGGACTTCAGAGCACAGGCCAACTCGCAGTCTGATGCAAACGCCCACCCTGAACCAGCAGCAGAGTTGGATGACGAAGAAAATGAGAAGGAGCGGTATACGAGCGCACTCCATGCAGCATGTGCCACGGGACTCTACGATATTGCGCGACTGCTTATTGAACGTGGGGCATATCCCGACAAAAAGGACAAGGAACATAAGACCGCGCTGGCAATTGCTGCCTCGATGGGCCACCTCGAGATTATGGAGCTCCTACTAGAATTCGGCGCCCAAATCTATCAGCCAACTTGCACCATTAATGTGTTAAGTGAAGCACTAAAGGGGCGGCAGCATCGGGAATCAGTGAAGCTCCTCATAAAGCGGCTGGCCAATTCTGTGGATTTGGCACCTGCATGCAGGAGCATATTATCGGAAGATGAATGGCAAGGGGATGAAGGACTACTGCTTTGGGTTCTCGACAAAGTACCAATGGAGCCAGGTCCTCTTTCTCTCGCCTGCCGATTTGGCTTCAAAGATGCAGTTACCACCATGCTCCCGCGCTATCCAAGTCCTGATCACGATCTGGGGAATGGCGAACGGGCACTTCACATAGCGGCCTACTATCAAGAAGCGGAGCTAGTTTCATTCTTTATTGAACAGGGCGCCGACGTCCGCTTTGCAAGTTCCAAGTATGGAAGCCCTATCTCCGCAGCGTTAGAAGGGCTGCTCGCTTCCGGCTTAGACCATAAGCCAAATGTTAGAAAGGTGTGCCGAAGATCAGAGTGTCCGTGTGACATTCTGCTCGAAGAGGGCGGCAAGGCATGGATGAAGTTCTACCGGGTTCCTGCAACCAAAAATAGGCTGCTAGGGTCTCGTTTCTCTGGCCTAGGCTTTTTTAACCCTGCCAATTCGTTCCATGACGGCATCAGACAGTCTAACTGCGAGCGTATCATAAGAAGCCTACTCAGTGCAGGTGCCGAAGTCAACACGCAAGACAGGCCCCTAGGGCCACCACTCCATGTGGCCTCGTTCATAGGATCCGTGGGAATAGTGGAGCTTCTTCTGCAGGAAGGCGCTGATATTAATGAACATGGGGGCTTTTTCGGAACCGCTTTAATTGCCGCTGCGTGTGGTGATCAGGAGGCAGTTCTCAACCTCCTTCTGTCGCGCCGAATCGATGCGAATGCCCGGTCTGAAAAACATACAATGGCGCTGCGCTGCGCACGCGAGTACATGAATAGCACAGCAGTGCGGACCCTGATTGAGCATGGAGCAGTTGACTAGTTCAAGGCTTTGGCATCTAATCCCCTCAGTCGAATGATGGCGAAAATCTCAGATTGTTCCTATAGTATACAAATTGTGTCGTATTGTCAATCCTGGTTTGGTGATGTATACAAAGTAGTTTAGCCCCTCCACTTGCTTGTCTGACCCAGACGTATAGTTTCGTCCATTGCGCTTCGGAATTAATATGTAAAGCAAGGCACTGCTAGAGGGCTGCTGAAGACCTACAGTGCTCAGAGTACCTATGTGCGCTAAGAACATCCCATTAACAATGGAAATTGCCCTCCCAGTAGGAATGCCTCTCCCACTCATCCACGGGAGTCGAATTCTCCTCCGCCTCATCCAGACCATCCAACCTTCCTTAAGCACAATTGATTCATGGGGAAACACTGTCGAAGTTGACTTCGAGACGTTCAATCTCTTGCAGCTAGAGAGTGGACAGAATATACACTTGTTTGGACTGTGATTTCTGATGTTCGTCTGAAGATGAGGAGTTAGATATCATCCGGTCCTCTGCTACCCTTTATATCTTTCGCTTGGCCGAGAAATCAGAGCGGGTCTGATGCTTACGAGGCATACAGGCAGTGCCCGAGGCATTTAGCGTCTGTAGACGGTCGAAATTTGAGTGTCTCATCATCATCGACACGTCACCTTTACTGTATCATGCTTGCTTACCTTTGGATTGGTAGATTGCTCTGTACATGAACCGGCCGCCTTGGCGTATATGCTGCGCCCCCTCTCCACATATCTTATATTTGGAGCCTCATGCGCCCCCACCCGCTACCAGTTCCTTTAATCCGACAACGTGGGTTGTCTCGTTCAGCTCAATGTGCCTATGGTTTGGTTGGGGTGGTTTGAGTCCTCAGACCCTTCGTAAAGCTGCCATCTCACCATGACGGCATTGCAGTGGTTAGTATTTGTCGATATTGCAGCGTTGCTGTTTAGACATCGCCTAGTGTCCTCTCCGTCAAACTTCGCATCGTGTAGATTTCCGATTTTGGCCAACTAGCCGAGCCATTGGTCTGTGACCCTTGATCAATCAGATCCCAATATTAGGAGGGTAACTATAGCTATGCTTGTGACCACAGCCGACAAATTCTTATGCCTAGGAGAGGACAATCCAACACAAAGGATGATCCTTACAGGCTATTCTTTCGAAGCTAGGCATGCAAGATAGAAGTCGGTTGCTCGTGGCGCGGGCACACTTATCATTCATAGTAAAGGCCCCCTCACATTGGGGGCTTGAGTGGCCAACCAACTGCACAATACAGGGGTCTTCAGCCTTTCGCCGAACGTTATTCAACACGTTCTGAAATCAACCAAAATTACAATTTGTCGCATTGACATGCACATCGTTTCCCTTGCACAATCGCCGCTTGTCCTGAAATATTACTTAGAGATGGCCAACTGAGGACAATGCCTGGTTAGATGACTTCCACTTACTAAAGCCGCAGTGCTGGTCAAGCCCTTCATCTATTAATATGTCCTTACCAACTCGGTATATGCCATTCAGCCTGGCTTGCTAGAAAGAGGAATTACTCCGCGGGGATTCATACTCGGTTCCGCCGGACGAGGCTCATGCTGACATGGGTCTGTTCGCCCATCTTTGTGTTTCGAGCCCCTGAATATATTCTGTCTTCATCCACTGCTACCATATAGCGAAAGCCTCACCAGTTCTATCAGTCCAAATGGCAAACTGCTACGACCTGTATGGCAACCAAGATTTGAGCCAAGTCCCATGCTCGCAAGATGGTGATCCGGCGCAATGCTGCTCGCTTGGTGCCTCGTGTGCCAGCAACGGGTTATGCGTGAACGATCCTGCCGATGAACGCCAAACCCCCTACTATATGAGCGGCTGCACAGATCCAAATTGGATAGATGGCTCAGTTGAGAGCTGTCCCACCGACTGCATCGTTAGTATGTGCTTAGCATAGCGGACTCGACCCTTTTTCTACCGCCCTAACACTCCTTCTGCTACAGCTGGAGGAATCGGCGTCAAGCCTTGCGGAACTGAAAGCTTTTGCTGCTTTGGCTTCACTGATTGCGACTGCCATAACTCTACCCAGACTTTCTCTCTGGACCGCGTCAATATCGTCACCACCCTCCCGAGTACGCTCCCCTCGTCCTCGTCTATAACCTCTACCTCCACCTCCACATCCGCATCGTCGTCCTCTTCCCCACCGACCGGATCGTCAACGGCCGGCACGACCTCATCCCCTTCAGGTAGCTCGAGTAACAATCTCGGCGTGGGACTTGGTGTGGGACTTGGTGTGGGCCTCCCGCTGTCTGCGGGTATCATATTTGCTTTCTTGCTGCTGCGCATGAGACGAAAGGCCTCAGAAAAAGCACAAGAGAGCGGTTCGCGGAATCCTCGACCGGGCTTTATCAAGTACGGACATGGTGGTAATCCAGACCCGACTAGGCATACATATGAATTGTCAACCTCTCCAAACCATCAAGAGGTTCCGTGACCGGCGTGGATGGTATTTCACCCTCGTTTTCTCCAGCATATTGTATCACCCGTTGGTACTTTGGAGACGAAGACTGCGGAGCACGGATAAAATGGAATAATTTACCAAAGTGAGAGTGGATTTCGCTTGTAGGTCATGAAGATGCCTCTTCGAAGAGGATCTTCGAGGAGCTGTAATGTACATAATATAATTATCCTTAGTGAATAGTTTCTCATTTATAATGAAATCAAACAAAAGTAGCATTCTAGTTAGCACGGTATTATGTTACAGAGAGAAGACGGGCTTCCAGCCAGTGTCTCGCCCAGCGCCTCGTAATATAATCGTTGACATCCATAAACATCAACAACAAATTTAGTCAATAGTATCATCACACATCTAATAGCTCGTAATTAAGGGGGAGATATTACACCATCAACGAACAGGCCGAGCTGCAGCGCAACCAGCCCTGCTTAGTTCATGCCGGGATGGCTTTTCCGCTCATGCTCGCGCAGATTGTCAGCCCTATTGAATCGCCTTCCGCAGATGTCGCACGCATAGGCGCCGGGTCTCTCATGGATAGTCTCGACGTGTCGCCTGAGACAATGCTTGCTGCTGAATTTCTTTGCCCCCTCGGCGCATTCTGGCCATTGGCATCGCAAGTCGTTTCCGCATTCTGCTCTGGAGGGGTGGAGTTAGTATCACAGAACTGCACAGGCTTTCATAAGACATACTGGGAGTGCTGCACAGGTCTGGAGCCTTGGAATGGTCCATTGGAACAGTCCCTGGTGGATGGCTCCGAGGGGCTACCGGTGGAAAGGCTGGTGCTCTGATTGCTTGCTGATCGTCTATGACCCAAGCTCATCGGCGCGGCATTTGTGGTCAGATATCCGAATTCGCTGGTAGCATTTCCTTCGGTAGGATACCCCCAGGCCAAGCTTGGATGTTGAGGATCAACCAATGCGGGATCTATGCTGTTGTCGGGCCAGTAGTTGGGTGAAGGTTTGGAAGGCAAGTATGCAGTTGCGGATGCAAAGTCGAGGAAGAGGTCGCTTTGCTTAGGATTGGTAGGAAATGACGAGAGATTAATAGTGGATGGATGGGTAGGCAAGTGGGAATGAGGGGCCTCTATCAGTCTACCGTCTCGATAGCCTGCCTGGAGGCTGTCATCACCCCGGAGTTTCGGCCACGACATTGTGAAGGTAAGAGAAATGAAGATAAGAGAAAGGCAGAAGTACACATCAAAGCATCTATGCAAAGATAAAAAGAAACTATAAGCAGCAGCGGAAATCGCACGCCTCCTTATATAGCGCTGTCTGGGTGCAAGCCAGCCCAGGCATGGAAAATCAGACGGATGACAAAAGATGACCCCCTCCTTCCAGATAATTTGTCCACGGAACTGGACAATACCCAGTAGGTGGGTGGAACAGCTGCAGCAACCATCTCAGGCAAGGCTTTACAGCTGCTGAAGCTGCCAAAGGCCCACCAAGATGGACCACGCCTCGCGTGGCTCAAGCCCTGCCGGGATATCACCATTTCCTCTGCCAAATTCTGTTGGGACAGTGCTCGGGGCCAGGTACCAGACGATCTGCAGCTGGAGGATCTACACTGCGCTTTGACAAGGTCGTTTCAAACCCTGGTCTGGTTGTCTGCTGACTGCATGCAAATGAGACTCAACGGATAAGCAGCGCCTGCAGACCCCACCTGCTGGTTTATTAGGTGTTGCAGACCGAGATGCAAGGGCTAGGAGGTGCGTGAACTGTTTCCTAACACACAAGCTGGTTTATCTCGTGGTTTACTTTAGGTGAACTAACGCTCGAGGACACGAGGCGCTTTCCACTTCATGTTCTCGAGATCGTGGATCCACGGCGATCACAAATTGCCAATACTGGCGTCAGATGTCGGGCTTCTAGCCTTGTCTTGGCCTTCGGCAGATGCTCGAAGCCGGGATGCAAACTATTAATAATAACGCCCCAGGCTGAGGCCAAGCGAGCAGGGGCAATCAGTCGTAATCTAAGTATCGTAAATTGGGATGATCTCTGCCGGGCCCAAACGCTCAATCGGGGGAATCTACGGCAGGAAAGTAGTCTATCCACACCTGTACCGGGCCGTCGCAAAGCGAAATAAAGATAAAACGAATAAATTAATTAAACGTGGCCGCCCTGGGGCCCCGTCTGATCGCTCGGGGAGCCCCTAGAATGCACGGCTCGGGCGAGACTTCCAACAGCCCAGGACATCCGTTAATTCTTGCACTCAGCTGGGCGACTGTCATCCGCTTGAGGTTGGCTCTATGATAGGCAACTGTGATTTCATAATTAGCCTTGGTCGTTTCAAATGGCCGAAGTAGGCAATTCGATGGATATAGCTGAGCCTCGTGTGCGGCCCGAAACCCGAAATGTTGATGATCCCCCTGAATAATGGAAATCAAATCAACGCGGTCCATGGCAGTTCGTACTTCTGAGTTTGGCCTTCTCTCCAGTGCTCCACCTGTTGGGCGCGATATCCACACTGCTGTGCCGCTGATGAACCCTCGATGAGGAACCGTGGGCCTTCATAATCCTCATTATTTTCTTCGAGGAATACTTGGACATTATAATTAGGAATATATCTTTAAAGGACGATAAATATTCAATTAATTCACGACAATTAGACACCCTCGCAGCGCGTCTCCTAGGAATGTGTACAGTGCTGTCGAGAACGGGGTCCTTTTACGCCAGTTTGTTTATTTTGGGACACCACGCGGAGCAGGGATCACAAATCCCACGTTTCTGGGCGTTTGATAAAGGGTGAAATCCCGCGTTCGACCCACTATATAAGGGCGCAACTTGAAGGCCCCCAAGCCACGTGTGGAGTGGAGAATACTTTAACTCTGGAGATGTCAATCCGTCAAGGCCATCTATGATAAACAATTACGTTACCTATTTGGCCACTTTGCTACGTTGGATGTTTCATGGTAATGACGTCCTCTGGTCCAACAAAAAAAGCAAAAGGTCATATCTTGCTGCCTGAATTTGCTATGCGGACAAGGGGCCGTGAGGCTGTTGCTGGTGGTCACGAGTCAGTGACAGAACGATATTCACGACCTGAGGCATGGCTTGATAATCTCTGTTCATATTACGGGCTTCTGGGGGGAATTGTGGGCCAGTAAGACATGGTTTGTCGGTCTTGGATGCTGGATTAGTACATGGTCGTGCATGAAGGATCAGCCACCACCAACCGATCAACGCTCTTGAAACACGGGCTGACAACCAATCGAGGGAAAAGGAGAAAAGGTACCAACGACCAGTAGTATGACGCCTTTTATCAGCTAATCGAACAAATTCGAGCTCATCTTCCGCGATTTCGAACGACCATGTGGCCATCTTAACCCGATTTGGTCCCAGAACCGAAGGATTTTGGGATTTCAAACTGGATCGCCAGGCTGAGGCTGGATCAGATGAACAGAACAATTCCATCGCGGTCATGGGAGGCAAGACCTAAATCCGTTCGCGCATTCCGTGTGTGTCGGTGGATCCGGTGCTGGCAGTAATACTCAGGTACTTGCGGTTGAAGACAGGCTTCGTTCAATTTATTTTCACTCTAGTAGCAATCCGACAGTCTCCGTCCAGCGCGATTAAACTTGACGGTTTCGCCTGTCCTCATGGTTATCGTAACCAGATGCACCAGACGTGCGCGAAAGATAGAAATGGGCGATTCTACCGTCCCAGTACTCGCAAATCCCAATGGCATTAACCGCGTCTCAATTCTTTTCTAGATCCGTGAAGACAGCGTTAATCCCATGGGCAGAGCAGGACTTCGGAATCGAGTCCTCCCCCAAGAACATAAGCGCGAGGTCAATGTCGTGGATCACCGCATCGATGAAGCTGCCCCCGCAGTTGCGGAGATGGTCGTAATATAGAGGATCAGTGTCTGTATACTGGCACTGGTTCGCGCGAAAGACAATCAGTCGACCAATCACCCCGGCCTGGATCTTGTCATACGCCTCGCGATAGCTGTCGTCGAACCGCCGCATGAAAGCCACCATCAAAGTCGCTGGATTCGATTTCCTTTCGATATGGTCCAAGACGCGCGACAGTTCCGCCACGGAGGTCGAGATCGACTTCTCGCAGAGTACATGCAGCCCGCGGTCTAGTGCTGCGAGGGTCTGCGGTACGTGCAGCGGGACACGTGGAACAAGTCGTAGGAATTTGTTGCATGGCGGTTTCCCATACGCCCGAGTCCTACGATTCCGACGTTTAAACGGTGGTCTTGCAAGGTCATTGTGGGTGGGGTTCGACGAAACCTGAGGGCTACCGTGGAGGGCAATCCGCAGTGGATGGATGGTCTTATAATCTATATAGACGGGATACCGCCAACCCTAACTCCATATATATAAAATAGAACGTCTGGGGTATTTACGTCCGATCCGATGTCTGGGCCAAGATCTTTGGACCGGTCAGCCCTGATGCTAAATCCGATGCGGGGAATTATTCGGAGCTCGATATCCGACGGCATTTGACGTCGTTCAAGTCATTAATGTGCATGCGTCGCCATTATTGAGTGACCAACATTTGTCCAACGACCATGTCGCAACTTCCGTCTATCCGCTGGGGAATCTTAAGTAAGAATTTGATCCTAAATAAACAACACTCGCTAATTGAACAGCGACCGGCAAGATCGCCTCCTGGTACGTCTCTGACCTCGTCTTGCCTCGCCCCGACGCAAAAGTCCGCCATGTCGTCCAAGCGATCGGGACCTCAGATGTGAATAGAGGGAAAACATTTGCGCAGCAATACTGTCCTGACGAGAACCCCAAAATCTACGGTCACTATGAGGACGTCTACGCCGACCCAGACGTCGACATTGTCTACATCGGAACACCCCACGCCTTTCACAAGAAGAACTGCCTTGACGCGATCGCAGCGGGTAAGCATGTTCTCTGCGAGAAGCCGTTCACCCTTAACGCCCGCGAGGCAAGAGAGGTCTTTGACGCAGCCCGACAGAAAGGCGTGTTCATTGCTGAGGCGATGTGGCTTCGTCATCGCCCGCTGACCAAGACTCTCCAGCGCGTTTTACACGAGGAAAAGGCTATTGGTGATATATTCCGCGCAACTTCGTCCTTTGGAGGGTATATGGATGTCCCCAATCTGCCGCTGGACAAGTACTACCGCCAGAATGCGATGGGCGCGGGCTCGCTACTGGACATGGGGATCTACTCTTTGACCTGGGTGATGCTGAGTCTCGATCCTGAGCTCACAGCAGACCGTGCAAAGCCGACGATCCTGGCAGCGCAAACTCATTGGGAGGATATCGAGATCAACACCAGTGCGATTCTTCAGTATCCGTCCACGGGCAGACAGGGTATCCTCACCTCTACAACGCTGGAAAACGGCAACCCCGACCTGCTTGCCCGGATCCATGGCACTTCTGGGTCTGTTGAAGTCCACGGTGAATCTCCCTCACATCCGCTGGCGTTCACCGTCTATCCACCCTTTGGAGGAGAGTCGGGCCTAAACGTGGACCGCGGCCAGGGCAAGACGTACGACTTCCGGCATCCTGGGCGGGGATTCCAGTTCCAGGCGGACAATATTGCGCTGGATGTATTGAATGGACGATTGGAGAGTTCTATTATTCCACATGCTGAGACTATGCGGGTGATGGAGATTATGGATGAGATCCGGCGGCAGGGAGGGACGAAGTATCCAGTGGATTAGCAGAGCGCAGTATTATTTTTCAGCCAAGTATTCTGTTCACCACAATCTGTTTAATTTCCACTATCATTGCTGCTATCCTCGTACTGTATATGGAACGTCCTTCTCGGTCCATGATTCCGATGCGTGGTCGGAAAAGCATCTCCGTGGTATGGCTTATGTCTACGGCGATTGGGTATGCCACACCGTATAGTACGTTCAATCCGACCATTTCCTTCTCCATTCAGATGGGTAAATGGTTGCTAACGTGGTTATTTTAGTGGTTGATGTCGGTTCTGGAAGGCCGGGCTGTAGGCAAAAGTGTTCATTGCTTGGGGAGGCTTCTGTCTCTTGTCTTCGGTTTTTGCTTACTATTTTGTGTACGAGACAAGGGGCTTGACACTGGAGCAGGTGGATGAGATGTACAATCAGATTACGAGGGCTTCAGAGTCACCGAAGTTTGTGTTGACTGTTGTCTTTCCTGAGATTCAGCATCTGAGTGCTAGTGAGAAGAAGGAGCATGGTGCTGTTCATGTCGAGGACTCATCTTGTGAGCGAGCTTTGTAGGCTCACAGACGGATCCTCCTCTCACAACCTGTGTACATGAGAAGGCCGCATTTCTCCCCTCCATAGTCTGTAGTACTTTTACCTCGTGCTCATGCATCTATATACAGGGACATAGTGTACGCTGTCTTGACTGAGCGCGACCTGTGCCACAGCCTTCTAAGTCCACCTGGCCCGGGTATATATCAGTGAAGACACGATGGATGGGCATGCTTGCTGAGGGCAATTCTTTCCTCTGACACGGACAGAATCAATCCAGAATTACAATTGCCTTCTTGGTGACAATATCCCCACCTGCTAATCCGCTACCAGGCCTGTTCCTGGAAGCACTAAATGCCTCGCCTATGGCTTTTACCTTACGGAGACCCTCCGGCTCGCCGTCTTGAAGGCGGTGCGCCACCACCATGCCATGAACACAGAGTTTAATCTGTCGTCTCGTCCCATTGTCCAAGTCCGATAATAGGTATTGGTTGTCTGTTGTGTCGTGTGCCTCCATGGTTTCATGGTTGAATGGCTCGCCCGGATTGAACTGGATGACTTCATAGCGCACTCCGTCCGGTGGGAGGCTCTTAGCTCTAAAAGAGAATGCCTGCAGGAACAGGTTGTGCATAACTCGGAATAGATCATCTTTTATTACCCTCAGCTTTGCGGGGTCGAGAAGGGGCCCCAGAACCTCGATTGTATACTGTTGTAGTTCCTTTACGTGGCCAGCTAGGAAGCATGTCTCAAACTGCGCGTCGTGTTGCACCATGTGCAGGAGAGCAGCCTTGTGAAATATTCCAGCGAACTCGTTACCGGCTGCTCGTGGCATACAGGTTATGCTATTGTCAGAAATGCAAACACGCAGTGCAAGTGAAAAGAGCAGTGGTGACTCGGTACTCACAGGCGTGTTGGATAGCCCGTTGGTAGGCTCGTAGCAGGAATCCCTCGGTGTGCAAAGCTCCCCATATCTCAGAGCATAATATCTGATCACAGACTATGCGGAACAGGATTGCCCGGAAGGCTAACTCTGGCATTAGTCGTAATGCTCTGTTGTTATGACCTGTGATCTTTAATAGATCTCGAAGCTTGGGGTCGACCGCGGAACGGCGAGGCGTTTTGTCAGGGGGGTGTACGGAGCTTGATAGCAGGTCTGCAGCACTAACAATGCCGCGTTTGATGGCCTCCATTGCATCGCCAATGCTTGACACATTGGTCGGAAGGTCTATATCGCCGGCTTCTAAACGAAGCCTCTCTTGCTCGAAGTACCTGCTCAGGGTTCTTTCAAGATCCCTAATGAAGCTTACCTGGTCGCGTATTTCGCGGTCTTTACTGCGTAACAAGCTTTCCTCCGTTTCAGCCGACGCCGGTGTAGTTTCAGCGGCGCTGGATAGCAGCCGGTTCTTCAGATCAACCTTGACGCTTTCCAAGTGTTCGACCTCGGCCCGGAGCCGGCGAGTTTGCTCGGACTCCGCAAGAGCATATAGATCATTTTCAATCCTTAGGCGGGCTATCTCTCGCCTCATCTCGGTCTCGGTTTCTTGTTTGAACGACCGATTCTTTTCGAGTGCCCTCCGCTTGGGCTTTTGCTCGCCCTCCGGTCCGCGTCTTGCGGAATCTTCTGGAGGTCCCCTTCGCCTTCCCGGCAAAATATTCTGTTCTTTCACATCGTATAGCCCCCATGATTGCCGCGGCTCGGAGGTCTCTCCAGGGGCGAGCATCGCCCAGCCCTTCATACCGCGAGTGCGAGCGGGGACCACAACCTCAACCCGAGCGCCAGGACCCGGAACTCGGTATTTATCCTTCGGCATGACTGGCGTGGGATACGCTCAATTGGACGGAAAGGTGGATTGGGTCTCGGAAGGATCGGAGGTGGTTGTTTGATGTCCGTTTGTGCACCGCTATCCGTATCGTCGAGGAAGGGGAAATGAGACCGAGCTGCCCAGGGGGCAAGGAGCGGTCAGTTGGAAGTCCGGCGATTGAGTGGCTAAGCCGACAAGGGAGCCGAAAAATGTGGCGGGCCCATCACGCGACGGCCCCCATTGACAGGGATGCCGGAGCCCTTCCGCTGTTGGAACCTGGTGCATAGGCAGCAAGGCGGACTTTGCTGTGCCTTGATTGGGTGTGCACCAGACTGCCTCGGGGGGCGGATTTGACGGGGCACAGCACGGAAGCCCGCTGGGCTGCAATAAATCGCAGTGGCCGCCCATCTCTCAACCGTGCAACTTCTATTTCTGTGCCTTGCGGTCCGGCCTCCAATTAGGGTTTTCTTCTGTCTCGAGGACCAAGCCATGGCGAGCCTGCGGAGTCTTGCCTCACGCAAGCGACGCCGCGCATCAACCACCGTTGAGGCCGATGCCGGCGTGCCCGACACCGCTGAAAACCACAGCGGCGACGATGCCAGGATGCTGGATGATGATGCTTCTCCCAGTCAGAGTTTATGGAGTGCGAGCACCAATGGCGACGCGACGGCAGCGGGAACACCCGCCTCCACGTGTGGATCCAGACAGCCTCGAACCAAGTTCATCATCGGCCTCGACTACGGCACCACCTTTTCGTCCGTGTCCTATGTCAAGTTCGATCCCGATAACCCACCCCTGACCCTGCGCGGCGAGCAGATCCGTTCCGTCACACATTGGCCAGGGGCTGCTAACCGCTCGCGCAATCCCGATGTCCCCAGCGAGAGTTGGTATCTCGGGGATCAATTCCACTGGGGCTACGGGGCTCGCAAGGCTACTATGGCGAGTGATGACGACAATCTAGACTGCAGAAACCGGATTATTCAATATGCGAAGTTGCTCCTTCCTGGGGACCAGAAGGATACCAGGGGCCCCCGCCAGGAGCTGAAGAGAACGTTACACAAGGCGAAAAAGGACGAAGTGGATGTGACCAGGGATTACCTCTTTGAGGTGATGGCGCATACCAAGAAGTTCTTGGGGGATAGGGAAGGGCTTGATGCCGGGTGCGAGGTGGAACTCGTCCTCTGCGTCCCTGCTGGATGGCCGCACAAAGCCATACGTACCATGCAGGAAATTTTGCTGGATATCGCACGTCGACTCGAACTGGGTGACCTTGCTCCTCCATACGTTCTTAATGAGCCTGAGGCCGCTGCTGCCTATATTCTCGAAGCGGGATCGGGAACGGAAAAACTGACTGTAAGCCCTTAGCCCTAGCCTGCACTGTTCCGTGGAGCATATTGACTCGTACAAAAGGCAGGCGAGGTTTTTATTGTCTGCGACGCCGGTGGTGGTACCGTGGTAAGGCCTACGGTGTATCCCATTCTACGCTCAGCGGTGTAACGGAAATATCAGGATGCGATCACGTACAAGGTCGACCAGGAACGACCGTTTCGGGTGCAGGAAGTTGTCTCGCCCACGGGTAAGCACAAGCTAGCCGGGTGACAATCCTGCCTATTCCTAAGATCGCTGACCTCCAAACAAGGGAGCAATTGTGGCTCAAGCTATGTAAACCAAGCTCTCAAAGAAAAGGTTATCAACCGGATTAAAAGCACCCCCTACAAATCGCTGCCCGGGGCGTCAGTGGAGTATACCATCGAAAATTGGCTCATGACCACGTTTGAATATGATATTAAACGAGAATTTCTACCCGAGGACGGATTAGAGGGAAACATGGTACTGGCCGTTCCTGGTCTTCGGAGGAATGAAAAACTGGGATTTGGGAGTGGAACCATCCATATTGCGAGGTCCATCAAATCCGCACCCCATAAGATATACGCTAATGATCTCTATAGACGCGAGGTTGCAAGCCTTTTCACGTCCAGCTTGCAAGGTATAAGCAAACTCATCAGCCAGCAGATCAGGGCTGTCGCAAGCAAAGGCCTGAATGTTGAGGTATATGCGAGCCACGCTCTAGGGCAAGCAATCATTCCTTCCTTGCGAGCTATGCTGATGCGCCATGTATAGAAGATACTCCTCACCGGCGGCTTCTCAGAAGCCCCAATTTTCCGTGCGCATATAGAAGCGGAATTCAAGGGTTTGAAGCCGATGTATGCGCCCAAGCGTCTGTGAGTCGGTACCGAAACTTGGTTTAAAGCTCAATTCACTCACCGTACCCAGTGATCCCACTGTCGCTGTTTCCCACGGCGCAGTCTTCCGTGCAATGAACAAAGCGGACGGCCCTAAGCGAATAGTGCAGTCAAACTTTGGATTCCTCCAGATAGAAGAGCGCAATCTCAGGCTGCCAGCCCATAGGATGGCGACCCCGCTTGATGGAGACTTTGATGGCAAGATGTATATAGATAACGTTCTAGACTGGGTGATAAAAAAGGTAGGATTTTGCTCTTCTTCCGGTCTGTCCGGCCACCTGGAGCCCACCGCTAATGGACACAGGAATTTGTATTGAGCAAGCACCAGACATTCCGAACTCGGAATTGGCAGGTCTTCGGTGTCAATAAGGAGCTCATCATTTATCAGAAAATTTGGGTGTCTGATTTTGACAACGCCCGCGATCATTACCAAGCGCATAGCAAGTTCAATAAAGGTGATTCTTCACGCTCACATTTCTCTTTGCCCACAGCTGACACTGCACCGTAACCAGGCGCCGAGGTTTTCGGAATGCTGCAAATAGACTTGGAGCCCGTCAGGGAAGAGGGGCGGCTCGAGGTCAAGTCGGGCCCCCGTGGAGACTACTACGAGATTCATTACGAGCTGGCCATGGAGGTCGATGGGAGAAATCTGACTGTAAAGGCTCTATGTCCACCCGGTGGGCAGTGTCGCGCAGAGACCCAGCTTTGTATTGCTGCGGCGTTCATTCCCGGCACCGATTGAAGCATCCAAATATGACACCCGATGTCACTGTTGTGCTTCTGTCTGGCTCTGACGCAGATTGGCGGTTGCTATGATTCAGGCTTACTCGTTCTCCATCGGATCTCCCTCGGATTCATCGCTGGATAGTATAATAATAGGAGAGTCCTCAGTCTCCCCGGGCCACATCGGCTGCAGTGGGTGTAACTCGAGTGCTATTATCCAGTCATGCAATAGCTCTACGCTACCTGAATTATGCCAACGGCGCCGAGTGCTTGTCGATCTGTTCAAATAGCCAACGTACTGGGACAGTGGGCGATCGGGGTTTAAGGGTAGAGCGGAGTAGTGCAGCCCGTATTCAGATAGCTCCTTGACCACACCGGCGGTGTTGGATGGGCTAAAGCTATATCGCGTTAAAATGTAAAGGCAATATCTTGGTCCATATCCCGGTGCGTCCAGCCGGTCCACCAATGCACATCCGTTGGTATCCTGGCATATGGGATCCAGTTGTGGCCACAGACAAGGCTCGGTGCTGTGCATGGGCTGCGTCGTCCTTTTCGACGAGGTATGTATAAGCAGATCTGTACTATGCATGTCGATTGCACCGTAAATCTCATGAATAACCTCCAATATCTGCAATGTGTCATCTAATGCAAACCCGACCGACGAGTTGTTGGCCTTGTCAAGACGCCACTGTGCTGGGATTTCTCCGGGGCTCCGGGAATACGAACTTGTCAGGGAGACCATTCCTATAGCTGCTGTCAGATTGTTTCCTATAGTCTGTGCTTTTATTGATGCCATGAAGCCTTCAATTGTGGATGCTGCGACCGTGGGTATGGTACGGATCGCTCTTTCAAGCGAGGCATGCTGACTAGGTAGCTCATCCCGAGATAGCATTAGTTGAATCGCTTCCTCGGATATTGCAAGACAGCTTAATTGCTGCGTAGGGGTCCAATCATCCGCCACGTGGAGGAGGATTGCGATTCTGACGTAGAAGACTCCTTGCAGTGTGGATTCTTGATCTGCCCCTGTCCATCCATGCTGGATGCGTGACAAGGTATCACCAGTAACCCGCCATGATCTTGTCAAATTGCGCAGGATGGTCGACACGGCTACAGATGCCGTGAAGGAAGTCATAAAGGTTTCGATGTTTGCCGTCGTTATCTGCAGTGCTAAAAACCGAGCTTCGACAGCTGCAGCATCCCTTACCACACCGAACGATAGCCGGTCATCAATATTCGGGCCCAGACTCTGAGAGTTGTCTCCATCAGGGTCGGCTGTGCCAATTCGAATTGAGTCTTGGGAGAATGAGGCGAGCCTCGATGCCCTTCTTTCGATTGTGGAGAATATATCGGGATCGAAAGACTGCATCTCGCGCGCTGCCAGGAAGCTCAGCTGATTTATGATAGAAGGTCTGTATCCGTCCCGCGCCCAGTCAAAAATATAATCGACAATAAGCAGAAGCTGCAGTGCACTGCTCTGATAGCAAATATTGCCCTGCCACAGGTCCAGGATACACTGCCCTCGTCAGTTGGCTGTACTGGACATCGCCCTGTACGGCTGGTGAGCTACTTACATATTTAGGATCAAGCCCCGTAGCATCGCTTATGAAGCTGCCCTTTACATACCAGTCCTGACCATGCCAGCCGAAAAACCACACTACGGGTTCCGTTATCCAACCGGTCTCAGCGTCGGTGGCCGGGCGAAGTTGGTCTTGAACCCTTAGTAGCCTTTCTATGGCAAAGGCTGATTGCATTTCGACCCCGGCCGAGTCCCCAGAAGTGTCGGACTTTGCTTCAATGAGAAGAAATGGAAATAATAATGGTTCACGACTGGGCTTGAACGGTGAAGCCTCAAGGGTATCACGAAGTACCTTCTCTTCACCATCATCGGAGACACGCCCGTCAGCTGAATCCAATAACGCTTTGAGGTTATCTGTTTCAATCAATCCGTACACCCTGTCGGGCAGTTCGTACTTCTTCTTATTTCGCCCACCAGACTGGATGGGTAGGGGCGGGTTATAGTGGATGGAAGTCTCGGACCGATCAGAGAAGATCATATTGACCCCGTGGAAGTCCCTATACTACGCATTAGCTGCGTTCACCTGCCTTTCCCATCTATGGCTTTACCGGTTCTGACTCAGTCCCTCTGGGCATCGGCAGGGCATGCGGTTCCTGCGCCGTTCGTCCAACGATAACGCTTGCTCCTCCGTTGATTCTACTGCGGCCTCAATCTCAGAGCGCCACAGTCTATCACGACAAGTCGGACTAGGGCGGTCAGTCTTAGACATTTTGTGTAGGATGGTATATGTGAAGGAAAGCTCTAACCAGGATACTTCGACCGTGAACCGGTGGAGGACTTCATGTTCCAGAGAGGCCCTCCAGCTACGTTCGTTTTTCCCCTCGCCCCTGCACCTGGCCGCAAGGACTGCCAATTTAGCTGCCCTTGGTTTAATTTGCCCTCTCCATGGCTTCTCGTTTGAGTCGCCTGTGTTTCCGGCATTGAAATCCCCAAATATCGATTTCCCTAATGTGGTTATATCGTGGAACAGCTGGCGACGAGTTTCTGGCCAGTGGCTCGGCCAGTTCTCGGATTCGATTGGCCCTAAATACTTAATTCCCTTGCGGTCTGCATGTCTATGTCGACTTTGATATTCGGCTGGTGCCATGGGAGCCATGCTGAACCAGTGCCTTCCTTGTGCTGCGGTGCTGAGTGTCCGATGGTCTGCAGGAAGGCTTGAATTCTCAATCTCAGCCCCCTGGGTGCCCCGCTGTCAAAAGTACCATCCACATGCGCCGCTCCAGGAATGCGGTCTCTGAACTAATAGAATCAAACGTTAGCCGCCCACATTCCCAGAGAGCGCGTAGTGCCATTTCTGGTGGAGCGCTACGCCATGGGTTTCCACCGCCGTACTTGCTGGAATTGAATATGCAAATGCCATGACATGGAAGATACTATTGGATGTTAAGGACCAGCCGTTTCAGAAATGTCGAGTTGATATGCTCTTTTTCATTGAGTTCAATACAGAAACAACAGTTGATGGCATCAAAGGCTGTGGGGAGGTTGTATACAGCCCTAGCATCGCTGTTTCAATTTCAGCGCTGGACTATGGTATATACCTCTATGGTAGTGCATAGTGACCAGCTCATTCGTCTCTTCGTAGGCCTTGTTCTCTCCCTAATACCTTACGCGTGATGCTACCCTACCAATAATAGCGATACTTGCTCTCCCGCCCATCAGTATATACAGAGTCGCCATTTGTCAACGTCCGTTCGATTCGCCAATTCGCCCACTTGAATGCAATTATCTGCAGCAGTGTCACGGCGAGCCAGACTGCGCCGAGAGAGATACACGCAATCCATGCGGTCCGATACTGGGGAGCGTCGCTCTAAATTATATCTGTAGATTGGCTCTGCATGCACACCGTATGGGAAAGGAGCCAACGCACAGCCCTGAACACTTGGTTGCCGTACGTGCCACCTAGGTTTGAACAGCCGACTAATAACCTGTCAGTAATGCGGATAACGGCAGTCTGGGGCAGCGAGAATTAAAAGGCCTTACTGTATACTGCGTACGCGACGGCTCGCTTCTGTGGCGTTGCAAAATTCCGAGATAACCAGGTTACGTTAATTGGCTGCCACCCTCTACCGACCGATGTTATAAGTCATTATCTGTGAAAACAAATTGCGTGTGAAATACTTACGGGGCGGCCTGGGTAATCAAGTACGCTGCGTAGAAGGACCACGAGCTCTCGGAGTGCACTGGGAGGGACTGCGAGTTTTTATCAGTCCACTAACCCGGCTGAAACTGTTTGATACGAAAGTAGACTGGAGAGACATGGGAACGTACATAAAGCGCAATCAGACCGGCGAGCGTCCACACGCCCGCAAAGAGAATAGGGTACCCAAACCGATTATATCGATCGACGATGGCGGATAGCCCAATACCAAAGATCGCAGATAGCAGACTCCCCGGGGCATTGAGAAGGTTTGCACGGATACTACTGAAGCCGAGGGACTTGATTATGGTAGTTCCCCAGGTGCTTAAGCCATTGACGCTCTGGAGGCCTGATAGGCAGGTTATTAGGTATGGCCAGGTGGCCCAGTGGAAGAGGACGTCGGTTCTGTGTAAGTCAATTAGGATGGAAGAGCAGATACAAGGGCCGGAGGGCACTAACATATCCTTCCAGCTGATTTTGAGCTTCGATCCGGCTGCATGGTGATCAGACCTTCGTGCTTGACGTGCGGTAAGGATATCGGCTTCATGCTCGTTGAGCCATCCTCGTACTCGGATTAGACCACCAAACACGTTTCCTGTGTGGTAGGGAGACTTGGGTACTAAAGCCAGAGCTAAGACTCCCACAACTATAGTTTCACACTGTCAGCGCTGTAGCAGGCTGGGGATTGAGAAGGCGACCGCTCACATATTGTAGATACGCCACAGATGATAAATATCCTTGTCAAGGTCCCGTTAAAAGGGTCCTGACTACAATCAGAAACAGACTTACCATTGCCACCCCATAAGCCCTCCCTTCCCATGTAGGGTCAGAGCACCCGCTGAAATGAGTGACCCAAATGCCGCAGAAATGGACGGTCCAAGGAAGAACACCGCCGTACGCTTCGTCAGCTCGTCCGGCGCATACCATCTTGACAATGTGTACAGCCCTCCCGGGATGAACCCACTCTCTGCGAGCCCTAGAAATAGTCGTGCGACATACCACCCACCAGCATTGGTGACCTGCGACTGGAGCACCTCGACAAAGCCCCAGGCAATGACTTGGCCTGGAATCCAGTAATGCGGGCCTATGCGATGCAGCACGATCTGCATAAAAGAACAGTCAAGATGGATCAATTCGGAATAGAACGGGGGTCGGGGAGACTCACGTTGGAGGGGATCTCGAGAAGGACAATGCCTAGCCAGAGAAGGGAAACTCCTGTATTGGCCTGGTCGTGGGTCATGGATGTATCGTGTAGAAAGGTCGAGGTCAGCACGCCCGATACGTTTGTGCGGTCAATGGCCATCCAGGTAAACATCAACTGCCATGAAGGTTAACATGGATATGCAATAGGATATTCTGTGTGTGACCGACGGCGAATATGGGGAGGAAGAGGATATCCAACTTTCGGACAATGCGGGCTTCTTCTTCTGCAGTCCTTTTATGCGAACGTGGTCCCCATTCTTGAGGATGGAATGGGAGAGCGTTGTATCTGCCTCTGGGTCGGTTTTACTGATATTCGCGCCTGTGCTTGTATCATAATTAACTGGCTCAATGCTCAAGTCGACCCTTGTCTTATTTTTGGAATCCCTGTTGGCAGGGGCATGCTCTTTTGACATTGTGTGGTACAGCTTGCTCTGCAACCGTGCTCGCTGGAGCGCGTCGAAGTCGTAGGGATGTAAAATAAACACCCAACCTGTGAAGGCACGGAAAGGACGGCATATGTAAATTAACAAATGCAATGGCGGAACTTTGGAGTAGGATGATGCTTTCGCGTAAGCCGTCGCCCTATCCAGACTGTCTGTCGTGGATGATAACGCCATATCAACCCCAGTCCACACCATCTGCGACCATCAGTTCCGCACTCTGCCATATAACGGACGCTGTATTTCAAATCGGGGTCGTTCTTCCAGCCCCTAATAAATCTCAGGACAATGCCGTCTAGTCTCCCCACAAAGCCTCTTCCAGTGTATTATATCGGCCATGCTGGTGTAGGGCTGCTTTTCGACGATCGACCCGTCACCCAATCCGCGCGTGCCAATTTAAGGGACATTGGAAGAGAGATTCTTTCCATCTCCCCGCGTCCAAAAGCAATTATTGCCTTTAGTGGCCACTTTGAAGCGGGCGAGATTCACGGGCCGGGTGTGATTGAGGGTGAGTCTCCCGACGAGTATCAGACCTTTTGAGACACTAAGAATGTCACAGTCAATGTCAAAAAGAACACATACATCCAAGTGAGAACGGCAGCCTATACCGGAGACTAATGTTGACCATCTCAGCACGACTTCGTGAATGACTTCCACGACTCCAGACCGTCAGTTTATGAGTATGACTGGCCGCATCACGACGCCCCAGATCTAGCAGCGGATGTGTGGCGGCACCTGGTTAGGGAAGGGATCAAAGCTAAACGCGTAGAACGAGGAGTTGATCATGGTATATGGGTGCCATTTAAAGTCATGTTTCCCGAGGAGAGGCCATTGGATGTGCCCTTGATCCAGGTTTCTACGTTTCATGGCTACGACCTCGCCAGCCAGATTCGTCTGGGTGAGGCCATCCAATCATTACGGTAGGTTGGCCTCGATTTGTATTAGAATCGCCGTTGCAACGAACTGACGAATGTACCTAGACACCATGGCTATCTTATTATAGGCTCCGGCATGGCTGTGCACTCCTTCGCTTCTATCCAGGAGATTGCCGATGCGGCAGATGATGAGCAGAGAAAGATCGTACGGGCAAAGGTCCTCGCCGAGTCCAGGTCGTTTGATACGCATCTGAGACGGGCAGTGACGAAGAACAACGCGAAAGAGAGGAGGGAAGCCCTGCTAAAACTAGAAGGCCTGCACGAATTTCGCCGCTCCCATCCTACTGTTGAGGTATGCTGCGTTCATAATCAGAGTAACCGTCACTAACATTGGATACAGCACTTCACGCCTCTCCTTGTCGCTGCTGGGGCGGCTGGGGATGCAGAGGTGGTTCTGCTCGGTGTTGACTTGGTCGAGCCAGGAATGTCCTATCTTAACTTGGGTTTTTATTAAAATCCCTGTCTTCATCGGTGGTTGTTCCGCTTCTGCGTCCAACGAAGATGCAGTTTCTTTCAGCTATGCGCATCTGTTGTCACAGGTGGTGCTGATCTCGGGATTCTTGACGCGTCATTGCAGGAGCTTCACGCAAGCTGAAAGGTCTTGCGAGGCTAAAGCCCTTGGGAGGCCTAATCTGTTGACCGACAAGGTGGCCTAAACAGTCAGCTGCGAATATAAATTTGGTACCTACTAGCACTATTCAAACGTACTCTTGACCAGTCCATATCTATTATTGCACTTTAGACTACAATGCATTCCCTCACTCTTTTGGGTCTCTCTATCCTCCCACTGGCCTCAGCAATATGCCCAGGGTACAACTACGCATTCTTCAACACCGGCGACGGCTGGTTTTATACGGCAAATACCGCGTGCAAGGCAGAGGTGGCCAGCAACTGTGGCAACATCTGTACCTGTAGCTTCTTCGGCTGTTCCCCAAGCGGCTCCGTGAATGCCGTACAAGTCAACGGCCTCTGGTATAACTGCCGCGACGATGCCAGCAAGGGTAGTTGTGGACCAGAGAACGGCTTTGCACCTCCTCCCCAGCTTGCAAATCGAGCTCCTGAGAGCTGCTGCCGGAATGACGGTAACAGGAATTTGGAAGAAGGCCTCATTGGGAAGCGGCACGCGAGCGCTATCAGCGATACGAACTCCCTGCTTGACCGTCACGCAGAGGAGTATGAGCAGGCCACCGACCAGGATCGGATTGCGCTGCGATCTCGACAGGAGGCGGAGGTGGAAGAGGCGATGAAGCGGGAAGTCGAGGCTGCGGCTTTTGACAGCGTTTAGACATTCACCCTGTACTCTGATCGGAGTGTGGATGTGCTGTTGCTATGGACTGAATTTCATACGTTTCTAGGCCATTCCGTAATATCCTTCATTCTTAGTTTGCTTGTTCGTTTGATGTGATCTATCAGTCGAGGTATACAACGAAGATTCTCCTGAATTTGTGTGTAGCAGCGTATGTGGATATATCATTTCCCCAGGTAGTGGCGTGCGAGCCCTCCAGACAGCCTCCACCTATCTGCGCCATAAGGGTCCTGAAAACTCTAACGTAGGAGGCCTAACCGCCATACTTCTTCAGAACCTTGCGAGGGCCCCACTATAAGCCTCCATCATGTCGGCTGTGCTGAGCGTGGCACCCCAGATGAGGCTTGCCAAGTGTTGATCGATTTAATTCTTGGGCTTTAAGAGAGATCAGAGTCTTGGACCTTGCGAGACCCCCACAACAAGGCGGCTTAAGTCGAGTAACGGTGCCCCATCTGGGTGGCCTGACAGAAGATCTTCGTCAGCTAGCTCAGTGATACATTGCAAGACATACAATGTTGCTATTAATTGTCGAGACACGTACCAGCGCTGCTGGCATGGCGTCCCGCCTAATATCAAGATGTAGTATAAAAGGGCTGCGCAGACAGAGTTGAAACTCATCACTACAAGAATTCCCAAACACAATATACCAGCTCTCCACTACATTTATATACCTACAATTCATTCAAAATGCACTATTCAAAACTCCTATCCCTCCTCCCCCTCCTCCCCCTCGCCACGGCAATCTGTCCAGGCTACAACTACGCCTTCTTCAACGACGACGACAACGCCATGTTCTACACCACCACCACAGACTGCGTAGTCGTCAAAGGCGAGCCATGCACCAACGTCTGCATGTGCGAGTGGTGGGGCTGCGGCCCTGGAGGCTCCGTCAACTCCGTCAAAGTCAACGGCCTCTGGTACAAGTGCCGCAACGACGCGAACAAGGGCAAGTGTGGGCCGAATGAGATGTCGCAGGTTGCGAACAATGCGCCAGAAAGCTGCTGCCGTAATGATGGTTCGAGGAACTTGGCCGAGGGGCGTATTACGAAGCGTCATGCGAGTGTTATTGATGAGACGAATGCGATTTTGGACCGTCATGTGGAGGAGTATGAACATGCGAAGAGGAGTGGGTTGGATCTGGATGAAGTGCGTCGGCAACAGAAGGTGGAGGTTGCTGAGGCTATGGGAAGAGAGGAGGCTGTTGCAGGAGTTTTCTAGATTCTACTACCTCTACCAAAATGTCTATCTGCTTATTGCTCTGGCATTGGAGTGGGGTCGGTATGTGCATGATTATCTCATTATGTATGTAGAGACACTTTATGAATCCTACACGACGGTTATGGCGATCCTGCAGTACGTTGGAATTTATTAACTCAAGTTATATAATTCTTACAAGCGCGGAATTAAATTATTTCTGGAGCCCTGTTACTAATTCATTTTGTTTTCATTCTATTCTCGGTAAGAAACGGAGTGTGAGTTAAGATATATATATTACCACGTATTGCACGAACTGACTAAACAACAAATTAGAAATTAAAAAGAAATATCCACGCATTGCACTACGATAATAATATTATCTATGTATTCTAGGACCCAAGAAAATCTTTACAAGGTGAATATTGAGGAAACGCTATACCGCTGGACCAAAGGCTATGGGGGTCAGGCAGCTCTTTCCGGCAAATATGGGATAGTACATTCTCGAGTCTGCCTGGGCTGTCCAACTTGCTTGACTCAATATTCACAGGACAGAAATTTACAAGAACAAGGCAATATTGATAAATTGTAAACATTAATGAAATTAAGTAACGGTCGACTCTTCAGCCGGTAGAAAGTAACTACGTATATGATATATAAACATTAGAATTATATCCACCCAACACGCAACGGACTAGCCAGCGAACTCGCAGTCTGCTTGTTGCAACTCTATTTGCCCGGGAGGAGAACCTGCTTCTGCTTCTTGATCTGCTCGACGAACTTGATGTCGATCTTGAGCACGTTGGCAACGGTCTCGGGGGGAGTAAGGGCGAGCCACTGCGCGAGGGAGATATCGGCGACGCGGTCGCTCTTGTAGAATTCAAGCCACACGAGCTTCTCGGTGTCGGAGGTGTTCTCGATGTAGTGGCCTATGGAATATAATTAGTGGAGGTGATGTACGAGGTTAAGTAAGACTTGCCGGAGTTGTCAGGGAAGACGGCAGTGTCACCAGCGGAGAAGTCAAAGGTTCGGGACTTGGAGTCGCCAATGAAGACACTGGCGCGGGCAGTGCCCTTGTGGAAGTAGAGCCATTCCTCAGCCTGGAATAATTAGCAGTTGACTTTACATTCAGGGAGGAGACGTACGTTAGGGTGCCAGTGGAGCTCACGGAGACCCTTGGGCTCAAGCTCGACAATAGTGGCAGCAATAGTCTTGGAGATGGGGAAGTTGGTAGAGTCAATGCGACGGAAGGTACCACCGTGTCCTGGAACAGGCTCTGAAGGGTGGTCATAGGTGTGGTACACATAAGAGGCGTTGCCCTTCAGGGTACCCTGGGGAGCGGTCTGTGCCTCCTTGGGGACTGTTCCGTTGAGGATGTAGGGGAACTTCTCAGGGACGTTCTCAAAGACAGACTCGCTGACGTTAAAGTTCTTGGCCAGGATGTCGCGAGGAACGTGCTGCACCCAGTCGTCGACCATGAAGGTGGTTCTGGTCGGTTAGCTGGTGTCTGTGTAGAAGGGACAGTGACTCACCCGATCTTCTCAAAGTCACCATCGTCAAACACAAGGAGATACTCGTTCTGGTCATCCAAGCCCTGAACGTTGTGGGCAACACCCTTGGGGAAGTACCAGATATCACCGGTATTCAAGATCTCGGTTGTCCAGCCGCCGTTCTCGTCAACAGCAGACAGGAGAAGGGAGCCTTCATAGACGAAACCCCATTCAGCCTGTATCACCGTTAACATCAGTCGAACACTTCATGCGTTATACGTACCACTCGGTGCCAGTGAAGCTCTCGGATGGCACCCTTGATCAGATGCTGCTGGGCACCGGCGATGTCGGTACTTTGAGGCAGGTCTGTGACGACCTGCTCCCGAGTCCAACCACCAGGGAAGATGTTGGTCTTTGAGTCGGAGAAACTCCATTTCAGGTTGGGGACGGCGCCGTGGTCGACGGACTGCGCACCGAGGTTATCGGGGTTCTGAAGGTCGATGGCGTGGTTGGTACCACCTGCCATTCATGTTAGACAGTCGTAGATTGACAGACGGAATAGTGACTTACCAAGGATAGGAGCGCCCTTGCCTTTGCCATCAATGGGCTGGCCACTGGGGAACCCGGCCTCACGCTTGACAGGCGAGGGGGTGGCCAGCAGAGAGGGGACGGAAGCAAGTAGAAGGAGAAGCTTGGAATGCATTGTGACGGTTCCTTTGTTAAATCAACAATGCAGAGGGACCCAACTTGAACAGATATATAGGATGCGCGGTGAGTTCTTGGCTGCTGCTTTGGGCGATTGACCAGTATTTACGCTGACTCGGTTCCTGGCCTGAAGAATGAGAGCAAGAGCTGCAAGAATCACAACATCTGTATCTGAGTTGACGACTGCTGAAATATGCAAACCCCGAAATTGGATCGACACGAGAGGCAACTCAAATGAAGGGATGCTCGTTGGATGTGGCTGCCAAACCGGTTCGTGGGCAGCTCACACCATGACAAATTTGAGTAATGAGCGGGCGATCAACAAGCCAAGAATGAGGAGTACAGAATGACGCTATCCGAGGCAGTCGATCGTGGTGGACAGGATCCTGAGCCTTGCGTCGCGGGCGATGTCACCATGATGCCAAGCATGTCGTTATACAACCCTGCCCTTGGCACTCGCTGGTCCCCGCGTTAGTGCTGGTTTAGCCCTCCGATCGGAGGGGCCTCGCCTGGCAAGCGCCTTGGCAGCGCGGATGGTGTTATTCTTCGACGATTCTTGTTCATCTTTATTGAACTCTGTTCCCTGCATCTGCCCTGCAAGTTGAATCCCGACGCCGCGTGGAGCCCGCGACTGCCGTATGACTGGTATACGACATGCACGAGAAACACTACAGACGGCGAGGATTCCCGTTCTCAGACCGGTTAGCCTGTTCCTGGCAGTGGCAAGTCCAGCGCGCAGGAACCAGGCACGGCAGGTCCAGGGCGAGAGCTTGCAGCGAAGCTTGTCCCACCCAAGGCCACTAACTAGGGCTTGCCAGTTGCCACCCTTGCCGGACCACGAACTCCTCACAGCACGGTTCATCGACCCTGAAAGCTGGTAATATCCCGGTTCTGGGCGACGATCCTCTCCAGGGCGCAGGGTCCAACTACGGATACTCTGCCTGTCTGTTGTGTACCTGGGGACTGCCTCGCGGCTGCTTTCCCTCTGCACTAAATCATTCGTATTCGTCATGGATATGACAAACCTCATGTAAACCGCGTGAAAGCATTTTCTGCTTTCGTCTTAGGCATTGTCATGCCGGCATAGCCAAGAAGAGCTATCTCAGTTCCCATCGTACGGTGCTGAGCTATCCCTGCCGTGTCTCTAGCCTGAATCACGACATCCCAAGATGATCAGAGCGTTCGTCCCCGGAACGCACGCCCATTGCCCAGATGACTGCTAGTGTGGGGGATCACGCTATTGCTGAGGCTGTCGAGGCAATGGCAGAGCGCTGCACAGCGCCCATCACATTAAGCCGGCAAACAGGTTGATGGCTGCATTATTCCCGGATACGGTAGACCTGCCAGTCGATCGACATTACTCAAGACACATCGACCGAATCCCGGAAATCGCCATCAGGGACTATCGACTTTGCGTGCTCTGTTGATGGAATGTCGAACAACAAACAGATGTCCATGGAGAGGGAGAAAGAACATGCAGATTCAGAATAGACAGAGGGCCAACGAAAGGCTTATAAAGGGCATCTCCCTCGATAATCTGCTCAAATCTTCTCAGATCATCAGCCCAAGGGTCCTTCCATTCCTTCTTGCTTCATCCTTGTTCCCTCCATCCTTGTTCGTTGTATATATACAGTCGTTCATTGGCCGTCAAGATGAAGTCGACTTCTCTTGTCAACCTGATCCCCCTGGTCTCCCTCGGGCAGGCCCTTTCGATCTCGCTGCCTCCGCTGATTCCGCACATTCCCGGTGTGACTGAGGCCCTGAACAACATTGTCCCCCCTCTTCCCATCCTGCAGGTCCCCACTGCGGCTGTGGACAGCCCCCCCTTCACTGCCAGTGACATCAAGCCCAAGAAGATTGGTTACTTCTGGACTGGTGCTGGTGACAAGCAGCACAAGGACTTCCTTGCCACCTACAGTCTGGACGATGACACCTTTGGCACCCTGCTCTGGATCACCGATGTGCCCTCCAGTGGCAATGACCCTCACCACTTGGGACCGTCTCTTGACGGCAAGACCTTGATTGGAGGTGGTCTCCTGTCCCTGCTGAAGACACAGGTATGTCCCTGCCATGCACTGTATCCTCTGAGCATGCCTAACACATCCAGGACACTGCCTTCTACTTCGACACCAGCAACCCCTACCGCCCCAAGTTCAAGAAGAGCAACCGTGCTATCCTGTCGTCCATTGCCGACGAGATCCGCGCAAAGCCCGATGGCGGTTTCTACATCACCTACATGGGCTCTGCTGTCGGAACCTCCCCCGGCCGTCTCGTCGAAACCGACGAGGACTTCAACATCATCCACGAGTGGCCCGAGGACGTCGACGGCCTGCTCAACATTCTTGGCGAGCAGTTCTCCCCCCACGGTCTCTCCATCGACTGGGAGAGGAAGTTCATCCTCACCTCGGACTTTGTCGAGCCCATCAGTATCCTGAAACCTAGCACTGGTATCCGCCGTGCCAACACTCTCCGTCTGTGGGACTTGGACACCAAGCATATCCTCAACACCATCACCATTCCTGAGGTATGTCTACCCAAACACACCTAGACGTCATGCTAACCCTCAACAGGGAGGTGGTATCCAGGACGTCAAGTTCATCCCCGGCAACAAGGAAGGCGCTGCTCTCGCCACGGCCGTCCACCTCGGCCAGGTCTGGATCATCTACCCCGAGCGCAAGGACGAGCACGGCAAGCCCGGTGTCACTGAGCTGCTGTACGACCTCGGCCCTAAGGCCCGTGACACCACCGCCATCTAGTAAGTTCACCACATCATATTCAGATATAAAATACTAACAAGAACAGCACCGACATCACCCAAGACGGCAAATACATCTACCTCACCCTGACGACCGCCAACCACATCGCCGCCCTCGACATCAGCGACCTCAACAACGTCAAGCGCCTTGACGACCCCGACGAGGACCAGCCCACCATCGGCCCTCACTACATCAAGGTGACCCCCGACCAGAAGCACGTCGCCGTGACCGACTACTTCGTGCAGACCGGCGAGATCGGCCTCATCAACACCCCCGCTGACTTCCACGCGCTGTACATCGATATCCTCGACGACGGCAGCTTGAGCTTCAACCGCAGCATCGACTTCAGCCGCGAGTTTGCCAACCGTGGTGGTGCCAAGCCGCACTCTGTTGTTGTCTTTGACTTTACTGACCCGGAGAACCCGCTCTACTACTAGAGTGTGCCATAGTCGGTCTATAGTGACTCTGTAGTTGGGCCGGGGATATACTCCGTGCATATATATGTAATGTGGGGGTGGGTGGTTGCTTCTTGGACGGTCTCTTTGTACTTAGCTAATTCCCCTTGCTATGAGGGATAATATCGAGGCCTGTCTGTTATATATTTAAGCAATAATAATATTGATATACTCTGATCAGTCTCTAAGAGGAACGTGCGATTATTTAGGTAGTCAACATTGGAAGCTGCGACTCAGATTCGTACGGTCGCTAGCTGATGGGTTTGGTTGTATATTTGTTAAATAACTATCAATTGGAGAGAAACTATTTTGAAAAAGAAAATTGAATAACCCTGCTATTTGAAGCTTGAACAATATAAGTACTGCACAGCATACTTAAAATATATGTGTGACACAACGCCATAATCCATAATGGTCCCCTAAAATCCAAAGACTCTTCTTGTACGATCCAGCGGTACCAGCGACATCGGAGAGTGCGATCGCCCGCAGGCCAGCGACGTCTGAAACTCGGACAAAACTCGCTCCACGCCAAAACATCCAGTCTGCCAGTGGGTCTGCAAGCGGCTAAGCATTTGTTCCTGATCCTGATCCTGAGGATCCCGAGACAGGGATGTGTCCGGCATGCCGATATTTTCAGACTTTGCGGTGTGTCATCCGGAATTTGTGTTTTCGGACACTCCACAGCCCTTGCATAGAGTGTCGAGAGGCATTGAGGGCCGGTGAGCGGGATATCCAGAGTCCACATTGATTGTCCCGCGTGCCAAATCTTATCAGATCAGGCCGTCTGTCGTGGCCTATCCTGGTTTATCTTTGCACACTTTCACACCCAGGCTCCTGTCTGGGTACCAATTTACAGCAGTCTCTGAATCAACTTGCATGCAGCTATGGAATTGTGCCTGCCCGGTTGTCATCTGTCGTAGGTATATTGCTGTGAAGAGATATTGTGGGTCGCGTGGAGTCAGCTCAAGACAGTGGTTCTATGCTTGAAACAGTATATGGTCTGAAGAAGGCTCTGGAAAATTACGGAAGGGCGTCCTTGGAATCTCTAACACCAAGATTGCCCTGACAATCTGTGATTGCTGATGTCGTCCAAGGTACGTATTCCCACGTCGTGCTGATCCACAGATCAGACCGCTGTGGATGGAAAGCCCGTTAGAGGACCCGGTGAGGTGGTACAAGGAGGAAAGCCTGGTCTTGCTAAATACCAAGATCTTGCTGCGGTGCAGTTTTATGTAAGATTTTCTGTGCGTCTACCAGTAGAACAGGGACCGGCTGATTGAGTTTTAGATAAGAAGAATGTCAGATCCACGGTGGGCCGTGGTGGATATGTGGGATGGATGGACATTTGCATGATCCGATCCCGGGAGCAAGGGTAGGACAGGGGCACGGCTCAGGCGCTGTGGGCGGTTTCATATATCTAGCGGTTTCTCCTGCAATCGAGTTTCTTCCTTTTTCCATCCCATTGTTCCCGCTGTCGGTATACCCTGTCTGGCCTGTCAAGATGTCAGTCGATGTTAACACCCAACTGTCGAGTTCTTTCTGACTTGCAATAGTTATCCTGTCCAAAATGGTCGGCTTCAAATCCGCTGTCTTCCTACTGCTACTGCACGCGGTCTTCGGCTCTGCCTACCGCTGGTACAACTGGCAGTTCGAGGTCACTTGCCAGTCCGATGCGTATATCGCACCGCTAGATGAGGATGCAGCGGCGGACTTCCTCCAACAACAATACGCTGAAGGCTCTCACATCAAAGTCGTCGGAAACGGTCATGGATTTGGTAATCTTACCCAGTGTGTCGACCAGAGTCTGACCAAAAAGCCTACCTATATTGTTTCGCTCGTCAACCTGAAGAAACTCCACATTGATAAGAAGAATATGACTGTGACCTTCGGGGCTGGATGGGATGTCGATGATCTTACCCAGGAGCTCAAGGCAAATGACCTGTCCTTTAATCACCTTGGTGTTGAGCGTGTTCAAAACTTCGTTGGTGCTGCCTCGACTGGTACACATGGCTCCGGGTCGAACATGGGCAACATCGCCAGCCAGATTGTTGGACTGCGTGTTTTGGATGCACAGGGCAATCTCCGTGTCGTCAACGAGAGTACCCCCGAAGAGCTGAAAGCGTTCCGTATCAGTCTCGGAGCACTAGGTCTCATCACCGAGATGACCATCAAGGTCCAGCCTACCTACCGCGTCAAAAAGACCACCAAGGTCATGAACGCCACCTCCGACTACAACCAGATGTACAAGCAAATCGCACAACTATACAAACAGCACGACCGCATGACCGTCTGGGGCCCACACTTCGACTGGAACGAGAAGACAAAGAACTGGGATCTAGAACCTACCTACTTCCTCTCCTACTGGGAGCCAACCAACTACACCGGTGCCAGCAACTGCACCCTGAACTACTGCGCCAACGGCTGCGGCGACTGCAAGAAGGAATACATCTGCTACGACGAAGTCAGCGACTCCGTCTCCTGCCCTCCCCAGGGAATCTGCAACAGCCGCTTCTACGCCGAGATCGAGCACTTCCTACCTATCGAGTACTATGCCGAAGCTGCCGCGAATTATACCAGATTCCAGCAGTCACAGACACCGCGCATGACGGGGCCATCAAATAAGCAGATGGTTATCCAGCACCGCTCGCTGCGTGGTGACGATACGTACTTGTCCCCTGTGAACACGTATAACCTGGACCCGAGTCTCAGTGGGATCTTTGGTATTATCGAAATCGACTGGATCCAGGAGTATGATAGCTTTGAGACGCTGTGGCAGAACCAGGAACTTGCGTATGAGTTCTTGCCGAAGTTTGGTGAGACTTATAATGCGCGCCCGCACTGGAATAAGATGAATGCGCCGGATGCGGAGTACATGAGGGGGATGTATCCGAAGTTGCCGGAGTTTTTGGAGATCCAGAAACGCCAGGATCCGAAGTGTCAGTTTGTGAATGAGTTTTTGGTCTCGCAGCTTGGTATTACACGTTGTGGGGATTATCTATCATAGCTGCTGTCCATTTTATAGAGTTTGGCATTTGAAGGTATACACACTCCAAGGGCTGGGATAAACGAGGAATAACCGGCTGAATACAACCATATTACTGTATATAGTAATAAAAGCAATGGATTACAATACTGAATAACTCGCAGTCGTCCCAACCTATGCTCCGACAGGACAGTATAGCGGAGGCAATGAGGAGAGTTCGTACTCGAGAGTTGGTCCAGCATCTTATAGGAACAAACCGAGTAGTGGTGAGCTAGTCAACAAGGTATCATCAGCTTGGCATGGGATGTAACAAATCCTCTATACTAGACATGCATAGTCCACCTGGAATCAATACCTAATGTAATCTGAATCTATATAAGTCTGACCTAGATCATATAAAATTAGGTTAAAGATGCCTGAATCTAGTACAAATTGAGGGATTTGATCTCTTCCAATTGCACTTAGGGGGGACTGTTGGCTATTATAGAGCTCTTCCACATAGCCAGGGCCATGGCTTTTCCAGTCAACTGCAATACTAGAAGCCTTATATCATTTAGCTACTACAGTAAATGCTCAAATAGCTCATCCCAGAACTTGCATCCCTCAGAAAAACAATAATCATACTCGGCCATCCTCTCCCTCAAGGCATCCAGAACAGCCCTACGCACCTCCTCCCCCTCATCCTCCCCAAACACATCCATTGCCGCATCCAGATCCTCTACAACCCCTGCCATCATCCCCAACAGCATGGCAAAAATGTCCACCGAAAATGCAACCAACCCCTGATACCCGGCTCCATGGTCCCAACCTCCAGGGTCATACAGACATACCTCCCCATTCTCTCCATCAACCATCACCATCCACTCCCACACGCTCCCGAAATGGAAACAAAAGTCTGTGCGAGGGGAGTCGTCATCCGGTGTTCGTCGGCCATACAGCTCATCCGAGTCATACGGTTCTAGACGACGCTCCGCTTTCGATAAATGGGTGGAGTGATAGCCTGTCCGTCGAAGATCGATTACAGGAAACCCCACGGTGGTTAGGAAAGTCCTTGTCGCTGCATCAGCGAGTTCTGGTGGGAACTCGCTTTCGTCGGGTTGCCACAGAGAACCGGGGCCGAAGTGGTCTTCCAGCCAGGCTTTATCTGGGCTTTCAGTCCCTTCCGTGTTATCCTGGATGGATTAGCATACTTTGGCAGTGGGATTTCGGAATTGTTACGGTGATTGAGAGCAGGATTTTCCGGCGGTTCTGTGGGCGGCGGTCAAAGACGTGGGAGAGTAATTTGCATGACTTGGCAAGGTGAAGGGCATCGGTGATGTTGTCCAAGCTTTGATAGACCCAGAGAAGGATCTCGTGGGGAAGATCTAGCAAGGTTGGCATTTTGGTGCCAACAGCAGTAGAATTAATTCATCAAGAAATCTTGAAATCTTCAGGGGCTGCAGTGCCAAGGAGGTTAATTTTAAATTTCGCTATCGATGGAAGCGATACGAGGTAGGCAGGAATTCTGGTTTTAGCACGGCGGGGCTTCTGTCTTTACCTTGGGCTTTATATTCCAGCGAGTGCGGTAGATGAAATGAATTGGGAGGTACAGCTTTGCTTTTCTAACTAAACTCGACGACAGAGATAAACACCTCAGGGAATGTCCCTGAGCATCAACACCTAGATTAAGGGAGGTACCAAGGAATACGGCACAGGTCAGGCGTTTGCAGAATAACTGCATGTAGGTATACATTGACTCAATTAGGGCATCAGCATACCACCAGCGTGGGCTTTCTACAACATCGTTGGAGAAGTGTCAGATACACATTCCGGGCAATTCGCCAGGAACCAAGACCACGCTATAAATAAGCTTATTTCTGTACATCATTATGACCAACTAGCCTACTCTGGTTGATCGCCTGATCGCTGCTAGATGCCTGAGTGAGAATGCTACCTGGTTCAAGTGCCAATGGCATTCTACTTGGCTTATTTCGGCGGGCATCGAAATGGCGACGTGCATAAGCCAAACCCACTGTGGAACTCGACCTCACAATAAGACTTATATACGAGTTGTGCTAACGAGTCAGATTAAATATAATAATACAACAGTCCTATTGAATAATCATGTCTCGCCCATATCGCCCACATAAGCGAGTTTATCCCGTCTATCATCACTCAACCGCGCATACTCCAGCAGCAACCTGAGCATATAGACCTGCATATCCTCCGGGCGTAGAACCTCTTCAGCCCAGCGCTTCCCGTTCATCGCGATCTTCTCCGCCTGGGCATCGTGCCCGGCATGCTCTCCATATCCGATGAAATAGCTCAAGATCCCGTAGAGGTCCATATACAGTGAATCCATCGGTACAAAGTGCGCCCACGGAATCAGTCGCGTATCGTGCCACTCCTTGTACACGGTCGCCTTGATGGGCAAGGACGTGGAGAGTAAGAACCCGCGGTATCGCCCGCTGAACGAGTTCCCGTCGACGTCGGGGAGGTATTTGTAGTTGAACATCTCGTTCATTGGGATTCCGGCGACGAGGGTGTAGTACGGGTCAGTGTATGGGCAGTGAGGCGCCGCACCTGGATAATCCGGCGAGCAGACGAGGTCGAGGAACCCTGTGTCGGCGTGTTCGTCGAGCCACTGGGGTAGGTTGTTGTCAAGACCGGCCCAGACGTCATAGTACTCATAGTTTGGCTGCCGGAAGTTGACACCGTGCGAAGAGGAGCCGTCTGTCTGCGCCACCTGTGTCCCGTTCAGCATAGACAGCAGTCGGTGCCGCTGGTATCCTGTCCAGGTATCTGGGCGATTCCGGCCACCGCTGGCGATCCCGCGCCATACGACACCGTCCTGTTTCTCTGCCCAGGGGCCGCCGTGGTCTGCTCCGCCGGAGAACAGCGGGTTATCCGCCCAGTACATCACCGGAGGAATCAGGATCTCGTTGTTGACGGTGAGCTTTGACCCGCCGAACAGAGGGACGAGTTCGTGCGATGTCGATATCGAGAGCGGTTCGATAAAGGAGCCGTGCAGGGCTTGGAGCTCTGCGCGCCAGCAGGGATCCTTTGACCGCTCAAAGTCCTCGACGTAGCCCGTGCTGGAGAAGTTGCGGTAGTGGTAGAATTCAGCGGGCGGGTGTTCGAAGTCCAGTTTGGCGATGTTGCTCGTGCGCCCGGGGCTTTCGGGGGGACAGGCGTGGCGCATAATCTCCCAGAAAGCGTGGTCCGCGCCTATGAATGGGGGCATTGCATTCTCTGGGGGGTTCTCGGGGTCGAAGGGAGGAAGGGTCATGTATTCGTCTACGGCGGCTTCGGAGGGGATGAAGAGTTGGTTGGCGCGGTCTTGGGCGATGGATTCGGTGAGGTTTTCCCATGGGATTATCAGACGAGGTTCATCCATCCCATTGAGCGGAATGTCCATATCTGGGAGAAACTGCGCGATGGTTGATATCAGATCCGACCATCCGTCCATCCATCCAGGCCCAGTGCTGCCGACTCCAGTCAGTGTGTGGTTGCGCAGGACGATTCGGGGGTCCCATCCAGCAGCCCTGCGGCGCATTTCCTGTGGTCGCAGTGCCCAGTACGGGCTGATATCGATGTATATCTGGTCGAAGAGGTCCTCGATTATTGTAGCATTCTTTTCCTGCGCGAACGCGAACCATGTATCGAACCCCGGCGGCGGGTGGCGGTTTCGTCGCTTGCGATATTGTCTGGCGGCGTCCTCGAGTCGATGCGACCGCTGTAGGAGCAGACGCTCCCATTCTCGCTCGGCGTCATGGATCAGCCAGTCGATCCGGTGCTTCATCGGGGGGGCATCGTCAAGGTCATCGTGGCTCGGAGGGGGGCTGGTACTGCCGCTGCTGTCTCCTGAGGGTGCGAGGGTGAGTGTGCCTTCGTCAGAGTATAGTCGGAAGACAAAGATGGTCATGAGAATGGACAGAAAGGCCAGGAAGGCCACACCGGCCAGTAGATTGTACCGGCCCAGCCTTGCCCAAAGCATGGCGAGACTATTCGTGTGTAAGGGGAGAAGAGAAGACAAGTCCGCCAGCTCGTGGGCAAGTGCAACTCAGAAGTTGGCGAGTTGGCGGCTCAGCGGCAGGGGCTTGCCAGTCTCTCCACCTATCGTTCTTGATAATGGACGGCCAATGAAGGATGAGGTCATGGGCTGTGGATTATCAGTTGACTGGGACGCATATTGAAGATGGCTGTGCCGTATGCGAATCAGAGCTGGTGAAGGCCCACCGGTCCATCATACGAAACTGTCACTGCACGACTAGCGGTGGAAGAAGGGATAATACAAAATGCAGTGCAGCCTGCCGACTAGGAGCAGGGCCATTTGTGTTCTGGTGGACCAGGCGGACGGGTGAACCTGGCAGCAATTTCTCCGTAGAAAGAAAATTGACTTTGTGGCTCGTGCAGACTGCACGCTGGAAACGTGGTCCTGGACGCCGACACATTCCGGAGACGGCAGAACAGGAGAGCATTGGCTCATCATGACGCGCAAGAATGGGCGTCGCATCTGTTCAATGAGAGTGGAGATGGCGTCGCATTGACATGGATCCGCTCCGGACAAGCAATGAAGGACTGTTCCAGCCGAGCGCCATCTCCACTGATCAGCAGAGTGGGCCAGTTATTAATTTAAAGCTGCTGGCTGTGCTCTCACCATGTGGTGGCATACCTCAATATCAATATTCATGAAGCAGACTTCTATTAGAGATAGAGCCTAACCAGGTCGATATTGAAGAAAATTGCAGGTTTAAGTTCTGTCGCTAAGAATTTCACCTTAGAAGCGGTAGATGGGGTTTGTTATTATATATACAGTGCATGGCTGAACTGGGAGTATATTAAGAGGAGAGTATATATATACAAAGTGTTCTAGGGCTTTCGAGTCTTCCATTGGAAATTGGTTATACAATTATATAAAAGGTGATAATTAGAAGGATCTGTCTTTACACCATCTGTATGATATATAAGCATGCTGGGCATATGGCGCAATGCCGAGTTGGAGAAGCTGCAAGACAGCTTACTGCACCGCGATGGCTCAATTATGGCGCCCTTTGCTTCATCGTTGGTGTCATGTATAGCGTCTTTCCGTCTACTGGTCGCGTCATCAACCCCTCATTTAAATACAGACTGTCCACATCGGAAGGAAAGATTCTAAACAATCACCAAATCCCAAGGCAAAGAAACCATGGCATCTCAACCTCCCGTGGTCGACAGCAAAAAGCTCGACGCCATTCGAAAGCGATACGCCGAAGAGGCCAACAAGCGTCTCAAGCCCGAAGGTTCCTCGCAGTTCCTCCAGCTTACACAGACAGACGAAGCACGACTGCGAGCTCTGGCTGAAGATCCCTGGGTTGACCATTCCGCCTTAAACTCGAAGCAATCTCCCATTCACAGTAACGCCACTTATCGCTTCTTCGTTCTAGGGGCAGGCTTTGGCGGCCTCCAGTATGCGGTTCGATTAATCGACGATGGAATAGCCACAGCCGATGAGATTCGCCTTGTCGATGCAGCGGGAGGATTCGGTGGGACTTGGTACTGGAATCGATTCCCTGGTCTGCACTGCGATGTTGAGAGTTATGTGTACCTGCCGCTGCTGGAGCAGACGGGGTATATACCTAGCCATAAGTACGCCCCGGGACAAGAGATCCGTGAGCATGCCGAGCGTATTGCGCAGAAGTGGAATCTGGAGGATAAGACGCTCTTTCGAACTGATATTGAGAGCGTGGAATGGGATGACCGGTCGCAGCTCTGGATTATCAACAGCGTGGAGCGCCGTGGGAATGAAGATCCGATTAAACGGACATTCCGCGCGCAGTATGTTTATCTGGCTGCAGGGGTTCTGACTCGGCCTCAGATTCCGCGTATTCCAGGCTTATTGTCCTTTTCAGGGTCCATATTCCATACTGCGCGGTGGAACTATGCCGTCTCTGGCGGCTCGCAGTCTAGCCAAGAGCTCACCGGCCTCAAGGGCAAGAGGGTTGCAGTTGTCGGAACAGCTGCGACGGCCATTGGAACAATTCCAGAGGTTGCGAAATTTGCAAAAGAACTATATGTTATACAGCGCACACCGGCATACGTGAAACCCCGCGGTCAGCGCCCGACAGAGCTCGACCATTTCAACAGTAAGATCGCTGGTCAGAAAGGATGGCAGTACAGCCGACAGTTGAACCTGAACATATTCATTACGAACTCGGCACCACCAGATCTGGAAAACCTGGTTAACGACGGATGGACTGACATGCCGGCATATTCGGCTATAGTTGGTTCTCCCAACAACAGACCCCTGGATCCAACGCCAGAAAACCTTGAAAAGCACTCTGACAGATTCCATGCTCTCGACCTACCGCATATGGAAGCGATTCGAGCTCGGATTGACCAGGTTGTCAAAGATCCAGCCACAGCCGCAAAGCTCAAACCCTGGTATCCCTCGTGGTGCAAGCGCCCGACATTCAGCGACACCTACCTGGAGACCTTCAACCGACCAAACGTCCATCTAGTTGACACAGACGGAAAAGGGCCGTCCAACATCACACCGACCGGAATCGTCGTAGGCAACAAAGAGTACCCAGTGGACATCATAATCTTCGGCACCGGATACCGAGTACCAACAGCAGGAAGTGGGAGTCCCGCCGTACGCACTGGGGTTAATGTAACCGGTCGCAATGGACAGAGTCTAGACGATAAATGGCAAGCTAATGGCGCAGCTGCGCTACATGGCTACGCGACCAATGGATTCCCGAATCTGTTTTTCTCCGGGACAAGCCAGGCTACTATAACCGGGAACAACATCTTCATGCTGGGGTTGATAGCGAGGCATATAGCGTATATGATTGCGGAAGGGGAGAGGCGGGTTGGGCCGGGGAATAGGGCTATCATTGAGGTGACTCGCGAGGCTGAAGAGGCTCACACTGCGGAGATATTAGAGCGGGCCCCGTTCTTTTCTGTCCTCGCTGGTTGTACTCCGGGATACTTTAACAGCCATGGAGATAGTGTGAATATCACGGACCCGAATGAGAAGCAGAAGCGGGCAAAGGGTGTGACATGGTCAGAAGGGGCGGCGTCTTTCCTTAGATATATAGAGGGCTGGCGGGAGGAGGGCTCTTTGAAAGGGCTATCTATTGAGCCAGCTAGACAGGTTCAGGCTCGACTGTGATGTATGTCGTTCTAAATTGATGCCCTACTCTTCAAGATATAAACCCTCCTCTGGCGGCGGCACTCCGTACCAGTCCAAGCCCAGTTTATCCTCTGGATCGGGATCAGGCATCTGGTAGTACCCATCATATCTCCACCATGTCCGATCCTCCCAGACATCCTCAACAGGAAGAACACCCTCAGCCTTCATCTCATCCCTGACCTTCTCAACATCCCTCCACACCCGAAGGATATTCTCACCTGCGACCAGGGCCAATTGTTCCTCCGTCGCGCCCCTATCAAGAATCGCCTGCAGCAGCCTGGGATAGCACTTCACATCTTCTAGCCCCGGTATAACAGACGCAATCCCATCAAAGTCCGACCCTAACCCGACAAACTCCCATCCAATCCGCTCCGCAATATAAAACAGATGATCAAGCACCATATCTATCCTGGCCTCCGCCCGCCTGGTGGCCACATGCTCAGGCACAAACGTCACCATGATAATCCCGTTATTCTCGCGTACCATATCGATAGCATCGTCGGGGATATGCCGGGGACAGTCAAATACAGCCTTTATGTTGGAGTGGGAGAACATCACAGGTGCCCGTGTAAGGCGCAACACCTGCCGCGCACATTCCTCGGATACGTGCGAGCAGTCGATTATCATCCCGAGTCTGTTCATCTCGATTATTGCGGACTGGCCAAGACTTGATAGACCTCCGTGGACGGGACCGACTTTGGAGGTGGAACTATCGGCAAAGGCGTTGTTGCAGACGTGCGTAAGCGTGCACTGCTCACGTTAATTTGATTCAATCAATTATTCGGATATTGGTGGCTTACATATCGAACGCCTAATCGGTAGAACGCGCGGATTATACCGATGCTGTTACCAGCCATGTGTAGTCTGTGGAATACTTAGTTTTATTACCCTTGTAGTGTACTTCAGGACTAACCCTTCAATACCGATGGAACAGGCAATTTTCCCCTCCGCGTAAATCCTCTTCACATCGTCTGGGCCATCAACGAGCTGGAACACATCTGGATAGGACTCGACCAGCCTGAGTGTCAGATCAATCTGTTCAATCGCATCCCTAGCCATGTCCGAGTACTCCGGGGTCGAAAAGTTCTCGGCAGATCTTAGACATGGGACACAGATGGACCAGAACTGCCCTCCGACGGCACCTAGACATATATTAGTTGTGACAATGCCAGAGGGAAAGAACGGTCGTACCTTCACGTAACCGAGGAATATCCGTCATTCCCCGCTCAAAGCCCTTTTTCAGATCGAACTTCGGGTTGTTGTAGATCTTGCCGTGGGTGATGGCTCGTGGCTGCTGGGGGAGGTCATTATGGCCGTCGATTAGTGGTGTTTTCAGGAGAACGCGTTTGACGCGCTCGTCGATGTTTAACGACTGATATGGATGTGCCATGATGTTGAAAGTTCACAGAGCGAGGGGAAGGAGAAGCTCATAAGGGATATTTGAAACGATTAATGCTATCTACGTATTATATCAGAGTAGTTTCCCGCGCAGTTTGCCGCGGGGGTTGCCTCGCCGAGATAGGGAGGAGATAAAGGATTCACCTACTCCAACTATAGATTGGTATCGGCTTATCGAGATACACTGTACCTATATATTAATGATAGCCACAGCATGTGTCCATGGAAACCTATCCAACCGGGCAAGGACTATACCTGACATTTACCATGTCGAAAGACGATATCAAAACCATCCCCACTGGCGAACAGCCAGTCTACGACAAGGGCGAAATACTCGAAGCCAGTTGTGATGAAACAGTATCCCGGCTCAAATGGAAGCTAGACCTGCGTCTTCTGCCCCTTCTATGTCTGACCTACGCCCTGCAATCCATCGACAAGACGACCCTGAGTTACGCTGCCGTCTTCGGCCTCGAAGATGACCTGCATCTAACAGGGCCAGAGTTCTCCTGGCTAGGCGCACTCTTCTACCTAGGATACCTGGTCTGGGAATTCCCGACAAACATCATGCTCCAGAAGCTCCCTATCAATCACTTCATGTCGGGAACTGTACGTCTTACCCTCCTGGTATGTGTCCTAGCTAATTAATACGTCCTAGGTCATCATATGGGGCGCAGTCCTTATGTGCCACGGCGCCTCACATAATTTCGCAAGCCAGGCCGCGGCACGTACATTCCTCGGTGCGTTCGAGGCTTCGATAAACCCAGGTACAATGCTTCTCTTCTCCATGTACTACTCGCGCAGTGAGCAGCCTCTCCGCATGGGCATCTGGATTGGCTCTGCCGGTCTGGGCTATGTGATTGCCGGGATTGCGAGTTTTGGGATCGGTCATATACACTCTGCTATTGCCAGTTGGCGGCTGCTGTATATTATATGGGGTGCAATTACCGTGGCGTGGGGAGTTGTTCTCTTAGTCTCCCTGCCGGGTTCTCCTCTAACGACGAGGTTTCTAAACGAGGGTGAGAGGGAGTTAGTCCTGGCTAGGGTCAGGAATAATGGAACCGGTGTTGAGGATAAGAAGTTCAAGTGGCCGCAATTTATGGAGGCAATGATGGACCTGAAGACGTGGCTGTTGTTTCTATTTGCGGTGGCTAGTAATTCGCCGAATGGGGGGTTGACTTCGGTAGGATATACTTCTCTTAGGTATTGATCTAGCACTTACTGGATTGCAGTTTCAAGGGCTCATTATCAAAGGCATGGGATTCTCTACGTTGAGAACAACCCTTATCCAGATGCCGTCTGGTGCTGTGCAACTTATCATCTGCCCTCTCGCCTGGTACGCTCCCTTTCGCTAGCTCAACGCTATCCCTTAACATTATAACAGCTTCTTCGCAACCCACTACCCCAACTCCCGCATTCTAATAATGCTCCTCTGCATTATCCCCTTCCTAGTCGGCGTGCTGGGTCTATGGCTCCTCCCCTCCTCAAACCCCTACGGCCGACTCGTTTGTCTCTGGATCTCCTTCGCATACACCGCCGCCTGGACCCTCTGCATGTCCATCGCAACGGCAAACACAGCAGGACATACGAAGAAGATCACTACAAATGCCATGGTGATTATCGGGTACTGCCTTGGAAACTTCGTGGGCCCGTTCTTCTTCAAAAGTGCGCAGGCGCCGGTTTATCAACTGGGTGTTGGCATGATGTTCTTTTGTATTGGTGTGCAGGTTTTCTCTCTACTTGGGTTGTGGGGACTGCTCTGGGTCAGGAATTGGAAGAGGAGGGCGGTTTATAGGGACAGGGGGGTTGATGATGGGGTTCGCCAGATGATGGCGTACGAGAAGGGAATGATGGATGAGACGGACTTGGAGAATGAATATTTCCAGGTGAGTTTGCTGTTTCGGATTTATGTTCATGGCTGATGATGTTAGTACGTGTACTAGTTGTTATACATGGCTTCCTGTGCAAATGTCATAGTATTGTTTGCTGTAGTGAGATTATAAACAAATGTTTATTGTTCCAATCGCCTATTGCCGTTGGAATGCCTCATGGTTCCTGTAAGCCAGAAACCCCGTCCCAGGAACACATCCAATATACTCTGCCACGATATCAGAGGCCTTGAGAACACTTGTTTCCACCCAAAGAGCCAGCTTTCCACACTCCGCCATCTGCCCTCCAGGCCCATATGTTTGCAAGATGTTATTCCGCAATCCGACGTGTCCCTTATTCGATCTTCCCAACCTCTCCATGGACTTGAGATCCTTGAAAAAGAACAACTCCACCTTGCGGGTATGCTTGTGGAAATCGCTCTCATCCTCCTTATAAGTGCCCTTAGTCTCGTCATAGCACATCCGCGAAGTAAGAATCCCAGCCTCCGGTGCCGCGGCCATCAAATCGTCCATCCACTTACAAACAGCCTGGTCGAACTGGTCAAACCAGAGACTTTTCTCTGCCTCCATCATTTTCGACATGTCCTGCCTTTCCAAGTTGAAACATAGATTGTCGGGGAACGTATCTATAAGAACACGGCCGTGCACTTTCTCGCTCAGATCCACCTGCCGGTCGGGCACCAACGCCTCCACTACCGGCGTATCCATGCGGTTCTCCTTCGATAACTCCTCAATCGAATCCCTGATCCACCCCCAGTACCCGTTCTTTGTGGTGAGTACATGTGGGGCAAACGTCCCCTGTCCAGCCTGCCAATCCTGGGTGGTTTTATACTGGGTACGGGTGTATGGAACATGGATGATCTCGCGCCAAACACCAGCGTCGTCGGGTAGAGAGGCCCAGAATTCCACGACGGGTTTCGATCCCCACCATTGCTCGAATTTGGCGGTTGAGGACCAGGTTGCCAGCCAGATTTGGGTCTTGCCTTCGCCTGGTGCGAGGATTCCGTGATGTGTGACTCTGTCGATGTAGCTGTCGGTTCCCTCTAACAAGGCATCGAAGGATTGGATCACAGATTGTGTCTTGTCTGAGACGGTGCTCGTTGGTTGTTGGACTCCGAATAGGGAGTAGACGAGTGTGCTCGAGGGGGGTGTTTTTATGGTGAACATGTCGTCAAGGAAGGAGGAAAGTCAAGGGTATGAATGGTATGACCGGTGGCACCTTTGTGATACGAGTCCAGATGTGACGACGGTATATCTAGCAGTCCTGTGGTGTTTGATATAAGATCCGATTATAAATTGAGATGGAGTGCGTGTCTTAAAGAACAAAGATGCGAAAGCAGGGCCACCAAACCCTCGCAAGAAATGTCTCAATCAAGTGACACGAGCTCGGCATTACACACACCTGATGCCTTATTGGATCAATGCCCAGCGATCATTCAGCTGTCATTCAGCTACCTGCAACAGACATGCTGATCTCGGGTCTTCGTGCGGGGATACCAAGTCTTGGGCATGTCCAAGGAAATAAACGGCCTTTGCCCTTTGCCCGACGGCCAAGACAGTTGAGGACGAATAGAAACTCTGCATTGCCCGCTGGTATATGATTCACATGTTGTCTGCTACTACGCCGCGCCCCAGACGTTGCGGCTCTTGCTCGTAGTCGTTAACTGGTTCTTATCTAAGGTTATCAGGTAACTATACCAGCACGCCTATGGTGGCTCAATCATTGGGAGTGTTCGTTATCGACCTGGAATCCGGTTTCACTATATACGTTGTAGTAACGCCAAAAGGCGCAAGGGGCCGAATAAGAGTTATCCAGATGCAGATATCATATATTAACAAAAATGCCATTCCAATTCCGATGCTAAGAAGCAACCAAAGCCTGGATGCCAACAACAAAAGTATCCGGATAGGTAACCGGCCTGTGGTTACTATCCAAAAACACCTTTAATCCAACCGCGTTGTTACCAGAGTGCCCACCAAGTGCAATCACCACAGGCTCCCCGTCACAGACACCCCATCGCGGACTCTCACGCCCGTCGGCAGAAACAAACTGTATACCGCGCAGTGGGCCGTCGTTGTCCACCCAGAGTCGGCAGGATTCTAGCACCGCGCCACCCTCAATACTCCATTCCTCCGCTGTGGAATAATGGAGTGTCTTCCCGAGAGGGGATTCAGACTCTGGAAGTTTTATATCGTAATGGCACCAGCACCATGGGTACTTGTTCTGCCCCTCGGTGTCGGTAGGTGCAGTGAGACGCGTCGGTCCGATACTGCCGGTTGACCCGTCCGCGTATTCCAGGATCAAACTAGTAGGCGTAAATGGGAGATTCTGCGTCCTGTGCGCGACGTTGAGTCGGACTTTACGCACCGGCCGGGTACAGTCTAGCCAGGTCACGACAGCAGTGGTGCTGGGGAATGAGGTACCAGGCCGGATGGGGCTCGATGGCGTTTCGTGAGCTCCGTACAGAGGTCCTACGGCGGTCCAACCGGTAGGTGGTTCGCATGGCTCCCACCAGTGTTCCTCGCCATCTGGTCCCGTATCCTGCTGTCCTGCTGGTCCTTCTTCTTCTGAAGAAGAAGACGGCGCAAACAGGCCAGCAATACACTGGAGTCTTGCCTGTGGCGAAGACCGCGAGGACCAGTTGCAGTAGATGCCACAGAGCGCCTTTTCATCAGTGCATGCGTATACAGTTTCGGAGGGCTGGTTTGGTCGACAGCTTCCCAGAATCAGCTGGCGGTTGTAGTTTGTGATGAATCGGATGCCGTGTGTGATATGTCCGACTGCTGCGCCGACAGCGACAATGCGTTCCCCTCCTGCCCCGTCGATGGGCAGAGATTTCATGGTCAATGGGCGTGGTCCTATAGTTTTAGTCGGTTTGTTGGTATAGCGGACCTCGAAAGCACCGATCTGCGCGTCTACTGCTATCTCTGTGATAGCAGCGAGTTCGTCCTCGTCACGACCGAATACAAGGGCTTCCATTGGAGCCAGGTCGGTCTTGAAGCCCATTGACCAGTAGCCAAGTCGCTCTTCGGAGGGAGACATCTCCGGTGCTGGTAGACTTTCTTTCCAGAGTCTCGAACCGATTGCGGTAGAGGATTCCGGTTTGCCTACCTGTGCTCGCACGAGTTCTGCTGCGTGAGGCGCGCCTTTGGAGACAGGAACATGGAGCAGTGAAAGACCTGATATAGGATTCCCTGGGGACCACTCCGCAAACAGTCCGGCCAAAAGGCGATCGCTTTCGGTGTGAATGAGTATATGATCTCCGTTGCTTTGGCCCAGCTGGATGGGCTCCCCATGTATAAATAGAACCTTGAGACCGACCACCTTTCTTCGTTCACTGTCACCAATCTCAGTTGATGTCACGATGAACCCTCTGATCCAGTCATTCTTTTGAATCTTTACCTCGTCGCGTACAGCGAATTTCTCGGGGCTCCCGATAGTGTCCATGTTCGCCCGTTGAACACCGAAGCCCGACAACGCTCCTTTTTTGGTCCAGTACACGGACAAAATGGGAGGGTCCTGGTCGAGATCAGAGAGAGACCTGAGTAGCGCCAGGGCCAGGGAGTCAATTTTGGCCTGTGGCGAAGTAAGTCGTCGGATTGGTGTTGAGGTGGCCTGGGTCAGCAACGATCCCTGCGATCGTCTACGCTCCTCATCCTTGACGGCTTTCCTTCTGGCGTACGAGGGACCGAATTGCTCACAGACCCCCCATATCCTTTTACGGTTGACCAGTGCTAGAATCTGAGCAGGGTTCCCGTTTTGGCTGCGTGCGCGGAGGTCCGCGTAGCACTTGGCCCAGTCTAGATCTAGATATTCCTCCGCATCGGTAGGGAAGTCGAATAGCCAGGGCATGTCATGTAGAAGCTTTTGCTTCCAGAAGCCGTTGTTCAGCTCCAATCTGGCGACGGCAGGGCTTGCCGCTCGAAGGCAGTTCACTGATTCCATTGGTAGGGTTATTAGAATCTCGAACAGCAGTTCTGGAGCCAGTCTGGCCATGGGGTCGTTGGACAGCTGTACCGCACTGACATGTGTATGTGTATTCATCTCCGTATCCTCGTCATCCCGCTGCGGTAGATCGGCATAATAATCTGCCAGATCAAAAATTTGCATGGGCTCCATGACAACGTACTCCTCGCCACGACGCGGCTCCCAGTACTGCTCGGTCGTGTCGATACCGTAGTCGATCTTGGTCAGGCATTGTGAGAAGTCATCGCCCTCGTTTACAAAGTCTTTGAACGTGTGATACATGATGTCGTCGTCGAGGAATTCTCCGTTCAGCTGGGTTGAGACGAATTTCCGTAGGATGCCGCGGCATTGCGGATGGAACGGAATTGCAAATGCATGGTCTGTGCTCCAGTCGTAGCTAGAAGCCTGTTAGATATGTCCCTTATCTGGTTTTATATGAACGTACCAGCGGAAGTTGACTTGGCCTTCTTCGTCATACTCCATCTGGTCTTGAGTCGGGAAGTTAGGATGATTTCCAGGCTCAACATCGAAGAATCCCCAGTCCCCGTACTCTGCTGGGCCGGACACAAATACTCTGGTAGATGTTAGCCTAATTCCTGTACAAGGCAGGAAGGCTTACTTGTTCATAGACAAGGCTTCGCGGTTCTCGCTGATGATGCGGACATCGTTCATCCAGAGTACGTCCTCGACCTTGATCAGCGATTTGTCGTATCCTTCATCATCTTCGTGGCTTTCGCTGCCATTCTGGACATCTTCATTGGCGTTTGGATCAATATCATCGTCGTCTTCATAAATTAGCTGTGATACCTTGACCCCGCAGATGGCGCAGCAGTTGTCGTAGCCACCCATTGTCAGATTTGGATGTGTAAATTCGACTAAAAAAAGTCAAGGGTCCAGCAGTATTAAATCAGAGGAAGTTGCAGGCAGCAGCAGGCTACAATTGTCCCTGCAGGATTGCTTGTGCTCTTTCCTGGTGTCCCACAGGCTGTCCTTGTCTGCAGGTTCTCCGACCGTTGTATTTGTGATGGATAATATCGGGTCATTCCAGGGTGGGGTGTATAATGTATTTTATTCGGCCTGGATATATGAATATTATTTATGGTGGCAGTGCAATCCCAGATGCCCCTGACAGTAGATTTTTGTCCCCCACACTCGGTGCGGTGCCTGCAATCGAACCCTCGGTGACGTCATGTTCAGTGCCTTGAATCCAGTGTAGATTTATCTTGTATGTGGATGTGCTTTCTGGTTTACCTGCTTCTATTCCAATGAGAAAATCCAGCCCTATATTATAATTTTCCAGCATGCTTCATGGAAACAGCTTCTGATGAGTGGTCTTTGGACACGTATCTGTTCGGTCGCTATAACAAACCTCCGCAGGGTGTGAATCTCCCCATTTGGCTAAGAGCACTGCCGAGAGTCCATCAGATACGGGCCTTTATGGCGGCATCTTGATTGGTTGCTGTAATAGACTGCCAGATCCGGATGGTGGCTTTGTTAAGCATTATTAGTTATGTTGTAAATATTCACACGGCCAGTTGATATTAGATCTAGATCCTGGGTATATTCTAGCCCAATAACACCGATACACAATGAGGTTCTTGTGCGACAGTCAGCAGCATTAAAGACGGTGAGGCGGGGATTCCGAGCTGACGGCTGAGCATAAGCACAACTCTCAACCTCCCTCCTTCACCACGCACAACACCATGGCTTCATTTCGATCCCTGTCGCGCCTTGCCATTGTAAGTTTCTATAAACTAGTCAATCCAATACTAACAATTACAGGCAACCCTCTTCCTCGCATGGAGCTTCCCCTACCTCCAAGGCCGCTTCCGTGTGCTCACCATCTTAATCTCAAACAGCCCCAACAACCTGCCGGAGCTCAACAAATTCAGCACATCGTCGATAAAATTCCAGAACAAAGTCCGCAACTGCGAAGATGGAATCATCATCGATGAAGACGCCCTCGCCATCCTAAGCTGCGACCCTGGCCGCGACCTGTGGAATACAGTCATGGGCACATTCCACCCAGACCGCGCCGCCATTCCGAACGGGAAATTGTGGATTTATCGCTACGAACTGCCTGAGACATCGGAAAATGCTCTTGTGCCGATTGAATTTGATCTCGACGGTTATGAAGGGGAATTCTCCTTCCACCCGCTCAGTGTCGAGTATCACCGCGAAAGCGGCACGCTGGTTGTGTGTAACCACCACATCGACGGATCGCGTATCGAAGTTTTCACTTTGACGATGAATTCCAAGGGCGCTGTGGCGAAGCATACTCGCTCGATTATCCACCCGCTGCTCAGGACCCCGAATTCCGTTGTCGCGTTGACTGGGAATGAGTTTTATATCACGAATGACCACTATTTCCGACGGAAGGACTACCCAGTTCTAGCTCTGGCTGAGACTTATGGAGGTATCCCGGGTGGAGGTGTCGCGTATGTGAACATTGCCGCGGAACCTATTGAAGTAAAGACTGTCGCGCGCGGTCCGTTCGCGAACGGGGTTACGTTGCTGAATGAGTCGACCGCTGCGGTTGCATTTTCGGCGGCGGCGGAGGTTCGACTGTATAGCAGGCAAGAGGATAACTCGCTCCAGCAGGTGGATGCGATCCGGCTGCGCTTTGTGCCGGATAATCTGTCTACTGATAAAGATGGGAGTTTGTTGATTGCGGGACACCCGCATCCGCCGTCGCTGGATAAGACTGTGCATGCCCGGACGGAGTGTAAGGGTGTGGATGGTGTTGTTCCCCAGGAGTGCTGGAAGTCGACCTCGCCGTCTTGGGTGGAAAGGTGGACTGCTGCTGAAGGGTTGGAGACTCTGTATGTGTCCAGCAAGGAGTTTGGATCTAGTGCCACGGCAGCGAAGGATGCGGCTAGGAACATTGGCATAGTCACTGGGTTGTATGAAAATGGGATTCTGGTCTGGAAGGAGTAGGGAGAGACGTCATGAGTCCGCTACCTCTTCCATTTTATAGCCTTGATTAATATATCTGGTGTGATAAGCACGATATCAATATGACATGAAGCCTCGCTCCAATATTGCCACGTTGGCCATCCCGCCTTGCATAAGGATAACATATATTTAGAATTGGTGTAATATCTAAGCGTATACAAATGGTTTCGCTATATTTCTAAAACAACTCCGGCTTCTTCCATGGCATGCGCTTCATCCTCATCAAAAGCCTCGGTGAGCACCTTTTCCATTCGCTCAGCCCAGTATCCTCGCAGGAACTCCGGAAGAGACACACAAAGCTCCCTGTATTTCATCTCAAACTCTGAGACCAGTTGCTCTAGTTGGTTAATGAGGAATCGCTCCTCTTCTTGGACTTCCGCTATGTCGTCCAACTCAACATCTCCAAGCTCGGGATAGAAGTCATAGTGATATCGGCAGGTATGGCGAAGACCCAGGGTCTCAAATGTGCACATACGAATCGCAACGGGCGCTATGCAATCATGCAATTGTCGTACGGTGGTAGCAGCTGAGGGGCTATGATCGTCGAAAATGCCGGCGACGATGTATCCAGGAATTGAATTTGGGAAGCCGTGCAATATGTGCCAGCACTCGCGCAAGGCCGTCCTCAGGAATACGTTTAATGGTAAACAGCCATTACTCATGCAAGCACATAAACAACCATCGCGATGTTGGGTGTCTGTGAATACCTGCTGCAGTAGAGTCCAATGGTTTGCACATTGAGTAAACCAAATTTCAGAGAGTACAGGGATCCATATTTCCAACTTGTTGGGCCACTCACTCATAGAATCGTCCCTAGTACAGCGTAATTTACGCTTGAGCCATTCGCCAACACCGTGTGCAACATTATGTCCAGGTGTAAACAGCCAAGGGAGAGGCGAGGGTGGGCAGTGAAGTGAAGCACCTTTGTCGAGGAGCCATTCGCACATTTCCAAGAACTTATCGAGATCCATACTCACGATGCCAGATGCACATAATGGCACTAGCCCACCAACATCCATTTGGTTCACGTCGGTGAATCCCTGACTGTAAAGCGCCTTTGCTGCGTCCACATTAGAGCCGATTATGTGGTAAACAGATGAACCAGCCCAATAACGGGTTAGGATTTCAGCCCAGCCTAACCACTTTCCATCGTACGGGTCGCCGAGTGCTGTTTCCACTTCGAAGGCCTTACTATCAAGGAGACCCTCTGAATTGCTCAACCCCAAATCATGTAGGGTACTGGGTGAGAGAAGCCGGCAAGCCTGCTGGCGAAGGCACCGTCTTTGCTCTGCCAGGTTAGCTGCTAACATTTCAAATATTGCTGGGTTATAGTATTCTGCGGCTCGCTGGATTAGTAAATTCGAAATGTAACATTTGCCAACGGTCATGACTATTTTGGCGGACTCAAACTGGCGACTGATGAGTGCCTCGTCAAGTAGAAACTGGAGGGACTCAGGGACGTATAAGTTCAGCATAATTCGCAGCCCGCGCGGCCAAAAAATTGCCGATGTGTAGGCGCATCTCTCATTTGTAGTAAGCCGATCGTCAGGCCCGATTCTTCCTAGAATCTCTGCGATTACAACCTCGTCTCGCTGGAGCACGGATAGTTCAAGTCTGGAGAAAGGGAACTCTATACAGTCAGGCCAGGGTCCTTTGGGTACGTGCTAAGCATAGATACCTTCTGCACCGCAATCATCGATCACGGTAGGGAGAAACAGGTAGTTAGGGATAGGCCCGGAATACTGATGATAAAAGATTTCGAAGTAGGCTGGCTTCTTGATTGCGGACTCGATCGTGACTACAGCTCCATGGTCTATGAGTACTCTGGAGAGACTCGCCAATGCGCGGACATCGGAACTGAGATCATCTGTATCATCCAATATACCGCGGGTCCCGATATACAGCAATGTGTCAAATACTGTACCACCAAAGATGGACTGCTGGTTGAGGCCAACGGGAGATAATCCCACGAGGGCTTTGAGGAATTGGCAACACTGCGCAACCCTAAGTGCCCCAGACAGGTATGGGAGCTTCCGTACAGCAGCCTTAACTGTACAATTAGTAACCATCTATTTACAACACACCTGATGGAGAGATCTCACATGAATAAGGGTTTCTCCATCTGGGAGCGTGTCCCTTGGCGAAGCCCTCCCGCTATTATATAGACTGCGCAACTCTGCCAACGCATCGTTTATGTTCTCATATTTGCCAATCCCGTACAGAATCCGGAATGCGGGCGAATCATCGTCTACCACAGGCCAGACATTTATGGTTGGGCTTATCGTAATGCTAGCGTCTTCGCGGATGAGTTGGACACCTATGTAAGCTGAATACCCCCAAAACCTGTTCAGGATGGTGAACTTTCCCTTAACGACCGTAGTAACCTCTCGATCATAGTACTTGGGGCACCCGAACTGATGGCCCCGAATTCCAGATAGTATGCTGGTTGACCTGAATAGCCAGCTACCAGTCATGGTGCAGGTACAGTCTTTCCCAACTGACTGGGTGTTTGTATGAGCTCGGTGATATGGGAGGACAGCGTGAGCTGCTATCTCGCGGTTGGCGCTGTTTACAGCGGATGATTGTGTAGACTGGTCAATGGCCGTAAGCTGCAGTTGCTGCATTCTCGTTACTATCTGTAGGATTTCTTGCTGGTTGGTGTGCAGATGTTGCAAAGATGGTGGGAGGGTCGCGACATCGGAAGCTATAGACTGAGAGACGGCGAGAAAAGAGTTATTTTGCTCCTGTATGCAATGCGACATTGCACTTTAATATTCAGAGATGGAGTTGATGAACAGGTAGGCGGTGCGGAACATACAGGTGAAGGGCGTGCAAGGCTATATCCAAATTCGACTGCAACCCCGTAACTGTCTGGGTCAGAAACACCAATGTCCCACGTTTGAAAGGATATTGCGCCCTCGCAAATGCCTTTCCCTTCCTTGTTATAATCCCCGCTATGTCGTATCCCTGGCATTTCTTGAGCGTCTGCGAGAGATGCTGTAAGGCAGTTTCACAGTCGTTGATTCTATCGGTCACGAGTTGCAGTTCATCGGCTACATATGGGTTGACGGGGTTTTGAAGCCGGTTGATCCTAGACTTCAACACTTCCAGCGTTGCGCTAAGACCATTAACGCTCGTAACGAAGCTCTCTATTTCGGTGCTGAATGATTTGAACGGGCCGTAGTAGGCGACAAGACCTTGACACGCCGTAAGGCCCAAGGACACCACGCCAGCTGCCCCGCTAATCGCGGAGAATGGGTCAGGCATTTGAGAGCTGTATTTGTACAGATTAGGAAGAGAAGATGTCGAAGTGAGGAAAAAACGGACGGTTGAATTGTACTCAGCCCCGCTGGCCCTCGCGAGGCTGCGAGGCTGGGCTGCACGATGAGTTGGCACCTATAGGAAAAGCAAGTACTTACAGCCTTGTCAAGCAATTGTCTTGGCTACCGATTTTGTCTACTCTTCCGGAAGACTGCAGGCTGCAGGTAAGTCTGCATGCTTCTTCGTTTATGCCCTTTAAGGTCCGATACTTCGCTAACAGTGTACTCGGAACCCCAAGATGCGTATTCCTGCACTTCAAGTAACCCCTTCATCTCTAGCACATAGAGGGAAAGCAAGCCTAAAATCCAAAGGCTCTCAGCGTGGAAAATGCCTGTAACAGGTACGGGAATGTAACAGCTAGCACTGATGGCTCCAGCGTATTCAGAGCAGCAGACCAGGCGATTTTCGGCTCACGGTGTGGGATAGTACGCTTCTGCTGCGTAGGGGTAGCACACTGGGCCTTGGTCGGGTTGTAGAGTGCACCAAAGCAGAATATAAACAGGTCTCGACTCATTTGGGCATCCGACAGAATACGATCGATATCGGCCTTGCTCCGACATTAAGGCTAATATCCTGCATGTACTGTACAGTACATCCCTGATTACGAAGTCGGCGACGTTGAAGGCACAACCAGACACATTAAAGCTCCTTTCCCACATCTCTTTCCACTGCATTCCCATCTTCCTCAGATAAACGTCGAAAAATGTCCACTGAAAGGTCCCAGCTAACCTCTCGCATCCCTCCCCTAATGTAACTGAGCTCCGGCTCCCCTTCGTCCAAAACCGCACCACCACAAGTGTCCCTGGATACGAAGCCAGCCGAACGAGCCAGACAACGCTTCTCTGTCACCGGAAATGCCATAGTCACTGGCGGTGCAGGGGGTATAGGCTCAGTATCTTGTCGCGCCCTATTGGAACATGGTTTGAAAGGCCTGGCTATTTTCGACCTACACCCAGACGAAGCCCAGAGAACCATCGCGAAACTCCAGCCTGACTTCCCAGACACAACTATCACGTTCTACAAGGCCGACATCACGAACCCAGACTCTGTCACGGAAGCTGTGAGGAATGTCCACGATTCCCTCGGGTCCATCGACGTGATGGTCTGCTTCGCCGGGATCGCGGGCTCGGTGCACGCGTTGGATATGAGCCCACAGGAATGGAATAGGATGCTCCAGGTTAACACTACGGGCGCTTTTTTATGTGCCCAAGCCGCAGCCAAGTTCATGAGCCAGGCAAATGGAGGAAGTATTATCCTGACATCGAGTATATCCGGCCACGTTGTCAATTTCCCTCAGCCTCAGGTCCATTACAATGCGGCAAAAGCTGCTATTCTATCGATGAATTCTTCTCTAGCGGCGGAGTGGGCACGATACGGGATCCGGGTTAATAGTATTAGCCCTGGGTATATGGATACTATTTTGAATGAGGGAGAGGGACTCGAGGTGTTGAGGCAGGAGTGGGCGAAGCGGAACCCATACGGTCGCATGGGCCAGCCGGAGGAATTGACTGGGGCTGTTATTCTGCTGGCAAGCACGGCTGGGAGTTATATTACTGGTGCTGATATTCTGGTTGACGGTGGCATTACTGTGTTTTGACCGAGCAAGGCTTTATACAGTACTTCTTTGTGATAGATAGCAACTTCGCAATGAGTCTACCAAGAATTCACAAGATCAATCTAGAACCCTTCTCCCGAAACGAAATAAACGCCGACCGCTGTCTTCTCATGTGTTGGGGTGCTGCAGTGGACTCCGAAGTCGTTGCCTAGGATCAACTGTACAGTAACTGCATTAGCGCCTTTGCACTGTACAGTCACCTGCGGAACCTGTACAGTCCTCGGGCCATCTTGCCAGGGGAAAAGAGTCATTGCGACCTAGTTTCCCACTATCTGTTCACCTGTGCAGTCGTTCTGCTATTGTGGAGAAACCCCGTTACAACTGTACAGTGCGGCCTGCCCAAGGAGCATGTAGAATACTTGGAGCGCTATCAGATGACTCTTATATATAGAGCGTCCTCCATTTCCACTCCACAGAAAGTAAATCTATGCTTCAACCTAGCAGCAATGGCAAGCCTTAGCGAGCCTGCAACATGGCTCGACCGCCTCCAAGAGCAATGCAAGTTTCTCGATGAACCAAAGAATGAGCCCTAATACCATATAGTGAAAGTTGATATCGACTGCATGGACCCTGACGAGTCGCGAAAATTGCTCCCTTTCAAGCCATACGATCAGACGAGCAATCAACGCTTAGTCTACGAGCAGATGACATCCACCGAGAATCGCGACCTACTTCTCCAAGTCGCTCGAGGGTACAAACATAAGGGCTGGGAAGCAATTCTCGACCGGAGGTCAGTTCCATCTAATGTTATACCATCTCAGCTAATGCTAACAATTATAGAGCGCCCTCCTCTCCGCAAAGAATATCGACAACATCCAAGGCCGAGTCCTGCTGCAGACCTCAGCCTACCACGCCTACGACACACAAAAGGTAGTCGACCATGCGCGATCTTATGTGCGAGAGCTCGAACGTGTTGGGATATCCAGGGACCGCGTATGCATCAAGATCCCGTCTACTGGGCCTGCCTTGAACGCCAGTCCGATCCTGCTGAAAGATGGGATTCGCACGCTTGGAACGTCGCTGCTTTCGCTCCCTCAAGCGATTGCGGCCAGTCAGGCTGGGTGTCTCTATATAAGTCCTTATTATAATTGTGAGTTCTGCGCTTGGGGCGTGGAATTTAGTCTAATATATCGCAGTACCCTGGTACCATGCGGAACCTGGGCAGTGGCCGAATGTGCAAGACCCAGCGCTTGAACATCCCATGACACCTAGGATTCTCCAAATCATCCAGACTTACCGGCGCCTTCATGAGGAGACAGGCAAAGAGCAGCCCATGCTCAAGCCGGCAAGGTATGAAACAGACTTCGGTTCATTGTCAAGTGACGTGCTAATATTTTCTTATATAGCTTCAAGTCCCCGCGAGAGGCAATGGCAATGGGTGAACTAGGATGCGAGCACGCAACTATACCAGAGGATATTCTCCAGCGGCTCGCTCTACTCAGTCTATATGAGAACCCGCCTCCTGGTGAAGGTCCCAGTAGCGATGGGACAATTCCACCCCGGCTTGCAAACCTGGCCACAATGGACCCTCTTGCTGCCCCTGGCTGGACAGGGAAATTGGCATCAACAGATATAGACTACCTGGCTGATAATGGCACGGCCTTGACAAGGGCCATTGATGAGGATCCGGTGACAAAGAGGGGCCTTCGCGAAGCGCTTGAGGGGTTCATGGTAAATGAGTTGCAAAGCAAGAATGCGATTGAGGAGGTTTTGAAGCAGGTCTAGTGCTTCACACAGTGGTCCTCTACGGTTCCATTACTTCAGATGGGCTCAAAGCAGTTTCTGATGTTGGTTCTTAGCAAACAGCCTGTCTATATTGACTATCGAATGACTCTGTGTTCAATTCGAACGACCAGTCTAATCCATTGTCAACGCCCGGTGTCCAAATTCCAGTAGAGGCATGTATAGGATCCACTGCGGAACTATCAAGATGGCCCGGCACATCTGATGGGTTATTATTGTCGCGCGGATGGCTGACAGGAAAGGTGATTCCTGGATACATAGATGCTCCGGTCATACAGACGATAGACGAACTTGGATCCGAAGAATTATCCAGATATTCTGCAGGAAGTCCATTCCAAGACAGGTCATTTCCCAGTACTACAGGCTCGTTGTGTGCATACTGCCGTGGGTCATAATGAGGAGGAAGTTCGAGAAAGCCATCGAGTGGTATTTCCATTCCCCGATCGTCGAACTCGTTTTCATCACTGCCGGAGGACGGACTCTGGTAAGCCCAATTGTCTCCAAATCCGGCGGGAAATTTGCCGTAGACCTCATCTTTGACACTCATCAGCTGGGTCATGGGCTCTGTGATGGATCGGGGGGCGCAAGGCGCTATGCCCGCGCACCCAACTTGTGCACGCAGGGCGTTAACTTCAGCCACCAGCCGGCTGTTGTCGGCCAGGAGATCCTGCATGTCACGGGCCGCAGAGATGCACATATCCCGCTGTCTTCGGAGATGCCGACAGCTTTCATTGACAATTAGCACCTTTGAGAGGCGCCGTACATGGGCCAGACTGGGTACAAGGCGAGCTAGGTTCTACGGTAATCAGCCATCTGCTCCAGGATGACGATGGGGTGTTATCAAGACGTATATAATATACCAGGAAATCTTCATTCAGTTCGCCCCGGCGGCGCTTCTCGATGGCGAGGTTGCGTGCGACGACATGTGCCGGTAGAGGCCGGGCGCGCTTCTTGCTTCCCTTTGACTTGGATGTGCTGGGATTGTTAGACATGGTGTAGACAGTCACTGTTCGGAGTGTATAAACTATAGTATTGCGACGTCGTGCATACCGGGGGAGTGGCTTTCCTTGCTTAAATTGGAGGTGCCCCTCACTGTGGAGTGCAGACTGTACAGTACATGCATTAGCTTGCTTTTTGAGTGAACGAAGTCTTGTTACAGTTTAGCGTGTAGGAAGCTTGGAAAGTGTCTCGATCATGCAAGGAGCCAGCTATTCTAACTATCCACATTCATCCCGAGATACACAGCGTCACCTGAAGATCGGGTATTCCAAGTATGATTAAAGTGCGATAAATCTAATAACTGAGAATAACGACACCTTGGTTCGCGTTGCTCTTCTCAACATTCATGTAAATTTCCTTGGCATGGTGGCGATATATATATATTACGCGGCATGAAGACCTGGAGAAAACACTCAAGTTGTTCACCATTATTGAAACACAAATAGTCTGATCTCCATGAGAGGAAATATATGGGCAAACAGATCATGAAGTAGTTATACTGGTAAAAAGTGGTTGATATGGGATGACGTCAAGGTTACGAGGAGTGATAGTAAACAGCCTGAACACCCCTTTGAACTCTCCCAGCAAATTTACATCGTCAAGGCCCTCACTTATGAGCCTATCTATTCCACAGACAATCTAGATTTAGTCGTCAAGATGCCCTCCTACGCTGGCTCCTGCACCTGTCGCAGAATCCAGTATGACCTGAACCTGCCCTCTCCCGACGACGCCAGGACTTCGTTATGCCACTGCAGTAATTGCAAGGTAACTGCCTCCATATTTAGTGGAATGGTATTAATATATAATAGAAAGCATTTGGTACAAACTACGGCTTGACGGCCAAAATCCCAAAGGATGCTCTGCAAATCACAGCGGGGCGGACGAAGGAGTTCGCTCAGGATAACGGCTCTGGGTCGGTTGTGCATCGGGAGTTCTGTGATAACTGTGGTAGCTTTATTTGCGAGTATGGGGTAGGCCACATCAATATTTCCTCTGGAGAGTCAATTATTGATTAGTTTCGCAGGATGCTGTAAAGGACCAATTCCGGTATCTGGTTGTTGGATCCCTCGACGATCCGGAAGCTCTCCCGCCCAAGGGAGAGTTCTTCTGTCGTGATCGGGCTAGTTGGATGCCAGAGGTACCTAGTAAGTTAAATCTAGATTTGAGCTTGCCTCGTACTGATCGGTTTAGATGTATTCCATAAGAAACAGATCAGGGAGTGATGTCGCAGTGGAGGCGCTGTTAGCGTAGCCTCTGAATGTATACAAGTATTGGTAGTCAACATGAGAAAAGGTCTTTGCTGTACCGGTACTCCGCTACGGTCATTATTGGGAACATAGAATACCTTAGGTATCATTGCATATCTATACTCTCGTCTTCTACTACGGCTCGTAGAGCGAGGGCCTGGGCACCAAGCATGGGCCGTATCCATAGTGTTTCAACTGGAGGAATTTTCCAAGGGTTGGAGATCTTGCAACCGGACGGATAGAATGGTTGAAACTTATTGGTGGCATTCCAATGCATAATACGTGCCATCCGACGGCCTGAGACTACAAGTGAGTGCCTTGTTTGAATGCTGCTATTGAAGACCTTGCCGATATGCACTTTACTGGCGGTTGCACATGCTGGTTGGTAGAGATTCCAGCTCGGAGATGGACGAGCCCAATGGCAATGAATTCCAGATCTCCACGACTACAAAGGCATAGGGGTTGGGATGTGCCGGATAAATTAAACAGTGACAGTGGGCACCACCAAGCTGTGGCCCGTCATCTGACATCATGAGCCTGTTGACGACGATTAATTCCAGCAGTGACCACTTTCGAATGCAGCAGGGGAGGGTACCCGGGTTCCAAGTGCGGTGTTGATACTGGTATCCGCTCCCAAAGCGGAGATTCCTGAAGAAACACCCCGGAGCTGCCAGGGGTTCCTCCGTGGGGAAACAAGGATAGTCCTGCAGAACAAATTACACTGTGTCAACTCTCCCGCATGTTACGAGTTTTTAATTTATCTGCACGAATCAAACAAAGCTAACATGTCCACCCCTGCCCCTGGCTGCCCCCACATGCATTGTGTATTCTTCAGATGTGCCGGTGGTCCGACAATATGGAGAGGAGTAGTCCATTATCACAACATCGGTCATATGCTCGACGGCTGGCGGGGTTCATTCTCATACCCCAGGAGGCACCAGAAAGATATAAAGAGGCATAAATCCACGCCGAACCAGGAAAGATCCGCAGCAAATCCCTTCCTCGCAAGTCACAATGAAAGCTTATACCGTTGCCCTCGCTCTACTCTCCGCCGCAAGACAGGCAGCTGCACACGGCTATGTCTCCGGCATCGTGGTGAACGGCGTCTGGTACCGTGGCTGGCTCCCGAGTGAAGATCCGTACAATTCAGACCCCCCTGTCAACATCGGCTGGCAGACACCTAACCTCTCGAACGGCTTTGTGACCCCCGACGAGACCAGCACCGACGCCATCATCTGTCACACCAATGCTACCAACGCCGCGGGCCATGCTACAGTTGCCGCCGGAGATCGCATCTATATCCAGTGGGAACCAAACCCCTGGCCAGAGAGCCATCACGGGCCTGTCTTGGATTACCTCGCCAACTGCGGAGAGAGCTGCGAGACGGTCGACAAGACAACTCTCGAGTTCTTCAAGATCGATGGCCCCGGTCTGATCGACGGTTCCACCGTCCCTGGTGTCTGGGCCGACGACCAACTAATCGCGAACGGAAATGGCTGGCTCGTTGAGATCCCCGAGAGTATTGCGCCTGGAAACTATGTCCTCCGCCACGAGATCATCGCCCTGCACGGCGCTGGCAGCGAGAATGGCGCGCAGCTTTATCCTCAATGTCTCAACCTTGCGATTACCGGCTCTGGAACCGTTGCGCCGTCTGGGACTCTGGCGACGGATTTCTATACCCCGACTGATCCCGGTATTTTGATCAGTATTTACGAGACCCTGACTGAGTATATTGTGCCTGGACCGGAGATTATTCCCCAGGGTGTGGTTATTGAGCAGGCGTCGTCTGCTATTACGGCCACTGGAACACCGACACCGGCGTAGGAATAGGGTTTATGCTTTGGTCATGATGTGTGTATACATGCCAGATTGATGATTAGTGGAACGGAGACATGGTCTGATGCAACCACACTCGCTTAATGTATGAAGGGCTAAAGTATATACAACTTAAAGTTACGTTTTGTGTTTAACTTGTCCCAATGGATATACCAGACAATGATGTTGTCTAATTTGACGTCACGACAACGTACTTTGATTCTTTATAAGTATCACTGCAGGTATCACCCACATCTCATCAATAATTTTGCAAGTTCGTTCGATATGTCTCGTGCAGGCCGATTGCAGCGTATAACCATTGACACGGACAACGTCCAGCCCGTAACTCGCGATGGCGTTGCTGCGGACGTGCCCAAGAGTCTGCCGACTCCAAAGGCCAGCAACACGCACCCTTCCACCCCAGGAGGGGAGAATGGATCTATCTACTTTATAGGAACGGCAACTACCGTCATGTAAGTGCGTCCAATCTGTGACGGACTATACTAACCATTACTAGAGAATGGAAAGGCATGCGGATCATGACTGATGTATGTCCCCGATGATATGGATCAGGTATTCACTAACAGCCCAGCCAAACTTCCTCCACGCCGGCGACCACGTCCATCTCGGCCCCGGCGTCTGGAGCCAGCGCAAGACAAACCCAGCCGTGGATCTACATAACCTGCCGAACATCGACATAGTCCTGCTCTCGCACTACCACGCAGACCACTTCGACCAGCACGTCGAGGAGTCGCTGCGACGGGATATACCTATCATCTCGACGCCGGAGGCGAGATCGATCTTGGGTTCGGGGGAGGACCCGTTTACGAACCTCTATGACCTGGACCCGTGCCGGAGGTTGATCGTGAATCTTAAATGCGATTTACCGGGCCCTGAAAAGCCGGGGATGGTTATTGTTGCGACGCCGGCCAAGCATGTCCCTGAGTATCGGCCGATCCAGATGCTGAATGATTTTATTGGTGCGGTATGTATGAATAACTCCTACGTGAGTCTGATGGTACTAATGTAGGGGTAGATCCCGCCCACCAACGGCTACGTGATAGAGCTGGGCTACGGCGACAACCCGATCACCTTCAAGACATGCTACCGGATCTACATCACCGGGGATACGCTGATGCACCAGGAACTGAAGTATGTTCCCAGACACTATGGCGCAGATGTCGACCTGATGCTTGCTCATCTGGGCGGGACGACTGTGCCCGGGCCGTGGATGAACCCGTTCACCGTGATGCTGACGATGGATGGGAAGCAGGGGACGGAGTTGGTGAAGGAGGTTAGGCCCAAGGTTACGATCCCCATCCACTATGATGACTATGATGTGTTTGCGAGTCCGTTGGAGGATTTCAAGGCCGAGATTGCGAAGGCGGGGCTGGATGGTCGCGTGGTGTATCTGGACCGCGGGGATGAGTACCGGTTTAAAGTACGAGATATCGAGGACGCAATTGTCGCAGATGCCGGTGTATATTCTAACAGGCCTCCTGAAGGACCGGCTTCCTGAGTCATATGGTAATAGGATATGTTCTGGCCAGTGCCAAGCTCAGCCTCGCTGTAAGAATGACGTTTGTCTTGCTCAGCGGATGGCCACCGTAGCTTTTGAGTGGTTCTCCCTCTGATTAAATCCCATGGGTCAGATACGAATTGGCCAATGACTGACCTGATTCGGTCCATTCGGTTATAAAAGAATGATGGTCCAGGTGGTGGCTCTATCGCCTGCCTTGCATCATTTAACTCACGTCGGGACCCATTTCCCCGCGATATCAAACAAACCCATTCTTCTAACGGCTTCCAACCACATGGCCTCGTAATATCTAACAACAGTCTGCAGGTAGTACTCCCACTGAATCCAGCACTCATTACTGTCTAACAAACCCAGTGCCGCAACAATGTCCCTCAATGACAACCGCACTAGACGTCTCTCAGCATCAACAAACCAAATCCCCACCGTCCCACGATTAAAAGACACAAAACGTTCCTTCTCGTACAACGCTCGCGACGACGGGACTCCTTCCTCCCCCGCGAAACAAAAGAGCGACCCAGCCGCCTGTGGACATATGAGCAAGGCGTCGCTGATGGGGATTCTCAATTCCGGCGAGGTCAAGACCGCGGAGGGCTCGAGGAAAGTGCAGAATATGCTTCTGGATACGGAGAGAGAGTTGCGTGAGCAGCGGAGACGCTCGTTGCATGAGTCGAGCCCTGGGGGTGGTGTTAGGGCGTTGTTGGATCCGATGGAGAGTCTGAGGAGGTCGGGGGAGTTTTATAATGGGATGAGGTGATGCATTGAAGTACAACGGAGTTTGAGTCAAGTATTGAATGGTTGTATACTTAATGGCATGGAAAGCGTGCGGGAGTTTGTGATTCAAAATGGTCTAGCAATGAACATATTATCAAGCATCTGAGTAATCTCCTACCAAGTTGCTACTTGATGCGGCGTACTGAAACTATATGTAGCTATCTATATCAATAGCCTGCAATATCAGAGGGCAGTTGGGTTGGAATGCTCACCTATACATCCACATACTGTTAGATAAAGACTGATAATGCTCATTATATGCCTTGTCCACCAAGCCTGAAACCGAAAGTAACCAAAGGAATTTGATCAAGGTTTGTTATACATTCAATGAAACACCTTCATAATGTGGCTTTATCCCTTGTTCGCAGTGATACAAGAACTACATAAATGGCCAACTATCTTAGACATTCAATCATTTAGGTGTACTTTGAACAGAACCGTCTACCCACCAAAATGAACAGCACCCAATGGATCGGCATCGAAGCATCAGGAACACTCCCCGTCCAAACCCACGTCACCGACCTAGACGCCCCCAAATCCCGCCTCGTAGCCGAACACCTGGCCCGCTTTATCGCCCAAGAAGGGATAAAGACATTCGAAATCAGCATCGGGTTCTGGATACCGACTCGAGCATGGCGATGGCGCGTGGAGGCGCGCGAGCCCGTCTGGTCGAAGTTCGCGCTTGAACGACTACGGCATGTGCAGGATAAATTCGCCGATGTGGTCTGGACTCATACGCTGCAGACGCGGTCGATTGATGATCCGCAGTTCGGGAATTGGAAGGATTGGCTGGATGAGTGTGGGAGATGGAGGCATGCGAGCCATGTCTCGATGTATAGGGGTATTGCGTTCCTGGAGAAGAGGGATGGGGAGCTTTGGGGGGATGAGATTAGGGATCTGCTTGCGCTGAAGGTGCATGATTTGCAGGTTAAGGGGCCGCTGCTTGGATCGAGTAGATTGGCGCCGGGGAGGGTGGACTGTGAGGCGTATTTTGAGATGGTGATGAGGGAGTTGGTAGGGGATGAAGGGGAAGGAGACGGGGATACTGGGGAGGAGGCTATTCAGAGGTCTGGCATTTTGTATAACATGTTACGACGGCTTAAGCGCTTGTGATGTTGCTAAACGATAGTAGAATTATTCAATCAGATATCAGGTTTCCTCCCATAAACGAATATCCTGTAGCGGTTAGTCGTCGTTCAGCAGGCAGTATAATAGACGTACACTCTCTGGTAGGCATGGATAGAGGCGTCCTTCCACTCCTTGCGACACTTTGCAAGGAAGACCTCGACCTCAGGGACACTCCATCCAAGCACTCTTGTAAAGAGACCAATGGTAAATGCATGCAGTCCATTCAGATGGTTGGTAAGTGTATACTGCAATAGGTTAGATCTCCCATATATAAACCTATATAAACCATGTACTTACCAAACCCAGACGCTTCATATGCTTCTCCTTGGCCCAGACATTCGACGGGCGCTTTACAATCTTAAGTCTGACATCAACGAAGCCCGCGTCCTCCATCAGTGTCTTATACTCGGTCGGCGAGGGAATCGCGTGTCCGATTTTCTTGCACCCCTCGAAGAACAGGTTCGACCACTGCAGTGCGCTGCTGTCTTCTGGGATGGAGTCGTCGTCGCATTCGAAGCCGGGATCGATTTCCTGCATTTCCATGTATCCGCCCGGTTTGAGGGCACTGCTCTATTAGCGAGTGTACTTTGGTGTTCGTGTTACAGGGGAGTACCTCAGGGCCTGGCGGAACAGCCTGGGATAGTCCGAGACACTCGCCAGCAGCAACCGGGAGTGGATGAGATCGAACGAGTTACTGCGAAACGTCCAGTCATCTTCGAAGTTGTCGATCTGGAATTCAAGATTGGGAGGGACGCTACACTGTTAGTTCTAGGCCAAGCTGGATGGTGGAGGACCTACAATGAAGGCTGCACTGGCGACAGGTCAGTTCCAATGACAGACGCCTCTGGATACTTGTCCGCGACGTCAATGGCCCAGATCCCCGTTCCAGTCCCCAGATCCAGAATGCGATGTGGAGTCTTGACAGGAGCTAAATGCAATTCGCCATCCAGCAGGAGCAGGAAGATGTGATGCTCCAGGTCCATGCGGGCCAGCTCATCCTAAAACACGTCAGACTATCTCAACTGGGAAGTAGTCCAGGTGGATAATACTTCATCATTGGGGAAGGCATAGTCTGATGGCCGTTAGAATTCGGACAAGATAGTTTAGTCTGCTTGAACTTACGCCCGGACTGGTAGGAGTGGTACCTCCTATGCCGATCATATTAACAGGGAATAACTACTATCAGAATCCACAGGGAGATTTACCGGCCATTTTGATACTCGAACTGCAGAACCAGGCTGTTTAACGACGATGTTTCACTCGCACTGCCATTGTCAGCTCCAAAGCAGCGGTCGGTCAGCAAGTGGGGGCGCACATTTGCGATCCGAGCGTCGAGTCGGCGTCGTCCTGCAGGGTCAGTTCTACTCTCTTTAATCAGGGGAATGGGTCTACCTCGACTTCGATGAACTGCTCGGGGTGGTCGTGCTCCGCCATGGTGCTGTCGCCCAAGAGTGTCAAGAGTCAAGACGCAGGAGCAGGTCAGGGGCGAGTTGTGGGACGGCACGGGACGCTCGGGCAGAGACAGCGGGGAAGACGTTATGAACCGAGTAATTAATCTCCCTGATTAATGGCAGTTCAGAACGGTTTAGCTGCAGTCACTGCGGTGCAGCAGCGAATAGGGACGGCCCCATTGAAGAACGAGTGAAGTCTCCACGTCAGCTGAGGGGCGTCTTTGCTCATTCACATTAACATTGACAATGCCATTGTTTCTCTTTGTGAACCGCTGTGTTGGGATTTGAATCTGTTCCATATCGCAGAGATGGGCCACTCTCTGGTTCCGTTCCTGTCTCTGGGGTGGCTTGCCACACTCACCATCGCCCTCTGGTTTATCCAGTCGCTACGCTCGTATCTGCGACTGCGCCAGTTCCCTGGTCCCCCGGTCGCAGCGTGGTCCAAGCTGTGGATGATGCGGAGCACCCTGCATGGCCGCATGCACCTGGATGTCGCCGAGGCCTGCAAGCAGTACGGTACATCCATCTTCCCTAAACGCTTGCTTATACTGACAGAATAGGGCACCTCACGCGGATCGGTCCAAATGATCTAGTCACCGACGATGCGCAGATTATTCGCAGAATAAGCGCCGTGCGATCGCCCTATACCCGGTCGGACTGGTACAACGCAACGGCCTTCAGCCACAGCCTCAACCACGTCTTTTGCGAGCGCGATGAGGAGCGCCATATCCAGCTGCGAAATAAACTCATCCCGGGGGTACTAAAACTCGTCTCTTAAGTCGGTATCAACTAATGGGCTGTATAGTACTCCGGAAAAGAAAACCTGCACCTGGAACAGAGCATCGACGACCAGCTCACCGGCTTCTTCAAACTCATTCGCGAGAACTATACCTCCTCCACAAGCTCTTTCAGGGCAGTCGACTTTTCCCGTCTGTGTCAGTTCCTTACTCTCGATGTTATCACCGCGGTCGCCTTCGGGCAGCCCATGGGGTTCCTGGAGCACGATGAAGACTTGCACGGATATATCGCGAACCAAACAGCAATGTTGCCTATCTTCGAGTGGTTCTCGACGTTGCCAATTCTGGAGAGGATAATGCGTCTCCCGGGGATCAGCCAGCTGGCTATGCCGAAACCGACCGATACGCAGGGTGCTGGGTTGTTAATGGGGTACGATCCGATCACCTATACATATCGGATGGAGCTGATGCCAGCAGAGTCGCGAAGAGAATCGTCGCAGAACGGTACGGACCGGATAAGAAAACTCGCCCCGATATGCTCGGCTCGTTTGTGAAGCATGGACTGAGCCAGGAAGAAGCAGAGCAGGAGACAGTCCTGCAGATGTAAGTCTCCCTCCTCTTCCAAGGCCTGTTGATTGTTACTTATATCTGCAGCTTCGCTGGTTCAGATACAACCGCGACGACAATTCGAACAGCAACTCTCTTCTTAATTACTAACCCCATGGCCCTGGCTAAGCTCCAGAATGAACTCGATGATGCAGCTTCACGAGGCCACCTCTCAAGTCCGGTAATCACCTACGAACAGGCCCTCTCCCTCCCATACCTCCAAGCCTGCGTCAAGGAAAGCCTCCGCATCTGGCCACCAGTCATCGGTCTAATGCAAAAGGTCGTCCCGCCTGGCGGCGATACGCTCGACGGACGTTTCGTCCCTGGGGGTACACTGATCGGGTACTCTGGCTGGGGAGTACATCGAGATGTCAGCGTCTTTGGGAGCGATGCAGACCTATACCGCCCAGATCGCTGGATCGAGGCCGGGGAGGAGCAGCTGTTGGAGATGAACAGGTCTATGGATCTGGTGTTTGGATCGGGGAGGTATGCTTGTCTGGGGAAGCAGGTCGCCTTGATTGAGGTTTCGAAGGCGATTGCGGAGGTGAGCATATTCATTTCTGGGGGCGAAATCATGCTAATGGTCATAGATATTTTCCAGATATGATATCGTGCTTATTGACCCGTCGCGCCCGTGGCAGAGTGTTAATCGCAATGGGCTGTTCTTGCAGTCGGACATGATGGTGCGGATTTCGGGGCGAGAATCCATCAATCGCAGTCAATGAAGGCATCTCATAATTAATATATATCTAATTCGTCAGTATATTTTTTACAACCTGGATGGGAGGTATTTCAGTCTATGGAACTTGTCATCATTAATCTACTCATTCATGTCTATATCTCGCCCGCGAGTCCTCCGGCTCTGCATCCTCATGCGTAATCTCAATCGTCGTCTCCTGATAAACGCCCTGCCCCATATTCATATTCTTCATTTCCGTATCGCCCTTCTTCACAATCTCCTCCGTCGAATCGTCCCGATGATCCATGACGCTCTCGTTCAGCGTCTGCAGGCCCCGACGCACCCGAGAGCCCATCCGTCCCCGTTTCCGCATGTCCCGCGTCGTGCTGATGTGCGTCTGGTGGTTGTTCGTCATGGAATACGCAGCGTAGATCTCGTGGGATGCGTGCGAGTCCGTGTCGACGAGGAGCTGCCGGCGGGTGAGTGTGTATATCACCGCGTCGGCCAGTCCTGATAATGCCATCAGGGAGCCAGCAGCCGCGAAGTATGCGTAACTAGGGATGATGTGACGTGCGCTGGACATGCGACCGGCAGCGAGCGGGAGGGACAGGATCACGTATGCGACTGGGTAGATCACCATGTAGACGACGACGCGGTTGAGGCGGTTCAGGCTGGCTTGGTGGTTTGGGCCCAGGCGTGCGGTCTGGCGCACTCGCCGCCGCAGGAAGAAGAACATGAAGCTGTATAGCACGACGGTACCGAATTCGGAGAGGAAGATCCAGATGTAGTGGCCCCAGAGGCGCTCGCGTTCGTGTTCGGGGCTGAGCCAGCACTGTGTCTGTTAGCAATATACGATATACCCGGGTATTAGGGGACGTACCCAGCCAGCTTCGGAGATGACGAATGTCTCGGAGCCGTATAGTCCGACAGGGATGAATCCGAGAACGAGGATAAAGGCCCATATTCCGATAACGCAGGCCACGAATGCCCGCCATGGCAGCTGGCTCCCTCGAAGGACGACAGCGCCGGTATGCATGGCGATCGCGATCACGAACAGCCCACTCCCCGGGTCGGCGGTTTGGATCCACCAGCCCTGGATGATACAGGCCGCAGTTGAAGAGTATACTGACCCCTGCCCTACCCAGTGCAGACACAGAAGGAATGCCGTCGCTTGCTGCAGATCGGCGAGAAGCAGGTTGTAAATCAGGACGACGTACTGGTTCCGTGCGAGAGGCCGCTTATAGTAGCGCTCCCAGAAGATGAATCGATACGTCAAGAAGGCGAGCAGGCTGAAGGTCGCCAGGAACGACAGCAGGCCGCAGATTCCCATAGCAATGAACCCGGCCTTCGTTGAGCCCACGATAGGCACCTCGGTCGGCGGTCCTTCGCCGGCACGAGGCACGAGGCCAGACTGGACATTCTCGCCCTGCAGCAGATACAGAGTCCGAATCAGTGTAGCCATGATGGCGATATTGCTTTTCTCAGCGGGCTGGCGGTCCAGCACGCGAGCAGTCGGGGTGTGCTGAGGCTCGGCAATGCACGACGACGAGAACGCCTCGTTTTAAGCCAGAACCGCCTCACCTCGCATGGCTTACGGAGACCGGACATGGAGAGAGTTTGGCGAGAGTTTGGCCAAATTTTCCAATTCGGGGTGTTTCATTGGACAGGATCAAGGTTTGATCGCTTGTTGCAGGCGCAGCCAGTCGGAAATTGCTTGCATCGTGAGATCATCGCAGATCTGCCACCGCAGCTCGTGTTCGGGGGGCAAATCGATGGAACCAGCGCTGGCGCGACCATTCAATAGGCTGCTGTGGTCTCCAATTCTCCCATCTATTGCGATCTGCCCCCCAGCAAGCCCACCAACGCCCCAGCAGCTTGGTCCGGTCGGCCGAAGGACATTGCATGGCCTTCCTGACTCGTGCTGCTTCCACATTATGGGCCCAGAAAACTCCAATTATTGGGCGTGGATCAAATTCTGCCAGGGAAGACAAGCTTTTACTTGATTCTGGGGCAGTAACAGGATCTCGAAACAGCTAAATAGTAAGGAAGGCTTTGGCAGCAGAGAAATTGTTCATGATTCAGGTTTTTCTACAGTTCATCTTGGAATCGGCATACTGCCACAAATTTACGCCCCTCATCTGAAGAAAGACACACAGAGACAATTGCACCTCGTCTCGAGGTCCTCCCTGTCGTGGATCGGCTACTTCATAATTATATAGATGGCTGGTACCACAAAACAATGCCACTCCAGATCATGGAACAGACGAAGATCACCCCTCCCCCAATCTATATATCCCCCCTGAACCAAGGGACGAATACCGACAGAAGCTTGACGATGCTTGTGCCATTCAATGCCCATTTCTGGTAAACCCCAATCGCCGATACAAGAACCGACATCCCAATATAGGGCAATAAGATCCGACGGGCGCCACTTCCCCTTTGGAAACATGGGAATCCAGGAATCCGGACAACGATGGATCAACACTGAGCAGATCGTCCAGATCGTAGAAAGGAACAATATACGTAGACTAGTTGTATTCAGGGCCGAGATCTGCAGCCTCTTCCACCTGCGCCTTCGACAGACTCTGGTAACTATCTTGCCGTACCTATCAGTATATACGTAGCTGCAAGAACCTCGTAGCAGTAACCTCGTTCCCTAAATCTATTCCCTGCAGGAACTCGAGTGGACTGGATCGGGGAGAATTCTGATGGCTCAGGAGTTATTGATCCCCTCGATCGTCTGGTGGGTCGACCTGGCTGTGGGCCACTGGGTCCATGCAGCCCACGCGAGGGGAAAAACCGGTTGACCACGTTGCGTTCTGCAAAGGGTCTCGAAAAATCCTACTCTGTTTGTACCTGGGAATGCGTGTTTCGGAATGGGGGGACCTTTCACGGGTCCGAGGTTGGTACGCCTGGTCCCGAGGGATTGGCGCAGCTGAAGGCTTGTATTGAGGAAAAGTGGGGTGCTTTTCCTTGTCGGTAGATACCGCCAGATATTCATGGTGATTATTACGGCATAGATATGCTTCCCCTCATGCTGGATCGGAATGGTGTGATATGATGAGCACGACGAATCCGCCCGCCTGGCCGGAGTAGGAGGCCCTGTGACTGCCAGCGATGCCTCCATTGGGGAACCGTTCAATCGTTAAAGGACGGAAAGAAATAGCTTAGTATGGATAGAGGGCTGATCCTAAGAAAATCAAGAATCTAGTTAACCTCCATCCAGTGGACGAGTACACGCAATACACTTATGAAAGGTGGAAATTAGTCCTCGCATCAATAAACCACCAGGCAATGATAAGCGTGAACGTTATGAAGTAGACGATACAAACGTAGTTCATATTGCCGCCACTAACAGGATACTCCGGTGGAAATGCGTACATCTGCCAGCAGTTAGGTTTGACACTACAATAGAGATGAGGAGTGAGTCTCACCACAAGATGGGAACGCCCGTCGGCGTATCCGTAACCTCCTGGAAATTCTGTATGCTGAACATCATGGCAATACAGAATGGCCACGCAGTGGCGAAGCCGATGGCGACGGTTGAAACCAGCGCAGGTGGAGTTGATGATCTGGTAGCTAACAAATATCATCCATGGTTCAGTTTCCCTACAGTATTAGCCATCCAGCAGGCATCCGGTGGCTTTTACTTACGGATCAGGATAAGTCAACTGGATACAGCCCATGCCAAAGCCCAGAAGCACTCAGAGAGATGCTCGCACATGTAAACACCGAGCCGGCTCACTCCATCCACCCAGTGAGGTATGAGAGAAACCTGGCACACTTCGGGCTCGCCAAACGCCCGGTCCATTAGTACTGCCCCCCAGCATTGGGCATTGCTGAGCTGAGCTCTGCGAGTGAAACTGCTATAGATCCGCATAAAATGGCGACGAGAACAAGGCCGTGAACGAGCTGCACGGAGCCACCGGATTTTATTCCTGTGTCAAGGGCTGTTGCAATCCCGAACCAGGAATTCGCCAGGGAGAATCCCATTCCGATTATGGATAAAAGGGAGAAGTTCTTTCGCAGCTGGTACATTTCGCCGTTGACTGCGACTGGTTGGTGTTGAGTCTCTGGGAGGGCTGCTCTTGCTTACCTGCGACATTCTGGCATGTTTCATTGGCAGTATGTGATTTAACCAAAGTTTTGTCCATTTTGAGGATTGTAGTTGAGTATAGAAGAAGATGGCCAGAAATAGTGTCATTGATACCCAACCAGACGCTGAGGCTGCATATACGGACAGCTACACTACAAATGCTACTTATACAACCTGGGCCTGTGATACGCCACAGAACCATCCTGAGCGAGGCCACAGCATTGTCGGTGTGTGTTATCGTTGCCATGGATTCCCTCCGAGGGTGAGGGCTCAGCAGCGCGGTCCGTTCTCGCAGAAGGGGCTGTCAGTCTAACATCCTCTAACCGCACTTTCACCAGCCAACCGTCCACAGGAAATTACATTGTACCGACAATCCTCACAAACGTCAACCATACCATGGAAATAATGAACGCAGAAACGTTCGGTCCATGGATTCCAATTATGAAGGTCCGCTCCGACGAGGATGCGGTCAAGTGGATGAATGACAGCGAGTATGGGCTTTCTGCCAGCGTGTGGACAAAGGACCTTGTTGCTGGCAAGGAGATCCTTAAGCTTCTCGAAGCTGGAACAGCGTTCATCAACCGGTGCGACTATCCTAGCCCAGTAGGTTCTATGATACACCCACTGGCTAGGTTTCCAAATCTGACAAGTATCGATAGGATCTGGCGTGGACTGGGTGGAAGAACTCGGGTATGGGATTTACGCTTGGTCCTCGGGCTTTTGATCCCTTTATCAAGTTGAAGAGCTACCATGTGAAGGAGAGTCAGGGTTAATTTGAGTTATTGGAAAGCAGCTGACGACTTAAGATGAATTACTCACACGCCCTAGACCCGGTGGATGTATTTAGGATCATCCTATCGCTGTGTTGTAAGATAACAGTGTAACTGCCCTTGTTAAAGCCACAAGTGTATATTCCCCAGGGTTAATAGACTATAAAGCTAAACAGTGAAAGCACGCTGTTACAGAGGAAACTCATAAAGATCACGCCTGCGTGTTACGACTCGCTGCCTTCTTCGATCTTAAAAGGTCGAGCGCCTCAGACGCACTCAGGCGATCCGATGGGCGAAATCGCATTAGGCCTTGGATGACCGGCAGAAGGACAGCAAGAGCTGGATCAACAGAGCTGTCGGTAAAATTCCTTTCCAGTTCTGTATTTTGTTTGCCGTTGTTCACGTCCGGGGGCCCGTGGTACTTTGACTTGTCGCGCATCTCGATCCACTGTTCCGTCCACTCCTCTGGTAGGGCTTCTACAAAACCGATCATCTGTTCCACGAGGACTTGATCGTGGCCCAAGTGAAAGAAGGGGCAGCGACCAAATACAAAGCTGTAGATCTGCGTCTGATGGTTAATATTCAGAGTGCTCATCGTCCATGTTAGTATCACCACTCACCATGCAACCGGCCGACCATAGGTCCACTGTGTGATCAAATCGCCCGACGAAAAATGTCTCAGGTGCTTGTAAAGCACCTGGTTGTGCCAGTCGCCCAGGCGCCTTTCCTTCTACAAAGGCCTCCCCAAGGTCCAGTATACAAAGGTCCTCCTTTTCTTCAAACAGCCACTTATCCCAGCTTGCGGCTTCGACGATATACTCTGGTTGGCCATGGTCGAGCGGCTTACCGTCAAGCCGCTCCAGCTTTTCAAAGTAAGGCTCGCCCAGGACCTCTAGAATACGTTCTGTAGTTGCCTCCGAGAGATTTGTACTCCGAAACACAATGTTGCCAAGGTTTATATCTGCACTCATTTAGTACTCTTGTAAATAGTGCGGCTTGTACTTACCTCCATGTGCCATTCCTGCATGGTGCATAAACTGGAGGCCCTCGAGAAGCTGTTCTGCCATCCGAATGATAAGGTTTGGGCAGGGAGTGTCATCTTCCTCCCGGGTATAGAGGCGCATTATCTTACCAACGGAAGGCCCAAGCAGTTCGAGTACAATACACCTATGGTCTCCATTGGGGCCCTCGTGCATGAAGGAGTCCAGGACTTCAACAACGCGCATTGTGGACGGGTCAGTCCCCGAAGCCTCTTGTAGCAATTGTGTGTTGTGAAGCTCGTTAGAGTCCTTTGATACAGCTGCTACCATAATCTTCAACGCCACCCACTTCTTCTGCCTATTTTCTTTTGTTAATGTGGCTCAACAAAGAATGCGGTGGGGGATCAGCAAACTTTGTGTCATACGCCAGCCAGGCAGTGGCATGGCCTCCCCAACCCAGCTTGTGGTATACTTTGTAGCGGTCGTTGTTGAAAGTATCGCCCAAGGTAACTGGATGGTAGCCGCCAGGTCGGTATCCTGGAATTGACTCCTCCGTGTAAAGAATGTTGCGTGGCTTGTAAACTGATAGGGCGGCCATTATCGATGCTCGAAGTTAGTGAAAAACCTAAAATTAAAATTAATTACTGCAAAGTCGAGTACCAATCTCGCATTTAAATTCTCCTGATCCGTAATCGGGCACATGTCTATTCCGTAATCGGGGCGTATGCATTGGCAATGAAGTTGCAGCAGAACAAAGACCGTTTCAGAAGGCGCCACATAGGTAGGTGAATATAAAGTCTTCCATAAACTGCTAAAATTGGCAACCAAGCGGTGCAAGCTCCACCGCAGCGTGTGCTGAATGGTGACAACAAAGCTCTCTAAGGAGTCCTTCTTTGTGTGTATCAGGCAGGATGTATATCGGTTGAGACAATAAGATCAACCCTTTTTTACTTGTGAGTTTTGTACTGAGTCTTTGTATACTACAAAAGGGATTTGTGGCCTGGTGAGCCTAGGATAACGCCGCAGATACAATGACCTACCACATACCGTGAATCGCGAGGCTAGAAGGCGCTGGGAAGTGTGGTATAAGAAGCCAAACAGGTTGGCCCCGACAAGTTCCGATGGGAAAGACCTGGTCCACTCAATATAGGACATATCCTTCAGGGAAACTCGCTGAGCCTTTCCTGATCAGATCCTCCTCTCGTACACAGCCATGGCGGTCCGTCTGCACTTTGATAGAAATGGGTGTTCACAGCAATTCGAGGACCAGAATCGCGAGCAGATACAAGGCTGTGTAAGCGGGTATAGGCAGATCAGGAACGGCCACGGTCATACAGTGGTTATTACGGAGGCCACAGTCATGTAAGTACTAATCTTGCCCCATCTATGAAGCGTTTGACTAATTGAGGCTGACATAGGAACGAACTTCTCTGGTCCCCGGGCTTTTGGGATAGAGCGGGATCAGACCATTCAACCATCCGGCTGGCGAATGATGCCCTCACTGCCCAAAACCTTTGGTATACAATGCACTGGAGACCCGCGCCAGATGGCCTCATGGAGTCTCCCGATACGGTTGTTTTTCCATGGAATAATCGGGAGGCACCCGAACAGAAACGTAAACAGAAGCTGATTGCACAACGGAACAGTGCCTACTAATAATTAGTGAAACAGCGCCACACCCACAGAGAGAGGGCGGCATAAAAGTAGAGTGATGATTATCCCAGTGTGCATTATACGTTAGGCCCAAATATTACCCGTATCTTGCTTTTCAATGTTTTATACTTTTAACAAATCCTCTCGGTCTACCCTACATCACGCTTGCATGTTGTAACTCGCCTTTCGTCTCAACAGGTCCAGGGCCTCGGATGCGCTCAAACGCTCTGCTGGATCCAGTCTCATGAGCCCTTGAATAACGGGGAGGAGAATAGCAACCTTTGCATCGTCTTCATGCTTCTTGAACCGCTTTGCCAACTCTCCCTTCTGCAGCCCCTCCAGCTCGCTCAATGCAGCTCGGAACTGCGAGTCCTGGCGCATTTCATACCACTTTTGCTGCCATTTCTCCGGCAGTTCGTCCACGAAGCCGATCATCTCTCCCACCAAGATCGCGTCGTCGCCCGGACAGCCAAAAGGGTATGCACCGAACACTAAACAATTGATCTATATTTTACAATTAGTCTCTAGTCTTCCTGTTTCGTATCATCTCACTAACCACGCAGCCTGCAGTCCATGAGTCCACTTTCTGGTCGAATCTGCCTGTGAAAAAGGTCTCCGGCACCCTCAGATCCCTTGGTTGTGCCAGCTTCTTCGGTTCTTCTCCTCGGACAAAAGCATGCCCAAAGTCAATAATGCGAATATCCTCCTCGTCTTCATCAAACCATGCCTCCCAATCTGCCGCCTCCACGATTTGCTTCGGGAGGCCAGGATCGAGCGGCTTACCATCAAGGCGGACCAGCTCTTCGCACCGGGGCTCACCGAGGACTTCGAGAAGATCCATGCCGGCATTAAATAGATCGGTACATTGGAATGCGATGTTGCCCACGTTTATATCTAAAATGTCTTAGTACTGTACCACCTGGCTGCGGGCTAGCTTACCTCCATGCACAATATCAGCATCGTGCAAGCAAGTGAGAGCTTGCAGAAGTTGCTCTGAGATGCGCAGAATAACATCTGGTTCAAGGCCTTCTCCCTCCTCGTATTCGCGGCTTCTAATTACTCTGCCAAGCGACGGCCCAAGGAGGTCGAATATAAGACACTGATGGGCTCCGTTCGGTCCATCATGGATGAAAAAGTCCCGCACTGGAGTAATGTGCCGTGAAATAGCATCCGCTTTAGAGTGCGCTGCTAGTAGCTGTAGATTATGCAATTCCCGCGATGGACTGGAAGAATTAGCTTTCAGTATCTTTAAAGAAACCCATTCACCTTGTCTATTTCCGCATTAGCAATGCCCAATAATAGAAGCCCGTGGCACTTGAACTCGCCTCATGTCCTTGGCCAGCCAGACGGTGGAAAACCCTCCCCAGCCCAGCTTGTGGTATACCTTGTAGCGGTTGTTGAATGTATCCCCTAGACAGACTGGATGGTAGCCACCTGGCCCGTAGCACTCGATCCCCTCCTGCGTGTAAAGAAGATTGTGTTTTCGATAGACTGATAGCCCTGCCATCATGTATATGTGAATAAATTGTACGAAGAGTTAAACACTAGTGAGTGATCAGGCAACCGCCCCGTCCTCGTCTTTAAAGAAGCCAGAATTCACTGCCTCCGTATATGGACAACAAAGAAACCCAGCGCATGACAAAGACGTGTCTGACCACTAGAATGCTCCTTGAATCCGCTGCGTCTCGTTACGCTGCTGGGAGAAATAAAGAATTGTTCTTAATCTTTGTTGCAGCGACTGAAGTTTGAATGGCAGGTTTATCACCTCGCCATTGTCTGTAGGGGCTGAACAGTGCATCAACAAAGGATCTGGACAGGGGGTGAATAAGTTGATTCAGGTACCTTTCGCCCTGACACATTCCCAGCAAAGCCTTCAATGCAGCACGCGTATCTGGGTTATATAAACCAGTGGTTGGTGTGCTCATGTTGAATGGCACATTGATCCATTGCCATACGTTATTGGCGCCAGAATGTCCGTCGATATTACGGTTGGTAATGAATGTTCTCTCTATTTCCGGAAGGTGTGGCTCCGTCAGTTTGTTCGGTTCATAAATAGAAACAATAGTTTCATCAATGGACACGGCGAAACAGTTTGGATTGACGAGGCCCATGTTTTGTGAGTTGCCGGTATTCCCGAATATAAGCCACTCTACTAACCACGCCCCGGACGTAGGAACAACCTTCACATGTCTATTAGCGATTTGGATCCATTAGACGTGAAGCATTCCACTGTTTGGGTGACAAACGGCGAGCTTCGGCGGAGGGGGGTCCGATATACCCTCCACTGGCGGCCGCCTCCAGAAGGACCAATGGACAGCCCTGAAGAGTCCATATTCCTTCCATGGAGTAATGAAGAGTTCAAACGGAAAAAGAAAGAGGCGAAGTTGACTTGGAAAGAGGAAAAGGCGAGGTCCCGCGTACCTTGACAGTCAAGCGATGGATCACCCATAGAACAGTAGAGCCTCCAGGATACTACACCAGGAGTAATTCCCTGGTGTGGAGCAAAGTTTTGATGCACAAGGCTCGTTCTAACGCTCCTGGTCAATTTGTAATTGCGCAGCTGTTCCCCTTCCTTCGTTCCTCATCGTATCCTGCGTCTACCAACACATCAATCCAAATACCCATTTGTCCCAGGTTGTCTCTTCAGAGCACGCGTTGCAGTACTCTGTCGATTCCTAGTATATTGTATTAATAAACCCTTAATGTGCACCATGTGTATACCCAACTATTTGTGTGATTTTTCTGCACAAGATTACCCCGTACATCTTTAACCCCCGTTGTTCGAAACTCTTCGCCGGATGACAATATCGTAAGACATAGTATTAATTTCTTTAGACCGATGCCCCGCAGCTATCGTCGGGGCGTGTGAGAGTGGAAAGAAGATCCGAATTGCTCGTCCTAGGACGACGTAGTCAGCAATGATCCTGTGGAATATACAAAGGTGTTTAGCTTGTAAAGGTCAGGCTGGCTACCCTCATTAAAAAACCCTAATCAGGGTCGGGATTTCCTCCTGTTCAACAAGCTTGGTTTGAATGTCTAACGGTATGTTCAGCGATGCTGGAGTGCATAAAATGTTGAGGATAGCTGGCTAGCCACCAGCCTTGCAGGGTGCTTGGTGTAGCGGTCTAGCGCCTCTTGTCATAGACCGAAGAGATAGCTGAACGATTTAACCTTACGTACGCCATACTCTTAGGTAAAACTACGTTGTAGTGGTTTTTAAACACCCGTCTAGCTACAAACTGCTCGCTCCGATTCGAGTCCAGGCATCCACCTTCTGAAAGTCCCGTACAGTGCCATCACCACCATACCGGTGCTGCGTATCGCGCCAGTCCCTGCCCACCGCAGTCTCAGGTCTCCATCTAAACCCATGCTTCAATCTCGGCTCAAGCACCCCCTCCAGCGTCTGATGGATGGCAATCCCGACGGCGGGCATCATCATAAACCCATTCCCAGACCCGCCAACAGCAACAACAAGCGACTTGTACTGCGGGTGCTGGGCAATTAGGAATTGTCTATCCGGAGTGTCTGCATCCCAGCAGATCCGTGCAAAGGCGAGCGGGCGATCGGCGATGTGAGGGACGACTTCGCGCAGGAATTGCCTTGCACTGCGCTCAGATTGCACGGGGATTTGGTGTTTTGCGAAGGGAATGGATTTCTCGATGCCGGTATCTGTGTCATAAACAAAATTGCAGTACCCAGGATGCTCGTCGACGACTTTCAGTTGGCCGTTCTCGGCGTCAGGTTCCTTGTGGGTTAGCACTCGGCCGGTGTCAAGTACGGTAGGGCAACGTACGATGAAGAATCCACGATTGGGGTTGAATAGCACAGGAAGGTTTTTCCACAGCTTCCTTTCTTCCTCTGTCATGTCAATGTGAGCCAATGTCCAGGCCGTCGGTCGCAGCTGTCGCTTAAAATCCAGCAGCTGGTCGCTGTTGGCGCCGGCACACAGGATAACGCGGTCTGCTCTATGCTTCTGTCCATCCGCAGTCTGAATTCCAACCACATCGTCCCAGTCATCTGAGTAGAGAAGCCGCTTAACACTCCCGGTGGCTGATCCAACAACAAACTTGACTCCTAGCCGCGACGCCTCGCGATATGCTGCCTCCAGAGCACCCCTCGCAAATACCCATCCTGCACCTGATTCCCGGAAAAAGCCCTTCCAGTTAGGAAAGTCTCCAGTCAGGACACCCTTGGGCATGGTGGCTCGGAACTCCTCCGGGGTGTTTAGTAGGCGCAGCTTGTCCTTGCAGGTGCGGATGTACTCGTCGATAACCTCGTGCTGGGCGGTCCCCTGAGATGCGGCCATGATGAAGCCAGTGGGATGGTAGAAGGGGCGATAAACAGGGTCATTTTTCCAGGCGTCTGTTGCCAGTTGGTGCATTCTATTCCAGACGTATTGTTCATCAGTATCCGATTCCGAGGGCCAGCCTGGTTATAGTACATATCAGCCAGCTGGCGAGCCAGTAAATAATATTGAGTATACCCTCTTCCATAATTTTGTTCACATCATTTCCGGCCGATATGGGTGAGGGGATCGGGCTCTGGTCAAACACAGTGACATTTGTGTAGCCGTTGCGTGCGAGCTGGAGCGCGGTGCTGCAGCCCCAGGTGCCGCCGCCGATGATAAGCACAGCCTCGGTCGACATGATGTTTGATCTTGTGCCTCCTGCTGGGCGATCGCTTGGTTAAATACCACCAATTGCAGCTATTGGAGGTGGAAGGTCCATCCGGAGGACTGTTGGAGTCAACATTGCCCTGTTATCGGCTGCAGCCAACAAGCTTTCAGTCTGCTCGCTTCGATATCGGTGGATTCCGAAGCTTCCCCCGCCCCCGCAGTGAAACTGATAGGGAGACTCCAGTCTATGCCCTAACAAGTTTAGCATTGGGGTCGTCTTCTCTTGGACCTTCCTTGCTTTTGTCCTATCGCTTTCTCCGCATCGTCGCTTCGGATATCAGTCCTTTGTATGTGGTTGTCCTCTCTTGATGGTGCTTAAATAGAGCCTGATCCGCCATGGCCATACTTGTCCTATCGGCATCTGCCAGCACTTTTGCAATAAATAGTATTCACAATGGCCAGTGGAGTGGATGACATCTCGCAGACCGATGTTCCAGGAACCATCTTCTTTGTTGGTAGGGCATCACCCTGCAGGAATAGAGCACCCACTTATACTCCACAGGGGACAAGACACAGGTCGAGCAACTGCATGACACAACCGAACACAATGTCGTACTTGTGCCTCGCCCACTGGACACAGCAAGAGACCCCCTGGTATGCCTCTTCCTTCGCTACATCAGGTTCACTCTAACTATCCCAGAACTGGCCCAAGCCAAAGAAGGCATGGAGTCTGTTCCTGGCAACCCTGTTCGCCACTGTCATGGCGTTCGGCGAGAACGTCTCCGGTGCAGCCTGGACTGTTATTTCGGAGGAGATCGATGTCACGATCGCCGACATGAATGGGGGCTCGGCCCTAAACTACCTGCTTCTGGGCTTTGTCAATGTGCTCTGGATTCCGACGGCCATGAAGTTCGGTCGCAAGATTGTGTATATCTCGTCGATGACAATTGTTATGGCGGCCTCGGTGTGGAATTCGTATATCTATGGCACGCCGCAGTGGTACCTGAACAGTCTGGTCGGGGGGATTGGACAGGGTGCTTACCAGGCTATTATTCAACTTACAGTAAGCCTTTGCTTTGCGAACCCTAGTCGATGGTATTAACCTTGGTAGGTCTTTGATATATTCTTCGCCCACCAGCGAGGTACCATGCTCGCTGTTTATGTCTGGGGACAACAGCTGGGCACCATCCTGGGTTTAATCCTGGGAGGCTATATTGCTGAGGGGCCTGGCTGGAGGTGGGCCTACAGAGTCGTTGCCATTCTCAGTGTATGTTCAGCTTAGTCAATGTGCTATTATTCACTGATTTTATTACAGGGCGCTGTGGTTGTCTTGTTTGTTTTCACCTTCGACGACTCCCTCTTTCCCCGGTATGCACTCGACAGATCGAGAACTTCCGTCTCGCAAAACGCAGCCAGTCAGACATACCACAATACCCATACTCAGTCAACCGGCGATACCAAAAAAGAACCATCTATAGAGCCTCTGGATCGTCAGGCCACAATAAACGATGGCGGCTTCGACTTCCTACCACGCAACTACTGGTATGTCCTCGCTCCAGTTCACTACTTCAGAGAGGACAGGACCACCTGGTGGCAGTACTTCCGTCGACCATTCCATCTCTTTGCATTTCTGAATATTCTCATTGTATGCATCCAATCCAGGTCAACTCAAACTGCAAGCTAACGCAATACAGGCTGGCTTGATCTATGCTTTTGCAAACACAGCGGGTATTTCAGAATCTAAATGCACATTATAGCAGAATAACTGAGTCGCTTAGGAATCGTCTCCTTCAACACCATCTCCGAGATCATGACCGAAGCGCCGTATAACTGGGGAACCGGTGCAACTGGCCTTCTCTTCCTCGCTGCCCTAGTCGGGTCTTTCATTGGGTATCACTCACTATCCATTCCATATCTCTGTATACCTTCGCTGCTAACAACTACAGAATGGGAACCGGCGCCCTCGGTGACCTCGTCGTCCTCCGCCTCGCCCGCCGCAATGCTGGGTACAAAGAACCAGAAATGCGTCTGTGGATTCTAGCTCTTGCATTTGTCTACGGCGCTGTCGGGTACTTCATGTACGGCTGGGCTGCGTCATATGGAAAGTCTTGGGTTCTTATTGCCGTCGGACTAGGTGGTATGATCGCGCAGCAGGTTTCCGCTGCGAGTGTAGCTACTGCCTATGCGATGGAGTGTTTTGAGGGGGTACGTCTTCTTTCGCTTTATTGCAATTCCGTGTTATGTTTAGAAGACGGCCGGCTTATGAATCTTAGATATCGAGCGAACTCGTCGTCGTGCTTGCGATCTGCTCGTCGTGCATCAATTTCGCCATGTCCTTTTCTGTCCAGCCGTTTATCGAGGCGACGGATTATGGAAGGGCGTTTACGTTTTGTGGGGCGTTGGTGCTGGCGAGTATGGCGTTGGCTGTGCCTTCGATGGTTTGGGGGAAGAGGTGGCGGAGGTGGTGTGCGAAGAGGTACTGGAGGTTTGTTTCCGAGGGGGTTGTTATATAGTTTGATATCACAATGCGTTGCTTTCTATACAATTTTGTGGTCGGAGGTTGATTGTGATCAATTATTGTTTCATATGAAATATATATATATACGGAACATGGGAAGCATATGTCTGAGGTGCACTAGTACGCAGCGGAATCTTCCAGAACGATTCTATATATTGAAGCAAGTAGGCATACCATCAAGCATACTGCCGCCTGAAAGAACTGAATATCCAATCCTCTACAAATTCCATGGTCGTAGGCACAAACCGCCACTCGTACTCGTACCCATACCTCAATCCGGAAATGCATACGGTTCTTGGCACCAGAATTTTCCAGCGGCACATTCCAATGACCGGCCCATCCTCGGACAGCCTGGAATTCACAGCTGCCTAAAGCTCTCTTGGAACATGTAACGGCGTGATCCTGCCGTCCCAAGTGTTGCCCTACGAATACGAAGTTATGCCGAAGATCTCTTGGATCTGTGGTCTGCCCCTGCCATGCCGACGCGTCGAGCCCACCGGAAATCCAGACATGGCTGCAAGGCGTGCAAGCAGCGTCGGGTGAAGGTATGCCAATTGAAGTTCTGTATTAATAATGCGACGTATTCTGACAAGCGATAGTGCGACGAAGCAAGACCCGTCTGTACACACTGCCAGCAGCGCGAGGAGCAGTGCGAATACAGCGCAGAGGCGTCCTATATCTGGGCAGTTGATGAGCCTCCTCGCGGTCGGGCCAGAAGGCGCAAACAGTCCGGAAGTGAGCGTAAACACGCCGACGAAGATGCTCCGTTCGAGCTTCTGGATACATTCGGTCGCCAGACAGACCCGGCGTCTAGTTCTACACTGGACATGGTCCAGCTGAGGCTGCTGGTGAACTGGCAGCATGAGACGTGTCAGTTCTTCTCCCGCGACACGGAAACGAGAATCATTTGGCAGATTCATCTCGTGGACGAGGCGCTGAAAACACCGCCGCTTATGCATGGTATTCTCGCCGTGTCGGCCCTACATCTCGCGCTGTCGGAACCACCTTCGGAACAGGCGTTTTGGCTGGGTATAGCTACCGCGCATAAGAGCGAGGCGCTGCAGTTTCTACGGAATGGGCTGGGGAATGTTAATGCGGAGAATGCGACCTCGTTGGTGAGAATATCTGGACTGGTTGTAGCCTATGCGTTTGGGTCGGCCTTGACAGAGACAGACGCGGACAAACCCTCGTTGGATGCGCTGAACAAGGTCTTCGTTTTGTGTCGCGGGATTCAGCAAATAAACAATGCGGCCTCTTCTTTTCTGCGGCAGAGTAACCTTGCGCCGCTCTATCGCCCGGGGGATACCTCTTTGGCGGTTCCTGACCTTGTTAAGGCATCACTGGATCGGCTTGACAAGTTGAACACGAAATGTCTGCATCTTGGGGGCCACGACGCTGCAACGTATACCCGTGTGATTGCAGCAATGCGAGCGCTATCCGGGCACTGTTTCGTACAGCCCAACTCGATGACTTTCGTTGTTGGGTGGGCCATTCGCGCCTCTCCTGAGTACCTGGAGTATCTTCAGGCGAAAGAGCCGTTTGCTTTGGTGATACATGCTCATTACTGTGCTTTCTTACACTTGGCCAGAGGCAATTCCTTTCTACAGTACTGGGGCCGAGCTGTGTTGGAGGATATAATTCCGCTGCTGGACGATTCTTGGAGGCCACATATTGAGTGGCCTGTTGCTGAGGTATTTGGCGTTGACTGGCCGTTATAAAAATATTTGTTTTATTTCTAGGTTATGTTTGACAGTCCCTCCCATCGTATAAAATATAATAGTTACGAAATTTGATACTGCATCTTGGCAAGCGTAAATCAAAGGGACGGCGTTAATCCTTAATTGGGGCATTGCGGAGATATCTAGCTTGCCAACCGTGAAACAAGACAAAGTCCCTGGGCGTGGCAATTCTTGTTTGCTCATTGGCAGGCTTGACTGTTGCCTAGGAAGCCAATCTTCGATCTGCCTCTGTATAGATAACCGCATTGGGACAAGCATACGAACCCGAACCCGAACCCGACACACAGCATTAGTATTAATAGATTCCTCACGTAGCAGAGTAAACACTTAAGGTAGGCAGAATATTTTCATATGTTTATAATTCTAGTCTTGTTAGCATAAATACAATTCCTCGTCAACAAGAATCCTACAGTCTCTACATTGACAATCCATTACCCAAATACACCTTAACATCTTCGTGCGATCAAAATGAGTATCCTCCAGAAACTCAATGTCCCACCCGAGTGTATTCCGAGGCGAAAGTTTAAATTGCACATCGCGATCGGATTGCTGGTCTTGATAACGTTCATCCTAGCCATTGCCCGCGTAGCCGACAGCGGGACTCCAAGAGGGAGAACAAACACATGGGGAATTGCAGTGGTTAGCAACCTTCCATGCATTGTTATAGAATGGATCAATTGCTAACAGGCATGTCGAATAGTGCGTAAAATCTGCAGTCTTCATGGCATACCAGGTCACAACGGCCCACGTGAGCCGGCTCAAACGATGGGCGAACACGAAGGTCAATATAACTTTGAATGTAATCGACACTGTATTCTGGTTTGCGCTGTTTGTTATCACAATAATGGGGACCATGAGCTCGACTTCGACGAGCAGCAAAACACTGGGCGCGATTATTATCATTCTGGCTATCACCCTGGTGTATGTTTTCCCATGACTTGTTCCATAACTAGAAACTAACTGTTTCATGATATAGCCCTCAAGTCGGTTATCTCTCTTTTATATGCATCTGCGAGCGACGGTATTATAAACAGCATGGTATGCTGCCTGGAGAGGCTGCAAAGTACTCCGGTGCTGTTTAGATGTCTTGGACTGTGGAAGGAAAGGGATACAATCAATATGTTTTAGAGGTGCTTGGATGTTTAGAATTGTTGATCTGCCTTTTGTAGGATTTATTGATATTTTGTCTTCGTCTCTTTATTCTGCTCAGTTACTTATTCCTTTCCAACTCAAGCAAGCAAAAACGTGTGCCACTGTAATGTCGGAATTTGTTCATCGATTCCACTAAAATACACCCCGAAACCGTCAACCTCTATAAGATCAAGAGTTCTATCGCTATATTACAGAAGATCTACTAATATCACTCCTTAACAACTCTAGTAAGCAGAATGTGCACCCCCCCTCAACATCTCCAAATCCTCCGCCGGCTTATAGCTGTCCTTCCTCCCATCAACAATCGCACTCGGATGCCAAACATTCAACACCCCACAGCAGATAAGCATAAGCGCCCCATCAAAGATATAAATAAACACCTCCTTACTCTGCAGAAACCCCCCTTTACCCTGAACATACTCTGCAACCCGAAACACCGAACGGACCATAATCAGCGTGCTCACAGCATACAGTACCTTAAGATACCGACTCCACGGCAGCTCCGTTCCAATATAGTTCAGAGGCGTGGAAAGCATTCGACGGTGAAAGATTATCGAGACGATGATGAAGATGCTGAAGAAGAGGATCTGTACGAAAAGACCGCCTAGAATCATCTTCTCGCCCATGTCTGCTTTGGACGCGTCGGTGGCGCTTGCTTGCATCCCGCCTCCTGCCATATACATATGTTAGACTAGAGTTCTTGGTAGAGGACCGTTATAGATGGGTTGGTACGCACCGCCGCTTTGAAGTAAAAAGGAGAGAACATCGCCCGTCACGAAGATCTTCGTTAGCCACGTCGGGCGAATAGGCGAGATGGAGCCGGCGTTGAGAACGCGGATAATTCGTCCGAGAAGCATGTAGATTGAAGCAGCGAAGAGGGCTGGGCCGAGCAAAATGAGTACGCTTTGCCCGACGTAGGGCTTCATTGTCCAGTCTGGGGTTTCTGTGGCACTGATGAATCTGCAGAGGTAGCCGATTGCCTCGACTGTGGATGTTAGAAATGGGCGAGATTGGAGGTCAGGGAGACTTACAGGCGCCACCAACTATGAATGGGATCAGGTACCATGTTCGGGTGCGGATTGCTTGCCAGATGTGGATGACTGTGGTGAGGCCGAAGAGGGCGGCGAAGGGGATGGCGGCGCCTTCGGAGGGGTTGTAGTTGTAGTACTTGTATGCCATCTTCGAGAGCTAGGTAGTTTGCTGGGGAATGGATACTTTGGGACCATGGGACCATGTTATATATGAATTTTCTTTTACTCTTTATCCATCTTTTGCTCCATGGTGGGACTAGGAGATAGCAGAGTACGTGCAGGTAGGCAGCATCGTGGCAGGGATCTATACGAGTATCCGAGCAACTAGCAGTTTCAACCAGTCCACTTGCACCGAAACTGACAAGAAAGCGAAAGAGAAAGTGGAGCAGCTAAGCTTCCAGGGCGCCCAGCGAGTGGCAACGGGCCTCCACCGAAAAGGGTTATGGGTACGAGAACGAGCGTCCCCCCATTTTATGGAAATAATTTTAGAACGTGTCGGTTTTCAGGCAAGAAGTTCTGAAGATGGTCTATTTAAGCTGTCCTTTGTCCTGTTCCTTCAGAAATTCCGAGACATCAATCCACCGTTATACCGAATTCTCTTATCATGGAGTTCACTTTCTACTACTACGCACCATCTGGTGCTGCTGGAGGCATATTTGCTGCTCTATTCGGCATCTGTACCATCCTTCACTTCTATCAGCTCCTCCGAACAAGGACCTGGTTCATGATCCCGTTCGCCATCGGCGGTGCCTGTACGCTAAGCCCATCCTTGTATCAATATCACGTACTGACTAAACAGTGGAAACTGTCGGATACATTGGCCGTGTTCTCTCCTCGACCGAGACACCAGACTTCACCAAAGGCCCGTATGTCATGCAGAGCGCCCTCATCCTGATCGCCCCCGCCTTCCTCGCTGCTAGCATCTACATGACCCTGGGCCGGATCATCGCTATGCTTAATGCGGAACGATGCTCTCTAATCCCGCTGCGCTTCCTGACGAAGATCTTCGTCGCTGGCGATGTCCTCTCGTTCCTAATGCAGGCCTCCGGTAAGCCATCCAATACCAATACCAAACGAAGACTAACTAACAGAGTAGGCGCCGGAATCATGGTCAAAGACGAGGACAGCGCACAGATGGGACAGAATATCATTGTCGGCGGATTATTCGTCCAAATCGCCTTCTTCGCCTTCTTCGTCATTACCGCTGGAATCTTCGAAATCCGCATGGCTAGACAGCAGGTTACCGTCTCGCCGGATCTGCAGAGTATTTGGCGCAGACATATGATGGCGCTGTTCTTCACCAGCGTCCTGATCTTGATTCGCTCAGTGATTCGTGTTGTGGAGTACCTGATGGGCTATGACTCGTACCTTATGCGCCAGGAGGTGTTTATCTATGTGTTTGATGCGCTGTTGATGTTTGTTGTCTTGCTTACGCTGAACTGGATCCATCCGAGCGAGGTTAACTGTGCTCTGGGTAAGGGGGAGAGATACCTAAAGCGTGCTGTCGCTGTCCGCAAGTTCGCTACGAGCACAAGAGAGATGGAGGGGCCTTGATTAATTCTCATTCCGTAACGAGTTTCTCAAATTAATTAATTCACATCTTCAATCATTTAAAAAGCCAACAAGGCAGCCCTGGCAGTGAGAGTCGCCAAAATCCCCGACGAGACCAAAAACACCGGAAACCGCAGCAGAATCGTATTAGTCGTGCACTGGATCAGACTATGCAAAACGCGCACTCCAACATATCCCCAGGCGAGTTTAATATCGAGCGGGTCATCTGCGCCGTACCGCGCAATGGCGAGTGCGAGAGCGATGGCGTAGAACTGGGTTGGCTGCTCGAGGAGGTGGTTGTAGTTGTCGGCCTTCCAGCGTACGGAGGCGGGTGTGCGCTTGTCAATCTCGCTGCGCAGCGTGGAGGGATCGCTTGCTTCCTTCATGCGACTGAAGACGGGGAGGCGGGTTGCGTACATCCAGATTTCGACGAAGAAGGTCCAGCCGTTGAGGGCGATGATGGGCCGCAGCAGGCCGGGGATGTGGGCGGTTGACATGGCGGATAATAGTGGTTTGGAAAAAAGAAGAGAGAGAGATGAATAGAAATAGAAAAGAGAGAGAGAGAGAGGAGTCCGCTTTATTAAGAAGATCTTCTTGGCCGTTCCTTAGCTCGTCTGCAGCCTCGGCTTCTCTCCACTTCTCACATTCCAGTTTACACTCGGCTGCAGCTGATATAATAACCAAAGCAGACCGGATTCTGATACAAAGATATTGAACGGACGCACCCTGAGAGGGGGCGTCCCAGTAGACTATATACAATACCTCAACTAGAGAAGCGATAAAAACTACAGGAAATTGTCAGAATAATCAATGAATGGTGAGAATTAACAGCTAATCTATGCTTACAAGTCCCACTTATTCCTGTATAAGCCTGCTGATCGTTCAACTAAGTTGATATTTCCACTGTGGTAGTAGCCCCTATGCTAAGATATGTAATAGTTCATAGACGGAGCTGACACCTCGTGCCGTCGTCTGCCTCGGCAACCATTTTATGGCGGCATAATAGGCAGCAGCCATTATACGAACGAGTAACATCTGTTAATGAATCTCTCTTCTATACCAATCACCATGGAAAACAGTCCACTCCTTCGCCTCCCTGTCAATATCCGCCGCCAGATCTACCACCATGTCTTTGGCAAAGGCACCGTGCATCTCCTCGAAGAGAAAAAGCACATATTCTGCGTCTGGTGCCCCAATCCAACCCGGCACCAAATCGAGGCCAATGAATTCTGCAACGCGTATCATCAGGCCTCATCTGCCCTCCGCCGCTTCGGCCTTGCAATGGACAACATCTCCGAGTTTGGCTGGGGAGATCCTTATATACCCGGCGGTCTGGTCTCGACGGGAGACGTGGCCCTCCTCCGTGTCTGCCGCGAGATCCACGCCGAAGCCCTGCCTGTTCTATACGAAGATGCAACATTTGAGGTTATCGGTCTTGACGCCTGGCTCTGGTTCTTCGCCCGCCTGGGCGAGAAGGTTGCCCTGATTCGGAGATTGAGGGTTTTGCTTTTCTCTGTACCTGGCTTAGACCGTAAGAATGCGAGGGAGCGGCGTCGGGGGAATGTAGTCCATGATCTCGATTTCTATGACCAGTTTTGGACGCTTGTACGCGTGAAAATGACCGGCCTGGCTCATTTGGTTGTTGAGCTGCATCTACTGGCGGCGGTGCCTAGGACTGCCGATGCGGAGTGGTGTCGCCCTGTTAAAGCCCTTCGAGGGCTGAGGTCTTTCGAGCTGGAGATATTTGATTCTACAGTTCTTCAGGATGGGTATTCTGGTGCTGAGACTGTCGCTGTGGAGGACTGTCTGAGAGACATTGTATGCGCGGGGCATGACGAAACGGTGCATACAGATGTTGCTTCCGTACAGCTTCCGCGTTTTTATTCCGGAGCGCAATATGTAAGAAAGAACCGTAGATGAACCATACATAGTCCTTATAGTACATATTGTATACGGACTACTCCGATCGGATGCATCCGACTCGGACCCACCCGGTCGCAGTTTCACAACATCCCAACTCTCCCTCCCTCCCTCATTCTTTAACACAAGCACCATGTTAACAGCAAGAACACTGAAAGCGGCAATTCCACGTGCCAGTCTGGCGACTCGCACGATCAGCACCGGCACAGTCCCGACCGTCGCGGTTCTACACCAGGCAATCGACCCCCCGGTTATCAATGGCGTGCGCAAACCGCGCAAGCCAGGTGGTGAGGGCGCCAGGAATCCCTCGCTTTCAGTATACCATACTGATATCTTGCAGGCTACCAAGACTCAGGCGCAGACATCGCCTACACGCTGCAGCAAAAAGGCATCAAGGTCGTAAAGGCCGATGCAGCGACCCCTGTGTCTGCGCACGAGGGCTGGTCGTTTCCCGACACGGAAGAGGGTATCTACTCTGCTGTCCAGCAGGGCGTTACGCACTTCTGGGCGAATACGATTCTATTCAGTTCGCATCCGCTGCAGACGTCGGCTCGGTTGACCCCGCTGGCTGAGCGGGTGTATGTTGTTGGCCAGCCGCCGAGCTTGGTTGAGAATTTTGACGATAAGGCGTATTTGAATGGTAAACTGGCGGAGATGGGCGGGTTTACTCTGCCAAGGTCGTGGCTTGTTACGGCGGAGAATGTTGGTGATGTTGTTCAGTCTATCGACCGGTATCCTGTTGTTGGGAAGCCGGTGCGTGGGAGGGGAAGCCACGGGGTGAAGGTTTGTCATGATAAGGCGGAGTTGCAGCATCATACGGAGGCTCTGCTTGCTGAGTCGCCGCTGGTTATGCTGGAGGAGTTTCTTGCTGGTGAAGAGGCGACTATTACGGTCATGCCGCCGACGCCGACCAATCCCCGGCATTGGAGCATGGTGCCTGTGACGCGATTTAACCATGATGACGGTATCGCGCCGTATAACGGTGTAGTGGCGGTCACGGCGAATTCAAGAGTTGTCAACCAGGATGAGCTCAAAGATCCGGCGTATGGAAAGGTAATGAGACAGTGCGAAGAGGTCGCGAAGCTCATAGGGGCTACGGCTCCGATTCGTATCGATGTGCGCCGGTTCCAGCCTGGCTCGGAGTTTGCGCTCTTTGATATCAATATGAAGCCCGTATGTATCACCAGGCTCTTTATTACCTGATGCTAACGGTGTGCAGAATATGACAGGCCCGGGCCGGCCAGGGCGTGAAGATCAGGCGAGCTTGACGGCCATTGCTGCGTCGTCCATGGGATGGGATTATGGGACGCTGCTCGAGAATATCCTCCAGGGTGCTCAATCACTAAGCATCTTTAGGAACTACCGCAGTCCTTTCTAGTCGGATACGAAGTAAATTGTATATTGCCATTATCCTGTACCTTTGACGCGCTGTATAAAGATAAACATAGAACTAGCAAATTCAAACTCCTGCAAGCACAATATTTAATACCAACCAACACCCTAAAACCATCCCTTATCACCAGCAATATATCACACCTGCGAGACAAACACATTGGTATCACTCCTTCGACCCTCAGCGAGCTCCTTGGCTTCTTCCTCCCTCTCTTTCCCACGACTCCTGCGTCTTCGCCTCTTCCTCTCCTTCTTATCCTTCTTTTTCTCCCTCGGCGGAAACTCACTATCCGGTCCCTGCAGCACACAAGAAGGATGCACAACAGCAAGCACAACAAGTCCACAGAAGATAGGCAACGCATCCAGCGAGTAAAAGAACGCCTCGTGAACAGCAATATACCCGTGAACCCCGTCCGAAAACTCAATCAAACGAAATATATTCCGAATTGTAATCAGCACCAGCGTTATATAAAGTGCATACAGCAGTCGGCGCCAAGGGACGGTATATATAACCGGCCTCACGGCGGTATGCTTGTCAGTCGCAACGGTATGTTGATGACTCGTCCCGATGATAAGCTTGTAGTGGAATCGGGTCGCGAGGACGATGAAGAATGTTATGAAGGCTTGTTGGATGGCAACACCGGCCATCACTTCTCTAGTTAGCTTGGCATACATATTTTGGTGGCGGACGTACTGATATAGACGCCCGTCTGGGCTTTATCTGGATCATCATCGCTCATCGGACCACTAGACGAAGCCTGCACGAAGAAAGCGACGATATCCAGAATGACAAAGATGAGCGTCAACCTGCGCGCCCCGATATTGTACACCCGGTCTCGCTCGAGCAGCATGTGCACCATCCGGCCTAGGACCATGTACACGAACCCGTTGAGCCAGAGGGGCCCTAGGAAGATGATTATGCTCTGTGGGATAAAGTCGCCGATCCCACTAATGTGGTGTGCTGCTTTCGTACGCAGGGCGAATCCGACGGTTAGCCAGGCGGCGCCCATTGTTATGACCCAGCAGAATTTCTAAAGTCATTAGTATTGTTTCGGCTTTGAGGTTATATGATGTACCTTGCGTGTTTTGAAACTGAGATAGAGATGGAGGAGGGCGCTCAATCCGTATAGGACTGTGAATAGAGCGGAGGCTGCGAGGCTCGGACAGAATGTCCATCCTGAGTTTTTGGGAGGAGTGCATTGAGCCATTGCAGGTGGATATGGAAGATATTGATTGATTATCCTTCTCGAAGCAATTCAGCATTGCTTTATAGAATAACATTCGCGATAAAAATAATAAAACAGCTGCCTGCAATCAGAAGTATACCGTATCTCGCATTCGTTTATTACCGTTCTCGCATGTAAAATACGAGCCCTCGCACTCGCATTCGCATCAAGCGTTTACTAGTGGAACACCAAAAATAGAGTAAGCACTAAAATAAATCCATAATCTATGCAGTCTATATCATATCTATCTCTAGTACCGCAGGGTGTAAACCTCACGGCCGCGCTCATCCTTGCCCTTATAGTCGACCGTCTTGCCATCGTCCGAGACCACCCTCCTCGCATCCCCATTATGCAGAACGATATCCAGCTCCTTCCAGGCCGGAACGAACCCGCTCGTCTCATCCTTACTGAAGCCAACAACCACCCGGTCGTCCATCGCCTCGTAGCTAATCGTGTACTTGGACACCTTAGGCTCCACCGAGATCCCATCATCCTCCATCCACGTCGTCGAGAAGACATTGCCATGCGAACTCGCACGCGGAGGGAAGATCTCAACACCGCGGTAATCATCCAGCTCAGAAACAGCCACCGAAGCAGCCGTCTCGTCGCCTAGAATACGCGTCTGCACAGACTTGCCCACAGGGATGGCACCGCCGATCTTCGCAAGCAGGGGGATGCTCTCCTTCCACTCGGACGGGATGTCAACCCACTGCCCCGAGGCGTAGTAAGTGTACGGCGCGTTCAGGTTCACGAACCCGTAGTCGAACTGCCCATCGGCCTTGCGCGGGAGATATACCTTTGCGACATTCACGCCGGGCTCGTAGACGCCTCCGACCAGAATGCTCTCGCCGAACCAGAACTGCTCCTCGCCGCGCTTGAGTGTCTTGCTCCAGACTTCTGGGTCGGACTCGTAGCCCCACCCGACCCAGCGCTGGGGTGGGGAGGCGAAGAAGTGGCTCTCGAGTCCGAGGTTGTAGATGTAGGGAAGGATTTCGTAGCGGCGCTTGATTGTGCCGCGCACTTGGGGCGTTACTTCGGGGTACATCCAGGGTTCGATCATGTCGCCGACTTCGTTGTTGGAGGGGGAGGTCTTGAAGCAGTTTATGGCGAATCGGGGGGAGTAGGTTCCTAGTTGTACCCAGCGGACGAGGAGTTCGGGGGATGGTTGGGGGCCTTATAAGTTAGTTAGACGTCTAAGTATAAGAAGACTGAACGTACCTTCAAAGCCGCCAATATCGTGGCCCTCGCACTGGAATGGTCAGTTTGTTTATAAACTTATACCTCTGGAATGGTATCTCACCTGAAGAAGGGACAATGCAGCATTCAGAGACAGCGCATTGGCACCCTTCATGCTCTCCCAGCTGGTAACGTTATCACCACTCCAGGTACTCGCAGAGTAGCGCATCGTCCCAGCAGTGGCACTACGAGTCAGCACAAACGGCCGCACATTCGGCTCCAAGTCCCTCAAAGCGTCATGGGACGCCTTGCCCATAAGCTCCGTGTGCATAGCTCGACCCCAGAGACCAACCGTCTTGTCATCGGCCTGCTTCTTGACGGCCTCTGAGACGGTGGGCTCGTCGAGTGCCACCCGCCAGTCATCGCTGGGCAGAGTATACTCGTTGTTGTCGTTCCACATCCCGTCGATTCCAGATCGCTTGAGGAACTGCACCCCGTCGTACCACCACTTGAAGGCTGCGGCAGAGGTGAAGTCGATGTGGCATCCATCGCCGCCCGTTGCGCCCCCGGCACTCCATAGACGCATGTATCCAGGCTCGCCGGTCTCAGGGTCCTTGAAGAACCCATTCCCGTCGATCAGCTTCTGGTAGTCCGGGTGTGAGCTGAGCAGGAATGGCTTGATGTTGGTTAGAAGACGAATGCCGCGCGAGTGGTACTGCGCAATCCACTTCTCAGGATCGGGGAATCGGTATCGGTTCCATGTGAAGACCGTGCGGACCTTGGGCTCGGCTTCGGAGATCGAGTAGCCCGAGCTCATCTGGTGCGCGGAGCAGGGGATGTCGTGCTCCTTGAGCTTGTCGGCGAATTCCATCAGCGCCTCGTTGGCTGGCGGGTCGTCCTTTGCGCTGTATCCGTAGCCACCGGAGATGTATCCGTATGCCCATCGGGGGACGGGCAGAGGGAAGCCGACGAGTTCTGCGTACGACCTGACGACGTCCTTCAGGGTCTTGCCGACTATCAGGTACTGCTCCAGGCCGCCGACGTCCTGGCGGTATACCTTGAAGTGGCCCCAGAGGCCGTCCACCTCAGAGCCAACAGACCAGGTACCCCTGCCGTGTGTGGTGGAGAAGATCGCAACACATCCGGACGGGCTCGCCTTGATGAGCAGCGGAATGTGCTTGTAGAGGGGGTCGGTGTTGTAGACGTCGTATCCGAAGCTGTCTGTCGCAGAGAGCTGGAAGTGTCGGTCGGTGAGATCCATGGGCGCGCCCTTCTCGCCGAGACCAACGTGCAGTGCCTTGCGGTCGTGCTCTGTGTAGTGCGCAATGCCCTCCCCGTCTGTGACATAGGAGCGCAGGTGCAGGTCCTTGTATAGAGGCTTGTCATCGCCCTTCCATGCCAGCGACACCACGGGGGTGTTCTCCCAGTTGACGGCGGCCTTGATGTTGCCGACTTCAATTTCCTTCTGGGAGGGACCGCCGCTCGTCGAGACATTGACGCCGCTCAAGCTGGTTTCTGGCTTGGTGACGCTGGGGTAGGGAGGGAGGGGATGGTCCGGCGTCGTGAAGGTGACGCGGAACAGGTTCTCGCGGACAGCTTCAAAAGAAAAGTCAACGGATCGCTTGTTTGTTTCATGGTGAAGGAGCACAGAGGGACTCGAGTCCTGCGACTGTGTCTGTTGGTAGCCCTTGGGGCAGTACTCTTTTTGCGGCATTATCACAACTTCAAACTCGCGCGCAGTTCGTGAATTGAGTTCTGTCAAGCTACGCGACAACGAAGCCTATTTGAACCATTTCTGCATGCCAGCTCCCCTCACGGACTGAGGGGTGCATTGAGGGGCTGCACGGTGATGGCGTGGCTGCTGTCGGGTTTCGGTGCCCATCCCCGATGTATATCCAAACGCCAACAGAAACCAGGCCGGATAATCATTTCATCATCGTCTTAGCATCGGTCGAACAGCCGACAGCCGAATGAATGAAACCACCTCCGCAAAGTCTTCCCCACGGGCACCGTTCCATTGGACAGCGCTCTCGGAGATCGTCCGCGCAACCTCGCATTTGCTGGATTGCCTCCTTTTAGCCCTTGGTTAGTTCAGTGCTAGTGGTCTGCTAGTCTTCGTCTGGGTATCTGCTCTCCTGTCAATGACTCGGCCGTTGTTTCTCCATGTGCCGATGCTCCTTTCGTGGCCTGATGACCGTCGGACTTGCCAGCCTTCGTCCGATGTGGATATGCGTTTCCCCCGCGGGGTGCCCCAGGTTCAGTATACTGAGACTGCTGTCCTCTTAGCCTCTTAGTGTTTTGAGGCCGTTCCGTCTGCCGATATAACTCTGCCGCCCCCGTTGTACCCGTGGCGCGGTGGTTACCGGGATATGCATCTTCTCTACCTCGACGGCTGATACTTGCCAGTATACTATCATCCATTCGACTAACAGTTCCTGACTTGGATAACCATTCATCTATTTAAACTACATTGGGCAGCTCAAAATGTCTCACCCAGGCCCAGACTCAAAGGCCGAGCAGGACGAACGCATCGAATTCGCTCCAGCCCAGGCCCAGCCTGAACCCCATGAAGGGCCCCAACCCGATGGACAGAAGAAAGATAAAGCCCTGGAGTTGATCGAAGACCTCGGGGGCTCAACTATCCTCACGCCAGAGAACAACAAGCGCGTCCTCCGCCGAATCGACCTACGACTACTCCCTATCCTCCTGGGAATCTACTTCCTGCAACAACTCGACAAATCCACCCTCTCCTACGGCTCCGTCTTCGGGCTCATCGAGGATGCTAACCTCGTGGGTCAAGAGTATTCCTGGCTTGGATCGAGCATATACCTTGTCCAGCTGGTCGCCCAGCCTGCCATTGCGTACATTCTCGTCAAGATCCGACTGGGGAAGTTCCTGGCTGTCATGGTGTTCTTCTGGGGTATTTCCCTTGCGTGCATGACGCCTGCAAATACATTCGGGGGGTTGCTGGCCTGTCGGATCTTCCTGGGTTTGTTTGAATCGGGGATTCGTGAGTGTCTACGTTCTATGTATACTTTCTAGACTGACGATGGCAGCCCCTGCCTTTATTGCCATCACACAGATGTGGTATCGTCGTCGTGAGCAGCCGATGCGATTGAGTTCTTGGTATGCAATGAACGGTGTTGTCAATATGGTACGTTAATTAATCTTCTTTAACGATTTATGCTGACAATGTGCCAGTTTGGCAGTCTGATCGCGTTCGGCCTCGGGCATATCGATTCCAAACTGTCGCCATATCAGGTACTATACACAACACCCCCTCTTTAGTTGGTACTGATGAGAACAGATTATTTTCCTCTTCTTCGGGCTCATCACTGTTGCGTTTGCCTTCGCTGTCTTGTGGGTATCCAGCCACCAACATCTTCTCAGTAGCTAACTGTCCCAGGGTCTTTCTGCCGGACTCCCCAATGCAATCCAAATTCCTGAACGAGGAGGATAAACTGCTAGCAATCGAAAGGTACGACTCGAACCAGGGTTAAAATCCCGACTAACCATTGTAGACTCCGCATGAACCAGCAAGGCATCGAAACGCATGAATGGAAATGGGCCCATGTCAAGGAGGCTTTCCTTGACCCGAAATCCTTCTTCTGGTTCGCTCTGATGTTTTCCATCTCGTGAGTCTTATTCTCTTGGTGAAGACCGGCAGCTTACACAAGATAGAATCCCAAGCGGTGGTATCACAACCTTTGGCCCATTGATCATCGAGTCCTTCGGATTCGACCAGCTGAAAACTATGCTGTTTAACATGCCGTTCGGTGCAATCCAGCTCATCGCGACTCTTGGAGGAGCCTGGCTGGCGACGAGGTACAAGACCAAGGGAGGTGTCATTGCCCTGCTGTGTCTTCCTGCCATCGCGGGCTGCGTGATGCTGCTGGAGATTCCGCGTGGTGAATCTCACAAAGGGCCTTTGCTTGCGGGTTATTATATTGTAAGATTGGATCATCTCTATTTGAATCAGTATTAACCTGGTATAGATTTCGGTGTATCCTGGAATCAGTACGTTCGAGCAACTATGACATTGCCTCTACTAACGTATCTAGCACCAATGATCTACTCCTGGGCTGCCGGAAATACCGCCGGCGAGACGAAGAAGAAAGTCATCAACGGTATCTTGCTGGTTGGGCAATGTGCTGGCAATGTATGAATCCAAGCCATCACCCTAAACAGCATAACTAATCTATACAGGTGGTCGGCCCCAACCTGTACACCACCGAAGAAGCCCCTGGATATCGGCGTGGTCTCCTTTCCAAGTAAGAACCCTTTTAATCTGTTGTATTCAGATCTAACAAACATCCAGCCTTGCCATGTTCTGTGTCCTAGTCGTGCTCTGCGCGTAAGTATTACCCCCATTATCCAGTGCGGTGCTAACCTGATAGTCTGAACTTGGTGTATATTCTCTACCTCAACAAGCAGCACGAGAAGCGCCGCGTGGCTATGGGCAAGAATGCAAAGATCATCGATCGCTCGATGCAGGCCGTTGGTGAGACAGAGGTCGACAAGAACGATGCGCAGATGGTGGAGGATAATGCGTTCAAGGACCTGACGGATTTCGAGAATGAGGATTTTGTATATGTTTACTAGTAGTGTAGTAGTTAGATGTTCTAGTTATCTTGAAGTATTAAGTGTCAAACCCACTGTATCCACAACCATATTCAACTCCACTAGTTAAATTAAATAAATTGACTAAATTAATTAAATCCTTCAGTCGGGGATATTCCGATCGCTGACTCGCCTGCTCCACCCCGCGTTTCGCTCATTAACGAACAGCTTCTCCAGACTCATCTCCATCCCAGTTCACGTCTTAGTGTATTGTCATGCTGCATCTCCAAGATGTCTGAAGACTCATATCAAATAACCGCGCCCCCGTCCATGAAGCGGATCCCGGTACTTCCCCTCTTGCATTACCCACTGTCCACCGCTAACAGTGTAATCCCACTAGAAAGCGTGCAGTGCATGTCGACAATCCAAGGTCTATCCTCTATATTTTTATATGGTTTCTATTACTTACAAAGTCAGGTGAAATGCGACGGCAAAAAGCCCTGCACAAGATGCGAGAAGCTGAAGAAACAGTGCGTGTTCTTCGAAATCCCGAAGGATCCGGCGACGGAGTATGTATCGCCCTTTTCTTAGTAGCTATGGCTAATTTTAATTTGTATATCAGGCGAATCGAGTCTGTTGAGTCTGAAGTCCGCCGGCTGCAGGACCAGCTCGAGGAGATGAAGCAGATGATCAGCGCTCGCTCGCAGCAGGCTCTATCCGGATCAGGGGTTGGTGCTGGTTTATCTGTATCTGTGCAGCAGCCCAGTGTATCTCCGCCGCAGGTCGTGGGTGATGGCGCTGAGTTCCTGGCGCCTGATGTGCGGGTACCTGCTGTTCAGCGGCTTCAGGACCTCCAGGGCGATGTGTATCGTCCCCCGAAGAGGAGACGGACTGGCTTTGAGGTTCGAGAGGAGCCGATCTCGGATTTTATTAGCAAGGGTCTTATTACGATGGATTACGCGGTGGAGTGTTTTACGACGTGTGTTCGTCAACTCTAATGGTGTAGGCATTGCTAACTGTATTAGGTTCTTTCAGGGTTGCGTATGTGCTGCCAGTTTCTGGTTGGATATATCTAATAACGGTACAGGACAGGTATATCCCGATATTCGATCCCAAGCACGATACATTCCAGTCGGTGCGATACCGAAGCAGCATCCTATTCAATGCTATATGCACAATCGGCAGCCGAGTTCATTCCAGTACGTCACAGCCATTATCTTTCACATCCTCTGCTGATTACCTAGAAACCGGCGCCCAGCTATCGGAATTGCTGCAAACCGAGCTCAAGAAGTGGATCAATGTCGTGATTCAGAACGAAACGCTGAACTGCCTTGAATCTGTGCAGGCACTCCTGGTAATCGCCTGTTACTCCGCTGAGCGCTCCCTCATGCTCTCGTTTGCGACGCGCATGGCGCTTGATTTGGGTCTTGACGAAGGGTTTGAGGAGCTCACTCATCGGTTGACCATGAAGGACGTAGACGGGTCACCGAATACAGATGATGTGGTTGAAGAGAACGGGCTGATGCGCAAGTCAAGAACGTGGTTTGGGCTCTTGGTTTTGGAGCATATGTGAGTCCTCTCGCAATCTAAAACCAGCATATTGTTAACTGCCGTAGATTCAGCTTGGACGGTGGGAAACCACCGGGCATTCGCATGACGGGGAATGCACGGCGGTGTCGCAAGCTACTCCATCAACCTTCGTCGACGGTCTTGGATCTCCGATTATTGTCGCAAGTCGAGGTACGCATTCTCGAGTCCTTCATAGAAAATGGCTAACATTCCCAGTTGAACGTCATCAGAGGTCTGGTAATATGCGAGAATTGGCGACAGCAAACTGACACTGATCTAGTACATATCAATGAAACACTAGGTGGCAAGATACCCCTGGCTCGTGCCGATATTGCAGCTTTCGTACAAGAAGCTAAGCTTGACCTTGACTTGTGGTTTGAGTAAGTAGCTTTCAAGTCTTGATCGTAGTGCTGGATATCTAACTGGTAGCAGAGACTGGCAACGAATCATAGGTACAAACGCCATACAGCGTCTAGAGTAATAATACTAATTATAACAGAGAATTCCCTCGCACCAGATGACGAAGAGCGAGCGCCACTGCTAGCCGCACTTCGCATCCAGAAATGCTGGTCCGAAATGATGTTGCATTGCAAAGCACTGCGATCTCTGGGCGTAGAAAACGTTGCGTTCGTATGCCCCGTCCCTCTTCTCCAGCTAAACTGATCGCTTTAGGGCAATGTCTCCGGTCGAACGAAAGATCCTTCTAATGGCAAAAGCCAGCGCGCGCAAACACCTCAGCCTGATGACAGTCGAGCATGACTCATACCTCGAGAAGCTCAAGTATGCGATGGATTTCGTCTGGGCGAAATGCGCATTCTGTTTTCTGCTTCTGCTCAAACTTTCCAGACTCCTGTCAGAGGGGAAAGAAGAGCACGAGGAACTCCTAACCCATGGGAACAGGTTGCTGGAAGACCTGACGAAAAGCGTCTCAAATAGCAACGCCGCTAGTAATGGCAATGCCTATCTCCAGATTCTTCGTCTCAGCATTGAAAAGTACGGTCGCACTCTTCAGGAGAGTGGCCTTGGTGATGAGGGCGAAAGTGCGGACTCGGCCCCGTTCTGGGAGCTGTTCGATGCGCAAACTGAGTTGACCTCGTTTGTGCCAGAGCAGTTCGTCAGCGAGTGGGATTTTCCAGGCCTGAATCTGTTCTATTTTCCCACGACGTGGCACGACTTTTTCGCGGACTTTTCGTTGGCAGTCTAAGGTGGGTTTGGCGTCCAATACTTAACACTAATTCACAACAAGGTATTGGAATGGAACACCTAATGGAGAGCGATTAATATCGGTCCATCGTAGCTTCACCCCACGAAAGCAAGGGGAAAGATCCCCCCAGACGAGAAACCAGAATCAAACGGCCACGGCCAATCATTCAACAACTCAGGTGGCAGCTGGAATTGAGCGACAGGGTCATCAATACCGGTGATAGGGGTCTGGATAGGTGTGAGGTTTGGTTGTTGATACAGCGGCGAGGCCAGGTCCTCCTTATCCATGCCCGTATGGGGAGCTGTAGGTGGTTGTGGATGTGGAGGGAGCGTGGTCGTGTATCGCTTGGAAACCATGTACTCGTCAATACGACCCACTTGTGCTCTGAGTCGCTCGCTCGTGCCGGTGGAGCGGCGGAGACCCGACTCTAATCGATGCAGGAGGTCGGCCATTTCCAGGAGAAGGTTCCGGGCGCGATTATAAGAAGCCTCTGATAGACTTCCTTCCATTACCGAGCCGAGAATGTACCCGATACCAGCGAGGTGGTGCAGCAATGGAGAACTGATAGCTTTGAGGTATTCAACCGGGACCTTTGAGAAAACACTCAAGACCTGTCCTGCGACGTCACATTTCTCATTCACGCCCTGGTCTCCATTCGAAGACACAACCATCCGCAGCAGCTGGAGCGTTGCTTGGATGTTGGCCGACTGGAAACCGAAAATGTCCTGGGACAGATCACCGACGACCGGTCGAGTTTCGTGGAACTGGGGTGGAAGGGCCGCATACAAGGCTACAACATGGTCCATGAGCCAGGAACCCGCCACCTGAGGCGGGCCAAATAATGGCCAAACGTCCGTCGTCCCGTTGTTGGGGGTCGTGCGCCGTCTCTGGCTATCGACGGCATGCTCCAAGACACGATACATATCGGTGATGAAGTTCCAGCCATTTATCCAGTCATCCCACGGTGCATGCCCAACCAAACCGCCGTTTTCATCTGGCGACGGTGCAGCAGATTTGGCATTTATCAGAAAATCGTCTCTTAGTTCGCCAGGATACCGGACATTTGACTGCGCTTCTCGGTGACGAATGACCCCGCCCCAGACGATGGATGAATACACGTCCAATGTGTAGATAGACCAGAACTAGACAAGGAGAATATTAGCACCAAGGCGTCGCACTAACAAAACAACGTGAACTGGCAAGACATACCATTCTTCGCCGGATTTCGACAGAGATGGGATCCAGATCTTTGGGCCAGAACTTCTCATCCTGGAGCCCCTCCATCGTCGCGAGTGTGTGGTAAATGCCGAGGTACTGCTGCATACCGTGAATCTGCCCATGTTGAATACTAACGATACTTAAGAGGGCAGATGCCCGCATGTACTCCGTGCCTCTGGCACTGGCGAGGTCACGGGGAATCGATTCTTTCGCGGCGGTGCAAAAGACTTCCGACGGAGGACTGGCCAGCTGGTGTGGATCCCATCGCATTGTGTACAAAGCTCCATCGCGAGCGCGGGCTGACGCCAACGCACACATTGCCATTGTCGAGACGAAAAGGCCTTCATCGTGGAGGTAGTCCATATTCTCGAGGGCTTTTGTAAATGTGGGCCAATGGAACAGGGGAAATCTAGCATCAACGAGAGCATCGGTTAGCATCGCGCATCGCAGAATATCAACCCGCGGGAACAGTACATAGGATATACGATTTCAAAGTAGACCTGCGCCAAGTCCTGAATGGTTCCCTTGCAGGCGGTCGCAAATGCCTTCCAAGGATTGACCAACCCACCGTCATTCAGACCGGCGACCGCAGCGTGAGTCCCGGTGACACCATCCCACGAGGCATTGCTTGTACGAGAGTGCATAACCGTGCTGGAAACGGAGCCGGTGCGGGTAGGGTCTTCATCGCGGGGCGCTCGCAGTGCGGGATGTGTGGGATGGGCGGCAGTGGGTTGCATCGACTGGCTGGAGGCAGGACTGGCATTCCTTCGAGCGCCGCGTCGGCGGGCGGGCCGATCATAGGTGCAGGGGACATCGAAGTCGGCGCAGTTCTGGCAGGGCGCAAGGGAGCCATTGTTCTTATTGCACTTGATGCTGCGGCGGTTGCAAAAATCGCCTACGGGACAGCGCGGTTAGCTAGACGGCAACACCACGTTAGCGCGGGAGGGACAGACAGGCTTTGGAGATGCGCTGGAATTTCCGCGGGCGGTGCGACATTTCAGAGGAAGCGACTGAGCATCGAACGCCGTAAGGCCGCCTCGGCAGCGCACTGGAAAGAGCAGCAAGAAAACGAGAGATCGACGATAGAGCGAGACGACGAGAAGGATCGGGAGGGGAAGGAGCTCAAGCTGGAGACGGGAAGAAATCGGGGGGATGACTTCATGACCATATCTAGCTAGTGCAACGATCTATTAGTAATAGGTGCATCCGGATTAGGAAGTCCGTCATGCCTCCGCCGCGCCGACTCAGGGTCGAGGTGTCATGTCGAAGAATAAGTCGAAAGAAGTAAAAATGCATACTGAAATGATATTGACCAACCCTCAGGTGACACCGACGATAGAGCAAGATCCCAACTGGTTGTTGATTGTTGACAACTTCGACTACTGATATATATATTTGAGAACAACTACCAACAAACTCTTCTTGATACTGCGACTCGAAAAACTGGAAAGCAATTCACGCATTGTAATTCTATATCATGGCTATCATAATCGTAATGCAAGTCATCACCACTTGTTGTCAAACACCTTCCCATTGACATAATTAACCATCTCACTCACCGGCGCAAGATGATCTCTTCCAGCCCCAAAGAGCGAGCCCTGGCGCATCACCTTGCGGTAGTTCTTCCCCGGCGACACCTTGCCCAGAACATACTCCTCGCGGGTCTCAACCCGCATAGGCACAGGGATGGACCGCCCAACAACGGCCTCCATACCCTGCCACGCGAATGTGATGGCCTCTTTCGCACCGCCGGGGATACCAGCCTCGTCGAGCATCATGATCTTCGCGTTCGGGTAGTTCGCCTGCATGAACTTGGTGATGTTCGGGTTGTACGCGCCGCCACCGCACATGAAGATCTCCTCGATCTCGAGGCCCTCGGGGGCATAGCGCCGGTAGTGCTCGACGATGGCCTGGGCGGTGACGCGGGTGATTGTCGCGACAACGTCGTCGGGCGTGAGACCCTTTGCTTCGGCCTTGCGGATGAGGTCGAAGGCTAACGTGTCGCGGAAGACCTCACGGCCGGTGGTCTTGGGCGGGTCGAGTGCGAAGTAAGGGTGGTTCTGCAGGAAGTCGTCGACGAGGGCCTGGTCGACAGTGCCGCGGGCGCCCATCTCACCGTCCTTGTCGTACTCGCGCTCGCCGTTGGTGTAGTGGCGGACGACTGCGTCAATGAAGACGTTTCCAGGGCCGGTATCGAAGTCGTAGCAGGCATCGATGCCGCCGTGCGAGTCGGGAGGGATGAAGCAGACGTTGGCGATGCCGCCGATGTTCTGGCATGCGCGCAGCTTGGTCGGGTGGTGCAGCAGAAGGGCGTCGAAGAAAGCAATCAGGGGAGCGCCCTGACGGCCTGCAGCCTGGTCACTGACACGGAAATCGGTCACGGACGTGATGCCGGTGCGAGATGCGAGGAATGAGCCCTCGGCCATGGTAAGGGCACTGCGGACTTCGCCTGGCTCGGGCATGGAGAGCAGCCAGATGGTCTGGCCGTGGGAGCCGAGCACATCGATGGAGGAGGGCTCGACCTCGTAGTCCTGGCAGAACTGCTTGACGGCGGTCGCAAAGGTCTCGCCCAGGATAACGTTGACCTCGGACAACTCGGAGGGCGAGGTCTTGTTGTGCAGGATGATGTTCATGACCCTCTTCTTGATAGTTTGCTCGAGGGGGATTTCTCCGTACTGAAAATATGAGCGCTTGAAGCATAACCATGGCATGGGAGACCTACCTTGAGCAGCTCAAAGTGCATGGGCGACTCGGGAGTCTCCTGGCGGAAGTGGCACAAGGCACAGTCGATGCCGTCCTGACCAGTTAATATCTACTACTATAGAACTGTAAATGAACTGTAAACATACCATGGACGTGCCACTGTTAAGGCCGAGCACAGTGAGCTCGAGAGCATGGCTGGAGGTGGCAGCCATGGTGAGTAACTGAGAATGGAGTTAGGACTTCTTTCGCAGCGTAGTTGTAGTCTCGTCGTAGTCTCCGAAGGAGAAGACGCCGAGTCTTAATTGATCTGAAACACAAGAACTGAAACTCCGCAGAACCCCCGGGTTGCCGGTTATTTCGCCTGAACGTGTAAACGGCTATCCGCTTAAGCTGCTGTTCTGCTATTCTGCGACTGCTATTCTGTTAAACGGCTATATTGCTAAAAGGCCACACGGCTAAACGGCTGTGGCTGAATGGATCAAACTCTGCAGATTCTTATCAAGAACCCCTCCACTTTTCTGGCCAGTCTCTGCCAATCCCACGCTTCGACGGCCTCATCTTGCCTCTCGCTCTCTGCTCTGGTAGGTCGCCCGTGCTGTCGGTTCCAGATCCTCCGTCCACCCCTGTGGCTTGATCTTCCCCGGCTTTCACGATGGAGTTGCACGCCTCGTCTTGCCGTCGTCAACTACCCCGGCTGTCAGTTGCGTCCCCGGCTGAGCGGAGCTGGAGTCTCTGTAGTCTGGAGCATTATTTATTTAATACGTTCGTTTGACCTCATATGTTGCCTACAGAGCTGGTCCATCATCGCGTCGACACCATGGGCTACACCACCTTCTGGCGACGCCTCTCGCCGCGTCAGCTCAATGTCGTCATCCAAATTTTCTCACTTGTGTGTATTTTCTTCGAAGGATATGACCAGGGCGTCATGGGCGGCGTCAACGCTGCGCCTTACTATGTGACTGAGGTTGGCATTGGCGAACCCGATGGCACTGTAACCGACACCACCCACCAGGGCGGCATCGTCAGTATCTATTATCTCGGATGCATCTTCGGTTGCTTTGCTGGCGGCTGGCTGGCTGACCGCATTGGCCGGATTAATGGTCTGTTCATCGGCTCGGTTTTTGCATTGATTGGGGGCGCTCTGCAGGCTGCGATTCAGAGCTCCGATTTCATGCTGGTCGCCCGAGTGGTGACTGGTATTGGCACTGGAGGTGTGTATATTCATCCTTGCTTCTAATGGAGAAGTGCTGACTTGACAGCGTTGACTGGTATTACGCCCGTGCTGGTATCCGAGACTTCTTCTGCTGAGCACCGTGGTGGTTTCCTTGGTTATGTCTTCATCGCCAACTGTATGTTGTCCATATCTGTCTGCATATGCTGTTAAATATCTGACTGACTCTCTAGACCTCGGAATTTCGGTCGCGTACTGGCTGTCTTTTGGCCTCGCCTTCATCAACAACGGCTACTCCGACGTCAGATGGCGCTTTCTTCTCGCGTTCCAGTGCGTCCCGGCTCTCATACTGGTGGCATTCATCAAGATGCTCCCCGACAGTCCGCGCTACTATGCATCGGCCGGTCGCAACGAGGAAGCGCGCGACCTGTTGACTAGGCTCCGCTGCCACAAGGCCACCCAGGAACAAATCGACCGCGAGTATATGGAGATTACCGCGGTCGCGCAAGATAGCCAGCGCAGCTCGCCAATTCAGTTTGTCAAGATCCTCATCGGCAGGGGAAACCGACCGGGGTATAACCTTGGTCGTCGCGCGTGGCTGTGTGTTTGGCTCCAGATCATGGCCTCGTGGACTGGTATCACGGTATGTACCCAGATGTATGTATCGGTCACACCTCGCTAACATCGGCAGGCTGTCACGGCGTACTCCCCAGTCCTCCTCAGCCAGGCTGGGTACAGCAGCCTGACGCAAAACGGCCTGGCCGGAGGACTCAATACCATTGGCATCGTCGGCACCATCATCAGCGCGCAGATCGTCGACCGCCTCGGGCGAAGAGTGTGCTTGATGCTCGGCGCCCTTAGTCTCTTCGTCGTTGAGGTTGTGGTAAGTTGCAGTTCCATTCCCCGAAGCTTAGACACCCCTACTGACATAACTAGGCCGGCGCCGTCTACGAAGCCTCCATCCACAATCCCGAAAAAGCATCCGACTACGCCCCAGCAGCCGTCGCAATGCTCTTCCTCTTCAACCTCGGCTACGCCGCAACCTGGGGCACTGTGGCCTTCCTCGTCCCCACGGAGATCTTCCCATCCGACCTGCGCGCGCAGGGCAACGGCTTCGGTATCACGGGGTGGGCGATTGGCGTTGGAATGACGACGCTGGTTAACCCGGTTATGTTCGATAGCCTGAAGAGCCGCAGCTATTTCCTCCTGGCTGGGCTTAACCTGCTGTGGATCCCAATTGTGTACCTGTTTTACCCGGAGACGCGCAACCGCTCGCTTGAGTCGATTGATGCGCTGTTTTCGACGAAGAGTCCGTTTTATTGGGATATGGAGCGCGCGTATCGCATGCATGGCGATGTGCTTGCAGAGGAGGGGGCTACCAAGGTTGGTGATGAAGGCGATGAGTCTGCTGAGGGGAAGGAGGTTCGCTCCGAGTCTGACAAGGCTGTCATGGCTTAGTTGCGGAGGTATCATTATCGGTAAGGACTGAGCTTTGGACTGAGCTTGCGGTGACGGTTTAATTCAGAATAGTGTATAATTAAGAGGATATATTAACGGGCGGTTGCCATTTGAATTAAAGGAATAAAATCCCCCAATAATACTTGTGCATTTATTTGTTCGCAGTTAGTATTGCTTGTAAGACTGGCTTGCTGTCAGGGAATCCCGCTTATCCAGACAGCCAGTCCATGATCTGCTGCCGGATTTACAGACCCGACGTGTGTAGCAGAGTTCGGAGGAAGCGGAAAGCAGGTGATGAACGGTTCATGGACCTCCTGGTCTCCACAGTATCAGGCCGACCCCGAGCCATGAATGGCCTGTGAATGGTTCATGGGAATGCAACGCAGCTCCAAAAGGATTGTTCAGCCCGCCACTGCATCGTGATCGTCGAGGGGTTCGTGCCTTCGTCTTCCTTCGCGGTGCTGAGGTTCCCTGGTGGTGTCCCTTGACCTCTTCCTCCTTCCATGACTGTTCTTGAACAATTCTATAGATGAATGTCCTGGCATTGACAGCTGTTCTTGCTGTCATTGATCAGTGGAACAGACGTGATACTTGCGTCGAACTCGATCTCTGGGTCTGCCCGGTGTCCAGAATGTCAGAGACCCGGGTGGGTCTTTGTGACTGCGGTGCAGATGGCGCCATCCCCGAGAACCAGTCGATCATCCTAGATCCTCCATCTATTGCGAGTAATTGGTCGCGTGAGGGATCTCCATTCGACAGCTTGCTAGGATGTGACGTCGAATCTCCGCGTTCAATCACCTTTGTCTTGCGCAGGGCTCTGTATGAGTGGCCCGGGTACCTGACATCACTATGCTGGCTTGTGTAACATGTAGATCCTCCAGAGAACAATATAACCCCGCGAAGGCAGTGTACCTTCGGTAGGGATTGCGAGGATACATCCCACTTCCTGGGAGACAAAGTGATTCAGACACCCACATCAACAGCCTAACGAAATCTGGGCTCAGCTCAGTAGCCCAGTGGGAATGCAATGCGAGTACCCTACGATCCGATCCTTCCACTACACGCACGACTGCGCAGGGAGCGAGCGCGCCCCCCAGCTCCAGTCCAGCTCGATGGAAATCTCTACGACGTGATGGGCGTGAGCCCCTCGAACGAACTACTCCTGCGAGACCAGCGCGCTGTGCACCAGGACATGCGCATAGAGCAATTCGCCGGCCGTCCTGCGATTTTGGATGATGTGCCGTGGCGTGTTGTATCGCTGGAAGCTGCACCGGATATGCATATGCTAGACACAACGCTGCAACTGATTAACCCGCGAGATCCGCCGTCGAGGTTCACGGTGGCCAGTGCTGATCTGACGCGGGTGTTGTTTCCGAGTGAGAATGGCTTGCATGTTCTGGGGCCGTTGAAGCATGGGATTATACGGATGGAATCTATGGTACCGCGGACGGAGAAGCGGATGCCACTGAGCTGTGGCGATCGGTTCGAGGCTCGACTCCGTGGATCTGAGCTGGACGGTCCGTATATGATCAGGGTGGGAGATGGTGGCCAGCTGGTTGCTACTGGTATACCTTATAACGGGTCTGAGCGGAGTATTGCAATTGACCCAGCCCAAGTTGCACCGCGCTATGAGAGCGTGATGTCTCTTGACTTCGAGGCGAGCTTTGACGTCGATGCTTTCTTGTTCCGAGAAGACGAGCTGCGTGGCCAGGCCACGATTGTTGGGAGAAGACGGAATGGCAGATGCTCGCTGGATCCGCTGCTGGGGAGCCTGCCTCCTGGCACATTCCCTCTATTGACCAACGGTGCCGAGCATCTCGCCGTGTTTGAACGGTTCATTCGGGACCATGCGCGGCCTGGGGTGGACAGCGACGGTACACCTCGCAGGCTGACCGTGTTCAACCTGTCAATGAGCAACCAGGGCGATGCGCGCCCTGTTCTCAACGCGCTGATAGACTTTCGAATCCAGAACCCCGACGCTGAGATGTCGATTGTTGCGTCGAAGCTCGGACCGACCGAGTTCCAGGAATCCCCCGAGTATCACCTGTATTTAAAAGTCCTCGCTGATAACGATATCCATGTGAACATGTTTACTACGCCAGCCGGTGGACCACGCCAGGTCATGCACGCCAAGGGCATCATCATCGACACCCATGTGCTCTTCAGCACCGGAGCCGTCATGGACACACGGCCCATCGACAAGGCGGATTTCTCTATCGAACTACCCCCTACCGCGGCCGAGGCCTTCTAGCGGTACACAGACGAGGCTATCCACGAGGACGCAACGGACGAGCGTCGCGCCGAGCTGGCATCCGAACTCGCGAGTCTCGGAGTCGTCATAAACGACCCAGTCGCCGGCCTGACGTATATCAGCCGTGCCCAGGACGCCCTTATTCGAGGCGCCTCGCGACAGTTGATGGTCAGCATCTCCGAGCTCGTCGACCCCAGGGTAACGCAGACGCTGATCGACCGCGCCGCGAACGGCGTGGACGTACATCTGCAAGTCCGCGAAGTCGACTCTACATCGGCGCGACTTCTCACAGATGCTCTTCTGAAGTATCCGCAGAACCTACGCGTCGAGGACACGAGCTGGTGGGAGCCGCGGCCGCATTTCAATACCATCGTCGCGGACGGGGATACGGCGTACCTTGGGACTTCGTATCTATGGCCGACGCAGTGCCATATGGTGCACCAGGGTCGGTCGTTGGAGAATGGTGTGCTGCTCCAGGGTGATGCTACGGCGAGTGTGCTTATGCAGCTTGACCAGCTGCGGGCCCGGGCTTATGGCAATGAGGATATTTGCCCGGTGTCTGTGGATGAGGCGTTGGATGCGTGGAGGGTGCAGCGGGGTATAACCAAGCCCTGTATCTTTCCCAAGTATACCATCTGTCTGGAGGCGTGGCCGTCGTTAACGGGGAGTCAGACGCTGGCTGTTTGATGAACTGTTTATTAGTCGATTACGGGTCGCTTCACATTTCCTGAAACCATTTCTACTATATAGAACATTTAACGCATGCTCTCTGCGAACCGTAAATCTTCCTGAGAGCCCTGTCATATTCTACCTCCAAGCACTTTACTGTGACGTCCTCTGGCTGCATACCCCGCCCAGTAGCTAACTTGATAGATCTAGCAATAACCTGCCTGTATATTGAATCCCTAGCTATCTTCAACAGCCCAGCCGGTTTTGTTGCAAATCTCCTAAAGAATGGTAGTAGGCATCTGGTGTGTTTTGGCTGGCTTTAATATTCCGAGTCACGGATGGTGACTAGGCATTGGAGGCTCGATGAGCCAGGGTTGATTGGACTCTTCTTTGAACACGAGAGAGGAGAGCCTTTTCATGGTTTGTTTTCCCACTGACCAGGATGCTTTGCCTGGGTGGATTGTGAGTACCCAGCCACAGCGTTTAGATGAACACTGTTGGCGAGCCATATTCCAATTGTTTGTACCGGGGTGTATCTATTCTCAGGATGCATAAGGAGTTAAGAAATTGGTTGGCTTATGGGGTACGGTTTGTGTTTGAGTAGTCGCTGTGTTGCCTGCAGGGGTCACAGCATAGCCGCCCTCCCTGCACGCGGACAACATCACACATTTAGCAGTATTATTATGGCGGAACTAGATTACAACTACATCAAGTACGTTAAGACCTCAGTGGGTGCATGTGAGCCCTCTATCTTCTGTATCTTTGCCCATTTCGCGGATTTCACGGCATCGAAAGCGACACACCAAGCCCTAAGATCTCCCTCCAGCCAATCACCCACACAAGATGGATCCCGGAACTGGTTTAATAATTGCAAGTATCACGAAAGAGGTCGCTACCACGCTTATCCAAAGGCACGGTTCACAAGCTGTCATCGCCGGGTTACGGGCATGGACACAACACAGCAGCGGACGGTCGTCGAATCTGGGACACGAGGAGGCCATGAAGCAAGCGAAGAACGCAATACCAAGTTTCTTGAGCAGCATCGAGTCGAATAGCCTTCATGTAATTCCGGGCGCTTTCAACTCCTCTCCCGAATTCATCGCCATGTTCCAAGCTGAGGCGCTGGTCGCCATCCCCGTGGCCCTGCTTGCGGTCAAGCAGGCGATTGATCGAGTCGGGTCAAGTCTACAGGGAATTCAGCACGAGCTGACAATTACCAACATGGCAAAAATCCAGGGCTGGGAACAGGAGGGCTTCGGTGCGCATGTGTATCGTTTTGTGGAGTATGAGATGCTCCAGGTTGCGAACGCCCGCGCGAAGAGCAGTGATCAACGGCAGCACTACTTCTACGTCTGGAACCGGGATACAGATTGGTATCCAGTATTCGAGGCGAAGAACCGAGCCTTTCCTCTTGGTTCTGGGTTTGGAGGGTATCATCATGAGCTTGATGCGATCTGTATGCGCATGAGGGCAGACAGGAGGACACTCATTCAAACTACGTCTCATGGACGCACAGCGCAGTTCCATCTTCTCGTTCCAACTCACCAGCCTTATGTTCTGGATCACCCGGTCATATTCCACGAGAGCCTCTTTCCGCTTACTATCACGGGTCAGCGGCATCGCAGTGTGGACCTCGTTTGGTTTAATCTGTGCTCGAAACCAACGGGGTTACAGCTGCAATGTATCGGAGTCCTGGGAGAGAGGGCAAATACCATTGAGCAGGCCGGGGCTCTTAGCTTGGCTGGCTGCTGTATCGGCTTCATGGCTGCTGGCTGTGCTGCTATCGCATTCCCGCCGTGCGCTCCTCTTGCAGAGGCAGTCGCGTTGCCGCTCTGGTCGGGGGCAGCGGCATCTTGGAGTGCTGCAGCCGGGGCTTCTGTCTACGAACACGCTAATCGTGGAGAGCTTTGCATCCTAGGGGATGATTCCATACTGGTCGAGAGAAAGGAATAGTGTGCGCTGGCTTTAGACAAGGGTCTTTGAGGGCGCATTGGTCTTTGGCTGTGCCCAAGAAGGCTTTGCTAAGTCCGGGAATTGGTTTACACTACTTGAAAGCATTTACTTATCGCGTTGTCTAAATTAATGGCTTTCTATACTGTATCTAGATCTTTCAGCCTCGTTGCCAATTGCTATTCTAGTATTGTGTCATGAACATTCGAAATCAAGGGTGCCTCTGCTAGTATGGTAATGCAATCCTCTGATAGAAGGCCGTGTACTGTAGAAAGGTTTGCGAGCTAATGTGTATATGGATGTATATGCTTATTCGTTTATCCAAGCGCCAACATTCGCCAGAAAAAACTTCTATGATCTGGCACTATATGAGTGGTTTAGGGCTTTGACCTCGAAGCCGGCCTTTAGAGTCTGCAATTCTCTATCGAACAAGAATCCATTGATCATTACGGAAGGATTTTGTTTGTTTCATTTGACGCCCGACCCTACGCCAGCTAACAAAGTATTATGCATGTATGGCAGAGTTCTAATATAGTCGATTCATCGCCACGCCGGCGGCTAACCTTCTGCCCGTTCATACGGAGCAGCCTTGTCCAGTGAATCTCTCAGAACCAGCTGGTCGGATACGGAGAGCGAGCTTTGATTCGAACCAAGGTTGCGTGGGATCCTAGTCAAAGGATTCCTACGGAGCCGCCTTGTCTACCCTGGAATAAATCTCCACCGTTCACACCGGCGATTGACGGCAGCGCCGCCATGAACAAACTATAATCAATGCATAGATGCCAATGATTAAACGCCAGAGGTTAGCCTCCAGCCCAAGATAAAAAATAGCATTCCTGGTACGAACTATTGGTTCATAACGACAACTGTTTACCCTGCTCGTGCACGCTGTTGCCGCTGCGTCTTGCCAAGTGGAACAGGGGGTTGGTTAAGAGAAAGCCGTGTTTATTGGGAATGATGGATGAGACCACGCTATATAAGGCTCTTTAATCACGGTGCAACATGCCATGCTGCCATCAAATTCAAGTCTCCTTTTCTCGTCTACGTGCTTCATACTACTTTTACACCCAGTATCAAACCAACCATGTCCGAGGCTGAACGAACCAAAGAGTGTCTCTCGGAGCTGGAGGCTCACTTTAGGTCAGTGCTCTGTTGTTATTATAGCACATCCAACTGACCGAGAGCAGAGAGACCAAAACCCCTTCTGACGCACTGGTCATTCTCGGCCGAACCGGGTCCGGTAAATCATCTCTTCTAGAGGATCTCTCTGGTCTCAGCGGTTACTCGCAACAGAGTGTTGATTCCGGTGAGCTTACTTTCTATATATTCCTTGTTCTGGGACTTATAAGTTGGCCGCAGTCACAACGACCATCCAACTCTGCAAAGCTATCGTCAACGATAAACCCTACTTCGTCATGGACACACCGGGCTTCGATCCCAACGCCGAGGAGAAGACATTCCGTGAAATCATCCGCGGTGTGAACTCCATCCGCCGTTTCGCCCGCATTACCGGGCTCCTATATCTCACCTGCATCCCTCAAGAACGGTTCGATGACTTTGACCGAAAGCTAATCCAGTTCATCCGCGCCTTGAGTGGACCGCAGTACATTCCCCGCGTCACGTTTATAACAACTTTCTGGACCGCGACGCCAGGACAGGCGGCCACTTACAGCCAGCGCCTGGCGTCACTTCAGTGCAGATGGGAGGATGGTCTTGGCGTGCGCGGGTTGAAGACGTATCAGCACGGCTGGGAGTACAACGGCGCAGGTGGGGATAGAGGTGTGATTATTGACTGGTTTGTCAACCGCGAGCAGATTGCGCAACATGCGAGGGAGATGGTTGCGAGGAATTATAGCAGTCCGAGTATTGTTGCTTCGAGGATCGAGGAGCAACTGGATGCTAATGTGCCCATTCACCAAACGGACGCGGGGAGATTGCTTGGGCTGCCTGCTCCTCGTCCGTCACAGTTTCCCACAGACGCAAACGAAGATGCACGACCGAGAGACAATGCCTCTTCTCATACAGGTGCCTCTAGCCCACATACGTCCAGCAATGCAACCTGGGAACAAGCAGCCGCCCCGCCGCCAGGGACTTCTCCTAGTCAAGTGATTCTCGAGGGACTCAGCTGGGTGTTCCGCAACATTAACTTTGGCAGTGCAGCTGGAGGCGCCAGTTCAAGACCCAGCGTACTTAGAGGAGGTGGAGGTGAGTTTCCGGCGGCTTTCTCCATACCTTGAAGTTATATAGAATGTTACTGAATGATGTCCCGCTAGATCCCTTTTCCCCTGTCGACGTGATGAAATCTAGAGGCCTTGACTCGAGCAGGGAGGGCAGGTTGAAATATGCCCAGCAACATGGAATTGGAGGGGTGCCTTTCTCTGCGTCGTGGGGGGAGGCAATGCTGAGGCATCTTCAAAGGAATGGGTAATACAGGGCGGCTGGAAATATTGTTTGGAGGGTGCAAGTGATATGATGTGGCTAGTTGTTTATAAAGGGCTATTATATCTTTGACGAGGTTGCCAACATCCAAGTTTCGGTTCCTTTCTTAAGTAGTATATTACCTTAGTAGCCCCTATACTATACGGGTAGAGCATATACTGTCTACCCTTAGTGCTGGCCCCCACCGTATTCCTTTATATATATAGAAACGTGAGCACCAAAATCCATATTTAGAGGCGCCAAGAAATATTCACCGCTGCGCCAGCATCCTACAAGTCGACAGACCAATAAGGAGACCCGGATTAGATTGAGTTTGCCCCGCCCAAGTCATGAATCGTGATGGCAAGTCTTATATCTCACCCAATTCTCACTCAATCTCAATCTCACTCCATCATTCCGACACCTTCTCGCTGTCGACGCGACAATGCTCGCTATGGACAGCGGTATACTAGGCATTGGCATCTACTGCCTGCTCCCCGCAGTCCTACTCTACCTCATCAACGCAACATTCTTCCGCACCCCGGCCCCTAAAGGCGTCGCTTATATACGCGAACCACCAGGGAAAACCGGGTTCAGTCTCAAGACGCGCCTGGCATACCTAGCAGACTGCGAGTCGCTGTTCCGCGAAGCATACGAGAAATACCTCAAGAACGGCGAGGCGGTCGTTCTTCCTGGCTTCGGTCTGCGCTGTGAACTGGTATTACCTGGTAGCTCGCTGCGATGGGCGATTGCGCAGCCCGACAGCGTGCTTAGTGTGGACCAGGCGTTTGCGGAAATTGACCAGGCGGATTATAGCCTGGGACATGCGAAGTATATTACGGATCCGTGGCAGGGGAACCTGGTGCGGACGGAGCTGAATTCTGTGTTGGAGAATATTGTCGCCGCGTTGAATGATGAATTGGGGGTTGCGTTTGATGCGCATTTTGGGACTGATGGGGATAATTGGAAGGAGATTGACTTGCTCAAGACGGTCAGGGTGGTTGTGACCCAGGCTGCGAGTCGGTTTACGGTGGGATTGCCGCTGTGTAAGTTGTCTTAATGAGGTATGTATGTATACTAACAGCTGCAGGCCGCAACCAGGAGTATCTCAACGACTGCCTCGCTGCAGTAGATGGCTGCTTGATCACTGCTGGCGTGGTTGGCGGACTTCCTACTGTATTACGTCCATTCCTAGGCCCTCTGGTCGGGCTCAAGGCCAGACTGGCAAATAGACGCGTGCGAAAGCACTTTCAACCGCTATATTACGAGCGCCTCAAGACCCTCGAATACAGTGCAGACGATTCATCCCACGTCGAACCGCAGGACCACATCCAGATGATGCTGCGGTACGCGCAGAAGAAAAGACCACACGAACTATACGACCTGAATAACATCGCAACGCGCCTGACAGCGGCGAACTTCGGCTCGATGCACCAGACAACTATCCAGACGACGAACATGCTCTTGAATATTCTCGGCTCTGATGCAGAGTACAACACCGTCGCTGCTCTCCGGGACGAGGCTGCGGAGATCCTAGGCTCCGATACGCAATGGACAAAAGCCAAGGTGTCCAGGATGGTCAAGGCGGATAGTGTCGCGCGCGAGACAATAAGGCTTCACTCCTTTGGCGGCCGAGCAGGGTTTCGCAAGGTGATTACCGACGGGGTGACCACGGATGGAGGGCTTGAACTACCCAAGGGCGTTCAGTTCTCGTTTCTCAGCCATCAGGCACATGTGGACGGGGCTGTATATGAAGACCCCCTCAAGTACGACCCGTTCAGGTTCTCGCGTGCTCGAGAGGCGGGCGATGCAGGACAGACTGGCTCGCAGAGCTTTGTGTCGACGGGGCCGCACTATCTGGGGTTTGGACATGGGAGGCATGCTTGTCCTGGGCGGTTTTTGATTGACTTTGAGCTGAAGATGATTATTGCGTATGTCCTGCAGAACTATGAGGTGAAGTTCCCTGAGGAATATGGTGGAAAGAGACCTCCTAATCGCTGGATGGCGGAGGCTGTCGTGCCCCCAGACGGGGTCAAGGTGCTTGTAAAGCGACGGTCTTAATGAAATAGTGTTTATTGTATGATTATATTCAGAAACTATTGATGAAAGAACTCATAACTCCGTAAACATAGGAACATAGTGACAGAAATACTATAGAGAATCCAAATCCAACGCCTCCTGAAGCAATGCAAACGGACCATCGTCGTCCTCTTCCTCAACATCCTCCTCTACAACACCCCTCTCCTCCAAAAACTTCGCCAGGTCCGACAATCGCGGATGCAAGAAGATATCAGCAACAGCCAGGCCAGCGAGCACCGGATCCGGACGACTCGTAGCAGAGATATGCATCGCCACGACGGAGTCTCCGCCCAGCTGGAAGAAATCATCGTCGGCTCCGATGGCGTCGACTTCAACTCCTAGGGCATTTGCCCATACGCGCTGCAGCGCCTTCTCCATGTCCGTTGAAACGGGGACTCGAGCCTCGCGCACTTCGCCAGCGAAGTACTGTTCGAGTTCAGATACAGGCATATCCTCCACCATCTGGCGAATAACCCGTCGATCCAGCTTTCCGGAGACGGTTAATGGGACGGTATCAACAGGGATGTATAGCCCAGGCACCATGTAACTGGGCATCTGGGACGCCACTGTCTTCTTCAGCTGTGCAAAGGTATCGGCATCAGCCTTCCTCCCTTCGTCGAATTGGATCACCGCAGCAAGACGCATCTGCTTGTCTCCCCCGCGCGAGATGGCAACCACAGCGACATGCTTGACGTCCGCCAGATGATGTCCAATCCAGTGCTCGATCTCACCGATCTCAACGCGCTGCCCACGGATCTTGATCTGCGTATCAATGCGGCCTAGATACAATATCTTTCCGTCCTCTGTCTGCCTCCCCAGGTCTCCCGTCCGATACACCCGGCAATCCGAGAGCCCGAACCGCGTAGCGAACTCAGGATTGCGGATGAACGCGCCGTCCGTTTTGGCTTTATCCCCTAGGTATTCTCGCGCGAGACCCGGACCCTGGATGAGAATCTCACCGGGCGTCCCCACTGGGCTGAGACGGTGCGGGTTCGTGGGATCGGCGATCCAGATGCGAGAGCCCATGCCGTGTCCGATGCTCTGGGCATCAGAGAGATCGGTGATCGGTCCGTTGCAGGTGGAGTTTATGGAGCACTCGGTTGGACCGTAGACGTTTAGTACGTTGGCGTGGTTATACCATGTCTCGACGACGGCGTCTTGGATTTGTTCGCCGGCGAGAACGAGCAGTTTCAGACTGGGGACTTGCTCGGGGGTGAGAAGGCGTGCGACGGTTGAGGTTAGGTTCGCGAAGTTGACGTTCATAGATCGCATGATTCCGGCTAGATTGCTCATTCTGTCTTCCTCGGATGGGACGCAGACGGTTCCTCCGCTGACGAGCGTGGTGAAGTAGTCCTGCAGGACGGCATCGAAGGTATGTGCTGCGAACTGGATTGTGCGTGTATGTGTGCCCAGTCCGAAACGGGCACCGTGGGTCTTTACTGCCGTTGATAGATTTGCATGTGTGAGGACCACGCCCTTTGGCTGGCCGGTTGATCCAGAGGTGTAGACGATCCAGGCAGCGTTGTCTGGGGTGATTGATACTGTGGTGGACGATGCAGCTGGGAGGTTGTCCAGCGTTTCAGTCCCGACGGGGAACAGTGAGATATCATGCGTGGAGATTAGCTCTGCTAGACGGCCGGCCTGCTTCGAGTCTACTAGAACAACGCAGGCTTTGGTATCTGCGATTATCGCAGCAATGCGAGGAAGGGGATGGCCGACGCCTAGGGGCACAACAACGCCTCCAGCCTGCAAGACAGCCAGGAAAGAGACCATGGCCCAGACGGACTTGTCCATACATACAGGAACGGAAACCTCGGGTCCAACCCCTAGGTGAACCAGGTGGCTGGCGAGTGTTGATGCATAGGAGAGCAGCTGCTCGTATGTCAGGGACCCGTCCCATGCTTCAATGGCAGTGGCTTGAGGCTGGGAGCGAGCAACAGAGGCGACTACTCCATGCAAAGTGTCATCAAGTGGGCTGAGAAGAGGTTTGGAATTCCACTTCTCCAGTTGCTTGATATCCTCAACACTGAGGAGCTCCAGGTCCTTGATCTTAGTGCTGCCATGGCCCTGGACATGCAGCTGCTGCACAAGCGACTCGAACTGGCTCATCAAACGCACGACCTGCGCAGACGACACCATCTTCTCGTCGAACCGCACATCGACGTGGATAGACTGGCCAGAGAGGGTGCATTCCACGTTGAGACCGTAGCTGTCGAACTCGTCCACGGCGACAAGATGGTCATCAACACCAGGTATCTTGAACTTCCGCTCGTCGTCGCTCGCAGGCTGCACGACAAACAAATGCTTTAGATCTATCGCTGCTGACACCTCTGGAACAATCCTCCTGATCTTTTGCAGACCGGTGTGCTCGTACGGAATCATCCCGACGGATTGCTGTCGCACGTCCTGTAGGAACTCTTGCACGCCCTGCTCTGGGTTGATGGCGACACGCACAGGGACGGTCGTTAATGTAGGGCCAGTGATATTCGTCACATTACGCACTGGAGCATTACGTCCAGACAGAGCAACGGCGAAGACAGGGTCACTCCATATATACTGATGGACGACGAGTGCCCACGCCCCGCGAAGCATATCCGGCAGCATGACGCCTGTTGAACCTGCTTTGGCGAAGCTGATACCGTGCTTATGCCGCTTCTGGGGACGAGGTCTGTATTTTGCACTCGGGGAAGCAGGGAATTCAGCGCTTGCTTCGCCTGAGAGCTGTGCGCGCCAGTATGAAGCCGTTGCCTCGTGCGTCTGGGAGCGCTCGACGTACTGGATGAAGCGCGAGAATGAAGCCGCGGGAGCCAGCTCCTGACCCATATATACATCGGCGACCTGCTGCAAGACAAGACCACGACTCCAACCATCGTATGTACTATGGTGGGCTGTCCATACGAAGAATCGCTGGCCATCTGGCTGGCTGACGAGGGCGAAACGGTTCAAGGGGAGACCTGTTGCCATGCCTGTTTGTCTGTCGGACTCGAGGTATGTTTCCAATGAAGATGACTTGTGCCAGTCAATCTCGCCAGGCGTGATAACAACCTGCAACGATCCGGTCTCTGGTCCAGATACGATTCGCGTCCGCAGGGTGGAAGTCCTGTCCACGACCGTCTGCCAGGCAGCGCGGAATTTGTCCACATCCACATTACCAGCAAGAGAAAATGCTTGACGGTCTATATACGCCGTCGGCTGCTGGGCCGTAAGGGCGATTAGACCCTCTTGAAGGGCAGTGCAGGGGAGGACTTCTTCAATCTGTTCCCTGGGCAGACTGCACAGTTCTGCGATCTGGACAAGTTTGCCGTCTTCCTCGGCAGGGTCGATACTGGCACTCTCTCTCCACACACTGAACGGCGCCGGGTCTTCCTCGTCGTTCTCCTCTAGAACACGGTTCTCGACTACGCGCGCAAGCTCCTGCAGACGAGGATACTCGAACAGATCTGCAACGCGGAGGACTAGCTCGACGTCTCGAGCAACAGAGACAACCCGCATGGCAGCAACAGAGTCACCACCGATATGGAAGAAGTGGCTATCTGCGCTGACCTGGGATACATCGACACCCAGCGTCTTCGCCCACAGCCGCTGCAGTTTATATTCGGTCTCCGTCGAGGGTTCCTTGTGCGGACCGCCGACGGCGAGATACTGCTGCAGCTGTGCGTCATCCTGGTCGTTGATGAACCGGGTTACAGCGCGCCGATCGATTTTCCCAGATAGATTTAGGGGGAGCTGCGAGACTGGTGCATACATGGTAGGAGACATGTATGGGGGGAGATGTTCCAGCAGTGACGACCGCAGCTCATGTAAAGCCCCCGACAGCGACTCAGTCAGTGGGAGCAGCTGCGGCGGCGCAGGGGGATCTTCAGCATTATCAGCCGGATAGACATCGTCGCCGTGCTTGAAGAACTGGTTATGCTCTTTGAATTCGATCGCTGCAACCAGGGACTTTTGCTCCTTTGCCTGGCCTCGTTCGATGACTAGGACTGCCACCCGGCGCACGTCCTTGAGACACTGGGCGATCCAGTACTCGATCTCGCCGATTTCGACACGCTGCCCGCGGATTTTCACCTGGGTATCTCGTCGGCCCATGTGCACCAGGGACCCGTCCTTGTTCTGTCGGACGAGATCGCCGGAGCGGTACATTCTGCGCTGGCTGCCCTGGAACTGGACCTTCCATGCGGGATTGCGGGCCTCGAGGTCTGCGATGAAGGCTGGATCCGTGATGAATGCTGCGGCCGTCTTCTCCGGGTCGTTGAGATAACCACGGGAGAGCATAGGGCCTTCGATCAGGAGTTCACCTGGTACGCCAACAGGGCACAGCTGGTTGGGGTCAGTGGGCAGAGTCACCCATAACCGGGTGCCCGTGGGATATCCAACATTCGCAGCCTGGGCAGGGTCTGTGACGGGTCCAGCTGCCACGGCAATGATAGTACACTCCGACGGACCGACGGAATTGTATACCTTCGCGTACGGTGACCACTTCTTCACGATGCCAGGATCCATCGCCTCTCCGCCGGCCACGACGGTGTGGATCTCCGGCAGCTCAGTTGGATCTAGCAAGCCGAGAACGGTCGGAGTAAGGTTGACGTAGTTGACTGCGAGCTTTTGGAGAGCTTCAGTGAGGCTGTTCATACGGCTTTCCTCGGAGAAGACGCAGATGCAGCCGCCGTGGAATAGCGTCATGACGATATCAGACAGACTGACATCGAAGGTGTAGGCGGCGAACTGCGCAGTGCGGGTTGTGCAGTTAACCCCGAACATGCCTCCGTGGGCTAGAACACTGGTCGAGATATTTTGGTGTAGCAGGACGACACCTTTGGGCACACCTGTACTTCCTGATGTGTAGATGACCCATGCAGCGTTGTCTGGTGTCGTTCCAGAGACAGGAGGTTCGGGCAGGCTGGGGAGAGACTCCAGCAGCTGCTGGTCTACCGTCAAGGTGAAGGTAGTTTCCAGCTCCAAGCCTGCGAGTCGTTCAGAGTGTCTGCCATCGACGAGAAGAGCAACTGCTGCGGTGTCTGTGAGGAGGCCCTTGACTCGAGCCCTGGGATGGGAAACACCCAGCGGGACCACAATGCCACCAGCCAGGAGAACGGCGAGCATGGAGACAATGGTCCATTTTGACTTGTCCATACAAATACCGACAAACTTCTCAGGACCGACACCTAGCTCATTACGCAGATGGTGTGCCAGCGTCGATGCTTGCGAGGTGAGTTCAGCGTAAGTCAGATCTCCATCCCACGAATTAACAGCAGCAGCGTCTGGCTGAAGCTTGGAGATTTCAATAATCTTGTCATGGACACAGACCCGACTTGCCTTGGGAATACCCGAGTTCCACTGGCTGAGTTGGGCCTCGTCGCTTGGTGATAGAACACTGATGTTGGATATTGAGGCATTGGGGGAGCCAACGACTCCCCTGATTGCAGCCTCGAATGCACCCAGCATTGCCTTAGCACTGTCTCTGTCGAGTCGCGAGCCCCAGTAGTCTAGGTCAATACACAGACCATCGGGCCCTGACGTGATTCCTAGAGAGATATCGTACTGCATACGTTAGTGGAAACGTTATTGGTTTTTATTAGAGCAGGACTTACATCGGTCGGGTTGGCCTTCCCTTCAATTGCAACAGACAGATTCGCTCCTCGCACAGGGCGATCGTCTATAGCGTGCTGGAACGACATTGTCGTGTTGCTGAGCTGACGAGCTGACTTGGACGTGCTGCTTGCAGATTCCAGCGGCGAGATCTGAGACAGGGTCTGCAGGGCATCCTTGTGAAGACGCTGCAGGGTTGTGGACAATTCATCGGCAGCAGGGAGCTGGATCGAGCACAACGAGGTCTGCACGATAGGCCCGATCACATCATGCACGCCAGGGATGGACATCGAGCGACCGGAGTTGACGTACGAGAAGCACACGCTGTCCGTCCCTCCGTAGCATCGCAGCACCAGTCCCCAGGCCAGCTGGCAAACTGTGGCGAGAGTCACGGAGTATCGGGCACAGACAGACTGGACGAGTTGAGAGTCCAGAGGCACGTCCACACTGACGGTGTCGAAGCCAGTCAAGCCCTCGTTGGGACGGTCCATTGGAACTGTCAACGGGATGATTTCCAGGCTTGTATCCTCCTTCGCCGGCTCGGTCTGTCGCGAGGGCTCGTGGAGGTATGAGGTGACATAGCCACTGTATGATAGCGAGGCAGGGGGGAGCTTGCCATCGCGATAGGCGTCGCTGAGATCTCGCAGCAGAACTTCCGCCGATTGTCCATCCACCAGCACGTGTGATACATCGAGTTTCATATATAGATCGGAGGGGGAGGCTTGGACGAGTTGGACGCGGTGGGGGATTGTATGCGCTTCGAAGGTGACGGGGGTATTGACGCTGAACTCGGGGGAGGAGAGGTGGTCGGTGCCCTCGTAGTATTCGATCGAGGGAGTGATATCGGCCAGGATGACCTGGTTATAATGGCCGGGTCGCTGAGTGCTCTCGACGAGGGCTGTGCGAAGACTGGAGTGCCGCTTGACGACCTGAGTCCAGGCTTCTCCTAGACGCTGGGCATTGACCGGCAGCCCAGAGTGTGAATGTGTGAATTTGAGAACGAAGCAGCAGGAGTATAGATGAGGATTTTGCAGCTGACTGACGAGCATGCGGTCTTGAATGGCTGAACACGGAACAACAGCCTGGACGACATGGTCTCGCGATGCAGATACCGCTGACAGCTTGGCTTCAATCTCAGGAGAGATCTTGTCTACCAAGACCGACCCGATCTCTGTGGTCGGCGTCAGAGTGCCCAGATCCGGCACTGAGCTGTCGACGATGCTGCTGTCGGACGAGGCCACTTCTGGAGGGCCCTGTGCCATTGAATATAGCGACTCGATGGTGCCGGCAGCCATGATATCGGCAATGTTAATGGTGATGCCCTGCGCACGACACTGGGCCAGCACCTTGATGGCCAGCAGCGAGTCGCCGCCCAGTGCCAGGAACGAGCGCTGGGGGTCGACATCGTTCAATTCCAGTTGCAAGACATTGGCGCAAATTCGCCTGATCTCAAGATGCAGCCAGGGCGTAGACATCTTGTTGTGGAACGAATGGAAGAGAGAACACTGGGTATCTCAGCGCTGGAAGAAAAAGGAAGAACAAGAAAAAGAGCAAGCAAAAGAGCGAATGCCTAGGACTGTCAGCTCGCCCAGACAGCTTGGCCGCACATAATCTCTTATTGCAATACTAAGGCGCAATGTTTTTATATCACGCTCCCACAACATGTATAGACATCGCATCCAAAGTCCCGGTGGCAGGGCATTTGAAAAATACTAGCGCGGCCAGCTGAAATACAGCAGGAGGAAAATTAATGTCGGAAATAAACAAACAATCTATGAGATGAGAGCTAAGACACAGCTAAGGATCAGCCCACAACCCTCGGTCAGGGCTCCACTGAGGCGATGCTGCGAACACCACAACGTGTTGAACAACGTGTTTCGGGCTGCTTACTCCCTTGGTGAAGGCCGAGATCCCGGGAGGACCCTGCTGTGATGAGTCGATGCCGTTCTGCAGGAAGTACAGGCTTGCAGGCCAACATGCAGCCTGCAGCTCCAAGGATCCTGGCTAAGGATCAGGCTGAACTCAGCACTAACAGCCCGTCAGCAATCCAGCCCCGGCGGGCCTGATCCTGGCTGATTGTTTACTTCATTTCATTGCTAATAGAATCTATAGCGACATGTCAGACAGCGAGCGAAGTGGTTTCCGGGTATTCCCAGTAGTAGGACCATCTGAAGGAGTTTGATTAGCAGGAACGAGCGACTGCATATATAGGTAGTGTACTTTGGCTGCCGCGAGGCCGGTATTTACCTTCAAAATATATCCAATATTCAAACCAGATATTCAAAGACCTGGTTTGGTGCACGTTTCTGTGCCCAGCCATGTCTCCCCTTCTCTCAACTCCCCCGGCGAAGAGCCAGAACAAACTCAACAATGTCCTTAATAGCGTTGCCAAACAATGCAAAACATCTCCCGACCAAGTGCAAGATATCTACCCTTGCACGCCGTTGCAGCAGGGCTTGATAACCCTCTCCGTGACGACCCCGGGCGCGTACATGGCACAGCATGTATACAAGCTACAGCCCGGGGTCGATCAGGAACGCATGAAACAAGCCTGGACCACCATTTTCCATAAACACGCGATCCTACGCACGCGCATCCTGATGCTCGGAGAAAATGCCATGCAGGTGGTGCTGAAGCACGCGGTGGACCCGTGGAGCGACTGCAGCGATCTGCAGGCATATCTCACAGCAGATCAACCGATCGCTCTGCAACTGGGCGAACCACTGTCGCGACTGGCCATTTCCGCTTCCCATGTGGTCTGGAGTGCCCACCATAGCATCTACGACGGCTTCTCCGTTGAGCTTATCCTGCGTGACGTGGCGGCTGTGTATGCGGACGACGATATTCCCCAACGGCCGTCGTTTCGCCAGTTCATCCAGCGCACGTTCCAGCAGAAGCAAAAGGCGCAGACTGAGGAGTTTTGGAAGCAGAAGACTGCCCATATCGAGGATGTGGATTTGTTTCCCCGTCTGCCAGCTCCGACATACCGGCCACAGCCCAATAGTGTTTACGAGCGTGAGACCAGACTGTCTATCGAGGGTCCTTCAAGAGTGACTCTGTCGACCGTTGCAAATGCCGCCTGGGCTCTTGTGCAGTCTAGCCATCTGGGAGTTGACCGGATTGCGTATGGAGCCGCATTAAGCGGGCGAAACAGCAACATGCCAGACATTGACAAGGTCGTTGGCCCTACTCTGGCCACAGTTCCTGTCTGTCTGGACGTGAACCGCAACCAGCTTGTACGCGACTATCTCCAGGCGACTCAGGCCTATTTCACCGAGATCATTCCGCATCAGCACATCGGACTGCAGAATCTCAAGCGGCTGAATGCCACTACGGGAGCAATCTGCAACTTCCAGACCCTCTTTGCGTTCCAGCCAGCAGGCATGGCGGAGTCGCAGCCATACAGCCATCTCCTTGCTGAGGAGAACAGGGATGGAATCGAAGCAGGCTTTTACAATTACGCCCTCACAGTGCAGTGCTCGCTGGCAGGGAATGGCATCTTTAAGCTGCTGGCTTCATACGACGACACCCTGATATCGAAACCGCAGATGGAGCGGCTCGTCTTCCAGTTCGAGCACATCGTCTCCCAGTTCATTGCGACAAATGGGACAGAGAAATTGAAGGACATTGATCTCATTTCTCCCCAGGATATGGCCCAGCTTGACGCCTGGGATGGAGTCGCAGAGCGATATCCACCCTCACTACCTTTGGACGCAATCGGTCTCTCCCTTGCTACTCGCCCTGATGCCACCGCTGTGTCGGCCTGGGACGGGGAACTCTCCTACGCACAATTAGACAGCCTCGCAGGCAGACTTGCCAGCTGGCTGATCCAGAGCTGCAACGTCGGCCCAGAAACGGTCATCCCTATCTGCTTCCACCGATCCCAGTGGATGGTCGTGTCCATGCTGGCTGCGTTGAAGGCCGGCGGTGCATTCCTCCTGCTTGATCCCATCTACCCAGAGCAGCGGCTCAACTACATGATGGAGATGGTCCAAGCCAGAAATATTCTAATCTCAGAATCATGCAAAGACCAATTCACCACGTTCAATGGGACAGCGCAAGTTGTTGACGCAGCATGGTTCCAATCTCACACTGAACCAGCAATTCCTCTCCCATCAGAAAAAGACCTTCCCTCTGACCGAGCCATGTATCTCGTCTTTACATCAGGGACGACCGGCCAGCCGAAGGGTGTGGTAACAACCCACCAGAGCTACGCCGTAGGCGCAGCAGGACACATCCCCGCCCTCGGCCTCGACACAAACACACGACAACTCTTCTTCGCCTCTCCAGCATTCGACCTAAGTATCTACGAGACCATCGGGTCCTTAATGGCAGGAAGCACCATCTGCGTCCCAGCAGAGGAAGACCGCAACGGCAGCGTCGCGCCGGTTATACGCAACATGAACGTCAACATGATTTCCTTGACCTCGTCGTATGCCCGACATATGCGTCCTGAAGATGTCCCTTGTCTCAAGACACTAGCCCTAGCGGGTGAACCCATGGCGACGGATGTCCAGCGTGTCTGGGCTGATAAACTTACCCTTCTCAATGCATATGGCCCTGCCGAGTGCTCTGTCGTTAGCACCGTCAAGCGACCTGTCTTGATGGATACATATTCCGCCAATATCGGTCCTCCGACTGCAGGTAGGGCCTGGATCGTGGATCCAAAGGACCATGACTCTCTGCTTCCCATCGGGGCAACGGGTGAGCTTCTCGTTGAGGGAGGCCACCTTGGGCGTGGGTACCTCAATGACCCGGAGAAGACGGCAGCAGCTTATATATTTGATCCCCGCTGGGCGAAGACACAGGGTTCTGGACCTCGACGGTTTTATAAAACCGGTGACTTAGTGCACTTTGATGAGGATGGCTCGATTATTATTGAAGGACGTAAGGACACCCAGGTCAAGATCCGGGGCCAGCGTGTCGAAATCGCAGAAGTCGAATATCACGTTACGAACCTGTTTCCCAAAGCTGTTGGGACTGCGGTTGAGGTTTTCAGACAGGAGAGTCAAGTCCACCTCGTCGCCTTTCTCTTCTGCGATGAAGCGACGTGGAATGGAGGCGATTCCTCAAAGAATATCCTCCAGCGTCTCAGCACAACTGATATCAAGAGCATGTCCGATATCAAACTCCAGCTGGAAAAGGTCCTCCCTCACCATATGGTGCCTACTCGGTACCAGCTGTGGCCGCAAATGCCCACCTCGCTGTCTGGGAAGTTAGAGAGAAAGGCACTCCGAGAAGAACTGCGTCACCCAAGTGGAAATATAATCGAGCTCGACGAGACAACGGCTACTTTCCCTGCAATTGATCCTTCAGATGGCGTTGCTCTGCGCCTCAATCAGAAGATTCTTGATCTCGCTGGCGAGAAGACAGCAGCCCTTGAAGGCCGGGACTTCCCCTTGTCTATTCTCGGGCTGGACTCTATCCAGCTTATCAGTATCGTCACATTCATCCGCAGCGAGTGGGGAACCAAGATGACTGTGGGCACATTATACGACCTCAAACTCACCCTGACGGATCTGGCAGACCTCATCAAGGGTCCTCAATCGGGCAGATCAAGCCCGGCTGTACCAACCCTCGATCTCTCCAAAGAGCTTCAAAGCGTTTACAGAGAATTAACACGCCGGTCGGAATCCATCAAGCATAAGCGACGCGTCTTCCTGACCGGCGCAACGGGTTTACTAGGATCACAGATTCTACGTCAACTGCTCGCCGATCCCAGTGTGCAACGAGTCATCGTTCATGTTCGCGCCAGCGATGCCACCAAGGGCATGGCCCGAGTCGTGTCCACTGCAACAATGGCTAAGTGGTGGTCCCCTTCATACGCAAGCCGGGTGGAATGCTGGCCAGGGGACCTGGCAATGCCCCAGCTCGGCCTCCAGTCCGAACAGTGGCGGATGCTCTGCGGTCTAGGAGGGCCAGAGACTCGAGTCACATCAATCATCCACAACGGTGCAGCTGTGCAGTGGCAGGCTCCGTACCAGGCGCTCAAGGCTGCGAATGTAGACTCCACCGTGGAACTTTTGACTGCTGTCGCGCAGTGGGCAGAGCCTGGTAGTTTCACGTTTGTTTCAGGAGGACTGAAGAAATCACCCGGGCAGGACTTTGAGTCGTTCCTCAAGGCCCTTGAGCAGGCCAACGGGTACAGTCAGAGTAAGTTTGTTGCTGAGGAGCTGGTCTCGCGGTTTGCTGGTCATCAATCTGTCCATCGCGTGTCGATTGTCCGTCCCGGTTGGGTCATTGGTACTGAACAGGATGCTGTCCCCAATACCGATGATTTCCTGTGGAAGCTGGTTCAGGCGTGTATCCAGATTGGAGCGTACCCTGCTGAAGGGGGAGAGCAGTGGTTAACAGTCGCTGATGCTGAGGAGGTATCAACGCGTATCCTGGGCACGACATTTGCAGCCAGCGGCGACTCTCCTGCCGTTGATAATGTGGATAATGGAACCACGGTATCGCGCTTCTGGGAGCTCGTCAAAGAAGCTACTGGCATGAAGCTAACTCCAATGAGCGCTGAACACTGGAAACAGGCTGCCCAGGACTTTGTCTCTCGCCAGTCGAACCAGGCCCCGTTTTTGCCGGTGCTGGCGATGCTGCAGGATCCCCAGATGAGCTTTGGGGTGAAGCAGCCTGCAGATGCCAGGCCGAGTGGCCAGGTGGACGCTGCGATGAAGAGCAATGTTCGGACTCTGGTGGAAGCTGGCTTCTTCTCAGAGTCTCCGAGTGCAACTGCTTCGTCCAAGGTCTTTACCAGATCGCGGGTGAACGAGGCTCGTCCGGGGTTGTTTGTTTAATTAATTAGATGTCCTTCTCTATATTTCCTACCTTCTTGATATACCTTTTCTTTATTTTAAATTGGATTTGCATTTTACGCCTGGGCAAATTTGATATCTGTACTTTTCTTTAAATTTGCAAGTTATTCAATCTGGATTCATATGTACATAGAAAATATAACTGCAAACTGCGCAATCTCACGTATTCTTGGTCGACAAGATCAGATAAAAGACAGAATAAAAGGGAAGGAAACAGAAAGACCGGAATAACCAGAAAGTAACAGAAGGAAAGACATCTACTCTAAGCTCATCCCATTTACCATACTCCCATCCCCCCCATCAGGCACAAAGTAGAATTTCCCAGGCCGGCCCTGCCGCCTGAGCATCATATTCAGCAAGTCTGACAGCATCAGCTCCTGCCAGTCCTCCGTGTCGTATCCCGGCTCCATCATATCCTCCTCCACCACTGTAACAACACCGCTGGGCTCTTTGTCAGTTGAAGACGCGACCGAGCCAAATTCAGACGGTGCTCGTATTTGCGTAACATCTGAATGTTGTGATTCAGCTCTAGATACAGCGCTGGAGCTGGTAGAACTTCGACCGGAGAATAGGGAACGGCCACGGCGTGAGATGGGTCTGCGAGGGCTTCGCGATTTCCGCCATCGGTCTAGCTTTTCAGATGCCAGGAGCGGTGCCTCAGTGGATGGCAGTGGGGTTGAATCGACCGCCGTAGCCAGTGATGGCGTCAACAAGGGCGTCTGGATGGGAGTCTGCTCTGCCGAGTCGTGGTAGTCCAGTGATGGAACGCCATCAGCTGGCAGGCTGGTGGGAAGGCTGAAGTAGGAGCCATCACCAACAGACCGGATAAAGTCAACCACGGCCTCGTGGTATTCAGCACCTATGGGGATTGCGTGAGCCCCTGGGTGCATAATCTTCTGCCGTCGAGGTCCTCCAATTTGTGCTTTGTCTACCGCGGCGGCCATCTCAGATGGCACCACGGGGTCGAATTCGCCCATGAAGTGCAGGAAAGGTGTCTCGATGATGGGGTTTTCGTAGAAGGCTGAGAAGACGGGGCTGACGCCCATGTAGGCACCGTATGTGATGCCGAATTTGAAGGGTGGGTGGTCGAGGTCTTTGTAGGGCTCTGGATACCGCACGGCATTAGGGAATGTGGCGGCGTATTCTTCGAATCTTTGGCGTCGCCGGGGGCCCTCGAGGAGAGATGCAACCATGCCCCCGACGACAGAGCCCTGGGAGAAGCAGATGAGGCCGTCAAAGGGGCCTTCTGTACGCAGCATCTCGGCTACTCTGTTGATGCTGTCGAGCAGGCCTGTTGGTGGGTCATCCTCGTGTAGTCTGAACCAGGCATGGGTGTCGATTTCGTCTGGGTCTTTGAAGGTGTCTGACCTTTCTCTTTGGATCTCTTGGAGGTAGTCCAGTCTGTCGGACACTTTGTATGATATTTCTCCCGTTGGGAAGTAGAAGGAGGCGTTTGGGAACGCTCTCTGGATGTGCTGCTGCAGCCGGTGCGTCTTTCTTTCGAAGACGGGCCCCGTCTGCGTGTGGCCGTGGAGACATAAAATGCGCATCTTGCTCAATCTGTATCTGATGCTCACACGAGATATGATATGCAGGAGACCTGTGGAGTGAAGAAAGATGGAACGAGCGTTATAGACATATATTCTGCAAAGAGTAAAAGTACTTGGTAAGACAAACGAGTGATATCCAGGCCAGCACCACTACTTGGCAGAATTACAAATTATATCCGCTCAAGTCCCTCATGTCCAGCTTAAGACCCTCATGCTGTGATGCTGTTAGCCGTCTAGTAGATTACAGCAGTTCCTTCGCCTCGTTCTTCCAGTCATCTTCATGTAAACACCATCTACTAACACGATACTATACAGCCCCTGCCAGCAGGATTCGCCGAAGGAAAGACACTAAGGAACAGACGTCTGTAATTAGAGTAAAATACCATTCAGGCGTCCGAAGACAAGTTTGCAAACTGCAATACACGATCGAGACGCATCGCCTAGACCTATAAAGACCCAACCGTTGGCACGGGTAAGCGATCCAGCATCTCCCTGGCGCGCCACTGCGCCTCAGGCACTGCTTGAATCCACATGGCCTGAAGGATCTGGACTTCCTGCCAGTATTCCACTCACATTTACGCTCCCGAAACGCCACTGTTGGGATTTTCTGAGCTACATCCCGATCACCTCAGCCCATCGACTCATCACGGTTGCGAGCCGGATCCACCGTACCGGCGGGTTTTACCGCAAGTGCGTCTCTCAGATGGCCATATGGCTACGGCCTAAAGTCCTTTTACTTTACTCTGAGTAAAGCTGTTTCATCCTGGGGCTGAAAGCTCTTGTAAGCTGCTGAGAAGAAGGCAGTTCCTTCCCCCACTCCCCCACTGAATAAGCTGAAGAAGTTCGCAGTTACCACGGCCGACCACATGGGCAGCAGCTAGTCTTCAGCTCGCATTGGGGGCTGAAAGCACGTACTTTTCCGTGGCCCACAGTCACCGAGGAGATACGGCGTCTCGGTCGAAACCCGCATCGCACGGTGCAGGGCCTGTGTATTGGCGTTCATCTACTCATCTCCTCCCAGCATGCAGCTGCAGGGGGCCAAATCCAGGAGACATCGTCCAACACATCAGCCTGGTAACGCAGTGGTGGGGCAGGCGGTGGTAAACCGGCTGTCGTGCTCGGTATTATGATGCGGATATCGTGGCATCCGGCTAAAGTGGCATGAGGCAAGAATTGACAGACAGCACTGACAGCTCTAACACCACAACTCTCGTTACTTGTAAAAGAAAAAACCACGCAAATCAATGCTGTAAAATAAACTACGACTGGCTAATCCTTCTTCAAATCGACGATCTGCTCGGCTACCCCGTCTGCCGTCACCACCAGCATCTGCAAATGATCCCCAACCTCGATATGCCTCTCCGTCGCCCCCTGGTAAGCATCTCGCACCAGCTGCTCCGCCGTCTGCCGATCCAGCCTCCCCAGCCTGGGCACCTGGCTATCCAAGAACGGCAGCATGAGACTACTCGCCTCCCCCGCCGAACAGTGCGTGCGCTTCTCAATACACCCCGCCGGGTCATAGTAGTAAACCGCCCCCTCGCCATCCGCATCCAGTCCCGCAACCATCGTCTGCAGCTGGTAGGGGAAGAAGCGCTTTTCGTAGAGGAGGGTAGAGACGCGCTGCGCGCACGCCCGTAGACTGATCCCCCGCCCGTGCTGGTACTTGTACATGGCGACGACGTGGTCGAGTTTCTCCTTGAGGGCGTGCCCGTCCGCGGCGAAGCCGATCACGGAGATCACGATGGATGACCGCCCGGCGTCTTGGATTGTGAAGACCTTGGGCTCGTGCCGTGTGTTGATGTTGTAGCCCGCTGTTGAGCGGGTGTCGCCGGCCAGGATGGCGAAGCCGGGGCCTGAGATGCCGAGCGTGGCACCGCCGTTGCTGGTGTATCTACGCCGGTTAGTACGTCCGTTCATTGTACACTGTATAGGCACTGTAAATGAGGGTGGGGGCTTACGGGTAGAATCGTGTTTCCTTAGCCATGGTGTAGTCGCTAGAACGAATAACTGACGAATAACTGAAAGAACGAATAGCTAACGAATAACTGAACGAACGAATAGCTTAAACGAAAACGCACACGAAATAACTGCAACGAAAATAAACTGGAATCCAAGTTCTTCTAGAGCTAAGATGACAATAAATGCCTAATCACTTAATAAGCACTAGGAAGGGACTGGCTGCTTTGTGCGCCTTACGGACGGGTTCCGAGAGCTGCGTGGACGATCACGAATAGACTCAGCCAGACGTATTTAAGGACAGCTCTGTCAGCAGGCAGAAGACACCACGTCAATCATGCAGGCCTGCAGGGACGCGATTCGTCTGGGCGTGTTCAACGAAGAGCACTGCCATAAGCGCTAGTGGGAGCAGCGTCAAGGCACACCTGCACGATCGGCCGCCGGCTGAAACGCCTAAGCAGAACAGGTTTAGACTAAGCAGAAGCAGTGAAGGCGCTTTAAGGCGTGAAATGGTTCGAGTTTGAGTCAATCAAGGCTCCACTCCGGGCGCAGCCTGAGGATTCGTGAAGAATCAAGAATCTGGATTCGGGGGCGATATTCTAGAATTATACAACACGCTAAATACAGACAGAAGAAGAGTAGGAAAAGAACAAAAGAAATGAAAGCAAGTGCTATCGTCCATTCCCCCATAATAATGCCGGCGAGTACATGTCCATCTGGCTGTTCCAGTCCCAGTCGAATGGTGGTGAGGGCACGCTCAGGGGGGGATAGAAGGAGGTTGACGACGAGAGCAGAGGCTGCGCCTGCTGGGCCTGCTGGACCTGCACCTGCATCTGCATCTGCATTTGGAGCATCAGCTGCCTCGGACTCAGGCCGCAGGTTCCAGACTCGCGGTGGAAGTTTCGCGCCGTCGACCGCGTGAAGACCCGCCCACAATCAGGGCATGGATGCACCTTGGCCTGCCCGTTCTTCTCGCGCAGGTGTCGACGGTAATTTCCCAGAGATGAGAATTTCCGCCCCTCACAGCCGTGGTCCCAGCACCGCACCTCCATCAGCGAGGCCTGCGATTTGCACGGCCGCTCTCTGTCTCTGTCACTGTGGGCGTGTCGGCTCTGGCCGACTCCACAGCGCTGCACGCGTCGGGCTGTGGGTCGGCCAACGTTCTGGGGGCCGTTTTGTGGAGTGCGCTGGGGACTTGGTTCGTTCCGCATTTCGTCTGGCTGGCTGGGGAGGGGCCAGAGCCAGCTCGCGGAGGAAGACTCCGACGTGCTGTTGCTGGTGCTGTTGCTGGTTACGCTGGTGGTGGTGCTGTTGGCGTTGCTGCTGATGGTCGTGGTGCTGCTGGTCGGGGATAGGGGGGAGACGTCCGCGCTGTACGTCGAGTAGAGGTCTGGGAAGTGTGCAGAGTCTGTCGTGATCTGTTGCAGTCGTGGCTGTTGCAGTCGTGACTGTTGCAGGTGTTGTAATTGCTGTGGTTCTAGTGGTGGCAGTGGCTGCTGTTGTAATTGTGGCAGCGGTTGCTGTGACTGCTGTCGCTTGGGTAGGGCTCGCCGCGTTGTAGTCATGGTGAATGAATATGAATGTAGGGTTCACGTAGGACGTAGTACAGACAAGACAAGACGCAGTTAGGCACGGAGGGCTGCAGACACGCGGTTTATATCCTGGCAGCCTATCTACGAGTACAGCCAGGGTGGTGAGGATGGCATCACAGTGATCTACACGCTAGCAAGTCGGGCATTTTGCACGACGGGGATGGACGGTGGAGAAGGGCTTCTTCAGCGATTCTCATTCAGCAGACTGGGCAGCAGAGAACCCTGACTCGCTCACCTTATTAGGATAAGCGCTAGGATCACCGCGCCCACGAGGAGGAGCCACAGAATGCCGGTGGCATCGCGCCCGCCCTGCTGGCTGCTCGCTCCGGCTTCTCCAAAACGGCCACTCCGACACTCTATTCAGCCGTTTTAACGAGGAGGCTGTGTAAACTGTGTCAGGCTTGAGTCGTGTGTCAGGGCAGTCTCTGCCGTTTCAGATTGGGGCCATCACTGTAACCAATGTAACATTCACTCAGTCTATCTGCTAGTGTCTATATTTTCTGATCTACTTCTGCGGGCTCGCCGTCACTCGCTTCCACTCCATGCCCAGCACGCCGATGATCGATGCCGCTGCTAGCCCAATGGAGAGGTACCACGTCTTCACGATGGCCTCGTTGCACAACCCCATGATCGTCGCCAGGGACTCCACCGGCACGAGGTTGCGGATCTCTCGGTTACCGGCGTTCAAGACCGCAGAGGCGTCGATGTGCGGGAACCGCGCGCTGATGGTCGACGCCAGGGTCCCCGTGTAAATGGTGTCCGCGGCCGACAGGGCAATAGTGCCCCCTAGTGTCTGGGCGAGCACTATCAGGGACACGCCAATGGGGATGTCGTTCATTGGCAGGATTGTCTGCGCTGCTACGAGAGTCTGCTGCAGGGCACACCCTAGGCCTACACCGGCCGGAACCTGATACCCTAGCACATCGCGGATCGGCGAGGTGTACTCTAGCGTCGACAAGAGGCCCATGCCCACTGAGAGCAAGGCCGTTGCGACGATCATGAAGGGCACGTAGTGGCCGATCACAGGGGTCAGGACCCCACACAGCGTCGTAAAGACAACGGCCGCCCCGATAATGGGGAGCAACTTGACCGCAGATGAAATTACGGAGAGATCTTTGATCACCTGTAACCAGATCGGCAGCTAAGCAATGAGTTAGCAGTGTTTCATTTGAAGTTTTCGGTGGCAGTGTCCGACTTACGTAGTATTCCAGGATGAACCCTGTCCCCGACGTGCAAAAGGAGAAGAACATGCCGAACGCGATGCTCCTCCTCTTGAGAATGCCCATCGGAACGAGTGCATCGTCTCCTTTTCTGCCTTGCACTGCCATGAATGCCGCCATCAGGACTCCAAACAAAATGAAGAGCACGATGATGCGGGCGTTCTTCCACGAATACTCCTTTCCTCCCCACAGCAGCGCCAGGATCAGGCACAGGATGGAGGCGAGGAAGAGCGTGAACGCGGGCAGGTCCAGCTTGTCAATCTTCTGTTTCCATGTTGTCGGCGGCGTCTTCGGGGCCTTGAGCTTGAGCATGAAGACGATGATGGCGAAGGTGGGAGCGGACATGATCGGGTTGATATAGAAGATCCTGGCAAGTTAGCCCTGACGTTTGAAGGAAATCCACGATCGCATCTTACCATCTCCAGGTGGTGCCGTGGATGATTCCACCGGCCAACAGCGGACCACAGATAAAAGCGACGCCGTTGACGGCACCGAGAATGCCGTTGAAGACTGCCACCTTTGCTCTGGGGACGGACTGCGAGAGGATCGTTAGGGCTCCGGACAGAAGACCCCCGGCGCCAATGCCTGCGATCGTGCGACCACTGCAGCTGTCAGCTCTGTCGGATTATACAGACCATTGCACTTACAGAATCAGGGCAATGGAGCTTGGAGCTGTTGCGCAGATGATCGAGCCGATCTCGAACAGCACCAGAGCGCCCAAGTAGACGATCTTGACCGGCAACATCGAGTACAGCCGGCCAAAGATCAGCTGGAATGCGCAGTCCTGCACCTGTCAGACCTCCCTCCTGTATTCTTTGGAGTATACACACCGTGAACAAATAGGCCGACCCATACCAGCCAGTGTCCTGCAGCGAGTGCAACTCGTCGGTGATGGTTGGGATCGCAGTGCCCAGCACCACCTCGTCCTGGTCCTGTTAGAGAAGTACGGTGGCCAGCCGGCGACACATACCAATGCGACCTGAAAGACCGAGAGACAAAGGCCGATAAAAATTAAGGAAAACTTCAGGTGGCCGACATAGACGACCTCCTCCTCGTCGTCAGTCGAGGGCGTGGGCGAGCGCTGGCTCAGCTCCTCTGGCGTCAGCGCCGGGGTCTGCGTCTTCTCTGAATTTTCCATCTCTACGGAGCGTGAGAATAATCAGAGTCGGAATCGCAAATGGCCATTTTCATTTTCTGACGCTCCATCATTAAGTAGAATATCGCGCAGGCATCCAGGCGTCGTGGCCCCTGCGGCGTCCAGCCGGTGGTTCGGTGTTTAGGCACAAAGCCCTGCGTAACGCATTTCGCTGTTTCTTTGTTTTTGAATTCCGGCCGTACCGAGTCGAGCATGATCTGAATTACAGGCTGTCATTGGCTGGCGTGAGATCTCTGCACATATCTGACCCATCAGCCCCATAACCCGGCCCTAACAGCGACGAGCATCCAAAGGCCAAGACCGTCTAGCTGTTACACTAACGGCTCCATCCAGCTGAAGAGAGGGTCCTGACCGCATGAAGAGGGTCCTGGCCAGATGAAAGACGGGCTCAATGCTTCCGCACTGTCAGCCTCTGTCTGGCCCACTCATTCAGCCCCGGGGTCGGCTCCGAGTCAGCCAGCGCGATATTGTTTACTGCAGGATATTGCGAGCCTGCAGAATGGTATTTCGCATGCTGAGTGAGAGTGGCGTTTGCGACTCGGCCAACGTCCGCTCGCAGAGACTTCCGCGTCAGGAAGAAGGATTCGGCTAAGGAAGCGCCAGAATTGGCCCCAGCCGATCCCTGAGGTTATTCTGCTGGCACAGTATACATTATACAATCAGATGGCCGCCAACACCTCTGCTTCTGGGTCACCGTAAATCATCACAGTAGAGTCCAAAGTCAACCGCAGTCAAGGAATCAAGATGATCTTCACTCCGCCACAATGGGGCCGTGACATGATGCCCATCCCCGACTCCCTCCCTATCTACGACTTCCTGATCCAACGCGACAACCGCCACCTCTACAACTGGACCGCCGACAGCCAGACTCTGACCTGTGCTGTTTCCGATAAGTCCTACAATCTCCAGACGATCGCAACCCGGGTCGATGCTCTCTCGCGCAGCCTGAGCCGTGAACTCGGCTGGGGGCCAAATGCAGGCTCGCCCTGGGACAAGGTCATTGGGATCTTCAGTTTCAACACAGTGCGTCTCCAAACCTGGCTTGGTTCTTCTACGTTACTGACGTTATGGTAGATCGACTTCTTGATCGCCTCGTGGGCTGTACACCGCGTGGGCGGCGTCTGTCTGCTCATGCACCCAACCAGTTCTGCTGCTGAAATCAAGCGCCATATCACTCTCACTAAATGTCGAGTCCTGTTTACCTGTCGCTCGCTGCTGGCGACGGCCAATGATGCTCTTGTGGAAAGTGCAGTTCAGGACCCTAAGGTGTATCTACTCGACCTGCCAGAGGAGCTTGCAAAGACCTCCTCGTTGCCCGACCAGGGGCAGAAGACAGTCGAGCAATTAATCCAGGAGGGAGCCTCCCTTCCCCAGATCGAGCCATTACAATGGACTCCTGGTCAGGGCAAGGAGCAGGTCGCATACTTGTGTCCGACCAGCGGAACCTCCGGTCTGCAGGTAGCAACCCTACCTCCTGTTCCTCCTGTCAATTCAGCTAACAGCAAATAGAAACTCGCCCAGATCACGCATTACAACATAATCGCAAATGTAATCCAGTCCGGGACATACGAAGCACTGCATAAACACGGCCGAACCGAGACCGCACTCGGCTTCCTTCCCCTGAGTCACAGTTACGGTTTGATTCTGGCGCACTTGACTGCCTGGCGGGGGGATACTTATATCTTGCATGCTCGGTTCGACATGCAGGCTGCTCTGGCTTCGATCGCAAAGTACAAAATCGAGAGACTCTATCTGGTATGTTGAGACTACATTTGTGCTCCTCCCGGTGGCTCACTATCTATAGGTCCCTCCTATTATCTCTGCCCTGGTTAACAACCCCTTCCTCTTCGAACTGTACGATCTCTCATCTGTAAAGTCCGTCATTACCGGGTCTGGTCCATTCGGACCCCGTCTGGCAGATGCCCTCAGCAAGGTCCGCCCAACATGGCAGGTCCTCCCTGGATACGGTAAGACTGGCATCCTACACTAAATGCTCCCAATCTAATATCTAATAAATAGGCCTCACCGAAACCGCCGTGATCATCTCCATTACGAACCCGAACTACATCTACCTCGGCGCGGACGGCTGTCTCCTCCCCGGCGTCGAAGCCAAGCTCATAAACACCGAAGACGTCGAGGTAGACCGCTACGACGAGCCAGGCGAGTTATTCCTGCGATCGCCCAGCAATATGAAAGGATACCTCGGACAGCCCGAGGCCACAAAGGAGATCTTCGATGACGGGGGCTGGCTGCGGACGGGCGATATCGCTGTCTTCCGCCTCCAGACCAAGGGCGGCAAGGAGACGCCGTACCTCGACATCGTCGATCGGAAGAAGGATATCATGAAGGTGAAGGGGCTGCAGGTCGCGCCTGTGGAGATTGAGTCGCATCTTGCGGCGCACCCGGCTGTTGCTGAGGTCGCTGTTGTGGGTGTTCGTGATGAGGACGCTGGTGAGAGACCTTATGCGTTTATTGTCAGGTCGCCTAAGGAGATGGTTGATGTGGATGAGGATACTATCAAGGCTGAGTTGAATCGGCTTGTTGAGAGTGCGCTGAGTGAACCGCACTGGCTGCGTAAGAATATTCGCTTTGTGGAGGAGTTTCCCAAGAGCAGCAATGGCAAGACGCTCAAGTTTAAGCTGAGGGAGACTTTGGCGAATTGAGTATGAGTGATGAGCGTTATTTCAAGCGTTGATATTAACTACGATTCTTTATGAAAAGTACTATTTAGCTGTCAAATATTTATAGCTATTTTCTCTTTCCTGTGTCTCCATTATATCCTCTGTAGAAATAACATGTATCACGAACATCTGTATAAGTCTGCCATCGAGCACATCTCAAAAGTACCCTAACGAAGAACATAGACGGCACCCAGAAGACTCCCGATAGCGCTGCTTCTCTCTATGATCCAATATAATTTAATTTCTGCACCACCTTGGCACAGAAGTAGCGTCTTCAGCCAAGACGACACCATGAGCATCATCGCTAACCCATCCCATACTCAGCCACAAGCGGACACCATAAGCGACAGTTTCATATTCAAGCACTCGCTTGCCAGTTCCCAGCCAAGTCTAGCTCCACTGCCAGAGCAGGAGGGGGGCCAAAACTACGGTCTCTCAGAAAGGTTAGCCTTCATGAAGCAGGAGTGGAACTGGACACTGCATGGCCTCTCCAAACGGGTTTAGTTGAGTGACGGGATTTTCTCCAACGGCTTCGGGCGAGTTCGAAGGATTCACCGCGGTCGATCTGTAGATGACGAGATGACTCCGTGTGGATGACTCCATAGGGTAGGTGAGTTCCGGCATCAGACTGCATCCTGCATGGTGCACTCCATTTCTTCCCGTCCGTGGCCAAGACGGCCAATCTCAGGATTTAACCGGTCTCCGGTGTAAAAGCGCCCGGGGACCATGCGCAGGAATTCCACCGTTCTGAATTCCATGCCTGTTCTAGCGCAATCCTTTGGGATTGGGGTCCAGCCCAGTCTTCGGGATATCCCGCCAAGGACAGCACCAAGCTGTCAGATCCTGTTGCTCGTGTGGGTGTCAGTTTCCCTCATAGGATGAGGTCTGTGTGAAAGGTTCCAGACAAGGTGAGGTTGATCCTTTCCAACACTGACCCGTCGTGAGATTCCTGGTCCTGTGTGCATACCATAACGGCGAATATTAGCGAGCTGACCACGACGGAGAATTTTCTTGTAGCTCATCCTTCGGCCTCCGTCAAATATGGGATTCGGTGCACTAACTACATCTAGTTGGCTTTTCGGGGAATATTAAGGAAGATATGTTGTCGATATAGACTTGATGCCGTCTCCGAAGCCACCCATGTGGCGTCGTTAGACCGTCGGAAGAGGCGTAATACGAGGGATACGGTTGTTCTTGAATTCTAGTGGTCTAGCCCTGCCAGCTCGACGAATGAGAGTTTAGCCCTAAGCTATTTTCTTCATGCTGCACTTGACCTCTAGCGTAAGCTTCAGGAGTGTCCTGTATATTCAACTGAAAACATGAGAAGCGGTGCCTAAATGTTTAGACATATGGTATTAAGATACAATACCTCTGAGGGTCAGAGGCTGGCTGCCTCAGGTGTCTAGTAAATAAATGGCGGCATCACCTTCACATTCCAACGCATTTGTCGGTAGCAGCAATACCTCTTACCAGTTTCTGTATAAAAGAAAGTGAGTGTTAATTAAATGACTAGAAAATGGTTTCCAGCATGTTGAACGGTCGTTGGAGTTTACTGAAGCTGTTTCTCTTCAACGGGGCGTGTGAATATATATAGTGGTAACATCATCCTCGGCAACAAATACCCTCGAGCAAGCATAAACAAACTTTGTTCTCCCACGAATATAGTTATGGAAATTAATCCAGAGAAGTACTCGGGGGAGTCCTGGTCACGATTGACCCCACTGGTTTGGCTTCTCGTATTATTGCTCCTTGAAAGTGAAAGAATGAATTCCCCCAAAAGGAGCAATGCGAAGCCGCCGAAGCTTAAACTGACGGAGGCTTAGTCTGGTGGTATATTTTATTCAAACCATGAGAGTTGAAAAAAATTTAGTTTGTTTAATTGGGAGGCAGATATATATCAAGGAGCGTATACAACATACAACGGACAGTGGGCTACAGCGCACTGTTGACAAATTGCTCAAGTACAGGATAGAAAACAATATAATAAATAACAGATCAACGCAAACTGAAAAAGAATCATGCCTGTTGTTGATTGTTCGGTTTGATGGTTTGGACCAGCTGGTCACATAGTTGCCGTATGCTCTCCACCGTGGACAGCACATCGTTCCCAGCGCGAGCCAACACCGCATTGGAATCCGAGACCGAAAAACTGTCGTCCAGGGTTGGAAAGGGGATTATGATGCCTATTCCCTGAATGGCTATTTCCGCCCGCTGAAGACGATCTGGAGGCTCGTGTTAGATTACTAGAACACGTAAAGGGCATCGAGTACACCAACCGAGGGCCATTCTCAGCCGCGAGTCCTTATTTATTTCGCGGACCAGCTCTTCGACTCGTTGCAACTCGGGCATTGATGCGTGTGCGACGACCTTGAACCTCCTAGGGCCGAAATGCTTGTGACCTCCTAATTGTCATGATTCGTATCAGTAATGCCCCAGCTTGAACGGATCGGAGTGCACAAACCGTAGAAATCTTGAGAGCGAAAGTATGCAAAAAGAACACTATCATATGCGATTTCTTCCTCCTCAGTAACCGAATCATCACTTATCAGACCTGCAAAGTATATGGCGAGGGGGAATTGCCAGCCCGGTGGAAAGTGAGCTGCAAGCTCCCCAACCGCCTGCAAACGATTTCTCATTTCCTGCATGGACAGACGTTCTGGCAGTTGGTAAACGGCATCGCGAATACGATTAACCTCCTTCACCCAGAATACCTGCGCATCAGGTGGGTTGGATATATCTCCAAATTGGGGCTGCAACCGGTACAATGCGTTATTCTCAAAGAGCGCTGCGGCAGAGATCCTTTGGCACTTCCCCTCAATCTTCAGTGACCCTTGGGAAAGGTATTCTCCAAAATAAAACCTAGGTTTCTTTCGCAGTTCCAAGAAATTGTCCAGGTTCTTTCCCTCGGGGTGAGTGTCGTATGGGTGGAAGGCCTCCATGAGATCCAAATCTCGAAGAAAAGTGCCACGAGGGAATTGCGCTGTGTCTACCACGTACAGGTCGATATCCTCCAGGCTTGACTGGTCTCGATGGTGCTGATGTCGGTAGTAGATATATTGTATTGCGAAGAGGAGCGAGGTCGTCCACGACACATAGTTGTCTCCTCGGTCATCCTTTGGCCACCATCGAAGATGGCGATTGAGAGTCCACGCTATATGGCCTCGCCTGCCATCATCCAAACCAGAGAAAATATCCTCCGTAGAGGACGGAGTGTTATCACAGGCATCCCGCGAATGGACCCAAGTGGAATCCGTGTGACCGTCTGACTCGGGACTGACAATGCGAAACAGGTAACGGGGTATGTTGTCGAGTGCCTTGGGGTCCAGTCCGCTATCATCCTGGGGGTTGAAGATTAACTGGTCTGGCACCTCAGGTTCGTGCACCTCAGGCTCGTCGCCGATGTGAATGGTGCTGAGGTGATCGGTTAGTCCGTTCATTCTGTGGTTAGCGTTCTGGTTAGAGATTTGAACAAGAAGAGTCTGACTTGAAGAGGCACAATGTTCACTCTTATAGGAAAGCATGAGAAGGCTATCTCAGCGGCCTTGTGGTTCTCGCAGGTTCCAGGACAGACTAGATAGCACTCCAGTCAGCCTTGAATGGGGTTGGCGTTGCAAGGCGCTTCCCTGTTGGTTGAAACCAAGGCTGAGGCTGTTATGGCTGACCTCAAGGCTCACAACGTCTCTGCGGCACAATATGCGGCACAGCTGTCGGAGTTCCTAAATGTGCCAGAGCCAATCGAATAGATTAATTCACTCGGTGAGCGCATGCCCTGCCACCGCCTGGTGCCGCAGGTATGGCGCATGGTCTTGGTCTTCAGGTCCCAAGGGACTTGTCCGCAGCACCAACAGAGGTGCCTTGAAAGAACTTGCTTCATCCAAGCCTTGCCTTGGGTTTCCTGGTAACAGGCCCGGTCGCAGAGCTAAACGTATGTCTCAGTTTAGTAGTCTGTGTGCTCGAAGATATATAGATAGTATCTCAAACATGCATGCTGGGGGTTTCTACCCAATATAGCAGATATATAGGGCTATTTAGATACTGCCGATGGCAAGCCCAGGACACGGCTAGACACTCGCTACAGCTACATTATTCATATTAAAATTCGACAGTTCAGATTAGGATACACTAGCGATAGATAAGTCTAATAAAACCAACGGAAATCTGGAGACGCTGGCCCTTCCCTTAGCATCTCCGTGGGTACATCCATAGCCGTGAGAACAGTACCCTGTCTCCGGTTCCTCCTTGAATTGTCATACATCATCCAAAAGCCGAGAGCAAGAGTAAAGAAAATACCAGCTCCCCCAAACGCTGCTGTAGTAATCAACGCAGGCAAGTACTTCGGAGCATCCTGGTCGCGAAAAATATTAGAGCTCACCAAGCCCATCAGATTAGCCATGGGTACAGCAACACTGGTCAGAACGACTCTCTTCCCTTCACTCGCGATGTTGTTATTGTACCATGCATCTAGTAAAACAGACGGGGCCGATGTGCCCCAGGTCATCATAAACGAGGCGAAGTAGGCCACGTTGATGTCGCGTTCAACATCGATGGAAACGAAGATAACCATTCCGATAAAGGTGAATAGGAATCCGAGTGCGACGAATGGGAATCGCCACCGCGTCCAGTCGCTGCAGAATGCTAGAATGAGAAGCATCACCGCGCCGGATACATTGGGTGCAACGGTGTACAGGTTGGTCTTGACCGTGTCGTATCCCAGTCGTTTGATGATAACGGGTAGAAACAGCTGGACTGACTGAAGGGGCACGCCGAGGCAGATCTGAATACCAATGATTGCCCAGCTCGTACCATGTTTGAAGATCCGAAGAGAGTCTCGGATATTCAGGCGTTCATTGACAACTGCTGAGCTGTCAAGCTGCATCCGCCTGAAGGCTAAGGTTTTTTCGTCGTCCGACAGGAATGTAGCTTCGGTAGATGACCTTGGCAAATACCAGAGCGTGAATATCGCGAACAAAACAGTGCCGCCTCCCTCGATGAGAAAGAGGTAGCGCCATGATGCCAGGGGCCCAGAGCCGATGCGGAAGACGCCAAAGGCGAGAAGGCCGGAGAATGCAGAGGCAATGCTTTGTGCGGCATAGAAAATGGCCAGACGGCGAGCGAGCTCTCCGCGACGATAGAATCTAATTGTCCAAGTTAGCAATGTTAGTCTAGAGTGAATAAGGATTCCATACGTCGTGAGATAGTAGATGACCAGAGGGAAGAAGGCACTTTCCGACATTCCAAGGAACCATCTGATTGCCAATAGCCCTCCAAAATTGAATACAGCAACAACCAGGATGGTGCATAAGCCGAATGTTAGCATCATGCACGGCAGCACGATATTCGGACCGTATTTTTTGCCTAACACCGCGAGGAAAGGCGCAGTCAAGACGTAGGGGATGAAGAAGATGCTGAGGATTAGGTTATACTGGTTGCCCTGCAGCCGAAGCGTCTCTAATATTCTGGTTAACGTTTGAATAGTGACGAAGCTCAGCAGTAGTTACCTTCCAAGCCCGCGGTCTTCGCATTGCCTAGGTTGGACTTGTCGAGGCTGTTGAAGAGATACATGATTGCCAGCACCGGCAGGATGCGCAGGTCGAATTTCCAGACCAGCGCCCGCTCTGCGCGAGAATCGATGGTATCGCCTATCGCCCCTTGGATGCCCTCGACAGTTACATCGCTGTCTGATACGCCTTTGGGCGATGATACCTGTGGTATTTTGACGCTATCCATCAGGCCAGATGATCGTATGTGTATACAAGTGCGGTGGTGCAAGAGCACATTGTAGACTGATATATAGTACTTCTCTAATTACATAGAGTAGAGATTAGATCTGGATTAGTCCGCTAGTTACTAACAAATTGGCTGACACGATAGGCGTTGCTATCTCGGAGCACTGCCGCACCAGTGACAGCCCTGGACGCTTATCTATCAGTGGGGCACGTTCAACGCCCAGGCCGGGATTCCTCGGGACCAATATACTGAATACTTGCTTATCGCACATTGACACTACTTTTAAATCGGTCTTAATGATCCTGGTCGAGACCGATGAATACTGGGACATTGGCCTTGGGATTATCGGGAGGAAGAGCTGCCGAAGCCACCATTGATGCCGCGGGTGCGAAGAAGTCCATTGCAGCGTAGATTGAGGTTCCGGCCGTTCGAGAGAAGATGGCATCTGTTAGAATCCCGTCTCAGCCGATTGATATGGACTTGGCTGCAGTGCAGATGAAGAATATTACCATCTGGATGGACTGGATTTTGTCACTGTGCTGAAGGACTGCATCTCACGCAAGCCAGGGCTGGTAAGAGCATCGGTCCTTTTTGAAAGAGCCTCGCTTATTGTTGGACTATACTGTATAGTACTCAACCCACTTATATGCCTCGCAATAAACAATGTGTGCTCATGTTCCAGCGTCACGGCTTGTGGCGGGGAGTTTCAAGGGTGGGACATTGTGGGACGCGTATACAGATTGAGTCTGTCCCACCATATTGTTACGCCGTAAAGCCGCACTGCAAGGTTATTTAAGCTGTCCAAAGGGCCCGTAAGATATAGCTACATATTATAACCGAAATTCAATTGCCCTCTTTGAAACCCGCACGCAAATCTCTCCGATTTATTAATTCGCCATGTCTGATATTGAGCATATCGTCCTCTGGCCATTCAAGAACACATCAGACCTGGAGTTTGCTGCCCAGGCTATCAAGTCTACTGTAGGAAAAGCCCGTCATGATGGAGAGCCATACGTCCTGTCGGTGAAGTGCGGTACAACCCGGCCCTCGCCCCCAGTCAGAAGTAGAGGTGAGCTCAACATCCATGCTCGATAGTGTAGGCCCAGGCTGATTTACAACTACCAGGATTCAACCTTGCTTCGATCATTCGATTCCGTACTGATGATGATCGGAGCTACTTTGTGAAGGAAGATCCAGCGCATAAGGAATTGGTCGGCCTAGTCAAGGATAAACTCGCTTCTGATATCCTGGTTTTGGACTTTATTGATGGTGCGGTGGAGCATATACCAACCACTGCTTGCTAGACATTAGGTGTTTGCACACCTCTTAGCTATAGATTAACTAGAATGACGACGCCATGAAATCAATGCGGACCATGGGCCCTGCCTTTTGTTCTGTTGAGAATCAAAATATGAAAATATGCTTGCATATCGGCAAGTTAAGCATTCAATTATCTCTCAATACCCAATTCCTTCCCAGCAATCCAGATTCTCTCAATATTTCGAGTTGCGCGGATGTCCTCCAGTGGATTCCCCCTAACCAAGACAAGATCTGCCCTGCGACCAACTTGAACGACCCCCCGATCATGCAGTCTGAAATAACTGGCCGGGAGCTCCGTAGCTGCGCGAAGAGCATCACAATTTGACAGCCCACAGTTAACAAGCAACTCCAACTCCTCATGCAGACTGACGCCATGGGCCACATGCGCAGGCACACCTGGAGCACTATTTGAATCTGCCCCAGCCAGAATAGGCACACCAGCACGATGCAGAGCAGCGACTGTATCGTGGCAGTGTGCATATTTCCCCCTTTTAACCGAAACGCGCTTCATCATGGTCAAAGTCGGGATAGAGAGACGGCCTTCCTGGACCATCTTCTGTACCTCTGCATCATCCATAACCCCGTCGAGCGGAGCATGGGTAATGACATCGGCGTTCGCAGCCTGCGCCATGCGAGTTGCTTCGAGACTCACGGCATGGGCAATGACAATCCTGTTCCGGCAGTGAGCTGCTATAACCAACGCATCTAGGCACTCCTGACTTGGTCCCGGCACGTCAGCGATGATCTTGATATAGTCTGCACCCTCGGCAAGTTGCGTCTCGACGAATTCCTCTGCGTCGTCAGGAGTGGAGACAAGTGCCTCTTGGGGTATGGTTGGCATGCGGCTGTGAATGCTGCCTGGGGCTGTAGCGGCGAGGCCGCAGCTGCGAATATCGGTGACGCCCTTTTGGTTGCGGAGGTAGCTGAGGTGCTCCGCGGGCCAGGTAGCCATGTCGAAGGCCGTTGTGATGCCGTATTTGGCCATTTGAACGAGGTCTTCTCGGCTGGTCAGATGGACGTGTGCGTCAATCAGGCCTGGCAGCAGTGTCAGCCCGCCAGCATCGATGGTTTCATCGGGGATTGTATCAGGGCGCCCGATTACATCGCCGTTGATGATGAGCGTGTTGGGATCTTGGATGTTCTTGCCATCAAAGACCCGAACATTGGTAATTGCGATGATCTTGGCAAAATCAGTGGCCATGATGATCCTGTGTGCGATTGACTAAGGGAAGTGCATAATTTATGCTTCAGTCAGAAAATGTCAGATTGCTGAGGTGACTAATCGTGTGTTGTAATTCTTGTAATTATGCTGTACTAGTGCACACGTGTCCCCGCACCGATGCACAACTGTTGCCTGTTTATCTGATGGTCGGGCTGATGTTGACGTGTTACCAGCATTGCATCTATCATGAATTCAAATTCAGCAATGGACTCTGGCATGAACCAGGTATTGGACTCTCCAGAGCTCCTGGAGATGATCCTGGTGCAGGTGGACATGCGCTCCCTCCTCACATCCGCCCAACGCGTCTGTCTCCACTGGGCCAGCTTGATCAACACTTCACCCTCAATACAGAAAGCTTTATTCTTCACTCCGATAAAAGACTCCGAATGGGGAACAGATGAGAAGACGCCGAACCCGCTACTGGCAGAGACTTTCCCTTCCATTTTCCCCGCCAATGGTAGGTCAGATCGGTTCCAGTTCGACTTCTCCGACATGGCCATCACCAAAGATGCTTCAACCATGGCTCGATTTGTACGAAACGAGGCAAGCTGGCGCAGGATGCTGGTTCAACAGCCCCCAATTCGGAGTATAGGACATTTTCATATCACCCACGCAATGGCTGGCGATTTTCCTGAAACCTCCAGTGTCCCGGTGAGTTGTAACTAGGTTTACCCACAGGATCTGTGGTTAATAATCGATATTCAGCCAGATCCGAAGATGCGGGACTCAGGATATGACGGTATTCGCATGGAACGGCTATTTGAGCTGTTGCTATTCAGTAAACGAGTCGAATTTTTATTTAACACCAGATCACGGGTGTACTGGACCTGTGAGCAGCCTATTTCATTTAAGGAGAGCTCAGCGAGGAACAACGAATTGTTCTATCAGATGTTGAGCACATTTGACCTGGTGCTTTATACACACAGGGTGATGCAGTGTGTTCAGAGAGACGAACCTCCCACCGCCGAGGAGCTTACAAGGCGCGAGGTCATCGCAGCGTGGCGAGAACGTGGCTTGGATGTTCGGGCTAAGAGAAAGGAAATTGAAATGGCAGAGACTAAAGAAACATTGTTGAACTAGTCAATGTTAGGAGATTTGACAGATGGGGATATCGATCCCTGATACAGTCACGGTCTTGAACCTATTCCCGACCCATCCAAGGATATTAGCTGCATCTAAATCCGCACATTCTCTGAGCTGGATTGTGGGTATATTACATCTTATGATGAGCCTCAGCGGGCGACAGGTGATTCTATGGACAGTGCTAGATTCAAACAGGCCTCATTGAGACATCAACTGCGAAATACCTACTGGCTAGGATGTTGTAGTTGCTGACTTACCCCTATTCGTGTATCTAGCAACAAATAGCAGCCATGTGGATGGTTTATGTAGCGTTTGCCACTGCCTGTCAAAGAAGCTTTAAATATGACTTCCACACATTTACTACCCAAATTCGGGTACGCCATACCGGTAAGGAAGTATATGAAGCGACGAAGACTTACTGAACCCTAATATCATATGTGGAACGGCTCTTTCGTCTTTTGTTCAGGCGCGGGGGTGTTCCTAGACAGAAGTAAGCACCACGCCTAGATGGGGATGGACTAACTGACAAAAGCAGACATCAGCTGGACGGATCTATCCAAAGTATGCATCTCTCTGCTAAGGAAGTCATATAATAACCACACTGCCAGCTTATTCCAACCATCTTCTCACGGTTGGATCTCAAATTGGCGGAGCCGGAGGCGGATCTAGTCGAGTTGCAGGTACGTGGCTGCCGATGGACCATCCGACCTGATTTAACCAGCGCCTTAGCCTTTTCGTCATGCAAAGCAGCCTTCATGCAATGCCCAGGCCGCGGAAATAACCATTTAATGCACCAGTGGGAATAAACCGGATCTATAGCCACAATATCTATACATCATGTGACAGCAACACTACGTCCGTTAACTCCGAGCACACCCACTTTTTCGCACCAGCAAGCCATTGGGTTAACGATTTAGTCTAATAACATGGAAGAAACTTTAAGGTAGATCCGGACCCCGCCCGGCGTTAGGGAATAAGGGTGGAGGCGGCGTGAACGTTTTATACCAACGCCTGAGCCACATACTGAGATACCCATATCCAACTCACACAATCACACTATGCCTTCCTTCCTCTACTCCCAGCTTTTTGTGACACCTCCCCTTCCATCCAAGTCCTACGCCGACCAGGTCGTCATAATCACCGGATCCAATGTCGGTCTAGGTCGCGAAGCTGCCCGCCATATCGCCCGCCTCGGGGCCCACAAGGTGATCCTAGCTGTGCGCAATGTCTCTGCCGGTGAAACAGCCCGTCAAGACATCGAATCCTCCACCGGCCGCCCAAACGCCGTCGAAGTATGGCAGCTAGATCTATCCGACTACGACTCCGTGGTGTCGTTCGCGGAACGCGCACAGAGCCTCCCGCGCCTAGACGCCGTGATTGAAAACGCGGCCATGGCAACGCCGGACTTTGAATTAGCTGCTGGCCATGAGCGCACGATTACTATTAACGTCATTTCAACTGTCCTGCTGGCTATCCTCCTATTGCCGAAGCTCCGTCAGACGGCCAGGGATTACCCTACTGCTCCCCCGCCGCGTCTGTCTGTCGTTGTTAGCGAGGTCCACGCCTGGTCGAAGTTTCCGGAGTGGCAGAGTCCTCGCGGTATATTCCCTGCGTTGGATGATGAAAAAACTGCGCGAATGAGCGAGCGCTATCCAACATCTAAACTGGTTCTTATCCTTGCGCTGCGTGAATTGGTCTCGCGGATGAGTGGTGACGGGTCTGTGGTTGTTAACATGGTGAATCCAGGCTTTTGCCACTCGGAGCTTGTTAGGAATTCGAGCGGTTTAATGAGGCTGCAGGTCAATCTTCTCAAGATGATTCTGGCGCGTACTACGGAAGTTGGCAGTCGGACGCTTGTTGCTGGGGGCTATGCGGGAAAGGAGTCTCATGGGATGTATATGACGGATGGGGTGGTCGAGAATGATAATCTCTCTGCGTTTGTGCGCAGTTCAGATGGGATGACCGCACAGAAGAGAGTTTGGAATGAGCTCGCTGATATCGTACAGGAGATCAAGCCGGGTGTCATGGAATATTTGTAACTCTATTGTAATATTGTAAATAATCGAGCTTTGGAAGTACTCAATATATCATTGCAAGTGTTTATCACTTGCCCAGATGGTTTGCTAGCACTCTATTGGATTTATGCTTGTAGCATTGCAAGGTTGGTTTCCTAACAGAATTAAATCCCGTCACTGTCAGTATCTGATCCGTGTTGGCTTTTCATAATTAACGAAAAGAGAAGAAAAAAAAAAGACAAGCCTTTAAGAAGACAGATAGTATATACGCTATAGAAGGCACTGGTTCATCGATGAAAAACACTACACGGTGACTTATTACTAGGTACAGTCCTTGTAGAGGATTGTGCTCCAGGTTATTCTGGGTGTTTAGGGCTCGGCCAAAGTTCAATCTGCGTCCAACCCCGGGCAACCCGCTCCACTGGAAATAGCTGATGAGAACTCGAGTTCGGCCACGAACAGCAGACGACCACCCGAGCTTGTTGCACACATGGTTGTTGAGACGACTGATCAGGGAAAGACAGTCCAACAGTGCCGTGTTATTACTCCCCGGCGCCGGACTCACAACCTCGACTTAACCAACTGTGATATTTCTATTTGTCTCAGAAATGTTGTAATATTTTTCCAAGGGTTACACCTTTACTCTCTGAATACATGTAGTAGTGTCTTCTATTAACGACATTCATTAAACAATCTAACCATACCATAACGCCACACGGAGAAGATGCGCTTATTGGTAAAACAGGCTGCTGCGAGCCTTGCGTTCCTCGCGGTTCCTATCGAGTTGATCAAGCATCTTTTGGGCCTCCGCCATTGTCTCGTCCCATTTTATATTCTGTGTTTCCGTCCGCTCGTTCAAGCTGGGAAGTTTGATCTTCTCCAGGGCACGCTCCAATGTCAAATCCTGCCGGAATGTCCGCTCCGGGGGGAACAACTTGAAAAAGTACTTGACGACACTGCCGAACTGGATCACTTCGCATACACGTTGCCCAAACTCGCGGAATTCGTGGGCATCCTTCTCGCCATCCTTGAAGTACAGATATGGCTGCCCTTCCCACGATGCCAACTTTGTCATGTTCGTGAACTTGTCGGCGCCAATCCAAGGCAATATCAGTCTCTTGGGAAAGTCGCCTGGTCCCTTAACGGGCAAGTCGATCTCTGGGCTTCCGTCCACAAACCTGGACAGGACCTCATTCCGAATAGGCTGGCACGCCTCGTCGGTGAAGCCCTCCTTTCCAAAGATAATAAGAACTTGCCACTCCCTTTTGTCGGTGTGATAGCCGCAATTGATAACATATAACGTCATGCCACACTGGTCGAGATACCGTGCTATGTCGGAGAAATGTTTTATTGACATTTTCTGTGTTGCCCTGAATCTTATCTGCCTCTCATATTTGGGATATCTGACAACCTGCACTTCCTCGGCCGCTTTTTCGGTCGGGGTCTTCCTGCTCTCGAGATCGACGGAGCCGGCGATGATGTGGAATGGAATGTCTCGTTGGGTCATTTTGGAAAAAGCAATGTGGACTTATCAGATAAATTGCTGTTTCGGTTCGTGGTTGCTCTTTCCAGATGGGCAGGACTGGAGTCACTTATATAACCATACAAACAAGGGCATTAACGCAAGAAAGGATTAATTGGATATGGAAAATAAACCTTCCGTTGAATATGCTTTCAGTCATGTCAACCATTGTCCATTGTGTACTCCTACATGCTTTGTCCTTTGCAGCCACCCATGCCCTGAAAGGCGTCAGACCCGCTGACACTTGGACAATGCAAATGCTATAAACTATGATACCCAGGCCAGTAACAAAGCATGTACTACCTTGGCTGCAAATAATCACCCTTCGGCTGCTGGAAAATCTGCTCTTGACTTTCGTTCCCCGTTTCCTGTAAGATAGTGGTCCCCATTCCCAAACTCGGCTTTTTCCTCCCCTTCTTACTGTTTTTGTCCTGGGTACTCTGCAGCTCATATGGGTTACTCCTGGAAGATTCTTTATACTTGGAATCTTTGGATGATCCGAACTTGCGAAATAATGGTAATGGCTTCAGTGACGAGAGCGAACCAGCCACCAGGCCGAGATTGAACTCAATGGCCATCCAGTATAGTGAGGATGTCGCGTCGACTGTGAGTATTGTTAGCACTGAAGACGCGGTCAGATATTTATGGAATGGATTGAATGTACAGGTAAGATCATTGGAGCCCACGCGCAGATAGTCCAACGTGCTGAAGCGGACAATGGGCGCGATGCAGGCGATGATGCCAGATCCAAAAATCGCCAGCAATGCGACAATTTTCCTTGTTGGCATTTTCAATTGTATCAAGACCGGGACCGGGGCGAGGAGCATGATCAGATCGCCGACGAAGATCAGCACTGCCTGGTACAGTGTGATCTGGTACAGGGTATAGCGGGTGTAGCAGTTTGGGTTCTTGATGCTCATATCGAACGCGGCCCTAGGTCAAACCGTTAGACATTATAGAGACAGCGGATGGTCGGATTACCTGGCTGGCGAGCATTGGAACGCGAGGACGAAAGATCCAGATACTGAAAAAGCCACCTGGAAGACCATGAGGCCGGCAGTGAGTCGCTGCATCCAGCCTGGTCGGGTCACATCAGTAGTTGAGCAACACAATGCGCGGTGGGGAGGAATGGGCCTACAATTAACGAAGATCCGGCGAAGGAATGTCAGGATACTCAGCTTTACGGCCATCGATGCGTAGAGATACAGGCACATTGCCGCGTAATAGAGCTGTGCCAGCTCCAGTCAGCCATTAAAGTCGCTGTTTGGAATACGGACGACCTACCTTGAGCCAAAATGCCCGGTCCTCCGGGGACACATTCTGCATATGTTGGCCTTGTCCGTGGTAGACAACTGCAATTCCGAGCCCGTTGAAGGCCTGGGTAACGGCCTAGAATTGAACATCAATTACCGCCGTGTCAGTCAATAGAAGGTAGAGTCAAGCAACCTACCAAAGCAACGCAGACGGCGATGTCATCAGCTCCGAAGCTCTTGATCACAACCGAGCGCGTGTAGAGCTGCAGGGATTCTCAGCATTTTTCTGCAGCTTGTACAGGGGCGAAGGCTTACCCTCAAGCCACATACGACCAGCGACAGGACTGCAGTTCCAATGATCAGGCCGTAGGCCAACGACTGCTGATACTGCTCGTCTGGGGCCAGCCCACGGGCTTGTACTGCGGATATCATGATGGTTCATGTGTACCAGCTATGGCAAACGACGGGATTTTCTTCGGAAACAGGACTGAAGGGAGACCGTCTCCCACTTGACAGTTGACACAAATCCCGGCACTGAACGAGTGCAGGATTCCCCGTGGGATATTGGGCCGCGGTTTACCCCGGCAGCATGCAGCTAACGTCTGACAGGTACCCACAAGAACAGTCCAGCCCAGTCCGGGACCTGCTAGCGAAGGTCTGACCGCAGCTCCTGCCGCTAAACAGTAACGGTGCCCGAATCCCGGGGCCCTATTCGAGACCCTATTCGGTGGGTGAAACACCGGACTCTTTCGGGCACAACGGCGCCTTCCCGTCCGGCTCTGTCCCGGCTTCCTGTCCCTCGGCCCCTGACGGCTCACTCGAAGCTTGGAATATAAATACTGAGCTAAGCACTGATGCGCCGTCGCGTGTTTCGCCCAGCCGCGTCCTGCCACTCTCCTGATGGCGGAATTAAATCCGGATGAAGGCCGTTTCAAGGTCCTGATCGCCGGTGGGAGTCTTGTTGGCCTTGGGTTAGCCCTTGCCCTGGAGCGCGCTGGGATCGATTATGAGCTTTTCGAAAAGGGTCAGTTTTCGCCTCAGCTAGGCGCTTCAATTGGATTGCATCCTCACTCTTTGCGCATTCTGGACCAGCTGGGTGTGTGGGGGGATATAGAGCGAGAGATTGTCCCGCTGGAGGACCGCAATCATTATAGCGAAACTGGTTATTGCTTTGAGGAGTCGCATGTTCTTGGCGTGATCAACAAAGTGTAAGTCGGCTATAAAATAATCAAACGCTGGTTGAGCTTCTCTGCTAACCAAAGCGTATTGTAGACTCCGCCGACCGATTATCTTCATGGAAAGATGCAGAGCCTTGGAGATTCTACACCACCATGTGCGCGATAAATCGAAACTTCACCCATTTAATGGTGTTGTCGCCTACGAGGATACCGACGATGGGGTTACAGTCACCACGCAGGATGGCCAAACGCATCGAGGGCATATCCTGGTCGGAGCAGATGGGATACACAGCAGAGTGAGGCAGCTGATGGCAGAAAAGATCCGTGACACTGACCCAGCGTCAAGCACACATTTAGTTGAGGGTGAGCTTTTGGGATTGATTAGAGTACGCCTGCTATCTTATACTGACGACGGACTAGGCTTTACGAGCGAGTACAACTGCATTTTCGGGGTGTCAAGAAACGACCCTGCCAGTCCTTTTCTTCGCGACAGAATGGTCAACAATGTGTACTATCCGCAGTATTCAGCTGTTGCAGCTGCCGGAGTGCCTGGACTTGTCTTCTGGTTTCTCTTCGTCAAGGCTGCCACCAAAACCAGAACGCCGAACTGTCCACGATTCGACAACGATGACGCAGAAGCCCTCATTCGCGAGTACGGAGGTTCGCAGGTTGGTCCAGGCTACACGATACGAGACCTCTGGGATGCCCAGGTCAAGGCCACAATGGCTCCACTGGAGGAAGGCGTCCTGAAGAAATGGAGTCATGGACGAGTGGTATTGATGGGGGATGCAGTGCATAAGGTTAAACCATCTATTCGATATATCGAGGCTATAGCTAATATTTCTTTCCTTGCTTTTTAGGTCACCATCAATCCAGGTTTAGGGGGTAACTTGGCATACGAAGGGATTGCGCGTCTCGCAAATGGCCTTGTTCCTCTGCTCAAGGAACACCCCATACCATCGACAGAGCAGCTGGTAGAAGTATTTGATACGTATTTTGCAGGCCAAAGTCCACGAGCCCATACCGTCTGCAACCTGTCTGGACAGATAACCCGCTACGAGGCACAGGATTCCTGGCTGTACAAATTCGCAGCCCAGCATATTATTCCTCTCGTCAGTGATACCACAAAGGCCAATGCATACGCAGGTTACTCGAATGGAGGACCGTGGCTTGAGTACCTCCCGTTGCCTGACATAGATAAGGAACTCGCACACCAACGGGCAAATAAATCAAAGAGTTCCACCGGCGTTGGTCTAATTCCTACGATGGGAGCCGTAATCGCTGGAGCGGGCATCGCGGCTATGGTGTATCGGGATTATGGGAGGATCTCATTAAATATTCTGGGCTGATAGGATAGATGGCGTATTGGGGTACTTTAATGGCATAAGACAGGTCTTGATACCCCATTTATAGCTTCCCTCATAGTTTAACTGAGCCACCTATAAAGCTCTCTCACCGCAGACTCCCGCTGCAGGTATCTTGGCACATTCGGGTCTTGGACAGCCTCACTGCCCTGACTGATATTCCTCGAACTCCGGATTCGATCCTGATTCTGATCTCCGAGCAATATCTTTTCTGTTATCTCGTCTAAATATGCTCCTGAGTCTGCATCTTTACGGCTAGTCTGCTCTAAATCATATTTTACAACCCCAAGATTCGAAAGCACTATTGATTGAATCCCTCCACTTCTCATCGGCTTCCTTTTCACCATACCATTCCCTCAATAACATATCATAAATGTATAATATAGTGAAACACAACTTGAGATAGCGTTGGAGGCGCAGTCTGGTTTCCTTATCCGCATCTTTCAATGGATCCTTTACGCCATCTAACGCAGTCGTGTCCCACTCTCCACTCCCAGCACAGCCCCCGGCAGTCAGTTGGTAGCGCCAGTTATCCGTAATACCCAATCCATTCCAGAATGCACGATGGGGAATATTTTGCGCCGGGTAATCATAGTCAGGGAGAGCCTTGGTGGTGAAGTATCGAAAAGATTCTGTTTCCAGCAGTGATACCTCCTCGAAAGACCCGTTAGATTCCCCTCGTTTGCGAGAAAGGACTCCATCCATAAGATTAATCAAGAGGTACGCCTCCAAGGCAAAATCCGCAACTAGCTCTACCCCAAACCCATGGCCCCAGCTGAGATTCGCCAACGTATGTATCGGAACTTGAGGGTGACGAGATAGGAAGAGTAGAACAGAAACGGCTTCTCTTGCAACTTCTCTCGTGGTGGTATCTTCATTGTACGCACTTGCGACAGTTATAATCAACATTTTAACCGCGTCGGAAAGGTCTCCATCCCCACTGCTATAGCCTGAGTGTTGGTCACCAGCGCGATCAGCCCAGTATTGGAGATCCTTGTGACTTGAGGAGAGAGGGTTATGGAGTGCAGAATTTGTTTCGTGGGGGCCGAGGCCATAGTATTGTTCAGGATAAGAGCGTAGGGCTTCAGAGATAAGGTTATCTGGCGATATAGAAGACAGAGCCTTGGTCTCCTCGGTTTTCGAGAATTCCCGGATAGTTGCAGTCAACACGCGGCAGAAATGATTCAAGTCACCCGACTCTGATACTTTGTTGCATGCAAAGAGATCTGTGCGTTGGGGGGTGAATTGGCGGTTGCATTTTATTATAATAAGATGGGCGGACGCCAGATTCCACGGAATTTTGTGGTCGAGATGCATACTTGGTGTCGACAGCTGATGGACGTCTATGAGGCACAGAACTAACCGGGCTCTTTCATACGAAGCAGTGAAAAGCATGAAGGACTTGTATTTAGGGTGCCTGAGGTCAAGTGTCAGGAAGTGTTCAACGCGCTAAAAGACTTGCTCCCGAAGCTAGCCTAGAAAAGGAATAACAACCACTCGGCGATGTCAATTAAGTAAAGGAGCATCAGTTCAACCAATTAAAAACACCCAAGGATCTAAAGGAATTAGATATCAAGAGCATCTCTCCTCTAAATACAACTGAGATGGAGCTGACTACTCTTTACAGGCAGGTAGGTGGTTCTTCTGGAATAAATACTCAATAGTACAGAATATGCTATCGATCCATCGACTACCTATTAATCCAAGCTATGCCGCCAATTGGCCCAGGTAAATCATGCCTCAAATCCCCGGAACAAGTGGGGCAACTTGATCGTATTAACTGGTGATTGGCAGAGCGCAGCTGGTGGGATCCCGAGCACATCCGGTGGGATATCTCGATGCCCTTGAGAACACACTGCTTTAGATATCACCACAAGGCAATCATGTCAGAAACACACTCCAAACGCTTTAAATGCCAATTCCCTGGCTGTGATTTGAGCTACCAGCGGAAAGAGCATCTCCATCGCCATGAAGCCCAGCATCGAGGCCCTGCCCACCCGTGCCCGTTCTGTCGGCGCACATTTGCTCGAAAGTATGGTCCCTTACCTGTCTGGATATTGTCTGACTACCATCTAAATATTATCCTTTTGTAGTGACACTCTGCGACGTCATGTAGGTCGTGACCACGCCAACTCCCAGCTCGCCTCTACTCGGACAGCACAGGCTTGCGAGAGTTGTCGCGTTGCTAAGATTCGATGTCAGGGAGGGCATCCCTGTACACAGTGCGAGGCAAAAAGGCGTCAGTGCATCTTCAGTAACCCTGCACCGACACAGCAAGCTGCTGGCCAGCATATCGAATATGGCGACAATATAGCCCTGGAACCTCTCCTTCCAGATGCGAATGCTGGAGACAAGGTCCAGCACTGTGTACATCTCTACTTTGCCCATTTTCACCGCCACTGGCCTATTCTACATCAAGGGACATTTGATGTTGCGCATGAGCCTCCGTTTCTAGTCCAGGCTGTCATGATGGTCGGACTCTGGGCCAGTGGTAGTGCTTCGGCGAAACGAGCAGCCCTCGAGCTTCACTCTAGATTAGGACCTTCTATACAGGAGCAGCGAGTACGTACGGTTCTGTCCATCGGAGACTGATTCTAACAGACCGACTAGACCAACTGGGACAAGACATTTGAAGAAGAGCAAAGCGAGAATGATACCCCTGCTTCTCGCTGGCCCATTGCAACATACCAGGGTATTCTTCTGTATCTTATATTTTCTCTAATCTCGTCAGAGGCGAGGCGTAATGCGCTCGACTTGACACTATCCATGGTACCGTCCGATCGCGATATCCTCTCCGCGCTCTGTGAAACATGTCTCCGGAATAATATCTTCTACTACCCTCGCATGCTCGAACGATATCGAGACCTCGACTCGATCACCTGTATCTGGGTGGGCGTGGAAGAAATAAAACGGCTGGGACTAGCATTGTACAAGGTCTCTCGGCTATGCGGTGATCGCCTAATAGGACTACCTGATCTTCGGTTCCCTATTCCCGACAGCAGACATCTGTGGAATGCACAGTCTAACCCGGAGCTCTCGCGACTTCTTCAGATTGAAGCCGATCGGGCAAAGAGGCTGGATGGGAGTCAAGAGGGTAATTGGATATCGACTTATGGGGAGTGGTTGGCCAGTAGTATGGAGGTCCAGTGGATATAAACCTGTTACTTAGATATTATTTTCTTCTGTCACTCGTATGAAAATAGTAAGTAACATTTAACTTCCATTGCCCTCATCCGAGACTTTTTACACAATTAGCCCGACAAGGATGTGGCAGCGGTATTATACATCATCGCGGCTGACCATAAATACATGTCTCCTCCAGCCTTTAGAGCGTACACCTGGTTTGCAATTAATACAAAGGATTATTGAGAATACACCCAGCGAATTGCACCATTAGCATAAAGATTGTGGTAGTCTAATACCGGCATCCCTCTCAACGCTTCTCTAATGTTCATTCGGAATCCCACCGGAATCCCACCATCTCCACCAATTCCCCCCGAGATCGCCTGGTTGATTATTGATCCTGCACATCCTGATTGGATAGCGCCCGACGATTCTCGTTTTCGGCGACTTGGCGTATTCCCACGCCACTGCCTATATATACCCCCCCCCCCCCCGCGCTTAACCACGTAACTAACGAAAGGCACTCCAGAAACTCGAGAAAGTACTCTCACAAGACTACCAGACCAATTCATTTGTATACTTTATAAAATGGCCGACGTAAAATCCTTCCGCCAACTCATCGGCGTCTCCCCATCCACTGCCTCCGTCTCAGATTCTACCCTGATCATCATCGACGCCCAAAACGAGTATGCCTCGGGCCAGCTCAAGGTCGAGAATGTCGCTGAGACCCGCAAGGTCATCGCCGACCTGCTGAAGCGGTACCGCGCGGCCGGCAAGCAGAAGAACATCGTCCATGTCGTCCATGAAGTACCCCAGGGGGCTCCAGTCTTCACGCCGGGAACGGAACTGGCAAAGGAGTTTGAGGAATTAACTCCTGAGGGTGGAGAAAAGCTTGTTGTCAAGAACTTTCCTTCTTCGTTTGCGCAGACCGATTTGGATGAGTATTTGAAGACTCTAGGGGATAGTGGGAAGAAGATTGTTCTTGTCGGATATATGGCACATGTTTGCGTCTCTACGACTGCGAGAGCTGGTGCTGAGCGTGGCTATGATGTGCTTGTTGCGCAGGATGGGGTTGGCGATAGACATATTCCTGGTGTTGCAGCGGATACTCTGGTCTCGGTGGCGTTGAAGGAAGTTGCGGATGCGTTTGGAACAGTTATTTCTGCTGGTGAAGTCAACTAGACGTATACCTTTGTAGCCATGAGACGTGCTGTAACTGAAATGGACATTTTCGAATTTTACCATAAATCGCGCCTTTTTTCTGAGTTCGCAAAATTAAACAAGGACATGAGGATTCCCGACCTGGGCCAGATTCACCGTTTTCTAGAGATATTATCCTCAGGTAGTCGACAAAAACCGGTAGCTCTATCATCGTGGCGCCGCTGGAACGAGTGGGAGAAACGGGCTGCGAGATGGGATGTTGGGAGACAACATAGACCCTTCATGCTCATCTTGCACGCATTTCTGGTGAACTGACGCTGTCTGAGCTGTGAGTGGTGTTTTGGGTGGTTCCCAATAGATCGCATCGCCGAAGCAAGGCATCGAAGACGGTGGGCAATCTGCGAATGCGAGGGAAGGGCTTGAGTGCTGAGCAGAACATCGGTAGACGAGTTAATCGCTTGGCCTGTTTATTCCAGAGCAGACTCTAGATACCTCGTTTCATGCCTGGTATGCCTCTTGCGCCACCAGAACCTGTTGTTGAATTCGCTTGATTAATATAAGCATAAAGTTTCTCTTTCTCCGAAGATAATCAAGCATCACTGGTAATAGAACCTACCTCTTTCTTAGCTACGTTCTTTTACTCCGTGTGTTTCTTGGTTTCCTTTGGTCGAATGCTCCTGGTAGCCACTTTAGGGTCTGCTTTTCGCCCATGTTTGATAAGGATGGAGGATATCTCACAAACGTATACATGTTGTGCGACATTATTACGATAGCAGAAGTACCTCATACTCCGAAGACTATCTCGGTACTCGGGACGATCGTTCATCGGCAGATCACTCATCCTCTGTCCCAATTCGGCAGGTATATAGCATCAGAAACAACAATGGCCTCGGCTGCGTAGTTCTACCACATTCAAATGGAATCCAGTAGGTTCACATGGCCGCATAGCCAGGTAAATGCATGATCGTTGATCCTATAAAAGGATCGATTACCTTTAGTTGAAATTCAGCCATCCATCACCAAGATCGGTATTCTCCCATCACATCCACGACCATGGCCGCGAACACTTTCCAACCCATAATAACCGGCTCAGCCGACATAAAGGCCGCCCAGAAAAGGCGCAATATCTACATCCGCCCCTTCCTCCTCTTCTGGCTGGCCTCGTTCTTCGCCGAAACCATCTTCCTCGCCGTCGGAATCTTCATCATGACCGGCACGCACGACCTGTTCTACAAAGTCATGTGGACGCTCGTCTTTTGCCCGCTAGGGATGGGCGGGGCAATGGGCGGCCTGATCAATACTTTCATCGTCGACCACCACTACGGCAAGAAGGCGGCGCATTTCACGGGCGTTCTCTCCCTGCTGGTCCTCAGCACGTGCAATTACCTCTGCTATACTCTGGATACGCATTTCGGCTGGTTTGGCGCGAAGGACCATCCGATGTGGTTTCATTGGCGGTACCCGATGATCTGGGCGGTTGGATATGCGAATGGGCTGCTACTGTTTACCGATGGGGGGCAGGAGAGGCTTGCTAGGATGGGACTGTAGGTGGATGTCTGTTCTGGGGTGATGTTGGATACCAGTACCATGCGCGAGACACTCTAAGCGACGCTTGGAACCCAGTATGATATAATCGACCAATATAAAGCGTGGACAACTGCTGCTCAGTCAGGAGTAGGCGTATCAACTGCCCAAACCTCGGCGACAGCGTGAATACTAATCAACTGGGTGCAACAATAACAATCCTTCTTAAATTGAATACAATGAATATATAGACGTTGCATAACTATTTTTTATAAATATATCGCAAACCGAATTTGATCCTATTTACAAATATGTTAATTACAATATTGGTATACTAAATGACCTGGTCTATGGCCGTAGGTTTAAATGCTCTGTGACGTAACAAGTACTGGGGGGGGGGGGGGGGGAAACCAGTATCCATTTTGAACAAAATCTCCTTTGCCCTCAATGCTGTTCCCCCAAACTATTAGTATCTAGACTACACCGTAGACCTGGGCCAGCGCTGGCCCACAATCTCGGCTCATGGGCCGTCGCGGGGTCTACCAACCGGTCGGATCCAATGTATGATTAGTGATACGGGCCGAGCCTGCATTTGGATGTTCGGCAGGCCCCTGCCATGTGATGAATGTCCTGAGACAGAGTGAACGGGCTGATCACCTCATCTGTCCGACTCGCAGCAGTGTGGATGGCTTCGGCCACCGGGAACGTGCCGACTCGGGGTCAAAATCAAAACATTCGGCAGCCCGGTGGCCCTGAAAGGAACCCGGAAAGGTCGGTTTGATGCATTATGGTGGGTATTACGAAGTGAACTAGCTGAATATTTGATGCAGCTGTGAGATCCATCACGCCTGTTAAAAGGCCGCTCGTTCCCAGATGGAAGCGGTGGTTCTACGAAATTTCAACTGCCAACTACCCAATATCGGTTGAGAGCACCGGGCGGAAATGGGCTCGGCTCCGGATTCACAGCTCTCGCAGCACGATGCAGAGATCAAAATGGAATGGGACGATGCTCGAGAGAGACGAAACCCGCAAAACTGGCCGATCTGGAAGAAGCTATTCCATACCGCCGTGCCATGTATTCTGGCTTTTGTGATGTGAGTGATTTTTAAGCACAGCGCACACGGAAGAGTTAGGACTAATGCGATGCTCCGCTATCAAAGCACCCTGGGCACGTCTGTCAATGAAGCAGCGTTGGAGCTCATTGCGGAGCGGTTCGGAGTATCTCGAACGATCTCCATGCTCACGCTGACACTATACACTCTTGGTCTGGCTTTCGGGCCGGCGTGTACCGCACCACTGTCGGAAATGCTTGGCCGTCGCTGGATCTATGTGATCAGCTCATCTCTGCTGCTCGCATTCAGTGCAGGGGCCGGGGCTGCGAAGAATCTCGGCACTCTTCTCGTATGCCGCGGACTGGCCGGATTCTTCGGGTCAGCTGGGGTCGCAATTGGGGCAGGAACATTAGCTGATATCTGGTGTTTGGAGAAGGAAGGTGGCCCTGCGTCGGTGCTTTTCATCCTGGGTCCCTTTTTGGGCCCTACGATGGGGCCCCTTGTAGGTGCCTATGTCCTCAAGGGCCATGACAACGACTGGAGGTGGACACAGTGGGTGTTGGTGATTCTCTGTGCACCAGTGTGGGTGGGAACACTCCTGATGAAGGAAACCTCAAAGGATAAGATTTTGGCCGGTCTCAATCAAGCGCAAAAGGGGCAACCGCTGGAGGAAAAGCCGACCCTGGCCCAGATTCTCGCCGATGGACTAGGGACGCCAGTTAAAATGCTGTGCACACAGGTCGTGGTTCTCTCATTGACCCTGTATACTGGATTTGCCTACGCGATGATCTTCAGCTACTTTGCAAGCTCATCCTATGTCCTGGCTTTATACTACGGGTTCGACTGGCAGCAAATTGGATTGAGTTTCATCAGCGTCATTATCGGGTATCTTATTGCTGCCTTTATGTTTGGTGTCTTTGATAAGACACTATACGCAAAGGCACGCGAAGCCAGTGGTGGATTCGCCGCCCCAGAGCACCGTCTCTACTCAGCGATGGCAGGTAGTGTCCTCTTACCTGTTGGATTATTTTGGTAAGGCACAGATGACCGATCCTGTGGTTAATGGCGCCAGTTAACCATTCATGCAGGTATTCATGGGAGGCCCACTATGGAGGTCGATGGGCTGCCCTGGTGTGTGCAGGTATTCCGTTTGGAATCGGGGCATTTTCTCTTTTCGTAAGCTTCCCTTGCTCAGAGTCACAGTACGGAATTATTAACAGCCCCTCACAGCTATCGACGATTGCCTATCTTGTTGATGTCTATCAAGCCAGAGCTGCAGCTTCCGGTAAGCAATTCCACCTCTTCTGGCTCGGGACATTATTTCTGTTAATTGACCACCCTTTAGCACTGGCTGCAAATGGAGTTATTCGATATATTCTAGGGGCAACGTTCCCTCTGTTTACCGTTCAAATGTACCAAAACCTGGGGGTTCACTGGGCTGGCAGTGTGTTTTCTTTTCTGTCGCTCTTTCTCTTGCCGATCCCTTGGCTGCTGTTCAAATATGGGTCCTTCTTGCGACAGAAGGGGCATTAGTGGAAGGCAATAGTATGAATTTTGGACTATTCTGTTGGTAGCAATCAATACCCATCGCCTGGCCACGGGATCCGGGGGTGGTATGCCCGAAAACGCAGGTCATTCAGTCGAGTCGCCTGCAAAGCCACTGCATTGGACGCGAGCTAAACGCCCTCCAGCCCTTTGGTATATCTTGAGTTAGAGGACCGGTATTTCGGCCCAGAACGTACTTTAATACATGCACATATATAAATAATTAATCTAGTATAGACTAGTATACTTCTTACAATATGCTATGCGCTACTTGGTAATGTAAACCTCTTACTTTTGTTGCTCCTACCACCCAAGACGTCCGTTTTTAGGCTTACCCCAAGGCCTTGAGATAAGAATAAGAACAATCTAAATGTAAAAACTTGCTTTGTCTTCGGGTCCATGCAGCGGGTCCTTGGGTGGGCCGCTGCAATATTGATCGATGGAAGAGTCCAGTTCAGATTACTCTTGATTATGGTACGGCTAGACTCCAGCCTCGGCTTCCAGCTGAATACTAATCAAGCCTTGGCCAAAGAACCAACGGCACTATACTGAGATATAATGACAGGTTTTCCTTGCCACCATAATCAGATTTCTCCCAAGCCTGTCAAAATGCCGCACAAACTCTCATTCTGGGAGACGGTGGATGCTTTCCTGGGCTGGATCTCCGTTGGTAAGAATTCTAGTAGGTAGAAGTGTGTATTTCTTCCTGATATCCAGCAGGCGCAGGAATTATTTATGCTGCCATCGCCGGTCCGTTTCGCGGCCGCTCTGGAGCAGATACCTACCACCATCACATCATCCAAGCGGCTACTAAGAAGGTACTGTATCGCCAGTGCGGGGGCAAGTACAAATGGCTGATCTGGACCAGCTCACTACAAGATTCAGTCCACTACAGCTACAGTACGAGCCCCGAATGCTCACCATTGCCGGAGGTAACCAAGATATAGATATCTGTTCAAATCATACGACCAAATCTATCTGGACTATTGCCAGAAAAATGGAATCCAGCCCCATTTTGTATCCACCGACCGCGGGGTAAAGGGGTTCTGGATTGGAAATCCGTCAGCCAAGTATATTATCATTAATTTCCATGGTAATTGGTTTCGAATCTTTTCCTCACAGACTGAGCTAAGTGAAATGAACAGGTGGAGGGTTCGCCATGGATGCGACGGAGCCGTATCTCTATTTCTGGCCAAATATCCAGAAAGCTCTTGCAGATTCTGGTATAGAAACAGCGTGGTTCTATAGCACATATACGCTCACCCCGAACAAGGCGTACCCTTTTCAATTTGTCGAAGCAGTTGAGACTCTGCGATACGTATTGGAGGATCTTGGACGGTCACCTAAAGAGGTCATTATAGCGGGCGACTCGGCCGGCGCAAGCTTATGCTTAGCGATTCTGTCACACTTGAAGCATCGCTCAGTGGACGTGCCAGAACTCACAGTTGAGGAGCCGCTCAAAGGAGCTATTCTGCTATCTCCCTGGGTATCCTACAGCCATGAGTGGCCAAGCATGAAACTAAACAAACACAAAGATATTGATTCAGCGGTGGTCACTGAGCGCTGGTCTAAGTTATATCTGGACGGCCAACCGTCTGACTACTACATAGAGGCAGTCAATGCACCAGAAGAGTGGTGGAATGGTATCCAAGTGGAACAAACTTTGGTACTTGCTGGTGCGGACGAGGTTCTGCTGGATCCAATCAGGACTTGGGTTTCGAAGTTCAAAGTATGTACATGGAGTGAAAGAGCAATCTGCAAACCAAATGACTGACGATTCAATTGTACAGAAGTCAAACCAGGACACTACCCTCATCCTTGGTGAAAACGAATGCCATGTTGCACCTCTTATCTGGCCCATGTTTGGTGACAACCATGAGACTGAACAGGGGCGTGCTTTAAAGCATTGGTTACTTGAGCGCCTGGGCTAGCCATATCGCGATGGAGTACACTGTGATGGCAAGAGAAAGCCCCTGAAGTGGAGAATATTTAGCTTTCTGTCATTTTGTATCCGTTGTAGACTTTGGGAAGACCCAGTTTTTAGCCTTAATTCTTAGCATTTCCTGACAGGAACCAGGCAGATTCAGTCCTAGACTGCTAGGTTCTATTTCTAATGCGTCAGATAGAGCTGGGCTGCAGATCCTTCCGCTGTAGTTCCAATTCTTGATCAAAGACATGCGTACTTAAAACATGGATAGCTCTGATTCATGTTCTCTATCCACAGTTAGCGTGCAAATCATCCACCAGAGGCCCTCAAATATGTATTATACCACTAATAATCGCACCGCCTATGGATAGGCCCAGTGCCAGAAGCCCAGTTGCAAGTTAAGAGAATCGACAAGAATCACAAAATATCCGATGGGCAACAAAGGAATTCGGTATTCAGTGTAAGGGCAAGGGGGATATTAAAATGCTACCTAGCTGTAAACTACCCACTAACAGCAAACCGACTCCTAGCACGCAAGTTCGCACCAAAGAAATACAACAACCAAATCCCAATAATCCCAATCCCACTCAACCCCCCAAGCAGACTAACGCCTCTCGCAATACCTAGATTAGCAAACATGGGCTGCGAAAAGACCACAGACCCACAGGCAAAGGCACTGCGGAAGAAATCATTCGCCGCGAACAGACTGGCTGCATACGGCGGGTAGCTCAGCGGGATATACACAAAAATACACTGCATTATGATGAAGCAGGTGCCCGCGTAGATTGTTATGCCGATCGTGGGCACGATCCAGTGGATATCTGAGCGGGATGTAAATGCGAATATGAAGAGGCCGATTGTTGGGAATATAGACACGGCTAGAGCTGGGACTAGACGGTCTTCGTTGGCGCCGAGGCCGGATTTGAGGATGCGAGGGTTCACGTAGGCGTAGATGTAGATGCAGTAGGCGAGGACGGCGAGTAGGCAGGAGACTAGGATGCATAGGAAGATGAGGCCGACTTGTCCCAGGTTCATATGATAGTAGACTGGGTAGACCAGAGGGAATGCCTCGAAGACTGGAAGGGGTCAGTGGCTGGAGCCTGAGTAGAAGATGTTCTACTTACACATATAGTAGATCCCGTAGATAATAGCAGTGTATACCTGCACGAAGAGCACTGCCGGGTCCTTGATCGTAATCTCCATTGGCTTGATAAGAGCGTCGATCATCATGCTTGACGGTTTCAGGTGCTTCTGGTCGATTTCGCTCTGCGAGACAAGACGTTGGTCCCCCGTGAGCTTCCGAAGACGCCGGGCACGGCGTAGCAGTATGTTGGGACTACTGGTTTCAGGGAGGAAGATGAACATGACCAGGAAGACAGGAGCAGATGCCCAGAGAGATTCGAAGAGGGACCACCGCCATGAAATGGCTGGGACGGAGAAGCCGCTGAGAAGTGGTCCAAGTGCCGCTATACACAGTAAGCAGGGAATCAATATTAGAGAAAGAAAGACTTACGTCCGCAGTATGCTGCGGCGACCCAGGCTGTCAATGCATAAGGCATTGCAGTGAAGCTGTAAATATCCTGAAGCGAAGCACCGCCAGATGCCAGGCACGGTGAGCCGAAGAAGCCCTGTAGGAAGCGCAGGACCATGAGGCCAGGGAAATTGGGCGCAAACGCCGTAGGGATCGAGATGATGACGAATAGAAACATTGTCACGGCATAAACAGGGCTCCTCCCAATGAGTGGGATCTCGCTCAATGGAGAAAATACAAGAGGACCAACACCGTACCCAAGAACATACAGAGCCAAACCCAGAGTGGCCACAATCCTGCTAACACCAAAGGCCTCCATAACGCCCTGCTCGGAAGCAGTGTAGATGGCGGAGGTGGTGTAAACCACAAAGGTATAAAAGCAGATTATAGTTGCAATGGCAGCCCGCTTGCTTCTCGACCAATTCTGAGGGTTTTGGTCGTCATTGGAAGAGTACCAGTCGACAAGGATGACACCTTCCTTCGTCACTGTTGGTACGATTGGGGTGGAATCGGTATTGCCGTCAGGGCTAGGTGTATTGGCAGATTGACCACGGTGTAGTTGGCCGTCTTCCACATCGCTGGGGCCGTTACTACCTTGTAGGGTAGGAGTGGCAGAGTCAGCGGGGCTAGGGGAGGATAGGTTCGAGCTGTCAATAAGATGTGCCCATTGCGGCGGAAGCTTAAAGTCTGCCTTTTCTTCTGGGTACTGGAGCAGGCGGTTCCTAGAAATGAAACGCAGTACTTGCCCGATGGGGGCATCACGGATGATGTCTGCCATGTTGCTGGTGTTGCTATTTTCCAGGCGTCTGGACTCGTCATGGTTCATATACTGGAATATATATATCATGGAACATTCTTATTGCTTGATAATACGTCTTACCAGGTCTAGGCCATATGCTTATCTCCGGTGACATACCGTGCAAACATCACGGCCAGCTTTGCTTGGTAATATCTTCATACAAATCATTTAATGACGTGCCGAGAAAAGCCGGAATACTATCAGCCACTAAACCTTATTAGCCCGCTGATTTACTATTTGTGCGGTGGTGACATTCCATGTGCCACTGGTGACAGATCGGCGCATCCATGGATCTGAGAGCGCGGCAAAAGAAACGCCGGATTTCAAATGACGCCACGAGCATAATAATATTGTTTATTAATCCGAATTTAGGAGATATCCGCTAAAACTCCGAATAGTATCCTATTCTCTACCGCACATCCATCACCGACAACTGCACATTCCCGATACCCGACATAAAGCCTAAAGTCCAAATAGGCAGGTTCGTGTCCCTTGCGGTTGTATTGATAGGCGAGGGAATAGGCTACTGAGCACGGCGTCAATCCCTCCGGGGATGCAGTTTGGAGCTGCGTGACCAGTGATATGGGATCGGGGCTGAGCGCCATGCTATGTACGCTATGTGGCAGTTGCTGGGGATTAAGCATCATCTGTGGTGGTACAGGTGTAGAAACTGAGAATGTTGAATGTACCAAAGGGATTTCCCCCGACGCCGCAACAGGTTGCGGCCATTCTATTGACTGCTGCTGTTGGCCAGGGACCTACATGACTCACTATCAGCCAATCCTTGCCGCAAATCGATGATATCGGAGATTTACAGTCAATGTGCTTGTGGAAGGTTCTCCCTGTAGAGTGCCGATAGTATCTTCGCCACCAATGTGGTCAAGCGGTGATAGCCCTCCTGTTCCTAAGTAAGAGTCTTGGAACTCCTTGCCAATCCCAAGAGCCTCGAGCAACAGGCTAAGACGAGCATTCTCTTTCTGAAGCTTGTCTACCGTGTCTCTATCTTCATCGGGCCCACGTACAGTCTCTCGCTGTGACTGTTCGCAATCCTGGATTCTGGCTTCCAGCGTCGCGATATAATCGCGCCTCCTGGCACGACTGCGACGCTGGTTGTTGCGAGTCCGCTCCAGCTGGTAGCTCTGTCCGGAGATTAGTTACGCCCGGGCATTCAGGACGAGGAATGCCTGCCTTGGATTTCTTGTCTGGCTCAGTCGATGACATGTCGGAATGACACCGGACTTAGTTGATGATCAGATTGCGCCTTGTATAAGGATGACCATGGATCTAGAGAGAAGACACGGGGAGGGCCCTGCCTCGTGTTCGTGGTAATTTGTCATCAGATAATGACTGCATATGTCCCGAGTGGAGCCAATAAAAGGTTAAAAAGTAAATCTTGGAAACGCTCCCGAGTGGCTCTGGTGGAGGCCAAGAGCGCCACCGGTATGTCACCGATAGCCCGGTATGTCACCGATAGCCCGGTATGTCACTGATATATTTACTGCTGGTTTACTCAGGCTATAGCAAACACGCGAGGTCTACTGTATTATCAAGCGACATGTCTGCGTATATAAGAAGTGCCGGCGTGTCCTTTGTAGTTAATCATGAACAAAGTGTTCTGTCATAGCTGCCATACCAGAAATCATGCTTACCGAATCGCAAGTTCAACAATTCAAAGACAAGCTCACCGAGAGCATCTTTGTTACTCCACAAGACGCAGAATACGCAAATGTTATCAAAAGATGGAATGACGTCGGCGAAAGGCGTGCTGTAAGTGACCTGCAACCCCAAGCATAATCTACCCAACCCAACCTTCCACTTACCTTTATCCTATCAGGGTGGCATTGTACTAGCAGGTTCCGAAAGAGATGTATGTATGGCAATAACTCTCGCTGTCGATTTCAGCCTTGATCTCGCTATTCGTGGCGGCGGCCACTCACACTTTGCGGCGTCGTCTACTGAAGGAGGTATCGTGATTGACTTGCGCAATATGAATAAAGTCACTGTGAACGACGGAGTGAAGACCGTCACGGTTGAAGGTGGAGCTCTCTGGTCGGATGTGGACGAGGCGCTCGGTGCAAAAGGGCTTGCGGCTGTCGGGGGGTATGTTTGTCACTCATGATTTACTGTAGCTGACGCTGACTTGATATATAGTACTGTGAATCATACGGGTGTGGGCCTTAACTACAGCTAAGCTGAATTGGTTCTTACTGACTTAAATCACATCCAGGGGTCGGCGGGTTGACTCTAGGAGGAGGGTATGGCTGGCTCTCCGGGCAATATGGGTTAGCCCTGGACAACCTGCTCAGTGCACGAATTGCGCTTCAAGATGGCCGAATTGTTGAAGCGTCAGCTACATCTCATACTGACCTTTTCTGGGCGATTCGGGGAGGCGGTGGTAATTTTGGCGTTGCTGTACGGTTCCTCTCTCCTATACCAACGGTAGGCTAATGTCGCGACTGCTAGGTGGAGTTTGTATTCCAGGCATATGAAAAGCAGGATGAAGTATTTGCGTCAGACTCACACCCAACTGAGGATACGGATGTCTGGTGCTGATTTCGTGATAGTGGAATGCTTGTCTATAATCTAGACAAAGTGCCGGAGATCGTCCAGCTTCTGAATGAATGGAGCAGCGAGCAACAGCCTAATGAGAGTGTCTTGCTTGCTGTTGTATCTCCACCGCCAAACGGCCAGGCAAGTAGAATATTGAATGTTCCACAAAGTCTGCAAGTTAATGTAGAATACAGCCTGCGATCGCTGTTGTCCCATTCTACGACGGCCCCGAGGACGCAGCCCGCAAGCGATTTGAAAAACTCCTATCTATTAACCCTATCGCCAACGGAACATCGATGCTACCCTACGCAAAGGTAAACTCCCTGCTCCTGGACGGGGCAAAGCACGGCGGCCGGAAATTTCAAGCAGGGGCAGTCTGGGAGCCGCCCTTGCTTCTTGAACAGCTGGACGAGGTGATCGGAGAATATTGTGCGATGCTGGAAGCCTATCCCGAGACAGCAGGGTCGGCGGTGCTCTTCCAGTTCGATCATCCTGCTAAGATAGCTTCTATTCCGATTAATGCAACGGCCTTCGCGAATCGTGGATACCACCGTCTCGCCATGGTCGAGGTGAAATTTAAAAATGCAGCCCTGGACGCTGTCGCTCTGAAGTGTGCAAAGAAGATCATACGGACTCTCGAGGGTTGGGACAGGGCCTCAGAAAATGGAGCCGGAGTGAAGGTTTAGTATGTTCCTCAGGCTCGTTCTATTTGCTTGTACTTGGAACGCTAATGTGCTTCTTCCAGCTCCAACTACGCAACTGGCGATGAAGATGCACGGGAAATCTTTGGAACCAATCTCGAGCGCTTGACAGAGGTAAAGAGGGCGTATGACCCTGGAAACATCTTCAACAAGTGGTTTCCAATTCGCCCTTAGCAATATCGTACATAAGATGCTTGCTCTTACTAGGCTGGTGTGGCGTGAACCAGTTCATGTTCTTAAATATTTATCATTGAACTATTTAACTAATAAGGGGAATATTACGGAAGGATAGCTAGTATTACTACTATTCTACATACTCATGTAGACACAATCAACCTAATAGAGTATATCTAATAAATATAGACAGTACTGCTGCCCGAGGAATCTTTTTTATGCCTACTGCTACCAGACCCTGAATACTTCTAATCTAACTGTGACACTCAACACCCTAAAGCCCGAATTACAAACGCCGTACTGGCCCCGCGATTGCCCACCTCCCTCCTCGCCCCAGGGAACAGATACATACAGCTAAGTCCAGATAGGCAGCTTCGTGCCCCGTACGGTTATCTATAGGCGAGGGAACAGGCTACCAAGAATTGCGTTCACCCTTCCGGGGATGCAGCTTGGAGCTGTGTGACCGGTGATATGGGATTGGAGCTCAGAGCTGTGGTAGGGAAGTTATATGGTGATTGCTACGGACTAACCATAATGTCCGGTCGTGAAGACGTGGAAAATGAGAATGTTGAAGTTACTAAAGGGCTTTCCCCGATATTTTAATAGGAGGCTGTAGCTATTCTCGTGAATGCTGCTGGCTCGAGGCCTGAATTACACACTGCAAGTCGATATCTTTTGCAACCGGGGGTAATAATATCGGAGATTTACAATCAGTGTGCTCGTGGAGGATTTGCTATGTATACTGTACAGGCTGTCCTCGCGAATAACCAGGGCCAGCGCTGGTAGCTCTCCTGTCCCTGAATAGCAATCTTGAAGCCGCTTGTCAATTCCAAGAGCCTCAAGCAACAGGCTGAGGTGAGAATTCTCTTGCTCAAGCTTGTCTACCGTGTCGTAGCTTTCATGTAAAGTCCCCTCACCGTGACAGCTCGCAGTTCTGGATTCTGTCTTCCAGTATCACGATACAATCCTGCTTCTGGGCCGACTGCGACACTGGTTGAGAGTCCGCTCCAGCTGGTAGCTCTGCCCGGAGATCACTTACGTCCGGACATTTAGGACGAGGATGCCGACCTTAGATTTCTTGTACAGCGCAGTCGGTGACATTGGACCGGCACCGGAGTTATTCATGATCTGATTGCGCCATGCTTTAAGATGACCATGGATATGGAAAGAAGCCACATAGAGAAGACCTCGTGTTCGTGTAATTTGTAATCAGACCATGACTGCATTTCCTCCGAGTGGAGCCAATAAAGGTTAAAATGGGCCAATCTTTGGCGCAAATCTTGGAAATCCTCCGAGTGGTTCTGGTCAGGCCAAGAGCGCCACCGGGCTGTCACCGATGCTGTTGGAGCATCTTGCTTTAGTTTGAGGATTGAAAATAGATATATTGTATTACCACGTAAAGCTCTGCATTGTACTTGATTTTCTGGCTGGGTTGATGGGCTTCGCTTTCTGTTTTAGTGCTTATCTCTTACAGTCTTTACTACCAAGTAGATCCTACTGTGGTATCCTAGGAAGGGTGTTACCAAATATATCTATCCAAGTTCAACGAGGCTTAACCAGAGTCAAAGCATCGCCAACCGCCCCGTCATCACCCCGAATAAACTCCCACCGGGCCTCGTTCTCGCTCACCACCGTCAGCTTGCTGAACCCAAAGTGCGTCTTGTCCAGCAGCGCCGTGATCTCCGTCATTCCCGCGCCGGGGGTGAACTCGAGGTGACCCTCGAAATTGCCCGCCATGCCGTTGACAAGGTGCGTCATTGAGCGCCCGTTGGCGATATACGTGTTGTTGTCGATGATGGCACTGCGGTCGATTGTGCCGTTTGCAGCTAGGGGAAACAGGCGCTCGTACCAGTGCATGTGTCTGCTGCTGTTAATAACTTCTTCTGTGTGGAGTTGATTAGGTTCGGGTAATGGACATACCCGGTGAGATAGGCGTCGACTCCATATTGAAGCAGGAGATCCTCGAATGCATTGCGCTCATCCTGCATGTAAGCCGAGGGATCGGAGCTGTACATCGGTCGGTGGTTCATCACAAACACCCACGGCGTCTTGCTGCGGTCAACCGAGGCGAGATCTGCCTCCAGCCATCTATACTGCTCGTACGAGTGCTTGTCCTTGATGTCCCCGTCAATGCCACCGAATGGTCCGCTGTCCGTGACGAACGTCTCGTCCGCCGTGGGAAGTTCCTCATCACCAGATACATCCTTTGCGAACGGCGCCAGCGGACTATTGGGGAAGTCGGTCTCGCCGTCCACGGTGATAAAGTGCGCCAGGCCGTAGTCGAATGAGTACCAGAAGTTACCCACGCCGCCGCTCTCAGCACCTGGCATGCGGAAGCGGTTCTGGTAGCTGGTGAAGTTGCGCTGTGATGGGGGGCAGCTGTAGTAGGTCAGGTTGGTCTCGGGCGCGGTGCCGTTGGAGATATCGTCGTTGAGATACGCAGTTAGCGGGTTGCCAGGCCCGTCGAACTCGGTGCATGCGGCTTCGTGGTTCCCCGGCGCCACCATGTACGGTATCTGCGTCGTGATGTTGCTCATCCACTGCTGCCAGATGTCCCAGTTCGATTCGTAGATAACGCTTGAATCGCCGCCTTGCGGAGTGCCCTGGTTTGGGATTTCGCCGGCCGGAAGGGGCTCCTTGTATTCGTCTGGAATGGGGACGCCACCGGGGATGCTGGAGCTGGTCCCGTTATAGCAGAGCGGCCAGTCGTCCGAGCAGGCGAAAATACCAGAGGACCAGCTGTCGGCGTAGCTGATGTCACCGCCGTGCCAGGCAAACACGGTTCCCTCGTTGATCGCGTTCAACAGCTCCCGATGAGTGCCCTGGGCATTGGCGTAGCCCATATCGTTGAGCACCGCGATGGAGAAGGGCTCCTTGTCACCGGCCTTCCGGGCGGTCGTGAAGCTTAGGACCTCCGACTCGGTTGTGCCATTAGCTGTGGGGATCTGGTAGTAGTATGTCGCTCCTGACTCGAGGTGCTCGAGGCTGACTTCGTGGAAGAACTGGCTGCACTGGGTGACGGCCTTGACTTGGGAGCATGATGGGGTGCGGTCATACCTAGTGCTGTCAGTGAATGTCCGCGGAGGGAAACGCGCGCTACTTACGTGTGAGAAACACCACGGGTAACCCTGTTCAGATGCTGAGGGCTCTTGCCCCAGTGGACTGACGGTGGTTCCCCAAGCCCAAAGGGGGTCTGGTAGTGAATGTGCATGCCATCGGGAATGTAGGACAGCGACACCACATTGACATTGTTCCGTGGATTGGCAGACCCTGGCCTGACCGCTGGCTGCTGCACGAGACGGTGGAAGCCCTTCCCATTGCCATTGATCGTAGGATCAACCCAGTCGCCCACGGGCACGTTGGGGCCAGTGTACGGGTAGCGGGTGTCGACCGCCGGCCGGGCCTGGACGGCTGCGCTGAGGGTGACCAGCAGCGCAGAGGCAGCAGAGGCTTTCATTTTGTTTGTTGCTGACGAGGATGAATACTGGTGGCTGGCATGGGCAATTTATAGTGCTGGAGCAGTCTCTGCTCACCACACGTGTAGACACATCGCGCGGCGATTGGCGAAGGCGGGGGAGCACTGCTAATGTGCCTGGTAGTGACTGGTGGAGTAATTGCTTAATGAATTGCCAATTCACGGCCCTGACAGCGACCCACTGGCTGTCAGCTCGATGCACACGTGGTGCTCTCTCTGGAATCCCAATAGGTTCATCGCATGGCGCCCCGCCCGTTCCGTAGATTTCTGGGCAGTGGAGCTTGATTGCAATTTGCATGTCGGCTCTGTCGGCAGGACTGGAGACTTTCTCGGCATTCAAGACACTAAACAGCCGCGATCTTGGCCGGCCTTGTGGCGAGATGTAGAGAAGTGATCAAAGAGTACAGCGGGATGTTGGAAACCTATCGCAAGGCTGCACATTCCGCGGTGCTTTTCCAGTTCGACATCCTGCTAACATAGCCTCTATTCCCTAGGATGGAATGGCGGTGCGAACCGGGGACTTCGCCATCTCGCTACGGTTGAGGTGAGGTTTAATATGTACCCCAAGCTCTGTTCTATTTGTTGGAAAGTGCTAACATGTTTTGCCAGGTTTAACCACGCAACTGGCGATGAAGGTGCATGGAAAATTGTGGGAAGAATTCTCAAGCAGTAGAAAGAGATAAAGAGAGCGTATGACCCTGCAAGACCTTAAATGAAGTGGTTTCGGTTCTTCCTTAACACCGGGCCTACATGAGATGCGTTGTTCCGATTCCTCTGCCTAGGCTAGTACAAGGGTGAACGAATCCGTGTTCCCAGATATCATATATGATTATCTGATTAGTAGAATAGCTAGTTTTACTACTATTCTACATTCTTACGTAGACACGATTAACCCAATGGAGTATATCCAACGAACATAGACAGTGCTGCCGCCCAAGGAATCTTTTCATGCCCGCCGCTACCAGACCCTGAACACTCCTAACCCAACTGCGACATTCGACACCCCAAAGCCCTAATTGCAAACGCCGTACTTGCACCGCGGTTGCCCACCTCCCTCCCCGCCCCAGGGAACAGATACATACAGCTGGCCGGCCACCCGCCATCCTCCATCTGCATAGCCGCCAACGTCTCCCGATCCACCGCACACTTGACACCGACATACTCACACGCAGCGATACGCATTCCCCGCGCAAATGCGTCCCCCGGTGCCCCGACTCGCTCAGCGACACGAACCCGCAGCGGTGCAAACAGGCGCTCGTCCAGCGCTGTACCACGACCCTCCGCTGCGGCGAGCAACCGTGTCACGTAGTACAGGAACCACTCGGCGTTGGCGTAGTAGCGCGTACCTTTAATGTAGGCGCGCGTCAGCAGGATCGAGGTGACCCAGTCGAGCGTCTCGGGGAGCTCATAGGTGCGGTTGTACAGGGTGAAGGCGATTAGGATGTTGAGGGAGATGACGCAGTCGATGCGGGGTCGAGTCCGGTCGGTGTAGGCCTGCCATTGTTTAATGATAAGTAGGAATTAAAAGGGATAGGTGGGATCTATACCTGGACGAATCCTTCTTCGTCAACGTAGGTGAGCATCTCGTCGAGCAGCGAGTGGGCGAGGTCCGGGTCGTAGGACATTGCGGCGAGACCGACCGAGGTGGTGTCGAGGTCTTCGGGGTAGGTCTCGGTTGTATATCGAGGTTTTCCTGATAATCATGGTTTAGCGGGGCATTTGTATAAAGGTGTATATTCGTAGAGACTAACCACTGAAGAAGTTCCACAGTCGCGGGGGGAATTTCAGATCCACCAATTCTCTACTCGACAGTCAGTTCCAGTCCCAGAGACAGATTCGTGAAGCTTCCTTCAGCACATACCGCTGCTGCAACGCTTCCAAGATGAGCAGTGGGGCATAGTTTTCTTCGATCTCCGACCCGTCCTGTGTCACAGAGGGAAATTTGCCTGCATGCCTCTTGAGGAACGAAATGCCTCGCTCCACTGGGTCGCCTGTGATATTTGTCAGCGTCTGTAGGAGATCAATTACTGAAGATGTCCCCTGCATGCCAAGTGAGATTACTATGAGAACATTTTCAGGATTATTGTCGACGGTGAAAGTAGTCTGGGGGTTTAAGCGTGTTACCCGGAGAACATGTCTGTAGAACCTAGGGCTCGGCTTCCGGACTCCCAGCGTAGACAAGATAAAGATATCGTTGAAAGTGGACCAGAACTCGTCATCCCAGCGTTCGCGGAGAGCTTTATAGTCATCGCTCGCGGTGTTAGAGACCAGGAAGATGCGGAGTTACGAGATCCGCTTTAGGTCTTGCAAAGTGGCGGCCAGGGCGTGGTCATAGTTAATTATTTAACGGAACTTGTTAATCATGTTAACGAGGTCATTGAATGCGAAATTATAGAGATTAGCTAACTGCGCAAAGCATTCATCTTGCCTAAGTTTATTAACTTTATAGTCGATCTAAATGGAAGTGCTCATCAGTCTGCGCAGTGAGACAGAAGAAGTTGCAGTTGCCAGCTTTGCTTCCACCTCTGGATGGAAAAAGACTCCTCCTAAATCGACTAGCAGCGTCGTTGTCTTTGGTCGGATGCCCTTCAGGTAGGAGGGACCACCTGGAGGAAGCATTAGAGCAGGAATCTTGCTGGTCAGAGCCATGCTGTAGGTAAAGTAGATAATTTCCTTGTCATGGAAAGCAAAGATCGGAGGAATGGGTTGTTTGCTATATACTTCGACAGGGACAACCAGGCTCCAGACCGAAAGGATTCTTCGCCTGGGATATCGCGGAGACTCCGCAAGACTGAACAGTGTCAGCTGAAGTGTAACATGCATGCAAAGAGCACGATCGCCTCTCCTGGCTCTGAGTGGCTCACAGCTGCAGCGACATGTCAGATTGTGCAACGGAGGAGTCGGTCCTTGCTTGCTGCTGCACGGGCTCAGCTGGCCGAGTCAAATCTGACGCCGGTCTGTGTCATAAAAGAACCCAAGACCAGATCAAACGTAGGTGTCCTGCACTGCTTACCAAAATGGGCCTTTCCCTCTCGAGTCTTGTTGTCTTGGTAGGTCAACTCCCAAGCTCTTCTTCGAAACTGATTCCTGTTTAGCCCGCGGTGTATATCGCCTGGAGGGCCATCTACAACCGCCACCTGCATCCCCTGCGGCACTACCCCGGGCCCTTCCTGTCAACAGTAACCAGACTCCTGTATACAATCGCCTATACCAGAGGAGCACTGTACTTGCATGTGCAGGGTCTTCACTATAAATACAGCCATGTAGTCCGCATCGCCCCCGATAAACTCAGCTACATTAATAAATAAGCATGGAAAGATATCTACAGCACTTCTAAGAATTTCCCCAAGGACCCGCACTTCTATAATGCTTTAATGAAGAAAGCGCCAAGTGTTCTCACCGCACTAGATAATATCCACAGTCACCAGAAGCGGGCTATCATGCGCGCGTTCTCCGAGCCGGCGTTGCGACACCACGAGCGAGTCTTGCAGCCGCTCGTTAACAAGTTCATCGACCAGCTCAGCACTATCTCGGCGCAGAGGAATGATGGAATAGTTGACTTCGAACAATAGTATAACTACATTATGTTCGACTTCATGGCTAAGGAGCTTTTTAGCGAGATACTGGATTGTCTGAGGAAGGCTACCTACCTCCCCTGGGTGGACATGCTCTTCGGGTCTATTAAAGCATGGGCTTTCCTCAGCGTGATCAAATACTTTCCTTCATTAACTATTATCCTAAAACCACTTATTCTATTCTACTGCCGCGACCTCCTCCGCCACCGTGATATAAAACTCAACTCCATCACCGCGAAAACGCCTCAGCGGAGCGACGTTGCCCTAGATATTCCCAACTTTATCTCGTACATTACCAATGCCACAAGCAAGAAGGCTATACTTTCACCAGAGGAGCTATTTACGAACACGAGCTTTCTTATAATAGCCGGGAGCAAGATAACAGCTACCCTGTTATCCGGGTATACATATCATCTTCTCACAAATCCTGCGGTGTATACCGAGCTTGCCACCCAAGTTAGAGGGCGGTTTCACTCGCTGTCTGAAATAACATTTGCCGCTACCGCAAAGATGCCCTATCTACGTGCTGCTTTGCAGGAATCCCTGCGCATGTACCCCCCTCTACCGCTTGGAATGCCCCGTGTTATACCAGCGGGTGGTGCCCTGATCTGTGGGAGCTACGTGCCAGAGAAGGTACGAGATGGTTACTATTCGAGTTGTTCATATATATTCTAAATTACGTATCTAGACAGCCGTCTCTGCCTCCTCGTGGAGCGCCTATCAATCTCCTCGTAACTTTACGAACCCAACTACATTCCTACCTCAGCGGTGGTTGGAAGACAACCCTGAAGGAGGTGATGATAAAAAGACCGTCTTGCAGCCTTTCTCGGTTGGACCGCATGGATCTCCTGGACGGAGGTAAGCCAGATCCTTTTTCATTTGAATACATATAGTGACATATTCTAGCTTGGCCTTTGCTGAAGCGAGCTTGATCCTCTGCCGGCTAGTATGGGAATTCGATTTGGTACTGGCCGGGGAAGTCGCGACTGGGGGGTGAGCCAGAGGGCGTTTATAGTGTGGGACAAGGGGCCACTACCTGTAAGGCTGATCAGGAGAGATCAAATACACTGACTACATACAACGCGTGGCGATGGGAAATAAAAGTGTGAATTTATAGCGAGATAGATTGAAAACCTCTAGCTCTGACAAATACACATCGTCCACTTCATACATATGTCGTATTATGCTCGTAAGGCTATTATACTTGTAATGCAGCTCGGCCCTGGACACTCAACCTTCCACCCCCGGAGAATATTCTTCTTCGTATTCAACCCCGCCACAATAGCGGTGGCCACTGCATTTCCCGTCTACAAATCGATGGATTCTCTGCAGGTGCCATGTAACACATATTCCTATTTCGGAAGGACCTGCGCAAGAAACTGCATCAAGTGCATCGTTGGCTGATCAGCTGAGCTACGCCCCCACTACTCTACCTCCGGAGGAAAGGACCCTTTATATTTAGTTCCCTGATATCTTGACCAGTTCGTTCAGTTCCTGGTCAAGAGTTCCAATGAGTTGAATGAGTGCTCTTTTCCTTCGTTGATATCGCTTAGTGTTGGATCCTTGGCTACAGTATGTTATATCAGACGAACAAGAGAAGTGGAACGGCCGTGAGGTGGGACCGTCGCAGAACTATACATAAACTGGCTCCCCCGCTCTGGGCACGAAGCACAGTCGATGTATCAGCTGTCCTGGGGGACCTTCCCAGACGAGCGAAGGAATAGCAAGGTTCAGCCAGCCAGGTTACACAAGGCGCAGGTTAAAGTCTGTTGAGATCGATTGACCCACTTTGCTGCATGACAGGTTTTCGGACGACCCTAAATTTGGCTTGATTACAGGGGGTTTCCCGGTTTATTCTGCCCGAGGGTTAGGTTTATCACACCAGACAATGCTCCAAGTCACAGCCTGTGGTAACAAGATTACTGTAGCTTGCGCGTTGCCTTGGTTTACAGTGGATCGTAGATGGCAGCTTTGAAATACCTACTACAGTAAATTGCTTCTAAGGCCAACCATGGTCCAGCGGTCTGCCTGGTTAAAGAGAGTATAGGTAAACCCCTCCTTCGAATATCATAAACACTGTAACTTGTGCATCACCAGGTCTAATCGATCCTGAACACTTAAGCATCTGATTGTTGACAACAGACCTTGACCAGTCCACCATCCCCTGCAACCCTCCCACACCGGACTTCACCTCCAAACTCATCCCCGAGAAGATGAACCTTTGGCGACATCCGGAGGAGTAGGAGCATGATCATCCAGGTCCTCATCATGCACGACGTCCATTCCTATATGCCCTTTATCCAGCTCATCCCCAACAACTCCCTTACCGGTCCCATAAACCGCCGCATCCGGCCCATCGAAAACAACCGCCATTTCTTCCAACGTGTGGCCCTTTGTTTCAGGATAGAAGAACCAGACCGTCAGGATAGCCGCACAGAGGACAACATCAAACACGATGTAATATCTCCAGCTACATGCCGTCAGCAGACTAAACGCATCTTCATGGCCACGCGCTACATGGGGGGAATAGAGAATAGAGGGGGTACGCACGCGATAGCATCCAGCGCAATGGGGTTGATGAAAACATTTAGTACCACGGAGGCTTGGGTAAATAGTTGCGTCGCAGCTATTCCTCTGGATCGGAATGTGTATGGCCAGATTTCGGCGGGGTAGGCGACGAGGAGGGGGGTGCTGTTGATACTTAGTTAACAACGGGACACGTTGGGTAGGGGCTATAATGGTCAGATACTGACTAGGCAATATCGTAGAAGGCGTAGAAGATGAAGATAAACGGGATGACGGCCGTTCCGATTGGCGCAGCATCGCTTCTCGCATAGACTCCTGAGAGCGCGGTAATGCAGATGTAGCTGATGACCATCCCCCCGTTGGATATGAGGAAGAGCTTGCGGCGGCCCAGACGATCAACGGAGAATGCAGCGCCGACGGCGAAAACTAGGTTCCAGATCTATTCAATGGCTATTAGTTATCTTTTGATTTCGGGTTGGACGAGGTCAATACACACCTGCAGACACCCATTGAGGAGAGTCTGGTTATCCAAAGACCGAATCCCTGCCGCCTCGAGCATCATAACGAAATATTAAGATACTACGTTCACGCCGTTCCACTGGGCGAGGAACCCGAGCGAGACAGTGATGAACATGCGGTGGCGGTTTCCTTTTGTCTGGATGAGGCTGTTCCACGAGGTTGTTGCCCCCACTTCCTTCTCGCTCTGGAGTGTGGACACGATCTCTTGGATTTCGAAGTTGATAACGTCGTCTCGGATACCCCCTCCATGATGCTTGACCAGGGTGTCGGTGGCTTTATCGAGTCGGTCTCCGGCGACGTGCCAGCGCGGGCTCTCGGGGGCTAGTATTGCACCTGGTAACGAGAACACGGGAATTGCGATTTGCAGCAGGACGGGGGTTTTCCAACTCCAGTCTGTGCTGTAGTGTCGTGTTGCTGGATCATGCCATTCTTAGCCTTGGGAACTGTAAAATCAGACTCGGGAGTGTCATACCGAAGGTGGCCCACGCCGCAATCAAGCTGCCGATATACCACCCGCACATGTACAGGGCCGTGGCAATTGCCCGATGGGATGGATACGCAGTTTCAGCGATCAAGAGCGGAGTAGAGTTGCCATAAAGTTGAGCAGCGAAACCGATCAGTATTCTTCCAGCAATGAAGGCAGCGGGGCTCGGCGCTACTGTCTGCAGGATCACGCTGACAACCAGGAAGACATATCCTAGATAAATGCCGGATTTCCTACCCCATTTCTGAGAAACCCATGCAGAAGGCCAGGCCATGATAACACCACCTAACGACGTACAGGCATTCATGAATCCCAGCCAGGCTCCAGTTGGGTGCCCCATGAAATTCTGCCAGAGCGGTAGAGCCTGGAGACCGTTCATCAATGCTCCGTCGTAGCCATTCGAGGCGGAAAAGAGAACGAAGCTGAAGATATAGAAGTTCAACTTCAGCAGATGGGGCTTCTTCCACCATGCCTTGCCATCTTGCGGCAGGACATTGGATACATCACCAACGGGTGATACCACGTCCGGCTCGCCATTCTGTTGTAGGTTTGGCGTCATTGATATTGTCAGGATTGTAGTTAACACAGAAATTATAGAGACGCGGATGTGGAAAGAAATAGTAACAAACCCGCATACCTTGCGGGGAAATGGCACTTTAAATCGAATTGGCAAGATCGAATGGGATAGAGAAGGGATAGAGAAAAGGTACAGTCCGTGACAAGGGGCTCACGCAACGAACAATGCCAATGCTAGAGCTCTCTCTCAAATGACCGGTTGGTGCGTGGCATTTTACCCCGACTATCAGACAGCGCGACCTGGGGTAATGGGCCGGGGAAAAGGAGTCTGGGCGATCCCCCAACCTATGGGGTAATTAATCATTGGCTAAACCAGCCCTCGCGGAGTTGCGGACGTCAAGAGACAGGAGCTAAGTCGCATCCAGCAAATGGCTCCACCTATAGCTCCACAGATCTCGACTGACTCGATTGCATCTCCACGGTAGTGGCCAGGCAAAACGGAAACTCGGTCCTGGACCCGACCAGCCATTGCGCCAAGTGTATAGCAGCGGACTGGCAGCGGTTGTCCGTTCGAACTTGTTATGACAGAGAGGGTGAGTGTCACTGTATAATGAAGAGTCGCTTGGGACAAATGCAGTGGTTCAGATACCACGTACGAGTGTATTCTCTATTCATTCCTGGTCCAAGGTCTAAAGGACGGTACCGAAGAGAAGATCAGATTCAAGATTCTATATGACTAGCTAGTAAATGCCTATTTCCATGCCACAGTCACACCCCGCTCATGAGACTCCCTCGCCAGCTCAATAATCCTAAGCACATCCCTTGAATCACTGGCCTTGACGACCAGCTCCGCTTTCCCGTTAATGGCGCTGGCAACATCCTCATAAACACCCATCCACCGTCCTCTAATTGTCGGATATCGCCCAACGTATCTCTGGGAGTCTTTATCGTAGCTCTGGATATCGCTATCAAACTCTTCATAGGTAGTTAGAATCCCACGGAGACTATCAGGCTCAGACCCGAATTCTGGATTGAGAGGGTTGACACCCTCTGCGATTTGCTCCTCCTGTGGACATGTACTCCGTTGCTGATGCTTGATGTACGATCCCTTCTTACCCCGGATCCAGAACTTCATTTGCTGTGCCATCGGGGAGATTACTGTTGTCTTTACTGTGACGAGCAGGTTCTTCTGTGCGCCATCATATTGGAGGATGATGGTGGACGAGTCCTCGACCTCGCTTTCGATGTCGCGATAGACGCGGTAGAAAGCTGTTATTGATGCAGGGCGTCCAAAGAGTAGGTATGCTTGATGGATGCTGTGAGTTCCTGCAAGAATATATTTGTCAGGATAGGTTAAGTACCTCTGGAGGTCTAATATGATGGATGGTACCTAAACCAAAAGTCATCCCAGCTCCAGGGGTGTATTCCTTGTTGGACATGTAGTGCAGCCATGCAGGCCTGTCAAAGTCGTAGTGGATCTCCGCCTCCGTGATCTCGCCAAACGCCTGCTTCTTGACCAGTTCCTTGACTGTCTTGAAGTCGCCATCCTAGCGCCACAGCCTCATTAGCAACTGGCGGCAGTGGGGTGGGGAGAGGGGGATCAATGCGAATCTTACATAGCTTCTGTTTTGGAAACAGGTTACGATCAATCCCTTCTGGTTCGCAATGGCCATGACTTTATCGGCTTCGGAGGAGGAGTTTGCGAACGGTTTGTCGACAATGACTGGGAACATATTAACACGAATCTCCAGAAACTAAATTATAACATACCATGTTTTCCCGCTTTCAACGCCAGCTCCCCAAAATGAGCATGGGTATCGTTATGTGTTGCAACGACGACAAACGCTACCTCCTTGTCCGCGAAGAAATCTTCTGCCGTTCTGTAGTGTTTTATTCCTGGGAAGTCAACAGTATAGTGCGAGCCCTTTGCGGATGCGGGGTCTGTAGGGGCCTCAGCTCGCTGAAGTATAGCCACGACTTCGTAGTCCGGGATAGCTTGGAGGAGCGGGAGATGGAAGCTTTTGGCGGCGTTGCCGTAGCCCACGATTCCGACTTTAATGGTGGCCATTGTATTTCAGGTCCAGTAAATGGTAGATAGTCAGGAGATGAGAGTCGAGCGATTGAGTCTAATAATGAAGTCTGCGCTTTTTGATATCGACCCCGCATCTAGATACCCTTTTAGGGCTATCTTGCCATGACGCCGTTAGCCTTGTCGACCGAAATTCCCCTAGCGCCTGCATGAAAATCCCTGTGGCGTTTTGCAGGTCTTTAGTGTCCGGGTAATCTTCGGCCTCTCTGATGCTTATCTTCGGCAGATCGTGGGATGCTACTTCAGGTCAGCGTATCAGGTTCCGCATGCCAGGGGATAAATCCCAATAGCCGCCCAAATCTCGGCGGGTTTTCATCACACTCCAACCCGTACAACACCATGAGTTCTCAGCCTGGACTTCGTCGGCGAGACTGGACAACAGGCCATGGACTGCGAAAGGTTCTTGATGCCACAACGAACACGTCCGAGCCAAAGCCAATTGCCCATCCCCCAACCGATGTGAGTAATCTCACTTCATACAGACGAGCCCGCCAAACTGCTAGGCCTAGCCCGCAGCCATAAAAGAAACCTGCGACTGCTTCACATTCGCCTCATTTACGGAAGAAGATGTCTGGGAACTAGGCCACCTCCTCTACGCGCGCCTCCTCCCATTTACACCAAAGGAGTCTTGCTTGATTTCAGTAACGCTCGCCACAACTGGCCAGGTCGTCTTCCAATCCGTCTGCGGCCCGAATACAATGAAGGACAACGAGAACTGGGTAGCTCGGAAGCGCAATGTGGTGCTGCGATGGTCGGGAAGTACCTGGTACTGGAACCGGGTATTTGACGGTGGAGATGAGGATAAATTTCGCAGGCTTTTTAGTATGAGTATGGAGGAATCGACCCAGTATGCTATTCATGGTGGGGGCGTGCCGATTCGTGTTGAGGGCGTTGCTGGGATTGTGGCGGTTGTTTGCGTTTCTGGGTTGAAGCAGGAGGAGGATCATGGGGTTATTGTGGAGGTTATTAATGATAACTGGTGTTAAGCCCGTGACATAGATGAACGGTCCCTATGTCAGGTTATACATTTTGTCTATTGACTACTTCCTAGGTGCTGAGACCCCGGTTTTGATCTCAACGCTGCAAATAGAATCTCACCTCAACATGCAATGCAACTAACCACATTGTTGATTAGAGCATGTGTAATAGTACCCAGCTATGCAGGTATCGGTGGGCATTTAATCGCATAGGGCATTTTATATCACCGGGATGGGGGATACATTTGACATAACACGGTCAAAGACGGTAATTTAAGCATTAACAAGCCATCCCTACAGCCAGGGGCCTAGGGCAGTCCTCGCCCGCACGGTTTCAGTAAGCAGAGTAAGAAACAACAAGGGAGTATTGATTATAACAAAATATCATTATCCGAGTTGATACTTATTTCCACCCCGCTGATAGGGTCTTTGAGTCTAGTTCCCCGCTTGCTGACCTCAAGGCCATCTAGCCTTGTCTCCACCTCTTGAAGTAAGTCAGCTCCGAAGGTGGGATGTTTCTGCTACTTACGTTACTGCGAATTCCTTGGAACTTGCTTCTGATGGGTCGATCATTGCTTCAACTTGAGATGAGGTAAACGCGAAGGGGGACGAGGCAGCAAGGCGGTTGAAGGAAGAGGGGTGGATATTCACAGCCGACACACTTGATGACAACCAATACAGGGATTTTGCAACCGTAATTTTGACCGACTACTTCTTAGCTTAGACAAGTATTTGGGGTATCGGCACGGGGAGTGCCGGATTTAAGAAACGTGGGTATCGGCGTGCTGTAGACTCTAGCAGGATGTTGAGCCACTCTTAAAGTAGACGTCGCAGATAAGTTGTCGTGGCCGCGTGCCCTCCAAGATTGGTACTGATTGTTGAGGCATACGTTGTCACAAAGGAAGCTAAACTTTCGTCCGTGGCCTGCGCCGTTAAAGATGCTGGCAATTCGATCTCTGCAGAGTCGGTGTATGTGTATTCGGTCTTCGTGCAGGAGGGTAGATTATTGACTGTCATTGGGACAGTAATTTGTTCGCATTTCTGCTGCTGCTTACACCAGTTCAATTACGGCCCTTTGAATACCCGTAAACAAAGCTTATTCGTGTGTTTTACTTGTCTGAGCCTGAAGGACCCCGGGACTTCAATACACGAATAACAGCCAGCAGAATTTGTCTTTATCATCTCAATGCAAACAGCCCCCACGGGCTAGCCGATCAGGAAACATTCTACGATGGGGAACCAAATATCGAGACTCGAATCAGCGCCATTGGTGAATACACAGGTTTGTTTGTCAGGGCTTTGTGGTGTCATCTCGAATCTATTTTGGTGCATCCTGCCCAAAGGGCAGGACGACTCCTACAACAGCTCCAAGCAGTTCACTTGACAAGTAGAAGTCTCCTAATATCAAGCGCATGTGATATTGTTTTATGCAAGCTCGATTCATCTGTACCCCTACTGCGATGGCCGTATAGCCCTAGTCTGGTCCACCCAGTCGAACCTGCCCAGTGGTTTTGTCAACCAGACATCGCCCGGCTTGTCTGCCATCTTCGGTGTGGAATGGTCAAACATCGACCCGCTCAGGAAGGTATGCGGGAATCCGAAATCGAACGGATAGGCTCCCTCGACCTTTTCCAGTTCCTCCTCCTCGAGGGTAATATCAAGACCGGCAATGCTGCCCTTGATGTGATCGACCTTCCGACCGCCGACAATTGGAAAAACATAAGGAGTCTTTTGCATCACGTAGGCGAGGGCGACATTGAGCAGCTCCACGCCTTTAGCCTTGCTTACATCCTCAAGCACAGCAGATACCTTCTTGTCATGCTCGGACGTGGGAATGAACTTGCGGCCAGGGTTATCCTTCTCGCGCTCTTTGAATCCTTCCTTGGTCTGAAACCTGCCCTGGTTCAGCACACCATATGGACAAAGCGCCATTCCCTCCTCGCGCGCCATGGGGATGATGTCTCGTTCAAAGTCCCGCATGGCCGCGTTCCACATCCCCTGGTACACCGCGAACTGGCGCAGCCCGTGGTCGCGCGCATACTGGTTCGCCTTGGTGACGATCCAAGCCGGCGTGTCCGAAATACCCAGGTAAATCACTTTCCCCGCGACAACCAGGTCGTTCAGGGAATGCATCAGTTCCGGGATGGAGGTCGTGTAGTCCCACCAGTGGACATATAGCAGGTCAATGTACGACGTCTGCAGCTTGCGCAGCGACTCGTCGACACTGACCTTCAGCGACTTGGCGTTGTTTCCGCCATAGTTGGACTGGATACGGTCTTTATGCTGTGTCATGTATGCGGTTGTGTACTTGGTCGCAAGCACCATCTGGTCGCGGTTCTTGCGTGCGGCCATCCATTCCCCGACCAGCATCTCAGAGTGCCCTTCCTGGTACCCGCTGGCGGTGTCGAGGAAGTTGCCGCCTTGGCTGTAGAAGTAGTCGAGCATTGCGAAGGCCTCTTTATTAGAGCATTCTCCGTATTTGGCCTCTTGCTGGCCGCCGAAGGTCATGGTGCCCAGGCATAGTGGGGAGACCCGGACGGCGGCGGTCGGTGCCAGCTGGCGGTGGCGGAAGAGCGAAGAGTCGGTGTTTTTCTGAACAGAAGTCATTGATGCGTAGTTGTCGAATCTACAGTCGGGATGTGGACGGGCTGCTTTTATATGTGCATCGTCATGACGTCGTTGTCATCATCGCCGATATCTCCGCCGTCTCCTGCTTATGGTGGAGCGGCGGGCTTGGCTGTGGACCTTTACAACTTCCTATTCGCCAGTAACTTATTAACCTTGTTGGAGAGCTGTTGCACGGACACCGAGTCGGCACCTGCACCACGTTGTTATTACGCATTGGGGTGATTAGAGATGTTGACTGATATTGATGTTATCGCATCGTGTCTATCAATGTCGATCATCAATATATATCACTACAAACACAGAATTGTAGACGGCCAGTATTGTCCATTATTTTCATTACCAAGCCCATGTATAAAGGCTTTTTTGGTGAGTACTAAGCGGTTGATTTGAACAATCTATTATCAATCAAGAGAACTAGGCCCTGAGGTGGAACGCTGACATCCAACAGCTCAACTAACATATCCCTTTCCGTCTCCCAAGCGCTTTTCTAGAAAGTCAAAAACAACCTGATGGAGCCTGAAGAAGGTGCCCTGATGGCAATGCGTGTCACCACCCTCATCCTTTCTCAAGCTGACGAATTCGTGTTCACAGGAGAGGTGCTCGCGCAACAAGTCGGGCTGTCCTTTTAAGAAATGATCATTTTCCGCATCAAGAATCAAACATGGGGCTGTAATCTGTTGGCTTCTCCCTTCTAAAGTATACTCGTTGACTGCACGCATCAAATCCGCCGCAGATGAGATGCCAAACGTCCACTGCCCATTACGCAGCCCCCAGCGCAGACCAGTGGATAGAGACTGCACACATCCAAAAATGAAATTGCTTATCAAGTCGTATTTGTTCTCGACCAGCCTCTGCACGAACCATGGCTGGTTGGCTCGAAACGCAGCTCCAAAGTCGTATACCCCGTCGTCCAGGATCAGGGCTTGGATGCGATGCTCTTCAGTGGCACCGCGAGCAACCAGGTACCCGCCCATACTCCATCCAAAGACAACGATGGCTTTGCCATCAACATCCTGCCGGCTCAAGGCGTAGTCGATGACCGGTGTCAATACCTTCTCCCAGTCCGGACGGAAGAACAGGCGCTCGAATCTGACTGCAGCACCCTGCCCTGGACCATCAAAGGCCAGAAAGTTATAACCCCGTAACAGGGCTGCCGCTCCAATGGCAAACCATGCTTCGCTCATGGTCGAGTCATATCCACCGTTGAAAATGACAGTTCGTCGCGGTTTCTTTGAATTATCAAGGGCGACGAAATACCCAGGGAGCGTCGTGCCTTCGTAAGGAATCCGAATCGACTGGTACTCATACGCAGACAATTTCATAGCCTTGTCGAATGCATTTTCCGACCGCTCATACATCAGACGTGCAATCTCATCCTCGTCGACATTCTCTCTGCGAAAGAACTCCGCCGTGCGGTAGTAGTTCGATGCGCGCAGATACGCCTCGTGAGCACTGACTCTATTCCCCGCTGACTCTGATATTTCTGCATTGGCGACTGCTCGTTCTGCTGCGCGTTTCCATTCGCGTATCCAGTCGTCCTCGTTCCCAGCGCGGATTCGGGACGTGATGGCGATGATTTCGCCGAGATCGGCGCCACCGTAGTTTGCGTACCCGGCGGCGCGCAGCACTTCGTAGCTGAAGCACTCGTTGGATGGGAAGAAGTGGTTTATGAGCATTGTGCTTGTTTCTACTGGAAACCTGGGGTGGATGGTGGATGGTTGATTTAAAGTCTTCCTTCGACATGTGCATTCGATGAACCGAGTCGGCCCGATTCAATTCGGTCCGACCTATGCTGCATACGGAGACCATAGAGCGCTCTCGAGTTACTGTGAATGCAATAAAATACTCTAAACTATCGAACGAAGCAACTTTGGTTGGTGGCTAATTAATAATACCAACTGGGTAGGCATGATGACGTGGGTCGATGTATCACCATAGACGAGTCTAGACCCTAGGGAAAATAAGTACTGGCTATATTACATATTTAAGAAATGAAACGGTGCAGTCTCTATTCAATGTTTGACTACACCTCAAGGGCTGCAACATGGTGGTGAAAGCTGCAGTCGTCCAGGCCGAGCCAGAGTGGCTTGACCTTCAAGCTTCCGTTCAAAAGACTTGTCGTTTTATCGGAGATGCTGCCAGTCATGGAGCCCAGATAATCGCATTTCCAGAACTCTGGGTGCCTGGCTATCCCGGGTGGATATGGTATGACTTTCAAACTGCGCCAATGCAGGCCTTCCTAACTTCACCAGGAGCAGACCAATGGACCCTGTCCTCAATGTCGAGTTCGTCAAGAACTCGCTTGTGGTCGATTCTCCCGAAATGGACGTTATTCGCAAGTGCGCAGCAGAAAACGAGATGGTTGTCTGTCTCGGCTTCTCCGAGCGAAGTGGTGGCACGGTGTATATCGCGCAGTCCACGATCAACAGCGATGGATCTCTCCTGGTGGCCCGACGCAAGCTGAAGCCGATCCATATGGAGCGGACGGTATTTGGCGATGGTCATGGTCCGTCATTGTGCAACGTAGCCCAGACTCCAGTCGGTCGGGTTGGTGCGCTGTCCTGTGGTGTAAGCACAAATCCCTCTACATGGACGATACTGAGCTTTTAGGAACACTACAATCCACTGCTAAAATACCATACGTTCGCGCAAGGTGAGGAAATCCACGTTGCTGCTTGGCCTCCTGTCATGCCTCACCCTGGCGGTAAACATTCATATTCCATGTCCCAGGAAGGTCAGTAGCCCTACTCCCATCTCGTAGTCTCGTTTCCAGCTAATATTGGTAAAGCAGTTGAAGCGGCTTCACGCGTATATTCAATGGAATCTCAAGCCTTTACCCTGCATTCTACCACCGTTATCAGCACGAAAGGGGTTGAGAAGTTGGGAACGGCACATGGGATGGTCTTCAATACACCTGGAGGCGGGGCGAGTGCGATATTTGGCCCCGATGGACGAAAACTGACAAATAATTTGCCGCTGACTGAAGAGGGCATTGTCTATGCTACCCTAGATTTTGACGATCAAATAAAGGAAAAAGGCCTGCTGGACTGCTGCGGGCATTGTAGTCGTCCTGATTTGCTCTGGCTGGTGTCGAACACGGAGGAGCAGAAGTCTGTTCGCTCAGCTTGATTTGACATTCTATTATTTCTAACTATTTTTATTACTATATTCCGAACCTAATTAATTTCGTTTCGCCGTAACTTCCTCCGAGGACAGTAAAACAGTAAGCAGAATGATGGGCCTGTCTGGAACGGCGTTGGATTGGGTTCCATGGCTCTGCAGTGTAACTTTGTCATGGCTTACTAGCAACTTACTATATTATTCGTTAGGCTGCTTACTCCCATTGCTGAGGAATAAATACCGCCATCAAGAATATAACCTCAAAGGTGGTAACCCAAGATACACACAGTGGCCGTATGTCCTGCTCGACAGACGAGGGCACTATTCTCCTACACATATTGTATCCATTTATTTGTCTTTCAACATGCGGATCATATCCAGCCTGTGCCTTCTGTCTGCGGCTTTAGTACCCTATGGAAATTGTTTAAGCCAGCCGCAGGACTGCGTGGGTCACTCGGCATCTACATCTTGGCAAGCTTGCTAACACTGCATAGTGTAATAAGCTCTATGAGACTCTGCCGTCTCTCGTCCACTTTCCTTCTTCTCCCGACTATCAGGACCGCCATTCCACATATTACTCCCTCCACCAACGGGAGCTCTTCCCAGCCTGCACGGTAAAGCCTACATCCACTGAGGATGTCTCTCAGATTCTTCAACTTGCAGAAACAAGTCAGTGTCGGTTTGCGGTTGCTTCTGGTGGACATATGACATGGAAGGGCGCATCCAATATTGACGATGGGTTTGTCGTCGACCTCCGGGGACTAAACAAGATTGAAATTTTGCCCAGCGAACATACCGCAAAGCTTGGCCCTGGCTCAACTTGGCAGACTGTTTACAAGGAAATGGAGCCTTATAACCTGACAGTTGCTGGAGCGCGGATCAGTGGGGTTGGTGTTGGTGGTTTTCTTGCAGGAGGTAAGCTCTGCTCTACCATACAGTCCGCACTTCTCTGACAGAGATAAAGGGGGATTCGCATTCAAGTCCCAAGCTGTCGGGTTTGGGTCAAACACCGTGCTCAACTACGAGGTTGTTCTGGCAAACGGGACCGTCGTTAATGCTAATAAGCAATCCCATCCGGATTTCTTTTGGGCGCTCAAAGTCGCGGGCTCGAACTATGGCATTATCACCAGGTTCGACATGCGCACTTACCACTCTCCCGCTATATGGGGCGCGGTCAACATATACCCATTTACCGATCAGGTCGTGACCGAAGCGTTTTCCGACTATCAGGCATATTCCCATGACAGCAGTAACACGAATATCTCCAAGGCGGTTGTTCTGGCGCATCAGGGTCGCCAGAAAGTGCTCCTTACATGCATTAGCAGTGACGATGGCACTCCAGTAGACCCTGTTACCAATGCTGAGCCCTTGCAGCATCTAGAGAAGACCGGCAGCACGCATGATGTGGTGAAAGATGTGATTGCAGCAGTTGTCCCCGGTGAAACCCGTGGAGCCTGGGTCCCTTTTACCACGAAGGCCACCACGAATATTGCTTTAGATATGTTTGGACTGGTCGACAAGGTCTACGGGTCACTTTTGGATAAGGAGGGTGTCTCTGTGTGTGTTAACTCGCAGGCGTTTCAAAGGAACTTTATCGAAGCGACTCGTTATAGCCCAGTATACAATGGTCTGCGCCAGAGCAGCGAGGATTTGACATGTGAGCCACTCCCTTTACTCCCTTTACTCTTTTGTCTAATTGGGCGTAGTAAACCTTATAATGGCCACATGGACCGATCCGGCACACGACGATGCCATGAAACGTGCCACAGACAAACTGGGTAAACTGGCCGCAAAGGAGGCTCGTAAGCGCGGCGTCTGGACCGATTTTGTCTATTTGAACTACGCAAATAAGGACCAAGACGTGTACCAGCAGTCGCTTACTCCTGAAGACGTGACTAGGATGATGGGTGTGAGAGATGCGTATAATCCGAAGCGCAGTCTAGAAACGCTGTGGCGTGGAGGGTATAAACTGCCAGCACGCCAACAGTCCTGGTTTAGGGCAAGTGACGAACTTTGAGGGGCTGACATTGTATGTTAACAAAAGATGTGTCAAGAGTAGTGTTGTTGCATTGTTTCTCGATTTCTATCCCTAACACCTGAATATAATCAACTTCAACCGAAATTCATCCATCCCTGTTGAAATAAAGGCAGATGTTCGTAACCTGCAAATTGCTCGATTCCGGCTTCCGCAAAAGACAAGCTAAACCACGCATCCTCTTCTGTGACAGCAGACTGCGTTATGATTGAACCGTCAGCACACCTAGAGTCTACAGGGTTAAAAGGGTTTTCGGTTTCCTCGACTGCATTTCCAGGCGATATGCCCATTTCCACTGGGAATTGGCTCCTCGCCAGAGAGTGGGGTATGTTATTTAACGGGCATGGAGACTGGATCCGACTTTCATGTCCACTATCCCAATTAGTATTCGCATAGTTCGATTGTATTCGGGCCGAATCTCGAATAGAAGCACCAGTCGATCCATCTCTTCCGTAAGCTTCTGCCTCGAAATGGGTATTGCTGGTCGGAAAGTTCGCTTCCAAGGCAGCGTGAAGTTTCTCCCACTGTATGCCAATCGTTAGAAGTAGAAGATCGAAGTTCAACAGTTACCCGACTTACATGATGTTGTAACGGTTGCCAATGTCTCCGAAAAATATCTAGCAGCTTCAGGATCGCTCGCACTGCAATTAAACTGCGGCGCTCCGTTTGTCTACCGTTATGTGTGACCCAATGAGGAATTTCCGTAGCCAATAAAACCATAGCCGTTATAAAAGCACCGTGGCCTACAAGGGGGGCCAGGTGAGTGATATCAGCTTTTTTGTCCAAGTATGGTGTCAATAATCTCTCAAATAGATGCGCATGACATATGACACTTTCGGCGCTGCGTCTAACAGTCTCACGGCTTACTCCTTCGAGAGACGTGCCTGAAAACAGAGGGACGATCATGGAGTGCAGAGCGATCTGGCATTGGTGGTATAGAGCATTGCAAAGGAGCATGAGTCGTCCGCTTTCTGAGGAAATGTCAATTTCAGGAAGCACCGTGTCAAAAACCGATGTCGCTAGGCTGGACAGTTGCTCCACGCAATCCAGTTGCTCGGTTATGGTCATTAATTTTGAATCAGCTAACAGGAGTTGAACTTTCGTCCTGGAACATTGATAGATAGATTAGTATAAAAAGAAAGCGGGATGTCGAAGCAACCAGAAGGACATACCATACGCCAACAATTTTAACCAGCAATGCTGCAGCGACTGGTGATCGAACAGACTCATGAGAATCCACAGGGCGCGAATGCCACTGATTGTCCATCCGCTGGTCTACTATAATCTCGTATCCAAATCCTGTGTCGTGTATGCAAGCAGGGAGTGGCAGCATCTCAACCTCCTGCCAGGCTGACCGGATATACGGTTCAGGCGCTCCTACTATGCAGGTCGACACCCAGCACGCCCAGAAGCATCGACGTTTGAGTTCGGATTGTACCTCGGCATCAGCGGTCAATTTGTTGTATCCAAGGAGTTGGCACGAACGGTGTGCCAATGCTAGTTGCATTAATAGTATTCGTCAAATAATTGCAAGAGCAGCTTACTGAGACATAGATTTGCTGAATATGGGTCACCAACTCCAAACCAATAGTGCTGCAGGCATTGAAGTGCCTGGGTAACCATGAGGGATTGCTCTTGTGCTGCCAATGGCATAGCATCTCTCAGAGCAGCCTTTGCCCATTGGACGCCACAGGGGTAGTACGGGCTTAGAATCCGCAACTCGGACTGCTCTAGCGAGCCTTCCCGCCCGCCTTCGTTCGGCGTGGATAAGAAGCTCGTATCTTCTCAGTAGTGAACCACGAATTAATGGGTCGAGACATACAGCGTGGCCAAGGCAAAGATGGCCTTCAGTAGAACATCATGAAGCCTCCCGTCAAGATAGTCTCTAAATAGTAGGGGTTTGTGAAACATCAGCGAAGCATTGTAGATACGCGTAAAATATACTTCAAGCAGGGACAACCCAATCGCCCGGGGTGGTAGCGGCGGGTCGGAAGTAGAAATCAACCCTGTCCTAGCTGGACAAGTCTTGCGTAGCTGTGTTTGATACGAATGGGAAGAGTCATTTATTGATTCGAGCCCGTTTACGGGTGTCAGGACGGGGGTTGTCCTATCAAATTCGGAGGCTTCTTCGCGTGTTTGAATAGAAGGTGGATGGGACTGATTTCGGCCTAGGCCGCCACCCAGATTTACGCGTCTCGAACTGCGCTGCAGCTTCCGACCCCGGCGACTGGGAGGGCTCGGATAGGCACAGTTGGCTTGGAGCCGCCTACATCGCGTGCATACTGGGCGTTCACGGCTACATTTGAGCTAGTCGATGGTCAGCAAAAGGCAGTGGGCGTTCTGTGGAAATTGCGGCTCTACCTTTTGATCACGACATCGCTGACACGCAGTTACGGAATGAGTAGTGTTCTGGGCCGGTGACTGCGAACTCATGGCTCCAACAGTCGAGCGCTGTTGATAAAGTTGATGGAGATTCGGAGGCTCGGAGACGATAAAGCTGAAGCTGCCCCGAAGATTTACAAAGTCGGGCCGAATTGGAAGTCACCTGACTCGACATTCAGGTTCGCCATACCAGCCAAGACACACCAATGCTGATTATTTACATTCGGTCACACTTAGATCAGAAAAGCCTAAAACGTCAGTTATTCGTGTCTTTACTGACGAGAGGTATTTTTGAGTTGAGGTTGGCAATTGTGGTCAGCGTACATGGGGAACCCACATGAAATATATAATGGAGCCAGGACCTGGCGAGAAGCAAACCCATACGTATCGTAGGCCATCCAAGTAGATGGGCGTATATGATAAATGAACCACGACCGTTGACAATTGTGACAATACGCCACTAACAGCCATATAAGAGTGGATTATCAATATTAAATAGTCCATGATAATGTTATCGGATAGTGTAGTTGTAGAGTATTATATCCCAGTTTATACAGTTTTATTCTCGTGTCCACCTCTATACAATCCAAATTAGACCAGGTCTATCAAATCCTTCGACACCAAATGCGCCTCGCCCAGGACACCCTTGATAACAAGCACCAGCTCATCAATCTTCCCCAGGAACCGAACGTACGATCCCAATGCAACACAATACCTACGGTAGTCCTCGTCGCGCACCATATCCGCACTGAGAAGATACTCCGTCTGATGCGTCTGCCAGAAATCCAGCGCGCGCCGCACAAGCGGAGTGGGGAGGATTTCTGGGGGTGCATCGCCTGTTCGTAGCGCTTGCTCGCAGACCCCGAGAACGGCCATTATCTCGCCGATGCAGCGGTGGTCCAGGATGCCCATTTGCTGTGCGAGACGGTCTTTGTATTCCTGTGGCAGGGTGGCTGATGCCGCGATAAGGCGAGCGAGGAAGCCATTTAAGGCGTGGCAGAGCTGTTTAACCTGCCCGAGACTCTTAGAGTCAAATTGCGAGCTGGAGAACTCGAAGCGGAGGTTGTAGATCATGGGCTCGAGGAGGACGAGGGACTCGGTGAGCTCGAGCCAGATTGGTTCCGTGATGGTTTTGCCTTCGTTGCCTGCGCGGCCCCAGCAGGAGAGGAGGAGGGCGTAGTGGTCGGATAAAGTGCGTAGAGAGCGAGAAAGAGATTTACAGACGTGGCGTGAGGCAGAGGGGGGATGGGGGAGCATCTGGACGATTGTCGCTGCGCCGATTCCGATCAGGACGAGGAGTAATCGCCGCCAGAAGACGTTGTATCCAACACCTGGGTCTCCGTATGTAGGATTGTGCCTGAATTGTCAGTTATATTCGGCGCTCGGTTATTGCAGGATAACTTACGTATCAACATAGCTGTAGGCGACCACTAACAGGAAAGTTGCGGCACCCATGATGCCTCCAGCAAGGAGATTGGGAGGAAGGTAGAGGCGAATCCAGAGGAAGATTATCAGCATCACAGCGAGGACAGCCGACAAGCCATACGGATTGCCTGGGCCATTTCCAGAGCCAATATACCACGCCAGTAAGCCCAGGACACCTCCTCCGATGGTACCAGCAAGTCGAGCGAGAACCGAGAATGTAAAGTCTGCCATGTAGACCAAAAGACCCGTCTGAGCCATGATCAACCCCCAAAACCCCTTCTCACGATAAAAGAAACCAGCAGTGTGTGGCAGAACGGCAGCTATGGACACTGCAATGGTAACAACGACCATCCTCAGAGCATACAGTCCTTCATCGCAGGTCAACCAGTGATATGTCCCAATGACAGCTTTACCTAGAGGATGACGGGTTCGAGGTCGGTATCCACGACGAATTCGTAGCTTCTCCTGCGCAGACTGTGTAGCATCACCAGCGGAGGCTTGATCGGGGTCGTCGTCGCTGGCTGGTGCGAGTGTAGGGGCCTTGTCCTTCTTTCCGAGCATCCATCGAGCTGCGTATTTCAGACTCGTTGGCCACCAAAGGCGTATTCGAGTGGCTTCAGGAAAGACGTCTGACATGCGGGCTAGAAGACCCTCTGTCTTGTCCAGTGCATTTGCCATATGCTCTTGGAAGTTCATACATATTATTATGCCTGCCACCTGATCTGCTCGAGTATTTTCGTCTGGGCCATCATTTTCAAACAGCTGGGCATACCCGGTAATAAGAGACTCTGTCATGTCATGTAGAAAGGATGTTTTGGTTTGTCGCAGTTTCTCGAGCACGGTCTTCGTCCGCTCATACAGCTCTTCATGTGCTGTAGGAGAAGCTTTGTGATACCAATGCTGCCGCTCAACAAACCGGACACATTCGCCTGTAGCACGAATTCCTTCTAAGCAAGCATCCATGGCGGCGGTGCTATGGCGAGTGAATTCATTCGCCACATCGGGATCGACAGAGTGGTCTTCCGTATATTGCAGCCCTTTGACCAAATCGGCCACCTGTGCAAGATGGTGTGCGCCCACTTTCCATTGTTTGTTCGCTTTCTTCTCTTTCTTATGCTTTTTCTCCTGGTCCCTCTCAACGAGTTCCTTAGTGTCACTTGGTGATTTGTTCAGCTCCTGGGTCTTGAGGCGACTTTCAATGGCGCTTTTATGGAACTCTGCGAGCGACAGGATCACCGCCGACAGCTGTCGCATCGGCTCTTTGAAGGTGGCAACTGTCTCAGCCCCCCAGCTTCCAATGGAAAAATCAAGTGGTAGAAACCCAAACGATGGGTCGAGCTTCCTATACTGCCCTATTATTTTAGTCCGTCGGTTCTGGAGCTGTTGGGGATCTAGTGGTTCAGATTCTTTGCTGAGAGCGGAAGCAGAGTATTGCAATGAGTCTTCCATTAGTCGCAGTAAATCTCCAATGCCTTCGAGGACAATATCGGACGTGGATTGCGGGAAAAAGAGAATTGAACAGGCGAATCCAAGCCCAGTGCCTGCAGCAGCAGGTTTCACGAGGGCCAGAGGCAGAGTACCATTGAAAGAGGGCAGCAGGGGCCCATAGCACAGGAACAGATCGGTGATGATGATACCAAAGATCGCAGTAAAGGCCGTCTTCGGATTAGAAGCCCTCAGGCGCGACTATAATTGGTTAGTTGATGCAGGAGTATATGCAGCTGCGCAAGGGGTGGGATATACAAGAAAGTAGATGAAGACGCATAACATGCAGTACACAACAGCAGTCACCCGCGCATCCAACATCCAGCCATCGTAGATCATGCGCTGAGCAATCCCTGCGGCTGAGGATCCAGTCGATTGCGCCTCGGTCGCAGCAGCCTGTTGCAGGGCTGCTACTCGAGCCTGAGTGTCTGCCTCTGGTCTGGCGGCCAGAGCGGCCTTCATAGTGATGACGCCCCATGCCCATGCAAGGCCAATTCCAATGTACAGACTGAGCGATCCGAGAATGAAGACAAACAGTACACCAGAAGGGGGCAGCATAAACAACACCAGACTGGGGCCGTTAGCACAGCTAGAATTGAAGCATGGAGAGACTTACCAGGCAAAAAACGTTGCAGAGCCGAAATTGTCAGCGACAGGGCCGATGAAAATCAACAGAGCAGCGACCCAAGCGGCGGCCCAGCAGCGAAAGAAGATCTTAAGATCGCGCGTGTTGAAATGGTCCAGGAATGCTGGCAGGCGCCGCTGTTTGGGGGGACTGCCATCAATGCGATTGGACATCGCGAGAATATTTGCAGATGCAGAAAACAAAAGAAGCAGAAGCAGAATCTGGAGATGGATGGAGATCAGAACGATCAGAACGATCAGAACGTGGAACTGGAGATGCAACATTGGGATCTGCATAGGCAACGTTATGCAGGCAATTTGTGCGTGACTCAGCGCTGTGCTGTGCATAAACCCACATCTTATTCAGGGATTTCCCACAACTCCAGCAGATTTTGTGCACAAACAACTCGGGCGGGGCAAAACCGACCGACCGGAACTGACAGTCGCCGACAGTCGCCGACAGTACATGACTGTTCCTGGCAGCCCCTGACTCTCAAGCAGTATCGGCCCTCGCTAGTAGGCAATAGTCCAGATCGAGATGGTCCGTGCCAGTGCATAAATCCATGAAGCCCGGCCCGGTCTGACTCCGCGGGGTCTGCCGATGCAGTAGATGTAGAGCCTCGCCATTTGACACTTGCATCTCCAGACTAACATCCGAGCTGGCGAAGCCTGTCCCCTTGTTGGGCGTTAAGGTACAAATATATGGGCTTGACATGGCCGGGACATCTGTGGACACTGCCAGTTGCAATAACGCGATGAATCGAGAATGAACAACAGGATCATAGAAGGAACCGTCCCCGAACGTGCATATATAGTCTGCCCAGATGTTCGAAGCTGTGCCGGTAGGAATGCCGATTTTTGTTTTGATCTGATGGACGGATCGGGCCGTGTTATGAAGCCAGCGAGTCATGTCGAATCTATATTAATATAGTGTAAGAACTGTTTTGTCATATTAGCCAGCTGCCAGCCCCACTGGCTAAGTAGACAGCTGCTGCTTAGCTCTATGGCAACTTTCGAGGTTGCATATCATCCAACGGGGTTGGCAAATATAGACCCAAATGGCGTAACTCGATCAGACCGGGTGGAAAAGGCGATCGTGAAGGACCACTGTTATAGGAAGGAGATGGCGGATACCGCGGCGAGCCCGACAGCTTCACGTAACAAGGTATCCTTTCGCCATATCACTGGCTATTGCGTGCTGAGCACTCCTTATTAGAAGTAAACACCACGGTATAAGGATACGGGGTGCAGCAGCACTATGCGCATCACATACCTTTAATAGAACAAGCGTATTGAGACCTCGACAAGATGTTTTTGACCCAAAAGTGACTACTTCTGTTGCCGGTATAGAAGCCCAGAAAGGTAAGAAATTTCCGACTGCACCGCGTGGAGGATTTTGGGCTCGGACTTGCGCAATAGCATCCCTGAACTGATGCCATTCGGGGTTTTGCAATCGCATCGCGCACTCTGGGCAGCCATTGCTTTATGTGGAGTGGAATTATTTCGGGTTCCTGAACTGTCTTGTCCGATTATTTATTGACAATTCCCACATTTGATCCCTGAAAAGAGGGCAAACGGCAGCATGATGCACTCGACATAGCTGCAACCTTCATGGTTTAGCCAAAGAATGGGCAGACATTGACGTATTCCTGGGGATATTTGTTAGACCGACGTGAGTTACTAGTTAACATTCCAGCGAAGGTTTTGCAAGACAATTGTGGCGCCAGTTGTACCATTCGCCCCTCCGATGTTGAAATCGCCGGCGATCCACAACGACTCCTCTTGAGATTACACTTTTCCTGGACAAGGAAAGCATAACGTGAGACGAGACAAAAAGAAAAAGGAAGGCCAACAGGAAAAGTGGTGTGGTATATAGCAGGCTCGTGCGGCGCATCTTGTATCCCTGTAATGTGCCTACTCCTAGCTCTTTTCTCCCACCATCAATCCCAATGTCCTGGCGAAAACCATTTAGCGACCGCGCTGGTGAGCCGGGTACTGTGATTGAAACCCAGATAGATCATGGACGCGCTCATTATATCGGCGAAAGGGGAGGAAACGATGCGCCGCCGACATATCAAGATGCCTCCGGTGCTCCGGTTGAGAACAAATCCCCATTGGGATACGCTGTCGGCCCTGCTACAATTACCTTGCTGAATATCACGATGATGATTGGCGCGGGTATCTATTCTACGCGTGAGTAAGGCCGGCCTATACTTGGATGTGAGCTGATATGGACAGCGTCCTCTATTCTGTCTGGTACTGGGTCTGTTGGTGTTAGCTTTGTTTACTGGACCATTGGTTACTTGGTATGTTTTACTTCTAATAAGAAGGTTACGCTGACTGACGTGTTAATTGGACAGTTATGTCTCTCCTCTGGAGCCGTCTATCTCGAGTTTACAGCATACTTCCCCAGTCGATCGGGCTCAGAAGTCGTCTTCCTTGAACAGACATATCCCCGTCCAATGTGGCTGTTTCCAACCACGTTCGCAGTTCAGAGTGTGATTCTTTCGTTTGGAAGTGCCAATGCCACTGGTGAGTCAACGCTATTATCCAATGGAGGATATTAACAGTTGTCTAGTCATGGCCAACTACCTTATCGCCATCTCCGGCCACGAAGGGACCGACTGGCAGGTCAAAGGGACAGCCCTAGCATGCTACACTCTCGCTACATTGGGTAAGCCAGCAGCCTGAATAGTTTGTCCGAGTACTGACGAGGCCAGCCTTGGTGTTCAACACGAAGTACGCATACTGGTTCTCAAATGGGGTTGGGATTGTCAAGATCTGTACCCTAGTCTTCGTTATTCTCACTGGGTTTGTTGTTCTGGGAGGCAATACCAGGGTTGAAAACCCAAAGGCCAACTTTCAGGATGCGTGGTCGGGGAGTGCTTCAGCCTCTGCCTACGGGATGACGACTGCCTTGTACCGTATCATCTTCTCGTACGGGGGCTACTACAATGCTTTCAATGTTGCCAATGAGATCAAGGTATGACTACTACAGTATATAATGTACGAAGGTTTCACTGATGTTTGATAGAACCCTGTCAGGTCACTTAAGATTTACGCCACTGTTGCGCTTACCACGGTTTACGTGCTATACATGTTCGCAAATGTCGCCTTCTTCGCTGCTGGTGAGCTCTCTAGTCGTGGCATCGGGCAATTAACAAACTAATACGATATTAGTCCCCAAAGATGAACTGGCAAACTCCGAGCTCACCACTGCAAGCCTTTTTTTCTCCAAGGTGTTCGGAGACGGCGCCGCAGTCCGGGGCCTGAACTTCTTGATTGCCCTGGCTTCTTTCGGAAACATGATTTCTGTGATAGTTGGGCTCTCCAGGCAAATTAGGGAATGTGGCCGACAGGGAGTCCTGCCATGGACTACATTCTGGGTATCGACCAAGCCATTTGGCACGCCATTGGGACCGTACGTTGTGATTTGGTTTATAACTATCCTGATGATCCTCGCCATTCCGGCAGGAGACGCCTTCACTTTCGGTCAGATTCCACAAGAAATAACTAAGCGACACATATAAGCTGACTGAGATAGTGAACGACTTGAAAATCTTCCCTACCGCTGTATTCAACCTCGCCATGGCTGTCGGCGTCTACGTTATTCGCTGGAAGCGTAAGAAGGCCAACCTCCCAGAACCCGAATTCAAAGCCTGGCATGTGGTGGTTATCTTTAATATCCTTGTCCAGCTCTACCTACTTGTGATGCCGTGGTACCCTCCCGCCGGTGGCCAGTATGCTGGGGATGTCAGCTTTTGGTACGCCACGTACGTGGTGACAGGAATCGGAGTGTAAGTAAAAGTCCGAGTGCGGCCAAGTTTATTTTTGTTAACTGCGACAGTCTCGTGGCGTGCGCCATATACTACGTGCTCTGGGCGTATATTATCCCTAGGATCAAGGGCTACACCTTGAGACAGGAGCTCATCAGTCTGGAAGGCGGAGCTCAGAGCAACCGGCTTAGGAAGGTGCCTAATGCTGAGGTTGAAGAATGGGATGCAACGCATGATGCAACAGGCCGTCCCATTGAAACTACCGCGGAGCAGATTCAGGTTCAGGGTAAGGATACTGGGGATTCTTCAGATAACAACTCGGACAAGGAGACAAAAGGGCCCATTACTACGGAGAGCGGCGGAAATGTGTAGTCAAGGCGCACCTACTCAATGGAGCTGGTGTAGTTTATATATAGTCAGTCACTATATGACCTTGCGTAAGATTATGCCGTATAGACGCATTCGAGCTACTCACGAGCGGGTGACTTTCCTCGTAATAGCCATATATCCCACTTATATCTTGTTAAAGAAGACATGGTTACTTTTTCTTTCCCGAAGCCTCGTTCCACATCTGTACGGCATCACGGACGGTGTGCCTCTGCATGTCTGGGAAGAGCCTATTCACAGCCAGGCCAGTATCCAAATCCATCTCGCGATCGATAACTCTCACACCAGTCGCAGCTATCATTCCGATCATATATGACCAATCCATCCCAGCAGGCAAAAGGCTGTTATATATCGGTAATGGAATACACCTATTCTTGAGTAGTTCCTCCTCGCTATCATGGTGCCTTTCAAACGTAGTGCCTTTAATTTCTTCGGCAATTCTCACGGCGTCGTTAAGGGACAAACGGTCACCAATAAGGTGATAGTGTGTCTCCCATTTCGGCAAATCCTGGATAGCGGCGACATAGCGAGAAATATCGATTGTATGAGCCATTGAAATAGTGGCATTACCGTCTCCCGGTAGCGCGGCGAAGTTATTTTCAAGGTCGATGAAGACAGGAAGGGAATAGACAAGGGGCGTTGAGACCAAGGGAGAAGTAAGATAATCGAGGAACAGGCCGTTGGAGAAAAGCGTGTACTCCAGCAAGCTATTAGCGAGGCGTTCGCTAGCCTTCAGCTTCCAGCGGCACGAAGGTAGGGCCGCGATATGTCTTTAATTGGAAAAACGTTAGTTTTGACCATACTATAACCACGTAGCAGTAAGAGTACTTACTTCTCCTTATACACAATGCCGAACTCACTGGGCATAAATCTGCGGGTGGATTTGGACCGCTCGGCCGCTTCGATGAGATTCATTTGGGACTGGCCACCACCATTCTCCATGGATAGAGCTGAGATGACGGTATGGATGTTGTTAGACTCGAGCACCGTTTGCAACTCCTCAATGCTGCTATAGTCGACAGCAAGGTACCGCGCATCACCGTCAAGGGCTTTGCGGCTAAGAATCCTGACCTCATGGGAGCCGTGCGATTCGAGACCTTGCACGAGGGCGCTCCCGAGGCCCTGCGAGCCACCAGCAACAGCGATTTTGACCATGTTGGAGGGAACTTTTGACTTTTCTGGGATGTTAAAGCTCACTAGGGCTCAGCGGTCCTAAGTGTTTTATATAGTTTGGCTGAACGGATTCATGTGGCGTTTCCTCACATAGAAACGGGAGCGTCATGCTCGGGATGCCTCATCTCCGTGATGCTATACCCACTTTTTGGTGTGCTTCCGGCCAGCCGGCCACTAGCTTACCTAGTTGGCTCGGTCCGCTTGACATCCGGCTCTCTGGATCAAGTTGGGCCTTGGGCAGCCAATTAAAATAGAGCCTTGTTTAGTTCCCTTATGCGTCCCACTGAAGTACCACGAAGCCATTGGTGCATTGAGTAATACCCGGCAAAGGAATGAAAGCAGTCATATTCGAAGTATGAACCTTGATAAATACTATTATGTATACTATCGAACGATCGAGGCCCTGGGGCTGGAATCGACTAATCTACACTGCTGCTCTCCTCGTTTGCTGACTCCCGGAGACTCTGTATATACGCCTCCGACTGAATTGAGAGGCGAAGGCGGGTTAAATCAGACCATCATAAATTCTGAGAATGAGATCGCGGAGTGGACCGTTGACCACGCGTTTTTTCAATTTCGCACGGAGATTGAAGCCTTCTGCATCCAGCTTTTCCTTCCCGGCCTCAAAGACTGGTCGGTTCCAATGACACCATAAAAACGTATCGATCACTAGACGCTCATCGTTCATAAGACCTGTAATTTCTGATGGAAATAACTTCCGCAGGATACAGGCGCCATACTCCGCAGGATCTCTAGCCCAGGAAAGTAACCATTGGGGTGTGTTTTGAAAGTCTCCCGATATATGTTCTTTGATGTAGTCCTCTAGGGCCACAGCGTAGATGGACCTGAACTCATCACTAATTGCCACGAGTCTTTGATGCGAGCACCGAGCAAGCAGAGCCGAAAATTCAGCTTCCTTGCCCTTATGTGGTATGGTATCGTGCAGCGTGCGAGCATCGGCCTCGATCCCTGCGGTGTCCCGAATATCGGACCCGTCATCGGGCCTGGCAGTCTCCATGTATAGTCGAAGGAGCTGACGGGTCCGTTTTTGATAGCAATTGATGAAGTCCTCGACAGGATAGCGGTACCTATCCTGGTGCGTCTCCTTAATCTTTGCAAGCTGTGCAGTCGTTCGATAGAATATGACCTCAGCACATAACCGGTGAGTGGGTGCGTCGGCCTTCAGAATTATCATGCGCAGACGGTTGATATCGTTCCACACTGGCCCTAGCATTAACGCCACGATGGCTTTTTTGAACAGCCCTGTGGTCGTCCATTTAAGGGTTTTCATAAGGTCGTACCGGTATATCTGTTTTGTGGTTTCCTGAAGCAGTTCTGACCGTCCTGGAATTAAGCATGTCGATAACACGATTCGCGTGATGGTGACGTTGTCCTTGCGCCAGCCGCTCATGGCTTTGTCCAGTGCTCTGGCATCTTCTTCAACCTGGGCCAGGACTGAAGGGTCATCCTTGGCAGGAATTGGTGTGGCTGAATGTGCTGTTTGAGTATAATAGGACATTATGATCGTGGTGATTACAGTCAACAGAAAATATCAGGACAGGCTTGAGCCTTTTATGTCAAGGCTCAAGACTCATCACAGAATACGAGGCCCAAGCGAAGGACTGTCTGCTTCGGGAGTATGCAATGAACATCAGCCTCCGATCTGCAGTATGGCGGGTCTCTTTCTCGTATCTCCGCACAGCCACAGGGCCTATTTACGGAACAACCGACAGTATGGGTGGTTCGATACACACTGGCCTTGACATGAGCCTCATCGCTTCTGTAAAACCATCCCATGACGGCCGCCGATGTCAACACCGGGCTGAAGATCAATGATCAAATGGTGGCTGGTACCCCCAAAATATCAATCCCCCGAGTGCACCGCCACGGTTCACTGGCCCCACGACCAAAAATTCAAGATACCTGTCAGGATCTAGTCCGGAGTATTCATATTCTCCGTTAACCACTGTCATTAACTAAAACCCGGTCCAACCTGACCCTAATCTGGAATGGAGGGCTTGACTTTTATAATTAAGTGTAAGATATAGTGCTTACTCCTACTCGCAGGCCCTGCAATCTATATCACCCAAAAGTAGCTGTTGCTAATATATATTTCCCTACGATATACGGCTAGCACCGCCAAGGAGCTACGTAATATATAAATATTATACTCAGCCAACCGACAAAGCCCTCGCCCGCTTGAGATCTGTACCGTCGGGCCCTTTTGAGCAATTTTACATATTAGAGCCATGGTAATCAGTTCTCACGCTTGTGCGGTCGGGGGGTCTGGGTTACCCAAAATACCCAAGGTGAGCATAATTGTTGCATAATTGTTGCATAATTGGATGAGCCATTAATTATATTTTCGGTAACTAATTAATTTGACAGAACAGGATTCTGTAAAGTTTCGTCCACATGTAACGGCCATTATCCAAAGGACGTATGCCAACAACTGCCTAGGGATTGAAAAGCAAAAGAGCCATCTGCTGCCCCTGGTCCTCACACTGGAACCGATTACATCAGTTTGAGAGTAATTCTATTAGTCTTTACTGGTGGTCTTCTGGTTTGCTGATTCCCGAAGGGTCTGCATATACGCCTCTGACTGCGCGGCATATTTGCACCGCTTTCGAATAATCTTGCCTTTCTTGTAGAGAACAAGAGGGAAAGGAACGCAGGCTAGTGTGAGAAACGCAGGTATTGACGAAGCCCAGTGAATCCCAAGACCGTCGTACATATATGTCGTGAATAATGGAAAGATAGCACCGAAGCCAGACCGCATAACGGAATTAGCAGCAAGTACTGATGCCGCGAAGATCGTGTATGAGTCTATCAAATAGCTCAAAATACCGAGATATACCAGGATGACTCCGAAGCCAAATGGAACACAGGCCGCAATACTAGCCATCCAATGAACAGAAGGAGAGCTGGTCCATGCGAACCAGAAAAGGCCAGCAGGAATGGCAATTGATGCCAGTATAACTGGCGGCAAGCGAGCCTCAGGAGGGGCGCAGCCATTGTGTCTGTCAAAGACTTGCAGATACCGCTGATTATCATATATAGTGTAGATGCTTGCGAGGATCATGCCGACCATAATGCCCAAGAATGAAAGACCCCCTACGCCCTCATTCCACCCCCGTCCCTCCTGGTAGACTATAGGGAATGCACCAAATGTCATAAAGAGGGCTCCGTATATAAGCGCAATATAGATAGACAGCAGCAACACGATAGGCTCTCGGAATAACAGAACCCACGGGCGCGACAACGACTTGCGCAGTATTTCTCCGAGGCTGGCCCGCTGGCCCATATCGAGCCTTGCCCGGTACACCTTCCCAGTTCATCGCGAAAGTCGTTCTGCTCTCCGACGCAGAAGAATGGGGGCATATGTCTCTGGCACAAATAGGGCCATAGTGAGCCACGAAAGGCCGGCCAGCGCTGCAAGGAACCCTTCCACCCAACGCCAGCCCGCATTCATTCCTAGGAAACCACCGATAATCGGCCCCAATGCAGGACCCATGAATGGACCGGCCGCAAATAAACTTAGGGCTAGTGCACGCTGCCGAGCTGGGAACATATCACCAATGACACCACCGGCGTTGGTCAAGGGTGCCGACCCAAAGGCGCCGGCGAAGAACCGCAGGACAATCAAGCACTCGATATTGGGGGACGCAGCACAGCCAGCGAGCAGAACAGCCATTGCGCCAAAGGAGAGAATAAACGGATACTGTCGTCCAACTACCTCACTTAGAGGCGCCCAGAATACAGGGCCAAGTGCAAATCCAAGCACGAACAGCGACAGACCCAAAGTCGCGACCTCCCTGTCAACGTCCAAGTCCTCAATAAGCTCCTTCATGCAGCCAGTGTATGCGGACGACGCGAGCGCAACAACCAGTGTTGCAAAGGACACGATCAGTGTGATCACGATCTTGCGAGTCATACTGAGCAGCATGGGGTCGCGGAAGTCGTTATCGAGCCAGGCGACAACATACGGGCTTTCTTCAGTACCAGACCCAGGATGCTCATGGCCTAGCACCGTCTGAGTGACGGCTCCCTGGTCTATAACAAGCTTCCATGAGGGAATCGGCCCTTTATCGGCCCTTTTCTCCCTTGGTATTCCGCGATCGCGGGTGGAAAGTTTCATTTGCTTCACGCAGCCAGCTTGTAGCAGATTCGGCAAGTTGAAGAGGATTTCAACGTGCGGGAAGCAAGGTTAGCAGAAGCTGGCCGAGTGGAAACAAAAATTTTAAACGAATGCATTTCTGTAATTGTTAGCGGGGCCAGGTAAACCGTTGTAAAGGTAAAACCGCATGTTCGGATATACTCCATACTACTTATGAGCAACGGAACCCGCATAGTGCAACGTCGAGGCCGGCACCAATGCAGCAGAGCGCTCATCCTATCAAGCAGTTGTTGACTTTGTCCTTTTTCGACTTGTTGTGCGGCCCTTCTGCCAGCCATCCGTATCGTGCACGCTGGCGGATGGTACTGTCGGCAATGCTCGGGAATGAGACCGGCTATTGGAGACTTACTGCCAGTCCTCTGGTAGTATTGGTTGAAGTACTTTTAGTACTTGTATTGATCTCCACCAATACAGGACAAAACTGACGTTTCTGATGAGCGAGTTGTATCCCACAGCTCCCGTCGCGGGGGTCGTCGCTACCTCTTAACTTTATTCTACCTGAACTTCGACAGTGAAGTCGCAATGGATTAATTTATCATTAACGAAACCGGCATGGAGAAACTGAGTTAATGGCTACTACCTAACAGTACGGAAAACTATAGTCTTTGTCAACATGTTAAACCATATCAAAAGGACATCTGCTGCTCCATCCACAACCGGCCAGGGATTGAAGGGCAACAGTCATCGCTACCTCCGGTACTCACACTTAAACCAAGTTTAGCGCAGCGAGAGTCTCCTCCAACCGCCTGAGCCCGAGTTCTAACATGGAACGGGGATACGAAAACGTGATACGGAACCATCCAGTGCTTCCTTCAGGCAGGAAGTTCTGCCCGTCCCCAATATTAACACCTCGCTTGCGACATTCGTCTATGAGCTGCGCCGGTGTGACAGTGCTCTCTTCGCGAAGGATCCGAACCCAGATAAAGAGTCCGGCATTTCTGTTATTACGCATGAGTCATGGCCGATCAGACTATACACGAATAGGCAGCACAGTACTCACCCTCCATGATAATACTCAATCTTCAAGTCGTCCAGCCACTTAGTGACATGTTCGTAACTGGTTGCAAGGCGATCACTGTTCTTTTTCAGGAAGTCCTTGGTGGCTGTCTTGTCTTCAAGAAGGCGAGCCCACATGTCCTGGGCAAGATAGGACGGCCACGAGAATAGACTATGGATCCTTTTAGCGATTTTCTTGTTGTCTCTGTATAGTGGCAGTCGGCTTACTTGACACCAAAAGCTGCCTTGATCATCTCTTCATTTCGCGAATGTAGCGCACCGAGTCGAAGGCCACTTGCCCCGAAATCCTTGCTCATTCCATACATGACGTGAACAAGATCGGGGTCTATGGTACTGTTCAGATTCAGTGAAAGCACCGAAGTAAATGTAGTGGCGTTCGTCGCGTTCTTGTTTTCAAACACGGAGTTGGCGTATATTTCGTCTGAAATGAAGTGGATTTTGTGCTCACCGCAGAAGCTGGCAATTGCCTTCAATGCTTCCTCGGACTACGGAGAAATTAGCAACTAGTAACGGGTTCTCGTTAGTCCCAAGGGTGTCCACTAACGTAGCAGCGTCCTAGAGGGTTATGCGGACTGTGTTGTCATGGTAAGCCTCAGTTACGGAACTCGAAGGAAGGCAGAGCATACTTGGCAATCATAACAGCACGCATGGTTATGTTTTGCTTTTGATGGTCCGCCCAGGCCCTGTCCAACGACTTTCTAATCATGACTGGATCAAAGACGTCGTCCAAGGAATATCCACGGTCTGCCCAAACAAAAGAGGCGTTTATGAACTTGGCGTGACCACGGAAGTGTATATCTGTCGGAAACCCATTGTATAATGGCTGAGGAATAATGATACCTTCATTATCGCTGCAGGTATTCCAGGCTATAGAATCGATCAATGATGTCACACCAGAAGCAACAATGATCTCGCCCTTGTTTACGGGGGTAAATGGATCGAAGTATTCATTGAAGTACGTAGCAAGAGCCTCACGAAGCTTGGGGGAGGCCGCTGCTCCTTGTCCGTAGGTTAGGTGGTAAAGAGGATCAATGGTGAACTTGTCCAAGACCGGTTAGCACCAGGATCACGATCTCAATAGGGTATTCCCTTACGTTTTCCTTCAGATACGCGGCCAGTTCGTCTTGGATCAGCCAGTTTTCGGCAAGGCCTAGATTGATGCTATGATAACCTGCTTAGAATATATTTTTGGAGCACAGCGTTGGAAACATACATCCCATTTGGGAATCTTGTCGGCTCGTAGGGCTTGGAAAGAACATTCTGGCTGAGAGACTCCCATCCCTTGTTGTCATCGATAGTTATTTGACCCCGAGGGGATATATAGTCGATTGCACTGTGTTGGATGGCTGTAGCACAGCAAAGCCATGCCGCAAGAGCCAGGACGGAGTACTTCATGATTTCAAGGCCAGCACTAATGAAGATAGCTCTTTCCCTAGATTGACTGCAAGGACATGCAGGGGTTAAGTAGGATGATCACCCATTACCAGCAGCAACTATGCTATGTTGATCTGGTCGTCAAATATGGGAGGCACATATCATCCATTCCGTCAGCCTGTCCCAGAAAAGCCACATAGTCGGCAGACTATCAACAAATCTCCACTCTAACCGGTTGCCTCTTTTTGAAAATGCCTGGCAATTATAAGGAGATTATCACCTAGTGTGGTCGTCTGAAAGGGAATCTCTCATTGTTGGCCCTGAATCGCGTCATGTATTACCAGCAAAGTCGAATATCTATTAGATGGAGAAATCTTTGTTGACAGATTATTGTTATTATTCTGAGTATTATCTCCCCCTTTTGCCAGACATGTAAGCTACCCACAAGACACTGTCGGTGGATCTCACAGCCCATCCGTGCATGCCCATCGTCCTAGGGTGGTCAAGAATCCTAATGTGACCATGGGGGAGAGAAACAGGGCACTGTTGAATCAGGCAACTGCCGACTCTGCAGCATGGCAAAATACTGAAGAGTTCCTGGGTTCACACTGTGACACGCATGGGGTTCCCTGGTATGCAAAACCCCATTCGCGTATGTTGTACTACATGGTTTACCAACCGTCCTCTGTTTTCTATCCCAGTTATTTGGGTGCGGGACGGCGCGAAAAACAAATAAACAGCGTGTGGATCTAAACGGGCCTATGGTATTATGATAAGGAATAACATGCTTGGGAACGTACAACGTCCTCCGCACGGGGAGAGACCCATTGACTGTGAGCAACGTGTTTCAAGTAATCAACAATAATCTTATGAAATTACTGAAGGCAGTCATTGTCATGGACGCACTCCATGTATTCAGACTCTATATCAGACACGACGGATGTCCTTTAATGGAAATATATGTTTAGCATGGATTATACTAGCAGGCATTTCAGGAGACCCCTCACAAACAACCGAAAACTCGGGATTGATATATCAGGGTAGTATTTCGCTGCCGTGGCAATTATGTTGCCAGTGTGCAGGGGCTTTCCAGAAATACAGGGCGCCAGTCAGGTTATTTGCCAGCGTCAGATACCTGGGCCTTCACTTCTGTAGCTGAAGTGAGAACCACAGGGTTAACATACTATTAACAGACATTGCAAGACTAGCAGACGATCTGTCATACACATACAGTAAGCAACGATATTGCATAGACACCAATAATCAGTGGAGGGGTTACTTACGGCTCTAGGCTAAGCCATGATTGCTTTCCTTCAGGCATCACACCAGATATAAGGCCAGACGCCAAGCACAGAGCGACAGCATTGTAGACGAGCGAGAACGATAAAATCTGGTGCATGCGGCGGCTGGTAGCCCGTATGAGCCCGAGGGCGTAGCTGACCCGCTCCATATCATGTATTTCGGGCCCATTCTCAGTATTGGGTAAGAGGATAGCATCTGCTTCTGATTGCAGCTGGGAGAGTATATTGTTACGAGAAGGTGGACGATGGAATAAGAAAAAACCAAACGTGGCAGCAAGCAAACCCGGGATATCGTTTGCGTTGTCTCCTACCATGACTGTATGGCCGCACTGCCCTTCCAGACGCTGGATCTGCTCTGCTTTTTGGTGTGGAAGCAACGAGGCATAGACATTGGAGGCTGGAATACCAATACACTCTGCAACGGCGGTCGCTGGGGCTTTGCTGTCGCCTGTCATGATGAAAGTACTCAAACCACGGCTGTGGAGTGTATGGATTAGGTGACTCGCACCTTTAGCAATGGTGTCGGTATACGCAATCCGGCCAGCAAGAGCATTATCGATGGCGATGTATACATTACCTACTGGTAAAAAGGACTTGGGCCGGTCTGGAAGCTCAGTGGCAATGTAGATGTTATTCATCTGTAGAAGGCGCTGGTTGCCCACAATGACATTGAACTTTGCCCCTGCGTGTGAGACAATGCCAGTCATACCGAGGCCGGGGCATTCCTCATGGGACAGGAGTTCGATATCTCCAAAATCTTCCTTATCTTCCCTTTGAAGTTGTGCACAGAGTAGACGAGATACAGGATGTTCCGACGATCGTGAGAGGACTCCCACCAGGTTCCAGAAAAGCTCGCACTGAGCACCATCTGACCAATCATTCTCCAGATATGAACCTTGAATTTGAAGCTCTCCTGTTGTAAGAGTCCCTGTCTTGTCGAATACAATGGCTCTAGCGTTTGCGCTGTTGTCGATATGAAATCCAGGATTAAGCAGGATACCGGCTTTGGAGGCAGCAGCTGTAGTCATCGTCAGATCTAGCTAATGTATAGCGGATGGAAGAACGAACGTACAAACAGCAGACATCAGACAAGCGGACATGCCCATGTCCAAAGTACAGGGGCACGCGCACAGCAGCACCGTCGCAATCCGAGTCAGGACCATTTGGATAGAAGCACCCTGAGACCAATGATAAACTCCAGCTACTGTAGATATAATGATCACTATAACAGAGAATCGACCAAGTAAACGATCAGCAAAATGGCTCATGTTGGATTTTGCTTCGCCCGACTGCGCCATTGCTTTGAGTGTTTGACCCAGCCAGGTCTCACTCTTCACTGCGCAGACCTCTATGAACACCACTCCAAGGCCATTCGATGAGCCAGCATAAATGGAGGCACCAGGGTCAATTGACTTTGGTGTCAGTTCACCATTAATGACTGTCTCGCGGACCGAGGTGTGACCTTTGACGATGTTGCCATCTACAGGGAAGTTCTCTTGCGGGTCAACTCGGATAACATCACCACAGCGCAGCATATCAATAGGAACTGAGACAGTGTCCTCACCCATGCAACCAGCATTCCTCATTAAATTCGCGGACTGCGGCAAGGCAGATGCTAATGCGGCCGGATACTGGCTGCTGCGTTGCGAGAAGTGGCATTTCGTAACGCGGCCCCCTATTATGACCGTCATGAGCAGACAGGCGGACGTCATGCTGAACTGCATCGAGGCAGAGTTGTTATTCTGAGTCAAAGCATCTAGGTCTCCATACAAGCCGGCTACTAGGGTGGCAATGAGACCACAGGATGATAGAAGCGACGCGTTCGGGCGACCACGCATCGTGGCCCTCCAGGCCTCCTTGTGGATGGCTGCACTCAGCCAGATACTCGGAACAACGATGATGGATCTGATCAGAAATAGTGATACCGGCGATAATATCCTACCACCAACTACTTCGACTATGAAAACAAGCCCACTGAGAGCTGCGGACAAGGTGAACGCCCGAGTCCATTCTCGCACCGTATCGTCTTTGGACCTAGCTGCCGTGAGCCATTGGGATATCCACTCCTCCTCATCTTCCTCCTGTGGTACTGCGCCGAAGCCGATCTGATCAACCTCACTTGCCAGAATCTCGGGATTGGCCAGTTCCGGATCGTACACAATTCGTGCAGTCAAGGACTGCAGACTCACATGCGCCGCAAATACTCCGGGTACTGAAAGGCATGCGTTTTCCACATCGTCGACACAGCTCGAGCAAGTGAGCCCTTGTAGTGTAATCAGACAGTGGCTAGTTTTAGTTGTTTTCGATTTCCGAACGTCATGCTCTTCAGTCGGTGTGCTGGTTGGAAATGACAGGCTCGAATGGAATAATACGACTTATTTGTCTGTCATGCTTGCGTATTTGTAGCCCTATCTCTCCACGAAAAGATGCAAAATACGCCTGTCCATGCTAGTGGCAGCAGGCCAAGTTACAAACAACAATTCAGATTTAGACCAGTAGCTAGCCGCCGTAATTCAATGAGTAAATTACAAGAACTAAGCGTGCCCTCAAGCATTGGGGTGTAAAACAGACGCAAAGCTCTACATAAGATGCCCACCCGTACTTCTGTCACTGACTCGCACGAGTCAGCACAGCAGCACAGGCCTTGCGCGAGTCAGCGCTATCCTGTTTTCCAAGTACTGGATCAACAGTGGAGAACCGATTATCCTCGGTGATCCAGCGGGGCCATGATGCCATGAGGAGCTGACTATAAGGTCGTCTAACCACCTGGTATACACCTTCGCAGCCAGTATATAAACCGTCACTGCTTATAGAATACTAACATGACGCAAAACGAAGGCAAGTCGTGCAACCGATCTCAACGTCAATTAATGAAGCTAAAATACAGCAAAGGACCTCAACCCGTGCCATCAGGACTGCTCATTCCTGTATTTACCGGTGCGCAAAAGGTGACCTCCAGCTATCAGCGACGAACTCAGCTCCAATATGCATTTCTCATTGCTCTGGCTGTGACCGGCTTTTACAAATTCGAAGACCCTCAAATCCGAGTTGCTGGACTCAGCTGCGCTTTCCCAGGAGCCGGCTTCCTTGCCGTCGGCGGTATATGGGGCGCTTTTGGGGTTATTATTTCTGTTGCCCTGATTCCACTCTCACTATTCGCCTGGTTCGGAGCAGGTGGGCTTGCATTCGTTCTAGCAAATTGGATTATCCCTGGCCTCGTTGCGACAGCAGTCACTGGTGATGGGCTTTGGGAACCAGCAGCCCCAATAGTATTCACATTTGTTGCTGGAGTAGCAGCTTATGGTATTATTGCCGGTCGCTCGCGACATTATAAGGCCCTGGGCATGCGAGAGAGCCGAAATGGTCTCCTCCTGGATGCAGAATCGAAATGGAGTGCGCGCGTTCAGTCTCTGCCAGACCCCGATGAGAAACGCGAGCTGTCTATCGAGGAACTTAGAATGCTGCAACATTTTGTCGAGGTGGCTCATCAGGCTCCTGACGACTGGTCCAACTTTACAGTTATTGATCAGTTCCAGACTTCAGCACTGAGATACCAGCTTTACTTCCTGCAATACACCCTGGCAGTGGTGCAGAAATACTATATGCCCAGCTTCCAGGGATACATCAAAACAGGCCAGGAAAGGTTGATCGAGAGGAGCACCACGAAAGATGTCATGAATTACTGGAAGTGGGAGTCTTTATGGGGAAAGTTCACTTTCGTTAGTTGAGTCCTGATGTTAAAGGTAAATATATAATGACGAGTGGTAGGACTGGGATCCAGTGGTCCGCGATAATATCATGGTGACGGGCTACATTGTGCTCTGCCTGTCTCTTTATGAGAAACTCAATGGCGATGATCGGTACCGTCAACCAAATGCCCTTAACTTCCGAATCACAGACAAAGCGAACTACCATCACACCACGGAGAGCATCTTTGATGCACTGATGAAAAATTGGGAGAGTTGCTCGTACTGTCTCTTTCCCTGTGAGGTGAGCTAGCCCTAATCACGAACCTGATACTCTGATCCGTGTTAATGTTGGCAGCCAAACTGGATTTATTCCTCATGTAACTTGATTGGCATGGAAGGCGCCCTTGCCTATGACTCGTATATGAAAACTGGCAGGGCCGCAAAACTCCTCCATAATCGGTTCCAACAAGGTCTCCAGGAAGACTTTATGAATCCAGATGGGAGCATTGTCGCCCTGAGATCTGCGATCAGTATGTATTTTGCGCGTATTATGCCAACGAGAAGCAGAGCTAATCTTCATCCAGCGGGCTTCCCTATAATCGGTCTTACAGGTGTACTCGGTGACGTTTCAGGCGCGTTTGACTGCTCTCCGGGGATGCCAGAAGTCGGGCGTCGACTATGGCTGCTGTCGAAAGAAAGTAATATTCAAAAGGCCAAAACTGGAAAATACTATCTTGAAAACCTTGGTAAGTTAAACACTCCTTTCACTAAATTCAGACCAGGGCCCGCGCCAAATTGATAACAAGTATTTAGTGGGTGCCGATAAGATGGATGTAGGCAATTACCAGGCAGGCCCTGGCTTCGCACACTGTGCCTATAGCAACTGCGCCACTGAGTTTGGCGAGTCCGACATTGCTCATGATCTCATTGCTGAAGTTGACGAGAAGCTACATCCCCTCGTTGAGACCTCGGCCAAAAGTGGTGCCCTTACGAATCGTGGCCTATCCTTGCTCGCTACGACTTTTCTCTTCCGCGCCCGTATTGGGAGGAGGAAGGACTGGGCTAATCTGCTCACCGGTCCTGTCGATGAGCAGGTTCGTGCAGCACCCAAGCTGGACAGTGTTCCCTTCCCAGAAGTCATGGTGGCGCGTTGTCATCCCGTGCGTGGTCCGGAGGGTATACGCGTGGAATTTCTTCTCCGGGGCCCAAAGAAGCCCAAGAATATAACGATTGCCTTTACCGACCTACAGGAAGGTGTTGCGTATCATCTTGCTGCATTAAATAATAATCAATGGGAGGAGGGTGTCACCGGCATCAAGGCGGATGGCAACGGCCGGGCCTACATGCAGATAGTGGTGGGAGATCGAAGCGAGTTTGTCTTGAGGACTTGAGCTGCTCATTGCACAAGTATAACCAGTGTATATATAGCAGCTCTCTATATTCTATCTAGGTGTGAAAGCCAGTGAATAGACTTCAGTCTCGTACTCATTATTGGGCCTTCGACCTGACCCGACGCGCTCTGAATGGCATCCAATCGCAGCCGGAAAGTCCACCTTGTTCCCCCGAGGCATATAGCATAACTATATAAATCGCCCTTTCGTAGCCGATTTGGTGGATGCTTCATTTGTGTCCAACGTCGATTTATACCCGCAGAGGCAGGGTTCAACCCTTCCTCGAGGCATTCCTTAACCTTTAAAATGTTCTGCATGAAGCCTACCCCAGTTGCGCCAGATCGCCGTATAATCAGAGTTAAGATCATAGGGCCGTTGGAATGATTAACCCTTCGCACTACGAACGCCTGCTAATTGTTCGTAGACGTGGCATGGTCACGCAAGTCGTCCATGTGCCCTCACTCAACGCCTTATCCCACCTCTTTCAGATCACATGCCGTTGCGATGTCTCTGAGGAAGCTATGAAATACAGCCATGTCAAGGTCCCAGGCACCTCTAGGCCCAATACGAGGTTAGACGTCGACGAACTATGCAGTGCGCCGGAAATGGAACTAGTCTTGATAGCAAGTAATCATGCCTTGCACGCATCCGAAGCTGTACTCGCGCCGCAAGCCAACGAGTACGTGGTTATTGAGAAGCCAATTGCTTTGAATTTGCAAGATACGAACCGTATTATTGGACCAAATCCAGTTTTCCTCGGGCAACCCGGAACGTATCCAAGGACATTTCACGATTATCGCGAGTCGGATTGTTAAGCGTAGACAGATGCTGATATGGAGCAACCCCTCCAAGTTGAGCTTGGAATCACCATCACGAAGGAGACGGCTATGATGTGGGAGATACTCTCTATCCTTGGCTCGCATGATTTGCGCGCTGTGCGGGAGATTATCGGTATACCCCAAGGTGTCGTAGGTTTCTCACCTTGTGCCACTGTCGGGTCCCCATGTTGGGGGTAAGCTTCAGCCAGGCTAATGATGACAGTGGAATTTTCCAGTACGGAACCTTCGCGCTCGCATGCGAGTCCTGTGTCGATCAGGTCGCAGGATTCGATGCCTCGATTGAGATCTTTGGTGACACAAAGTGCGTCAAGGTGTGTATCGACAAAGGGTTGCCAACAACGATGGTTTTTAAGGAGACTCTACCGGACGGGCCGTATAGGGAATCCCCCACCAGGCAAAAGATGTCTACCAATGGGTCTCGCAGCGCATCCTTCCGAAAACGACTGCGTCCGATGCTAGACAAGGCCTGGAGATCTTGGGGATGGAAACCTACGACGTCGTGAAAGATTTAGGTCTATAGCCAGATACAAAGGCTATGGGCAAAGCCAGCTGAGGATATTTCTTCCATTATGAACGCTGCCAGAAGCATGTCAGGGGTTGCATTTCCTTGTGTGTAGGCCACAGGATGACTGGTAGGATGCATTGATATACTCATACCTTTCGTAACCACTATCCGCGTAGCATTCGGGTGCAATGAGTTGTCCGGAACAGTGTTTCGATCTTGATTATCCCTAGCCTTGACCTATATGAATAACGCAGGTTCCCTGAACGTGGAATACGTGGGATAATATGACGACAAGGGAAACTGGTCGCTCGGCTTAAAGGTTTTATACTCAGTGAGAGCGATTTATTCTCCCTGATTGTGGCACAAATACCTGGCAAACACATCCGGGCCAGGGTGTCTTCATGCACATTGGTGACCCCGAGGCGTGACATGCACGGTACGAAGGGCACGGAGCGCGCACAGCAACACACTATTTGATTCGGTATATTCCAGCGAGACTTGAGACCCTAGCTTCGAAGGGGGGTCTTTAAGCGCTGGCACAATCATGTACAGCCCACCTTTGCGGTTCTTGGAGAAGCTACGCATTCCCTGGGTGACTTAGGACTACTGCTGACAGAGGATCTCTCAAGCACATCAACGAAGCCCGCCTATAGCGGGGGCAATGGCGACGAGTCGGTGGCGGCCTTATCCACGGTGGTAAAGCTCGGAGGTAAAAGAATGGAAGTAAGGAGAAGGGTGACTGGAATAGGAATGTCCTTGATAGTGGTGGGCTGGTGGCTACCATTCCCACGCATTAGATTTACATCCCAAAGATGTGTAGTAGAAAAAGAGGCCATATCGTCGAAAGCCCCGTCAAAGGATGCAAGACTACGTTTTGACTCCCAGCTAGACGAAATGCAAAGAGAAAATTACCTCCACCAAGGAAATGTACCTGGCAAACTGAGATTTATCATATGGGCACCCGCCATACGTACTAGTTGCATTTCTCAAGTTGGTATGACTGTACGGCTGAGGTATCTTCCAAGGCGCAGGCCTCGATCGAGCTGTCACTTGAGCAAGCAAGGGACCTCGACGTGCAATATGTGGTTTTGTTGCACAGAGAGATGAGAATATTACCAATGTTGAAGCTGTCTGTGCAAGAGGACCTTGCGTCGCGTGTCACAACATTCTCCTCGTCAAGGTCTAGACAGGCCAAGCAAGGCTTTCGACTGGCCCAGCCAGCTTATTTTGGTCCCTGGACAAGTGGAGAATCCGAGCCTACTGCGCCATTATGTGCCGCTACTGTGATCGAGAGAAACCGTTACATTTATTTCCCCAAGGAGTTATGTCAGAAATATCATCTAAGGTCCGTGTGAAGGTCCGGGAAACTGAGAAGGATAATTAACAAACATATCCCATACTTACAACTTACACCGCACTGAGCGACGCCCATTGATTTTCTCTTTTCTATCTGCTGTCAGTTTCTTCAGCAAAACCTGTCCGAGTCGCATATACTCTCCTGCAGCCCTACGTGTCCAAGTCTGTACCAGAATAATGGAGACCACGAGCCCAACCGCCGTCGACTGTCAGCTGCAAAAGGCTGGTGCATTTGTTCTAAACGCTGAAGTTGATACTGGGGATGAGCCATATCTAGACCTGGCGAGCTATATTCCAAAGAAAGCCCTCCAAAATACCAGGCGAGATCCAGTCCACTCATGCGTTAACGAAATCTATGAAGCGCAATTTCAAGCCCGTCCAGATGCGCCTGCGGTTTGTGCCTGTGATGGCAGCTTGACATACCGTGAGCTAAACAACTGTTCTGCTGTCCTAGCGAACAAACTCCGTCGGCAGGGCGTGAAGGCTGAGGGTTTGGTTGCCCTTCTTTTCGAGAAATCGAAACTCATGGCCGTTGCCATGCATGCTGTAATCAAGGCTGGGGGTGCCTTCATGATGTGGGATCCATCCTTTCCTGTGGCACGCCTCCGGGGGATGTTTGGCGAATCGGGGGCGCACCTGGTACTGGCCTCTGCAGGAAACTCCCAGATGGCGTCTGAGATAAGTGACAACGTCATTGTAGTAGACGAGATCCATCCCCTAGATACGGCTCCATTGGATCCCGGCAACCGGCCAGAGAACGCCCTGTACTCCGTCTACACCTCTGGATCGACAGGCAAGCCGAAAGGCTTCCTGATCGAACACAAAGCAGTCTGCACCTGCGCCTTGGCCCTTGGGAGTGAGATGGGAATTACGGAGAACTCTCGCTTTCTTCAGTTTTCTTCCAACTCATTTGACCTTGCGGCGTTCGAGCACCTTCTTCCGTTTCTTTTCGGCGCTTGTCTCTGTATCCCATCTGAGAGCGAGAGAAAGAGTGACCTAAACCGCGCCCTGGACAGTTATGGGATTACGCACGCAATACTGACTCCTTCGGTTAGCCGATTAATTGATCCTAAGCAACTCACAGCCTTGCGGACGCTGTTACTAGGTGGGGAGGCGTCTACCCAGGAGGATGTCCGACGTTGGACTCCTTATGTGCAGCTTCTCAACGGCTATAGTCCCGCAGAAGCCGGATGTCTCAATGTCGTCAACCCGGGTGCAACGCAGGCCAGTCCGAATAATATTGGCTTTCCTCTCACGATCACTCCCTGGGTGGTGGACCCCGAGAATCATAATCGATTGATGCGTGCCGGGGACGTAGGCGAGCTGGTGATACAGGGACACACACTGGCACGAGGCTACTTCGGACCACCTGAACGAAGTGCAGCGGCGTTCATTGACACTCCTACCTGGGCGCGGAAGCTGGCCTGTGAATCTTACGGAAGAATGTACAAGACGGGGGATCTTGTAAGGTTTGATGTTGAAGACGGTTCTTTGCATTACGTCGGCCGCAAAGATCTGCAGGTCAAAGTTCGTGGCCAGCGACTCGAGCTCGCGGAGGTCGAATTTGCGTTGCAACAATGCTTCCCCTCGCCGCATTCCGTCCTGGCCGAGGTGATTGTTACGGACGGCAGAGAGCCGTCCTTGCTGGGGTTCGTTTGTAGGCAAGGCCAACGCCAGCTGATGCCAATTGCACCCCAGAGCGATGAGCGCGGTCTGTTCCTTGTGCCGGATTCTAAGTTCTGTGCGGAGGCTCAGGTGGCGCTGACAGCTATGGGGAATACACTGCCGTCCTATATGGTTCCATCTGACCTTCTCCTGATCTCTCATTTGCCTATGCTACCGTCTGGGAAAACAGATCGTGGGAGTCTTCGCACGCTTGCGGCCGGTCTGAATCCGGCCGAAAGGAGAGGGTATAGCAGCGTGTTGAGACAGCACCGCGACGAACCCAGAGACGAACTGGAGCACTTATTACTAGTACTCTGGGCCACCTCTCTCAGCCTTGCTGCCACGCAGGTTGGAGTCAAGGACAATTTTTTTCACCTAGGCGGCAGCTCGCTGGATGCTATTCACCTAGCAGCTGGGATACGCAAAATGGGGTTTTCCGAGCTGTCCTCAGCTATTGTGTTCAACAACCCCACCATCCGGGAGATGGCAGATACGTTAAAGGTTATAAAAGCATCGAGCCAGCCCCAGAACACTTCACCATTGGCGTCCTTCGAGCTGGACTCCTTGTTGGCGGCCGAGCTCTTGCGCAAAGTGGGGATCTCGCCCGATGATCTGGAATGTGGGTTTTTGCCCGTCACTCCGTTCCAAAGAAAAAGTTGCCTGCTGAAGCCCATGCACCTGACGATAGATATCTCGGGCATAGATCACGCTCGACTAGAGGCTGCTTGGACTATCGTGCAACAGAACCATATCAGCCTCCGGTCTATCTATGTGATGCAAAATGGAGATATATACCAAGCTTTTCTCCGTAGGCCAGGGTCAGCCTCTATACCCATTTTCAGGTGCGAGGAGCGAGTTGGTGACTATGCCGCAAGGTTCTGCGATCACGATACTAGGAATATCCTGGATGGGCGCCCCTGGTGGAGTTTGAGCAGAGTCGATAGCCACACGGAGAGCAGTCTGGTTCTCCGAACTACCCACGCTCAAATCGATGCGATGACTCTTGATGCCATCTTCAAAGACTTCATGGCAGTATTTGAGGGCCAGGAACTATCCCAGAGAGGGTTGGAATTCCCTAGATACATGCAATCACGTCTAACGCACAACACATCCACTGCAGCCACCGCCTTCTGGTCAAAGTTTCTTGATGGCTCGGAAATTACTAGGCCAATTCTCCTGGACCCGTCCTTGGTGGTGGATCCGGAGTCTGAATCAATGGTATTTGTGTCCAGGGAGATGACAGCCATGACCCCGCCGGCTGGCATCACGCTGGCAGCGGTATTCCGCGCCGCCTGGGCATTCGTCCTATCCCAGTATACTAAAGAGGACGACGTTGTCTTTGGCGAGTTTGTGGAGGGTCGGAGCCTCCCGATAAGTGATGTGGATAAAGTCACAGGGTGTACGGCGGCGGAGGCTCCAATGCGTATCACCATTCCCTCTGGTGCATCTGTTCTTGACCTTCTCCATCATTCCCAGAAGCAACATGTTTCACGTATCCCATACGAAACATGCGAATTGGAAGATATCATTCCACGCTGCACGTCGTGGCCAATTGACACGGCCTTCAGCCATATTCTGATCCTAGAGAATGTGGATGTTGTTCCCCCGGTGGTCCTAGATGGGCAGCTCCGCAAACACAGGTGGGCTTTTCACGGACGACTCGAGGACGTGCATGTCCAGTTGTTTCCTGGCCATGAGAAATTACAGGTCGGAATTTCTGGTCCAGCTATCCGCCTATCCGAAAGCATCGCCACCCTGCTTGTTGACAAGCTGGAAGCTGCATTCAGGGACTTCATCACCCGGCCAGAAGCTCCCCTGTCGGACATAGCAAGTTAAGACCGCTCGATCTTGTTGTGTCAATTCCTCTTTTATTGGCAGGTTACAGGTAGGTACGATAGAGAATGGCTCAGTAATTGAGTCTGTGCCCACGACGCAACGCGTTAGGAGGAGAAGATCAAGTGCGTATCTCGACCTTGTCGCGAAGAAAGGACCGCCAGACACTTATTGATACTGAAGAATGTGGTTTAAGTCTATACGTATTACGAACTGTCTCCTGGGGGTTATGGCTGAGATAACAGACCATAATCCACCGTAGACCGTCTTTTTCCTTTTCCGCACGGGGCGTTTAGGGTTTGTTGGTGGGCCAGCAACCTCTGAGGTTTATAAGACAAACAAAGCACAGTCAAAGGTTGGCGAGATTTGATCTTACTTAGTTTCACGTCGTCGTTGAGCAGCATTGAAGGATTACTGGATTCTGGAGAATTACATACAATTTAAGTGCGAATTGCACCAACTTTTGCTGTGCATACGAAGAAGGAATACGGTTTCTTTTTTCCGTGGTCGCGGGCCAGACCTGTCATTCCCCGTCCCCAATAAATTAATCTGATTGTTCTTTAAATTTCATTTCAGCTGTGGGTAATCTTTACATGGCAACACAGAAGGATGGGGAATCTCAGCACTTCTGGCGGACATAGTCCTGGCTCATAGCGCACCGACCCCCTCAAGGAAGTAATACCCATTCCAGGCGGTCTTGTAGAACATGCCACATCCTCGTCGCCGTAGTGCTGAATCTTGCTGGTTGACAATCCCCATCATTCCAGTGCAGCGGAGACATTATCATGTCCCTTGCATGCTGACTTCAAGCGTCCTTCTGGAGGAATTTGCACTGTTATTGAACGGGATGCAGGCGACAACAGAGAGCAAGGTCTAAACTAATTAAATACATGTCCCGTTTCTCATGTTAGGAGTGCCTTTGTGCATCAACCTTGAAACCCCTTACCTGAAAGTGAGCCAGCCATGCGATATAACCTCTGCCTCATTCTGGGCGTGGCCCAGCTTTGCAGGTGCTACGATGGTGATTATCTAATCCCTCTCTTTCGTCCTGCCCTATCTCCAGAGTCTGGGGTATTTCTCTCTGCCGACGAGGCGTACAATACAGAGGTTACCCCTCGTTGGTCGACATTCAAAGACCCATCCTATATTGCAGCTATCAAGCCAGCATCTGAGGAAGATGTGCAATCAATTGTAAGTTCCATTTTGGCAGGGGATCGAGAAGGCCCGTCTTAACTGTTTCATGAAAACGTTAGGTTTCTATTGCAGGTTCCCACAACATATCGTTTCTTGCAACAGGAGGCGGACATGGAGTCAAGTTGGGGTTCGACAAGGTCCAACACGCTATAAACATCGACCTGTCCAATCTCAACTCTATTGACTTAAATCTTGACAACAATACGGTCACTGTTGGAGCTGGAGTGGAGAATTCCCAACTTTATGATGTTCTCTCCTCTGTCGGTCAAGAGACAGGTAGTCAAACCCTTTCGTGATCCCATCAAAGTGTCCACAGGCCACTGACACACAATTGTAGCTTTGACGAGTGAGCGCTGCCTTAATACCATTGGGCCAACACTAGGTGGAGGCCTGGGGCCACAATATGGGCTCCGCGGTCCGCTTATAGACTCCCTTGTTTCCGCTCACTTGGTAACTGCGTCGGGAGATATTGTGGACGTGTCCGAGAGCGAAAACAGCGATCTTTTCTGGGCCATTCGTGGTGCCGGGGCGAACTTTGGCATAGTCACCTCGGCCACCTACCGAATCTACCCACCCATCAACAATGGCGAGGCTGTGTTGGCCAGGTTTTCCTTCTCCCCAGTCGCTAACCGGTCGGTATTTGAGCTAATGGAATACATGAATGAGGATTACCCTCCAGAGATGGCGGGCGGAATTGCGGTCGGTTACAATCACACCTCTGGGCAGGTATGCATCCTTCGAAACATGATTAGTGTTGATCTCATTCCTCCTGACGGATGTTATAGCCAACGCTTGCATGGCAACTCTTGTTTTCAGGGCCATTGGAAACTGCTCAGCCTTGGCTCGACAAACTAACGAGCTTGGGGCCGATCGATGCAGACCTCCAGACCGTGCATTGGCATGGTAGAGACCAGCCTGAGTCACCCTTTTGTACAAGAAAACAGCAGTGGGTCATCTACAACTTGAACCTGGCGCGGACAGATTCGGCCACCCTGGGTTCGTATTTTGAACAAGCAGCGGACTTCGCTGCCAGCAACCCATGGTTTGACTGCACATTGATGTTTGAGAGGCTACCCAGGGACGCCGCATTGGCGGTGCCCGAAAGGCAGAGGGGGGTCTGGCCCTGGCGAGACAGCAAGTTGAACGTGTAAGCCCACGTATACTTCCTATGCCAATGCTGTCACAGGATTTAAAGCGATGTGAATTGTAGCAAACTGTTTGGCTGACTGCGTACGCCAGGAATTTTGTGGTCAAGACACCGTCTTCAGCATACGATGGGGCGGTCGACGGCTTCCTTCGGCCAGTCAGAGAGGAGTTCCAGGAATCAATGGGCTATGATACGGTTCATGCATATGTCAATGAGGCATTAGGTGATGAGGGCCCTGCCGCATGGTACGGTGAGCATAACCTTGCCAGGCTTAGTGAGCTGAAGCGGCGATGGGACCCAAATTCCCAATTTGGAGCTGGGGCTCCAATTCCCCTTCATCTGTAGTTGTGACTTGAACGATGCTGATCGGAGTCATTTACTGGCCTGATACGGGGGTTTCCGAGCGTTCAGTATGGTCTTATCTGAAAACGCGCTTTGCTAGAGTAGTTGGACTGTTCCGGTTATAGCCTGCAGAACCTGTATTAGTAGCATATCCATACACTAGATACGATCACAATGAGATACGCTAGCAATTCGGGCATTCAAAATATTTTCTACCTCCCTCTGTACAGTGCAGGCCTTGGACATGAACAGCACGGCCCGAGCTCGCACAGCTTATGTTCGGGTTTTGTGGATGCAGGTGTTCATTTCGTTCCCACGATCTCAGATCTCCTCGAGCTTCGTGCCTTGCGTAATTAAGCCGTGCTACTTTTATTTAATATCCTAAAGCTTGAACCTCGTTCTAGCCCTGCATCGCCACCTTCAGCAGTCTTGATACCAGTCAGTAGGCCGTAGACCCCGCCTCTATATATCCTTCTGCCTATATCCATGACCACACCGCTACAATATATATATACTTACCATACCAACCAGTTACTTTTTAGATACCATATTAACAGTAAATTATAAGACACAGGCTAACCTTTGACTGACCTTTTAATTCTCACGTTATTGCTTATCTCGTTTTTCTAGCCATACCATCGTAGAGAATACCTGGCGAGAGCTTGGGCTACTCGGGTGGAGACACATGTACGTAGTATCATTAACTGGTCCTAACTCAACATCTAATATATTGAAGTCGAGGGTGAGTTGGGATTCTATCAACACAGCAAGAATGGAGATGAACGTCTGGCTTCATGGCGTAACGCCAAGGTTAGGACTCAGGGATATATGTGTCCTCGATCCGGTACACACCATCCGGAGGAATGTTTCGAGGGATGTACTCGGCTTGACCACGGAGGGCCTGCACTACCTGATCGAAAACCTGATGCGTATACTCCCGGCAATCATGACCTAAGATCCATTCAGGGTTAGGGAATGCAAAAATGTTCGGATCCTTCGCGACGGCCTCCCAATCTGGCCAGAACAACGCGTCCTGTAAGGTCGAACTCCCAAGCTGGATCACTGTGGCGCGCGGATACCTTTGAGGATTTCCACGTAGGTTAGGATAATGGTTCCTTAGATTCTAGGTCGGAGGGGAAATAAATACCTGATCTTCTCTGCCACGCGCAGGGCTAGGGGAGTATGTGCTTTCCCTGCTAAGCTAAGCGCTGTGGCGACGACAACACCATCCTCAATTGCCTGGCCTCCCCCCTGACCAACAACTGGGAGGTAGGGGTGGGCTGCATCACCAATGAGCATTGCACGGCCCCCGGAGGACACCCATGTCTTGAGTGGCGGCCGATAGATCAGCAGATGGTCGACAAGTCGCTCGGGTAGTGTATGGCGAATGACTGAGGAGGGCCTACTATGCCCAGGCCAACCGCTGAGGGTTGCCAGCGCGTCCTCAATAGTGGCTCGCCCTCCCGCCCAACTTTCATGGGCGTTGAAGGAGTCCTGCGTCGGTGGTGGCAACTGTCAATGACCCTTCCTGCCTATGAGGCCAATCGTCGATCGTGGAAAGAAGCGTACCTTGTGTATAAGGACCCAGGCAAGCTCTTTGCCTTTTCTCAGTGTGGTAATAGCCAAGTTGATCCCATCGCCGAACCACACGTACACCTGGTCTTTCTCCTGTGTACCTTGCAGTACCCAGCTGGCTTCGGGGTCCTTTGCGATATCCTCCGTTGTTAGATGACCACGGAAGGCCGCCCATCCTGAGCTCTGCTGAGCATCTTCGAGCCCGGTCACCCAACGCCTCGCGTCACTATGGACTCCATCCGCACAGATCACGCAATCAGCAGCCAGTGTTTCGGAGCCATTCACGACTACCCCTGCCATATGGCCATCTTCCCAGTATTTTGTGACACAATGTCCGAGTCGAATATCAATCTTTAACTCTCTCGCGTACTCGTACAGAATGCTGATCAACCTACCGCGATTTATCATCCAAGCCTCTCCTCTCCCTGCCAATTCATTTCGCACAATAAATCGATCATGATGATCCAGCATGTCCGCATGTGTAGCGTTGGACAGATGAGGGGAGACCTTCTCAATCAGTTGCGTCCCCCAGGCACTGATCAGGCGGGCCGCGTTGGGCCCAATGACGATTGCATCGCCCGCTGTGTTAAAGAGACGTCCTTAGCAAACGGTACAAATGGTGCTCAGAATAGGCATCTAAGCAGGTTCACCATACCGTCTTCCTTTAGTTTTGTCACCTTCTCCAGGAGGACTACTGAATGCCCCCTTCGATGACTCTCTATTGCAGTGGCTAGGCCTCCAAGGCCCAATCCTACGACAATGATGTTGATCCCCGATTGCACCGAGTGGGGCTGGTCCGGAGCCTCGATGGCCATTGCAAAGATTCAGGACAGAACTTGGAGAGAAACAGAGAGTTAGATCACGGTTAGAAGCGACTATGCTGAATATGAAGCCTTCTCAAATGGCAGTCTAGTGTCCTACGTCCCCCGTCTAGTAATGAGAATGTAATGTAGGCACCGGACGTGACCTCGCAGATCTTATGGGACCGGACTGCCAATGTTGCATGTCTGATTGACTCTAGGGTCAGAGGTGGGAAATATGACTAGGCGAGCCAAGTTCTATTATGCTGAAGGCCAGTGGAATGCAACACCATGACCACCTATCGGCATACAAGGAGGTTTCACCGATAGCAAGGGGTAAAACACGCTTACTGAACCTTGATGACAGAACTTCTATCTATCACTTTCCTTTGGCCACAGGAATGCTTCATGTTTTGCAGTCTAGGGCTCGGAAATAACGAAACCCATTCTTACACCGAGTAAAAGTTCTTTTCGTCGTATTAAAGCCCCCTTGCAGAATGAACTGGGAATGCATAGAGCAAGGATGATGGACTTACTGTGACATCTGCCAGCCCACCATGTTCGCCTTGACGTACGTCCTAGCGCAACATCTGCCAGCGGAGCATCAGTAAGGGACAATTGCTCACATGTTTCATCAACATCTCACTATCCGCGAATCTGACATTCTTTTCATTCATACCAGTGCTGAAGCGGAGAAGGTTGCGGGTTGTCTTACGGTTATCCTAACTAGACTGCGGTCTACACCTACTGGGGTACGCGTGTCGATGCCATTACTACTGGGCTACATAGTCTATTCATAGCTATTCCGTTACATACACGCCTTCGCCCTTAGACAAGTAGGACATCGCAGTGTACAGAAAGTCTAGAGACTCTAGTATTGGGATTGACTTGATTTGAACATTCTATGCATAACTCCGCCAAAGGCTAATATGAAAAGAAAACGACGGGTGCAATTTCTAGTCGTGGCCCGACGCCGCCACTATACTTGACTGCTGAGTATCTCGAGCCCTGAGGAATTCCCATAAGTTATAAGTCAATATGCAACTTGCTGTTGGGTCTGTGAATTCCAATGGTGGGAGCGCCATATGGGATTTTTACTCCACGCTGAAATTGCTCAGCTGGCAGCCTGGAGACTCTGCGAAGCGCTCAATCAAATCGCAGAGACGTTGGCACATAGACGTGGCCATATTTTCAGATAACACTGCCGTGTTAGCGCATACCTGAATCTCAAGTCGATCCGGGTGAGGCTCAGAAAAGACCCAAACTTCCTTTAACGGATCGAACTGCGCGAATTTGGAGTACTGCACTTGTAGACCATCCAAAGGCATATTGTGGCTGAGCTCAATGTTCTGATGCTGAACAATAAAACTGAGTTGGATGTCGGCACCCCAGGAGGTGGCACTTCCCAAAATATCTGAGAGCTCCAGGTGTTCGTAAGGGAGGGTTCTGGTGTACTGTGCCTGCACATGGGAGAGCAAATCCATGACAGTCCACGATGGGTTGAGCACGACCCGTAACGGGATGAAGTTAAGGCAACATCCTAGCAAGGTCTCGACATGGCTAAGCGCCAGGTTCCGGCCATTCACCGTGTGCCCGAAGACAATATCGTTCTGGGATAACAGCTGGGACAGATAAAAGGCGCATGCAGCCTTGACGAGTGAGGCCATTGTGACACCCGCTGGTAGCTTAGGGGTCTCGATGCCTAAGAAAGTCCAGTGCGTCTGGTGTTCACCTTGCCGGCCGATTGCCGGAGGGAACGGAGTGGGCATCGTTGAGTGTTCCAGGTATTGTGTCCAGAATTGGAACGCCGGGGTCTTATCTTTTGAGGCACGATAATAAACATAATCCGAAAAGTCTGTGGTTGGGGGCAGCTGTCTCTGGTTGTATACAGCGGCAATATCGCCAAACAGGTGCGGAACAGATACGCCGTCCCATTGAGCATGCGAGATTCGAATCGTAAAAACATGGTCCTCCGCTGAGCGGGACACAAGAGTAAACCGGGCGGGAAGTGGTCCCACGACATTCAGTGACGCCAGGCCAACCTTCCAGAGGGCCTCGCACAGCTTCAGCGGATCCTTGTTGGTGGTTAATGTAGTGAAAGGGGGGTCAAGATCCCCGAGGACCATTTGCATCAGCTGCCCTTCATAATAAAGGAACTTTGTGCGCAGGATACTGTGCCGAGCCATAATCGTTTTGCAGGCTTCTCGCAACCGACTCTGGTCAACATGTCCTCTGATGGAGAAGTTGTAGGAGTGGAATGTGCCACGATCAACGAAGAAACTCTGGGCCTGGGTGGCCGGTAGGAGGTCTATAAGTGCGGATTTAGATGGGATGACCCCTTGTTGGATCGAAGCGGCGTACAAGTCCTCGGGATCCTTCATCAGACTCAATGAGAATGGTTGATGCAACGCCAGAGAGTCCTCGGGAGATTGGGGGACCAATACCTTGGCCAGGTCTGACAGGATGGGATGGGCGAATATATCTGCAACGCTGACAGTCATGCCAGCCGCGCGACATGAGGCCGCCGCTCTCATGGCATCGATAGAGTCACCACCTCGTAGCAGGAAATTATCACCGGCACTGATACTCTCTACTGGAACCTTGAGTATAGTAGCCCAGATCTCCGCGAGCTTCAACTCTTCTTCGGTCGATGGTACTTGTGTAGGCTTGTGAGCCACACCCACCGGCACTGTATACGCCTGCAGCTCTCCGAGAGACATGGAAGCCAGGACGTCCCGAAGACGGTTCCGATCAACCTTGTCTGAATGAGTTCGAGGAATTCGAGTGAGCGGTAGGAAAATGGACGGCACCATGAAGTTCGGCACTGTCTGACGGAGCTTTTCCTCTGCTTCTGTGGCATCTTGGGCAAATTTCATTGATGGTTCTACGAGCAGCTTGCCACTGGATTTGGCATTGCTGTGGTCTGCTCTATCACCGCGGAGTAGTATCATGGCGACCAAGTATGGCTTGCTGCTCCCAGCCGGCGTTATCACCTCTGCCACCACATCCCAGGCGCCAACAAAAGAATGCTGGATATTAGTTTCCACTTCTCCAAGCTCTAACCTTTGGCCTCGCAGTTTTACCTGCCGATCCTTGCGCCCAAGGATGCTGAGAGAACCGTCTGCGTTCGCCCGTACCAAATCCCCAGTTTTATATAAACGAGAATTACACTTGGCTCGAAGGCCATGTAGCCAAGGCGGGGGATTGATAAAGGCTTCAGCGGTTTGTTTAGGATTGTTGATGTACCCCCGCGCTACAATGGGGCCTTCAATAAGCAATTCACCGACGGCGCCTACCGGAACCAATTTATTATGGTCTCGCGGGTCTACCACCCAAGCAACACATCCGACAGGATGGCCAATATTCTGTGGGTCAGAGTTCGGTAGAACGCAGGGCTGGACGAGGGATAAGCCAGAGCATTCGGCCGGGCCGTACCCATTCATCAGATGCACATGCTCTGCCCAGTAGGCGACGTCCGTCTCCTGCATGCATTCGCCAGCCAGGGAAAGGTTCTTAATGGTACATAGATCCTCATGGCGATACAAGCGAGCCACGGAGGGAATGAGCATAGCGTGGTTGGCCTGCAGGGCAGAGACGGCTTGGGCCAGATTATCCCTCCGCTGTGAGTCCGACATCACGCAGACACAGCCCCCCGCGAGAAGCACGCTCAGCTGCTCCACGATACTGATATCGAAAGCGTATGATGAAAACTGCAGGACTCGAGACTGAGGGGTAAGGTTGTACGCTCGGATATGATCAAGGGCACCGGCGCAGTAGGACCGATGCTCAATGACGATTCCTTTCGGCTTCCCGGTAGATCCAGAGGTGAACACCACATACAGAGCATCAGCTGGCTGGGCCTTGGGTCTGGTAATGCCCCGAGACTTGTCGTCCACACACCGCTGATGACATCCCTCGCCAATGGTCACCACTGCCGGGGCGAGCTGCCTGCTCATGGCCTCATTCGCCGTGGACGAAACTACCAATTGACAATCGACCTCGACGCAAATTTCCTTGAGGCGCCGCAGTGGCCACGAAGTATCGAGAAGCAGAAATGCGCCGCCGGCCTTCAACACGGCCATGATGGCAATTGGTGTCCACTTTGTCTTTTCGAAACAAAGTGGAACAACAACATTGGGGCCAACGCCTTGGGCGGATAGCTGGACAGCAACCCGTGAGGACAAGTCATCCAATTCTCCATATGTAAACGCGCCGTCCCATGCGTTCACCGCAGGAGCTTCTGGGTGCAGGACAGCATGTCTCTGGATGAGCTCATGCACGCACGCGGAAACCGGACTAGGGACTATCCTATTACGGGACCAAACGATCGCCTTATCGTGATCACTTAATATGTCAATGGATGCCACGGGAGATTCAGCGTTCTCTATTATGGCGCGCATCGCCCTTTCGAATGTGGCAAGCACCGTCATTGATTGTTCTGTCGACAGTGTAGGTGATTTGTACCGCAGGTGTAGCTCAATTACTTGGTCGCCTGGGGTAAGAGTGATTACTATATCGTCCTGGGCAAGTTAGCGTGGTCTATCAAGACGTTATAAGGCGAAGTCTACCTCTGTGCCGTCTTCCATGGCCATTATGGTAAACTCTAGGCCTCTCTTGACATCGGCTCGCGGTGATGCCTCCGCCTGCACCGCCACTGACGTGTTGAAGAGAGCGCCGTTTGTGACTCCTGCCAGGCGATGAATATCAGATAATGGATACCACTGATGAGGCAGACTCTGCAAATATGTTTCATTGAGCTTCCCAACTGCCTCTTTGACCGTCAAAGCTTCGCTCAAATGCACCCGACATGGGAGAGGATTAAAGACAGGCCCAGCGGTATCAGCGATGCCATCAATTGGGAGATCACGCCCGGACTTTACATAGCCAAAACACACACTATCAGCCCCGGTGAAGCTTTGAAGCACCATTGCCCACGCGACACCCCCCACATTCCATGTGGTGACATTGTATGTGCGACAAAACTCGTCCAGCCTGGCTCTGCCTTGGAATGTGCTGTACATGTTACCCCATTCAGTAGCGGTGGGTAGATTTGCGTGGTGCAGGCTTGGAAATTCACATGGCTCAACATCTTGGAGATAAGCTTGCCAGTATTCTGCTGCACTATCAGAGTCTTGCCTGTAGATGTAAGAGATGTAATCGCTGTACAGTGGTGCTGGGCTCGGCGGAAGACACCCGTCGTATGCTAATGACAGATCGTTTTGAAGTATGCTAAGTGTGGTCCTGTCCATGATGGCATGGCTCAGGTCAAGACGGCAGAGGATCTCCCCGCTGCTCCTTTGCAGGAGCCGCATTGTATGCTGACACTGGCCTTTGAGCCAATTCGTTTTGCCCAATGCCGATTCCGACTCCCAAGATCCAGAGGACTTGCTGAGCTCGAGCTCGGGTGAAACACTCCGCAACACGACCTGGTCCATGTACGACTCTGGGCAGGCACTGTCCACAAAAACAGTGCGTAGCATCGGGTGTCGTCTGACCACCTCATGCCATGCGGCCTCGAGGCGTCCGACGTCTGGCCTGAGGTCGGTGCATGATCGCAGTATCCAGGTCACACTCGCACAGTAGTTGTGTGAGGCTTTGGCCTGTGCGATGAGCATGCCGCGCTGGCTGGGCGAGGAGGGGTAGATGTCCTCGATGTTATCGATAGACACGCCCATGCGAGGCAGCGTGGCGCCGAGAAGTTGTTCCAGGCTGGGGTACGTCAACTGTAGTAGGGGAAAGTCTGACAATGTACGACTGGGCTTGACTGTTGTCAGCTCCTTACATTCCTCGATGAGCGTTCGACGGCACACCTCGATCCACATTTGGATCTCCTTCGAATGGTTCATAAATCGATTATACATGAATCGAAATTGCAAGCGGCCACGCAGCACGCTGGCAAACACCTCGAAGATGCCAAACCGCCGGATACCGTTCCCCGCATGTAGTGATCCTTGATATTCCGCTATTTCTGGAACAAATAAAGAGCCCGGCTTTTCGAATTGCTGGTACTGGCCTGCATAGTTAAAAACCAATTCAACGGGGTGGGATTGCTGGAACACTTGTCGGCCTTCGGGGTGCAGATATCGAGACCCAAAATAGGCCCATCCATTGGAAGGCACTGCGCGACGGGCGTCTTTGATACGGCGCACCACTTCCAGGAAACTGATGGTATGATCCAATTCAGCAACAACCGGCCACATGGTGGTAAACCAGCCAACTGTCTGCGACAGGTCAATGGCCGGATCCCAAGTCTCTCTTCCATGACCTTCACTGAAGCTGAGCGGCGCCGAGCGATTCCTGAATACTTTGAGGAAGGAATACAACAGCGCAGAATGCAAAATCTCAACTGGTTCCGTGGCAAAGGCTACATTGGCAGACCCCAGAAGCAGCTTGGTAGTTTGCTCATCGAGCGTGAACTCTTGGTGTTGACTATCACGGACGAAATTGAGTTGTCCATCAATGCCCCAGAAAGCTGACGGATTGTCATAGTAGTCATTAGGAAGACGGCTAGGGAGGACCTTCTGAGGAGACAGGTTCTGCGCGCTGTATTCCCTTTGTAAGTGGCACCATGCCAGGAAGGGAAGAGAGTGGCTAGCCGACAGACTTTGCCCCTGGAGGACTTCTTCGAGGTCCGCAAGTAGGATACGCCAGGAGACAAGGTCTACCACTAAATGATGGATTGCTATAGAGATGTGCTGGGACCCGTCCTTCATGTTCATTAGGTCCACTGCAGTGAGAGGGCCTGTCTCTATTCTGAGTGACCGTGCGCTGGAGGAGACCACTTCGTCCATCTGTGCCCGGGAGCCTAATTCATGGGAATGGCAGCTGTAGGATTCATCCCTGTGAGAAGTGATGACCTGGTGCCAGTTTCCCTCTTGCCCTTTACCAAAGCGCGCGCGAAGCATGGAATGTCTCGACACAAGGCGGGCAATGGCAAGCTTTAGTTGGCTCATGGTGACGGACTGCGATACACGGAGCACAAAAGTCTGGCTGAACTGATCCCAGCCATCGGCATGCTGGTCAAAGAACATCTGTTGAATTGGCGAGAGCGGCTGCCACACGTCCTCTTCAGCCCTGTGGATAACCGCCGGCGATCTCGATTCCTCACCCAGCGCGTGCACGATTTGGGCGATCGTCTTGAGGCGTAGAAACCTGTCCATTGTGACAGCAAACCCCTTGGACCGTGCCTGGCCGACTGCCTGCATGGCCATAATTGAGTCGCCGCCGAGTTGGTAGAAGCTGTCGTCCACTCCAATGTCTGATCTAGGTAGATTCAAAACAGTGGCCCAGATCGCCCGCATGTCCTCCTCTGGTGGGGATGCTGGGCCTCGTTTCTTACTCCGCTTGAAAGCACCATACGCGGCCAGCTGGTCCTCTGTGCAAGACATCGCTATGGTACGCAACTGGCGACGATCTGTCTTGCCGGAGACGTTAAGGGGCATATTGAGCAGGGGGAGAAATGCCTCTGGGATCATGAATGCCGGAATGGCGTGCTGTAGGGTCGTCTGTGCCTTGTCGACCTGTTTAGTAAACTCCTGAGTCGGTGCGGCCAAGACAGCTCCAGTACCATTTCCATGCTCTCCGTTCCCGTTGGCGACGACAAATGCCACGAGTGTTTGGGTGGCAGGGGGGAGGCTAATCATCTCAACGGCCACATCTCTAGCCTTTGGCCAACAGTGATAGATATGCTTTGCGACTTCGGCTAGCTCAATGCGCTGGCCACGCAACTTGACCTGATTATCCCGGCGGCCAACGTAGTGGAATGACCCGTCCGCATTGTAGCGTACCAAGTCCCCCGTCTTGTACAGTCGCCCCTCTGGCTGCCCAGGTCGGATGTCCTGCAGCCAGCTTGGGGACCGGATGAACGCAGCCGCAGTCTTGCCTGGGTCGTTGAGATAGCCGCGAGCGACGCTGGGCCCTTCTATAAGAAGCTCGCCTACTGCACCAACCGGCAGGAGAATCTCATGATCTTCGGGATGCACCACCCAGCAAACAGCCGCCAACGGCATCCCGATATTCTTCGGGTCACTGGTCGATGTCACAACCGCTTGCACTGTGGTTGACACTGCGCACTCAGCAGGGCCATATCCATTCATTACCTTGCACTTCCCGTTGCCCGCCCAGTTGGACACGTCGGAGGGGGTCATGGGCTCTCCTACGCTAACAAGGGTCTGGGTGATATCGGGATTCTGGGCCAGCAGGTGTCGGGCCACGGAGGGGGTGAGATGGGCATGCGTGAGGCTGAACATCATTGTAGCTTTCGCCAACTCATTCTGACGTTCAAAGTCCGAGGGGACACATACACACCCGCCAGCCATCAGGGTACTAAGCGTCTCCATTATGGAGCCGTCGAACGAATAGGCGGCAAACTGTAGCATTCTAGATTCCGAGTTCACGCCGGTGACTTTGTTCAGCGCCATGGCACTTGAGCAAAAGGATCGATGCTCGACCACTACCCCTTTGGGGGTCCCCGTGGAACCCGAGGTAAAGCTGACGTATAGCGCATTGTTTGCCCTGACAAGGCCCAGGAATGGCCGATCAGGATTATAAGGCCAGTGCTGGGACTCTTGCCGGCCCAGGACAATCGGATGGGCCGCAAGCTTCTTGGCTAGGCCGTGCTTTTCAGGCGACGTCAAGATCAGAACCGAGCTTATCTGTTGGCACATGCTTCGCAATCTCTGCTCCGGCAAAGATGGATCTAGTAGAACAAATGCACCCCCAGCCTTACATATCCCCAGCATGGCAACAGTAGCCCAGTATGACTTCTCCAGACAGATAGGCACAATGTTCTCGGGACCTACCCCCTGGGTAACCAAATGACCGGCTAGGCGGTTGCTGAGCGCGTCTAGTTCTGCATAACTCAACTTGCCATCCCACGCCCACACCGCGGTAGAAGCCGCGCACTCTTTGATCCTCAGCTGGATAACGTCATGCACACATCGGTTACAACCGCTAGGCACTGTACCACTCCATCGGCGCAACAGCTGCATATCCCGAGGGCTGACCGCTGGAATATTGGCCAGCTGATGGTCGGGGTGCACGAGAAGGCTATGGATAACGTGTCCAAAGTGGTTAACAATCATTTTCATTATAGGAGCCGGGATCACCATGGGGTCAAACTCTGCCCTCATCTCGACGTGAGTAGATCCCACCAACTGACAGACCATCGACAGTGCGTACGCCGCGAAGCCACCCTCCGAAGCCGCGTTGGCTTCGCGCAACGTCAGGAACTTGCCGTTCTCATCGCTCCAGTCCGGCTGTACAACAAGCTGGCTCTGGAAATTGCAGGCTTCCTCCGCCTCGCGGCTCAGCTTTCGAATCTGCTGAAGGCCCATTTGCTCAAAGGGAGTCATATCTAATGACTGGGCTTGCATCGCGTTCAATGCCTCGAGAACCGTCGAGTTGGAATTTATCTGAAACCGCAGAGGGACCGTAGCTATGGCGGGGCCAATCATGCGTTCGATTTTCGTCACAGGCGCTGCGCGCCCTGATACCGTGACTCCAAAAACGACGTCCAGGGAGCTTGTGTAGTGGCTGATGGTCAGGGCCCATGCCAGCTTGATCATATTGGATGCTGTGTGCCCTGCTGGAATGCCACCTTCTATAGTCACTGGCATCTCGATACTCGCGGCTGGCCTGGGCCTGTAATCTGGAGATGAAATGGCACGAAACACATCGGCCTGCAAGCCTACGAACTGGGACTTCCAGTATTCATCCGCTCCCGGATGCTCTGAAATATATTGCAAGAAAGGCTTCATCGTGTTCGTGGTCAATTGCTGCCCTGTATAGGCGGCCTCAATGCGATCCATCAACAATCCCACGGACCATCGGTCACAGACCGAATGGTGCATGTTCAGGACGAAAACGGTGGTGGATGAACCTCTTGATTCGCGAACGAGAGCTGCGCGCGTCAGACGGTCTCCTGGCAGCATATGCTGGTTCTCGGACTGTTTGGAATATTGCGTCCAATTCTCGGCGTCGGTGTCCCACTGAAATGCCTCTTGGATGACAACCTGGTACATCCGGCCTTCGGACCCGGGTAGAATCCTCGTACGAAGGATTGGAGTAGTCTGCACCGTTGTTTCCCACGCTCTTCGAAACCGGGCAGCATCAACGTCGTCGTGCAGGCGGAAGACAAACCGGGCAATGTAGCTCCCTGCTTTGACAGTCGACAGGCTCATCATTCCTTCCTGCAATGGTGTGCAAGGATATATATCCTCTATCTGACTTTCACCAACCCGGCATGTGCCCACTGCAGTTGACAGAAGACCATGTCGCGACCTGCCGGGGACTAGAGAGAAGGGCTGCACCTGTTGGGATGTCCCCGGATCTACTACGTCCACCAGACGTGCTAGATCACCAAGCCGTGGCGAGCGAAATATATCAGTCACAGAGGCACGCAAGCCAACGCCTCGCAATAGACCCACTAGTCTCATCGCGCTAACAGAGTCTCCTCCGAGCGAGAGGAAACTGTTCTCCATACCTACCATCTCTGGTGAAAGTTTCAAAACTTCCACCACGAGCTGCTGCATCAGCACCTCCTTCGGTGTAGTTGGTGCGATGGTACAGGTCTTAACACCTGCCAAGAGCATCAGTTCGCTGTGTCGCAGCATGCCGGCCGCTTTCTGGAGCCTGTATCGGTCAATCTTGCCTGATACTGTCTGAGGCATCTGGTCGAGCTGCAGAAACAGTTTCGGGATCATGTAGGCTGGCAGCTTGTCTTCCAATGCTAACATGACTTCCCGAACCTTGGATGTAAAGTTTTCATCAGGAAGCGCAAGCAACTTCTGCCCTTCCGTTTCACGACCGGTCTGTGAGTCGTCTCGGCGGGCAAGGGCCACAAACGCAACCAAGATGGCTGTACCGTCACCATCGGCGGGATGGATGGCATCCACCACGACACTGCGCATAACGCTGCAGGTCTGCGCAATATGATACTCTGGCTCGGCCAGATCTATCCGCTGCCCATGGATCTTTACCTGCCGGTCTCTTCGACCCACATATCGAAGGAGCCCGTTGCCATCATAGTAGACGAGATCACCCGGGATATACAAGCCGTTGCAGTCTGCCCGGCCGTGATTCGCATGCCACTTTGGGGGCAGGACGAAGCTGGCTGCCGTCTTCTCAGCGTTATGAAGGTAACCTTGGGCCAGACTCGGCCCTTCCACGACCAATTCTGCCACAGCCCCAATAGGAGCGAGTTGACTTGGATTACCCTGCTCAACCAGCCAGCATCGAGCGTTTGCTGGCGATCCAATGATGCCGATGTCGCCGATAGACTTAACCTGAGGAGACACGCAACAAATGCCCGCCCATTCAGTGAACCCATAAGCGTGGAACAGGCGAGTACGCTCTGCCCAAAGGGAAATCTGGGCCTTCCGGATTGGCTCCCCTGCTACGAGGATGGTTTTCAAATCCGGCACCATATCCGGCACCAGAGTGGCCAGTACGGTGGGCGTCATGATGGACCAGTCCACCCCCATGGACCTGATCGCGTTGCCCAGGCCACTCACTCTGTCGGCGTCAGAGGGAACGCATAGTGTCCCTCCCGTGGAGAGCGTACACCAGATTTCAATCAATGCCACTCCGAAACTGAATGACGAAAATTGCAGCACCCGATTTGTATGGTGCAGATGCAGCGCACCGCAGTGAGTCTCGATACTGGCGAAGCCTTTGTGGTCCACGACGCAACCCTTGGGTTCGCCGGTGCTTCCGGAGGTAAATAAGCAGTAAGCGGGTGCATTTTCATTTGCCTCTGTTGAAAACGTTGCTGTCTCGACCCGGGGCAACTCTGCAAACATTGAACTCCAGATGGCAATGGTGCGCAGTCCGAGGTCGACCAGCTTCTGTCGATGCTGCGGCGATACAAGCCCCAACGGGGAGCTCAGCTGGCGCGTAATTGCCTTCAGCCGGCTTTGAGGCTGCGATGGATCCAGTGGTACAAAGCACCCGCCAGCCTTGTTGATTGCCAGCATCGCGACGATTGCATACAAGCCTTTGCCAAAGCACACGGGTATCAACTCGCCCGGCCGCACACCAGATTCCTGTAGATAGACTGCAAGCTGTGAGGACATTTCATTTAGCTGTTTGTAATTGAGTACACCATCCGGGGCGATGATTGCAATATGTTCGGGTTGTTGCACAGCTTTTTTGTGGATGACTTTCCACATGAACCTCTCAGTAGGCTGCACTAATGGAGCCTTATTCCATTTCTCAATCAGGTCCATCTGCTCGCTGCTAAACATCGGCACCTGCTTGGGCGCAAGCGTTCCATTTTCCGGGATCTGCTTCATCGCCTCGTTGACGCACGCCATCAAATGGGCAGCCTGACCCGCAGACAGGACTGCTGTTCTGTGGGCCAGAAAGCATTTTTGCCACTGATGGCCAGGACCGAATTCCGATATCAACATCAAGTCGCAGATCTGTAACACGCAACGCCGGTGCTGGTCAGTTTGGGCATCAATGGGATTTGGTGGCTCGGGTAATCACCTCATCATCCGTCTTGCACAGCTGATTGAGCACCGTGGCCGTGTCGAGTTCTCTGTTTGGGCATCCTTCGTATAGCACGATGCCCGTGTTGAAGTCAGCGTAGTGCGTTTCCAGGGCTTCTTGGATTGTCCACGCCTCTTCCTGGAGCAACTCATCGATCGCGCCAACCCCCATGCTAGATGCAGCAAGTAGCTTCATTCGTCTCTTCAATCCAGCTCTGACAAGCCCCACCTCTCCCCTCGCTGACATCTCGCTCATGCCAATCTGGACCGTCGCGGTATCTGCAAACCTCCAGAGAACAAGGGCCCAAGCCAGCGTGATGAAATACCGTGGATCCCGTTTGGTAGCCAGACAGAACCTCATACTTTCTTCAATTCGAGACCTGGGAAATTCTACGATAGCCCATTGCTCCATCCGGTGTTGCCCATCGCTGCGGGTGGGAAAGAGGCATTTCGCAGCAACGCACTGTGGTCTTTGTTGTTTGGTCATTGTTTCCTTAAGCGCTTGTTGTCTGTTCTCTCGCGAGACTGGTACCCCAAGAGTATCTCCTCGGCCGGAGAGGTTCATCTTCTAAATGCTAAAAGTATGAAAGCCCCTCTTTGCAAGATTCCATTGTCACCCACTGAGTACTAGCCTCGCCATTGATCATGCTCGTTGTTCGCCCCTTGTTGACATGTATATCCCCATTGCTAAGACCACACTCCGTCCAGGCGACAGTAGCTGAAAGGCACCTTGGAATGCGTCGAGGCCTCGCCCCAGCATCCAATACACATTCTGCGCCTCTCCCCAGCATGACTAGGCCGACAGGCAAAGGTAAGCAGTTCGTTATTGTACAAACGGGAGGCCTGCAGGGAAGCAGGCAGCAATCGCCTTGAAAGTTTACAGTGAATATTCCAATCCCGAGGACATACGACTCGCTGTTTCCGTTTACAAATAGATCAGAGTCTTGGGCGAATGCAGAGTAAGAGGCTCTGCAGGAGCTCCCTGTCGGGGCTGCCTTCGTAGTGTCATATCCCCATGGCATGCGAGTATTGTTCTTGATTATGCCATCGAGGCAAGACCATACTTTGCTTATTACATGAGTATGTTGTGCCACATTGTCCTTGCCTCGAATTGGCCTTGCTTAGCTGAGCGAGTTCGTCCATTTTGTGGCTTGCTCACTGTGTCGTTGACTCGACAACGTGTAAGGAGATCATACTGGTCACTGAAATGGGCGCGTCTAGAGCGAGGCAACGGGTGTAGATACGACCGAGGGGGTCATAGCCCTAAGAAATGATTCGAAAGACTCTTCTGGGCCCCATGACTGGTTGCAGCTGCACAGTGTAACCACAGATGGTTTGCAAGAGGATTTCCCAGAATGCAAGAATGACAGTTGTGTCAATGCGTCTGTGGTAGAGATCGGTCCCAGTCAAGAATCATAGCCCAACTACTAACCGTTAATAATGTACCAACCTTCGCTGTAAAACTAGCTCCTCGTCAGCATTAGCCGTGAGGAATAGAGACAGACATAGGTAACGTGAGGTCGGTTTCTTCTCATTGCCGCGAAATTGTAGAAAGGCCCTCATTTATACTGCTGCCTTTTCCACATTCCCTTGCCCTAGCCCTGCTATTCTGTGTAACAGAGAAAGCTGCACCTGTCCCGCGCAGAGTCTCAGTCACCAACCCTCCTTCGCGCTCGCCAACTGAATCGGGTGTTCGCCATATCTTAGCATTTACGAGTAAAGAGGGGAAAGAAAAGGGCCAAAGAGAATAGGAAAAGGGAGCTCATAGCCAAGATGACAATCACCTACGGAAAGAACCATACCTTAGCAAGCTGGAGATATACTGGAGGTAGTATAGATGGAACTTACATCTACCCAAATATGTTAAGAGTGTCCTATATCATCCATTCTTTACTTACAGCCAGTACATACGACGACAGGGTGTGCAAAATAGGGCTTCCCGTTCGCTCAGCCGTACCTAGGCCGTACGCCGGCTGGTTAACATGCACCCCAGCTGTAGTATGTTTTTGCTTGTTCTTTTTTGGAACAAGGAGGGATTCGTAGTGTGTTAACAGGGGTTCGACATACTGGGTCTATCTCGGGGATTATAACAACGTTGTTCGCGTTAGAGTTGATACTGGTAGATAAGGGCACCCGTCCTGAGAGGATATCGGCCCCTCGTCATCTGTATGAGAATAATAAGTAGTAACGATAGTAGTCCGATTTCATGGTTTCATGGCAGAGCTGCCTGTTGCACCAAGGCATTTCTGCAGGATTGGTCGCCGAGTTACAATTATACTTTCGTAATATATCAATAATCCTATCGCAACTTCCTGTATAGAATCTCCCTACTAAGGTATTTAATTATAGTAGACATAGAGAACAAATGAATAGGGCTAATCTAAACATTGTAAATAACCTCCATACTTTCATAATAAGATGATAAAATGAGCTGCCTTGCATTGGTTTGTCTTGAGGCCCTTCCGGTCGCGGGAAATCTGTAATTCCGGGGGGCCTTATCGCCGAGTCGCGTGAGTCGTGACTCCTCCATTCATGAACACCGCGGCTGTTAGGCTGGCGATGGAGACAACCGTCCGCCATGATGCTCCTGCCCTCCTGTCTCCGTCGGAAAGCGAAGGAGACCCGCTGCCATGAGGCTGGTCTTGGCGATGACGGGGACCAGCTGCTAGCGGGAGAGAAGATCGAGCGCGGGAGGGAGATCAGATTGACGCCCATGTGAGTTTAGCGGATCCAGCGGCGACTCTGCCTCCCATCTGTATATCCGGACACCACGAATGAACCAAGCCGAAATGTCCTAGCGTCCACTGCCTATACCTGATCTGGGTATATTTAGGAGAAAGTGCTGACTTTCCAAGCTATCTCCTTTTAATAGTCGCGACGTTGGTCATGATGACCGCCCTCTTTATGGACCTGTCATCCCGCACGCCTTCCTTGCCAGCAACCACCCCGTCACAACCCCCGACTATCGGCCTGGACTACGCCAAGTATAAGGGAGTGTCGCTGGACAACGGCGTGGATCAATACCTAGGAATGCGGTTTGCGAGGCCGCCGTTGGGCGACTTGCGGTTCCGTGCACCCCAGGATCCGGAGCACTACAGCGAGGTGCAGAGCGCGACAGAGGTAATATTGATTCTCATCTGCGGCGATATTGACTAATTGTGTCGAATAGTTCGGGTCTATCTGTGTTGGTGTCGGGCAATCTGTTCGCGACAATCTCGCAGAGGACTGTCTGTTTGTTAATGTCTGGAAGCCAACCAACGCTTCCATGGAATCCAACCTCCCTGTGTGGTTGTTCATTCAAGGGGGTGGGTACGCCGATAACACAAATTCCAACTATAACGGCACCAAGGTTGTGGAGAAATCAGGGCACAATATTGTCTTCGTCAACTTCAACTATCGCGTCGGCGTCTTGGGATTCCTGGCCAGCGAAGAAATCCGTCAGAACGGCGACCTCAATGCTGGTCTGCTCGACCAGCGCAAAGTCCTCAGCTGGGTGCAGAAGTACATCCACAAGTTTGGAGGGAACCCTGAACATGTGGTCCTCCACGGCGATTCAGCTGGAGCTGGCTCCGTCGCTCACCATCTTACCGCGTATGGCGGCCATGACTCGAACCTGTTTGTGGGTGCGGTGGCCGAGTCTCCTTTCTGGCCGACTCAACGGACAGTGCCAGAGATGGCATTCCAATACGAGCTCTTTGTCAACGATACCGGCTGTAATGCATCCGCGGATGCCCTGTCCTGTCTACGCTCCACCGATATCGCCACGATCCAGAAGTATAACGTTAAGAGGCCCTTTCCCGGCGGGAGCGACTCTCCCCTTCCACTGTGGTACTTCCTCCCAGTGGTAGACGGCGCCCTCGTCCCTGACCGTCTATCCAGCCTCTTCGAACAAGATAAGATGATTCACGTGCCCCTCATCGTGACAGACGACACCAACGAAGGCACACCCTTTGGCTATAACGCCGCTAACTCTGCCGAAGTGGCTCAGTTCATAAAGAATAATTATCCGGGCCTGGACGAGAACCATCTCAGCGAGATCAAGGAGGCATACCCGAAGCTCGACCCCCTTAACAAGCATAAAGCATACTTCCCCTCCGCATCCAGAGCCTATGGCGAATCAACATTTATCTGCCCGGGGAACTTGATGGCAGCGGCTATGTCGAAACACTTTTCCCCAGAACAAGTCTGGAACTACCGATTCAACGTCCGCGGTCCAGCCGAGGCCGCGAATGGCATGGGTGTACCGCACGTCTTCGAGATACCTTCTATTTTCGGGCTAGGACAGACCAACGAGAACGAGTATTCATTTGCCACCATTAATGCGAATATCATTCCGGTCACGATGAATTACTACCTCAGTTTCATCCAGGAACTGAATCCGAACACTCTCCGCCTGCCGCGGGCGCCTATTTGGGATCCTTGGGGGTCTGGGACGCCCCAGCGATTGAAGTTGCAGACGAACTCATCCGAGATGGAGGATGTTCCCCGGGAACAGCTGGAGAGATGTTCGATGTGGGCCAAGTTTTCGGCGGCCATGCAGCATTGAAAGAGCCTATTATAAACGGAAATTTCGAATCATTTTTCCACGCCTTGTTGTCATGCTTTATGATCAGTATGAAGATAGCAAAGATGAGCCTCTGCCCAAACCATAGTGCGGGAAATTGAGCCTCCACCCGGACCCTGGCCGACCTTCTTTTTTGCCTCGCCTTCGGTGGAATGCGTTTTGTCAATCAGGCCTCCGCTGTGCGCAGCGATCAACTTTCGTATATATATTAATGCGCGCCGGGAGATGAAAGGCGGCTTGGCACAGGTCTATTTATTTATAAAAGGAATAGCCTAATATTGGCTCTATATTAATTATATGATAAGATGAAGCTTTGTATTGTATAATAGTAATTTTAGTAGAAGGCTTACCTGGATTGTAAGTAGTTATAGGTAATAATTTATTATGTAACTAGGCCTATATAGTAGTACCTATAATATATTCTATAAGAAAGTTAGTTATATATATCGAAATGGTAAAAATTACCATTCGACTAAAAAGGCCACTAGTGGTTATCTGACCGTGTTTCTAATTGCATTATATGCTGACAATATATATAACCGTCCACTCTATCTCTATTTCTGATAATCTAACGATTTCCAACAACCAAATGACTACACATACTGCATGGAACAGCAGGACCCGTTCCCCAAGGACAGCCCTGTCCTATTTTCTGTGGTTTTGTACCTTATACGTTGTAGTCTAGCTCACCACCGATGGATCGCAGGTTAATGACCTCACGGGCTGCTTTGTTGTCTCGAGGTGCTGTGCTGCCAACGCCGCATATAATTGTCAGTCTCTGTAACGATATGATAAAATGCACCGGATGAAACCATACCAACCGCATATCCTAGGACCATCAGCGACAAGCCCAGAATGGCGACTTCCTGGCTGCATTTGAATTCGGCGAGAATCGAACCAATTGCGCCTGAATAAGCAGATGATGCCAACGCAACCCCCAGTGTTTTGATTTCAATTAATGCGGTTACACTCCATCGCAAAGCCTGGCTATAGTCCTTGGGGTTCTCAGGGTAGTTTGGAAGCCACTCCACGATATTCTGGTGTCTGTTCTCGGTGTGTTACACCTCCTCAGCGTTACTCAACCATCCCAAGCTGATCCTCTGCTGAGCTGCCATCAGAATGGGACGGCCTGTGCTATTCCAGAGGCAGTGCGCCCTCGAAAGCGTCAAAGCCGATGTATTTTCCACAGTGAATATTAATAATCCTTGGTGCGGCCCAACTGACCACATCCTAGTGCACACAAGAATGCTTCATTTGGAGGAAATGATGAGTGATTTGGTCGATCGGGTGTCTGATGAACGTCCGCAGCATTCCGGGGCTGAATCACTAAGGTCGGTGCATAATACCGTCTATTCTGTCCAGGACGGCGTCCTCCGGGGGGGGGGGGGTGGTTAGCCCCGCAGAAGCAAAGTCTCTCTGCAACATATATCGCAAGATGTTTCAAGAGCACTTCCCCTCCGTTATCGTTGCTGCATGGATGCATCCAGATCAGCTACAGCGGGAGCGGCCGATGCTCTTCCAGGCGATGCTTGTTGTGGCGTCGTTCCGGAACCGACCCAGACAGAGTGAGTTGGAAAGCGTCTTTCTGAAGGGCTTGGGGGAGAGGTTCTTTGTGCGGGACGAGCGGAGCTTCGACTTCATCCAGGGTCTCCTCGTGTATCTGACGTGGTATGTGTGCCTGAAGATGTAGTCAATTTCCTAATCGCGTAGGTACCATTTCAATGGATCCGAATCAAGACAGTATCATGCATACTGACTGGCCTCATTGTGTGTCACCATGGCAGTGAAACTTGGAATCACCATGAAGCCCCCGCGAGGGACAGCTGAGCACGACATGATCCCCAATTCCTAGTCTATTCCTGTCGAGGCCTCACATCAAGCAGGAAGCCATGAGGCCAAGCGGATCCTTGTCGGGGCGTACGTCCAATACACCCTGTAAGCCGAATGGCGAAACATTCTATTCTGCCACTGACGGTTGACAGATGCGCACTGATGTGCCGTAAACAACATCCGCTTACATTCACAACCTATATGGAGGAATGCGCTTTGTCATTACAACAGGACAGCGAGGTAGAGTCGGACAAAATGCTTATATACTACGTTCGACTCCTCTGAATATTCAATGAAGTGTATGATGAGTTTTAGTATGGTGACTCGGACCACACTCTCTCAATAAGTGATGACAAAGTCCAGGTTCTTGTTAAATCACTTGAAGCCCAGCTCAGTTGGTGGAGGGCCAGCCTACCACCAGATCTACTATACTATGGTAAGTAAGTAACCCTATAACTTAATTTAGTAGTATCAGTCTAATTTAGATTGGACACGGGGGTGAGTACATGTGGTTGTATTGATCGAACCTCGTCTCCGTCACCTGTTCGGTATCGGTTGACAGCCTTCTAGGGCTCTCGTATAATCGAAATGACACGAACTCCACCGGCACCAACAAACTATCGCGCATTGGATTGCTGACCATGTTCGAATATCCGCGTGGTACTGGATGTTGCGTATTTATCATAGTATTTTGATGGCTAACACAGAAGACCGAGCCTCTCAGCGAAGGCAAGCGTGGGAATAAGCTAGGCAGCGCGATAGTATAAAGGCCGCATTAAATTTGATTATGGAGCAACGAGGCATGCACTTGCATCTACAGCCCAATAACCCCAAGGCCAAGGCAGACCTTTCCCAATGTAAGAAAAGACTCAAGATGGCAAGGTACAAAATGACCCCCCACGCCGGTAGTAAAATGTGCATGATCACGCCCAGAGAAAAAGCTCTGTCCTGTGACGAGGTGTTAGTGACTTATTGTATTATAGAGGCTAGATCGTGTTGAACCGATCAAGAACACTAAACTCAGTGCACAGTCACGGTAGTCGTACCTCCAGCTAATCGTCTTTTGCTCATTACTATGTATCCTTGTCTACTATGGAGTACACAGATCCTGATTTCATCTCGATCATCTCCATCCTGTGCGTTTTTGGTGGGACTACAACGAGAGACACGCATTCCCTCACCGACAAATGCCCAGCAATATCATATCACTCCCTTGCATAACGCCCCACACAATAGGAAAAGATGTGCTGGGAGTGTTATGATGTGTGATCAAGTAGGAGGATAATGTAATATCTGTGGATGCCAGCCCGAGGAAGTGGTTTCTGGCTCATATTTGCAAGTTACTGTCCCCACCGCCGAGAACGCGATAACCATCACTGGACGATGGATGGTATCCACGAGCCTATATGGTACGTTGGAATCGCAGGATTGGGGTTTCTGGGCTTTCTAGTGACCTTTTCCACTGGCAACTGTATCAATTGGGCACAAAGAAGCGACAAGGCCAGCTTTCCTGTCGGATACAAGGAGGCCACCAATGATACCGTAAAGGGCGTGGCGTCTGAAAATGCAACCGGCCAATGGTTCCAAGCTTCTGCCCCAGCTTTCGCTATATTCGCTGGGATATTGTCGATAGTGCCGATGAGCATTGGAAAGTCTGATCGTCCACAAGCAAGACTTGTAGAAGGAGTAAGTTCTTTAAGTATATTCATATATGAACGGCCCTTTTGCCGTGTGGGCTACTGCGCAAGACACTGACTGTAGTCTGCCGTGTAGGCCGTGCTCGTTTACCAGGCCGTTACAATTCTTCTTAAACACGACACAACTGAGAGATACTATAAGGGTCTTGGTGCCGCTCTCGGTTGTCTTACCTACGCGTTGATTTGTGGATTTCGCCTACACTGTATGTGGATGGCAGATAGGGAAGTTTTGGCTGAACAATGTCTTGTTGCTCAAATTGTATCAACCTGCGTGGCCGGAGTGTGTTATCTGCTCTATCCAAGGAAAGCCGATACCTTACGCAACGGCGTCATAGTCGACCGTCAGTATTCTACTTCCTTCGTTAGTCGAATGTCGTACTCCTGGGTAGGGGGGCTTATCCAGCGGATAAAGTGCAGCTCCACCATCCACCTCAGAGACATCCCGGAGCTGGACGAACTTACACAGGCACAAAACCTGCAAAAATCCTTTGTCAAGATTGAAGCTATTCACCAAAGCCCAAGCTTGGCTGCCACACTATTGCGCTCACATGCAAATGCACTTCTGTGGCAACTCGCCATCTCTGGCATATCTACTTTAGCCGCACTCGGGCCTCAAATCGTTGTCCTCAACCTACTAAAAGTATTGGAAGTTGGTTCAAAGGATCAGGTTACACTCATCGGGCCTGCGGTCTGGATTGTTCTTTTAGGGGTGTCTATCACGGTAACAAATTCATTGGTGATGTGGAAGTCGTGGCTACAACTGAATGTGCTTCAAACTCGAACATATTCCCAATTAATGGCGGTTTTATTTGACAACACCGTCAAGGGCGAGATGGGATCTTTCCCAAAGGGGGAAGAGAGGCCTGATCACAGTGCGATCAGTCTTGTGGTCACCGACGCAAAGAAAATAGCCGAGTTCATGGGAAATTGTTATCAGTTATGGGAGACACCCCTCCACATCGGATTAACAGTCATTCTTTTAACCCACCTGCTGAAATGGAAAAGCGTCTGTGCTGGCCTCACTACCCTCTCATTAACTTCGTTGCTAGGAATACTCGCAGGGAATAGATTATCGTCCGCCAATTGTGGACTTGCAGCAGCTCGCGATAAAAAAACGGGCCAGATCACAGAGCTGCTAAACTGTATCAGAGAGGTGAAACTTCTTGCCGTGGAAGACAAATGGGAGAAACGAATCAATATTCTGAGGGACGCAGAGATTTGGCATCAGTCCAAGGTGATTCAATGGAAGACCATCGTGGAATCCATTTGTGCAGCTGAACCAATCCTGCTCTCCGCTGTAATGCTCGGAACCCATGTGCTTCTTTTCGGACATTTATCCCCATCTGCTCTCTTCACCTGCTTAGCGCTTCTGGACCGGTTACAACATTCGTTCGAGAGGATCCCACATATATTAACTGAAGTGGCAACGGTGAGACTGTCCACGAGCAAGGTCCAGGAGTACCTCCATCGTCCACGCAAGCAAAACAGCGTCGTTCGCGGAGCGCAGATCGATATGAGAAATGCTACCATCACATGGGCCGGCGTCAACGACGGTTTCCATCTGAAAGACATGAACATGAATTTCTCGGCCGGGAAGCAGACTGTTGTGCATGGACCTACGGGATCTGGCAAAAGTCTGCTTTTGACAACGATCTTGGGACAAAATGACATCCTGAAAGGCACGGTGCGGAGCCCTTACACAAAGGGCCTTTGTCCGGTTGCATACGTACCGCAGAACCCTTGGGTAGAAAGCTGCACATTTCGAGATAATATCCTATTTGGGCTTCCATACAATCCCAGCCGGTATGTGGAAGTCATCGTCGCCTGTGCGTTAGACATCGATCTGCAGAGTCTGCACGACGGGGATCTCACTGTGCTCTACCAAAATGGCACCAACCTCAGCGGGGGTCAGAAGGCGCGGCTGGCTCTCGCGCGTGCTCTATATTCGAATTCACCGATTCTACTCCTAGATGGGGTATTGAGCTCGGTAGATCGGAGGACCGCTGGCCACCTGGTGGAGTTTGCGTTGAACGGGAGACTCGCGGCCGGGAGAACATGTATACTTGCTGTGGACCGTGTTAACTTTGCTTTCCGTGGGACGCACTGTCTAGTACGGCTAGACCGACAGAGAATGGAATCTAGATACGCCGTCACGAATCTGCGGCCAAATGGGTTCAATTGCCCCTTGGACAGGAGTTTTGAGGAGGCGTGTCAACGGCACCAGGACTTTCTTGCAGATGAATCTACCGGTGCCTATCAGAAAAGTCCAGTAGCAGAAGAAATATATACATACCATGGACGTCCAGACCTAGAGGCCATCACACAGTTCATGGGGCTATGTGACTGTCCGCTTGGATGGCTTCTGATAGGGTTATTTTTTGTGGTGGCTATAGCGGTGACGCTTGGGAAAGTAAGCTTTTGAGCCAAACCCTTGAATATCTGCCCAGACTAATGTACTAGACACATGTTACGATGTCTTTGACAACCCATCAACAAAACCAATCCAAACCGGCCAACACGGCAGCCTATCTTCCCCTTTATTTGGTCCTCTCTATCTGCGGCGTTTTAGTGAAGAGCCTGAATAGCTACCTAGTCCTGGCTTTGCCATTTCGCGGCTCCAAGAAGCTTTTCCGACGCCTACTCCGCGGCATCTTGCGTGCAGATTTGCGATGGCTCCTTGCCACACCGGCTGGGAGCCTAATAGGGAGACTGTCTGCTGACAGCTCCACCGTGGACGAGAGAATCGGCCAGCACCTTAATCTCGTCATAGTCCATGCGGTTAACATTGCGACATGTGTTCTGTCAGGAGCAATAGCTAGCCCTGTTGATATCTGTGTTGCATTGGGAACCCTCCTGTCCATTTTACGGCCTGCTGCCGACTACTTGACTGCCATCCGAGAGATTAAACGGATCGAGAGTATTTCTCTAGGCCCCATACTGGACCACTTTACGTCATGTATCACAGGGCTGAGCACAATTAGAGCATACGCAAGGGATGAGGACTACCTCAAACTGGCATTTGACCGGATTGATGTACTATCCCGCGCTTCATGGCATCGATGGCTTCTCAACCAGTGGATTGGTTTTCGCATGGGAGTGATAGCGGCAATTTTCACTTCATTCACTGTTGCCATGATTGTTTTTACAGGCGACATGGGTGTTGATGTTGCGGCGGTCGGTTTCACGGCCAGCGTCGCTATCAAGCTAGCCGATTGCCTTACCGCTGCGGTTAAATCATATGTTACTCTGGAGATGGACATGGATAGCCTGGATCGAATGTTCGAGTACTGCATGGTTCATACGGAGGACGGCTATGCTGATGAACAGGATGCTGAATGGTCACCGCAAGGTTGTATAGAAGTCTTGGACCTGACAGCCACCCATGCGCCTGAGCTACAACCCGTTCTACGTGGGGTGACATTCTGTGTATCGCCAGGGCAGCGATTAGGGATAGTTGGGCGGACGGGGGCGGGCAAATCATCTCTTGGTTTGGCTCTGGCCAGGTTCCTTGACGTTCAAAATGGGATGATTAGGATAGACGGCGTGGATATCCGTCAAGTTCAGTTGCGGCAGTATCGTCGGAGGGTGTCGCTTATCCCCCAGACGCCCGTTCTGTTTTCAGGGACTATTGGCAGCAACCTGGATCCGTTCTGTGAAAAAGATGACCTGGATATCATTGATGCCCTTAGAAAGATACACTGGTTTCGGCATTTCGATGCTTGTGATGTGGCGGGCGGAAACCTGCGGTCTACGGACGCTATCCGTGAGGACAATTATACAGCTGAGCTATCGATGAAGCAGGCCTCCGCTATACTACAGACTACCATTGCGGCTGGGGGGTTAAATATCTCCCAAGGGCAAAGGCAGTTACTTTGTTTGGCTCGGGCAATTGTGGCGCGGCCGAAGGTCGTGATCCTGGATGAGATCACTTCCTCTGTGGATACAGAGACCGACCGGCTCATACAAAGGTCTTTGAAGACGGCATTCCATGGGACTACTATAATTGCAATTGCTCATCGCCTACAGGCCGTTGTAGAGTTTGATCGGATCTTAGTTCTGGAGGAGGGACGAGTTGCTGAGTTTGGTGCGCCGCTTGAGCTTATGGCAAGACCAAACGGAGCCTTTCGGGCGATAGTCGAAGAGCATGTGAAGAGTGAAGAGCTAAGGCTGACTATGGCCCAGGGAGCCGAGAGATAGGTTTTCGAGAGGGTGTATCTTGACGTATCTGGAGGAGAATCCCCGGATTCTACTTCCACGGCTAGGCTATGGGACCTTCCGGATTATCCGTACATAGGCTACTCTAAACTTATGTCGACCAAGATGGCCTCTGCATTTACATATGTGAATATAACTGCGGGGTATTCGAGGCCCAAGCGTTGTGCGGCAGTGGCGGGCTAGTTTTTGATAGCAAGATAGAAAGACCATGCATGCCCAACTTCGCATCCTAAATAGGTAGGATAGTAGTTCAAAGAGAGAGGTCCAGCTTACCCCTCACCACCTGAGATAAGCCCCTCCTGTGAAGTACCTGAAGATCCTGTTTTTTGCAAGCGGAGAAACCATTCAATACTTAAACATGATAGGAAACAAGATTATGGACGATCCCTGTTATATTGATAGATCAGGCGGTGTTAGAAGTATAGGAGTTGAAGGCTATAATACTTCTATTATAGAGAATTCTAGTTTCCTATAGAGAAACTACTAATTCTAGGGTTAGTAACTATTATAGCTATAACTGTTATATATTATCTGAATATTATCTAGCTACAAGAGGACGGTTGAATACACAGGAATGATAGGCAATCTAGCGTGTACTAAGTAAGTATTCCACCGCATCCATCAATTCAGCCGACTGGCAACATACAGACGGTATGCTTCCTAGACCATTGGACTTGGATGTATTTAGCCCTACACGGACGCACCTTGCACACGTAGAAAGCATGTCTACCCAGTGCGACCTCTATTGCAGTTGGATACCTACTGTAACTGAAATCACCAACCCATCTGAAGATGTTATTCCTATCCACCCAGTCATGGAGACCATATGTGGGAGCAAATCTGGAACAATTAAACCCATTGGAACCACGGCCTAAACCAAAGACGTGGCTGGCGGGCCTAGATAGCTCGGCCTAACGCCACCCAAGTCCAGGATCAGTTTCTCTATCAATAGCCCCTCGCTTCGAGGCCTAATGCCGACGCGATGAGCACCAGCAGAGAGACACTTGATGGTGTGTTTTCGATTCCAAACACAGTCCATAACAGCCGTAGACCACCCAGGAGGTAATTTACCCTGGGACTCAGGCTCTTGCAGTAGAGAAATGGGACCTGTAATAGTGCCGTCTATCGCGATGTCGTAGGTCAACGGGTCCTCTGAGCTCGTTTCAAGGGCCATGGTGAAGTATAGTCCAAGAATTACGGAAGAATGCTCAGAAAAGGTGTATATATCGTAAGTCAGGAATGGAATGTGCTCCGCGGATATATAGAGAGCAGTCATTTTAGAACGCAGCCCTATGACCCCATTCATTGTCCGGCCCAGATACGGATGATGCTCGTAACATTGCAGCTGGTTAGAGGTCAATCCGACCTCGCCCGGCTCTATGGCTATGTACCCATCAGCCTCGACGAAGCCGTGAAAATCAAAAGCGAGAGGGCGCTTGACGACGGGGACGTGAACTTGTTCGAAGTCTCCCTCGGAAGATCGAATGGCGACATGAACCACTCCGTCGTACCCAACAGGAACTTGTGGCCAATCAATTGAGATTTTAATCCTTGGGTCTACCTGCGTGTTGACTGAGATATCTCCTGCGCACGAACTAAGATGGATCCATGGCTCCGACCCTGTCGCGGTCCATTGAAAGGCCTTGCTACCACGAGAATATATCTCGAAGTATCGACTTTCTGCGGAATAGGGAGAAAGAACCGGGACAGTCAAGCCTGGCACAAGATCATTCTTCGACGGCTGCATGCGGTCGGTTTCTTCGTTAATAAGGCCCGGCCGAATGCCTGGATGACCTTCAACTGCGACGCCCATCCAACCAGCAATGGGGTTGGAGTCTTGTTGTTGCTGTATGTAGCAGAGCCCAGTGATGAGGTCACGACTAGGGTCATGCCATGTTTGCGTAGAGTAGCCGTAGTGCGGCTGCCGCATTATGTGATTCCATTTATCGCCCATCCAGGGGTTGTTGTGGTATAATTGGCAGAGGCCAAAGTCCTCATCGAAGAGGTGGAGCACTCGCTTGGCCCACGCATTAGTGCTTGTCCTGCGCTGCTGCCCATAGAGTTTGTTTTTCGCCTGTGCGATCCGAAGTTCAGTGTAGATGCGGGACGCTTTGATCGGATGCAGGACAAGCTGGAAGAAGGCAGCCTTGTAGTCGCAGTCTACCCGCGCAAAGGCCTGCGTCACTGCATCTTCTATAGTTTTCCAGCGTGAGAGAACAGTCTCTGCTTCGCGGTAGTTGAGGACCGAAAGAGTGTCGGCTTCGAGATGCTCATGTTTGCGAATCGCGAGGAGACGATCATGCTGCAGGAGCAAATCAGCAACCAGGCCCGCATTTCCTGCGCCTAAGCTCTGGGCTGAGAAGTGGCTGAAGAAGTCAGGGATGCGTGAAGCTGTGACACAGTTGATATCCCACGCCATGCTCATTGCAAAAGTGAACGGAAACTCAAGCGGCTTTATGTCTCCCACGTTGATCACCCAGATGTTGGTGATTCCGTGGTCGTACGCTCTTCGCAATTGCTGGTATATCTTGCCCTGTAATTCTTAGTCTTAGAGGAGACTTATCAGTATCAACAGGACGTGCACTAACACAGGAGTTCGTGTTGATCCATTTGTATCCACGTGGACGGCCGACATATTCGAGGTGATAGTATAGCTATCGTATTTGTCAATGACTAGGGTAAAAAAGAAAAGAAAAGAAAACAGTCGACACTCACCCCTAGTCCACCTGTTCGTTTCCGCTCTGCATCTGTGGGAAGCCGCCGAACATTCCCAAAATTATCGTCCGGAAACATCAGCGTCACATCGTCTGGGATGGCAAGGCCCGCTTCATAGTATTCCAGTACTTCCTTATATAACGCCATAAGTTCTGTTATATCTCAAAAGCTGATTAGACATGAAAGAGGGCCAGTATTTCAAGAAAGCAACGTACGTCGCTCGCCGTCTTCTCTCCCGTATGTCTTCTGGATGATCTGTCTCTGCGTCTTCAGCACCTCTGCCAGGGCTGTCTTCGGATCATCCGCTTTCATCTTCTCGTCACCTTCGCCCCGCATCCCCAAGGTGATGAAAGACTCATATGGCTCTGCCCTCTCCGCCCCTTCCTCGAAGAACTTTGTGATCTTATCGCGGCTGGGTAGCCAGGCCCATTCGGCGTCCCCTCTTGCACGCCACTCGGTGGTAGATCGTTGCATTGGCTCATGATGAGAAGTAGACAAGACAATGCCATAGGCATTCGCCATCACCTGGTTTCGCGCGTCGTCGGCGAAGAAACTGCTGCCCGGAAACGGATGTCCAGACCACATTGCGGGCCATAGGAAGTTTGCCTAGAGACGCGGTTTAAAACGATTCTTTCTGCATGGCCAAGGGCAGCGACTGGACTTACCTTCAGACGGAGTAGCAGCGCAAATACCCTCTTGTAGAAGTCGAAATTGTATTTAGGCCCGATCTTCTCGTGCACCCAGCTCGTAAGTGCCGGGGCCTCGTCGTTGATGAACAGCCCTCGGTATCGGACACTCGGCTCACCCTGGTATGTCGTCGTGGGTAGTGCGTAGATCTCGCTGTGGGGTTGGACGGGGACATCAGCCCACCAGTGCCATCTATGAATTGTCAGTTCCATTGGCAGGGCTGAGAATTGACCACGTTGTCTTACGGTGACACGCCGATCTGCTCGGAAAGTGTATAGATGCCAAAGATGGCCCCGCGCTTATCACTCCCCGCAATAACAAAACACTTCTTCGTCCATGGCAAGCTTAAGGTAGTTGTCATACACGATTCCCACTTCCCGTCGATTTGGCGTACGTCGAGCCAGCCGTCGTCGATAAGGCTGCGGAGTATAGAAGACCTCTCAACACTGCCAAGCAGGATCACTCCATCCAAGGGCTCATCATCTTGTCCAGCTGGCTTTTGCTTCAGGATCTTTGGCTTCTGCCCTGTAACCTGCTCGAGGTCATCCGCAAGATCCCTGCCTGCGATTTGGATACCCTCGTAATCGCCCGGATCAACCAGCAATGGCAAACCAGGGAGGCTCACGCCGCCCTCAACAGGTTTGAAGCTCACCAGTGGCGTATGCAGCATTCTTCGCGTCATGCCTGGGGAGACTTGTAGGGGAGCTGAAGGAGTCAGCGGAAAGGCGATCGAACATAGAAGGTCTGTTCACGGCCCAGCATGATTGACCGGCTAATTAGTATATAAGGGGTCGTCGACACTAAAATGTAAAACATCTATGAGGTTTGACTGTATCCACAGACTACCCAAGTTCAAAGGTGGAAAAACATGAGTGGAACCGGTTGCCGTCTCCGTACGAGCTTCAACTGCGGTTCTGCTTCTCCGCGTCCGAGCTTTCCGTTTTCCGTCTCCGTCCACTTGGGATTTGGGCTTAACTCTGTTTCTTGTCTATTTTACCGAAGGACCTGTCTCAGGCGGCGTCATCGGTCAATTCTGGAGGGCACTCTGCAGTTGCCCATGGGGTGATGCCAGGAGGGTGAACCATCGGGGTTAGCCCAACATTAACGATCAGTATATAGCAGACTGCTTATCCCAACATCCAGACCTAATGTCCCTCGTTGGAACCTCTAACTCATTTCCTTTGTGCTTACCACCATGGTCGCCACCAAGCCCTCACAGTCCGACCATGTCGAGATGATATCCTCAGCCATCGAAGACCCTCCAGGCAAGGATGGAATGACCGTCGCAGAAAAGGCGTATATCGCCACCGAAAGCGAGCACACGATGACTGTGTGGGACGCCTTGAAGCGATACCGCAAGGCGTGCCTGTGGTCGATGGCCTTTTCCCTCACAATCATCATGGATGGCTACGATACCGCTATTCTGGGCTCCCTGCAAGCCTTCCCGGCCTTCCAATACAAGTTCGGGCACCAAGTCGGCGACACCGCGGACTACCAGCTGAGTCCTCGCTGGCAGGCTGCCATTGGGCTGTCCAACCCATTGGGCAATTTAATCGGCGTTTACATCAACGCCTTCCTAACGGAGCGCATCGGACACAAGAAGACGCTGCTGGGAACCCTGGTCTACCTCTGCGCAGCAATATGCATTACCTTTTTCGCGCAGAGCGTCCAGATGTTCTTTGCCGGATCGCTTCTTTCAGGCTTTGCATGGGGTGTTTTCACAACGATGGCCCCTGCGTACGCATCTGAAGTCTGCCCCGTCGTGCTGCGCAGCTACCTGGAAACCTGGGTTGTAATCTGCTGGGGCCTAGGCCAGTTTGTCTCGTTCGGCCTTCTCAAGTCCTATTCCTCCCAAAAACGAGACTACTGGGCCTGGAGGATCCCCATCGGTGTACAATGGGCCTGGCCCGTAATAATCATCCCGATCATCGCGTTCGCTCCTGATTCCCCCTGGTGGCTCGTCCGGAAAGGCCGCGTTGACGCGGCCGAAAGGTCCGTCCTCCGAATCTCAACGGCAACGCGTCAAGAGGCCAAACAGGCCGTCGCCCTGACGACGCACACAAACGAGCTCGAGAAAGCCGAATGTGAAGGAACTGGTCTTCTGGACTGTTTCAGGGGCAACAACCTCTGGCGCACGGAGATCGCTTGCGCCGCGTGGACTATCCAGCAGCTCTCCGGCTTCGTCGTGAGCGGTTACGGCACATACTTCTTCCAACAGGCGGGCTTGAAAACAGAGGACTCGTTTAGCATGAGCGTTGGACAGGCTGGGATCCACCTCGTATGTAATCTCGTCGCCCTGCCTGTCCACGGCCGCTTCGGTCGCCGCCCTCTCTTTCTAGTCGGCATTGTCCTAATGGCATGTACGTGGTTCATCATCGGCTTTGTTGCGCTCGCCCCAGCTAGCTCTGCTCAGGGGTACGCCGAATCGGCAATCTACATGCTTTGGTATGTTGTGTACCAGATCACCATTGGACCCGGGTCGTACATCATCGTGGGTGAGACTTCCACGACGCGCCTGCGCTCCCACACGATCAGCATCGCGCGAAATTGCTACAACATCACATCGATCTTGAACACCGTTGTCGGGCCATATATTCTGAACCCCACGGCTGGGAACTGGAAGGGTAAGTGCGGGTTCTTAACCGGCGGTCTGCTGGTTCTATCCTTTGTGTGGGCGTTTTTCCGCCTCCCGGAGATGATAGGGCGGACGTATGAAGAGCTGGATATTTTGTTTGCTATGAACTTGTCTGCGAGGCAATTTAAGAAGCAGCCTCTTGATATTGGTATGAGGAGGATCGAAGGGGAAGTAAATAAGGAGGATGCTGAGGTGCAGGCACCCGCGAAGCAGGAAGTTAATGCTTAGTATCGCCGAGGAGTGATGTGATGCGACAGCGTTTGGCAGGATTCCGGTTATTTCTTGTTGCGTGGTCTATGCTGCCCTTCTTCGTGTTGCTATTTCAGCCAGCTAGTTAGATAATGGCTTCGATGGAGACCATCGGTAGCTTATATTCGATTGAGCTTAGCAAAGGTCCTATCCTATCCCAGCCCGGTGCAATCACAGTACCGGGCTCCTTTTTTTCTTATTCAGGGAGAAGCAACCAATTCACCATATATTTACATAAAACAGCCGACTTCTGTCGACTTTCACTATTGCCAGTTGTGACCGTCGTCAAGATGCCAGCTACCTCCACTTGCTCTGGAAGGAAATAGCTACCGGGAAATTATGTTACACAGGATGTCTCGCGTATTAATACCAGGAACCTTTTCAAAGATAAATATCTGTTCTGTAGCCAGGTGAAATTAAACCATGCCCTTCCTGACCTCTGTTTCCTCGATTGCTGTACAGTTTTTCTTTTATAGACAGGAAAACAAAATAGTACAATGATCACATATAAACCCCCCTTGCACCCCCTATCCACCTATACTGCGCAAGCAGCTTCCTAGTAAGCAGTTTCGATTCGGGTATGATCACTTGTTGGCCACGCGACGCCAGCAAAGTTAACCTGAACGCCTTGCAGACGTTTCTCTGCAAGTAAGAACATGGTCAGTCAATGAACTGGCGCTGAGTTCGAAGTCACATACCTGGAACTCTGTATCGAGCGTAGCTATGGATATCTCGTGACACCGAATAATCAACTCACAAGCTTTCTCTACGAAAGAGTTCGGCCCAACCTGCATCAAACGCTCCGCTAATCGCAAGAACGCCAAGCTCCCTTGGAAGAGGTAGATCGGGAATAGAAGTGGCATGAAAGACAGATACCTGTCTCGCCGCAGGATATCTGGAATAAGTTGTGCTGCATTGACTGAGCTGGACGTACTGACGTGGAAACTGGAAGATGAAGCCCAGCTACCATCATCGTCAGTTAAAATTAAAATTGGGTCCCATTCACCGTGGAGGAGGGCGCGGAGGACATGGACCATGTACTGGCTATAACTCGCCACAACTTGGGCTAGTTTCTGTGTCTCGAGTTCCGAGCTGGCGTGTGTAGCTTCTGTATTGGGGATGTCTTGCAGTTGAGTTTGAGCTTGGGGTTCAATGCCATTTTCACTGGGGGACATGCAGAATAACCCTTTCGGTAGCTGAAGGACCTGAAGGCTCTGCTCACAATCAGCGAGCTCGCCTTCTATGGCCTTCAGATGAGACGACCGGTCAACAGCGCCAAGGCGAGGGTTGTGGTTCAGCTGGCGGAAATCCACGATGTCTCCGAGGATAGTCATGAGAGGAAGGAAGTAGCCGAAGAATCCAGCATCTCGTACTTGTGTTGATGGGCCATATTCTGGGGCTGGTAATTCCCCGAATGGGATGGTGTCAAATGCTTCCCAAGCCCACTCAGGTAGAGGCCTCTTCACACTCTGGGCCTCTGAATCACTGATCTGCAGCGGCTTGTTGAATGCCAGCGCGAGATGCCTGTCTAGGCAATACACAAGCCAAAATACCCTGTATGACTCTTCCTGTTGTTCTCTGCCTGCAGAAGGGACCCCGTCCGATACGGCAGACTGTGCGACACTGTCATCTGAATGCGAGACGTGCTGCTTAACCCGGTCCACAGCCTGATTGAACCACCTAAGACAGCTAGCGTTGGATCCCTTGGATAAAGTGGCAGTTGTCAAGAGTAGAAATGATAGAGTCTCGTCCACGTACTCGCACTCCATCGTGATTCTCTGTCGTTCGGGATTTGCATCAGTACCACCAGGCTGGAAATACCCATGCCCGTCAACTCCGCCATTTCCTGCCGATGAAGGCCAAGATTAGTTTTTATTTTAACAGATACAGTATAAGACATATATTCTACCTATGCTCTGGCCTGTCAATGCCACAACACTTGAAAATAGGCGCTGGGTTGTATTCATCTCCAAGTTTGCTGTCTGCGAAACGGTCCATAGAATAACCAATAATAGCAAGGGAGAGGTCGGCCTATAGCTGTCTTGCCTCTGGAGTGATTCTCTTCGAATGATAGGTGACAGGACATAGGGACAGCGAGTTCCAATGTCTAACGTCTCGTGTTTCGCAAAGTAGGTGTCCAGGAGATCACAGGCGTCCTCTAGTGACAGGTCGGCTGTTTCCACCAATGGAAAGACAGAAAGGAGACATGGATAGCGGCATATCGGGTATTCTCTGTCAATGCTCAAAGGTATGGTGCATATAGGACTTACACATGGGTAAGAGGTGTCTGTAATGAGACCAGTGCCTTCGCTGGGAATGTCGAGACCCAGGATTGCGTTGCTGGTATCGAGGAGCGGCGATATATCAGGCAGACCAGGGACGGCGGACAGTCCCAAGCATCCGGTATACATCTCCTCAATGAGGCCAGTTGGGCTTTCAACCAACGCCTGTTCGTTCTTATCATCTGGTAACGAGGATTTAGGACGCTCTTTGAGTGTGTCGACGCTGGTTGGCGTTGGAGGATCACCATGACAGGCAACGTGTGCGACTGCATTTTGAGGTGGGGAGTTGACCTGTTCGTGCTCTTGAATCGTGTCATCGTCGCACTTGGATCCTCGCTTTGGGCCGCGCTTCCCGGTCGGACGGTCATATTCGCAGCTACGTTTCAGCACTAGGATGATCAGAAGAATTGGAGGACCGATTGTGGGAAGAAAGGCGCAACCATACATTCGCAGCGTCGACTATAAAGAGTGATCTCGTTATGCTCAAGACTTGACATTCCAACGAGGGAAATAACATGCGTACCATGGACGTCCTCCATCACAGCGAGTCCGTGATTTATTGCATCGGTCACAAGCTCGGCGGACGCGGTCAAGCTTGAGTGACGGTTGATTCGGCATTATCAAGGTCGTATCAATCGATGGCGGAGGATCATTGAAAATAAATGGTAATGGTGGAAGGTCGTCTGAATGCACGGAAGTATATACACAGTGACACGTTGATTGGCGTATTGTCGATTATCTATTTAGCTTCAAGCCAAGAGGGTCGGCATTCCTACCGTTCGCATTCGTCTCTAGCCTGCGGCCACAGCGCCCCCAGTGCGGTTTGGATCTGAGTCTATTCTTTGTTTCCTTCCGGCTTCCCCGACGGATAGACGGATATGCAGCGGATAGGCTGGTGGGACTCCTTGGGGAAAGATCAGCCACGACGCGTACTCTCTTACAGAGGTTTCAGCCTGTGGGAGGCTTATATTCGTCCTTGTTGCATTACGGCTCCCAAGATGTTAAATTAACAGTGCTCCTCCCCCGTGATTCCATTGCAATATATACATGTTGACGTTATTGGTAAGATATCGAGTGAAATGTCGATCCTCGATTCTACAGGATCAGCGGCATACTGGTTTCCTTTGCACGGGCTACCACATTACGGCAAGGTCACTAGTCAAAGGTTGAGGTTGAGGCCAACCAGGGAGGCTTTGCGAAAGACCATCCGCACCACCCTCAAAGGCAAGCGCAGTTCCATATACCTCGGAGTAAGTGAGTGGTGCGTACAAAATGCTGTTAATATTCTCAATGGACAAGGTTTCAGTGGCGGTTGGTGTGGTCTCCTGGTTCATTAGCTGCGGCGCCCAGCCACCTTGGGTCCATTTCAGCGCCTCCAGTCGTAGCTCCTCCAGCACCAGGCAGTAGCGAGACAGCAGTGAGTCACTTGGCGTTATACGGGAAAGATGATTCTGGCATCGAATCGCGGCATCTAAGTACACCTGGTAGGTGTCTGGGGATGTCGAGCCTACCAAAATCGGATATACGTACAGCACGACCGCAGCCGAGAAGCCATAATAGCATGTACCCTATACGCTCCTGCATTAGGGTGTGATGATTAAGTGTGCGGCAGGTGAGCTTACCCAGAAGGAGCGAAACATTACTTTGGACTGGAACATGGCCTCTACCTGCTCGATTATGCGTAATGCTGCAACTAGACATTCGCTCACCATACTTTCCATCTCCGCGTGGGTTGCATTCTCATATCTGCCCTGCTGTATCAGAGCGAACTTGCGTAATAGGATAGGACGATGCATAAGAACGATGGCGTGCCAGTACGAGATGTTCAGCACATCTTGCTGTCGCTGGAATATCGGGATCAAGGGGATATATTCCTGGTGGTCGGTCGACAGAAACTGCGGAACGGTATCACGCCAGTCCTTGAGTATTTGTGAGTAATTTGCTGCTAAGCTGCATTGCTTAGAGATGGACATGGGGCGTATTGAATAAAGATCCTTTAATATCCTGCTCACGATACAATGCATCCTGTATGTTCTTAGCGCAATGCAGTCAAACCGCCATTCGGGGTGACTAACTTGTAGTATGCTACTGGAGCAAGCATGACAGAGTGACCCTGTGGCTGCTGTGAGCTCCTCCGTTGTTCAACTAATAGATCTTCGTCATTCGCGCCGCACGGCCATTCCTGGTCGATATCATCATCGTGGAAAACCCGGGGCCGCCCAAAGGTTATGCTGAGATGATTATCCAAACAGTACGCGCTCCAAAATGTTCTCCGCTGACAGTCCTGGTCAACAGGGCGTCGATGCAATGCTGGGGACTGCTTGCGGTGCAGACCGAGCACCAGGGCAAGGCGGGCAGCAGACCCAAACAGCTCCCAGCAATGATTCAGGCGAGACCGCGAAAGGAGCCAGAAACACTGACAGAGGCGCGCTTGAACCGTGACAAGGCTAATGGTATTCTTGCCTTTGGAAAGCTGGTAATCGGCCGCCAGAAAATATCGTATACTTCTTACAATTACCTCCGTCCAATGAGAAGAAATTAGACCACAAACCTTCTATCATCATCCACCGTGTTCGGATCTTCGGCCATATGCTCCTGTGCCATTGCAAATATCATCCAGAGGGCAGCTCGCCTGGCGGGGCCATCATCACCACCCTTCATCCAGCCCATGGTCTCGCAGAACTCTCGGCGCCATGCCTCGACGGTTGGCCTGTGAAAAAAACGGTCGATGGGCATAGTGAAGTTGAAGAATCTGTCTACAAGCCGCACTGTTTCTTCGCTGGAGACCATGACGGACGGGATGGGGTCAAAATCGGGAAGAGGGACATCGCCAAACGTAAAGTTGGACGAGGCGTGGCGGTTCTGTTGCAAACGGCTTTGGACTCGCGCAAGGAAAGACACGCCGGAGGCTGGACCGATATAATGGCCTTGGAGGTCTGTTACAGTCCCCGGGGACGCCCGAGACGGCAGGTCGCCTGTGGGAGCGCGACCGGCTTCGTCGGAGACCTCTCCATGTTCGGAGTGCCGGTTTGCTTCATCCAAGAGACCCGGCGAATGCACGGCCCGTTCGTCATGCGATGGCCATGCGTTACTCTGCTGTGCCTGCACGACTGGAGGCGGCCTCCTCCCGCGGTTGTAGGGGGCTGCATACGCACAGGTTGTCGCTGCTCGTTCGCAGGTGTCGCAGGGCTTGGTACCGCTGCATCGAATCTTTCTCTTCTTGCATCGGTCGCATGCGCGTGAGATGCGAACACGCGGAGGACCCCACGGGCGCTGCTCAGCGTCCGATACAGAATTCGCACGGTGGCTGCTCATTCTGGACGATGACATTGGATATCCGACGGAAACACGGAAATGCGGAGGAAACGACCCTTTTACATCACTAAACGGCGCAATCTGCTTGTCAGATGATGGACACTCTCAACGTTGTTGCGGGATATTCGGTACATGGAAACGGAAAACGGAAAGCAGAAAGTAGGACTGTCTCATCCTGAACAAAGTAGTTCGTGTTAGAAACCAATTACTACGGAGAGAGTGGGAACGGGGAAACTCCGGCCACCGCTGGTGGCAACACGAGTGTCTTTATTCCCGTATCTATTGGCAGCTAATTCGTTGAAACCCGGCGATAATCCAATTTAGCATTGGTTCCTCTGGTGCCTGATTTACATACACAATAGGTACACACAGGTTCAAGTTGCAACGCCGGTACGTCCATCGTATTCACTCCTGGAGGAGAACGCGGATGGCGATATAAGCGCCAATGTTGAAACTTGTGCTGTTGTCGCCCTCGCTATACTCAACTTGCTCGTCGACTTCCCACTTGCCGCTCTCATAGGAGCCTGTCTCAATCGACTTGTCCTCCTGTCCTCCCAGCCCGTTTAACTTGTAGGTCGCCTCCCCAGTGCTCAACACCACCAGCTCGGTTTCGGACTTCGCGACAGCGATGCCGACGGAAGTTTCTTGATTTTCCGGGTTGTATGCGACATCGACGTCGCCAAACTTGAACGGCTCGATGTCGCCATCAAGCAATGGGTTGAGGTAGGCGAGTTTGTCTCCGCCAGCACCAACGGGTCGCCGAGTTGCCAGGTCGCTCGACACCTTCAGCAGTAGTTTGTTGGTTTTGATCACGTCGTAGACGTAGTCGCCCCGTTTGACGGGGTTCTTGTAGTCGTCATTGTCCCCCGGAATGTACAAGCCAAAGTCGTCCGAGCTGTAGAGATCATAGACGTTGTACAGCCCCCCGCCAGCAAGTGTGGCCAGCAATAGGTTCGCAGCGTTATCGACGGCGCCCGAGTTCTCCATGACCATGGGCAAGTTCAGGCCGGCTGGATAGTTCTTCTCCTTGCCATTGATGTCAATCGCCTCGTGGCCAAACTTGAAAAGGGTTCGCTCTTCTTCCTCGTACGGGTCCAAGCCAATGAAATCCAGGCTAGTGCCCCCGTCCTCCCTCCTTTCTTCGTTGTAACTGACGGTGTTGGCATCAACATGTCTGACATCGTTAGATCTGGTCCAGACCGGGTAGTCCGATTCTTTGACAGCGTTGGCAAGGTTGATCATGAACTCCCAAAGCGTGCGGTCAATAAAATCTTGCTCGGAGGCAAAATCGTCAAACGTCCCCCATGTATCAGGGTTGTGCCACGGCTCGAATGCACTCCCATGAAGCTGAAAGACGCCAGGTTCGTTCGCCACATCAACACCAATAAGAGTTCTCCTGTTCTCGTTCTTCTCGTCCCGGGCTGCGACGTGGTTGAGCATGGATTTGATAGCCTTTTTCTCCTTTTTTCGGGTATCGAGGTCATTCTTGTCCATTAGAAACCAATAGATGCCGTATGCCGGATCGTCCTGCTTCTTGAACTTTACTATGTGGTCCTCCGAGCCGTCTTCTGGGATTTCCTCCAACTTGGTGTTTTGTAGGATGTAATGCGGCACCCGGTTGTCCATCGTAACGCCAGTGGAATCCGACCCGAACCATACAATCTCAAACTTGAGCCCAAATTCTTCGCTCCATTCAAGCATCTTGTCGAGGTACGTCCAGTCATACTCGTCCTCATTGGACAGCACAAGCTGTGGTGGAAAGGCTGTGTCTGTGCCATTGATACTGGCGCCGATCGCATTCTCGCCAGCACCGTCAGAGGAGGCTTGAAGAATGAAGCTGGCAGTCTTATCTGAAGCATGGTCGATAATAAAGTCTGATACATCAAAATCATAGTATCCCTGTTCCGAGATTATGTCCCAGGAAGGGCTCTGAGCAACCAGGAAGTAGTCTTGATCTTTCTCCCCAGTGACTTCATCACCGCTGTGATTAGGAGCCCCAGAGTTCCAGGTTATTTCAGACGCTTCCCAGCTGTTATTGGTGATCCCATATAGATTGGCAGAGAAGTTCTCTCCATTTATGGGGTCTGAGTTGACATGGACACGGATCTTAGCGGCATGGACAGCATCAAATGGATATTCAGAGTAGTCGAACTTCAAGTACGTGAGCTGCTTGTCCTCGTCGGACCCCTCTTTATAACCAAACTTCAACGAGTCCTCGGAGGCGAAGTTCGAGTCTTGCTCGCTCCCACCCTGGATATAGGTTCCTTCAGATGCGTTGAACGCCTTGTCCGGCTGGATGTCTATCCAGCGGACCTGGGAGTTCACCACGGTGAATCCGGCTTCTGCAGCCTTCTGGAAGAGCCTTCGATTATCCTCATCCGTCAACCCCCAAACATCTTCGGTCTTATCAACGCGAATCTGCACCCCGTTGTAGAAAAACGGCTCACCCTCGACGGTGAGGACGAGACGATCGTACTTGTCTTGGCTCGTGTCGATAGACGAGATAGGCGTTTTGCTTGGCTCCGATGGCTTGAGGTCCGGATCAATGGCTTGGGCGTTCACATTGGAGAGACTGACGGCCCCAAACGCAACGCAAAGCGCTAGAGCAGTAGCTCGCCGGATGATATTATGCACACCCATGCTGGAAGTGAAATACAGGAAAACAAGTGATAAGGTTCAGTTGTCTGCTTCTTCGCACTTTTCCTTGTTGACGTTCGACGTGTGTTCTCCTCCTCTGCCTCTTGCCTGGGCATTATATGTATACCTCAGCGAAGATCCATAGAAAACAGCTTGCTAGCAATTACCCGGAGGACCCCGTGTGGGAGGTACGCTCTCCATTTCGCCGACATCCTTAACACGGAAGAACAATGGAACAGAGAGAATGGTGATGCAGACCAATTCCCTCACGTCTGATTGTACAGAGTTGGCCACGGAAATGGATAAATTTTGGCACAGCGGCCGGGGATCGGCAACAGCCATGCAGTGTATCCCCAGAATTCGACCCCAGATGGCGCTAGCCACCTGCGCCAAAGTAAAAAGATGCAGTGGGGTTGGAACCTCGAGTTATCCGTTTTCCGATAATCCTTCGCCGTGTGGGTTATTTTGCCGAAATTGAACCACTTCAAACCGTCCATGCGTGCTCCGCCAACCAGAGGAGTCAACGGGGCGGTGGTCTATAACAACCAGAGCCCCCGAAAGGGCCTATACCGATAGCATTTGATATCTTTGCAGTAGTAACTTAGGTGAAAGTAATTAATAAGGCCCTAAACACGCTGCCAACCACACTGAGACCAGTAACAACAGCAGCACCTCCATTATCTGCATCCCTCCCCTTGAGCATCTAGCTTGTTTATGGTGCTTTCATGGCTAGGTCCAAGCAACGAAGACAAAATGTAATGTCACAATTCGAAGGCGGGTAGTGAAGAGCAGAGGAAAGAAGCAACCAAGGCTAATAAGATACTATTACACCAATATATCGCATTAGCACATCTGAGACATTTGTTCTCATTTGGAAAGCAAGTGCCCATAAAAGATATCGAGAGTCGTGCGTTTGAATATACAATATTCAGGAGTTAAGTTGGTAGGAGGGTGGATGTGCTTGTAGAACCTTAGCCCTCAATTACCGCAGGTTTAAGCAGGAATTGGGTGCGCTGCGTGGCACAGTATGTCTCTAATGCGGGTTATAGATAGTCGACACCCGGTTTGATCTTGGATGTCCCTAATGCGACTCAAAGCTGTGCGAAAGCGCAATCTGCTTATTTTGGGAATGATCCAATCCACATGGATTAGATCTTGGGTTTCAATGCCGACCATGAAAAGCGGCAGCTGGAACGTTTCTTGCCCCCGTGCTTCCTGCTCGACGAATGCTCGGTGGGCAATGTTCATCAGGTCGGCCATGGCGGACGTGATGTGTTGTGGCGGTGGAGTCGCTGTTGGACAACCGCTCACTGTTGATCGGAAGTAGTATAGCTTCACGAAATAGAAACTACTGACTGCAGCATCCGCTGTGCGTAGGAGACAGGATATAGGTGTCGCTGAGGACCGTGATCGTGCTATGTGCAGGATGGAGCTGTACTCCTGTATAGAGCCCGTTAGCTATCATGGTACTTAGGTGCCAATAGAGCAAGAATCTTTGTGCGTTGAGGAAACGGAGAAAGTACCCTTTCTATTTCCAAAATTCCTGTCTCAATGTCCAGAACAAGTGGTTCTGCTTCCTCCGAAACCATCTGACTGAGTTCGTTCACCTTGTGGAAGAGCAACCCGACTTTGCTTCCAAGCTCCATTGCGGCAGTCGTTTCAAGATCATGCATGCCTTCGTACTCCGGATACGACTCTCCCCAATGTCGCTCCAAGATAAACCGTTGCTGAGAGAATATCTGCCAATATAGGTCCGCATTACCGAATACATGCCTCGCGAGATGGCCACCGCAACCTTCAAACGCCATCGCAATATCCTCTGATGCCAAGAACAGTGTCAATCGACCAATGAGGCCGGCTTCAGAGGATACTGATACAAGTGGGTCGTGCCAGGAAGAGGAGGCAGGGGATTTCTCATGCGACGTGATGGTACCGGCACTGAGACTGTCTAGACGGTATCGCTGAATATAGTTACGAACCGCCATGCTGAGCCGATCGACGGCCATCTTATCCGGGATATCACGACAGCTCAGCCATAAATATAGAAAAAGCCACGCACTGAGAGTGCTAAAGTGATCCGGCTCGGCGTCACGGTCCATCAGTTGAATGAGCATTTCGGAACCCTTGCGGAAGTGTGTTCTACTCACACCCATGTTGATTGCTGGGCGAGGCGACCGTCTATTTAGATCGAGGGACGAGACTGCGATGATGAAATGCATGGCCATGGGGATGTGCCAGACGGACTGGAAAATGCATGCGAACGTGGACCAGCCAGGGGTCTTCAGCAGCCGGTCTGCGATGAATCTGTCCTGGTAGTGGCCCAGAGCATGATATTCATCGCCATTAAGGACTAAGGAGTCGTCGAGAACAATACTATGCATAAGGAGGGGTTGTGAATGGAGAGGATTTCCAAAGCTTGAACCAGGGCTGCTCCAGGTTATATCCAAATCGATTGTTGATTGGGATTGTAGGGCCAGTTCACTTGGATCCTGGTCGGTTATAGAACTGCCTGAAATATCCTGGCTAGCTTGATGGATATTATTATCATCACTGACGCCTTTCGGGAGGATCCTTCTTTGCTTCTGGCCTGGTCCCCGAGGCGCCGCCAACTCGGTTCTCCTTGGTGGCCATGTACAGTGAAGCTTCAGGCGAGAACATCGCGAGCAGCTCGGAGGGCACTGGTCGCATTTTACTTTGGCCGAACGACAAGGTTCGCAGGCATTCGTCCTCGGGCGTCCTGCTCGCCTGCCTGTGCGAGCTGATTGCGAATGGCTGGCCATGCCATCAACCGTATTTTGCGACCTGACGCGTGCACGGTGACAGGTGGGAGAGCAAGACGAGGAGGGACACCCAGCTTTCAGGTTGTTGCGTGAACTGACGATATCGTCTAGCGTGGTCGTTTATTGGCTAAATTTTCCGAGGGCCAACCGGAGGGCCCCAGAATTGCTTATCTGGTTGATTAACATTGGAAGATGTTCTCGCCACCGGTCGGCGGGATCACGCCTTAGGGCTTTGGTGTTTACTTTTATCAACGATGCTGAGGACGCCAGGTGGTAGAAGAGAAGGGACATGGATAGTCCACGTACAGTCTGCTCAATATTTACATTACCATAACTGCTTACCTTGTCGCCCAATTTCATGTTCAGTTGGAAGATATCATGGAATACCATGGCCAACCAGAGAGTGCCTCGAAGCCCAACACAGCCGAAGTCTCGGTATATCCAGATGAGAAGACATTGATGCGCCGAGTCGACTGGAAGTATGAGATTGTGTCTCTGCTCAAGGCTAAGATGTTCAACTAACATACCTTTTTGCTTTAGTATCCTTCCTCTTATGACTGTTGCCTACATGCTGCAGTTTCTCGACAAGACCGCTCTAGGATATACGACAATCTTTGGAATCCGGGAATCACTGGTAATCATGCCCGCGTATGCCATGCCACGGAGATCGCTGACCAGAAATCAGAACCTCGTTGGCGATCAGTATTCATGGGCCGCGAGCGCATTCTATTTTGGGTTTATGGTCGCCAGTTACCCGGTCTCTCTATGCTTCGTCAAACTTCCAATTGGGAAATTCCTTTCCCTTACCTTGTATGTAGGGATGCAGACAGGTCACTCCCTCCTCCAGACCTTATTCTAAAGCTCATAATTGTTTCTATAGTATTTCTTGGGCCGTGGTCCTAGCCTGCCATGGCGCGACGTCCAATTTTGCCGGCCTTATGGTCGTTCGTGTGCTCCTCGGAGTTCTTGAAAGTACTATTACACCAGGACTGTCCCTGGTAACTAGTCTCTGGTATAAGCGGTCGGAGCACGCATCAAGGCATGGAATCTGGTTTGCAGGAAACAGCATTTCGTCCATTTTTGGGGGGCTGTTGACGTATGCTATCGGCCATATCAGCAACTCCGTTCAACCATGGGCGGTAATTTTGTCCCACAACACATGCCTTTGTACCCAAATGTTGACTGATAATGTGTAGTGGATATTCATCATATTCGGAATCCTCACGTTTGCATACGGGGTTGTCCTTTTGATCTTCCTACCCGACAGCCCTCGCACCGCGCGCTTTCTCTCCAAGGAGGAAAGGGAGTTCATTCACAAACGTGCCCAACAGGACACCCATACCACCGTTTCGTACAAATGGTCGAAGAGCCAATGTATCGAAGCACTGATCGACCCGAAAACCTGGCTTATCTTCATATACGCCATGGGATCATGCATCCCCAATGGCGGTGTCACAAGCGTAAGAACAGCCGTCCAACAGCGCTCCATAAACGATTAGTTACTTATCATTTATGCCCAATATCCAGTTCGGAAGTATTGTCGTGTCGGGGTTCGGATTCTCGACCTTCAACACAATCCTCGTCCAGCTCCCCATGTCGATTTTTACTCTCATATATGTAACCGCGGCTACGGTTATCACCTCCAAGCTGCGCAAATCGCGCTGCATTACCGCTGCAGTTCTTGAACTCATCAGCCTAGCGGGTTGCTTAATGGTCTCCCAGATTGACCCCCAGGATAAGCTCGCTCGACTTGGTGGAATGTGGCTTTTCCCCGCCTATTCCGCCTCGATTCCCATCATACTTAGTGTTATTGCGTCCAACGTGGCCGGGTATACGAAGAGAACTACAGTGAGCGCGGTGATGTTTCTTGGAAATTGCGCTGGCAATATCACCGGCCCTTTTCTTTTCTTTTCCGATGAAACACCTGTATACCAGGTAAGTTGAACCTATTTACTTCTCGCAGTACTATGCATTAGCTCCATCACTGGTAAAATACAAGCTAACCCTCAGTAGAGCGCATGGATCGGGATTATGATTTCACTGGCCATTGCCTTCGTAGCTCTCCTTGTATTGCGCCAACTAATGGACTTCCAAAACCGATATCGCGATCGCCAGCAAAATGTAAAGATAGACCCGGAATCTGAATCTTCTGGGGTCACTGAAACGGTGGAGGCTGTTGCATTGGATGCGGATGAGACGGACTGGGAGAACCAAAGCTTTCGATATTATTTGTAGGGGACTTGTAGTTCTAAACCTAGTCGAGTCGGGGACTTTGTTAGATGTCCATTTGATCCTTGTTGCATAGTCACCTACACTATAAAATTGCCCATTACGAGTATATAGTATAATATTGTGGGTCTCAACGCTGATATGTTGAATTTCCCGACCAGCTTATTAGGTGCCATCTGATCCAATTTTCCGATATACCGAGCGGATACCCCATGGGCCACAGTTCAAGCCACATACAAAAGGCCGCGAGAGCCCTCACCGGGGATCCTTCGTCATCACTTTCTATTATCCGCTATCGCTACTATGTCATGGGAATCAATCGCCGCTACAAAGCGCCAGGCACTCAAAGATGCCATCCCAGCCGAATGGGTGATTCCTCCAGCTCTCTTCCCGCTAGACGACCAGCTAGATGTGACCACTTTCCCTCAGGAATCTGGATTTTACACACAACATGAGATCGAGATTACCTCAACCCCCGTGCCAACGATCCTATCAAATATTGCCTCGGGGCTGTGGACATCTGAGGAGGTAACAAGGGCATTCGGCAAGGCCGCAGCGGCAGCCCAGCAACTTGTATTTCTCCCCCAGACGCAGTATAAACAATGCCTGACTAGGACATAGACAAACTGCTTATCGGAGATCTGTTTTGACAGAGCTATTGAGTGTGCGAGAGCCTTGGATACCTATTTCCAACAAACCGGCAAGACTAAGGGTCCGTTTCATGGCCTACCTATCTCTGTTAAAGATAACTTTAATCTTGTTGGCTATGATACAACCATCGGATTCACATCCCTAGTTAATCGACCGGCTACTTATAATAGTTTGATTGTTGATCTTCTTGAAGAAGGAGGTGCGGTCCTTTACTGCAAAACCAATGTCCCTACGGCAATGATGATCCCCGAGACCGTCAATAATGTCTTCGGCCGCACTGTTAACCCACTGAACCGAAGTCTCACCACGGGAGGGTCGACCGGGGGAGAAGCGGCCCTGATTGCATTTGGTGGGAGTCGAATTGGCGTTGGGACTGACATTGGTACGTATCATGACCTCCCTCCAGAATAATGTGTGATATTACAAATGTCATAAGTGGCTAATCAGGCCCTATATTACTGCAGGTGGCTCCCTTCGCATGCCCGCTGCCTGCACGGGACTATTCACCATCCGGCCCTCCCACGGGCGGTTCCCGAACTCGCAATCACGCGCCTGCCTCGAGGGCCAGGAAGCCATACGCGGAGTATGTGGCCCGATAGCGAAAACCCTCGATGAAGTTATCTTCTGGTGCCACACAATCGTAAGCCAGCAACCTTGGATCCGCGATCCAAGCAGTGTTCCCATACCGTGGCGGTCCACGGAGAAAACGAAGGAGAAGGTTCTTAAAATTGCAGTTCTCTGGGACGACGGATTCATCACACCAACACCCCCCGTTGCTCGTGCACTTAAGGAAACGGTTACTAAATTAAAGGCAGCGCATCATGAGATCGTTGACTGGCAGCCGAGTGAGCACATGGAGATACTGCTTCTAGTAAGAAATCTACTCCTTGCAGATGGAGGGACCTCTGTAAGGAAGCTCCTCGAACCTACGGGGGAGCCGTTTCGGCCAGAAATGAGAGTCAATCAGGAGGCGGAGGAAATGAGTGTTTATGACCTGTGGCAGACTCAAAGGCACCGCAATACACTCTGCAAATCATATCTGGATCGGTGGAATACCGCGGGTATTGATGCTCTTCTCTGTATGTACATATCTTGCCACCTCACGGAAACGGTCTTCTTTTTGCGCTATCTAACTAACTGTATTCTTTGTGATCTTACAGGCCCAGCAACACCATACAGCGGCGTCGAAAATGGTAAATTCGCTTACTCGGGGTATTCGTGCGTCTTCAACGTTCTCGACTACCCGGCTGTCTCCTTCCCCTGCGGTGTAAGGACCGACAAGACTATTGATATTCCATACAAAGATCATCGCCCACTCAGTGTCATGGACGCGCAGATCCAGAGCGACTGTTAGTAACCCTAGGCCTTGACTAGGATTTTGCGCTGTTGGAATAAGTACTAACCGGATTACCCCTACTGACTAGACTGCGCCGAGGCTGTTCATGGCATGCCGGTTAGTCTGCAACTGGTTGGCCGTAGGCTCGAAGAGGAGGATTTGTTGGCGATTACTGAGCGTGTACTAATGGCTACGACTGGGAAGCAATAGAACATGTAGTACAGAATCTCTGGACGTCTGGATTTGGGATAGAATATGTGTAGTTACGAGCCTTTTGGCTAGATAATTGAAGATTGGTCTTGGTCTGTACCCATCAACTCGGGTGAAAAGAGTTAATAGTATATGCTATTATTATAGACAAGCCATCTTGCAGTTCGAACTCCCACATACGACCACAGGGTGTGGAAAACAGGGCTTCCCGTCCGCTCAGCCGAACTTAAGCCACACGCCGGCTGGTTAGTAGTATGGTGGGTGACCACATGCGAATCCCAGCTGTTGTATGTTTTTGGTTTTCTTTTTTTTTATATGTTCAAAACGGTAGTGGGGACAGTGGTGGCACCAGAGGTTTTCAGTGTAGCGAATCTATTTATAGTGTTAGCCTAAAATGTGACAGAAACATGAGTGGTTTTTTATGGTCAAATAGTAAGATATATCTATTTTAATATAGGCTAGTATTCAGGACAATAAAAAGAAACAAAGAGCTAGTCTATATTTTAATGTAAATAATATAGGATATTAATCTGATATAGATAACACTGGTCTCGGTGAAACATTTATAATAGATACTTTGAGTATTATTATTCGCGTTAGAGAGTTTATACTGGCAGAGCATATATAGCTTGCATGATTTAAGCGCCATGCGGGAGATTATAGGTATACCTAAAGATATTGTAGGTTTCTCGCCTTGTACCACTGGTAGGTCCGTATATGGCTGACATATAGACCTTTTCCCCACATTTGCTAGGGCAAGCTGTCAGTAAAGCTGGGGAGTATATCTCGGGCATAAAAACAAAGGCGAGGCGAGTCATTACTGCTCTAGATATAGCCAGTAATCCCGTTACCCATCTCCAACTCCGTCTCACCTAAGAATCCTCCGATAATAGGACCCAGAGCTAGACCGATAAGGGGAGCAAGATAAAAAGCCCCAATCCCTAGCCCACTGGTCTCTGCTGGGACTATTTCCGCGTAACAGAATCTGACAGAGGCCCCAAGGTCACGAGTGTAGTTTGGTCTTCATCAACCTGGATGTTCTTGCAGTTGATGGAGTCCACAAGCCATTCAAGCGGCACGTATCGTTCAGGGTTATAGTTTGTGAGCCTATAAAGTAGGTATTATGTATCTATGCTGTAGTGTCTATGTATGATTGTATATTACCGCACTCCATACCGGCCACTTCATGGTGTTTAGGATGTGTATACAATTGAGAATCAGTTACCGCGACTGTGATATGAATCCGAACGGCACAGACTCCCATTATCCTCATTCACCCAGTCTTCGCTCCCGATCCCATTCAACGCATAGAATACACCATCCGGGTCGTATTTCCTCTTAATACCGAGCAGCTGGTCATAGTTATCGCCGTAGAAGGCGTGTTGCCAATTCGGCTGGTTCGGATCAGCCTCGTTCAGGTAGGCCCCGCCCTCCCCAGCTGGGGTAAGCTGTTCAAGTTTCGGTAGGAGCGTTTGCGTTATTAGGCTTTGACGCTCAAGGTTTAGCGGCCAGTCTGTATAAGAGAAGGGTCTGCGACATCCATTTCTGTTAGAGTGCGATTTGCTTTACAAGAGAGGCGCAAGCAGGGGAAAGGAGAAAGGGTCGTACAGGGCAACAACAGCGCTGATTGCCGCATCGCGCCAGGCGGGGTTTACGGAGTTCTCAGGGCGCTTATTTGGTTCATGGAGCGAGGCATTAACAGAAATGCCAGAGATCGCCGTATCGTTGCCGCTATCGAGGATCTCCCATATCCGCGATGTAAGACCGCCCATGTTGGTATCAAGTACAGAGCGTGGAATGAGTGTGTTTCCTCCGTGAAGGTCGGTCACATTGTACTCCGGGGTCATGGCTTCGTAACTGTCGTAGTATGTTGAAAACTCCTCAATCTGATATACTGCGGATGGATTAGCGATGGCACTGGTGTACGGATGTGGGGACGCGTGTATATAGATGTTGCGATTGGCATCAACATACAATACGATAGATTTCCCGCGTCCAATACATCGACAACCGAATCCAGGACACTGCGAAGGTCCTGGCTATTCCCACCGAGTATACTGACCGGGCTCAAGCCGAACGAATCCCTTGTGACAGACCAAGCACCGACGCCCCGAGCATCGAGCAGCGGGCCCAACTGCGCTATAAAAGTGTTCACAGCCCGACGAAAGACTTCCTCATCATCGCCGTGGGATACAGAAAAGCTCAACGCCCCCGCAACCGTCGCCACCTCCCTATAAACCGCCACCGTGACAGTAACCACAACCCCAAACACACCTCCTCCACCTCCGCTCAGCGCCCAGTACAGATCGCCATATTCCGGGTCATCAGGCGTCGCATTAACGACCTCGCCAGACGCCAGCACAACCTCCCACGCGAGCACCTGGTCCGCCGCAAGCCCGAACCGCGACGTCAACTGCCCATGCCCTCCGCCCTGGACGTATCCACCGGCGATGCCAATCGTGTCGCAATTACCCGTTGCGAGGATGTACCCCGCGGCTGAAGCGGCCTTGCGGGCTTCGAACCCTTGTACGCCGGCTCCGAGTTTCATCGCCGGGCCGGTGTACCCAGGAGCGTCGCTTTGCGAATTCGGATTGCGAGAGCGATAGTCATGGATAACCTCGATCCCTTTCATAAAATGCGTCCAGATCGCCAGACCCCCCGGCGCATTCGATTTGCCCAGATAGTCATGCCCCGTATTGCGGATCGCAAGACGGACGTTGTGTGTCCTTGCGAACGCAATCGTCTCCTGGATATCCTGCACCCCGCGCACGCGCGTTGAGTACGCGACGAATCCCGAACTGTCGCATTTACCGCCTGGCGGCGAGAATGGATTGCACGAGTTGTTGGTGAAGAAGTTGGCCATTATCGAGGCGGAGTCGGTGTAGTGGGTTTGGGTCAGGGGCCATTCCTGGCGGAGCGCGGTGCAGGTGGTTGCGTTGTATGTTCCTGCCGTGGTGTTGTGGCAGGGAGAGGCGAGGGGCGTTGTTGAGACGAGGTTCCCTTCTACAGAGCTGTTCAGCGCCGCCCATTGCTGCGTTGTGGGATAGGCGGGGGATCCAGGGAGGGAGTAGCAGAGTGGGAGGTCATTTTCGTGTGGCAGTGTTGGTCTGGCGAGAGAAGAGGAATAAAAGACCAGAGTTACAATGGGGATGAGCATGTCGTTAGGGACAATGTGTCAATCGAACTGCACAAGATGGCTCAAAGAGTTTTCAATTGCAAGCAGGATCAATCTCAGCTACAGTGAACAAGAAAATAAAGGCCAAACACCCCTACTAAGCCGGTGCAAAGGGCCAACCATTGATACCAGACGTAAGCGCCATCCCTGCCTTAATCTCGTCTGCTCGAGCCTTGAGCTCAGTCACATCCCAGTTTGCGTACACAAACCGCCCGTTCAAAAACAACGCCTCGCTGCTCGCTAACCAGAGGATAAAATCCGCCGGGAGATTTACTAACACACAGTCCAGTTAAGTCCGACCACTCTCCGCGGTTTCGAGGCGGGGAAACTCACCATTATCGAACGGAACACCATCCGTACTACCCAGCTTATCAAACATGGCCGTCTTGATCATGCCCGGGTTCAGCGCGGCAGCAAAAACATGCGGATTCTCCGCCGCGACGTACTCGATGACCTTGACTAGAGCAAGCTTCGACGCCACATAAGCCGACAGACCCGGCTGGATCGTCGGAGGGAAGACGACGCCGGAGGTCAGCCCGATGATCGACGCGTGCGCGGGATTGGCCGTTGGCAGGAAGACCTTGGCGACGATCAGGGATCCCTTGACGTTCGTCTGGGGATGCAATCAACAGACGCCATCCAATTAGCCAGCAACGGCAAGGAGCGGCAGGCATGCAAGCGGAAAGAATGAGAGGGGGGGGACGCAAGGGAAACGAGAGAAACAAACCTCAAAGGCTCCCCACCACTCAGTGAGATCTGCCTGCCTCACGTCTGAAGGGCGCGACATGAACCCTGCTGAGAGAACCAGCACATCCCAACGCCCAACTTGCGCAGCAACATGCACCACAGCCTCCTCATCAGTTACACTGACTGCATGCACTTCAGTGCGTGCGCTCGATGGTGATAGGCTGCTCTGCGTCTCCTCGAGCTTGGCTGTGTCACGTCCGAGCAGGATGATCCTTGCTGCGCTGGCATGGTTGAACGACTGCGCTGTTGCGCGCCCGATTCCACTCCCCTAGAATGTCTCGGCATGTGAGAATTCGTTTTGCTTCTTTTTCTTCTCCAGCCGTACGACGGGGAAGCAGGGAAAACAGAAGAAATGTGGTGGGTAAGATAAGACGGACGGGAGGTGTCTTACAGCTCCGGCGATGATGACCGTTTTGCCCGCGGCGCTGAGCTCGGGCCGTGTTGGAGAGATGGCAGGGTAGGATTCATTGTGCCAGGTTGCAGTCAGCGAGGGGAATGGGGGCTGCATTGTGGAGAGAAGTAACCGAAATGGAATGTGTGCTGAGCAGGGAGAGGGTGCACTGGAAAGTTGGGGGCAGAGTTCTGAATGTAATGTTATGGGAATTGGAGCAGGAAGGACAGTGTGGTTCTCCTCGGGGAGGATTTATAGCTGATCACCGCAAGTGACAGCGGAGAGATGGACCCTCCACCTCGAGCCCTTGCACGCAAATCTGACATGCAGCAAGCGACAGCTGGTCATCCGGAATGTGTCCAGTGGGATGCGCTCGGAAACCGCCAGGCAAGACCATGCTGGGGCTGATGAGGCTGCGAGACTCGAGTGACATTCCACAGTGCTCAACACTGCAGTGGAAGATCGAAATAGCCAAATAAAACACCATATGAGAACCGCATACCCTCAGTAAAGCCGTTTCAATCTCACCAACGGCTCATCGGCAACCCGCGGACCAGCCCTACAATGCAAGATGGCGTCCGAGTTCCCCGAGGGCGGCCTCTCCACACAACCAGGCCGAGCAGCGTTTATCGTGACCGTCATCTCCATCGTGTTGGTGACCATCAGTCTTGCCCTCCGCCTCTGGGCTAAATTCATCCGCCGGCGCCGCTTCATGACCCACGACTACATCTACTTTGCGGCCTATGTTATGTCCGTAGGATACTCGGCGCAGTTCCTCTACGGGATCTCCCCAAATGTCATCGGCATGCATCTGGAGGATGCGGTCCGGTTGTATCCCGATAGAGTGACGAGGGCGCTGAAGGTATGGCATTGGCCGTTCTAGCAGAGAGCACAGAAACAGCACCAACTAACCCCGTAAATCCAGATAATCGCCGCCAGCACCTTCATCTGGGCCTTCGCGACAACCCTCGTCAAACTCTCCCTGCTCTCCCTATACCTCCAACTCTTCCAATCGCAGCTCCTCTTCCGCATCCTAGCCTACATAGTCGCCACACTGAGCGCCATGCTCGCGCTGTCGGGCATTCTGCTGGGCATCCTCTTCTGTCAGCCCTTCGCGTACAACTGGGACCACACCATCCAGGGCGGCCACTGCGGCGACAGCCCGAAATTCCAGCTCTCAACCGCCATTGTGAACATGCTGCTCGACTTCTTCGTCGTCCTCCTCCCGATGCCGGTTCTCTGGAGCCTGAAGATGAGCCGCAAGAGGAAGCTCATGCTCAGTGCCATTTTTAGTCTGGGACTCTGGTTGGTCGCCTACCTACCTACCTACCTAACCTTCCTGTCACTCTTGAAAGTCTATATTACTGATCATCTGTACATCTCTCTGATCTAGTATTTGCGCAATGAACCTAACTCGCGTGATAATCGTGGTAAACCAAAACAGCGCCGACGTCACGCACGAAATCGCCCGCATCGGCCTCTTTTCCGTCCTCGAGGTCAACGTCGGGATGATCTGCGCCGCCTTGCCAACCTGCGGCCCGCTCTTCTTCAAGGATTCCGGACGCAACTCGGGTGGCGTCTTTGGCGGCGATGGGTCCGGCTCGTCCTCGGGGAAGATGAACTCGTTTATGCGGAGGAAAGTTGCCGCAGGCTTGGGTGGGGGTCGTTCGGGGAGTAGTCTAGGCAAGGAGCCGCGGGTTGGGGTTTTCACCGGGGAGACTGGGTTGAGTACCGTTGATGAGAGTAGGTATGAGTGTGAGGGCGAGGATGAAGATGAGGATGAGGATCCCCAGCGTGACGCGGAGGGCGGGGAGGATGCGGTGCCGTTGAGGGATGTTGGGGCACGGGCGAGGGCTGTTGGAGGGGACAGTAGGCAGAGTGAGAGGACAGCTTCGAATATGGAGAATGGGAACGCGATTCACATTCGGACGGATATTTATGTCGCTTGACGATTGTGTTTTGGTATACCTATATCAGCTAAGATAGTATAACCCTAACATACGACCATTGTTGTACGCAATTTTATGGCATTGTAGCAAAGCTGTTCTAGTACAAGCAAGCAGGAAGATCATGCCCGACACAGCCTTCCATCCTCCCGTTGCACCCATCGCTCACTCCCGACGGCCGTCCGCCCGTAAAAGATCTGGCCCGGGTCATACTTGCCCTTGATCTGCAGCAATCGCTCATAGTTATCGCCGTAGAAGACTTCCTGCCAGTCCGGTTGATTCCAGTCCGCCTCGTTCAGGTATGCACCCACTCGTTCTCCATCCCTCTGGGTGAGAGCCGCAACTTGCGGAATCAGCACATTTGTTATAAGCTGTTGTCTATCGATGTTGGCCTGGCGGTTGGTGTAGTTGAAGGGACTGCCACATATGTTTAGTCCGCGTATCTACGGTTCACGTGAAGAAAGAGGAGGAGGGGGGTGACTGCTTACAGGCCAATGACCAGGGATAGGCCGGCATTTCGCCACGCCGGATTGACTGCGTTGCCCGCTACAGGGCCAACGACCGCCCGGGAGACATCGATCGAGAAGCAGGAAATCGCTGGGCTGTGCTGCAGAAGTGACTGCATCACGGAGAGGAAGCCGTCTACGTCTGACTCGAGGGTTGAGCGGGGGACCAGCAGGCCGCCAACGTTGAATTCAGTGACGTTTACGGCGGTTGCTGCGGTGGATGCATGGTAGCTGGGGAAGGCGTTGGTTGCGAGGGCTTTTCTCGTTAGTTATCACGCCGCTCAGATTATTCCGAGAATACGTACTATATGCAATCCCGTCCTGATCTAGCAATGTCAATGTCGAGGCTAGATATCCTTCGAGGTCTTCCTGCTGACCCCCCGGCAAAGTCAGTGGGCCGGCGATGAACATCACCGGATCTGCAACGGTCGTGCCGGGATACAGAACCCAGAGCGCACTGCCGCCGCGATCAATCAGCGGGCGGGTATCGACAAGGAAAGTTCTGATCGTCTCCCATGAACGAGGATCGGCAGCATCAAACGAGAACATGAGAGACGCGGCGGCCGTCTCCTCCTCTGGATACATTCGCACAGTCATGCTGAGGACGACAGCATAGGCCCCCCCGCCACCACCACACAGCGCCCAGTACAGGTCTGCATTCTGCACCGGAGATGCAGTAAGGATCTCCCCTCCGGCAGTGACGACCTCCCACTCCAGAACCTGGTCAGCTGCCAGACCATACCGCGATGCCAATGGGCCATGACCACCACCCTGTGTGTATCCGCCGGCAATGCCAACGTCTGGGGAGTGGGGGGCCATAATGACATGGCCGCTTCCTGCCCTGTGCGCGGCATCCTGAGCTTCCGAGCCCTGGACGCCTGCGCCGATCCGCAGGGCGGGACCGGAGTACCAAGAGGAGCTATATTGCGGCTCATACTCAGTGAATTTAAGATGACGCGTCCAGAGAGCGACAGCGCCGGGTGCAGTCGATTTCCCCAGGTAGTCATGACCGGTGTTGCGGATCGAAAGGCGAATGTTGTGCTTGTTGGTAAACTCTATGACCTTCTGCACGTCTGCAGCGGAGGTTGCATTGACAGTGTAGGGGGCCAGTGGTCCGATTGTGCATTGACTCCTTGCAGGGAGGAATGGAGAGCAGGAAAAATTGGCCCACCAGGCTGCCATCGGCGACGAGGGGTCCTCGTAGTGGGTTGCTGGGATCGACCAGTGGGCGCGGAGGTCGGTGCATTTCGAGATGCTGGACGGGGTGTGTGTGTGACAGACACTGCCAATGGGATCGGTCGAGATCAGGTTGCCAGAGAGCGATGCATTGAGCCTGTCCCACTGGTCAGGCGAGGGCCAGCAGGGGTCACCGGGGAAGCATCGACAGCCCGTCGAGACGCGGTTTCGAGCCAGGAAATAGGCCAGGGGCAGGATCGCAAAGGAGACCAGCAACACAATCTGCGAGCGGCGGGCCATGGTGCACGGTCAGAGATGGAGGATTGCGCACGAAACAGGAAGAATGCCATCGTTTATGTACTTTTTGCAGAGTCTCACCTCCAAGGGAGACTGCTTATGTTACTCAGCAGCAAACAAAGAACAGGCCATCCAGCCAATCACAGGAGACTGCAAGCAGGCAGAGTGTACAGCACCAGCTGCCACAGACACCACACTCTCCAGGCGGCAACGTCTGCTCTTCCCCGCAAGACACACACGCCAATCCACGCCCCCAGTGCCACCACCGCCGCCGCAACGGGCGCCGGCACCTGCCAGAAGCCCGCACACACCACACTCCAGCACACCACACACCCTGCAATCCACTGGCGCGAAAGCTCGCCGACCACCAGGGGCCATGTCTTGCGGCCTCGCTTGCGGTCGCCAGCTTGATCCCTCAGGTCCTGGATCTGCATCGTCGTCGCAATTACCCCAACAATCATCGCCCGCCACTGGTATCCACGCTTCGCAAAGCTTACATTGTCGCAAGTGCCAGTGGTCGCCAGGGCAATTCGTAGCGAGCTGACAAGGTAGAGGTCGTACGCGAGCGCAATGATCAAATCACGGCACAGCTCGTCGCCGCCGTGCAGGTCGTTGTACATCCAAGTAAGGACTAAAATCAGTGCACATTCCGCCCCCACCCCCAGCAGCGAGCTGACAGTCCATACAGCGGCGACGGCGGCCAGAAGCAATTGCCTCGTCTGTGTCGGGCTGATCTGACCTCGGGGCAGCGGTCGCCACGGCTTATTCACCGCATCCTCCACCACGGATTCCGGAAGGCGCTGGTTTGCCAAGTCGAATACCAGAAGGTTGCCCCAGTTGAAGAGGAGGATGCGCGGGGATGCTTGGAGCAGGAGGCCCAGAGCGCTCGGCGCCTCGCTGCAGTCGGTCAGTGTGGGTGCCACCAGCGCTGCGAGAAGACCGAATCCAGTATTCGGCAGCACAAATGTGGAGAAGTCGCTTTCTGTAAAGGCCCAGAGTAGCGACGGGAGATCGGCCAGGCGAACGAGAGGCTGAGTTGGCATTGCGGATTGACCCAGACGAACAAGATACTGGAGCATTTGGCAGAAGACAGAGGCTGCGACCTCGTTTATATACTGACGCCAGAAACCCCGTCCGTCATAGTCACCCGGGTTCGGCATTATAAACACTTCGAAATGGGCGCCTTACCTGCGCTGTACGCAGGAGGCTTCATAGGACTTGTGATGCACATTGGAGTATTCCTTCATGGGGAATGGCACTCCAAAGCGCCGGCTATTGTTGTATCGCACTCTGTTGCTTTCCTCTCCTGCTTGGCCTTCATTCCTGCATTTGCCCTACCACTCACCGCTGGCTATCTTGTCGCACTATTCTCCAGTATCGCCATCTATCGAGCATTCTTCCATCGGTTGCACTCCTTTCCAGGGCCGTTCTGGGCGCGGACTACTAAACTGTGGCATCTCTGGAAATCACGGTCGTCTCAGAACCATTTCCTTCTCGCTGATCTACGACAAGAATACGGAGAATTCGTGCGGACAGGGCCCAGCGAGATAACAGTCTTCCACCCCCATGTGTTCTCTGCCGTCGATGGTCCTAGCAGCAAGTGTGGCAAAGCGGAATGGTATGATTTGCTATATCCATTCACAAAGTCTCTCGTGACCTCGCGAACGAAAGAAATGCATACAATACGGCGCCTGGTATGGAAGCAGGGTTTTACCTCGAAGGGTTGGTACTCCTCCTATATCGCTTGTAGTTGTTGCGGCGCACTAAGAGTAGTAGCCCTTCGCGATGGAAAGGATCAGACCCTTTCGCTCATAAAACAGCTTGACAACTGCATCCAGGCCGACATCAGGACAGGCCGAGTTTCTGAACTTTCCGACTTTGTCTACTGGTTTAGCTTTGATCGCATGGCCTCTTATGTTCTGGGACACTCATTCAACATGCTCCTGGAGCAGCAGTGGCATTACATCATCGTCCTCCTACAAAGAGCGCTCTCGATTCTTGGGCCGCTGAGTCCTACACCGTGGCTCGTCCAGCTCGCCTTTCGACTGGGGCCTCGCGTTTGGGTTATTCATGACTGGTTTACCATGATGGAGTGGTGCGGGGGCCAGCTAAAGCAGTACAAAGTATGAAGCAGCCAAGGAATATATATATATATATATATTTATTCATTTATTAACACCCGATATAGCCCGCCACAGAGGCATGCAAATCGCCGTCGCTCGCACACTATCTCCTAGAGGACATCCGGGAAAATCCAGTGCACGAATCCTGGCTTGCTGGGGACAGTCTGCTCGCTTTTGTGGCCGGCAGCGAACCAACAGCGGGAGTGCTGATCGGTCTCTTCTACGAGCTGGCCAAGAACCCAGCGCAAGCGGAGGCTATCCACCGTGAAATTACTCAACACGAGGAGAATGATGTACTGCAATGTCGCCATTTGAAAGCAGTGGTATACGAAGCCCTCCGGTTATATCCCAGTCTCCCGACCGGTGGGAATCGCAAGACGCCGCGCGACGAGGGCATAACAATTGCGGGAGTATATATCCCCCCTCAGACGACGATTGTGGCTCCAAAGTACGCTATCGGACGCTGTATGTATTTTATTTTATTTTACTTTTCCCCTTGGAAACGTATAAGTACTGATTTGAGAACCAACAAAAAGCCGAGATTTGTTTCGAGAGCCCGAACGAGTTCATCCCCGAGCGGTGGACAACAAGACCAGAAATGATACGCGATAGAGCTGGATTTGCGCCGTTTGGAGGTGGTAGGACTTCCATTTCTTCCAATTCCCCATTAATTACATCGTCCTATCCATCATAGTAGCCATATCTAACACGATCAAACCACTGTTAGGCGCCCACAGCTGCCTCGGTCGCGCGCTCGCGCTGAACGATATGTTGCTTGTCACCGCACATGTTGTCCGACGATATCGCATGCGTTTCCCCCCCGGTGAGACTGGGGATCATGTCTTCTTGGACTGGAGGGATCGGTTCACGTCCAAGTTAGGGCAACTGCGGTTAGTTTTTCAACCTCGGGAGCCAGAGGTGGAGGTGTAGAGAGCGGATTTTCTTTTTTTGCTGCCTGTTTCTTCGTTTATGGTCTACCAGGTATGAGACTGTACATATCTGGTTAAGATGAATAAAGGGTAACGAGATGTTGTTATAATTGCCTGTCTGTTGACGGCAGTAGTTGTAGAATAGTCAATATGACCCTTGGGTAGCTCGCCGTGAAAAGCCGAGATATTCCTACCACCCTTGAAACGTTAAAGCCTACAAAGCCCAATGTCCATTTCTGGTACTCTGGTGCTCGAGTCCTGCCGCCTGCTATCGGGCACCAGCCGGGGGGAGGTGACACCAACACCTCATCGTGCAGGCAGTGGTGACGCTGACTCCGCATAAAACAAAAGGACGAAAAAAGCAAGGGGAATAAAAGATGAACTGGTAAAAATGGGGGAGAAAAAAAACAAATACCCCACCCCCCCGGTACAGTGCTAGTTAGGTCCCCGTCTTGCTCATCTGTCCAACCGTCACAGAGAAGCCTCTCAAGCATGGAAGCCTTCACGCTTCTCACCATGGCCCTGGCGGCAGTTCCAACACTCTACCTAATTTACCTCTCCATCCTCCCTCGCCCGCTGCCCGGAATCCCCTACAACCCTTCCTCCCCACGCAGCCTCCTCGGCGACATCCCCGCGCTACTCACGCATCTCTCCACGACCCCCACAAACACATTCACAACCTACACAACCAGCCTAATGCGCCAGCTCGGCAGCCCAGTGATCCAAATCTTCCCGAGGCCCCGCTTCCTCTCTCTCCTTCCCGGCGGTGGCAGCAGCAGCAACGCAAGCGTAATGATCCTCGGCGACTACACAACCGCCTACGATGTCTTCGTCCGACGAACCCGCGAGTTCGACCGGTCTCCGAGCATCGGGCATATGCTGCTGGGTTTCATCCCGCGGAACCATATCCACCTGCGGACGAACGGGACGTGGAAGGCGCAGAGGCGGTTGTTTCTGGGGTCCATAGGGAAGGGGTTTTTGTTTGGCGTGTTGGCGCCTGTTATTGGGGAGAGAGCGGAGCGGTTGGTGGAGAGCTGGAAACGGATGAGTAGACTCGCGAAAGGGAGGCCGTGGAGTGCGCAGAGGGATTTGTATTTGCTTGCGCTGAGTGGCGTTGCGGCGTTTACTTTTGGGGGGTCGTTTGAAGAGGGGCTTGAGAAGGAGGTTGGTGCTGGTGGTGGGGGGGAACCATCGGAGACAAGTGAAGGGGAGGAAATGTCAGACGGTGGGGGTTCTGATCAGCCTGTTGAGTTCGCAGAGCAGGGCATCCCTGATATCTACCAGGCGAGCCTTGAGATAACCAGGACGATGGGCGAGTTGCGCGGGAGTCTGATGCCGCGAGTGAAGTGGGAGATTGTGCGCAGGAGGGCACGGCTGAAGTGGGCAAGAAAGGTCATGAAAAACACCGTCAACTGCGAAATAGCCAAAGCAGTGGACAGACTCCATCACAACCGAGAGACGACGCCAGAGTCTGCGGTGGAGCATATGGTGGCGCACGAGAGGGACCTGGCCAAGAAGGAAGGAAGAAGACCTGATTATTTCTCGCCGGTCATGGTGGATGAGGTGCAATTGTTTGCCTTTAATAACCCTCATTGTGGGCTAACTCTGCTCAGATCACCGGCTTCATGATCGCCACATACGAGACCACCGGCTCGACCCTCTCCTGGGGGTTCAAATACCTCACTGACCTGCCGTTCATCCAAAGCAAACTCCGCCAGGCTCTTGAACAGGGCTATCCCGCTGCTGCGAAAGAAAGACGATGCCCCTCGATCAGCGAGATAAACGACACCGACATCCCCTACCTCGACGCCGTCACTGAAGAAATTCTCCGCTTCGCAAACCCCGCCACGGGTGTCGACCGGCAGGCTATGGTGGACACCGAAATCCTCGGTCACGTCGTTCCGAAAGGCACCATCGTAGCCTGCCTACTCCCCGAACCAGCCCTAATAAGCCCGCCCGAAATCGCCAAGAATCCTTCCCAGAGATCACCATCAACAGACAGCCATTCCTGGGACGATCCGGACTTGGCACCCTTCCGCCCCGAGCGGTGGATCTCACACGGGCAGCTTAATCTAGACGCCGCGCCGCGGGTGGCGTTTGGATTGGGCCCGCGGGGTTGCCCTGGTAAGAGGCTGGCGTACATGGAGATCAAGGTAGGGTTGGTATCGGTGATGTGGAATTTTGAGATGTTGCCGTGTCCTGCCGAGTTGTCGGGGTATGAGAAGGTGGTCCTTGCGACGCAGAAGCCAAAACAGTGTTATTTACGGCTGAGGGAGATTGACCGATCCTAGTGGCTCTTTTGCGTGGTAGTGCTTTGAACCTGTGCCCTGCTTTCAACCTGAGGTGAAATACTTTGCGAATTGAATCTATTACTTTCAAGGTGTATGGTGTTCCCGCTTGTAGGGCTGGATTTTAAATAGCACTGTTCAAGTCCTCTACAACTAACCATACTCTACGGAGTATATTACTACGGGAAATATCTCCGAAATGTCAACCCATACACAGACCGGATGGGTTCAGTTACACAGATATGTCTGGCCAACGAAGGGGATAGACACCGCCACGATAGAAGTTTAGATTTTATAGCTTCTTAAACTAGGCTACTTCTGTATCTATATTCTATTATTACTATAGACTAGCTACTCTATCTCTCTCATTAACTAGGAACTTGAGTAGTATCTAGTTATAATTTCTTATAATAATTACCTGTATTTTAAACTAGCCCCTAGATTGCTAAAAGAAACGTGTGATTCTATACAAAGGTTCTACATGGTGGTGCCGGTAACATCAATGTGCCCGATTGGTAGTGGAAGCCTTGATATCTTGTATATCTATTACTAATTTCCCGGCTTAATTATATATAGGAATATAGATAATTATAGATTTTAGTAATAAAAATACCAGAAATTAGCCTTCAGCCTATATTTCAGGATTTTACATGTAGTTAGGGCTAAATTGGACCCGACAATCACACGCATCACCCACCAACTTGCAAACTACCGAATACCGCAATCTCGTTGATTACCCTGATAACAGAGGCCCTTGGCAACGGCTGCCATCGTGGGGACAGGATGAAGACCAAAAGAAGACGCGCAGCTATCGCACAGTCTTCACGGCGCTCAAAGGCCTCATCCTTACCCAACCCTAACGCTTCGATGTCGAATCGCACAGCAGCATTAAGCAATGGTATCATCGAGAGACCAAGTACATGTTTAAGCCATCTGTAATCTATATTCATGTGAAATGGCTGGTAAGAAGATTATACACATCGTTGTTAGCGGCCTCCGCCCCAAACGCTTCATACAACAGACTATCGTTTATAAACGTCAAGCCATCACCATAGAACTCCTGACTCGGTGATGGATGTTCCCAGCCTTGGCCATGGATATGACCACCATGAATCGGAGTACCAAGCCCTGTACCAGGCACAGATGCTGCGTCAACGGCAGCTTTGTTATACCCGACGGTCTCGTGGTTGTAACTATGCGCCGGCTTCACGTAGTCTTCAGCAGCAGCCTCCGCCGTCATCTTGGCCAGCATCTTCTCCAGGCCTGCCGCAATATGGTGAAGGACATGCCGATCCGACGTGACCGAGCTCTTCAGCAGTATAACCATGTTCTCTAGCAGCCGCGACACGTTCACGTAGCTGTGCTCAATGTTGAAGCCCATGATGCGGTTCCACTTCGTGGCGACCTTCATCAAGAACACTGACGCAAACGCAATCATGGTGTGCACATACAATGGCGTCCCAACGAGCGCTCGTCGCATATCCTCCTCTTCCAGTACAAATGTCAAGATACTCGCTGCTGCTGAGATGGCTATATTCGTGAGCTCCTTGCGCTCCGTCGACAGCCGGCCCGAGTGCAAACTCACCCCCCTTACGGCGAGGATATTGAGCTGTAATTTTGCAAAGTAGCTGTAGAGGATGATGCCCTTGGGCGGGAACGTCCCAATGAACCCGCTTGTTTGCTGTCTCGCGTACCACCGCATCCGCCACTGCTCAATCTCGAGGTTAAAATTCCGGACATCCATCAAATCTTCCTCCGAGAGCATCGAAGCATAGGAGTCATACGAGACGCTCGTTGTCGCTGTGCGAATCGCGCGCGGGTCAGGGAGACGCCGTTCCGCAAACCGGTCGTATACCCGCGTCAGGATCTGCATAAGAGAAACCTGCGACAGGATTCGCGCATCAAGGGTGTTTGCAAAAGGCGACGCGAGGAAGAGCTCGTGCTCGCGAATCTGAGTGGACTCGGCGATCATCGGAGGACGGCCGTAGGCGATACTGAAGTGGTGGTCGCATACGTACAGCATGTACCACAGCCGTGCCCGGAGAAAGTGTTCGCGATCGCCTTCGAGGGCTTTTGTAAACGACTGGTGGATATTCAACTCTGTCGCGATGCGGATGGCATGCCCAGACAACTTCCACGAAACGTCTGATAGCCAAAATGCAGCGATGCAAAGACCCCGGACGTCGTCGATACTGTGGTACCGGGAGAACATGGACGAGGATATCAGTGACAGAAACTCTTTATAGCACTTGTCGAAGGTGTCGGCACTTGTTGGAAGATGTAACGCTGTAACGGCGAGGATCGTTGCCGTCAATAGTTCTGATGATTTGCGGATCGAGTTGAATGAGGGATGTGTTTGCTCCAGACCGACCCAGAGATAGTGATTTAACGAGGTGTGGAATCTGATCAAATCAGCACTGGACTTTTCTCGCAGGGGGTCAACGTCCTCACGTTTTGTACAACTCTTCCGCTTCGTATTCGGTTATCACGCCCCGCGAGATGAAATCGTTCAACTCGCCCTGCGCGCCTGCGTGTGGTCTTGCGGTTTTAGCCTTGTTACTGCGAATATTCCTCAACCGGGTCACTTCGTAGAGGCTTCCCATCGGCTCCTCCACAGTGACAGCCCCGTCCCGGTGATCGCCATTGGGAGCTGGTTCAAGGGAGTTTTCTCTCGTCATGGCCATTTGGGTATTGTCCTCTCGAGTTGAAAGCCCAGCCGGACTTGTCGTGCTCAACGGCGTACTGGTAAGGGGAATGTGGACGGAGTGGCCGCCATCCGGAGATGTCGAATGTGATTGCTTGAAGGCAAGTAGAGCATCTAAGCTTTCTCTCATGCGCTTCATTTCCTCTGTCATGGAGTCCATCTTCTGCCTATAGGTTGCACGTCAGCGCAAGTTCCAGTATACCTGATGGTGTGCCTTACTCGTATCTGTCAGTGATACCAGTGGCTGCTCCGTCGCCAGCTGCATATGATGCAGGCCGAAAGATGCAATGCGCCTTTCTCCGCAGGCATTGTCGACATTTCCGGTCTCCTGGAAACACCTCGCATTTCATCTTCAACTTCTTGCACTCGAGACCTTGACCTCAGTTAGCTGTTGTGATTGTCAGGGTCTGTCGCTGAAGCCTACAAGCCTTGGACTTGCGCCCCGGTCCCCCAGCAACCATAATTTTCCCGCCGGACATAACGCCCTTCTGTTTGTGGTCTGTCTCAACTTCTGCAGACGACGACGAGTTCTTCTTGTCAAGGCCATTTTCAATCCGTGTCTCTTCAATCGCGTCCATTTTGGGTAGTTGTGAAAAGAGAACGTGTTGCTCTCGTGATGGGCCCCGGGAAATCGGGAAATGGCCGGCTTTTTGGAGACCCCAATCACCCTTGCGCCCCAGAGTCTGACTCGCTGGTCGGCGGAGAAAGCGGGGTAAGCGGGAACGTCTGGAGACGAAGCGATTGAAGCACGAGTCAGGCTTAGTTTGGCGCCGGTTATGCCAGCATGCGTCGGGAACCCCATATCCACCGGGCCAAGTCTTCAGTTACAAAGACACAGATACGAGAGGAATTTGTATGATCCTATACGCATTTTATGACGATGTGTGTGAAACGTAGTAGAGTGTTTATGATTATTTATGGGGTTTTTCTGGAACGCATGGTTTGTTTGTAATGCGCACATCAAACTTGATATTTGAAGGCTCCAGTGTTGGCCCTGCCGACTGACTGCCCTTCATCATGACCAACATTCTTCTCAACATGGTCGATCGACATTTTGGCAACTCCCGCCTCTCCGGTGTAAGAGGGCGCACTATCGTCGAACCGTTTGTTATCTTTCTTCAGGACGAAGCTCAAGATCACAGTGCTCGCCACAGTCACTACCGTCAGGGCCAGGTTGACAGACCAGGCGGTCGTGTAACGCGGTCCATCACTGTCCGGGTATAGGTATGGCGTCCAGACGAGAGCAAGGTTCCCGATCGAGTTGTTCATGGCGAGACTAATGGCGCGCTTCTTCTGAGGTCTAGCACCGATGTTGGCCATCCACGCATTGCTAATCTGGAAGCACCCGTACGTCCCCGGAAGCATCAGGAAGAGGGCGAAGTAGCGAGCCCCGATGTTGGTAGTGGCCATGGTGATGATGATGCCAGCGATTGCAACCAAACTGGGGTAGATTATATGCGGCGAGCGTGTGCTGCTTCGGTCGGAATACCATGTGTTGAAGAGACAGAACGCGGCGGTGAAAATATAAGGCGGCGCGGTCAGGAGCAGAGTATGGATGGTCGAGAATCCGAAATTCTCGACGAGCGTCGGGAGAAAGTTGGTGAGAGACTGGTCAGGGGTTAGCACTGGCACTCGAAGGTATTGCAAGTTGGCAGAAGGGGGAACAAACAGCCACGGCTTGCAAGCACATCTGCCCAAGAATGCACAGCCAAACCCGGTGGTCTTGGGCGGCCAGCTTGAATGCTGTTTTGGTGCTGATATCTTCCTCTTCACTACCCGCATCTTCGACAATTCGCAGAATTCCAAGTGCCTTCTCCTCCTCCGACAGCCATTTGGTCGTCGCTGGCCAATCGGGGATGACAAACCCGGTGATAATGGCGAAAAGGACAGTGGCCGCGCCCTCGATTATGAAGAGCCAGCGCCAGCTCGCCATGTCGTTGTTCTTAAAGGCCGCAGCTATGCCGGCAGCGAAGAGACCGCCAAATGCACCAGCCACCATGGCCGCGCAGAAGAATATTCCCAGGCGCAGGCCCAGCTCCTTTCGGGTGTACCACCCACTGAACAGAAATGCGCAACCGGCGAAGAAGGGCGCCTAGGCAATGTTAGGACGACATCGTCTATGTACGTCAAGGAGTGCATACCTCGGTGACTCCAAGGAATAACCGGGTGGCCGCCAGTCCGCTATAATGCACGTAAGAATACTCGTCAGGATAAATCCCAGGATAGATTTCACACACCCGAAGCCTTGAACAGCGCCTGTAGCACCACTAACAACGCCCCATGCGCTGCTTCTGTCAGCACACTCCAAATCGTTCCTTAGATCGTGGATGGAACTTACATCATACAGCCGGAGAGATAGAGACTCGGTCGGCAGTAGCTCAAAGCCATGTTGCTAGGGACTGGGAAGTATGATTATAGTCGCGCCATCATGGTAGAGTCTGAACAAAAACTCACCCTGCATCGCGATGTACCCGATGAAGGTTATGCTGAGTACAACGTTGTATTCAACACCCTTCAATCCCAGATCATCCTCTAGGCCTTGAACTCGAGCCTGGGGCAATGCGTTTCTGTCGACGTAGTTCAACAAATACATAATAATCGATCGGACTGTTAGACCTTGCGGACCGGGGTGCTTCTTGGTTCGGGGGACTCACAAGGATTGGTAGAAGTCGAAAATCGACTTTTCTTAGGAACTTTTTCTCCCGTCTCGCTCGTTCCTCCGGCGGCCATGCTGAAACAATAGCGGTGTAGTCGACCGCGGCCGATGCCGTTGCGATCTCTTGAGCGGCTGCCATGTTTCTGAATATCTTCGGCGGCCAAGATGTTTGGAAATGCTAGGAGGGAGAGAGGAGTAGACGGGAATGCAAAATTGCCTTCCATATTTTACACAGGGAAACTATCGCCAGACGGCGATGATCTTATATTCCACTCGGAGTATCTCAGCCAGCGACCAACAGGCTGCCAGTGCTGTGCTTGGCTCCTCGTCTCTCATATCCTTCCTGGGGTATCCGGGGTAGCCCCATTCCCCAGACAATCCCCGTTCCATTTTTCCGGGGTCGGGCGACGTCCGGGAAATTGGAAAATACAACATCTCGTGTCCTACTACTAGTATGTGTGGGCCTAGCTCCGGGGTTGTCCCCAGCGTTGTTGGACTAAGATCGTCGGCCGGGTCTGGAAATCTCGGGAAATCGGTCAAAAAGCCGTCGCTCTAAGTCTGGAGAGACAGACATACGTGAGGGGTCGAGTCACGAGAGATGTGATAAAAGCGTAGGGCCGCGGTGATTCGAACACACTCAAGTCCAAAGCTTTGTTGACTATAAGAGTAATCCCTCCTCCATCACGAACATTGACCACTTTGCCTAGGACGCATTGTCGATCTTCACCCTCCACTCTACAAATACAACCACAACTTCGAGCACAAATTATCAAAATGACGAGTCTATCCACTAAGCTCGCAGAGCGTGAAAGGGCTGGCAGGCCTATCCAGGTCGGCATCATCGGGGCTGGAAAGTTCGGCTCCATGTTCATTTCACAATCTTTCCGCACAACTGGAATCCATCTCGCGGGCATCGCTGATCTCTCCAAAGACCGCGCTCTTGCCGCTCTTAAGCGCACGGGGTACCCCACGGACAAATACGATGAGACCTGCACCATGTCTGTGTCCAATGGCATCAAGGCTGGGAAGACTGTTATCACGACAGACTCTACGGCTCTTATTGCAACACCTGAGATAGACGTTGTGCTCGAGGTGACTGGCAACCCGGCAGCCGGCGTTCGGCACGCCCTTTTGTGCTGTGAGCACAAAAAGCACATTGTCATGGTTAACGTGGAGGCGGATGTCCTCTGTGGCCCCCTATTGGCGCGACGCGCCCAAGAGGCTGGCATCATTTACTCCATGGCATACGGCGATCAACCAGCCTTGATCGCAGAAATGGTCGATTGGGCACGCACAGCTGGTTTCGATGTTGTCTGTGCTGGCAAGGGAACCAAGCACCTACCCCAGTACCACTACTCAACGCCGGCGACTGTGTGGGACAACTATGGCTTCACCAAGGAGCAATTGGACTCTGGTGACTTCAACCCACAGATGTTTAACTCGTTCCTTGATGGCACGAAATCTGCGCTGGAGATGGCCGCTGTTGCCAACGGTTGTGGTCTGAGCCCACCTTCAGGCGGGTTGATGTTCCCTCCCTGTGGTGTGTGGGATCTTCCCAACTCCTTGAAGCCCAAGAGCGACGGCGGTCTTCTTGACAAGTCCGGGACTGTTGAGGTTGTCTCATGTATGGAGACTGACGGCCGCTGGGTGTTCAACGACTTGCGATGGGGTGTCTATGTGATCATCAAGGGTGAGCCGATCGCTTCTTCTTCTTCTTATTTCATGCTGACATTGCTATTCATTAAGCCCCCGGCGAATACCAAAAGGAGTGCTTCAAGCAATACGGTCTCAAGACTGACGCCAGCGGTTGGTACGCTGCGCAGTACAAGCCTTACCACCTCATCGGTCTCGAGCTCGGCGTGTCAATCGCGACCATCATGGGCCGTGGCGAGCCCACTGGCCAGACCAAGACCTGGTCCGGAGATGTCGTGGCCACCGCCAAGCGCGACCTTGAGGTCGGCGAGAAGCTGGATGGCGAGGGTGGCTTCACTGTCTACGGCAAGCTTATGACCGCGGAGGACTCGATGGCCATTGAGGGTCTGCCCATTGGCCTGGCGCACGGATGGATGCTGAAGCGATCCGTCAAGAAGGACCAAGCTCTTAGCTGGGAAGATATCGAGTACACCGAGACCGCGCCGGCCGTGTCTGTGCGAAGAGAGATGGAGGCCATCTTCAAGAACGAGTTCCAGGCCAAGGCGAATGGCGTCAACGGCACTCATTGGAACTAGAGTAGAGTTAGGCGGGTAAAAGGTAAGCCCAAAACAGCGGCAACTGTAGCCGACCAATGTGAGAACAATAAGGCCTTCTAAGCTTATTCCAGTGTTAATGTTCTAAATAGGATAAAAATTAATATGCGTCCACCGCTTATGGCATCTTGACGGCGAGAAGACCAAGATTTATCCAAGAGTCACAATTTGAGCACTTCACGCTTCTAATATATGGCCAGACGCCTTTGAATTATTAGGTTTGGACGGAATTTGGCCCGACTGTTTAGACAGCCGCTAGTGGTGTGGGCTAAGAAGATTCCAAAGTACTGATAACAGAGTTATATAGATTTAGTAGTTAACGTAAATCCCGCGCGGAAGGTAGTTTTCTCATCCACCCCACTGCTATACAAACTTTTGATTCTAATAACCCAATGAATTCTTATTCAAATTTATTTTGTTTTAGTACAGAATACTATTGCAAAATATGGTATCTTAAAGGAAGATATTAATAACGTTAATAAAACTGGCTGCGCTGCTCAGGCGTGACATGGTAACAATCAATGCATGCTGGTACAAATATATATATATGTATATATCGAAAGGAATCAACCATGAAATTCACGAGCGGTATTAGCCAGTCTGCAAGTATATAGTAACGTTGTGGAAGTGTCCTCGGGCTTGATATTCTGGCCATCAAATTGCAATTAACGCAACGAAATCCGGACTAAGAAGTGTTGTGGTTAGTCTGCCGGGGAGCGCGTGTCGATTCTGACAGTACTTTGTGCGTCTAAAGCTGCGCTATTGATGCAACTATTTAGCCGTCACCCCGCTGCGCCACCTTCAAACATCAGCCTCGTCGATCAACCATCCAAGAACTTCCCTGAAATATCTATAGTCCCTGCCCATCGCCTAGCAGAAGGGGCCAGGGTGAAGCAAAATGGAAGATGGTAGTCCCTCAACCTACGGGGTGCCACCTCCGACCAGCCATGCCGCCCTGTTAATTGTTTTCCTGTGGGAGTCAAACACGGCCAGCCAACGCGACCTGGTGGCCCATTTTCAGCAATCGTGCACTGAAGACGTCGACATTTGCGTCTGGTGTCCATCTCAAGCTGTCCTGCGGTCGGTCGCCGCGCAGGGATCCCGCCGCGACAGCCTAGCCAACATCCATGCAGTTTCTATCCTCGCCTACCGCGCGGGATGGTCGGGTCTCGTCGTGGCCGATCGGTTGACTGCGCGCCAGCTGCGAGGGGAAGCCCACCTCGGGGAACGGGACTTTGTGACAGTCGTCATGGTGGCCGTGCGCCGGATACGGATCGGCGAGCCGGCCAAGGACCAGGGTCAGGGCCAGGTTAGGGTGATTGCAAGGCGCAGCGGTTACGCAGAGCGCAAGGATGGGGTATTATTACGGACATTGAGCACGCTGGAGCTGCCAGCGAGACTACTCGGGTACAACGAAAACACACCCCTCATATTCGACGAGTTAGGGCTGGAGCTTCAAGATCCGGGGCGGCCAGTCTTTACGCCGGATCAACCGGGGCTTCTGGCCCATGAGGAGGTAAGGATGGCCGCTCACCAGGCGCTCTCAATGCAGGGCCATCTGCCACCGGAACTGCATTCGCCTATTCTACGCGCAGCCGAGGACGATATCGACGAGCCCATCCCCGAGCTTCCACGGCCGACATCGCCACGGGGAAAACGTCGCGATCTGTTCTTGTTCTTCCCGACCACCAACTCCACCCGCGATGACACCGATATGATGGTACAGTATCTGATTGCACGCGCCAAAGCACGGCTCACGGGAGATGAGTATCTGATCGCGCAGCATCTGCGACTGCGACCATGGCCATACGCGCGGCCCATGTCCCGCTGCGATCTAATGCGTGTATGGGCCGGTGTCAATGAACATTATCTTCATGGCCTTGCGCAGCCGATCCCAGAAACCGACCCTGAATCAGCCCAGTTTGTGCTCATGTGGAATGACATTGACTCGGACCGGCATGCTATCATCCAAGAGCCACTGGACACCATGATGCGGCCCCGGACCCCGAATACCAACCGTGTGAGAGCCCAGATCGACAACGGGGAGCCGCTAGACTGTCCTCATGAGATCCTGCACAATCCGGGGAGGTCCTTCTATGTAGACGTGCCCGAGTGGATCTCGGTCGATCCGGATCTCTGCTGGGCGCGATTCTTCTACCTCACCAACCAGATTACTTCAGAGCAGGACCAGGCCCTCCGACGTGAGTTGCTCAGCACGAGCGAGGACCGCGTCAATGCAGGAGATGACCCCCAAAAGGACGCTGTTTTCATTCCATGGCAGAGGGATACCCCGGATGGTTCGCTAGACAGCGTGTGGAGCATCTTCTGGAAGATTTGGCAGTATGAACGGGAGCACACCACGCACTACACCGTCGCGGGAAGGCAATGCGGCATAGCATGCTTCATCGACCAGCAATCGCTTGTCGACCATACGGTGCTTATTGTCGACGGGGACTATGCAGCTTCAGGGGAGAGTGCGCTCTATAACAGGCTTGGGCTTAACAAGCCAACCAGCCTCCGAGGATTCAGCTATGCTCGGGTCAAAGCTAGGGAAGCCCAATGGGCTTTTGAGCAAATTCGGTCTCACTCCGTGTTCCTTGATGAGATGAACCTGACCAGCGAGACTCAGTCCCATATTAGGCCGGATTGGCCGGCTGAGCTTGTACGACAGTTCATGGACTCTGATTCTGATTCGGATTGACCGCCACTGTATGAAACGGATGCATTGTAATGCTCTATAAAATGATATTGATATTTCAATCACCGGAAAGGAAATGTAGAATGTCGTAGGTAGTGAACGATCTACAGTAGGGTATTACCATCCGCGAAGCGCACCTCATGTCGAGCAATCTAGTAGGAGGTCTGCAGTATATTATTTTTAAGCGCAGAGAATAGAGTATTTTGCAAGAACAAGTCCAGCCCTTGCCAATTAGCTGATTCAAAGACACAGCGATCATGAAACGAACCCCAGCTGTATGACAGGAGTGTAGATCTTGTCTAGAAAGACAAGACGTCTTCTATCTAATTGATAAGCTGTCGGCCGGGCCTTAAGCATTCTCCACAAGCAAACCCACGCCACTCGGCATTCGGTACTCGGTGGTCGGCGCTGAATTGCCCTCCTTCTCCCAACTCCCCCGAGCCCTCAGAACTTCCCAAGATATCCATCCATGACCATGGCCTCCGTCGGCGACAGCAGCAATGCTGTGGAATTAACATTCCTCACAACTGGGACTGTCCGAATCAGACCGTCGATGCGCTCTCAGCCTGCTGAGGGTTACGCTCTGCTGCGCCGTTTCCGGTCAGTATGCGACAGGAACTGGACAGAACCGATGCCTGTTGGTGTCTTCCTTATTCACCATCCAGAGGGTATTTTTCTGTTCGATACAGGGCAGTCACCCTGCTGCAACGACAGCGGCTACTTCCCTCGTACAGCGCTGTTCAATAGCCTGCTTAGCGAATTCACCATCGAACACAAGGATGGAATTCTGGAACAGTTGCATCGGCAGGGGCTTAGAGCGACTGATCTGAAGGGAATCATCTTGAGCCACCTCCATAATGACCACGCAGGTGGCCTGGAAGACCTTATAGGCGAAGCCCCGGACCTCCCAGTCTATATCAGTCGCGAACACTGGGACGCCTTCGGGAAACATCCGCTATTTGCAAGTTTCGAGGGCGCAACGCCGAATCACTGGCCTGAGTTTACACCGACGATTGTGGATTTCCAGGATGGGCCACTGGGGCCGTGGGCGCAATCCCATCTCTTGACAAGCGACGGTAGTCTTGCTCTCGTGGACACCTCGGGCCATGTACCGGGCCATATGGCGTTGGTGGTACGCAGCCATAGCGAAGACAAGATGCCGGTGACTTATTTTCTACCTGGGGATGCAACATACGGCATTGATGTGCTGGATAGAGAGGAGCCGGACGGGATTAATGACGACCCAATGCGCGCACTGCAGACTTTGCGGACTATCAAGGAATTTGCGAGACAGACTGAGGTAGTTGTGCTTCCTAGCCATGACAACGATACTCCTAGACTGCTTGCTGAGCGAGTTGTATATCGGCCGGATGCTGGGAAGGGGGATGTACAGGGGTAGCGTGGCTATATTATTCTGTATGGGGAGAGCCTATTGGCTCCTTCTTTATCTTATTTTACAATATATTGTTTCGCTATGCCTTGGAATCGACCATCCTCTGAATCCCGACCAATCCAGCCTGCGGAGTGAGGGGAATGTAAAGCACTTAAAAGTCGATAGACTGGGGAAAGTCCCCCGTGTCAAAGAAATCATCGGCCGACCAGTCGATTAAAGAGCTCTCGAAAGCCAGCAAGTCCATCGCACCATTTCTGGGGGAATTATTCTCGTAATCGTCCAAGAGACCGAGGTTGGGTGAAAAGTGGGTAGGAAAAGGAAACAGCAGGCTACTGTCAATTGCTCCAGTACTAGACTCCAGATAGCTGCCTGTATTAACAGGTGGTGGCTCTGATTCTCGTAATGCATCCGACTCAGCTCTAAGCTTTGATATCTTCTGCAGTACCATATTGGATCCACCATATTTGACATGGAGTGCTTGTAGGACCTGGCATATGACGTCTAGTTCGTGTTCTCGCAGGCGCTCCTTTGCTGCAGATTCAGTCCGATGGAAGATCTGCGGAATTGCAGCGAGCATGAGGAAGAAACCGTGAACTGAGTTAAGGCGAGGGCTGTCTTCATGGAGGTGGATTTCCTCGTAAAGACGAACTATACAAGAGGATGCGGCGATACTGATTAAAGACACGGGGGTTTGGCGGTTCTCAGCCCTATCGGCCTGAAACAGGACAAGCAGGATAATAGCAAAATAGATGATGAACATTTCATTTCCGGGTTTGTCGTATGAATTGCGGGATCCGTCCGTGCTGTGTAGTTTCAGTGGTAATGGGACCGCTCGATGCCAATCGGCCAGCGCATTCACGATGTCAGACAGCTGTGATGTTTCGGGTTCAATAATTTGTCTTAATATTAGCAGAAGCCTAGTGACCTGGTTAAAGGTTTGCAACGGCAGGCTATCCAGGTCGGAATGCGCAGGAAGCTGAACATCCTGACAACGGCTTTGAATCAGGCATGGCCGTCCCCAGCAGGCAGCCTGGAGTACATCACTATTCTAAACGCCAAAGAAAAGAAAACGGCAGTTAGCGGTATAAAAGTGCTTATATTTATAGAGGAACTAACCACCAGATACCACCATACTAGTCGGCAGGAATTCGAATCCCGAAGACCAGAATATGTCTTTTCGTGATGCAAGCCAAGCTGTAAGGCTAAGCGCATAGCAATTCCTGCCCAGTGCCATGGTCCATCCAGACTAATGACAGACGGCGGGCGCAGACTCCAACAGGAGGTGATTGTTATGGCCTTTAGTAATGTTGTAGTGTCGCTGCCGCTACTCATATAGATGGCTTCCTTGGCCTGTTGGTAGAGAGCATATGGCAGTTGCAAGTCCTCGACTCTGTCGATACGGCGAGCAAGACTGCCGGCTAGGAGAAGCCCCTTCTGAAGAAGCGGCGGCGTATCTCGTAATTGTCTCATATTAATAAAAGGGTATATATGTCCCCAATGCTCAGAAAAGCAATCAAGTAGCGCCAGGCGCAAGGGGTCGTCAAGGGGGACAGAGACATGGCTATACCTGCTCTGAAGTTGCTTCTCGGTGCTTTGCCAGCCGCGCCACGACAAAGGGTACGGATTGTTCGGAGGGGTCTCTTCGTACAGCACCGAATCCGAAGAAATAAAGCTTTTTGACTCGGTTGTCGTTTGGTCTCCCGCACCTGAGGAATGCACAGGCGAGGCTATTCCTTGCTGGCTGTCTGTCCGGCGGATACTATCTCCTACAGGGCGGATAGGTCGAGTTCTGGTTCGACGACCCTGGCGCTGGCTGCACAGAGTACACCTGGTTACCAACAGTCCTAATTTTAGGGCTTTCAAGATTGAGAACTGACACGCAGGGCTGGTTCATCCGTCTACAGTTACTACAGGTCTTGTCCCGCGAGAGCTGTAGATCGCAGCGAACCTGGCATATTTTAGCTGGACAACCCACTTACACGTTGCAAGGACAGGATACCTTGCGCTCATGACAAATGACACAGATAACCTGAGCCCGCATGCGAGGAAATGCAGGCCGCTCCATGTTGGGAAGCTTCCAGGCAGATGGAACGAGTAACGACGCTCAACAGGCCGAGGCTGCAGCCAAACCCAAAGAGGATTGCCAAGATCACACTGACTAATACTGTGTGACCAACTGGGCGCTCCTATTGGCGGGTGCCAATATGGAACATCTGGTTTAAACTAAAGCAGATGGAAGGAATGGGTGATCATATGCAATGCCATGAATTTCTAGATGTTGAGTAGCACGATATTACCAATGCAACCCAATATATTTCAATTTACATAGCGAGACTACAAACCATCAGGCGTTACTCATACCATTCCAAAACATAGGACGTGACCTCCGTTTGCCAGACGGCAAGTCGCAGCGTCTCCCCATCTTGGTGCACATCCGCGGGCGCGTTAGAGCCCACCATCTGCGTGCCATCGCCCCAAGCCATTAATGCTCCGTTTCGTTTAAGCATCCAGTCTCCCCTTCCCAAACCTCGTGAGATAACTACACGCCCCCTCTTATTCGCCTCATACACCGCCAGGTCAAACAGCAGCGTTTTCTTTTCGGCCACGTACACTGCCCGGTACACATCGACTGAAAAGTCCACCGCGGTCAACGCGGGTTCCTTGTAGTGCTGCGGGTTCTTCGGACTCCATGGCCGAGCGTAAAGCCGTTGGAAGCCGTTGGCCACATTCAACCGGGCGAGTGGCAGCAGAGCGTTGGCCTGCATGGGGGTGCTGAGAGCATAGTTGCCCTTCTCGTCAAACAACGTATCGCTGCGCGCGTATGTAAAGCCTCCGTTCTGGATTCGGGGAGCGAGGTTATTGTCAGCATATGCGAGCAGTCCTTGGAGTGTTTCCGTGTCGCCCATCTCAGATGCCAGCGCGGCGACCCAGCCGAAGTCTCCGCCCTGCATGATCCTGGTTATATTTTCAGACTCCGCCGCTCTTGGGTGCATCTGGATCTTGACAGACAGCGTGCCATCTTCGTGGCGAACTAGGGCTTTCTCCCGCTGCGCTGGATAGTGCTCGTTCACAAAGTCAGGGTTCCATGCGTGCATCAGAGTCGCGCACCACGCATCACTCCAAGCACCGAGACTGGGCATGACCTGGTTGATATGCTTCACGACGAGGGACCTATAGTCCCCATTGGCATCAACACTACCCCCATACTTTTCCCATGCCTTCAAGTACCCCTTTGCCACCTCACCAGCCGTGTCCGTGCCGTCACAACTCAGCTCATCGTTCAGACGAAACCCAAGAATAGGCGGCTGATTACAGATCTGGAAAACGCACCAGGGCTCACAGGCGACACCCAGATATCCTCCTTCTACCATGTTCCAGTACACCCGGTCATTGAGGGACTTCTGGTCGTACTCGAAGTGGAACTCGCCCGCTTTCCCCCAGAAATACGGCTCGTACTCCAATGTCAACGCCCCTGGCTTGGTGTACCGGTCGTCATCAAACAGACTATTGTATAGCAGCACCAACGTCTGCAGATAGGCGCTGTACATTATATTGTCCTTCTCAATGGGGTTCGCGATCGGTTGGCCCCTTGGTGTGTCGAACGCGCCCCCACCTGTACTCGCATCCCGCCAGTAGTACCATACATCAGGCTCGCACATCTTCTTGATTATGCGCTCGAACGTGGATTGGAAGACACCAGGAGCCGCTGGGAGCCGGTGAAAGTGAGCCAGGGCGAGCGCATATGCGGCGTACGAGAGTTGGAAGCGGTAGGCGCCGAATCCGTCGTTGAGATCGCTGGGGCCCATCATGTTGGACCAGTCGCCTTTTAATTGCCGCGATAGGTTCCCGATATGGCGGATGCTAGCGACCTGCTTCTTGTCTAGTATCTGAAGGTGCTCTTGCCCCGATGTGACTGGGGTGGTAGCCGCTGCACCGGAGTTTGACGAATTCAACTCCAAGTCCAGGTCCAGGTCCTGTGCTAGTGCTTTCTTAATGCGCGCAGTCAGATTCTCCACGTCCAGGCTGCCATCAATGTGGTCAAGAAGACGACCATCGGGAGCATGTATGTACGTGAACGCGGTGTGTGGCATCGTATAACCATCTGGAGCGGTGAAGTCCCCTTTCCGTGTCGAGAATACATGGAAGGCCTTCTTGACGTTTTCAATTTGATCAACAGTCCCTGTTAAACCGGTGAAATGCGAAGAGTAGCTGAGCAGAAACTTTGCCATCTGCTCTGGGGTATCTCGCTTAGGGTCTACGGAGATGTAAAGAGCATTGATCCTGTCTGCATCGCGTCCGAGATGGTTCAGAGCGTCTGACAAGCGCTCCAGGTTGCGGGGACACACCAGCTTACAGTGGGTGAAGCCGAAGAAGACAAGGGCGTATTTCCCGTGGTAGTGGGCTTCGGTCACTGAGTGTCCGTGGTGATCTGTCAAGGAAAATGCAAACTTGGGGGCGTTTGTTGCCATGGTCAGTGTTTGCGTCAGTGTATGCTTCAACTCTAGGGAGATAAAGCGTATTAGGCATCCTTTTATCTTCTTTAAGTGGCGAATCTAGCTAGAGCTGTAATATTTGCCCGCGCCCATCACGGACCGATTCACTGCGTCTCAACAGTTCACCACCAGAGCTGATTGGAGCTTTTCCCTTTGTTCATCTGCTTCACCGCACGGCTAGTGCTGTGTCAGCCATAGATGTGCATGGTCTGTTAATATTTCTTTGTTTGAACAAAGAATCCAGAGCAGGGGTACGGTGTGGAGCACATGGACATCAGCTGAAGCCATTCGCTTGTGCAGTTGCATGCGTGGCTCGTTGATTCAGCTCCGGCCGAGCTCTCTACAATATCAAAACCGGCTTGTTATCAATTGCTGTCTGGTATTTGTAACTGTTGTTGTTCCTATAGTACAGGTGTCATGCCGCCCACAGTGCACGCGAACCCTACCACCTACTAGTCAAGTTCAACATGATATCAAATGCAGAATTCATTATCTGTCCGACAGAATGCAATATATCTTCCAAATAACCCACCCTGTTGTCAAGCCATGTAATATAAAGCTGTTTACTATATCACTGATGTTACTGCATCAATAATCCTCATCTCTGAATGAGCCTTTTCAGTATAGCCGAGGTCCGTACTTCGGGTACAAACACCCCCTCTTATATACGCCATGAGGAAGGAGTCAACAGCTCACCTTCATCATGTCCTCTGCCTTTCGGGTAGTTGAACACTCTGTTAATGCGCAGCAGATCCGAGAGTATCCCGCCGCGACGGCAGGCAGACAGGAAGATGTTCTCCAGCTGGCAGTCAAACAATACGTGCCTCTCAGCAACCCCGACCCTCAACCAGGCGACCTGAGCATCATCGGTGCCCATGCAAATGGCTTCCCGAAGGAGCTATATGAGCCTTTGTGGGAAGACATATACCACCGCTTGAAAGCGAAAGGTATTAGGATCAGCGGAATCTGGATCGCGGATGTCGCCCACCAAGGCCAAAGTGGGGTAGTAAATGAAAGCAAGCTCGGGAATGACCGTAATAATCATCTATCTATCTTCGGGGAGTAAACAACTGATATATTCTGTTAGCGTCGGTTTTGGATCACGCTCGAGATCTTCTGTTGATGATCAACCAGTTCCGTGAACAGCTGCCCAGACCTATTGTCGGGATTGGACACAGCGTCGGAGCAGTTCAGCTGTATTTTCCTCCTTATATTCAATATTCCATCTGGTATCGTGTATCTAATGCTTCCTACAGAATTGCCCTGTCTCTGCTACATCCCCGGCTCCTCCAGTCCCTGGTTCTCATCGAACCCCCTATGTCACCCATCGCGATCAGCCAAGGCGCCCTGGCCACGATCAAAGCATCCACATTCCGGAAGGATCTATGGCCATCCCATGACGCAGCCAGAACGGCTATGCTGCAGAAATCGTTCTACCAGCGTTGGGATCCTCGGGTGTTCGACCGGTGGATCGAACACGGGCTGCGCGATACCCCGACTACGCTCCATCCCGAGCCCGGGGCAGTGACACTGACGACGACAAAGTCTCATGAGGTTCTCACATATCTGCGTCCGTTGTACGAGACACAGCATGATGCAACTGGAATCTGTAAACCCGATAAACTCGCCTACCCCGATCTTGACCCAACAAAGCTTGCCCCGGATAGCGTTGGCTATAACGCCGGTGTGGATTTTGTGTGGCAGAATCTACCGACATTACGGCCCACGGCACTTTATATTGTCGGTGGCGCGAGTCACTTGGGGACGTCGGAGCTGCAGACGCTGAGACTGGGTCGGACAGGCACGGGGGTTGGGGGGAATGGGGGAGCCCGAACTGCGGGCGTCGGCCATGTCACTATTCCCAATGGCGGACACCTTCTTCCCATGGAGATGGTCGAGGGTACTGCTGTGGCTGCTGTAGAGTGGCTAGCACTGCATGTGCCGTCGGTGCTGCATATAGACGGGGAGTTTGAGAGGCGCTGGAACAAGCTGACCGGGGTCGAGAAATCGACGCTGGACGAACGGTGGTATACTATGGCGAGCTCGATTGTAGCCAAGTCCAATGGATCGAAATTGTAATTATCCTCTGCAATAGGTTGATGTTGACAGAGCTGTGTTGCCAGTTACATGCATAATTTCCATCCAATATGGTCATTCGTAGTTTTTATAATATAAACTAGCCCGAACTTGAGTTAAATTTGTAAGTACAAGATAAGAGGCGTAACACGCTCATGAAGACGGGTTGAAAATCCAACCATTTCCACCTGTGATACATGCATTCATCTCAACATTAGGACTGAAATATTCGAGGAGTCGCCACCTCTTTTGACGTAAATGTGCAATGCGCATATTGGTTTCCATGATCCTCAGTATTCGTCCCATTCAATGATTCGCCTCGCACTTCTCCCCACATCACGGGCTTCAAAGACGCGCCCTCATCTCCCGGTGGTGGATGGCATGCGGCACTGAGTGCAGCGCTGCGGTACGAAACAAGAGGCATATTTGACCGAAGGCGGCGGAAGCCGAACCCCAGGAGGGCTATCATGCACGATCCTCCGATGACGATGGTTATAAACATTGGAAGAGGCGACCAGCCGCACGCTGTAGTCTGGTCCTCGGTGTTGAGAAGCCTGTTGCCGTGCACGTCAAAGCTGTTGATCTTGACCAGAAAAATACACTGCGAGAGTATCCAATGCATAAAGACTGACACTCCGATCAAAGGAATACTATATCGATATGGGAGACTGAGATAATATGTTGATCGTTGCCCCCCCTTTGGCCAAGTAACTCGAAGAGTCTTTCGCTGATTCGCAAAATCATTGTATTCAGCGACAGCAAGAATCGATGTGAATAGACCGTTACAAAGAAGATATAATGCTGAAAATACGAGCTGTGGTGTGTTGGCCAACAGCGATAATAGAATGCTGTCCGCGCCGTCGAAGAAGAGGGCAGAGCTGTTTGGGTTTCCCATTCCCAGGTTCGATCCGACACTTCTGGCAAGTCGCGTTCCAGCAGATCGGTAGTACAGGTATATAGATACAGCCATACATGCACACAATCTGGAATTTATCAGCGGATGTTTCATTTGTCGGGGTCGGGGGGAGGGTAATACGCGGTGTAAGTGGAGGCCCAGCGTTTCCAGGTAGCAGCGCCGAACCACCTCTTCCGCCTAGGGAGCAGTTGAGGTAGCGGCAAATGAGAATCGGTGTCATGGGACGGATTAATATTGATGGTATCCAAAGCCGAGGCGCGTCTATTGCGGGACTGAAACCCGGATATAATGTCGCCACCCTTCGTGTTCGGGTCCGGTCTGTCTAGAAAAGACGAGAGTGCGTCGCCAACAGTCAAAAAGATCTCTTTATGATCTGTCCTCGCGGCCAGATACATGCAAAATACTTTGACCATGTTGCACGCTATGACTGCGATGCATATTGCTGGGCTGAAGTAGAACTGGCAATGTTGACTCGCGTCTTTCGTCATGCAGCCAGATACGGCAATTAGCGGTAGCTTTGAATCCGGATTCAAGTATTCAACAGCGTTGTAGACACTGTTATTGAACGACCTGTCCTCGCCCCAGTACGATACTGAGTCGGCGTCGATGCGAAATTCGATCTGCGCAGCCCAGGAATAATTCCGCCAGTTAGACGGCGTCATGAGAAATTCACCCAAGTGGATTTCATCCGGGTTCTGGTTGAAAATGAAGGCCAGCAGCGTGCCCATGTCGCTTGACATATTGGTACGCTGGGTATAATCCACGGAGTCAGACCAAGAGGAGTAATCAGTAAACTCCCTTATGTCGGTCCAGGTGTTCGCCTCCTTGTATTTGAAAGACCACCCTGGATAATTCCAGTTTCCAGCATGGAGATAGCTCATGTTTTGGGCTGAATTGAATCCGATTGCATCTGCCAAGCTCGTCCCTGTCGAGGTATAGGCATAAGCACTATAGGCCCCATCCAGAGGAAGAAGACTTGAAAACCCGCGCAGACTGTCTCTCGCTGCCAGTAGGAGGAGTGTACCTGCCTTTGTATTGTACTCCACATCGTACCTTTCAATGCATCCTAACAGGTCCTTCTCTGTGAAAGTGCCGTTGAACATTTCAGCTTGTATATCGCTGGCAGTAAACCCGACATATTGAGAGAATGAACGGGCCTCAGGCTCATCCTTAACAAGAGATTCACTTTTCGCAAGATCTTGTGGTACTACGACAATTCCGTACTCAATAGTACTGATGGACGAAAATATAGCTGCGTTATACCTAGTATCTAATTAGTACTTCCTGGTCTGTATGTGGATGGGATCAATGCCGTGACGAACAGCATGTGGATCGGAAACGAGCTGATAAACAGTAAAGCCCAGAGGATCTTTCTTTTATTGTCCATAATAGCAAGGTTTCTGGTACTTAATACGCCGATATCTAACCACTGGCGTCGTGAATGGGCTCTATCAACATCGGCTCGGGACGGTGCAACTAAACACTGCATGACATAGTTGCTGGCAGCAAGTAAGGCAGTACTCAGCATGTTAATTATAAAATGCATAGCAGTAGTCCAGCTATTTGTCACTGAGCAACTGCCTTCATAAAGCTCTGTATATGTGAAATATTTATCACCAGATGACCTCGAATACCCCACACCTACCGCAATGATTGTGAGGATCGCATTGAGAGTCAGAATTAAGGCTGTGCCCCAGGCACAGAGCATGGCCCCTTTTATCCATTCTTGCCCTGGCTCGATCTCTCGTTTAAAGAGTGGCAATGGGATGTTTTCGAGACTCGACTTCGCCTCAAGCCTCGAGAATAGATGCTTTGCGTTCCGGAAGTAGCCCTGGAGACGGGCGTAGTCGAGTCTCTGGGAAATATGTGGAAGGATTGACCCTTTTGGATGTTCTTCATGGGCTGTTGTTGCAGTGGAGGTGCCCTCATCTTCGGACTCGGAGTAATAGAAAGTGGGTACATCGCGGTCGTAACCTGACATTGCAGATAGTCCGAGTAACAAGATGCGAGCAAGAAATGTGAAGTACAGCAAGGATGTCGGCCAGAACTAAAGGGTGCCGTGTGAGGCCTATGGGTCATCTAAATATATCCAACAATTCTCACCATCGTGAGCCTCCTTCAAAAGTACTAAACAAATCAGAACCTTTCCAAGAGTCCGCATTTCCAGGGTCGGAAATAATCGACAGCTCATTGCCTTTCAAGAGGCGCACTGCCACCAGTACACGTTGCCAATGATACATCACATTCGGAGGTCCTACAATATCAATAGAAAGATGAATAACCTGTAATATATCAGTTGACTATACAAAATAGGGATTGTAGGTCGAGGTAATACCTGAACCGAGTGATGAAAGGCCTACGAAACGCTGAGCTCAAGGGGTCCAGGTCATCCCGTAGAAGGAATAGCATATCGAGATGGTAATTATGATCGTCACTCGGCTGTACTAACTCTTTCTGACACACGGACATAGCAACAAGCCAAGGCAAGGCTGATACTTCTCCCTCATGTGAACCGTGGCGGAGTGCAGCATCACAGTGCCCGGCGTTCTGCAGGGGCTGAAGTGCTAATCAGAATCATTCATACCTTGCCCAGTGGGTCTCTGAACCCCATGAACTGGAACATCACGAGGGGAATAATCTGTTGTACGCTGGATACCCGTATCATCACACCTGTCTCCCTTGGACTCGCGCTAATCATGGCTGCTGCCCCCTAGTGAGATCCCATCTTGCCCTAGCAGAGTGTACCCGTTCGAGTTCATCGATGCCCGGGCTCTTCTATCCACTCCTAACCTTCTGTAGTCCTGCATACTCTCGTCATCGCGTCTGACGGGCTCCGGCCACGAGTACTCGGGCAGGTATTGGTAATTAAATATCGGTGCCTCAGGCCGCGGCGACAGGCATAGAACGCCTTAATATACAAGATCCCCACCCGCCATCAACATACATGTATATAACCGGTGCAGCACCATGTGAATAGGGCGTGTGCTTCTAGTACTGTAAGTCTATATATACCACACCCATCACTTAGCTTCGGTGTTAAGAAAATTGATTATTATCTCCCGTCACTACGCTTGTGTATTGCTGGTACCTTGCTCGCCGATGTTGTTATATATTGCCCTGGCATCATCTGTGGTTCATGGGAGCTCTGGGCATGGGGTGCTAGTTTGGCATACTCCGGTAAGCTCCCCCGATATCAAAGGAAACCCATACAACTTGCTGTATCATTTTAGCGCATTTCAGCAGCTAGGCTATGTGCCATTCTCGCGATTTTCATCTAGGCAAAATACGCCTTCGTCATTGCAATCTGCCCGAAATGTACAGTGGTAAGCCAAATCATGGAGCCAACTACCTGGTACTCGCTGTGCTACTATCTAACCAGACTGTGTGCTCGATACCACTGGAGCCCAATGGCCACCTCGTCTCGCCGCCGGGGTTAGCGGACTTGACGGCGATGACAAGATCAGAGAAGCCAATGCCCCTCCCTTGCATGCGCTGGATGTCTCGCTCAGTCTCGGCAGCACGCACTACCACTTTGGAATGGACAGATCCTTGAGGCACACCAATGTCGAGGGTATACGAGTTCTGGCCGGTGACTGGTTCCAGTTCAGAGCCTAGGATCTTGGAATAGACTCGCGCGTATTCGGTCAGCAGACGAGCTGGGACCAGGATCTCGCAGGCGGCTATGCCAATGGCGCCACAAGGGTGCGTCGTCTTCTGCTCGTCCAGACTGGGCACGCGGTCTGTTCGCGGAGTGACGTCGTGGCAGAAAAAGGGGACGTCGATTCGGCCGTTAGCGAAGAGCTCGTCACCGGGCGTGTTTTTTCCCTGGGAGAACTCTGGGCGGGTGACCTTCCACTTGATCTCGACGCCGTTGGCTTTCTTACGCGAGCCCGCAACAGGCTTGCCGAACTTGATACCGAGCCCGGCGTCTTGTTCGTGGCTCGAGGACAAGCGTTCGTTGACCGTGTCCACTGATTCCTCGGCGGAGTGGGTGGTGTCGGTGATTGCAAAGTCGATCAAGCCCGGGGATTTAGGCCCCCAAAATCTCATCGGCAGGTTCTCAGCGTCGAGGGACGGTGGCTTGTCGTACCAGTTGAAGAACTCCAGGTAGCTGCCGTCGGCGAAGATGACGAGTTTGTTCCGAGAGGGCTGGCCATCGTGGTAGCCTCCCGGAGTGACGGTGAAGTTGTCGGTGACCCAGGCAGGGAGGTTTTCGAAGAAATGGCTGTCGACAAGAAGAACAATATGGTCTTGCTGTGTAGAAGTCATTTTGATTGTGGTTGATTGTGCAGTAAATGGCAGGACTTTGCAAGATGCTGCTCAGCCGCGGGGAACTTTGGGACCGGAAATCAGGACACATCGCACTCGGACAAGCGGCCACTCCCCGCAAAGATCCCTCCTGCATGGCCTTTGAGGCTCGGTAGAATAATCACCGGTTAAGGAACTCTGCAGCGCCGAGGCTTGGCTGCCTGATTGAAATTTGTATTTATTCATTTATTTGTAGTTTTTATCTTTTCACTGTCGCTGCACCTTGGCGCCGTATTATTCCGGGACAGGGCCCATTCCCTGTTTCTGCACAGCGACAGGCAGTATTTGCATTTGTTACTGTTGGCCGTGGCGTTTGTAAACTCCTGTCTCCCACGAAGCAAGAGCCTGCATGGCCATTACATGGCTGCACCAGCCAAATATCTAGTCTGACCCGCGAAACGCCTCGAAAGCTTTCAAGAAATTGAATCCCTCCTTTCCACAGAACCGGAATCTCCCTTCCTCCTTCTCTGCGCCCTCTCTGACCTCTTCCTCCCTTGCCCATTGAAATTGCTCATGTTCCTCAGGCACGATCTTCACCTGCTGCTCCCAGTCCAAATCACCCTGCTGGGGTCTCATCACTTGCTCATAAACTTCCACCAAAAAGCAGTATTTGACAGCCTTGGTGATTCCCTTGGTGGTGGATCCAGATTCCCAATCTTCAAGGGCGACCAAGTCCACAACTCGCGACACGTGCAGTCCGCTCTCCTCAAAGACTTCTCTGGCCAGTGCTGAGAGCATTGTGGAGTCGGTCCGCTCGCAGGAACCACCTGGGCCTTCCCAGTATCCGCCGTAGTCGTCTGACGATGCGCGCTGGAGTAGCAGAACTCGAGGCTCAGAATTCGCGGCGTCAGATCCGCGGGAGAATATGTAGGCGCCAGTTATAAATTGGGTGTACTGGGGGTTTGTTGCGAAGAATTCGGCGATGGGGACATCGAATTTTGCCACTGAAGGTGAAACCTCAAATTTATCTCGCGCCATTATTGAAGACAGAGAACAGCGGTGGTTAGATATTCTTGAGTTTGTGTGGTTGGCAAGAACTGGGGTTAGGGTTGGTATGGGAGACGCCCGATATATGAAGGACCTCCGTATTCAGCTCCACACCGCTTCTCTGTGATGTAATTCCTCATCAAGGGTTTGCTGACACCACGGCTTTTACTTTTGTCCTATCTAGTATTCGCGTAGACCAGTGTTCTATCACGGACCCAACATATGCATATGTCTGATCGCCTGGTGCCCTTACGCCGCTACATCAAGTTTGATACTTCTCCTTGCTTTTAATTAAATTGATCATTCTGGAAAGGAGCCGAAAAAGCTTAATTTATTGAATTCGTGGCACAAGTAGTTATCGCAAAATTCCACACTATTGAATGTATGTCCTTCCCTATCGCTAACCACCGAGCTAGTTGGACGCCACAGCATCAAACTGGCTTTTGTAGTTGGTATGATTGACTAGTGGAGTTGTTAGCTCCTTATAATCATGAATCTTGAGAAAATGTCCAAGACTTACCACCAAACATCAAGAAGACTTCCTTCTTCAAGCCTTCACTCTCGTCAATGGAATTAATATGCTTGGATAAGTCGACCAGCGCCTTCTCCTCGTACTCCTTGTACACCTGGTCCAGTTTCAGGCCTCTGAAGGTCTGCTTGACTTCCTCGGCCAGATTGTCATCGGGCTGTCCATAGCAGCGCTGCAGCACCTTTCGCTGCTCCGGGGTGCAGCGTTCCAAAGCCTGCACAATCAACCAGGAGCATTTATTCTCCTGGATGTCCGTGCCGATCTTCCCAGTCACAGCTGGATCACCAAAAACATCTAGGTAGTCATCCTGCACCTGCAAGAAATAGGAGATGGCCATCAAGGTGTCACACGATTGACCCATGTTCTTCGGCGTGTCCATTTTCAGATAAGTCAAGGCCACCAGAACTGGCAAACAGATATAGTGGCCTGTCTTGCCCTTGATGACCCGCTCATAGTTTTCCATCGTAAACTGGTCAAAGTTGCCGGGGTTGCCACCGACGAGATGATCGCCGGCCTGTCCGGCCTCTGTCAGGAAGCTGCTATTCTGGAACAGCTCAAAGAGGGAGGTATAAGCAGGATGATGCTTAAAGTGCTTCTTAAGTAGGAAGTATATGCAGAAGTTGATCAAGAATGCATCATTGACAGCAGTCTTGCCAATCTCTGGACGGCTCCACCAAGTGGGCTGGCCCCGGCGGAGGAGCGAGCCGTCAATGATATCGTCGCACAGGAAGACATAGGAACTCTGGAGCTGGACGAGCCATCCCAGAGTGTTCAGCTCCAGCTCCTGTTGCTTCCTGATGGGAGTGGAGGATCCGGCCAGAACCCGTGCAGAATTGCAAACCTGGCGGCCACGCGAGCGGCGGCCAGAGAGTGTATTTGTGTCAAGGGACTGTTTCGATTCATCAGTCAGCTATGCTTCCATGCTATAGGTAATCTGTGATTGTATGGAAGAACTGACATACCCAGTCGAGACGCTCGAGTACCTCACAGGTCATGTTGTTCTCTTTCAGGAACTGCTTGATCTCGTTCTTCAACACCAGCCATAAGGCGTCGAATTCTTGTTCTTGGACAGTAGTTACGCCAACCATTTTGAAACTAACCAAACTATCAAGACAAACCTAGTTGAGACTTTGGGTTCGTGATTGAGGAGATGGCTTCTATGGAAGCTTTCCTATCATTCTTAAATACATAGGTCCATATTACGCAATCCAACTACATGGCACAGCTGAATCCTAGTCATATGCCTGACCAGATGAAGATCTTCAATGAGACACATATTGGCCATAACGTCATTCCCGTCACCGAAGCCTACGTGGTTACATACAGCTGGAGGTGTGATGGCCCCTTGCTGGTCTATGCCTGACAGGAGCCCGTCATTTTAGCGAGCAGCAAGGCTGAACAGGTCGACCCACCACATCCAGAGGAGGAATGTCGGTCGTGATACAGGCTGCGAGGGATAGTTGGCGGTCGGATGGCATTGATGCATGACAGAATAGCCAGGTCGAGTTCATCAAGTCTCCATCGTTTTCAACCTGTCCTCATTGCTACAGATACCACGCCATGGACCTCATCGCCATGTTAGGTGTGGCTTTCGCCTTCTTTCTGGCTCACTGGCTTGTCGGATGCGTGTGGAATGTTTACTTCCATCCACTGTCCAAGTTTCCCGGTCCTCGAGCAGCGGCAAGTTCTTTACTCTGGAGATTCCTCCACGAGGTGGTGTATCAATCAGATATAACCCATGCGCTGCCAAAGCTGCACCGGAAATACGGTATGTCCTTCTTGTCTGGAATTTATCTCTTCCTTTGCTGAGCATGTTCTAGGGAAAATAATACGGACCGGCCCCAACGAAGTATTTGGAATGGCTCGACAGCTCTGGTTATAATGCTAATGGCGTGACCACAGATTCACTTATCTGATCCTGCGGCCTATCATGAAATTTACACGGGAAAAGTGCGATGGAACAAAGACGAGTTCTTGTACCATTCGCTTGGGGAGAATGGCAGTGCCTTTGGTAGTCTTTCCGTCGAGGAAGCGAAGCCACGCAAGTCGACTCTGGCGCCCCCGTTTTCGCGGCGAGCAGTGTCCTCCTATAATGACCTCCTCAAACTTCACGTTCGTCAAGCTCCCTTTTGTCCCCGTCGAGTTGTTGATTCTTGTTCCCGCTGACAGCTTGCGTTTAGGCGAACCGCCTCTGCAACGTCTTAAAGCAGAATGATAAGAGACATGAAGCATGCGACCTTCTCTATGCATTCCGCTCGTTCTCTCTCGACGTCATCTCGAAGATTGCCTTCTGCGAAAGTCTTAATGCAATCGACCATCCGGGCTTCAAGCACCCCATCCTCGTGAGCTTTGACGATGCTTTACCAGCATTCCAAGCAGCAAAGTTCTTCCCCTGGATCTACGGACAACTTCATTCCTTCTCGCCTTCGACGATTGACCGGCTCTGGCACTCTACGGGAAGTCTGCTCCGGTTTCGTGATTACCTGGTCGATATTGTGTTGGATCTGCAATCAAATCGCAAAAATGAGGACAAGGAGCCCTGTCTCCTTCATAAGCTCATGGATCCATCCAAACATACTGCTGAACCAAAGCTCTCCGCCGACACACTTCAAGGAGAAGCCCAGACGGTGATCTCGGGCGGGGTGGAGTCTGTGGCACACACGGCCGTCTACGCGGCTGTCTTTGTAGGACAGGACCGGACCATCGCCAATCGACTGCGCGTGGAACTCGAGCAGATCTGGCCCGACCCTGTTGGCAATATCCCCGACTTAGCGCAACTCGAGAAGCTGCCGTTTTTGACCGCAGTCTTGAAGGAGTCCTTGCGCTTAGCACCAGGGATTCCAACTCCTTTGCCGCGAGTTGTTCCGCGAAACGGTGCAACCATCGGTGGAAAGTTCATTCCTGGCGGCGTAAGTCAATTTATATACATTTACTTTCATACAGTGACTGATCCACGAGGCCCGCACAGACGGTCGTGGGAGCTTCCGCTCAGATGCTTCATTATTCGGAGGATCTGTTCAAGGATGCCCACCTGTTCAAGCCAGACCGATGGCTCCACCAGGAAGCACAGGAGCTGGATTACTGGCTGGTGCCATTTTCCAAGGGACCCCGAGCGTGCGTCGGCTTGAAGTAAGTTACTCACTGAATGCGTCATATCATCCATTGCCAAACGGCACCGGTAATAACAGCTGACCCGGATAGTCTTGCGTGGGCAAAACTGTACATGGAACTAGCTGCCATTTTCCGTCGATTTGATATTGAATTGACACTCCAGAGCAGTTTGTATGGCTTTGACCCCCTTTCTCTTCCGGGATGCAATGATGCTGACGGCTCCTCTACGATTAACAGAAAGACTGGAGACTTCGTATGGCGCGATTGCTTCTTGCCCTACCTAACCTCAACACATCCCTCTGCCTACTTCCACGCGGTCGAAGGTTACGACTAGATTTTTGAGGTGAAAACATATGTTTTAGACGCAGAGGTATGATGCGTTGTCATTGGTTCTATTATGGTTTGTTGGTTTGTTGATTTTATCTGTCTGTCACGCTGCAAAAGGAAAAAGATAGTTAATGTCAATACTCGGTTGTGGTCAAGATATGCCGTTGAAAGTGACAGGCAATGCTGTCAGAGCAATTACTGAGAATGAAGAGACAGTGACGCCTGCCAATGAGACCACAGTAGCTGACACTAAAAAGGCCCCGTAGATCGCTGCAGGCTTTCAGGAATCTGTGACTTAGAATTATATAAAACAAAAGCCAGCTGGTACACAAAGGTACATCCAAAAGTGCATCTAAAATCATAGGACCGGCCGACACTCCCGCCAATGAGAATGAACCTGTTCTTTTGCAGTCGACAGGGATGATGAGCCATCAATGCCAAGAAATTCCGGCACGTAATTATAATGCAAGGAGTGCATGCCGCCGTGAACCGCTTTCTCCAGGTGTCTTCCCCGGGAATACCCCCGCTAAAACGAGGGGCTTAGATGATATACCATCAAGGTAAAGCTAAAATTATTAAAGCCATATAACAACATAGTCTTGATCTATAACCTTACCCATAACTTTGCCTATTCCTGATAACTTCGAGCTATAGTGAGACACCTGTGAAGAGGATATACATAATATATTAAGCGCGACGTAAGCACTCACCAAACAATTCACAATCTGCGAGGACAGGACTACCACTGCAAATGAATTGTCCTTGCACTACTGTATATTGGCGTGTGCATATGCATACCCACCCCCACTCTGGAGCACTGCATAAAGAGCAAAAACGCACAAAACCCCAAGGAAGGAAGGCTCCCAGTTATGCTCGGCATCTGCAAAAGAGGAAGAAATTCCAGTGGTTGGGGAGGAAAGTCGGTGGAAGCTACCTAACAGTGTGTGTAATAAAAGTTGCAGCTGCTATGCATGGAGATCCTCGTCAATCATACCATTACCTACGGAGAGCAAGGGTTAGTTCCTCCTTCTAGTAATCCAGCAGCAATGTCAGTCTCAGCTATTGAGGAGTTCTACATGTCAGGTAGCACAGCCGGCAGATTATCAGATGCAAAGACGTGCTCTTGGAGCGGACATGGGAAGCTGTATCCTGCTTTACACCGCGCTTTGGCCGCAAGAACATCCCTTCTAATTTGCCTTTTCGAAAGGGCCTTTGTTGGAAAAGACTTTGGTCATTGGGAGTGGCCTAGTAAACGGAGCGGAATGAACATGTGCGTTGTACTACTCGATAGATTCTTCCTGCGCTTGCACTCAGTAAATGAGTCGGTGAGAAGTCGGCGACGCGTGGCCTTTTGGTTGAAGACAGGTATTTACTATAGGTCTATTCAATACCAGGGATAGATTGACCTACAACCGAGGCTCGCTGGAGGGGAAAGCTCATCCCTCTCACAGAATCAATCTTAGCTGTTCAACTTGTCTCTTCTTCTACCACGCCTCCATCTCTTGAATAGCATTGATAATGACCCAGGATAAACCAGCTGTCGTCTGTGTCTTGTTAGTCACAAATCCTACCCTGACTTCTCCTTTCACGAGGTACCAAAACCTTAGCTAGTATCAAGCTAAGTAGTCTTCCTGTCATTTAGCTGCGGCTCCACTGAGGGCAATGATCCGGTACATCTCGAAGCGGCTCAGGATTTGGCCTACGAATTCCATAAGAACAATGTTCAATTAGTGTACGGGGGCGGAAACACAGGCCTAATGGGTGAGATTGCTAAGAAATTGGTCTCATTATCTGGGCCAGAGGCTGTGCATGGTGTTATTCCACAAGCAATGGTTCAAGCAGCCGCAAGTCACGGTACCGACGAGAACGATGACGAGACCGCGGGAGGCAAGGCCGCCGAGCGAGTTGTATCAAAACCACTGGACGGAAACCACATTGACGAGTTAACATTCGGCCTTACGACGATTGTCCAGGATATGCACACGCGGAAGCGGCTAATGGCCACAAAGGTCCTGCAGGGCGGGCCTGGGTCCGGGTTCGTGGCGTTGGCCGGCGGATTTGGGACCATTGAGGAGATAATGGAGATGACAACATGGAACCAGCTAGGTATCCACCATGTTGGGGTTGTACTATTGAATGTTAATGGTTACTGGGATGGACTTCTGGCGTGGGTGCGGACTGCCGTACAACAGGGGTTCATCAATAGTGAAAACGGCTCCATACTGATTGAGGTGCAGGGTGTGAAGGACGTATGGCCCAGGCTGGTGGAATATCGATGCAGCTCTAAACGATACCAACTGAACTGGAGTCAAGAGTGATGAGACTTCGTGTGCTCGAACTGGGCTATGATGGGCCGATTGCTTTGCAAGTCACCTCTGGTTTGGATGCAGAAATAGAATAAGTTTAGAACAAGTTTAGATTTAGAGAGGAACGTTCTCTGGAGGTGGGAAGCTAAATTCCTGTTATACGGGGTACGTACTTACGATGTTCTCCTTGCAAAAGCTATAACGGTTGTAATAATGCGTGTTTATTTCAGGTAGATTTCATTGCTCTCACAGTTGGAGAACATAAGTGTGCGGTCACTATTCTAGATATCCGAAGGAACTATGAGAGCTGTCTAAGGCCATTGTGCACGGCTACTACCAAGAGCCGTTCATTGTCCTGCCTATACCGTGGAGAGTATTCTGGACAAAAGATCCACCCCCTAGCTAAGTGGTATCGAACATAGACAAGTTCCTATATACGAATTTTAACTCTTTTACAGGTGCCTTTTGCCCGAGTGACAAGTACCGCGAGCAACAAGGAGGGTCTGCCACTTTTTCGAAGAAAGGTTATGACCACAATTCACCGCTCTATACCTAGGGAAGAGCTATTGTCTCACCGCATCTTCAGCCTTTCAATATTACTCGTGTAACCCGACGTCGGAAGTAGCATTAGCATGTAAGGGCATCCCCTCTTGTCCACGGTGTCTGCAAGCAATGGCTTCCCAGGGAACTCCATTATCTAGCAATGACCATTTAATGTAAATATAAATCCCTAACTGGGCCATGGGCAGGTGCGAAACACTTCCCTCATTGTAACTGTCGCTCCACATAGACCCTTGACAAACCGGGGAGCTGGCGAAATGGAACCTCTAGTTGACAATTTCATTCCAGCTTCAGTCAAGGTGTTCTCGCTACTTCTTCTGACAATAGTCAGTGTGATCTAGAATTCTGTAACTATGAGACTGACCAATAATCATTATCTAGGCTTTGCTCCGAACCTCAAAGCTCTCTTTCCTTTCTCCCCGGACCATGGGTCTCCAAATGGACTGGACTTATCCTGAAATATCATGCCATAAAGGGCAACAAAGCCAAATATGTCCATGGTCTGCACCGGAAATACGGTTAGAATATACGCAATACACAAAATCCATATTCTGATAAAGTCCGCGCGCAGGCCCTATTGTCCGCGTCAGCCCTGACGAAGTCGACATCTCCGATCCAGAAGCTGCCAGAAAGATCCATCGCGTTGGGACTGGCTTTCTGAAGTCAGCATGGTATCAAGGGTCCACTATAGAGGGCGAGAATGTATTCAACACCAGAGATCCAACGTTCTATAATGCACGCCGACGCCTTCTATCGACGCCTCTATCGAATTCATCCCTGCAATCAGTTGAGCCAATCATCAACTCCAGTGCCCGGCTTGCAATCCAGAAGATGCAGGAGGAAATGGAAAGCCGTGGCGCCGTTGATGTTTTCAAATGGTGGAATTTTCTGACCGCTGACCTGATTGGAGAGCTCACGTTTGGCGATTCATTCCGAATGCTCGAGAAGGGAGAGGTAAGTTCCAATAAGACCGAGTATAAGCATAGGCTGATTCCTTATAACAGACGAATCAATATATTACAGACTTGCAGACTCTTAGCAGCACGCAGGGTTTTCGGGCACTTTTCTCTCCCCTAACGAGCCTGCTCGGTCTGATCCCAATGGACTTCTTTCAAGGCATAAGGCAGGCAGCTTTCAGGTTACTGCTCTACGGTGAACAATCTATTCAGCGATACCGGAAGCAGATGGCCCTTCAGCCTGACAACCCCAAACCAACATTGTTTACCAAGTTATTCAATGCTGGCCAAGATGGCCTCCCTGATGCCGCAATCAAGGATGAAGCAGTCAACTTCATCATTGCTGGAAGCGATACAACTGCTATCACGTTGACATATCTAGTATGGGCTGTTTGTCGGGACAGCAAAGTCAGAGAATCGCTGTTACGGGACCTCGCTGCACTGCCAGAAGACTTCAGCGATCGCGAAACCCTCCAGTTGCCATATCTTGATCGTGTCATTAATGAAACCTTGCGTGTTTATGCCCCTGTTCCGACTGGCCTGCCGCGGACTGTACCAAATGGCGGAGCCACTCTGGCAGGCCACTGGATTCCAGCAGGAGTGACGGTCACCACCCAGGCATACAGTCTTCATCGGCATCCCAGCGTTTTTCCTCACCCTGAAAGGTACAGTCCTACCTGATGATAAGTATCAAGGCAGCAAACTAAGGGGTGCCAGATTCAACCCCTCTCGCTGGGCTACCCTAGCCACCGAACTCAAGGGCGCATTCATGCCGTTTGGTGGAATGTCCCGCAGTAAGTCAATTGCCGGGTTCTACTTCTCCATTGAGGAGGGTGACTGACCATAATGCTCCCCGGATAGTCTGTCTAGGCCAGAATCTGGCTCGCATGGAGCTTCGTCTTGCAACCGCTTATTTCTTCCGGGCCTTTCCAAATGCGACAGTTTCGGCTCTGGAAAACATGAGCGACGTGGACATGGATCCGGTAATACACTTTTTAATGTCGCCGAGGGGCAAGCGTTGCCTAATCCAGGACTCCTAAGGATACTTCGCCTACCAGGGTTGAGGTTGGGTTTTCAGTACCAGCTCTTGAAGCCTCAAAACAACCTGTAGCGGCAAAGAGCTGTTGTCTGGCTGGCTTATAATTTTTGAGTATGGATGTAGCACTATCAACCCCCTACTACCGACCACCGTCGGTGGCCACGTCATTCACCATACAATCAATAGATCTCGATCATTCGCAGGTGTCCAAGGAAGGAAATTCCGATTCTGCAAGGGTCTGTTAAATTACACGACTCCCCAACGCAGGCGAGGTCGGCCGAGGCAAGGACTAGGCCACCGCCAGACCGCTGCCCAGGTGGTAGGACAAACTGATCTATATAAGGCCTGTAGATATCAGTCTAGTTGTGGTCGTTAAGCAAATGGTTGTATTCCTGACGAATCCCCCGCCTGGTTCGATAAATATCTTTTTACTTCTTGGACATCACTTAGTAGTTGCTAGATCGCTGGCATAAGAATACTTCTCCTCCCTAACCCTCCGTCTCAACCCCGTCTCAGCTATAAGCAAAACATGTCCAAACTATTCGCTCCCATCCGCGTCGGCCGCATGGATCTGTGCAACCGCTTGACAATGGCGCCCATGACGCGCCTCCGCGCCGACGATGCCCACGTCCCCCTCCCAATGGTCACAGAATACTACGCCCAGCGGGCCTCAACACCCGGCACGCTCCTGATAGCGGAAGGGACATTCATCTCCCCACAAGCCGGTGGAATGGCTAACGTGCCGGGCATCTATAACGACGCCCAAATGACGGCCTGGAAGGAAGTCACCGCCGCTGTGCACGAGAAGGGCTGCTACATCTATCTGCAACTGTGGGCGCTTGGCCGCGTCGCTAGGCCTGACCTCCTCCAAGCCGCCGGTGGCTTTTCTGTTGTTTCGTCCAGCGAAACCATCCCACCCAAGCGGACTGCGGTCCCACATGCACTGAGCGAAGCTGAGATTGAGGACTGGATCAAGGCATATGCGCAAGGGGCGAGGAACGCCATTGCCGCTGGCTTTGACGGCGTCGAGATCCACGCTGCCAACGGCTACTTGATCGACCAGTTCATCCAGGACACCTGTAACAAGCGCACTGATCGCTGGGGCGGCAGTGTCGAGAACCGTGCCCGGTTTGCGGTAGAGGTAACCCGCGCCGTGGTGGACGCGGTCGGCGCAGACCGCACGGGGATCCGATTCAGTCCGTGGAGTACATTCCAGGGGATGCGGATGGACAATCCTGTGCCGACATTCAGGTATCTGGCGGAGCAGATGCGGGCTCTCAATCTGGCGTATACACACTTGGTCGAGTCGCGGATTTCCGCCGACGAAGACGTGGACGCCACTGACAAGCTGGACTTCTTCCTCAGTGCGTACGGCAATAGCAGCCCCGTCGTGGTCGCGGGCGGGTACACGTCTGCCTCGGCGTATGATGCTGTGGAGGTCAAGTATAAGGGGTACGATGTGATGATTGGGTTTGGACGCCCGTATGTCTCAAATCCGGATCTGCCGTTTAGGGTACAGAAGGGGGTACCGTTGGTGCCGTATCGGCGGGATTCCTTCTATGTGCCCAAGGAGCCTTGTGGGTATATTGATTATCAGTTTAGTGCTGAGTTTGAGGCTGCGCGGGCTGTGGCTTGATTTTTGAGCGTGGCCAGCCTTGGATATCTATTGTTACGATAGATGTACATAAACATGATCCATCTTGAGACACTGTTTATCCCGTACTAGGGCGGCAGGCTATCCTCCTTGCAATGTAGATCGTTATGGATTGTACAATTACCTCCCTTGCATAGAGTTAGCCGGAATGCTGTGTCAATCTCCCAACCTTGCATGTTTCCCCTCACATCAACGTCCCAAGGGCCACACCGTGGGACCTATCTGTGGCTATGTTATATTCAATGGCAACGGAGTGTGAATTCCATTGTCAGCTCATCATGCAAACGGTATTTTGACTTTAAAGTTCGGCCACGCCTAGAAATCCTGGATCATAGAATAACGGACATCGCTGTACAGAGTAGACCCTGGATCAAGATAAGCATGGTACATATTTGCCATACCAATACTGGGAACCCTTTGGCATCCCCAAGCACTATAGTACGACGACACAAACATGATCCGCTATATTTGGTGTAGGGAAGGCCAAGCCTTTATACCAAGTCAAGTCTCCTAATGCAGAATAGCACTATCCACAGGGAGACCGAAGAAAAGCAGTCGTACTGAAAGAGAAGTGTGCATTTAAATTTCATAGTTGGACAATTACTAGCATAGATTATCTGTGACCTATCTCGCAACAGCTTTAGTTAATCCATTTGAAAACTTGCATTCTCACCCTCGATAATCTCCCGTGGCCCCGTGAACGTCTTGTTCAATCCTCCCCACCATAGCGCGGCCAAAATAATCCAGGAAATAGCCATGACAACGACCAAGTAGTTCATCGACGAGCCACTAACGGGCAGGGACACGGGAAAGCAAAATGAGATCGAGAACAGGATAATGAACAGAGTGGCCACCAGATTAACCGCAGACCCATATCTGCCCAGCGAAAAGGCACGTTCTGGGAGACACCCCCGGCCACGGAAGAACAAGGCTGCCTGAGGAATCGCGAAGGTGATGTTGAGGTTGAACAAGGTGAGATTGATGAAGCTGCTGTAGGCTTCTGATGAGACGATGTATAGGATACCGACGATAATCTGCAGGGCGAGCATGAGAGCTGTTGCTCGCACCGGACTGTTCCATTGGAGATGAGTGAACCATCTGGCGCAGGGAATACCGCCGTCGCGAGCCATGGACCAGATCGTTCGCCCGCCGAAGATGAACAGGTTCAACACGATGTCGTAGAACATCACCATGTAGTACACATTCCAGATGGTGCTCGCGACCCTGGAGCCCAATGCTTGGTTGTAGACCTCCAATATCGGAACTGTGGATTCGGCGACCGCATCGACATCTTTCACGACAAACATGAGCGCAATGATCCACGCCAGAACGGTGACGAATCCCAGGCCGATTGAGACACACATGGCAATCGGTACATTGCGACTTGGGTTCGGCACTTCTTCCGCGACGTGTGTTGGTGCATCACCGCCACTGTACGCCCAAAGACATGCTGTAATGCCGATAATCATTGCCCAACCATCTGACCATCCGCTGGTATTGTTATAGTCCCGGAATACCACTTCGCTACTCTGCCTTCCCTCGCTGACGGTCAATATGGTGACCATCGATGCAACGAAGCCCATCAGTGACAGGAAGAAGATGCCAATGCCCAGCCACCCAATGGCCCCCGGGAATCGGGACGTCGGGAAGAACCCAACGATACATAATGCCACATGAAGCAGATAGGTATGCCATGCTTGAACCTGGTACGTCTCAATCCAGAGCGCAGCCAGCTCCAGAACTGAGCTTGCCACGAAGAAATTGCAGGATACCAAGGCCGCCATGAGGTAGACGATGGTAATCCATCCCACGAAAAAGGAGGCCGCCCGACGTGTTGATTTCGGAAACACCATGAAGACCATATGATACTGACCCCCGGCAGAAGGAAAAGCAGAAGCCAATTCCGCCGATCCAACATTGATGACCGCCATTATGATAGCTCCCGCGATGAGGCCGTAAATGATTCCAGGGCCTCCGCCACACGCAAGGGGAACTGCAATGCCGGATGCGAATGCCACCCATGAGTTCATTGTGGTGAAGGCGAATGCGATCACAGAAAGAAGCGTATACCGTTTTTCCAATTGTTCCGGGGCGTTCTGGGGGTCGGTCACGGCCTTCTCGACACCGTGAGACTCGGCCTTTGCGGTCATGGCGAAGGAGCTTGCAGGAGATTAATTATGGAAGTGCTGTTGCCGCAACCTGCTCCTTGGGCGTGATAGGAGTGAGTCGATTGGGGGTAGATAGCGGGCGCAAGGTCTGTTAAAGCTGAGGTTGGAATAATTTCGAAGCTTCTCCAAACCATTTATTCGTAGTCTAGAGAGCAAGTAGACTCTGGGTTTCTCTAGGCTACACTTTCCCCTCTCAGTTTGGTGTCTAATGAACCATGGGGTGCCTCACTCAGCCCTGAATTACTGAGGCCAACTCCATGGTCGCGCCCCAGATGGAGTTGGAGTCGAGTAACCTGGAATGGAACGATTGGACCAGAGTTAGGGTAGACCTTCCCCTCCGAGTTTAGTGCCCAATGCTTGATGTCCAGCCCCCGCAAGTCCCCGTGGGGTGGAGCTATGCCATCGGAACCTGCATGAAGGCTGTCCTTCGCTTCACAAGTCGGTAGATTTATTCTTGAGGATGCCAAATCTAAACACATCTTCTAGTAGGACTATATTCCGGGCTAGCTAGTTCATTACTTCGCACTGAATGTTAGCTCGTTAGCTTGATATCTGAAATCAAATTACAGCACTTGATCCTAACAAGCTTCATGCAGTGAGACTGCACTCGCTTAATTTGAAAGCTGCCGAGACCCGCTCGATGCACACAGTGTGTTCTTGAACGGCAATTGACCTGAGAAGACCATCTCATCTCGTCATCCCTTACACACCCTTGCTTACTATGATCCACCCACACTTCTGGCAACCAGTTCATGTCCGCAAGGACATGCTCCCGCGTCACGCCGACAAAATGGGCTGTTTTTCCATAGCATACATTAGGTAGGCCATGCCGAGAAGACTGCATACACCGGAGTACCGCGATTCGAACGTTCAGGATGTGATTTTTTGCTACACTTGCACAACCCATACCCTCAAATTAACCAACGAAATGGGCCCACCGCTCGACGGATATTATCGTCTCCGTGGAACATGCTCTTGAAATATAATGCACGAAGGGTATCGTATTGGTGCCGGCTTTCGGTGTCCTTAGCGATTCCTGAGTGGCTTGCATCACATCGTGACATGCAGTCAAGCCGGAAGACGCAGCGTTGCTGATTTCCATTGTCTCCGGGCGCTGGATGAGGTCCCTTGAGAGATTTTGGTGTGCTTCCATCTGTGTATCGTCTTGATCCTTTAGGGTCATAGCTTGCAGCTCGAGACTCTTCGAATATTCCTTGATTGGCGACTACTCATTATCGGAGACGTTCACAGACTATAGTTTGGAACTCCTAGGAATGGAATTCTACTAGGTTTGTATAGGATGTAGAAGATATTATCCCAAACACCTCCATGTTATTGACCTTCACCGTAGCTTCAAGCTCCAAAAGAGAACTCTGGAATCTCAATTGTAGTAACAGTCCAGGTCTTCCCATCATCACTGGTTGACATCTCACCGGTAACTCCCTCGCCCTTGGCCATAGTGTTGATATAGTTAGGGTCGGCAGTATCGAGAATGATCTTGGTATCGGTCCATGCTGAGAACATCGTTAGCTGGCGAGATGTGAAGTCTGGTCAAGTTGAGACTTACTATGGGCGGGCATGGTACCGCAGTCCTCCGCGGCACATTCCACGGAACTTCCCCAGCCCTGGGCCTGCCCATCACTAGTGGAGAGAGTAGAGACAGTTTCGCCGTTGACGGAAACAGTCTGCGTATAGTTTCCAGTTAAATCATCGAATTTATCTGAATGATGTTAGAGCGTTACATCTCTTATTGTAAAGTCTAAGCAGACTACTTACAGTGCATTGTTACTTTGTCTCCAGCGACGGCTGTAGAGGACTCTCCCTGAACGGGCATCTGCGAATTTGCTATATGGATAAGCTAGGATCCAAAGCTAGAAGAAGAAGAATAACTAACCCCCAGTCGACAGAAGCGTGTAAGCATAGATACTCCAGTCGTCTGACTGCCAGTTGTCGGCAATGGATTGGATGAGATCCCCGTTCGAAGTGCCCATACCAACCCAAAGGGATGCAGAGCCAGAAGAGCCACTGGGAGCCTTGGGAAGGGTGAGCGTGGAAGTTGCTTCGCGGATGAAGGAGTCGGTTGCGACAGGACCAGTGCTGAACGCGGGTCCCATGGCAGCCTCTACCACAACGGTAAACGCTGCAGAGGCCGATATAATTTTGCTGAAAGCATGCATCTTGGATCTCAGTGTCTGAATGAGGATAAATTGGCTTTTTGCTTCTCCAGAACATGGAAAGACCAATGTTCTTATAGCTTCATTCAGAGACACTGGCGGTGGGAATCCCGGCGGGATCACCTAGTATGAAACATAGTATGCCTTTAGCACAGGGGGAAACATCGGCTTAATAATATATTTCGAGAGCAGGTTGTTTGAAGGCTCTTTAGGGCCCCGGTGGGCTTGGCCCTCCTGTGGGATTTGCACTTTATTTGAAACCGTTGGGCGGTCGAAGATTCTCCGCGGTCTCTACTATCTTCTGTAAATATTTTAACAAGCAAATCGGAAGAGTTGTTAGCGCCTGGTCGCGACCCACGTGTTTAATTAATTCCGCTATATAGGAGAGATATTCTTCAGTATTAGCCGTATGCCCCAAGCTTATATGGGTCTGCGTAAGCTTTCGAGACCTACAAAGTACTTTTGACTTTGCTCTCATTATCTTCAGGCAGTGGGCCTCCTGTCTCAGTCAACCGATAATTTGCCTCACTGCCAGTTGCCAATTACATCTCAGGGGTATATTCAATACAGTGAGCCAGAAGCCATAATCGATACCATTCAATTATAGATAGATAATCTACTGGCGGGATGTGATCTGCAATCTAACGGCCTGGAGAAAGCGATGCAGAGGCTTGAAATTGTCACACAATAACCTCAGTACGCAGGTCGTCTGGCCACCTGGCTGCGTCGCGACCATTTGTTCGAGTCCCAACATTATAGCAAAGATTGACCTCCTTGCCAGGGAAGTCCAGGATCGGTCTGACTGCCTTAAAGTAGCGATCGACAGCACCAGAGTGACGAGTCTCAAAGAACTCGGGCCGGAATAGCACATTGCCACTGTTCTGTGCCAGCGACTTCAACATAGCGGGGAGCATGGTCGTCATCCCTTGGATGTGTCGAAATGTCAGGTTTTGATGCTTGTTCCATACTTCCTCCCATACGGCGGGTGGGTAGACCCCGACTGAATTAACCAGCCACTGGGAGTAGTAATTCAACGCGATCTATCACTGTCAGTATGTTGATAGAGTTTGGTTTAAGCAATGCTCACGTCGACATATACTGATCCTCCCTTTTGGCCTCGTTCGATCAGGCCATTCAGGATGCCGCAAACCCCGATAACCCCAGTGCTGCAGAATGTCAGTCAATCGCTCCAACATCTGCAGGGACCAATCCCACCAGAAGTCAGAATTTGGGAAGACGGGGGTAACTGCTTCATCGAGTCCCATAGCCCTGCCGTATCCAAGAGAAACACCGCAGACCTGCAGTCAGTTAGCATAGATATAAAACCCACAGGCAGATAACCTACTGCATCGCTGATCTGCTGCCAGCCACTGCGGTGCTGCCATGGGCTGTGCCAACCATAGCAATTCTCGCGAGCGTAGACAAGACCGTACGGTCGATCCTTGACGAGGTCCAGAACTGCCTCTCTCCCAAAACCAAGCCGCTCCATTACTCCAGGCCGATACCCGTCCATTACAACGTCTGCTTCGTAGATGAGATCCTGCAATGTTTTCTTTCCTTCTGGAGACTTGAGATCAATGGAGCAGTTCCATTTTCCCCAGTTGAGGTCTCCATGGAGTGGAACCAGATCGACAATATCGGGCCCTGTTACTCTGAGCACACTGGCACCAAGCTCTGCTAAGCCTCTTGTTATAGATGGTCCAGCAATGACTCGAGTCAGGTCAATAACTTTCAACCCCGCCAGCGGGCGAGCGACACCGGTGTCTGCCGAATCCTTCCACCAGGTTGGCTTTTGGTTTGCTTTCGGAACATGACGGAGCTCGTATAGGCCAGCTTGCGAGTTCTGTTTACCATGTTCGCTATATTTAAACTCCTCTGTGCTGTAGCAGATGGTCCCTGCTTGGCGATACTTCTCGTTCATCAATGTATCCAGCTCCTTGGAGTCGAACTGGGCGACGCGATCTTGAATATAGCGACTGGCATCAGCCTCGCTGGTGTAGTCTGCCGTCAGTGGGAGGTCCAGAGCTGTCAAGGATGGGACCGCGTTCATGCTCCCTTGTATCATTAGTAAATTGATGGAGATTCCCGGGAGATCAGCAGTCTTACCATGGACATGGTAGAAGCGATCGTCCTTGGTCTTGTATATGTTTGTCGCCGCTCCCCGATACACGCGGCTCTCTCCCCAGTTCATGGGAAAGACAGACAGGGCGCGCTGCATGGGAGCAAGGTTTGGATTGTCAGGTTTCCCATCTTTACCCACAACATCTATAATCAAGCAAGACATAAAGAACAGGGTAGCGTGGTCTCTAAGTAACGTCAGTTAAGACACGGCATGGGTCATGTAGGGACTCACGTATCGATGCCGACCTGCACAGGGTCATGTCCATACTTGGCCTTTAGAAGTGCATTTAACCAAAGAGACTCCAGGCCTTTGAGCGCGGAAATGCTTTCGGCGAATCTCCAATTAATAGGCACGCTGGGCTTGTCGTTTCCAGAGAACTTCGTATGCTGTGCAAGGGCAGCAGCGTTTGGGGGAATGTTATGGCACAGGAGAGGATTCTGCAGTATGCCCTCAAGCAGGAGCGATTCGGCTGCCTTGGGAACAGAATAACTTTCGACGGCCATTGTTTCGTGCTCTCAAGATTATGAATACCCCGCAGGCAGATCACACGCATTAATATATTCAGCGGTCAACCGTGGGATCTGCATTCCGGCGAGTGGAGCTGGAGAACTCAGACAATCCTCGTCAGGCAGTACTGACAGACGCCGAATAGCCGAAAATATACGATTACCTCTAGTAATATCTGAGAGGTTTGAGGAAATACAGTTCTCACTTTTATCTTCAATTTGGAAATATTTCTGCTTAGAGTTGGCTGGGAAGCGCCCTTGAGCTGCGGGATATATATCCGCAATCTGCTGCGAACTATTAACAGTGACTACCATGCATACTGCATCATAGCTCTAATTCTATAGTATATGTTTCCTTAATCCAAGAGCTAAATACCAGATTAGCTGGAGCTGCCTGTAGCTGAACTCGAACTCGGTGGACGGGATGAAAGGAGCATAACTATGCGCACAACTTATGCACGTTGTGTATAATATAGTATAATGTAGCATAATCCTGCATAACTTCCATCTCGATCTCATGGCAGCTTCTCTCTTCCTCTCTCGCTAGCCTTCCCAGTACTCGATACCGGGTATGTCTGACTCCACGTAATAATGCCCTCTATACCCAGCTGAGCATGCCGACTTCCACAAAACGCAAAGCAGCGACCGACAAGACAGAGCAGCAGCGCGAACGGAAACGCACGCAGAACCGCATCTCCCAACAGTGCTTCCGCGAGAAGCAAGCCACGGAAGGTGGATTAATATATAAATTATTACTTACGAACTGCCTTGCCTCGACGGCATATACTAAAATCCTATATCTTTATGTACGCTGGCTCAGCTGGGAGGCGAATAGTGTACAAGAATCAAGATATGATGGGAATGGTATTATAACACTCAGCACTCTATATACACCTTCAGTCAACACGTTGTTGGTCTGGTACAGCTTAATAGGTCATACTAGAAAGGTTAGCTGAGCTCACACGGGGTCTTGCATGCACTCACTTAACAAGCACAGTCTTCGGCTCCGTGAAGCTGCGCAAGGCGTAGTGGCTCATCTCTCGGCCTATCCCTGATTGTTTGCTACCGCCAAAAGGAGCTTGTACATTGATATAACTGACGCAGTTGATACCCACCACGCCGCTATCCAGGGCTGCCGAGAGACGCATAGCACGGTTGATATCCTGCGTGAAGACGCCTGCCATCAAACCAAATTCCGAGTCGTTGGCCATGCGTAGGAAGTCTGCCTCGTCCTTGAACATCTTGATGCATACCACCGGCCCAAATATTTCTTCTTGATACATTTGAGCGTCGTCTTTCGGGTTGAGGAGCACCGTGGGCTCCCAGTAACACCCTTTATCTCCATGCTGCTTACCACCAACGAGAACTCTTGTTTTGCCGTCGTCGTGCTCGAAGAAAGAGACAACTCGACTCAGCTGGCCCTTATCTGCCAGCGGACCGAGTTGGGTATCTGGGTTGCTGGGATCCCCCATCTGGCTGATCTTTTCCGACATGGCCTTGGTGAAGGCGTTGATGAACCTGTCAGCGATGTTTTCCTGAACGTAAAGACGACTCGCAGCGTAGCAGGCCTGTCCAGAATTGTGCGTGATAGCAAAGGTCGACCACCAGATCGCGTTGTCAAAGTTACAATCTTCAAAGATGGCCGCGGGCGACTTTCCGCCCAGCTCTAGTGTCACCCGCTTGAGATTACTGCTGGCAGCTGCCTGCTGGATGCGTCTACCAGTGGCTATAGACCCGGTGAAACTGACCTTTCGCACTTTCATATGACTCGCGAGCAAGGCGCCCGTAGCACCAGCCCCAGGAAGGGCCTGGATGACTCCTGGGGGCACAATGCCGGCTGAAGTTGCGAGCTCGGCTAGACGTATCGCTCCGAAAGGTGTCTTCTCGCTGGGCTTGATGATCATCACATTCCCCGTGGCCAGAGCAGGTCCGAGCTTGAGGCAGAGTATTACGATAGGCCCGTTCCATGGGTTGATGCTGACGGTGACGCCGAGAGGCTCATGGCGCACGATCTTCAAGAAGCCATCATCGGCTGGGAATGATTCACCAGCATACTTGTCCGTCCAGCCGGCGTAATCTGGAACATAGTCAGTCTTGGATATGATTACCATGTTCCTACGACTCACATTTCAGGATCCCGGCTCCCATTTCAATCTCCTTGATGGCAGCCGAGATTGGCTTGCCACTGGGAGTCGCATCCAGCCAGGCTAACTCCTCTTTATGCGCGAGAAGTAGAGCAGCCAAGTCAAGAAGAGTCTCGCCCCGCTGAGCAGCTGTGTATGTGCGCCAGGGCCCATTAAAGGCGGCAGTTGCGGCATCCACCGCGGCATCCACGTCTTCCGCAGTAGCATACTGAACGTGGTCGCAAAAGAGACTGTCGTCCACGGGATTGTAGATTGAATGTCGCTCTGAAGAATGGCTGTCCACAAGCTGGCCAAGTCAGTAATGCTAGTCGTTGGATACGAGACTTCCCACCTTGTCATGGATGAACAGCTGTGTTGGAATTGGATATTTTACGGTGGGCATATTTGCGATTTTGGTAAAAAACATGCAAGATTATCTACAGCCAGAACTAAAGGGATGTCAGGACTTTATCTGAGTGTCTGGCACAGTCAGCCTTGTACGAGCGTGAGCGTGAGCGTATGCGTATAGCCGGACTCCACGTCAGCATCAACCCAATCAATAAAAAAAGGTTAAGAGAATACATTGGCTCATTCATTATGCACACACCACTGATAAATGTTCAATACATAATATCAGCCTGGCAGAGGATTACAAAACTTGATACTCAGATTCTGGCAGGGCCTTTTGCAGCCTTCTGGACATGAAACCCCTTCCATTCTTGTAAAGCATCTCGACACTCTGCTTCATAGCGGCCAATGCCACCAATATAGGTCAGGAACTGCTTCTTCGCCCCAGGGATGTTGGTCCCCGTCCACCAGGAATCGGTTTCCGCAAGAAGAGTCGCGCTGCTGGCATCTACGATCCTTTGGCGCCATTGTTCCTCTGCTTCTGCCGTGGGTTCGATTGTGGCCAGGCCCTCCTTCTCCATCTTGTCGATTGCGTCCACTATAAAATCAACCTGACACTCCAAGATGGTCGGCCCGTTGGATAGTGCAGTTGGTGCTGCAATTCGTTATTCACGAGCTGTTTTGTCATACAGGCAGACACGTACCCTGTGGACTGTAGCTCAGGAAGCAATTGGGGAAGCCATTAACCAACATCCCCAGGTATGTGCGGATGCCGTTAGCCCAGGCGTCCTTCATATCTACACCATATTTGCTTTTGACGTTCATATTTGCCACCCTGTTCGTGAATATCATAAATTAGCCCCGCACCCAAAGAATAAAGGTGAACGTACGACCCGGAGAAGCTTTCAAATCCAGTCGCGAAGATGACACAGTCAAATTCGCGAAGGCGACCGTCTGCTGTTTGTATGCCAGTCTCGGTGAATGTCTCAAAGGGCGTCTGCAGCAGTGGCACAATCTCGACGTGATCCCTATCCAGAACGTCGTAGAAATCCCGCTCTAACGGCGACCGCCGAGTCATGAATGGGTAAGGAGGCTCGAGGGGTGCCATCAGGTCTCGCTTGATAGGGTTGCTGAACCGTGCGCGTGTTTTCTTCGCCCAGAAGTCATAAGCAATGCGATTTGCCTGTCGGTGGAAGAATATTTCAGGAAAGTTGCCTCCGGCGAAGTGGAATGCGCCAGACTTCCATAGGGTCTCATAATACTCATCGCGTTCGGCGTCTGCAAGGTCGAAGATGCCCTTGGTGGGCGGCGGTGTTGGTAGTCCTGAGGAAGATTTCCTTCCAGCATCGAACAGAATCCTCAAGTATGGCCTGAACGCGTCTTGCTCTGCTTTGCACATCTCGCGATTTCCCAGGGGAAGACAGATACTGGGTCGTCGCATGAACATCGACAGGTGGCTCGCCTTTTTAGCGACTTCCTGGACCACTTGCACAGCAGTTGCACCAGCTCCGATGACAGCGACCCTTTTACCAGTGATATCGACATCCTCAGGCCAGGCAGTCGAGTGGTAAGCCTCCCCCTTGTATGTTTCCAGGCCTGGAAACTCGGGCAAGTACTGTCGATGGAGTAGCCCGGTAAACAGACAGAGATACTTGGCCACACCTACATGCCCTGCCTCCGTGGTGACTGTCCACCGAGATGTACTTTCATTCCAGGTTGCCGAGTTAACTCGTGCATTGAATTGGATGTCCTTTTTCAGGTTGAGAACGCGGTCTGCATGCGCAAAGTACCCTCTGATTTCTTCGCTCCCGGGGAAGCGCTCGGTGAAGTAGAAATCCTTCCACACTTCTGGGAGACTGAGCTGGTAATAAGGCCATTCCGAGTCGACACGCGCACCCGGATAGCGGTTCCAGTACCATACTCCGCCCAGGTCGCCCCCGGCTTCGAAGACCTGGACTGAGAGGCCGAGCTGGCGCAGTTTGTGGAGGCCGTATATTCCACTGAACCCGGCGCCGACGATCAACGCGTCGCAGTGGAATGTCATCTGGGGGTCGTTAGAGCCCATTTCGATCTACAGAGGATGATATATAGTCAAGATGTGAGCCAGGCAAAGTGGTGGTGCAATAGGCTGGCATATAAACCTTGTCACAACCTCGGTCAAACTCCAGAATAGCCGGCCACTGAAGGAGCTGTAGTACTGTCAACCATAAGCCATTGCCTGCTAGCTGGCCCGGCCAGATCCTGACTCGTGTTTCCGTGTCCATACACCATGAGCTTCCCCGCATCTTGACACGGAATCGGAGGCACTAACGAACTAGTTAATGATTTATTCGGTTCCGCAATCCCCTGAATCCTGGCATTAAGTAGTCACCGGGCAATTTGTGCTTTGTCTATGCACGTTATGTACCGATCACGAATGCAAAAATGTCATGCCTGCCGTTCTTGGGTAGCTTGTTCGGGCCTGCTTTCGGAGAGCATCTCGATCGATCGCATTCGAACCCGAACTAGGCCTGCTGCGTAGGAACAGTCCATGGATTCCAGTAGACAATTTTTACACGGTAGCTGGCTGTCGCAAGAGCTGATAATCACTGTACTGTGAGTTACAAGATCTGTTTTTGGCCTCAATATGGCTTCTCACCTTTGTCTCGCGTCACCGGACTAGTGCACTCACGGGCTTGACCAGGCTGAGGTGCTAGAAAATATACCATGTTTCGTCAAGAGGGTCGTCCCCGGGCTCTTCTGGCTATTTCGGAAGGCTGGGTTTCAGCAGGGACAGACTGCATAGTATTTTGACGGACAGCATTCGTTAACTATGGATGGGCTTGATCAGAATGTGAAGAGAACAATAAGATAATATAGGACGGGGGCCGGGCCTGGGAGCTCTAGATGTCGACAAGGGCGGACTGCCGGAGAGAGTAGGAAGAGGGAATGGGGAGAAAAGAAAGACCCAATATAACGATTAACAGACGACTGACTACCAGCACTAGAAGGACAATTGAGGGATGAGGGCCGAGCGTATGTGCATAAGCCTTATACAGTACGTTTTATGCAGCCTGCTGGCATCAACGGCGAGGGGCGTTATTGTGGAGTCGTCCTTGTAAGGGACCAAAGACCTATATAAGTCTGGATATTTCTAACCTGTAACGCAACATAATGCACTTGCTTCCACTTATGGCTTATGATAGTGATTTGCCATTGATTTGACGGCCGTCTTATCCCTGAATTGTGCCACGTTGTCCATACACCAAGTATTACGTACACTCATAAGATCTACCGCTAAAATGAGACGCCATTTACCCTTTGCGGGTGTCAGAAAAGCCATTCCATGCGTGACAACAGTTGAATGGCCTCGTGTGATTAACCCAACTCCACCCACCGCGAGAGAAAACCCGAAATAAACCCCGCAAAATATGAGGCTGCAACAGAAGAACTGAGGAGCGGCCCAGGGTCCGCCTATGCTTGACGACGATGGCGAATCTTACGGCTTGGCTTATGGTGCATCTTCGAGTGCGCCTTCAGGTGGTCCTTCCTTCCAAAGGCCACGCCGCAGTTGGGCTCGCGGCAGGGATAGGCGTCGGGGGCGATGTGGATTGTCTTCAGATGGCGTATCAAGTCGACTTGTCGACGGAAAGAGGCAGAACTGCGACAGCCTTGCCATTTGCACTGGAAGACAGGGGGTTGATGGGTATCCGCAATGGATGGAATGGGAGAGCCGCGAGGAAAACTAGAGAGATCTGAGCGGTGAACGAGAAAAAGCAAAGAAACAGGAGGGCCATACACCAGGGATTCGTCAGCTGCTTGGACATCATTATTGGGGCACGGGAGGGACAAGGCTCGGCCCCAGTCCGCGGCCGCCATGTCGTAGCTGGAGCAGGCGGGAGACCCATCGGTCGTCGACCACACACCTGCACCTTCTATTGTACCTTTTATTGCACATTGGCTTGCGCCCACAGCTGGATCCAACCAGATATCGGGGGTTGCAGCACCGGTCGGGCCGAATGAGAAGCAAGGACCCAACTCCACGCCCTGGCTCGAGAGGTCGGCTGCGGGTTGTGCTACGAGGGTTGCCGCTGGTGCCTGCGGATGTGCAAAAGAATGGCCCGATCTGTAGGGAGCATAAATACTGTTGTGTGGATCATATCCATCCCCAGTATGGCCCCCTGCCCACTGCGAAGGGCTGGATTGCTGTTCCATGACGAGCGCAGGCTGGAGTGGTATGAGGGAACGGTAGCAGAGAAGACTTAAAAGTATGTGAAGTGGAAATCAACTGAGAAGTTTGACGGATTGAAATCAGTTGAGGTGACCGAAATTTATATGCACAAAGGGTTGTGGGTTGAAGTTGTCAAGGTCTGCAATATCCATCGCATATACAAACGACGTAGTGAAAAATAACCCTGGACAAATGCAAGCGGGGCGGATATTTTGGAAAGGCCCAACCAGAGACCGTATATACAAGGTTAACAGCTGGGTTAATGAAGGAACCACGGGCCCGGTCCCCATCTTGTGGATAGCTCTGGGTTGAGTCCCAGACCTGCTGCTCAAGGGTGCGTCAGAATTTCGGAATCTACCAATCAAGGACACAATACGAGGAGTCTGTACGAGAGCAAGGCTGCGTCGCGGTGCCCTCAACAGGGCATTGGGCAGTGTCGGAATGTGCCTTGCGCTTACATCCCTATTAAGTGTGAGTCCTCCCAGTCTTCCGTGTGTCCAGCGTCACCAAATCTCCAGAATCACCAATACACTATACGATATACAAACAGCGATGGACGACTCAGTATGGGAGTCATACAAGCCAGAGCTTCACCGGCTCTACATTCGACTAAACAAGTCCCTGTCCGAGGTCCGGCAGTACATGGCATCCATGTACGACTTTGACGAAACGTAAGCACGGCCATACTCCTACAATCCTTGATTAACACTCACAATGAACAGCAAGGCCCAGTACACGAAGCACTTTGGAAAATGGGAGTTTCGAAAGAACCAGAAGCTCTCTGAGCAGGACGGCGTTTTTATCGGGAGACGCATCGCCAAACGCAAGGAGTTCCAGAAGGACAGCGAGGTGTACATCAACGGCATTGAGTATCCACCGCACAAGCTCAGGAAGGCCATATACGGCAAAGCCTATGTTCCGACGATGCAGAGCCATCGCTTCCCTGGAGGTAGGCCTGGCAAAAGTTCCAGATAATGCAGCTGCTAAAGAAGATACGTATCAGCTCCTTCCCCGAATACCCCCGAGGGCATCGTTGTCTGTACCCCTGCAACGCCCAAGATGCAGCTTGATTGGAACCTGGCTCTTCCATGGCTGCGGTTCTCAAAGCTCTTGCAGCCAAGACAACACGAAGGTATGTTACCATTCACAGTGCTCGGCAATCTTCCAGTCCCTGCTGACGGATGTCAAGTCACGTCTCCAGCTCAACACCCGTCACCGACCTCTTCGTTCGCTGTAGCCTCCCCCCGAGAACAGAATGCTCTATCGAACATCATCAAGTACCAAGCGGTAGAGCGTTTGAGACACCTTGTCCCCTGGGACCGCCTGGCTCACCCGACCGAGGTGAACAGTACCTCGCGAACCGCCACCAGCCTACGCATTCTGATGCCCGAGGAGTCTGAGGGCCAACTCCGCGCTTTGGCGACGCGGTTCGCCGAATCCAAGCAGTCCACAACTGATAGCCTGGGGCTAGAGATGTTTTTGTTGTCCAATAACCTGGTTTCACACGGGCCGAGAGGAAAAACATTTGACAGCATGGAATCTCATGATACGCGCGTCCTCGAGATCTTTCGAGCATCCGGATGGAATACCGTCGATCAACTGAGAATCCTGCTATCATCTAAGGAGCCAACAGCCGGCGCTATAGCAGAGAAGGTTTTTGCCAGTGCATTGCGAAGTCTAGACAAAGACGTCGTTAAAATGACGCTGGAGGCGGGTATAAGCCCCGATGGCTGTATCGACACTGTGGACAAGGGCTTTCTCACGCCTCTACAATATCTTGCCTCGTTTGATGACCTTGACATGGATCTTATACAACTGTTTCTATCCCACGGCGCAGACGTCGACAAATCATACGACGACATTTCAGCTCTTGAATATGCTGTTGGTCTTAATGATATAAACTTGATTGAGCTTTTGCTTTCCCGAGGTGCTCGTGTTACACCATCGTGTCCAGCTGCCGCCGCAAGGAGAATCCGGAAACCAAGCCTCCTCCAGCAGTTTCTAGGCCCGGATATAGATTTAAACGCACGGAGCGGGTGGCAGGGGCGCAGTCCGTTGGCGCAGGCCGTGTCGGCAGGAAAAATTGAGATCGTAAACCTCCTGCTTACTAGGGGGGCCGACGTTAACGCACTTCATGATATTGATTTTGACGGGGATGTGGGATTCACTACAGTACTTGGGGTCGCAGTGCGGTCAGGGAAGCTGGAGATTATCGAAGCTCTGCTACACGCTTGTCCGGACGTTAACCCCGAGATAGAAGACGGCCTGCCCTATGTTTCGCCGCTTGCCATAGCCGCCTCCACCGGTAAGGGTGAGCTTGAGGCGCTTACCGTTCTTCTCCAAGCCGGGGTTGATATTTCCATTGCCGACCGCTGCGGAGAGCGGACCCTATTAGAGATCGCCAGTGGGAATACCAAAGAGATCAACGTTTTCGAGCTCTTGGTGAGCTACGGCGCAATGATAGACAGGCCACTGTCTGAGACAAAACATGCTACGTCCTCTCTTCTTTCTGCTGTGAAATCCGGTTTTACAGAGCTTGTCAGCTTGCTCATTACTATGGGAGCGCGGCTCAACGATGTGTACAGCACCCGCCCTGGAACAGTACTCGGGGCAGCCATTGAAAAGGGGGATCTGTCTCTTGTGCAGATGCTACACGTCATGGGGGCTGTTTCGATTAGCCCAGAGCTTGGATGCATCCGAAATCTAGCAACTGCAGAGTATCTAGACGAAGTTGGACTGCTGCAAGGGATTCTGGATATGTCTGGAGCTCGGATCCTGAAAGCTGCACTATCAGCAAGGGACGATAATCTGACACAGAGACTGCTCTATCGTATTGTCGACTTTGACACCCTCGGCACGGAGACGACGGACTATGCACGCCGTATATCCCAGGGGACACCGCTGCAGGCCGCAATGAGCACGAACCGTCTCCCTGTTGCATACGCCATCCTCGACCTGGGGGCAAAAGTCGTAGATTGTGACCTTGCAGCCGCGGTGCGATATAGTGTTGGTGGCAACGATACTGATTTGTTGAGGCGCCTACTCACAGGGTTCCAAGGGAAGGCTCCCACAGCAACAGCTGAAGCAATCCTATTAGAAAAGCCGGACCTCCTGCAGCTCCTCCTGGCCGCAGGTGTAGATTCAACGGGGAAACCACAGCAATTTCCTAATGAATGGGAGGTGTCTGCAGATAGCGACATCTACCTTGACCCCCCGGAGTCGGTTCTTGAAATACTGTCCGAGAGGAATAACAGGCCAATGCTGGAAACTATTCTGCACAGCTGCCCCTGGAGTCCAGGGTTATTAGGACGTGCGTTGACCTTGTCAATCGTCTCTGGCCACATCGAACTTTCTCTGTATTTGTTAAGCTGGGATGTCGATGTAAACCAAGACATCACGATTTACCATCCGGACACAGAGGAAGAAGACGGAATGCCAGTACCAGGGTATAAGGAAGTGGTTACTCCTTTGCAGATTGCAACAAAGGACCAACGTATTCATGTTGTAGAACAATTGTTGCGCACCCATCCCGATATCGACGTCAACTATTTAGGAGCAGGTCCATACCGGCGCACAGCCCTACAGCATGCTGTCGAGCAGGGGAACATGGAGCTATTCAACCTGCTTCGTACTAACGGAGCGAATATAAATTCCAACCCCGCAAGTGTCGGAGGAGCAACTGCCCTCCAAATTGCATCAATCCGCGGATACCTGGGCATAGCACGATGGCTGATCGAGCTGGGAGCCGATATCAATGCTCCCCCTGCAAGAGTCAACGGGAGAACAGCCCTAGAAGGTGCGGCAGAACACGGTCGGATTGATATGATCCAGATGCTCCTTTTAGGAGGGGCTTCCGTCACTGGTGACGACGGGCAGCGCCAATACCGACGAGCAATTGAGTTTGCGGAGAGGAACGGACATAACGCAGCTGCGCGGCTGTTAATCTCTTTCGAGCCTCCACAGGAGTAAATAGGTCCTGCTGTCACATTCAGATGCCATCACGGGGCGCGCTGCCCGCATCTTCCCACTCGTGGGCTTACAGAATTACGTGCTGTTCTACATAGTTATCAATATATTTGCGAAGGTTCGATGGCATTCATCCGGGGAACGTAGACAATTGTACCACATAACGTTGGGGAAATGCATTTTTATCAGGCATATTGTGTTGGGCTGAAGTGAAGGAGCAGATGAAATAAAAGTCACTACTAAAAGTGCGTCTGTTATACTTCCTATTGCATGTGGAACATGCGTATATATCTCCGGCTGCCCGCTAATTCCGCCGGACTCCTGCAGGGAATTGGAAACCGGGGCTGCCTTGCTTACTCGCTGGGTGGCAGAAACTACCGTTATGCTGACATGACATCAGCGAACGCACACCGGTGTATAGATTCAGTGTCTGGATCGGCGTATTAGGTTTCTCTGGGCCCATAATAAAATCTTGAAAAAGTGGCGCCGATGACGTACCGAACCGAACATTCCGAGTCTGCTTCGGGATGCCGACCACGATTTGCAAAAGCATACTGACGATTTCCTGCATGAACTTTGCCTGAGCTTATCTCTTCCTTTGCCTTTCCCTTGTGCGTTACAATATATCTCGATACCACAATGGACGGCACACAGAATGGCAACGGAGCTATGGGTGGGAATCAGAGCAAGACGACGCGATTATACAACAAGTATATGACCTTCACTCAGTAGCACGATCATGCTAACAATATCCCAGAATAAAAGGCCTGTTCAATCAGGACATCTCTGAGGAGCTGCGTGCCAGTACCGACATCGAAATCCACAAGTGGAATGGAAAAGACGACCCGGACAATCCGTATGTTATACCTTTAAGTAAAGCATTTCCCTGCTAATACATTCCAGGTTCAACTGGAGCACATCGTACAAATGGGTGTTGACCGTCACTGTCTGCTTCATGTAAGTTGGCAGCCCAGGTGGCCTGCTACGCGTACTGACTGCTATAGTTCGATCTTGACTGGTCTACCAGCAGGAACATACGGCTCTGGCAATGACTGGATGGAAGACCAGTTCCATGTCCAGAACAGTCCCTTCCCCAACCTCTACTGGGCGACGACCTCGTGGAACATGGGCGCTGCCTTCTGGCCCCTCATCTTCGTCCCTCTTACCGAGTCCTCCGGGCGCATGCCGGGCTACTTTGTGGCATATATCATCTTGATCGCGACACTCTTTGGCTCTGCCTTTGCGCAGAACTTTGCGACCATTCTTATAACCCGGTTCTTTGGAGGTGGTGCCTCGTCCGTCTCGATCAATATCGTCGGAGGCAGCATCAGCGATGTGTGGTATGGCGAGAAGGCTCGCAGTTTGCCCATGTCACTGTTTGGTTTCACCAGTGTTGTAGGAATTGCGCTTGGCCCTTTTATCGGCTCAGCCATTGTACAGATTCCTAAGGTTGATCCCTGGCGTTGGTGAGTCTCCCAAGCTTTCTCTCTAGACACATCTGATTTGTATAGGATCTTTTATATCCAGATCATCTATAACGCCGGTCTCGTACCCATCTTCTGGCTAATTCTCCGTGAAACCCGCGCGGATGTGATCCTACGAAACCGCGCTCGCAAGATCCGCAAAGAAACAGGCCGCCATGTCTACGCCCAAGCAGAGATCAACTCCCCCAGCACTCTGCGACTGCTCCAGATATCATTCAAGCGCCCGACGAAGATGTTGCTGACGGAGCCTGTTGTGATTTTCTTCACCCTGTGGATCAGCTTCGCGTGGGGAATCCTATACCTATTCTTCTCCAGCGTGGTGCAGACCTTTTCGGCCAACTATAACTGGAGCATTATGGCTACTGGCCTCGTCCAACTGGCCATTTCTGTTGGCGCCGTCATTGGCACTGCAGTGAACCCCTTGCAAGATTGGTTATATCTTCGCTCTTCACAGCGTAACAAGGAGAAGCCTGGGAAGCCAATTCCCGAGGCGCGTCTCTATACATCGATTCCCGGAAGTCTTCTCTTCGCCGCTGGTCTCTTTTGGTATGGATGGGCCAGTATGCCCGATGTCCACTGGATCGTGCCTACGATAGGTATCACCGTGACAGGTCTCGGGATTTACTCCATTTACATGGCTGTTATCAACTACCTGACTGACGCCTATGAGCGATACGCCGCCTCCGCCTTGTCTGCCGCCTCTCTGGGGCGCAACTCCTTTGGCGCCTTTCTTCCTCTGGCGTCGCCGCAGCTGTTTAGCAACCTTGGATATGGATGGGCCGGTACATTACTCGGTTTCATCGGTCTTGCCTTGTCGGCGGTGCCCGTAGTGCTGGTCCTCAAAGGACCTGACATTCGCCGACGCAGCCCGTTCATGCGAGAGGCGATGTGGGATTCGGACGAGCCAGAGGAGAAGCAGGAAGAGGTCGAGAATGCCTAATTGTGTAAAATATTGAACAGCCGCCAGGTAAATTCGGCGGCACTAGATCAGAAACACTAGCATAGCCTGGGTACAGATTCAGCGTCTTGCATAGAACCATTTCATACACACCCATTTAACCGGTCTGCTGCAAGTAATAGTAAGCCACGAGACACTGCTGGATGCTTATTTCACAGTAACAAACTAGAATCCGGACAATTCCATTCTTCTAGTTGATCTGTTTATCCCACCTACTGTATCCTCCAGCCTCTTGACATCTAGCAGCGCCGGACACACAGCTCCCAACAACCATAACTTTTGTGCACACTACCATCGTATAGAAAGTTAAAGTATTGTGTATAGTACCCGAATGGCCTATTCCGCATGGATCATACTATTATAGCAACAGGGCAGTCTTGATGTCCGAACTGTCAAGCCGAATGCAGTAATACCCCGGAGGTCCGTCGCGGACTCCCGCTTCATAGACGGACGCCCACTTCGTTTGGCCAACCAGGATCCCTATTAGGGAGATGTCAAAGTACGAGTAATGGCCTGCTGTTGTGACAGCTGTTTCAACCTCAAACACTTCCCCAGACAAGAGGAAATGATCTTCGACTAGCGTAGACGCAGATATATTAACCGCTATATTAGCCCGCGGGGTGACAGGCTAAATAAATAACCCGGCAAACCCCGCGAAGAGAGTGCAGAAATCAACCACAATCATGCATATCTATGGCCTTTCTCTTGCTTTGCTCTCTACAGGAGCCTTTTGCCGGTCTCCGTTGCCAGAAAAGCCTCACCTAGAGCGACGGGCCACCACCGAGATTCCATCCGACTCCTTCAACGACCTCGACACGTACTGGAATAATCTGTACCCCTGGGGGGATACACACAATGGAGGATCCCGCATGGACGCCGACCACGTCAGTGTTAGCGACGGGGTTCTCACCCTGACCGCAGAGCCTGTATCCGGCGAGGAGGATCCAATCCATTACCTCTCTGGGGCTATCCATGCAAAGTCAACCTTCACCGTCGAGGCTGGAGGTGGATACGACGTGAGCGGCGAGTTCATCGCGCCTGTAGCCACGGGCACCTGGCCGGCATTCTGGCTTAATGCTGCGAGCGGATGGCCGCCAGAGATCGATGTGGCTGAGTGGAAAGGCTCTGGCAAGATCTCTTTCAACACGTTCAACACGTCTGACGAGGTGACGGCGCTGGATGTCGACTACCCAAGCCCCGAGGAATGGCATTCTGTCAAGGCGGAGATCCGTGATGAGAACGGGGCTGATGTCAGTGTAAACTTCTATCTTGATGGGGAGCTGGTGACGACCCAGTACGCGAAAGACTATGTTGGCCAAGGGCTACGACTGTAGGTTTACCTTTATCCATGAACGTATCTGTCTGACAGCCTGCAGTATTATCAATTACCAGACTGAAGGTTCTTCTGGGTCTCCGGGGCCTACAGAGAGTGAGTTCCCTCCCGCTTGCTGAAATCTGTACTGACTGGCGCAGCAACGACTTTCCAAATTCGCAATGTCGAGGTCATCAGCCAAAATCCATGAGTTGCGTTGAAGTATTTGCTGCAGATTCATTTAAACCTGCTTTCACTTGGTGTTGATCAGATACGTGGTGAGAATTGTTGTATATGATAGCATTTATACAGAACTCCAATGTCTATAAATTCTTCATCGCTGGCATTAACATCCCATGCATATTTTAATCAAACACGTCCATCACATAGCGGACGTTCCTCTGTGCCTCCATCCACTTTTCAGCACTGTCCTCTCCCAATGCACCCACTTCCTCTCCCTCACTCTCCCGTCTCGCCATTTCCTCCTTGAATATCTCCAGGATAGACCCCTTGACAGAATCAGCAACCCCCCGAGAACCACAGACAAAGACCTTTGCCCCGTTCTTCCACATCTCCACAACATCCTTCCGGTCATGCCAGATCCGGTCGTTAACATGACTACAACCCTCGCTGCTATCCGTCGCTCGACTAAACGCCCACCGAACATCAACAACACCCTGTTCCTGCCACTCCTCCAGCTGCTCCCGGTACAGATCGTCCTTTCCAGGCTCACGACAGCCAAAGAATAACAGCGCGGGCGCAAGTTTCTGGCCCTGCTTCATCAAGGCGGCGCGCTCCTGCAAGAAACCCCGGAAGGGCGCAATGCCTGTTCCGGCTGCGATGCAGATCATAGGTGTCGTCTCGGGCTCGTCAGGCATGCTGAAGCCTGCGGCGGACTTGCGGACTGTTACTTGCAGGATATCGCCGGCGTGCAGGGAGTCGAGGTATGAGGTTGCGACACCCAAGTGGCGGAACCCGTCCTCGCGCGCCCGTGACGGCGCGTCTAGGACGGAGATACTGATTGTGGCATGGTTGGGGTTCCATAGGGGTGATGAGGAGATTGAACTGTTCATTTCTGGTTAGAGTGATGCAACGAGGTGAAAGGGAGGGAGAGACTGACTATTGTCGCATTCGCATGGACGGCAGCATTAGCAGGAACGCTCCTAAAGGTAGATTGATCGCTGGGTATTGCTCGAGAATGTCCAGCACTGAGACGCCTTTGTTGAGGATCTCGTCGGTATATGTCTCGCTGGCGAGCTTTCTCAGTGTTGTCTGTGTATCGGCGTCTGTGCTGGCGTCGGCCATGACTCGCACGTCCTAGAGGTTTAGATTAGATATGATGGAGGATACATGGTTGTTTGGCTTACCTTGCGTGTAGCAGGCTGCGATAGCTCGACATAAGTACTCAGGATATCGTTCGCCGCCACCGGCGCATCAGTCGGCAGGGCAGTCGTGGGCCCTGAAGCTGCGATCTTGATCTGTGCATCCCAGGACAGCTTGAAATGGCGCATTGCCCGACGAACGGTCTCTGCAGGGTTGATTGGTAGGATTGCGAGATAGTCGCCTGCCGTATAGGTCAGGCCCTCTGGGAGACGAATCTCCAGGTGCTTCTTGCGCCGCTCTTGTTCCGCTTCACTTGTTAGCAGCTTAGTCTCCACGACCATGGCCTCGCCGACATCCTGGCGCAGGGCTTGGGTTCTCGAGTTGGAAACAGTCACCTCTACACTCGCCGCAGGGCTAGATGACGACTTCTGTTGTGCGTCTCCTCCGTATTGCGCGACAAGCTGAGGCCACAGCGAGTTGTCAGCCCAGGTCTCGAACATGGAGAACATCTCGTCAGAGGATGCATCGGTGAGGCCTATCTCGGCCAGACGCTTGCCTCCCAGCTTCTCCAGGCTGCCGTCAACGAGTTTGGGAATGCGATGGAATGTCGATGCCCATTCCTTGTTACCGCAGCCGAATAGAGCGAAAGAAACGTCCTTGAGCGGAGTTTCGTTCTCATCGAGACCTTCCAGCCATGACACAAATTGCTTTGCATTATCAGGGGGCTGGCCTTCATATGAAGAGGTAACTATAACGACAGGCTGTCCCTTGGGAAGGGCAGCACGGCCGCTGTCCAGGCCGTCGAAGTGGGTGACCTGGAAGCCCTTGCCAGGAGCGTCCGCGGCAAGTCGTCGCGCCAGCGTTTCACACGTTCCGCTATTGGAACCGTAAAGAATAGTCAATGGAACACTTGTAGCGGACTGTCCGTCTGCCTGGGAGGGTGCGGTGCTTTGCGTCGCTGCGGTCGCAAGGCCCGCCAGTCGGCGCTCCAGAGTCGTCGGCGTCAAGCCATGGCGTAACTTTGCCTTCATGTACAAGTCTTTCGGCTTGATGGTCAAGGTCTGCTTGTACTCGAGGTTGTAGCTTGGATCCATCGAGAAGTCGAAATTTTGGAGAAGCATCGCCATGACCAGGAGTGCCTCTTGCCAGGCAAAGGGACGGCCGATACAGGCTCGCATGCCGTTACCAAAGGGCTTCCATGCGTTGGGATACTGTTTATGGCGCGCGTTGAATAATTCGTCGGACATTCGCTCGGGTTTGAACTCGCCCGCGTCGTCGCCATAGATCTCGGGATCCAGGTGTGATTTGGCAAGTAGGTTCACAATAGTCTCTCCGGCCTTGACGGGGTATTTTCCTCCAAGCAGAGTATCCTCAAAGGCCTCGACGGTGAAGAGCGGAATTGTCGCATTAAGGCGCAGGGTCTCTCGGAGGACGCTGTTGATGTAGGGCAGCTTAGACAGGTGCGATACTTCGATCACGCCTTTTCCGACCACCTCATCGACCTCTTGCTGGGCCTTGCGGTATGTGTCTGGATGGGTGAGCAGTTGGTAGAAGACAAACGAGAGAAGACCAGAGGTGGTTTCATGGCCTGCAATAAGGAAGGTGATTAGATTGTCCATGATGCTCTCGTCGGTCATCTTCAGGCCAGTTTTCGAGTCGGTCCCCCGCAACATGGCGTCCAGCAGATCATTGCGATCGCTCTTGCCGGCCTTGCGTGCCTCGAGTACATTCTGCGCAGTATCTCGAAGGACAGCAATGTCGTCCTGGAACTTTTGGTCGCGCCCGCGGTAGAAGGCCGAAGGCAGTGGGAGGCGCCGTGACTTCTCGCCGGCCTCTGTCAGGAAGTCACCCATGGCCTCGATGAAGGGGTGCAGCACAGGCGAGTAGTAGCTGTTGAAGCGATAGCCCATGGAACACAGGGCGAGGGTATCCAGGGTCAGCCGGGTGAAATCATCGGTGATCATGATGGACTCGTCAGGTCCGTATCGCGCCCACTTTAGAGCCAGCTGGCTGGCGATGTCGTGCATCTCGTCGAACATGCCGCGGATAGAGAGAGGCCCAAAGGCAGGCATCAGCACGCGGTGGGCGATTTCCCAGTTGACCTCGCCCATTCTTGCCTATGCAGCTGTCAGTCCTTACTGCTTGCAGGGTGGGTTTTCGCATTTCATACGGTGAATAGCCCATCGTGGACTCCATCTCGAACGTGCTACCACAGTTAGCATTCTGTATACGCGAGATGATATCATATCGTGCTCACCAACAAGGCCGAATTGACCGACTTTTTAAACCGTTTCTCGTCGCAGGTTTCGTTGACCAGCGCATGGGTCGAGACGAAGACGACCGACCGGCCCGGGAAGCGCAGGCGATAGATCTCGCCCAGCTCATCAGCCAAGCCGACCATCGATCCCAGCGGGAAATCCTGGTCGATGGCGCCGATATTGCCAAGCAGGGGCAGGCCACTAGGTTCTGGAATTTCCGCCATGATTATTGTGTGGACGAGGAAACCGGGCTGGAAGCTGGGCCTCTTTTAAGTATGAGGGAGCCTGTCGGGCGCATAAGCCATGACTCCCAGTAATGCAGGCCTGGGATGCACCGGCGAAAACCGAGACGGTGGAGCCGGATCCAAATCGATAAAAATAGTCGAATAGAAACGATGAAATGAGCCTGGCCAGGACCTTTAACCAGAACTGGACGCGCACCGAAGGAATCCAGTGAGCCTCGGCTGCTAAAGCATTTGTTGAATCTTCAGACGGCGAGTCCGAAGGCAACTGTCAAACAAATACAACGAATAATAATCGCGAAGAGCGAATCAGCACGAAGGATAACCAATCGCCATCAGCGCAGGAAGAATGAGCGATCACTGATCAGTTCTGTCATTCTGTCATTCCTTCGTTGTGTTGCCCGGCTGGATGCGGTGGCCGCTAGTCCGCATTGGGACGGACCTCGGCTTGCCGTCGATTATATAATCTGTTGGGAGACTGCCCAGACAACAGCGACTGTCAGTTTCAGTATCTGGACTTACTATAATCGAGTGCTCAAATACATATTGTTACTTGGTAAATAAATCGGAGTGCTTTGTGTGAATTCCATAACTTTTTTGTTGTCAAATGTCCACTTGCTGTCAATATATATTTACCACACCGATATACTGTATATATATATATATATATAATTACTTCTAATTCGTCCGGATGGCAGGTAGTACTTGGCCCTCCACAAGAAACTCCCGATAGCAGTATAAATTGCATAAACTGCAAATCTAGATACTGACTTTTCTGAAATCTAGCCAAGTCTGAAGATATCAACTGATCGTCGCCATCAATTCGACACGGAGTCTCGATGACATGAAACGCCCCGATTAGCCTGTTTAGTTTACCCCACAGCCTTAGTTGCATCCGTTCGACCGTCTTCAGGCGGGTGAAGCTCCTCCGTTTCAGCCTGGTAAACAAGTCTCGCCCAAGTCTCGTTCTGTCAACATCTAACAGGAGGTCTCCACCGTTTCAATGCTGCCGGCTAAAGTCGAGCCATGTCCCTTGCTCGGGAGGGTATAAAGGCTTGGTTCCCCAAGACGGTTCGGGCTGCAAGCAAGTACAGCATTTGATCACTACAACTTCAACATGTACTGGAAAGCAGCGACTCTTCTTCTACTCGGTCAAGCCCTCGCCGCAGAGGCAAAAGCAGCAAAACGCCAGAGCTGCCCTGAGGTCCATGTATTCGGGGCTCGCGAGACGAGCGTCTCTCCTGGCCTTGGCTCCTCTGCCACTGTTGTCAATGCTATCTTGGGCGCCTATTCCGGTGCCACTTCTGAGGCCATTGATTACCCTGCTTGTGGAGGCCAGTCCTCCTGTGGTGGCGTCAGCTACGGTGAGTCCGTGGCTGCAGGTATCGATGCAGTCGCCTCTGCCGTAAATTCGTTCAACACGCAGTGTCCAGACACTAAACTCGTGCTTGTTGGATATTCGCAGGTAAGTCTCTTGACCAGGCTCCCAAATCACTCTAATAATGAACTAGGGCGGCGAGATCTTTGATGCTGCTCTTTGCGGCGGCGGAGTGCCGAACCAGGGCATTTCGAATACAGAAGTCCGCCTCTCCTCGTCTGCTGTCGAGATGGTCAAGGCAGCTATTTTCATGGGCGACCCGCTGTTCGTGGCTGGCCTGCCATACAGTGTCGGAACTTGTTCTGCTGGCGGGGTTCGTTTCTCCTGCTTCGTTCTGATTCCATTGCTAACAGGTGATAGTTTGACGCTCGCCCATCCGGCTTCAGCTGCCCTTCGGCAGACAAAATCCAGTCGTACTGTGACTCTCCGGACCCCTACTGCTGTAATGGAAATGACGAGGCGACGCATCAAGGTTACGGCTCGGTGTATGGACAAGATGCGCTCCAGTTTGTGCAGGGTCTGCTGTGATGCTGACCAGTGGTTACCCAGTTTCTGGGTTGGGGAGGGGATGAACAAGTCAACGGGGTCCGATCAATCTATTGAGATAGATTCTTAACATTTTGAATTGAAATTTTCACGGCTTCCATTCAATGATACATAGAATCCCTGTATAGACAAGACTTCTAAGGCCGGATCTTGGGACGATGGCGGTATACTAGAGCCAATGCGGTTGGTATAAATTTGGCGACACCAAAATTGTGAATATCAATACTGGTCACCATCTAGGGTATTAAACACCAGACGCTGGAGACCTTTATATTAGCTGTAGTAATGGGTGCTTCATCGAGTGATGCATCTACTACATTGAAGCTGTGGCGGACCTTTTACGTAGCCGTATACCGGAATCAATAATGTTTTAACCATTCAGGATATAAGCATTAAACTTCTAATTCTCATCTATTCTCACTAACAGAATCCCTGATCGAAGTTAGCCATTGCCCCTTTTCAACGGCTGTGCTGACCTACTGGAATAAGAAGGTTGTAAAAAAAGTAGACCACATGAGACAAGCAATGCCACTGAGCTGTTAAAGCTGGGATGGCATGTACGAGCTAAACTCAGCAGAGGCCGGGGGATCCTGCTCAGCGATTCTCTCCTCCCTTTTCTCGTTATTGTTGAGGATGCCATACTCAGCTGCCTTCGCCTCGAGCTCCTCATCCGAGAGATGAGGCAGCTCTTTGGCGGCACGGACATAGCTCATCTTCTCTGCGTACCCCTTGGCGAAAATCAAGTCAATTTCTTCAAGGCTTCGTCCGGAGGTCTCTGGGTAGAAGAACCAGATGATAGGGATGAAGATGGCATTCCACGCAGCAAAGAATAAGTATGTTCCCCAACTGATACGCGCAATCATAACAGGCGTAATCATGACCACTGTAAAGTTAAACGTCCAATTGCTGCATGTTGAAATAGCATTGGCCTTTGCTCTGGTCTTGATGGGCGAGAGTTCAGCGGGATATAGCCATGGCAGGGGTAGCCAAGTAGCGCCGAAGAAGCACATGTAGAGGAAGAGACCAAACACTGCGCCTTTGGCAGGTTGAGTTCGATCTGGAATCAAACATCCGAATACAATTATCATTGCTGCGCATTGTCCGAAACTTCCACCCAGGAACAGTTTACGCCGACCAATCTTCTCAACGAAGAACCACGAAAAGGTGGCGAAGATTGCATAGCATATCATGTTGATCCCACCGATCAGAAGCGCAAAGTCATGCGACTGGCCAATGGACTGTTCCAGAAGGACAGGAAGATAGTAAATCACTGCATTGCAACCAGATATCTGCTGGAAGAACTGCGACGACGAGCCCACTATCATGCGCCGGAAATGCTGCGATGGGCCACCGGTGAGCAAGTCCCGGAATCGGGCCTTCTCAGCACCAGACCTGTTTCGGTCAGCTCGTGAAACAGGATAGTTTGCAGAAAGAAAACGTACACTCGAACGGAATCGAGAACCAACTGCTTCTCCAAGACGACGTGCTGGTCGTCAATCTCCTTTCCTGCCAGGGCAGCAAGGACATTTGCGCCTTCGTTGACCCGGTCGTTGGCAATGAGATAGCGAGGCGAATCTGGCAGATATATCATGCCCCAGATAATGAAGATGCCAAATATTATCTGGAACGCAATCGGGAATCGCCATACCAAGTCGGGAGGGCCGTAGTGGGCGCCAAAGTCGATCCAGTACGCAATCATAGTTCCAATGGCAATAACGCCACCTTCAATACAAATCAACAGACCGCGGTTGCTGGTCTTGGAACACTCGGCCTGGTATGTAGGGATTGTGGATGTATTCATTCCGTTACCGATGCCCGTGATGACCCTGCCAAAGATGAACTGGAGCAGTGGAATGTGGCCGGGCATTGCAGTGACTTGGATAATGACTCCTATAATCATCACAGTTGCACCCCAGATAATCATCTGGCGCCGGCCTAGCATCTCGCCGAAAAGCAGTGCGAATATGGCGCCAAACAGACAGCCTGGGAGAGATTATATGAGCGGATTCCACAGGTCATTGCAAGGTTTAAATCTTACCGACTTCATAAACTGCAGTGACAGTGGCTTGCATCGTGTTATCACCTTTGGTTGCGACGAACATGTCGTTAAAGGCCGGGTCAGAGATGATACCCGACATCACTCCCTCTGAACAGGTTAATATTCTAGTATTGCAATTGAAAATAGACGAGGACGTACGATCGTATCCGAAGAGTAGAAAACCCATGGTAGCAATGGTGGATAGCAACAAGGACAGTGGGCGTCCTGAGAGCCCTGCGTACTTTGGAGGGGCCATAGTGAGAGCGCGAGGTATAGAGGCCGACAAGAGGTAGACCGAAGAATGTGTATGAAGAACTAGGAGATTACAATGATGTGGTGGTTGAGAGTGTCTAAAAGTAACAGACAAGGGCCCTGCAAAAAGGACGCGCACTGACATCACAGGAAGTAGAACCCCAGATATCGCCTCCTGCGAGATCTCCATGAGGATGAACTACGGTTCCGATGGAAATCCCGTGGAGAACTCGGTGCTATTGGCAGAGTGACTGGATGTTTGTTCTAAAGTTTGGTCGTTCCATTACGTTGCAGCCGGATATTGGATATCGTCATTGCCACCAGTACCGTCATAAGGGTCGCAATACCGACGTCAATATTGTTATCAACATTTCGGCAACATGCTGCAGTAGATCCTGTGAGGCCAGGTAGGAATAAGCGTCTTGCGCGTTGAAGATCGGTCCTGGCGAAATAGCCCAGCGATTAATCCAGTATACCAGCATTCAACTATTGTTATCTGAAAGCTCGATACTTGGCGATGGATGTAACATGTTATGCACCTTTCTATAAACAGCTAGAGTTTGACTTTGGAATAACCATAGTGCCAGTCCTGCCTTCTCAAATCCTCTCTGATCTTATAGTTTCGCTCTGCAATATCAACAGTCCTCATATCCACCTCCACAATGCGCATCCCCTCCTCACTGTCAGAGAAACTTCCAGGCACCGTTCCAACTATAGGTAGTACAACTTGACTGCAGCCAAAGAAGCCTTCTTGTGCAGGCCCCCCAGCATTACAATAGATGATCGCAGCGGTGTTCTCAAAGGCCCGCGCGACCAGTGCATTTTGTACGAACACCTTCTCGCAGTCTTTGTTGTATGCAAGACCCTCGCTGGACATATCAGATGAGCCCCAGTACGAAGGCATGATGATGATTTTGGCACCAGCTAAAACAAGCTGCCGGAATGCTTCGGGGAATGCTAGGTCCCAGCAGACCAGAATCCCAACAAGACCCAGGGGTGTATCGATAACGCAATGGGGGTTGTGACTTGTGCTGCCTTGCTCTCCAGCCCGACGAGCGTATTCGACAGATGCAGTAAGGGTCTGTCGCTCGGGGATCCAGAGATTCGTTTTCGTGTAGGAACCAAGAAGGCGACCGTTGTGGTCGATGAAGTCGGAGGTATTGAGGAGGGCTGGCCTCCTGTGGTCAGAATTATGACTCGGTGCCTCGAAGACAACAGTCCCTGCGCAGATGTTGATGTGCAGCTCTGCAGCCAATTTCTGGTATTTTTCACGGTATTCGATAGCCTTCTCTGCAGTTAATGCGAAAGAGGGCTCTTCTGGTACCCAGCCTGTCAAGTGGTACTCGGGCAAGACAGCCAGCGATGCACCCTGGGCAGCAGCATCGCGAATCTGCTCAGCGGCGTGGTTGAAGTTGTATTCGGCATCGAGGGGCTATCGAACCGTGAGTTTCCGTGGTATAATCTTGAAAGGATGAAGGAATACCTTGGGTCTCGTTTGCAACAGGGCAACCTTGAAAGAACCGTCTGTCCTGACCTGAACCATTGTAGCGAATTGGGATCGGAACAGTTGAGAAAGGACTGTTCTGCTTTCCCCGTTGTTCAGTAGGAATAATGTGTTGAGTCCGAAGCATCGATATCCTTAGGTCTGGATGACCGAATTAGGAAGTTATACCCTAAGGACCACAATATCATGATGGGACCAAATAGTGGACCGGACGATAAGAACTCCAAATCAGCCCATGAGAACTTCATAGCCCTTGGCCATCATGACATCCATCCAGTACACGTCCCCACTATTCTCCATCCAAGCCCAGGTCTCTTTGACCAACTGGAGCATCTGCTGAATAGGCTTCGCAGCCAGCATGCTCTCAAAGGATAAAAGGCGCGAGGTAATGGACTTTCTTGCGCGGAGGATGTCAATCTCAGTCACTGGCGCCCTTAGCCTTGGACTGGACGCAAGACTGGTCAGAGGGAGTCTCTGCGACCCGGCCATCGAGCAAGCTGAACGATCAAGGTTCAGCTCACTGCAGATACTCACTAACAAGAATGGCTGAATTGACCGACTTGTTGATGTTACAGGAACGCTTTCCACCAGGTCGAGGATATGCAATGCCAAGTAGATCAGTGATGCACTTTCCATAGGCCTGTTATCGTTAAGAGACGTGCTTTGAGTCGAACCGAATGTCGTGAACTGCTGCGTCGGATCATACATCGACGTATATGGTATCAACAGATCTGGAAAGTTCCGATAGAGCTGCAACAAGCCTGTACATCTATATGCCTCTGCAATCCGCACTAGGTGATCCGCCGGTGACATATCGTCACCCGAGTCGACGATCGTGCTTTCAAGTGGGAGTTGGAGTGCACATAGCTGGGCTTGGAGCTGTTCTGCCTCGAGAATGGCTGTTTGAGCTTGGTTAATATCGTTTCTGGATGCAAATCGACGCGACTGGATACGCTTTCGTTCTCTCCTAACCAGACTTCCGACTTTCCCTACAAGCATCTCAACCTCAATACCGACGCCGGTCTGAGGATGTGGAATGTGCGGTGCATGCAGTTCGAGACCGTCTGGCTGGATGGGCTTTGGCTGTGTTGGCTTTATGTCCTGGATAGTTGATCCACGATCTACGACAAACGCAAGCAGGACCTGCCAGTAGACAAGGGAGTTGTAGAAGAATTGCCTCTTCTCTTCATCCGCCAAAGCAATGCCACTCTGACCAGACTTCGAAGATAGAACTATTTTCGCCAGCATTTCAAACTCGGACTGGCCTACGTCGCCAGGACTGTGCCAGCTGCGACTCATCCCAAGCATAACCAGTGCCATCAAAGAGGATGTTTCAATCTGTGATGCTTCGATCTCTTTCGAAAGGCATGATGCTGCCTGATCTCGAAGTCGATGACCAATGGATGTAAACTTGGGGGAAACCTCGGACAGACAAGCAGCTGCCATGCTCTGAGTGACATAGTAGAGAGATGGCGAACTCGACCAAAAATCAGAGATGGTGGTACGGTACGGATTCAGTTGGCTGTCGTAGCAGGACATCATCCCACAGACTTCTTTGAAATAGTATTCCACGAGGATAGACGTATGGTCTTGAAGGGGTTGTGCAAGTGGCATCGCGCAGTGAACGGGAGAGGGAAAGCCCACGGCCACAGGGGAATTAAATTGAGGATTTGCAGCCAAAATCTCAGCTAGCCATAGCTCATTGTCCCCGTACCCCTGATTCGCAAGAGACGCTGTCTTTGGTGTTTTGGGTTGTAGGTTCACGTCGGGATGTTCGTCGAACGGCAATGGCGTAAAGCTGCTATCGAGACCCACGGCATAGTTATTAGGTGTAACAATATTTGCACCCTGATCCACAGAGCTCGAGCTACAGAATGAGACAGACTGGTCAGTCTGGTGAGATGGCTCGAACGTGTAGCTTTGCTCCGAAGACCCAGCCGATGGAGGGCTCCCAGACGCGTCGCTATTTCCCTTTCGTGCCCGCGACCGAGTGGGCCATTTGAGAGGCTTCAGATATCCTGGACAGGCGATGCCCAGTCTTACACAGCGCGAGCAGCTGGGCTTCGTTTCGTCGCATTTGAGCTGGGCACTGTTAGCGCAATCAGGGGGCTCAACTGCTCAGCTTACCCGTTTGGATTTGCAGACAGCGCATCCATTGCGCGATCTGGTGATGGTCTTTGGCATTGTCGCCATGGCGCACCATTGCTTGGGGTATTTGTTCCTCGAGATGGAGGATAATATGGGGACGGGGAATTGTGGACTGCGACCTGGAGACGCGGGGACAACCGGTGGATCCAGCGTGATTTATTTCATTTGACACGATAAGAGAATCCACTGCTTGCTGTGTGATAGGCAGTCGAATCTCTTCTTGGTATTTGATAGGCAGCTGGAATCCACAGCCGCAAGCTTGTTCGCTGTCTCGCTCCTTTGCAAATGACTGCCTGTTTGGGCCGATGGGCGCATCCAGAGCGTCGCAATGTGTTGAACCTCTTAAACCTCCTGCTTACCCAGTTTGACCCGCTGAATGTTCTGCCCATTCTCCCAGTCGGTTTTGCATGTGCAAAATGGAAGACGAGGGACCCAGACACCGGCAAAGGCATGCCACCAACGAGGCCGACGCCTCCTTGGAGCGCATGGGGATCAAGTCGGATCTGCACCGCGACTCCTTTTCCAGCCTCTCGATGCTGGGGATGGCATTTGCGATCGTCAACTCGTGGTGTGCCATTGGAACGACGGTAAACGCCTCTCTGCCCTCTGGCGGACCCAGCAGTGCCGTCTGGGGCATCGCGGTCGCGGGCATCTTCAATCTGTGCTGCGGCGTGTCGCTGGCAGAGTTTCTATCAGCTTATCCCACTGCTGGTGGCCAATATCACTGGGCTGCTGTTGCGAGCTGGAAGTCGACGAGACGCGCCGTCAGCTATATCACCGGCTGGATCAACCTCGCTGCATGGGTCTGTCTGGCAGCGTCCAACTGCCTGCTCGTCAGTGGAATAATAATGGGTTACGCCCAGCTGGTTTATCCTGCCTTCGAGCCAACGCCGTGGCAGCGGTTTCTGCTGTATATCGCCATCGATGTGATTGCATTCAGCTACAACCTGCTGGCCAACCGCTTCCTCGCGCACCTGAATAAATACAACATGTTCTTTACTCTCGCTGGCTTCATCATGAGCTTAGCTACGATTCTCGCGTGCGCATCCCCCAACTTTCAGAGCGGCAGCTTTGTATTTGGCGGGTTTATCAACCAGTCTGGCTGGCCAGATGGTTGGGCCTGGCAGCTGGGCCTGCTACAGGGGCAAGTATAGAGTCAACGCCATAATAGCTGCAGCTAACAGTTATAGTGCTTTCTCGGTCACTGCCTACGACTCGACGATCCATATGATCGAGGAAATGCCGAACCCCACGACGCAAGGCCCTAGACTTATCATCTATGCCATCACGATGGCAGTCATCACTGGCTTTGGCTATATCGCTGCAGTGCTCGCCGTCATGAACGATATTCCCTCGGCCATCGATGCACCAGAGCCCCTCCTTGAGATCTACTACCAGGCCACGCAGAACAAGGCGGGGAGCATCTGTTTGATGATGTTTCCACTTCTTTCGTTCGTCCTGTGCGCAATCGACGACACAGCCACCGCCGCTCGCATGGCGTACGCCCTCGCCCGCGACGGTGGAATGCCCTTCAGTCGCCATTTTGAACGCGTGAGCCCCCGGTTTGGTGTGCCTGTCGTTGGACTTGTGTGGTGCTTTTGCTGGGTCATCGTCCTTGGGCTCATCTTCCTCGGCTCTGATAATGCCTTCAATGCCATTATTTCGGCGGCGGTCGTCTGCTTTACCATTACTTATGCCATTCCACCTGGCATAAACCTCCTACGTGGCCGCCGCATGCTGCCTGAAAACCGCAGCTTCAAGCTCCCCAACGTCGTCGGGTATATATGCAATATTGCCGACGTCGCCTGGGCCTTGCTGACTCCGGTGCTCTTCGTATGGCCGACGTCGAACCCCGTCGACCCGGTCAATATGAACTACTGCGTTGTTGCGTTTGGGGTTATCCTTGTTATCGCTGGGTCGAACTGGATCCTGAGCGCTCGCAAGTCCTACCGGCCTCCTGCTCTGGAGCTGGTCCACAGCCAGCCTGTAGAGATTGACGCTGATGAAGGTACGGACGCGGGCAAGTGGGAGGCCAAGGGCCTCAGTGATATAGCAAAGACTGAGTAGTTAATGTAAATATAGACAGAATAAAGCAATGCAGTGAAGTATACTAGAATAGAATCAATATACATCAGATTGCAGAAGCCTGGTAAATCGCTTGCACATAGACGTCTCGGTAACAACCTTTATCAGCATGATGTATTGCTCCAGTATGCATTTGCCAAATACTACGCATGCCATCGTAAGCTGTCGCTAACGCGATCGCATCAAGATTGCCGACCCGATCGGGTGGAGGATGCGATGCGACACTCCCGAATGCACACCTCGAGATGAAACCATAAAAGGCTTTTCAGATGGTCATTATATGGCTTTAGATCTAATTATCATTATTCGCAATGCATTCCAACGGCGCAACAAAACGGGCTTTCCCTCCAGGCATCCACGGGCCTTCCGTGACCTTCTTCAACGACGATGACCAGCAGGATATCGACTGGGTGACCCAAGAACGACACTTGGAGTATCTCATCACCTCTGGATTGCAGGGCGGTATGTAATAGCTAGGTTCATCGTGGCAACAGAGTGAAGCTGATTGAGTAGTGGTTATCGCGGGTTCCAGCGGCGAGTCGTGCACCCTCAGTCAAGACGAAAAGGCGCAGCTGGTTCGGAAATCAAGAGAAATAGCCCAAGCCAATGGAAAAGACGACTTCGCCGTCACCATCGGCTGTCTGGGTGGCAGCACCCGCGATATCGTCCAGCAAACGGTCGTCGGCCATCAGAACGGCGCAGACTTTGCCCTCGTCCTCGTCCCGTCTACGTTCCACTGGGCAATGACCAAGCCGGCCATTGTCGCGTTCTTCCAGGAGGTTGCAGACAGGTCGCCGATCCCCGTTATGATCTATAACTTCCCGAACTTGCTCTCTGGCTTGGACGTGGATTCAGACATGCTGGAGACCCTCGGTGCACACCCGAACATCTGCGGCGTCAAATTGACCTGCGGTGGGATTGCAAAGGTCACCAGAATCGCTGCGAAATTCCCACCGAGTCAGTTTGGTGCGGTGTCGGGGATGAGTGACTGGCTGGTGCCGGCGCTGTCCGTGGGTGCAATCGGGTGTATCTCCGGCGTGGCCAACGTATTTCCGCGTGTGAGTATATCCCTCTAACCAGAATGCACTGTTCTAATGGTTTCAGGTAATGCTTGAAATGTGCAACCTTTACAAAGACGGAAAGATCGCAGAGGCGGCCGAGCTGCAGAAGAAGTTGGGACAGCCCGAATGGGGAATCTCTACATCGGACGTCAACGGCATGAAATGGATCATCACCAAGATGAAGGGATATCCAGAGTCAAGCGCACACTGTCGACGACCATTCCCCCGGTTCGTGGATGCAGAGAAGCAGGCGCGTGCTCTCAAGCTGGTGGCGCCTTTTGCGGCAGTGGAGAAAGAACTGGCTTCAGTGTAGATATGGATTAATTTGTTTAGATTAATACAAAGTGCCGTAAATAGAATGACAGCTCTCAAATAAATCAGACAATGGCGAACGTAGTGTTGAACAGCTCCAGACAGACAGACCGGATATCAACCCTCCCCCCTGCCTCGCGCTGTCTTCTCTGGATCTCGCCCAGTGCCCCAGCGGCCATACTGGAATTACTCGCTACATGGTGCAGGCCTTGGATTGTCGTCAGAATCCACTGGCACTCCTCCGGATCGTCTTCTTCACTTCCCCAGAGAAACAGCGGCCACAGCATGTTAACCGGGATAGACTCATTCTTGGCCACCATCAGATGCAGAATTTCCTTTATTTTCTCTAAAGCTGTGTCTACGGCCTTGGAGCGGGCTAGATGGCGGTGGGCAACTCGATGCAGGTGTATATAGCACGCGTAGAAGTTGGCCACGTACGTTTGGAAGGAGCGTATAATGCCTGACGCGAGCGGTTCGGCCAGCGCACTGATATTCCCAGTCACGGCGTAGTCCATGAGTGCAGGCCGCCGGTCATACAATGCCCCCAGGTCGTGCAGAATGTTCGCCGCGATAGCCATGACTTCTGTCTCGTCTTCTACGCTTCCCCGGCTGCGGTGGATGTGGGCGATCCGAGTAATGCGCCCGGTGATGGTCTGGACTTGTTGGTAGAATGCGATTCCGGGCTGGCAGAGAATGTCGTAGATCACATCTTGAGACCCGCCATCTGGGGTGGGATCTGGTATTCGAGGCGTGGAACTGGCGGAGGTCGAAGTCGGGGTTGGTGGGCAGTGTATTGTGTCGTTGACTAGGAGACCTTCTCCTCCAGCAGCTGCTGCCCGTGCATCAAGTAAACGGATCCATGACAGAATTCTCTGTTCTAATAGCAGCAGTTAGCACAGTAGAACTAGTCTGGGGAACGGGCTTCAAACCTATAGAGCCCAAGGTGTTCATCCCAGTCACCTGTATCGCACGATGCGCCCAGGCCAGATTCGAGTAAGCCAAATCTAGGCGGCCGGTCAAAAGCTATAGCGGTGTTAGTACAAGACAATCAGGAAGGAATATGGGGAATGACATCGACGTATGTGAGGAAGAAGATCGTGGCCAGCGAGTATCGGAGCTCACCACCTTCTATCCTGCTTCCAGCAGGCTGCTGCAATCGTTGAGAGAGGCGATTTGCTGCCTTTTCATAGTACTCCTGATAATCCCCCGTTGTATTTCCAGGGGACGCCCGAATCGTTGCAAATGCCGCCATAGAATCACGGACCATCGACGATGATCGTGCGAGGCTGTTCAGCATGGCTTGCGCCGACGTTCCTTTTGGGCCATTCTCGATGGGATCCAGTATAGGTGGTATCTCGAGCTGCAGAGTATCTCCATTGTGGATGTCGATGGATGGCGCAGGAGATGGGTTGCCTAACAGCACTTCGTCCTGCAGGTTGAGGTCGGGTGCAAAGTCACTGAAGACCGGAAGGAAGAGGTCTTGAAATGGGGCAGCATCGATTGTGCCAGTGCCTATAGACTGCTCAAAGTCGAAGAATTGTGGAGGAGAGGGCTGCTCGGGGGTCCTTTCTCTGGCAGACGGCGACCGTCGCTGGGAGTCGCCATCGGGGTCTTTCCAGAGACAGTCCAGATGCAGACGACGACAGTGATAGCACAGCGGCTTCTCCTCGTTGCATCGCACCTTGCGGCGTTTGCAAGTCAAGCAGCCATTGCGCGAGCGACGGTGCTGGAGGCGCCGGGGATGCAGGGGGCGAGGGACATGATTCATGCTGGTGGTGATGAACGGACGAGACTGGAGACATGAAGGTATTCGAACAGCAATAATGAAGAATAATTAAATGATCAGCATAACCCCGCGTCTGCAACCTTGGGGTATCAACTAGTCCATGCGACGTGGTCTGAGCGCGATGTTACCGGTTACGTGGAGTGGAGCAGAATTAGAAATTGGAATTGAATTGGGAATAATATTGGAGATCTGTTAGATCTTTCTACTCAGTAAATGTACACAAACTGGTCGTTCTCGCGGTCTGTCAAGTCTTCATGCACTGGCTCGTTCTGCTCCTGGTCCTGCCCCTTTGCACCTGCACCTGCATTGATGTCGGTTCGCATCGACTGGTCGATGATATCTGCAGACTTCCCATTTGCTATTCTCTTCTTCCTCTGCATTTTGTTGAGGAAGACCAAGTTGCACAGCTGGATGATTACCGCGCCGATCAGAGCAATAAACAGCCCCAGCACACCCCGAATACCTGGCAGATATCCCGGGGCCTGGTCACTGGTAAAGAGCAGTGGACCGGCCAGTGCTCCAGCAGAGACGCCGGCCTGGAAGAGAGCCAGAGTTGTGGACTTCTTGGTTGCCCCGGCCGTATTGCCCACCAGCCAGGCCAGGAGAAGAGGGTTAGCGGCAAACAAAAAGGCACACAGGTAGTACGCCACGAGCAATGCAGGTCGCTGGGATGCATCGCGCTTAAGCCCATACAGCATTGCAATGCCTACGATGACTGGCAGAGTGAAGCCTATCAGCACCGCCGATTTTATCTTCACCTTGGAGGCAGCCCAGCAGCTGGCGACAATGACCACTGTCTGCACGGCACCGAATGGGATGTTGAGCAGGGAGGTCTGGAACTTGTCGAAGCCAAAGCCTGTGATAATCAGGGGTCCGAAGATGCTGGTCATGGCAGACCCCATGTTGGGCAACACTGCCATCGCAACCCACAGCCAGGACTTGGGATCTAGTGCGACCTCGAGGACCTGCGACCACTTGAACTCGTGCGTAGTGCCGCCGGTCTGGTTGGTGCGTAGGCGCTCTACCCCCTGAAGGCGCTCATCCTCTGTCAGGAAGCGAGCGGTGCTGATGTCGTTGTCCAGCTTCCAGTACGCAATGGGGGCGCTTATAACGGTGAGAAGGCCAGCGAAAAGAAAGATCCTGTCAGACATTAGTATGATGATATGAGAGTTTCATGCAGTGTCTCACGTTTGCCATGGTCTTAGATGCTCAGAGGGAATATGGCCTAGGCCGTAGGAGACAGCAGAGGCTGCCATTGTCGCGACACCGTTCATTCCATTCCAGATGGAGATGCGCATGGGTTGCTCGACACGGCGATACCACAGTCCAGTCAAGTAGGTGAACAGCGGCAAGCACCCTGCTTCGAAAAGCCCAAGGAAGAAGCGAGCGGTGATCAGGCCAGTAAAGTCGTTGCAGGCTGCCATTGACGCCTCTGCAATGCCCCATCCCAGGATCATGGTGGGCATCAGGACGCGCGGTGGGACCTTCACTATTAGCCACGCCGAAAATGGCTGCCATGCCAGTTGCGCAATGGGCGACATGGACCCGATGAGCGAATACTGGCTCCCTGTGAGATTCGCGTCTTCCTGGAGGTTGAAGACCGCGCCGGTTCCCAACACGGCCTTGTCGAATACTTGTAGGAAGTAGATCCAGGTCAGCAGAGCGAGGATTGTTTTGTCGGTCTTTCTGCGGATGCGACGGTCCTATACATAAATTAGCTGAATTCCTCCATAATAATCAGGGGAACATGCATCTTCTTCCGTCAGATTCAACACGATGTGCTCTACAGCGCCCTCAGCGTGGGAGTCTGTACGAGTGTCTGGTCCTAGGGCCTTTGAGTCCCCGACGGCCTCGATATCAGGAGAGCCCATAGCCATTTCCTGCTCGGTAGACTGATGGTGTCAAGAAAATGCCAATTGACGAGAAAAAAAAGGCATGTTACACGCAGTCAGGCCAGGCACCTATAACCTTATATACACTCCATGGAGTTGATTGTCGCGAGGGAAGTCTGGGGTAATCCCCACACGCTCCAAGAATGCCATAAAAGGATTCCTCTCGTCGTATCGCTTAACGTCCTTGCGGGGATTGACAGTTTAGCGGACGTGGAGTGGCTTGCAGTAAGCGACGCCCAGCGATTCGCCGATCTGGAGACAGGCCATCGTAGTAATAATGGCAGTCCCTGCGATCGGCAATTCACTGTAACTCTTCCATCGCGTGTCGAATGTCGGATATATTGCTGCAGCTGAGTGCAAGCTTCTGGCCAAGTGATAATGGCTCGTCTATTATTACTCTTTCTATGACGTCGCTGTCAGAAGATATGCCAACTCCGGCGTCCAAGATTGTTTGTAAGGCCGTTTCCCTGGGTTCAACCACAAGGCATTTGTCAGCTCTCGCCCATGTGGTCAAACGTCGAAGAAGGCTTGATCTTAACTCTGGAAATGCGTTCACCGCTGCTGATTTACCCCGTATCATTCGTGGCGAAGAAACCATGTCCCTTCTGCCAGCATGTTCCACGGTTCGACCATAATGTCTAGACCAGGCTATTCTAATCGCAGACTACGTGATATATAATGGCTTACAAACGCTGATTCGAGATGGATATTATTCCTCTGTGCATTCAATGTATCTATTGCAGCTTAATATCGCAGTGCTGGCTGTCTGGCCAGGTCTACTGGCATCATAATGCCCTCGGAAAAGCCTTCTATCTGCCCTAGCAGGAAGATTCCTCTCGCCTGCACATCAAGATGCAAAGCTGGAAGGCCGGAGCATGCGAGATTTACAGGCCATGGCTATGAGACTGAGGCACGGGTAACCGGTATAGTTCTAGCATGCACTCACTATGCAGTGGCCCTCTCTAAGACTTCCAAGGCAGCGGACGACTCGATATAAACCTCGAAGAGGATGAGCCGGAGGTAGCCGGCTTCTTGGAGAGCCTGGCAAGCCAGAAGCCCGATATAACGCGTCGCTCCTTTCCTGTCCCAGGGGATCTCAAGTTCCCTATCAAGCTCAACATCGTCATGCACGTCGTTGGCTCTCGTGGAGATGTCCAGCCTTTTATTGTCCTTGGGAAGGCTCTACAGCAGCACGGCCATCGTGTACGGTTAGCGACGCATCTGATATTTCGAGATTTCGTCAAGCGGAATGGCCTAGAGTTCTTCAACATTGGGGGAGATCCGGCCGAGCTGATGTCGTTCATGGTGAACAACCCAAAGCTGATTCCGAAGATGGACGCGTTGTTCCATGGTGCTATAGCACGTCGCCGGGGGGAGATCCGTAAGATCATCGGAGGATGCTGGCGGTCGTGTATTGAAGCTGGCGAGGGTCTTGACCTCCTCTGTGATGCCCCGTTGACTGCACCGCCGTTTGTCGCAGATGTCATCATCGCAAACCCGCCGAGTTTCGCTCATATACATTGTGCCGAAAAGCTGGGGATACCGCTGCATTTGATGTTTACGTCAGTTTCCCTTTACATGGTCCTGAGATTAAAAATTAACCAAGTGTAGGATGCCCTGGTCCCCGACGCAGGCATTTCCACATCCGCTGGCGAACGTCCATAGCTTTACGACCAAGCCATCTGTAGCGAAGATTGCTTCGTATGCTGTAACCGAGATGGTAATTTGGCAGGGCCTGGGCGATTTACAGAATGAATTCCGTCGGTTTGAATTGGGCCTTGAGCCTTTGGACGCAGTGCGAGCCCCTAGCCTAATTCACCGTCTACGCATTCCATTTACTTACATGTGGTTGGTTATCATCTCTTTGCTATAGCGAAGCTAGCTAATATACAAGGTCACCATCCTTACTACCCAAGCCAGATGACTGGCAGGCCCATATCGATGTCACTGGGTTCAACTTCCTCCCTGCAGACACCGACTACGAGCCTTCGCTAGAACTTCTACAGTTCCTCGAGTCAGGGCCAGCCCCGATCTACATCGGATTCGGGTCGATAGTAGTCGATGACCCTGACGGACTGACCCAAACCATACTAGACGCTGTTCTATCGACTGGTCAGCGCGCATTGATATCCAAAGGCTGGGGTGGGCTAGGAGCAGAATCACTCCACCATAAAGACATCTTCTTTCTAGGTAACTGCCCCCATGATTGGCTATTCCAACACGTTTCCTGTGTGATACACCATGGCGGCGCCGGGACTACTGCAATTGGCCTCGCCATGGGCAGACCGACTGTAGTTGTCCCCTTCTTCGGTGACCAGCCCTTCTGGGGTGCACTCGTGGCTGCAAACCAGGCAGGGCCGTGGCCCATCCCATTCCGAGACCTAACTCCAGAGCGCTTGGCGGATGCAATATACAAGTGTCTGACGCCTGCCACGATCGCCAAAGCACAGGAGCTGAGCGAAAGAATACGTTCCGAGAATGGGCCAGAGCAAGGCGTTGCAAGCTTCCACCGGCAGCTGAACCTGGATCGTCTGCGATGTTCAATATGTCCCGATCGAAAGGCTGTATGGCGTGTCCGGAAAACAAAAATACTGCTCAGTCCACTGGCAGCGTCCGTCCTTGTTCGCGGGGGCCATCTCGATCCTCATGATGTGAAGCTGTATGTTCCTTGTTCACTTCCATATCAGTGTGATGCAGCTAACGATAACAGCTACCGCTCGAAATGTTACGATACGAATACTGATCCCAGGGGACCTTTCTATGCAAGCGCCGAAGGAGTTGCAGGAGCAATGGGGAATTTCTTGACAGGGATTGTGAATATCCCTATGCATACCGTGCAGGGAATCTCCCAGACGAAGCGCTCTCGATTTGCGGATGGATTTGGGCTGCCAACATGCGAGGAACGAATGGCAATGGCTGAGATGCAAGCAAATGGAGGACCCGTCGTGGAGGATCAAGGGTCGTCAGGTCTGGATGAACAGAGGGACAGCGTCAGCAGCCTGCTATCCAAGGAGACTGCAAGTTCGAGCTCAAGTAGCTCGAGTCAGGATGCTCCCACCATGGCTAAGCGGAGCACTCTTTCCTCTGTGCTCTCCAACAGCAGCTACACTGGACGCCGGGTCGTGAACTGGATCATCGAGATACCAGTGGGCCTGACTCTGCTCCTGTCGCAGGGATTTCACGATGCTCCTCGGTGGTACCATGATCGCACAGTAAAGGACGTGCCGTATGCGCACGACATTCGCTCTGGGCTGAAGGCTGCAGCGACAGTACGTATTTCCCTGCCCGTGACAGGGCAGACATTGATCCTAACCGCGACAGGAATTCTGGCAGAGTTGGTATGACGGAATCACCGGCCTCGTAACACAGCCTCATTCCGGGTGGAAGCAAGGGGGAATGGGCGAGATGGCCAAGGGAGTTGGCAAGGGAGTCGGGGGTGTCGTCCTCAAGCCCCAGGCCGGTACGTATATTGCACACCAGCAGACAATAGCTGACACAGTCAGGTCTGTGGGGACTCATCGGGTATCCCCTGAATGGCGTCTCCAGGAGCATTGAAAAGTCGTACGGCAACAATCGACAGGACTACATTATCTTCTCGCGCATCCGCCAGGGAGATGCGGACCTGGCAGCGGCATCGGAGGACGAAAAGACGCAGATTCTGGCCAAGTGGCGAGCTTTCCAGCAAAAGAGAAAACAGTTCCGAGCCAGTCGAGACATGTCCTGTCATTAATAATCGACAAACTCGTCCAAGCTTTGCGACCCACCGCGTGTGTCTTGGCTGCCTTGTAGGGTTAGCTGCGTGCATCCAAAGTACTATATACTACCGATGATGTCCTGGAGGACCGTCGAGGAGATCTCATGCCCTTAAAAGTTCCAGCGCATCATGGAAACACACCAAGTACACCTGGAGGCGTCCAAGTCCCGCACTATATTTGTCGGCGCCCATCACGATAGCTACAGTGAGCCTCTACCAGGGTCTGTGACGGTCACCGTTCCTTTACCGGACGTCCAGCCCTGCGACTATCCTACAGTCAGCATTCGTCTGCTGCGAACAGTTTCTTCTAGACAGCGATGTTGTAACAAAATCGTCCCTGGGTATACTGGCTTGCGCGACGCGTGGCGGCGGAGGAGGTCATCGTCCAGCAGCTCATGTTCAACAGACAACCAGACATATTCCACAACACAGACAGTGGCGCAGTGTGATCTCTGGCATACGCCGGACAGCATCGAGCGTGATCGTGGACGAGGATTAGCGACATTCCGATACGCATTTGGAATGCCGATACCAGGTGGACTACCGCCGACCATGGAAACGGCGGTCGGATGCATCTCGTATAGCATCGTCGCCTTATCGAAATATCACGGTTGCACAGCAGTCTCAGCACCACAGGTACTTGACATTAAACGGTCTACCCTCCCAGGCCATCCTCAGACTATTCAGCACGCCCGAACCTTCCGCGGTGATCGAATACAAATTGTGCTGGACGTCACCCCGAACCATCCAACACCCAAGTGCTCTTATTCTGCCAGAGTCTGCGCCAGACGCACCATCACCGAAGGTCCGAGAGCGACCGAAATGCGACATGTCGTAGTCAAGGAGCTTAAGTGGAGGGTGGACGAGACCGTCAAGCAGCTATCGATACCTGGTCGCGCAACGCAAGCAGTCGAGTGCCAGGAGCAATATGTCCGCCCGCTATGTCGAGATAGCCAGATTGGCAGGTGGAGTGCAACCGGGGGAGGTCGGAGGACGCAAGCGACAGAAGACATGGTTGATATTCCATTCGAGATCAGGATCGGTTCAGGCACGGCAGACGTGGAATTAGCTACATATAATGTCGGCACTGAAAGCCAACCCGACACGCACAGAGACGGCGAAACAAGAGTAATTGTCGTCAATCACCAACTGACGCTGGATATCGTCACGGCAGAAGATACCATTGATCAGGTCACTGGCAGGCTGGTGGATAGAAAGCCGTTGTGGAAGTCGTTCAGCGTCTGCTGTGCATTGCCTGTATATGACTTCACATCACCGAATACTGCTCTGCCAGGGTTGATCTTCAATGAAGCTCCCCTGCCGTATGATGAAGAGTCTAGCCCTCCTGGATACGCAGAGCACTTCGCTGCTTGATTATATATCGTGGCGGGTCCACTCCGACGAAGTACGTTCATATAGCAATAATGGGACAGGCGGCCAGGTAGACAACGAAATGGACTTGAACATAAAACTAGTTGCATTCAATTATAACAGTCTGATCTGGTTATGGACACCTTCCAGTATCATACGAGCTTGGCGCCTCTCACAATCGGATGACAGAGGCGACGATGCAATTATTTGTAGCGGCCACATCATCTGGAATACATCCAATAGCCCCAATTGCTTCGAAGAGGTGCCAGAGCACTTATCAAAACTAATTGCTGCAGCTAGTCCCGCCAGAAGTCGATCTGCAAGGGCCTGATACTCCTTTGTGCATTGCAATTGCGCTTTGCTAATTTCAGCATGTTGCTCTGGTGTACAGTTGGATCCTTCCAACGCCATAGAGAGAAGCCCGTGAACCTGCATCGATAGCTGCAAGCGGAAAGTGCTCTGATATATTAGCAGGCCACTATCGGGAATTGAAGTCGGTAGAGACGCCCTGGAAGTCGGCAAGTCTATCGCGCATTCACGAAGAGGCCTCTCCTGGAATAAGGGGGCTGTTTGGCTTTCAACATTGTCGAGGTGGTGTAGGATGGAGGGATATATGGCAAGCAACGCGTCCCGGTTACCGATATCAATAAGCTCCTGGATGGCCATGCAGAGGCGACTGCAGTGGTAGGCAAATACTACAGTACGCACAATACAATAATTTCCTGCCTCACATAGCATGTAGAACGCGCGGATCCACGACGTAAACCCCCACGAATAGTCCTGGCTTGTCATGAGCGTCTGGCGCTGCTATGGCAGTGGTTAGGCACGAAGCACCAGAAAAAAGAACAGTAGGCTTACGACGGTGCTAAACAACGCGAGAAACAGTGCCCGGTCCTCTGGCGTGGAGCAGCCTGAACCCCGTTGATGCTCAAGCAACGCTACCATGCCCCCGGCGTGAATGGACCAGGACGGAGACGCAAGTATTGAATAGCAATCGGGGGTAGAAAGAAGCTAGACAGGCATATCGGGTTAGTGACATGGGGAAGGCGGCATCTACACAGCAGTACCTCGTATATGCACAGCAATAAGATACTGACGAGTGTCTCCCTGGTCGCGAACTGCTGAGGATCCTGCAGACTCTCCTTGACAGCAACAATAGCGCTGCTATACGCACGAGCTTGCTGGACCTTTGCTAACGTCGAATTTGTCACATTAGCAATATATACACGCCCAATGGCGTCGCAGACTTTGAACATCGGGGAACCTGCTTTTGTGCTGGAAATGACATGTGGAATTGCAGTGAGGATGGTATGGAAGACGCCGCCCATTGCATTGGGCGACAACTTATGTATGACAAGCGGTATCAGATGATCATTCCAGGACTCTGATGGTATATATTCTGTCTAAAGGGTGTCTAATCAGCTCAGGGACTCTGTCGCTCGGGAGGAGCTTACAGGCGATGGGCTATTGAGGGTCGTTGCGGCCGTCGCGGCCGTCGTGGCTTCCACCATCTTCCCAGTGGATTGGCCGCTGTTTTCCTCATATTTGGCTCGACGACGACGACCAGAGCTTCTTGTAGACCAAGACTCCACGTTGTGGGTTCGAAAACGCTGATCCAACTGGTCGCGATAGCCGGGACAAGGATGCCCCTTTCGCTGACACTGACCACACCCAGGACGGACCAGGTCGCACTATAAGCACCATCAATAAAGTGATTTAAAATCCAAACTTCGATTCAAATACCCTGATCCGGCGCTGCCGACAGTGATGGCAGTCTCGACTCGGCCGACCGGTGTTGGGCATTTTGCTGGGAAGCGATCAATACGAGGCTGGCAGGTGCTGGGGATCTGCCACTACATCTAGCAATCCATTCGGAGTGCTTCTTCCAATGGCATCACAGCTGAAGCAAAGAGCGCATGGCTAAGCCATTCCAGGAAGTCCATTCGGCGCTACAGACGCAAATCAGCCCACCCCGCCAGCCCCCGTCAGCACGAACTGAAGCCGCAGACGAATGAAGCGCCATCTTCAGTTAGCCCAGGGTCAGGGCCAAGTTAAGGCTCGGCCTGCGATTGGAACTTGCGCCCTGAGGGTGGATCGGAGCTGAGATCAAGCAAACTCAAGCTTTCGCAGTGTTTGAAGACATGTGGACCAATGCCTGTCTGGGTTGCATACATGCCAATAGAAAGACATCTATGATCTGTCACGCTGCAACACAAATTGCCATGAGGCTGAGGCACCAAGAACAATCATTCGCTGGACCCTTAAACCTTCATTGGGGGTATGGCCTCTGGTGCTTGGCTGTGCTAAATATACCAGTATCACGGCCACGATGATCGACAGGACTCACAAATCTCATATTCTCCTAGGTGGGGGCTCAATTTGTCCCCTATGTGTATATAATGCGTGATAGCCGCTGCTGGAACCTACTCCATAATGTTCAACGATCAGACTAAACTTGCACTGTCAGGATGCTTCCCCTACTCAAGACTCCCCTGGTAAGCTCACCTCCCTCTCCCCAGATCTAAATATTAAGTGTCCTGCTAGACGAAGGAGGGTGCGCACCGCGGCCATTCAGTCGATGGTGCAGCTGCCCTGGACACCCACGATGAGACCCTCTTCGAGAACCCCCAGTTTGAGCATTACGAAGCCACGTCGAATATACAATTGTTCTTCGATCTGTTCTTCGTAGCAAACCTGGCCTCCTTTACCGTGGTCCACGAGATCAACAGCAAAGAGAGTACGCTTCGATCATCCCCAATCAAAGGGACGCCCGCTAATGTTATATAGGCCTGGAGTCGTATATTGGCTTCGTTTGCGTTCTATGGTTCACATGGTGCCAGGTTACCCTGTACGATGTCCGCTTCGCGACGGATAGCGTCTTCGAACGCATTGCCCATGCCTGCCATTTTGGCGTTATGGTGGGCTTTTCCGTCGTCTCGCCCAACTTCCTGGCAAAGGATGGCTGGGGTCCTCTCCAGCAGCTATCCCTTCTGCTCATGGCAAGTCGCTTGACGCTGTTTGCTCAGTACGGAACAACACTGTTCTTTACCTGGCGGTATAAAAAGACACGCGCGCCTCTCATTATCGTGATGGTGTCTTTACTACTGGCGGCAATGGTATATCTTGGAGTTTCATTTGCATTTTACCAGCGCGTGCATTGGCGCTCGTATGTGGCGTGGTATATCATTGCTGTCACTGAAGTCGTTGTCAATGTGCTTGTCGCAGCCTTGTGGCCAGTGAGTCCATGCCCTTGATGCGATCAGGGTATCCACTAATTGTCCAGGCACTTTCGCTTTGGAAAACACATCTGGTCGAGAGAATGACATGCCTGACTCTTATCATTGTACGTGTCTTTTCTGCATATCGGGCTTGACAACTGATGTAAAAATAGCTCGGCGAAGGCATTATCGGCCTGACCAAGACAATTACGAAAATAATGAAGCTGGATAAAAAGTTCATGTCGGCTGATATTGGAATGCTCATATCCGCTGTTTTGCTGATTGTGAGTATACTGCCCGAGATACTAACACATAAGCTGATGGTGGCGTTAGTACTTCTTCTACCAGCTCTACTTTGACAGTATTCGCCTGCAGACTTTGGGTTCCCATCGTCAGCATGTCTGTGCTATCCTGCACTTCCCATTCCACCTCGCCCTATGTCTGGTTATGGAGGGTATCAACCAGACGCTATTATGGGCCCATATTGTTGCAGACATCAAATCACTCTTCTACCCTCTACTATATGGAATAGAAAATGGGACAGTACCAACTGCAAAACTGCAAACGATGCTAAGCGACATGTTTACTGATGTCTACAGCCGCTTTGAGACAACCGATGTTGTTTATCGCGAGGCGTTCACCTCCCTCAATGAGACTTTGTCACTGGATCCCAATGACAGTCCCGCTCAATTCCTCAATGCTTCCTTCTCCGCCATCATGCTGTCTGCCCAAACAGTTGTGGAAAGCTTTGGGTGGGAGATACCAAGCGAGCCAGAGGGAGAGGGCCCACTCGTCTTCGCGGAGACCTTGGACTCAATCCTGCGCGTGTTCAACTTGACATTTGGTAATATCCCTTTTGCTCGTTGAACGTACCTGATCGTGATGTTAACCTGACAGCTGTAGGCTACTTCGCCGTCTGCACTGGCCTGGTCATTATCCTAGCTAGTGTATTTTGGATCCTCTGCTCCGACCAGACTAGTGGGGCGTCCCCCCTGCGGTATTTCTCTATCGCAGCTAACATGCTGGTCGGTCTTGGGATTGCCTTGCTTAGCATCTTGACTGTTACGAGTGCTGCAGAGAACCTGGGTGAGACAGCCTGGTGTCTCCCAGCACTGATGCTGGTTCTACTTGGACGTACGTCTATCTTAACCATACCATTCTGTTCCGGAACGCTCATATTCTCCAGTTATTGTGGTGAACCATCTTCCTAGGGGGTATTACACACCGAAGATCGAGGGACATGCGTAGGCTGCGAGGTGTTGACGATACATGGTGGGTGGAAGCCCGGGGCTGTAGCACCCTAAGTCAGATAATGATACATTTGGTCCTTTTTTTGTATCCCAAGATTTATAGGAGCGTGCTGAATCCACCACTTACTATAATTTTAAGAGCACATACTCAGTCTTAGAATTCAGTCTCAGTCCTCACAATCATACATAGCATTTTATTAAGATACGAGTTTTCGGACGCACTTGGTGATATCTACTGAATGCTGCCAAGCGAGCACATATATGCCAATTATGCATATACTAAAGCCGCGAGTTGGAGAGTCACCACTGCAGAAATGACGATAATCATTGGGCTGTGTGCTGTTCGTGGATCGGGTGCTATGTGGTGTTTTCTTGGTTTACATAGACCAGTCGTCCTTCTATTCACGCTATTGTGAGTTTTCAATATTTAACAAGCTATATCTATTTCTCCTGGGTTATACAAGTTATACCATCCACCTACAATATATATATATAGGTCTATTTAGCTTCTTATACAGTTTACCTTTCTTATAAATAATGGACAAACAAGTGTATGCCCAAACCCATTTAGCGTAATCCAAGGCCCATTATGATAGAACCTGAATATCTGACCGAGATTCTCAGCGAGCTTACCCCCGCCCACAACCACAAGCGGCGTGAGGAAAATCTCTACCAAGGCCGAAAGCACCTCCTCGCCATGCACCGGGTCACCTCGAGCCCCCGCAGCCTTCTGCAGCTTCCTCCGGAGTCTCCTGGCTTCGCCCATTGCGCTAGGAACGCGATTGGTAATGTCGTACCCGGCCCATCGAGACGAGAGGCGCACGATCCGTACATGTTCGCTCGCGGGGATGTTCCCGAAAACGCGCGCACTGGGGACGATGATCTGGGAGACTAGCTTGTTGTCTCGGGATAGAAGGGCGCCGAGAGAGGCCCCCAGTGCGCCGGCGAGAGAGGCGAAGGTATCGAGCAGTTCCAAGACCCGGAAGCGATTCCGGCTCCAGTTCCCTTCACTGTGGTACTTGGATGGTTGACGGAGAAGGTGGAATTGAAGCATGGACAAGGTGTCACATGGCATTGCCCATAGTGCGTCCATTGAGATGGGAGAATCCGTTCCAGTCTTCGCTGTGAACTTGGCATCGCACAAGGAAAGGTGAATCCAAGATGCCGGTAGAGTGTCGGGCGATTCCTTCCGGCGCAGAGATATATGCTCGATCAGGTCGTAGTCTATAGTGGGCCGGCTTTGGCAAAAGTCCGTAATCATGCTGCTGGGCTGATAGAAGGTCTGATTGAATCCCTCGATATTGGGCCCAAAGCTAACAAGATACCGCGGCCAGCGACAGCTCTCTTCGTCAGCCTCGTCAGGTTTGCCCAAGAAGCGTGGAATGATGGACTCGAAATCTTCACCGTCCAGCAGGCGCATAACAAGCCACTGGCAGCTGTTCGTCCACATATTCCAACCCTTGGCCATCTGCTTCTCAACCAGGATTCTGGCAAAGCGGTCCAGATGTTTGTCGACTTCACTCCCAAGACACTCCTTTAATGAGCGCGTTATCCTTTTCGCCGCTTCTTTGAGTAGTTCCACTTTGCGCGCGGCGGACTTGGTCCTGGGGATGGCTCCATACGCATTTGCTTCCTCGACGAGAATGTCAATCACTCTGGCCTCGCGGTCTCGGGCTGATTCGGGATAGCCTGAGAATGCGCCTCCGTATACCCGCTTGATGCAGGCGAGCAAGGCGCGTTGCTCGATTGATACCTTCTTGTGCTGATATTCAAGTCGCTTAGTCCGCTTATGTCGATAGAAAAACGGACATCGCACTTTTAGCGCACTATCAAGGCTGTGGGCAAGTAGAGAGGGCGGATGCCGGCGCGATACTAATACTCCATGATTGATTCTGTGGTTCGATTCAGTTCGATATCATTGTACATGCAACTCAAGTGGTGACATACTCCTTCAATCCTGACTCGAAGATCAGAGGCCCAAACATCAACGACAAATGGAAGTTACCAGCTGGTGCCAGATTTGCTTTCAGCATCAGCGCCCAAGTGCGCATAAACTTGGCCATAGGAATCTCCTTTTCCCTTGGCTTGAGCAATCTGAGTGTCAGCTTTTCTTTCAAGGAACGCTTATCCGGAGGTGCCGGCTCATTTGTATCCTGTTTCTTGTCGTCGCCAGGAGAACCTATATTCTCCTCCTCCTCAGGTTCTCCCGTGTCACCCTCGTCTATCGTATCCTTGTTGCCGTCCCCGAATTCGCCAATGTCCGTTTCATCTTCCGTGTCGCTTTCGTAGTACGTTTCGCTTTCATCTATCTCGCTTTCGTCTTCTGCCGTATCCTCCTCACTGTCTCTGTTTAAAGACTCATTGGACATATCCCCATTCGCGAACGTGTCGAGCTGTTTCCGCAGTTCTAGAATACCTAGATTTACAGTTGAGCGGCGGTCCATCTATAATAGAAAGCCAGGGAAAGACATGAGAATACTAACCAGGAATACCTGGATCCTTGTATTCTCTCAGCCGCAAACTATGTCCTGGCCAACAGACCTCGACTTTATTTTTGCAGGTCGGGCAGAGACGGCGTAACCCAAACTCAGGCGGCGGCGGCGTATCAGACCCGCAATACCGCCAGCCATCCTCGGTATACTCGTAGCAGACATAAGGACGGCAGTCATGCGTACACTCGTAGTATACCTTGGATCGCATCGGATGACGGCATTCATTGCAGCAGATGGCGTAGAGCCCGGGCCCGGGCCCTCCGTTTGCAGTGCCATCCGCGGCGTCCGTTATAAATTCAACTGGATCAGCCAATGAGATGTTGATGCTTTAGAGTGATATAAGGGAAGTTCCGTACCATTTGGGAGATTTGGCTGTAGATTAAGGAAGTCCTGGGATACTTTCGTGGGCTCGTAAAGTATATCGATATCCAGAAGGCCTACTTGGTTAGGATGCGTCCCGTGGGATCTATTCCAAGGTTGCTGCAGGCTGACGTACTGGAGGATTGAAGTAGCAGGCGCGCGTAGCGGTGATCGTTGTCTTCTGCCTCATTCAGGTGTTCTGCCAGTCAGTCAGCTTGCGATTGCATCAGCTTAGGATTATATGACTTGCCCTGGGATTTTCGGAGAGTCTCATGGTAGAGGGTTGAAGTAGTCTTGTCATCAAAATTTGGTTGACTGCCAACTGCATGGTATTAGCACATTACTGATATGGGGAATTTGTGAACTCGCCCCATATATCGAACATCTTCTTGAAGTTGTCACATTCGAGACTGGGAGGTGTATGCGGTTGGTATGCGGTTTGTTTTAGGAGTTTATGCATTCTGATCATGTTCTGGGCTTCATGCTGAACTGCTGCCCAATAGTTTCTCCTGAGCTCTCTCCAGACAGCTGGCAGGGCTGCAGGTACAGCGGTCTTCTTTGTCTTCTTTCTCTTATTGGCGCACTCCATACTGGGAACGACGTGGTAAAGGAAATGGTTTCGTGGCACTGCGGTGTCTACTAATGATCAAGGTTGAAGCTGGCAACAGGCCATGAGGCGCTCTTTAATAGATCTAGAAATCGGAGTACTGCGCAAACTCCGGGGCACTTGGGCACGTTCTTTGGGCAGTTCAGTAGTGCAAACTGAGATAGCTGATAAGGATCCTAATCGTGGCGTTTGTTCCAACCCAATCTTACATGCACTACCCGTAATTTGTTCCTAGATGTGTGGCTACACTTGAGTAAGGTGCTCTGGCCTTCATGCTTATGTTCTGAAACTGCACATCATAACTCGCGGTAACAGCGGTAGGCTCTCTTGATGAGATGTGCGGCAGGCTGACTGCAGAATCCTGCATCTCCGAGCGCCTCGCTGGGAGTCAGCGATTGGTTCGATCCGTGAGGCGGCCATGAACTATTCGGGCCCTTATGCTTGTTCGGGTCGAACTGTTCGATTTGCCCAAGAGGCTGAATCGCTTCACTGACAGCAGGTTCAATCGTGTCTTGCAAGGCTTTGGTGTTAGTTGAGGTGGCAAAATCTTCTTCAAAGCCTGATCCAACCCCAGGTTGGGTATAATCCTAGTAATTTGTATCTATATTAATTTCATTTTTAAATACTGGAGAACAAACCCTTTATCACTCAATTCCAGCATCGTTCGATACACCAGACCAACCCCTAAATCATGGCGCGAAGCGAGGACACCAAAGCCCAGAAAACTTCCAACAAAGTCGAACAATTCTTCAAAAAAAATATTTTATTAAACCGTCGGCCTATTCGACCATCTAGGAAGATTTTGGCAGCCAGTGGCGCTGTACCAAGCTCCAAGAGCGCTGCCTCATCCCAGCACGCTTCCGGCACATCGAGGGCTACTGCAGCGGCCTCAAAGTTCCTGGAAACGGTGCTCGCGACTGCCGATCGTCTGTTGTCCTTCACTCCATTTTCCCCGGTCAAAGTGATTAGCGGCTGATTCTCGAGAAGCAATGGACGTCACCCAGGAATCCATCTCTGATCAGTACCGTCTCAGGGTCGAGAAGCTGCCGATAAGCAAAATCGAAGAAACGGACGAGGTGGATGAATTTAAAGCGTGTGTAATCATCTGAGTTAAATTGATTCATGTACCAGAGCAGCTGATCCGTTGCACGCTAGATCCAACGACACATGGCGACTCATTGAATTGGCTGCTGAGAGGTCGGTGGCAGCATACTCAGACTCGCCGGACTCGGGGTCAGGTCTCTCCGTGTTCGAGCTGGAGCCCAGAGGAGACTCAAAGAGGGTCCTTGCGACAATTAAGGGCACTGTGTTAGTTGTATCTATCCGTGGAACAATGAGCAAAATGGACTGGATGGTCAATGGGAATGGCGAAGCAGTCTCTGCACAGGTAGTAAACTGCTTGTATCAAACTAGGCACGATGCTGACCATTCTGCCAGAATCTCGGAGACCCAGCAGCCAGATACCACAAGGGCTATCTTACTGTCGCCGAAGCGATGCAGGGACAGCTTGCCGAAGAAATCCATTCAGCTGTGACGACGCTGTACACTCAGCGAGAGTTGCCAGGCGATATGGAGCTCTTGTTCACAGGCCATTCGGCTGGGGGTGCCATGGCCCAACTATTCTATGCCATGGCGATGGAGTCCTCGCATCGTGACATTGCAACCATAGTACAACGTGAGTCCTAGAACCTCTCAGACCGCTTCAAGGCAAATCTGGCTATCTAACATCCAAACCGCAAAGACTTCCAGCAGGTCCATTGTATAGTATTCGGCGCCCCGCCGATTATAACCATCCCCATTCCCCGGCCCAGATCTGCCCCATTTGTGTTAGGCAAGTTCCTGAGCATTGTCAATGAAGAGGACCCCGTCCCGCTGCTTCAAGCGAGCTACCTACCGGCTATGATAGAGGTGTTCGTCCTGAGTCCCAAACAGCTCGCGGCAAAGTACCCCGACGGGTTCACGGTTCCCGATCCCGTCTTCCGTGCCAGCGGTCCCTGCGTTGTTCTCCGTGATATTAAACGTTCTGATTTGGATAAAACTGTGCTTGATGCGGTGGAGATACGCGGGGAAGTGCTAGAGCGCAAACTGTTTGGAAATATCGCGGCGCATGGGAAGGAGGAGTATTTGAACAGATGCAAGATGCTGCGCTCCAGTATGAGTAGCTGATCGGGCTTACATAGGGCTAGCTAGCCAACTACGGGTGAACGTGCGGTTGAGGATGGATGAAGGGAAGATATCAATACATGATCGCAAAGTACTAGTGGACATTATCAGATAAAATGGCACCGATTTCCCAGACTCGCTGCACTCCATCAGGGTCAACCTCTGCGTCTCCAAGGACTGACCCAGTCCCCCGTCGAGCGTCCACCTACAAGGACAAGTGTGGGTGAGGTCCGAGGCGTTAATTTAAAATAGCAAAGGGTGGCGGAAACAATGGTCTGCGTGACATTCTTCTTAGAAGCTTGGTGTATCGTACTGTTGAACTCTGCACCCATCGCTGGGGTTACAGGCAGTGCAAGTCTTGAGGAATCTGGGCAATGGTGAGCACCCACCCTGTGAGCATGACAAGGACAATCATCTCGGGTGTCCTCGGACAGAGCGGTTTATCGCAATGTTGCGCCATCAATGTTTATTAAATCGCTTTCATTCACCTCCTGGTCGTAGATATTTGCATAGAACGCGACCAAGGAGCCCACCCCCTACTATCCGAGCGAATAGAAAGATTCCAGGGTATTCGCCAGTGGATGGGTGGTAAAAACACAGCCCCTCTACCTATGAGCCAGGTGGCCATGTCTGAAAGCTTTTCCAGTGTAACATAATTGCACGCACTAATGCTGTCCACGAGTGCAGTTTTATCAAATGCATCATGTTGCGCAACGTCGGTGAAGCCAACATTGCAGAGGAGCTCCGCCGTGGGGATATCGCCCTCAATGGCCCCGTAAACAGAGCATTGCGGCTTATGAATCATGCCGTTGAGCAGGTGGCCTCGAAAAAAAAAAAAATGAAATTCCAGGTATTTAACACTTGGGCCTGGCGCAGATCTGTAATAGCAGTTAATGCCCCTAATGCTTGCTTTGGCTGGGGCGGCCATCCACGCCTTAGGAACCCTCTAAGGATGCCGGGGTTCACTCGGGTAACCTGCCCCAACCACATTATGGTGGATCATGGCCGCTCCCAAGAAGAAACCAGTAGCTGCATATAGATGCCCAGATATCCGTTTAAAAGCACGCCTTGACCAGCTTATCAATCTGAGCAAACCCTCCTTTAACCTCTGGTCCCAACGCTTCGACTTGTGCAGAAGGCATCCCCCTTCTTGCCTTGGCCGCAATGCCGAAGCTCTCAGGGGCTTTCACCATATTCAGCGCACCAAGTCCACCGAGTAACGCTCCGAATACAGCTGCAGGCGCATTGTCCTTTGCCTGGACAACATCGTATGCACCCATTGCGACATCACCAGCCGTCCCAACCAGTCTAAGAATGTTGGCAATTTCCGCGAGCTCCAGAGCCGCGGCGCCTTCCTCGAGACCAGGAATCAGGAAGAGAACACCGGTGAGGAAGAGAAGAATGATGTTTTTGATCTTCTCATCCTCATAGTCTTGCCCGGCGTCTGCAACCTGCGACATGCTAGTGACGGACGCGGATATCATGAGCACTGCCAACGACGCGCCGTCCACGGCGTCGCTCATGTCGCCCATGTACATGGTCTCATTGGCGAGGAAGGCAGTGAAGTCGAAATTGGTGTGGAAATCGGTAATACTTGAGAGCCGTTTGGAAACCACGTCCTTGGGGTTGTTGATTTTGAAATCATCCTTCAAATGGGGCACTCCAGAATAACCGACATGCCAGTAGCTCCCAGTGCTAGGGCTATGCTCCTCCTCGCGGTAGGGCTCATACGTGAGCCAATCTGCTGAGATCCCAGTGACTGTAAACAGATCCTTCTCGAACTGGGGCTTGTCGCGTGCAATCCAGTACACAGACCCGTATGCCCCCGTAGTCGAGAAGCAGCCCAGGTCAGTATGGTTCGTCCCGTCCTGGTCGATAATACAGTCGAAGTAGTTGGAGGCATTCGCCCTCGAAAAGTGTGACAGGGAAAGGGGAGCCGACTTTCTGATTGCCTCCTCGTACCAGCCAAACTTTTCGTCGTAGTTGTTGTCCAGCTCGTCCTGGTAGACGTCCAGTGTTGCTGTGAGGTTTCCAGACAAGGCCTGCAGGAGGTATATGTTCATGCAATAGTCATCAATACCTGTGGCAGACTCCAGGTCGTCCAAGTTGTCAAAGCTCCGGGTGCAGTTAATCGCTTTCGGCGGGTCGATGCGAGTACCGTCTGGATTCTGAGAGACGAACTCTGTCAGATCGACTGCCCAGAGCACTGTACCAGCGAAGTGTCCGTCATACCACCAGCTCCAGAGGCGTTGGTTTCTCTCCTCCTGGTCAAGATACGCCACCCAGTTACCTTCCTGGGAGAAAGAGATATAGGAGCGGCTGTCTTCATCGAAGTAGGTAGTAATGTTGTCCCCGCTGTTTTTCAGCCAGTCCTTAATCTCTGCTTCTGCAATGTAGCCGGCCGTTTGGGTACAGTCTCCTGGTTTGGCTCCGGATTCAGGGCCTGTAAACTTGCACTCCGGGCCATCGCAGGACGGGTCCTCCATTTTAAACGAGCGGCCGTAGCTGGCAACACCGGCAAATATCTTGTTATTAGGCACACCTGCCTTGGTTATCATAGAAAGGGCAATTGTAGTCTCCGTGTTATTGACATGAGACCGTAGACACCCACCGCCGTCACATCCATCTGCTGCATTGGGGTTGTTCCAGTCCCACTGCCCATGGAGATCATATGTCATAAACACGATATATGTCACAACGTCGGATATCTCCTTAATCGGGAACCCTTTCAGGTACCAGTATGACGCAGGAACAGCGACGGAAAGGGACTTCTTTTCAGGAAGCTTGTCACGGACCTCCCTCAAGAACTGGAGATATCTCTTGCCATCGCCGGGGTCGCCTGCAGGGATCCCTGGAATGTCGGGTGCCCCGGGGTATTCCCAGTCAAAGTCCAACCCATCCAAGTTGTTCTCATTGGCAAAGTCGACAACGTTGGTGGCAAAGAGGGATCGCTGGGCATCCGTCACTCCCTTGCGGAATATCGCGTACGAATCCAAGTCGGTCGAAAAGGACCAACCACCGAATGAGAGGACCTTCATACTGGGTCCTCCCTTATATGCAGGAGGCGGCTGCAACTTTTTAAACTCCTCGAATTCGTGTTTCACGGTCGACACGTCCACCTTGAAGTCCTCTGTGATGTTGGCGAAGGCAAAGTGGATGTAGCTCCATACAACATCGAGCTGGAGCTCATTAGGGGCACCCCCGCCGTACTTTCTCTCATATTCAATGGCTTGGGGAGCCAATGTCAAGCATGGGCGTTGATTGTTGAATGCTTCGTAGTATGTCATAACAGCGGGTTCAATGGGCGCATCACTATTCAGCGGTACATGCACCCCACAGTTCGAAATGCACCCATTCGTGCCGTTTTTTGCTGTCCCTGGTGCGCCGGTGGTGGACTGTCCATTGTTAGTATCCAGGGTCAACGCCGGACGGGGGTACATACGTTTGATACTGAGCAAAACTCAAGTGTGACGCCACATTGGCTGCGTCGAGTTAGCCACTGCACTGTATAACGCAAATAATTGGCACTTTACCCCCAGATATCGCAGCACGCATTGAGCGGGCAAGGATTCAGACTGGAAATGTCATCCCAGTTGTCCGGTCTCTTTGTGCCGGCCTTTTGTGGCCCACAGACTGCGTTCTTGACCACGGCAGGCATCGGAGGGTCTCCTTCGCTCATGCATATTTTCCCTAGCTCTGGGTCAGCACTGCTTTACAATGAAAAGGAGGCTTGATCCCATACCATTGATGACGAGATTATCACAACCTTGCCAGCCCCAGGTCTTTGCATTCCAATGGTTGATATCGTCCACCGTGATACCGTTGCTAGCGGCGAGCACCTTGCACTCGTCATGGGCTTCAACCGTGTGTGCTGCACAGGTACCGTCCGCATTTGGCTTTGGAGAGAAATCTGGGAGCGAGCCAGAGGAGCAGCACACATGCTGACCGGCCTGCAACGAGGAGCAGAGGCTCTTGTCCGAGTTGTACTTGGTAAAGTCGGCAGGCGAAATGCCACAGCGTTTTGCTAGCTCGGGACAACCTTCGCCACGGTTGGTTTTAATGGTCCTGCATTCTGCACCCGCTTCAGCCCGCGTAGACGGCCGCTTGACGTGGGCCCTAGCATGGGAGCTGTGTCGGCTACTCGGTACAATGGCCTCTCCCACTGAAGCAGACATCTTTCGGGTGTTATCATATCCCTTCACACAATCTCCCCGGTTCCATGTTGACAACACGTCCTGGACAGCGGCCAGAGCTTCGGTAGGGGAAGTACTCGCCTCGGAAACAATACCAAGGATGTGATCTGCGGACTGGTTGTTGCACACTTGCATCATGGACCCCGACGTGGTCAGTTCCCCATGACGCAGCTTGTCTATGAAGGTCCCCAGGATGTTATTCCCCTTGCTCTTGTCCATCTCGGACCCAATGTATGCGCCTAGAACAACACCATTCGAGTACGCAAAGGCGATTGTTCCGTTCTGTCCCTCCGGCTGATCGAACTGTGCCTGCACCAGTCGCGCAGCGTCTTCAACATGAGGAGCATAACCCTTTGCCTGCGTACCACTCGACGCGATCTCTACCTCAACCACCTTCGCCGAGTACTTGGTAGACTTGGGTGCACTAGAACCTCCACTTGTGAAACTCTTACCACGGGGTAAGGAGCACGCGTACAAATCTGGCCGCATATCAGAATTGGCAATGGGATTGCTGACGGCTAGACTCAGAAGCATTGGCTCTTCGCAAGATTTGAGAATCTTCAAGCCGTGGTAGTAGTCCCAGCCAGTGGATGCAGCGCTGTCACACGGCGACGGGCAGGCATTCCACTGAGTAGCGAGATAGGGGTCTTTGACAACGTGGGATGAAGCTGCTGCGGCCAATACGGCCACCTGACTTAGGGCAGCCCAGCCTGTAAACAACCACATCTCTATTCGAATGAGAGCAAAGAAGGAGAGTAATGCTGTGAGGAACGAATGGCGGCACCACCTAGCAAGCCAACTATGGCAATACTTAAACAAATAGACCCCGGTAAGAGTAGAACCACCGGCAGCTTTTACAAATGGTTCAAATCACAGGCCCCTCGGCTCAGTTTCTTTGTTAAGTCATGCAGGGCTAAAAGAATTAGTTATCGTAGTATTTCCTAGCGTCTGGGGCCAAGTAACCTCGCTACGATATATGCCGCAGTCATCCATAAAGCCAGGCTTGCCGATCAGACGCCGGTGCTGCACTGCTGCTGTGCCGCAGCTGCGCCGCATGTGGGCTGCCCTGGAACTTATACGGCATACGTGCAAGATCAACCACAGCAGGGGCCAGAACTGAAACCACTAAGCTTTGCTGGGCGATCACGGACCGCCATTCCAAATCTCCCACCCGGCTGATCGTCCGTATTGGCGTCGGTACCCAGGCACGGGCTTCCGGGCTCCACAGGGAGTGTACAAGACAGTCTGTATTGACCCATACGAGCATGTGTAGCCGGTGAAGCGGCTATTCTACCCCTGCAACAGGAGAACCAGGGCAAAAGTACGCCGAAGCTTCCACGGGCAAGACTGTCCTCGCAAGGGTAGCATATAGCCCCGACTGTCGAGGAGTTTGAAGGAGATCAGCGAGAAGTATTACACCTTTCTTGCTCTTGCTTCTTTCCTGTTTCTCATTCCCAAATCTGCTACAAAAAATGAAGCTTCCTACTGTGCTCCTCTTTCTCCTTTGCGCAGCAAATGCCGCCGCCTATAGCATCGCCGGTGCCTACGAGCGGGTGATGTACTGGCATGCCTACCAGCTAGATCAGCAGGGCGACGGCCCAAAACTGATCGCAAAGAACTGTGCAAAGGAGGAGGGCAAGGGGAAACCCTGCAATTTCAAGCAGTTTCTCACCTACATCGCGGTTGAGAGGGAAAAGCCCAATGCTCGAGCACTCCCTGAGACCCTCAACGCACACCGAATAAATGCAGACACTGCAGCGGAGATTATATACAATGGCCATGTCACTGGACAATACACTATACCCCACGTGTACCAGAACATCTACCACCCCCCGGCCTTGTTTGGAAAGGTCACCGAGTATGATTCAACCAGCCCTCTACTACCCAGGCCCAGCTGACAGACGCTAAGATTGATTGGCGAGAAGACTGCCGGCCAAAATGTCCGAGACTACCCACTGAACGAAATAATGACTGCACGCAAGCGTATTGAGACGATGCGCGTGGCAAACGCCATCCGGCAGGCCGGGGATCATCTTCGGCGTACGTTCGACCCAGACAACGTCCCTCATGAGGAGTCCGATGACAGGCGGCCCCTCGTAACACAGGGCCTAGTTACCGAGACGAGAGAACAAGTGTCGCAGGGCAATAATCTGCAATATAATGCCGTCGATCTACAGGCGGCAGGCCAGCGAATCCATGCCACTACACCGAGTTTCAACCTGAAATACGAGCTCAGGAAGTACAATGCAATACCGGAGAGCAACAACCATCGTGCCAATATTGAAGCGATTAAGCAGGCAAAGCAGATTATCATGAGGAAATGTGTGAAATAAGGGACAGTTGTATTCATAGCCATATCAAGAGCGATCCAGTAGTTCATACACTTCGTCCATGTCAAGACGACCATTGGAATCGTCTCTCCAGACCTCATTGTCCACGCCCACAACGTCCCTGAGAAATACAGCAAAGTCTAGTGCAGGCATTGTAGGCCCTGCCCCGTCATATCCACCTAGAGAATCTGGTGCAACATGAACTGGATCATTCCGGTCGACCCACCTGTCGACGCTGCTTGACCGAGGAAAAAATAAGTACTTAGCGCCTGTGCGAAGGAGCGCATGCGCAACCTCCCCGTACTCCCATTCGAGTGACTCGATCTCGTTGGGAACAGCAGCCATAATATCCTGTCGATAGTAATCATTCCGCGAATCCTTGGCCTCCATCCACAGCGAAGGGGTAACAGTCTTAGCAAGCTGCTGCAGCTTCCGCTCTCGTCGCTGGCTATCCGGTACAGGCTGTGTCTGCTGAGGTGAATTCAGTAGAAGCCGATCCCATAAATCCGGATAGTCAGCTACAATGCAGGCATAGAGACATCGGTGCAGTACATCCGGTCGTATGTGAGCCAGTCTCTCGTATGTCTCTTGACAAGCCTGTTGTGGGAACCAGATGTTCAGAGGCAGCAGCTCTTTGGGCATGTCTGCCGTGACCCAGGTAACATCATCCGACATGGTTCGGCGGCCGTTGATCGCTCGCTGGATAAGCGTTTCTTCCCACTTGGTGAACCTTGCTGTCACGGCGTTGGTGATTTGGTCGCTCCACCACTTCGCCCAGAACGGGTTGTGGTATATTCCCCGGATGATGCAGAGGAACTCGTCTTGGATCATTTGTGGTCGGCGGAGACGGGCGTATCGATCGATGTCGCCGGAGTATGCAGCCACCAGGATCAGTTTGTCCTTGTTTATTGGGGGCAGGTCCGTTGGAAGCGGCCCATATAAGAATGGGTAGTAGCTCTCCGGGGGATTACGTGCCTCGTGGTCGTGGTCGTCTATGCACCAGTCCTCTGTAATGTTAAAGTAATATGAGCGATAATGACCGCCGTAACCCTGGTGGAAATAATCAAGCTTGTCCGGCTCCAGATGTTCGCGTCCGCCCGTAAGGCTCGAATACACGGCTGTATCACCGTTGAGTGTTGCAGGCCGAGGGTTAGCAAGGTCGACTGTGCGTGCGTAATCGTTCATGATGGCGAACTTGAGTGGCTGTGCTGCGATATTCTCCCATATCTCTTCACTGCCCTTGTTGTTCCTTCCCACGGCCGCATGCCTGGCTTCTTCTGCGACATGGACTTCTGGAAGGGGATTGAGCTCCTTGTACAGGTTAATGTATCCCGCGACCGCACAGGCACGAGCTGCATGATAGAGCATGTTGGGATACTTTTCAACCAGAGCGCGGAGAGTATCCTGGCTTGGAATTTCTGGGTACCAGATACAGTATGGTATTTCGGCAGGGTCCGACTCCGACATTGTTGGGATAGTGCCGCTCATGATATCTCGGGCATTCAATGCACGCGTGAGATCTGGACTGACCCCATGCAGCTCGCGAGCAAAGCCAGGATGGTGTCGGATGCCACGAATGACACAAGCCCGAGTCAGCTCGTAGCCAAGTCCTATCGGGACCTTGCGGCCGTGGAGAGCGTCATTGCAGGACTCGGGGGTGTACTTTTTGATGTTGAGTCTGGTTTGGATGGGCAGCTGGTCCATGGGGGTCTGAGCCCTCCCCGGTTTGGTTTTCTTGACCATGATGAGCAGGTATACAGAAGTAAAGAGATTCGGAGAAAGAAGTATGCAGATGTGGAATGCATGTGGAATGCCAGCTATTTAACACGGACTGGCGCAGATCTGTAATAGCAGTTAATACCGCTAATGCTTGATGCTTTAGTCGGTGGGTCACTTTTTAACTTCCACTAATGAACACTTAGGTTAACCTGGTTATTCACTATCATAATCACATGAATGACTCATTAGTGCTAGTTTATGCTGTTCATCACTGCTCCACCAGGGCGGACGGACTGACTGCCCCGTGCCGAGCTGCGATCTATATATAACCAGTCAACTGCAACCTCTCTTAATGGAACTAACCATGCAAGCCCTAGTCGGAAACCGGTCGATCGTCACTCGACTCTCAAACTACATTTGCGGCAGCGCCTCTGGAGACGGCGTCAAGATTGCCACCGTTCCTGTCCCTGAGATCAACGACGACGAGATCCTCGTCCGAGTTAGATGCGTCGCTCTCAATCCCACAGACTTCAAGCATGTCGACGTTGTCGCCCCAAACGGAGCGATTATCGGCTGTGACTACTACGGTACCATCGCAAAGGTCGGCCCCAATGCGCCAGGGAATTGGGCGGTCGGTGACAGGGTAGCTGGCTGGACCCATGGCGGACTCTACCCTGATCGAGGCTCGTTCGCCGAGTATCTCAAGATCCCCGGCGACCTGGCCTGGAAGCCGCCGTCTTCTGTGAGCGACGAGGAAGCGACCACGTTTGGCGTCTCAGCAGTGACCGCCATGCTGGCCTTGAACGTCCGGCTCGGCGTTCCTTGGGTTGACAAAGGCCCAGTTACTGGAAAATCGAACAAACAAGTCCTGATATATTCCGGTGCAACAGCTGCCGGTCTCTACGCCATCCAGCTTGCAAAACTGGTGGGCTGGCAGGTTATCGCAACCGCGTCTCCTCGCTCCCATGACCTGGTAAAGGGGTACGGTGCCGATGACGTCTTTGACTATCGATCACCAACTGCCGTCGAAGACATTGTCCGGGCGTATCCCAAGATTGACAAGGCCATGGACTGCTTTTCAGAGGGCGGCTCAACCGAGTTCTGCGCCCAGGTTCTTCACAAAAGCGGGGGGCGAGTTGTCACGCTGTTGGATCCAGGGAAGACCGACATTGGTGGCGTTGACGTCGATTTTATGATGGCATACACCGTTTTCAATCAAGAGTTCCAGTGGCTTCCTCCGCTTGGGCCAAAGTTTGCCAGGAATTCGTCCGACCACGAAGCCCTGCGTCGATTCTACAGCTCGTTGGCAGATATATCGAAACAGCTCAAAACGCCACCACTCAAGAGGATTGATGGCGGACTGGAAGGCCTGCCTGCAGGTATGGACTTACTGCGCCAAGGCAAGGTTTCTGGTACGAAACTGGTGTCGTCTCTTGGTTGACGGATATGCCATAATTGGTCATTGACTGTAAATGATTTGACGTGGTAACACCTGAACAACACTTGGTTTGTTCTTTATATTTCTACGTTGTTGCTGTACTGTACGGCCCTGAGTGGAGGAAATATATATATATATATAAATGTAAAGATGATGTAAAGCACCACTGGGGTTTAGTACGGGAACTCCGCGATCCCTCACTCTATCAACACAATAAATATTAACATAATATATAGCAAAATTTAGTATCAAGAATTCAATTGAAGAACCGGGCCCTCCCGAATCCGGTTAGTGGGGAGTCCGGTTTTGTCGTCACAGGCTCATGGGAGCCGTCGCTGATTGGCCGTCACAACCCACCTTCCGAATCGAGTCAAACCTCGGCACATGGGAACCTAAGCAGCATCGGACTTATTATTGAACATTTTTGAATTTTGACATTTCTGCCTGTTCATCTCAGTCGATTGTCAACTGCACTGTACATACTCAATTGATTGGCACCATGCCGGCAGGGTCTCTGGTGTCCAAGGCGTGGGCTAAATATGGGATCGACTTCGGAACATTCCTGGTCATCGCCAAGTACGCCGCCCTCCCTGATCTAGGACTCGCTACTAACACACTGCAGGGGAGCGCTACCAGCAGTGATATGTGTTGCCATGTATGAGGCGAGGCCAGTTGCCAATTTCTACACCACTCTGGGATATCTCAACAGCATCGTAGCTGCCTTGGGCTTCAGCTTTCTGCCTCGAGCCAAGTTCCTCCAAATGTCAATTCTCAATGCGGTACGTCGTCTGCTCCTGCTCAAAGGCCCGGCTGAAACATTCTAGATTGGCATATGTATGGGAGCAGCATTCTCGCTGCTTATTATGTACTGCGCAACCCAGGCCCGGGTCCATACGACTCCCCCAGAAGAGATGGCGCAGCTGATGCAGGCACTTTCCGAGTCCGCATCAGATCCTTCACAGGGCAGCATACTGTCCCTGCCATACAACTCCTCGGCTTCAGCAGTTTGCGGTATCTGGCTCTTCTTCGGCATCTGGTGGGTGGTCCGAGCCATCACCTTTCAGATACTAATCGCTGATCAACTGTACCAGGATATCCACTTCCATGCGAGGTAAATGAAGCTGTCTTGTTGGCGAACACCCGTTTTACTGATTCGACCGCAGCGAGACGCCCGCAACTGATCTTTCCTGTCGTTATGTTCAGTATAGTCATCAATGTCTCTGCAACTTACGGCACTCTCCTTCCAACAATGGAGATGTGCGAGCTGTTTGTGAGGGAGGTACTATTAAGCATGCTCACCGGCCTGGGAGTATCGTTTGGTGTCGGGATATTCTTCATTCCCATCACGTCCCGCGTATCTGCGCGCAAAATGATTTTCGGATACATCACCCTGCTCAAGCACACCATCCGTGCCGAGCAGGAGCAGGTGAAGCTTTTGAAATCACGCCGGATCTATCGAGTTGAAACTTCAACTACATCGGTGCAGATGCCTTCAAACAAGCGCGCCAGTGTAGCGGACACTTTGCAACAGCTCGCATCCACACATCGGGCACTTGAAACGGAAATCAACTGCATCGCGCGGGAAGTAGAGTTCAACAGACTGAGTACTGACAATTTTAGGGAAATATTTTCCAACCTTGGAGCAGTAGCGTTCCAGATTCGAGGCCTTGATACCATTGCAGATGCACTGGAACAGAACGCGACCATCCAGGAGCAGCGTATGAATGAAGGTTCCGATATAGCAGGTGACAGGGGCAGTGAAGAGTCCAATAATAGTCAGCTATCCGTGGCAATCTACCGGAATGCCAATAGTTTGTTCACCGAGGTGGCCGGGCTAGTGGAGGAGTCCCTCGATCATTTCCTTATCACCTTCCAAATGGGGCCTTCTTCGCTAAGGAAGAAGCAGAAGCATAACGGTACAGCCGATGACACGCGCGACCCTTGCTATTTGCCTGGCGGGGGTTCGTTTTCGACTTATCTGGAGCAGAAGCTACATAGTATCCACACTCAGGCGCTGGAGAATTTGCAGAATGTACGATTGCTTTCACAGCGACAGCACAAGGGCGGTAGCACTGAAGATATATCTCATGGCCTCGACGGTTCGAGTATTGAAGAGCTGTATCTTTTACTTCACGTATGTCTGCTTGATGCGCTGCTTGCTACCAGCTTTCTCACTTTGTTTAGATGCAAGCCATGCTTCAGTCGACTGGAAAATGCGCTCTTATATTTATCCACGCAGCCGACCGAATAAGAGGAGATGAAAAGGCGTTTAAGAATGCTCTCCGATATCCGACTCTCCCAACATTGAAGCATTGGGTAGGCAGTCTGCTTATGACACACACCACCGATATCTACAGCATGGATAGATCGGCCAAGTTGACCTTTGGAGATCTGTACCACGGCATGAAAGATGCTGAGCGCGAGCACCCTGAGACGTGGTGGGAGCTGTTGGTCTCCGGCTTCGAGAAGATATACCGTTTCCTAGGCTCCGAAGACTCTCAACTCGGATTCCGTGCAGCATGTGCAACCATGTCCATTGCAATCGTGGCTTTTCTGGCATCCAGCCAGGTGTTCTTCATCAAGCAGCGCTTGATATGGGCGACAATCACAGTACCTGTGGCTCTAACAACATCTTCGGGGTCCGCCACTCGCGGCCTATTTTGGCGAGTTGTTGGAACTGTGGCAGCAATGGTTCTGTCTATCGTCAATTACTATATTGTGGATGGAAGAACTGCGTACATCCCCCTATCCTTCCATCTTCTGTCCAATCATATTGCTAACTTTGATAGCGGTATAATTGTATTCCTATTCGTCTTCCTCTGCTTCGGTATGCTATCAATAATCACATTACTGGAATGCCGCATCTAACATTGGCAGATATGTACATCATGGTCAAGTTTCCGCGATACCTGATTGCTGGCTTGCTAGGCCTCGTTACCCAAGTTCTTATCATTGGGTAAGTGAATGGATCAAACCACTGTCTTCAAACGCGTAACTAACTTACCAAACAGTTATGAACTGCAAGTCCGTAAGATTGGCCAGCAAGTAGCAGAAACAAGCGGCCAGCCGGTCTATCCGATCTATGAGATTGCTCCTTACCGTTAGTGGATACCTTCAAAATAATGCTCTTCCTTTGCTGATGCCTATTTACATCGGATAGGACTTCTCGCTGTTATAGGAGGCTGCTTCGCTGCGTTCATATGGACAATATTCCCCTCTGCAGTCACTGATGCGTACCGAATTCGCACCAAGCTGGGCCTTTCATTAGACTTGCTTGCCCAGTACTATACATGTTCACAAGTAGTATGGGACATTGACCTGAGAGCTTTGGCTGAGCCCGATAGCCCAGCCCCAAATGCATGGCAGAGGGAAGAACTTGTCAAGATGAGAACCAATGTATTTTCAGAGATCCTTGTTCTTCTTGAGGAGGTCAAGCTACACTTGAATGATTCATTCTGGGATCCACGGCTGGGTGGAAAGTTTCCAAAGAAAAAGTACAGCGAAATAACCTACCAGATCCAAAGGCAAGTGCAGCAACCTTGGTTATTATATGCTCTCTGACCGGCTGCTATAGCATCGTGAGCCATCTTGGGCTGATATCGACCACGGCCAACTTACTACCAGACGCTTTAAAAGAAGATGCTCGGCCGAAGTCAGACACGGATTGGAGGAATAATCTCGTGCAGCTCCTGCTATCGAGGCGGTCGGATGAAGTTGTCTGTACCTTTTCGATGCTCGCATCATCCCTAAGTGATGGAAAGCCTCTTCCGCCTTGTTCTGTGCCAGCCCTATACAACACCTCCCCTGACATGAATCAGTTATTGCCTCTCGGCCATATGGCGGAGCCAGGATTCATTGTCTATGCTGCTCCGCGGGTTGTTTCGGAACTATGGAGGAACCAACTCCAGAGCGTTGTCGAGTAGGTTACTGCGTGAACCCTGCTGTAGTTCCTGCTAACTGTCGTCCTAGCAACGTTCGATATTTAGTTGGAGAATTCAGATTCTCCATCCTGGAGTCGACCTACTATGCATAGAAACCAGAACATAGTTTGCAGAGGAGATGAGATGGGGTGAGCAATATAGAAACATCGAGCCCTGGTACATACTACTGGCGGATTGTAACTATCATGGAGAATACCCAACATATTCTGTATAATGGGGAGTACAGTTAGCCATACTACCCCCAATACTGCTCAGAAGAATTCAGCCATGAAGAATGTCTCTGCTCCACATTATTTGATGGGGATCACAAGGGCCATTGTTCAACTATCACCTGAATTGGAGCAAAACTGAACAACGAAGCCACTGAAATAACTGGCCCCCACTGCGGCAGGTATTAGCACTTCACCAGCAAACTCGTGCGCCCACATATGCCCGTGCAAAAGTAGAATCTGGGCCGCCCGTCCTAGAGGAACGGCGTGAGTGTGCAAGGACCGCCGTCGTAGCGCGAACAAGCAAACACCGGGGGTTGGGCTGGGCCAAGGTGCCTGTCTCTGCGAAGCCGCGAATCCGGTACCAATTGGTATTAGTTGTCCTTGATTCATATGATGAAGCTTCAATAGGCTGCCTCGGCTGTTTCTCTACACGCATATCCTTGAGTTCTAACATCAGGCATCTCGGCCACGCATGCAGACGTCCCAGACCCTTGCATAGGTGCAGGAATTAAGATAATACCCTGGACTTTCTGTGGAGACCTTCTCTGGGTCCTTCGAACCCCGGGGCAACGGACTATCCGAGGCCCTGTGGGTCCTGCAGAATGATGCTGCGGGCGGATGGATTGTTGGCCCGACTGCGCTGCCACCAATTGGTCAGACCAAGGTTCTATAAAGAATGGCGTGCTGTAGATCGGTGGCATGGGACAAGGAATGGCACGGGCAGAGGAGGACTGCACATGTTTCCACTCTATCTCGCAGATCGTAACAATTCAACCCCAGCTCGGTCCACCGCATGATACACCGAGGCATATAGGTAACCCATTATTTAAATGGATGGGAACTTCCCCGTTGAGTTCTAATCACCAAACCAGCTGTAGCATTAAACTCCATATTGCTCCACAGCTAAGAACCCCAACGCAACAAGAAGGCTTCGTTATGGGACCAGGTATCAACGAGCCCCTCAGGCTACCATGCGGTTTGCTGCTACCCAATCGCCTGGTCAAGGTAGGTCGGGGATACGACCACGATTCAGGTCACGGACGGCAATTGACCGTTCTCTAGGCTGCTATGGCTGAAGGCCTGGCAGATACCGGTTATTTACCAGGCCCTAAGATATTGCAGGCCTACGGTGAATGGGCCAAGGGCGGATGGGGAGCTCTTCTCACAGGTAACGATACTTATTCAATGACTGCCGGCGTGGGTTCCGCATTGGTTCTGATGATACGGCAGGAAATGTACAGGTTGATGTCCGTAACCTAGGTAGTTATGGCGACCTAGCTACTCGCGAGTATGGAGAAGATGAGCATCGGGTATTGCAGACGTGGAGGCAATATGCAGATGCCTGTCAGCATCACGGCACGCCCGCAATGGCTCAGATATGCCACCCCGGCCGTCAGTCCCCGAGAGGTGCAGGTGAAAGGGGCATATTTGGGAAGACGATTGCGCCAAGTGAAATTTCGCTTCATATCGGGAATGGACTGGCTGCAACACTTATCAGGAAACTCGTTTTTGGGGTGCCAACTGCTATGTCCTATGCCGATATTGATCATGTCATCGCGCAGTTTGTCAATTGTGCCCGCACGCTGGCCGACTGTGGCTTCTCCGGCATCGAGATTCACGCAGCTCACGGTTATCTTCTATGTAAGCGTGCCTTTTCTTCGTCCTGTGTAACCCTTACTGAGATTCGACGCAGCGCAGTTTCTCTCCCCACGAGTGAGTACTAAGTACCCCCTCGTACCCGCCGGATATAGCCACTATTTCGCTAATGTCGGGTGACACAACCGCAGAGCAACGTTCGCGAGGATGACTATGGGGGGAGCGCTGAACGGCGAGCGCGTATTGTTGTTGAGATCATACGTCAGATTCGAGGCGCAGTCCCCGATAGTTTTTGCGTTGGCATCAAGCTGAACTCGGCCGATCACAACGCATCTGATTTTGAAGACACCATGACTCAAATTCGTCTGTTTGCGGATGCAGGTGTAGACTTCCTTGAACTGTCTGGCGGGACCTATGAAGACCCAACGGTACGGAATTTCGACACCTGACCAGTAGATGGTATATCAAGACACTGATAATGGTTACGTGTCCAGATGATGGGTCGTGGGCTCAAAGAGGAATCGGGAGACGCTAAAAGCCAAGGCACGGAGTCTCGTGAGGCTTTCTTCATAGATTTCGCACGCGAAACGAGAAAGAGGCTTCCTCAGCTTGTTCTTCTACTCACCGGGGGGTTTCGGACTCGCAAGGGAATCGAGGCGGCGTTGAAAAGTGGCGTATGTGATCTCGTTGGCATTGGCCGTCCAGCGGTTCTGCGTCCTGACTTTCCACGGCTGGTAATGGACGACGTATACAGCGATCAGGAGGCGAAGGTGGTATTTAGGAAAGTGCCAGTCCCGTTTCTGGCACGGCTGCTGCAAATCCGCATACTGGGTGGCGGCGCGGAGACGGTAAGTCTGATCATATTTCTTGGGCAAGGTGCAATATTAACATGGCATAATATAGCAATACTTCCAGAGCCAGATTCACCGGATAGCAGCTGGTCTGGCAACATATGCACCATAGCCCCGTCGTTTGGTTAGAGGCAGCAACACGATATTCAGCGGGTTACTTATCATATACCATTATACATCTCTATATACTTTATTGTTTGATAACGGGGAAACTCCGACTGTTCGTCGGACGGACGATCTCCGGTGGCAAGCGAGGTTACAGTCACTTCCCCGCATAATGTCGATCGTTGAGAATAAAGGATCGGGGAGAAGACACTTATTTAAGACATTTTTAAGAATAAAGGAAACAGGGGGTGTATTACTGCTGCGCCATGGCTCCCAACGCAGGCTTCGGCCTGGTGATGCAGAATCCGTATCTATGCGGCGTGGCTTCGGTATATTACCTTGTATATATATAAAAAAGATACTAACACGGTCAGTTCTCGACCCTCGGTGGTCTGTTGTTCGGCTACGACCAAGGAGTCATCAGCGGCGTCATCACCATGGAGTCGTTTGCAGCTCTGTTCCCTCGAGTCTTCTCTGACAGCGGATTTAAAGGCTGGTTTGTATCCACGCTTCTCTTGGGTAAGTCGAGGCTATCTGGGTTCTGGCTCAAGCTGACCTGTCCAGCTGCATGGCTTGGCTCCCTGATCAACGGACCTGTGGCCGACCGGTTGGGTCGAAAGCTGTCCATTAACCTGGCAGTTGTTGTGTTTATCATTGGGTCTGCTATCCAGTGCGGCGCAGTGAACATCCCGATGCTGTTCGTTAGTAGGTGCTATTAACTGCGACTCTGGACTGGGGCTGATTGTTTAGGCCGGGCGATTGCTGGGCTGGCAGTCGGTATGCTGACCATGGTGGTGCCACTGTACATCTCCGAAGTATGTCTTTATTCTAGCATGCTGTCTTCTCTGCTAACAGGGTACAGGTTTCCATCCCTGAAATCCGTGGGGGCCTTGTTGTGGTCCAGCAATGTTTGTGGCCATATCTCTATCTACCCATGCTCTCGCTAACTGTCCAGTGTCGGTGACCATCGGTATCCTGATCAGCTACTGGATCGATTATGGCACCAACTACATCGGTGGCTCGCGATGCGCCCCAGATCGTCCTTACACTGGGGGCACGACAGCCAAACCCGCCTTCGACCCATACAACGATGTCCCAGCAGGCGGGTGCACCGGCCAGTCCGAAGCTTCGTGGCGTCTCCCATTAGCCATCCAAATTGTCCCTGCCTTGGTCCTTGGTGTTGGCATGCTCTTCTTTCCAGATTCCCCTCGCTGGCTGCTGATGAAGGAGCGCGACGATGAGGCCCTCTCGGCCCTCTCGCGACTCCGTCGACAACCCCGCGACAGTCTCCCTCTGCAGAACGAGTACCTGGAGATCCGGGCGTCGATCATGCTTGAAAATACCTTTGCTCGGGACAGATTCCCTAATGTATCCGGGGTTAAACTCCATGCTGCTCAGGTATGTCTGTTCCTTGCTCTGAGAAATGTGATACTGACTGATATGCCAGTATATGTCGTTGGTCACAACGTGGGCACACTTCAAACGGCTGGCTATTGGATGTTGCGTGATGTTCTTCCAGCAGTTCATGGGCTGCAATGGTACGTATCCCTAACACAGATGTATCGCAGTATTAATTTGAGCAGCGATGATCTACTATGCGCCCACGATATTCGGCCAACTTGGCCTCGACGGCAACACCACCTCGCTCCTTGCCACCGGTGTCTACGGCATCGTCAACTGTCTCAGCACCCTGCCAGCTCTTCTCTTCATTGACAAGGTTGGTCGGCGGGTTTTACTAATGGCCGGTGCTACCGGGACCTGCATTTCTCTGGTCATCGTAGGTGGCATCCTGGGGGGTTACGGCGCCAGTCTGGTGGATAACAAGTCGGCTGGCTGGGCCGGCATCGCCTTCATTTATATCTACGACATCAACTTTTCGTACTCCTTTGGTAAGTTTCTGACCCTATTGGCAGTGGTACCCCAGGCTGATGTAAGTATAAAGCCCCTATCGGGTGGGTTCTTCCTTCTGAGATCTTCAACCTGTCAATTCGGTCCAAAGCGATATCCATCACCACGTCAGCCACCTGGATGTGCAACTTGTGAGTCTCCTTGTTTCTGACAATTCGCTCTATTCCTAACAAACTGCAGCATCATCGGCCTTGTCACACCAGATATGCTCGACTCCATCTCTTGGGGGACCTACATCTTCTTCGCAGCCTTTTGCCTCCTGGCCCTGGCGTTTACATTCTTCTGTATTCCGGAGACCCGCGGCAAGGTATGAACTCTATTCTATTATTCTGCTAAACAATCTGACCGGATTTCAGACTCTTGAAGATATGGACCTCATCTTTGGAGATACGGCGGCGCACGAGGAGAAGCAGCGTATCAAGCATATTGAGGCAGAGCTGCGAGGGGTGCCTATTGAAGTTGATGAGGGGTTGAAACCAGTTGAGCAGCATACCGAGGTTGTGGATTGAACCTATACGTCCCAGGGTTTTTACTGCTTCTACGGGGGTGATGCCGTTCAGAAGTATTATACGTGGGAGGGGCCTTTCTATATTCCATATGTCCAGTTGTGATGTAAAACAAACACCAATATCGAATCAGGGTATATCCTACTGAGGCAACCATGCTACTTGTCTATTACATTAGAGAGCCCGCGAAGAAGCCAGGAATGGCATGAATTCGGCCGTCATTGGAAGTCATATCCTAGACTGCATTTAACATACACTAAGCCGTCTCGTTGTGGGAGACAGCAGGGCCAGCACTGGTCTTCTCGTTGCGATACAGCTCCTCCTGCTCGCGATCGTACTCCTCGGCGAACTTGCGTCCGTACAGACCGATCTTGTACCAGGGCAGCGTGAACATCTTGTCGATAGTCTCGAGGCTGCGACCGGCTGCTTCGGGCACAAATAACCAAACCCAGACAGCACCAAGAATGGAAACGACACCAAAGAAGTAAAAGGTTCCATGAGGGCCAAGGCCACCATCGACGAGCAGCATCTCTGGCAGGGCACGGTTGACGGCGTACTGGCAGATAAAGTGCATGGCCATCGTGATGGATGAGCAGATACCACGGATGCGAAGAGGAAACAGCTCGGAGGACAGCAGATACTGACCGCTGTTCCATCCAAGGGCCCACCCTACGCCAGAGAGATAGATGAAGGCGATGGCGGCGGTTGAGGCCCGGCTTTGCGTCTCGTTGGGCACAAAGTCGGGGTTGTTTGCAATGGGGATGATGTTGAGGAAGATGGCAATGTAGAACATGGCAACAGTCTGCAGTGCAATACCGATGATAAGGGCACGTTTACGACCGGCCATATCGATCAGGAAGAGCGCGCAAATGAGAGCGGCGACCAGCTTAACGACCCCAAAGACGACGGTAGAGAAAAGCGACTGCTCCTGGCCGGTGATACCCACCAGCGTGAACAGGTCGGGGGCGTAGACAGTGATGGCAGAGCCACCGGACCAGCAAGCCATGTTCTGGGCCAGATTCGTGAGGAACAGCCGATAGGAGTTTTGCTTGATGGCGAAGATCTCTTTGAACAAGCCCATCCAGCCCATGCCAGCAGTGGCTTCCATCTCCTCCTGGAAGGAAACATCCATTTCAGATATCTCGTTAAGGACATATGGGTGGTCGGCGGGCAGGCCACGGAACTTGCACAGAACTTCCAGGGCCTTCTCACGCCGGCCTCGCTTGATATAGTAACGAGGGGACTCGAGCTGCAGGAAGGTGAGGAGCAGGGTGATTCCGGCGAACATGAGGTGCAGCGACGTGGGGACAGCCTAGACAAGGGAATATATTAGAAACCGGCTAACAAATTAAAGCATCGGAATGGTAGTGACATACCCAACGGTTGAAAGTGTCTGCCATGTGAAGCTCAGCGCCCCAGTTGGCAAAGTACGCAAGCATAATACCACTGCGCCATATTAGCACCGCAAGCGGAAAAGCAGAACTGGAAGCAACTCACAGGTATACAGCACCAGTGAACATACACGTGCAGAGACCTCGAATGGGGGCAGGGGAAATTTCAGAGAGATAGATGGGCCCGACGACACAGGTCTGCCCTATCCCAAGACCAGCAACGAAGCGACCCGCGTAGACGGCGCCCATGTTGCCGTTGTTCCCAATAAAGATGCCAATACCGATGATCCAGAGACAGCAGAGCTGGCGAGTCGCCCAGACACGGCCAATACGATCGCAGACTAGAAAGGCGCTGTGATACAGGCATGGTCAGCAAACGCTGGGGTGGAGAAAATAATAGAGTGCTTTGAAGACTTACAATAGAGCACCGGCGACGCTTCCCAGCTGGACCATGGATGAAATGGTGCCCTTGACGCTGGCAAGCGCACCCTCGTCGAGGTCATCAATGCCGAGTGACTGCTTGAAAGCGTGCGAGTTGAAGACGCCGGTGATGAGACCCTCATCGACACCACGGGCGGCACCGAGCAGACCAAAGGCAAAGACGGCGAACCAGAGCTTGAAATTGAGGGTCTCCTTGGGCAGTCCGCCCGTGTTGAACTTGAAAACGTTGATAGCAGAGCCCCCAGCCATGGCGAATGCTGTTCCTTGCTGTGTAAGAGGGTAGACCAGCAGGCATGGCGGGGTCTTTTATAGCCCCAGAACCATGTGTCTGGCAGCAACAAAGAAGCACCGATAGCCGGCCAAAGGGTCTTGTGAGATATGTGCCTCATGCTGCTGTTCTCAGCTTGGTATTATCTCCGGCACGCCGTCATTCGCCATCAACGCAGTCGAGCCAAAGCAGACCCCACGCCAAGTAGCCCAAGCATCCCCATCTCCAGGCTGGGGCGAATCAGGGTCTGCCCCGAGCCAGATGGCGCTCCCCAGGGTCTCAGACCCCGCGGAGAAGGATCGCAAATCCCTTCTCCAATTCCAGCCGGACAACTTCCGAGAGCGCCTCAATCGTTGGCTGACGCGGAGAAACATCGGGACTGGCAGTGGAAGGGGGAGTTATCAAGAAGCACCGAAAGAAGACAGCAGACCAGACAATATGCAGCTGGGCCAAACCGCCAGGAAGGACAGCTCATGCCACAGAAATACCGAACGCCTGCCGTCGAGTGGTTAACTGGAAGAAAGGGACAAGCTCTCTCAGCCCGCCTTCGCAGGACTTGGCTCGCTCTGACTGCCCCGATGGTCGCACTCGGCATTGTTGAATCTCGAGCAAGGGATTCGGCTTGCTCTGTGGCACAGCCACACCCCAGGTCAACTGTTTCCAAAGCATGGTTCACACGTGGTGTCCCAACGACGCAGTTTGCGGTGTAGAATGCAGGTATGGAACCCTCCATCGGGACTTCTCGCGCAACGAGACACTCCGCCCATTTTCGTGCCCCAGAAATACAGCTATCCTGCGTTCTTCCAGCTCCGTGATTTGCACGCGCTGGGTGTTCTCCAACACTGAGCAGGGTTGCATGTGGAGCCTCTTTGAACACAGTGGCAACCCGCTCGGTCTGGATCAATGGCTGCTGTCCAGGGCAGTCCGTCTTGGCCAGGCCAGCACAATCCCTTGCGTAACAGGAATCCCTCGACTCCTTGGCAACGGGCGTCGATTGGGTGCGTCGAGCTGCTCCCAATACGCCAAGTGCCAAGTGCTTGACGGGATCAGAGATCGCGGCTTGGCCCCAGCGGTGCCATGGGCGCCACGGCAGTGGTAATAAAGCTTCTGCTCGCGCTTTGTCTCCTGGTGATGTGCATCGGAAACATTCGGGACGGGATGCTTGGTATGCGCTCCAGCGTTTCAATCTCAAGCATTAGGAGGCCACCAAATAATTGTCAACCCACAGATGACTGGTTCTTGAAACCTCTGCATGCTGTGCTGTTTGAACTGGATACCAGGCAGCTGCCCAATACCGCGTGATGCGAGTAGATTTATATATTCCTAATCATCGACAGGTATATATATAAATCACCACCATCCGTAATCATCTACCTAGACCGGACAGTCGGTTGGCCGATCATGAACAAGGTAGCCATTTCCAAGTGGCCTCAATGGTGGTGACAGCCCAAATTATCGTTACTGTGGACTGGCATGTTTGTTTCTGATATTATCTGGCGTTTCGGGGCCGAAGGTTATCCTCTTGCCCATCTCGTCGGCTATATTATTATCGGTACTCGATTTACATGGTAACCAGGCGATGTGGGACATTCTATATATGTCTTCGTCGGCTGAGGAAACAGTTTCGACATTGAACGAGTTATTCAGACAACATACTAGGTTAATATAACAAACTCTGGGTTTGCCGCTTGCTATGTTCCATTAGCATCTGCTTGCAGAATGACCCTTGAATAATCTAGACCCACAACACAACACTAAACAGAACCAATATCTTGCGATGAGCCAAATCCACACTACGGAAAACACAGAAACCATGGACTTGTCACGCCAACAGATCAAGCATGCATGACACTTTCGTACTGGCCTACCTAGGCTTCCTTCACGTGCGGTCAAAAGGGTTTATTTCAGCTCCCCATCCCCGACACAGCGCTTGAGAGGATAGGAGTCACCCAAACAGGTGGTAACAACGCCCTTCACCCAGGACAAGGAGTTCTGGCCGTAGGAATAGGTATCATGTGTGAAAGAGTCCGCCTGGTAGTACTCATACTGCCCATTTCCGGGCTGTCCGTTGAAGACATATCCCTTTTTGCGAAGGGTCAATGGGTTGCTCACGATAGCGCCCCATCTGTTCTTCGGAATTGTCATGGTAACCGTGCCGGTGAGAGTTGCAGTCTCGGTATGCCCAACATCGATACTGTAGCCGACTTGAAGGAATTTCTCAATGGTTGCCTGGAACGAGGTCCCAACAGTGATACTGTTGGCGACCATCTGGCCTTGTGCCATAGCGACGGTGGCTTCGGCCTCGTTGGCGTGGACTATGGTGGACATCGAGATGTCCCAGCCGAGGAATTCTTCGTCAGGAAGGGGAATGATAAACTGGGCACCATCGCGCTTGTTCAAACGGCGTGAAGGAGCCAAATGTTCATCTCCGGTGTTAATGAACTTCGGGAGAGAATCGGTAGTGGGGGGCGAGAGAGAGACTCTAGGTAAGTGGGCGCCCAGGTCTCTCTTATCGACGGTCTTTGATGTACCATCGTGCAGGAGGAGAATGGCTTTGTCCGAGGGCAGTGCACTACCAAGTGCGCCACCGGAACAGAGAGAAGCAAGTACGAAAAGGGCCGCCTTCATGCTGCTGGTTTTGACAAGGCTTTTGAAAAGCGAACGGATGTAAGGATAGAGGTGGAGAGGAAGTGATATTTTGAGATGAGGTCGGGAACGAGAGGCGGCTTTATCTAGCTATATCAACACCGTACTACTGGAGAAACTGTCCGCCGTTGGACCGGTGTATGACCAGGGGTGGTTCAACATACTCAGGCATTGTCAAAACCGACCCAGCTGGTTGTTGAACGCCCATGTCAGTCGCTGAAGGATCGGCCTGTTTCACCTTGACAAAACTCCGAAGAGTCTCCGTGAGTCTATACCCAGGGTGGCGGAGGAGGAGGAGGCCATAGTGGAGATGCATGACGATAGCTTAATACATTTAACTTCCGGCTAGAGTTGTCAAGGATAAACGTCTCGTAGATCATCACCGGTGGACCCGTCAACTGAAACCATTCAACGGTCTAAATGCGCATTAATATGACCCTTGACTGGTAGTGGCGGATGCTGCGGATCTGAAGAAGTGCGGTCCACGAGGTTCTTGAAACAGAAGAACTCCATCACAGCCACGCAGATTGTTCATTGGTGTTGCTGGCGAACCCCCCCCCCCCCCCCCGGTACCTGAATATATGCCACTGTTATTTATCCATATTTTGGACCCTGAAGGCTGACGAAAGCCCTGCATATCCACCTTGTAATTAGGGAAAGGACTGAGACACGTCCCACTTGGAGCTGCGTTCCTGGACGAGAGAAGTAATAACCAGGGTCAGACGGAGTACACTCGGAGAATCCTTCAAGCCCTTGTCTGGGATTGTCTCACTCGAATAAATCGCATGAGTGTGACTTGGATTCCTGGTGTACAAGTTGGATACAAAATTAACCTATTTCCAAGACGAAAGCCCTCAAAATTACAACCACCGTCCCAGTCTTCAACACATACATTGAGAATTGCCCCTTCGTCATGAAGCTCACATCTTCTTCACTCATCATCGCTGCTCTTGCTGCAGGGTGAGCTATTGTGTCGACTGATCCGTCGAGAGAAGTGTTAACTGGCCACAGTGTCATCGCAGACCTCCATACTCAAGGTGTTTGTATTGACACCCCTGGCGAGGGAGTGGTGGGTAGCCCTATATAGAATGCTCCAGGAAAGCACGCGATTGACGTTTTAATAGGAGGTTTACAACAGAGCCACAACGGAGAAGGCCTGCGAGGCTTATAAAAACCGAAACACTGGTAACGAACAATGGGACCAGTGCCCCGATTGTACAATACTCAACGAGAAGGATCTGCTCTACTATTGCGAGTCTAAAGAGGGCCATATCGGAGGAGACGAATTGAACTATTACTGTACACAAAACGGCGCGGGAGACAGTGTTGCATGGTAGGAATAGCGGGTGTTGCGAGATTCCCATCCCTTGCATGGCTCCTTGCATTGCCTTGGTGGTGAGAGTGGGTTGGACGTGCTTTTTCCCTTGGCCACGTACCCGTGATGGAAGGGAGTGATGGATTGTTTGGATTTCAGCGTCGGTGTACTTTAGTGGCCGTTGGATACAATAAGCCATGGTAGATATTACTGGTCTCCTGCCAAGCGTCGTGCTGTTTTGATGGTTTTCAGCTGCTGCTAGAGCTTTTCCTCCAACCCCATCCAGCTCGATGAATGAATCAAAGCCGAGGCTCGTCTCATTTGGCCTTCAGTGACAAATAGAGGTGCAGAATCTGCCCGGAATTCTGGTCAGGGTCACCGAAGCCGAGTGATGCAGCCAATAATCAGGAACTCCTTCTCCTTGAGATCAACATTCACCAAGCAGATCAATAGTTCGGATGATCATCCCAGGACGACAGGCACGAAGGAAAAGCTGGCTTGAGCCAACCCTCTCTGGGCCAATTAAATCCCACTATCGTGTCAGTGCGAGATGCGGCGGGCTGAAAAAAGGCACGCGTGCTCGAGAGAGCTGGTTGAAATAGGAGCTCCGCTGCCTGTCTGCAGCATCGTCAAGCAAGAATCACTGGAGCATCGACTTTCAACATGCTGTCTCACGCTCTCAAGTCGCTCGTGGCTATACTGGCCTTGGGCACTGCTGTCACATCAGCAGCCAGCTCCCAGGCGATCATGAGCCGTCGTGTCACCGAGTATTTGATGCCGGTCACTGCTCAAACGCATGAACCTGCACGCGTGCCGAACACAAACTTCGTGCTGTTGACCCAGATGTCAAGCAGTGAGCTTGTCAAAATCGAGCTCGATGCAACCACCGAGGAGCCCATCGCGTACCAGTCATTTCCCATGGGCAAGAACAGCAGCTCGATGCTTCATGGTGCCTGGCCGTCCGCGAAATACCCCGGTCTAATGTGGCTGTCCCTCCAAGGCGACAACAAGCTGATCCTCGTCGACCCTGGCAAGGACCTTGAGACTGCGCCGCAGATCAAACACACCATCAACATCCCCAAGCCCGGCAAGGGTCCTCACTGCGTGTTTGAGATTGGGAACCGTGTCTGGGCCGGCCTCAAGGAAGCCTCTACGCAAACCGGCCAGTACTATGCCTTCTCTGCCGATCTCCGCAACTCCTCCGACTACAAGCTATACCAGTCTCTCAACAGCCCTGTTTTCATCAGAGAGGAGCCCACCACCGGCCTGATCTACGTGACACAAGACAACGACTCGTCCATCATGCGCATCGATCTCACCACCGATGAGACAACACAGATGCCAATCCCCCCCCGCGTCGGCAACAACGCTGTTGGCATGATGTCTGCCACTGGCCCCCTCAGTGGTGTCTGGTTCACTCTTGCTGGGAACGCGACCGGCGGTACCGGCACCTTCGGCCACATCGGTGCGGATGGCAAGATGAAATTCTTCTCCCTTCGACACAAGGTTCTCGGCGGCAATGCTGGCCTGCTCCATGTCGCGGATGCCTCGACATCGGACGAGCCAGCACTGTGGCTCCTGTCCACCTCACTGCTCAGCACCGACTCGCCCGATGCCCTAATCCGCGTCACCTTCGACCAATCCGTTTCCACTATCAAGGGCGAGGAGTATATCTCACTACCAACACAGAATGCCAAGACCCACCGGGTGCTCGTCTTGGACTCATCTGTTTTAGTTTCGGAGCTTAACACTTTCGCCCTCGCCCAGCTCAAGTACGACAACACCGTTGCAGGGCAGTGGCTGCCATCTAAGGTTGTCGGCGACACCAAGGTTTACGATGAGGCAGGCTAAATGGCGAGACCTTTTTACCGAGAGAGATTAGACATATATATATCTATAATTGTACTGGTGTTGATTGAGGCCAACTATAGTTCACAATGTAGACTATCTTCGGGGGTGTGCATTCTTTCTCAAATAGGGCAGCCATCGAGGCAGAAATAGAGTATACTAAAATACTACTATGCATTGGTGACGTCCCGAGATTGCCCAGGCATGGTGTGGGCACTGGTCGCAACTCATTGAAGAGCCCATGAGGAAACGATACCTTCGCGAGCAGCTGGCCTCTCTGTAGCGCTGGCCCGGGCATTCCATCCAGTCGAGAATCGAAATTAAACCTTCACCCAAAGTTCCCGTTTCTGGAACATCCTAACAGCAACAAAAAACACCAACCCGACAGCCACAACGACCGCCGAAAACACTTGCATGTAGCGATAATCCTCCGCATCGGCAGTCTCCTCCCCGCCGCCCTGAATAAGCGCGCCACTAATCGGATTCCCCGTAAGACAAGCAAAGCTCGCGACAAAGTACGTCATGCCAACGCGCACGCCGATTTCTCTTATATCAGAGATCTGAGCAATGCACGCGGGGAGCAGCGAGATGAATGACCCTGAGCCCCAGCCGTAGAGTATTGCGAAAGCGATTGTTGTGCCGGATGTGTTTATGAACCAGAGCGCGAAGATAAATATTACGATGCTTGCGACGTTGATGATTATTGTGTTGAAGAAGCCGTATTTGTCTGCTATTAGGCCGCATAGGATGCGCGCGAGGACGCTGTACTCGGGTATCAATAGTTAGCATGGTTCTTTTGCTCGGAATTGTGCTATCCGGAGAAAAAAAAACCCACCTCGAGGCGTTTAGAATAACAAGTTGATAGTTTGATAGGTTTGTTGACATGCCAAGGCTTTCGGCGTAAACAACGATATAGTTGATTGGGATAAAGACTCCCCAGAAGACGAAGAAAGCAGCTAGGGCGAGCAAAACAAATTTCAGCTCGGTGAATGGGTTAATGAATGTTCTGAAGGAGACCGGCGTTGGTTTATGATGGAGATTTGAGGTCGTCACTAAGCTGGCAAAGGCGAGGAGGATAAGGAAAGTCAGAGCGAGCGCGCGTATTGTCCATCCAAAGCTTAAGCCATCTGCAATGAGGTTGTTGAACATAATTCTGCGAGCAGTATGCGCCATTAGAGAGTGAAGTGGGTTTCTAGGTGTTGAGTAGAAAGACCTACGGCTGAATGACACCACCCAAAGAGGAGCCGCTCGCGACGATACCGATAGCCAAAGCCCTTCTCACCTTGAAATAGGTACTGACAGCGTTCATTCCCGAGTAGAACAGAGAACACGCCCCAATACCCGACAGGATACTCTGCGAAAGGAAGATCTGGTAATATTCATCGCTGAGGCTGAGAAAGACGAGTCCAAGAATATGAGCAGTTGCGCCTACGATAACGGCGAAACGGGGCCCATAGTCGTCAAAAATCTTGCCGAAGACCGGAGCGAGAACTATAAGCATGAAGACATTGGCTGACGGGATCCAAGACACTGACGACGAGGAGTAGGAAGAAAGTTGGTTCTGGGAATAGTAGGCCTGAAAGACCCCAATGCTGCTTGTCCAGCCGAAGGAGGCGAAGTTGCAACACCAGGCCCCAGCGACCGTCAACCATGCTCTGCGTCCGCCATCAGGATATGTGTGCACTAGAGGCTCGTTGGATAGCTGCAGTGCGTCTGGTCGAACGTCAACTGGTGGCGAAGGGCTGGGGTCGGTCTCGCGGTCTTCTGGGAACTTTTCCATTGTGTCTGATGCTAGTCAAAACGGGCGATAGTCATGAATCTGGCTGATGGAAATGAGCAGCCAGGATCCTTAAATGATGCCCACGTCCAAATATTTTGCGTGTCATTGCTGGATCAGGCTTTTGTCGTTGCCGTGATGGGTCGGCAAGGGGTAGGGGAACAATAGTACTGGTCGTGATGCTTGATAAGCAGCAGCACTTCATCAGGATGTCGGCGGTTAGGGTTAGGGTTAGGGTTAGGGTTAGGGTTAGGGTTAGGGTTAGGGTTAGGGTTAGGGTTAGGGTTAGGGTTAGGGTTAGGGTTAGGGT